TATTTAAAGATCTTTTGAATTCACAGTGTGGAGGAGGCTTTTTTTGAAATGACGTAGCTTTTGAATTTATTTCGAATTTGGTTTTTCATGGTTAAGATTCTTTTTGGGGGTTTCAAAGGAATTTTAATTAAAAAATAGTTTTCGACGGTTTAAAGACTTTCCATTCCTGATGACTTAACTTTTTTAAAACAACTGAAAGGAATGATATAGTTTTTTGACCTTACCATGCCCGAAAGTTACTTTCTGTTGCAACCCCTCGCAGTTTGTAGTTCTTAATAATCGGAGTTTTAAACTGTTTGGTTAGGCTTTTAACCTTTTCTCTCCTGAAAAGGCTTCTGATTTTGTTTGCTCTGCGAATCTCATGATTTTTCATAATTTCTCGCCCCTTCTCGGCCGTCTCTCCGAGAGCACGGTCTCTGACGATCTGTGTGAGCAATCTTCTCCTTTCAGGCTATCGGTATTAAGGCGGTTGCCTCCCTTTAACGGCAGTCGGTTGCGCTCTCAGTGCGTCCCCTCCCCCTTGCCTCGTCTTGTGAACGTTGTGTCTCGTTCGAGCCTCGCTTCTCTCTTCTGAAGCCCTCCTTCTCTGTTCTGAAGCCCTCCTTCTCTGTTCTGAAGCCTGTTTCGATGGCTTTTTTACTTAGCGCCGATCAAGCTGGATTCCTTTGCTTCAGGGGGATTAATTCCGCGCTCGCCGGGCCCGCTCCATTTCCTCGTTGTTGTAACGGAGAATGGGGCTATTTGAATACGTTTCAATTCAAATTTTCGGTTTCGGCTGACGTCGTCTTGCATTTTTTGTTTTTTGGTGCAAAACCGTTGGTCTTTTTAGTTTTGTTTTGAGGGTAAAATGCATGTTATGTACAGTCAAGTCTTCATTCTTATCATTTTGGGGGAGAAATACTGATAAACTTTATGTTTTATGCTTATTTTCATAAATCAAAGCTTACAATTTTGCATTTTTAATCAGTTTTGGCCACATTTTGTTGCTATTACTTGCAAAAAATTTTAATTTTGAATCAAATTTGCTATAAAATTCCATGTCAAACTGCTTTGCTTCGATCGGCACGATTCGTATGCAAATTTTACGATTCAAGAATTTGCATGATTTTATTTCCACAGCTGGACTCTATGTTTGCAAACACCTGATCTAATGTCCCAAACTTTGTGCCCTTTTTGACTTTTTATGTGGTGAGAACAATTGAGTGATTGGACCCTGAGGCCAAATGATCGAGTGGTCGGAGGGGATCAAACGCATTGTACAAAATTTTAATTTTTAAAGAAACGCTTTTCGAACAGAATTTATGGTTGATGTGGATGGGTATAAGAGTAATATTGTGTTAAGTTTGATGACAGTTTTTTTTTAACTTTTTTGTCGTCTTTTTTCTTAATGTTTTATATGAAATAGTTAATATTACTCCTCTGAAAAACTGTTCCAAAATTAAAATCTTCAGCTTTTGGTCTTAACCCAACTAAAAACTGTGTGTCAAATCACGTTTTGTCGAAAAGTAATAAAACTTGGAAACAATTGCATTTGAAGAAGTTTTTGCTTCAGGAAGTGGGGAGGGAAAGCGATCGCCTCCTTTTCGGTTTCTGATCGAGGCCGTCGGATTAGCGGCGAAAGCAGTAGCCTATAACACCTTCCTGGACCCTATGCAAATACCATTGTTGACGTGTTGTTGTGTCATTTACTTTGATGTCGATTAGGGTTTTATGACTTTTAATCATGTTATGGTTGTTTAAAATGGCATTTCTAAGTGATATTTTGGCTGTTTTTTAATTTCGATTTCTTTTTTTTAAGTTGAACTTGGTCCCCCCTGTTGATAACTTTCGAAAAAATTTTTTAATTTTTTTTTAAAAAGAGAAACTATTTTGTACATGATCTTAAAATTAATCACTCACCATGACTTTAGTAAAAAAACAAGATCATAGCATTGTCAATATGTAACACATAAAACAGTGAAACAATGTAAACGCTTAGGAACCGTCGATTATTGTGGAGGTTTCGCTCCCGATTTTATTGTATTTGTTCGTTACTCCTTACTACTATTTGTACAGAGAGCGATTTGCTTGAGATGCTGACTAACCCTCCCCCCCCCCCCCCCCCCTTTACTGCCTTTTTGGGCCGTTGACTAACACGTTTCGAGGTCCTTTCTCGCGAGAGATCCGGTTCGATTCCAGGCTTTTGATTTGATTAAAAATGAGTTTCAATTCCATACGACGTTACAACGTTGCTTTTGGGTTGTGTTTCGACTGTTTCTGTTTGTTGGGGATGTCTTACATTGGAATTTGATGTTGTTTTAAGTTTATATGTCTAGTTTTGAAAATTTGAAGTTTGGGCTAAAAGGAGGTTATAATGTCAACTCTAGGGGCTTGTGTTGTAGCCTATAAGAGAAGAGGCAAATATGAGTAGATAGGTTATCTATTTTTAACTATTCCACGTATTTTTAGACCATAATTGATGACATTTTTCATAAGAGTTTCGGACAAAATTTTGATTTCTCAATTTCACGACTGCCATATTGTACTTGTTCATGCCTATGTTTAGCTTGTTTATGATTACTTCTCTACATTAATATATCACCCTGCTCGTTCATCATCCCCCCTCAGGACGCCCGTTTACCCAAAAACACGGCAATTTTTCGTGGAAACGGTTTGCACGAAATTTATTCAAAAAGTCGTGCATTTGTGTATCCCTTCCGGGCATGATTCGGGGGGACCGGTCTTAAAAGCCGGGCCATTTCCTTGGGGACTCGTCTTCTGATTTTTATGACTTTCTTCTTCCTACGGCACTGTGCACGGAGCCCGGATTCAGAATTTTTGACGGATTGTCAATTTATGAATTCGAGACTCTCGACTTTCACAACTCTGGTTATACGATTAGAATAGATTATGGTCATTCTATTGTCGTCTGTGAGGGGGTTTGTCATACTTTTGGACTGTTATCGTACCATCTTTCACGTGCTAAATTGTTTTGAAATTTTTTTCGGAAAAGTTCAAAATATTTAAAAACAATCGAATGACGTCTTTTTTAGAAAGTTTTTCTGGCCTTAACTACTGTATTTGTTAGGCTTGAACTACTGTCCTTGTAAATTGTTCTTTTGGGAAGAAAAATCAGTCATTTTTTCAATTTGAAGAAGAAACAGTCCACCCTACCTACTCTCAGACTGCTTTCTGTACCAAAAATTTATTTCTACAAACTTTTTGACCGATTTGCAGAATATTTCCCCCTATTTTGCTTACCTTTGTACTGTTTTTACACTCTCAGGCATAGTTGCTTCGAAAACCCGGTTTATCAGCTGCTTATCACCGAACTGCCCCTGCCAACCAAGTTTTTCATATTTACCGCAAATAAAATAATATGGCCTTGAGACGACCCCTGACCTGACGGCACATCCCATTTTTGCACTTTCAGCGATCGAGATTATTTGGATTTCACTCGCATTCAGCTTCGTATCCAGTTTTCAAGTTTTACTCATATCTTTAAGTTTGATTGTGGGTGATTAAGAGTGGCAATGAGGCCAAATTTGGGATTTTTAAAAATTTTCATGGATTAAAGCACCGTATTTTATTTATTAGATTTTACAACACAGTATTTTTAGACCCTTGCCAACCTAACTTCAAGCAACTTCTTTTCTAAAATCTTCTCTCTAAATCTCCAGAAACTTTCGAACCACCTTTCATAAAAACTGCATTACAATACCCGCAACCTTTGGCCATTCCCGGACTGATATTGAGGTTAGATTCCCTAATATTTTTGCACAATAAACCCCAAATACTGTGCGAAACAGAGAGACGGGCAGAGAAAGAGAGTAGATTCATAGTAATCGGTAGCTGAAATGATTTCGGTGACATTAATCCCTTTCATTTCCATATATAGCGGCGTTTACAATATATATGGGGCCGTTTAAGCCTGCATGCATCCCTTTACGCTGTATTAATTTACAAAAACATTTTGCGGTTTGCGAGACTTCAGATGATGAGTAACGGGTTTGTCTACATACATCATCCTACGCCGGTTGTAGCACGTCTGTTTGGGGTGATGTATGGGCTTGTTATGATAAGTATTAGTTTAAGTTGTTAGGGAATCCAAACTAGATGTAATGTGTTAAGAAACCATAGTATTATACAGTAGTTATGTGTCTATAGGGTACATAGGTAAACCCCATGGTACTCTTTAGAGGTTTCATAGGCTGCCTCAATATAGTTTACTTGGCTTAATGAATACCAAAGCTCATTCTCTATAATAATGTCAAAAAGATTCTTTTTCAAATGTAAATATACATCAATTTCAATAAAATAACCATTCACTTAGCTGCTACAACCCCTACTACAACATACCTACTACAACATGCTGCTCCCCACTTATTAATTACAACTTGATTAGATACAATTGCACCGCTTCAGAGGTCAAACATATATTGTCTATGACACGAGTTGCCTTTTGTTTATCCGGTTTTTTCGCGCAACGAGCTCTTATATTACCTTAGATTATATAAACTTTCTCATGATTAATCACATGAATTCGAAACAAATCAATAAAAATGGTTTACAATACGTTTTCTGCTACAAACTATCTGTAAGGGGCTTTGGGGTTTACATTATTTATGAATTATGTTACTATTGGGTGCTATTGTAACATCATTTTATTTCAATATTGTCATAGGTAGTGATGAGGCATTTTGAGAATCACTTTTTATCCCATTTGATGCTGAATTTTTTATTTTGTTACCTAAATTATCAAAAAAGATCGAACTTATCCACCTTCAACTATGCTTATAGCTCTTACCTTACATTTACACGCGTCTTACTCCAATCACAATGATAACGATGCCTCAATACCTCACTGAACAACGTGCTGATGCCTTGACTCCAGTACTAATCCCCTTCTGTTTCAGCCGGCTTCAGACGCCTTGTTTTTTGTAATAGTCCGTCCGCTTCACCCGCTTGACGACGCCGCCTGATAACTCGCTGTCCCCACTCGACCGGTCGATCCTGTACTAATGTTCGACGAGAATAGCAATGCGACGGCGGCGGCGACACTCACCGCCGTGCCCGCTGTTCCCGCGCCCGCGAATATCAACCAAAACCACCTCGTGAGCCAGCTTCTTAACGCCAAAGACTCCAGATGGCTCCAGTTGGAGGTGTGCCGCGAGTTCCAACGCGGCCAATGCTCACGATCCGATGTGGACTGCAAGTTCGCGCATCCACCGTCACATGTTGATGTGCAGAATGGTCGGGTCACGGCCTGCTACGACTCGATAAAGGTGAGATTTGGTGGCTAAAATAGAAAAAAAAGCATTATGATCAATATATTTCAAGTAATGAGCAATATATTATATATTGCAGTAGCTTCTTTAATAAAAGACAGGTAAAACACAGATTTTACTTCATCCTAAAGGAATATTCAAAGTCAGAAAGGACTGTTTTCTAATTTTTAAACACATTTTTGTTAAACTAAATCCCTTTTTAGCCATATCTTCAAGATTTATATTGTTTTAGGGCCGTTGCACCCGAGAAAACCCGAAATGTAAATACCTTCATCCACCACAACATTTGAAAGATCAACTACTGGTAAACGGCCGTAACAATCTGGCACTAAAGAATCTGTTGTGCACACATTTAACCACGCCAGGTATACCCAACAACATTCAGATGGCACAGATAATGGTAAGTTTCCGTTCAAGGGCTATATGTAGGTATAGATAATAAGGTTTTACATGTTGAAAAAACTTTTAAAAAACAAAAAAATCCGAACTCTAGTGAAAAAAAAACTCCTCTTTTGCCTTGTTGACTTACTATAATATAATTATGTAAAACATGATTACTTGCCTTTAGCAACAACAACAACAACCACAACAAGCCATCATGTCCACGATGCCATACCCGTACTACCCGCACTTGGCGGCCGCCATCTACCCCACCCTGATGCAGACGGCCGATCCGTTCGGTCAGCCCGTAAGTCTCGAGTTTTGTGCCGAGAGAGTGTGCAGAAGTAGGAGGGCGACAGAGACGGCTTCGGACAGTGCGATTCATTGGCTTTGATTGGTTTGTAAATGTAGTTTCTGCTTCCAAATTCAATGTTTTCGGTGATTTGGATGGATTTTGGGAGTTGCGAAAAAATGCCAAAGACTGAAAGTTTTCGTTGTGGGACCCAAAAGCGTTGGCAAAGTTAAATTTTTTTATTAAAAAACACAAATAACGCCATTTCAAATGTGTTCTGTGCAAGTCCAAAATCCCACCAATTTACCGTAACTCGTGATTTAGTTTTGTGTTCAAAATAACATGTGCTACGCATCTACAGACATAAACACGACTCGCACTGTCTGTGGGCTCTATTTTATGTTGAACCCCTTTCGGACTAGGCTTGGCACGGAGTTTTGGTACCCTTTTTGAGTTAATTGGTGCTATTTAAAACACTGGTTTCGATGATTTTTTGTTTTCTATGAATGCATTTCCGTGCTATAACTACTTACTGTTAAATTGCAAGATTTCAAAGGTTACTGTAACATTAAGTTTTAAAACTTATTTTGATAAACCATTTTAAAGTTTTTTCATTATCTAAATTGCAACAAATGGTTTTTGAAGTCAGGGTAATAATCAGAAGGCAGATACAATGTTACGGTAATCGAATTGTGGGGGTTTTTCAAGTGTAGTGGTTGTTGTTTTGTGGCCTGCTTTTGATTGCTATTCTAATCCATTCAGTCGCTGGTGACCCAACAACTCGCGCTACTCCAACAACAACAAGCTCAGCAACAAGCACAACAACAGCAACAACAGCTTGGTGGAGTGCAGAATCAGGCCTTGGTGACAGCTTTACTACGACAACAACAGACGTTGGCAGCTCAATCACTGAGCAATCCACTGACAGCCAATTCCTTGGCACAGTCGCTGGCTAGTCCACTGGCCCAGGCTCAACTGACTGGCCTAACCCAATCTCAACTACTGGCGTCGCCGGCTTTGGCTGCGTTGGCCGCCCAACAGTCGACGGTGCAGCAGACGGCTACGGCCGGGCAGACGGCTTCACCGTCGGACTGTCGGAAGCGGTCGGCACGGTCAGCCGGCTTCGACGAGACTGGAGCGGCCGACGAGAAGAAGGCCAACTCGACGCCGCAGGCTCCGATGACTTCCGCCGCTTCGAGTGTGCTTGCTTCCAGCGATCTCACAGCGCTACAGAATCAGCTGCTGTTAGCCTCTGCTGCGGTACTGTAGTCTTTTTATTTTGGGTTATTGTGGTAGCTAACACTTGTTGTCGTACCTCCCTAATCAGTTTCTTCACTTTGCGATGGTCGGAAGGGGGCTGTGTTTTGTTTAAAGTGAGATTACACAATTTTTGACCAAAATATTATTTGTGAAAAGAAGACTACAGTATGACGTTTAAAATACTGTATTTTGAAGGTCTTACTGTAATTAAAGTAAAATGGTAAATTACTGTATAAAAATAGACTTTAAAGTAAAATATGGTATTACAAGTACCCTTTTCGACCATACCACGATAACCGTATGTTAACTACCACAGTAATGTAACTTTTTTATTTTCTTTTGTTGTTTCGTGCTCATCACAATATCTTCTAACACTTTTTCTTGTTGTTGTATCCGCACTCCGTCTAACGCTTGCTTACAGTGTAAATTAAGTTGATAGAGGTATGTAAAAGCTTTAAATATTTTGTCGTATTAACAACTTGAGGTACTTTTAGGTAATACTTCATGTTTTGAAAGCAGCTTTCAGTACTTTTTCATACTGTAACAAGAAAAAAACATTATTTTTGAAGAAAAAATTGAAGATTTTGTAGTTTTACAGTACTTTTTATACCTTTTTTTTTGTGTTTTAAGCATGTTGTTATATTAATACACGTTCAAAAAGTACAGTATCTATACTAAAACAAATAAACTTTAACGGTTTTTCTACAGTAAGCTTACAGTAGTTGCTTTTTGGCTTGATCTTCTCGATTACCGTGTCTCGCTTGTTTTTTCTCCAGTTTTTTTTGTTCCTGAATCCTCAGAATCTCGTGCATCGTGCTCGCTCTTTCACTGATCGCTCCATTTCAGAACGGCGCCGTGAACGGCAAGAACAAGAACGGCGTGCCGGCCAACGGAATCCCAATTTATACGCAACAGGCGGCCCAATTCAACCCATATTTAATGCAACAGATGCCCGGGTATATGCCGGCTGTGTCCTGTAAGTTTATGCATATATGATCGGGGTGGGGAATATGCATGACATCTTGCATGTTGGTGGTCACGGAATCGCGGCTCCACATGATTTTATGACCTTTTTGATGCTAAACTGCCATTGATGACATTTTTAATGGGGTGTACTTGAAATGAGGTTACAGTACGCAAAAGGGTTTCCAAGAGGAATCGAACTTTTCTTGATTTTTGACATTTTCAACTGACTGTAACTTCGCTATAAAAATAGATATCAAAACGAAACTTTCTCAAAATATACAACATTCTATGCTCTATATATAACATCAAACATATCATTCAACCTCAACATCACTAAATACCTCATTTTAGTCAGCCAACAATTGCCACCCCGATTCTAGAATCAGCCAGCTGGTTGCTTTCGTCGGTGCTCGCCCAGTACTAGTACTATTCTTCTCTCTTCCTTCCACTCGGTTACAACGACTCTTGCCCCACGACTCTTTCACCCGACCAACTTCACTCCGTTCGACCGGTCGATTATTATTTTCTCTCATTTCTTAACCTTTTTCTCTCAACGGGTTTCGCCCTTTGTTTCTCTGACGTCTCTCTGTTCTCGATTGTCCCTATTTATATCAAGCGATAGATATTGTACTAATAGTTACTCTTAGTTCGGTTCGAGATGTGGTCGGTTTTTGGTTCAAAAGGGAAGAGGGTGTTTTGAAGTATAGTTTTTAGGTTTTTATGTTAAAATTGTTGCATACTGTAGTTTTTAGGTCAAAATTTACTTTAATTAGGGTACTTTGGAGTCTTGTAGTATGTGAACTGCAATTTTAGACTACTGCAGTACTCGTGCTATAACATTTTGACTAAAAAAGATGCTTTTAACTTCTTAAAATTATACTATTTCACTCGTGTTTTACCAATTCCGGCCACTTTTCAACCACAATTCTTACAATATTGTACTGGTTATGTTAGTAGTAGTAGTTGTGTGCCGGGACAGTGTTATCTGTACATAGACCGCCGGTACGCAGAGAGATATATAAGCAAGAAAACAGATATATTGTTGTTATGTTCTTCCACAACGAGTTTGCCGTCCCATTCCCTGTCTTGCCCTTTTATTTGTTGTTTTGGTGCTCCTGGTCAGCACTCCGTCCATTTTCGTGCGGTGCTGGTCGAGTACAGTACTCGAGGTTTGATGGAAGAGGATTTGGCCCTTTTCAGTAGGTTATCCACATCATTGGTATACCTATATCCACATCACAGGCATACCTATATATGGCTAAAGCTTACAACTGCCAACCAACTCCTTCAGTCCTCGACTACCGTACTCCCGGTTACTGTAACAGTGTTATTGTAATTACACGATGTTCGTCCCATTAAAATATTCTCTCAGGCCACGTTTAGAGTGCAATTCGTAGTTCTGGCCCTGAGGGCGTGTCATTATACCTGGTCCCATCCTTTTTCGTTTGCGCACTCCACAGAAAACATTCTCTCTCTTCCCTTAATCTCTAGTTCGAATAACGCAAAACAGTTTTGAATAAAGTTAACTTTTCTTGTTTTTGTAAAGTTTTCGTTGCGGGACCAAAACTTATTAGTCCTTTCGGCTCGAATAACGGTTTAACGTATATAGCTCGATAATAATTTAGGTAATAAATTATCAGAAAACTTCAGTAAGCTTTAAAATGACGAAAAGGTTACTGTATTACAGTGTAAAACAAAAAATTCAATTATCTGCCGTAACTTATCGTTCCACACCGTATCACAAGTAAAATCAGTAGTTAATCAGTACTTTTATTGGTATCAGTTGGTCACAGCTACGTTAACCTTGAAGGCCTTGAGTCTTAGTTTGTCAATGTATTCGACCGGTGATTGGAAGGTGAAGGCACGAGTTGCTTGGAGTTGGCCAAATATCTCACGATCTTCCAAATTGTCAGCCTAAAATGGCATTTAAAGGTAAAAAAACAAAAAATCCTTTACTTTCAAATACTTAATAGTATTCAATTACTAAAATTCAACTACTAGTACTAATATATTGGCAAGAACTAGTACTCATTTAAACAAAAAAACTTGTTTTATGCTTACATCATGCCGATACCTCCGTTTAAAGTTGTCATAGTGCATGTTCACGATCGAAGCGTAGCACATGATCTTCAGATGAGCAAAGTTGGACTTGTTGGCCACCAACAGGATCTTGACCAGTTCATCAAGACGAGTTACCTAAAGTCATAAGTCAAAAAGTTATAGTATGTTAACATAAGGCTCAATATATAATTTTTATAGTATAATACATATTATATTTAATATTTCTACCATAAAATGTCTACTTATGTATGCTTCAATAAAAAGCAACCTCACCTGCTTCAAGTTGTTGATGAGCAACTTCTGGATAAAGTTCCTGAGGTCGTCCTTCCTGGTCGGTCTCACAAACTCGACCGCTCTCATGAACTCTGACACCTGTTCTACTGTCATCATCATGTCCTCTTTTACCGTATTCGACTGAAGGTAGTTGACCAAAGCGGAGATGGTAACAGTAGAATACAGAGTAACATCGTGACTTCGACTCTCAATATTCTCAGACTTCTGGACGATAAACAACTCTTTAAAGTATTCTGAAGACAAGTAGAGAGCCAGCTTTGAGCACGGTACTACGCCATCTGAACATGTCAAAACAAAGTCACTGAAAACGATATTATAGTACGTACTCTCTCACCTGCAGGACGAGACTTCCACTTATAGTAGCACATCATAAAGTATTCAAAAATAATCGTAAATGATTACTGTAAAATTATAAACTCACGGTGTGAAGCAGAACCTGAAGTCATTGACAATGTGATCTGGCTGAACTTGCAAACTACCGTGCACAACTTCTGGAGCTAACAAGAATACTGTTTTAGAGAATGAGAGTTCGATTGTGATCACAAACCTCCAAGTTGATCCTGTAATATTACATTTTAATCAAAAAGTTCGTAGAAAAAAACTACCGGACCTTCTGACCTAGTCTTCCACGCCGTCGACTAACTACTATCATATAATATTAACCAATAATATAATAGTTGAGTTTGAAAGAATATAAACCCAATATAAATGAACATACGTAATCTGTTACCCATGAACTCGCCCAACTTTTCCTTAAATCGACCGGTTGGTGCTTTGTACGATTCCATCATACCAAACACAGACGGCGCCATGTAGGTATCAGCCAACGGTTCGTGGTCTAAAAGTAAGCGTTTGTTACAAAGTGATTAAAATCAGGAAATATTAGCTAACAGTTAATGTCAATGTAGTCAAAAAGTAAGTAAAATGTTAAAAATAAATAATTTTTAGACCTAAAACACTATTTTACACAAAAACAACCATTGCAAACTTTTTAAGTAAGAGTTGCTCGAATATCACAAACAAGAAACGTACAAAGAACCTCTTTAAACTGATCGTTCATATACACGGTCCATCCGAGCCGGACCTTAGCTGGCTTTATCGTAGCCATAGGCATCCTCCCTGACTCCACATATAGATCCAAGCCTTCAGTAGGCAACGCCAGTCGAGGGGTTCGCCGACGATAGTAAATGTGACCAATCCTGAAAAGGTTTTGCTTTTCACAACATAAAAGTAACCTATTACTGTAAATACAATCAAGTTTTTGATTTTCAATAACGTATGAAACAATATTTGGAATACCTATAATCAATTTAATGAAAAATAAAATTTCAAGTATAAAAATATTTATATTTTATGATTTTTTTGATAAAAAATCATAATTTTTCACAAAATTTTAAAGTTGGAATTAATTAGCCTAAGGGAATTTGATTAAAATTGAAATTTTTTAAAATTGCCCCAAAAGTTCAGGCCCCGAAGGTTCCCGCCCCGAAAGTTCCCTGCCCCAAAAGCTCTTTGCCCCGAAAGTTCGGGCCCCCCAATTTTCTCGCCCCGAAATTTCCCGCCCCAAAAAGTCGGCCCCGAAAGTTCTCGCCCCGAAATTTCCAGCCCCAATAAGTCCTGACTCCCTATAATCATACATGTTAACCTTCAACAAGGTATTCAAATTTTGCCTAGAAAAGCCAAATTTAAACAAAATTAACCGCTTTTTGTCAAGTAAGACCCCCAATACCAATCCAACTTACCAGTCATAAGCGGCAGTTTTGTAAGAAGTATTAAAAGCATAGGACTCGCTTATTCCTCTCAACTCATCTCTGTCTCCGATGGTTAATATCCAGTTGGACGTGAACAGAAGGCCCTTGGAGTCATCGTTCGATGTTACTTCTAAATCACTCAGTAACACCATCGACCAGTCAGTTCAGGGAAAGTCAGTAGCAATAACTCAAAACTAAATCTTGAATCTAAAAATGAAAAGTCGAAAATTTCAAAAAAATTGGAAGATAAAATTCTAAAAATTATCTAAAATCCACTGTATTGGCTTTAATTGATTCGACGAGATAGAGAATACTTACATTAAATTGAATATCCTTAAACCTCATGGTTAACATAAAAATTGTTTTGGTAAAAAAGATTTTTATTGGAAAATCTAGCGAAATCTTCTTACCTGTTGACATTTCGCTAACGTTCAATTGATTTTACAATTCTAACTTTATTAGAAGTTCAAATAACTTTATTATTTTTAAACTAATAAAACGTACGTGTTTTGAATATAGCAGTGATAAAACAAGTTTATTTAGTAAGTTATGATATTCTATGCAATATTGAGGTATCTTATTTTAAGACTACTATAATCTCCTTTTTTGTGCCGTGCCATTTGTCAGACCAACAACTAACAGAAGATCTAGGAACTTGGGTTTAAGGTCGATGAGGTCGTCATGGAATCTTGACATTTGCATTATCTTTTTTTGATCTTCTTCTAGGATCTCACGCAGTCTTCCTATTGTTCTTTTGGCATTATTGTTTATCTTGTCAGCATAATGAACATCTGAAATATTATAATATTGATTTTAGAATAATTTTTTATTAAAATATTTTTGTTTTAATCAGCTATCAAATACCAGTACACGTTAACAATGTGTTTACAAACTTTAAAACAGTTTTAAGTAAATAATTTTAAAAATAACATACAGACGTAATGGTGATCTATTTCATCACGCTCATAACACATAAAGCAATACGTCGTATTTTCGATTTTTTTGCCGGTTAAAATGTCGTAAACCAAATAAAGCCCTGTAGTGTATACCATAATAGTGCCTTTTTGTGTGTTAATCATAGGACGAACATTAATTGAAATTTTGTCATGAATAACATAGGTGGTAGACGTTTCTGTATCAATAACACACAGTTGCTGGTCACTTGTCGTATAATATATAAGTCTGGCTGTCTTATCGTGACCAAACAAATGCAAAGACGCACCAGCTGACAGGTTCAACTTATACTCTCTCATGGACATAGCATCCCATAGATAGCCATCCTTTGTGTTAACGCAACCATCGTGAATATCATTTGGATGTGCCGACCTCTTCATCAACAGAATGCCTGTTTTCATACTGTAGACAGTCACTTCATCTTCAACTTTGCCATCGCATGCTGTTTGAACTATAAGCCAATGTCCTTTTTGAGCAAGCATAAAGTTGACTACTTTGTTGTGAGTGTACCAGTACTTACAAAATGGGTTATGGAAGTCAAGCGATATTATTGTAACAGCGTTATTGTAAGGAAGTACCATACGATCGCCACTACGACTTTGGTTACATTCAAATGAATTTACGCTGTTGTATGATCTTTTAGGGGCTCTAAAGTAATTTGTTTCAAAGTTTTTTTTATGTAATTTGTAAAAATCTACAAGACAAAAATTGTACTATTCTAACGTTTTATAATTTAACATAATGCAAAAATCAAAAATAAAGAAATATATACAAACGTGTCTTACTGTGAAAACGCATAAGCCCATGTCTCGTTCTTCAGCCTGTATACATGGTACTTGCAACATAACGCTTTGTAGTCATTTTTTATCAATTTGTAAAATGTTGGATGTACATCACACAACCTGGCCAGGTTCTCTTCGTCGTTCTTTGAAAATTTTATAACTCTTTTTGATACCTAAATGTTCTTACCTTTACAACACTTCAAAAAGTTTTCTTAATAATTAAAACTTAATTTAAAATTGTTTTATTTGTACATAATAAATCTTTAAATTAAACCTTACACCTATCATGATTCAAAAAAATATTTTAATCACAACAAAAACAGTATAAAATATCAAAAAATCGACTTACATCATAAGGAAGACCGCAAAACTTCATGTTTTTACAACTTACAGTCGTTAGAAAAATAATATATTATATTAAACGGTCTATAAGGGGTCCGCGTAAGCAACCTTTTTTATAAAGCCAAAACCTCTTTTATTACGTATAACATAGCTTTAGTTTCTGCGCTAACATAGCTCTAAAAAGGTTAGCAAGATGCATATATCGTAACTCAAGTCTCATTCGTATATATTTATTTAAAAAGCTTGTCATTGCATTCGTCAAGTACAATACTCAAAACTATCTAACGTGAACTTTGGAACGCCATCCATAGCGACACCACCCGCTTTGTACAATTTCCCAACGTCTAAACTTGTCAAAGTTGGTAATACGAAAATCGTTGATGTTGTGTTACTATATTCTACCTTCCACATCTCCAATAGGACCTAAAAACAAAGAATGTAATTTAAAAGTACTATAAAGCCTAATTTTTAGATTAAATTAGTTTTTATACAACATAACGTTCAATAGGTATGTTCTTACCGTGACATTGTTTTCCTGTTGTAATTGTAGGTTACAAATAGGTAAGAACTGATAATTGAATATAAAAACATCAAAAAGATAGTAAGAATGAAGTTGTTGTTCTTCATTTGTGCCATTCCAAGAGCTCACAACATTTGTTATGACATTTACAACACCATGCTCTAAAGTCATCGTATCTATACTTAAAAGCGTAGAGTTTAGCACATCTGGTGGTATCATAGTAAACTCTGCTTGTATATCACATTGAGGTATGTACATTGAGCTCGATTTTGTAACAGAGTTAGCAATCATATTTACAGCGTTTGGGGAAGTAATAGTTGTTGTAGACGTGGACATTGTGGTAGTAGTAGTAGTAGTTGTTGTTGTTGTTGTTGTTGTAGTAGTAGATGGAGGAGGAAGTGTTGACATTGAAGATAATTCTGAGGATGTTGTTGTGACAACTGGAAATAGTGGTAGTAATGTAGGAAGCGTGGGAAAGGTAATGACTGGGAACAGAGTTACTGTGGTTGTTAATGATACAGTTGTAGTAGTAGTAGTAGTAGTAGTAGTATTAGTAGTGGTAGTAGTAATAGTGGTGGTAGTAGTTGCAGAGGTTGATGTTGTATTCGACATTGTAGTGCTAACAGTACTAGTAGAAGTAAGCGCAGTAGTTGTAGCGTCAGTTGTCAAACTCAGGATCTCATTTATAGTTGGTAGTGTTGGTAATGTAATAACAGGGAAAAGCGTTACTGCAGTTGAACCTGTTGTACTTGTCTCTGTTGTCGTACTTGCAATTGTTGTAGCTTCCGTGATAGTAAATGGTGTTATTGTAGTAGATACATAAGTAAGATTTAGAAGTTCTTCTAAGGTAGGTAACGTTGGTAATACTATTGGTGGAAACAACGTCACTGTCGTAGGTACTAAAGTTGTAGTAGTAGTAGTAGTAGTCAATTCCGTAGTAGGCAATATTGTTGTTGAGATCAAGTTAATCTGTTCTGGAAGAGTTGGTATTATAAGAGAAGTTGTTGTAGTAGGTAAGAGTGAAGATGTTGTAGTAGGTACGGTAGTAGTGGATTCTGTTGTTGTAGGTAAGAGAGTACTATTGAATTCCGTGCTCAATGGTGGTACTGTAGGTAATACGATAGGAGGAAATAATGTTGGTTCACTTGCTTCTAAATTTGAAACCTCGTTTAAGGCTATAGTACTAGTTGTAGTTGCATCTGCTGTAGGTATAGTAAAGAGGGGAGGTAATGTTGGGAATGTAAAAACGGGAAATGAGGTAGTAGTTACTGTAGATGCACTAATAGTAGTATTTGTGTTGGTAACTGTAGTTGTAGTATCTAAAGCCGTTGTCGTAAATACTAAATTTAAAATGGGTACTGTGACATTAATTGTTGTAGTCAAAACTGTTGTTGTAGCTGAAGACAAGTTTGTGCTAGGTTGAGTGACACTGTAAATGTTTGTCAGTCCTACTTTTGTCGTATTTTGAGATTCTAGACTCATAAAGTAATTTTGAAGCGAGCTTCTGACAATAGCTGCCCATGCTGGAATGGTTGTGGTAACGGTTACTGCAGGTACTGTACTTGATATTAACTCGGTATCATCTACAGTAGGCAAAGCGGTATTTTCAGTAAAAGTACTTACAGTAGTATTATTATCAACAATCTGACCATTACAATAACATATAAGTAAAAGTACGATAACGTGCGAAAACATGTTTCCAACTGTGAATTGTTGTTGATATCAAGAGTTTAAATGTTGAAGCAGATACACCTGTGTAGCACCTGGAATGTAAATTAACTATTGTTTCTCATATTAAGGAACTTTGCCATTGTTTTCCTCAACGTTCTCATGGCCGTTCGTTTAATTTCAGACATTTTTTTTGAAATTTCATTTGAAAACGTGGAAAATTGAGATTTAAAATTCGAAGGAAGTAAAAACATCCGAATATTTAGTTATTACGCACGATTTTATTGTAGGTATTTGTTATAATAAATGCATTTTTGTAGTCTTTGAAATCTATTTTCATTTGATAATATGCAAGAGTAAGAGATAATAATAGGGAAACTACTGTATCTTCCTAACTTGACCTAAAAATTATGTAACAAGTTAATTCATCTTCTTTACTCTCATAAAGTACAGTACAAACATTGTACTCTAAACTCACATCTGCTGTCTTTGTTACCTGGAACATAATTTTTTTATTATTGTTTTCGTGACATGTCATCAATGTCTTCTGTGAATCCTCAAAGTAATGATAAAGCTGTGAGAGAGTACGAGAAAGAGAGAGGGAGTGCAGAGAAAGAGAAGGAGCACCTGTTAAACTTTAAGTGAATCCACAAAACTTCCAAATTACGTGGGATCTTACTCAAAGAATGTTTGTTTGAGATTATTATGGGGAATGTTTGCAGTAATTTACTATACCAAGGGAGCAGTATTATTTGATTAACGAGTTTGAAAGAACAAATTTTTCGGATTTGAAAGGGTTGGTTTTGGGTTGAATATAGTCTTCGCAATTCCGTTTTGTAGGTCTATATTTGAAAAAATCATTTTTAGGTTTGACATACTGTATTATGGAGGGTTATTCTTATTGTGCTTTATTTGGACTTACAGATAATGGTTTTAGAAATTTTTTTGAAATTATCAAAAAATTGGTATAATAGCAATGTAAATATCAAACACTTGACAAGGTCGGTAATATTTCTGTTTTTTTTTGTCTTCTATTGACTTTCCGACTTCCTTTATGTTACTCCCATATCCTATAACGAGTGTTTCAGCAAGGCTTGTTAAGCTTAACGATATCAAAAAAACGGAACATAAATTGTAATTGGGTGTAGAACGTAGTAAATAAATATGCACATTAAGAACATATTCATCTGACATTACTACTCTTTTATGCTTTATTTTACTTTATTCTGGCATCATCTTTTTAAATCGTTTCTTTGTTGCGTACTGTAAGGTTTACACCGTAAAAAGTGTTATTTCTACATTTGCAAACGCTTCGATGGCACAATACCAATATTTTCAGTGTTAATATGACAATATTAAGAACATCAGTTGAAGATATTAAGAGATTATTAGGTCAAATTTGCAATAACTTTTATATTATCTTTGTTATTGTGGTTGCTATAGCACTATCTGTATCCTTGGTATCATTCGGCATTTATTTTCTCACACATACTATCCCATCGATCATTAAGTAAAGCGATTAGTTTGAAGTTTAATGTTGTGTGAAACAGAAAGGTATCATAACTTTTGGTCCTACGTTTACTAATTATTCTAACTTCACTTCTGTACTCTCTGCTAATACTTCAAAAAGTGACTTTTATACTACTCTGATGTTACAGTACACCTGAGTCCTTGATATATTGACATTAAGGAGTCAAACCAATGTGAATACGGTTTGTCAGCTGTTTTCCTTCCTTGTTTTGCGATTATATTGTTATTTATTTGTTACTCAGACAGCGATTTTCGAAATTTATGTTAAGTTATGTAATATTAATATATTTATGGCTTCGCAGAGGATAATAGGCTTGGCTTAATTCGGATGAGGCGATTTTATGTTACCTTGCTCTGGTTTTTGAAGTGTTAATTGTAAATTTAGTTTGCACGTTATGGTGGGGTTAAAGACTGTCACACCAAGGGGTCTTACTATTAAATTGACTTTTAGTTTATCTTATTAGAAATATTTATATTATTGTCTGGTCAAAAAACAACTCTAAAAAGTGCTTATTTTGACTATAACGGGCGTTTCTTTCGAACCTTCTTTATACATTTAGCTAGACTTATAGTATTTTATATGTGTTAAGACCTTTACTGTATTTTTAAAATTTAAAATTCGGCCCAAAATCCTTTTATTGCCCTTATCTTCGAGAATCTTGCATCCTAATTCACGGCAATTCAAATGAATTTACGTAGACAGACAAACCTTATAGTAAGGTGTGCGTTCGTACCTTTTCTTTCAATAACATCATGCTGTCTTGGCATCTTGTTCTAGGTATTTTCAAATGCTTTCTGGTTTTTAAAATTACTTTTTATAAAATTTATATAGTTTTTAAATAATTTACAGTTAGTGCATTAAAAGTGTCATTAGGACAAGAGGCACTGAAGATATAATAAAGTTCAGGGGCAGGGGTATCTTTTTTTGAATAATTTCTTCAAAAACTTTAATATCATCATAACATAACCACTAGCCTATTTTCCCTTACGTACCGTAAAATCATAGTTATTTATACTGCTTTGTCCATAGTAAAGTAGCTACTCGTGTTTTATTTGCACGCACTTTAAACAGATTACGGTAATGAATAGGCCTGTTTACATAAAGATACGATCAAAGTGTCAAGGCTTCGCTGATGTTATCTTTGACTGCCTGAAGACCTTTTTGAACGTTCAGGGCATCTCAAAACTTTGGTTTCATTAAAAACCTTTTCAGAAACCGGCGTGGATTCTGGGCTCAATATTTTTGCTACAAATTTCAAGACTTGACCTCAAATTCTAGTTCTCGAGCTTAAGGTTAATGATTTTGAGATTACTGTAGCTTTTGTAAGATATTTTCTGTGTAGAAATGTTTGTTTAGTTAGTAAAGTTTAGGCTTATATATTTCAAAAAGTTCAACTAAAAATAGAGAAAAACTTTGTCCACAACATATCAAACCATCAACCTTTCATCTATCCCAAAGTACACCTATTAACACGCCTATTCACAGTAACTTGCTCACAACTCTGAATCCAAGCTCATTCTAGAATCCAGGATTAACCCGACTATACTATATTAAACCCATTACCAAAGTTTATTTTCCTATTTGCACTCTGTTTAATCCTCGATTTAATTTCCGCGCCAAACAAAACACAAGGCCTTCTGATATTTAAAACAACTTCCAACAAACAAACAAAGTCAGTTTACCTTTTCAGACGATCGATGCGTGCCTGAGGATTACGGTAGCGGATACGGTGACGCCATCTCGAATTGTTTGGGACACATATAATTATGAATACTCAACAGGAAATCGGTATGTTGTTTTACATTGTAGTGCTTCATTTAGCGTAGTTAAATAAATTTTTAATTTCCGGCCAAAAGATACGAAAACATAGTTAATTAGCTCCTCCTTACCTTTTTACCTTTCTATTTTCTTTTTACCTAACTATAGTTGCAGCTACTATATTACTCATGATGAATTTCGCGTTAAAACCTCATTTTTCAAAAAAATTGTCATGAATGTTGCGACTTGATCACACGACCCTTACGCACCTGTCTTTGGTCTAAAAATAAACGGCCATCTTCGGCGTTTCGAAAAAGTGAAATGTCAACGACCTTCAGTTTAATGTGATCCCTCAACTTGACTTCCCTCACTCTTTGCCACAGGTCTTTAATTTAAATCTTTGTTTTATTATGTCATTTTTATGGTGGAACTGTGTTATATTTACTTTTCAACCAAGCGTTTTTATATAAAAAGTATAATTTTAACTTTTTCAATTTCAAAAATTTGTGATTCGGTCAAAATATAAAGCGAAAAAAACTTTTAGACCAACATAGTACTTTAAAAACAAACTCCAAATCAAATGATTGACTTTAAAATATTTTTGGAGCAAGAGCAAGTTGTCAGTAACGCCAATTCACATTAGAAGACATTAAAATGCCATATACTTGGCCCAATGTGTCTCCCGTCTCTCCCGCCTACACACTCTCTTTCCCTGTCAAAGAAATGGAATATATATTAAGGATGTCTAATCTCCAGACATCAGTCGTAAAACTATTGTAAGGAAAGGTTTTTGTTGGTTCTGGACATTGTTTTACATTCCCAGATCGAAATTCAAAAAAAACCACCCAAATTCCGTTTTAAAGGACAAAATTGTTTGGATTTGGCCACAAATTCTCTCTTCCCCCCAAAATTTGGCCAGATATTTCTTTTTTGCGTCGCTCTTACTTTTTTTGACTTTATCAGCCCAATTTTTTCAGAACAATACTTGCGAGACCATATTTGTGAGGAGATCAAAACGAGTGTAAGTCCACAATTTCCATTTTTTTATTTTTGAACGTTTTCTTGAAGTTGGAATAATATTTTTGGCCATTTTGTTACCTAAATTTTGAAGGATGTGTTTTCCTCTTTCCACAGCTGTTTTCGAGCGTTTTAATCAAATTTTTATGAATAAAATGGTTTTTTTAAATTATTGTTACCTAAATTTTTCAAAATTAGAATATCCGGTTTTCCATTTTTTTTAAATATGAGGAAATATTTTCTCTTTCTCCCAACCAAATTTTCGAAATTTTTTAAAACAAAAAAATGTTTGGCAATTTTTCAAAAAGTGAATTTCTTTGAAATTTTAATGTTTTCAACAGCTTCTTGTATAGATAACTTAGTTTTTATCGCGATTCGATAAGTTTATTGTAATGTGATTTTGTTAAGATAACCAGAAATCACAAATTGTTCGTTTTTCAGGTCTTTGATATTGTTTTAGACTCGTTAACGAACGCGTCAAAAAGAATTGGGCGCATTTTATAGGCGTTTTCTATATGAAACGCCTAATTCTTTTTGACGCGATCTGATAATTTCCATTAGATTTATAATGATTTGCCATATTAATGTCAACTTTACTATCCTTTAAATACAGTATTGTTTTCAGGACCTTCCGAACGGGACGACTTCAGACTACTCGAGTGGAGCCGAGTCGGTCGATAATTACGTGTCGGAGCAGCTTCACATTGACATAAAGTCCTTCCATCCGGCCGATATCTTGGCCAACACCATCAGGACCCTCTCCTTGGACAGTCCCGTGTTTCAGATGTCAGAGCCTTCAAAACCGGGTAACTTCAGAGTCTATCGACTGGTGCTTACTGGAGGACCATGCGGAGGAAAGACCACTGGTCAAGAACGATTGGCCACGTTTTTTGAGAACGCCGGGTGGAAGGTGTTCACGGTGCCAGAGACGGCTACGGTGCTACTGGGAGGAGGAGTGAAGTTTGCTGAGCTAAATGATTCACAGAGTTTCGTATTCCAGAAGGATTTGTTGTCAACTTTGCTCAGGATCGAACAGGTGTGTTTATGTTCTGATATTGGTCTTTTGTGGCTAATTTTCATTTTAAAATTCCTGAACTGTTTATTTTGCCAAAACTGTGTTTATGTTATAAAAAATACAATACTGTATCTTACAGGTGTTTTTCAACCAAGCCACGTTAGTAAAAGACAGGAATGTCCTCATAATCTGTGACCGAGGGGCCATGGATCCCTCTGCGTACATGCCAGCTGAAGGGTGGAACAAGATCCTGAATGAACTTGGTCTGTCACAATTCGAATTGAGAGAGAATCGCTACAATCAGATCGTGCACATGGTTACGGCTGCTGATGGGGCCGAGAACTACTACACTTTGGCCAATAATGCGGCCAGATCAGAAGGTATCAAGCAGGCTCTAGAACAAGATCGAGTTACTAGAAACGCCTGGGTCGGGCACCCTTATGTTGATATAGTAGACAACTCGGGTGTGAAGAAGTTCGACGATAAGATTCTAAAGCTGATTTCGGTGGTTTGTGATCGAGTTGGCCTGGACTACCAGGATCGGTTAGCCAAGAACAGTCGGAAAAGGAAATGGCTAGTCAAGGCCTTTGACGAATCCCGATTCCCACGCTACGAGGAGTTTGATGTTACACATGACTATTTATTGGCTGACAAACCCAACATCCAAGTCAGAATCCGGACACGGTGTCAGAATGGCAGATCCACGTATACGATCACTACACGACAGTTTCTGGAGCCAGCTCCGGTCGAGACCAGGATGCAGATCACGGAAAGAGAGTATCAGAGGTATCTAACGATGAAGGACACTTCCAGAGCGACACTACACAAGAAGCGACGGTGCTTCAACTTTGGGTCTCAAGTAATTTTTTTACCGTAAATGTTAATACGCTAATGATAAGTTTGGTAGGCTTGATAGTATGGTACTAGTTCAGGATAAAAGTTGTTTTATATTATTCTCTACACATTTTTTGACCAGCTTTACCACTTTTAAAAACTTAACTTTTTATATTATCAGCGTTCAAGTTGATCAATTACTGATAACAAATGTGATTACTCATAAAAAATGATATCTGTGTTGTCTAACTTGACAGAAGCCTATTTCCAAGTTTAAAACCGGCACAACATAATATAACACTTGCTAAATTTATTGTAAAATTTCTGAAGCTAAACAATATATTTCAGTATTTCCACATGGACATCTACGTGAACCCCCTACCACCAGCCTGCAACGGATCTCCATTAATCATCCTCGAGACCTACACTATCAAGCCTCCCGGCTCTCCAGAACCCGAGCTACCTGACTTCCTGGAGGTGGAGCGGGAAATCACAAAAGACCCCAACTTCAGTATGTACGAACTTTCGAAACAAACGCAGAATGGATGTGGGCATAGCCATTAGATTTCGCATGATTATTTTATAGTACTCATAGCAAGTATTTTAATAGTACTAATAATTCATTTCCATAATATAATTTTTGTACGTCTTCATCGTCTAACTCAATATTTCCTAACAATTCGTATAGTTTTAAATAGTCTACAGTAGTCTTTAAGTTTGCTTGATTATTTTACTGTATCTTTAAGGTATTTTACAGAATTTCAATGTATTTTAAAACTTTTCTTGTTATTATACTCTACAGTACGTTAATGAAGTATACCTAAAAGTACTGTAAAGCAGTCTCACCCACTGTTTTCTTTGCTTGTCTCTTCGGTCTCTCACTGTTCTAACAATCTCTTTTTAGGTTAACAAACCCTGCACTTTACTGGTAACAATCTTGTTGTTGATTTCCTGTTAGTAAGAACTAAAAACGCTGAATATTCATATCAGACACGGACCAAAAACAATGTCTCTAAAGATTTGGAAGCAATAAATGAGGTCTAATTACATATCGGATTGATCAATTTTGTTATTGTAGCGGGGAAAATTAAATTAAAATGTGTTTATAGGTATAAAAATTAAGTTTTACAGTTTTATATTTTAAAAGAAATTTTGAAACTGAGACTAGACTAAAGTGTTGGGTAAGGCTTATTAAATTAAAAAGAAAGCTAGCTTTTTTTTAGAGTTTGCATTGTGAAAACTTTAGGCATGAATTTCGAACAGATCAAATTAATTTCTTCATTACAAAACAGTTTTATTTGTTTAAACTAGTTTTGTCAATCATTTTTTTGGTTTTTGACTACTTACCAAATAGTTTGTGAGTGTTTTAACTCAAGAAAACTTCATTTTCATTTTTTTACTTATCAATCAATCCACAAAACATCCTGCGCCTTCCAAAAGCAAAATGTAAAATTAGGGGAAAAGTCGATAGTTGCATTCCGCAACATCACAATGCCAGAATCGATTGGCGCCTTTTCTTCCCCTATCGCCCGACAGAGGGAAAAGGAGTGCGTCCGACTAGACAACCTTTTCCCTTTGTGATTAAAATCCGTCTTCTTTTTCACCCTGATTTCTGGCTCGTTTCGAAAGAATTTTCCAGATTTTTTGTTTTTAACGTTCGGTATTCGAATTTTGCTTTGCTAACGTGCTAATTTAACCCTCATGTCGAGGTTTCGTGCGTAGAATATTGAGTTTTTGTATTTTCAGGGTAAAGAATGGCTGATCGTCACTCTCAATACAAGAATCAGGGCAAAGATGCCGAGACGTTGAGGAAGTCACGTGCTGAGAATGCGATTTCGCTCAGGAAGGAGAAGAGGGAGGATATCTTGTCCAAAAGAAGAAATATTCCACAAGAGTAAGTGTCTGACCTTATTTTGTTGTATTTTAGGATTTTTGGGAATCGAAGACTGTTTTTTTGAGTTTTTGGTAACGTGAGTTTAATAGGTATAGGCATAAGTTGTTTTTTATCACAAAACTTTTAGAATTGATTAAATTTTGTTGAAGCTTATTAATTATAAGCAAGATTCTTTATTTATTAATTCTTTTGTTTACAATATAGCCAATCTTGTGTATTAGCATGAAAACTTAAATCTTTTTGGTTTTTGTGGGTTTTGTATATTAAATGTTTAATTAATGAGGAATTTTATCTTCTATTGTTTTAGAGATGATGCTGGAACCAGCAAGGATCTTACTCTTCAAGCACCATTTGACAGAGTTAGTTTGGACGAGATTGTTGCCAAGGCTCAATCTCCAGATATTGAGGTTCAGATGCAGGCCGTCACCCATGCCCGCAAGCTGTTGAGCTCTGACAGAAATCCTCCAATCGATGATCTGATCAGCAGCGGAATCCTTCCCATCTTGGTCAGGTGTTTGGGTTCTGAGAAGTGAGTTTTGGTTTTTTATCTTTTTTTAATTTAGGTTCTTTAATCGTGTAATTGCATAGTGAAAACTTAAAAAAAACCTTACAATAGGTTACAATCTTTATTATTAACTTTATATTTTGTTTTAGCTCCACCCTCCAATTCGAAGCTGCTTGGGCTTTGACTAACATCGCTTCTGGAACTTCTGAACAAACTAGAGCTGTTGTTCAAGCTGGAGCTGTCCCTCACTTCTTGGAATTGCTGACTTCTTCTAACATCAATGTCTGCGAACAAGCTGTATGGGCTCTTGGAAATATTATTGGTAAGTTTTGTTGATTTTTTGAAAATGTCTTAACAATTTTAATAGATATATAAATTCTCCATAAATATATATGGAAATGGAAGTTTTGTTGTTAAAGATAATTATCGTATTTTAGGTGATGGACCACACTTCCGTGACTACTGTATCGAATTGGGCATCGTAGAGCCACTTTTGCGCTTTGTAGTCCCGGATATTCCACTGAACTTCTTGAGAAATGTTACCTGGGTCATGGTTAACTTGTGTCGTTCTAAGGATCCTCCTCCAACTCGCAGCATTGTCGAAAGTCTTTTGCCAGCTTTGTCTCAACTGATCCATCACGAAGATACGAGCATCTTGGTTGATACTGTTTGGGCTTTGTCTTACTTGACTGATGGTGGAAACGACCAAATCCAAATGGTCATCGACAGCGGAGTAAGTGTTTTTACATCTCTTTATATTTTAGGAATTGATTACATTTTATCGAATTTGTTGTTTTTAAAAAAATACTGTTATTTTTCTAAATATTTTCGTTTAGGTTGTCCAACACCTTGTTCCTCTTCTCGGTCACCCAGAAGTCAAGGTCCAAACTGCTGCTTTGAGAGCCGTTGGCAACATTGTCACTGGAACAGACGACCAAACTCAATTGGTCTTGGATAATGGTGCTCTTCAGATGATGCCTTCTCTTCTGTCTCACGTCAAGGACAAGATCAACAAGGAAGCTGTATGGTTCTTGTCGAACATTACCGCTGGCAACGAACAACAAGTCCAGGCTGTCATCGATGCCAATCTGATGCCAATGATCATCCATTTGTTGGATCGCGGAGATTTCCAGACCCAAAAGGAAGCCGCTTGGGCTGTTTCGAACGTCACCATCTCTGGAAAGCCAGAACATGTTCTGTACATGGTCGATTGTGGAGTGATTGTGCCTTTCTGTAACTTGTTGGACGTCAGAGACACCCAAATTATCCAAGTTGTCTTGGACGGTCTGAACAACATCTTGAAGAAGAGTCAAGACAGATGCGAAGAGATTTGCCAGAAGATCGAGGAGTGCTCGGGCTTGGACAAGATCGAACATCTTCAGAACCACGACTCTCAGGATATCTACAAGATGGCCTACGAGATCATCGACGCCTTCTTCTCTCCAGTTGAGGAAGAGGAGTTGGCCATGCCTAACGACAACTTCCAGTTCGACAATACTCAACAGAACGTGCCTTCGGAAGGCTTTGCGTTCCATTAAAGCTATTTATGTAATATGTGAATGTTAGTGTGTGAGTGAGTGCGCAGGCCCCTTGCGAAGCGATTCAGCCCGCCCGCGTCCTTTCTTTCAAGACCCCGAGAAGCGGTGTCTTAGCCAGGCACAGTCCCCAAAAAGGCTTGTTTTTGTTTCAGCTCGCGCCCGGTCGAACTAGATCAACTGTTGACTATAGTTGATTGAAGTTTGAAAATGAAAAATCATTTTTACTGCTATCCCTGTTTTATTGCGATCTTGACCCTCGATCTTAATTATTTTGTTGAATTTTATATTATCTTTTCATGACTCATTTCGAGTAACTAAAATTTAATTTTGTTTTATGCTCAATCCTTAACTAAATTTGAAATTGTAATCCATCGCTTTCCTGAAGTCTAATTCTTCGAAGTCCAAATTGACGGTTTTTTGTATTCTGCGTCTCAATTCTCGGGTTCTTTCTTAAGTTATCTCTTCTCCTCATTTGTGTGTATTTGTGTAATTTGTGTGAGAGAATAAATATATGATTTATGTTTGTTATACCTTTTGTAGTATGGTAATATTGTCATTTTGAACATTATATTTGTGTTGATTTTGTATATTAAAGTCTTGCGAAAGAATTCGGAAGTTTTTCAAGTTTGTAATGAAATAAGGTAAAAATTTTTGCTTATTTTACTTTATTTAGCTTGGATGTATAAAATGGGGCAGAATGAATAAGATGGGCAGACTTATAATATGACGGCAACTTCTTTATCGATGAAACGTAAGTTAGACATTACCTTGTTTGGTTGCCAAGAAAATTTTCTGGTGGTTTTGTTTGCTGTTGTATCTAATGTCGTTGTTGGTAATTTTAAATTGTCTCTAGCTAGAAACGAATGTGCAGTTTCTAAACCGCGTTACTCTTTGAAAACGTTCTTTGTGGATTTTATAAAAATTTAAAATTTGAAAAACATGTGATTCCAAAAGGTTAACAGGAGGTTCGTCCGTAGAATGGATGAGGTCGAAACTCGGGAGAATAAAATTTTGGAAAAGTCAGCTGGACGAACGAGAGAATGGCGGTGGTCATTCCGAAGATGCCCTCGAGAAAATAATGTGGACAGCTGTCTTTTGAGTGACCGTTCTAGTCATTCTTTTCGGGACCTTAAACGGCTCAAGGGTACACGCAGTCGGCTTTACGCTTTCGTTTTGAGTTGACGGGAAAGGATTTGTCATACTTTTTGTTTTTTTAAGGCCAGTATTTATGCTTGTAATAGATTACTGGACTCTTTAAGATTGGTAAGTTAAATTTAAAGGTTGCTAGGGAAAGTGTTTCAATATATACTGTAGCTTTTTGTTAAATTTAACAAAAAAAATATGTAATAACATGAGGAGTATTAATTCTTGACCCTTGCAAAAGCTGTGTTACAACGCATTGGTTCTGATAGTAAATAAAAGAGTATTAAAAATAGCATGTTTACATGGAATATTACCATAGGCTGCAGAGGGACGTTCATACGAAATTAATTTGTTTTGTGGTCATCCGCTTCATTAATGTGATATTTTAGTGCCAACACGTATGATTATTGTTTTCCTCATAAGGAACGTCGTGCAAAACAATCTTCCGGTGGTCAGCCGAGGGGGGAGAGGGCGGGAGTGGTCAGCGGGGCTGTTCTCTTCTTCGAGAACGTGAAACGAACGAGAATCGCCCTTGAGTCGGGGGGCATCGCGGCCACATGGCCACGTACAAAAAACAGAAGGGCGGGCGGAAGCGGCGGCCGGCGATACGGGGACAGCTGTGTTCGGCGGCCATTCGGCTGGGGCGGGGGGTTCCGTTTGGAACGCGGGAGCACAGGCCAGAGGGTCGAAACGGCCGAAAGACGGCGGCCAGCCGAGGATCGGAGCCTGGCTCCGAATGGACCGCACTGCCACCGTTTCGAGCGACGTTCCACTCCACGGTCGTATCACACCGAGCATCTTGTGTCCGGCACGGCCATCACGTCCAAAGGACAGTCACTGCAGGGGTGGGCGCGGCACTGAGGCGTGTCTTCTGTTGGCACAAAACAACCGATTGGCATCTGCGTGACGTTCGGCTGGTCATTTGAGTTGTAGTTGGCGCTTCGACCGGTCAGTTGGACTGTAGCGTTATTTAATATTAGTGCAGGATTCGACTGGTCATTTGGGCGTATTAAGTTTTTTAGGATAGGTAGCTAGCCTTTACCATGCCTATTAAGGTATTCTCTAATGGCAACGCTTTCAAACTTGTTAACAGTACTTAAAACAAAGTCTAACACTTTACACTTTTGTTTATCGTTAGCGTCTGTTCTTCTGACGCTTCTTTTAGCCTTGGTTTCATCTGGGGTACCCTCCAACCTCCCATCGGGTAGCCTCTTAATTCTTGGCCCGATTTGCATCCAAAATTAGCATTCACGCAAAAATGGACAGCTGGGAGGGACGGAAAAGGGGCCGCAACTGTGTCCAAAACTGTAAACAAGTCGAGAGTGCGCGAATCCGGCATTTCGTGTTTTGCGGCGGCGTCGATCTGGGTCGTCGGGAACAGGCGCGCGGCCAAAACTGCCCGGCTGTCATCCATAAAGTCGCGCGCCATTCGCCGATCTCAACTGTCAGCCAGGGATCTTAAACTCCTTTATCCCGGCGGCTTCTTTACGGCCGAGGGTTCAGAGTGAGATTTACAGTATTTTTTACTTTTCTTGAGGTTTTAGGTTAGAAAAGTTTAAATTTAAACGTTTTATTTTATAGTAGTATAGTTTTAATAAGTACATTATTAATAACGTTATAGTTGAAATTCAGTGTTTAACACTATTTGAGTACGGTATGGACATTATTTTTAGAAACTTGGTCTTTTTGACACACTTGTACAGCTTGACCCTTTGAAGGTGACAGTTGTCCCAAAGGTTGTTTTTGTGACAAATTTTTATTATTTTCAATTACGACAAGCTTAGTGGTCATCGTGGACTTGTTTTCTGATTACAGAATTAAGGGCTTTAGTTGTGATTCATCTTCTCCTACTTTACTGTGAAATGGTTCGTTCGAAGCAACGTAACGTTGCCGGAAGATGAATGTTGGGTTTAAGTACTATTGTTTGAGAAGTTTTAAGTCAAGATGGACAATCTGAGTAAAGCTAAACAACTTTAAGTAGAGTTGCACAACTGAAAGTAGGGTTGAACATTGCTGATGGGATTAAACAGGTCTTTGTGCCTAATCCCGGCTTGTGGACATTGATATGTTCGGGTAACGCCGCAGGGTTTCGTGTCAGTTTCGGGACGTGAAAAGCCCGAAAAAGTTGGGCGTTGTGTCCCGCGGGATTAGGACTCATCAGAAGAACGGCGTGGAAAAACAAGGGACCGAATGGCACTACACATACAATTTCACAACACGGTGGTCATTACCATTTGCACTACGTGACCCGTTTCGTTTCGAAAGCGCTTAATGGGCACGAAATGGGATTAAGCCATTTGTTTTACGTGGAAAAAAGTTACTTAAAAATTGATGGAGTTTCACGGTACAAGTTGGCTTCGGTTTTGGGTTGGGACTGTGTAGAGGAGGTACTTTAAGGGGTAGATGGGGATGATAAAGAGGCTAGCTTCTCAACTTTTGTCTAAAAAGCTTTAGCAAGGTTTTTGACCTTATACAATACCAGTTTCTTACAGCACATTATGTCATAAACAGTGCAGCGTATTGAAGAACTACGCATCAGATGCTATAAATCTGCCCTAATGACAATGGCAAGAGATCACATGAGAGCACGGCTCTATTATAGGTTTTATGGCCGTTGCGTGTCTTTTGGCCTAATGGATGTACTGTTCTGTCAGATAAAGACGGGACAGGTTGGAGTCGATGCATTTGTCATGAATAGCGTGATGACGGCCTGAACTAATCGTTCTGCACCGTGCTCTTTAAGAGGACAATGTTTTTTGAGGTTATGCGGTCTGGAGCATGTTGTTGTTGATCTTCAATTTGATGTTAAGATTACTGTACTTGTTATAGGATTATACGTGTAGTAGTAATGGTGTAGGGCAATGTAATCTTCAGTGTAGGATAATGTAACCTTCTAGGTGTCTGTAAGATAAACTTTTCTCATCCAGCCGACTTGATTCAACCGGCTGAGGCGTCTTCAAGGACTGTCGATTTTGGCGCCGACCATGGGCCAAAAGTGGATAAGGCCAGATGCCGAGGTTTTTTGCGCGCACAGCTGCTAGTCCTCCTCCCTTTCCATGCAATGTACGTAGATGGGACTGTTGCGCAAGACATTACGTACAGATGTGTTATAGACTGACCCTTGTCCGAGGAATCGCGAGGGCAAAGGAAGTATCTAAGAGAATATTCTGCTCGCTTTGGATTATTCATTTTTTGGGTTTTGGAGACGTTTGGACGGCTATTTGATTTAGTTATGTAAAGTGATGGTTGTGTTGATTACTTGGTGATAAGTATTTTGGTAGGCGGGACAGAAATACTGTATTGAAACATTTTTTTATCTTTTCTTAGTAATTAGAAATACCATTTAAAAAATATTAAATTTTTTATGGTATCATCTCAGTTTAACTGTTTTATAGTACTCAAATTCACTTTAACATCAAGTTCAGATACTTTTAAGTCACGTCGCCGAATGTCTCGCGATGTTTAAGAATAGTTTTTATGCCCTTCGTGCAGACCCTGCATTCTTGATGGGTGTTTTTGTAGCGTGCTCTGTGAATCTCGTCATCTGTGGCCTTTACGTGAGGGTATTTTGGGACTTGCATTGTGAAATAGTATTTGCATCCCGAATTGGGTAACGGACTAAAGTTTCCGAATGTTGGTTGCATGACATTTCAGGCTGGAGTACTTTACTTGAACTAATGGTTTTTATGTTTCAGTGAGTTGTGAGATGTACTGAGCGTTAGGTTGATTTAGTTTTGGTGGTAACTATAGTTATTGTGAGATGAAGGGTGTTTGTTAGTATTTTATAAGTTTTGTGAGTTAGTATTGTTTATTTTAAATTTTTAAAAAATATTTTGAAATTACTCTGTGAGTTCAAAATTTCAAAAACTTTTTTTTCGTGCTACCACCGCATCAAAAACATTAAAAGTGGGAACGTGAAGGTCCCATAACTAAGCGACAACTCGCGTTTTCCAGCAGAAACAACGCCACCTTTTTATGGACTAGTCCAATTCGGTTTTTTGCCTACCGTACCAGAGAGCGTGCCGCGCCATTCTCCGCCGAAATCTGCGTTTTTTTTCCAAAAAAACGTCGTTAGCATGGCCTTCACCGTGACGCCTCCAATTTTGCGCGTTTTTTATGCCCGAGGTGGGGTGGCGACTCCAGCGACCGAAATTGGACTGGCGCCGTTTTTCATCGCTGCGGCCATTCGTTGGTCGCGTTTTTATGTCACACGCGTCCAGGAAAGAAGAAGGTCCATTCTCTGTCATTCCGTCCCCAAAACGGCGTTCCTGGCATCGGATTGTCACAAGTTTTTGTTTGTAGGGGTACTGTAGTTTACAATTTTTTGAATTTTTAAGTTGAACATACTTTATTAGGGATTGGCTTGCACTAAGAGTAAAATACCTGAATCTTTCTTAACATAATAGATGCATTATGCTTGCTTTCGGTTAATTCTTTATCATTATATGTAAGACTTCCTTCCTATGCCTTTTACAACATCTCCAACCTTATATGTTAGGATCTAATGTTTGTACTCTTAGCACTACTGTTTTTACTATTTCAAATTGTTTTTGTGGACAAAATCCGTTTGTAGAAATAGGATAAGTGACGCAAATATCATAACGGATGTTGTGAAAATATTATATTCAACATTAGGGGCAGAACGTGCAGAACAGCTCTAGATTATCATATAGTAACCTTATCATTATGTTTACTATGTAAGGCAGATGAAATAACTTGAGAGTATTAAAGATTACTTTGGTTTTATTTTTTAGTGTTCTAGTTACCTTTCGACCGATACTATGATTTTCCATTTACTTTCTGACCAAACTGAAGTAATATCAAAGAAAGGTTGGTCCAATATCTCAATATCAAAGCAAAGTTGGCCCAATATCTTCTCGTAGAACCTCTTGACGCTGTTGTCCGTCACAACAATACCATTATCACCTCCGACGTTTATTAATTTTGTTTTTTCGAATTTCAAATAAATGGCGCGTCGAAATTAACGCGCGATTTATTTTCGAACCGGGGGCAATTCTTCAGAGGTTCCAACGAATGTTTTGTGTCGCGTCTTTTTCAAAAATTGTTGACAACCAACCCATCAGATGAACGAGTTCGAAAAAAGAGCGACGAGGTCGTTCCGAGGCCAAACGCGCGATCTTCAGAACGGTGTAATTAAACGTGCCGTTCCCTCCAAAAACGAGCTACAGGACGGGCAGCCGGCAGGCAGGGATCATGCACCTGAGGGTATGGGTTTTTGAGGTGGTGGGATTAAATTTGGGATGATTATGGGTTGGGGTTCTAAGGGCTTTATTAGGTTTACAAGGTTTAGGGTAGTAATAAGTTTATTATACTACAGTGTATCAATTAATGGTTAATATTCTGCTTTATTTGTGCTTATCATCTGCTGTATTCAACCTTCTTACGTTAACATTAAGGCTACAATTATATTTTCTGATGGTCGCATGATTTCTACTGGAACACCTGACCTGCTACAGTACTTTTGTCTTCCTCTGTGATAGTCATCCTTGTCAAAACTGATCGCCGAATAAGAGGCTGCCACTTAATCCGGAGCAATCCGAAACATTTGAAGCTTGAACCCATTGTTTACCGTCCCTCTCACTGTGAAATCTCGTACTCTCGATTTTTTTCGAAAAGAACTTTCTCTTCCTTCACAAAACGTGCACGAGATAGCGGTCATTCGTGTTTGTAAAGCGCCGGAGGGCAGGTGAGTTGAAAAGAGAGTCTGTTTTTTTGAGAGAAAGTTTTTCGAGACTGACCGCTGTTTGTTTTGTTCTGACCCCGCGACGACGTTAAGGAGAGGCCCCTGAGGGCGCGATCGTGTCGCACTCCAAAAATAACCGCTCCCCCCAAAAAACAGACACTGCGGTTGTTGCCTGAGGGGGGCGGGGCCGGCGAACCGCTGGTCACGCTCGGGGCCAGCGTTTTTGTTTGTTTCAGTCGCCGCGGTACCCGCCTGGAACGTCAAAAAAAAGAGTCGAGAGCGCCGCCGACCTCTGGCCTCTCGTGCGCGACCCACTGACCGCGACGTTTCGATCGTCTTCAGGTGAAGAAGTTTTTTTTATTCCAGTGACCGCTCAGCGGGACGTCGTTCATTTTGCGCAATATTTTTTTAATCATTCGAAGCCAAACAGTTTTGCATTGGACAGCTTAGTAAGAATTCGGTTAATTTATAATATAATTTGGCAAAGAATTTTGAATTTTTGAAATGTTTTTCAAATTTTTAAAAACCAACTTTCGATATTTAATTTAACAATTTTCAAACTGACAGTTTTTTCGGCACAAAATGAGCGAAAACCAAAGGAAAAAACTTTTACCCCAAAAACTAGTTGATCTGTTACCAGTAAAACAATCTGAAATTCGAAATTTGTTTTCCAAATCTAAAAATAGCGGGTACCCTTAGGGATACAGTGTCTGTCCTCGAGAGCCGAAATAGTCACGAGCAGATGGTCGGCGGCCTTCTGTCGCTCTCGAAGTTAATGGCAGAGTCGCACGATGTGCCAGATCCCGCCTTCGACCATTCGAGTCCACGTTGAGGTTACTCATCGTGATGACTACCCCTTGCCGTTTTCGCTGCCACTATTATTGTGCCCCTGCCGTTTTTCTGGGATCGGGTCCAGAAGTCGGCAACAGATGCCTTCCATTCGACGCGTCTTTTCTACCGATTGGCGCGACGTCTGCTCGGCTGTGGCGATTTTGGCACTGTGGTTTGCGTAATCGCGTTTTTTGCACGCGCTGGCCGTTTGTCTTCGTGTAGAAGGGGCACTCGGGTCCCTCCGTCTAATGCATAAGGTTACCCAACTGGTCAATTTGATTTTTCTTCCGAGGTTACATGAAGTTACAGTAGATTTGAATTTTAATGATTATCTCATTGAAACATGTCATACTTAGTGTTACGTATATAAGTCATTTTTATTTGGTATTTTGAATTTTGTAACACCTCATGGTTAATATCATTCTGCCACCACCTTACAGTTAATATAATCTTAAGATCAACTTATAAGTAATATACCCTTAAGATCACCTTGCAGTAGCTTGAACTTTATTTCGGTTGTTTTCGAGCGATGATGGGTGGAACAGCGCCGGTGATAAGGCACGGTGATTGTGTGAATCCGAACGCTTCTTCGTGGTTCCTTTCTTCTTCTTCCGCTGACACGTTGAGATGTTGTCGCGCGAGCGTTCCATCACGCTCCGAGTGCGGCAATGCACGGTCGGATGCGTGACCTCATTCCTTTTCGCGCGTCATGTTCTACAGCGCACTCTTCTCCCCCCCCACCTGTCTTTTTGACTCTCCCCCTACCCCCCCCATCCGAAAAAGTTTTTGGAAACCCGTGCACGGTGCGGTGATGCGCGGCGTGATGGGGTCAATCCTTGGAAAAAACATTCGGCGACAACGTCGCCCCAGATTCGGGATGGAATGGGCGCTTGAATGGGTCGTTTCGCTCTGCTTTCCGTCTTCTGGACCTAAGGGCATGTAGGTCAGAACGGTGGAGATGGGCAGATTCCGTTCGGCTTTGTAGCGATCTGTTACCGACTTTCGTGGTAATTTTAAGATACTGCGTCCCATTTTGATAACGTGTGGAAGGGTTTGCATGATTTTGACGGATTCTTGCGGTTACGTGTAGGATTCGATAATTTTGGAGGATTTTTGGGGTTACGGTACGTTAGTTTATTTTTTTTTTCTTTACTTAATTGATGTAAGGATGATTTGTAGAGTCATAAAACAAAAAATTTTTTGCTTTTTTTATGAAAAGTTTTTTAAAAAGTGCCTTCTATGTTATCACTTGATCTTTTATGTAACGCTTTATGTAATTTAGAACCAATTTGAAGAAACAGTTTTTTGTCATCAAAACTGTAACTTTGTTGATTTTAATATCATCTGAACCCTTATTCTAATCATCTAAATCTGCTGATCTCAAACTTCTCCAATAGTCCATATTAATCATCACAGTCTTTACAACTTTTCTCGGATCGAAGCGATTTCGTAATAATTTCTATAAAAACCGACTGGACATTAGCCTCGAGCCGGTCGTGACCTCACCTTTCGAGTATCCCTGAGGCCACGTCGTTTTTTCGTCACGCTTGTCGCGTCGCGTGGTGGCGGTCCGCGCCTTCCCCTCCACTATTCTGAGGTCGCGTCACTTTCTGTGTCAGAGTTCGTCAGACTTTTTTTGGCGGGCGACTCGGTGAGAGGCAGTGAAAGCGGGCGGCGACCCGCGACACCGACCGAAAAAACCGAAAGCGACGCAATCGACCGCAACGTGAGACGAAGAGTGCACGGTCGAGAGTGGAGCCAGACGGGCAGACACTCGGCTGGGCATTGGTCACTCGTTTACCGTTCGCGCGCCTGTTTTTTGGGAAAAACTTTTCGTGGAACTGGGTGGCAGGGAGAAACACTTGACTTGTTATCACTTTTACGAATTTTGTTACGGATGTGGGCATTGCGCAACGGTTTTTATGGGCGGGTTTTGGCATTTCCCACAATTTCACGTGAACTTTCTCAAGAATTTTTACGTGTTTTTTTTTAAATTGACTATTTTCGGTTTTTGCACTTTAAAAATTGAATATTTATAATTTTTTAAAAATTTTTACAATTTTACTTTTTCTTACACGTTCTTTTTTTGTTTCAAAACGTATAATAAAAGTTTCCGAATAATTTTTCCACTTTTTCTTTAATTTTGCGTGAATTAAGTTATTCTCCCATCATTAATATTACGCTCCTTTAGCTTCATGTTGGACAACATGACTGCCGACCCCGAAGTGTTGTCAGAGCCGCAACAAGCACCATCAGAGTCATCGTCGGCCGCTTCTTTGTCGCCTCCAAATCAGTTTGCCTTCAGCCTTCAGTGTAACAACGAGAAGCTCAACGAAGTCAAAGTCTTCAACGACCCGAAGCCTTTCGAATTGAAGAACGAGTCTTCTGACTCTGCTGAAGTCCCGGCTGACACTCCACTCGACGCTCCAATTCATGAAGTCAGATGTGGCACGTTGAATGCCAAGCTACACATGCAACGCTTCACGTGTCCGGGGATCCACAGACGTTGTATCGAGTTCAATGGCGTCATGATAACTCCACGTGAATTCACGATCAAAGCCGAGAAGGACAAGCAGAAGGACTGGAAAGGCTCCATCAGGTTCGGCCGCTACAATCTGAGGACGATGATGGAGACAAAAGGACTCGACTTCTACCACCACGATACAAATTGTAGCCTGAAGTGCCAGAGTCGCAATTACATCAAGAATCGCAAGTCAGAAGCATTGGAGAACGGATTCTCGCTTTTGGATTCTATGGTTTCGAGTGCGGAAAGCCGTACCAGCTCCAACAATGGCGATCATAACGATGAAAATGGGTAGGTTAATGCTTTGGTATGACTTTCAATGTCTTCTTGAAAATGAAAGTCGTACCTTTCTTTTGTAGTCATATGGTTTTTTAGAAACAAAGTATGTAAAAATGTTAAAGTAAATCAAGTTTTGTACTAAAGATGTAGGCATTTCAGTGATCTCCTCAGAAAACGATCTTCTGTCCTGGACGACTATGTTACCCAAACCATCCAGTCCTTCAGCAATGGATCCCTGTCTCGGCTGATGAAAGAAGATGTCCCCCTAAAACAAGAAGATAACTTCTCCTTCCCCAACACCAACTCCACCACAACTTCGGTCTCTTCCCCTCCAAACCCACAACTTCTGCAACAAGAGTTCACACAGCAACAACCAGAAGCCAACCTTCTTCTCCATCAACTCCTAGAACAACAAAAACTCGTCCAACAACAACCACAACCTCAGCAACAACTCTTGCAATCTTTGATGCAAACTATTCAGAAGTCACAGAATCCTCAAGATACGAATGCATTGTTGCAGATGGCAGCTGTAGCGCTTCAGATGAACAACCAGCAACATCAGATGCAACAACAACAACTTCAGCAAGGCAACTTCAACATTCTGGAGCACTGTCTTCTGAATCAGGGCATCAACCAGCTGAACAACAATGCCTCTGCCTTTCCGTTGCTACAACAGACCCAGCTACCGTACCTGAACGAGAACACCTTCAGTGTCTCGGCCATCAAGAAGGTGATGGAAGAGGAGCCACAGTTGTTCTGGTCGAGAATGAAGGACCTGGGATGTCTTGATGATATGCTGGACTCAATTACCGTAGCTGTTGACAGGCTCCGCTCTCTCTACAGTAAACGAGAGTCTACCAGTGGCGAGGAAGAGTTCGGTATGTAACTGATCTTGTTACTTTTATTGTTTTGGTCAAATCTTTTGGGTAATTCTATCAGACCTTACGTTTTTTGATGGGGATGGTGAGGTGCCATTAACCTCATTGTAACTGTGTTTCTTTCAGCAGCTCGCAGACTATCAGGTATGGCTAACCTCCTTGATCTTGGGGGTGTATTTGGCGAAAAATTACAAGCCAAGTTCATGCAGTCGGCTTTCGAATCCCCGATTATGAGCAAAGATATGCAAGGTAAGCTCAAGTTTTAGTAAGCTTGACTTTTCTACAGTTCAGTAACATAGTAACTAGACTAATATCAAATAATCTCTTTTCTATTTTTATTAACCTATTAGTTTCAGTAACCCTCGCTTTACAACAGCTAGCCAAACGCCGCTCCCAGTCGTTCGAAGAGCTGAAGCCGGACTTGAAGAAGATGCGGATGGTCTAAAATGGGCAGCTGGTATTGACCACTAAAATAAGGTACCATCCCATAACGTCCTGGTACCATCACCTAAGACAAGGTCCTGGTGCTGCTACAACCCATCTGTTACTCTCGACGGGTCCTGTTTAGAATATTGTTGCTTTCGCTACCCGCTCCGTCCTTTCACCTAGTCCAATCACACGATCTTCCATTTATTTATTGACCGCTTTTGTTCGACGATCTCATCCCTTTAAGGAAACACTCCCCTCGTAGCATTTGCAATGCTGGAACGGCATTCCCCTGTTCTGGGCATACAATGAAAACTGTTCAATCTCACATCTCCAGAAAACTTTATATTCACATGCCCGAAGTGCCTTTCAACTTGTTTTAGGTTTGCACCCTTTTCATGGGATTCATCGTGTTAACGAGCCTTATCCTTTTGGTCTAAAATAAATTAAAGTTTTTGTTTATTAAACGCTCGTTAATGTTTTGAAACCCCTTAATATTACTTTGTTATCTCCCGTCCGCCCTCCCCACTACCTACTTTAAACATTGTACTGCCTTTTGTATATAACGATGTAAATCGGTAATATATTGTCTTATTTAATTGCAATTTTGTTAATATAAAACGCCTTAAAACATAATTATAATAATATTCATAGTTGGATGAAACTGTTTTAGTTGGTAATAAAATTTAAAAACCTGAATACTTGAGGGAAAAAAAGTGAAAGACTTGCTTGTGTGTTAGGAAAGTATAAAAAAACATGAAGTAGCAAGCGATCGCGGGGGAATCTGCACGGTGCAATGAGTTGCAATTTTCTCAGAGATTGCACCGTGCAGGCCACTCATTCTTTTCCGAAAAGACTGATAATTCTCGAAAAAACATTTCAAGCTGTTTAACGTTTAAGCTAACCGACTACCTTCTTTAAAATAAATTTTAAATTCCATGGAAATACAGCCCCGCCTTTCTGCTTTCAAATTCTTCAATATTTCCAGTTTATCAGTTGCATTATAACCTGACATTAAAAGGTAAAAGAATTTTGACAGCAACACAGCAACTCCGCTTCTGCCGACTCCGTCGTCACAGTGAACTACAATCGGTAATACGAACGATTTATATCAATAGAACTTTAATTTCAAACTTACGGACATAACGTTACAATTAAAGATTTTCACTATATATAAATCATGTCAACCGTTCTCGTAAAAACAGTATATTTCAAACATTTCAACAAGACGCAGTAATTTAACAAAATTTAGACCTAATATAGCTTAATCAATTGTAATATTAGTTTTCCTTCCCAACAAACTCCTCTTGTCGTATGTCATAGTCGACGAAAGTCCTTTCCAGGTTGTAAAACTTGCCAAAAGCTCCAATGTCCAAAAAGTTGTCAGTAAATCGCTGCCAAAACCATTTCTTCAAATTTGAATCTTGCGACACTGGGCTGAATACCTGTAAATTTGAAGTTAAATACGAATTAAAGGCTTTTTATAATACAATGTTCCAAGATATGAGTCTCTAAACTAAATTTTAACGTTTTTTTGGATATTATAGCAGCGTGTGACAACAATATATACACATTTTTAAAATAATATAAGCGTATTTTACCCGTCGATCGAACTCTCGTCTAATAAGTAATGAGAAGAACCAACAATCATATAAATCTAGCCTTTCCGAGTTCAATAGATCCGTATAGAGATGAAGTGAAGCATCTGTAACAAAACACTTTAAACTACAAGAAACATCATATTAAAGCCTTATTATAAATCCCGAAGTATGACAAAAACTATAAAACCCTCTGCATCTCTCAAACCTTAATACCCAAAAAGCAATAAAACCCCAATATCTCAGTTTCAATGAAGTTAAAACACAAGTCGAGTTTAACCTTAACCCTCTTACCAACCTACCTGCTGTACTACTGTGTATCGCCAATGGTAGTAGTGTCATCTGTTGTCTTAGGCTTACCAACTTCTCGTCCAGCTCATTTTGTAGCGGCCTTGTTCGGTTTGCGTATCCTAAGAATGCTATAAAAGCACCAACTGCTGATGTTCTAACTGGTCGTTTCACGGAATCTTGAGCTGTTTCCACAATTACTGTCCTATAATCATGCGCTAAGGTCTTTACATATTCGACCAGTCGGTCTGCGCCTCTTTTGAAAAGATTCGGCTTAGCTGCTACCGATGCCATTCTGAAGATATAAGTCCTTTAATTGTAGTACTATTCTAGATAAAACTTAATATTAGTTTATAACGTTACATGTCATTTAATAATCAATAAAGTCTACAAGATAGAAATTATAAATTTCTTTGAAGGTATTATTATCGATAATATAACAAAATACTTGCACGAAACAGCTGGGTTAATCAAATTTATTGATACATTACACTAGATTCACAAACGGAATGATTCTAATATTACAATACTACCGTAACTATCACATTATTGACTTATTCCTTCTTCTTTTTCTTGTCGTCAACGTTCCAGTAGATGACCAATTGAGCAACCAAGATGAAGTTGAGTGTTGTAGCTACCACGTAAGATATAATTACCAAGTTATCTCCGGTTTCTTGAATTGAGGTAAAGATTCTGGCTACACAACCCAAGAAAGCTAACGTTACAGAGATCGGAGACAATTGCCCAGTCGATCCTTGTTTGTAGTTTGTCCAGATTTGAATTCCCTAAACAAAGAGTAATAATAATAATGTATATTAATACTATATTTCTTTTTATTCTTTCTCAACATTTACTCTTTACAATATCCCGTTTGCAAACGTGTTTGTTTACCAAAATACTCTGTTCTGACACTGACTAACCAAGACAGAAAACTAGGTAATATATAACAAATTACCTTGGAAGCTGTGATAATAGGAATCGTCGAAGACTGCAGCAATACCAAAACTTTCATCGGTACATGATGATACATGACAGCAGTTGTCAACATCCAAGTAACAGCCATAAAAGAGAACGCACTCGGTGTGTTTCCATTGTAGTGTAATATCTGCATGATTATGATAGCTGTTTGCACGAAAACAGCTAAAGAATCTCCCCATTGACTAAAAATTAACAGATTAGAGCTCAATAACACAAAATACCAAATAATATGTCAAAAGCTATTAAAATTTAGGCGTCATGTAAAACAAAAAAGTTTACAAAAAGATGTGTTGTCTAAAAATAATTTAAATCAACAAAAACCGCAACACACCTAAAAGCAAATCCTTTTTCGTAACTGTATCCAGCTGTAGAACCAGCAGCTACTAATGCCAGAGCTTGTGCGATCAAAGAGATACCCGCTCCAGACTTATTGCTCTTGATCTTCAAGATTTGAGGTACCAAAATACCCAATGAACCGGCGGTCAAAGCAAATCCAAGACATCTACTGAACACAGCAGGCAAGCACTCCTCTAAAAACAAATAATCAAACGATATTACACTTACTATTCAAGAAGTCCATCTCTACAATCATTGTGTCGAAGCAGTTCTTGGGAAATATCTGCTGGATGGCTGATTGCAATATCTCTTTGGCCGCCATTATTACCTGTAACAATATTTATATTCAACAAAAATATATTACTCTATAAATGATATTGAATAACCTTTGAACAAAAAACACCGCGCAAAACAATATTATACCGCGGTATACCGGTATAGCATACCTCAATTACCACAAGAATCCCAAAATAAAAGCACAAGAGTGTACTTAAATCAATATATTTATCTGATGTTCCCCTAGTTTATTTCAATCACAAAAAGTATTGATGATACAGCTAGACGACGGTTTAAAACTGATAAATAACAAAGTGCATCAAGATGGAAGCGAAGAGTCGACGCCAAACAAGAAAAACGCAACACTTGACTCAAAGTCCAGAAAATTTTATGTAAAACATTTGAATTGAATTTCGGTAATAGAACAAAAGGAGGACTAAAAGATGTCCACTAAAGAATATACTAAAATTTTATGCATAACAAAAAACATCGAACCAAACAAACTTATACCGGTATGGCACACCTCAACTACTACAAGAATCCCCAAAACCAAAGCACAGAATCCACTTAAAACAAGGTTCGCTCAAGAATCGAAAATGGCTCAGACAGGGGTGTTCAAAAAAGCTCAAACTATTTTAAAAACGTTTAATTTTTAACAAAAGGTAGTACTCGGGCATAGAAACGCGAAAATACAAAAAAAGCTTTGAAAAATTTTTAAAGCTTGGAAATTAAATAATATGCATTGGCTTTTGGTAAGTGACCTATACAAAGACGTCTCTGCTGATTTTCTATGCTGAAGGGGTAGGTTGAAAGAAATTTTTTCGTCCACAGGTCCCCCTACCTGTGGCCCAATTTTTCAAAAATTTTTTTTTGTTTTTTTTGCGTACAGGTCTTGTATAAGTCACTTACCAAAAGCCAAGGCATATTATTTAATTTCCAAGTTTTAAAAATTTTTTAAAATTTAAATTTTAAAAAAATTATTTTTTTTTAAATTTCAAATTCCCTAAGGCAATATAAAGGAAATTGTTTGTAAACACTTATAAAACTTGCAATATGTGCCATGCACCTTTTTTAATCATTTTGAACCAAATTACATCCAAATCCTATGCTAAATAACCTTAGGGTGCCAACTTTGAAAATTCGCAGCAGGCCCCGCTGGGATGACCCAAACTTAGTGTCAGTAGAACCGCAATAGTATGTAGTTTCATTATCCGTTGTCAAAAGTTTGTTACACCATGGCTTTTTTTTGAGAAATTTTAAATTTTTTAAAATTTTAATCATTTTTTTGCAAACTTTAATTTTTTTCAATGCCTTCCGGGCATAATAAAAAAAAGTTGTTAACAGATAAAATGATTGTCTTATAGTACCAAACAATTTAAAAGAATTCCCATTCCATTCTGACATTTAGTACAATAGTTACAAAAAAAGTGTAAATCCTACCGTACTCCTACCGTAACCTGAATTTCAAAACTTTTTTTGTATTTTTGCGTTTCTATGCCCGAGTACTACCTTTTGTTAAAAAATGAACGTTTTTAAAATAGTTTGAGCTTTTTTGAACACCCCATGTTTGATTCTTGGGCGAACCTTGTTTTAAATCTTTAAATTTATTTGATTTAGACTAGTTTACTTCACAACAAATCACAAAAAAATATTAGTGATAGCATTAGACGAAGGTTTAAAACCGGAAAAAGACAAAATACATTTACTTTAGGTAACAATTATAAAAACATCACAAATTGATCTAAAAATACAAAAATATAATATACACAAGATCACGAGGCAGTTTAGAGCAACATATATTAAGTGAAAAACGACAAAATAACAGAATGCATCAAGATGGCACGGTACAAAACCAGAAATTAAAGAAATAACTCGACAAAAGATTTTTCCAAAGCAAAAAAGTTGACACTAAACGAGAGAAATGCAAGACTTGACCCAAAGTTCCAGAAAAGGTAATGTAAAACATTTGAATTGAATTCTGGTAACTAAATACAACTAGGACTAAAAGGTGTTAACTAAACAATATATTAAACTTTCATTCATAAGAACCAGAAGTCAAGCACTTCAAAGACCAAAAACTTAAAATGGCACAATTTCGGGAAAAGGCTTTTTGCATAATAAATTTAATTCTAGTGGCCCAGGCCAACTTTATAAGAGACCAAAATAAGAGTTTAGCTTAGCATTAGATTAGGTTTAGATGGCTCCAGCACTGACCACGTTGAACACTTCGAGTTCGTCGATCTCGAAGGAGGTATCGTTGACGAGGGCTGCACTTCCGAAGGTTTCGCAAGGGTAACTGAGGCCTTGGGTAAGCTCGTCTCTGATCGCAATCGCATCACCACCTCCGGAGCCAATCTGAAAACGTAAGTTTTAATTTATGTTGATTAAACCTATTGAAGAATGAAGATGTGACATATTTTTTGGACGAAACCAAACTTTTCTTACATTAGCTTTTTTTCAATATTTTCAACGACTTTCAATGCCTAAAACCTTGCAAAGAACTTACGATTAAGAACTTGTCACCAGCAGTCATAAACATTTGAGGGCATTGGTCGGGTTGTTCATGGTTTCGACCGACCCAAGGGTAGATGGTGGGGAAGAGTTGGTCCTTGGGCTGTTTGAATACAAAAGATTCTCCAGTTCCAAAGTATCGTGTTCTAGCACGCTCCCTCACATCGCGTCGTTCTACCCAGCACGCTGAACAATAGGCTCCGAAGATTTCTCCAGTTGTGGCACGAATGACCAGAAGAGATTGCTCAGCTTCGTCGATTCTGAATTTAAAGAATAGTTAAATTACGAATAAAAAACTTATTTTATTCAGATATCAAATTTAAAATTTTACATAGAATTATAAAACGCGACTTACTGTGCCCACAACTGCGTGAAAGAAGCTCCATGTTCTGATAATCTGAACAAAAGCACAGGCGTCTCCAACTGATACCGGCTAGGGAAAGCGGCCATGAGATCTTGAGCTGAGTCGGCATCGATAATATTACTCTTGAAGGGTGCTGTGTACGGGTTTCTCAAGGCCGAGATCCTGGTGGTTGAGGGCTTCTCGAGACGCCGGCGATGGACTTCCTCGCGGTACTGCAAGTCATAATAGTTAGTCGTCAGATTGTAGACGTGAGTGAATTTCTGTTTGGCGTTAAATAACTTGGTATTTACCGTGTCCATGTTGATCAACGGCATGTTTCACCAAAATCGACCGTTTGAACTTTTGAAAAGCGAAGAAATTGGAAAAAAAGAAAAAATAATTCAAAAGAAATTGTGGCAATTCGCCGTGGCATCGATTTTTTGGACTTACATTTCGTTCGAAAAGTGAATTTTCTATTTGAATAAACTTCAACAAAATTTGCGAAAAAATTTTAAACTCTTGTTTCAAAATAAATAACTTTACAAAACCAGCCTTCAGATGCTCACCTTGTCCTCATAGTGCTTCTGCAAGTGCTCGAAAGTCGAATGTTTAAAGTTTCTGATGGCAAACCCCATGTCCAGCAAGGTTTGCGCACTGACGGGACAATTCTGTGCCAACACCGAGATTTGTTCCGCGATCTCCTGAATCCGCTCTTCTGGAGTTTGGCCGCCCGAGGCTGTAGCCGCTGATCGGACACGTTGTTTATACCAGAGATATACCAACGAGATAGCGACACGAAGTAACATTTTATGCCCTGCAACCACACTTTGTTTTTAATTTCACGCTACAATTGCTACTGGATTCTGGATTTGGGTCTTTGGCGTCTCTTCAAATCACGTTTGTTTTCGTAACTTCAAAATTTACTCTGTAGTCACACAAGACTACCTTTTCTATGCTTTTATGTCTAACATCCTTTCTATACTGCCATTTTAACCACCTCTTTCTATGCTCTATATCTATGTAAACCATCTTTCTCTTTTAGCTTCCATAAACTTGGAAACTCCACCTTATCCATGGTTTACATGGATGACTTCCTCTCTCACAGTTTTGTATCAATTTGTTTGGCATGACCTTGATATGTGCTTACCTTCAACCAGAAAACAGTCGACGACTCTGACCAGGTAGTCAAATGGCAGGTGTTTGAAGATCCACGCCGACCAGGGCTGGAACACTTCGGCCAGCTTGAAGTCCTCGTTTGTACCACATCGTCGTTTTAGGAATGTGTACGCTGATTTCTGAAGGATTCAGAATTTAAAAAAATATTAAAAATTTTTGTTCAGAGTACCATTAAAAATGCCATAAAAATCAAATAAAATAGTTTTAAACTTAAATAGACAAAAATACAAAAGTGAGTTAAGATACATTAATATTACCCTGTGTTTCTTCAGTAAAGCCAACAAAGTGTGTTGAGAAGCGAAAAGGGAGACATCTGACTGGATCAGAAAGTTGTTTCCAGTCCCTAGGAATCTGATTACGGTAGAGAAGGTTTCTTCCGCCGACATGTAATGCAGTAGAATGGCACACAACGGGTACAGAATCTAAAATTACATCAATTAAATTTTTAGACCTTATATTAAGCTTTAAGCTAGGCTTCCACAAGTTAAAAACAAATTGAATAAATTTTTAAAAATCAGCTGTAAAAAACATTATATAATGATAAAAAGCCTGTCACTATCAGAAGGAGTCTGTCATTCTCAAACTAAGTCTACACATAAAGCCTTGCTGGCTTTCTAAAGACTTTTTGACCGCACAGTAAATACAAAATTAAAAATGACAATAAATGAGAATCAGATTCTAGGCATATATGTTGATATCGCTTCCGGGAGTGATAACAACCTTGATACAACAATAAAGTTATCATCAGTCTCAAGGTGGGAGTGGGTGTAAAAAACACAAAAAAGTTTTCGGATGACGTTATGCTGCCTTAAGTCTTGGTAAAATATAGTTTACTTTATCAAATCATTCAATAATATTTTAAGTTATATATATTGATAAACGAAACTTTGAGTTTTATGCCCTAGAGGCTTTATTTTAGGCTTGTAGGAAATTATGCCTCAAAACTCAAAGTTAATCCCTACCAAAGATTGTTTCATAAGCCTTAAACACCTGATTAAGGTCAGAGCAACAAAAACAAGAGCAATTGAGGTGCAATTGCATAAATCATTAGTCATTGTTATTCATGTTTCGACGAAAGACCACTCCTTACAAGTCATCTTAGCAACTTTTTGGTTTTATCAACAATAAAGTGTTACAGTTTTTCTTGTAGCAAACAAAAACCAATGTGCTGTAAGTTTGTGTTGTATAAAATAATCGGCCACACAGTTTTGTATAAAAGTTTTCCTGTATTTTTTGACCAGAATGACCACTATAACCATTACTCTTGTTATTCTAGTCTACTGCTATCACAAAACGACTCTTCACGTCAAAGAAGAAAACAAAGTACCATCTTTTCCTAATCAAAAGAATCACCTCTTCCTAACCAATTGTACCCTAAAGCCGCTTAAACTTAATTTATGCAAAAAAACTGTGCAAAGTTCGTCGCTAGGTCTGTTCGAGGCTTATAAAAAGAGTTTCGTTGAAACCACTGATAGGCTTAATCACTTTTGTTTACACTACAGATAACTTTCCTTAATCTCTGAGTGTACCTTTTATCTATTTACTTTTTACACCTAATTTGTTTTTGTAGTTCATAAGTTTAAACTAAAAGGTCAAGATTGTACGAATTAAAAAACATTTTTAAATAAAAAACGTCCAATTTGAAAAATAGGATTTGAAAGAGATTACTATAAAAATACAGAAATTAATATTTTAGAACTAGTTTTACAGAATAATCCTGCCATGAAACAATATATTGATTAAAAATTGCAATAAAACACAAAAAAAAACAAAAATGCGATGTTTCAACTTGCATTTATAAAAAATTCCAACTATAATATACTGTAAGATAATCTAAAACCACGTTTTTTATACTGTAAACCTTCTAAAAACTACAATTCGTTAGCCCCTCATCCGATCGAAATCGAGAAATAATCGAAAAAGTAAATAAAAACTGATCCGAATTCAAAAATAACGCAAATACTTCTTGTAGGCTAATGTGATCAATCATAATCTAGATCACAGTACTCCTCCCACCACTCATTTAAATTATTCAGAAGTTAATGGATTCTCGAAATTTCAAACAATGAAACGTCATTGTGTCATTCTCGAAGGTAAACATGTTAATCATATGCAAAATATCTTGCAAAAACATACTTAACGTTAAAAAAAATCTTGAATCAACTTTGCAACATATCTTTCAGAATAGAAATTAGAGATCAAAAAGTAAGAAATCTAATGCTAATCAGCATTTACCGTAAGTACAACAGTAATCGTAAGATATGCTTCATATTACTAAAAACCCAGAAAAGATGTCGAAAATCGCACATAGTAAACCTTCATTTGAACCTTCTTTAAGCCTGGTTTAAAATACCAACTCAAACCATAAGTAAAAAAAATTTAAAACTTACAGGAACATATCTGAGTTCAGGTCGAATGCACTCGACCACGATTAATACCCTTTGTAAAGCTACAGACCCAAGTTGCTTGAGGCTATGATCATCTACCACAATACCATCCATCGACAGAAAGCTGGGCTGAATTGTCTTCACTAAAAAACATTATCTACTTTCCTATTGTTGTATAATATTGATTTAAATGTTTCAGATCTTGTTAAAAGTTTTGTCACGTTCATGTACTTATAGGTATACCTAACGTACTGTAGTTCAAGTTTTTACTATTCTCTTATCAGTACAGTCAATTTCTAAGGATGTCTGCATGCATATAATTTAAAATTTTAGTTAAATGTCATATCGTACAAACAATAATAACAACATATTGTGTACGAATGACATTTCCAAACAGATCTTTGTTCAAAATTTGTGAAATTCATAACTCAAAACTATACCTCCACTTTTCATCAACTCGTTCAGCTGTTGTTCATACAAAGCCTTGTTGGTCTCGAAATCCTTGTAATTGCACAGTACTCGCCATAGGTCAGATCGTATCTCATGTGTTACAGGCCAGTCATTGTGTCGCACAAACTTTTTGACCTAAAAACTTATAATTAAGCTTCAACTTTGAACAGAATAATAATATTGTGTTTATAATCCTTATATTAAACTTTTTAGAACAATTTTCGTTTTATAACCGTTTAGCTAACCAAAAAAGGAAGTTAATATAAGTAACCTAAGATAATATTACATTTTCGAGCAATTTCTGGGCATTTCGGAGGTTCGGCTCTTGAATGAAACTCTCGGCCTTAAACAGTTTGGCCAAGCGATTCACTAGTTCTTTGTCGGTAGCAGACAACAGAGATTCTGAACAGCTCAGACTTCTGGTTTCCGAGTCGTTCTCATCAACAACTTCCAGCCTATCGTCTTCTAGATGGTGCTGAGAAGACAACGATGACTCCAGATATCCAGAATCAATAGACGCTGACCGTGCTTTGCCTCTTATCTCAGTACTGGAAGCATTCGAACTTGGACTAGACTGGCCACAATCTGAACTCGTATATTGAGTAGACTCGTTGATAATCAACATGCTCATGCTGGTCATGTTTTCTTCAAAAATGTTTTCCGTCGATGAATTCTTGGAGCTTGTAGTTAAATCATCAGCAAAGGCTGAATCGTTGGACTGCACGCTGAATGGTTGTCGATTCAGACGTTTGTACGATCTTTCGAACTGAAACCCGACTTCTTGATGTTCTCTGACAGGACTGACAGAGGCTAGTTCATGCTTATCTAGTCTGTCGACATCACTTTGATATTCAGTCGATAAACGAAAGAAGGCTTGACCATCCGAAGCCAGAATACTTCTGAGTTTAGTTGTAGACGTTTGTGTAGTACAACAACCAAGACAATGAAGCTGAAGAGGCTCCGATTGTTTTCGACTGGGTTTCCGTTGAGAAGCCGTCTGAGACGAGGCTACGATAATGTCATTCGAATCCATGGCCGAAAAGACGGCTGTGTCTTAGACTGGGCGTGGTTCGTCAGTTCAAAGGAGTGTTCGATTCTGAATTAGCCGGGAATTCAAATAGCGTTTGATTCACGATCAATTTGAATATTCGATTGCGAAGGAGTTAAACAAAGACATAAAACGCAACAAATTTCAATTTTTATATTTAACGATACTTTATGACAAAAGGTCCTAGTAAAGTTAAAAAAAGCCACAAAACTTCTAAATTCATTAAAAACAAGTTTGAGATTTAGTCATTAAAAGACCAACCTCATAAACAACGATAACATTGACAGTTCCTTATCACCAACTTAGCAATCAAAACATCCCAACTTTTTAATACCTATTTCTCAACCTATAAACTTCAAAAAATAATTTTAAAATTCTCAAAAACTGATCAAAAAACGCACGCAACGCTCTCTCTTCGAGATTCGAAGAAACGCAGCCTGAGGGCCTGAAAGAACTAGTATTTAGTGTAAAATCCGATAGAATTAGAGCACTGATTAAACAAACGTGGCCTCAAATCCAGATCAGAATCAGGGTTGCGCAAACATTGATTCGTCTCGCTAGCGAGCTGTTTGGCCTTAAAAGTTGTTTGTTCTGAAATAGGCGGTCCATTCACAAAGTGCGAGCATGTTTTTAGTGCTTTTTTGAGTAAACTTTACCGCAATAACAGTCAATAACAATCGAATACGACCGAGATTCTACGATTATAACAAACGGTAAGTTGTTCTAATAACTAAAACCAACAAACCAGGTTCTCTTACTGTGGAGAAGAATCGAAACTGAGTTTAAATAAGGAAATACAATCCGATTACTAACTGAAAAGATGTCATATGCCTTTAAATTTCACCAGCCCACCCTAGAGAACATTAGTAGCAAAATCCATATAAAGTACTAACAACCCTTATATAACCTTTTTGTATACCTAGAGTCAAGCATATTACAAACTTAGCTACAATCATACAATTTATAGGCTCAAGCATGCTTTAGTTACCTTATTATATGTCACTATGTCATTATCTCAAAATGTTATAGTTAAAATTTGAAAATCAAACAGTTGGCAGCCGGCCAAATACGCGCGAGGCCGCAATTCGAACGCTTTTATAGAAAACCGCCTCAAATTGCGGAGATCGCATAAGGTCGCTGACATCTGCGTTTTATTACACATTACCATGCTACTCATACCACACCCAACTCCGTTGGAAAACCTCCTTAAAGCTACGTCAACGGAGTCTGTAAACAGCAGAAGAATTCAACGAAAAGGCTCAGAAGGCCTGAAAAAATTTCTGAAACCTCACCAACCTGTAGGAAAAAGTGTTAGAAGCCTAAAAACTTTCCTCTTCAGGAATCGACAACCTCCTCCTCCCCATCAAAAAAAAATAAAAACAACCCCCAAAAGCCTAAAAACTTGCGAAAACGCAGAAACACCCCCAGAAGACAGATGGAGTCCCTTTTGCGGATGATGGAGTATACACACGGAACAGGTAAGTGAGGTACGAAGGCGGTAATCGAATGAAAATCACCGAAACCCCAGAAAACCTCCTGAGGCTTAAAAAACACACCGCAAATAATAAATCGGAGCGCGGAAGAAAGCCTATTGTCTCCAAATTAAACCTAATTTTGTCATGAATTCGACCGAATTCGAACGAATTTCGAAAAAGGCTATGAGGATCAGAATGACCGCCACTCACCTCCAACCTTTTCTTATTCCGATGGGAAGAGGTATTGACGGTGAAAAGACCCGACCCAAGATTCCCTCAAGTTTAAAATTCTTTGTTTTCAACCGGTATTAGCGCGAGAGTATTCTGCTTGTGATAAAGGCCATAAATTATCAAAACAAGAAAAAAGCGGTGACAGTAGTAAAACGGACAACACAATTGTCAGCAGAATTTTGTAAAATTGAAGATGGCTTGACATTGATGTAAAATCAGTTATCAAAATTTAATTTAAAATTTAAAACAACCTTAACTCTACCCTACCCAACTATACCTTACCAGCCTTATCCCATCATAACCTTCTTTGTCTTACCTCACAGGTCATTTATAATTTATAAATGTCTTATCTTATCCTATTTTATCCTGACCTACCTTATCCCGCCCCACCCTCTCATATTCTACCTTTCAACACCCAATTTTACTTTACCCAAGTTTTTGTAACCTTTGAACTACTATATATACCTGCTGACAATAATACCCTTACAGTACAGCCCATATATACCTATTGATAACAATAAACAAAACTATATTTTGCAAATATACTCTATGCCAACTTATTTCAACAGGTTGACAAACTTTTTTGTATAGATATCAACAGGTCTATTTACTTATCAAGCCTGACTAACATTGTGTTTACACAACAAACAAACACCTTTTAAAAGTTTCGTTTAGTACAGTTTCCTATTTCACGTTCGAATTCGAAAGAGAACCGAGCCTATACTATACTAACATATAATATCGATCATATAGTGTACACAGTGCGTGTACATTTCGATCGTTTCAGTCGAAAAAACAACAAAACCGCTACTTCGCGGAAATAACAATATAAATTAGGAGATCCACAAAAACAAAGAAATCCCCGGAAGTGGCGACAAAGACAATGTTTTTACAACCCATCTACAATGTGTAAAGTCAGAGCAACAACAAGGTCAGCGACAACGAAACAGCTATCGAAAAGCAAATTTATTACCGAAAATGTTGCCCATATTTACTATATTGCTCTTGATAACTATAACTAGCTGTAAAGTAATAACGTTAACCTTTTCTAAAAATGTTATCATAACGAGTATTATCACCATTTTTCTTAAAATAAGTTACTATCAACACATTAACTATCAAAAAAGTTACTATCAGCAACAAACGTATAGTCAGCTCCTTAAAGCGGAACCCCAAAAACGAATTACAGCTCAGTAACAACAAACTCTTAATCTTTCGGAAGCGATCGCAGCCTTAATTCCCACCTTTCAAGTACCCATAAGAGCCCGAAATAGATTTCGAGTTTAAAAGTAGACCATGTTGTTATGGCGACTCGTGTAATCGTACAAATTGACATGAAACCTGCAGTGTTACTAACATTAACACACCAAATCTATAGTAATTTCGAAAAGTATTTACCTAAATTTACTCACTAGATCTCTTATACCGAACAATAGAACTTGAGAAATGTATTTGTCATTAGAATAACAACCTCGGAGGTCCAAGAAATCAAAGGTTAAGTTACTATAAATACATTATTAACTTCGTGTTTTATAAAAAGTAATTTTTATCCCTGCCCAAGCCTCAGCACCCTGTCCTGCCCCAGATACCCAACTAGATACTACTACAGCAAAAACATCTCCTGTTCACACCATACCTTGTAATAATATTGGAAAACGATGACTCAAAACCACTGACCCTACAGATTGCAGATGTACAATTCGTAATTACGACACAAACCGCGACGTCAGTGATAAGATCTTGTTATCACAAAGTAAACAAGATGCACTTGAAACTCCTTCAGAAGCCTGAACAATATGATTTCAAGTGAATCAGCCAAAAAATAGTGTTTTCTCTGCTACGACCCCTGGCCACCGTTGGTTCCTGCTTCCGCGGTCATTCTCGGTAATAGGTTATTCAATCCGGCTCGAATAACACGACAGGTTAACTCTTGAACTCTTTATCATAACAGAGTTTGGAGATAAACTTAGTAAAGACAAGGCTGACCTTGCAAGGTCAGTTTAAATTTTACAGTAAAATGTCCCTTAATGTCCTAAAACAATATGTTTAAATTTCCCACCAAGTTGGAAACTTTGGTATAATGATGCAAACAATTTTTGCAATGTTTCGATTAAAATATGAAAATATACCACAAGATGACAATATATACGTTCAATAAAGTCAAGAAGTAATTTTTGAAATCACCTTAGTAACTTTAAATATCAATACGTACAAACATATTATAAAAATGACCTTTGAAAGCTAATCAAACGAAATTTGATATGAAATCGAATCTGAAAATCTTAATTTCAATCGCCGACCTCCAAATCCCGACATGCCCTTTCTTAACAGTCAATAAGCTTGGTCGGTTCAAAAGTTCCCAGAATATGCTATTTTCAAAAATTTGAATTTTTAAATTGAATTTTTTAACATTTCTCAATAATGCAAATATTCTATAAACTTTTAGGCCAATTAAGTATTCAAACTAACCTGTTGCTTCCTGTTCATTTGAAGCATGTACTGTAGTTCAGCGATACTGCCATAAGGAATGTCACATGGCTGTTTCCTTAAGTCGGTGTAGCTGGTAAATGTCTGTAAAATCATCAAAATTAAACTTTTACTTCAAAATGTAATTTTTAAATTCAAATATACATTAATACAATAACTAGACCTTACATATATTATAAAGATTCTTATAAGCAAGGCTCTTGTTACAGTAATTATCCATTAGGAAGCCTACCTGTTTGTCATCAAAATGGCTAGCCCTCGCAGCCTTCGTCCCCAACGTCGCCGTACTCCGTTGCTTCGGCCCCAACCTCAGCGACCTTCTCACAGCGATGGATAGTCGTGAGAAGAGGCCGGAATTCTGTGAAGCGTTCGAAGATCGGACAAAGCCAATCCGACCTGGTTTCTCACCATCTTCCCATTCGAAGTGAACCGACTGCCGAGGCTTGTCCACGTCGCCTGCGGGCCCAATCAACTTCTTTATGTCATTGTGGTTGTTGGCGTTTAGTTCGGGCCGGTACGCCTCCCCCACCTCGGTCATACCCTGAATATATAGCACGTTGAACCGTTATAGCAGGTTAAAACACATCATCAACACGTTGTTATCCAAAGATCGTTAAAAGTAATATTAGAAATACAAAAATGCCGAGTAATACAAGTCAGTGAATAGTAACTGTACAAAAAATGTCTGATTTAAAGTTTAAAAATATACACCAACATTACAGAACGTATAAAGTAGCCTGTCACTTATAAAAGGCAATATTAACATATAAAAGTTCAAACTGTTATTTCTTTTGTATTTCTATAAAAACCTTAATTTAGTCGTATACTTTCCAAGGAAAAAACACAACTATCATCAACTAATCTTACTTTCAATTTAAAGATGCTTGTTAGATTACCTTCAACTTCATATGTCAAAACTATCAAAAATACTTAAAATGTGAATGTAATCACAGAAAATACAACGACTGTGTTTATATCCCATGCCCATAAAAAGCTTTAAATTTAAAAAAGTCAGTATTAACCTTTACTTCATTAGTTCAAAAATCACTTTTATGTAAACAAACATAGCAGAACTCGAAGACTACGTAAACACTTGGCCATATATCGACCTTTCACGCCGCACACACTGACCAACGCGTAGAACCCCAGGCCATATGCTGCTCTAAAGAAAGTCCTCCGGCCATTATTCTCTGCCCGCATACTTTATCTGCTAGCCATCGAAAGCGGCGGAAGAGCGGCCGAACAACTTGTAAGCGGCAAATCGCTTCCGCCAGCTCTCTGTTAAACTCGTTACGACATTTAACCATGGAACCGTTCCGAGCCTGTTAGTTAACTTAACAACTACTTTTTAATAACATCTTGAGTAAATAAAGGCTTTTAAAGTAAACAAATACATGTAAAACGACTGACTCATACCAACAACTGTTAACAATAGGCGGTGAGAGTACATTAAGATAACAACTGTCATAATCGTAACCATAAATAAACAAATTAGCTTAATATGCAATTGTTACGCAATTCTTTAGTCACATAATTAAAAGAAACCAATAATAATATACAAGCTGAAACTTCCAGCATTCACTGTTAGTGATAAAGCATTGTTTGTTATCATCTACACCTAATTAATGTCATTTACAAGGCCGTGCTACTTCTTAAAGACGTACTTTTTAGAATAAAAATAATTTTCGATTTTTAGACTTTGGCATAACGCCATAGGTGCGCGTAAGTCCCGAAACGAAAACTAAAAAATAAAAATATTTTAGAAAATGTTGGACGTGTAATTAAATTGTCGATTGATTCAGTAACTAGCGTGTAGCATGGCTGATTCTGATTCTGACGACTCGTTTCATAGTGCTTTTGGAGACGAAGATGAACAAGATGTTGAGGATGTAGTGAAAACGGAAGAAACCGAGCCCGAAAAGGAAGCAAAACCAATCGTAAGTCTTGTTTTTAGATTTTTGATGTTTTAGAAAGTGAGAAAAGAGCTCGCGCACGTTGAGGAATCAAAGAACGATAAAAGCAACGATGTCGGTAACGACGAACGGATCGACCGTTTTGTCCAACTAAATACTGACTCTGTTCGACGGGAAATCGATGTTGACGAGACATTAACAGCGGATAATGAAATTAAACCCTCGACGGACGGCTGGGAAGAGAATTGGGGTGACGAGAGCTCAGATTCAGATTGGGAGAATTGGGGAGAAAAGGAGGAGAAGAAGAAACATCATCTTAAGCACGTCAGGCCGTCTGTTCACGACATTCCTAGCGATTCAACTGAAGCCGAGGATGAAGGCAAGGAGGAGCGGAAGGAACGACAGCTCGACCATCAAAGTCACAGCATCTGGGATTGGAGTGGGTTGAGCGAAGCGGTTTCTGCTGTTGGTACGTTTTGTTACCTAAATTTCACGTTTTACTGACATATTGTTGAATAGTTTAATGCTTTGTTGTTCAAAGTTATGTGACAGTATTTACTTTAACATAATGTGTCATGTAAACATTTTTTTAAATTCTTCAATTTGATTTTCAATATTTTAGGAGATAAAATCTCGAACGTAGTAGAAACAGGCCTCGGTCTTCCAACTCCAGAAGAAATGGCTCAATTGTCGATACAGGAACGTAGAAAACTGTTAGAAGAAGCTCAAAATGCGAAGGAACCGGAGCCATCGTTGTCTTCAGATGAAGCTACAGAACCTCAATCACCGTCGCCTTCTGAGATGCCTTCCGTGCCAGTTTCTGGCTTCGGAGGATTGTTTTCTGGTCTGATGAACGGTGGACTGGATGTCTTGGAAAGTTTGGGCAAGAAAACCTTCGAAACTCTGACAGTAAAGGATGAGGTAGGCTGTTGGTTTGAATTCTTAATATTTGAAATTTGTCAGGTTTATGTATAATATTTGATGTTAATCGTAACTTGTTTCAGTGTGAGAGGAGGAAGTTCTTCTTGACGGCAGTTGATTCCAGTGGATCTAACCTATCAGAGATGTTGAAGGAGATCAAGACCAATAAAGATGTTGACTTTGATCCGAACACAGCAAAGAAGACAAGGTTTGGTTACGGAAGCACAAATATCGAAAATCCTGAGACAAATTTCATTATTTTGTTCGAAAGGAACGATGGTATGGTACACCTGGAAGGTCTGGAGCTAATGTCTTCTGCTCATAAACACAAAGTTACTGGCGACTTTAATGAACTGTAAGTTTAGCTATGTATATTTGGTTTTGTATTTAGGTATGTTGGTATTTAAAGTTGATTTATATTGCTTGATAAAGCACTTTAAAAATTTTTTTATTTTTCTGTTAATATTTACATAAATCACATTATTTTAGATTTGAAGAGAAGATCAACGAGTTTATTGTAGAAGACGTGAGTGAATGTAATACCGAGGACTTTGTTTATGAGCTGAAGAAGTGTTTACACGGCGTTGGGCTTCCATTTAAGGCTGATAACGTTCTAACCGCCGATAAGGAGTTGTTAAAGGAGCTGGAACATGTTACTGCAGCTATGGATCAAGGAGTCGAGCAGAATGTAGATATTCTACATCAGAAGGCCGTCCAAAGTCTTGCCAAGTTTACTGCACATTCTATTCAGGTATAGTTTGTAACTGTTAAGAGGTGAAAACGTCATAAACTTGATTGATTTTACAGTTATTTGGTGTTTAATGCTTTTTATATTTCAGGCATTGCACAAGATATCCCAATTAATGTTGTTGCAAGACCAGCCTTCTGATTTAGAGTCCGTGTTTGCATTTACTTTTGTTTTATGTCGACGTCTTTCCTATTACGCCTCCCAATATGCGAACCTATTGAGTTTGCTCGACTCATCAACCGCTGTAAGTTCAATTTTGTAAATATATCTAGAAAAATCGATGTTTCATTTCTTACGCTTCTTAATTTTTGTATTAAAAAGTTGACTAAAATAATTCAGGTTGACAACGTGGTGACGAACATCTTCTTCGAGTGTTCCAACGCTTGTCACTACGTTCGGAAAGCTTTGTCATTGTTGAAGCCGTTGTTCTGTAAATAAGAAGACATGATATAACCGTGCGTCAACGAGTGTCGCGGGTGATTATGAGAATTTGGCATACTGTAACATAAACTGTAGTATATTTTCTTGGTAACCCATCATTGTCATATTTATTTTGTCAGTCAAATTCCATAAACATTTGATTTTCAAGCCGAATTTGCATAAAAAAGTATAAATCTTCGGAATTATTTGAATTGTTGTTGTTTATGTTGGATTCTTATCACGTTGTTCAGTAAACATTGATATTGTGCTGGTGCTTTGTTAATGCAACTATTGACATTTGGCTTGCAAACGTCTAAGCTTGATATTGTAGATGTGGATGTTGTAATCGGCTGCGTTCCTCAAACTTGTTATCATTTCTTTTTAGTGTTTTGTCGGAAGCGGTTGGACCATGGATTTCTTTAAAAATGCGATGAAAACGGCACAGGATGTGAAGAAGTCGGTACAGGACATGAGCCGCGAGATTCAGGGTGCTCGACAACGTACCCGCTCCAGAAGTCCGGAAGGAAAAGTACGTTTATTACCTAAAATAACATCCCCAATCAGATTCAAAACGTGTCTCGAACCGAATTGGAAGCGTTAGATGACAGAACCACCGGATTCTCGCTGCATCGTGAGAAGAAGGGCGGACAGTACCATATTGTACTAATGGAAACTACAGAATCCGTCTTCAGAACTGCAGTGGTAGAGGAGGCCAAAACCTTGATTCAGCAGTACAATCAGCATCTGGCACTTGTTAATCCTGCAGGTAATGTGTCTTGAATATTTATGGTAATATCGTAGGTATGTTATAGATGTTTTTACGGTGATTGATTAAAAAACTTAATTGATCAGTGAGTTTTGTTGTAATTCATGATATACGTGGTGTTTTAGTTGTGGCAGGCCGTTTAGAAGAGCTTTGTAATAAAATTCGGACTTGCAACGACTGGGCCGACATTCATTTGGCCAGTAGCTTGAACTTCGAAGAGTTTGTAATGAACGAATGTAAGAAACGAGATCCTGTAGTGTAAGTATTCTTTTACATAAAAGTCATAGTTCCAATTCTGAAGCTGATTTTGTCGTTTCAGTGTTCTGAATCGTGCTACAGCTCTGGAAGGCCGCTTCCCGTTACATCTGGCTACAGAGAAGCGGCACATTTCTTTGGTCATCAAGATGCTGAAGTTGGGAGCTGATATGAGGAAGAGTGACGTCGCGGGCAGAAATACGATTCACTATTCATCGATCCATGACAGCGTGCTGGTCAAAGTATGTTTTTTAAGTCGCATAAAGCGGAATTTTACAATTATATTCATTAGCCTCATATCTTTTTATATTTTTTAAATTAAGTTGTTGTAGACCTTGAAGAAACACTCGCCAGAACACTTTTCTGCTGCCTTACATCAACGTGACAAAAAGGGATACACTCCAATACACTATGCCGTCCAGACGAATCACATTGATACGATAAGATTCTTGATAGAAAACGGAGCTAAAGTCAATTCAGAGTTGGGGGTGGTCGCTGGGTTGAGTGCACTGTAAGTCATCTATCGGCAAAATAAATGTGAATCCGTGACAGGTTTTAAATTACTATATTTTAGAGGATTGGACACGATATTGGCCTACGATGCGAAGACGATCAGTCCTGACAACTCTTCCAACATCTTTCACTCTAAAGCCGACAAAAAGGTACGTAACGTTCAGTTCTATATGCTATATACGCAAACATGTTCTCTACTTCAAATCCACATTTAACTTCTATAAATCAAATATATTCTAGTACCTGAAAGTAGCCTACAAGCGCAACGTTCGTATGTTGAGTCAGAAGAACGAGCGTGGTCGTACTCCAGCCCACAATGCTGTAATCCGCAACGACCTTGATGGTTTAGTTGCTTTGGTTGCGCACGGTGCTGAAGTCGCGGAGTGTGACGAAGATGGCAACACTCCATTACACTTGGCAGCTTTACAACAGAATATATTAATGATCAAGTTCTTGATATCAATGGATGGAGGTACGCAGGAGAAGAACAAAGACGACAAGACCCCAGCACAAATGTGCGGAACGTAAGTCTTAAAACGTGATATTATGTCTACCATTTACAAAGATTTAGAAGAACAGTACTATATTTTACTTCCGAAGTAGCGCCATCCTACCCTCCTTAAACTATGCTTATAAACAAGTCTTTCAGGGTAGAGTGTTCAAAATTGTTCAGAATGTACGAAAACAGCCTAGCGTTATCAGACGAACCTCCAAGTCAAGATCTACCTCGTGAGTTTGATTATGACACGCTCCCTATAACAAACACTATTTTAAACTTAAGTTTTTTCATTTGCTTACAAACGTGAATACTTGAAAATTATATTTCTAACAGTTCCTAACTTCAGAAGTCCTTCGAACTGCCCAAAAAGCTGCCGTTCTGTTCCAAAAAAAGACTGACACAAAAGAAAAATCCCTGAGGCTTCTGTCTCTAGATGGGGGTGGCATCAGAGGCCTGGCCCTAATCATGATGCTGATCCACTTGGACAAACGCATATCAGGTGACCTGATGGACTACATTGACTGGATCGCTGGCACTTCAACTGGCGGCATCTTAGGCCTAGCTCTGGCCAGAAACACAAGCCTAAGGGAATGTCTGAACTTGTACTTGAGGCTAAAAGATGACGTTTTCACTGGACCTCGACCTCACGATGTAGTACCATTGGAGAATTGTCTTAAGGACAAGTTCGGGACCAAACTAATGTCAGACATTAACCAGAAAATAAAGGTAATGATTACGACAACGAAGGCAGATGTCCATCCACCTGAACTTATACTGATTAAGAACTACGAACTGCCAGAAACTCAGACCAAGACTTTGAAGCCTAGAGACATACAGATCTGGAAGGCTGCCAGGTGTTCGAGGTAAGACTATCAACTGTTTTTAAAGGTGAACAACTGATTCTGTATTGAGGAAAATATATAGTCTATCCAAGCTATTCAAGTTAAAACATAAAATATATAAAAACTTAACTACAATACAAATCATTTTTAGTGCCGCGCCAACTTACTTTGCCAGTTTTGACAACAAGTACATTGATGGTGGACTAATGGCCAACAATCCTAGTCTAGACCTTTTAAACGAGGTGCACATACATAACATAAATAAGCAAATAAATGTAAGTTCAAATGAAACCTAGAAGCAACAATTTACACAACTGGCATATAATATTTTAACATCACTTTTAGGAAGAACAACCAGATTCAATAGCAGCTTTCATATCTCTAGGAACAGGGAGATGCAAGACCAAGCCAATGACTGCCATCGACCTGGAAATGCCCAAAAGTTACAGCTGGACGTCAGTAATCAACACCGCCTTCTCATCTGTAAATACCCTCAAGAACTTGAAGAACATCTTCGTCGAACAGATCGCGGCTTCTGATGGCCAAGTTGTGGAAAGGACACGAGGATGGTGCCATTCTTTACGAACACCTTACTTTAGGTACACTCCCATGTTAAACAACGAAGTACCCTTGAACACCTACGAGAATAGCGAAGTCATTGAACTGATGTGGCAAACTAAATTATATTGTATCAGTCGATCAGATCAAGAGCTCGATGAAATTGTAAAACTACTGAGAGCTGACAAAGAACAATAAACTTATTGCTAAAACTGTATATTTGTGGCCTTTTAAAGCTATATAAATTCAAAAACGCACAAAAATTTACTTTCTTAAAGGTTTAGCAGTGAAATGACGAGCATAACATAAACAATAGTAAAATTTCAAGGCTTTTTCAAGTTCGATTATCGAAAACCTATAAAATTGATAAAAAGACGTTAACTTATTTAACTTGCATTTGTTTGCAAAATAATCATAAACAAACCTTCAAAAAATCTTGTTTTTACTTTTTACAAAATATTGTCCGGACACGTTTCGTCGTATAACATGTCTATTTATAAATTGGATTTTTTCGGGAAGAGAAAGTCGTAGCCGACTTAGCTCTCACAAATACCTCATAAACAATGGATGAAAAGATGGATACACAAGAAGATGGAATTATGAAGGCGACGGAAGAGCTGAAAGACATGGAATGCAATGATGTTGATGCTTATGGAGATGCAGACGATCTGGAGATGGGCGATGAAGCGAGAGACAGCTTGCAGGAGTTGAATGTATGTTAACAGTGGCATAAAATTTTGTAAAGTTTAATGTCGATTAATTTTTTAATAAGTTAATTGTTTTGATATTGTACTTTTAGTTATGAAACAATTGTACTATTCTAGATTTCTTACTGAAAATGAATATTTAGAGTGAATTGTGGGATAGGCTACGTGAAGAGAAGAAGTCCCAGCCCAGTATGTTCGTATCTGGCTGGGAAGAAGATGAGACTGGGTTGGAACCAGGAGATCCAGAAAAAGACAGCGAAAAGTTTTTGACAGCAGCCGAACACGGCGATCTGGCTACATTACAGACGATGTTTGGCAAAAATTCTAATCTTTTGTGTGCTAGAGATCGAGACTTTTATACTCCACTACATAGGGCTGCTTATAACAATCAGGTGGAGACCGTCAAGTGGTTACTTTCTGTTGGTAAGCTGTTTCCTTTAATTCTTACTTTTTAGGTAACAAAAGAGTTGAATATAGGAAAGAAAGTGGCATTATAAGACTTATATTCATTATAAGTGTTACTCAGCGTTTAATCATTGAGTTAGCGTTATATTAAACACTTTCTTTGAAGGAGCAGACCCTTCTCTGAGGACCGAAGACGGCTGGACAGTTCTCCATTCAGCATCTTGTTGGGGTGCTTATCGGATAGTCGGCCTTCTCCTACAACATGGTGTAGATGTAAACTGTCGTTCGAACGGAGACCTTACACCACTTCACCTTGCTGTAAACTCTGCTGCTGACTCAGAGAACCAACTAACCACAATCAAGTATCTTCTAGATACTCCAGGCATCGATATGGCCGCGTTGAACAAAGCGGGGGAGACCCCACTGGTTCTGGCTAGAAGAGCTCCGCCTGAAGTGTCTGAAGTTTTAACTAGATACCTTAAACGTCCTTAACTTCTACCTGTTACATTTTTATGTTCATATCACGTTATTTTGAGATTTTTGTTTTGTTGTGCCTTCTAATGTTATTTATGTGACCTCGTTTAGCTGGTTTAGTGTGTTTTGATCTCTATTTTGTATCATAAGTATATTCCCGGAATAAATACAGAGAATTATGATAATGTGAGAACTTAATTTTTCTAGAAGGTAGTTGACCTTGTTATACAGAACTTTTTTAGCAAATTAATAGCTTTGTAAATTCTTTGAGTATAAAACAATATTACTAATTGTGTGTTTTTCTACAATCTTTTTTAATCGTTAAACAGTTTATTTTTGTAGATGAGGGTAAATACCAGGACCTGGAAGTACTGGTGTGCTAACTTTTCTGGTGTTGTCTACTCAATATTGGTTATATTTGCTATAACATTCTTGAACTTATTTTACACGTGTCCAGAGCTTTATGGTGCTGAAGCTTGTACTCCAGTGTACTGGCATGCTTTTGTCATACTGTCAGAGATATTGGTCAACTTATACCTATTTCACTACTACAATATCAAGAATCAGGTATGTTTCCAACATTTTTTGGTACAAGATATTACTTTTTAATTTATAATAACAACGACTTACATTGTTTTTTGTTTAAATTTTCTAATTTAGATAGCATATTGGACAGTAAAGAGTAGTGTGATACCAAGAAGCGAGGAAGAAGGTAGCTTACTGGAAGACCAAGATGACAACTACAATTCAGGGGCAACAAGTAGTGGTCGGCTGGTAATAACTCAAGAAGGTGTATATAGGAAGGAAGTGTTCGTGCCAGAATCAGTACCCAACAAGAACTACAAGTACTGTACGGAGTGTAGACAAACAATGCCAAAGCGATCTCATCATTGTCCTTTGTGTGAGATCTGTGTGTTGAGGAAGGACCACCATTGTTTTCTGACTGGCGGATGTGTGGGGCTAGCTAATCAGGTTGGTGTTTGTTTTAAAGCTGGAAAGAGTTATAGTATTATAGCGAATAAATTGAACATAATTCTAGCTGATAAAGCTATCATTTAGTTTTTATGAATATTTTGAGTAGTTATAACTATATCCAGCGTATAATAGTTAATACTTATAATTTTTAGCGGTATTTCATCGTGTTTCTGGTATGGGCATGTATTGGTTCGTTGTACGGGAGTTACTTTACATTGAACTACATTCACTACAAACTGGTAAATCAATGGTTTCCGACTGAATGGCTTCGGTTTGTGGCTCCAATTGCACTAGTCAGATGGTTCCTGGGGTACGATACCCTTTTCAACATGATGTTTTCAGTGGTGGCATGTGCTTCTGTTGCTACCTCGTTGGCGTCAGCTGGTTTCTTTGGTGCTCAGGTAGGTTTATATTTCAAAATATGTTTCTTTTACATTAAACTATTATTCATTGTAGAAACATAAAACAATAATATTTATCTTTATACCTCATTGAACAATGTTTCAGATGTTCTACACGCTTCAAGGCTACACAATGCACGATTACCATGTTGGTCGTCTCCGGGACCATCTCGAATCCGATGGCCAGAACTACTCGGAGCGATTAGCGCTAGTGTTTGGCAAGAGATGGTGGCTCAACTTCTTGATCCCTCAGGTATGGCTTCCGAACCAGATGACACCGGAAATAGCCAAGAATATCTTTGTAAGTGTGTCCAAAGACCTCTGATGCCATTTTGTATGCGGTCTCTTCTTTTGTTGCGATCTCTAGTCAGTTATTCGATTTGCATATTTTCAGGATTGTATAATGTAAGTATTTTTTATTTATATGGTTCTAGCATTGTGTAGTACTCAATTTAAGAATAGAGCTAAATCCCAACGAATAGTGCTAAATCTTAAGTTGGGTATTACAATTTTTTTCAACTCTGGTTTCAAAATAATAATAAAATGTTAATATCAATATGCTGTTTACAAACAGAGGCGGGCGTGTTATTCAGGAGATGAGGGGTAGTCTCATAAGTATGTGAAAAGTTCGAAAATGGGTTTACAAATAACTGTTATAGGCCAAACATATTTGTATCTTTTCCTGAATCTTCACCCTCTCTCTCCTTCCTTGATGACAAAATCAGTAACAACACCCTAAACATACTATTGTAAGTTTGATTGTAACTTACTGTGAATTCGAAGTTATTTCCGTTTGTTACAACCATCCGAAAGTGTAACAATTAAAATTAGACAGAGATGGAAACATGAAGAGTTCTATTTAAAGATCTCTGATTGATTAGTGTTTAGCACCTTTAAAGATCACGGAGACAAAAGAACGTTGTAACAATTCACAGCAACTTTCATTGTAAAATACGGTTTTTTCTCGCAAAAAGAATGTTTTTGAAATATTTTTTTGTTTTTTACAGTAAATGACTTTTGGAGTTGTTGAGAAAGTGTACCTGGACTTTTGGTCTTGGTACAAAGGTTCAGGTACATATTAATGGTTTGGTAATGTGTTAAAGAGCAATAAAAATATAAAAATGAATTAAAAGGAAGTTGACTAACTAAGGAGTATACCTAGATAAAATTATAAAAATTATGGGAAAGGTCATATTTTTTATTATTACATTGTCTACCCGTTACTCAAGTTCAAAAAATGCAATTCAACTTTTTTCGCATATTTCTCAATGTAGTTGTACTGAGGTGAGTATGATGACAAGGTCGTTTTATCGGGATCCTCCCGCGGGATTTAGTGATGTTGGTCTAGTCGAAGTCAGCGATTTTGGTGATAGTGTCAGTCCAGTGCCTCCTTGGCCTTCCGGGTGGTCTGGAAGTTGTAGGGCATCAAAGGAAAAGTCGATTTTCCCATCTATCCGGCTTATTTTTTGATTACATTGTTTATATGTTGTTTACGTATGAAAAACATTATAAAGAGTAACATTGATTACCAAATTTTTAAAATTTAGTTAACTATTAATCAATTAAAAAACGTTCTCTATGAACTTGATATGATATCGAAAGTTGAAAGCTTTCTCTTTGTTATTGTGAACTTTGTGGCGTTTCCAACAGAGATTTCCGAATTTCAACGAATTTAAACTGTCGGGTCGCTGAATATCAAAGAAGTAAAACTTATTGTAAAGTGATTTGTTTTGACGGTTCAATAGGAAATGGCAGTAAAACATTGCGAGAAACCTGAGTTTGAGAGTTTATTAAACGCTGAGATCATTTGCATACAACAATATAACACATACAAAATTGGTTTTAGTATTGGGATAGGTAGTACTAGTATAATACCACCACGTAGTACACATGGTGTTGGGGTGGAGCTTCTTGGTATCTTTTGGTTAACTATATGGGGTTACAATAACTTGAGGACGTAGTATTACGTTGTGTAGTCATTGGCAACATTATAATCATAAACTTTAATAACATAATCCATGTAATGTACCCAAGATATTGAAGTACTGTAGATATAAGGTATAGTAGTACGGTAGATATAAGTATACTATAATAATTGGTTGATATGAGATATTGCAGTAACATAAAACACAGTTGATATAACTACAAGAATCCGAGTCCATTACTGTATCTGTAGCCTCCGTTATTGGCTACTGAGAATCCTCCGTACGGGTTTCCCCAGTCCGCGCCCAGACTTCCGCCCCAGGGCTGAGTGATGGAGCCTGAGGCTGACATGTCACCTTGAGGTCGAGCTTCCCAGAAGTAGGCCGAGATGAGGAGCACGATGAATAAGGTTGTCAAGAATTTCATTTTGTCTATTGAGAAGCGATCGTAGAGACAGCCGGCTTTTAAGTGCGCGATCAGGGCGGGGCATTCCCGTTGTAATACACCTTTTGATATCGGAAGAACGTCTGTTCAAGAGAACATCACAGGTGAACATCGCATGATAATTAACTTGCATACTATCATATTAAACTCACAATTTTAAAATGCTTAGGATGATACAATAACTTTATTTACATGCTTTTTAGAGTAAATTGTTGGCTAAAAGTACATGGCATGCACCTCGACAGATTTAAAAATAGGACTTAATTCTAAATTTAAAATATTTAAATTATGGTTTCTGTAAATTTTAAAATATTTGAAAAATAACCATGTTGGGATATCTTGTGTAATATGTTAGTTTTCTTATTAATTATACAGTAGGCGCATAATGTCTAAACATCAGCGGGAAATACCTTTGCTGACATCACAAGACCACAAAAGCATAATACGAACGCGCAGTAAGTCACATTTGTATATTTTTGTTTTTTTGAAAAATTTAAAATTTTTAAAATATTTTAACCTGAACTTAAACGCTACTTAAGGGCATGGTAATATACAAATTGGTTTAGTTTTTGGTTTTTATTTAAATAAAACTTACTAATATACTCAAGTCATTTCATATTTTACTGTGTAATAAACACAAACATACCTAAGCACATGCAACACATTTTACCTCATCGGATGTACATTAGAAACAATACAAACGGATTAATATTGGTATAATACTCCTCTAATACTATTTAGCACCAATTTGGCTTCCCCACCGGATCAAATTGTAATTACTCTCGAGGCGGTCATATGCTCTTACATTACTTTAAAAACATTTCGAGAGACCTTACACTTACATCTTGCCTCTTCTCACATTACATTGTTATGTACCGAGAAATACGAAGCAATATAAAGAGTTACTGCGACGCGAATGACTGTAATGGCAACTGTGAGTTGTTTCACAGGAGCAGTAAGTCTACATAGTATATTATTATGTCGTTGTGTGTACTATTATATGTTGCTATAACAATTTACTGAGTATTGTTTTTACAATATATATTACATAGCCTTTTATGATGCCTTATAGTAATCTATGTTCATTTAGCGGCCAAAGTTTTGGAAATGAAGAAAAGCAAATTACGATCTGCAAGACCTAGTGAGTTTGGCCTTTAAAACATTTATTTTACTACGTTTTATTTTACAGTGTAAATCAAATGGCAGTAAAAGCGTAGTATCTACACTACACTCTTCTTAACTTAAGTTTTGCCATTCTTTATTTATACCAAAACCTAAAATATTTAATTATTACCATAACACAAATATAATATCACGCTTTTCAGAACTCAAAATCACGTCAGACCCAGACCTGAACCACCTCAATTCTCCACTAAATTCGGCCGAACCTCTGACTCCACTCCACTCTAACACAATATTCGATCACATTCTAGAATCAGCCGAACGAAAGACTAGTCAGGAGCACGATGATGTCAGGTTACAGTCACCGTATATTGTCATGCGTACTGAAGAAGATGTGGACACACGGCCGTCTGGATTTGGAGCTACACCGTATCCAGACAACATACGAGAAGATACGATAATGATGGACGAGATAATTCACTCGGATTCTGAAAACGAAGAAGCATGGTATAGTAAGAGTCCGCCTTCATATATGACGGTTGATGATACGGTGGATGAGTTGTTGCGGTGAGTGATCTTTTTGAGTCGTTACGGTAAGTAATGGTATAAAGAAAGCTTGAATAAGTTATATTATACTAGGAGACGGCTCATCAAATATCATTTTTGTTACTTTAGAGAGACCCAGCCACCGCCCGACCATTACAGTAATCCGTTGTACCGTAAAGCAGATAAACTGAAGAAGAACAATGTAGATCATACCAACAGTAACAGTAGCATCGACTTGTCAGTGGCCGACTTTTCAATGAATGATCTCAGTAAGGTCTTTTCAGGCTTGCATTATATACTTACTGTAACATTTTTTTTCCACATATATGTATGCTTGTATATATATATAAAGGCCCAAGCAAAGCTGACAAAGTTGTTGTAAGCTATAATAAGTTGCTTTTTTCAGAAATAACTCACAATCTCAACAGTTTACAGAGCCATCTGTGTGTCAGCGGTAACTGAAGCACCAATACCCGATGTTATAATACCTTTACTCTCATGTCATGTGTATATATTACATTACTATGAAGTAAACTATTTTACTCTAAGTGATAATGTAGTATCGGTTTTGTATATGTGACTACATCTTGAGACAGGGAATATACATTTTGACTCATATTGTACTTGATATGTACTAAATAGTACGATTTCTTAACGTGGGATTGAAGTTACTGTGGTAGGAAATGTGATTTCATGAAATTATTAGTCTTTACTAAAAACACAGTAATCATCCATCAAGTATTTCACAACATTGTACTAGCCTTGTCACCTATATTGTTATACATTCCTAACCATGTAACCTTATACAATATAGTACTGTCGGGATAGTATTATAATGTAGAAGGTAGCTATCGGACACTAAATGACCCTTCTCCAGGCCCTGTAAAAATGGCATTCCTGGTCGGGAAGAGCTCGGTGATTAGGCTCGGGAAGACCTTTCGAGATGGGCCAAACCTTTCGAGACCTCGAGGATCTCGGCCCGACCCCCGCATTCTCTCGACAGCCGGCTGTCTCTCCATCTTGTTTTTGCAATCTTAAATCGACCAGCGAAATGCCCGAAACGGTGAGTTCCATATGTTATCAATCACAAATCGCTTTCTACTAGGTCATCTTGTCAAACATACGATGTGTTAGGGTTACATTGGATAAGATATGTGGTGTTAGGATTATTTTGAGTAACATATGTTGTGTTAGGGTCTTATTTTATGTAGTGTTAGCTTGATTTAGCTTGGAGGGTTCTTTGATTGTTCCGAAAGCTCGAATTTCAAAAAGTTGAGAGTCTGCGGTTATTGGGTTTCGTTTCAGTATAGGTGTACTGCCATTACTAATACTGCAAAATTTTGAAGTTTTTTGTTTAAAAACGTCATTCTTTGCTCTTTTTTAGATTTATATTTTGTTTTTAAAGGTTAATTTGATTTTTGAATAATTTTGTCAAGTATTCAATGTAACAAGTTTCCACAAAGTAATTCTTGCTCTCGAGAACGTTTGGAACTGTGGCTAAATTTACAAAACGATTGGCTTCTATTTGCTTAGGGAAGTGACGTTCTCTTAGACTGCGTCATAATGCCTTGAAACAAAAAAACTAATTTTAAACATAACACTATTACTATTTTAACATATTGAGTACTACTTTCAGTTTATATTTTATCTCATGTTAAAAGTTTCATAAAAGTGTAATTGCTATAATTAAAAGTCATATTTTAGGATCCAAACCAGCCTCAGCCTCCATATGATACCAAGAATTTGGTATGTGATATTGAAACTATAATACCTGCAGTAACTTTTTTAGATACAAAGTTGCATAGACTAAACTTAATGTTGAACATTACAAAAAGACTATTTAATCTAGTATTTAAATTTAAAATTCATACTATTTTATAATTTACAAGATCTTTACTTGCAGCCGGTAGCCGAAGTGTCGCTCAAAGTCGAGATCCAGAAGCCAGAAGAGAAGAAAGGAAACTAACCAATCATGGCTTAACTCTATACCTCGTCACACCTATCATGTATAAATAAACTTTTACTATCAGGTTGAGAATGTTAAATTCGCTGTTAAAGACAGTCAAATATTGATCACTTACTATTATTCTTTATTCTTCTATGAACTTAAAAAGTAACGTATGTATGAAGTCACTGGACGTAGCCTTTTAATCTAGTTAGATTACTTGAACCTTTAACATACAGCTACAAACAGTTACCTTTTGACATTACCTATTACCCAAAGATAACCATAATACTTGTAGATGGGTGATATCGAGTGGATAACGGAGCCGGCGGAGCCAGAAAGATCGGTGACGCCAAGTGTGGAGATGACCTTACCGTCCCCACCCAAGTCCGAATCCAAAGAACAGACATATCAACCGGTCGTGGTGTCTTCACCCATTCAAAAAGAAGAGCACAGACCTGTAGAAGCCGTATCACCAAGACCTACAAAAGCTACGTCTCCACCTCGACCTCCAAAAGATGACAAATTTGTGCATTATGACTTCAGAAGTCTCCCAAGTTCAGAAGCCAGAAGTCCACCAGAAGTCAAAAGTCCTCCAGCTACAGAACCCAACCGTCCTTCAGAAGCCGTCAAATTGCCAGTCAGCGATTCTGTTGCTCCCAAAGCGTACGATATTCCTGAATCCGTAGCCGCCAAGATACCAGAAGACGTAGACGCTAGAATCCCCACAGAAGTTTCTCAAGAATCTTCCAAACAACCTGAAAACCTCACAAAAACAACAACTTCAGATACATCTAGCCCAGTAGCCGCTAAAAGACAAGAATCATCACGCTACAGAAGCCCGTCTTCTGACGGTAAATCCAGAAGTCAAACGCCAAAGTCGTCTGAAGTGAAGTATAACTTCCCAACTCGCTTCGTGGTCAGTGACGTCGAAGCCAGAGCTTTGCGTGAGTTGGAAGACGACATACCATCACGACTATCGTCGCTTCGTATCTACGACAATACTTACGCCAAAGCCATGAAGGATTCAGAAGACGCTCTAGAAGTATCGTCACGAAGAAGCAAACCTTCTGAATTATTGTCACGGAGAAATGAAGCTACTGAAGAGCCACCGCAACAAATCGAAGCTTCTGGGGTTCGACAGAAGACTCCGGATTCTGATGCCGAGGAGATGGCACGGATGAAGACGCAGAAGGTGAAGGACGACAACGGATTCACGTACTACACGTGCAGATTCTGTGGAATCACGTTCAACTACATAACAACGTTGAAATCGCATGAGAGGAAACATGGTGTCGAAAAGGTATGTCATCGTATGTTGTTGTAGTTTAGGAAACAAGTATTGTTTATACGATACATGAATTATACTACTTGTGTTTAACCTATATTATTGTAGCCTTTTGTATGTGCCAAGTGTGGTGAAGCCTTCCACTACGACTGCGAGCTACAATATCATGTCAAGAGTCATGTCGGTAAGCAATGTCAATATTTTTTAAGCTGACATACTATAATATAATTATAAATATCTTACTATAAAACGTTAACCATACCATTTCAGACCAAAAGGGCTACAAATGCGACTGTGGTCGTACCTTCTATCAGTACACCGAGCTGTTGAACCATTCTCATCCGGATGACCCTACTCCAATATACTCTCAAGCTGTCAATCAGCCAGGTGAAGATGAACAAGCTGCCAGAGTAAAGCCGTTCAGTAAGATACCTGAGAATTACTTCCCTACTCCCGAGTTCGCCGAGAAAGGCTACGAACCCAAGTACCAGGTACGACAATACAACGAGGTCAGAACCCATCCCTACATCTGTCAGTACTGCTCCAAGTCGTATCCTGACAGTCGGTAAGTTTTATTTACTTGTAGTAAAAAGTAATGTTTGAAAGCAGACAAAAAGACAGGTCAAAAAGTAGATAGAAAAACAGAAAATTAGCAATGAAGAATATCGTTTGAAAACCCAAGATAACTTATTGATGCTATACCATAACATCGTGTCTTGTTTCAGCCAACTGGCCTACCACATGTACAGTCATCGTGGGGAGAGAACGTTCAATCCCCGTGCCTCGAGGTACTTGATGTGCCGAAATGAAAATTCTTATATTTCTCCTGGAGTCTGGCTGGACAAGTGATATTTTGTTGTATAATAAACATACTAAACTTTTGCTATCATACTTCAACACAATTTTAATATATACATCATGAACGTTACCTCTATCAGTCGATCCCAAGAGATAAAAGGTAATGGTAACAATTAAAAGTTTAACCTTTATTCCAAAACAAAAAGTAATTTGAATACCAACATTATGTGACCAAGTTCTACTTCAATACCACCTTGTAATGAATTTATTTCGACAACATACAGACATTTATATGATCAGGTATATACAAATAATGACACAATAATTAACAAAACTGTAAGTTCCTGACAACCTGTCTTTGCTTAATTAAAGATGATCATTTAATTGTTTCAAGAGTTTGTCCCGACGAGACGTTTCGTTCCCGCCATACTCTTTCGATCGCTGGCTTATGGATGGGTTTGTAAGGGTAAGGTAGGATGGCCGTTTTTTTCTCTAATGTGCATACTTTGAATGCAATTTGTAGAAAAACAAATAATTATTTTTGCATAGAGCTAAGTGATATCTGAAATAGCACAAAATATAGTATTGAAACAAGACAGGTTTTAGGTATTTTAAGTATTTTTAAAATACAGTAAACAATGACTGAGCCTGGAATTTGGCCTTCTTCTGCAATCCTTTATGCCCTCTTCGATAAAGAAAAGGCTGTAGATTATATTAACAAGGAAGGTACCCGACCTGCAACGCTCAGATTCTATCAAAACTTTTTTTAGCAAGATCATGTAGATGTAAGATCTTATGCAAATTATTAAGTTGCGGTTTGCGGCCAGTCTTGAGAAAATCGAAATCAAAAAATCACTTTTCGAAATTCCCGCCAAATTGGCATTGTGTTTCAAGCTTAAAACTTTGTCATTCTTTGAGTTTTAATAATTTTTCTTTAATACATAGTAGAAAACTTGTAATAAACCTACTTTTTTAAATTTGTAGGCGTAGCTTGTCTAGAAGGTTGCAAAAAGTGCTTGAAACGCTATGCCAAACTTGCCAATTTGGCGGGAAATTTAAATATTTAATTTTCAAAACTTAAAACCGCAAGCTAAAATTTTTTATGTGTGCTACTGGTACTACAAAGATTCTGTATAAAAATTTTGAGCTAATTCTGTGAGTTGAAGGTTGGGTACTTTCCTTGTAAGTTGAATTGCCCGCTTACAGTGTTTTGCCCGGACCGGTCCGGAGCGTTTTTCACCGGTCCGGTGATTTTCGGGTCCGGTCCAAACTTTAAATTTTTGGGTCCGGTCCGCAAATTTTTTTTTTTATTTTTAAACAAAGCAAAGAACGCTAAAACTGCTTTTTTTAAGTTTAAAAACACTTAAAAATATGTTTTCTTGGCGCTAGGACAAATGCGGTTTTTGGACATTTGCGGATCTGCGGTTTTTAGACACTTTCGGATCTTCGGTTTTTGGACACTTGCGGATTTTGGACATTTGCGGATTTTTTAAAGGTTTTTTTTTATTTTTTAGTTAATTTAGTTCTATTATGGTACTAAATTGTACTAAAGTTTGAATTGGTACGGTTTTAACATAACAGTACCTTTTTGGGCTTTTAGTACTATTTAGTATCAAAAATATAAAAACAGTACCGATTAAAAATTTAGTACTATTTAACATTAAGAAATATTAAGACAGTGCCAATTTAAACTTTAGTACCATTTAGTACCATACTACAACTAAATTAAATAAAAAATAAAAAAAACCCCTTTAAAAAATCCGCAAATGTCCAAAATCCGCAAGTGTACAAAAACCGAAGATCCTCAAGTGTCTAAAAACCGCAGATCCGCAAATGTCCAAAAACCGCATTTGTCCTAGCGCCGTTTTCTTTGCAATTTTTAAAACAGATTTATTAGGTTGTCCGGAAAGTTCTGCAATATTTGAGTAGGTAAACTTTGAAAAATCAGGAAAAATTTATTTCTTGACGGAAAGAAAAAATTCTCTTTTGTTTGTTACCTAAATTATTCAAAAAGGTAAGTTACATAACTTAATTTCATTTTTTTGTATTGTTTTAGGTATTAGAAGAAAATGGAGAAATCTCGCCTGCGCGTGATTATATGGAATGAATTCAAACGCGGAAATACTGCGGCAGAAACCTTCAGAATCATAAACGAAAATGAGGGTAAGAATGTTGTGAGTTATTCTACGGTGACCAGATGGTTCGCAAAGTTTCGTGTGGACGATGGGAAGCTCCTAAGCACGTTCCGAAGCCAGAATTGCACGAAAAGAAGCTTATGGTGACTGTCTGGTGGTGTAGCTCTGGAGTGATCCAGTACGATTTCATGAGACCTGGCTAAAGTATTACGGCCGACACCTACTGTGCCCAGATTGACAAACTGCGACACAATCTTCCAACAATGGTCAGAAGGAGGGGTCCGATCATTCTGCAGGATAACGCACGGCCCCATGCTGCAAAGAAGACCGTGGCAAAATTCAGGGAACTGGGATACGAAGTCTTGGAGCACCCTCCTTATTCTCCAGACTTGGCTCCAACGGACTTTCACCTTTTTAAACACTTGTCTTTGTTTCTTAATGGAAGAATCTTCAAAACTCCAGACGATGCCAAGAATGCCTTCAAGAACTTCATCAACTCCAGAAACCCGGAATTCTACAATCGTGGAATAGAAAAGCTTGTAAATCGTTGGCAAGACTGTATTGATTCAGACGGTAATTACTTTGATTGATTGTAGTTGTTAATTATATTGTTATTATTGTTAGTTCAAAAGTGAATAAATATTGCAGAACTTTCCGGACAACCTAAGTTAAAATTGGTACAATTTCACTACTTGTTGGTATAAAAACAGTAACACTTTGGTATTTTATTTACCCCAAAACACCTGTGATTTCCGAATTTGCTTTGCAAGGGTTTGTGAGATTTAGTGCTGTAGATACGAATATATTGAAAATTAAAGTATTTACTGTCGAACTCCTGTATAACAAATTGCTTGAGGATTCAAAATTTGTTCGTTATGATAGAGTTTCGATAAAGAGAGTTCGTTATAGAGTTCCACTGTATTATTAGGTCTACAAATATGAGGTTGCGTTTTTTTCGACAACTTTGATGAAGGCTAGCCAAAAAACCATACGAGCAATGTTTTTAAAAAATTACTAGCGTTAAGAACAATCTTATCCTAACTTGTGGCGTCATCTGAAAAAAATTTGGTCGATTTTGGCGATGTCAAAAATCGACCCATTTTTGGACATCGTCGTATGTTTTGAAGTTCTGTACTCCGAAACCGTCTGACATAGATCTAAGTAAGTGTTAATCAGAAGAGGCAGTATCTGGTGAGCACAGCGGGGATGGTAGCATTCCCTATTTTAGCTTTTCAATGGCACTAGCAACCAGTTTTGTCACTTGGGACCGAGTGTAGACATGGAAGATTATACCTTTGTGATGCCGGAATTTCACACTATGGTCGTTTGAGATAAATTTCTAGTCTAGATCAGCTAATTATTGTTTGTAACGATCGGCAGTAACTTTTTCATCAGTTTTTAACTGGTCAAAAAATTCTTGGACCTCCAGAAACGGTTTATTGCATAATTGTCATGTATATAGATATCGAATGATTTGAATTGATTAAACCGTAGTTGGAAAGTTCTAATTAAAATGTAATCTTCCTCATAACCCTAAGCAAGAGCTTTATTTGCTTCAGTGACCGTTTCTTACAATTGGGCATGGATAACATAACTACCCGCAAATCCTCTTTGTTTGAAGGAAAGTGGGTTGTGTTCGTGACCTTGTTACTCCGTAAAAATCAAAAAGTATCTTAACGAGTAATACATAAAAAATAGCATTTTTAATGCTGGTTTTGGTAACTATGAAAATAAATTGTGAAAAAAAAGTTTTTCCCGTTTTTTTAGCCGGCAATGAAAAACGCAACCTCATATTTGTACCTAATAAATACGACAATACGTATTTCAGATGAATAGTTGGTTGAAACAAATTCCAAACGAAGTAAGTTTACAAGTGGTAGTTTACATAATGCAAATATATATTAAAAATGCATTTGTAAATGCAAACTGTTCTTGTCAGGTGTAATATATGTACATATTATATTTAGGTATGGCAAAAAATTTTCAATAATGTAGAAAGCATCGACAACTTAGCTGCTATGGCAGCAATCGACAAAATGTTTTACAAATGGATCGACAGGGACTTTAAACAAATGTGTTATCAAGAGGGTATCTACAGGTTCAAAGGAGAATCTTGGGCCACGGCCTTTGGTTTGTACGTTCTATTAGTGTACTTGAGTTCTAGGAAAAACTACAGAATTCACCTAAAAATCGAAAAAAGTGTAAAAACATACCAAATCGAGACTGCAAAATTCGAGTTTTTATAGGTTTTTAGGTCCGGCCAGAATTTAGCTAAAAATTTTTATGTGAATTCCTTGTACTACTAATAGTACCTATAAAATAAATTCCCGCGGAAGCGGGAATGGTCCGAAGCGGGGACGACGCACGGTACCCTTTGGTTCAGGGTGCCGTGGGACGAGGGAATTCACCCCCCCCTCCGAGAACACTAATCTTGATTTTCTCGAGATTGACTGGAGGGCGCGTTTTATTAAAGGACCAATCAACTGAAGATCCTCTTATCTTATATTTACATGATCTTATATAAAAAGTTGTGTTTGAGGGCAATACATTGAAAACAAAAAAGTTTTACTTTTGTCATAATACAATTATTTTTTTTGGTTTTAGGACGAGTTATCGCGCATTTGATTTGATTGGCTATAGCGTTATCAACTGCCCCAATAGTGGAAAGGTTGTGTTTTTTCTACACCCGCATCATGCCATTATATCTCATATCGACTTTACGAATCTTAAATACGAATTAATTGAGTTTAGACAATACTTTAAGGATACTATCTTTAAAATTAACATAATCAATAATGGAACCCGACTGATAATTAACTGTGTAGTAAATGGCTCCAAAGACGTTGCTTACTTATACGACATAAACTCCAAACAAGTACTTAAAAGATTTAAAATACACACTATAAAATTTGGAAATTTGTACCAATGGAACAGATATAACGGAATTTACGAGTCAGTGTACGATCCATTTAGCAATGAAGAGTTTGAATTGCCTTACGGAATACAATTCGCCCCGGCTATACAAAAAGACAAGTACAGCCCGCATCGGTATCTACCATTTCATGCACTGGAACGGAATGAATTGTACATTAAAGACCAGCAAACCAACTAGTTCTTCAAGTTGTGCAACGTTCCTTCCATTATGTTTGGTCTCAGCATTCTTGAAGAAACCGGCCTTTTTTTTGTCATATGTAAGATCGTTTTTAATTCGAAATAGGTAAACAGAGGTTTTTGCCACGTGGGCGTCTCCGGAGACTTCCATAACCGCGGCAATTCCGAATCGCAAAGTTGCGCCGAGCTTTAATCTACAAGGAAAGTAGCACTCAGAATCAGATAAAAAAAATTTATGTGAATTCTTTGTACTACCAATAGTACCCATAAAAATGTTTAGCTCGCGCTTTTGAGTTGTTTCTGGTTTTCTATTAGTATGTCAAAAACAAAATTTTTAAAAGTCAAAAAATGGCAGTTATAAGCTTGAAACACAATGCTAATTTGACCGGTAATTCAAACTGTTATTTTTTATCTCGATTTTTTCGAGTTTTCCTGGAGAGCGCGATTTAGTACTTTGCTGTGGATCTTATATTTACATAGTTTTACTATATAAAAAGTTTGAAGTCAATCAGGGCAGGGCAAGTCGGAAACTTTCTTTGTTAGTGGCTAGCCTCATAGCCTCGCAAAAAAAAATTGTTTTTGTGACAGAGAGAGTTGAAAAATGAAATCAACCATTTTTTCACTTTCGAATCTTTTTTAAACCATTTTCAGATAATGTTAATGGCTACGATAAAATACAGTTTTACGATATAGAAACGCGACAAAGAGTATTCGAACGCTTATATGTTTCAACTGACAAATCTTGGTACACCGTTTCAAATCATGCTATATTTAACTTTCACAACGGCGAGGTAAGTGTTAAAAAATTTTTTAGTTTTAAAAAGCTAGAACGATTGTTATTATTAAAATTTTAGTACGTCATTTACAATCCCAGAAAAAAACAATTTTATTCGAGATTCATCAACTGTCAGTATCCAGAATCCCACGAACATACTCCCCAAGAAAAACAAGAGTGTATGTTTACATCAACAGATGGTCGGAGATGTTTCGATTATTGCATTTTTCACGAATCGGCGTTCTATTTCGATTACTCAAAAGGTAATAAAAAACTAATGGGTTAAAAAGTAGTTAAACACACATCGATAATATAATGATTTTTTCAGATAAACTCAGATTGATGCCTATTTGTGTAGATAAAACTGCATATGTTGACGAAATATGCAACCAGTGTGGAATCTTTTTAAAAGAACGCCAAAACTTAGCATTTACCACGATAGCTGATGAAATGAAACAGTTTTTTGCAACTAAACTACTATTATTGAAGGCACGCCCACCAATTCCCAAAGTAACCAGGTTTAATAATGGGCTTATCACAAAGCTCACATTTATTGGGAGCGCTGATGCTAACTAAATTTTGCCTTAATTACTGTGCACATCTACAATAATGTTTAAAAGTAAAATGCTATTTATAATGTAAATTATAATTTAACTTTCATTACGACAATTTGATGAAAATAAACGAGCATTCACACCAAAAACAAAACAGAACCTTTTATCAATAAAAATAAGTGGGTCTAATGAAGAATGGTTACCCAGTTTTATGGTCCCCAACTTTACCCTAATTTTTGTTCATTTTTATATTTTAACGTCGAAAAAAAAAGAATAAAAGCCAAAGTGAAAAAACCTGTGAAGCAAAAATTTGCATAATTTTATTTATTCTCACAAGAGGTAACACCCGCGATCCCGAAGATAAAAGGTAATGGTAACCAGAGTTCCCACGGGTTCCGGAGGTGGAGTCAGTGCTAAAATTTAAAAAAAGTAGGAGCTGGAAATTTAGGAACTCTGATGGTAACAACTGAAGGTTTTAACGTTACTCCAAAACAAAAAGTGATTTGAGTACCAAGATTCTGTAGCCAAATTCTACATCAATTCCACCTTGTAATGAATTTATTTCGACAACATACAGACATTTACATGATTAGGTATTTACAAATAATGCAGTATTTCACAATAATTAACAAAACTATAAGTTATATATACAAATATCACTTGATAATGCCATGGCTACACTCAAGATGTCAGGTACAAAATTATTGTAATATGCAAAACATTGAGGATATCCAAGAATATGTTACTTTAACCATAGTATCACCGACATTATAATAAAAATTGATATAAACAACAATATAGTCAAAGAATGTAACAAGACAAAGTGCTATAAATTCCCGTAAAAATAGGTTTACCGACAAATCATCATCATTTTCTACCCTTTATCTTACTACCTTTACCATGCCCATTACTCAGCACTCTTCTTGTCATTATTAGGTCCATCACTTAGCTCTCCTTGGTGTTATTAGGTATGAGCAGAGTCCGACTGGTCGATATAGAAGGATCTCCACTCGAATGTGAGTTTTGTTGTTGTTGTGAAGTCGTGTCACTGCCACTGCCAGAGTTATTGTAATATTGTTCTGGTTCTTCAGCCAACGGTGGCGGTACATCGATTTGAATTGGAGCAAACGATGACAGATGTGACAGTTGAGGGTTCGTGTCGGTGTTCGTGGTTTCGTCGATTTGCTGAGAACTGTGCATGAGAGGGCCAATGTCACTGAATGTCTGAAAGAGATCGAGCCTTATTATAAAATAATTTAGTTTATAATACCAATGTAACCGTCATAATTCCCATATTTGTGATATACTTTGTGATCAAACAGCTAACCACAAAAATACAACTTCATTATAATAAGAAAGATGAACTTACAACTTCGGGATTATTCTCGAGATGTCCTGGACTTGAAGCTCGACTCAAATGTCGAATCAATCGGCCGCGACTAGCTGATTTGTTTCGCCCAATCGATGGGGATGTCTTAGCTCTGCAAGTACAATAGTTTCTTCTTTCAATACCATTTGTTTAATTTAAAAAATAAGCCTAATGAATAACATATTTTGATTCCACAAACTTTTAAAATACTACAACTTACTTGTAGGAAGTCCTTTTTCTATTCGAATACAATGAGTTTAATGACAGTTTTGATCCCAATCTAGAAGCCAGATTCGTCCTCGAGTAGCCGGGAAGAAGATCGCCTAATCTTCTACGTTTGTTACGCTCGTCGACTTGGCTAAAATTCAAACTTTACTCAAAGCTCAGTCAATTTTACTCCTTTAAATACCCAAAAATAATAGTAAATTGATCACAACATACTTAAAATAATAGTTTTTGCAATATTTTACACTTTTAAAGCACAAAATTGTCTTTCTCGCCTTAAATTTAAACGCCCCTACTTCTAACTCCTGTAAAAATGACGTAAAACATCAAAAATTATATTAACTTACGTAGATCCAGTGGAATGTCGATCTTCCTCATCTGAACTGTGATCCGAATGCATATCACTCGTACCTACTGAGTCGCTTCTGTTGTCAATTTCGTCAATGTTATCGATCGATTTTTCATCTGAAAACAATGTTGTGTAAGTTTACAAAATTTTGTCGGCAAAAAAGGCGTGAAAGAAGAAGTTGACTCAAAAAGATAAACTGAAAATGAAACTTGACCCAGTTTTTAAAAATCAACAAGAAACAACCTGGAATGCTATAAAAAATACTAACATACTTCATATATTACTTCTTAATAAGCCGGTCAAGTTTATATTTACTTTTCGATCAAATGAATTATGTATTACCCAAAAATAACCATGGATAACATTGTGTCTTACCTTTAGGAATCTTCTTCTTCCGCCTTCGTGCAAACTTGAGCGCTTCCCTACTCAAACCCAGAATCCCGTCCTTGCTTCCTCTCATCGTGGCGCCAGCTTCTTCATCGATGATTGGCATTTGTTCTGGAACATTCCATTCTGCCTGTCGATCTGTTATATTCATGGCTTGAGTCGACCCGAAGTAAGGAGCTTGACGGTAGTTGGCAGCCGCTTGAGTGTAAGGTATGTCTGTCTCCACCTCACCCCACAGAGCATCCTTACCCACCTTGGGACCATTCATGTACATCTGGTCGACGATAAGATACGATACTTGGATGTTGCGGTCGATAATCCCTAAAATCGAAGGTAGGTCATATTAGAGAAGCCATGTTATTATTGTGTTGGGGGTGTGTAGATTGAGGAATATTTAAATGTAAACTTTCCTAGCTAGGTTTAGAAGGTATTTTTGTGATAAAAAACGTAAAATTAGTATTGTAGAGCTTACAATTGAGTTCGAAGTCGTCATCATCTTCTCCAAACGGACATATCATCCCCTCGGCTACCTTCAGCCACCCGACATAAAATACGAATTGGAAGATTGTGAAGACTGGAAAGTAAAAATCCACATCGAATCCTGGTACTGTGTCCTAAAACTAATAATTTTAGCCAGTAAATTTAAAGAGAAGGTAACCAAATGCCATAGAAAGAATAATATTGAAGCTTTGCGCTTTATCTTAATTTTTAGGTATGAACTTTGTGCAAAACCCAAAACAAGTTTCATAAAGTATTGTAAAACCATTGTCTACCATAACCCCAGTCAAAATATACATCATAATCATACAAATCCGCCTTTGTAAGGTTGCTTTCAAAAACACTTCGTATGTTGTTGAAAACGGGAAAGGGAAATCTCGGGGAATGCGTTTTCGGGGAGTACATTTTCGGGGAGGAATTTTCGGGGAATGGTATTTTCGGGGAATGTAATTTCGGGGAATATGTTTTCGGGGAATAATATTTTCGGGGAGTGAACTTTTCGGGGAAAATTTTTTAAAAAATTTATAATATTTTCATATAGTTATGAATGACTAAAAATAATTTGATTATATTAATTATATTATTAATATATAATGTATAACTAATATTCAAACCAAATAATCTAGTTCAATTGGAAGACTAAATCACATATTCTTTTTTACCCTTACTGAATCACATACTGACCGAATCACATGTGCCTTTAATTATCATGAACGTGACATCGTACCGTGAACGTTCCTATGGCACTTTTTTGTATAGGTTTAATGTAAGGTCACATGATAAGTAGAGTACCGTGAAAGTTATTGTACCGTACCGTGCCGTGAAAGTTCTAATTTTTATGTTTTTCAAGTACAATGATAACGATATCTTACATTTACTCTCTGATATTTTTACGAAACCATTACAAAAACAGTAACTTTATAAAGTTCACGGCGCAGTACGATAATGTTCACGGTATTCTACTTATCATGTGACCTTACATTAAAAGTATACAAAAAAAGTGTCATAGCAACGTTCACGGTAGACGTCAACGTTCACAACAATTAAAGGCACATGTGATTCGGTCAGTATGTGATTCAGTCAGGGCAAAAAGGAATACGTGATTTAGTCAGGTGGGGATTCAGTCTTCCACCAATTATACTAAATTATTTGGTTTGAATATTATTTATACATTATATATTAATAATATAGAGCTATAATCAAATTATTTTTAGTCATTCACAACTTACTGTATCAATTTTTTAGGACTTTATATCAAAATAAATTTTTAAAAAAATTTTCCCCGAAAAGTTCACTCCCCGAAAATATTATTCCCCGAAAACATATTCCCCGAAATTACATTCCCCGAAAGTACCATTCCCCGAAACTTCCTCCCCGAAAATGTACTCCCCGGAAACGCATTCCCCGAGATTTCACTAACCCGTTGAAAACTACTCTCTAAGTAGTATTTTCAAAGTGAAACCCTAAGGATAACTTACGAAGTGTTGAGGGTTTTGAAACAAATATTGTCGACCGAAGAGACAAGATACGAAGAAACTGTACACAGCAATGGCTACAACTTGCGTGTAGGACAATGGTACACTGATCCAATCGTACGACCAAATGGTACCACACATACCACGGAACTCAATCATTTCCTAAAAACATTGTTTTTGATTAAACGTAGTTTTAGGCATTGACTTAGAAATTATCTAGTAATATTAAAGAATTTGAATACATCTAGTACTATTACATGAAAAGTTAGTACTGTTTAAGCTCCTCATATATAAAGTTACTAGTTACTTTTAATGTTAACATACGTCAATCAAGCTCTTCAGATGAAGATCGTCGTGGATCCGACCTTCTTTCCTCGCCTTCATTGCCAGTTGACCAAACCATTGTGCTGGAACCCACCTGAAAGTTACAGTAAGCATCAAAAAAGCGATAATGTCTTTAAAAATTAACAAAATCCATACTGTAAATCTAAATGATAACATAAACTATGCAACAGAGCTCTAATCCTCAAAGATACCTACCAAATTCCGTGAGGCGTTGGAGTGTTCTCCAGCTCTGTCTTCTCTTCCGACGTCATGATTCCGGCTTCGACCATGTGATCCAAAGTTGGAAAACGACATTTTATTATCGTTGAAGTTTGCTGTAATTTATCAGTTTACTTGTTTACTTATCAGTACATTATTAAAAATACTTCTAGGGAAGGTTTGAAGGTTTCTTGCACCTTCGAAATTTTATACAGTTTCTACATGTCTGTAAAACTATACCTGAAATGTTAAAACAGATATGAGATTGAGATATCTGACAAGAGATCGTCGTATGATCCTACCTCGTTCGTCGTTACCTTGTACGAACGCAGATATTTGAATGGCCAACCTGAAAACCACATTTGATAATGTTATATTAATATAAAACTAATACATTCTCAAATAATCAAATGCCACAGCAAGAACATCCTCATTTCAGAAAAAGATTAGATTATAATCGTTGTAATTTACATAAGCTCTTACCTATCAGGCCAAGGTATGGCCATGTACTGTTGCCACCATCTTCCCACCACAAAACTCAAATAGAAGCCCAGAATGAAGGTGATAGGGACTACTGATAACAGTTCTCTACAGTAGATGGCAAAGGACTCGAACCAGCTGGAAGATGGATTAGTTATTCATTTAAAAGTGCAAATTAATGGTCAAAACAAAAGAGGCCTTCAAGGGAAACCATAACAATATGTCTGGTCAACAACTGGCCTAGCTTTTTGCATGAGAACAAGCTGTTTGAACATGTTACACAAGCTTCAAAAGTCAAAAACATTTGAATATTCAAAAGGTTCTCAGTTGATACCAAAAATACTTCTGATTTATACTAAAACACATGCTTTAAGCTCGTATCGATTCAAAAACTATATTTGATCCACTTTTATTACCTAAATTTTGATTTTTGCAAAATTTAGGTAACAAAAAATCATTTGTTAAACAAACTCCCAAAAACCACAATTGAAACTCAAATCTACGTATTTTAAAACTATAACACTTACGTTTGCCATGCTGGTGACATAGAGTACCGGTAAGTGAAAGCGATAATGTAGTATGCGACCAGAAAAGCGCACATTTCGCGGTAAATCAGTCGATAAACAGATCCCTTCCATCGTCCCAGAAGCTTGACAAAGCCCCAGAAGCGAGCTCGGCTTACTTCTAATGTGTAGGTAATTGTCATTTTAGCATAACTCGGTTAAGAAAGCTGGAAACATTAAATTTAAAAAGGCGATAAAGAAAAAAAATATAATTAAACGCAAAATTAGACACATTTAAGTTCTTTTTCAATATCTTATGACATTTAAACCAGAATTAAAACCTTTTTTGTTAAGATACACTATAAGTCGGTCGGAATACGGTAAAAGATTAAAAATATTAATTCTAATTTGAAAAATTTTTAAATATTTAAAAGGCCAAACTCTGCGAAATGCGCGGGAAACAAAACGTTCAAATCCATAAATTTTGCCTTATTTTTTAAAATATACATAAAGTAAAAGGCCTAACAAAAAATTAAAAAATTTCTGTTATTTTCAACTTCTAAAATTTTAATTTTTATAATAAACATTAACATCCTTGAAGGCGTAACTTTTACCGGCGCTAGGACAAATGCGGTTTTTGGACATTTGCGGATTTTTTAAAGGTTTTTTTTTAATTTTTTAGTTAATTTATTTGTAGTATGGTACTAAATTGTACGAAAGTTTAAATTGGTGCGGTTTTAACATAACAGTACCTTTTTGGGCTTTTAGTACCATTCAGTACCAAAAAATATAAAACAGTACCAATTTAAAATTTAGTACTAGTTAGCACTAAAACATATTAAAACAGTACCAATTTAAACTTTAGTATCATTTAGTACCATACTACAAATAAATTAACTAAAAAAGAAAAAAATCCCCTTTAAAAAATCCGTAAGTGTCTAAAAAAACCGCAGATCCGCAAATGTCCAAAAACCGCATTAGTCTTAGCGCCCTTTTACCGTGAAACCACAAAACACTGATATTATTGCATAAAAATTACAAAATTATAATAAAATTTATAAAGTATGAGTTTTAAAACAATCTATTCACGTTTACAATTCCCAACAATACTTAAACACCTTGTACATGCCGAAATAACTAACGAAAGACTCGATTTTCGAAAAATCTGGATTTATTTCGTATTTATTTCCAAATGGCGTTCTTTATTCGAATCCAGAACGCCACCCTAAAAAACATTTGAAAAAGCACGTAGGAACGTCAAGTTTGACGGCCAGACGTCCATGACCTCAGGCACACACGTGTCTCAAAACAGTGTTGTTTATTCTGAAATGAACGCGTACTGGGGCGGTACTTGGGCGGGAGGGTCTCCTTTTTAGCCTCCCCTGCTGCGGCCCGTGGAAGAAAGAAGAAATAAGACCAAAAGATATTATACATGTTCCGTTTCTGTGACAGCCGGCTGTCCTACGAATGCACTCAGCTCGTAGTATGTGGCCATTAGAAGGCGAAACATTCGGCCGCCCATCACGATGGACAGGAAGTAATCTCTTTAATGTAGCGCTTCGTTATCGTCGCGTTAATTCCAATTGAAAAAGCAACGCTAATAACCATGACAAAAGTGATGAAACGTGCAAGAAATAGACTTGGCCATTTCGAAAGTGTTCTTTGTCCTTATCTTGTTAAAAGATCATTTTAAGAACAAAAAATTTACATAACTTAATATATATATTGAATAATTTTATTCAAAGGTGATTTAGATATCGAAACGTTCACATAAAGCACTGGTAAAAGGCACAAAAGTCTAAACAAATACTCTACTCAAAATGCAATTTTAATAGCCTAAAGCTGTTCAAATAAAAAATAAAATCTGAAACGAGTCGTTCGTACTTCTCTACCAACTTATCATAGTGCTAATTCAAGCGGGTGAGACGTATGACCTAAAGTAATTATAGCAGATTATCTTATTTACTTTTCATTCAAATCTTATTAGATGATATTTTAGGTTTCATATTGCCAAAAAATTTGTATTTATGCCATTTCAACTTTCAAACAGTCAAAAATTGATATTATGACATTTTAACTTTCACGTGTTCGCACTAGAGCAACGCATAAGTCAACCTTGAATTGGCAAAACATTAACATTATGATGTGATGTGCAAACGTTTTAAAACCAATTCAGCACAATTTTTATTTAGAAAAAGTTATTAGATATAAACAATGGAGCGATCTAATGTAATATCAAGAGATCTACAACATAATATTCTACACTCGTTAGTAAACCCGTTAACAAATGGTTTGGCACCGCTATTATCTTCCTGAAGTCTGATCCACAACCGCCACAAACTGAAAATAAAACCTTGGTAAAATATTAAATCCTTTAAACTCAAATTGACAAAGAATAATATGGCCTAATAACACCATTTGGTGTAAAATTCAGTGAGACATAATACGATAATTTCAAAGCTTACGTTTCCGTCGATGACTCTCAGAAACGGAAGGTCCTTGATCCTATTCAAAACACTAGAATCGTTGACAATGGCATTCTGAGGCATAAACTGTCGTAACTTCGTCACAACAACGTCGATGTGCATCAGATTTGGGTGACAACCGGCTAACAATCCCTTTACAAACATCACAATTTCAAACTAAAAAATGAGTATTAAACCTAAACTGTATGTGCAAAAGAAACTCCAATACTAGTATAATAGATATTAATACTACAATACTGTTGTACAAACTCACTTCAGCAATGTTGTTATTGCTCTTCATCCCCATGATCAGAATGTCATTTCTATCGTCACCATTTACTGTCTTTGAATTCTGAATCTTGTTTTTATCTTCTTTATGTACTATTTTCGTTTCTGTCACTACATTACCATTACATAAGCCATTCACTTCAGCAAATGGTTTGGCAGCTTCTTTAGGTATAGGCTTCTGTGCTTCTTTTAATACAGACCGTCTTGCTTCTTCCAAAAGCTTTCGTACTTGTTCAACCCCTTCTGTTTCTCCTGGCCTTTCTACACAAATTGGTTTCCACCGTTCATCTTCAGAATCCTCCGATTCCAAGCTTTCATCGCTACTAGCAAAGGCTTCGTTCAGTTTTGCTGTTAATTCTGCTGAGTCCTGAAAGTAAATACAATGTATCCTAGACAAACTAAATTTCTTACTAAAATTATTTTTTTAAATACTGAAGATAAATTCATAAGTTACTATAAACTAAAATAACATACAACTGCAGTGGCATTGAACGTCTCTTTCTTGACAGTTTCTTTATTCTTGTCTAGTTCTGATTCTTGTTCTGACACTTTTTCTGATTCCTTGTCTTCAGAAGTTTCTGCTTCTTCTTTTTCACTGGATTCTTCGTCGCAGTCGCCAAAAACATCATCAAGATTACTTTCCTCAGCTACGACTTTAACTGGTGCCTAAATTAACGGTTTATGTAACTAAATCATCTTATAATTCGCTTTTTAAAGGATTGTTTGATCACATAAATAGATGACATAAGTCAGCATTAATGTTCTTCCCCGTAATATATAAAATTATAAAAAAAGAAACCAAAACCTATTACAATTGTAATATTTTACACTTACAGAACCAGTTGCCTTATAGTAGAAGTCACCATCCTCTTGATCCTGGCCATCGTTATCTTCTTCATCTGAATAAGCACGTCTCTCCTCATCAGAATACACAGGCTTCTCATCATCAGAGTACACAGGCTTCTCTTCATCAGAAAAGACTTGTTCTTCATCATCTGAACCCCCTTTATCTCCTCCTGCAAACATTTTCTTCGCAGATTCTGCCGCTTCTTCATTAGTATCTTGTGACATAAAGGATGGAGGCTGGTTAAGTGAAGCTGCTCGAACATTATCTGGCATGTTGAAGTCCATTTGTCTCTACAAGATAATGTTTATGATAATTGACTGAACTATGTGATATAATACATTCTTACGACAAACACTATAAGTTGATTTTAAAGACAAGTTGCCTTACTCCGCCTTTTGGAGGTCGTTTCTTTCTGTCATTAAAGTAGCTTCTTTCGTCTTGTTTCTTCTTTATTTCCTTTTCTTTGTCCAATCGTTGTTTTATGTTTTGAAGATTTTCGTACTTTTCTTTGATCTCTGCAACACTTACAATTACATTACAATCGAATTATCCAAATAGAAACAACTACATCTCTTAAACTAACTCTAAATTAAACTTAATATAGTTAAAAGTAAGTAATAGTTGTACGCCACTTACTGTCAAATGTTTCATACATCTTTACAAACAATGCACCATTGGCTTCATTTGATTCTTTAACAACAAGATCATCATTGAAGACATCATTCAGCATATCCTTGGCATGCCCAACTTTAAACATTTCTTTTGACTTCTAGACAACACAATGAGTTTTAAACATGTATCATAATAAGTATAAAAATAAATTAGCAATATAGTAAAAAAGAAACGTTTAAAAGTTCAAATTAACAAAATTTACCTTTTTATTCAAAGTGACACCATGTTTCTCCTCAAACCTCCTTTGCACTCTGCTGTAATCAACTGCAATGTCACGACCACCAAGCTCATGCACGATTTCCAGCAGCTTTAACTTGTTCTAAAAACAAAAAAAGTTAATTAATACGCAAAAAAATATAAAAGGTAATTCTTAAGCCTATAGGCTTGAAATCACTAAAAAAACTCTCAATAACAACTTACCTTTAAGACCTCTGGATCGTTCAAAGCCAGATTGACTCTAGTACTATACTCATTCGCTTCTTTAGCTTTTCTAATTTCATCTAGGTCCCTGGAAGCAACTTGATCGTGCATTAGCTGATGTAACAAAGGATTCTCCATGTCTTGGCCTTTGACTACAGTCTCTCCTTCTTCATTCTGCATCAACCTGACATACGGCCTCATAGCTTCTGACTGAATGAAAGACTTTAGCGTTTGGAATTCAAAGTTCATCACCACAGAGTCCAATTGCAAGGCTGTATCTTCCCTACAACAAAAAAAGAATGCTAAGATAGGCGTTAAATAATACATTAAAATCTAAAAAACAAAACAATTTATTAAAAACGTACTCGAAATCCATTTTCAACTTGTTCAAGTCATTCAACGAGTATCCACCTCGATGTTCAGCCGCTAATAAGGTACAGTGTAACAAATCTCCAAGAATCTTGAGTCTCTGTGCCGTGTCTAATCTCTTATCATACAGCATTGCAGGCGTAGAATCCATGTTAACCAAGCCTTCCATGTCTTTAGAGACAGAACTTTCAACTTTCTTGTAAGCTGGAGATTGTTTGATAACATTGAAGTGTTTGAGAGTCGTGTTGGCAAAGGTATTATCCCCATCAGAATAGAAAACATTGTCCTCCATGGTTGTGTAAGAAGCCTTACTCGTCAATATTGTCTTCAGATCAAATTCTTATAAGTTATTTGCAACATAATCTACAAAAAAGTTGAGAATAAAACTTGACTCTAACTCCTGAGCGTCAAGTTTTTCTCGACGTTGACAATTTTTTATGTATTTCGATAAATTTATTTTATATAAAATCTTGAAAAGTTAGTTTTTTTTCATGCTATAACTGTCAAGATGTCGGAAATGGACACAAATGATGCTGATACACCTCGTAGTGAGCCAAAAATGTTTACATTGAAGAAATGGAACGCGATTGCCACATGGAATTGGGATGTGGAATGTGATACATGCGCGATTTGCCGAATTCAACTCATGGGTAAGTGTTTGTTGTTGAGATTTATGTGTTTAGAAACGTGCCTCCGGTGCCAATCTGATTCCAAACAAGAAGAATGTGTTGTGGCATGGGGAGAGTGTAACCACTGCTTTCACAATTGTTGTATGTCGTTGTGGATAAAGCAGAACAACAGATGTCCGTTGTGTCAACAAGACTGGGAAGTTCAACGTATCGGAAAATAAGGGTTTCTTGTACAAATCATGTATATTTTGCTAATAAATTTATAATTTTACAAAGGAGATTGATTGACAACAAGTTTAACACTTTCCATACCTAATTTAATGCTGTTTTTTATGGGAAACTTTATGTTTTCGATATTGCCTATGGTATTTTTTAAGCTATAGGTCTTTGACTCTTACTAGGACTTTGCGTCATCTTAATCTGTAATTTATATTGGTTTGAGTACTTTATTTAGTCTATTTATAAGCGTAACACGAGATGTCGTAGAATGAGTATTGGCAGTAGTCGTTAGTATGGATAGTAAATGAGAATTCTCCACGTCCACAGATCACATTGACTGACATTCCAAACTTTTGTTCAGCTTGGAATTGAATTAAGCGTTTGCTTTCGTCAATGTCTGGGGAAATATTCTGCAAATTCAATGATAATATACTTCATGATTACTTTAAAGGGTTAAAATGTCAATAGTAAGCTCTTACTTCTCTTATGATATCACGCAGTTTAAAGTTGTTGCACATAGCTGTTCTTTGCTCCAATTCTGGAGTCAATGTTCTGGATCCTTTCATGGCCAATAGAAACGTCGACCTTCTCATTTTACATGGTCGGTGACAGTTGGCACAACAGTCATTCTGAATATGCTCTACCTTTATAAACAAAATGCTATTTAACAATTATAATAATATAGGTATCTAACTATAGTTTAAATTTTTTTGCTTTACCGGTGGAGTATATGTTTGTGGCATACAGGGGCATGGTAAAGCCGGCATTGGGGGTGGTGGTGGTGGTAGAGGAGGCTGTGGAGGGCATTGTCGAGGCAAACACGGTGTCGGGGGAGGACAGAAAACTGGAGGTGGGGGTGGCGGGCATAATGGAGGGGGTGGACACATCCTGGGGGGACATCTGGGTGGTGGTGGGGGTTGAGATTGGCATCCACAAGGTCGTGGAGGAAGCATACATGGTGGATAAGGTGGACATAGAGAAAAAGCAGTTAAGGCTGATTGAGGAAAGGGGTTCTGATTAAAAGTGTTGAAGTTGGGCTGGTTGAATTCTGACAGAAAATCAGAATTTGACACGAATTGGTCTTTGTCACTGTTGGATTCTGAATCGTCGTCTTCTGTCTCTGATTCTGAAATATTAAAGTACTACTTTAATTAGGATAGTGTTGAAATTCTAAATTATGACTGAAGAGTTGTTTCAATAGAGCGACCGAACTGTTTATAGTCAGATGAATGTTACAGTAACTTACTCTTATCATTCTTATCTTTACTCTTGACTTTTTTATCTTCAGTCTTCTCTTTCTTTGTTGTTGTATCTACAGCTGGAGTGTCCCACAATGGTTTGAAGGTATGAAAAGCCAAGAATCCGTTTCTGCCATTGTCATCATCGTCGTCTTCTTCAATCTTACCGTTTACTATCCATACACACAAACACAGTATTACTAGCTTGATCATGATTCTGTTGGCTGTAATAGACATCACATTGACTGACATTGTCATCAGAATTAGATTTACTGTCTTCCGCTTCATCGTGTGTTAATGTTTACTTTACTTTGTTTACACAAACATTGACACGGCATCTTCAGACGATGATTGAGACATGCACAACACGTCGTATGCTATTGCTCATATGCGCACTTCTGGTGTCATCTACCATTATTCTGGTTTTTGAAGAATACGTAGAGGATTCTGAGCTAGAGGCGTCAAGAAAGCTGCGGCAGAACGGTAAAATGATATACGCCAAGCCGGAAGACTCCAAGGTAAGGGGTTTGAAGCTTTAATGTTGTTTTAATCTTTTGTTATTAGTAAATGTTTTTTTGGGAAGTGATTTGCGATTTGAAATGAATATCTAATTACAGAAAGAAGTCCCAGTGACGACGATATCAGAATGTTCTTCAGAAGCTTCGTTGAAGTTGGTCGAAGAATGCCAGTCTTGTTCGAACTTTGAAGTCAAAGCTCTTAAGACAGGTAAGCTTAACATAGAAAGGTTTTTTATAATGATACAAAACTGTCTTGTGAAAACAATAAGAAAGTTATTGACTAAACCGTATTTACTTAAATTTAATCTTCTTCAACATACAGTACCCTTTTCAGACTACTGTAAAGACACAGGCTACTATACCAAGTTCCTGTGCGAAGCCAACAACCAGACCTTGTACACGCCGTGTTATTCGAAGCAGGTGAGGGCATTTGTCAGGTTTAATATGTTTGCTGGCATGAGTTTTGCCTGGAGCGTTTTGTTCTACAGTTTTGTAGCGTGGCGACGAAAGATCGTGGAGATGAGGGGATACTCCAGAGTGTCACAGTTTTTAAGTTGATTCTAATATTATTTAAGAGAAAACACGGGTGATTGTACAAATAAATGTGTCATAGATACTGTAATATTGATTTCGGAAGGAGGGGTAATCTAGTTTTTGTTTTTGAGGGGTGATGACATAAAAATGTATTTGACTAAATGTACTATACCTACTGATAAAAACACTGAAAATAATTCACAAACGACTATGTTAGTATGTTTATTACCCGCATGATAGACAATAAGTATCTGAGCAATGATGTGGCATTCTAATGTGTTTCTACTCATATTTACAACAATATGACCCTACTCAGCCATCGCGTCCATGGCTATGTTCTCTTTCATGGCGATCTCCGAGGCAGCGTCCACCTCCGTACTGTTCGACTTTTTACTTTCGTCCATCAGATTCAGACCCTTGGCGTGGTACAGCACGTAGAAGTCGATCAAGATGGAGAACATCCGAATGGAACAGTAGAGGAAGTGCATTCGAGTACGAAGCTGGTCGGGGTCGTATATTATACATGCTCCTCGTTCTCCACACACCTGGTCCCATATTAAGCACGTGGAGTCGATGACTGCGCCCCACAGTAGAGGAGATGGTAACGTTCCGAAGAACGACACTAAGAAGCCTTGGAGGCCTAGGGAGACTGATCTCATCTCTGGCGGTACTGATCTGAAAGTAATATGTGCATGGTAATCTACTGTATCTTACTATAATTTATTTTGAAAGGTACATTCAAGTAATACAGTATCCTGCGGTTATTCTGGTACAAGTATTTTCTTACCGTAGTAGAATTAACATTCCCGGAACTACAGTAGTACCCGCGCAGAAGGCTCCTATGACTACTGTAGCAAAGAAGATGTACTTCATGTTTCGACAGTCATCTCTACAGTAACTCTTCTTCACGATACCTCCCGGTGCACAATCACATTCACTGAATTCCTGAACATAATAGTTATAATAATATAGTTACCGAAAAGTAGGTACAGTAAGCAGTGTATAGGATTTGAATCTGGTATTATCATATAAGAAGTAAAATTATAGTATATTAACCTGTTCAAATAATTCTATGCCCCGTACCAAAACAAATTTTCGAGATTATGGGCACAGAATTATTTGAAAAACATAATGTTTACTCACTAGCAAATGTGAATCCACGTCTACCACTGTAACATGTCGACAACCGGCATGACAAGGTGAGTAAAAGGGATGCCCTGAGGCGTCGCAAACTGGGAAGAGCTTGGCAGATTCACAGCCACATTCACGGTTACAGGTACGGGTGTAGTTGAAACCGGTTTCACTAAAAATGGTCGATTTCTTATTCCAAAATCACTGCTTTGGGCAATAAAATATAACAGTGGCAAAGTCAAGAAGTATAAAAAAATCAATCAATTGGTTTGAACATATCTTTAAAAAACTATTGAAACTTCAAAAATTATGACTTACACTCCGCTCTGCCCAATCGAGTTGACTACAGAGTGACATCCGATGAAGCTTTTGGTCAAGAACATACTCGTACTGAACACCGAGCATACCAAGATGTAGAAGGCGGCGGATCGACCGTTCAGCTTTAACTTCTTCATTATGATACCACCACAGAAGGTGCCGCAGGCAAAGCCCAGTACTCCGAACATGGCTATAATATAATCAGTTAGGCAATTTCAACTCCCAGTAAAACCCACTAATATCAAAGAACCCTAAAAGACTACTGTAATTGAAAAATACGGTTAAGACGGTTAATTGCTACTCACCCATATACATGTGAACTTGATACTGAGGGATGCCAAAGTGATTCTCAAGGTACTTTGGCAAAAATACCATATACCCTTTGATGGCCAATATGTCCATCACTCTACCTGCCACTGTCCCTGTATATACCTTGCACTTGAGGACAACTTTGTAGGATTCGACCATTTCTAAATACATAATGAGGGCAAATTTAGGTATGACTTACTCTTAATGTTCAGTTGTTCGTCTTTGGCGTGACGATCGAAGAAGGACAACTTCAGTTTCTCTGACTTTGTGCCCTCTTTGTACACTTTGTTTCTAAAACAATATTTTAAATTTAGTGCTCTACTATTACAATCATACATAATGTAAAAAGTTACACTTACTTTCCGGAGGACTCTGGGAAGAAGTATAACATCAGAGAAGGTAGTACAAGTACAATTCCTATTACCAAAAAGCCCAACCACCAAGCCCCAATCCAGGTTGGATCAGCTCGAGTGAGACCAGCTGGAGGTGCGGCGGGGAAGGTAAAGTAGACTCGATTGACCAAACTTCCAATCATGAATCCACAAATCGGCCCCAGAATCTTCACAAATGACATAAACGCTGAAATTACAGTAATTAATGTTACAGTATGACTAAAATGTAAACGTTTCTTCATATTACCAATACGTACCTGACTAACTGTGTTAAAGAAATAAACAAAAGTAAGATACTCTTACCAAACATAAGCGGGGTGCTCTTGTTCTTGACATTGTCATCAATAAGGGGTATACCAAGTGACCAGGGCATAGTTCTACCAACTCCCATAGCCAATAACGCCAAGAACATTACGGTAAGAGGTCCTACATTGGAAACTGGCGCCGAGCATCTGACTTCTTTCAGTACGTGTCTGAAGTCATTCACCATCTTGTGACAGAAGGAGAACGGTGCTATGGCTGCACGTCGCAACGTTCCCAAGTCTTCATCTTTTAGTTTCTTGCGATTCTGAATAAACTTCTGAAGAGACTTGATCAGATCGGCTTCTGTCTCCTTCTTCTTCAGAAGACCGTCCATGTGGGCCAGAATCTGAAATGAGAGCGAAACTTGACTCAAGTACTTGAGCAGAAAAGGAAACTTGAAATGCCGAATAAACAAAATTTTGTAAATTTTTCAGAAAAAAGGTTATATCCACCAAAATAAACGTACCTCTGATATCAGCGGCTCATCGAACGAATAAATAGATTTTGTGTGGTTACTGTAACTTATACTAGTCTCCTCGTTCCCACTGCCATCCAGAAAATCAATGATTCTCTGTCGATATCTTCCAGGAATACGATCTCTCAACGGTGCATACTCGAAGAACTGTCGTATCTCGGCTTTCTTGCTCAGTAGCACACCGTCAGCCTTCAGTTGGGCTTCTATTGTAGAGGTATTCAGAGAAGGGCGGGGTACCGGGAATATGAAGTTGGGGGATGCTATGAAGATGTAACTTATTGCTATCACTACAGTACCCGCCCCAATCCACTTGGCACGGTTACCACGAGAGCCAAAGTAGGCTATGAAGATCACGGTGGGGATGTAGCTGATGTCATCTGAAAAGTAAGGTTAGTTTTTAGGTAATTATAGCCATAATCTACTTTTTAGGATGTTTAATTTATAATGAGCGAATTTTTACAGCAATCGTTTTAAAGCTTCTTAGCTCAAAAAGCTTGAACTATACCTTTAGAACCAATTACAAAGTCTGTTACCGAACTATACGAAACTACTACCTAATTGACCTTGTTTCAACTACAAAATACAACGTTTGAAAAGCTTATTTTTAAAAACAAGCTTATGTAGTTCGGTCAAAAAGTTTGTAGAACTGTTTTCAGCTGCTTTTTCTTTCATTTTTTATGAAATTCATAAAAATAAAGGTAATGTAAACAAACGAACGTGCACTGATTAGAAACCCAGATAACTTTGAGGGGATCTGAAACTGTCGCTCGATGTTCTGAACGGCCGAGATCATATACGAACTGCCCGTGCTTTCTAGGTAACAAACAAAGGCGAAAAGTGCCAGAAACACATGGATCCGCTCCATTCTGAAATTTTCATTTAGATAATTTAGGTAATATAAGTAAAATTCGAAATTAAGTCGCGAATTTTTTTAAAAACATATAAAAATAGGTAATAAAGCAGGTAATAATTGACTTTCAAATTCTGCTTTTAGTTTTTATATTAACATTGTCTGAGAAAACGTTAACTTTAACTATTAATTCAGAATTTAAAAATTTCATATTTTTAACGCTTTAAAAATATGAAAGAAAGTTATTTTTATGTAAAAAACACAATAATCTACCATTACTTTCACGAATTTCAACCACCGAAAATAAAAAATGTCATCTCAAATAAATAGCGCCAACTAGTGGAAACATTATTACACCTTCCACGTTAACTGCCCTGAAGCAACATCTTTAAACACTGTAATAAAAGATCGACAGCAGAAGCAGTATTCATTAAGGCTGGGGTCAGAACTGTTTGACCTCGGGCTCGCGATCGTTTCGGACAGTTCGAAGTTAACGAGAAAAAACGACTGACAAAGTAAATTCATGAACCAAACACCGAAGACGAGCGAGATCGATTCGAGAAAAAGGAGAAATGCCGTCTGAATCCCCGCTCGTCTCGCGACTGTTTATGTCTCGAAACATATTGTAGTAGAAGGGGAATCACAATTAAGTCGTTCAGGGCTTACCACTTTCAAACAACCTCTAAAGATTACTGTGTTGTAAAACAACTGTCATTTTAGTTTGGAAAATCCGTCTAATCGTGTTGTTGTAGACTTTTTACCGTGGTATCTTTAAATCCCACAAACTCGCGACTCTAGATCTCCTTCCGATCCAAAAATGACCTACATCTCGAGTTTACAGTCAACCAACAGTGAATGCTTCTTGCCGAAGACTTTGTGATCTTTGTTGACGTCATTGTTTGCCGAACTCCCATTCTTTTTATTAGTCTTGTTGTTACTTTATTGATGTTTTTAGAATAAGTGTGAAGGTTATAGCGTAAAGGTTTGTATTTTAAAGTTTTCATAAGTCTTTTCGTCATTTTTATTTGAAAGCACTCAGTTATGTTTTAATTATTGTTTTAGCTAATAAATCGAGCATAAAAACCAAGAAAAGCCCAAATAATGAAATTCTAGCTATTTTTCGAGCATATTTTGCAAACTATAACAACATTAAACTCCAACTACTTGACTATTATCGTTTTTATTTTATATAAACAATAAAATATGTAAAATGTCGTTTTCTATTAGTTCGGACATAATGCAAAGTTAAGAAACGTGGAATGAACATCGCTGTCTCGGTGAATATGATACAACACAACAAGCAATACTTAACAATAAATAAAGCCCTCTTTGAAAGAGTTTTGTCATTTGATGCTACTCAAAGATCACGGATGCAGTTCCTGAGCTGTGTCGCGACGTATCAGTTTGGGGTGTTCATTCTCGGCGGAGCTGGCTTCGGAAGGCAAAGGTACAGAGTTGTGTGACCCCACCGTGGAGCGATTCTGAAGTATGTTGGACAAGTTGTTCACTACTTCAGCTGGAGCGTACTGGCGCAGCATCTGATTCTGTTGCTCCAGATTTGTTACCTAAAAATTATAATAAGTAAAAAGTTATCGAATTTAACAAGTAACGTTACAAACTAAATGTTTTATATTAATATAAACCACAAAAAGTCATATTTAAATGAAGTTATGTTTTACTTCAACAAAGTTCCTAAAGTTTACCTTCGCTTCCAAGTCAGCTATCGTCGTCCTTAACGTCTCAACCTCTTCCCTAACTGCAAATGTCAAATGAGTCTTCACAAGATCCATTGCTTGTTCGATTTTGTTGTCAATTGCGACAACATTGGCACCCGCATTTAACAAACCCATGTTGCTCGACCTAAAACAATAAACTTCATCTTTTTTGATTAAAAAAATTATAAAATTAAAGATATAAAGTAACAATGTTTAAAACCTCACGATTATGCTTTAAAATAGTTTAACGTACCCTTCAGAAGCTTCTTCTTCTAGTTTATTCAAGTTCTTTGCCGATGCAGAAGCCGACAATGATGGCTGTAAAGGAGCCGAAACTGACGGTCCCGCAAGTGGTTTGGAGACCTGCTGAAAACAAAATGTGATTCCAACAGTGTCAAATACAATAACAACTAATTGGTAGACAAAAATATTGTAGTTAAAGTCGAAAAGGGCAAAAAAACATCAGAAATTTCCACCGATAATAATCGATATAGAAAAGCTATTACAGAAAAACATTTAAAAAACAAATTAATTAGTAAAATGCATGCTTAAAACAAAATAATACTTAAACATATTACCTAAAATAGAAAAATAAACCAAGTCAACTTACTGCATTAAGATTCGGTTGAAACTGAGCGATGGAGGTGACCACTATGGTCCCTTCTCCTATCGTATGACTAGAATTAGATGGTGAAACAGTATTAGAAAGAACAGTTGGATTAGTATGCACAGACGATAAAGGTACAGTAGAAGGTGTGTCGCCAGGATGAGACACTGTCGTGGACGAAGGCGTCGAAGTGTCAAACACCAAGACTCCGGCGTCTCCGGGCTTCTGATCGGGCTCACGATAGTCCCAACAGTCCCAACGACCTCTTGTAAATTGTCCTGGCAATCGAACCACCTGTAAGTGTTTATGTTAATCTTTTCCATTAGCCGAAAAAAGTAAATAATCTTACACCAAAAAAACATTTCAAGCCTATATCCTCCTTCTTAGAAAACTTATAATCAAAAGAAAACGTTAAACTAACTTCTGTTAGCTGCTTTAACAAAATCTTTCAATTTAAAGCAGTTGTAAACTCTCAATCCAGTTAAAACTTTAACATAGATAGCCATAAGGGTAAAGCCAAACCTAAAGTCACAAAAAAAACAAAAGTCACGTTACCTGAAACCGAGGGCCTTTCTGAGAGGCCATCATCAAACCGGCGGTCATCAACGCAAGCTTAAGCAGTTCGTTTCACACTCATCTAAAACAAAATTTGAATTGTTTGTAATTAATCTCGCAAAAACGAAAAGGAATTCAATCTTTTGTCGATAGAAAATACAACGAAAAACAAGAAATTAGAAAAATGCAAATGTTTTCGGGTCGGAAAGCAAAATTTTGGCATTCTGTTTTAAGAAAAAAAAATATTTTTTTGATCGTTATCTTGGCTGTCTGACTTCTTGATTCGAGTTTTGTAGTAATGAATCATTTGCGGGAAAAATAGGTGTTTTAAAAAGGTCTTCATGTACAAAAAGCGTGTGTAACATGGGTCATGTGTAACATCAACGGTGTTTTATTGATGTAGGTGGTTGAGATGTGTAATTAAAATAAAGCCACTCGGTTTATAAACTTTGTATTTGGGTAAAAACTTTTGTATGTTGTACTTATGGCATATATAACCAGAGTTTTTTTAAAATTAGTTAAATTGTTTTCTAATTTGTAAAAGTACATTTATTGTTATCAATTCCACACTTATAATTATTATCCAAAATTTGTAATCACAAAAAAGAAAAGTGGGTAAAAGTTGCTTGTTGAGAAGATTTATGTTATTCTGATAAGATTACCACGTTTTGTAACGGTTTGACTTTTGACCAAACTGATAACCGGTTTTTTAGTTGTTGTATATTATCTATGTCTCTGCTGTATTAGCTTGCAAACCCTCTCAGAAAACAGACGAAAACCGATTATTGTAATGATAATTTTGGAAGTTGAAAAAGTATTTTACTGATAACTTTGGAGGTTTGGGAAGAGCTTTTATAGCGTTTGAAAGTTGAAATATGATTGATTTAAATTAGTAATCATGATGATTTTAGATAAAACTATGCCTTTACTGTCATTTCGTCTACTTTCTCCTCGTAGTGGGCTCTTAAATTGTCTGGCAGGTGGGAGTTTGTACTGATAAGTTATCAATTCAATTTTTGGTTGGTAAGGGGGAGAGTTAGACCTTTGTAAAGCTATGGTACATGTTGCAAATTCAGTGAAAGAGAACTTTTCAAAAATAAAAAGTTGGAGTTTTGATTTTAAATTTTGAAATTTTTTATTTTTATTAAATCAACGAAATCGACTACCGACCGGTCGGTTTTACTTTTATGCATTGGCTTTGGTTGGATTGCATCGAATCCGTGGCCGCAACTTTCTTATCGGGGCCGGATTTCCCCAACCAATGGGTTCAGATTAAGATACGCAAATATAGGAGTTAGTAACACCTTATTAATACTTTATTTTTCAATTTTTATGCTAATCTTTTGCTTCATTGTGCTGCAATATCTTACGTTTTTTATAATAACTTTTTTCTAGGTATGGCTACAGTAAAGGTCTCAGCCGGACTGAATCCAGCAGCACTAACTTTACCAGATGCTCAGATTGTCATAGTTGGAAAGCACAAGCTTTTGAAACAGTTATCATTTGACGATGGACTTCAAAAGAAGCTGAATGGAGTTGACGATAAGTTGTTCCAGGCCGCCATTAATCAGATTCAGCCAGGATCTTCTGTTTCATTGTATTTGGATTTGGCCAAGGTAGGTTTTACGCTTATGTTGACGTTTACTAATGTATTTTTGATGTTTCATTGTTCGTTTACTATATTCAAACTGTTTCGAAAAAAGTTGAAAAGATGTTTTAGGTAGTGTCAGTGTCGGATGAGTTCAGTAGGTGCAACAGTCCTTCGAACTCAAACGAGATCTTTAAAGAATTAAAATCTTTGAAGATTGCCAAAAGCGCCAAGGTAAGCTTTTTTATATCTGATGGGTTGTGCAAACATTGCGTGGTTTTTATGGTTGTCTTAGAAATGAAGAAGTTGTTTAATTTTTTTATATTAACCTTAATTATACATGGTTTTATTTGTCTGTTGTGTCACTTATCAATGGTACTAATTTCAGGCATTAGTAGTCGTGATATACTCAGAGTTTGAGAATGTTCTGGCTTCAGTGATCGCTGTAGCTCGTGCTTTCCCAGCGTACTCAAAGAAGACACAGTTGAAGCAGTTTGAGGACATCCAAGTCGAAGTTGTCGTGACTTCTGAAGGGAAGGTGGGCTTTTAAAGTTATTGGATAGCTTTAACATTAATCATCTTTAACTCAAAATTTTAATTTACAATTTTTTTTAATTCAGTTTTAAGTTTTGTAAAATATTTTCTTGGTTTTTTATAACTAGATGTTATTATAGGAGCTAAGCGATTTGGATCTGAAGTTTTTGAACTGGATCAGCGAAGCTTCGCGAACATGTGCCAAACAAATCGATGCACCGTGCAATGAAATGAATTCAGATGTGTTTGCTGAACAAGCTCTGAAGATTGCTGGAGGACTGGGCGTACCTTTGAAGACAACTGTCATCAAGGTAAGAATGGTAGAATAAGCAGTAATTTTCTCTCCGAATTTTTTTAGTAATAGTTTTTTAAATTGCGTAAACGAAATATCTTATTTTAGGGTGAAGATCTTCTATCTCAAGGCTTTGGCGGTATCTACCATGTAGGTAAAGCAGCCGATCACCCACCTTACTTTGTGTGTCTGTCCCATAAACCAAACGGAGCGACAAAAGACATTGCACTAGTCGGAAAGGGCATTATGTTTGATACTGGAGGCATGCAGATCAAGACCAAGACTGGAATGCCTTGTGAGTTTAAAGTTTAGTCAAAATATGTATTTAAATTATGATTTTTTGTTTTGTTTTATATTGTTTATCATTAATATTTTTTATTATTTTTGATGTTTATAGCCATGAAATGTGACATGGGTGGAGCTGCTGCTGTCTTTGCTGCCTTCTGCACATTGGCACAGTCTGGATTCAAGCAGAATCTACATTGTTTGTTGTGTATTGCTGAGAACAGTGTTTCTCCAAAGGCCAAGTAAGTTTTTCATAGGTATTACATTAGTCGGAGGTAGCATATTTGTTACCTAAAAACTTATTTTCAGTCGACCAGATGACGTGATAACAATGCTGAGCGGAAAGAGTGTCGAGATCTCTAACACGGACGCAGAAGGTCGTCTCGTATTGGCCGATGGAGTCTTCTACGCCAAGAATGTCCTAAAAGCAGATACCATCATTGACATGGCTACCTTAACTGGAGCTCAGGCTTATGTATCCGGCAGAATCCACGCAGCTGTCTTGTGTAACAAAGAAGACACGGAGCAGAAGGTGGTGAAGGCTGGCAAAAGGTCAGGAGATCTTGTACATCCTCTTCCATACGCTCCCGACCTCCACTTCTCTGACCTGAAGTCGCAGATAGCTGACATGAAGAACTCGAACCTCGGGTCGATGGAGGGTCCTCCGAGTGCCATCGCGGGTCTCTTTATCGCTTCCCAGATCAATTTCTCGGAGGACGTGGACTGGATTCATGTAGATATCGCTGCTCCGGCCTTTAAGAATGACAGAGCGACTGCCTTCGGCCCGCCTTTGATCTGTTCGGTTCTGTCGGAGTTTGTAGACATACCTCTGCTGAAGTGAAGCACTAACACCACTTGTAACTTGTATACTTGGACTTGAATAAATTACTAACTTGTGTTTTTGTCTTGGATATTGATTTAAAAGTTGAATTTGTCATATTGTTTAGGCTATTATAACATTAGAAGAAACGCCCTTTTCTTAAATTATGAATAATATCATAGCTATGACTGTTTTTTGCAAATGTTAACAACCGTTGTGTATTTTTCCATTCGAATGTCTTGGACAGTCTCACACAAACAAAGGTGTTATCGGTAATCAAAGTTTATGATGTTGTGTTAGCTGTTTTGGAGTGGGGATTAGTGTTGACCCTTTGTATTGTGCACTTGAAGCTGGTTTCCCTTGTTTGTAACGTTTCCCATGCCAACATGCTTTCCTTACTCTTTAGAGCTTCACTTCTTCAAAATGAATTATATTAAGTGGCTGTTATGGTCATGTTTCTCTACTTGTATATATGGCAAGGTGGCCTACGTCTCCACCCTCACATCTGACTCGTTTTTGTTGGCCGCGGAAGTGTTAGGTATGTTGCTGTAGGTTGTTTCGATTTACTTTGTTTTTGGATATTTTACTGTAATTAGACAACATTTTACAGTACTATATTGCAGTAAGTATTCACTTTTTATCAATTACAATATAAATTTCAAAGTGAATTAAAAATATTTTAAAGTAAAACACAACACATATTTTCAGGATTTTCAATAAAACAAGACCACCACAATGTGGAGTATCTTGTAGTATATACGGAAGATATATCTCAAAAGTCTGTCGATACCCTAACACAACATGGCATCAAAACTCTCCTGGTTAAAAAGCTAGATACACCTTATAAAAACAATCATACCGCTACTAAGTATCAGGTAGGTAATTTGTTATAAGATATTTTAGCTGAGGTTTGTAAAATAGGGAGATTAGTCTAACGATTTACTTTTATCAAAAAAATTTTAATTTTTTTTAAATTTAAAAAGTTATTTTTGAAAAATCAAATATATTTTTACTCTTCAAAACTACAATTTAGTGTTTTACAGTACACAAAAGTGCATTTGTGGTCGTTGACAGAGTACGATACTCTAGTTCATCTTGATTTGGACACATTGGTGGTGGATAATGTGGAAGAGGTGTTCCAATGCGGAGAGTTTTGTGCTGCCCTCAGGCATTCTGACATGTTCAACTCTGGAGTATTTGTTTTGAAACCGAATTTAAAGGTAATTTTAAGGTTAAATTTAGTTAAAATAGGATTATTGCTTTATAAATTATACATGAAGACGTTTAAAAATTTTTTGGAAATGCCTAAAAATTATAAAAAATGAGTCATAATGTTTAAAAGTTTAGGTATACAATGACATGTTGAATACCGTACAGACCGCTTCGAGCTACGATGGTGGAGATCAAGGCTTCTTGAACACTTACTTTTGGCAGTTAAAATACGCTCAAATGTTTGGCAGTAACCACAGCGAGTGTGTTCAGAAGATACGACGACTGTCATCAATCTACAACTATGACATAGGCATGTATTACCTCAGTAATCGTATGTTGGTAACGCCCAAGATCATCCACTATACCTTGGGTCCTATTAAGCCGTGGGACTGGTACGGGTACCCCCTATTCGATATGAATTGGAAATGGCACGAGATTCGGCTTAAGATGCACCATGAGTTCAGTCAGATGACTTGGGAGATATACAACGACCTGACCAAACTTATGGTAGCCACTTTTATTACTATAGTGGTACACTTGGTACTGTTACGAAACAGGAATGCTGTAAGGAGGATTACGGTATGCAAGCCGTCGGAGACCGAGCAGGTGTTGGTTACTGTAGCCATTATGGTCTGTTGTCCCATCATAGCATTCTACAGTACTCCGAAACTAATCCTACCTCAGTTAGGGTGGTTACATTACACTACGTACTTGGTATGTTCATATTATTCTTTTTACTTACTTTACCATTTTTACAGTACAGTTTTATATAATTTAAAACTACCGTATTTCAGATACTATCGACTCAACTACTGTGCCTACTGTACTCTAACTACCTACGTACCACCCACTATAACATGATGGCGTTCTTTGTCGTGTCTATCTATATGTTCGTATTCAAATTTGTTTATTGGTTTGTATTAGTGTCTATAAGCGTTCCTACTGTAAGGTTTGTGACTTGTATTGTCTTGATATTACTGTACATTGGACTGACCTCAATTTTATTGCATTTTATTTTATTTACAGTTACAGTAACCCCGAAGAAAGTTAAGAGTGCAGAAGATGAGATAGAGCTGTTACATGGCTAAAAGTGACTACTGTAACATATTTTAATAAAGGTATTGAAGTAGAGGTAAAAATTGGGCAAAAGAATGATTTTACAGTAAGACAGTAAATGTATTACTGTAGACAATATGGTTTGTAATCTGTAGCGGATTACTGTAGACGGCAGTGCGAAACATAGAGATTACGGTAAGATAAAAAATCATAATTGGTAAAATTACTTAGAGTAAAGACGCAGTAGAATTGCAGAAACTAGCAAACTAAAAAAATTTAAAAAATATCACATTTAAAATCCGGGTTACTGTAGTTAGTACGAAGGAACACTGTCAAAGCCCGGTTTTGTATACATAAACTCGGCGTTCTGCTGTTCCGGTGACTCCAACGTGCTCACGGTGGGACGTTTGGGGATTCCTATGACTTGACTGAGGTCGTGTTGTGAAGTACGCAAAAAGGATTCTGGAGGAAATTCGGTTTCTTCAAGATTATCAGGTACAAAAGGTCTGAAAACAAATGAAATTGGCATCTTATTACAACACTGATAAGGGACCCGGGGACTTCTGATACTATTATTATGTGAAAACAACAGTAAGCTTACAGTAATAAACATTATTTTTAAAAACAAAAAAAAATTTAAACTTTGTTTTACTTCTATATTAGAATACTCTTAGCTACTTCAAATTACAAATAGTACTAATCAGCACGCCCGTCGAGAACGTGGGTACCTATTCTACGGGGTTGTAAGAAGGCACCAGATCAGTATGAGACCTGTAAATGGCATGTCGCGCTTTCAGTGGCGTTGGGGATGGTACTGGCACAGGATCGGGCAACATCTGAGCACGGCCAAGAGTGTCGTCATTGTGCTGCACCACTTTGACAGCCTCAGGCTTGGGCAGCAGTTGCTCATGTAACGGCGAAGGCACAAACTTTTCTAACAACAAATGATAAGCGAAATTCAAAAATTTATTCGAAAAAGCGAAATGAGGCAGTAATTATATTATGGTACAGGCAAGAGCACGGTAACAAACAAAGCTTACGGTTTAATTAAGATATTATGCTATGGAGTAGTATGCTATCAAGTATAACATTGAAAGTGGCAGAAAATATAAATCACACTACATACAGAGTCGTATTTTAGACTTGATTAGAGTAATAGTTAAGGTAAAACGAAATACGACAGAAATGAAAGTAAAGTCAAACTAGCAGAAGTGACAGTATCTTTTGAAAGCGTCAGGCTTAGAAACAAAACTGAATACTTGAAGTCAGTCCACAAACTTATAGTAGATATAACCATTAAGCTTACAGTACTCTATAAGCCTAAATCTTTAACCCCAGATACTGTAACTTTCAACCGGATAGGCAGAGAGGCATACAACCATAAAATGGCACTCGAAACAAAAAAACACTTCAAATCACTCAGGAGATGCGGTAGGACGAGTTGCCACGCTCCGTCCGCTTCAGACTCTGTAGCTCGATCTCATCGTCGGAGCCGGGACCGTACTCCATCTCCTCGTTGATAGACTCTTCGTACGTCTCCTCTTCGTGGAAACTGTTGGGCCGGGCCAGGCCACGGTCCGCGACAGCCACGCGACGATCCGACTCGTCCACACCTACAACTTTTTTGTTGTTCAAATCGTTGGCCTCGGCGTAACCCGCACGATCCCGATCCCAATCATTACCCAGATAGCGTCCCTTGTTCAAGTCGTCGTCCATCTGCCGGATCGTACGATAACCATGAGTCATGTCTGGAAGTGTGGTTAAGAGAAGGAATGGCACATCAAGTTAGGTTAAACACATTATGGTATTTTAGGTAACAAACCATACTTTTTTAATAAGATCATAAGAAAATATTGTCAAATGTAATCAAAAACAATTGCAAAACATTGTTATGGTCGGTTTATCATAAAAGCACAAACTTTCATTTTTCAAACTTTAAAATCTATTATCAGATTCAGAAGAACCTCAAAATCAAGCTTTCTGTTGATAAAACACATATTTTTTAAAATAATTCGTCGTTTAATCGCACCATACAGTAAAATGACATAGTAAACATAGTAAAAACAAAATTAGTTACCTAATTTAGTCTTAACTTTGTCATTTTACAAAGAAATGTTTAATAGTTATGTTATTTTACAAGAAGAAACCATAAAGAGTAAGAATGTAATGTCAACTTACCCTTCTTTTGCTTCTTCTTCCTTCTGGCGCACCAGTAGGCCAGCAAGGATAGCAGTGCCAGTAGAGCCAGTAGTCCCAAAATCAAAAACAATAGCCATAACCTACAATCATATAAGTTTTTAAATAAATATAATATAACTATAAAAACTTCACTTTACTTTAGTGTGTTACATTTACTTGAAGAGGTTAAGACTTTAAAAAGAAATAAACTTGAAATTCGAAAACTTACCACAAGGGAATGGCAGCAACTTCTGGAGTACAACACACTCGACCACAACACTCGAGGCTGGTGTCACATCTGAACTCGTACCTCTCGTTTCTGCCTTGCACATTTGGCTCTTCGAAGATACACAAATGGAAGTCGTTCTCGTAGCCTTGGTACAATATACCGGTCGAGTCTCGCTGAGCCGCGAGTTCCGTACCCGACATTCTTGGCTAAACAATTTTTGGTTAAAAATCTTAAAATTAGCCTATTAACGTCAAAAAATTGTCTCGATCAAATTTATCCGTAAAATGTAAAATATTAAAAACTTTCGAATTATTACAGTGTTAGTACAACGCGTAGTAAATTAGTTGTAAAATCTTGCGTATTATAACTACCCGTTAAATACTGCCCGTCTGTAAAAAATAGTTCAACAAACATTTCAATGTAAAAACAGTAAAGTCTTTGTTATATAATAGTAAAAATGCGTAAATTTTGTTAACTTTTTTTAATTCAGTTTTATTTAAAAGATATGAAAAATAAATAAAACCTATTTTAAGCCTAATTTGAAAAGTAATGAAGCAGAAAGTGAAGTTGTATAAAATCCCCCACACTTAACCTAATTCATCACGTTAATTGACAAAAACCGAAGATTTTATCAAAAACTATAAAAAAATAAACAAACATACATTTTCTGTCATTTTAAATAAAAAACAGAAGATACAGTCAATATCTTACCAATACAGATTATTACTATACAACACATTGTTATACAATGACTAATAACAGTAGCAAATGATAGTAAACACAAACATAGCGCAAACAACAACAGATTGTTTATTTCCGAAAAAAGGGCTGATTGCGCAGGGAAGGAGAAGGTCGTGAACAGCTACCAAAAAAGAATGTCATTACAACCCGCAATCACCCTCCCCCCCTCCCTCCCAGATTCCCGTTTCCAAACAAAAACTTTTTAACGTTAATGAGTTAAAACAGCTTGGTTCCGTCGACGAATTACATCGAAGACATACAAAGTGACATTACAAGTGACATTTTAGGTGACATTGTCTTATAAATGACATTAGGTTGCTATAAAATACGTTGTATTGTTATAAATAGCATCCTTGAGGTATTGTTTTCAGGAAAGTAAGTATTTTTGTCACAAAAGTTGCTATAGTCTCTACCACCCCTCCCCTTACGTATCAATGAGCTTTTAAAAAATGAGTCTCTCACCTCCTTTTTCATTCACATAAAATCACCCCGCCCTATACAGAATACATTGTTAAACTATAGATAACATTCAAGCAACAGTACATTAGCATAGATAGGCTCATTGTGACAAAACCTTCAATTATTCAAATTGGGTAACGAAGAAGGTCAAGATCCCCCCCCCCATTAGTTGATAAATTAGAAATTAAACCAGTTTGGTCTTCTGTAATTCGTTCAAAGTTGTTTTAGGTTTACAAAACCTTCTCTCTCAACAAGTAGTGTAAAGCAATTAGAGTAGTCATAAACGCTTAAATTAATTATTTTTCAAGAACTTTCGAGTCATAACTTAAGGCCAAACTTAAAATATCAAGAACACCCTTATACTTGACAATTAATGCTCTAAAATGTCATTTTTTATAATAAAAGTCTACATTATTCTAAATCGTTTAGCTAGACGACTCAACCCTTATAATCAAGTCTTTAGATAACAGATATTTATTATTAAACCTCGATTTGCATGACTAATACATAGGTATGGCAATAATTAAGAAGTGATAACAGAAACAACAAGTTATGTGAGAGAAGAGCTGACCAAAAGAGTATTACAACTGCAGCCTCGATTAACATTCCTTCCCCCAACTTTAAAGCACAGGAGAAGGGACTGACTCCAGCACTCTCGACTCTCGAGAACAAACAAAAGGACAACAACCAACATTATTTTACCTGTACAAACACGTAATTAATATGACCCTAAAGTGTGGGCTGATAAGGTGATTAATAGGATCCCTACTGAATTGGGTTGATAGATAAAGGCACGTAGAAGAGATATTCAGAACATTTTTTGAATTTTAAAGGATTAAATACAAATTTACTAGACTTTGATCAGTATCACATTGAAAGGAAAAGCTCGAGCTGACTCAACAACTATATAATTTAGTATAACAGACTGTGAGCATCTTTGAATCGAAAACGGCAAAATTGTACATAACATATCAAAGTTTGCTAATTACATTAAAAGGAACGTTTGAACTAGAGAAATCTAACAAATCAATAACATTATAAACCCTAGCACATAAGGTAAGTGAAGATCAATAAGAGGAATGAGAGATATGTCATTTTGAAGCCATTCGACGAGTTGCAACGATGAGAATCACAGACGCAAATCAGTTCGTCTTGAGAGCCAACTTCTGATGTAACTGTTTTACAAGTCCCCATCTGAATATCGACTGACAAATGATCAATGCAGTCTCGTTTCACTTGGCCAGCTAAAACAAGTCCTTGCAAGGTAATAAAGAATGCTTAAAGGACTCTTATAAATCATATTCTGGTATGTATTCCAGTATCGACTGAACGTAAATTCACTGAACCCATTGAGACCTCGCGCCCATTGAGACCCCGGTCCATTGAGACCCCAAACGCCCATTGAGACCTTAAAAGGAGGTTCGGCGGAGACTTTAGGGGATTCGGCGGAGGCTTTAAAGGATTCGGCGGAGGGTCGGCGGAGACTTTAGGGGATTCAGCGGAGGGTTGGCGGAGACTTTACGGAAAGTGTCGGCCTTTTTAGCCCTACCCACCTTACTCCTGCTCTTTTTAGCCCTACCCGACCCTACTCCTGACCTTTTTTGCCCTACCCCACCTTGCCCCTGACCTTCTCACCCTTACCCAAGTCTACTCATAACTTTTTTAACCCTACCCTACTATGCCATACCATCCTACCTAATATACCATTAGGTAAAATAGGTATATTAGGTAAAATAGGGTAGAGTATGGTATAGTTTGGTATAGTACGTTTAGTAAAATGGGTATGGTATAGTTGGGTAGGGCTAAAAAGATTAAGGGTAAAATCGGGTAGATACCCGCCGGATGCACAAAATTCTCCGCCGAATTTCTTAAAGTCTCCGCCGAATCCCCTAAAGCCTCCGCCGAACCGTCTAAAGTCCCCGCCGAATTTCCTTCCAAGGTCTCAATGGGCTTTTGGGGTCTCAATGGGCGCGAGGTCTCAATGAGAGGGATTCACGTAAATTGTTTGTCGTCTCTTAAGTTTACACGAGTACAAGTCCAAGTAACCTACTTTGCAAATGCACAGTCTTCAAACAGTAATTCCCAAGACACGCGCTTGTACATCTGGCCCCATCTTGACAACGAAAACATTCCGTTTTATCTGAAAAACAATAAATAAACAGTCAAACAATCATTTATATAAATTTCATGTATCCAAAAACACTTCAACACTATCATTTTAAAACAACTCACTCTTCTGTGCCGCGACCAACCCAAGTACAAGAGAGAATAAGAGAAGAATCGGCCATCGCATGTCTAATCTGAAATCGAAAGTCATAATCTTTTATACGAATTATGAATCACGACAAGTATAATATGATAATATCGAAGTCAAACAAGTAGCGTTTTCTTCAAAAGAATCTTTAAACGGCGGCAGTTCAACCTCCATTCATCCCCCAAAAGCTGTTGTATGACAAACAAAACATTGTTTTACGCGGTTAAAAGTTTCGAAACTCGCTAATTGCCTTGTAATCGAAAACTAGGTATAAAATACAAAAATGAATAATTACAAAATAACTGTAAAATAACATGTGTACAATATTCTCCTTTAGAAATACAAAAGTAATAAAAAAATTAAAATAAAAAAAGCAAAAAAAAAACAGATACCAATTGAAATACAGCACAAGTACAACGAGCTGCCAAACGTGATATAAAAGTATTTATATTAGTAACGATCAAATTATAATTTAATGTTATTCAACGCCGTCTTCGCTCCCGTTCCGAACTTCGATTCCTCCGATGCCTAAATTCAGTAAATTAGATTAAAGTTTAGTTTAATATTCTTCTTTTAGGTATAAAACTTTGCAAACAGAGAAAACAATTACAAATTTGCAATTAAGAAGTGCTTAGTCAACGGAACCCTTAACTGCATAAACTAATTGTTTTGGATCCAGTTTCCCTTCGGTCACGCAAACTAAAAACTGATAAATTCTAATTTTCCACTTTAATTCATTCAAAAAACACAAAACGCATTCGTTCAAAGCGCACTTCCGTAAATCTGAATTCCTTTTGGAGTAAGAGTTATGACTCAGAACAAAACCTTGTTGACTACCTATTTTTAGAACTCATGCAGACACTTATAGTGAAAAGAAACTGCAGTTAATTGTCATAGTTTTGAAAAGTATGTTCAAAGTAAAAATATCTGAATAAACTATTCATTCAAAAACATCACTATAACATCCTCGTTTCAAATAAATCCAAAAAAAGCTTACCTAGAGGGAGAATCCTTCCTCCTCCTAGAGTCACGCCTTCTCTCTTTACTATCAGATCTACTTCGTGATCTCTGCCGACTTCTCGACCTTGAGCGTCTTGACCTTGTTCTGCTGCTCGATCTGCTCCTTGATCTCTTGTTCTTCTTTTTTCTTTTCACTTTTCTTATCTCTCATCAGTTCTCCTTCCTCAAATGTCGCCAAATCCCGATCCATCTTTTGTATCAGCTTCTGGCGATAATCAGACAGCCTTTGATCTACATTTGAAGCCAAATCGCTCTCCAATTCGTCTTGATATTCCACTACCTTCATCTGTAAATAATAAAAAATTAATAAAAAACAAACAATCTTTAAAAAACCATCAAGATATGCATCAAAGTCAAGTTAAAAACAATAAAACATAAAATATAAAAGATTACCTCAATATCCCTCAAAAGCCGTCGTCGTTCCTCTTCCCATGCTGAAGACTTGTTTAGACTATCCGAGTATTCTTGACTCTCAGTTCGTTTAGGCTGCTCCAATGGTTCAGAAACTTCTTTTAAAGGCTTGAAGAAGCCTTTTGGTTCATTCTTAGCTTCTTCCACCACCGTATCATGCTCAATCACGTCCCATTTCGATGAGACATCGTCCATAACCTCCTACAACGCATAAATAATAAAATATATTAACAAGATACCTCAATAACGTTCACTTTATCCGGCTCTTGTGTTTTATCTTCTATTGGTTCTGCTTGTAAAGGGACTCCATCTATATCATCATCCTCTTCCTCACTTTCTGCCTTGTTATCAGTTTCTGATGTTGATGGCATTACAGAGTTCAACGGAATACCATCAACATCATCTTCATCGTCGCTGTGGCTCTTTGGTTGACCAACCTAAAATTGAAGTTGAAGGACATAATAATATATGTTTGTTGCCTAAAGCAGTGAAGCCAAACCTAAACCATTATAACAATATAAATAAACGTTTCTTACCTTGACTAACCCCAAGAAGATATTCTGTAGATTAATGAGAACATCTCGAGGATAAATAGAGTTGTCCTCCCAGTTCCTGAAGCATAACATAACTCTTTGTCTGAACTGTTCTGCTTTCAGCCTGCTTTCGATTCCTTCCAAAGTTTCATTCAACGATGTGAAAATGGCAGTTAGATGTTCTTCAAAACAATGTCGATACTTGAAGACGTCAGTCACTCGTATACCACAATTCGCCAAAATGTCAGCAATAAGGTATAACCGTGCTATCTAAAATAAGTTAACTTAGTTCGACCGCACTGGGTTTGTACGAGCAACTAAACATTCTCAAAAGTATTCTATCAAAAATAAGACAGTTTTGTTACCTAAAAATGAAAGTCAAACAACATAAAATCTACCTTTTTATGCAACGGTGTTTCTTTGATAGTGAGACTTTGATATAAACACTCCGAGATCTCTTTAGCACAGTCAGCATGATCAACACACCAAAGCATTGCATCTCCAATCGCCGTTCTTTCAGGTTTCAAATCTCTCAGCAAGTCCTGAAGCTCATCCCACTCCTTTTCTGACAAAACTCCTCTGACCTTCTCTGGTTCTGCATCTTCTTTTGTCTCTGGACTGTCGCGTTTGTCTTTAGCGGGCTAAAACATTTTTTACATTTTTAATCAAAAGCCCTTATAAAGATTGTTCAATACACTCAAAAACTTTAGGTAACAATTAAAGTAAGAATTCAAAAAATTTAGGTAATAACTTACAGTTTCAGGACTTTTCGACTTTTGTCTTCTTCTTTCTTCGACTTCTCTGCTCTTGTAAGCCTTTTTGTACAATTGTGGAGGCATACCAGCTCCAAGCAGAGAATGTGGAGGGGGTTCCCACCAACTTCCACCTTCGAACATCTTGAACCTCTTTAAACTCCAGTTGAACCGGTCTTCTCCATTCAGCACTGAATACTGTCTCCATCGATAATACACATGAGTCGGGTGGGTGTTGTCGAATAAAAATCTAAATAAACATTTTTTTACTATTTATATTCAATTTCTAAATTAGTTTAGCTGCTCCCAATTAATAAGACACTATTATAACAAATAAACGTCACATTCTTCTGTTATTAAAACTTAATGCTTACCTGTACATAGGATTAGTTCGTTCTCTTTTCATTATCAATGCTTCGAACATTGGTCCTTCTCGAATCAAAAACTCGATTACACGATGAATCAAGAAGAGTAACGGCCTAAAAGTAAAATACAACAACAATATTAGACTTACTTTTCGGTTGGTGTTACTACTCTTACTACAGCGTTTCTGACCATCTGAAACATTGATAATTAGCAAATTTTTCAACATAACTTCCAACAATCAAAATATAAGTTAATAGGTAATAAAAAGACTTTTTAAATACCTAAAATATGCAATATTCGTTAAAAACCCACTTTGTCGTAAGCTTTTCGCATTTCCTCGCTCATTTCTGCCAGTTCTGTCAGTCGAGGAACCTTCTCATACTTCTTTAGAAACCTTCTAAGATCGTATTTGTCTGGTTTAGCATTAAAAGGCAATCCAGAAGGCGGATCCGGCATAGAAAAATCTCGTAAACATTGTGGTATAAAAAAAGGCTAAAATAAGTATATAAATACTTTGAACAACATGTCACTTTACAATAATTTACTTTTACATAAATAAAATAAAAGCTTGTTTCAAAAAATTAGCAAGTAGTTTTAGGTATCATATATTATAAAAGCCACGTTATCAATATCTAATACTACTTACAACTGACGGAACAATGATAGGCTTAGCCCACGATGCTCTAATACAAGACGTGCGTATTTTAGCTCCTGGCATCACTTCCATAGCTCGTTCAGCGTCTGTCCGTGACATAAAAGCCACGAATCCACTCAATAAAGGACATTTCCTCATTTCTTCTGGTTTCGGATACAGAATCTTGGCCGAAGCCAACGGTCCGAAACTGCCGAACGTGTCATACAAATCATCCAGTGTTATCTAAACATTAAACTCCCATAAAAAGTGTTCCAACTTACGTCGGGATCCAGTGAAGCCAAGTACAAATTGGTAGTGTTTGGGTCTGTGTCAAATTCACTATGACCAATGCTAAAGGACTCTTGGACCAAACGCTCCGCGGCCGCACTGTCACCGAACTTGGACTTGAGCTGCTGGCGACGTTCTTGACGCAACTCTTGAATCCTGCAGATAAATAAAAACACCGCAAAAGCGGGTTCTTCATTGAACGACTTTGATAATATTATCTCACTGTTTCAACTCCTCCTTGAATGCCTCCAGATTGCTCTTCCGCGTGCTGGTCTCCTTTTTAGTACCCGGCTTCGGGGGTCTTTTTGCTCCGTCCTCAACCACATTTCCACCACCCAGCTGAATCTGAGAAGCTACCTTCTTCTGCTTGGCTTCCAATATTATCCTTTGACCAATCTTACTCGCAATTTCTTTTGCTTTCTCCGGGTCTACCGGCTTGGTCACTACTGACAATGGCGCAGATTCTTAAATTTTAGATAACAAACTCAAAACAAGATTATTTTGAAATAAATTAATTTTAAACATATAAGAACCATAGTCTTGATTGAGTTAGTGAAACAAACTTAGATCCTTACCAGTTTTGCCAGCATTGACGATTTCGCCTCTGACAAAAGCATTTCCTATTTTTAGTTTGGTGCCATCAAAATCTTCTTTGAACTCTTCAAAGACTTGCGACAAACGCTCCTTCTCATCCGTATCCTAAACCTCAATATGTCATTTATACGGCTACAACTTACATTACGCCGCTTTAACCGTTCCATTTTTATCTAATGAAAGTTTACAATTAATTGATAAAGAAGTTTATCTCCAAAAATTTACGTTTTTAGAACGCACGATAAAATATGGTACAAAGCCAATGACGATTTCGTGGTGGGACACAGTGGCAAAAATTGATGAAACTTACAGTAGTAAAAAGATGAAATAAGATGTGGAAAAGGAATACGTATAAAATATATACGATAGTGAAAAATTTAATTATATTATATTTATCTCAAAGTCAGCCATTATTAATACAAAAATTTAGTTTAAATTATCGTTGTTAATTAGAAGCGGCATAAAAAAATTTTTTTTAAAGATGCTTTAAGTTTGCATTTCTATGTGTTTAATTACTCTGTCTCATAAATATCTGGGCAATTTCCCAGGTCTACAAAATGATAATAACTTGTTGATAAACAATTTTGCTTACGACAACAAATTGAAATGTTTTGTCTCTTTACACGTCGCTTCCCAAAATGTTGTATAATGTTTGTACAGCGATTAAAAAGTAACGTTGACATTTGGGAATGGAAATTATGCTTTCCATATGCATGAGACAATGTTACCACAGCAATCACAAACCGTTAAAATGGGGGCGGTCGTCTTGACAACCTGTCCTTGCCTAATTAAAGATGGTCATTTAATTATGTTTCAAGGGTTTGCCCCGAGGGGACGTGCCGTTCTCGCCATACTCTTTCGATCGCTGGCTGATGGATAAGTTTGTAAGGGCAGGGGGGGGTTCGGCCGTTCATCTGTGCTCTTTTCGTGGCGTTGGAGCCGGGCCAAGAGCCGCTGCTCACTCTTTTTCATAGGTCGCTCTCACCCCGCGCGTCTTTATTATTGCCAGTGTCAAGTATGCTTTGGATTCACAACATCCCAATAAACTTTAATTGGGCGCTCTAATTAAACAAATCTTGCAATTCAGCTCATTATGGAGACATCTGCTTTAGCTTACAATAAGACGGGTAGGGTGGGGTTCTGTAGTTATATTGGAGGATAACTAGATGGTTTCTGGATATTAATATTGTTGTTTCTAATTGGGAGAAGTTGTTGTATTGTGTTGTGGTGTATAATTGAAAGTAGTCGTTAGATTGTAAGAGGAGAGTCTTACTTTTACGACTAATTTAGGACACTTTAAAAAGCTTACACTACCTTAACTTTTACAATAATTCTTGTAATAAGTATCCCTAACTTTACACATTGTACTGTTTTTCCCTTTTCCCAACCACTTTCTGACCAAACCAGTAAAGTGTTTCGCCACCAATTATTGTTTTTTAAATCTGTTAATTCGATTCTGATGACCATCCTTCGCGCGTTTCTTCTTCATGTCACATTACATTAAACTTTTATATTTATTACCGTCACGAATCTTAATATTTTGTGGGAAGAACCGGTCGTATTGGCATCCCCCGATCAAATCCAAACATTTCTTTTGCAAACACTTTGATCCGCTTTAGGGGTGCAGGTATTGGGAGGTAACGGACTGTAGTCTTTAAATGTATTTTGGAAAAGGCTGTATCAGGAAGGGTGTATCCTTCTAGTATTTTTGTAGCTTTAGAGGCAAAAGTAAAGCAATATGTAAATTTAAAACCAGGGGCTTAAAATATTTTGAGAATTTGCAGACTAGTTTGTGATGTTGTACTTGTAAGCCAGGTATCGAAAGAGTGTTGTTGATCACAAAAAACGGACAACAATATTGTTGTCGACTCTTAATTGTGTTTTATGTTCAGATCTGATAAGCGCGCCTTCCAGATCCCGCGACGTTCTCCCCAGAGACGGAACATCTGGAGGCGATGGATGGATAAAGCAAAGTTAATTCTCTGTCACTCGGGGTCAGGGGTAACAGCGGTCAGTTACCGCTCAGGGAGATAAAACATAGGGTTTTGGCGGGCATGGTAACAATATTAGTTGGAGTTTTGATTTGTATTAGGAATATTATAAGGGGGTTTTTACAAGGTATTACTGGTAGGTGATTTTACTCTAGAATTAGGTCGCAAAGTACTTCTATTTAACTTATAGCAGTAAGCTAATAGTAATACGATTGGTTTCGTTGCCTCAGTACGACGATAATACCCCAAAGAGTTAAGACAGTAAATATAACAACCAGCTTTCCACTGGCTACAACAATAACATCGCGGTTGGAGGTTTGCGGTAAAGCGGAATTAGCTGCGTTTGATTGAGTGAGGCGGGCTAGTTCATGAGTAATACTCAATTTCCGCCTTTGAAGAATGAAATTTGAATTTTTCACCGCCTAAAGCCTTTCTATTCGCTTTCAGACGATCAGTAGTCTTACAATATTATTCTTGCTTTAGTCATCTTCAGGTTTAGTAAACATTAAAGTAACTGGCAGTGAAAGTAGTATTAGTTATTAAAGGCTTGGGACCTTAGGTAATATTTTAAATTTAATTTTTAACTTATTTTAAGCTTAAAATCCAAACTCAGATTTCGAAATTTAAAAACGCTGACAGTCCTTAAAACCCTTTTAAATATTATTCACTCGCTGCCAGCCGTTTCCATGCTCAATAACTGGAGGGGGGGGGGGGTGTTCGCGGTCAAATGCGCGACTCACTCTAGTTCCAGAGGTCAGCCATTCCGAGTGTAAACATGGTTGAGTCTAGAAGTGTGAGTAGATCTTCTCGACCTCCCACCCGATCACCGCCCCTCCAACAGACAGCCGCACTTTCAGCATGCTAATAGCAAAAAGCTGGATGCCGTTCCTTTTCGTGCGTGAACTCTTCTTTTCGTCTGCTTATTATATTATGGGAGCAGTCTCATGAAGATTTTGTGTTGACATATTTATATCCTTTAATTGGGAGAGGAGCGCCGGTTTTAGCCGTATATTGTCTTACGTTTGTATAGCGGGGCTCTGTTTTACTGTTATAATGTTGTAGATGGCATGATATGAAACTGGATATTTGGTTTACGTTTCTTAATAAATTGATGCTCTAGTCAAAACTATATATAATTGTCAATACTTTTGTGAAAAAGATCCATAGGAATCGTGTCTTGCAAGTTATGAACACTAATAAGCCCAAAGTTTTGGCGGCCAAATGACTCGGGCCAAGCTGTTTTTAATCACGATGATGAATCAGTTTTATCACTGTCGTTCTTGCTGTACAATTTTTCTTGAAAACATACCGCGATGTATATACAACAACAATACCTGAGCGGCTTACTCTCTGATTTAAGGAAGATGAGCCCTCTGCCGGCTTCGGAGTTGTTCCAGCACTTCACCGTCGAGCTCGACGCCGGCCCCAACGCCTTGTTTGGGGGTGGGGAGAGGGTGACAGGCCATGTTAAGATCAAACTCAAGAAGGCCACCGTCATCCAGGTCATTCGGATCCAGTTCAAAGGCCGCGCCTGTCTCAAGGACCACAAAAAAGGTCATGACATCGAAAAGGTGAGGTATAATTAGGTCTTTTGGGGTAATTAAGAGACATAAGGTAATTAGAGCCCATTCGAAGGCATAATCACCTTAATTTGTTTCTTTTCATTATGACTTTACTTTCTGTCACGATGACTGAATTCATAATCAAAAGTTTGTTTTTCTTGTCATAATGACATTATTTTTTGCAGATTTTCTTCGACAAAGACTTTGTTTTACTTGAACGGCCTCCAGGCAAGCCGGATCCAGGTCATTTCCAATGGAAGGCCGACTTCGATTACTCACTTCCATTTGAATACCTGCTGCCAGTCGGTTGTCCCAGCTCTTTCGAGAGTCCCGACGCCTTTGTGCGGTATTTTGCACGAGTAACGTTACAAACATGCGAAGATCAATCGGTAAGAAGAGTTTCAAAATAAAACAAACTCAGAGCTTGAAGACATTCATATTAACAATGACTAATCTAATACTATAATACTTTGTAATGTTACAATACTTTTCAAAAAGCTCTTATTAATATTTAAAGTCCCAGTAAACATAGGAGTTATAAAAACATATATTGTAGCCCATCTACATTGCAAAACGTCACTTCTCAATATACGATTTGGAATCTACCGCTGCAGTAAACCCTCAATATGAAGAGCCCTATACCTACAGGAAATCCTTCAAGTCCTCTGGATGTTGTTGTTGTAAACGGAAGATCTACATGGAGTTGGTGATGCCAAAAAGAGTATTTCATGCCAATGAGATACTACAGTCAAAGCTTATCATTGACAATATTTCTGACACCAAAATTGCTCAAAATGTAAGTCAATCTACATTGAAAAGGCCATTAAACTTATGTTTTAACTATTTTACACGGTTTCCCAAACATAAACAAATGCCATTTTTAAATAGACCTTAATTTAGCACACTAAAACTTTAAGAATTCCAAAGTTACTGTAATTTGTAATCTAACTTTAGATCGCCTACAACATAGTCGAACGTATCTCCAAAACTGACACTCCTGACAACGAGGTCCAGAAACAGCCAGCTCGAGTCATTAAATCTGGAAAAGTTAATGGAGAAAATGTCGAGAAACGGCGAAATACGATCGTCATAAATCAACTCGACTTCCCCGCAGCTCCAATTTCCATTTCGAACTCACTAGGTAAAGAGTTAATTAAGGCTGAGGAGATGCCAAACATATAGTTTTAATAACCAGACAACAGGAATTTTGCTGAAAATGTTAGCATAGTAAACTGATAACCTTTGTTTTACTAAAAGGCATTGAATTTGCCTAAAAGCCAGTAAAATACTTTTTTTTTTAATTTTCCTTTTCTTTTTGATATTTCTGTCTACTTTTTTTGACCAACTTCAAATACTAAATCCTGTAAAATCTTATGTCAGTTAAAAATACTGTTTCAGCGTTATCTACACTGCCCCGAGAAAAGTCGACTCCAGCATTGTCACCCGATGACTCTGCCACCAAACTCTTCGATCATCCATCAATTATATCTCAGTCCCGGAAAGAGCCACTGTTTGACATTCATTATGCACTACAAGTAAGAAACAGCTGGCTTACAAACTGTTTTGTTACTTTTTCTAAAGTGCAAACATTATTTTTTCACGTCAGATCTATTTTTAGGATACGAAAAGCTTTTTAGTCCCTAAAACATAACAATGTGTCAAGCAATATACATTATGATAACTCAACCTTATTTCAGATTCTAATAGGAAAGTTCCTGATAGAAGTTCCATTCACAGTGAAACCGACTGACCCAACAGAAACAAAGTCTGCCTTCCAATCTCCCAATCACTCTTCCAATGTCGTCAAGTTTGTACCTTCACAAGTTACAGAAATCAGCACGTCTGGCCACGGTGAGAACCGAGATCCATTCGCTGAACCAGATGAAACTGACAAACTCTTTGTGGGAAGTGCCGACTACTCATTCGTACCATTAGTACCAGTCTATGAGGCCATTCCAAAAGAAGAGAATGAGTACCAATGGCCTGCATTGGGAACATTCGGTCCTAATAACAAGTTGATTTGGCATCCAGATGAGAAAGAAGAGAAGGAAAAGAAAGAACAAGAAGCCAAAGAACTGAAAGCTCAGAGACAACGAGAAGCCAAAGAGGCCAAGAAGAAGGCCAAGGAATTGAAAAAAGAAAAAGCTGATAACAAAGAAACCGAACCTTTGATTAAAAATGACGGTCTTGCTGAAGAGCCTGAGGCATCAACCTTAGTTGGTAGGTAATATTATGACAACTTTCTGTTGAAACACTTCTTTAAACTCACAGAAAGTAATGCGACTGATAAGCTTTCAAAATAAAGCTGATTTACCCTAATTTAACATACTACAATATCTTAACTTGTTAACAATACAATTTTCAGTTGAAACAACAGAAGTCCGAGCATTAGAACCAACAGAAGATGGTACCTTTGTTGAGACTGAAAAGCGATATGTCGAAACCCGAACAGTTAAAGTAATTGAACAACATGGAGATGGAGAAGCTCAAATCACAGAAACCGTCACGGTGACAGAAGGCCATGACAATGAAGCTCCTACCAAAACAGTGTATACAACATCACACAACGAACATCTTGACTACACACCTCCTAAAAACACAACAGAAGTCGTTGTCAAACAGGAACCTACTCCAGAAGTTCAAATCATCGTTGACGAGCCAGTAGCTTCAGCTAATGAAGATGAAACTACTGATAATGCCCCTGGACCTTCAGTTGAAGTTAACGGTTCAGAAGCTGTCAATAACGGTGCACCTGCAGCTGAAGGAACATCAGGAGAAGCACCTCAATCAGTACAACAAGAACCCACGCCTGATGTTGATAACACTTTGATCAAAACAGAAGAACTTCCTCACAGTCAAAGTCCAGAAGCCGAAAATGGCGTGGAAAAGGGTGGAGAAGATGCTCCAATGAAGAAAGTTGTCAACGAAATCAACGGCGAGATCCAGCGAACAAAAGAGGCCGACGAAACTTCATAAATCCAATATATCATATCTTGTCTTATCTGTCTTTCCAAGCTTACTATGTCTCTAGTCCCTGCGTCAGAGTATTATATTGCCACCTCGAAGTTTTATATCTTCTATCTGCAAATTGTTATTAAACATTTCAAATGGAGAACGAACAAAATAAAAAGTAAAACCATGAATTTCGGAGATTAAATGTGTCTAAAGTAATATCGGGGTAGTGTGAAAGTGGTGGTGAAGTTTAATAGGATTTGGAGAGAAATTTACAGACAGAAACCTTTTATGAATACAATTTTATTTTAAAGGACATTTATTCCAGGAACTTGTCTACAAATAATCTCAATTTTTCAGAATAATTTTTTGTGACACTTCGTCATCGGAAAAGCCAATCAATAACTCGCTTTTAATGGCTAAAATAAGAAATAAGTAAAATACTGGAATTGATTTGCAAATATTTGCTATTGGCCTTGAATTCGTGTCCAAAAAGTTTGTTAAAACGGAAGCCCTTTGTGGAATTGACTTTTGTTTAACGATATTGTTTTAGATTGCGTTTTGAAACGTTTTAGAGAGTTCATATAAAAAAAGACTTGGAATAATTACCTTTGCTTTCAGCTTCTAATGGAGGAACAACAAAATGGGGTTGACTCTCCGGCCACAACGTTCAGCAATGTAAGTTCATATTTTTATCTGTAATATTGGTCTTTAGGTATCATATTTGGGCTCATCCACAGTGGCTGATCCAACTAACGAAGCAGAAGTATCTCAGATTATATCTCAGCTGAATGAAGGCATGAAAAGTGGTGCAATGAATGTTAAAGTAGCTGTACCTACACATTTTAGTGGGCAGATAGGGTAGGCTTTGACAAATCGGCTCTTTAGTTATGAAAATTTAAAATTTAGACTCTTTTGAAGATTTTAGATAACAACATGTTTTAATAGATTCTTGAAGAAAGCATTAAACAAGATATAGATAATTTAAGACGGATCATTGCAGTTAGTCAAGAGTTTAGGTAACAAGCACTCAAAAAATAAAGGTTTTAGGTAGTAATTGGTCTTGTTAAAGATTTTAGGTACCACAATTATTTTATAAAACTAATAATACAATATTTTTAGGCTGATAGACGGAGAGACAGAACAGCTCATTCGGGAGTTCAATATTGCTCAGATCAGATGTTGTACTTGTGGATTGAGAGGGACGAAACAGCAAGAATGTATTGCATTCTCTTTTACTCAAAACTTTGGAAAGAAAGATGCTTCACATCAATGTCACGTGTTCCGATGCCAATCTGCTCAGGCTGTATGTTATATAGCGTTCTTACATTGTTTAGTTTTGTCAATGAGTTGAAAGTTGTAATTGATCGAAACGTTAATTTATGCTGTTATAGGTTGGCCACATGCTTCAATGTTTTCAAAAAGTATTCGAAAGTAAAAACCCATCAGCCCCAGGGGTTAGTTATGAAGAAGAACACGAGTTTTCTATGTACCTAGAGGTCAAGGTAAGTCAATCTTACTTTATATTGTTTTAACTTTAGGTATTGTTTTTGGATTTGTTAAGAAACTGCGCTGTGTCATAAAGAGTTGAAATGGTTGAAGACTGACTTTAAATTAACATAATTTCAGGAAGACGATGACAACGAAGCTGGCTTTATCTTTTCTCCAGTCGAAACGAACTGTTTCAAGTTTCGAAAAGACAGAAAACGCAAGTTTGTGGCAGTAATCAAGCAGACCAAAGGGCCCAGAGATCTGTGTATCAGAAAATGTTTTGGGTTTCTATTGGCAGCTGGAAGGTATCTGAGAGAAAGTGACATGCAGCTACTTGATTCGCAGGAGTCTCAGCAACTAGACAACAACACCGTCTATCAAGTAGAAGCACCTTGGAATCCAAGAGCACGCAATTTTGAGGTTTTGAATATCGAAACGCCTAAGGGTAGGTTCTGGAGAAAATGAAATAGTTACTTAATACGTTATAAAGTTGTTAATTTTAAATCCGATGGATCTTCTTATGAATTTCTTCACATCACAAGGCAATCAAAAATTAAAAATGATATACTTACTCCTTCAGAAACCCGTGCCTTCATGACAGTAGCAGTAGATGTCATCTTTGATGGTGTGGACGAATCTGTGAGGTTCAGTATGGAGTGTCGGGCTCGCGTTGTTCATCAGATGGAGAGTTTCCCCTTCTCGCCTCGTGTTCCGGTCGTCGAGAGTTTCTTCATGAAGTTGATGGTAGGCGTTAATCTGTTTCTTTTTCTGTTTGTTTATCAAAAACAACGTTTGTTTCTGATTTATTGCTCTTTCGGAGCGTTAAGGGCTTTATTGTTATACAAAATTTAATTTAAAACATAATTTAACGATTTAAAATGTTTTTATATTGAATTTACTGACTTTTAAGGGTTTTGTTGTTGTTATTGTGAAGTTCGATTTTTAGAAATTTTTGATAAAAGTTTTAAAAACAAACGCAAAAGAAGATTTTTTGTTAAAAACTAATGTCTTTTTTAACAAAAATAAGATAAGTAAGGGATGGTATGGTGATTCGAAACTCTGAAAGATAAAAGATTTTTGATATGATCAGTTGATTATATTGAGTTTCAGGTGGTTGACGGAAAGTCGAAAATCACAAGTTTCGAGTCGGCGGCGCAAAGAGACCGCTCCCAAGGGATGGCTAATGGAAAATCATTAGAGAAGATGCCCATCCAACTTATTCATCCTACTAATGATGACGAGTCCGGTAAGGCTTGAATATTAAATATAAAAAGGATGATAATGGTCTTTAAGTTGCTTTATTTGTTTTACAATTTTAATTTTTAGATCTAAGGTAATCAAATTGTACTAAAGGCCGGTGAAGGCTATATTGCTTTTAAGGTTGGAAAAACATTATTATTTTATTAATATATAGTTACTGTATTACAGACAGCGACGAACCTCTACTCTCCGGATCTGGTGCCGTAAATCGAGAAATCAGCGAAGAAGTCCTCAAAGAATGGAACGAAATGATTGTAGTCTGGTCCTCGAACCCAGAAGAGTAAGTGCCAACCCTTATTATGCCATTTCCAGACGCCCACAAGTCCTGTCAGAACTGATGTTATCCAATGGAGGTATCCCTGACGTCTTACGAGAGAAAGTGTGGCCATTATTATCCAAAGCCGTGATCGATATTGAACTAGAACAAACGTATCACTTGTTGTTGGAGAAGGACGCTGTAGCCGAGCAGGTTATTTTGAGAGATATTCACAGAACATTTCCTGCACATGATTACTTTAAGAAGGCCAACGGAGAGGGGCAGTCGAGGTTGTACAAGATATCCAAAGCCTACTCTTTGTACGATGAAGAAGTCGGCTATTGCCAGGGACTATCGTTCTTGGCTGCTGCTTTGTTGTTACATGTAAGTCATTAATAGTTCTGTCTTTGATGAATTTTGATTTATCTTTGATTTAGTAAGGAGCATTACTTCAATATGGTTATTTCTCTTTATACTATCTATATCTGATTTTGTAGATGAGCGAAGAGAAGTCCTTCTGTGTGTTGGTCAGAATCATGTACAACTACGAGTTGAGAGACCTGTTCAAGTTAGGCTTCGACGCTCTTCACTTGAGGTTCTACCAGTTGCAGAAGTTGATCGAGTACTATGTTCCTGACCTTTACCGCCACTTCTCTGACAATAACGTGGAGACCCACATGTATGCGTCACAATGGTTTCTGACGTTATTCACGGCCAAATTCCCTCTTCAGATGGTCTTCTACATCATTGATTTGTTTCTGGCGGAGGTAAGGGCGTTTTTAATTCTGGTAATTAAACTGATGGTATCTTATTGATTTATGCATTCTTTTTGTGCTCGAAGGTAATCGTTTATAGTATTAATTAAATTTTTAAAATATAAGCTTTCATTTCAGGGTATCAACACTATTTTCCATGTTGCAGTGGCTTTGCTACAAGATACGAAGTCAGACTTGCTGAGGCTTGACTTTGAAGGGATTCTGAAGTATTTCAGAGTAACGTTGCCAAGAAGGTATCGTTCCGAAGCCGTGGCCAAGGAATTGATTGTGAAAGCTGTCAATCTCAAGGTAATCATTTCTTTTAAACATTTGCAATGTTCTTTACAATGTGATTTCAATTAAATTTGGAAATAAGTTTGGTTTTATATTGTTATTCTTCAGATTTCGCACAAGAAGTTGACAAAGTACGAGAAGATGTTCAGAGAAGCAAAACAGAACGAACTCGAGACTCTCGACCCCAAGGACAGACTGGAAAGAGAAGTTACAACCCTCAAGAATACAGTAATGAGGTTGGAAAGAGAGAACGATGACTTGGCCAGAGAATTGGTGACCAGTAAGATCGACCTCAGAAATAGATTGGACTTGGTGAGTTTGGATTCAAGCTTATAAACTGTTTGATTACAACTCACTGTTAGCAGTAAAATAATATCGTAAAGGTTGTAATATCGTAAAGGTACCAATTGTTGTGTTTATAGACCGAGGACAAGCTGGAACAATGTGTTATGGCCAATCAGCGCAAAGCCAACGAATGCAAAGACCTTCAGGATGAGATTTCCGTTCTAAGGGAGCAATCTGTATTGGTAATTTATCTTAACATAAAGCACATTTCTATTAGCTTATAGGTAATCATGTTACCGAGGTTCTTAAAATTTGTAAAACTTTATAGTATTATATATATTTCTCTAATTATTTTTTGGTTTTAGCTGAAAGAGACATGCACAAATGAGATGGACCGTCTACAAGGAATGCTCGGCCGATATGATACAGTATGCGGACTATTTGAAGCTGACAGAAGTGAATGTCGGAACAAGATCAAAGGCCTCGAGAAGTGTGTAGCCGGCTGTCCGAAGTGTAAGAAAGAGCTGGGCAAGGTAGAGGAACTCTTCAAAGTGGTATCACTGGAGAGAGACATTCCAGTACTAGACAACTCTGTTCATGGTGACAAGGTCAATGGCAAGAGGACCGAACATGGCAAAGGTGTCTATGGGGAACAGGTAAGCAATATCAACATAAATCTAAATGGTTTTAATTACTGGCGTGTAGATTTTTTCTTTTATAAAGTTGAGTGTACCTGTAGTTTAAAATAATTGCTACCATATTAACAATACTGTTCCAGAGCACCAAGTACCTTATGGATCTAGTAGCTGAATACGAAAAGAGCTTGAAGCACGTGGAATCTGAATTAGTGGAAACAAAATTAGCATTGGTCGAGGCACAGTGCCAGAATCAAGGACTAGTACACCAAGTAGGTTTTTGTAAAATTATGAGATAGTGGACTTTTCAACATGGATAACATGTCTGTTTTATATTAATGTAAAGGATGAAAAGAGAAATTTTTACATAAATCAATCTTCAGATGTCAGCCCGAAGCCAGAACTCTTCAGATTCAGCCTGGCTGAAGAAGACACTTTCCTCCATCAAAGAAGTCGGCATGTCCATCAAGAACAACGGAGCACATGCAGAGTAACCCTATTTATTTAATAACCTATAACAACATAGTTACTAATTTTTCTGTTGTCTTCACTAACCTTAAGCATAGATATTACTAACATTTGTATTTATTGACTTGTGATCTCTGAAACTGTCACTGACCGATGGTATTTACTCTGCCATACATGTACAATTCATGACAGCTCTTTAAGATCACTACCTTTGTAAGTTAAGTTAATGTAATTATATTACACTTGATTGTATATTTTATGACCATTTTAACTATTTACATTTTTTAATTATATCTTATTGTATATTTGACCATTTTATACTGTTTTATCTTCTCACAACCATATTTCACTTTATCATAACACCTATATTGTAATTGTATCCTATGCATTCCATTGTGACGGGTCTTGTTATCTACAACAGTGTTTTATATTTACAAAAACACAAAACTGTACATCTAAAATGATATTTTGTAGTTTTACAGTTGTTTATTGTAATATTTACAGTTATTTTATAATTTTCAACCCAAAAATGTTACTAATTTTATCGAATTTGAACAAAAAGTGGCAATTCTGGTGGTGAAATTGACGTTTTTAATTATATTGTTGTAGTTTAATTTTTAATACTTTCGCTTTTATATTTTTTGCTACCTATATATTGTAATTTAACGGTCTTTAGTGTAACGTGTAACTGTGAGCTTTGTAAGCCGGTGACAGTGCTACAATTGTTATAATCTCGATGTCAATGCAATTCTACACTTTGGACATTACTCTTGACTAATCTATATCGCTTTGTTAAATAAACTAACGTTATTATTTAAAAAAAGTAGGAGGATAATATGTTAACTTTTGACAAAATATCGCATTTTTGAATGAAACTAACCTTTTGTGACAAAAATAAGATGGTTTAGCATAACATAAACATACGTAAAAGTTAACCAGTATTCAGTGCGTTACGACAGATCGCGGAAGGTATTCGCGCTCAGTTATGATTATGTATATTACACTACTGTTAAACTACTATTACACTGCTGAACAATAGACAATGAACAAGTTGTTGCCACAGGTCAAAACTTAATATATTTTTGAGACCGCAAACCGGTTGTCCCTTACTGACGGACCCCTCCCTTCCCTTTCTTACATTACGTTACTTTTACTTTGGTTTCGTCGTTGGAATGAACGGCCTTTACTTCCTGCTGCTTTCACTCAACTTTGTTCTAGCCGGTAAGCTCTTTATGGCGTGTAATTACATAATTTTACTGTTTTTACTAAACTTTTCGTAGATATTAGGTTTCAATGATTGAGTAAGATAAGATAAGGTAATATAAGGTGTCATCGGCCAAAGAAAAACGTTTTGTGACAAAAAAAATCCAAAAATAAAAAAATAAAGTTATAAAAAGCAGAAAAATACGAGATGTTTTACAATACTTACCTTTTTTGAACATATATTACCCTGAACTTGAAAAAAAATTTAAAAAAATTTTTTTTAATTTTAAAATTGTAAAACTTACAGTAATTCATCCGGAATGCCAGGATCTTGACCCAGGGTGTCGTGATTGGGTGAGCAACAGTCGTGATCAATGTCGTGTAACCGGTTACATTCAAAGTAAATGCCCGCGAAGTTGCCATATTTGCATGAAGATACCTGCAAGTAAGTCAAGACAATATAACTTTTATATTTTTATGTTTTTTCAAGTCTTTTCGACATGTATCGACGGTGAAAAACAAAAAACGGTTAAAATTTGGCCAAATCAAAACAAATTTTTACAAATTTTTTAAAAGACGAATCTGTAACGAAATGTCACAAATTATTGTTTTCCTGTAAATGGCCGCTTGACGGAAATTGTGAAACTCGTTTATGATATTGATAAGCTAAAAGTCAACATAAACGTTTGTTTTTTCCTCACAGTAACAATAAACTTCTTAGAATTCGATGAGCTGAACGCTCCAGCGAATCTTCGTCCTCTCGGCTGGCTGATCGGAATCTGGAGATCCGAGCACGATGGAAAGGCCTTCTTCCCCACTATACCTAAGTTTACATATGGAGAACAGATCGAGTTCTCCATCCCGGATCATCAACTTACAGCCAGATCAGCCTTCAATTACACCGCCTTCGCCTGGAGTATGGATGGGAGTGAGGAGTTACATAGTGAGAACGGGTACCTGGTGGTTCAGAATGGCAGATTCGCTCTTACCACCGTCATGAGCAATGGTATGTTAGCATCGTTTAAGGTATTTTACATAGCTGTTTAGGCTTTGTAACAGTAGAAGAGGGAATGTTGAGCGGACAGAGTCTGAGGTTCCGACTGGTCGATATTGGTCGTATCTCGTTCAGTAGAGATCTGCCTGTTCATGATGTAAGTGTTTTGGTTTTACAGTATAAAACTCATTGTATAAGGTTTACAATAATATTACTTTAGCTTGTACGAGAATGGCGTCTAGTCAACCCTAACACATTAGAAGCTAGACTGTCAATGGAAACTTTGACACATGGTATGCGCGAACATACGACTATTGTCTACAAGAAGATATTCCCATAGACAAAAAAGATGAAACTTTTCTATCATAGACATGTCATTTTGGACAGAAAGTACGTAGAATTCAACCAAAATTTTGATTTTAATTGTAAATTGAATTCTACCTACTTTTTGACCAAACCAGACTTTAGATGACTTTTCTATATATTATGATCTAAATTATACCGGTTGTTGTAATTACTGAGTAATGTTAATATATGTGTTAAGACTATTTATAAAGTTGCTTTGAGTATCGTACGTCTGTCGTAATGTTTGTATATTGTATTATGGATAAGATACCTAAATTTATTAGTCGTATTAAATTGTAAAATGAAAATTGTGAGATTCAACTTTGTTATTGAAGCAAGTGGTAGATGGAGTAGAATGCGGTGAGGATTGAGGCAGTAGCGAGGGACAAGGTAGAGGCAGAGTTACATGGCTTTCCCTAAAATATACGTTACAGTAGGTTGATAATGCAATCAAAAGCTGAGACTAATATCATGTCAATATTAAATAACTTGTGTCATGCAATACAACTATTAAGTCAATACGTTTTATCACCAAACGATAGTAAAAGAAAGATTACAACATCACCTTGACATAGCAAGCCAGGAACATAGTGAGCCAATATTATTTGAAATACTTACTGGTTCGTCGTTGAAGCACTGGTACAAGTAGAGCACAATGCCCTTGTTGCCGATTCTTCTCTTACCGTCAACTTCTTCGTCTCCAGTGTAGGCACACTCTCTGACAATAGCTTCTTCACCCTCAACTCTCTGGATGATCTTACGGCAAGAGTTGGCTTCAGTTCCAGCTAAGGCACCGTCGGTCAGTTTGGGACAAGGCTGGAATGTCATAATGTTATGGCATGATTTAAATAAATATTAGAAAAGGAAGTTCATGTAAAGCTTTTGAGCTATACCAAGTTAAATTCTTCATGATACAGTCGTATTCTAATAAAATCAAAAAATATCTACGGTGGCATATTGGAGTAAGTACGACTAAAATACGAACCTTTTTGTATGTGCCCAACTTCTTCTCGTCGCTTCCTTCACAAACTTCTTGACCAGTAGTCAGCGAGTTACATTGATAGCAGCTGACTCCACCCGCTTTCCTGAAAACATTCTTTAGATCAATGTAGTACAACTAAGACATTCTGTCATTGAAACAAGTTACAAGTAACAATTAATATCCTAAAATGATTTTTTCAGCTATTTTTGAAATGAAAATTTGATGAGATTGTGCAAAAATAACTAACAACGTGTAAGTAGCTGCCAATTACTATATTCAAACTTATTCTTACTTTTGAGCTGAGACGACGAAAGCCGAAGCTAGGAACAACACTAGGCTAAGTCTAACGGAAACCATAATTGAATTGAGCTGAAATTACAGTATGATAATTTTATTATATATGTTATTATCTGTTCGCAACAAACAGCTATATCATAAATATTATGAAAACATAAAAATCTTTAAAGTAATATTCAAAAAATTATGATAAAGATTGACATTCTTTTAAAAATTATAAAATCTTGATAAAAAAGTAACATGTTTGAGTTAAAAAAATGTATATTAAGGATGTTATTGTAAACAAAACCAAGCTTCAAAGGAAATAATAAAGGCAATCAACCTGCTAACCAATTAACCAAAAGTATATTTACTCATTTATTGAACGATACGATCAGATTTGTAATGTAAAAAGTTGACCAAATCAGAAGGCAGCCATCTTCTCAGATTCTCGATGGCTACACGAGCCTTCTGAGTGGAGCGCGTCTTCATCAACGGCTTCAGAATTGTACCTCCAGCGATTTCTTTCAACGGTTCTGGTTCGTGCGACTTCTTAGACGAAATTTGAATAATCTTCTTGCACAGTTTTAACTGTAGCTCACAAACCTTTAACACGGTATGTTTGTAGGAGGGTAGGGCATTCTCTTTCGGGGAGGTTCTGAAATTAAGAAAAATTAGTCAAGGATAATATAATAATATATTGGTTACCTTTGTAATTTTAGGTTGAGTTTTAGTCTCTTTTCTTATTTACGCCACCCATAGCGCTAAAGAGAAGTACTACTTTAATGTAAAAAGTTAACCAGAAATAAAGTTTAGACCTCAAAAATGCCTAATACTATTACAAACCTTGATACTTCTTTAAAAGTTTATCTGATTTTAAGGTTACAGTACCATAAAACTTTTCGATCCATCTTAAGACTAAACCTTAAAAATCAACTTTAAACCTAATGCCAAACCCCACCAATTATCTACCCCCAAACTCACTTCAGCACCCGCTGTCTGAGTATCATGCTGTGAGTCTGAAAAAGTACAAAACAATATGCAGAGTAATATTGTGAATATAATGAAGCCTAATCTGATTAAAAGCCGCAGTCGGCCTTCTTAAGGATGGGGACCAGCTAATGACCACAAAGTCCTTAACTTAGTCAACAAATGTGGCGCCTTCTTCCTGTGTCGCGCATTAATCGACCGCAAAACTTTCGGCCCTAAGGGCTTGGCCGACTGTCATTAAGTGTTTTTTCATAGCGGGGAAAGTAGTTGGTGGGCAGAGGTTTTCAGGATAGAAAGCGTGCTATAGTCAAGGTAAAATACAAACATTTAAGCCGGTTTATAATAAGTTTAAATGTAAAGACGGTTTTGTGATATTTTGTTACCTATACCTATCTGAAACATGTTAACTCCGCGTAATTCCTACCCTTACTATCAAATTTTGACAAATTTAAAAAATGTTTTCTGGTAATAAATCAAGGTTGAAACAACAAAAACTGCTCAAATCTTTTAAAATTTTTTGTCCCAACTCACCTCAAGAAATGTCATGGCTGACACTTGACATATGATACGTTGAGTCAAGCCCATCGTTCTGATTCCTTTCTAATCGTTTAGCATTACCATCATTGTATTGTAAGCTCTTCTGCCATTAGGTTCTTACAAGCTCAACATCCAAACTCATCCAATGTCCAAGTATGAATTATCTCCACCTTTTCGTTCTTTAATCTCATCTGATCTTACTGACAAACTATATGTTATAATAGAGCCAAGACACAATTATATTTATGTGGCCACCATGGCCAACCTAGTTACAGCAAAGGTTCCAACAAAAATCATTTCTAAAAAGAGCCTTTTACAAATATGGAACACAAAGTAAAGCAAGGAACCTTTTTTAAGATCTTTTTACTCGTCGCACGTTGTAAACAATTTAAATTACAGTCATTGATCGCGACAAGTGACACATTTGAGACAACAAATTGTCTAAAATTTTATGATTTTATTTAAAATATTGTAAAATCATATAATTCGCATAAAATATTATTATTTTCCAATTTTCGGTTTAAAAAATAGTTTAGCATGTTATAACTTGTTTGTAGAGAGAAAAAAAATTAAAAACCGACTGAAACTTATAGTGTTTGCTCAAAATAAGCACATTGATATTCGTATTCTTTTGACCAGAACATTGTATACAATTATTTATTTTAACTCATAACACGCTCGCAAAATTAAAAAATCTTCTTTTTAAAAAATGTCTAAACCATTAATTTCCTGATCGAAGATTAGCCTAAACACTTCTGCCCTTAATGTGCTATTTGTTGAAAAAAGAGCGCTCCCTCTACCGGTTGCCAATAAAAAGGCCCGATCCGAAGAATAAAAAGAGTCTTCTTGGCCAAAAACTCGGCCCAAAAGTCTTTTTGCGTTTGCGTTCGCGAAGACAGCCAGCCGGCTTCCAATTTAAAACAAACAGACCCAATCACAGTCCATACCAAAGTGATGTCTTCATTATCAAAAAACAAGAGTTTGGTCTGGAAAGTGGAAGTTATGACTTCAAAAATCAAAGAATTATTTTTCTAAACAATTCGGTTTTACGTAAATTTAAAGTGCAAACTGACATGTAAAATACTGATGTAAATATGAAAAGTTAACGGTATAAAACAGTAAAAACATGGCAAATAAAACAAGTACATACATTGGAACAGTAAAATAAAGGTTTAAACATTTGTAAAAGTTCAAAAAATCACTGAATTCTACTATTTATTAATCAGTTACAAAAATAAATAAGTAAATGATACAATCACAATCTTATTACAGCAACCTTAGTAGATAAAACCCAAGCGAAGAATAACCATCAAACAAAAGTGTCCCCAAACAGAACGTATTGCATCCGTTCGGCAGGCGGAACAAAGTCCAGCCAGTCCGAGGCATGATTCGGAAGTAAACCCATGGAATGACATTTATAGACAGCCAAAGCTATCGCCGCCATATTCCCCAACGAGAAGATGAGTTTGTGCAGGATGAGAGATCCCGAGTACTCCGACTGAAAGTAAAGTGAGTAAGTGTTGAAAACTGACGTCGAAAAGTTGACAAACATTTAAAAACATTTCAATAGGTAGCTTGGACACACAAACATACCGAAACATTGCTAAAGTCAACAAGGGTTTGGTCTCTTTCAAATTTAAAATGCAAAAAAGTTTGAATTGTAAACAATAAAATTGAAAAAAACAAAGACAAATTAAAAAAATATAAATCAATTTTATATAAGACTAAACTACTATATCAAAAAGCCATGTTCTAGATTATAAAAACCTCCGAACTATTATCTTATTCCATAATTCATACCTCGATAGACTTGAAAGCCTGTCCAATTGTCATAATAGCTCTCATCGGCCTCCACGCCATCATTACCACCATCATAATAGGAAAGATACTAATCGTGTTACCCGCCATATACATCATACTAAAATAAACTTAATAAAATACAAAAAAGTTACAGAGTACCTTAGCATTAACATTATGACCCCAAAAGCCATACAAAACATATAAAATAAAGATAACGTACATCATATTCATAGGCACACTTTTGATTGGCTGTAGCGCCAAATCCCATGCTCTTTTTGTCATAAGATGTTGTTGATTCTGAGGATTGGCTCCAGCATGTTCACTATGTTGAGAGCTCTGACATATCGACTGGTTGAATCCAGGTGGGTTCATGGTTGTGTCATGAAGCCGGGAGATCGCACGACTGTTTCCAAAGTCGAGCTTCCATTTATTCATTGGATTCGCCATCTAAATATAGTGTTCTTTATACCAATCAACGGGATAATAAAAGCACAAGTAAAAGCAGATATTAAATTATAATACGGGTAATTGGAAGTAAAACAGTAATAATAAAACAGATATAAAAAAGCCCTTTAATAAAATATAATATAAAACGGTGTAAAAATAACCGTTAAATGAATAAAAGCCAAAACCACCGATAAAATTTACTACCGTAATTCAGTTCAAGATATATAACATGAAAGTATTTAAATATAAGTTAATCAGAAGACCAATCCTGCAAACAATCCATTAGTTTTGACCGCCAACACCAAGCAATAGTGCTCCAAAAGTTGTGCCAAGAGTTCTCGCTCGTCCAAAAGCTCTAACTTCTCGATTCTGGCAATCTCATCTTTGTTAAAGTGTTGAGCATACAGATCTTGCATCGTCCAAGCGTTAACGACCGGATATCCATTGTTGAGAAACCGAGACTTCTGAGAATCCAAAGAATTACAAGAAGGCAAACCAGCTAGATGAATACCTCGTTCCTGGAGGTTAGCTTGCATCACATCGCTGAACTTGTCCGTCATGTTCACCTGTAAATATCACTTATTAGTCCAAACAAACTTTACAAACACATATAACATCTTGTAACAAAAAAGCCATTAAATCACAAGTAAGACAACGAAAAAATTAAAACGCTAATAATCTACAGATTTATTTGACATTCACGTACCTGTTCGTAGCTTACAAACACAAGTTCATTGAACTTTTCTGCAAACTTTCTGACCAAGTTTTCAGTCACTTTGACATCAAGGTATACCAATACACATTCGGCAATCACAACAACAGGTAATGATGGATCCAATCCGGCAGTTTCAATCTTTGCCCAGAATTCAGAAGGTTGACGAATATCAGCTCCAAGCAAATCATAATCACGAGAGTGAAGATCACTGTGTTGGGATTCAGTGGCTGAAAGTAACTGTTTAGAAGTTTTCTTGCAGAAAACATAACTTTATCGTACAGTTAGTTAACCTTATAAAAACTTATACAATTCGTTGTAAAAAAGCCACTGTTGTAATTTATTAAACAAAATAAAGGAAAAGCTTCAAACTACTGCCGCATCTTCCAAAAGCCTAAAAACAGAAAAAAATAACCTTAAAAACTTACAGGTAGAATCAAACATGGCGGCCAGATGTTCATTTTTAGAAATGGTGCGGATCTTCCTTGCTGTAACCGAACTGAAGTCCACTTCTACAAGTTTTTTGAAAGCTACACCTCTCTCTTTCAATCGGAAGTACAAGGTATCAAACCCAGCTCCAAGACTAATAATTTGAAGGTTTTCTCCAGCTAACTGAAACAACCATATAATCATTAACAGCTCAAGCTTTTCTTGTAAAAACATCCAAAGCAACTTATTATTTTATTATCAAGTTGTTTATAAAAATAACTTTCGTAATCTTAAAATATAGAGAAATCCAAGTAAAATACCTATAAGACAAGACTCACTTCGGAAATTCTCTTCAATGACAGTTCAAAAGCTGCATGCCGTGCCCAATAACCTCTCAGAATCTCTGGTGCTCTTCTGTGGATATGTTCTGGGTTTACGATGAAGTGGTGGATGAAAGAATCTGCCCAGTATCCTACCTGAAACGCATAGTTTTAAAATCTAAAATATACAAGCGGATCCACTTGTTTGGTTACTCTACAAAACTGAACCCAATGTAAATTAACCTTTGCATATTAAAAATATATTATATGTCAATATTTCATAAGATAAGCCATAATATAGTGAGATCTACTCACTTTGACAGCTGAAAACTTGGATTCCGTGGCATCGTCGTTGGTCTTCTGGACAGAATAGTCGTCCGATACTGAAGCCGACCGTCTTCTACAGCTGATTGAAGCGCTGAGCTCATTGTCACCAAGATCAGCTTCGGTTTCCATCTTTATTCGTGCTCAAATCTGTTTTCTCTCGAAATAAAAACAAAAAACTGTTCTGCGACGAAATGCAACAATTGATTATGGCGTTTTGTTCGGATTTCTTTTGTAATTTGAAATCTGTATTTTTAGTTTTGAAACATGCTCATTAGAGTATAATTATAACTTGTTTCAAACACATAGCAACGCCAAGTGTTATTTGAAACTCTGCACTCTAATGACCAAAAAAGCCCGTGGAGGAAACAAATTCTACACAAAATTAATGTTTAATTGTTTTATGGTTTCCATGGAGAAGAACAACAGCTGCGCAGACACTCCCTAAGGCTAATCTGACCCAACCAAACGTTCAGTCGAGTGCGTGACTGTTCAGGTGCTTTGTGAGAGATATTTGGGGCCAAACCGACTCTCGTCTCTCCGCTTTTTCCAAATTCAGTGCCCGAAGACAAGACAACTGCCTTCGGGGCGCTCTCTGAAATTTTTTTTATTTTTGTTGTTCCATTCTTGCACTCTCGCACTGACGCTCTTTTCATGGCCAGCCGGAGTTGAGGGGCCATGCTGTCCCATCTTTTGTACGAGTTCACGTTGGGCGGTGTCAATCACTCAATCCCCGGGAACGGCGGGCCCGACTGTCTCAATGTAAGCCTTTGTTTGTTTTTACAGGACGGTATAATCCACAAGTTTACTGTAAGCAGGTTTTGAGCTTGTTTTGGAGTGGATTTGTGTCTGCTCGGTACTTTATTGGGCAAAACTTTGAAAATCTTTGCAAAATTTAACAGAAATAATGGCACGTTTTGTCGATAAGTAATGAAGGCATAAGACATTACTTTGCACATACAGATAAGTTTTTGCAGTTTGTATACATTGGTTTAAGACACGTTTAGTACAATCTAATTATAAGTTTCACCTGCCAATTTCGGTGTTAGTAAAACTAACAATTAGTTTTTCGTAAATTTAAAATGTAGTAGTAAAGATTACCTTTTAAAAGTAGTAATTATATTTATAACTTAAGGTCCAACGATTACATTTTTTGTTTTTAACTGAATAATTGGGCGAAAAACATTTTTCCACAGACAATTTGTTTCCTACGGTACGGCAAATAGTCACTGAACAAAACAACAACTACCTTTTTAGTATATTATAATATAGTCTCAAAATAACTATACATAGCAAATCTATAACTGACAAAGAAATTTTGAAAAACTGGTATTTTAGAAACTTTCAGGCCAAAATAGTACCATAGGTTTCTATCAGACTCAAAGTTTGGCCAAAAACACAGTAGATTATACCCAATTTTAAGATTTTTAACCACCTTTATAAAAATAAAATTAATTTTTAAAATTTCAGTACATTCCACTATGGCAGAGAGCACTGGAAACCCTGGTGATCGTGCCACTTTCCTTCTACGGCCTCTACGCTTGCTATCCTCACCTGGAGTACCCTGAGGAAAAGAGTTGTAAAAAGAAAATGTCAGCCGAAGTGAGAGCCATGCTGTCCCAGAAACTACCGCTCAACAATGTTGGAGAAGTGCTGGACAGAGTACACCCTCCACCTCGCGAGATCTTCAAACAGTACGTGTTCAACGTGTACTTGGTGGTATTCCTGGTCGAATTCATCTACAAATTCTACACAAAGTAAGTCTGTTTACTGTGGCCTTGAATTTTAGTTAGATGAGCAACTTTGCATTACCTATCCTAGTCTGGACTACTTTTTTTAAAAGTTACAGTAAGTTAAAATGATGTTGTTTCAGAACCGGTATCTTCTTCCTCAATCCTTGTCACATTACCACTTCTCTTCAATTACTTTTACTCAAAATGCCCGAAAATCATCCACTTACTACTCAACTATTCCGCTTCAACATGTACACAATGCCTGGGGCATTAATAGCACTAGCTTTTCCTATTCTTAATACGCGACAGGTAATATTTCAAAGAAAAAACAACAAGACTGTTAATTTATAGTGTTTTTGTCCATTCTGACCAACATTTTAAATAAAAAAACAATATAAATACAAAATTATAAGTTATGATACTTAAATTAATGATTATATTTCTTCAGATGGTCGGCGAAGTATTTATTTATTTCCTACAACATACTCTCATTGTTCTTGTACCTTTGTACCTAATTTACTTAGGCGGTAAGTAACCATACCATAGATCAAACTAATAAAGTTAAACTAAAGTTAAATCATGTCTATAATACCGTTAACCCCTACCTACAATATTATCATTTCAGCAGGATTCAACCCGGAAAGTAGCTCAAACTACGCTTGGCCAGTCTTCAGCATGTCCGTGCTCCTGCTCTACCACTTTGTCATTTTACAGCCCATCTCTTTCATCACCCACGTCAACTTGAATTGTATTTTATGCCCTGGAGTCAGCGACCCCTTCGCCGGTCGATTTTACCGACTGTGCGCGGTGTGCCATCAATTTTTGGTGGTACCATTGGTGACGAAACTGTACGCTTTCTCCTCGTTCTACGTGGTCTCTGTAGCTGAGATTTGTCTAGGTGAAAGGCCTGCGAAACTCGAAAAGTCTGAATAATTCGCTTAAACCCAACGGATATTATGTTATCTAGTATTATATAGCTAATAAATATTAAATTTTTTATCTTTACTACAATATGTACTGGTCTAACAAAAGTTTGTAAACGTCAGCTACAGTTTTCTGTTTTAAGCGCGCGCCAAAACAAAATTCAAACGATAAATTTGAAAGAAAGTGTTGACTCAGAAGGACATGTCTTACCTTTTTACTTTAATTTGGACGAATTTGGTTTCGCACGAAACTTTTTGTCTTGAAGATGGTAAAATACGACTACAATTAATTAATATTGCAAATTCCAATGTATTTTGACTTCTAAATTATTGGTTTTTACTTTACATTGTTGCAGTCAACGTGGCATGCCTTGGTTAACATAGTCCAACAGATCTAAAACATACTAACTTGGTACCATCTTATTCTGATCTGAACAACATCTTTACAACCAGTGTGGTCACTTATTTTCAGGCATTTTAAATTAAACATGTGAAGTTTACCCACGAATTGATAGAACAATATTGATATGTCAATTTGATAAGACTGTTCGCTCTCGACTCTCGTTTCCATCGAGATCTGCCCTTTCTCGTCGCAGGTACCTCGGTCTTATGCAAATGTGCGAGAGGGACGAGGCGTTGTTTGGTGTTTGATTTGGCGCGATTTCGCTCGCGAGGGGCCTTGGTTTAGAGAATTTTGTTAAAACCATTGCTAAACCTTGTTTTAGGGTCAAGATGGACTATCTCCTTGATGCCTACGTGTATCCGTATGTTCCGTTTGAGATATCGCCTGATTCCAAGAAGTACATCACCGAGAAGGCTGTGAATATCGTCAGGGTAGGTTATAGAGAAGGTTCTTTTGTTGTCCGCCAGGTTTTGTGTCTTATCCATGAGTCAGAGGGCAAAGCAAGGTCTTAACGTGTGATGCAAACTTATAAACGAATGTATTTTATTATCCAATATTTTTTTTTAATTTTATTTTACAGACAGCCGACTGGATTCTGAAATATCAAGATCCGCGCAAGATCTACGACAATCACACGAGTTTCTTGGCCTGCGAGTTAGTCTTCTTTGTGACATGTTTGTTGACCTTTGTTCACGGTATGTCTAATTTACATATAATTTCTCACAGTATTATGTTCTCCGTAATGGTGTAGTTGTAAATAACGTTTATTTTAGCCTGGCGTCATGGTGGTCGCTACCTTTTCGTTTGGTTCGGTATCTTGATTCATGCTTTGAACGTGGAGAACTTGTGCTACTGGATTCCAGATTTAGACAACTTCTGGCAGGCTCAAGGTATCTTCACTTTCTTTGGCATGAGGGCACCCTTGTACATATTGCTTGGTATCTACCACACATTCGATTACATCTCTTATATCTTTGTCAAACGGTATGTATTTTTGTTTGCACTAACTACATGTACGTAGGTTGTAATTTGACTATATATCTAAAATTTTTATAATGTTTTTGATTACTGGCTATACATACCTAAATGTGGTATTTATTTAGATTGCATTTACCGTGGTGGGCTGAAGGACCAGCTGTTGGTCTAGGAGCAGTAATGTTGGACATGCCATATGACATCATGGGGATCAAGCTGGTTTGGTGGACATGGCACGACACCGACCCTAACATATACGATCGCATGTACTGGGTACCATGGAACTCGTACTACTTCCATGCTTCCTTCGCTTGTTCATTTGTGTGGATTCTGAATCTGTCGCGGAAGTATTTTGTAGACACCGTGTACGACTGGAAGAAGTTTGGTCGTGAGTTCTTGTGCGTCTTCTTGGCTGGTACTCTTGCCTTTTGGGGTGGTACTATTCAGTTCTCGTTGTTGTACCATCCAATGCACGACTTCTTTGGTGTTCATTCCGAGCTGACCTCCACCATCTTTCTGAGCTTCTATATGTTGATCGTGTGGATTGGAGATCGTCACAATCGTCGTCAAGAGTCTCGAGAAGGGAATCCGTTATGGTACGACGAACTGGCACTGGCTGTATCTCTACACTACCTCTTTTACATGGTACTGGTTTGTATCGCAGACCCAGCCAACATTGTAGCTGAGGGACTACATCAGCCAATTGGAGATTGTAAGGTCAGACAGAAGGTACAGACTCCAACTGGATTGGTACTGTACAAGAACAAGTACTTATGTGCTGAGAATTACGACGAAGGTTACTTTGACTTCCATTGTCTGCCAGGGAAGGATAAGATTCCACAACAAATCGACGGACAGCCTTTGGAGTGGTACGCTATTTGTGGTACTCCTTTCGAGAATAGGGCCGAGTACATCTTTATTATATGGTAAGGGATACTACACACTTCTGTTTGTAATAATGATTTCATAGTTTATATGAGTCTAAGGATTAGTTTATATTATTTTAGGTCGATTTGCATCTTATTTGGTTCCATTTTCTACCAAGCAGCACGATACTCTGGTCGAACTCCGAAGATTCCTAGTATTCTGTACAGACGACTAACAAGGCCGTCTGGTACAGAAGGTACATTCAAGAGCGCTCTCAAGAACTTCTCTCCGATTAAATCAAAGAAAAACGATTGATTTCAAGCTACACAGTTTGTAGTTACAATAAATAAAACACTCAGACGCTTAGTATAATATAATTACGCGGATTTATCTACTTTATATTCATTTTTGCACTTTTATAGTTAATATAATTAGCATATTTTCTAATTAGGTAATTAGTCTTGTTGACTTCTACAAGTTGGACTAATTGCTCTTGGTAAGAACTGATTATTAATCAAAATGGATCACTTAAAAGGGATAAAAGTGATTGAACTTGAAGGTCTCGCCCCGGTTCCGTTCTGCGGCCAAATCTTGGCTGATTTTGGAGCTGATGTTACTGTCGTCAAGGTAAAATTATGTTAACATAAAGTATAAAATTGGTAAAATTATGATAACTACAAGAAAAGTTTTCAATATTTTTTATAAGACGAGGTGTTAATTTCGAAATATAAATTTTACGGTGTATAGTGCTCCTTATTAGCTTTAATTTTAAACGTAACAAAAAATTCTTGTCAATAATGTCAATATAATAGTACCTGTATTTAGGATACTTTCAAATCAAAGCAATTAAAAAAGTATAACATATTAATTATTTTTTGTAAAGCATGATTCTATCTAACGTACACAAGCAATTTTTAGAAAAAGACAAAGAACGTGGAAACAAAATTTTGCCGAAACAAAAAAGTAAACAGTCTGGACTACAAATCTGATCTCCATCAGCTCACAAGACTGATTCTAGATTCAGATGTGCTTTTGGATCCGTTTAAACCTGGTGTTCTTGAAGCCATCGGTCTCGACCCAATCCAGCTTCTTCAGTTAAATCCACGGTTGATAGTGGCTAGGATAACAGGCTACGGCCAGACTGGTGCGATGGTCCAAAAAGGCGGTCATGACATTAACTATGTGGCCATGTCAGGGGTTTTGCCTTTAATCAGCGGACAAAACAATCCTTGGCCGCCAGCCAACGTCTTGGCCGACTTTGCCGGAGGTGGTTTAACTGGTGCTTTTGGAATATTGGCAGCTGTGGTTAAGAGACACAGCACCGGTACTGGGGGAGTTGTAGATGTGAGTATGACTGAAGGGGTGTCTTACTTGGGGAGTATGTTGTTTGAATACAAAGGGAACGAGGTAATGTGGAAAAAGGAAGCTGGACTATTCACTGGAAGTTGCCCTATTTACAGGTAAGTTTGTATTAGTAATAGGTCGATTTAATTTTTTACTGTATATGTAATATCTACGTTTTTCAGGACATATAAAACAAAAGATGACAAGTTTATGGCCGTTGGGGCATTGGAACCTAAATTTCATCAAGCCGTTTTCAAAGGTACTGCTTGAAGTTTTTGAAATTTGTTTGCACTGTAATAAATACGACACCTATAGCTACTGTAAATTTTTTTACTTTTTTGATGACATTGCGCAATAACTGTCTTTTTAGTGTTGTCAGTTGACCCAGCTCTAGTTGGTGCTCCTGAAGAGTTAACGAAACAAATGGAAACTAAATTTGCATCCAAAAGTCGAGACGAATGGGTAAAAGTGTTCAAAGGTAATTTCTTTATAAACTTAATATGTTATTCTAATTATTCCGGGCTTCCTTAAAAATTAAAAAAAAATATTTTGAACGTAGGGAGCACAGAATTAGTTGAACAATACTGAATCAGTATTATTTTTTATTCGTTAACCTGAAAATTTCATATTTTAAGACTAGTCATTTAGATCTTGATGCTTGTGTAACACCTGTCCTTGATTTGGAAGAAGTTGCGACCTCAGAGCTACACAAGTCTCGAAACAATTTTAAAAACAATGAATCCATGGCACAGCCAGCTCCTAGAATACACAGTTTAGAAGATTTGAAGAAGTTAAACGCCAAATTATAGTTATAATGTTATGAATTTGTAAATTAAAAAAATTTTTTTTGGTTGGACTTTACCATTTTTGATTTTGATACATTGGGTTGTTCAATTAATTCTGTGCTCCTTACTTCTGCGAACTTGTTTTGAGAGGAGGCACACAATTACTTGAACAATCTAGTAGTTTTATAATGTCACGTTACACAGCCATATAACGTACTGTTCATGTCTCAAATGACTGTTTTCGTATCTTCTTGATGACCTTTCTTCTCTGAAGTCAAGAACACGTCGTATGTTGTGTTTGAAACGTAAAACAATGATCAGTTACTCTCGATATTTAAAAGTTATTTTGGGAAGGTTTTAAAGTGATCATCTCACTTCTTATTACAATGTAAGGACGTCGATTACAATGTAAGGTAAAGGCGTTGTCGGCGGTTATTTTTAGGTTTTAAAAGCAATCTTTATCATAATTGATTGCAATACTACTGTCTAAAGGTTTAGCTGTATTACAATAGTGTTGACAACAAATAACTCAAAGTGGAATAAGATAACATTTTTCCACTAAAAATTTATATAAAGCACAATAATAACATTTTCTAACAGTAATTTCACAACATTCATTTTTTATCTTCAAAACAAACTCTATTAAGGTTTAAATTTCAAATTACGATTTGCAAGTTCATTGTAAACAATATTAACATTGTTTGACGAAAGTGTAACCCGCTGTTACCGTGTAGACCCGTATCAGTAATTGGTCATGGTAACTCCACAATGAAAGCACGTTTAAAGTGTAACATTTAAAGGAAATGTGCAGAATCTCATGTGACAATGATTTACAATTAGTTCTTGTGCAGTTATGTCATCCATCATGAACATACGAAGGCAGACGGTCATCGCAAGATTGATATGTTTGGGTGGTGTGGCTGTCATATATCTTAATGTTTAAACTCTTATTTCAACTGTTTAAGCTCTTATTTCAACTTCTAAATTTGTTTTAGCCGTCTTGGATTGGTCAAGAAGTCTGTGGAGGTGATAAACTGATGTTAATCTACTTTGAAGGTCCTTCTGCTACTCTTACGATAACATAACCACCTTTAAAAAGCAAAAAATTAAAGTTGAGAAATACTTTAGCAAAAGAAAATGCTTTACCAAAGTACCTACAACAACATATCTTTTGCAATACTCCACTTCCAACTGTTATCGTCGTATGATCTCGATTGTTGACTATGATCGCTATTAATCACATTAGTCTAATCAAATCAGTGACGTATAAATGGCTTTTGTAACATAGTAACTGTAAAGGCTATTATGTTGTAATGTAATAGTTGAATTGTCATTGTTTTTGTTATACGATTGATAAAACCGCGATTAGAATTTGATTTACTATCAGAAACGATGAACTTAAATTGGAAGAGTTGGTTTACTTTGTAAAACAGCTATAGGTTACCTTAAGAGTAATATTTATTATCTTAAAAATATTTTATTACCTAAAAAGTGATTTAGAGCGCTTTGTTTTTGAAAAAGTTGTTTTTGAATAAACACGTTTGATCGTATAACATGTCTCTCAAAATAAAAATGTAAACATTCTCGGAATTGTCAAAATTATAATGAAACCTTTCGACGAAATCTGTCTTTTCCGTTTTTTCTATCAACTTTTTGATCAAATTCAATATTAAATTAAACGGCATCTCTCCCTTTTCGTTGTAAAGAAAGTCCTTGCAATGAAAAGCATGGAGATGAATTGTCGGAAGCGATCAGAAGACGTCTTTTCTCCACTTTTCTCAATTGTACTTGTGAAGTGTTGTTGTTAACGGGCAGCAAGTGCAGATTCGGTGGAATTTCGAAAAAACATGTTCTATTGCTTTACAACGATATTGTAATAGGTAATGACAACGATATTGTGGTAGATGATTACAACGATATTGCTTTAGGTGTTTGGGTTAAAAAGTTTGTTAAGTAAACATTACGTTTCTTTATTTTTTTAAAACAACTTTTTTTCAAAAATATGTTTATTAGTTTTGGCAGTTTCAATGTTCTGCACTGTGCTGTTTATTTGCACCGTGCAATGGATGGATATTCACACTTAAAGTGGATACTTTAAAATAAGTTTAAATTTCTAATTTGGGTAAAATAACATTGTCTTTTTCATACTTTAACAATGTATAAAAGTATAGATCAATACAAATTTATTTCAACATAACATAATATGTACATACACTGAGAACAAGAAACAAGATCATTCAGACTTTGCGACACCGTATTTTATACATGAGGGGTTCTAACTTCACGGTAATTGTAGTAGAAGGTCTTGACTTCATAAAATATTACCAGAAGGTCATTTCCATTCATCTACCATTACCATCAACATCTAATCGCTAATATCATACACCAACATCAATGTTAACATAGTCATTTCAATAACAATATTGTCACTCTAATGTTAACATTGACGTGCTTAATGATGTCGTATTTAGCCGAAAAGTCCGTTGGCAAAGTATGGGTTGTAGCCGGCCGCACGGCTGTTGAAGTTGTTGTAGCTACCGTAGTAAGAGCCTCCATCGGCCGACAAAGCTCCGCCAGTATTGTCGAGAATGGAGCCGGAGCCAGACCAGTCAGACTGGGGACGGGCTTCTGAACATACGAAAACGGCTACGAAGGCGAATACGATGGCTAGGAGTACGTTGCGGAACATTGTAGTAGTTGTAGTTACTGAAGCTTTGTAAAGGTAAAGTTTGTACCGAAAGTATAAAGAACAACTACAATTGATAAGGTCAATGTAGAGAAAGTGTAGCAGTATAGTATCCAAGTGTACGGTAACTTTGTAGTAACAAAAGCACCGAGGAATCAGACCAACTTGAGAACACAGTAAAGGAACGATGACTCTCCAACGTTCCCTGCGGCCTTTTAAAGGAGCGCGGCGAAGGCGGCGACACGTCGTTTCGTTCTGAGATTCTGACGTCTCCCGATGTGCCCCACCTCTCGATCGCCGTTCCTCTGATCAGACCATTCAAAACAAGTGTGTAATGAACATTACAACAACATCCTCTGTTTGTTTGTCTGACAATTGTGTTGGAGTACAATAACATGCAGTGTGTAACAATGTCACGGACTGTAAAAGTTGATTGTGGCATGGGTTATAGCCATAATGGAGACATTATCAATGTGAAGATAAAGAAGGTCAAGTAAAAGTTAGAGTTAGGGTTCTTGACGTCACGGTGAAGAGACTAAAGCATTGTCAGACCTCAAAAGTATAAAAACTCAGTAATTCTAGTACAAAGATCAAGTTTTGTCAAAAGTTCAACACCGTTCGACATACAGTAGCCCAGCCGAACCTAAGAGATCACTGCAAAAGTCTTGTCATCGTATGTTTGTCACGTTTCACCATTCTAATGCGATTTCCATAATCTTCTATTGTGGTTATGCTATTGAGGCTACGCTGTAGTCGAGCAACATATTTGTTTATTCTACTCTGTAACTTTTGTAACTATATCAGCTGCTGTTGTTATTGTAGATAAAGTGCTTAAAACATTAAAAATAGCTTTGTCATCGCTTTTAGACTTTTACAAAGATATCGCAATAGCTTAATGTACTTTAATCTATAAACTTTTAACTAGCATACAATGACTTTGCTAGGTTTTACTTTAACATACGATATGGCATGTCAAGATTTAGTTTATAACTGATATTATACTAAGTTTCAAAATGCTATTACGTCAGCATTTCGATCAAGAATCTTTACGGAAATTGTAGTACAACGTTATTTTCAAATATGATGACTTTACTATGTTTACTGCAACAATATAATATTAACTCTTGGTCCAACATACGATGATTCAGGGTACGAAATGAGGTCATACACATGTTGTAACAACTCTTTCATATGATCTCCAACAATCTCGCTAATTTCTTAAACTTTTACAAGTTCTCGTATAATATTACAACGTAAACACACATTATCTTCTATATTATTACATCTCAGACACATATTACAACGAAATCATTATCAGTAAACACCTGCAAGAATATTAAAGTAGCTTTTGTAGGATCTTCACGGTATTTCGCCGTGAGTAATATCGTTTATGACAAACTGCAAGGCTACTCTCAAATGCAGAACTTCCTTCTCGAGATTACGACATGTCACTTTACAGCGGTCAAAACATTGTAATTCGATTACTCTGAGTACTTGTGCACCCGATTACTTGATTGATGTGATCGGATTGCCTTTCATTACTTTACTTTATCGATTCGAATAAATATTATTACGCTTTCAACAATATTCACATATAGACATACATAACATGTAGATATATATATAAAACTATGTCAAGTTTAAAGCTTATTAGTAGTAGTAATAGTAGCCATTGCCATAGTTGTAGTTGTACCGAGCTGAAACGAAAAACATAAAAACAAAATTACAGTTTGAAGCCATTGCTACTACTGTTACAGTTTAATAGCAAGGTCACAAAAGGTTGCTTGATTAAGAAATAATTCAAATATAAAGTACTTTTACCTACAACAACATAAAATAACTTCTAGAAGTGCCATTTAGGACATTTAAAGTGTAAAAAATACTTTTTTGTAATGTAAAACATCAAGGATCAGATTGCTCACAATCCTGCTTTTAGGTACGAAAAGATTGTTTACTTTTGTTCATGATTGCTTACTGTTTCCCTTAATATCGATAAATATTTCCAAAAAACTTTTTTTCAAAGGTGCAAAAGAATATAATGCTAGACTTCTGTGACATACAATTATCATATATTATAGTAGTTTGCTTACTCATCTTTCAAAATAAAAATTCAATTTTAAAAAGTTGAACATAAAACTTTAAGTTAACTTACCGTTGCCATAGTTGTAATAAGGACGAGGCCCATAGCTGGAGTATCCTGAGTAACCAGGATAGCCAGTGTACCCAGAATAGCCAGAGTACCCAGGATAACTCGAGTATGACGAAGAGTACGAGGGTTGGTAAGCTGGTGGTGAATAGACGTAACCTCCGCCCATTCTGGGCAAATTACCACCCCCAGGCATCAATATAGTACCAGAAATAGACATATCAGCCTGAGGGTATACTGTAGTTGCTACTGCGAACAAAAAGATAGCTACTGATAAGTTGTACATTTTAAAATTAATTTATTAAAATATTTTTAGAGTTATAGCAAGTTTATATTGTGATACTGTAGACCTTATGATACAGTACTCGTTGTGTGTTTAATTTAAATAAGTTAAGAAAAAATATTGAAATGCCAATTTCAAGAATACAGAATCGGAATACGGTAACCAAGTACAAGCTTTTTTATGCCGTAGGGAACGGCGGAAGCGAGCTTAAATAGAGCCGCTCGCTAGCCATTAGTCGAAATGAGGATAGAGCTTCACTAAAACAGGATTGTGATGTCGCGAACGGATACTAACTACAACTATATAATTGAAGGAGTGCGTCATTTTTAGAGGTTCTAATGATAAGGTAGGTAAAGTCATCAGCGCAATGAGAAAAATGTCATTTTTACCATTAACAGATATTATAAGCTCATCAACTTATGTATATTGATATAGTCATCATAATTTATATTACAACCTCAATCAACGCATAATAGGTCACTACAAAATATTGATGCAAAAACATAAATAATATTTATCAGTACATCTGTTTTACATACTAGAACATACCAAAGAGTAACTACATACTATTAGTCTCTATTTTTAGCTTTCGCATCTTGTAGTAAGCTAGATTAAGCTTTGATCACCACAAAGCACAACCACTTCGTCGTATACGAAGTTAATTTGCAAACGAGAATTCTCACTTTTTCCGAATTTAACCTGATTCTTGCAAATACAGATTAGCGCTACAAACTTGAAGCACAGCGTCAAATGTCATCGCTTTATCAGTATTTCTACAGTAAGAAATGGTTTACAGTGATAAGGTTTTATTTCATTTTTACAATATTTCTACTTTGAATCCGGCTGCTCTCGTAGCTGTTCCTATACCAAAATGGGGCTTATGTCGAAGATAGAAGACCTCATAGACAAGGGTACCATGTTACATGAAAGGTTCAGGGTAAAAGAGCGGATTGGACAAGGCGGATTTGGGCAGGCAAGTTTTTTGTATCAAACTGGAAGTTATTTTAAAATTTTCGATATATTGTTGTAGAAGTATCTAAATCAATAAATATTAAGGGTTTTAGAGGTATGTCCAAAAATTGTTGACTTTTTCTATAAATTTAAAACTTTTTAACTTAAAGATATATACACAATTAGGTATACCGCGGGTTAGATCTACAGAAGAACGGAGAGCCAGTAGCCATAAAAACAGAAATGCGAATGACAAGATCAGCTAGCCACGACCCTCGGCGGCTGATCATCGAGAAGGATGTGCTAGTCCGGTTGAGAGGAAAACGCCACATCCCCGTCGTATATGCCTCGGGAAAGTGTGACAATGGCTGTCCGTATGTTGTGATGCAGTTCCTTAGTGACAATCTGGATTCCTTGAGGTCGAAAAGAGAAAACAGAAGATTCAGTTTGAGTACTACAGTCAGAGCTACACAACAGGTAGCTTGTTTAACCATATAATTACTTCTTCTGTAAATTACTGTTAATAAAGGGTTACTGTAAGGAAAAAGTTTGCAAATTCAGGTACTAATGGGACTAGAATATCTTCATCGTGAAGGCTTCATTCATCGAGATCTGAAGCCGGGAAACACTTGTATTGGGAAACTGGACCCTCGTACTGTCTATATCATCGACTTTGGTATGTTGTGATTACAGAAAGTATCCTTTCCAAAGTAAAAGTTAACTTGCATGTTGACATTTGTAGGTATGTGTCGTCGCTTCTACTATCCAGACAAAGGGAAATGGCGCAAACCGAGGTCAAGATGCCATTTCAGAGGAACCTATCGCTACGCTTCTCTCAGAACTCATCAGAAGGTGGAGACTGGACCGTCGGACGATCTAGAATGTTGGGTCTACTCCTTTGTAGAGATAGGCATCAAAAGTCTACCATGGTGTAATACAAGCGACTACGACTCCATTACTGTATGCCTAACTTGCTTCTATGCCATTATATACTAAAGATTACTTTCAGTTCATGAAGAAAGACACTTCCATAAGCGAGTTATGTGGCCAAGCTCCTAAAAGTGTGAGAAGATTTGCAAGGATGGTATTCGAAACGCCCTTCAATCAGTTCCCCGACTACGTAGCGCTACACCATGCGCTACGCAAGTCGTTACCTTCTGATCACGAGTATGTCAGGAAATACGACTGGGAAATGGATGGAAAGTAAGTACATACTATCTTATGAAAGTTTTTGATAACTTTTTAATTTAATTCTGTTTCTTTTCAGCGATGGCGACGCCGTATCTGACAAGAGCTACAAGTGATATCAAGTTGATGTGTATGATTGAATAAATAAACTGATTTTATTTAGTTTTGGAAACTATTTTTGAAAAGATACGATTCTATAACAAATAATTTCGTTTAACAACGTATTCCATTTATACTTTTCGTGGCGTTCAGCAGTATACCATAAAATTAAAAAATGCTTCAGATCTATATTGACACTTCGTCACAAAATTAGACGGAATAAAATTGGAAAAATAAAATAAATTTGGAAAAATTTTGTAAAACGTATTTTTGTAAATATTAAGTTTAATTTATTGTTATAAGATGAGCGCCCCTGGGACAAGTCGACAATCAGGTATGTTATTGTGCATCAATGTCAATATAGTCTTTAATATTTAGAGCGATTGGCTACATTGCAACCAGTAGCTTTTGCGGATTCAAGGCTAAAACAGAACATGTTAAGCAAGAGGCTAGCTATATTGGATAAGGTAAATGTTTGATTATGTTGTTAGCAATTTTAGATTCATACTCATAATAAATGTTACAGCTTTAAGTCAATATAAGTATGACTTTATGAAGGTTTGTTTAAGGATAACATGCAAGATGACCCTCATGCTAATCTTTCTTGGCATAAAGCTGTACCCAAGTTTGATGACAATTTCAAGGCTAACAAAGGCACCAAGAGAAAACACTTTTCAACTGCAGACAGACCTGTTTTAGAAGTTGGGAGTAAGTTAAAGTTTATATTTCAACTACATATTGTTTATGGAATTAGGCTGTTTGGTTGAAACTTATTAGTGTGTTTCTTATGTACGATTTTTAAAACTATTTTACCATGTTAATAACAAATTGTAGCGATAAGAGTTGCATTGTTTTAGCTAAGAAAGGAAAGAAACTTCGATCAGAGCTGAGTAAAACAAGGTTCCGCAAAGATTTTGCACAGTTAAAAGAAGAATACGAGGTAAGAAAAGAACGTTTTACTGTTGATTTAGTCAAAAAAACGAGTAGAATCCTCCCTCTTTGTCCGTATAGTGATTTCTGTACAATTTCGACCAATCTAATTAGTACTTTACATATAGAAAGTCAAGAACCCGTTAGATGAGCGACCGACATACGACGATGTTCTGGCGTCTCCAAGTATCCTTCCAGCACGAAAATTCTGTTCAGTATGTGGTTTGTTCTCCAAATATTCGTGCTTCAAGTGTGGATCCTACTTCTGCTCCATGATCTGCAATGATTCTCACTCGGAAACACGGTGTGCCAAATGGATGAAATAAATTTATTTTAAATTAAACCAAATTGATTTGTTTTGTTGAATAGTTTAGGTTAAAATAATGTCATTTACAAGGGGACCAGAAGCTGAATATTATATATGGCATAAATAAGAAAATCAAAAAATTAGGACAATGGAGAAGTGGGGCTTTCCTTGCGAGGTGATCCTGTTTGCGACTGAGGCCGGGCCACGCCAGCCAAGTGATCAAAGCTCGTCGAGGCAGCCATTTTTGCCTAAAACAGCATTTTTGAGACCAATCACCTTACTCATTTTTTCACATTTTTTAGCTTTAGCTTATTTTAACTATTTATATTTTGACAAACGTTAATTTTTTAATTGTATCAGATGTCACTTTATCTAAAAACCGCAGAAGATCATTTTCCAAAAAAGTGGCACATCCATTAATAAACTCAAAGGTCGCGTATCTTTACACAAACAAACTGTAATCGATTAGTTTGTTTTTCGAATAACGTGTTCGATGTGACCTTGAAAAACAAACAATTGAAACTTACATTGGTAAAAGCACTTCCCAACTTGGACTCGAACGATTTGAATAAAGAAGAGTTTCTCATATCAGCAAATTTGTTCGAAACTGTCTCAGCAGTACCAGCCACAACCTCACTCGTCTTCTGGTAGGCATTCGTGTCCTTGACGGTCTTCAGTTGTTGTTGGAGTTCTTGTGACAGCTCGGCGAAGGGTGTGATACCCAATTTGTGCTTCAGAAGTTGGGCATGCTTTTGTCTTGAGGCAAGAACTTGACGAAGTGTGTTGATTTCTTCTTCCGTCTATAAAAAAAACTTATTAACTTTTCTTAACAAGAATGAGTCATTTAACGTATCAAAAGTTAGATCTAAACAAAGAAACAATAACAAAAACAAACGCACCTTCTTCAATTCCTCCTTCAACAACTCACGCTCGGCATCGGTCAAAGTGGCTCCAGATTCACCAATGTGTTCTTCTCCAGCTTCAACTCCAGTGGACGACATGATCTGCAAGAAAAAAAAGTAAATTCGTCTATTCGCAAACGTTTAATACACGAAGTCCCGAGGCTAAAAAAAAGCCAGATATGGGAATGCGCGAAGAACAGAATCCCGAGGCCGGATTCGAAGCCGAAAGGAGTGAAAACTTTAGCAGACGGGCATGTAGAAGTCGCACTTCATTATCAATCCATCAAAACGAATTTGCACCATCGATTTCCATGCTGGTAGAAAAAAGACGGCTTTTTCAGAGAACGTTTCCGTGTTGGAACTCCACTATTGTGTGGCATTCTGTCAATTCCGAGTCAGCCACTCCCATTCTTTTTTTACAAACTTTTACCTGTTGAGAACGCCGAGAGTTGCATTAATTATGATAAACTTTATCGCGTTGTCAAAATTATTTTTCATTTTTACGTGGTATATTATGTTGTGCCTTCTCATATTGTTAACGTTTAGTGTATAAGATTTGCATTTTAATAATACTGACGTAGACTAACGGTGTTCTCGAGATTTCCGTGAGGAACGACAGTGTTGTGAGGTTAATTTTTGTTATTTTAGAAGAAATGATCCCATACGCGGTTGATTTCTTTTTGTTGGGTCTAATTGGACTAGGTAAGTGACATCTACAACAATATTTTTGTTTTATATCTTGAAAGTTGTAACATGTTACACTGGTAAAGCTTTTCTAGTACTGTAAAATAGTATACAACATGTTTTTAGTCGTGGCAGATAAACGGCAGGAAGCGGAAAAGTTTTTGGAGCAGGGAAAGATATTATTGGCATCAGGACAGTTTAACGAAGCTCTACAACAATATCACTCAGCCATTGATCTCGACCCTACCAATTACCAGGCATACTTTAGGAGGGCTACCGTGATGTTGGCTACGGGTAAAATCAAGGGAGCTTTGCCGGATTTGGATAAGGTTGTTGAGTTAAAACCCGACTTTATTGCTGGTCGAGTCCAACGAGGTAACCTATTGGTTAAACAAGGAAAACTGGCACAAGCTGGAGAGGACTTTAAAATTACTGTAAGTTTTTACTATTTTTAAAAAAATTTATGTAGTAAATTTCGAAACTTGATTTAAATATTGCTACTTTTAGCTTAAAAACGAGCCAAGCCATTCAGAAGCAACAGAAAAGATAGAGAAGGTAAAACAACTTCAAGAACTCTACGAACAAGTTGATGAACTCTTTGAGAACGATGATTATGAAGCTGCCGAGAAAATATTAGATCGTTTGATGGAAGAATGCATGTGGGATGCTAGCCTGCATAGGAAACGAGCCAAGTGTAGAAAGATGAGAGGCGATATTCAGAACGCCATTTCTGATGTCAAGGCGATTGCTAAGTTGATCCCGGACTCTACTGAAGTCTATCTGGAAACTGCCCAGATGTACTATGATGTTGGAGATGTGGAAAATTCTTTGGGGTAATTTTTAGTTGTACTTTTTCTATATTTTAGGTAACAAATTAAATAGATTTTTGGAATAAATATTAAGATATATATATGTAAAAAATGTTTGTTTCTAGACAAGTACGAGAATGTTTGAAGTTGAATCCAGACCACAAAACTTGTTTCCCATTCTATAAAAGGGTCAAGAAGCTTGGTAAGATGAGAGAACAACTGGAAAAGGCCTCAAAAGAACAAAAGTGGACAGAATGCTTGAAAAAGGGACAAGACATCTTGAAGTACGAGCAGAACATTGACAACATTCAGTGGGATGTGTTCAAAGTCACTTGTAAATGTAACAGAGAAGCTGGCCACGTTGCCGAAGCTATTCAAGAATGCTCAGAAGTCTTAAAATACGGAATTCCTGACGATCTGGATATTCTGTTGGAACGAGGAGAAGCTTATTTGTTGGCAGAGGAATGGGACAAAGGTATGTAATTTTTGCTTCTCATCTTTTATAACTGACGTTTAATGTATAGTTGCTTGTCATTTTCTTGAGTTTGTTTTGAAATTTCATTTTTTAGCTATTGAGGACTTCCAACAAGCTGTGAATGCTCATTCCGAATCCCGAAAAGCGAAGGAATCTTTGAATCGTGCTCAAAAGATGAAAACTCAAGCAGGCAAAAAAGATTACTATAAGATTCTGGGAGTGAAAAGGTATGTGCAATTAGGTGTATTATTGCAGTAAAAAAGTACATAGAAAAACCTGTGTTATTTTGTTACTTGTTGTCTAAAATAATGCTAATTTGTGTTTTTAGGAATGCAAGCAAGCGTGAAATTGAAAAGGCTTACAGAAAGCTAGCTCATAAATGGCATCCAGGTAGGTATTTTGTTTTTAGGTATTTACGTCTTGCACGGATAAAGTAGTATAATGCGTCTTATAATATTGTTTTAGATAACTTTCAAGACGATGCCGAGAAGAAGAAAGCTCAGGAAAAGTTTATCAACATTGCCGAAGCCAAGGATGTGTTGACGGATCCAGAGAAGCGTCAACTATTCGATCAAGGAGAAGATCCGAACGATCCTAACGCCGGTCATGGCCATCATCACCATCCCTTCCACGGCTTCCAAGGGTTCCCTGGCGGATTCGGCGGAGGCTTCGGCGGTGGCGGACAGCAATATTCATTCAAATTCACTAACTTCTAGAATACCAGTAGTCATACAAAACATGATCAAAGCGGGTTCCAGTTTGAGTCAAAGACTTTTTAACGCAATTTAGTGCCTCGAATGTGTTAATGTACATGTAACTTATTATTATTTTGTTATAAATAAATACTATTAATAATTTTGTGACAATAAACTATCGGTTTCTTCTCCGAATCTTACTACAACTACTACAGTTGACATTTTAACTATAGAAATGTATGATGGCTAACTATAATAACAATATAGTTGTTTCACTGACTAAAGGTTGTTATAGAAAATGGGAGACCGCTCAGAAAACGAATTCGGAGTTAAATTGGATCGGTGTTTCGCTGACTCTCTACTGAAGGTCGCCGGAGGTATTGCCATTGGTGTAGTGTCATCAGTAGCCTTGTTCAAAGGACGTACCGCACCAGTTTGGTTGGGTACCGGAATTGGTAGGTTAAATAAACATTCCTCCAACACCTCAATTTTTGATTATTAGTTTTTTATCTTGCTTTAATTTTAAGACTTCTGAAAAAAAAATTGTGTTTTAGGCATTGGAATGGGATGGAGCAACTGCAGACACGACTTAAACGACCCCTACCTTCTCCATGGCCAGAAGGTGAAGGCAGGTCAAGAAGGAGGAAAGCCATCCTATCAAATCGTTGTTCAACCTCCAAAAGCATAGATCTAGCGTTTTATTGAAATAGATGTATTAAACTGAGAATAATAATGGGAAAGTGTCGTTCTTGAGCTTCGGACTCACAGAGTTTATCACTCGTCCCTTGTCGACTATGAAGTTGCCCTCAGGTAATGTCAAAGTGAACTTTGGTGTTTTCTCTACCAGCCATTCTGACGTCCTCAATTCGTCGTACTTGGTCGTGATACCGGGCCTTTTCTCTTCATCTATGACTTCATTTTCCTCGATTTCTATTATCTGTGTCTCAACGTTCTGTTTTCCAAAGCCAGCTATCACAATATCCTTGATTTCCTTCGTCGTTATTCCAGGAACATCTTGTTTTAGTTGTCCCACAGCCTTGGCCCTGACACTCCTCGTAGCATTGGTCTGGATTAATCCCTGGAGAGGGGATCGAAGTGATAAACTGAGCGCTGCCAAATCCGTATCTACCAGTAACGTTAAATGATGATAAGCTCTTCCTTTAGCTATTCGTGCAGCCGTGCCCGATATCTTTCGGTCACCGGGCAGTAAGAGATCATCGCGAGTGTTTAGTCCTATCTAAACAACATAATATTCTTCTTTTACCAGAAATATTGAGTAGTAAAAAATGTTACTGTATTCAACAATAATACTCTTCAAACTTACAGAAATGCCTAATAATGTGTTGAGTTGTTCAGCTATTAACGCCAAATTCCTCGGTCGATTGTGGCGTTTATGGGACGTCAAAACCGATATGTTCAAGTTACCTAGAACAATAAAATGTCATTCAATTGCTCTACGGAGAAGGCATTCTTAAAAATTACCTAAAATATGTAAAACAAGAAAAGTTTCTTACCTAAGTCATGGAACACAGCTCCACCACCACTAAACCTTCTGACTACGTTGATCTTTCTGGTATCACAAAAACTGAGGTTGCTTTCCAGCCATGGATTCTGATACCGACCAATAACCACCGACGGAGTATTACTAAACTATTAATGTATGAAGTAAATTCTGATATAAATAAACAAGACATATCTTACAAGCATTTTGACCTGATGTATATAGAAAGGTAAAACACCTACCTCCACAAAAGTACCGACTCCTCTGATTGTTCTAAATCGTGGTTTCTGAATAACCATTCCTCCAATGCCAGATTTTTGTACAAGCAAGTTGACTTTGACAAATAAATAGTTCCTAATCGAGCTCTCGAGGTAATCATAGCAGATTGAAAGTTAGGGGTTTGTGAAAAACATTGTTTAATATCGCAAGAACGGAGAAGACAAGAAGCAAAATATTTACTACATCTTTTGATAATTCGAGTATTATTAGATGGCCAGACTCGACTCACACTTGTTTGTGTCATCTCTTTCTTTTTCTGTAATCATATTTTTCAACAAAATTATTTGTCGACGGACTTGTTTCGGCTAACCTAGGTTTCAATAAGTTTGTATATTCTTATAACAAAGATTAAAGATGCCTAAAGTTAACGTAAAATGGTCTGGCAAGCAGTTCGAGGTTGATGTTAATCAAGAACTGGAGCCTTTGGTGTTCAAGTCTCAACTCTTTGAACTAACTGGAGTGGTGCCTGAAAGACAGAAGGTTATGGTTAAGGTATGTGACGTTTTTTATACTTGGTTATGTTTTTAGGGGAAGACTTTGGCTGACGACAATTGGAATGGCGTGGCTTTAACTGACGGTACCATGATGATGTTGTTGGGAAGCACTGGAGGTATTCCTCAAGCCGTGAAGCCGGCTGATGAAAACCAAAAGCCTGATGGTGAAGCCAAGAAATTGGCATTGCCAGCTGGCATGGTCAATTTAGGCAACACTTGCTACATGAACGCCACTCTTCAATCCTTTTTGGTAAGAAACATTGTTTTAGGTAGCATTTTGTGGTGTTTAACAGAAAGAAAAATATAATTATTGTGAAGTGGTGTGCTAACGAGGCAAAACTTTACAGAGAATTTATATTGGTAATTTTAGACGATTCCCGAGCTTGTTCAAGGAGTTCAAGGATGGAATGCCAGAGGTGCTGAAAGAGCTAGAAGTGATACCTACAGATTGTATACCAGTTCTATCAGGAACTTGTTTAGTGAGATGAAGTCGAAGCCAAATGGCACTGTAACTCCACTTGTTCCGTTACAAGTAAGTCATTAATCTTTTACGTTTTGCTGATTTTAGTAACGAGGTTTTTAATATAAAAAGATGATATAATTAATACCTTTTAATGGTTAGTAAAAGTAAAAGGTGACAGCAATTAACACCGAGTAAAAAGCCGCATCTTATAGTTGATGCACTCTTTGTATCCTCAATTCGCGACCAAAGGAGAACGAGGTGGATATGAACAACAAGATGCCAATGAATGTTTCACCGAATTATTGAGAGAGTTCTCTGGATGTGCTGATATCAACGTTGGGGAAGGTAAGGTGCCGGTACGACGATTTTTGGAGGGTGAATTTGATGTTACTATGAAGAACATGGAAAGTGAAGAAGAACCGGAACAAAAGTCAAAGGAAACCTTCTTACAAGTAGGTATTAGGTACCAAGTTGAGCATTTGAGATGTATAGACATAAGCTTTTTAAGTGTCTTATTGATTAAAACAGGCATAAGCTCGTTATAATCTTTGATTTGAGTAAAGTTGGTATTGATATCTTTTGTTTTTAGTTGAGCTGTTTCCTGTCGCAAGAAGTCAGGTACGTCCAATCAGGTATCAAGTCAAAGTTGACTGAAGAGATCGAGAAGAACTCTCAGACATTGGGCAGAAACTGCAAATACGAGAAGAAAACTTTGATTTCTCGTTTACCTGCCTACCTCAGCATTCAGATGGTCAGGTTCTTCTACAAGGAGAAAGATCAGGTAACATTGTGAATAACTTTAATATTATTGATGATTTTAAGACAGTAATATGCTTATTATTTTAAACATAGTATTTTATTTCAGATAAACGCTAAAATTTTGAAAGATGTCAAGTTTCCCATGATTCTGGATGTGTTCGACTGTTCTACTCCTGACCTTCAAGCGAAATTGAAGCCTCAAAGAGATGCTTTCAAGGTATGATATATCTTATTTCTTTTTTTAAAGTATCTTGATGTTTTTCAATACTATCTACAATAACTTAGCTTTTCAACTTCAAGACTTTGTTGCTTTACAATGGTTTTTAATAATAACTATTTTTCTTTAGGAATACGAAGACAAAGCCGTGGAGAAGATCCGAACCTCAAAACTTGGTGAAGAGTCGAAGATGGACGTAGATGTCAAGTATGCTCCATCTGACTTCGAAGGAGATCCAGGATCTAACAACTCGGGCTTTTACCAGTTGAATGCCATTATCACCCACAAGGGTCGTAGCAGTAACAGTGGACATTACGTGGCATGGGTGCGGGTGGACGACAAGAAGTGGGCCATGTGTGATGACGATGAAGTTCACGAAGTCACCGAAGACCAGATCCAGAAGCTGTCGGGTGGTGGAGACTGGCACTGTGCCTACGTGCTTCTCTATGGCCCCAGAAGACTACCTCTTCTCGAGTAACGTGTTCACTGCATATTTTGTTAAGTAACTTAATTTAAGACGATAAACAGTAAATATATTAACGTTTTTGGTACTTGCGTCGTATTACAAATTAAAACTTCAAGAGTTTTGTTTTTGAATTTCAAAAGTAATTTTTATACTGATTCAACGACTAATGTTAGGCTGGTCGTTTACTGGACTGACTGCGCCTGTATTGGTCACTGCACTGGTGTCTTGTACAATTTTATGGAATTGTGCTTCTCGCGACAGAGGTAAGTTGAGGTGATTTTTTTCTGTAAAGAAAGTTTTTACTTGTTTTTTGTTTTTTAATTTTCACAGAATTTCTCGCCTTGATAATGTAATTTTTATCATTTTTCTTATTGTATGTTGATTTTATAGTCCTGGAGTCACATGTAAAGGCCAGAAGAAGGAAGAGAAAGTTGAGTAAGGAGAGGAAACACTCCAAAGAAGCCAGAATGTCCAAAGAAGAGGTGAAGACAGCTGAAGGAGAAGAATCACTTGTTGGGCGAAAGTTCAAGGCCAATGAAAGTAAGTTTTATTTTTTGCAAAGAGTTGTCATTATTAATGATTTTCGACGTCTTTGGCTTTATTTTTTGGGTATTTTTTGAAAATGTGATTCCAGAGCCTCACCAAGTACCGCCAGCCTACAGCAAGTCTGAAGAGACTCAGAACGGAGATCCTCGAACTGCCAAGCCAATCGACTTTCTGTACCCAACAGACAGTAATGAGAATGTAAGAAACTTTGTTTCCGTTTCACTTTTTTTTTATTTTCGGTCACAAAGATTTTAGCAAAATACAAAAAATATGTTTATCCATGTACTAGATGCCACCTTATATTATTGTTCAGATGTGGCAAGACGAAAGCACCCTCCGGCACGTCTCTTCAATCGAACCGGATAATGAGACTTCAATGATGATCCGCTCACACATCCACCGACATCGCGACACTGAACTGACAATGACTTGATTCAAAAATAAACCTGACTCTCAACTTTTCTTTTAAAATTTCAAAGTTGATGGAGCGGCTAGTGAGAAGATGGCTTTTCTGGGCCCATACTTGATCAATTCGGTTAAACTCTCCGAATACAGACGAGGAATAGCAATTGGAAGTTGCAGGTTACGAACTTCTTACGAACTTAAAGCCGAATTTGAGTCATATTTGGCGCTTGAACTTGTTTTTAACGTCTATATTTTTAATGTAAAATTTAATGTTTATTATAATTTAAATTCTACAGTAATATTGTTTCTTTCGATCCAATATTATTATCTCGTCGAGGCCGACGCTGAATCCAAGTGGCAAGTCAGACACTTCAAATGATACCTACAACAATATATCACCTTGTGAAAAACCTTTGTGTCGTATTAGTAAGGCTAACTCATTGTAATATTGACTTACATACTCGTAGTTGCCAGGATATAGCGGTCGTACTTCGCGGAACCACCGGTGACTCTCCAATGTGAGTTTAGGTGTCTGAATATGGTACCGTACCTTAATGTAGACCTACCGTAAACAATAACTGCTCTTTGGTGTCGTACTCTCGCTTCAGAAACACTCTCAGATCTCCCATCTGGTTGGCCTTGAAGTAGGCGAACATCAGGAACAGGTCTTCCTCCACCGAGAACTTCTTCGTCGTGTAGCGGGTCTTCATCTGAGGACCTCCTATGTAGGCGAAACTACCATCTAAAGACAAATGTATCTATGAGTAACATAGTTATAATAAGATTATGCTAGCTTGAATTAAGTATCATTGAAGAGCTTACTATCCGAAATTACATAAAAACTGAAGTAATGTTACCTTTGTTATACGGTAACCGAGAAGCGTCACCCGGAATGCCACCTATGATATCAGAGGTCGGGAAGGTTGTAGTCAGCCATCCACTACCATGTACTTGACCGGCGCAGTACTCTGTAGCATTAAAAGAGCAGTCCAGTACCTCACATACGTCCTTGTGTATGTCAGGGTTACTGTGGATTATGATACTTTGATCAGCCTGAGATGGAACTACAGCATCTGATAAGAGGTGGGGTTCCTAAATTGAGTAACTTTTATATTACTTTGCATGTATAAAGCTGTATATGTAGTAAATTACTGACTATTTGTTAAAGATATTATAGTATACAATGCAAAGTAGATAAATGAAGTTACCGTTCGACTGTGCGGCACTTTGTGTCTCATTAGCTGAGGTTTCGGGCAGAATTCTCCAAAGTATTCGATGTTATCTATGATAGCGAAACCGCCTTGTAAGTTGGCCGAATTGTAAATAAAGTTTTCGGCGCGGACATATATCTATAACTTAAACCAGGTTACAGTAGTATAAACAAAACAAATATTTCCATTTTTCTAAATTTTATTCTTCATAGTTTACTAAAATCGTATCTTAATTGATATATGTCTTACCTGAAAAGGTTCCCCAGCGAGGTCAGGTATACTAACATAAGCTGGGCCTGGATCACCTGTTTCTATGGCCGACGCACAGTAATCGTAGTCGCCAGCCGGCTTTGACATTGACTTGGTACATATGATCAGTTTTACGTCTGGACTGGTCCAGTACCTAAATCATATTTACTAGTCATTTACAGATACATTACATTAATTATGTCATAGATGACATGCTGAAAATAAACTGTTACTTACATAAACCTGAGTTCGGCCTGGCCTAGTTGGCAGTCTATTGGATCACTGACCAGGATAGCCTTTGAAGTTGGAAACTCTATACGGTCACTTGCAGCAATACCGTAATATCCATCTAAAAATGCAACTATTTTATTGTCTTTTAATTTCATATACTTCCTTATAATCATCTGTTCTACCTTTACCTAATTTATTTTGTTTTATGCTTTTTGTACCAAAATTTAACAATAATAACATATGTACACTCACCCGGACTCAAATGAGTTCCAGTAGAGACTCGAAGCCTAGATTCATCAAGGAAGCCCGCTCCTTGATACCAGTCCAGTTCATCGACCCCAGCGCCTTCAATGTTACGCCATCTGCATTTGTCATCAAAGTCATAACAAAACAGATCTATCGGATCTGAGACTACAGTATTCTTGACTGTTTTAGCATCTAAAAGAGTCTTGGTCAATAAGTTCATAGAAAAACACAAAATGACAAAAGTTTAAAGTTTATACGTTCGAACTGTAAAGTCAGTAAAACGTTTGAATTTCCTTGCGTAACATTCAATTTGAAAAACATAATGAATTAGTACCTTACCCAACTTGATTGGCGTTTGAACCTTGTTGATGGTATCTCCAAATGCCCTAGCCGCACTCTGAAAGTCGCCCAGTACAAATGCCTGGCTGTCCAATGGTGGCATACAACATTCTAAACATAGCTACTACAATGTCATTGCCAATAAGTCATCTTTGTTTTGTTACCCATATATCTCTTACATAGTACTAATACACTATGTAAAGATAATAAAAAATAAAATTTTATTGTACTCATATAATATGACATATCTTGAGTCAAAATGACATAAAAAAACTAAAATCATGACAAAAGCTCGTTATGACATACCATAAACAAGAAGCTGACTGGCAAAGTAAATGAGAAGTAAGAGCATCTCATTGAAACCGAAAACAACTAATAGAATCCATTTCGTAGTGGATTCTGAAGAGAACCTTCAAGTGACCATTCCGAGCTCGAGAACATTGCTAAACAAACACATCTTACTCCAAGTACAGCCACTTACTTGACTCTTGCTTCTAACTGTGTTCGCGCAAAATAAGGTCAGTTTGTACAGTAGGAAAGATGGATTACGTTAGGTCATCTTATATCATAATATTCAATTTTAACTCTTTTCTTAAATATATATCAACTACCTTTTTCGGCATATTTGCACTATTATACATGAACAAATAACTAAAATCAATCAATTTATGACAATATAGAACATAAGACATTATTGATGTAGATCATCCATCCTCTATATCACTCGAGTCATGTCGTTTCGAAGTACGTTGCTTATGTTTGATAACATCGGCAGCTAGTGGAGGAGCGAACAGAACATACGATATCACCAGCTTTTTGCTGACACGCATTACGGCCGCCATATTATCCTGAAATCAGTTATCTTTGTAACATACACGAGCTAAAAAAATAAACTGCGAACATAAAATACACTAAAAATTAATTGGAAGTTTTCTGCGCACTTTCAGACCACATTAGAACACAATACTGACCTGTTCAACATTGTAACTGGCAGCCGAAAACACAGTGACCAACCTCTTGTTTGCAAACAATCCATAACCAGATGGCATTACCTAAAGTGTCAAACAATTGAAAAATACAGTATACAAACGCCACAAGAAACACTGTAGGAAAAAGATACTAAATGACCCGAAAAGCATTATTATAAAATTACTAGTAAATTTTAATAAATATCACAACACCACGCCAAAAACAACCACAGTGAACCTACTTGATGTGCTCTCACAATCAGATCAACCCCCAACCTTGTACACGTACTATGAACAACATCAGCACCAAAGCATATACTGATCTCTCTGACAACATTGAAATTGAAACCAGAGATGGCAGACGAAGGATCCGCCCAGAGAAGATCCTCTTCCAAACTATTGACCGGTGGCTCTTCGAACGGAATCTGAATCCTTCTGATATCGTCAAGAGACTTCAGATGCGGACTCAACCCACCGTGCATACACAAGATACGACCCTTTACTATGGCAGCCAATGGAAGATACGTGAAGATGTTGTTGATATCACTGTAAATTCGAGAAGCTAATTTACGTTTGAAACGGTGATTCAGCTCGGATCTGAAGCCGTAGACCTGATTGGTGGATTGTACTTCGTGATTCCCTCGTAGCAGATAGATTCTAGACGATGCGGCAACCTTCAGAGCCAATAACAACATTATACACTCAAGTTGATTGGGACCACGGTCAACATAGTCTACAAGTTACAGTAAATTTTAAGATACATATTTACTAAAAAGTAGTACCATTTTATAAAATTTTTAATCCTGATATTAATCAGTTTGTACCAAATAATACTACAGTTCACTCACCTCCCAAAAACAGATACCTCTCCTTTCCAGGCACTCCAATCGCCGCGAAGATTCTAAGAAGATCGTCCAGTTGGCCATGAATGTCGCCCACAATGTTGACAGGGGTTGGAACTTGTACTAGAGCACTGGTATTCTTACAAAACACAGGTTTGGCTAGCTTCAACACCTCAAAGATCTCTTCACTAGTAAATTCGAAATTGTTTTTGTTGTAGTAGGAAAAGAAACGGTTGATGAACTCTTCCAAATTCAGCGACATTCCACCGGTTTTTGTAACAGAAAATATAAAAAGAAACAAACCTCGTGAAACATAAAGTAACAAAAACAAACAAAAAAATTAAAAACAAATGTTTGAAATAGCATAAACATGCTCTTAGCCGTAAGCAATATAATATTGCGCAAATTCACTAATTTTAAGCAATTTCTGCTTTTGACAGATTGTCCAACTTTTTATAAATATTCAGATTTTTTTTCAAAAACAAGTCATATCCCAAAAGCCAAACAAAGAAAAGTCAGTAGTTTAATGTCAAAGAGCTTTCGAACTGTTTCCCAATGTGGCATCTTGGTTGAAACTTTGGGCAAACGCTTCTGGACCAGTAGCACCACCCGTCGACGGATTCATGACCATGTAAGAAATCATCAGCTTCGAGTTGATACGAACCACAGCGCCTTTGTTATTCTAAAAGTAACATTAATTGTAAATAATAATTTTTTTTAAAAATCTTCCTAGAAAGTCTAAATCACCTTGTTACCTAATAAAAGAAAATAAACAATAAAATAAAGTCAAAGGGATTGCAAAACAATATTTACACTCACCAACTCTGGAACGTAACGAGAAGCCGAGAAAACGGTGACCAACTTCCGGTTAGCAAAGAATCCGTAGCCGTTTGGCATCATCTACAATATCATATAGATTTACAAAAAAAAATTATTCTTATTACCTATTCATTAATCTTCTATAAAACTCTTACCTGATGTGCTCTTACAATCAGATCCAAGTTCATCTTCTTGCAGGCCTTGTTAACAACATCCGGTCCGAACGACACACTCACATCCCTCAGTTTGTTGAACTCGAAGCCTTTGGTGGTGGTCGACGGATCCGACCACAGCAGATCCTGCTCCAAAGTGTCCGGAATCGGGTCGGTGAACGGAAGCCGGATTCTCTTGATGGCGTCGATGGAACTCAGACGCGGACTCAAGCCCCCGTGCATGCACAGAATCCGACTTCTGATCAAGGCCGCCAAGGGAAGATGGCTGAAGATGACGTTGAATTCTTTGTGCAACTTCATGGCCAACCCAATTGTGAAGCGACGCTGAAGCTCCTCCCAGAATCCATAAGTTCTGTTGACCAGTTCACACTCATGGTTTCCACGTAGCAGGATCACACGATCTGGAGCCAATATCCGCATGGCCAGAAGCAGGGCTATACATTCTGTCTGGTTTGGGCCGCGATCGACGTAGTCTAAAAGTTTTACCCGGTATACTATTTATTTGGTGAAGTATTTCTCCGGTGAACTAAATATTTATCCCCGCACGGTTGTTTTGAAGCAAGAGCAATGCGTCCTTAATTCTGTCCTTTTTTTGAGGCCGGGACGCAGGCTGCGGAATTTTTTCATTTTGTTGTCTAGACCTAGTTTGGTTTAAAGAGTTGTAACTTCGAACTGGGTATTTTTTAATAAGATTTGCTTTTTGGCAAATAACAATTTGATTTTGAGCTTTTTGAAAATAATCTCACTTAGTTATAAATTTTTGTTTTAGCAATTGTATGTTGTAGTAAGTATCTTGAACCTACAATATTGAATATCAAGTTTTATATTACAAACACTGTAATGGGATTAATGTATATATTAAGCTGCGTTGTTCATAGTCAATTTAAGGCCAAAAACATATCCATAAGCCCAATTGCAGCCAAGATATTACTCATAAAACCTTAAATATACAGTAATTTGACACTTAAATTGTAATTTCTCAAATCCAGTCAGTCAACAAGAAAATCGCTTCAGAGGTTTACATGTAAAGGGTCTTAGCTCTTACATCTGAAAAAAAGAGCAGCATCTGCTGAAAATAAATGGCACTTGTCTGAGCCGATATTACACATGGTACGTAATATAAAGTTATGGCCCGGAAATTTTGATATATTTAAAACCATGATACGCAAATATAGCTCACTGTAAGGTAGAAAACGATTATAAAAAGCAGTTCAACTACTAAATAAATAGTTCTAGTAACAGAATTTAAACTTTATTATGATACACATGTTATATACATGGTCATGTTCAATATGGGTATTTTAATCTTGGTAATCGCTTTTAACTGTGAATTAAATTTGATATTTAGCTCATAGTAAAAGTGTAGAAACATTTTTTACTGTGTGACAATTTACAGTGGCTTCAGAATCAAACATCTAATTTGTCATAGGTACCGCCACTGACTTCAACTACCAGTAGCTTCTCAATTTAGAAAAAATAACACAACAAGCAATGTTTAATACAACGACTAAACTAATATCAACATATTAAAACACAATTAGTACCTGTCTTATTGTTCTTTACAAGTGTGTTGACGATTTTTGCCAAAATGCACTGCTATCGTACACAGCTTCAAGTACTACAGTAAGAACACAGCATGTGTGATAGTGTATTTTCCTTATTAATGTAGTACAAATTGTAAAATTTCTTAAGGGGTCGCAAATAACTTAAGCATTATATAATTTATAGTATAAAACATTATTTGAAAAAGCCGATTTATATCTTGGTCGTAGGTTTGCTAAACAATTTTCAACCTGCCATCTAGAGAGAGAAGGTACACATACTGACTTAAATTTAATGTGTTGATATTAGTCTAGTCGTGGTGTTAAACATTGCTTGTTGTGTTATTTTTTCTAAATTGAGAAGCTACTGGTAGTTGAAAAGTCAGGGGGGAGGGGGGGGTGGGGTACCTATGACAATTTAGATGCTTGATTCTGAAGCCACTGTAAATTATCACACAGTAAAAAAAGTTTCTACACTATTACTATGAGCTAAATATCAAAGTTGATTCACAGGTAGAAGTGATTACCAAGTTTAAAATACCCATGTTGATGTACATGACTATTTTGACGTTGAACTCCAGAATCCTATAATAGAGTAAAATATTTTTAGCTAAACGTAATAAATGCGCTAATATAAAGTTGCAAGATTCTAACTACAGTCTCTTGTAAGTTGCATGCGTGGCCTAGTAATTTTGTCTACTTTTTGAACGCCAAAAATATTTTGGTAAACCTAAAAAATTTTCAGAAGCTTATGTTTTTTTCATATTACAAGCATACCATTAATTTAGGTCTACCTAGATGCCGTATGCCAAATTTTAGTTCAATGGGACAAGACACTTTCAATTTATAGGGTAGTAATTATTTTGTCAAACATTATATTAACCTTATTATTTGAAGCTAAAAACGCAAAAAAAAACCCAATTGCAAATAAAATTATTTAAAAATGGTGCTTTTTACTAATTATTTGATCTATTAATGAGTGTAATCCCTTTTAAGTACTAAGCGCACACCTTCAAACAATACAGAAATTTTTCGTATAATACGTCCACCGCAGGCTGCAGCGAATTTTTCGGAAATTCGGAAAAGGCCAAAATAAAGGACGCAAAAAAACAACCGTGCCCCGGGCGCAGTACTTAAGATCAACGCTTTTCCTCATTACAGGCTGCAGTGCCATTTTATACGAAATTTTAATTTTTACAGATCTGTGTTTTTGTTTAAAAACAAGTACCTTAAGATCAAAATACGAAGTTTTAAAAAGGCTTACCTCCCAAGAACAGATACCTTTCGGTACCAGGAACCCCGATGGCTGCAAAGATTCTGAGAAGATCGTCGTATTGCCCGTGAATGTCGCCCACAATGTTGACTGGAATGGAGACATTGACCAGAGCACCGTCCTCCTTGTAGCGGCAAATCACGGGTTTGGCCATCTCGATCAGTTCCACCAGTTCATCGCCACGAATATCAATTGACTTTTTGGTCGCAAAGTCTAGAAGCCGGTTGATAAACTCTTCCAGATTCAGCGTCATCGACCAGTCGGTGTGCAGTCAGTAAGCAAGAATGATAATTTTTAATTTGTTGTCGACTGGTTGGGACATAATTTTGGTTTGTTCATGGACTTGTTAATTTGTTATGTTATACATGATATATTTTATTAAAAAATATTAGTTCTGGTATTGTTATTAAATTAAATAACACTATTTTTCGTATTATTATAGGTATGAATTTATTAAAAACTCGAAATTTAACGTTTCAGCATCTCTAATGCCACAGCTTCCATTACTTTTGGATACATTTCGTATTCTTTCTCCTGAATCTTCTTGTGAAGCGATTCTTTGTCATCGTGAGGCTTGATTGTGACTACAGATTGCTCCAGAATCTTCCCAGCATCAACATCTTCGACAACATAGTGTGCCGAACATCCTGTGAACTTCACTCCGGCTGCTAATGCCAATTCAACAGCATGAGCACCTTTGAAGGATGGAAGTAATGAAGGGTGTAGGTTGATAATACGATTGGGCCAGGCATTCAGGAATTCAGAAGTCAAGATTCTCATAAAACCAGCCAGGCAGATCAGCTCAACTCCGCGGGATTTTAGCTCCTGGAATGTCAAGATATCAAGTTTTAGAAGTAAATAGTACTTTTAAATAGGGAAAATTTCGTCGTATAACTTGGTTTTTGCAGCCTGCTATTCGTTAGTATAATAACTTACTTTAGTGACTTTTCGTTCAAATTCAGCTCTATCGGTACCGTGTGGTATGACTAAAGTATCGACTCCCATTCGTCTGGCCTTCTGAAGCCCTAAAGCGTTTTCTTTGTTTGACACGACGACGCTGACATAACAATTACTGCCAGATGATCTGCTTTGTTCTATCAACTTGACCATATTGCTTCCTGTAAGTTAATATATTCCCATTGTTACAGTATTTTTTGCTTAAGATCTATCAATAAAAATATTGTATAGTCAAAGTTCATAAAAAAAACAAAAAACTATCGTACCAGTGCCAGAAATAAGAATCCCAACGTTGACACGTTTCCTCTTCAGATAGTCAAGATCAAAGTTGGGGAACACGCTTCTGAAGCCTTCCAGGACTACAGAATCCTCTGTTCTCTTGGCCAATCTCCCAATTTCCCAATGTTTCGTGTTGAGACCGTTGAGGGTCTTCAAAACTTGTTCCTTCACTTCTGAAGCCACCACTAATGTCATTCCGATGCCACAATTAAAGGTCCTGAACATTTCTTTCGGTTCGACCGGTCCATTTTGTTGTAGCCAAGAGAAGACGGATGGCATTGGGTAGGCCGAGCAGTCCTAAAATGATTTTGTAAATTTTTGTACTGTAACGTCGTATTTTTACATAGTATCGTAAAAAAGTTTTAACGTATGTATAATATAACTTAACGTATGTATAATATAACTTTTTTCTCTTACAATTTGAGCAGCCAAATGTTTCGGTAGAACTCTCGGCACGTTCTCCTGAAGACCGCCTCCAGTAATGTGAGCTGCTCCTTTGACCAAATTCTGATTAATCAACTCCAACAACGCTTTGGCATATAATTTTGTTGGTTTCAGAAGCTCATCACCTAGAATTTAAGACCATACATCAATACAACACCGTATGTAATAAAAAGTATGTGTTTATACTATTTTCTCTATTTATCTTACCAAAAGTTTTCGTTTCATCCCAAGGACACCTCGAGGCTACAGTAAGACCGTTCTGTTTCAAAATCTTTCGTATCAAACTGAAACCGTTACTGTGAACACCGTTGGATTCGACACCAATGATAACATCGCCTTCTTTCATTCTAAAAATGTTTCGTATACACAGATCTTTAAACTACAGTAATACAAATAGCATAATACTCCAACAATGTTTTTACTGACACTTTTAAACAAGACTATTAGACTGAACTTACTGGTCAAAAAGAGGTAGCGTAGGAGCACTTCTCTCTTTGACTCCAACACAACACCCAGCCAAGTCCCACTGGTCCTTCTGGTACACTCCCGGCATCTCGGCAGTCTCTCCCCCCACCAAAGCACACCCGCTCTCCAAACAGGCACTGGCTATTGACTTGACTACAGTAACAGCGTTGGCTCGGTTCAGTTTGCCTGTAACATAGTAATCCAGGAAGGCTACGGGTTTGGCACCGTGACAGATAACGTCATTCACACACATCCCCACCAGATCGTAGCCTAGTCCATCTAATTTGTTGGCCTGGTCAGCTATCTCAAGTTTAGTCCCTACTCCGTCCATTCCAATGACTAGAGATGGGTTACGGTAACCAAGTTCTTCCAGGTTCACGATGGCTCCGAATCCACCAATCTGAAGATTTTTAAATGGACTTATATTGTAAAATACAGTAACATTCCAGGTAGAATGTAAGCGAAGGTAAGAGAGCAAAGCATAGCGCTACCGTATAATTAAAGTGAGTTAAGAAGACTTTTCACCTCTAAAGCGCCTTGGCCGCTGGCCAAACCATGACTCATTGCGCCTAAAGCATGATTATGAAGCGGCTCTCGGGGGGATCATTTTAGATCGAGAGCGCAGCAAACAGCATACAGTGATAATTACTAATTACCTATCACTTTCAGAGCCAAGAACCGCCCCCAGGCAACAGTATATAAACTGGCCGCTTCGAACCTTCCAGGATGTCCCCAGCTCTATCGATCCCCTTTCCTTCCCTCCCCCCCTTGCATCAGCGCCGATTTTAGTATTGTATTGTGTATATTTCTAGTGCTCGCTCGTGTATAAACTGCCGTGTTTATATTAGGTATTGCTTCTAGAAACCCCAATTGACCCCCCCCCCTCTTTAGTAAACCGACCCATTTAACGTTAATTTTACAAAAAAGATCTCTTTGATTTTCAATATGCATACAAAATACAAATGTGTATTAAAACATACCGTATCAGTTCCAGGAATCTTTGTTGCCGCACAAGAACCTTTAATCTCGTCGACCAGTCGATTCCCCTCACTAATGTCCACACCACTGTCAGAGTAGTCGATAGCCTTTGGTTTGACTACATGGTGACCAATGTCTCGTCTCCAGAATCCATTACTAAATCCGATCTTCTCCACGTGCTCGTAGCATCTTCGTAACGCATCAAAGAATGAATTATCAGTAACACTGACAGTCAAGACTCTGCCTCCAGAACTCTTGTAGCCTTCTGAATCCTTCTTCATTCCGGCGTGGAAGAGCACGATGTCTTCTGAATCTTGAGGTAGGTTGATGTTGACATATTTTACAAAAGAGCCTGGGTATCCTTTAGAAGCCACAACAACAGCTGCTGCTTTTTTAGTAGAAAATTGTAAATTGATTTCGTTCAAACGGCCTTCACATGTAGCTACAGCTACATCGTACAAGTCGGATTCAAGAAGTCGAAGTAAAACCTAAAGTTATCGATTGAACAAATTACTTATGTCGATTAAATCAGTCGAAAAATCAAAATATCAACTTACTTGGGTTTCAGGATCACCAAAACGACAATTATATTCGAGTACTTTTGGTCCTGATGACGTGATCATCAAACCAGCGTACAGAATACCTACAACAATATAAGTAATAATTAAGCTTATAAATTATTTTTTTTTAAATTATAAACTCCAAACACAATCTCATACCTTTATAAACACATCCATCCTTCGCCATTCCATCAACAGTTTTGCCAATGATCTTCCTGATATTCTCTTCTACATCAACATCTAGTACCAATGGTGCTACTGCTCCCATACCTCCAGTATTAGGTCCAGTATCATCTTCTCCAACTGCTTTGTGATCTTGACTGAACGGCAGTAGCCTGAACTCTTTTCCATCTGAGAAACACAACGCTGACACTTCGTAGCCTTCTAGAAACTCTTCCAGAACTACTGTAGCTTTTGGTTGAACACTGAAGATTTCAGACAGGGTTTGAGAAGCATAGTCAACCGATTTGCAGATTGTAACACCTTTTCCAGCACACAAACCGTCCTCTTTTATCACGTAGCCTTTCCAATCTGATCTAAAGTATGATATTCCCAATTAAAAAGTGTTATATGATGATAATATATATAAAATTAAGTCAAAAATAGTTTATTTTGGTTAGCATATAATATTTTTATTGAAAAATATATTTTCTATACAAAATTTTACAAAAATTTGAAAGAAATAAGTGCTTCCAAAGAGCGCTGCAGCCCGCAAGTCAAAGTTATACGATTAAACATGCCCTCTGCTCCAAAACTTTTTTGTTTCATAGTAACAAAAGCAAGCTCATTCAAAAAGAAAATTCGCAAAAAATACAGATTAAAATATTGAACTAAAATGATTTTCAAGCCTATAATTAAAAATGTAAACGATAATCAAATAAATAAAACCAAAAATATTATACTAAACCTACAATTTAGAGAATGCGCTTGATAAGTTATCAGCTGCTGATACCGTGACATATCTTGCGGTAGGAATGCCATGCCGTATCATAAAATCTTTGGCAAAACTCTTTGAAGCTTCCAGTTGAGAAGCTTTCTTCGATGGAGCCAGTACCTTAACATCACTTATCAGTTGGTCTTCCCATCCTTCACAGATCTGTTTCTCTGGGCCAATAACGATAAGATCTACTTCGTTGTCTTTACAGTACTTTCTGACGCTTTCTACGTTGTTTACGTCAACTAAAAGATATAAATATGAAAAAACCTATTGAGAAACATTATATTTCATATTAACTTTACTCTGAACTTGATCAACTCAAACCTACCAGCTGATCCCACCGAGTACTTGCAAGAGTTGCCCGGTATGATAACCACACTTTCCACCTTGGCACTCCTGTCAAAGGCATAGGCCAAGGCATGTTCTCTGGCCCCAGAGCCCAAAACGACAACCTTAGCCATGGCGAACAAGAATGGAGAGTAAAGTCGCTGATTGCTTTACACTTTCTGACCGTCAGAATGATGAATCGAGGGTCTTTGCCATCTATCATCGATGCTTTATAATGATGGTTATCATGTCTAGCCGCAACAATTAAAACCTTGTTCAACTCAACGCAACAATCGTTATGTTACGAGCAATGTTAATATGGCACAAGCAGAGGTTATGTTATGGGAAAACAGATTACCATGTCACATTAATCAAGGTAATTCAAACTTTAAATCAAAAGTATGTCAAAAAACATAAATATTTAGTAAAAATATGGTAAAAAGTAACATATTTATATAGTAATCAAAATGTTTTTACATTAACTTAAGTAAGCTTGAAAAATACTGATAACAAAGTGATAACCAAAATGAACAACCCCAATTTGTGATAATCGAAATGCCCTTTGAAGTCTTACATTGTAGCCTTTCTAAATTTAGAATCTCAAAGTTGTGCAGAATTTGAATAATATATTCTACTTGCTTGTCATTCTATTTTATCATTTTTGTCAATTTTAAGGTAATCTACGTTTTTCCCTTATTTTGGAGACTACTCTTAAATTATATTAGACTGCAACTCTTGTTTTAAACGTTTATAACTGTTTTTATTATGGCTATAAAATACCATTATGAGTTTACAATCACATAAGTCAAAACATTGTCATGACGTATATTGTGAGTTCGCACCCCATTTAGATAAGAACGTTTCTGACTCATCGTATGTTTATTTAAATATTAGAAACGCTCTATTTCATACTTTTGGATTAACTTTTTGCACTGTGGTTACTGTAGAGTAAAGGGCTTGTCTTTTTGATTTATATCTTTATGCTATGTACAGTAGTTTTACCTTTATTATTCGATATTTGGAAATGCTTACAGCCACTATGAGATATCTTGATCAATTGTTTTAAGAATGGCTATATGCGTAAAAGTTTTGTCATGCTTGTTTCAATTTTCTACTTACTGCTTAGCTATAGTACAATGTAATAGTACAACACACTGTACTACTACATAAAGCACATAGGTTTCCGTTTTAACATGAAATAGTTTACTCATCGATATCAACCATCTTGATCAATTAGTCTTCGTCTTCCGCGCCCTTTAATGCACCCCAGATATATTAATATACGTTTGAACCGTGAAGAATTCGCGGTTTTTGTGAAACTTTTTATGACGTGGCAGCGGATCACGAGAGATCTCGGTCAAAGTATGGTCGACTCTGATGATCGGCTGATTCAGAAGTGTTGTGGGCCAATGTGGCCGAATCATTCGAATAATTATTAAAAATGGGAAACAAATTGAATCGACAGCCGTCTGTCACGACCTCCAGCTTTTGTCTCGCAATAACAATATTTGAGAGTTTTGTCTCAATCTAGAGGATTTTGTAATAGAGAAGGTTATATATATTTTTTTGTCTCGTCTTTAAAGTATAATTAGGTATGTTATATAAAAAACAGTTTAATTCTCATTACAGGCCAATATTACTTATACTTTAAAACATGTATTATGGAATACGTTCGTATTTTACAAAATATTTGTGACAAAAGGTATTACTGTATAATAAAAACGTATTCCCAACCACCAAAACACTAATATTGCTTTGTTTTTTGCTCGTTAATCCGTGCTTCGAACCCGCGCGAAACAAAAATAATTTTAATCTGCGGGCGCAGCTCGGCGCTTTTTTACGAGAAAATTGAGCGGATTTTGACAAAAAACAGAAAGCGAAACGATTTTTGTGGTTTTTGGCCGTCTCACCGGCGGCCATTGGGAAAGCAACTCTCTCTCGCATCCGTGGAGTTCTCCTGCGTGTTTAATTTACCTTTGTATATTACTTTTATTACCTCCAATTACTTTTTTCCTTCAGAATTGAGCGGAACACGACCTTCTCTGCTGGTCGTTGTTCCCGCTACTTCATGTGGCGCAAATTCGTACTCTCAGCATGGATAGTCACATCCATATGCGTTCATGTTGTTCATAGTGAAGCGAAGAGTCCAGAAGATGAGAAGTTTGGCGTTGTGCCGAGCAAAGGCTACGGTTGCACGATGCTCGGTGTGTGCAGGATAGAAGGGGGATTGGCACAGAACTGTCCCAACGAATCTGCACCTGTGCCGACAGAAGATGTCGAGATGGAAGCTCAGATGAGGAAGCTTTGTCCGAGATTGTTTTTGAGTAAGCACTTTTGTTTCATTTCTGGATTTTAGGTACCTCTTGCGGTATGTCGCTTACTGGAATGTCTAATTTTTAATTTTAAAGTTTACTTTACGAGTACTCAAAGAAAATTAAAAAATTGTAGTATGTTAGTATTTTTAATTATTTTTTATTAAAAAATTGTAAAAACCTTGACGTATGATAATTTAGATGACACAGTATCTTTTTGTTGCGACGATGAACAGTTCAGAATATTTCACAAAAGAATGGAAACAGCGAGGCAGATGCTGGTAAGATGTCCTAGCTGTTTGTCCAACTTTATGAACTTGTGGTGTCAGTTTACTTGTTCTCCATATCAAAGTAGATTTGTTCGTTTATTGGAAACAGGTAAACAGGATGTATTCTCAAAGAAGAACAGTAGCTACGCGAAGAAGGTGGAGTACTTTGTGGATAAAAAATATGCTGACGACGTATTTCAGTCTTGTAAAGGGGTAAGTTTGATTTTTAGGTAACAAAGTATAGATTTTTAGATAAAAATTAGTTTTTAGGTAACTAAATTTGGTTTTCTTTTAATATTATTTGATTTTTGAGTTTACGGCAAAATTTTTGATGTTTTTATATTTCAAAGATTTTAGGTAACAAAATATTTTGTTTAGGTTCGTATGTCATCTGGAGACTTTGCCTTAAAAGCGATGTGTGGTACTGATGTGGAGAGTTGTACTCCTCAGAAATGGTTCGATTTTATGGGTAAAGCGAACAAGAATCTTGGAATTCCTTTTGACATTGAGTTTACATTGACCCACGATGAGACGATTATACGAAACCGAACATACGACTACATGAAGGCGATTGCTTATCCGTGTAACGCTCCGTCTGACATGTCATCATCGGCTTGTGCATGTCAGGATTGTAACAACTCTTGTGTCTCTGAGTCGCCGTTCCCCAACTTGGATGAGGTATGGGTTGTTTATATTTTCATGTTTATATTATTCAAGATTTAAAAGCATTTTATCTTTGTGGTTTTGATATAGGTTTTTATTAGATTTTATGTAAAGTTGCAAGTAAAATAAAATGAATTTACTTTAGATATCATGCAAAGTAGCAACGATGGACTGTCACGATGCTTTTCACTTGGCTATTTTGGGTTGTATTTGTGCCCTATTGATGATTGGTGTTGTTGCTAAGTACATTTTTGATATCGCTGTAAAAGACGACAATGACAATATTGAAGATGCTGATTTGAAAAAGTCATTTTCTTTGGATCGGCTTATCCAAAAGTTGTTTATCAGTTATGCAAAGGTATGTTCTGTCTTTATTTTTAGCAAAATATTTTTTAAGAAAATAATAAATAACTTACTGAGTAAAAACTTCTTTTTTAATTTAGACGTTAAGATATAAGTTTGGCTTGAAGCTTTTGGGAAATATGGTTAAAGACAGGATTTTAATGTAAACGTAATGTAATATTTTTAGCTGGTACTACGAAGGCACTCGATTATTTGTCTTGTATTCGTCGTACTTGGTATAATATGTTCTTTTGGGCTTCTGTTCGTAAACTTGACCACAGAAACCAAGTCTTTGTGGACATCACCCTTCAGTTCGTCTAGATTACAGGAGTCCTTTTTTGAAAAGAATTTCAAGTACGTTTGTATTAATTTTTAATTATTGAAGGCCTTTAAGCTGATTTTTACCTTTATATAGGTAATCGTACAATTAAAATGTTGTTTCTTATCATAATGTTATTATCGTTTTTGTCTGAACAATATTATTTAGACCATTCCATCGTATCGAACAAATAATAATTACTCCGAAAGACACCAGACTGATTGAAGTAGACACGTTTGACACTGAAGAAGATGCTGGAAGTCCTGATTTCTTGGGGCCAGTGTTCAGAGACACCTTCTTCAGAGAGTCATTCTACTTGAATCAAGATATATTAGAACTGAAGACCAAGAAGAACATCACGTTGGAAGATGTCTGTTACAAACCTCTGGAGCCTGACAACAATCATTGTGCCATTATGTCGCCGTTCAACTACTTTCAGGTAAAGAATGTTTTTTAAGGATTTATTGTTTTATTTATACCTAAATTTCGTTTATCTGCCTTTTTTTAAATTTTGTTTAAAAACCAGATGCATTATTTATTGCAGAACAACATAAAAGCCATGGACATTGAAATCGACGGCGAATTTTCGATCTACGACTTCCGTACTCATCTACAACAATGTATAAAGAACCCGTTTTCTATGAAGACCAAATTTAAGATGAGTTGTTTCGGAGAGTTTGGAGGGCCAATCCAGCCCTATTTGGTGTTTGGTAACTTTGACAAAGGCTACGAATCAGCGAAAGGGATCATGATCACACTGTTGTTGAACAACTCCGTTAATCCTCAAGATAACAAGGCAGCTATGGAATGGGAAGAAGGGCTGATCAAATACTTAAAACGAGTCAAAAGCGACATTTTTAGAATATCATTCATATCACAGCGATCTATTGAGGTAACTACATATATTTACACTTAATCATGAACAATACAATGACATTATTGAACTTAAAAATAATGAAAAAATATTTTAGGACGAAATTCACCGTCAAGCGTCGTCTGATGTGATCATTGTAGCTCTGAGTTACGTTTTTTTACTGTTCTACGTATCATTTGCTCTCAGTCAATATCAAGTACCAGTCAGCGACGACCTGTGTACCATTTTGATAAATACGAAGCTTACTCTGGGATTTGTGGGCATAATGGGAATAGTGTTGGCTGTTACAAGGTGAGTCGACTAGCTTATGTTACTGCTTCCATTCTGTACTCATATAACATGGTTTACCTTATATGTTAACATTGATCCATAAGTTTCTTTAATGAATCTATAAGTTTTACTGAACTTATAAAATTACAGTAACTTACAATTGGTTTCTTGTATGTTTGGATGTTGATTTGGTATTACTGTATAATTTAAACTTGATTTAACTACTTTGCTTAATTCTTATTTAGTGCTGTCGGGATATGTTCGTACTGGAATATTGAGACGACGTTGATTGTCTTCGAGATTCTGCCATTCTTGATTGTTTCTGTTGGAGTGGATAACATCTTTCTGTTTGTCCAAGCATACCAGGTACGGGTTTTGTCGCAGTAGATGATGTAAAACATGTTTTAGAGGCGAGATCGACACGATATTCCGCTGAACGACCGAATCTGCGAGATCGCGGCCGAAGTAATGCCGTCTATGTTGTTAACAAGTACGGCTGAAGCTATTTGCTTTTCTTTTGGTAGGTTCTTAGAAGGGTTTATAGTATAGGTTAGTTTATGGAAAGGATAAATTACAGTATACTCTAGTGGTGTTACTGTAGAAATTTTAATGTATTTGTGGTTTAAATTTACAGGAGATAATTAATATTGTTTTAGGTGCAATATCCGAGATGCCAGCTGTTAGGACGTTTTCCTTGTTCGCTGCCATTTCTATCATTACAAACTTCATCCTTCAGATTACTGTATTCTTCTCAGCCTTTGTTTGGGATGCAATACGACAAGAAGAAGGACGTCTGGACATGCTATGTTGTATCAAACTGCGACCAGAACGACCTTACAGGGAGAGTTATATGTATAATGTAATTAAGAATTTCATAGCGCCTTCTATTATCATCAAACCGGTCAGAATCATTGTTGTAAGTTATAACTTTTACAGGGTATTGTAATAGCTGTTTGTCCGTTTTTTGGATTTGTTTTAATTTTAGAAAATTAACAGGCCTTTAAAAAACTCATATGACTTTGTCATTTCAGATGGTAGTATTCTTGTTATGGTTTGCAATATCGATTGTTATTGTTGATAACATTCAGTTGGGTTTGGACCAGAAGCGGTCCGTCCCTGACGACTCTCATGTATATAGTTATTTCAAAGATCTTGAGCTCAACCTTAATGTAGGCCCTCCTGTCTTTTTTGTTCTCAAAGGAAGCTTTGACTACGGGGATCCTCAGCTTCAGAATCTGATATGTACGGGACATGGATGTAACACCGATTCGTTGGGAGCTCAGATCAACCGAGCTGCCAGATATCCGCAATAGTAAGTTGTTTTATCAATTTAGGTATGGTTATGGGCGAAGTTTGTTTCTTATGACTGATTGGGTATTCTATAATACAGTATTACTGTAACAAACTTTTTATTTGTGTTTTACAATCATATGTTTTAGTTCGAAGATCTCACATCAAGTGTTCAATTGGGTGGATGACTACATTGAATGGCTACGGCCTTCTGTGAGTGGACGTTGTTGTCGTAAATACATTTCAAATAATACGTTTTGTTCTTCTTTAGGTAAGTATCATATATGAAACAATCTGCCACAATATTACTTTATATTGAATTAGGTATTACTCTTTGCTTTTTTCACAACATTAAAAAAGAATGTACAAAATTATTTAATTACAAATAAGCCCTATTTTTCAAGTAAAATTGCTTTTTAGTAGCGGAAACTCTTTGCCAAACATGTGAAATCGAGTACATTGATGGCCGACCTCGGCCGGACCTGTTCTACACTCATATCAAGGGCTTCCTCGGTGACAACCCTTCCTTCCATTGCCCCACAAGGTAAGGCATTCTTCATATTGTAATGATGTTGATGTTGTTTGTGAAATGTGTGTGAAATTTGATGTTTAGTTTGCGTTTCAGTGGGCACACTTTGTACAGTAATGCCATCAAGTTCGCGAACAAGTCTGATCGGATCGTGTCATCCCACTTCATGACGTATCACACTCCCTTCAAACACATGTCCGACTACTTCCAGTCGATGCAAGGGGCCAAGTTTCTGGCCAAGAACATTACCAACTTTTTGAATACAGAGCTCAGCTTGATGGGGCACCCACCGGTCGAAGTATTCCCTTACAGGTTGGTTTACTTTACAGCTTTTCTACTGACTTCAGCTTTTCTACTGACTTTTTGGCCAAAATAAAGTACATTACCTGTCTTATCGTAATCTCCATTAAATACATACAGTCTTTTCAGTTTCCACTACATCTTCTACGAGCAATACGAAACTATAGTAAAGGCGGCCATCTTCCAACTCATATGTTCGGCCGTCTCTATCTTCATTGTGGCTGCCATTCTTTGTGACATGGACCCGTGGTCAGCGATGATTATCACGATTACTGTGGTGATGAGTCTTATCAATCAGCTGGCTATGATGTACCTCCTTAATATCGACTTCAATGCCATATCAGTAGTGAATCTTATCATGTCCGTCGGTATCTCTTTGGAGTACTCGGCTCACACAGTACGAGCGTTTGTCTCCATCCAGCATCCATCTAGAATTGAACGTGCTAAAGAGTCTCTTGCGCTAATTGGGTGTACTGTAAGTCTTACAGTATTGCACATTTTGGTAACATATCGCTATAAAACTATCTAGGAAGAATATGTTAACATTATATTGTGTTACAGATCATCAGTGGAATCACTACAGCCAAGGGAGGCAGTCTTCTGATTATATTGTTTTCACATTCTAAGATATTCAACGTTTATTACTTCCGTATGTTCGCTAGCATCATCATGGTTTGCTTTACTCACGGCCTCATTCTACTCCCCGTGCTTCTCTCTTTCATCGGTCAGTTTTGGTTTTGTTTCTTATAATTATACGAGAAGTTATTGGACGTATAGTTAAGAGCCTGCTTCAGATCTTAATAGTGATTCAAAACTAATTAAAATCGATTTTAGGCCCTCCGATGTCTAAAAATCGACCGGATTACTACGGCGCTCGCCGATCACTGCCTCCGCGCATTCCACATATAATGGACGAAAAGGATTCGGCTGTTCAACAGCATCTAGTAGCACACGATATAGAGCAATTGGCCGCTTAAAATAAGTCCCTGATCTCATGTACTTACTTTATCAAACGGGTGATAACAAGGGCCTTGGGTGAGAAGTTACTGGTTTTCGAGCCTTATGTTGTTGATAATACCTAAAAATATTTTGGTTTTCGAAAATCCAGAGGGTTTCACTCCTAGGTACCTTGTAATTCTAAAAGTGCATTTATTCATTTCTTCTACACATTTAATAACATTAGTGCATGTCTAAACTGCGGGTACACTGTTTTATTTTGTATGACAATAAATTAAATTATTACTAAAAAAACATATTATCACAAAAGTATCCAAATTATTACGGACAATAGTTAATGATAAAAATGATCGATTTGTGTTGACAAACACACCGTTAAACCCGACAACACACGATTACTATTGAAACAAAGTAATATTTATATTATTTATTAAAACAATAAATTAATTACTCCGTAAAATTGAGAGACCGTGTCTAATTGTAACAAAGAGGACTTCACAGTTCAGTCTTTGTCTTTTCATCCAAATCGTCCAATTCCACATCAGAAAGATCAATTTCTTCTTCTTGTGGCAGTTCGGCGTCTTTACCATCCCAAGCTTGAATAGTTTGGGCATCTGGAAGGGCTGATCCTCTGATTGATGAAGTTTTTCCTCGTCCGAACGAGAGATCTCTTAAGAACTCGCTGATTCCATCTTTTCCAAATGATCCAGTCAAAGTACTGTACTTCAGTTTTCTTGGGTTGACAGCCACCATAGCTGGGTATCCGAAGCCTCCAACATCAACTGATTGTTCGATATCACCTTGAACTCCGGCTTCCGACCACAACCATCCCCATGGGTTCTTCTTGAACTTGTCGGCCAATCCCTTCAACAACTTGATGTAGTCTTTACGGCACTTAGACTGGCAGTCCAACAGTTGAGGTAGGAAAGTAATCACACAAAGTTGTTTGTTCTCGCAAGCTTCCGCGAACGATTCCTTAGAGACTAGTTGTTTCAATTCTGGTGGAGGTAGATTCTCAGCAGCTTGAGCAGAAGCAAAAGCGATTAAATCAGACGACGTTCTTCCACCTTGGTAGTCGACAGCATCAGAAGCAGAAGAAGATCCTGGAGGGAAGTACTTGATCGTTGGGAATCCCTTGATCTGGTATTCAGAAGCCTTTCCTTGGTGTACGGTGGCGTCCAAAGCAGCAAAAGTGATCTTGCCCTTCAATTCGGCAGCAGCAGCCTTGTAATGAGGTTCCAGGTTCTTGCAATGACCACACCATGGAGCGAAGAACTCTACCATAACACCCACTTTGCTGTTCAATACAATCTTGTCGAAGTTGGCATCGGTCAGCTCAACTACGGCGTTCCCTCCTTTACTTCCGCCGGATTTGGAACCTCCAGAAGATGTTGATTTACCACCTAACCTCTTGTTGGCAATCTTCCTGATCTCGTTTAAGGCACTGTCGGTGAAAGCTTGAGCAGTTCGTGCACCTAAAAAATAATTGAAACACTAATATTACTCTTACCATTATGATCGGTAGGCTTCTTCTTATCAGCTCCAAACACTTTGATGGTTGGGTATCCTTGAACTCCATATTGAGAAGCCAACCCTTGAGCTTGTGTAGCATCAACGGCAGCAACTTTGGCCAATCCTTTCAAAGCTTTGGCAGCTTTTTTGTATTCTGGCACCAAGTTTTTACAATGTCCACACCTGAACACATATGTTTAAATAAAGATATTAAATTTACGTTGCCTAAGTTTACTCTTATTTACATTAAACTTGACTTTACAGTACCCTATATTTACCTAAACAAATAAAAAGAACTTACCATGGAGCGAAGAACTCGACCAACACAACACCATCATAATCCAAAACTTCTTTCTTGAAGTTACCATCGTTCAACTGTATCACTTCATCCCTTTTCTCATATAACGCGGTAACACTGGCGCAAATTACACCTAAAAATCAGAACATACCCAAAAATAAGTTTAACTTACCGAGAAGGATCAAAGACACCTTCATCTTCGCGGCCAACTCACTACACTGACACGAAATCGGGGTCACGACGTTTTTCTCGTCGTTTCGGTCAAAATTTTGCGTGGAAAAATGCGATTGGCGCTGCACTCTCAAGTTGATTTGGTCCCACCGCGAAAACTAAAAACAGCCACTGATACGGTAAAATTTCTGAAAACCCATCGAAAAAATAATTTTAGAGATTTTTACAAGTATTGACAAAATTTTTGTATAATTACCGGGTAAAGTAGAGTTTCGTATGTATTTTCTGATTCTCGTGGTAAAATTTTGTATATCGGTTATCATACTTTTAGTTTTTACTTTTAGGTTCCCACTAAAAAATGAGCTGGAACGACGATGAAGTGGCTGAAGGAGTAGCCGTTGGTGCTCCAGAAGAGGAACAAATCGAGATGCCAGAGGTCCGCCTTTTCAACAAGTGGTCTCTGAACGATGTTGAGGTTTCCGACATCTCCCTTGTTGTAAGTTGATCTTTAGTGTTTGTTTTTATGTTTAGGAAAGTTTATTTTGGAAAATTGTAGTAGATATAGAAAAATATAAAAGAGAAGGAACTTAACTTCATTTGTGGGCATTACTACTTTTGTTACACGAGTTTTTAATTAGTTTATAAATCTTTACTTTGTTTTTCAGGACTACATCGCCGTAAAGGAAAAGGGTGCCAAATACTTGCCCCACTCTGCTGGACGTTATCAAATCAGAAGATTCCGCAAGGCTACATGCCCAATCGCCGAACGTTTGGCTTCATCTTTGATGGCTCACGGTCGTAACAACGGTAAGAAGTTGATGACCGTCAGAATTGTGAAGCACGCTTTTGAAATCATCCACTTGCTCACTGGAGAGGTAAGGAGAAGTTTTTTACTGTTTTCTTGGTTTTATCATCAATTCTTTGTAATTTTTTATATTTCATAGCTAAATTATACCTTTTAAGGGTTTAATTTTTGTATTTATTTTTAATTTTTCTTATTATGGTTTTGAATAAGTTATTTTTAGAACCCAGTACAAATTTTGGTAAACGCTGTTATCAACAGTGGACCACGTGAAGATTCGACCCGTATTGGTCGTGCTGGTACCGTTCGTCGTCAAGCCGTTGATGTTGCTCCTCTTCGTCGTGTTAACCAGGTAAATTTTGTTTTTTAACGTAGTCAAAGAATTTGTGAGTTAGTATATTAAGTGGTTTATTTGATTTTGTTATAATAAACGTTTCTTGTTAGGTTTTCAATTTGATTTAAAATTTGTTGCAAAAATATTTGCCAATGTTGTTTTAGGCTATCCAGCTGATCTGCACCGGAGCTCGTGAATCCGCCTTCAGAAACATCAAAACTATTGCTGAATGTCTTGCTGATGAACTCATCAATGCCGCTAAGGGATCCAGCAACTCATACGCCATCAAGAAGAAGGACGAATTGGAGCGTGTGGCCAAGTCTAACCGTTAAATTGTGTTTTGTTTGTTGAAGGTTGTTATAAAGCCTCTTGTTTTTAAATTGTTAAACTTGTGGTTATATATTTGGTAGATGAATTCAACTATTATTTTGTGAAGATGTTCTGAAGGTTTAGACATTTAAAGACGGATATTTACTTTTTAAAATAGTTAATATGTAGTTTATTTCTTTATTATAAGATAGTTCTTAAAAGAAATTAATGTTATTGTTGACAGTAAATTGAAATATGCGTTTTTATATTTAGTGATGCGCTATAGTTTGACATGGTGGCTCTTCGAAGTAGTGAAAACTTGAAACGCAAAGTAATGTCGGCATGCCTTTGAGTTTTTTTGTATGATTGTTTATTTAAACAAACATTGAACTTCAGGGCCCTCTTATAATAGTATTTTGAAATTCACTGTTAGCTTGCCTAGTAGACTTATATACGCTTAATTTTTATACTAAATTATATCGGGTTTTATGATACATGCTATGTTTTAGGAAGAGAAGTGTGATTTGATCCTTGGCTCGAAAACTGCTTTAAATGATGGCACATGTTTTCAAATGTCGTACGAACCCGTTAACGGTTTTTTAGATAAATGGCTGTTTGAGAAAAGAACAGAATTAATTGGTTATGAATGGTTTTGGATTCATAAAAGCGGTTCAATATTATAATTATGTTGAGTTTTATGAATGCATTCTGTCTCCATAACAGGATAAAATCTGGGTATAATTTGCATCGGACCGCCGACTAGAAATATCATTGGAGTGACAAGAATAGCCTAGTGAGTCGAGACCAAAACACAACGAGTGCAGAGTAGAGATGGAAGGGGGACACATTTCCCTCTGCCTCGCATCGGGAAAGAAGAAGAGGTCAGCTGCGGACTCTGGGGGGTTGGTTTTGTTCGTACGAACATAGAGGGCGCTGCAGTTTCTTCTGCTTTTGGCACAAGCGCCCTTCAGAACAATCGCCCGGACTGCTCGGTTCCGGCCTTCTAATCCGGAGGCATCCATAAAACAGTTTCGCGGTTGTGTTTTGGGGCTGACCGAAGAGTAGTGTTCTTGTGGTTACTGACTCATCGCATTCCTCGCATTCCCCTTGTATCAATATTATATTCAAATTCTTTGAGTTGTCGTTATCAACTCGCTCATCGACCTTTCCGCCTCAAGGTCGCTCCCCTTCTGTATCCGTTTGCATTTCTCTTACTTCGGCTTTACGATTGTGCCTGTTTACGTGTTCGCTTATGCTAAACCAAGATGTTGGTGCCGTTTTCGAAACAAAAGTAATGCATGGGGTTTGAAATTGATTGGTCATAAATTTTTATTGAATTTTTTAGCATGATAGTGCAACTTTGGGTATTTGTGGAATGTCTTCTACCAAAAACAATTTATTTACTTGTTTTTGAGAATGTTACAACGTGTTAAGCGTCTTTCATTAATGCGTGGTTTATATTTTAATTCTTTTTTGCCCTACTTTACTTAAACTTCGCCTTAAATTTAAAAATGAAATTCAGAACAAGATAGCAGAACAATGAGTGACGAAGGAGCGCCACCCGATCCGGTGCTCGAGGTACCACCTCCAACTGAAATCAAGGTCCTCGAGACCGCAGATGACATTCAGAACAGAAGGTCCGAAGTTCTGACACATTATGGTCAGTTCAAGGACTATGCCAAGCTGAAGAGGGATCGATTGGAAGAAGCACGACAGTTCCAGTACTTCAAAAGAGATGCCGACGAGTTGGAAGTTTGGATTCTGGAGAAGCTACAGACTGCTGCAGAAGAATCCTTCAGAGATCCTACCAATCTTCAGGTAACCATCTCATGCCGTGATAACATTTTCTTTTTAGGCTAAGATTCAGAAGCACGAAGCCTTCGTGGCCGAAGTCGAAGCCCATTCAAATGCCATTAAAAACTTGGACAAGACCGGTAATGATATGATCGCTCATGGACATTACGAAAAAGAGACTATTAGAGTAAGTTACACACTCATAGAGAGATCAATTGACTGTATGACAATTTATGTATTAAAAATACACAGAAAAAACAAAATTAACAAAATATTGTTGTAGAAACGTTTGGACCGTTTACACGAACTCTGGGACCAACTTTTCTTCAAACTTAATGACAAAGGAATCAAACTTCAACAAGCCTTGAAGCTGCTCCAATTCATGAGACAATGCGACGAGATGTTGTACTGGATCCGCGACAAAGAAACCTTTGTCAACTCAGATGACTTTGGAACCGACCTCGAGCACGTCGAAGTCATGCAACGCAAATTCGAGGAGTTCTTGAAGGAGTTGGAGAACCACCAATACAGAATCACGGAAATCAACCAAGCGGCCGAGGACCTCGTCCACGAAGGTCACCCAGAACAAAGCCAGATCTATGACAAACGAGACGAGGTCATCAAGGCCTGGCACAATCTCGGCACGTTGACTGCCAACCGACGTGAGGGGTTGTTCGGAGCACAACAGATACAGCGCTTCAACCGAGACGTTGATGAAACGTTGGGATGGATTTCTGAAAAAGAAGCCGTTCTTGCCAGCGATGACTACGGTAGGGATCTGAACAACGTTCAAGCGCTACAGAGGAAGCACGAAGGTACTGAACGAGACTTGGCCGCTTTGGAATCTAAGGTGAGTACTTGTAAAGCTAACCTACTTCAACATATGTTTGGCCCATTTTTCTACTGTAACATATAAAAATGTATTAAACCTTTGTTTCAGATGGAGAAAGTTGGAGCTGAAGCCGAACGTCTCAGCCAATTGTACCCAGACAGAACCAGCGACATCGAAGACAAACTGGGTGAAGCCAGAACTCGTTGGGATGCCCTTAAGTTGAAGGCTTTGGACAGAAAAAGAAACTTGGACAAGTCCTACAACCTCCACAGATTCTTGGCCGATTACCGTGAACTCATCGACTGGATTCGTGGTATGAAAGCCTTAATCTCGTCCAACGAGCTGGCCAAGGACGTAGCTGGAGCCGAAGCTCTTCTGGAGAACCATCAAGAACACAAAGGCGAGATTGATGCTCGTGCTGACAGCTTCGCTCAGACTTCAGAATCCGGCCAAAGGCTGCTGAATGATGGGCTCACTGATAAAAGCGACGAAGTGCGTGATTATCTCAAGACTCTAGCTTCTGAACAATCAGAGCTCGAGAAATTGTGGGAAGAGCGCAGAATCCTGTACGAACAATGTATGGACCTCCAACTCTTCTACAGAGACACCAACCAGGCCGAGAACTGGATGACCAAGCAAGAAGCCTTCTTGGCCAACCAAGACCTTGGAGATTCACTGGACAGTGTGGAAAGCCTTCTGAAGAAGCACGAAGACTTCGAGAAGTCACTGGCAGCTCAGGAAGAGAAGATTCGTGCTCTGGATGAGTTCGCGACAAAGCTGATCGAAGGTCAGCATTACGCTTCTGATGACGTTGCCAAGAGACGTCAAGGTTTGTTAGATCGTCGTACTCAACTGATTCACAGAGCCAACGAACGCCGTGCTCGTCTGGAAGAGTCGTTCAAACTCCAATCCTTCGACCGAGACTGCGACGAAATGCTGAGTTGGATCAATGAAAAGCTGAAGACCGCCAAGGACGAGAGTTATCTCGACCCCACCAACATTCGCGGCAAACTTCAAAAGCACGCCAACTTCGAGCAAGAGCTTCGCGCCAACAGAAACCGCCTCGATGAGCTGAAGACCGAAGGCCAGCGACTCATCGACGGAAACCATTACGCCAGTGAGCACGTTGTCAACAGAATTTCAGAAGTCGACAATCTGTGGACCGAGTTGGTTGATGCTACTCAGAAGAAGGCTACTAAGCTGAATGAAGCCCACGAAGAACAGCAATTCAACAGAAACATTGAAGACGTTGAGATTTGGCTGAGCGAACTTGAAGGTCAACTTCAAAGTGAAGACTTTGGCAAAGACCTGATCAGCGTGCAGAACCTCCAAAAGAAGCTAGGTCTTCTGGAAAACGACTACAATGCCCACAACGACAGAATCGAAAACATTAAGCGTCAAGCCGAGAGCTTCGCCCAAGGTGAACACTTCAATGCTCCAATCATCGTCAGAAAGCAAGAAGCCTTGAACTCCAGATTCGAACAGTTGGGAGAACCCATGAACAAGAGAAAGAAGAAGTTAGACGACTCTTTGGAGGGCAACAAGCTCTTTCGTGACATTGAGGATGAACTGGCCTGGATCAGAGAAAAGGAGCAGATTGCTGCCTCCACGAACAGAGGTCGTGACCTTGTTGGAGTTCAGAATCTGATCAAGAAACAAGCCGCTCTGATTGCTGAAATCAACAATCACGAGCCTCAAATGGAATCTGTAGCTCAAGCTGCCGAGAACATGATCAATGGAGGTCACTTCTTGGCCATTGACATCCGTGACAAGTTGGCCCAGCTCAGAGACAACTGGAGAAATCTGAAGAACAAGGCCGAGAAGCGAAGACAAGACTTGGACGACTCGTGCCAAGCCCACCAATACTTGGCCGATGCTACCGAAGCCGAGTCCAGAATGAGAGAAAAGGAGCCGGTTGTTGGATCTACTGACTACGGAAAGGACGAAGACAGTGCTGAATCTTTGTTGAAGAAGCACAGAGCACTCATGTCGGACTTGGAAGCCTTCTACTCTACGATCGAGAATCTGAAGAACGAGGCTGCGAAATGCAAGTACCAAGAACAACCCGGAGGCCAGCTTGGCAAAGAATGTGTTGTAGCTTTGTACGATTACACCGAGAAGTCACCTCGTGAAGTCTCCATGAAGAAAGGAGACGTCCTCACCTTGCTGAACGCTACGAACAAGGACTGGTGGAAAGTTGAAGTCAACGATCGTCAAGGCTTCGTGCCGGCTTCCTACGTGAAGAAAGTGGAGCCAGGATCACAACATCATCATCAAGCCATTGCCCAACAAGCTCCAAACACCATCAACGCCAAACAGCAACAGATCACCGACCAATACATGAGACTACGTCAACTTGGAGATCAGAGACGCAAGAAGTTGGAAGAGGCCTGCAAGGGCTACCAACTGTTAAGAGAAGCCAACGATTTGGCCGATTGGATCAGATCCAGAGAAGCCGTCGCTTCACAGCAAGAAATCGGAACTGATCTCGAACAAGTCGAGGTGCTCCAGAAGAAGTTCGACGACTTTAAGGGAGACATGAAGGCCAATGAAAGCCGTCTGAACGAAATGAACCAAATTGCCACAGCTCTGATCAACGTTGGACAAACAGAAACCGCGGTTAAGATTCGCCAACAGATCGATGACTTGAACCAACGTTGGAAGGCTCTCGAACAGAAGGCGGAACAACGTGAACAACAGCTTGACTCTGCTCATGAAGTCCAACGATTCCACCGTGACATCGATGAGACCAAGGACTGGATTCAAGAGAAGAATGAAGCCCTTGACTCTGATGACTTTGGCCGTGATCTTCGCTCCGTCCAAGCCCTTCAGAGAAAGCACGATGGTGTAGAAAGAGACTTGGCCGCTCTTGGAGACAAGATCAAGAATCTGGACGAGAAGGCCAACAAGCTTCGTCAGACTCACCCCGAAGCCGCCGAACAGATCTACGACCTTCAACGCCAAATCAACGAACAATGGAATCACCTCACTCAGAAGGCGAACTCAAGAAAAGACAAACTCCTCGACAGCTATGATTACCAGCGATTCCTGAGCGATTACCGCGACCTCATTCAGTGGATTGCCGGACAGCGTCAATACGTTTCGTCCGATGAGCTCGCTAACGACGTTACTGGCGCTGAAGCCTTACTCGAAAGACATCAAGATTACCGTACGGAGATCGACGCCAGGGCCCCTACCTTCCAAGCGTTCCAGCAGTTTGGGAATCAGCTGATTAACAACAAGCATTACGCCACTGAAGACGTGAAACAACGCCTCCAAGACGTGGATCAGGCTCGACAAGACTTGGAACAGGCTTGGTTGAACAGAAGAAAGGTCCTCGACCAGTGTCTTGAACTTCAACTGTTCTACCGTGAATGTGAACAAGCTGACACCTGGATGACTGCTCGTGAAGCCTTCCTCAACGCCGATGACGGAACCGACAATGTTGAGTCCTTGATCAAGAAACACGAGGACTTCGACAAGGCCATCGCTTCTCAACAGGAGAAGATCAACGGCCTCAGTGAGTTCGCGAAGGAGTTAGCTTCAAGAGGACACTACGATACGGGAGCCATCGACAAGAAGAACGCCCAGATTCTGGACCGTTGGGAGAGCTTGAAGGGAGCTTTGATTGACAAGAGATCAAAGCTCGGAGAGTCCCAAACTCTACAACAATTCAGTCGAGATGCTGAAGAGGTCGAGAACTGGATCGCCGAGAAGTATCAGATCGCTCAAGAAGAAAGCTACAGAGACCCCACTAAGATTCAGCAGAAGTACCAGAAACAACAAGCCTTCGAAGCCGAATTGACGGCCAATGCCGACAGAATCTCGGTTTTATTGAGTGCCGGTGAAAACCTGATCAACAACGCCAAGTGTGGTGGAGGTGAAGTGGCAGTGTCAGACAAGTTGAGGTCGATGAAAGAACAATGGGACCTGTTGATGAAAACCACCACGGAGAAGAGTTACCGTCTGAAGGAAGCCAACAAGCAGAAGAGCTTTATGGCGGCTGTCAAGGATCTTGAGTTCTGGCTTGGTGAAGTCGAAACCCTTCTGGCTTCTGAAGACTATGGTCGTGATCTCGGATCCATCGAGAACCTGTTGAAGAAACACCAACTTCTGGAAGCCGACATCGCTGCTCATGTTGATCGTCTGAACGAGATGGATCAACAAGCTGACTCGTTGTTGGTCTCTGAACAGTTTGACAATGCTCAGATTGACGAACGTAGGAACGCCATCAAGGACCGTTACGACAACGTGAAGAGAAAAGCTGCCGAGCGCCGGGAGAAGTTGAACAAGGCCATCAACGTGCACCAATTCTTGCGTGACATCGACGAAGAAGAGAGTTGGATCAAGGAGAAGAAGCTTCTTGTCAGCAGTGACGACTACGGCCACGATCTTGCTGGTGTTCAGAATCTGCGCAGAAAACACCGTCGTCTAGACAACGAACTGGCTACGCACGAACAAGTTGTCCAGAATGTCAAATCGAAGGGAATCGAACTGCTGGAGGCCACTGACATCGGAGGACCAGAAATCAGACAAAGAATGATGGCGTTAGAAGACAGCTGGAAACAAATCGTCGACCTCACAACTGACCGTGACCAGAAGTTGAACGAATCCGAAGCCTTCCAGAACTTCATTGGCAAGGTTGAGGAAGAAAGAGCTTGGCTGAACGAGAAACAACAGATTCTGAGCAGCCCCAACTTCGGAGAAAACATGGCTGCCGTCCAAGGGCTTCTGAAAAAGCACGATACCTTCGACACCGACCTCGAAACTCATCAGAAGCGCATCGATGACATCGCTGTCCTCGGCAAAGACCTCATCAACCAGAAGAACCATCACGCCCCCGAGATCGAACAACGTGTTCAACAACTACGTCGTGATCTTGAACATGTTAGAGGTCTGGCCAAAGAACGTCGTCAAAGACTCCAGGACAACAGTGCTTACCTCCAATTCATGTGGAAGTGTGATGTTGTTGAGAGTTGGATCGCCGAGAAGGAAGCCCACGTCAAGTCAGAAGACTACGGTCGTGATTTGTCATCAGTCCAGCTACTGTTGACCAAACAAGAAGCCTTTGACGCTGGACTGAATGCATTCCAACAAGAAGGAATCCAGAGGATCACCGAACTCAAAGATCATCTGGTTGCTGGGCAACATAAACAGACTCCAGAGATCGAGAACCGTCACAATAATGTTCTTCAACGATGGCAACGACTCTTGGCCAACTCTGTAAACCGCAGAAAGCGACTGATGGACACCCAAGCCGAGTACAAGAAGGTTGAGGAACTGTTCTTGAGCTTCGCGAAGAAAGCCTCCGCCTTCAACTCGTGGTTCGAGAACGCTGAAGAAGATCTCACCGATCCTGTACGTTGTAACTCATTGGACGAGATCAAGACCTTGAGAGAAGCGCACGCTGAATTCCAGAAGTCTCTAGTCTCCGCGGAAAAAGACTTCTGTCAGCTACAAGAGCTGGACCGCCAAATCAAGGCTTACAATGTTGGACCCAACCCCTACACCTGGTTCACGATGGAAGCCCTTGAGGACACCTGGAGGAATCTCCAGAAGATCATCCAAGAACGGGATGCCGAGCTGGTTAAAGAACATGCTCGTCAAGAACAAAACGACAAGCTCCGTCAAGAGTTCGCTCAAGTCGCCAACAGGTTCCACCAATGGCTACAGACGACGAGGTCGGAAATGCTGGAAACCCATGGATCTCTGGAACAACAACTCGACATGTTGAAGAGGAAGACCGGCGAGATCAAAGCGCAACGAGATCATCTCTCCCAGATCGAACAGCTTGGGGCAGCCCTCGAAGAAAGACTCATCCTCAACAACAGGTATACAGAACATTCGACTGTAGGGTTGGCACAGGCGTGGGATCAGATCGACCAATTGGCCATGAGGATGCAACACAGTCTGGAGCAACAGATCCAGGCCAGAAACAACTCTGGAGTCAGCGAAAAGGCACTCAGAGACTTCTCCATGATGTTCATGCACTTTGATAAGGTAAAAATAGTTCTAAAATTACTTTCAAGCATGACGAAACTTTCAAAAATCACTTCTTTTGTCAATATTTCACATTTGGACAAGAAATTGTTTTCTAAATTTCTAAAAAAATTATTTATAACGAAATGTCACTTTCTATTGATTGTGACGAATCTATACAAACTGATGAAAAATAGAATTTAAAGCTTTCAGAAAAATATATTTTTTTACTAAACACAACGTATTCCAAATTTTTAATGTCAGCACTTATTTATAATATTTTAGGACAAGACCGGACGTCTCGACCACCAGAGCTTCAAGTCCTGCTACCGATCTCTTGGCTACGATCTTCCGACTGTCGATGAAGGCCAAAACGAACCAGAATTCCAGAGGATCTTGGATATTGTGGATCCAAACAGAGATGGCTATATTACACTGCAAGAATACATGAGCTTTATGATTAACAAGGAGACAGAGAACGTCAACTCTAGTGAAGACATCGAACGTGCCTTCAGGGCATTGAGCCGCGAAATGAGGCCGTATGTCACGGCAGAGGAGCTTTATGCTGTAAGTTTACTTACTACAATGATAGCAAAAGTTATAGTATTATAGAACGGTATTTTACAAACTTTTTGATAAGAATTAAAGTTAGACTTGTAACATATTGTAATAGATGTAATTTTTTGTATCTTACGATTATTGCTTCAGAATTTGACCCCTGAACAAGCCGGCTACTGTATGCGGCGTATGAAGGCGTACGTGGAAGGCGGTACCAACCGTACCATCCAAGGCGCCCTCGACTACGAAACCTTTGTCCACGAAATGTTCCAAAGTTAATTTGCTTTGCATAAATCTACGAAAACTGCCTGTCCAAATAGTAATGGCATTGTATTATTGTAAACATTGTGCTTTTAATAATAAGTAAACTCTAATATATATTGTGCTGATTTCAAAATATATAATGACAAAGCAGGTTACACCCTGACTCAAACTTACCAAACAAACATTCATTTGAATTCTTGTAAACACTAGTTCCCAAATCGTAATAATTATACTTTTGTATTGCATGTAGTTGGTATAAAAGTTAAGCCTTTGTAAATAGTAAAGGTTTTTCTTAATATTTAGTTAGGCCTTGGACGGTTCAGTCAATTCGGCGGAGAGAGAGAAGATTCGAGAAGTTTGTTTGCCGGCATTGTGAGGAGTTTTATGCCAATTAGAGGAGAAGGACTTCCTGTGTGTCCTAACAACAACCAATGCCGAGTCGCAGAAGAAGTGGAAGAGACGTGTGGCCGATGTTTTATCAGAATGTGTGAAGCGTAAGATTGTTATTTATAATTTTTTTTATTTTCAATGAAATTTTATTAAATTTTTGAATGCACGAGTTTTTCCAAATTTTCATTTCCTAATTTTGTTTTATTTCGTGCATTTTCAGGAGAGAATGGCATTCTTTGATATTCTTCTACACGGGGCGGTCGATCTTTGATGGCAAATGAATAATCCGGATGAGAATTGGGAAAAGATTTCGTGGAATTTGGCCGGAGAGATTGATAGCCGCTTTATTATTTATGCACCGGTCGATGAAGTTGCACGACGGCCCATCACGTGTTACCGCGTAAGTTACAGTATATTTTGGTGTTTGCCTTAGTGTATTCTCCTTGTAGTTTTTATTGAATTGCCAACCCTTTTGTTTTTTGAATTTAAGTTCACAAATATAATATCTATCGGAAAATATTTTTTGACCCTACTATCTAGATCACATTTCTTATCTAGAACTACCCATAATCATATGTAAATTACAGATGTATGACCAAAGAGACCCATCCAGTCCGTCTTATATGATAATAACAACGAATGAGAACGAGTTCGAAGTAGGTGAAAGCATGATTCATCGACATATCATGGTGTTGAAGAAGGCCAAAGGTCGTTCGAGACATATTCCAGAGCTTGTCATAAGTGGTACAGTGCCTTCGGTAAGTCTTACTGTATCTAAGGAGGATCATATAGTTTGGTTTATATTATGTGTAATATATAAACGGTTTTTCACACATAAAAGTCATTGTAACTATATCTTAACATTTATTTTGGGCACTACTTTTATTGTATTTTAGTTGTGTTATGTCCAAAAAGGTGGTGTGCAAGAAGAGCCGTTTCCTGACATAACCAACCGGTCTATATGCATCTTCAGTCACTTTGCTCATCCCTTAGGTGAACTCAAGGCGTTTACTGAGAAAGGGTAAGTTACTGTCATAATATGATTAGAAACTTGCATTTTTATGTGTTATATAATATATTATATTACTTTATAAATATCAAGTACATTAATGTCTATGTTAAGGTTCTTTCCAACGTTAGTAGCTCTGGCCATTGGTCAAGGAATGGTACGAGCTCTAGCAGCATTACATAATCTTGGCTTTGTGCATCGTGAGGTATCCCCGTACACTCTCGGCTACAAGACCCCCATCTCATTCAACAGGCTACAACATGATCTTATGGTTATAGACTTTGGCAGTGTCTTACCATTTCCGTCAGAGTCAGTTTGTTATGTGTGATGATAATACTACTTTTACATAGTGATAGTGTTTTTCTTATTCGTTTTATATGTTGTGATATGCATGAATGTATAGTGATGATTTTTTATGACATTATACTTCTTTTTAGACCCAGAAGGTACGCTACGTTCGTTGGAACGTTAAGATACTCATCCCCGAATTCACATCACGATAAAGAGTTGGGGCCAGCTGATGACATCATCTCTGTCATATATGTTGTCGCTGAATTGATATATGGAAAGTAAGTTTTGACAGCAATTTCTTAACATATAATACGAATCTGATAAATAGTGATAAGAACGTGTGATTGATAATTAAAAGTTTACAAACAGGCTTGTAAAGATCTTTCCAGATTACCATGGCGGTCGATATACATGAAGGAAGCAATAAAAGAGGCCAAAGAAAAGTTTACACGTTCCATCTGCTTCTTCCACTTGCCTCGGGAAATAAGGGCTCTCTACCTGTAAGTTGACACTATATTTTAAACATTTTTATTGTGAAAACACCGTCACTTATATTAGTCTTTCAGTGAGATGCTTGGCACACTAAACACAAGCACGTTAAACTACCCGTCCATACTGAACACAATACAAAAAGCTATGATCAGGTACTCTTATCAGTCTACCAACCTACCTATTTTCATGAAATAAACTGTAAAACTGTCATTGTATGTTGTCCTGTTAGTATCATGGTCATCGGCCTGTTTTTAAATATTTTTTAAGAAAAGGATTACCCCTCCCACTCGTTGAGGGTAGGTATGGGACGAGCCTCATTCTAATAGCCAGGCTACTATTGTAACCAGGGTTCAGACGGTTAAACAATATAATTTATTCAAAAATGAATTAGACAATACCACCGTACTGGAATGTATTACTACGGTATTCTATTCTCGCGGTGGGAACGGTGGATCGTACTGGTCTTGGTTAGCCATCCAATGACCTACGTCAACATCGCTTTCGGCCGACCTTATTAGGAATGGCATAACCTGTAATTTGGTGTTGTAATGTAACGTTTTTGCAATGTTTGTTTCAAGTTTACTGTATTTACCAAACCAACTGTTGTAGTTACAGTAAGACAAACACTTTGGTTACGGTAACAAAAAAGACTGACCGATAGTTGGTTGTACTTGGGTCGTTCTTGAGTCGACTTCAGAAGACAATTATTTACAAAGTCACAGAATTCTGGACTAAATTTGGTGGGATCCAACCTGGGCGGGTCCTCGTTAGTAATCTTGAGCATCAAATGGAAGGGGGTCATGTTCTGGGAGGGGTCTTCTTTGTAAGGAAAGAAGCCGACAGCTAGCTGGACTAAGGTAACACCCAGACTCCAGACATCGGCTCTCACGTCGTACGGCAGCCGGTTTATTCTTTCTGGCTAAAGTTAAGGTGTGTAAAATCTACTTTGACAACTAGATAGTAATCTATGGTAGTTTTATACACAATTACTAATATTATTACTCTTATTTGTCTACTATTATAGCATGACATACCGCCAGATACGCTGTACATCCCGTAGACCAAGTAGTCGCTTTGGAATCAATGAGTTGGCCAGAAATGCCAAAATCACATAACTTTATATTCCCATGCCAATCCAATAGAATGTTCGATGGCTTCACATCTCTGTGCATCAAGTACTAAAATACCGTAATGTTACAGTACACTGCAATAACATTCGACTACTTATAGTTATAAAAGTAGAATTAATAAGACATTTTAAGCACCAGACACCTTTTTCGCACGCTGAATACCATTGTAATAGTATTATAGTACTTAACATTACAATATTAACAAAGGTACTTGACGAAGACACTTACATGTACATTTTTGAGATATTTTAAAGCTTCTACCACACTGTAAGCCACTTTTCCGATTATTTCCTCTGGCAATCCTATGTAATTCCTTGCTATTAGCACCTTGTCAAGGCAGCTCGCCATCAACTCCATGCAAATGTAGAGATGGTCCATTGTGATTATATACCCGAAACATTGAACAATGTACTGACAGTCGTTCGACTTCCGAACTACATCAAGATCCATGAATATGCGCTTGGATTCTTCCTTGTTGTCTGTTCGTTTCATCTCCTAAAATTAATCTGACTTTTAGTTTTTTTACTATGGTAAAGGCTTAACTATATTTATCAATGCGAAGTACGTTGTATTAGAAAGGTAAAGTAAGCTCTTATAGCTAAACTATTATAGAATATATTTGTAATAGCTTTCTAAGTAATCTACCTTAACAGCCATCGCTCTGGCTTTAAGCTTTCTTTTTGTGACATTCCCACAAGTTCCAGAGCCCAGATCGGTTACAAAGATAAGGTCCTCTACTTTTACATCTTCGTAAACCTGGCCGTTTATTTTTAAGATGCCGGACATTTCCTGCACAAGCTTGTACTTGTCATTTAAATCATCATCGGAGATCGACGTCTCCATAGATTCCAAATGAATCCGTTGGCGACGAGAAGAAAGATCCACTAAAAGTGTCAATATGTATGTTAAGATAGTTAAAATATTTTTATTTAAATTTGCCGGAAGTTGTAAGGATGGATATCTAAAGAGTAAAACAAAGAGTATTCTCTTACAATTCATGTTTTTCCTTGGGATTGGCGAAGTGAAACAAACTGGCTTCGACGGCTTTAAAATCCGCGGCTTCGGCTCTGAACTTGACGACCTGGAGTAGGCACGTTTATTGAATATTCTCCATTTACGAAACCTATTCTCAAAATCTGCAATTGTATAATCTTTAAGTAATTTAAAATTATTGTTCTACATTACAACGCCATTTTCACAACGACTTTTACTGAATTAATCTATAGTAACAAGGTTAATATAAATCAATTTACATTAATTAAAAAACGTAACAAAGTGCAATAAAAACAACACAATTAAAAGTATAAAATGTAGATACCAGACTTACACTTACAACACAACGACAACGCATACGACAACTGAATTTACCCGAAAGTCTTTGATGTAATGGTGAAATGAAGAAATAATAGTTACCGGTTTTATTCGAACCCATGTGAGTAGCATACTATAACAACTAGCAAGATACTAGAACATAACTCTATGACCAAAAGAATATTCAAATGAAATCAATAGAAAAGTCAATATTGGCATAGACACTTCTGGCCATTTATGGAAAATTATTTTTTGAGACAACTTTTGTCCCAGACCTTTCAGATATATCTTCCCCTTGCAGGTACCACTAACAATGAAGTAGGAAAATGTTTTATACAAAGTTATAACATAAAAACGATTAAAGCACCTTTTTATACCTAAAACAACATTAATCACAGTTGAATACACTCAAAATACGTTATTTTATGAATAATACGTTTCCTACACTCCCTTCAACGTTCTGACCTCATGTATGAGTAATAACTGTGTACTTATATCGTACGCAAACAACTCTATTAGTTATACGTGATTGGAAATCTCCAAATCAGATCAACGCGAGCTGCGCCCATATTACGGAAAACGTTTTTCTTCAAAAATTTACCTTTTTTGATTGGAAAAATGTTTGCATAAACGTTTGATGCTTGGGTTTGCTTCGTTTGTTGTTGTCAAACAATTTTTTGCTATCTACGGGCTTGAATATACACTTTTAATTTTATTTTTGATGTTGACTTGTTTTAGGTAACACCTTAAGGATGGTTAAAGAACTGTTCAGGGAGTCTGATCACTCTCGGACCGTGTAAGTCTTATCTTCATTTTTTTTAGATAAAGCAGTATAGTTAAAAGTGACATAACATGTTTATTTTAAGGAAATCTATCATAACAATTCTATAACACTTAAAATTCAAAAAGTTAAACCTAAAATTTTAATAAAAAGTTTAAATTTGGCATTTTCAGTGAGTCCGTGAGGTTCACGACAGGAAGTGCTGTCGATATTCGTCAGATTTCTCATCTACAAGTCTTCAACAGTCGTTTATATGAGGATAGTGGAGGTAAACCTACTCCAATATTGTTTGGTCCCTTGGATAACAGATTGGGTACCTGTTCCAAGACGACAAACTGCGACACATGTGGGCAGAATTCGACGGATTGCGTTGGTCATTTTGGCTACATGAATCTTGAGTATCCTGTGTTCCATGTTGGATTCTTCAGGCTTATCATTCAGGTTCTACAATGTGTTTGCAAGGTAAGTCTTTATGTTTTTTTATAAGTTTAGGGTGTGATTCTTTTATTGATATGAGGAAAAATTTACGCTGAATTGAAACCGAGTATCAAAACACTCAATAACTAAAATTTAGGTAACAAAACTAAAATTTTTACTTTTGCAGAAATGTTCGGCTACATTGTTAACTGGAGAAGTGAAGGAAAACATTCTAAGACAGATTCAGAATCCAGCGTTGGACTACCTGAAGAGAAAAGCGATTCAGAAGAAGATTGTGGCTCAAAGTAAGAAGATCTCAGTATGTCCAGTTTGCGGCTTCATGAATGGTACTGTGAAGAAGGCAGTTGGCGCAGTATTGAAGATTGTGCATGCTGAGCCAATTGGAGATGAGAAGGAGTTCCGTATGGGTACAAAGGAGAGCAAAGAACTGAACTCATTGGTTGCAATGGTCAAGTTCACCTTGGTTGACCCGCTGCGTGTGTATAACATTTTCAAGAAGGTTCACGTGGCTGTAAGTGTTTGTTTTTATTTTTTTAAATATATTAGACGTTTAATTTGAAATTTTAAAAGACGTTTGCAAATTTCTTAATTATTCGCCGTGAAAGAACACTATGAATAATATTTGACATCTTGCAGAACAGTTTATACCTAGTATTTTTAATTTTAGGACATTCCTTTCCTCATGGTTCAAGCAGATGCTATTCAACATCCAATCGATCTACTACTTACTCGAATGCCAGTTCCTCCAGTCTGTATTCGACCATCAGTAATCACAGAGACGAGAGCTGGGTCCAATGAAGATGATATTACTGTAAAGCTTACCGAAATCATGATGATCAACGAAGTTCTACGGAAACACAAACACGATGGAGCCCCGATGAAGACAGTGGCCGAAACCTGGGACCTTCTTCAAATCCAGTGTGCTTTGTATATCAACAGTGAACTTAATGGTTTACCTCCAGACCTACAGCCGAAAAAGTTTGTCAGAAGTTTTACTCAGAGACTGAAGGGCAAACAAGGACGATTCAGAGGGAATCTGAGTGGAAAACGTGTCGACTTCAGTGCGAGAACGGTAAGATTTTAAGGTTTTCCTTTGTTGCAAGATATAATCCATTATAAATATTTGTCAACGTTCTTTTATTTTACGGTAATTAGTCTTGCTTTTAGGTGATTTCACCTGATCCGAACCTGAAGGTTGACCAAGTTGGAGTACCCATCCACGTAGCCAAGATACTAACCTTCCCAGAAGTTGTCAACAAAACTAACATCGAATTGATGAGGAAGTTGGTTATCAATGGAGACTCAGTTCATCCTGGTGCTAATCACATTGTTGATAGGAGGACGGGCAATAAAAAGTTCTTACGGTAGGGTTACCTGAGTGACTTTTCAGTATTATAGTAGTAAAAAGTTTTTTGTTTTATTAGGAGTTTACATGAAGTTTAGGTATGGTAACCGAGAACAAATCGCTCAGCAACTTCATTACGGGGACATTGTTGAAAGACATCTGAAGGACGACGATGTAGTACTCTTTAATCGTCAACCTTCTCTTCACAGAATCAGTATCATGGCTCATCGTGCCAAAGTTATGCCGTTCCGAACGTTCCGTTTCAACGAATGTGCCTGTACTCCATATAATGCTGACTTTGATGGAGATGAAATGAATCTTCATTTGCCGCAAACATACGAAGCCAGAGCCGAAGCTTCTCTTCTGATGAACATCAAGTCGAATCTGATCACACCAAGGTCAGGAGAGCCTCTTGTAGCCGCAATTCAGGATTTCATTACGGCAGCTTATGTTATTACCCACAAAGATACGTTCTTGCCAAGAGATGAGGTATACAGGTGTGCGGCTGCTTTGGTGGATGTCAATGCGAAGAAACAGTACAAGATCAGGGTACCACCCCCTGCCATTCTGAAGCCGAAAGAGTTGTGGACTGGGAAGCAGGTAAGTCGGAGTTTCTTCTTAAATGCAGTTAAACGAATATGTCTTTGATGATATAGTGATGTAGTAAAACATTGTTGAACTAACTTTTGTACATTTTAGTTGGTGGAGCTTATCTTGGCACCAGAACTTGGTACTCACGTCAAAGTAAACATCTCAACTCCAAACAAATCTCATCCCAAAGGAAAAGACGAGTTCGAATGCAAAGTAAGTTGCCATATTAAGGTTGGTTATGCTTTTAGGATACCTATGTTATGATCAAGAATAATCAGCTTCTCTTGGGAATGTTGGACAAGGCATTGTTGGGATCTGGCAGCAAGACTAACATATTTTACGTTTTACTTCGTGATTTCGGCGAAAACTTTGCTATTGAAGCCATGTGGAGGTTGGCCAGGATCAGTCCAGTGTTTCTTTCTAACAGAGGATTTTCAATCGGTAAGACTATGTTAATATATGTTTAGTTTTAATTGATATTTCCTTAATAAGAAGTTTTTTTGTGGTAGCTTCATATGGGAATTTACGTTTAATCACAATAACTTTTTTGGTTTAGGTATTGGTGATGTTACTCCAAGTGCTGGATTATTGAGGGAGAAGAAGAAGTTGCTGGAAACGGGTTATTCTGAATGTGACAACTTTATCGAACAATTGAGGATTGGCAAACTGAAGTCACGACCTGGCCAAACCGAAGCCGAAACCTTGGAAAGTTTGATCATGCACGAATTGTCACAGATTCGAGATCACGCTGGCAAAGCATGTCTTTACAATCTGTCAAAGTAGGTTACTGGGATTTGCGGTTTAAAATTTAGTTGTAATGAAATTTATTCAAATTTAATTGTAATGAAAGCTAATATATACTGTTAAATATAAATTTTCAGAAGCAACACTCCTCTGACCATGGCCATCTGTGGCTCCAAGGGGTCCTTCATCAACATCTCCCAGATGATCGCTTGTGTAGGTCAACAGTCGATCTCTGGTCATCGACCGGCCGAAGGCTTCGAATACAGATGTCTGCCGTTGTTCCAGAAGAATGACAAGAGTCCTGTAGCCAGAGGATTCGTGGAGAATTCCTTTTATTCTGGTCTGACACCTACAGAATTTTTCTACCACACGATGGCTGGTAGAGAAGGACTGGTCGATACTGCCGTAAAGACAGCCGAAACGGGTTACATGCAAAGAAGATTGGTCAAGTGTTTGGAAGATCTGGTGGCCAACTACGATAACACAGTACGATCGTCTACTGGCGAGATCGTGCAATTCAGATTCGGCGAAGACTGTTTGGATCCGTGCTTTATGGAAGCCAAAGATGGAGATCTGGTCGACTTTAACCACATCCTCTTCCACACTCGGAATGTCTGTCCTTTTGAGTACCATGAGGATGATGTACTTGACTTGGATAATGTCAAGTTGTTGGTCGAAGAAGCCGTCAAACCGATGGAAGAGCATTACAAGAACATCACCAAGACTTTCAGTGAAGTGAAGGAAAAGTTTTTGTTCAGCGAGAAAGTGAAGGAGTTTCTGGTCGATTATATTAGCACCAAACAGACCTTCTACGAACTCAAGACGGCGTGCACTAAACATACGTCTGCTGCGTAAGTATAAAACAATGATATACACTATATATTAAAATGCATATAGTTTATTACAAAATATTGTTTCAGAGCCTCAACTCAAAGCAAATGTCGTTTGTGCCAAAACGTGAAGAAGATGCGAGAAACTCTACTAAAGGCCCATTACTTAACTAAAACCCAGATAATATCATTCATCGAATTGTGCGAGAAGAAGCTGAAGAAGGCCATCGTGGAACCAGGAACGGCCGTTGGAGCAGTAGCGGCTACATCAATTGGAGAACCGTCTACCCAGATGACATTGAAGACTTTCCATTTTGCTGGAGTAGCTTCGATGAACATCACTGAGGGAGTACCCAGGATTAAGGAGATCATCAATGCTGTCAGGAACATCTCTACACCTGTCATCACGGTATCTCTGAAGAACGAAAAAGACGAGAAGCTGGCTAGAAGAGTTAAGGCTAGAATCGAGAAGACGACGTTGGGTATGTACTGTAAAATTTTATATTTAAGCTTTCAAAACTCCTTAAATTCGTTTAGGTAACAGTAGTTTGAAACCTTTTGCCAATTGTTATCTTATATAAATAATGAAATTTCAGGTGAAATCAGTGAATATGTGGAACAAGTCTTCATGCCAGACGATTCCTTTGTCCTTATCAAACTCAGTGCTCGTAGGATACGACTGCTGCAGTTGGAGGTAACCATGGACAGTATCTGCCGAGCCATTCAAGGCGCCAAACTTCCGATTCCCTTAAAGAACCGACAAGTCCGACCGGTCGGTAAGACAATGATTCTGGTAAGGCCGGGCGGTGATGAAGGTATGACCCGAACTATGGCGTTGCATTGTCTCAAGTACTCTCTGGTCAATGTCGTTGTGAAAGGACTTCCAAACGTGGTACGATGTGTTATCCAGGCAGATGAGAAGAAAGGAGACAGCTATCAGCTACTGGTAGAAGGCACTGACTTTAAGGAGGTAATGGCTGTCTACGAGACCAATCCCTTAAAGACCAAGTTTAACAATGCATCAGTAGTGGCAGAAGTGCTGGGTATCGTGGCGGCTAGGGATTGCATCGTGTCTGAGATCATCTCCACCATGAAGTCTCACGGTATTGAACTGGATAGACGACATGTCATGTTGTTGGCCGATTTGATGACCTATAGGTAGGGTTTTACGAAAGTTTAAGTATAGTTCAATTATGTATCTTTATTGTAGTTTTAATGTTATGTGGATATACAACTAACTTAATTTTACAGAGGTGAAGTCCTTGGCATCACTCGTAACGGCTTGGTGAAGATGAAGGAGTCAGTGTTGTTGTTGGCTTCATTTGAGCGCACCACAGATCACTTGTTCGAAGCTGCTTTCTTTAGCCAGAAGGATGATCTTGTTGGAGTATCAGAGAGTATTATCATGGGAACTCAGGCCCGGATCGGTACAGGAATGATCAAGTTGCTTCAGAATAGAGGGAAGGTACCTCCAGTGTCACAACTGATCAAAACTCCTGTCTTCTCGATGCCAGAGTTCAAGTTGAAGTTGTAATAGTTGTTGATTTTATGGTTATTTGTTATCTTTTATTGATTACGGTTTTTGTTTCTTATAAATATTGTTTTACACATTTTGTTTTACATTATTGGTTTTAATGTGGTAGTTTGCCAATATATATTGATAAGAAGGAAATAGAGTAATGTAACCAATGTAGATGCAATAAAATGATAACTGTTGGTACTATCAAGCACTTCGCTATTGGAGTTAACATCTTTCACGTTTTGTTTGTATTATTTGGAGCTCCATTTCTTGTGTAAGTTTATATAAATGTAAGATCATATTGTTGAATTGCAAAGGCTATCGATATATTAGCGTTATAAAAAGAAGCTTGTCGTATTTCATAAATGTTTTAATACGTTTCTGTTGTAAAACACGAGTGAAAATAAAATGAATAAACGAAAGTTATATAACTTTATTTATGTAAAACAACTTACAGTGACTTCGAGTGGACGTTGGCATTAGCTGCAGTTCAAAGTCTCTGTTCGGCCGTTCCTGTGAGTATTGCGGTAGAAGGAAGAACTGACGACATTATCCCGTTTCTGGTCGAAAAAGAATTGTAAGTCTGAAAAAATATTAGTTTGGTCGTCAAAGTTGACGCAAATGTGACAAAAAAACTTCTGCTTAGTCTTCATTTCCTTTGTAAAGATGATTTGTTGGACACGATAGTACAGTATACGAATAGACTCATAATATAAATGGAAGTTTCGGTGTTTTAATAAATTTCGAAATTTCAGCGATCCGAAAAAGAAAGCTCTCAAGTTTGTGGCATTTTTGTCCCTTTTTGGCAACTGGATTTCAGCCGCTGTTATTCCACTGGACTGGGACTTGTGGTGGCAGGTAAGGATTAAAATATTAAAAAATAAATTTTGTTTTGACTTTTTTATCAATTAGATCTATTAATTCTTTTGCAGTTTTTTAACTACAGAAAATGGCGGAAGAGTTAATGGATTGACTTCAAAAACTAGGACGGTAGTGTTATAAGTCAATAATTTTTAAAGAAATTGATCCAGTAATTCCTTCGTAACCTATTATGAAACTTTATTTCTGAAAATATTTTGAAATTTGTTTGTTTTCAGCGATACCCGATTCCTAACTTTGTGGGCGCGACCTCAGGCTTCGTGCTGGGCGTAGCTCTTGTGCTAGTATTCAGAGCCCTGAACTTGTTTGGCTTTTACAGAAAGTCATCTTCACTTCATCCCAAAACCGTATAAACTACGACAAAATGCAGTCGGAACTGTTCGAGAACCCATCCCCAAAGTTAAAAGCCATTGTTTTTGCTGAGTTTGACAACAAGATCGGCAGGGTCATACGGCACCAGGTAAGTTGTTTTGAATTTTCTGGTTTTTGGCTATTTTTGTATAGTAACGGAGGTTTTTTTGGCGTTTCGGTAACAATTTTCAAAAATTTTGAAGATTTTGGGTAACATAATAGTCATAAAACATACTTTAACTTACAAATTTGTGGTAGTCTACATTGTGTATAAATTTAATACTATTTTAAGTGAAAAAACAAAAATGTTAAAGTTTTAGGTAACAGATATTTTACAGTTTTCAATTAACTAACAGGTCTCTTGATTTAGGTACCTCACAACATATTCAGTACGACGCACTTTGATGCCTTTGCCAGCGCCATCATTCCCTCAGAAGACATGCGAGATCGTCTCATCATGGTTAATATGTACGATTGGAAGGTGATGGGCTACCCAGTTTACATCAGAAACGAGAAGTACGAGCGGAAAGTGTACATATTCAACATGTGCTTCGTGGTCGACAAACAAGACACCCAAAGTGATTGTATGTATGAGCCATTGGTCCAAAAGTGCGCAGAATATCTGGTGGATATGGAGGTGGAGAATGAGTTTCTGAGTCGAAAAGACTCTAGGCTCGAAGATCTGATGGAAAGGGTCTTTCAAGGGCTTAACGAGAACGGTAAGACAATGTTCACGTCCAAATTTTGTAAAAAATGGTCATAAAGCTCTAAGTTTGGGGCGCAGACTGCTGAGTGACATTTTTATACGATGAAAACTGTTCAATTTTTAAAAGTGTTGAAAAGACTATTTTGTCTCATGCTATGCAGTTGGGAAGTTGTAGTATCGTTTTGTGTAAAATACGTTGAGATAGTGTGATTTTGTTCAGGAGAGTGCATTCATTCCATCACTAACGAGACCACGTTGTTCCTAAAGTTATGTCCAGCCTTTCATGGTCGCGAGCCACCTCAAGTGAGCTCATTCATGGTACCGGTCTTTACAAAAACTCCGCCTATTTCACCCGCTGATCTCAGCAAAATGGACGTTTTGTCTCAAAAGGTACTTTATTGTTATCAAAAATAGTATTACAGGAGGTAGCAATCATTGTTACTAATTATAAAGTCGAGTAAATATACAACATAATATTATGTGTGTTTATTCTCTATGTTATAGGCCGAGCAATGTGTGTAAATTTGCTGTTTTTTTATAATACTGTTGTAGATCTGCCCGTTCATCGACGGAGTGTGTTGTGTTAAAGACATTGCCAGTCTGATCCAAGTTGACGTAGATCTGGTGAAGCGATGCATCAGGAACTTGTACTTCTACGGTTGTGTTGCCCTACTGCCAATCTTTTTGTACTCTAACTACTACATGGCCACACCTCGAGTCCGACAGTTTATGAAGAAGGAGAAGGTGGTGGAGGAATGTCTGGAGTTTGTGAAGAAGGACAAGTCCTTGTCTATACCTACCAAAAGTGACCTTTTTCGATTGTATATGAGTTTAACTGTAAGTTAAAGGCACAGTAAGCAGACTTTAGTTACTGTTCGAAGTTTTTGTGTTACATAGCTACTTTAGTTACAGTACACATTCATTAAGTATACTGTATTTTTTGATTTATTTAATTTTCGTAGTAATCTGTCTGTTTCAGCCAAATATGGATATGCAGAACTGGTTCCGTGTCCACTGTCCAGCCGACTATAATATTGACGAGAGACGGTTCATTCAGTTTGGGGTCCACTACAACTTCATCAAGGTACTCAAAGTGTACCCACAAGCAGAAGATTGGCCCGAATCTTGGTATGTTTTTGTATATAATGGTCAGTATGTAAAGAGAAGTGCCATAACAGCATATTATTTATAATTAGAAGGTTGGTTTACTTACTAGTTGGACTACTTTTTTGGATATTTATTATTACTATGTTACTATAGCCTGTTATTGCTAGGATTGTATTATAATTAAAAATGCTAGTTAATATAATTTCAATGGTTGATTTCAGTGTGACCGAACTGTGTAACGGCGAGAACACGGTGGAAGGCATAGCCACCATCCTATCGTGCTCACCGTACTCTCTTCAGAAGCGGCTACAGGAACTGGACCTGCCCATGATATACCGATAGTTGATTATTATTTATTCTGTTCTATTTATATCGTTTATGTCAAACACAGCATTGTCTTAATATTGCTGTCACTATAATAAATCTGGTTCCACTACTTTACAAGGGTTTGAGAGGTTGTTAAGATACTGGTTTACACTACAGTACGGTATTTGATACTACAATATAGTAAGAGCGTTGTCATGGTAATCAATTTGTACAGTTGTAGTTATCTTGAAAAGATATAAAGGGGTGTGCAAAAAGTATAAAGCTACAAATGACAGACACAAATGGTCATAAAACACTCAAATGATGTTATCATTGATTGAAAATGGCAATTTAGACGGAAATAATAAACAAACGTGGTCTTTTTACCAAACTGAAATTTTAATATGAACTTTTCCTATCTTTAAAACCTGTCGATAACTTTTTAATAATTTATATAACGACAACCTTAAAGTAATTTTGCGTCTTTCAAGATACCATAAATGTCGTCTGTCCCAACATTATACTCGTACTGGAGAAGCTCATGTGCTTGGAGAGTTCGAATTGCCCTCGAACTAAAGAAGGTTGAGTACGAAAACATTCCCATCGAACTGGCAGACAAACAACAAGTAAGTGGTACAACTGGTACTGTAATATTAAGGGCTCTCAAAAGTATTCAGAGCTGAATCCAATTGGATACGTGCCTACCTTTGTCCACAATGGTAATGTCATTACTGAGTCGTTGGCGATAGTAGAATACATTGATGAAGTGTTTCCTGGAGACTTCAAGTTACTACCTGGAGATGCGGCCAAGAAAGCTCTGATCAGAAGTCTGGCTTTGATTGTAAGTCATTATATTGCGCATGGTAACTTTACTTTATATACTGTACGTAGTAAAATAATTTACGTGAGTTTTTTTGGGGCCATACTAGAGAAAGCACCCAACATAATAAAGGCACCCACTAATGGTTTAAAGCACCCAGCAATCTTTATTCAAATTTTATCATTATGAAACGTAGCGCTTTCGAAGAGCGGTGTAGAAGTGTCCAATTCGTGAATGGCGATTGTTGTAGCGAAAACTGAAAAAAATATAATAAGGTGCACGGCTACTGTAACTAGATAGTTGGCCACTATAACTAGATGGTTGGCTACTGTAACTAAGAAATGGGCTACTATAACTAGATAGTTGGTTACTGTAACTAGATGGTTGGCTACTGTAACTAGATAGTTGGCCACTACAACTAGATAGTTGGCTACTATAACTAGTTAGTTGGCTTTTGGCTACTGGAACTAAATAATGGGCTACTGTAACTAGATGGTTGGCTACTGTAACTAGATAGTTGGCCACTACAACTAGATAGTTGGCTACTATAACTAGTTAGTTGGTAGTTGGCTACTGTAACTAAATAATGGGCTACTGTAACTAGATAGTTGGCCGCTATAAGTATCAGTCATTCCACTAAAGAATTTGACAATTGCACGGTGCAGTCCCTGGGAAAATCGCGCCATTTTTTATCCCACTGCACCGTGCAGGTTCCTCCGCGATCACTTGCAACCCCAAACGATGAAAGAAAGAATGCACAGTGCAAGCCCCCAATAGTCAGGCGACTTGCAACAGTCAAAAAAATTTTGTCGCAAACCTCCCATTGAACACAGTGGTGGCTTGAGCGTTGCGACAATCGCGACACGCTGTCGCATCGCCCTTTAAATTACGACGCGACAGTTTGTCGCAAGCTTTGCACCCTGCGACACTGCGATTCCCATTGGGAAGTCGCAAGATGCAAGCGAATGTCGCACGACTCGCTGAATGTTGTGTGACGTCCCTCAATTCTCGGCGCGACAGCGATTCCTCCAAATTGGGGTTTGCGATTTTGTCAAATTCTTTAGTGGAAAGACTGATAGATATTTGGCTACTATAACTAGTTAGTTGGTAGTTGGCTACTGTAACTAAATAATGGGCTACTGTAACTAGATAGTTGGCCGCTATAAGTAGATAGTTGGCTACTATAACTAGTTAGTTGGCTTTTGGCTACTGTAACTAGATAGTGGCTGCTACAACTAGATAGTTGGCTACTGTAACTAAATAGTAGGCTACTATAACTAAGATAACATTAATACTATGGTAAAATCAAACGTATTCTTTAAATAAATACTAAATTCTTACCTGTTATCCATCTGTATAGCATAGTAAAAGTCTTCATAAACTCGATAGAAGATGACTTCTTTGAAGGTGGTTGATCTTGGCCTAGGTTGTCAGGTTGTCGATGGATCCATGATCACCACGATCAGATTCCATGCTGACCCGACCGTCTCACGCAGTCGATAAAATATGAATGACCGTTTTCAAAAAAAGGAAAAACAACAAAATGAAATTGCAAGATTATGCAAAATTTGAATACTTTTGGGTGCCTTAAATAGGATAAAAATTGGGTGCTTTCATTAGTAATACTGGGTTATTTCTTTAGCTTAGCGCATGTAAACACTTTTCAAAGTCTTTTAATTTCTAAACTCACGAGAACGTTGTTGTAGATTATCGCCAACATTCAGCCCCTGCAAAACCTGAATGTTATTGAGAAGTACGGTGGGAGTGATACTGATAAACAGGTCGAATGGGCCAAACATTACGTCGAAAAGGGCTTTGATGCCCTCGAGAAAAGACTACGGAAGACGGCTGGAAAGTTTGCGGTCGGTGACGAGATTACTCTAGTCGATATCTGCATCCCAGCTCAAGTTTACAATGCTTCGGAGTAAGTCGGTATAACAACATGACCGATCATGTTCACGCACTAGGTTTCACTTATTTTTGTTTATATTTTATGTTTATATCACTTCAAGTTGACATTTTTTAAAGCGATGACAAAACATTTCAGGAGCTTCAAAGTGGAAATGACAAGGTATCCAATTATAAAACGTATTAGCGATACTTTATCCAAGCTACCAGAATTCATAAAAGCTGATGAAAAACATCAACCTGACACTCCGCAAGAGCTAAAGGCTTGAACAACAACTGTAATATTAACATCTTGTACATCTAAAATACCCAGTTGGTCACGTTTCATGCGGCATTTTTATTAGGTTACATTTCTTGTCACTTTTTGACCAAGTTTGTATAATAGTTTCTTTTTTTGAAACCATAAATAAAGTTTATATCGTATCTTTAATCAAACCTAACTTATAAATAAAGTTTTGCGCAATGATATTACACCGCCACAACAGCTAGAGCAAGCTTAAAAACCACTCGTAAACAGCCATCGCTGCTGATATAAGTCCTTCCTTTGTATCTTTTTACATTTAGTTAGGTATTCAATAAACTATTTTGCTTATCTTTACAGATAAAAATGACTTTTGTTCACTTTAATAAGTATAATATTGCCATTGTTTATAATAACTTCTAGAAACAACATAACAATGTCGGATCCCATCCTGTACACATACTGGAGAAGCTCGTGTGCGTGGAGAGTTCGAGTAGCATTAGAATTGAAGAATGTTGAGTACCAAATGGTGCCGATTCATCTTGTAAAACAAGAACAGGTAAGTGGCATACTCGAGTATCATAATAACTTACCTTCAGAACTCTGAAAAGTACCTGGAACTAAACCCAGTGGGGTATCTACCAGCATTCATGCACAATGGTAACACTATCACCGAGTCCTTGGCCATTATCGAGTACATTGACGAAGTTTTCCCTCAGGGCCCAAAGCTGATATGCGGAGATCCAGCCAAGAAGGCGTTGATCAGAAGTCTCGCTTTGATCGTAGGTTACTGTAACTTTAGTTTTCGCAACTTTATAGTATTTTAAAATTGCATTTTTAATTTTACCCACTGTAACTTATAGCATTTGACCTTATTTTAAAATTATATTGTTTTAGATGATTGCTAATATTCAACCCCTCCATAACCTGAATGTCATTATGAAATACAGTCCAGACGATGCTGAAAAGAGGTCTGAGTTTGCTCGGACATATGTGGAAAAAGGTTTCAATGGTCTAGAAAAGAGACTAGCCAGTACTTCTGGTCGCTATTCCATCGGTGATGACATTACCCTAGTAGACGTTTGCATTCCTGCTCAAGTTTATGCTGCCAAAAGGTATGTTATAAGGTTTAGAATGCAAGTATTAAGTATGAAAAGCCAAAAATAAGACAAAAAGAATTCTGTATACTTTTCGACCAAACTTGCATAACATTATGACTTATAGATTTAATGTGGACATGACCAAGTATCCTATCATAAGTCGGATCAACGATGAACTCTCGCAGCTTCCTGAAGTAATCAGAGCTGACGAGAGACATCAACCAGACACCCCAGATGAGTTCAAAGCATAAGACGGTACAGCTTGCTATCAAAACGTGTCTCTATTGTTCTATCATTATATCATTGATATTAGTCATTGTTGTGTGCCTTTTCCAATAAAATTATTTTCTCTCAATTTAATCGCGTTTGCATTAATACTGCAAAAGCGATAACATGACTGCAATAACAGTTTGCTGGTAACCGAATTTGTATCTAAACAAGTATTACTTTGCCATAAACAGTAAACATCACGACTAATAAACTGGACTAAAATTAACCACTACAATTGTCAATGACATTCCGTGTACCACCAAATCATTGACAATATTTTACACAAAAACGTGGTTGTAAACAAACCCCCAAACGAACCATATTTTCGTGTAAAATGCCTGTTTACCAGTAGCTTGTGATATTCCAACCACCACATAAACAACATATATTCGATGGTGTGTCCCGCCGCGAAAACCAGAGCTTCTTAGCTTCTCAAATTTATTTTCAGTGGTCGAAAAAGAAGTTTATTGTCCAACACACTCAAGCTTAACTTGACTACGATTTGTAACGTTTCAAAGTCGAATCCAGTTTGAATTGCGCGCTGAATTACTTGAATTCGAGCTATCAATGTCTATATTAACCTTTACTTGTTCTTCAGATGCCGCACTGATGCCGTTCGTCATCTGTGCGTCCACATAACAATGAAAGCGGACACAAATGGGCTCCCATTAAGGTCAACTGAAGTAAGGGTGAAGTTTTGTATGTTACACTTATTGAAACAGTCCAAATGTCGTTTCGAGCTTATAAAATCAATAAAAATTTTAGTCTTGCGATGTTTTATCGAATTCTCGCAAGATATTAAACAAAATGCGTTGAGCAAAAGCACAAATTTTCAATGAAACTGTTGTAACTACAATATCTTACTTCTTCTATATTAAACAGCTCACGGAACTCATTGATTTGAGCACGGTACAAGTTTAAAATTTCATAAAACAGTTTTACTGATTAAGCCAATCTTTCGGATAAGAAGACCGAAACAATTAATATAATTTTAACTTTATTTTTTGCGTTGTACTTTACAAAATAGTATTCAAAAATTGGCCAAGTTTCACTCTTTTTAATTTCAATGTGGGTCAAGTCGGGCCTTCGATGTAAAATTTCTAAAAATCAGGAAAACCGAGAAAACAGAAAGATAATTTTTGAAAAGGAGTTTGTTCAGGGACCCTCTACTGCCGATCTCCGGCAGAATATGGCTCATCTGACGTTGCTGGAAAAACAGAAGACATTCACTCCCACTTACATGCAGGAAAAAGACGCGGTTATTCAGGTAACACTTCTTTTTCTTTCCCCGGTCGATTTGCCACATTTTTTCTGCTGAAATTGGGGTATAATATGTTTTACTCCTGAAAAACTATACGGGAATAAGATATTATTTTAGTTTGAAGGTATAAGGGGCAAAAGATAATTTAATTAGAGAGATTTTATTTACAACCAAGTGTAGATGGGGTACAATTATTTGTAAATGATATAAAACCTAGCCTTAATGAAGTATAACTCAATTTATATGATAATAAGCGAGTTATATTGAAATTGGTTCTAATATTATACTTTTCAGCAGTTTTCTGGTTGGTTAGAGCATGAACAAACAGATTTTATAAAGACAGTCCTCCAGAAAATGTGTCATCATCAACACGGTCAGATCGATCAGTTTCTTCAACCGATGTTGAAAAGGGACTTTATTAGTCTTCTGCCAGGTAAGAGGTTTTTTATTTTGTTTTTGATTTAGGTAATCTGAAAGAGAGGTTTTTATGGCTTTTATGATTAATATGGTCCTATAAATGTCGAAAAAGTGAATCTCACAATTAGACGAGAGAAAGTATTGTCTTGCTCTAGCTATGGTCTGAGGGGAATATCGATTAGCTATCATAATACGCGAATTTGTGTATAACTATATTGTTCTTGCTTTAGATGGGCTTGAAGAGAATGTTTTATCTCATTTGGATGCCAAAAGTCTCGTAGCAAGTGCTGCCGTCAGTAGAACCTGGAGGAACAAGATCGCTAACTGTATGTTATGGAGAAAGCTGATCGAACGTCGTGTCAGAACAGATTCAGTTTGGAGGGGATTGAGTGATAAGAGAGGATGGTGAGTGTTTTATTTTCAGTTGTATTATTACATATAGGCACAGTGGGTGTCGTTATTGTAAAGTATGTTATTATGTTCGACTTTAACTTTTTTTAAGGTACTTTTAAATGTTTTATCTTCTAGTTTTGACTAATTTCAGGAGAAAATACTTGTTCATACCCAAAGAACAGGCAGCAATCCAAATAGCCATGAGCCAAGGGTGGAATCGTCCAGAAGCCGAAGAGTTTGTTCAGACACAACTAGACATGCTCAATTACTTACACGACTTTTACTGGCATTTATACCGCAACATCAACAAGGATATCGCTCAGATCGAAGAGAACTGGAGGACGGGCAAACACAAGCTTCAACGAATCAATTGTGAATCAGAAAACAACAGGGGTAGGTCTTATATTGTAGTGTATTGTTTTAGGTAACGCTTCTGCAACTTATTGACAAAATCAAATGTTATTTTTTACTATTTTATATGGGGATATTGACTATAGCCTCTGTTTGGTGGTTTTTGAAGATTTATTAATGCATGTTTTAGGTGTTTACTGCTTGCAATACGATGACGAGAAGATTATTTCGGGTCTACGAGACAACACCATCAAAGTATGGAGAAGATCAGATCTTCAATGCGTTCAGACGTTAGTTGGTCATACCGGTTCGGTGCTGTGTCTTCAGTATGATGAAAGGATAATCGCTAGTGGAAGCAGCGATTCTACTGTTAGGTACGGTTATCTGACCAATTTTATAAGATGTTCTATTAGTTTATATTAGATTGATTATAATATGGAAACTACAGGTGTAAATGAAGCTTTGAATGAACTTGATAATTTTAGGATATGGGACGTTAACACTGGCCAGTCTCTGAATACCTTGATCCACCACTGCGAAGCCGTGCTTCATCTTCGCTTCCAAAACGGAATGTTGGTCACTTGTTCTAAAGATCGGTCGATTGCCGTCTGGAACATGAACTCTCCAACTGAAATCGACCTTCGTCGTGTTTTGGTTGGACATCGAGCTGCCGTGAACGTGGTGGACTTCGATCAGACGTACATCGTGTCAGCCAGCGGAGACAGAACGATCAAGGTATGGAGCGCTGACACTTGCGAGTTTGTCAGGACTTTGAGTGGCCACAGACGGGGAATCGCTTGTCTGCAGTACAGAGATCGACTGGTCGTTAGTGGATCCAGCGACAATTCCATCAGGTATGTAATTGTATTTAGTTTATTGGCTTTGAGTCTTTTCTATGCTGTAATAGTAATACTATTTATCTATTTTGATTAAGAAATGACGTAAAAATGTTGTTGTAGATTGTGGGACATTGACGGGGGAAACTGCTTGAGGGTATTGGAAGGTCATGAAGAACTGGTGCGATGTATTCGGTTTGATTCGAGGAGAATTGTGTCGGGAGCGTATGATGGGAAGTTGAAAGTCTGGGATTTGACTGCAGCCTTGGACCTGCGATATCAAAGTAGTGCTATTTGTCTGAACACATTATCAGTAAGTTAAATGAACTACATATAGCTAAATTAATGGTTTTCGCACATTGGAATCCAGCAGAACCTAATTATACCTCAACTTTCAGGAACATACGGGTCGAGTGTTCAGACTCCAGTTTGACGACTTCCAGATCGTGAGCTCATCTCACGACGACACCATTCTCATTTGGGACTTCTTGAACGTTGGTAACGGTCTCCGATGCAACGCTCCGTTCCGCACTGTGAACGGACCATTCCAGAACGCTGCGGATGCGGCACAGCGCGTGGCTGTCCCTGACACTGATACTAGTCGACCGGTCGAAGGCGGAGACCGTCCTCCTCTCAACATGGTCAACGATCAGATGGATGTCGACGAGGACGATGACGAAGATCGCCCTGGGCAACCATCCGATTCAGAATCCGACGACGACGAGCTCCACGCCGTTCCTCCAGAATAATGTGCATACTTTACCAACTTCCTGATCATTCATTCTTTACACCCGGACTTTGTATCTGTAATCATTTAATTATGTTAACCAATGTGATTGATTAAACTCTAAGCAGCTTATCCAAGTCGACTGTTTACCATCAGTCTGAACCATATTGTTTTCGATTCCGCCAGTAAATAATCAAGGGTAAGTTAATGTCTACATTGTTTGAATTTTAAAGTGTGTTTCGTAACGTTTATTATGGTATGTTTATTAGTTCACTGTGATACAGTTATTGCGTTAACCGTTTTTGAACTGCTTTCTCATTCTGATCTCTTTTTGACCATATGGTCATGTTGTAAACAAAGAAGAACTCAACTGTTTGATATTTTGAGTTGTCAAACTGACCTTACCAAATCAAAGACAATGTAAGTTGAGAACCTTTACTTGAAGTAGATCAGATACACATTCCCAGCTGACAATATATTATTTTATTGGACATAACAACATACTTAATATCATTTACACCATTTGAGACTATTTTCAACATTTTCACCGAATAATTGAATGAGGGGAGGTAGAAGAGGAAGATAGAAAAAGAAGTGCTAGCCGACTCCAAAGGGTTCAGGACCATAAACAATATTACAATCTCCTTACTTTCGCTGCGAATATATATAACTTAGAGTAAGGAAAGACTTAGAAACAATATATTGCAACACTGAGTACAGACTTATAGTAATATATTAGCAAATATTAGTAAAAGCCAGAGTCCGAGAACTTATGAACTAGACCAGCACGATACGAACACTCGGGTAGACTACAGATAAGAGTACAAGTTTATAACGAATAGTATAGGAAAGGGGAAATAGAATTAAGCGTCGGGCTGTCCCATCGAAGACCCTGGCTCGGCGGGCTTGGCGTCGGCGGAGGCTGTGCTTGACTCGGCCGGTTGTTGGGAGGTGCTGGGCAGAGGCTCGGTTCGGAAGAATTCGGTGGGGAGCTGTTCAATCTCGTCCGGGTTCACTTTGCCAGCGAACAAGGTCTCGGCCGAACTGCTGATGTCGCGGAGGCAGTCCAAGGTCTTGGGGATCGACTCTATGATGGGCATACATTCGTGGGCGTGAATCGACTCGACATACCTGTAAATAACATCATAATTTTACAACAGAATTTCAAAATATAAAAGTTTTAACATCTTTTTTAGATTTAACAAGATAATAAACCAAGTTTAAACAACGTTCTTCCTCATGAACAAAATCAAAGCAAAACTTTTCGTGGTTTACTTAAAGATACTCTAGTAGATGCTAAGTCAAAAGCCAATTTGCAAACCTAGATTATTCAAGTGCCGGATTATGATACGATAATTCCAAAACCTGGGAACCAATTAATCAAAAGTCCCAGACCCTTACCGTCTCAGGAGATTACTGTAGAGGGTGTGATACTTTTTGGTGAGCTGTTTCTCGGCCTCGTTCATGACAACATTCGTGTTGCGGAACAATATCACCAGCCCCATCAGGTTGATGATGGTGTCGTTGTGACGCAGGTTCGGGTCCATGCTCAGGCAGAATCTAAAGTTGAAGATGATTAAAATAAGATCAAGATAATGTCGTAAATTAAGTTAAATATTAAAAACATGAGAATACACTAAGTTTGGCCAAGTCACAATATTATAATTGACCTTTGTTTTTAAAATATAATGCCAAAACTCACTTGATGAACTTCATTTTCTGGTTCTTGTCGTTCAACTGGTCGAACATGTCCAGACTAATGTCCACGACGTGGCCCGCAACCTTGGTGCTGAAGCACAGCTTCTGAACGTCGAACCTCGTGGCGCCGCGCAGCGTGAGGAGATTGACCATGGCGGCCTTGAGTAAGTGAAGTTTGGTGTCGGACGAGAGGGTGTTGAAGGACGGCAGCTTCTTGGTCATCCGAACGAAGCGTCGCATCGAGATGTCCATGATATTCATAATGTCGTTGGGTTTGTGGCCCTTTTTGGTCAGATATGCTTTGGATTTGGTGTCGGCCAGGGGCTCGTCCATGCAGGAGTAGGCGTTCCGGACCACGTCCAGCTCACACAACTCCGACGAGTTCAGCTGGAAGTCGTTGGCGTGGTCGGCGTGGTTCAGTACCTTAAACTGAAGCAAGGATTAGATGAACAGTTCAAATTAGTAAACTGTTTTAAAATCAAAATCCAAAAGTTTTAAGACTTACATCAACATGCCCAGGCCCACTGGTAGTCAAGTCTTCGTGCGCGTTGTGCAGCTCGTCGTGGATGGTTTCGCCCATCTTGTGGTAGCCGTCCGGAGACATGTCGAGGAAGGGGAAGAACTTGGACGGTGAGATCTTGCCGGTTTCTTTGGAGAAGAACATTTTGTACTGATCGTACTGGCCAGCTGCAGCCTCGCCCGCACCGTGGGCTCCATTCATGGAGTAGGCACCGGACGTCGCGACGTCCGTCGAGAAAGAGGTAGGCACGGCCGGCAATGTTAAGCTGGTCTCGGGCTTGAAGGCGGACGTCGTGAACACCTGGGCCACGGAAGATTGGGCCAGCTTGGGGTCACCTTGAAGTAGGCGGGAGTAGTTTTCTGGGTTCGAGAAGCTCTGTTTCATCAGGTTCTGGATGTCCACATGTTTGCCGAGGTCCATGGGATTGGCTCCCAGCAGAGCGACAGGAGACTCGGGGCTGGCGACGTTCTGTGGTGACAACAACGAGTTGATCGAGGCGTGGCCTTGACTTAGCGGGCTCAGGGCAAGATCAGATTGCCTTCTCTGCATCAAAGCTGGCGAGCTGAAGGTCGAGGCACCTGGAGAGTTGGTCTGATTCGCGGATTGGAACAGTTGTTGCAAGTCGTAGTTGCAGAGGGTGTTGAAGCTGCTCTGGGGCTGGTCGGGAAGCTCGCTCTTCACCTGACCCATGAGGTCGGGGCTTCGGTTCATGAGCATTCCAGGTTGAGGCGAGTGGATGAGCTGCTGGCCGATGCCGTAGGCCTGCCCGCCACCCATACCCTTCATGCTATTCAGACGCGAATTCTTGCGACGACGGAGCTGTTCGTCGTTCAGAATCCATTCCTTCTTCATTCCGACGGCAAAACACTTGCGGAGACGACATTTCTGACAGAAGCGACGGCTCACGGCGTTGATTTCACAATCGTCAGAGTAAGGGCACTTGAATTCCTGAAAACAAAAGGGTTACTGGAGCTACCACAATATCTTCAAAAAACCCATTTTTCTTTTACCTCATACCTACTATAATATAAAGTGTTACACCCAAAAAACAAAGAACTGCGACCGATTTTCCTTTTTACTAATGAGAAATTAAGCTAGGACAATAACAATCGACCCTACAACAACAATTACTAGAGTAAACAACGCTACCTTGGGGCGAAGAGCGTTCCGTCGGAAGAAGGCCTTACAACTCTCGCAGGTGATCACGTTGAAGTTGTAGCCGGTGGCGTGGTCGCCGCAGACACGGCACGTCTTCTGACGACGCCGTGATTCCTCCGAATTGTCCTGGGTATCTGAAGCAGGCCAGACGTTGAGAGACTGGGACATGACAGACTTACCGCCCATCGGCGACGACATCAATAGCGGGTTGGTACCAAACATAGCTCGAGACGAAGATGGGGAGTGTATCACCGGGTCGTCCGGAGTGTTCATTTGCTGCTGAAAATGAAGTTTTTACTCGGTTTTGTAGTTTCTTTTCCCACGTATTCCAGCACTTTCAACATTTATGCAAATTTCTGTCATTTCTTTGCGGACCCATTAATCTCGACTTTTTTCGAAATTGGCCGGTCGTATTGGTGGTATGTAAGCCGCTAATACCGAAGGCAAGAACAATTACAATTCTTCCGTTGTGACCGTAAACCTCACATACGTATCTTTTTTTTATTTTTGCTTTTGCACATCGTTTTTCGATCTTTTTCTCCAATTTTACCCAGTTTCTGCTTATTCAAAAATACTTTTTTCGGCTTTCTTGTAAATCTTGATAAAAATGGCACTTTTAGACCCACTGATCAGCTAATTCGCTATGAAACGCGCCATTCTTTTCGCATCGAATACTGTTTTAAAAATCCTTTTTTAACCAAAATTGACGGTTATATTTCATAAATTTTGCAATTTCGGCTATCAAAAGCATAAAATTAATATATTTTCGCGGTTCATCGTCTGCTAAAGATACGAAAACAACCTTTATACCTCTGTCTTGCTATTTTTTAGAATTTCGTTGGTTTAACCATGAATTTTGAACATTTTAAGCTTCCCCTTCTACAACAAGTAACTTTATAAAGTTGATACCTACTTCAACACTATAATGAGCCTTACTGCCTAAATTACCGAGATTTCCCGTTTTTCAATTATTTTTAAAATTTTGAACTTTCTCCCCCCACACGTTTTCCATTATCACTTTTGTTGCTATTTATCTGTGGAAAGCGCTCCCTTATCCCTGATTAAAGATTTGCGGGCGAGCCGAGCGCTGATTGGCTGAAAGTGTGGCGAGCCCGCTGATCCCTTAAAACACCGATATTACACTAGAGGTTACCTTGCCCAAGGCGTTTGCAACATTCCACTGTACAGTTTGTCGAGGTGCAGCAAAGTTGTTTAGGCCAAGCATGTCTTGGCGGCCCGGGCCGGCCGCGTTCCAGTTAGCGATGGCGACAAAGTCTTAAAGCACGATGAGGAACGTTAGAAAAAAAGAGAAAGAACAGTACACCTTGCGAGCAGGTAAGTTGTCTCGAATAAAAAAACTGAGCCCGGTCTACGGTAGGTCTGCGGTCTCTTGTTTTGATGCGGTCTCTGCCCAAAAAACAGCTACACGGTCTCGTGAAAAACAAGCTCATTTTGGGGGGATGGAGGGGCAGACCTGACGCTCACCTCGAAAACAACCAAAATGCAATATCTTCGTCGTATTGTACGCCGATAGTACTATAGTACGACCACCTATAGCACTTTCAGGAACATCGAAGGTAACGTTGGTCGAAAATAAACGAAAAGTACGGTAAATACGTGAAATCTGATGAGAAAATTAGTCCGCTACACTTAAAACAAGGTCACGGAGCCGACTGTCAACTATGACTAACTGGTCGCCGCTGTTAATTACGCAACCGACAAGAATAACATGGCAAAAAGATGGGACAGTACGCTATTGGAGTAACATATCTACGGTCATAACTTATACTCAGATAACGTATTAATATGCAAATAGAAGACAATGCACAACTTGGCCCCAAACAAGGAGAGTACAAACCTCGGCCCCCACAAATTGGCCAGTACGAACCTTGGTGCTCGGTTGTGTAAAGGTACAACAGAGTGATACTATAAAGCATTGAAGAAAATATATTTTAGGGGGGTTGTTTTCGCAAAAAACACCCTGGACTGGGCCGGTTGGTTGGGACGGCACAGAAAACAACAAAAAACAGACAGCGGAGCTGCCCAGGACTGCGGGACGACGGTTGTTTTTCGATGGCGCACTCGCAAATCAACTAACAACAACAACCCCTGGCGGCCCGACTAGGCTCTTGCTGAGGGGGGATCTCGTCCCCCGCCCCCCGAAAACCGACCTTCCGGTAAACAAAACTCTCGCAAAAAACGCCTCTAAAAACAGTCTGTGTCTGTCGACCGTATCATCTTCATTATACCATTGATATTGTGCTTGAGTGCCGTCCCCAGCGGGCAGATAGGCCTTCACAACAACCACAGGTTATAATTTGGGAGGCTTAATTGCTGGTATTACACGGCCAGTCTTTATACAAGACAAGCCTTTGTGACATTGTTTTACTTGTATATTATAGTAGCTACTCTACTCTATGTTATGCTAACTTCCCTATCTTATGCTACCTCTCCTATGTTATACTAAGTTCCTTGTTTTAAAATCTACAGCCTTTCCAATGTATCTCTGTATAATTTATATTCGAAAACATGGTTAACATACCACGTGGTCATCACAGTTCAGAGGATACAAATTATCAAACGTATCCAGGAACAACATTTGGCGCAAAAACAAGATAAACAAATAAAAAACAAGGTTTTGAAATCAAGGTTTCCCAAACTACGACAGTAGTCAGCCTAAGAGAAGTTCAGAAACGGGTAGGTAAAAGTAGTTGAAGAACCTGTTGAAAAGTAGTCCCACAACGTGGTGAAAGTCCCATCTTTACTATTGGGTCTTGAAAACTTCCGCAATTCTATATTATCAAAAGATTTCCAAGTTTTAAGAGTACAATTATCGAAATAACTACATCTTTACCTGTTCTAAAACCAACAGCCTTCCTAAACAGTACCAACAGCACCAAACACGACCGCAGACCCAAATCCCCAGCAATTAACCCTCCTCTGACCCGCCACACCTCATCGCCATTCATTCCTTACACTTGTTTTTGGCCCTAGACACTACGTCATGACTTTAATGTATTACTGCTTTCCTCCTGACGCAGCCACATTGTTTTCACCTTGTTGTATATGAAATGTTGGAAATATGTATTTTATGCTACAACTGGGTCTAGTTCCTGTTGTATATCGATCAGTTTTTTACGGTAAATGGCAGTTTTATAGGTCACGTTCGAAAACAACCGGCTGTCTTTGGCCCTCCCCTTTTGCGTACTCTTTGTCTTGTTTGTTGCTATTAAAAGCAGGCATTAAGAAGTAATTGTAACCATTAAAACAGACTCACCTCTTCCTCCTCGGCCGTCTTCTGTTTGGGGCTCTTGCTGCGTTTGGGACTTTTAGGTCTGCGTCGTCTGATTCGGCGTGGCACTTCCGGGTTGGGCTCGGGAAGAGCTGGCTCGCTGGTCGAAGGCAGAATAGAAGGCATTTCCAGAGATGGCGGCTCGTCTGGCGTCGACGTCTCTGATCCCGAACTGGACTGGGACAGGGCTTGGACCACGGCACCTCGTAGATACGTCAAGATGGGAGATGAGCGTAGATTCTCGACCGGTTGACTGACGAGCTTGTTCAGGTTTTGTAAGGTCTCGGTAGGCAGATTGGCTAAGTTGAATTGGCTCGGATCAAGTAGTCCATTCTGAAAGGGCTGAGTGAAGAACGGAAGTTCTGGTGGTGAGATAGCTCCACTGTTGAACTGGGTTTGTGGGAATGGAGCCGAGAGGCCGATCTGCGAGATTCCCGCCTGAACTGTGCCAATCTGATTGGCGGCTGAACTTTGAGCGAACGACGAAGGACAAACCGCTTGAGGCCCGGTTGTCGAGGAAACGTTTATAGCGGCGAACACAGCACCTAAGCGAGAGTCCATTCTTTACTCAGTAGTACACCGATGCACGCACTTTTTGCATAAGACTCTGAAATTACAATATTTTAGTGTAATGTGCTCGTGCAACGAGCGTTTGCCGCGAAAGCTCGAAACATATTGCACTATAACTTTGTCATGACAAAGAACATACGAGCCCTTTAAGTGTACTAAACATGCGACATAATAGTAGTGCAGTCAAGGAAATACAGCACTAATTGAATCAAAAGGCTAATTAAAAGGCCAAAATATACACCATTTACCATATAAATAGTTTCTTCGTACTTTTTGACCATATAATTTTACACACGAAAAATACAGTAACCCACAATCACGAAATCCACGAAAAACAGAAAAGAAACAAAATCAAGAATAAAGTACATTCTAAACACTTTTCGACCAATATAAAACTGAAAAAAGTAAAAAAATCATGTGACCGAAAGTAAAGTCAGGAGAACACTACAGTAGACCCAGCAGAGAGAAGAACGGCTACTCTGACCTCTGCTGACCATCAAAATAAAAGTAGAGACCGAGTGCATAAACAACAACCCTACAGTAACCCGGTCTAATTAGAGAAAGAGAGACCGATCTCCATGTTGATGTTGTGATGAAAGACGGCGGGGTCAAGCCATGTTTACCACGAAGGGAGGATTCGCTGAAATCAGGTCAAGCCTCAGGTTTCAAAACAGTACCAAGGTAACAACAATATCCAACGACGACAGAGTTCAACAACACAACTGACTATGTTTACATCAGGATTACACAGTGTACATCAACATGAGCAAGCACATGGGAGGTCCAACTGACCGGCCGTTCCGTGCCATCGTCCCTTTAAACAGCCCTGAAGGCAAACGACCGGACCGAGAGGTGTAGTTGTAGTGAGAGTGCATCGAATGGACAGAATGCAACATTGTTTGCTTTTTTTTGTTTCGAGATGTCCTCGACCTCCCTTCCCCGTTCTTCTTCTTGCTCCGTTCTCAAAAAAGAATCGACCGTCGAACGCCGTCCCCTGAAGAGACGGCAGAGAAAAGGGGAAGGGAGATGAGAGAGCACTGCCCATCAAACCGCCCCGCCTTCTTCGCACGCCTAGACCAGCCTTGCACTAAAAAATAAGCGGGCAACACGCACCGTTCCTCTCTGTGCCGGCGGGTGCCAGTCGTTCCGCACAAACAAGCCCCCCGGTCTGCAAAGGGGAAATGACGACCGCCGTTCTCAGGGGGGGGCTTCGGTCGCACCGTTCGCTTGCCCCCGACGTTCCCCCCCCGTCCGAAGCACTGTAAAAGCAATCTTCGCCCGCAAAAAACAGCTGGAATTGCACTTTTACGTTGTGCGTCTATATCTGTGAACAAAATCGAAAAAACGGCTGGCTGGTAGAGAAATAAGGACAAATAAAAGTACACAGGAACGGGGAGACCGTCAGACAATCCCTTCCACGGCTCTCCGATAAAAGTGCAAACACAACAACGGTGGAAATGGCGCTCATAAAGTACATTTGGAATGAGCGAAAGTGACCGTTCCGTGTTCTAAAAGTGCAACCAAGAGCCCAGTGAAGGAGCAGGGACAATAACGACACAACATCAGAAGGCAGAAAAAAGGGAAAACCGGGGGAAATGGAAGGAATAACGAGGCTAAAAAACACCTGAGGAACGACAGCCGAAATCCGCGACTTTGGCAACAAAAATACCATCATTAGAGACCTCGAAAAAAGCACTTTCCCATATATAACCACACGGCTAGTAAAAACAACAACAACACAGACGACTGACCAGTTTCTGCCTCCATCGACAGAATTAGACAAACCCATCAACCCGCAACAGAATCTTACAAAATTCCGCTCAAGAAGTGTAATCCTGCCCATCAAACTTGCAACTTTCTCAATAATTTTGACGCAATTTCAAGATTACTGTTAAAGTGTGCTTAAGTGTAAGAAGTCAAACCTTGTAATTGCAGAACTGGTTTCAGAGGAACAATAATTGTTAATTTAGATATTACAACTACTGTTCAAACGGAAAAGTGCAATCCCAAAACTGTTTTCGAATAACTCTTCTCGGACCACACATTACTTCTATTTACTCCCTAACTATCGCTACTCTCAAATCTGATAACAATAACTTGAGAAATGCCTTCTGAAGATGCATTTCTTAGGACGAACTACTACAAATTATCATATCGTTGAAAATGCATTATAACATCAATAACATTAAAAAACTTGTTCGAACTCAACCAAATTTGGTTACTATAACATCAGAATATGACGTATACGACTACAGTAACATGGCCGGATACCGTAAGGCACGTCAGACTAAAGAATACCACAAAACCATGATATTACACTACAAAAAAACTACAATTGATTGTGTTTTTTGTAGCGTTTCAAATGCCGTACCTCATACTATCTGTCACCGTGCTCGCCACAAAAAGATATTTATACAACACAACTACAACACATAAGACGAATAGAGATTGCACCAAATGGCAAAGTATAAAAACGTTTACAAGTAACTATAGCTACCGATCGTACCAGCACCAAGCTCTGAAGAACACACAGAAACGTCCAGAAGTGAATGGGATTCGAGATATCCAAATTGACATAGATTGGAGATTATACTGGTCGAAAAGTATGTAGAAAGCCCTAATTGAGTTGAAAATAGTGTTACCTAATACAATAATGTCTGTTGCAAAACAGTCATTCACAACTCTTGATAAACAAGAAACAGATAACGAATATGAACAAGTCTCACTCCCTGACTTCGGAGAAATTCAGAGATTAAAATAAGAAGACTTTAAAATAAAGTCCAAGATCAGATCAGACCTTTTGGCTCGGATCTCCTATCAAGTAGTAAAGTTTCATAACGTTTCGCAGAATATCCACTTAGAGATCACCAAAGTTATCTCAAATGTCTCAAATTTATACCTCAATAAAGACAAGTAAGACCTCAAGAATCAATGAATACCTAAAAACCTTCAATAATGTCTCAAATTTGCCTCAAATGCAAGAAAAAACTCTAAAATAAAAAAATAATACCTAAAATTCATCGTAATGAACAGATAAGTTATAAAAAGAATATTCAAAAATAAGAAAAAAGCTAGTAAAAATAAACAGTTAATCAAACAAGAATTAGAGCATGGAGAAGATAGGAACGAGAGCCGCGCCAAGAGTGCAAACGTCTGGCCATACTCTTTTTCAGTTAATTCCGAGGCCAACATTAACATCAAACATGTAAATGAAACGTAAAATACGATGTTTGAATTCCAAATTCTGAATTTGTGAGAAAAAATGTGTGGCCGGAGACATCTAGAGCCATTTCTGATATTATGAATGTAGAAACATTGCTATTATAAAATCAGCAAATTGGTCAAAAAATTTGTAGAATTGATTATGTTTTTAAACTTTATCTTCCATTTGGTATTTCTATCTATTTTCACCTAACTAACACCAAAACTGGCTAGATTTAGTAAAGACAAACTAGGCTAAATAAGACTTCAAAGTGCTATGTTGCCGAGAAGCATATGACATTAATCATCTTGCTGTCTAAAAAACTACAAAAAGAATATAAAAAAACCCAAAAATATGTTTTCCAGGAGAAGAAGCCTATAATACTACACATATCGTACTGTAACACCAGTGAGACCCATAACAACATAGCTATAACACCAAAAAGTTACACTAATAACGAAAATTGTAACAAAAAAGTTACAATAACCTCGATAAATGCTACAGTTACAGTGCAATAACATCACTAAACGTAATAAAGATGCTACAATAAAGGTTAGCCCTTTAAGACGCTTTAATCTCCTAAATACTGGGGAAAGGATGAGTTGGCAACCAACGTTTATATCACATTTCGTGTACGAATCCGTTTTGCAGTCTTTTATATACTATTATAAGGTCCTGAAATTCATTTTATTAACTATTATAAGAATTAATGCTTAAATATATAAGATATTGAATTAAATAATCTACTACAACATGTTGTTTATCAAAAGAAGCTATTTTTAGCATAAAAACACACCTTAACAGTATAAAATTAACTATAATATGCTTATAAATCAACAAAAGTAGCCAGAATAATGTATAATCAAGCTATTATATCATTCTTTGCACCATGACTTTCTCGCAAAACAACCTCAAAGTACGCGAATTACTCTAATATCAACCATTAAACAGCATTTGCTACCAACAACTAGCCAAGAATACTCGCAACACCAACAGAGCATACCACAACACCTCTCACGGTATAAAACACGTTACTATAGATAGCAAAAACACAGTAAAAATAACAAGAAACTCCTCGAAACATCAGATATCAATGTTTACAGTGTTTTAATAACAAATGCCAAACAATATTGTAAAGACGATAATAATTCATCAAGCGAATATTATAAACGTCTTCCAAGAAGGAGAATATATTAATCACGACGCGTCCAAATCCATCAGAAACAAAACAAAAAGACTGTTTGTTACCTAAAATCTGTTTCCAAATAAACGATGGTCAAACAGAATGCCGCCAAAAGTTTCAAATTCTATGAAAAAACCGCCTTCTGGCCTCGTAACATTAACTTCAGAGCAAAATATTTACGAAAAATAATTTTATTAAAAATCCAAAAAATATGTCATCTTTCCAGAAAAGAAATCAGCGAATTGATAGTTTCCCCACTCTTTACCTGTCGTATGACCGAATATTAACAAAAAAATTTTTAGAAAAAGTCCAAAACATTAAAACAGTTACATGCCATGATCATATCGCCGGTCAATAAAATATATTTTGAATTGAAAACTGACCAAAATACAACGATTCACATGACGAACAGAAGATTCTAAAACAATTCCATCTTCTGATAAAGAAACATTAATATTGAGAACGCTTGAAATCTCGAAAAAAACTGTTATTTAGGTAACAAGTTTGGGTGGTAATGACGTTAAAGTTACAAATTCAAGTTTAGGTAAGAATTTTGATAAAAACTAAATTTTAGGCAACAGACTTAAATGAAAAAGATGTTTAGGTAACAAATCCCAGGAAAATTACGTTTTAGGTATCAAATGTAGCAAAAATGATATTTTAGGTAACAAAATTAAATAAACCCGTAAATGATAAGCGAACTTGGTTGATGGGCTGCGAGTTGAGTTGTTTTAACAGGAGATACAGCCGAAACATTGAGTAACAAAAAGAAACCCTCCGGGCAAGAGTTGTTTTTTACGGAATTCAAGACCTTTTCGACGTTTGGAATGGGTGCAAGTGGAAGCCCTCGACTACAACAAGGTCCAGGTGAGATTTGAAACTAATGACTTTGTATAATATTAGGGCAACAGTTTCTTCAAAGCAAAAACAATTTTTTTGGCGGCGCGGGTCTTTTTCCGTTCCAAAGGGCAGCCGGCTGGCCCTGTTGATAGTGGGGGGGAAGCTGAAGGCAAACAAAAAAACGCACTAACATCACAGAGAAACGTTTCGAATGCTCTCAATTCAGGTGAAATGTCTTATTAATGCAACATGTTATGTTCATAGTAAGTTGACCTTTAAATTTAGCAAAAAATGACCTGAAAAGGTGGCAAGGGCTGACGTTACAGAAATGACGCTGATATTGAGATATAAACTTTGAACTGTCAAGTTTAAGAGCGTGTGTGTGTGATGTTTGTCATTTGTTTGAGATGTTTATTGTATTAATGGCTAGATAGATATCTTTTTTTACTTTTAAATATTTCTATCTACTCTATATTTATTCTTTATGTATTAGCTATGTATATATACTACATGTCTTTTATATGTTCTTTAGTCTAAAATCATCTTTCCAGAATATTTTACCTTTTACTGCCTCGATTACTGTGCTTTCGTATGTTTTGTGTTGACATATATGTTACACAATGTCACTTAAGAATGTGACATTTTTCTTAGATTACAGGTTCTGGGTGTAATAGTAATGACAGTTGTTATTTATTTACTGACATGCTAATACAATATTTCGCTGTAAACAACCATTACCTTGACTTAACAACAGGTGGATACTTTAAACTTTATGTTATGCCACTTTCCAACTAATTTTATAATACTTTACTTTGTACATTGTACGTATCACGTGTTGCCCATTTGCATCGTATGTCGAGAGAAACATGCTGTACTTACCCGTATTACCATATTATACGATTAGCAATGCATTCGTATTTTACATTTTGATTCCATAGAAAAGTAATGCGGTTAATTACTGTTTGTTTACCGTTGTATCTTGCCATTTTCCTTTATGGTACTTCCAGATTCATACATCAGCCCAGACTGATAATGTATAAAGGTATCGTCATTATCAGTGGAATTAATTGCAATTTCAATTAATTACTTAATACTTTAGCCGAGTATTGTTAAATGTTTTATTACAGACTTAATACGACGATAGACCCGTGAGTTTCAACAATAAAAGAAGGTAACAGATTGTAAAAGAGGCTTTCACAATGTTATACTAGGCTGCTTCAAAAGATTTCGTGTCAAATGACCGTATTTTTAAAACAACCTGTTATCATATAGTAAAATAGAATATATGGCACAACTGATAACTTTCTGATGCTGACATTAAGTACCACATAACACAGTAGGTAATCACATAGTAATATAACAAAACTAAAACAATGAAAGAAGACTAGAAGAAGTTTCGTCGGTCTACACAGTCTTCTACAGCCGCATAGGACCGTGCTCGTTGAGTACGAGGGATGCCAACTTCTCCAGCCGGGAATAGCTGATGTTGAGTTAGAGAGGTATTCAGTTTTCCGTCCAAATCGCCTGGGGAAAAAGAGTTTCGTTTTCTGCTGAAATCACTCATACTGGCCGGGTTACGGAGCTTGGTTGTGCACGTCGCTTGGTTCAGGGCTAGGAAACTGTTCATGTGCTGAAATTGTAACGAGTTACTATAAAGTCATGACAAATAGTTTTGATAGTAATAATAAAAAGTTACCGTTTTTTATGAATGTACTACTGAACCTTAATTTTCTGCAATTAATTTTAAGATGGCTTAACCTGAGGCAATTAAAAAAGTTTTTACAAGTTAAGTATGATGACTAATACCAAGCCATAAACAGGGACTTTGAAAGCTAATATCCTTAATCTGCAGTTATCTCAAAGCCAGAACGAACATACGAAATATCTCGTCATCCACAGATTGTACAACCTTCTTTAGTGAAAAACTTTTGTTAAAAGTAGCGGATATTACACTTGATACTTTAAGTTTAGACTAATGTTTCACAAAAAAGTATAATAAAGCACATTTTTTCAATTATGATTTAATAATAAAATTTAGTTTAAAAAAAACTTCCACTACCCCTAACCTTATGTTCCCACCCGACAAAGATAAAGAGTATTGTTGAAGCAAGAACTTACAGCTTCTTTGGATATCCATTTGGAGAACAGTGGAGCGCAACAAGAGTTGGACAACAAACAGAAACAGTACCTTCTGAACCTCTTTCCCCAGAAGAAGAAGACCCAGAAGTTGGTGGAGCAGTTCAATACCAGTAGGAAGTTACTGAAGTCTACAAACACTGTAGCTGTCGCACTTGACATAAACGCATGATTTCCAACTAACTGGAATTAGGTGAACTTTAGTTTTACATTTAAAGCATATTAAGTACTCTACAGATTATAACAAGATTTTGGCTGTAGTAACAAGAACTACATTAAAAAATGGTAATCAACATAAGCAAAGCATTGAGGATTTAAATTAAATTTAAAATAAACTTTAAAATTTTAAAAATTATGCCAGATTGCTTAAAATCATGAGAAATATGGAACTTACATGTTCTAGTACATCAACTACGGTTGGTAGAATGTCAGATATCAAGAACTTGGCTATTACCAACACTAACATCACGTTAGCGCGGTGATCTTTGCTAAAAACCATTGAAAATTAAACTTTGGCTTTATACCATCATTCAGTACAATATTAAGTTACAAGTAAAAAAATCTTTTTAAAAGTAAATTCTAAACTTTATATTTTACTTTGGACAAAAAGTAACCTCAATATCACCTAAACCTACTTTGAAAACTCTTGTCTACACGTCCCTTCGTTAACGACTTGACACAACGATTTCCTTCTTCGTGTAGCTCTCCGTAGCGCCATAGAAATACGAAGAGTCAGAGCAAACAACAGTAAACATGGCCCTAAAGTAACGAACGCAGTACCGAGTATAATATGGTACACTGTCCAGTACAACCGGTCGCTTGGTAGATTGGTACGAACTACTTGTGGAGCACAATTGTGGTCCTTTTGGAGACACGATACGACTGTAGTCACTTCGAAGATACGAGGTACCGAGAAGAACATGGCCAAGATAGATACAAACACCATCAGCTTCTTTACGCGGCTGAAATGGTACTATTAGCACTACAAAGTGATATGTTGTTTATATCAAAACATAATAGCCTTAGATACAGTAACAATATTACTGTAACGTTTTGTGTCATTTCACAGTAAGCTAAGTAATCTCTCTTACTGTTGCTATTTTTAACCCATGATCATACTATTTATAGTACTATTCACACGTTTTTTGTTATGCTTTCAACTTTCTGTGTACTATAACACAACTCGGACCTAAAAATACGCCACGTCACGTGTGATATTCGTGGTATCTGTTTAATTTACATTATGTCAATTGAAATGTCAGGCTTTACACTTTCAGCCGCAGATCTCCGACCCATTTCATTAAGAAATGGCATAGTAAAGTAAATCTATAAATTATATAATAAAACCAAGCAAGAGAGTGTGGGAGACAGAGAGAGTAGAGGAGAGAAAGAGAAATACTGTGTGAGATAGAGAAAGAGAGACGACAGACAGTTCACTGAAGTAATTTCGCTAACAAGACAGTAAGCTTGTAATTACAGTACAATAATTAGACATAATCAACCATTTTGAGCCTCTTAAATTGTAAATATTGATTTTACTGTTATGTATACTGGTACACAATACCAAGTGTTAAAATCATAACAAGTTTTATAAATAAAAATTTCATTTTATGTTGAAAATAACATCAAAAAATCATCAAAAATACCACAAAATGTCATATTTGCCCCTTTATACGAAGCATCCCAATGCAAAAAGTTGCCTTACCCTCAAAATTACTACCAAACACAACATAAATCCCTTTAACCTACCTCCTTTTCCCGATGGTCGGATGTGTTAATGGTTTACATAGGGCCAGAAACCGGTCGATGGTCAATGTCAACACAATCCACACTGACCCGGTATGTGTGGTGTTGGCAAGAGCGTAGACATAGGGATACACTCGAGCATACTCTCCCCGAGATACCACGTGACCGTACCATAGGGTGGGGAGACAGTAGAGTAGGAAGGCGTTACACAACAACGCCGTCTGCCACGCGGTTAATGTAATCTGAAGAGGTATTGACAGTTACAAATCATAAATAATGCAAGTGTGATAACAGTGTGATAGCTATGTGATGGCAATAAAGATGGGTAATATAAATATTAACTTTTATTTTAAAACTTTAATTTAAAATTAAATTTAAATTAACATAGAGTAAAGTAAATATAAGTCTAAAACTCCCTCAAACTTGAGCTGACAAGTTCCTCGTTCAATCACAACATTCGGAAACGTATACGTCACAATTACCATCAAAACATACCAAATAGCACTGGATAACGGGCGTGCTGCCGTGCCGGAACCGGATGAAGACGTACATGCAGACCAGATTCAGCACGACGCCGGACAGTACGCAGAACAACGTCAGATGACCGTTCAGAAGGTAGGACAACATGATGAAACACTGGTCCAGTAGCCAGTCCAGACTGAAAATAGGTAGATTAAAGCTGGGCCAAGCTTTATATGTTAACATTACTATTAATATTGTTTCAAATAACATTATCTAAAATAGTAGCATTTAAAGTTAATGTAATTCTAAAAGACAGAAGATACGACCACTTAACTATGCATCGAACACAGTAAACCACACAAGACAACAACACAAATACGAGATGTATCCAGTAACAACAACGCACTACTCCATGCTCCTGACAGAAGATGCCAGATACAGTTGACGGATGAAGTTTTCACGGATTTCGAAGAAGAACCAAGAGTATCGGCCAGTGCGCGGCCGTGCTTCACCGTGCGACTCGGCCCCGTGAAAAAAATCCGTTTCGAAAATAATAATAACTGTTTAAGGATGGGGGGGGTTAGGCAATAAATAAGTATGGCCAAAATGAGATGAGGCTATTTGGAATAAAGACCAAGTTCGAGACAATAAGGACAAACATCTTCATACTGTGTATCTATGTAATACGAGACAAAGCAATGACATATGTAGTACATACTGTTAGGTACCGCGGTAAAGAGGATGATCAAGGAAGAACAAAACAAGATACTCAAAGTAAAAATTTTTTAAAATTCATTTATACCTAAAACTGTCAGTTCTGGCCAGTAATTTCAAGAAAGCCTTGCCAATTGAACATAATAACTACATAAAGAAGGTAAACAACGGGTTGAATAATAAATACACACCTTTCTCTAGTTGTGAAACTTCGTGAAGCTCTATGCCAGAAAGCCCGCCAAATTCAAATTTTAAGTTTTCAAAATTGGAAGATACTGTTTTTAAACCATATTGACCAAAACATAAACATTGACTTTGCAATATCTCTTTCTCGACATCCTAAAACCAAATTCTACAAACTTTTTGACCTACCAACCAATTCCACCATAATAAATGAACAACGTGTTACGCAATATTTAATTTTAAATTAATTTTAAAAATTTTAAATTTGAAAAACTTAACTTTCTCAAAAGCCTTGACAAATGTAAAACCAAACCTTTATACGATGTCACCCAAAATAGTAATTTGTTATTCAGTAAAAAAGGCATGTCTTAGCTACAAAATTGGGATTACTTCCATGGCTTCACCACAAGTCAATGTACAATATATAATGGCAAAAACGTAGAATTATTTTTGTGTTTTGGATACGGCTTCTGTGCAAGCTCAGGTACATACCTGCGACCTAGTTTTACAGGTGATCTCAACATATTAATCACGGCTGTCGCCTTATATTATACTAGGCAGAGACCTACTTATACTACATAAGTACATCTTGTTATTATTGCACCTATGATAAATATATGCTGTTGCTTTCTTATACTAGTTATACCTGTTATAGCATAGCTAATGTACATACCTACTCTAATATGCCCTATCAAACGGTCATTCATACATAATGAACGAGGAAACGTTTCTACCAAGTAACTCGACCCCAGGCATCGCTAATGGAAGCTAACATAACATACCCCCCCCCCTTCGATATGACAATGCGCATAATGAGACTAATGAGTACAGTAAATGATCTACAAATAGACTGGCAGTAAACATCATAAAATAACCCAATCTTCCAATCTGGCCCGATTCCCAAAACGTGGCACGCCTGACCGAGAACGGCCATAATCAGACTCCACCCCCAATTGATTGTCGCTTAAGGACAGCCGGCTTTCATCGCAACTTGCTTAAATTAACCGTTAAATTGGGTCTGACTAATAAACGTGATATACTTCCTTTGTTTGGGTATGTTATGAGTTGTACTACGACAAGGATATACCAGCATACACAACAACAATGTAGCTTATATAAGAAAGCAAGATTGTGACATAGTAAATAGGTAACGTGTGACAGACTACGCCTCGTTTTCTAGGTCTTCTAGATTTGGCCATGTTATACGATAATAACGGTGCATATCTGTCAGATAAATAAGTACTTTTGTACTATCTACTAAAACCTCTATACCAGACACTGTATACAACATTACACCACAATTCATACATCAGACACACCTCACATAAGCCTGTATCCCTCACAATAATTTCCCAAAAATCCTTAAAGACAGCCGGCTGCAAAACTTTAAAAAACAGTAAATTATTAACCAGAGTTTTGTGAATATGTGTAGGGATATCTGCGCCAATTACTGGATTTACTGTTGTTTTTTGGAGTGTCACAAACACACATACATGTATATATATATACAAGAGCATCCACCACTCTGCCGGCCCAAAAGTACAAACAAACTACTGCTATGTCAACAAAGTAGAAGTCTGACTGTAATTAAAACTGCTATAAGTAGGTATAAGCTGCAAAAAGCAAGTTCAAGATGTTATTATGACCTTACACTAATATACTCAAAAAGTATATCACTCAGTAGTGAGAACATACTATTTGCAAATTCATAACTAAACTAGCTGTACTAAGCTACTATAATATAAAGATTATAACATAATATCCTCGTAAGTCATCTTACATACTACATCTTTCGATAAGCAGCTTCTGATGGCACAACAGCCCTTGCCTACCCCTACATCAATATACTTTCCCCTGCATATACAAAGTAGATAGCTATGCTGCCTGATAAGATTACAGTATATCCTTTATTGGTCTTTAATCAGTTCTCAGATGACGCCAGGCTTTAAGAGTCCGTCGTCTACATCAACATCATCGTCCTCTAGGTCCGTGTAGTAGTGAGAGTACATCTGTCGATTGTAAGCTGCCTCCAGTTTAAACACCCGTCTCTTCCACTCGTTCAGGTTTCTCTTCAAACTACTGTAACATGCTCAACAAACTTACATAAATTTTCTCGGTATATTCGTCCAACAACATGGTGAACATCTTGACCTCTTGAGTTAGAAGTTCAAGTCGTTCTTCGATCATCAAGGTGACTGGATTGGCCCAACTACCTTGCCGTTGGGCTAATTCTTCGTCCAAAATCTTGTCTTTGCGTAGAATCTCTTTGGCTGTAATTGTGAATTTGCGTTTCTTTTTTGATTTATTATCAAATAGGTATAGATATACAGTAGCAAAGAAAGTCATAAAAAGTCTAAACATATAAAAGCCTGATCAGAAGCACTTGAAACAAAATGAAAATCAACTGGACCCACAAACTACTGCCTATAATACCGCATTTGATAAGAAAACTAATATTGTATACCTATTTTTACAACCTAAACTTTCTTCTTTCGTATAACGTTGCCCGTGAACTGCGCCCACAATTTCCTCGCCAAATATTTTCGGACAAAACCCGCACAACCTCACCTTTCTCGACCAAAGAGTTCCTGGAGCCGGGGTAATCTCTCATCACTTCCAGAAGCTCTTCCTTTGTCAGAACGTAGAGATCAGAATACCCAACAGATCTGATGGAGGCACTCCTTCTGTTGCCGTTCTTATTGCCAGGAACATCCAGAATCGACAGTTCTCCGAACACTTTTCCTTCTTCCAGGGTGACAAACACAATATTCTTGGCTTCATCCACGACTTCGAGCTTGCCCTTCTTTATAATGTACATCTCCTGCAAGGTAACTAAAGTTAGTTTTGTTTTTTTACAGCATTTTTGATGTTATGATGTTTTAACGTGTCTTTTTAAACAATATTTACTGTAGCAGAGGAAGATACGGCAATACAATCATATTATAACATGACATTACAGTACCATAACACCTCTAAGATCTCATAAAACAAGTATTATATAATCGTATGTTGTTAAAGCAACTACATACATGTTGGCAACGTTTTGGAGAGGAATTAAATTATGATTCACAATTTGATGTCTTCTTTTATGGGCAACGCAAACACGCCCTCAGGCGGTAAAGAATTCGTTTGCGCAAATAATAAAAAACAGACATACGATGACCAGTATATGTCCCTTCTTGGTGGTGGTGTTCTCGATCCTACATTCGGCCAATGCTATCAACTGTTATCAGTGTATGAAGACCGGCAATGACAAGTTGTGTAACCGCTACATGTCACAGACATGTCCGTTCGGGTTCTTTGGCTGCATCAAGATAGCTACCTACTCTGGAGGGGTGGACAAGAGTAAGTACCTTCAAAAACACTGTGATCCTCCCTTTTATATTATAAAGGGTCCTATTATCACAGCCTTAGATAATAATATTATATATATACGCAGATTCTTAGCTATCATAATATTGTTCATGCTATGTTGACCTTGTTTTAGTGGGTAACTTTATAAATGACGATCGCTCCCTAATCTCAATGGTCCGAGGCTGTAACATACTACCTCTGGGTGGTGTAGATGCGTGTCAACAGACCTCAATACTCGGTGGAAGGATAGTAACTTGTTATTGTTTCAACGATTACTGTAACTCTTCAAGGCTAAAAATGCCATCAGTAATAGTACTAGTAGTATTGTACATGTTATTTGTGTTATAAACTGTTACTTACCTTGCCAACGTCATGTTTTCGACAGATAAAGTCGCCTGGGCTGAATACTTGTAGCTTTAGTCGCATCACCATCTCGTACAACATACCAGATTCACATTCCTGTAGATAGAAATTTAAATCTCATTACATAGCAGTTTTGTTTTTTTAAAGTTATTACTTACTGACAGTACTTACTGTTATATTATATAAGTGAAAACCTACGTTCTTTATGTTAACATACGACTTTTACTTGACAATGACATATTATATCATGATGAACCTACTTGAAACAAAGTGACCTTCTTAAGAGTTTCCATGTGAATATGTACAGCAAGCTGACCATGTAATCTTGTCGGTAGCGATCGTACAATCTGACTTTCATCCAAAGTCAATTGTCCTACACTCCAGCTATATTCGAGGTAGTCCATGATACGTTTGGCTACTACATGGTGAACATCCCTACACAAAAGTTTACATTACTACTTCAAAAGGTTACTAAGTAACTAACTTATAACTATAATACACACAAGTTATTATAGTAACGATATCTGTACTTTAGTATTTATTACACCGCTTCTACTACAATATATACTTAAGTTTATTAAAATTTTAATTTTAAAAACGTACCTAAAATCCATGAACTGTTTGCAGCCATCTCTCAACTCCTGGAAGCTCATCCTCGTTGCATTTACATTAGTCACCATGTTACCAATGTCTCCAACAATGATGGAGAACAGTAACAACCCGAGCAGAGTGTCAGTAACCTCAAACAACATCTCGAAAGTATTGTTCGGCCAAGGTTGCTCACCCAACGTCGTCAATGTCAAGGCCGACCAGTAGAAGCACAAACTGTATTTCTTGGTGAAGTTGCCAAAGTCGGTCTCATGGAATCTATCATGGTAAAAGTCGACCAACACATCGATGTAACTCTCCCTATTCAAGTAATCCATGCCACTTTCATCGATCGTACAAGTGCCTACATTGAACCTGGCATCACACGACGGAAACCTGACGTCAGGTATCTTGTCAGGAGTGTATACCCAGTCATCGATGGAGGCATTGGGAAAGGAGAACATCAGGCTGAAGAGGTAGTAGAGACAGCCGTTCCAGTGAAAGACCATGTAGCAGATCACGATCAGTCTGAAGAGCAAAAACAGATGAGGGAAGTTGGTCCTGACCTGAGTTCGCATGATGAAGTCCGACACTCGGTGCACCTTGAACAGCCGGTTGGCACGAATAAAAGTGAATCTGGGCATGAAGAGTAGGAAGAGGTCTGTAGGTAACAAGGCTGCCAGGTCTAGTAGGAAGGTTCGGCTAAAAAATGACATTAATTCTTGAAAGACTTAAACATTTCCACAAACTTCTTGACCTTACCTCATGAAGTACATTTGGGCCGTCTTCCAGAAACTGTTGACCAAAACTCCATCTTGCATATTCTCTAAAACACCAAAGTTACTCTCTCAATCAGCATACCCTTCCTCATCAGCACCAAGATGTCCACGAAGTTAACCAGATCAGTAACTATATTGTACTTGATCCATGTCCCATAATATACAGTGAATTCCTCGAAAACGCCCAGAGTGACGGTCATAATATTGTAAACACAACACAATGTCACAATCCCAGTCCAGTAGTAAAACAGCGATGACGACACAGAGAAAGTGCTACCCAACAGCTTCTGAATCTTCTGTTTCCACGACTTCCTCTGACGGTCTTCCAGCTGCTTCAGAAGCCTCAAGTTGCCTGTGGCTATGGATTCGAAGAAAGTTGACATCATGGCATCACTGTGCTCGATTCGAGCTTCCTTGGCTAGCTCTCCGGTTAGCCATCTTCTCATCACCTTATATTACACTTGGTTAGATAAATATCAATCTTTAATATTACATAATACCCATCTGATGCAATTTACTAGTTCCTCTTATACTAGACCAAGAAATTTCGTTTTCCTTTATATTTTATACAAACTTGCTGACCGGTACGACTTACAATAAGCATTCTCGTGACCTCAGCCATCTTGTTTTTCTCCATCCTGACTTGCACACCATCCTCAACATCCACGTTAGCCATCTTCAAAGGATTAGGCTGAAATGTAAGGCCAAAGCCTCTAAAGTAATATCCGACATCCGTTTTATATTATTTATTCATCTTCGAAAGACAACACTCCCCCCACCAGATGAAGACTGCCCGTCACCAGCACGGCGACTGATTTATTGTTCTCCGCCATCTGATGAACGTGCTTCAGAGCGTCTTGGATACAGTTGGTTGTGGTTACATTGTCCTGAAGTGCCAATAGTATAAGAAATCAATATATTATCCAAAAAATAACACCAATCTTTTCGGTTCAATCAATTATAACAAATTTTAGTATATTATCCACCACAATTTATTAATATTAGAAGTAGCTGAAACTAAACCTACATTGCTCATGACCGTCTTCCAAGCATCCTTACTCTCCTCACACTTTTGGTTCTGTGCTTGGTCACTCGTGTTCAGATTGGTATTGTCGTTCACCTTCTCCACCACCATATATAACCTCGTCGATGTGAAGATGGCATAGTCAAACTCATTTTCCGTCAACAATGTCTTCAAAAGTGACATTGGCTCTCTGTCACCAGTACATTGGAATAATAGTACTATTAAGGGTTTGTGGCCATTTATCTTTGAGGATATCGTCTTGCCAAACCAATCAGAACAACACTAAAATAATATCATGGATAACATAATCTTTTTCCTGACAAGTTGACACTTTATAAATATATTACATAATTTCAAAAATACTTTTAAAAAATCGAGAACTTCCAGAAAATTACAAAAATACAGTACCTTAATGCTCTTGCAGGTATGAGCTCCATCCAGATAGTAGGTAACGTTGTCTTTCTTCAGAATATGACTTCTGCCTGCCCAATGTGTATTCAGAATAGCCTCTTCTAAAGCAGTTTGTGTCATTAATGGCTTGTCCAACTCCTTCATCACAACATTGGCCAGGGATATAGCCAACGCAACGTTTTGTTCTTGGTGATTGCCCAGTGAGTCAACATATCTTATCGTATCTTCTGACAAACCGAGCTTCGCAAATGGTGTGAATTCTACTAAAGTGCCCTAAAGTTCAATAATCTTACCATAAATGACAACAAAACTTGTTTTATACAAAAAATCTTACAAAAGTAAAAATTTTAATGCCAAAATTTAGCTATTTTACAGTAATTTATATTACACTAGCTGTTATCAACAAATAAAGCTAGCTATTATAGTACACTTACAGTTTTCTCCTCAACTCTCCTTCTAATCACAGCTTCGGCATCTTTTTGTTGCGGTACTGCTATTACTGGCCGGTTCTTCTTAACTATACCTGCTTTATGCCAAGCAATCTCTTCCATCGTATTACCCAATAAGTTGACATGGTCCAAGTCCAGTAACGTTATACCACATACTACTGGTTTCCTAAATGACAATTTACAGTATTTTCCTTCTAAGCCCTCTTTTAAACATTTTTTTCGATTTTAGGTATGATATTTCAAATCATACCTAAAATTATTTATAAAAAAAAACAATTCTACGTACTTAAAAAGCAAAAAAAAAGAAGTTTCTGCCCTTTTATTTACCTGACACTGATTTCTAATCAATTTATATTATCAACTTACTCTATGACATTCGTGCAGTCCGTCTCGCCTCCAATCCCCACCTCCACTATCATAACATCAACTTGTTCATGTTTACATACAAAAAATGAAAGTAATGTCAAAAATTTGAAATAAGCCGGCATTGGAACGTCATGTTCTTCTGACTAAAACAATTTTTCATTATTTCTTACAGTGTTATAAACTAATATAACTGCTAATTGCCTATAACAACATGTTTTAAAAGCAAAGTTAAAAGAAATAATATAACATTACTTGTCCACTGTTAAATTTCCATAAATACAAACTTACAGCTGTTTTTACAGTATCATACACTTGATTAAAGTAATATATAAACTGAGATTCAGTCAACGGAACTCCATTGATCCTGATGCGTTCGCGAACATGCACAAGATGAGGTGAGCTGAAAAATAATATAAGATCTTTGAAAAAACAACCAAAAAACAAAAAATACTTAAAACTACAAACATACCTGTAAAATCCAGTTTTAAAGTTTTGAGACCTTAAAATTGACTCCAAAAAGGCACAAGTGGAGCCTTTTCCTTTGGTCCCAGCTATGTGAACCGGATTTAAGCGATTTACATCCTCATTCTACAATTATAGTTGATTTAGTATAATATAATGGTAAAAATGAACAAAGTAACCGTGAAGAAGCAAATAAAACAACTTACAGTAACATTCAACTCCCGGAGGTAAAATTGGGTTTCGGCCAAATTATGTTGTGACATTTCGTTACGCTTGGATTTGAGGAGTTGCAATGTCACAGCATTGCTTTGTAGAGAATTCAACTTTGCCACAACCTCCTGAAATTAACTTTTTCTTATGTTAATATTTGTTTTTTGACCAGTTTTAAAGCTAATCTTAACATATATGACTTTTTGTTAATTAAATCTTAAAATTTGGCCATATAACGATTGCTTGCTCATTCCAGGTCTTGAAATTCTTTTTAGAAGTCAAACAAAATAAACTTACCTTGTACTGTAAGGAAGACATGTTCTGTGTGAATGAAAGCGAACGAACTGAGATCAGGGAACCAATTCGAAACACAACCTTTTGCGTTTTATTCCACAAACAGCGAGTTTTATAAGACATCTTATGATAAAACAAGTGAGCGGAACTCTACTCCTTCTCAAAAAACAGTCTCTGTCTAGGTTATGACACTTATCAATGACAAATTTGCATAATCACATCATTGGAAGGTGAACAAACTTTTGTTTTTATCAATTTAGGTAACATCAGACTAATTTAGGTAATATCGGAGTATTTTAGGTAACAAATCAATCACTTTTCAGCGATATTAACCTTAATTATTATTTTTTCCAAATTCATCGCATTTCAATGTTAATCTTGTGAGATTTAAAAGAGTTTGTTTTGTTTATTTAAAGTGCATCTGGGGGACAAGTTATACGAAAGATGTAAACATACGTTGCCCATATGTTTTATTGGGAAACCACCGAACATTCAAGTAATACTTTCCAATTTGTTGCCTAAATACGTTTCTTGTTATCACGCTTTGTGTCTTATCACTTTAATGGTATCTTTGTCAAGATTTCATGGATAGGTCAAGAAGTTTGTGGAGATGCTATTATAGAGAGTAACTTGCACAAAAGTTTGTTGAAGTGGATATGTGTGTGTTTTCTGTTTTTATGAACTTTTTGACCAAGCTGATTATTTATCTTATGTTTCTGACATATCTTGTTCTGTTGATATCTTCAAACTGGATAATTAGAGAGGCGAAGCAGTCGTATTTCCCAAGTTTTGAGAATTCTGAAGCGACGGATTCCCTCGTTGCGCAACAATTATTGCAAACACTTACCGACACATAAAAGATGTCAGTCTACCATGGTAACGTACGATACGACAAGAACGTTATAGTAGATAAAGGAAAGGGTGTGGGAAGATACGACATTCTCCTTTTGATCCCTGCCCTTTGGGCGTTCGAAAGATTGGACTGACTAAGGAAAAGGGGCGGCTGCTGACCAGTCGCTCTTTCTTCTCTCCCCCCACTGAACGGCACCTTTCTTCTCCAAGCTTCACTCCCAAAATCAAAAACTGCAATTGCGCGACGTGGAGCCTTTCTTTTCGTATAAAGATCACTAATTTCCATAATATCTTATTCCATCTTATACATAGCTTGTACTGTTTGTGTTTACATCGACAGTTATGTCTGTTGCCGCATACTGTAACATTTTAGGCCATTTCGAAAAGTTAGGACTCACTTTAAACATATTTGAACAGATTTTGCCATTTTCATAGTGTACTTTCAAATATATTTGCTGTTTTATCAATAGCACGGGACTACTTTGTATATTATCCTTATAGATTACTCTATCTAATCCAATATTATTCTTTTAGGATGTGGAAGTTCGTCCTCTTGTCGGTGTTGGTGATGGTGTCAGCTGAGGAGAAGAAGGATGACAAGAACACCTTCCAAGGCCAGAAATTAAGCTGGAAAGACGATGATGGTCTTGAAGTCAAAATCATCAGACCAATCGCTGCCGAGAAGTGTAAGATCAAGTCCCAGGCTGGAGATGAGGCCCATCAGTACTACAAGTTGTCGGACAAAGATGGCAAAGAGATCGGATCAAACTTTGGAGGAACTCCGTAAGTTAGCTGGTCGTCGGTATAATACGAATTCACTGTAAAAAAGAGACTTTTGTCGTAAAAGTTGAATCAGTTCCATAGCGTTTTTAATGCTTAGGTTAATATACAGTTAGGTTATCCAATAAAATCATGATAAACCCTATGAAAAGACCAATGAATAAATTGTCACATCTTCAGATACGTTTTCGAACTCGGAGCTGGACAAGTTATCCCAGGAATGGACCGTGCTATGACCGGCAAGTTATCATGATTACTCTCGAGACTGTCAAAGTCTTATTTCAATACTGTATTCAACAATAATGTCGTATTTTAGGAATGTGCATCGGAGAAAAGAGAAAGGTCGTCATCCCAGGAAAGCTCGGCTTCGGAGACAGTGGCAGAGAACGGTAGGTTAACCTGAAAAGGCACGACCCCAACATTTTAAGCATATAAAGACAATGAAAAGATTAAAATAAGTCTAATTTCAGTGACAACATTGAGTCCGACCAAATCCTGTACTACACCGTCCAACTGGTCGATTTGGTTCGCCCTAACCCAGGAGAAGAGTGGACCACCGAGGAAGGAGTTCAGATCAAACAAACTCACAAGATCGAAGAAGACAAGTGTCGCAAGTCAGCTCCAGGAGATACCATCCACCAACACTACCGTCTTCATCTCGCCGACGGCACCTTCGTGGACTCGTCCTTCTCCAGAAACTCACCTTTCATCTTCAAGTTGGCCGCCAAGGAGGTGATCAAGGGCATGGACATTGCCATGACCAACATGTGTGAAGGAGAACGTCGTCATGTTGTCATCCCACCCAGCCTCGGCTACGGCGTCGACGGAAGACCTCCACAGATCCCAGGCAACTCCACCTTGTACTTCGACATCGAACTCCACAAACTGATCAAGAGAGACGAACTTTAATTTATTTTGTTGTCTGTTGCGTGCATAATATTGATCCCTAGACGGGTTGCATTCCTCAAAAACTATGAATAAGGTTGTTATCAACTGGCATAATTGGTTACTATCAGCTTAATAATTATAATTCCTTAAATTATGAATAAAGTTGTTATGGACTATCGCTTGATTTGTCATTGTTCAAATTTAGACAACATTTAGTATGGTGCAACATATAATAATTAAAATTGACTTAACAAAATCACAACTTATAATACAGTTTCAGTACTTATCACCTCCCTAATTATGAATATTTTAAATTTTAATTTGAAAAAGACCTTGAGAAAGTGTGTCACCCACCAACTCAAACACGAAAGAGTTCAGCGACAAACAGTTTTTTGCGCGAAATGATAAGACTTGGCTTCCAAAGCTCGCTAGCTATTCTACTGTCAGTCGTGGGGGTTGCTTTCTTTCCAGGCCTAGCCATATTAGGTAATGGAACTAAATTTTATATTATTTAAAATCTATTTTAACGTCATTTTTAGCTAAAATTCCTAATCAGATAATAACTAGTCGCCGTATTTTTGATGAAAAGAATATTTTCAGTTATTTATCAACACTTTACGTTTACGCTGCCCCTTCAATGGACTCTCACAACAGCTCTTCTGTTCAGTTTTAAGGTAAAATCAAACTGAGAGCTGAAGTCTTTCTCACCAGAAAGACCACTGAAAGTGACTTCATTTTTACATTTATCTCCCTTTGGCAAACAGTTTTGTAGCAGTTGAATACCCATTATTGAAATTCAAACATAAAAGCAAGAAATTGAACAAAATTAATTTTTAGGTTATTCTCGGCACCGCAACTGTACTGTTAGTCGTGGTAACATACGCTGACTTCGTATTTCCAAAAATTATGAGGACAATCGAATCTTTCTTGAGTCGTGTACGTGTAGAATAAAATGCTATAATGTGTATTGCTCAACAATACTCTAACAGTCCGGTGATGTGCTCTTTGTAATACGAACCACTAACGCCGTCTAGATTTGACCAAAAATAATATTTATTTTGGTATAATAAACATTTTTATGTTTTATTTATTATAAAATTATTGTCATATTTAAAAGTTGCGAAAAATAACATTTTCCTAGTTGATTTATTGGATTTGATGAAGAAACCCGGCTTTTTCTCTAAAAAACAAGAATTTGTTTCGCTTCAAATCTTGCGTCGTTTTCGCTGTTTTGGCATTCCGTTTCAGCTGGTTTTCCATAAATATTTTCACATGATCCGAAAGATTTCCAAGACCAATGAATAAGTAGAATAGTAACATATTCTAATGGAGTTTGAGAAGGTTTGGTTCCGAGAAGCACGGCACACTGAGGAAATCAACGGAAACGAAAATAATGTTGTTGATAAAGAGCTTTGGTGCGTTTAAATATTTCTTAAAGTTAAACTAGACCTCGTCTGGCAAATCACTGAAAGATTATTCTAATTTTAGGCGTAAATCAAAAGATCGCACGAAAACAGTTTCTGTGGCACTTGTTTTGTGTTTGAACATTGCTGTAGATCCTCCAGATGTTCCGAAAGCACCGAATGGGCCAAGAAAGCAGGCTTGGGTGGAATCTGTTCTTTGTAGTCCACAGAAGTCGGCTAATAAGATAGCTCTTAGCTTACAAAGCAACTATGAAAAATTACAACCTAGAGCAAGGTAAGTTTCAAAATATTTTTTATATTTTGGGCTTTTAGGTAACTTGTGACTAGTTGATGTTTATATTGTTTCTGTTCAAATGAGTCACTGTTTTGGACCTAAACCTAATAGAAAAGTTAGTAGAAATTTATAATCGATTTTTCAAAAATCATAACAGAATCTACACACTTTTTTATTAAAAGTAGTATAAGGCCCTTTTAGGTACAAAACTGCAATTGATCCAACGATTGAAACGGTCAAAAAGTTGTGTCAAACCTTAAGAAGAAATGCCAAGGAGGAGAGGGTGTTGTTCCACTTTAATGGGCATGGTGTTCCACGACCGACAGATGCTGGAGAAATCTGGGTTTTCAACCGAACGATCACACAATACATTCCACTTTCTTTATATGACTTACAATCATGGATGGGCAGTCCGACGATTTATGTATGGGACTGTAATTCAGCTGGGACCATAGTCAATATGTTCACGCGGTTTGCTGAAGAACAACAATTTAGAGCATTACAGGCTAGATCAAGGGAATGCAAACTTGATGTAAGTAATTTTGCGTATGATAAGGTGACGTTTAAACGGTATTCTTATATTCCATTTGTAATAAAGGAAATGTAGAGTTGCATTAAAAATATAGTGCTACGTCAAGTATATTTAAAATATTACAGGAAACCATTCAAATGGGGGCTTGTCGTGCCGGAGAACTGATACCTCAACATCCAGACTTGCCAGCTGATCTATTTACCTCATGTTTAACCACACCTATTCAAACTTCTTTATTGTGGTACATGGTGAAAACAGGTACAAAGGACAACTATCCTCCAGATATTATTGACCAACTGCCTGGCCAACTGACTGATCGAAGGACGGTGCTTGGAGAACTGAATTGGATATTCACAGCGATTACTGATACGATAGCATGGAATGCGTTGAGTACTGACACTTTCCAGAGACTGTTTAGACAAGTAAGTTAGTTTATATTTTGTTTCAACTTTAGATATTCGCCGATGAAGCAACCATAAAAACTAAAATTTCAGGATTTACTAACAGCTTCACTGTTTCGTAGCTTCTTGTTAGCAGAAAGAATAATGTTGGAGAATAGCTGTCAAGTTGTCAGTCAGCCAGCGTTACCTTCTGTAGCTTCTCATCCGTTGTGGGAATACTGGGACTACACGATGGACATTTGTCTTGCCAACATATCTAACTTAAGGTGCCTCAAGAAGAACATTCTGTGTATCGGGAGGAACGAATTCTTTGTCAAATCGTCGTTGAAACACAATTGTGAGTTTTGCAACGTTGCATGTTGTTCAAAACTGTTATTTTATTCTAGTTTTATTAAAATTTCATTTGAAATGTATACTTTTAGTGTTGGAGATTCAGACATTTGAATCGGAAGGAACGAGCAACTTCTTCGTCGATCACCTGAAGGCATTTGAAGTGTGGCTGAAGTTTGGAATCGAGAAAAGGAAACCTCCAAACGAGCTGCCAGTTATTCTACAGGTTCTTCTCAGTCAATCTCACAGAGTATTGGCCCTAGAACTTTTGGCCAAATTTGTGGATTTGGGGGCTTGGGCAGTTGGAGCAGCTTTGTCAGTCGGAATCTTCCCTTACGTACTCAAACTGCTACAGAGCACGGATCCCAATCTCAGAGGTCCTCTAGCCTTTATTTGGGCCAAGATCCTGTGTGTTGATCCAGAATGTCAGCATGAGTTGATCAAGGAGAACGGCTACTTCTACTTTATTCAGATTCTGAACGACAGTAGCACTATGCCCAGAATGAAGATCGTGCCGGCCTTTGTCATGGCCACGCTGATTGACAAAAGATGCAGAATCGCTCAGGAAAAGCTGGTTCAGTCAGATTACATGACCTTGTGTATGGAGTTGTTGGCTAGCAACGAGGTGATCAAGTGCAAGATGTTGTGTTTGTGGCTTCTGATTGGACTGGGGAGATTGTGGGCCGAGTATGATAAGGCACGATGGAACGCTATCAGGAACGTGGCTTACGAAAGAGCTATGGACTTTTTGACCGATGAACTCCCAGAAGTCAGAGCAGCTGCCGTTTATGGATTGGGGTGTTTTGTACGGAATAGAAGTGTCAACAATGAGCACGCTACTACTGTAAGTTTAACTATTATACTTTAAAGGTTAATATTATCGTCTCGTGGTAAGATTTATTTTTATTATTTATTTCATTTGAATTTAGATTGACAACGAAGTATGCGACAAAATGTGTGAAAAGTGCACGTTTGATGGATCAGTTTTGGTACGCGCCGAGCTTACAGTAGCCATACAATGGTTTGTCATCGACTTTGAACAAAGATTCTCGGAACTTTTCATTCAGCTGAACAAGACATATTTTGCAAAACAATTCGAAACCATGAGTCAGGTAAAACTTGAATTTTTTGTAGGTAAACCTTGTTTTGATATTGTAGATCACATAGGTAACATTTATTATATTGTGATTTTAGAGGTCAATGAATGGGTTCGAACAAAATGGCAACCTGAAGCTCTCTGAATCTAAAGCCATTATTCGATTTGGAGATGGCGACGAAACTTTCCCTGATTTCTTGAAGTAGGTGTTTATATTTTTGATTTAATATCAAAGAAAGTGAAATAATATATCAAAATAATACTATTTTTGGTAAAATAAGTTGGAACTTCTTATTTTTAATATTGACATGGTTTTTTAGGAAAATGGTGTATGAAAACATGAAGTACTTGGAGAACAAAGCCTTCAACGACCCGTTCGAAAGGATCTGGTTGTCGTTGTTGTACCTTTGTTTCGACTCTTTCCCTTATGTTTCCACGATGGCCAGAGTAAGTTATTGTTACATTTTAAATATTTTATGGCCGCATATGTTACCTTTAGTTGTCTAGCTAACTCAGTTTGGATATATTTTGGTAGTTATTGTTCATTTGACTGTATTTTAGAGGCTAATCAGACACATTTACGAGCTGGCCACCCACAATCGAGAACACAAGCTGAACAAGATCAAGAGCTCCGTATCTCCTGATATTGGCATTGAGAAAGCGATGGCTGATCGCAATCCCAAAGTCAAGTTCTTGGTTGGATCGCCGATGACCAATATTGAACAAGTATGTTTAAATATTCCTGATATTTGTGCATACTATTGGAGTGATTTTATCTTATGTTTTTTAGAAAAATGTGGAGCAACTGAAGAAATGTGCTTCTATCAACGACATGTTGAACACCGGATTGTTGCAGACTTCTTCGACATCTTTTACGCCCAAAAGAAATGTAAGATCTTTTTTAATATTTGGGGTGTCATGTTCTGATGGTGATCTAACTCTTTGTTAAATATCTATTTTAGATTTACGGGTCTCAATCAGGCAGGTATGCTCGAGTTAGCGAAGAAGTCATAGATCAACCGGTCGAAGCGTTAGTGACAACAAAGTTCTCAGAATGGTGTTCCAAATCGTTTCAAGAGCCCATCTTCAAGACAATTTATGAAGAAGTTTCGACTTCGACCAGGAATTCCTTGGTCGATGGGTCATGCCCGTTCACCAAAGCTAAGCCTACCGATTGGGCTTTGCATACATACGAAGGTCTACGACAGAAGGCTGCTGTCGATGTGGAATTGTTCAAAAATGAGGTACGTTAGGCTGATTTGATATTATATTGATATCACACTATCATAAGAAATTTGAAAAATAATCATTTTTGATTTTACAAATGAATTTACAGAAGATCCGATGTGATGTGCAACATTTAAATGTTAACGTCCAAACACCACAAACCAGTATGGTATGGAGCATGTTACGGCCGTACTTGTTCACTTGTGACGGTTCTATTGTGTCAATCTTCAACTCGGAGAGAGCTACAAACGTTTCACCTTTGAAGGCATGGTTCGACGCGTCTACTGAAGGGATTCTGGGCGACAGAATCACAGAATTGATGGTCGCCAACGGATTAACACACGAACTTGTAATGACAGGGTCAATGAACGGAGTTTTAAAAGTTTGGGATCTTCAGTTCCACGAACATGGCCACGAGATCGAAGGTCAGCCGGAACTGATTACAACTGCCCATTTGATGAAGGACCAGAGCAGGATCAAGCTGGGAAAGGATACCTCCAAGAACCTGACTTTATACAGGTATGGGCATTGTTTTACATTGTTGTAGAACTAAGTAATTTTCAACTATGTGTTGATTACATTGCAAAATTGATCAAAAGTAAAGGTAATGTTGTTTTAGGTGGGATCAAGACTTTGGTTCTCTTGTGACATCAGGAAACGTCAGAGTTTGTAGAATCTGGGATGCGTGGGCAGAGCAAGTTCAACGTGATATCAACCTCAGAAGTAAGAGCGAAGTTGTGTCAGCGATGTCAGTGAACTTGAGCAATAATCTCATAAGTTGTGGTGAGTTATTATATTTCCTACTTATTTACTTTCTCATGTAACGGCATGCTGTTCAAATATATTATTTTACGTTTTCAGGTTTTCGAGATGGAGTTGTCAACGTACTGGACGTCCGTCTCCCAGCCAAAGAATGTGAAATAATGAAGTTCCACGAGTTCGGAACGGCAATAATGGACTGTGCCATCACTCCAGAAAATCAAGGAATCATCGTGGGTTCAGCCGACGGTGACTTCAGATTCTGGGAGCCGAGAATGTTCCAAGAACCGGTAGTAGAATTCAACGTGTTCAAGGACACCTTCTCCTCTCCACCGGCAACGATGCGGTTCTCAGCGACTCCAAAGACGAAAGAGTACCAGACCATCAGAGCAGTCGACATTCAACCTCACGGGCAGCTGATATCGTGTGCCACGAATGATGGCTACTTCAGACTGTTCGACGTTTGTGGCAAGAAATGTTTGGCCCAGACCAAAGTGGGTGGGGAAGGTCAGAAGGGCCCAACTGCCATGAGATTCCACTCCCACAAAGTGATGCTTGGGGTTGGTACTGACAAAACAGTATGTGCTTTTGGAGCACCCAACTCCTGAATCACTGTGATAGACTAGGCTTCCCATGTACATACCCACTTCGACTGTGTTAGTGCCATTTATGTTTTTAGAAACAATACTAGTCGTACCCATCGTTCTGGCAAAGTTATAACAAGTCTTTGGGACTGTTTTACCCTTACGGTAACTTTTATTTTGTCGTATGTTAGAACTTTCGGGACGACCTTAAGAACCGTGTAGCTTCGTAGGATTCTTGATAGATTTAGTCATTTGATCATATTACAGTATTTATGCGTTCAGTAATGTGCTTTGCAAGTATTATCGCTCAATTGTTTAAAATGTACACTTTGTTGTTGTTTTATTGTTATAATAAACTTTTGTTGAAGATTTATCATACTCAAATGGTTTTCCCACTCCTACTTATTTTTTAAATAATGCCATCAACAAGACATAGCAATCATGATACTGTAATTTTGAGTTTATCGGTTTAGGTATTGTTTTTTAATTGTTATTCAGAAATGAGGGGGGCTACTGTTATTTGTTATGCCCGAGTTCTTCATCAAGCAGTTTCTCCAAAAGTTATTAAGGAAGTCAGAGTTGCCATAATCGGATCGCCCAATGTTGGGAAGTCCTCATTGACCAATCAGTTGATACGAAATGATGTATGTGCTGTCAGCAAAGTAATCGACACCACACGACAGGTAAGGCCATATGCTGACTCTGTTTTGGCACTTATGTAAGATTTTTTATCTATATGTAATAGTAGTATTGTTGCATTAAATTATTTGTTTAGAATTGGGTAACAAAACTAAAAGAAGGTGAAGTGCAACTGACACTGGTCGATAGTCCTGGACTGATTGGCATAGCGCACGCCAAGAAAGTCATAAACACCCATTCAGAGTCTAAGATCATGGTCGATCCGGAGAAAGCCTTCAGAAGCGCGAACCATGTTCTGGTAGTTTGTGTATGTTATCTTTGAGCTTTTGTGAAATTTTGAATGGTTTATTGTGAAAAACATAAAATCTACATTAACTTATATTTTTTGTTTTTATAAGTATTATTACTTTCAGGACGCCACCTCACCTGGACAATATATTCACCATAGAGTATTACATCTTTTACACCGAAACTCTCACATCCCTTCAAGCTTGGTTATCAACAAAACTGATTTAGTACGTCAAAAGACCAAGTTACTCGAACTGGCCAATGTACTAACTTGTGGCTACGTGGGAGGCCAACCAACTCAATTAAAAAAGGTAAAATTGGGCGGATTACAGAAGGCAGCGGGGAACGACAACTTCACAATCAACCCTTTGGCCAACTTTATGGAGGGGAAAAGCGACGAGTGGAAGGAGAATTACAAGTAAGTAGTTGTTTATAAAACTAACGTTTAAAGTGACTGAACTCATTACAAACAATAACTTAATCTGTCTACAGCAAGGTCATCAACAAAGCCACTCACAAGTGTCCCTGGCAGGAAAGCAAAAAAGTGTTCCAAACAGAGACGGGATGGCCCCATTTCAACAGCGTCTTCTTCATTAGCTGTGAGAATGGGCAGGGAGTGGACCAGCTCCGAAGTTTCCTCAAAACGCAAGCTGAAGGCCTCAACCATGTAGTGGAAGAAGACGAAAGACCTTTTAAACAGGTAAGTCTCTCATGTTTGATAGTTTTTAAACTATATAAGGTTAAAGTTTGCAGTAAAATTTAATATATTAATAATAATTAGATGATATAACGTCTTCCCTGTTGATTAAACCACTTTTACAGAGCCCGTATATCATCATGGTAGAGCACACCCGAGCGGCGTTTCTGAATACGGTACCGGCAGATATCGCTTATAAACTACGACTGAAGATCGCTGACTTTGAAAACGTTGGGGACGAGATCAACGTCATCATGGACGTGATTTGTGAAAAGGAACGATGGGCTAATCTCGTGAACAAAGTTCTCCGAACAGAAACCAAGAAACTCGAAGCCAAATTCTCAAAGTTATTTCAGTGTAATGTCAACCTGCAGATCCAACTCAAATACCACGGGAAGTTGGTGGTCTCCGAAGAATAAACTTTAGGTCATAAACAGAAAATTGGGAGACAAACCATAAAAGGTACATTAGTTTACCACACAATTCTGAATTAAGGTTCTAGCCCTAAATCAATTATAAAATAAGTTATTGACCTCGTAGCTGTATATACATTTAGCCCCTTAAAACTTATGCCACTGCTTAACAAAATTCTTTTTGTCATAAATACTTCATTGGCCTATAAAACTGTACACGTCGTATTTAATTACTTTTTCTTGTCGTAAGTCGCTTTAATGGCAGCTTCTTTAACATCAACGTACGATAATTGGGCTTCCAAGAGATCGGTTGGTTTTCCAGCCCTTTTGGCTTGCTCAATCTGTTCCTTCAACAACTTTCTTTCCAAATTTCCGGCCAGAACGTGAGGTTCACTGTTCAAAATCAAGTCTATATCATTTGGTTCTCTAAAATTGGTTGAATTAATAATTGGAAGCAATGTTTAGTTAAAGCAGTGAGAACTAGTATCTAAAGTTAGCAAAAGTATATTACCTGAAGTATCCAAAATACGCCATCATAATGGTGAAACTTAATACCGCTACAATAGCACGTGTATTAATGAACTTCTGTGAATCATAGTAGTTTGGGATGTAAGCTGGTGTAGATGGCTTCAGAATAAGTCTGTCTACACCTTGGTATGCTCCTGTGCGACTGAAGCGTGGTTCGATGGGCTTTACGGTTTTGTATCGTACTAACTGTAATGACATACAACTCCACCTCGTCAGAAAGGTTTTGCTTGGTATCTTTATCATCTTAAAGTTAAAAACAATTAAAGTTCCTTATTTTAGCAAATACTTGATTACATATACTTTTATTTGATTTCAAGACATTAAAACGAAATCGCGTATTATCCATCGTTTATAAGTTCATAACAATTTATACACAACAAAAAATCAACAATCAGAACGTCGAGAATCCGTCTTTCTTACTCCATTTGGCAACGAGATTCACTTTGAAGGTAGACATCTTCTCTCCCAACAACTTCAGGATCTTGCACTGGTCTGCTGTCAAGGTATCGCCTTCTGAACACACTTGGAAGTCATCGTACAGCTCAACAAAACCCTGCGCCACTTTGACTGGTAGACCAAGTCTTTTCAATTGTGGTTCCATAGAGAAGATGAACTGTGTCAGAGGACCAGCCGGCAAATGAACTGAGTGGGTCGCAATATTCCCACTTCTGGCATATTCTAGTTCGTCGAATTCTGTGAAAAACCTAAAGCAATGTACTTTCAACCTAGTCATTATAATCTTGGAACAATAACTATTATTTACAAGTCAATTTTATGTAAAACAGTAGAATCAATAAAAGCCGGTAGTAATAAATAGTAAATATTACCAAAAACGTAAAATAAAACTTACTTAACGAATTCTTTGTCTTTTTCATTTGTGAATACCAATCCACATTGTCCCTGCAATGTCTTGGCCAATTTGTGCAATCCATCTCCGATTTCTTCTTCAGCTGTTCTTCCTAATGCTAACGCCATCACATTTCTCTTACCAAAAAAGAACTTTGACGTCTTCTTGAACCTTTGTCTTATCTAAACATTAAATAATTAAAATGCAATAGAAATAAGACAATTATAGAGCTCTTTCATACAATGACAGCAAATTTCCTTGTTACCTAAAAAAAAATTAAATAATAAAGATTACCTGAATAAACTTTGACGAACGTAGGTTCTCAATATTGAAAGAGTAAATAGTTTTATATTCATCCACACTTTGTCTGATCTGATCCACCAATGTTTCTTTGGTTTCTTTTGACTTCTTTTTGACTTTAGTGAGAGAATCTAGAAGCAACAACAATAAAATATCAATATGTTAAGCTGACACAAGAACAATATTGCCAATAAACTTACAATCTTTATCTCTTCTTGATTTCGGCATATTCAACAATTAACAAAAACAATAACAAGAAATACAACAATAAAATAAAATATTAACCAAAATTATTTATTTTACTGTACAAAGTGTGCTAATATTTTAAAATTTAATTGTTTTCGTGGTGGGACCAATGCAATGAAACGCTGTTTGTTTTATTCCTCGCAAAATTATTCCAATTGGAGTGAATCCAAGTTTTGAGCTAAAGTTGAGCGAATAAAACGTGTAACTACATTTAAAAACTATGTATACGACATCCTATTATTGTAAATATTATTTATCGACTTATTTTTGCTATTTTCACTGAAATGAACTTTATTTTAACTTCTTTGCTTCTTGCTCGTAACGTGTGTGAGTAGTATAACATAGTATTATAATATTATTCCGTATTTCTGCTCTTTTTCTGAACTTTATTTTCTCTAATGATGTAGTTCTTTATTATAAGTGAAAGGAGTTAAAGTCTCTGAAAAGGTATATTTTCTAATGTTTTGTGTTTCAAAGAAAGTATAAGACGCCAAGACGTAAGTATCGTTGGTATGTCTGTCTCTGAGATTGGGTGGATCTCAGTAAATAATTTTTTGTCTTAACTTGTCAGCGGTTTTCGTGAGCTTAAAGTTAAAGGTTCTTTTGTTTATTGTATATTTTAGGTATACATAGCCAATAGACGTACATCGAAGATGCATGATAGGTAAGGTATTAGTGTTGCTAGTAACTGCATTTTTGTACATTTTGTATTTACATTTTAAAGAATTGTTTTGATTAAACGTAGATATTACAGTAGGCTTGATAAGGCACGATTCTTTATGCCTAAATAAATATATTGTTTAATATTTCAGATTTGGACGCCGTGGACCTCCAAGAAGGGATGATGAACCTAACATGAAGCGAGGAAGGTTCGAAACCGCCAGCGATACATATGAACCTCAATTTAATAGAAAAACCGAGAATCAAGGCCGTGTCATGTTAACATTCAGAAAGTTCTTAGAAACTCAAGATGAGGGCATTTCTGATGATGAGGCTATCTTGAAATACAATGAATACAAGTTTGAATACAGGAAGCAAGAGTACGAAAAGTTTTTCCAAGCTCACAAAGACGAGGAATGGTACGTTTTGGTAACAATGTTTCGAGGATTTTATCTGTTATTACATGTTGGACTTATAAAAATGATGAAGTGGTTTTTTTCAAAAATTTTACTGTATTGTTTCAGGTTCCAACACAAGTATCATCCCGAGCTGTCGAGTGAAATCAACAAGAAAGCTTCGGAATTTGTAAATAAGAGATTGGAGGTTTACAATGAAGTCATTACCAAAGATTACGGAAAAGACCTAGAGTTCAGTTTCGAAAACACCGAACGTCTGGTAAAGTTCATGGATGCTGTTGTTATAAAACTTGAAGATGGAGATGATGTTGATGTTGAGACGCTTCTGAAAGAGCCAGTTTACGATGAATCTTTGGACGATTTAAAGAAGAAACAGAGCAAAACGTAAGTTACAGTTATATTTTGTTGTTTTTGGTTTAGGCATGCATTAAGCTATGAAATTTTTAATAGAATTTAGGTAATAAGTTTAGCATTGCAATAAATTTTTATTTTAGAAATGGAAATGGTGAAGCTGCTTCCAACGGAGTGACAGCTGCAGAGCAAGAAGAAAGTGAAGACATGCAGAATTTGATGAAGAAGTTGCCATTTAGAACTCACAGTATTTTTTTGAAAGGAATTCCGGCCAACGCCAAATTCGAGGAAATCGAAAATGTACGTATACGTTTAAAGTGTTTTTGTAAATAACATTTATATAGGTAACAGAATATTGTACTTGTCTATATTATGATTTTATATTTGAATGATTTCAGGAATGCAAAAACTACCCAGGCTTTTTGAGACTCGGTCTGTCAGAACCACTGGCTGATCAAAAGTTCCAACGCAGGGCTTGGGTCTCCTTCAAAAGGGACGTCAACATTAAAAGTATCTTCTGGAACATGAAGAACGCCAAGTTCTCGGACACTGAAGTCAGTGCCTCGGTGAACAGAGATCTGAAGCGCAGAGTCAGAGTTGTCAGTGGACTTACCAATCACCGCCCAATCGTTCAAAACGATATTAGACAAGCTGCGAGACTGATTGCTTTGTTCGACTACAAACGAAGTCTTTATGTTGATGAAGGTGACGAAGGAAAGGCTCCTCCAAAGGACCTTGATGCTCTGGTCAGTCGCAGCAAGAACCCTGTGTTAGATGGAGTAGTGGAATACTTTGTAGAAGAGTGCAACGCCGAGGAAGAAGAGCTTCTTGGGGTTAACAAGGAGACTTCTGATGATCTTAAGTTGTCTTTGGAAGTTGATAAGGATCTCTTCAAGTACTTGGACAGACTGTTGGTCTACCTCAGAGTTGTACATTCCGTAGACTTTTACAATCAGTGTGAGTACTCCAATGAAGATACGATGCCCAATAGGTAAGGTTTGGCTTTTATTATTTAAAAAAAGTTTCAAAACGTGTTGACTTTTCTAAGGTTTTCGTTTGTACTAATCAATTTTTTAAGGATGGGCATCGTGCACGTCCGAGATCTTCCTCCAGACGGAGAACAGTTTGGAAAGTCAGAAACCGGTGTACCATTGGTGCCAAAGAAGAACTGCGACCAATATATTTCGACCACAGACGAGAAACTGAAGTCTACAATTCTGAAATACGAAGTTATTTCAGAAGAAGATCTCCTGAAGCTGGGGAAGAAGGATCCAGAACAAGCGGTAGAAGACTTTATTAAAGAGAACAGTCAAGAGCTCAGCAAAGACAAGTGGTTGTGTCCTTTATCTGGAAAGAAGTTCAAAGGGCCAGAATTTATCAGAAAACATTTATTCTCCAAACATGAACACAAGATTGACGAGACCAGATCTAATGTAGGTTTGCCTTCATACCTATGATACTTTCTCGGTTTTGATAATTTTCGAGATTAATTGACTTTGTCAAATATGTTTCTTTTTAATAATTTGCCCTGTATTTTAGGCAATTTATTACAACAATTACATTGCTGACTTCGATCGACCTCATAACATGGAGTTGAAGGTTCCAGCCACTCCAGCTGTCGAAGAAGTAAAGCGAACTCAAGAAGATCGCTTCATTAGTGGCCACAGAAACAGCTGGGGACCAGATCGACGATACAACAACGGCCCCAGGTTCGGCCGCGGTGATTTCGGTAATAGAGGTCGATTTGTGGACGATTTCGGCACCGGTCGACGAGACCCTAGACAACCTCCCAACTACAGAGATCTGGACGCCCCAGACGATATTATCTGAACTCATGTTACGTTAAATATTAATCTTATTCTAATAAACTTCCCCTTCAAGTTTTTTTTTTTTTATTTTTGTCTTCTACACCTATACTTTGTTTTATATGTTTTGAACTAGCCATTTGTCGAGTGTTAACGTCAGCACGGCGAATTACTATAAAAGTTTAAAACCATGCTGCTTTTATCATTGTTCCTGAGGAGTTCCTGGCTGATAAGGGCCGTTGAAACGTTGATTCAGTCATAAAACAATTAATTATGGGCAAAAAAGGTTGTGTTATTGCCACTGGAATTGTGGCCATTTTGTTGTTAAGTTTGGCCGTAGTACTATTGGTACTCTTTCCGTTCTTGATCTACCCTTACTTGGTGCGGAACCAGATCGAGATCAAACAAGATGAGAGCGGAATGTTCGCCAAGCCTACTTACTATTGGGCGCGGCCGCCGGCTAAAGAGTACTTAAAGTTTAACATGTTTAATGTTACTAATGCTCAAAATGTAACCTTTCTCGGGTTGAAAGTAAAGGTTGAGGAAAAGGGACCATATGTATTTCGGTAAGAACAGTTTTGACTAAACAGAGACGTGCAATATCAATATAAAGAAGTAACGTATCTAACTTTAGACAACGAGATACGAAACAAGAAATAAACTTTGGACCGAACAGTGATGTCAACTACAAAGTGTCGAAACAATGGGTCTTCGATGAGAAAATGTCATGTGAAAGTTGTACTGACCAAGATACTGTATATCTGCCAAACCTTTCACTCGCTGTAAGTTGTCAATAAAAGTGTCATTTTCTGATTTAGACATTAAGAAGACTGCTGTTTGAGAATGTCCACTTGACTGACACTCAACTTCTGATGGCCGACTTGTCGTCTTTGTTGCTAGGTGTATATCCCTATAGGTGAGCATCTCATAACAGTACTTTCGTTTATACATAAAGAATAGTGACATATTCAAAAACATTTTGGAATGTATTATGCGTATCTTGTTGTAAAATTTCAGAGAAGTAAAAGTGATGGACACTTTATTTTGGGGTTACACTGATGCGATGGTCGATTTCCTGAACAGTCGATTGAAGAATGACCTCGAGAAGTATCTGGGGAAACCAATTTTGGGCTTTGAAAGCCCACAAATCGATGTGTTAGGGTTCTTTCCATGGTACAATAACACTGACGATGGGGTATACGAAGCCTATACTGGAGCAGATGAGATCCAAGACGTTGGCCTTCTGAAGTCATGGGCTGGGAACAGCACGTTGGGCTGGTGGAACAGTGACTACGCTAACAATGTGGATAAGACTACAGGTAGGATGATGAGATTACTAGACTAAATATGAACAGTATGTATATTAAGATGGATAGTAAGGTGATGTCTATAAAGCTGAAGACACACCTAACTGCTAATAATTGTGTTTTCAATAGCTACAAAACTCAAGTTGCGATTTGTGGTGGTGCTTTATTATTACATATAGATAAACAAAAAAAATGAAATTTGATTGCAAAAAGTTTCTTATCGCAAGTTCAAACCTTGATCACTTGGTACGAGACAATCCTGTTTTTGAAAATTATGCAAATTTTGAACAGTTTAACCATAAGTTGTTATTGATCTCGAGTTTCTTAACAAACGTAATCCGTCTGATAAGAGAACAAAGTACAACAATAGCTACAGCTTATTTCTTTCTTATTATAAGCCCATTACTATTAGACAGCTTGACAATAACTAAGTCACATTGAGTGCTAATACATCCCTCAAATCATATTATTAAAATCAGTTTACAGATGGAGTATTAAGTGGCAGTTTCCTCAAAGACGAGTCGCTGACATTGTTCCAGTCATTTTTGTGTCGCCATTTTGCTTTGAATAACGACGGAGAGAGTACGGTAGAAGGAATCGACGCCATTAATTACAAGCCCGACCCCGACAGTTACAACGCTTTCAAAGAACAGTATAATGGGTATGTTGTGCTGTGTTACTATACTGTGGATAAGTCTAGAATCACCAAAATAAGAAAATTTTTTAATTTTTGCTTGCTTTTTGTGACTGATAAACTACAGTGTAAAGTAAAAAACTACAGGTACGTCTACAACAACGACGAAAGCACCGATTTCTACCCGACCGTATGCGATGCCAAAAAGTGTGAATTGGAAGGCTGTGACAGATACTGTAACAACCGAACCGGCTCCTTACCTCCAGGCATCCACCAACATGTCTGTTTCCCTGGTCGAAGAAGAGAACTGCCATTTTTGGCATTCGATTCCCTACCTCACTTCCTGAATACTCCTCCAGAAGTTCAGAAGTCGATAGACGGTCTGAATCCGGATTCAGAAAAGCACGATATCGGCATGTTTCAGATCCAACCGGTAAGACTTTAGTTGTGAATGTTTGGAAGTGTAATATAGAAAACATTTGCTTACTATGATAATATAGATAGTATTATATGATCTGCAATGCAAAAATACAGTAATCTGAAAGCAAAGTAATTCTAGACTTGTGGAAGCACTTTGAAAGGTCAGTTCAGGAATCAGTTCAGTATCGCTGTTATAAACGATGACAAAATAACGTAAGTCTACACTGAAACTTCAAAAACTAGGCCTATTAAGCCAATCAGCTGTAGGACCCTAGTATAAGATAAATAAAAAATTTGCATTGCAAACATGTATAATATAAAGTCTCATGTTTTCTCCCAACAATATAATCAACCCTTACCCATCCCCTCTGATTACAACTTTTAAGAACCTTAAAACACACCAGAAACAACATCGTGCCGTGCTTCTGGCTACAGTTGGACGTAACGTTAGAAGACTATGCTTACGACTTCCTGAGGACGAACATGACAATTGTACCGTATGTCGTGTTCTACCTTGGTATCGCAGCATGTGTGTTCGGAATACTGGTCCCAGTATCAGTGGGGCTGATTTACAGGTATCGTAATAGGAAATAAACATTGAAAAGGTTTAGCATCCCCAAAGTTACAAAAACTTTGAAATGTGAATGTTACTATACATTCATTTGCATAAAAATATAAGTGTTATTATAACATGTATTTAACTACAAACATAAAGTCAGCACAAAATAAATAAAAGTTTAATATTAACCAGTAGGAAATATATAAAATGAACAACAAACGATTGTGCCAGAGATCGGTATTAGTTCCAGAAGTCGTCGTCGAACGGGATTTGCACGGTGCCTGAGGGGTTCTTCCGAGTGGGCGTGGCTTGGTGCTTGCTGGAAGCCGGCTTCACAACATTCTTACCGTAATTCACAGACACAAAGAACATCTTCTGGTCGTTCTGAGAGCCGGATGACGATTGTGAGCTCGGGAGGTGGTCGGGGTGGTTCCCTCTATTAGGTAACAGCGGTCGACCGTTGGGTCCGGACACTGGTGCATGTACAACATTGGGTCTTCTGTCTGGGGTGCTTACATTAGATGGCAACTTCCTAGGAGGTGGTACTGGTCCAGGTGGTCTTATCCTTGAGTCTGGTGTGCGTACAGGATCCGATACTGAATGCATAGGCGACTGTACGTAACCAGGTACAGCATGGGCAGGGGAATGCACAGGACCAGGTGGAGGATAAATAGGTGAATTCACGTGAGAAGCTACGGGGTGCAATGGTGAAGGTACATGTCCTGGTACAGGATAATGTCCTGGACCGGCGTGAGTTGGCAATGGAATAACGTTGGCACCGTGTAGGACAGGCGGAGGTGGTTTCATATCCATGAGTTTGGAAAGTCGAGGTGGAGCAGGTAAGGTTGGAGTCATAGAAGAAGTTGACGGTGTAGAATGGTGAGAATCCACTTCCATGGTAGGTGGTGGGGGTGGGACGGGAGGAGGTGGGGGTGGCACCCAACTCATCTCGAGATGTTGAGGTGGGAGTGGAGGTGGAGGTATGATGTCTTCCTCCATCGGCGACTGTGAATTCGAGTTGATTTCGCCCAGTTCCATTGGTGGCGGCGGCGGAGGTGGTGGGGGTGGATCCGGAACTGGCTCTTCCTTCGGCTTAGCTTTCTCTGTCAGTTTGGCTACTTCATCAGAGAACGGCAACGGAGGTAAAACCGGGAATGGCAGTGGTTTCGACTCTTTGGAATACCTTGTAGCCGCACTGTCCTTAGTCTCTAATGTAGATTCTGAACCTGCTTTGTCTTCACAGTTTTTCATGAGATCAGCAATCACTTTGGTTTCGCTCGGACATTCAGCGTGGAAACAGTAGAAGGCCTCAGAAAGCAGACGAATGTTATCTAAACATTTCCATATATTGTCGAATATTTCTTTTTGTTAAACGTCAGACTCATATATAAGGTTATATCCTTATTTAAAATAAATTCAGAAACTGGGCTTACCTTTCTTCTTCAATCGCTTCAATTCGTTTACCAAAGTTTCAAAAGTCATGGGAAGCTTTGTCGGATCATCAATTAAAGCTTTTACTCTTTGGTCTTCGTCCTCAATCGAATAAACAACCTTCTTGTGCCTAAAATAATTCAAAATATTACTTGATAGTCAATTGGAAAGTTTATTTGCTTTACTTGTTCAATAATACATTTGTTAACAAACAACTACAAGCTCAAAGCAAAGCATAATAAGTAGTTCGAATAAAAACCACTTACTTTCTATGATCAATGTCATCGACCAACAAGTTTAAGCTGTCCAATGCTTCCAATGTCGAACTCGGAGGTTTCTCCGTGTTCAACGGGGGTGTTGTTGTCCCAATACTAGAAGTCAAGTCTAATGGGTCAGGGTTGTATATAGAGGCGCTGTCTCTCGACCGTTCTCGATTCCTCAGGTCTTCAGCTCTCAAAGATCCTTCCCTACTCTTTCTAGTATCTTCCTTTCTAATCGACCCCTCTCTACTCCTCCTGACCACATCTTCACCACGGACTGATCCTTCTCGACTGTCAATTCTCGGAGTACCTCGAGATTCAGACCGGGAATGTGTCCGAGACAGCTTAGGACTGTCCCAGAGATGGTTGAATTCGTCTTTGTATGATTCTGACAAGAAGGTGTCCAACTTCGGAGAATTCTTGAACTCGGAGCTCATACCTGACGATCTGCTTAGCGGAGGTGCCAAAGACGGTGGGGCCAACGTTGGAGGAGGTTTATCAAGTCGAACAAGCGTCTCTTGCCCAAAACCTCTGTCTCCAGTTAAACCTTTGAAAAAGGAAGGTTGTCTTTCCTTCACTCTCGGGTTCTTCCAACTTTCTCGAGCTGTCGTAGCTTTGCGAACGACCAGGGCCATAATGTTACCACAGCCTCTCACAAAGTCCATCAACCCAGGCCCTTCTTGTTGATCAAGTACACCTGAATTCACAATTTTTATTCAATTTTTATTTTTTAAAGTGCTAATTGTTGCCAAAATAGAAAGATTCTCATCTGAGATAACATAAATTGGCAAACTTACGATGTAGGTCACGGCCAGGCGGTAGAGCGTAAAAGAACATGTCGATGATGTTGGACGCTGACCGATCCAAACTCAAGACAAACATCTTACAGGATCGGTAAAGTTCATTGTACAAGTCGACAAAGCTGCTGTACTCATCTCCTTGAGGTGGCTGCATTAGTAAAGAGATCAGTTGGCGATCCCACTTGGCACTCGACCTCTCGATCTGCTCGTTGACATAAGACGCATCGATGGTCTCTTTCACAGTAAGAACAGGCCCCAACTCGTCCTTCAGTCGGTAAGCATTCAAGTTTTTGACGAGTAATAGGTTACAATCAAACTTGAACTTCAAAAGAGGCGAGACCACCGTTCCTGACCAGATTATGTTACTCTCCCTGAAAGAGATATTTAAATGGTATTGTCTTGATGTATAGTTAATAACTTTTGCCTTTTTAAACAATTATTTAGATTTCTCACTTATCGTAATTCAAAATAGACTTACAGTACAATCTCCTTTGGTTTCGACTGTTTAGGTAACCTCCTCCAACTTTCTCGTCGTTTCTCTCCGAAGCCATTTGCTCCAGTAACGGTATTCAGAAGTCGATCTGCTGAGAACCCCAGTCTTCTGTCCACCGTCGCCATCGGCCCTCTTGATGGACTTGGCATTGAATTTTTGAACTTGTCCATGGCTGTGTCAAAGTCGTCGAAATAAGTCTCGTCCCCTGGAGGCGCGTCGTCTGGAGTGCCAGTGTCTGTGAACAAATCGTTTATAAAGTCATCACAGGGTCGACTTCGCTTATGCCCTCGTTGTCTTTCCTTCTGTCCTCGATCTTCCTACAACAACATATATTAACTTATGTAACTACGCTTTACAATTTATAATGCACACTTTCAACTTCTATGTGTGTTCTTGTACATCAATAGGTAACAATAAAACTTTTAAATAGTATTACCTGTTCTTTCTTCTTTAGCCTGTCCATTCTCATTTGCATCGCCGCCGTGTCTTCATTCTTCCTCAGGCATATCTTACAGTTAGCATCGTATAAATGAGAGCCGTGTTTAGCCGTCGTATCTCTCATCGCGTCTCCCAGAAGATCGTCAACAGCAGTCTAAACATACAATTCAAATGACAATATGCACTTACAGTTGCAGCAAGGCCAGCTAGAGTGGGATTAACCACAGACTTGTCCAAAGGCTTGAACTTCTTCTTTAACAATTCAAATTGCATAGGTTTTCTTGGTTCAGGCTTGACTGGTTCAGGAATAGATTCTGCAGGTTTTTCATCCACCGCACAGCCCGCCTTGATGGTATCCAACCTTTGAACCTCATCTTCCAACGTTTTGCCGTTTAATTTGACTAGTGATGACAATTTGTAAGGCTCATGTATCAGTTCGTCAAGAAATGCCTAAAAACAAAACTGTCAGAGTTTTTTGTTATTTTTTAACTTTAACGTGAATATATACTTTGCAATAGAAAAGTATATCTAAAAATTGAAAAATAATCAAAGACCCACCTTTCCACAATTCTTCACGCATCTTATGAAAATCCTGAACCATGTTTTATATCTTTCGTCTCTAACACTTTTAAATTCATTAAAAAGATCAAATTCAACTTGAAACCCTAATTCCTTGGCTTTGTGAGTATTGTCAATGTCATGAAATTTAAATCTGTCAGTGAAAACTTTCTGCACAACTTCTCGTATCTTCTTCCTGACAAGATCCTCGTCTTTGTCGCGCGGTTTAGCTGTAAAAATATAAGTAAAATCAATAAAAGACCTGAAGCAATATTAAATTCAAGACCCATAGAATAAAATGGTTAATATTAAATCCCTTAAAAAATAGGTTAATAATGAAAAAACTGCCTACAAAATCAAAATAAAACCGTACCTTTAATAACAACTTCGTATGCCGGATCTCTAAGCAGAAATGTTTCCAGCTTCTTCAATGGAGGAATGTTACCCGTATATTTCCTTCCTTTCTTGTCCAGAAGCATTAGTTCGTCAGATTCCTTAATTGATCTGGCTACGGACGTTGCCTTCTTGTTGATACACGCAGTAGAACAGTAGAATGTCGCTCTAGTAGGTAAGAATTCTCGATCTCGCATTCCCTTGCCACACACTTTGCAACTTTCCGAGATCAACTTTACCTTATTAGCTGAAGGTTTAGCTGATGACATTGAAGATGTGGTTGGAGTAGGTGTGGGTGTTTTAGATCGTTTTCTTTTTCGAGACTCCACCGGGATTTCGTCATCTAAATTACGATATTAAATAAAAATGTATATAAATTTACATCTTAAACTAAAAAGCAATAAAAACATTAAAAATCGTTAGTTAATTTAAAAATTTAACTCAACAATGACAAATTTACCTTTTATCTTCTTCTTTTTCTTCTCCTTCTTACTTGGCTGTGGAGGTTTCAGAATAATATCTTTCTCTTGTTTGATGTATCCAAAAGAATTGAAACCAAACTGTTTAGCTAATTCTACTACCAATTTTGATACCTAAAATGAAAAAATTAATCAGTTCTCGTCAGAAAATGCAGAACAGTGCTCAACTCCCAAAAACGAAAACCCAAATACCTAAATTTCAAAAACAAAACGTATCCTTACCTTAATATCTAAACCATTGACCGTTCTTGTTTCATAGTCAACTGTTTCTGAAGGTGTCTTATCTACAGCGTCTTTTATTTGTTCTTCGACCTTCTCATTATTTGTATCTAAAACATCGGTCGTTTCACCGTTAACTGGTTCAGTAGAAGTTGTCGCAGTTTCAAGAACCGCATTTGCTCCGTTTTCCTCCACTTTTACTGTTGATACCTATAATAATAATTATAATTAAAAACACATTCTTAAACAAACAAAATTTCCATCTTTAAAAAAACTAAAACTTGACATAATACAATAGCTATATCGCGATAGACATTAAATAAAACAAAACTCACACTAGGCTCTTCAGACATCCCGGCTACAGATTCTTTTACTTCATCATCGACTTTATCTTCATCTACAATTTCTAAACCGTTGAGTGATCCAGTTTCACAGTCAGTTGCTTCAATAGAATCGGTGACAACTTCAGAAGCGTCTTTTGCTTCGGTGTCTTCTTCTTTTACTGTTGTTACCTAAATAAAACTATGAAACATGTTCTTAAAATAACAACAAAAGTTTGTTCATTTTCCAAAAAAAACCAATAACCTAAAAAATGAATATAACACAAAAGATACTTACTTCGTTATCTAAACCATTGACAGCTTTTGCTTCACCTTCAACTGATTCATTAGCACACATAGCAGCTTCAGGTACGTCTTCTGCTTTGTCGTTTTCTTCTTTTACAATTGACACCTAAATAATACACGCAATAAAATATATAAATCTAGTTTCAAAACTTAACTAGATAATTCTTCACGTAAACCGTTAAAGGTTAATACGTCCAAAAACAAAACTTACACTAGTCTCTCCAGATGTCCCTGCTTCAGATTCTTTTACCTTATCATCAACTTTCTCATCATTTATCTCCATTTCTTCTGTAGACTCCATGTATACATGCATGCAGAATTATAACATGTCCAAAAATTAAAATAAAGCGAGGCGAAACTAATTTATCGACTTTCATGACGAAGTGTCAAATCCAGAATATATTTTTGTTTTGTGCGCGGATGGTCGAATGAGTCATTTACGCAATTTGTAGCAGTCGAAGAAATGATATTTACTAGTAATTTGAAATATCTTGTAATTTTTTATTATATTTTAATGATTTTCTTCGAAATTTGTTTTGAATTTACTTATGTTATCAATGTTTATATTTATGTTATTCTTCTACCGTATTTTTCTGATAACACAGGTTGATGAGTACATCATTGAGATAATTACTTTTATTTCTTGCTGTAAATTCCATTATTTTTGTTTTTAAAGGGTCAGAAAGGAAAACCCCGAGGCGATCTAACAGCTGGATCTTGTAGATGAGTCACTTGGCCGCCTTTTTTCCGAACGGTCTTATTCTAGAACTGAGGAGGAGTCTTCAGATTTGTTTTGTGAAAGATCTCGGGTCTTGTTTTTAGTTTGGATCGATTGCATTGTTTTGTTATTTTAGGTAATAGTTTTTAATTTAGACGAAAAGTTTTAGTTTGAACAATATTTTGGGTAACAAATAATTATAATGTTTTCAACCGAGATATAATTTACACGTCGATTGCTATTTTATGTACTTTCTTTACCAAATAATCAATTTCTGACTGTTTTAGGTAATAATGGCTGATGCAATTGTAAAGCGCTTGGAAGATGTCGCCACTCGTTTGGAGACTTTGGCCAACTTGAAGCCAGCTTTGCCCCCAAAACCTTTGAATGCTTCTGGATCGAACAGTAAGTTTATCTTTATTTTTGTTTTTGATGATTTTAGTTGTGGTGAGCTCATCTGACACTCCAAGTACTATCAAGCAGTACGACGATGAAGTCGGAGACGCATTGAACGCTTTTACCAGCATCTCCAAGAATATTGGTGGAGATGTCGGTGTCATGGTATGATTTCGCATGTTCTTTAGTATTTTTTAAAAGTAAACGGTACATTAACAAAGTGTTTTTAGAGTTTATGTGGATAAATTAATTCAAATTTACATATTTTATACCAAAAGGCGTTTGTTTTCAACGTTTTATTGATAATTAAATTTTCAGAGCGACAAAGTGAATGTAGTCTTCGAATTGCTGAGGAACTACATTTGGTACGCTGCCGGTCGAAAGCAAGGCAGCCAAGAAGAAGTTGGCCAGAAGATGAAACCGATTATGAAGCTGGTGGAAGAGATCGGAGAGTTGAAGGAGTCCAAGAGAAACACTCCTGCTTTCAATCATCTCTGTGCCGTAGCTGATGGTATTCCAGCTGTCGGATGGGTTACGGTGGTATGTCGTTTAGTATCTTATTTTGTTTTAAAATGTTAGTTTTTAATTTTGATTTAATATCTTTGAAGAATAGTAATTTAAGAAGATTTTCTTTCTATACTCTACTTATTTGTTTTTATTTTGGCTTCTATTTTCAAGTTTCATCGTATCATTTCAGACACCAACTCCAGCTCCTTACGTTAAGGAAATGATCGATGTGTCTATGTTCTACGTTAACAGAGTCAAGACCGAATACAAGAACAAAGAACCTATTCACACCGAGTGGACCAAGGCATGGGTTGATCTTCTGACCAGTGTGCAAAAGTATGTCAAGGCTCACCACACCACTGGACTCACCTGGAACTCTGCACCTGTAAGTTTATTTTAATGTTTGATATATGGTATTTCTGCACGACTAGAATATCGTTAGGCATGGTTTATTTATGGCTTTGGACAAGATTATTTATTTATGATTTTTTAATGTCAAATTTAAATGAATCTTGCAAATTCAGGGAAAATCTCCACCAGAAACCAAAGGTGGAGCGCTTCCACCTTCTTCTGGTGGTCCTCCTCCACCACCTCCGCCGCCACCTGCTGGTAAGTTACCTAAAATATGTTCATATACAGTAATTCTATATTTTTAATCTTGTTGTGCTGTAATTTAAAGTTTTAAAAGGTTAATTTCAAAATATTTTCTGAATGACGAGTTTTTGCTTTTTACTAATTGATGATTCATTTCAACCGTGATTTATATTCCAGGCTTCTTTGATGAAAACAAACCGAAGGCTGGACCTTCCGGAGGCAATGATGCCCGTCAAGCTCTGTTTGCAGAGATCAACAAGGGAGAAGCGATCACTTCTGGTCTGAAGAAGGTGACTGATGATCAGAAAACTCACAAAAACCCTGCCATTAGAGGAAATGTAAGTAAAACTTTACTTAGGGTTAGTAAAGTGGAAAGCAATGTTAAAATAATGACTATTTTACAGACTGCCATCCCAGCCAAGATTGCTACTCCAGGAAGCAAGCCTGGAGCTGCTGCAAAGCCGGCTGTCGAGAAACCACCAAGAACTGAGTTGCGAGAAGGCAAATTCTGGGAAGTCGTAAGTTTACTTGATTGACTTTAAATTTTGATTACTAAAGGCTAATTATAAGGTTGTTTATGTCCAAACTCACCTTACCTGACAGTATTTGAAATTTTTTTGTCAAAATTCAAGTTTAATCTTACAATATCTTGCAGGAGTACCACAAGAACAACAAGCAGATTGTGATTGAAGTGAATGATATGAAGCAAGTTGTCTACATCTTCAGGTGTGAAGGCTCAGTTGTCCAGATCAAGGGGAAGTGCAATTCTGTTACTATCGACAACTGCAAGAAGACCAGTGTCGTATTTGACAATCTTTTGGCCCAAGTCGAGATCATCAACAGTCAAAGCGTCGAGGTTCAGTCGATGGGAACTCTGCCGACCATCTCCATTCAGAAGACTGATGGATGTCAAGTGTACCTGTCGAAGGAGTCTGTTGGGGCGGAAGTTGTTACCTCAAAGTCCTCTGAAATGAATATTCTGGTACCAGATGGAGACGACTTTGTAAGTTATGCAAGTTTAAGAGGATTAGCATGACTTATTTGCATTAATCAGTTCAGTTTGGATGAAATATACGTATACGTATCTTGTGCTACGTAAATTTTTGCGTACAAAAACTGAACTGTACTTCTGCAGACACTTTTTATGTTACATCGTAAAGGTACGATGTTTTAATCTCCAATGATTTAAGGAGATGGCTTTTAATAGCCTTTGGACTTTAGGGTAAAATGAAATAATCTGTTTTTGGTTATTATTTTAATTATAAACCTCGCATAATACAGTTTATCTTAAAGCGACACGTTTAACCTGACTTTTACTATGATTTGTAATAGTATATATAAAAGTCGTATATTAATAGGGTCGTATCCCTACAATACTTTTTTACTTTATGAGGCATTTACTTATATTACTGTTGCAGGTGGAGCTCCCGGTGCCCGAACAATTCAAGACTACATTCAATCCGGCGACGAAGAAGCTGGTGACAGTGGTGTCGGACATTGTTTAGAAGAGTCATTTAATTATCGCCTGCAGGCCTAATAAAGCAATTAATTTTCTATATCGAGTATTTTAAAGAATTTAATGCAAATTTCCGGTGCTAAAAGTGCCGTTAGAGTCGTGTAGATAATCCCTCAGATTTAGCCGCCATTCCAGACGTTTCAAAAAAATTACAGTTCATCAGGTATTAGCACTCTTTTTCTAATTATCCTAACATTTCAAAGTACGACGTAGTGCTTCGAATTCCTTTTTGTATCAAAGTGCATCCACGGTAACCTTTTATAAGTCAATACCTACTGTTTTATTATTTAATTGCCGTTTTAAGTGTATTGCCGTTTTGAGGGAAAGAGGGTTTTATGGGTATGTAATTGTTCTGATTCTACACTTTTTAAATATTTTGGATTTCTTTGCATTCTACCGAATTAATTAAAATTTTTGTCAAAAATGCCATTTCTAAATTCAACTGTGCCATTTTTAAGTGCATTTGTAATCCCTGTAAGAATAAGATGCTTATGTTGCGTGCATGAATTTGTGGCAGGCACGATGTCATTTACTTTTGTAGTTTCAAATAGATAAATTTCACAAATAAATTTTGAAATTATGAAGAAAAGTGCTTGGCAATATTGAGAAAATAACTGTCAATTCGACAATGTTTTAGCTAACTTAATATTTACAGTGTTCTTATTTTATGAAAAATTGGGTTTTGGTAGCACATGAATCACACAGGAGAAACATTGGGCCTAAAGGTAAAACAAGAGCAACACTTGACCCAAAAAGTCATTTTTGAATTTTTAATGTTCTTCTCCTTACACTCATCGACATTCGCCCTTTTTGAAACAATCCTGCTTATGACTGTTCTTTACTCTCTGCCCGCGGCCTTGCCCGAGGGGCCAGACATTTTTGGTTTTGTGTTTCTTTTTATATGCGCATTTTGCACTTTTGTGGCGTCTGAATGTTGTGAGAGCTCGGCCAGGCGCCGGCGAACGGCATCGCTTCGTTTTCCTTTTTTTGCATTTTCTGCTCCAAGTGCCTCGCTGAAGTGCCTCAGGGCCAGAACAAGAGCAACTGTCCGCGGCCCGAAAAAAAACCGCCCACGTTGGGGGTATAAGGAAAATCCTACTGCCATTTTTTACTCAATTGGACGGGATGTTTCAGTAGATAAAAGTCATGATATCGTATTTGGAGTTGGTCATGTAGAGTAATGTTTTCGAAGTTTTGAATCTTTTTGAAAATAATGTCACATGTGACAAACTTTAGACGACAAATGTTTCATTTTGACAATAAGTATGATATATTGTTAACAGTCACAAGTCTTATCTAGCAGTTATGACAGTTTAGTAGCGGTTGCGACACTTCATCGACACTCATGACCTTTTGATGACATTTTGACATTTGCCTTCGACATTCCCGTGCAAACCCATTAAATCCGTCATCGAGCACACTTGCCAATTACCTAATGTAGACACTCGTGCACACTTTGTAATTGTATAAACCTCTAATTCGTAGTTATTACATCCCTTCTGCTCTAAATATAAACTGCGAGAAACCTTTAATCGGATTGGGAAACGAAAGAAGCCCTCAGGGCGTGAAAGAAATGGAAGTGCGAGAGGGCAAAGGTATGAAGTGTATGTACATACATTCATATGCTTGCAGACACTCCGGATTAGCATGTTCAATATATATGGCCCGTAATCCGCTGGGGCCCAGTCCTAATGAAGTTGCACTTTTAGTGTTTTTATTTTCTTTTGTTTCGATAAGGGGCGTTTGGCGTCTCCGTTATCATCGCGATGTTCTTCTGTCCGTCTAATCACGTGTAATTTATTATTAATCAGCGCAGTCACAAGAATCCGTCTGCCTACCTTACTGTAAAGCTGCTTTTACCGTAGCGATTTAATGTTTGAGTTATAGTAATGTAGTTGTAGTTAGGTTACAATTCCACTGGTTTTTGACATTTCCTTTTGTAGGTACTGTAGCATTTGTGAATTGAACTTGCTCTGCCACTCTATTTTCTTGCTGTTACGTTCTAAAAGTCGATTGACGATTTTACTTTGTCGATGATGGCTACTATGACGTTTGACTCTTTTTAATCGATTACTGTACTATTTCTACAGTATGTTTCATATATATTTCACGCGTACTATTGGTGTAATTAAAGACCGCATTGTTCGAACAATGTTTTGAGACATTAAAGGGTCCACATTGCTGATACCTGATTTACATTTCCTTCGTATCTCTGCTTGGTGTTGTTCTCCAATCACTTACCATTTTGTCTGTTAGTGCGTTTAACTAACATTATTTTAAAGGTCAAGTCAATTGAATGGAGTAGTTTTTCACTTCCGATTACTTTTATGTTATGTCTTTATATTTGAATGTTATGTGTAGTTCTCTTGCTTTAACTATCTGTAGATTGTGTGTTAGCTATAAGACATGTATGCCTTGAACATTAAGTTTAAATTTACATTTCCAAAAACTTTTTCGATTACTTTAAATGCCAAGATGAATACTGTTCCATCTATTTATAGACTAAACAGTACCACCAATGGCCTCGTATATCAAGTATTTGTGGTATTGGGTTTACTTAAGCGCAGACGTGTTTCTACCAGTTTGTTTGCTCTTTTCCGCATTAATAGGAACATTGTTATACATTTAAAAAGTTTGTTTTTGGCTCGATTGACTTTGGGGAAAGCAGCATAACAGCAGCATTGAAACAACACTCTCGGAACCCTTCTAAACAAGCCCGACGGGGTGAAAAGAACGAACAGGAAAACAGAGGGAACGTGGGTAAATACGATGGAGCAGACCGCAAACAAAACGACCGAATGGTCTGATAGGTCTGAAAGTGCAGACAGGGGCGGGGCCGGGGGTTTTTTGTTCGTGGCGCTGTTGGCGGAGAGGTCGAGAGATAGAAGAGTGCAGACAACATCTTGTCAAAACTTTTTGAGCCCTTTTCTTGTGAAAAAAGTTTCCGGGAGCCGGGGGAGATACACGGGCGGCGTTCAAAAGATTACTGTAATCCGGCACCTGAACAACTCGCAAGTGCACTCACGGCCCCCGAGCAGTGCCGAAGCACAATATAGGGGGCCTTGTTTTTGGAATGTACTTTGTCTGGATTTACCGTCCCTTCCTTCCGTCTCTGCCCGCCTCAGCGCTGTCTTCCCCAACAATAAAAATGTTATTTTTTGTTTCTCCTTTCGAATACAAATACCCTCCCAAAGTGCATATATTGTGTGCAGGTTCGAATTACCACCTTTGTTTCGCCAAAGTTCACGTAATTCTTGGTGTCGTGCCTTGCGAAACGTGTTTCCCAACGTGTACGATGTTTGTCAACAACTTGCTACATGTTGTTTGTTGTGTACGGATTATGTAACGGTGTGTTGTTTGATGCTGTTTTCGTGTTTCCAATGTTGTTTTTAATTTGCTCCGCTTACTGTGGTTATTTTTGTGATTAAGGTCTCCTTCCACCACCGTTATTACCGTTTATCGCCGTGCCCTGAATCCCGAGGAGTTGTTTCGTAAACTGTTGTGTCGCTTCGCTTTTTACTTGATAGCAGTGTTTCAAAAGTCTTTGCTTTTTGTCACACGAACTTGTTGTTATTTTTACCCCTCCCTTTGATACGATGTTTATAATGTGCGTATAGTCAGTGTTTCGAAAAGTAATTGTTTATTCTGAAACTTTTTATTGCGTCTCCCTCGCGACCCTGCACTCTAATCAAGGTGGGAATGAGGTCACCAGGATATGCCCTAATTACTGTTAATTGGGGACTTTCCCTGCCTAACGTCTAATTTATCTTTGCAAAACTTTTTGAAACGGCCTATAGTAGTCATTACGGCAAACATAATAATTGTCACTTTGTTATGGCAGAACTTGACAATTAAATTCTTTGAGGTTTACTGTTACATTATAATTTGTACTGTACTGTTTACAGTACATGCAAAGTTTTTCTATTAGTCTCATTAAACCCATAATATTGAATATAAGCTTGGTTATGCAGAGCTCATAATACCATAAAAAGATTTGGTATTTTAATCGGAAGATAGGTCTTATCACTAAAGTACGGGTTAATGACACATTTGGGGTTTATCTATATCGCCGTCTGCAACCCACCAAAACCTAAGGGCAGAAAACGCTCAAAATAAACGTTCGACCACCGCGAACTTGTTTGGCGCCGAGAGTGCGATGCACCAAAAGGAATTCCAGTGTTTACCCACCACCCCACAACGTACATACACATAGATGCAACAGAGCGCGCCGTCTTATATTTTACGTCTTCTCGTGTGTCTGCTTCCACACGTTTTGTCGCGTGCACTTAATTGTTTCACATTTCAAAAGGTCTTTTTTTCCCCCTCGGCAGTGTCTAAAACAAGCGCAGCGGGGCCGGCTGGCAGCCCGGACGGACTGGAAGGCTGGCTGGCTGACGACGACGCTATCTTCGCCCCTATCGCACCGCCGTCGTCGTCGACGTCGCCCCTTGTGTGTATTTATTTTTGACTGCTCTCCCCTGTTTATGTTGTTCCCACATGTTTAATGTTAAAAGAGTGTTTTTGCACTTTATTTCCATTATATACGCGAAAACACGATAAATATGCTGTTTTCGCGGTAACGTTTCCGTCAGTTTCACTCGGCTGAAACAACAAATCAGAGCAACACCAACGTTTGTTGTTGTTTTGACAGTTGTTGTTGTTTACTCGTTACTCTTTATCTCATCATCTTAACATCGACTGCTTCAGGGACACCTCCTGCCTTGCAAAATGTCATCGGAGGAAATGATAGCCAACCTGAACTGTTCACCAACCTCATCCTCAGTCGAGCAAACAAAAGTCGAGCAGAGCATCAGTCCGCTGGAGCAGAGTCACAGTCCGCCGGGCACGGGCTCGAGCTCGCTGGACGAGTTCCTGACGGCACGCTTGGCCGCCCTGCCCGACGAGAAAGAGGAACGGCCGTCGTTATCGTACAAAGATCTGATAATTGAAGCGATCGAGAGCAGTCCCGAGAAAAGGCTAAAGCTCAGCGAAATCTACCAGGTGAGTATGTTGTTGTAAAGGTTATTATATTTGAAAAAGCAATTTTTGAATTTTAAAATTATAAGGTAAAGTCGAATGTCTTTTACAAGATCGTATAAAGGAAAGTGTTTCTTCGTATCATATGTAGAAACTGCAATGTAAGCCTTTGTTAATTTGGAAGGGAAAGTATTCGTCTTGTCACATAAACGTCGCAAGTTATCTTTGTCACACGAATTAATTTCGACATTATGTTTACATAACTCCTTGCAAATTGTTTTTTGTATTCATATACTTTCAGTCCTAATCCGTTTTGATGTTTTTACAGTAAGATTAAACTAATACTCCATTTGCAGGTAATTCGTTATCTCCATCCTTACTACCGCAAGCGAGCTGACCAATGGGGATGGCAAAACTCGATACGTCACAACCTCAGTTTGCACGATTGTTTTGTGAAGCTGCCTTTGAAACAGACTTCCGCCAGCGGCGTTGTAGGTAAGAGAAACACCTCCCATCAAAACTGGTGTATTTAAACCATTCACATCCGTTTGTACTAAGGTAACCATCTTACTTTAAGGTCACTTCTGGACAGTAGTCCGAGACAACGAGGACAAACAAGGATCGTCGAGAAGGCGGAACAGGAACGGCACTAAACTGACAAGGTGCTCTAGCGGCAAGCTCGGCGGAATCAACAACAACAAGAAAGGTCGACTCAGTGTGAATATCGAGAATGGCATTATGAGCGACGAAAGCCAGTCCAACTCGCCTACCGTGATGCTACTGGATGTAGCACGAAAAGAAAGCGGGCTTCTGAACAGCGTGTCATCAGCTCCCCAACTTCACAGGCCGATCCCATCATACTTGGCCGAAATGAACGAAGCCCAACTCACACAGCCCAACCTTCTGGCAGCCGTCGCCTTGAGTCAGCTGGCTAACCATGCCCCAAACACACAGACTGCCAACTTAGTCGAAACGTCGCCGGATCCTCGGATCACGCCCAATCCATCACAATCCATATTATCAAGGCTCGCGCTGTCTGCGCTACTGGATGAACAGAATGTCGTCACGTCGACCGCACCTACCACTAGTCTCGTGAATCCTCTGCTAAATCAGTTGGTACCCAATGTAAGCGACCAGCTACAGCGACTTCAACTCTTGAACCTGTACTTATATCAACAGGGGCTGATACAACAGCTGGTGGATAACATAGCCGTCAACCAACAACAACAGTCCGCACCGTCGTTGGCAACCAACGTGCTGACGCAGCTGCTCCTGAACCGAGTACAACAAAACAAGTCGCCCATCATTCCACTGTCACTGGCTTCGACCGTAGTACCAACGAGTTCAGAAGTTGTGGTATCACAACCAGCGCCAGTTGTCGCAACCACTCAGCCTGAAGAACTGAGCCAGCTACAACAACAACTTCTGAATCTGGTGGGTCAGCTTCAGCAGAATGGTCAAATGAATGGCGTGCCAGTAACACCGCCTATCAACGGCTCCATTTCAGCTTCAGTATCAGACAGTCCCAGCAAGGACAACCTTGTGGCCATCTAAACAAGGACAAGCCTACAACAACATCCTTGTGGTCGTACTTAACGAGCAGACACTTATTGGCCAGTTATTGTTTTATATTGTTATTTAGCCCGGTCTAGTTTTCAGACTCCAAAATGAATTGACACAAATTTAACAGAATTCTATGTCTTTCATTTTGGAGGTCTCCCAAAACTTTTAGACCGGGCGGTATTTCAAGTAGCCATAGCACCGTAGTTGTTATTGTGTTACGTCTGGTTTGGATCTTATTCATGACTCTTGCTGCCTCCGAAAAGGATATTATTGTAAGTTCCTTGAACTCGGATCTCTTTCCTCTTTCCCCTTAACGTCCGAATGCGGCCTGCGCGGTTCGGCCGCACCTCGGAGGCCGTCCTCGCCTGTTCTCCAGACAAACAGCCGAGGCGGCCTCCCCGCGGCCCGATCACCGAGCCCATCAGCATCCCAGTACGTGTAATATGCCCCGTTTCGAAAATATATACCGGTTATTAATTCCATCTAATCAATCCCAGTTTCTTTCCGTGTTTTGATCTCATAGGGATCATCAGTCTGACTGTTTTTATAACCAATTGCACCCCGACTTAACAGCGAATCCTACTTTCCGGTTCAAACACTGTGTGACATTACTTTTACCACTTGTTGTTTCAAAGTTTTATGCCATCTTATTCAAGATTTTTATGATGGGAATTGTTATGAATAAATTAAATATTCGTTTTTTGTGTTTTACCTCATGGACAATATCATTTCAATGTAAACTAAAAAGTTTAATCTGCAAGATTGTGGATTTGCACTTTTAATAGCTGTTTTTGAAATTTTAATTTGAAATTAACCCTCTACGTAACCATTTCTCACATTTCAACTATTTTCCAAACTTAAAAATGATAAACTTGCACTTTTAACAATATTTTTTCAACGTTAACAACTTGTAACAATAACAAATTTCAACAATAACAAAATATTTGGGCATGACGTTGTAGCAGATAAGCTGCAAACATGGCCTGCATGTTGTTAGAGCTAAATCCGAACGACATTTGGTGGTGGGATTACTAGAATCTATGCAACTTCCTACCAGAAAGAGTTAATTAGTTGTTTCATTACTTTGTGGTGGCCTCGACTCCCCCCTAAAATAACATTGTAATTAAGGAATCTGCAAAGTGAGCGGATAATCATAAACATTTCCAAAGACAAGACTTCTTGCACTTTTAATCACTTATCACGTTTAATCATATTAATAGACGTTACGCAGTAAAGCCCTACATTGCGGCTTTACCACGAACCGAGACTACAACAAGGTAAAACAAGGTCTGTCAGATGAGCGTATGTTAGACACAAACTATTTCATGCAGATATACCACTGCATATGACACAATATAACCATACTTTGAACAGATTGAACAGCTACAAACACGTTTCATGATAATATACATATGCATATATCTTGGAACTTAATTATATAGTCCACTCTGTCAGTCTGTATTTAAATAGAACGTCAACAAAGGTGTAACATTACATATCAATTATGTGCAAACTACACACCTTAAAAATTTCAACCAATCATCTCATTTGAATAAGATTTCACAAGTCGACAAACTTCGAATTACCTATTTTGCACCAATTTAAAACCTTAAACTACAAGCAACCAACGTGCTGACGCAGTTGGTTGCTTGTAGTTTTTCACAACTTTTAACAAAACATACTGTAAGTTTTACAATTTTAAGCGTTAAAAAAATTATAAACCTTACCATGCTTTACTTTCCTCTTATCATTCCTCACCACTTCATCGTCGCTACTGTCATCACTATCAATGTCATACGATGTGACTTTTGAAGGCGAGAAGAACATAGCCTCTACCATCAAGTAGGCCAAGTACAGTACCTCGCACTTCTCGCCGATTACCGTAGACAACAAATTCAAACACTTGAGGAATCCCCAGTGATAAAACTTTTTGTCATTTTCATACATTTGAAATAGACGGTCTGACTCCAGAAGAATTACATTATCGTAGCTTAAGATGTGGAATTGCTTCCGTGGAACCATTTTGTAATCCGAGAAAAACGGAAAGATTGCTTTGAAATCGTTGAGTGACCCCTAAAATATATAAATCATTACCAACTTCTCAAGAGGTTTCAGATATGTTACAAAAGAGTAGTCGTACCTCAACATCTTCCTCGTACAAAGAGGGTAGTTTGCTTATTGAGAAGTCTTTACAGAATATTTCCAGTCTTTTTTCGTCCAAAAACATTGAACTTTTATCCACATCCTCAACGTGCGCTAACGTACTTCGGTACGGTGCTGAAACAATAAGTATTACCTAATTCATTAATAAAAATTTTCTAAACGCTTGACAATATAATAGCACTACAAAAGCTTTTGTAATTAACTTTATGGGCGAAACTTACAGTACAAAGTCTCTCTGGAAACAGGGAGTACTGTAGCATGATCCAGTGGAAAACAATCTCTGAAAATCTTCTCTGATTGAGGCAGAAAGAGACGGTGTGGCAAGGCTGTGTTTTCCTTTTTAGGCCGATTGAATTTTCCAAGATTAACTTGACGTTTTTGGATATTCAATTTTGTTTCAGCAAAATCTTTGTTTCTGAAATGTTACCTAATTACAAATCGCAGCTGTTCGTTATAAAAGACTCCGTTACACAGAAGTTCCAATTGATGTATATCATTTTTTAAAAACTTACTGGCTTGACAAAACATCGTCGATAGACTTTCCAGCTGTGACTTGGGTTCTCATTATAAGTTGTAGTAGCCATTCTGTCATTTTGAAATTGTCTTCTTCATCATCATCACTGTCTTCTGTTCCGATGCCAAAGTCTTGAGAGTAGATTAGCACCAAACAAAATAAAAGTTGTGACAAGATACGAACTTCGAATGACATTATTCCGCTAAAACAGTACCGTTACATCAATTTTCACATTATAAGTTAAATTAAATTATAATTTGATGATTTGAACTTTGAATAAAATTACTTTTTGACCAAATCAATAAAAAAAAATCATTTTTTTCAACACTAAAATATTTTCGAAAAAAAAACTTACTATACTGTATGAAAGTAAGACAAAGAGCTATCCATAATCACCCGAAAGAAACTGTGCGGTCCCAATGTAGAAGATTCTCTTACAGCGTCGTCAAGGTCTGATTCCAACGGAAAACAATTCTGGAGCCATTTCTGATCGTAGAAAGGCTTCGGCTCAGCGATAAACTCTTGTAGGATCTTGACTCTCAGAATTAAGCCTAAAGGTAGATTCAGATCAAACACAAATCTTTTCAAAATCATTTCATTCGAAGGAGCAGGTATGACTTGAGGTACCTGGGTGATTCCACAAAGAGCAGAAAATGTCGCATAAGCTTCAACCAAAAAACTTCTCTGAAATCATATAAAAGTTAATAATCAGTTTGGTTTTTAGATATTAACTTTAAAATTGGCTTACATCTATAGATTTATCTTATAGTACAAAGAAATAATAATATAATAAACTACTTCAAAAAAATAAACTTACCCCTGAAATAAGAAACGTGTAATACATCCTTGAGCTTATAGACTTAGCTATTTGCTCTTTATCGTAATCAGTAGCCTGTGTTAAAGATTGCAATTGTTTATCTGACACTTTAAAACGATCTTCTCTTTGCCATCTAAAGAATAATGTATGTTAGAATAAGTGAGAACTGTCCAAAATCCTCTATGAACTTAGTTTATATGTAAAGAAACATAAAATCAACAAGAATAAATACAAAAAAAATTTCAAATATAAAGAATTCTACAAACTTTTGAACCCATTAATCATTTAAAACTTTTAACTAACTAAAAAAACACAATCCTTACCGCATTAGATCAGACAACAAGATATTACGTTCGCCAACTAAAAGAAGGCCAAGGTATGTAATAGAGAGTAGCATATCAATACCAAGGTAAACTCTAGCAGCTATATTCAACGACTTTATCGACAGTTTCGTGTTGATCGACTTTATCATATCAATAGCTACTGAACAATCCGCTTCTTTCAGGTGTTCCTAAACCTTTTACATTAAAAGCTTAAATAAAGTAAACTTACTTTAATGATTTTCAAAAATATAATTTTAAACATATTAATATAACCTTTTTAAAAAGATGCATACCTCCACCGTGACTTGATCAAAAAGACTCATCTGTGACTTCTTCAATTCTTTTTCAACTTTTCTTCTCCTTTTATCTTCTTCTTTTGCTTTTTTCGTCTCTGCTTTCAATTCCCTACAAAGCAATCACATAGCACATAAACATTGTAACTTTAATTACTAAAACAATATAAAATTGCCGAGAATTAATAACCCTATAAAACACTTACTCGTTATTCTTTTTAAACAACATCTTGAGTTGTTTTTCGTCATCCTCATCTACTTCTGTATCCACAAAAGCAACATTCAGTTTCTTCAGGTATTCTTGATACAAGGCAATCACCACCTCCTTTAAATACAAAACTTTAATAATTTAACTAACATCTTTTGCCTTTAAAGCCAAAAAATCAATGAACTGATCAAACATTATCTAAAAATATGACAGCTAACATAAGTATACCTTTAAATCCTCCGAAACATTGAGTTCTTTCTCCAACTCTCGACTGATCTTCACCAAAATCAAAACAGCTGTTGTTAACCGCTTCCCAACAGTAGCCAAAAAGCGTGGAAAATCTACATTTTTCTGAGTAGTAGAGTTGAGAATATCAACTTTGCTCTCTCTGACTTCTGTTTCTTTATCTTTCTTTTCCTTTGGCGTCTTTAGAATACTAGCATGCGAAAAGCTTGGACCAAGATTATCAAACAGATCAGCATCAAGGTCTATTTCCCGCAATGCCTTAACAATAAATAATACCGAAACAAGAAACATACCAAGATTTGTTGACCACAATTCCTACAATAATATAAACCATCTAAAATAGTTGACTGTGTACTCCCACATTGAGCACAAACATGCATAATGTACAATTCTGAAACTAATGCTGCATAATTAAACTTTATAAAACGATAAATTCTATAAATTTTCGAAAAAAATATTTTTTATGTTTCGTCGTATAAAAACGTTCTAAACAAGGGCGCAGTGAGAAAAGTAAAATATTATCAATATTTTCTCCATATAAAGTACGTGTACATTTTATTCAGAATTTTATATTTACATTTCTTAAGAATATGGATGAAGCTGGACCTTCTGATAATGAAAATATTGTTCAGCAAATCAAAGAGATCTGTGCAATCAATGATGAACTTGCTTTAAATCTCCTCAGAAGGTCGAATTGGAATCTGGATGTTGCAGTCCGGAACTTTTTCGAAGTAAGTTACAATTCTTTCGATTTTTTACATTTTAGGGAGATTTTGGAGAAGAAGATGAGTCTACAGACAGTGAAGAAGAAGAAGAAGAGCTGCTGGAAAACGTACCCAGTCAACAAGTCCAGCCTTCGAATCGACCACAAAGCTTTCTCGGATGGATTACCAGCTTGATCTCAATACCTGTCAGGCTTATCTTATGGTCCCTTAAGGATTTGTTTGGATTTTTTTGTAAGTTAAGCTTTAATATTTATAAAAATTTTAAACTAATGGTTAACTTCTTTGACGTAATGTTTTATATGGTTTTTAACGCTTTAGTCAAAAGGTTACTTTATTCCTAACATTGTTTTAGATAACATGTTTGGTGGCCCTCCGTTGTCTGTAGCAGATCCCAGAATTGAGATTCAAAATTTTGTCACAGAATTCCAGCAGAAGTACGATAACGAAGCAGTGTTACCTTGGTTAAATATGCCTTACAACAATGTAATAATTATTCTTTGTTGTATATACTACGGTTTTTAAACACGTTTTATATTACTTTTAAATGGTATTACCTTATTAACAAGTTTGTTTTAGGCAGTTAACGAAGCACGGAGGCAGATCAAGTATCTGATCGTATATCTTCACAGTCCGTCCAATGCCAGTTGTGATATCTTTGCTCGTGATTATCTGTGTTCGCCCAGATTCCATGAATTCATGGCGAGAAACAGTTGTTTGATTTGGGGCGCGTCTATCAGGACGTCGGAAGGATATAAGGTGGCATACTCTCTGCGCGACCACAACACTCCACTGATATCGTTGTTCTGCTCATACGACTCGAGGACGGTTTGTGTAAGTGGGGGTATATAGTGCGTTGTTTATACATATTTGACTTACTTAATTCTGTTTATTGGCATTGTTTTCTTGGCGGGACATATTAATCGTAATCCAAAGTTGGAGTATTGTCTGTGGATTTTATATTTGTACTGATTTTGTGTTTAAATGTGGGAACTTACCATCATTTTCTCAATCATAAATTTTCAGTTAGCCAAGTCAAGTGGACAATTCTCATTAGACGCGATGTTGGAATCTCTTCAAGCTTCTGCTAACCTCAACAGACATCATCTGACGGTTCAGGAACAGCAAAAGTAAGAACTTTTATAGTAAATTTAAAGATTTTATTGATTTGTAAAATAAATTTAGTACATTGTAATTTGTTTTTAAAATATATTTGTGTATTTTCAGGCGTGAAAGAGAACTGAACAATCAGTTGAGAAGAGAACAAGAAGAAGAATATCAGAGATCTTTGGCGGCTGACCGTGCCAAAGTCCAGGAAAGGAAACGCCTGGAATCAGAAAGAATAGAAGCCGAACAGAGAGAAGAAGAATTTCGTCTTCAAGAAGAAAGGAAACGGAACGACCTTCTGGAACGAAGACAGAGGATCAAGGAAACGATTCCAGAAGAGCCAGAATCCGAAGACAATGTGCTTAAGGTAGCCGTAAAGTTTCCAGAAGGCTCACAGATCCAAAGAAAGTTCAATCTGGATGATAGTTTGGAGGTAATGCTTTTTGGCTTGTTTATTACACATTTCTCGCGTACTGTAGATTCTTAGAAGGACCTTATTCTTATAAATTTATAATTAATGTTTTTAGGTCTTGTTCAACGCGGTGTCAATTCACGAAACGTGTCCTCACGACTTTACTTTGCTCAGTAGTTACCCCAGGAAAACATTGAAGTGTGCTCCTCAATGGTACAGTCAGTTCACCGAGTGTTTCGAGGAAACCGACCACATTCCCACCTTCAGAGAATCGGGTCTCGAGGGTTCCGTACTAGTCTTGGTGCGCGATAATGAAGCTTAGCCAGTTTAAATTGTTATCTTTGTCAATAAACTTATTACAGTAAACCGTTGGATATTGTTTGAAATGTTTGACCTATTTTAATATCTGCTTTGATGTGTAGAAGTCGTATGTACGTGTGCGATTGAAACTTGCAAATGAAGTTTATGGTCAACTCAATCATGGGGTTTCAGATGAAAAAGTTGTTGATAACGTCAGGTATTTCTGGAGCATCGTTCATATGCGGTACCCAGTTTGATTCCGACTACTTGAAGTTGTTTGCCAGAGAAGGTCATGCAGCTACAGCATTGGTGACACCTCCTCTTTCTTCAGTATCATCTGAACTGAATACAGCGATCGAATTGAAGACGGCCGAACCCTGGAAAGCACCTTCTAGGTCTAGTGAGATCATGAAGTTTGGCTACCCTGGGTACGACAACCTTCGAACATACGACGACTTTGTGTTGTCATATGATCGCCGTACAAGGACGGCACATTGGGTACAAGAACATCTCACACCTGACAGAATGACGTACGATCCGTCAGTAGATAGGTCAAAGTGTGCGTTTATGCCTGATGAAACAATACATCCTTACTTCAGATCACTGAACGACGACTACTTTGTAAGTTATATTAGTTTGATGTTATATTATACCAACTGAACCATCTGAGAAACAACTAATAATTACAAATTCAGAGATCCGGCTATGACAGAGGGCATTTAGCGCCAGCCGGCAACCATCGAAGGACTCAAAATGCGATCAACCAGACCTTCTTTTTGACCAACATGTCACCTCAAGTAGGCAAAGGATTCAACCGCGACAAATGGAACGATGTGGAAAGGCACGTTAGAAGATTGGCCAGGAAAAATCCGAATGTTTACATTGTAACTGGTCCCTTATATCTTCCGAAACAAGAAGCTGACGGAAGTTTGTATGTCAAGTACAAGGTAAGAGGGCCCTTACTGTCGTATGTAACAATCCGAAAAAACAAGTTTGTTAATTTTTATTTAAATTTGTTTAAAAAATTTTTATATTACCTTGTATAAAATTGTATGTATATATAATCAAATATTTGCAGGTAATTGGCAAGAATCATGTCGCCGTACCTACCCACTTTTTTAAAGTGGCGCTAATAGAGTCAGCGCCAGAAAAATACGAACTTGAATGCTATCTACTGCCTAATGAGGTAAGCAAGACCATTTTAACCACAACATCTAAAAGTTTAAAAACGCTTTATAAAACTTTAAACAATACCGGTATTAGCTAAGACATACGCCTAAACTTAAAGAACAGATTACCACCTTCAGTTTCAAATCTTACAAACTTCAGGCAATACCAGACGAAAAACCAATCTCAGACTTCTTGGTACCTTTAGAATCGATAGAACGCGCAGCCGGTATCTTAATCTTCGAAAGGCTGAGCAAAGACAAGATCATAAAAATCAATGGAAAGAAAAACGGTTGGTTCTAAAGACATCCAGCTTCCTAATAGGCATGATAATATCATATTTCCAATTTGTTAAGTTTTATTATTTCCAAAATTAAAAGGTTGCTAACTATCACTATTCTGGAAAGCGTCGTTCTCGTAGAAGTTTAAGCATCTGGAGATGGCTTTGAGCCATTGTTCGTATTGATAGAAGAGTTCGGGGTTAGGGGATGGAAAGAAAGTTTCTTCTACTGATACGTATTCGTCACATTCTTTCAAGGTCCACATACCTGAAACATGGGGATGAACCAAACCATTTACAGTAAACAAACGTTGTTTTCGAAGTTTGAATTCTTTTCAAAAGTTAAAATACTTCATTTGCTTAACTTCTTGGCAGTACCTAATAATAATGAAGACATACCTGCAGTAATCCCAGCTAAAAGTGCAGCGCCTTTGGCTGAAGCAAACTCTGGCTCGCTTACTCTCTCGACCTTAACCTGGACTAAATCGGCTATTTGCTGACAAACGACTGCGTTTTTTGCTACTCCACCACATACTCTGAAAGTAATTATATCGGATTAAGCTATGACATACAAAAACCTCTTTTTGGTCAAAGATTGCTTTTTTCAACCTAATGACTCAAATATTACCTAAAAGCCGTCGGTTTGATGGCCTTCACCTCCTTCAACATGGTGTCCCAGATGTGTTTGACTCTAAATGAAATCGAGTCGATCACAGCCCTCAACATCTGACTTTTGGTAGTATTGGGTTTGATTCCCAGTAGAGAACACACTGCTCTACCGTCGTCAACTGGCGTCTGAATCCCACTGAAGGCAGGCACGAAGTGAAGGCCATGACCTTTGTCATTTTCGTTTAAATCATCCAATTCTGACAATTCGTTGTATAAACCAAAGGTATGGGCCCAACGGATACATGTAGCTGTGTCATTGGACCTGGCTTCCGTCGTATACTTGATGTTGTCTCCGATTTTCCATGCGATCAGGGGATACACACCTAAAATTCAATTCATTAAACATACCTTTACATCTTATAATTAAATTGGGAATAAGTTAAATACCGTAAATTACCGTTAAATGTAGGGTGAGGTTTGTCTGTTAATATGTTTACAAATGTCCCTGTACCCAATGACACCTTGACGTACTCCTTGTCTACAACTCCTGACCCGAGTATTGCTGATTGAGCATCACCTATCTGCAACAATTTTAAAATAAAATCTACTTTCACAAACTTTTTGACGTTTCTCATCAAAATTCCACAAAAAATAAACAAAAAACATTAAAGATCGAATAAGTTGAAACCTACTGAACTCCATACTTGACAACTCTTCCCTAAAACATCTGTAGCTATCATACAAAGTGGCTTCTCTGCCGTATTCTCAAGAGTTGGAAGTACTTTTAAAGGGAACCCTATGATTTTCAGTAGCAGCCGACCCCAGTCATTGATAAAAGGGTCGTATAGACCGGTGGATGAAGCACAAGATGCGTCAGTCACATGAGATTGACCTTTTGAAAGTCTACTCATCAACCATGTGTCCAGTGTTCCCATGGCCAGACGATCGGCGTCTAACAACTTATTCATCTCTTCTTCCTAAATTTTACTGTATTAAATGATTTTTATTTAGACACTGCATACTCAATAAAACTTACTGTCTTAAGTAGTACCAGAAACCTGTGCGACACCATGGCATTCAGAAACCTGAATCCTCCAGCAGCCTTAAACCTTCCAGACCCAGAAAGTTTAGACCCAAGCCATCCAGAAGTTCTGATCGCTTTCAAAATAAAGGACTGGTTCCATTCTTCGCAAATCCTGTTGGCCCTACCATCTTTCCATGTTATCAAGTTGTGACAAGGTACTAACGAGTCCCTAAGATATCAGACTTTTGTCTCTTTTACCTACTTGTTCCATGTTATGAAAGTATTTCGTTGCGTACACAAAGCTATCCCGAATTCGTGGCCTCCTACTGCATTTACTGTAACCAGCCATTGTGAAAATACCGTAATGTTTACAAATAAAAGTACAACTCAACAATGATGCTGTCTATCTTTAAAACAATCAAAGGCATTATTGAGTTACAATTATCCTCCAAAAATTACCTGCTTTCTTAACAATGTCCAGAAAATCGTCCCACACCCTCTCCGGGTCCATCTCCACCGATATCGACCGGTCTTCGTTCTCCACGTATATCAGATGCATCTACAGAAGACTATTATAAACAAAATTTAACTTTACATTTGTTTCAAAGGTATCTTGGAGGTCGCAGTTCTCATTATAAACGCAGGATTTCATTGTTGTTGTACCAATATCCACAGAAATGATGTACCGAAGTTTGGCCCCCATGGTCACACTTTTGTATTGTACACCAGCAATTAAAGTATCTAATGTATGTAAGAAAAGGTAAGAAGGCAACGTGATAAACAAATTAAGCAGCTGACTCGCTCTGTATGTACACCTTTTCGCTGTTTTTGACGAGTTTTAAAACGTTTTTCCAATTATTTTATAAATTTTTGGAAAACCATTTAATGTGGAAAGACTTGACACACAAAGTGCATTTGAGTCAAGTTTTCTCTTAAATATTCCTATTGCGTCAGTTGAAGAACTAAAAACGTTTCTGTACTCTTGAAAGGAATACGATACAAAAACGTCGATTGGATTAGTTAGAACTGCTTGGGTTCGCCCTTTACTATTTCGACGTTTCATACCTATAACGTTAACAAGAACGATGGCGGACGTAGCCAAGAACGAGCAGGTCGATACAACTGGAGAACCTACCTTGGTCAAGGAGGTCAAAGCATTGGTAAGTTGTGTTTTTATGTTAATATTCTGATCATTTAGAAGATCTCTAAGTGTCCTGAAGAAAAGAAGCAATGGCCCGAGTTCATTCAAGAGAGAATCGAGCTGTTCGATGAACTTATGGCCAAACACAAGGCTGAACTGGCTTTTAAGCCTAAAAAGCCTATCAAGATTACTTTGCCTGATAGTAAGGAAGTCGAAGGTACGTCTTGGGAGACCAGTCCATTTTCTGTTGCTGCTGGAATTAGCAAAAGTTTGGCTGAAGCTGTTGTTATTGCCAAAGTCAATGGCGAAGTAAGTGTTTGATTTTTTAAAAACCTTTTGTTTTTATTAGTTTAAACCATAAAAAGTGATTAATTGTTTTATCTTTTAATTTAAAAATTTTAGTTGTGGGATTTGGATCGCCCATTCGAAGGTGATGCCAGCTTGATCTTGTTGAAGTTCGATGATGATGAGGCTAAACAAGTATTTTGGCACAGTTCAGCTCATATTTTGGGAGAAGCTTGTGAGAGATATTGTGGTGGTCATCTTTGCTACGGTCCTCCAATTGCTGAGGGTTTTTATTACGATATGCATCTGGAGAATCAGTCGATTTCTCAAACCGACTTCCCAAAGCTGGACAAGATTGTGTCTTGCGCTATCAAAGACAAACAACCTTTTGAGAGATTGGAAGTCACGAAGGAAGATTTGTTGAAGATGTTTGCTTACAACAAGTTCAAAGTAAGAATCTTGCAGGAGAAAGTCACCACGCCTACTACAACTGTTTATCGTTGTGGATCTCTGATTGACTTGTGCCGTGGACCGCACGTCAGACATACTGGCAAAGTCAAGGTAGGTTTGATTTTTTAAGAGTTATGTAAATAGCGTGGAAAGGGGTTGATTCTGCGAATTTGAGCGTATAGCAATATTGTTTTAGGCTATGAAGGTAACAAAGTCGTCAGCCTCGTATTGGGAGGGTAATGCTGAGAAGGAGAATCTACAAAGAGTTTACGGTATATCATTTCCTGATGCTAAACAGTTGAAGGAATGGGAGAAGTTCCAAGCTGAAGCCGCTGAACGAGACCACAGAAAGATTGGCAAAGACCAGAACTTGTTCTACTTCCACCCATTGAGTCCTGGTTGTGCTTTCTGGTTGCCCAAAGGTACCCTCATCTTCAACAAGCTTGTTGATCTGATTAAGTCTGAATACCGTACTCGGGGCTTCCAAGAAGTGATTACTCCTAACATTTATAACGCTAAGCTTTGGGAGCAATCTGGCCATTGGCAACATTATGCTGAGAACATGTTTAGGTAAGTGACTTATATGCTCTTCATTAATTTAGAGAAAATTTTTTGGGGTTTAATATTTTTTAAATGAAACTAGCTAGTTTTCGCTCAATTTAAAACTATTTGAAAATTTTAGCTTTGAAGTCGAAAAGGAGCAGTTTGCTTTGAAGCCAATGAACTGTCCTGGTCATTGTCTGATGTTTGACAGCGCTCATCACACCTTCAACCAGCTGCCTTTAAGGTTTGCTGACTTTGGAGTTCTTCACAGGTAAGTCTATATTTGCCTTTTGTAGGCGGATGTTGACGGAAAATAAATATAAATATAGGATTTACATTAATTGTATGTTTTAGAAACGAATTCTCGGGCGCTCTGACTGGTCTCACCCGTGTCAGGCGTTTCCAACAAGACGACGCCCACATCTTCTGTAGAAAGGATCAGATCGTGCAAGAGATCGACGCTTGCATTCAGTTCTTGAATCGAGTCTACGTTGACATTTTTGGCTTTACCTTTAAGTTAAACCTTTCCACAAGGCCCGAAAAGGATTATTTGGGTGATATCGACACTTGGGACAACGCCGAGAATCAGCTGAGAGAAGCCTTGAACAACTCTGGATACCCATGGGCTTTGAATCCAGGAGATGGAGCTTTCTACGGTCCTAAGATTGACATTACGATCCATGATGCTCTGAGACGAGCACGTCAGTGTGCTACCATTCAGCTTGATTTCCAATTGCCAGAGAGGTTCAACTTGCATTATTACAAGTAGGTTGCTCAATTTTGTAATTTTATAGTACGACCGAACTTATAAAATTGTAAAAACATCTTACATTTGTCATTTAGTGATAAGGGAGAGAAAGAACGCCCTGTCATCATCCACCGTGCCGTTCTGGGATCAGTAGAGCGAATGACAGCCATTCTGATCGAGAACTTTGCTGGAAAGTGGCCCTTCTGGCTGTCTCCACAACAAGTCAAGGTCATCATTGTACACAAGAACTTGACCGAGTACGCTGAGAACGTCAGAAAACAGCTGTTCGAACAAGGATTCGAAGTCGACTTTGACCCAGAATGCCCAGATACCTTCAACAAACAAGTCAGAACGGCAGAAGTTGCACATTACAACTTCATCTTGGTCATCGGAAACCAAGAAGCCACCAATGGAACAGTCAACGTCAGAACGAGAGGAGGAGCGGTAAGTTAACTACTTGATTTGTTTCTTCAAAATTAAAATTTAAAAAACAAATAAGTGAGCAAGGGTTGATAACACTATTGTTGTTACAGAAGTTTGGCGAAGTCTCTGTGTCCGATCTGATCAAGAAATTCCAAAGATTCACCGCCAACTACACCCGTGAAGCCGAAAGCCCTGAGGAGTTTAACCGTGAATAATATGAAAATTGTTGATATTGGTATTGTTTTTGTCCCTGTTTTGTTAATTATTCTATAAAGTGAACAATCTGTTTAAGAATAGCTAACATAACTTTATTCACATATACATAGCTAGCCCGCCCCCGACTTGAACTCTCTTTATGGCTTTGTCTTTCTCAAACTCTTCGCTGACACATCCCATTGGACCTTTGTATTCAGAATCACACGAACTTTCGTAGTCCACCGTAGTCATTGAGTCAACGTACTTCAAAGTGGCGTCTGAATATTCACTTTCGGTCGCTTTCTTCTCTCTGATAACTCTCTAAAATACGATGATAACTTGGGTAACAAATGAAATTTCAATGTAAGATGTTACCGCGGTAGCAGTAACTTGTTAACATACTTGGCTTCTGTTTGAAAATGGTTTGACCTCTTTGGAGATTTTCTTTGGCGGTTCATTGTTGTTTAGCCATTTCTCTACTCGGGTGGCCTTGTTCTCTACCTCCCTTGGTGGTTGTGCATTCCTTGATTTCCTGAAGCCATAAGTTGAAGCTACAACACGGAATGAGGTATCAGTGCCTGCAGAGCTACGTTCGGTATGGTACGATGAAGCGGAATCTGTTTCTGATCGCAAAGATGGTTCATCTGAAAATATTTTTAATTATGAATTTCAGTATTTAATCAATATTCGCAAGATGTAAACATACTGGTGTTCTTCTTGGTTTGTTTGTTTTCCACTTGGTCTATCAGAAGATCCACGATGGGAGGTCTGAAACAGCATATAAATTACATAAACCTGTTTATCATAAAACTGTAATCACTAAAGGATTAATATAACACCTACCTGTAGCTAACCATCTGATTGTCGACGTAGTCGGCGTTGGCAAAGTCCAGTTTGATCTTGAGACGAGCATCAGTTTGGTCGGCCTTCAAGTACGTCTTCACGGCTTGGCTCACGGCCTTCTTGATCTTGTTTTGGTCCTGAATTGTGAATTGTTGATCGTACTCATTGAAAGAAGTGTTCGAAGTGCCCGACATAGTAATATGCAGCCCAGGAACCGCCAGTTACTACCGATTTTGAACAAAAATGGCATGTTATAAAATGAAAAAATGACCTAAAATGAGCAATTTTAAAATTTTAAAATTAAAAATCCGACAAGTTTCAAAGAACCTGTATTTTATTTGTCATGCGACGGCAACAAACGGTCGGAAAGGTATTTTCGGCTAGTTCTGTTAACAACTTGTCCTATTTTCGAAACCAATACGATTCGGCTAACAAGCGCTCACGCTGTACTAGAACAGCACACCAGCGTAGACAGACTGACTGTAGAGTGCGTATGGGAGCTGGCCAAAGCAACTCTTCAAGTGGAAGGTAATCACCTATTTCTACAATTACTTAGGTTTACTCAAGTAATATATCATACAATTGAAGTTTTAGTCAGTCCGAGGAGTTCTCCGAATGTGAATCCAGTCCTCGGCCGCGAACGCCGTCTGTAAGAACGGCGGAACCTGTGAAACCTCGCTACGCACGGCGTGGCTTTACCAACCTCGGCAACACTTGTTTTCTCGGTGCTCTACTGATGGCCTTGTCAGCCATACCAGAATTCCGGCAATCCCTTAACATTGTTATCAAGCTCCTCGACCGATACGAAAGGAAAGCAGACGAAATGTCAAGTGTAAGATACTGTAATTTGAACTTAAATTTTATATATAACATCTTAACCTGTGACGTCTAAAAAGTTTTAAAATTTGCATTGTTTATCAAACACACAACTACTACACTTCATAATCTCTTGAACCTTATAGTGCTGATCCATCCTTGTTTTAGAGAGTATCTCTGCAGACTGAACTGATTTGGGAGCTCTTGCATATCCTCGACACTCTAAAAAAGACAGAGATTGCTCCATCAGCCAAGGATTTGTACAAAGTGATAAGCAAACTGAACCCCGGCCTGGGAGGAAAACAACAACAAGATGTACACGAGTTGTACATCATGATCATGGACTGTATGGAGTGTGTCTGCAAATGGCTGGACGAACAAATGAAAAAGGACGGGAGGTAAGGTGAATGAGAAGGAAACTATTGATATATCCTGGTATATTATATTTATAAGCCCAAATCCTCCAAAAAACAGTAAATCAAACAAATTCTTGCAACACAATGCCAGTTTTGCCTATTTGGCAGCATTCAAAAATAAAACAATTTTTTGTCCAAATTTTTATAATTATATTCTAGCTATGTTAGCCCTTTATTTGAATCGACCACCTTCTACTTTTGCACTCAGCGACGGATCAAGTGTTGTGAATGTAAGAACGAGAGTAGATCTCGAGAACCGACCGTGGACGTCAGTTTGGAGCCTCCAGAAGTCGAGAATTCTGATTGGAATCCGTTCAAAGGTTGGGGACGACGTCTAGACTTTTCTGGCCAAAACCAGTACAAATGCGACAAATGCAACAAGAACGTTGACGCACGGCAGTACACGGAGATGGTGAATGCACCTAATGTGCTGGTCGGACATTATCATGTGTTTGAAAGTGGGTTTTGCTTGTTTTTGATGTGTTTTCACTATTTTTGATTTTCTACTTTTTGAGATGTTGCCTTTTATATCTTTATTACCAAGTATAACATACAAGATATGCAATAATGTAAGCTTTCAGTGGTAGAATACGAAGGTGACATTTGTTTGAGGAAACGCCCAAAAGCACCATTTCCTGCGGAGACTATTAACATGACTGATCTGTGTCTAGACGCAACTCTAAAACAAGATGACATCCCTGGCTATGTACTGTGCTCATTGGTTATCCACATTGGGGGAAATATGCACTATGGACATTACATAGCCGCAAAGAGAATTAAGGGAGATGAATGGATCATATATGATGATAGAACGGCTCACGAGACTACAACTAAGCACTTGATGTAGGTATCGATATTTTATGTTATGAATTGTTTGATTTGAGGTGTTTATGGCTGTAACTTTTCGATATTGTATTTTTTAGCTAACAGAGTATAAAAGATGCTATTTTTGGCCGTAAACTGTGCAGTTTTTGCTTTTATTTTTCTTTTACTTTTATACGTTTATAACTTTCTAACCTTTAATTCTAGTATAACGTATATTCACAAAACTGATTTCAGAGAAAATTCAAAATGTTTCACTCCGTATCTTCTGTTTTATCGTCGGCAGAATCCACCGATCACGCGGAGAAGTACGGCTGGCTGGGAAATTACAGTACCCTCGACTCCACCACCACAGTCTCTACCAAAGATACTAAGCGATGTATCTTTGAAGGACAGTTCGAGTAATAGCAGCATCAGTCTGCTGAACTGGTGGTCGTTGAAGGAGGAAGGCTCCGTGTCCTATTACTTTTCCTGTTTTAAAAAGTATTTGTATTGAACAATAAAGAGCATTAATAGACGTAGTATTATATACAACAGTACTAGTATACTGTGGTATTATACCTGACTTTACTCTTACAAAACTATTTTTTGCATTTTTAAGACAAGATGGAGCTAAAAAGACGTTAATTTTTGATCTGCACCGTGCACTCTATTAAATTTTAATTATCGTGCAGTCTTGACTCAATACTCAAATGGTGGAGGACATTTGAGTATTTTGAGTCATTTTACATACATAACAAGTGTTTTCAGTTCTGGTCAGCAAACTTTAACCTTTGGAAGTGATAACGATGTAAATATATGTTGAAATGTGGATTTATAAACATAAAAAGATTTCTAGTCAATAATCAGTTGGCCGTGTTCTACATAATGTTATGCATAAGTAACCGGAAACCATTACTGTAATTTGATGACGCAACAATTAGAAGGCCAATATTCCCAAAGACCAAGCGACTCATCATGTAATAAAGTTACAAATGAAAAGTAAGCCATCAACGACCAAGCAACAGTGGGTCTAAAGAACGAGGTTAATATTCAAAATGGAGATGAGATTCTCTGTGCCAATTAAATATTAAACATGATACGTCCAATCGAAAGTACGACGGAGGCCTTTAATTTAAACGTCTCTGGATTAAATTTAAATTAATTAACCCTTCAGGCGACTGTTTGATTAGCTAGCCCTTCATGCCGCCGTATACTTTGTAACCAGGCTACGTAGGCTTATAGTTGTTGGTCTTTTATAAGCTGTAAGTTTGAAATGTCATAAGTTTTTATTTTACAGCTGCTTGTGTTCTACCTTATACATGTCACACTTTATACATGATATAAGTCCCAAATGCCATACTTTGTACAAGTTATAGGTTATATATGGTATCATACAATCTTATGCCTTGTACACGTTATCCTTAAGCCCGGAATCCCTATCTTATTTGCCACAATCGTGTCGTATCATGAAATATTTATATATTGTTTTTGCTTATGCTTATGCGTTCCAAATTTTATTAAATCTAATTGGTTGCAACCTAATATAGTTAGCGACAGGCACAAACTGATGATATTAATAGCATTATCTTTAGTTTAGAGATAATGCTATTAGTTACAGTGTAAGACTGTTAATACTAGTTACTGAAAAGGTTTTGTCTATGATAAAAAGGTTAAGTTATTGGTAAACGTGTGTCTTTTAGTTTTTGTCCAAGCCAAATGGGCGGTCTAGTCATAGGGAAAAAGGTAGGAAACTGCCAGTTTTGGAGGGGGGTCTAACTAACAACTACAACTATCTCTGCATTTGTAAAAAGTTTTTTTGTGAAAAATTTTTCCTTTCTAATCCACCCTCAGGGTCCTTTCTAAAAAATGGAAGTAAAAATTAGGTAACAAATTTCTTGGATTCGTAACGGAACAGACCATAGATAAGGCGGAATAATAATATTACTCCTCTGGACAGCACAATGTCAGTAGAAGTTGTTACATGTTGTTAATGACCCTTTAAATATAACTTTCCCTCGCCCCAACCCCGTTCCAAGAACTTTTGTAAACGCGTCTTCAGAAGGCCGTGAAAACGATGTTTTGGCACGGAATTCTTTTCTCAAATATGCAAAATAAAACCCTTTCATCGCCGTAAATAACGAGCCTTCTGCCCCTTACTTGTTGTTTATTAGCAGCTACAGGGAACTTGCCGCAGCTCAGATGTCTCCAACACTGTAGCCACAGTTTCTGATTTTGTTTTCCCGCCCCTCCGAACACATCTCCTTCGGGCCGCCACTTCTCGCCGTATGTATATCTCTCACATTTAATTAGACGAGCCGCGTCTTCTGTTATGACTTATCTAAAACAATTGTGGGTAAGTGTTGAATCGCCTACCATAACACCCTAATCCCTCTGAATTGCGAGTGCTTAATTGGTTGTGTTAAAACTTGCCTCTCTATACTTGCCCCAATTTTGTTTTCGGGAATAATGTCTTGGATGCAGCACTTATGGAATTACTTCTTTGGCTCCGTATTTTGTATGTTTCCGCTAGCCGGCATCGGGCTCAACATCTACGTGCTGATCAAGCTCAGGAAGATAGCAAAGTAAGTGGCTATATTAGAATAGACACTCAAATGCCTATGTTAATATTGGTTTCATAACAGGAACGTGCTTAGGGAAGCCAAAAGGTTGTTTGTCACTAGGAACGATGACGTTCGTGTTCATCATATCCCAAAAACAATGGCATTCACGTTCGATTTGCTTTGCATGTCCTCAGTTTCTTGTGATAATGATAACCTAATTACAGTATGAATTCGTTCCGGTTCGAGACCTCTTCAGCCCTTCCATTGTGTGCCATGTCCATTTGTGACTCGATCTGTTTGTTGGCCTTGTTTTCCCAGGCCATGTTCCATGTCGGAATCCGAGCGTTGGCCCGGGAGCACTCCAGCCTCGGTGCTTCTCTATTTTGCAAAGTAGGCTAAACCCCCCCCCCTAATTATGCATGACAAGTTAAGAGTTACCTAAGCCTCGATAAACAAAAATGAATTCACATTGACGTAGGTAACGTCCAGATTACCAATCTTTACAAGTAAAAGACTATAGTAAACAAAGTGACACCTCTTCAGACAAATTCTATCAACTTTCAGGTTGATATGTACCTTCTACACACAACCTCAGCCTTCTCAGTATGGTGCTGGTTAATATTGTCAATTCTACGGTACACGGCAGTGTTTCATCCATTTAGGTATCGAACGATTTGGCGACAACCTAGAGATGCCTTGACTATTTGTGCCATTGTCATCGCATTATACGAAACATGGATATTGTACACAGTACAGTACCAAGACAAAACACAGAGTTGCAGCGAGGATAAACAAACAAGTGCCACTCAAGTATGTGTCCTTTATACTCATCAAGCATTAATGGATCTTAGGCTTGTCAAATATGTATATCATTATGCGCTTTCCCATCATTCGTTTTAAAAAGTACTTTTGTTTTAAAACAGTACTTAATAGTACGATAGTTCCCGAATAGTATGTAAATATCAATCCAACATAGTTTCACTTTAGACAGCACACATGATGGACATCTTCCTGTCGTATGTCATCCCGGCGTTTATTCGGATCGTGTTTGATGGGACTGTTCTCTGTCACTGCTACCGCCCCAACATGATAGAAGTCCCGGTGCTACAGCGTCGCTACGGTATCTCGGCTCCTTCTGGAGTGCCTCCAGTCACAGACCCCAACCAGCCTCTCAACATGAGTCTGGCGTTGACGTTGTCCAAACAAAACTCGTACAAGAACCAGTCACAACCCCTCCAGAAGAAGGCGTCCATGATCAAACGATCGCTTATCATATCAGTAGTCAACTTGTGCTGTAACCTCCCCTCACACATCCTACGAGCCATTCTTACGGTGGACGATACTCAGAAAACAATCCCCGACAGATGGATGATGTTGTTTGAAGGTATGTTTATAGGCATATTCGTCATAAATTATTCTTTCGTACATATTGTAGTAGGTGGTTCGACATCCCAAATCTTATATTTTTAGATGTATCTAATATGATTTAAAACATACTACATAAACAAAGCTGTTTTTTCAATTCATGAAAAGATCTTTAGTACCAATTGCGTTTCCTATAGTTGTTACCTAATTTGGTCCCTAACGCACGTCATTTAGGTGTCAGTCAACTGCTGTACTTTGGCCAATTCACGTGTAACGCCTTCTATCTAAGCACAACTATATACGAAACGTCCACAGTACCAACACGCCCGTGTCATATGCTAACCAAACAACAATCGAACTCGTCCACAATTACCACCACCAATATTCACAGACACAATTATTTCGCGGAGTATGTCTAATTAGAACAACACTTTTCATAACGGGTAAAAATAAATAACATACAGATGTCTAAATTAGGCTTGTTTTTCTTCAAAACTAATAGGAAAACCGGAAACGGTTTATAATTTGCGCAGTCTACAGCAATATGCAGCAAGTGGGGTTCCATCACACGTTCAATCCACTTTTAACAAAAAGGGAACTCAGAATGGCGGGTCGACCTGCGCCCAAATTATGAAATCTGCGCGTTTTTTACGTTACAATATTATACGTAAGCAGTGTAACTTAAAAACTACAATAGTAATTAACTATTCTTTTACACAATTTAAAGAAGACGCTATCAAGACCTCTGATAAAAAAAATAAGCCAAATTTATAAAAAACTTCGCAAGTTCTCACTGAAAAACCAAAAATTTGCACTGAAATTACGGTAAAACTACTGTAACTCGGTTTAAAAGGAAGATATCCAAAATCGTTCTACATGAATTGAAGGTAATGTAATTGTGTGTAACCTATGAAAAAATTAAGATCATACGACATTTGGTTCAAAAGTTCTCACTGAAACACCAAAAAAATTGCACTGAAATTACGGTAAAACTACTGTATCTCGGTTTAAAAGAAAGATATCCAAATTCGTTCTATACAAATTAAAGATAATGTGTTTTTACGTAAATTGTGATAATATGATGATCGTACGGCATTTGGTTCGCAAGTTCTCATTGAAAAACTAAAAATTTGCAATTCAAGTAGAACTAAATTTTTTTAATTGTGCAATGTAATGAAAAGGAGTCAATTATAATCAAGTTAACTACTGCTTAAGGCTTAAATTTTAATTTTTTTTTAAATTGTCAAAATATGCGAAATAAATGTCGATTAAAAGGTGGGGTTAGACTTGAGTAGGGCTGAAAAGGTCAGTCGTAGGGTAGAGTTGAAAAGAGCGGGCTTAAATCTTTTGCTTTCATTTACTTTGTGCTAGTTTGCTCAAAAACGAAATAGACTACTCAAATAAGACGAAAAAACATAAAACTAAAAATTCTACGTATTTATTGACCAAACTAGCAATAATAAAACGTTTTTTGTGACTAAAAGGCAGAAACTATTTGCAAAAGCAAGCGCTACAAATCACTTTCTGTTAGGTCCTGACACGAAAACAAACAAGCGCAAATAGTTGATTGGCATAGTGAGTCGCCGCTGCTCTGAGTTTCAAACGGACCGAACACGGCATCACGAATGATTGCCATGCTAAATTTGCTTGGCATTCCGTTCTTTATTTTATTTTCCAGAAATAGTTTGTAGTTTTTACGAAATTAACGTAAAGATGCTAAAGTCCTTGCTTCCTTTACGGCGTGTATTATCTAAACAAGTAGTCCCAGTCAATTTTTTTGCTACAGCAACACAACAGAACATTATACAGCCTTCTGCAGTGTGTACAAGGCCTAGAACTAAGATTACGACCTTACAATCTGGGTTTAGAGTTGCTAGTCAAAGGACACCTAATGATACTGCTACTGTAAGTTATTTTAAGTTATATTGTTATGATTTTAGGTGGGAGTATTCATTGATGCTGGTTCTCGGTTTGAAAACGCTGAAAACAATGGAGTGGCTCACTTTTTGGAGCACTTGGCTTTTAAAGGAACTGCCAAACGATCACAAACAAACCTAGAATTAGAGGTAGAGACGTACGGCGCACATCTGAATGCTTACACGTCTAGAGAACATACTGTATATTATGCCAAATGTTTTGTTCAGGATTTAGAACGAGGTAAGAAGATGGTGACAGAGTTTGGTTATGTTGATATTATTATAAAGTACGTGTGTTTTTTCATAAAAATATGTTTATACTATTATAAGAAAGTAATAAGTTATGTTTTGCAGCAGTTGAGTTGTTGTCGGACATATTGTTGCACAGTGTATATAGTAAATATCACGTAGAGAACGAAAAGCAGGTTATCATCAGAGAATCGGAAGAGATTGATCAAATCATGCAAGAAGTTGTGTTTGACAGGCTCCATCTTGGGGCATTTGACGGCTGTTCTATGGCCAGACCTATCCTTGGATCTATTGAGAACATCAAGTAGGTATTCAGTGTTATGTAACTATCTGTTAAAACATTTAAGTATAACATGTTGATTTTGTCAATTTAAATAAGTTGCAAATTATATTTTGAAATAGAAATTTAATATTTACAGAAAAATGACACGAGAAGATCTAGTCAATTATGTCAACACGTACTACAAGGGTCCAAAGATGGTACTGGCTGCGGCCGGTGGTGTTGACCATGATAATTTGGTTGATTTGGCAAGCAAATACTTTGGAGGAGTTCAAAAAGGGGATGAGAACGTTTTGAACTACGAAAAAGCCGTCTTTAAAGAATCTTATGTAAGTTGATTATGCCTTGTTTAATTGAAAGTGAAGTGATAGTATTTAATTGTGGAATTTTAGGAAATTTATGAAAAAAAGGACATGGAGCTGTGTTACGGTGTTTTGGCAGTGGAAGGCGTTTCCTGGACACATCCTTTGGGTTTGGCGTTTCAAGTCGTCAATGGGGTTAGTTTTGTTTACCTTATTTATATTGTTCATTGCGAATTTAGGCGATATTTTTTTTGAATTTTAATTTTTAAATTGATTGAACTTTTACTAAAAGCCACTTTAGCTAACAGGCAGTTTCGACCGAACCCGTGGCTCTGGCTTGACCATGCCCACCCCATTGGCTATCAGAATGGAGAAGGAGAAGACCGTAGAAAGTTTCTTATCATTCATAACCAACTACAAAGACACGGGACTCACCGGAATCTATTTTTCGACCGACCCTGGAGGCCTCAGGCCCATGATAAAAGCTATTTGTGAAGAATGGAACTATTTTCTGAGTAATATCGACGAAGCTTCTGTCAACTACGCCAAGAATATGCTCTACAACAATATGATTGTCGTCTTGGATGGCACAACACCCATTTGTGAGGACATTGGTCGACAATTGTTGTCTTATGACCGACAGATCAGCATACCCGAGTTGAAGGCTAGAATTGATGTAAGTTAATCTAGGTAACAATTTGAAAGGGTTATTGTTGTATATAACTGTTATAGAGCATTGGTAACTGTATTCTTATATATGGATACAGTGTAGTTGTTCTAAAGGATGATTACTGTATATTTAGGCACTGATTACTGTACTTTCAGGCCATCGACGTTCACACAATTCGAAAGCTGATGACAGATTTTTATTTCAATCGATCGGTCGCCCTCAACGTGATAGGCCCAACCGCCGGCTGTCCCTCGTTGAAGGAGATCAAACAATGGTTGTCTGTTTGAGTTGTTGTTATAGTTCTAAAATGATAAATTAGTTGTTCAAGCTCATAGTTTTCCGTCCTTTGATCCGAACTGGTTCAGCATGATGCTACCGGTCTTCCAGCGCTTTTGACGGTCCGGTCGAGAGCCTCCGCCACCGCGGAAGAATCCACGGTTCTTGGCCTTGAAGGCGTCGAAAGCACTCATTCGACGCATTCCAGATGGCCGACGGTGTCTGAAACAGTCACAAGCATAATATAGGGGACACATATAGTACTGTATTGGTTAAAAACAACGTAGAAAAGACCCAAAACATATATAGATGTAGTAGTTTTAAGAAGTATGTTACCCTGTAAGTGATGTTCTCCTGGAGCCACTGTCCATCGTGTCCCGAGACGAATCCCTGGCGTGCATGATGACAATCTCAGGCACCTTATCCTGAGCTTCTGATCCGTAGTCTGTCTCGGTTGGCGTCGAACTCGAGCTCTGTGCCACAATCGGATCTTGAGTCTTGGGTAGCTCAGAAGCCCGTATCTTAATCTCTTCTTTAGGCGCGGTACGGGTGCCGGGCCGTGGCACGGCGTGGTAAATATACACGTTCTCGCCACTCACACGGTGTTTCTCCATGTGATCAAAACGATATTTTTGCTCCTCAATAATTTCCATGGTGCGTCTGAAGATAAAGTATTTACTCGGTTTAATCGCAACAACTGTTAAAGGGGTGAACAATATTGTTATAAGAGAAGATCAAGAATTTATATCAAGGAGCATATCTAGTGTTTAGAATATCTAGGGAAGAACGTGTGCTAGTTTGGTCAAAAAGTTAATAGAAGTAATACAAGGCATACCGTTTTTGAAAAAATTAAACATTCTATGGACTTTTTGATCAAATAAGTATAGGAAAGATATCTACGAGATGACAAAAACCGGGGAAAGTGACATCAACATAACTATATGTCATAAGGGGAATAAACCAAAAGATGAAAAAACTAACACTATAACGTGTTTTAAAATTACAGTAGTCGTTGAAAAGTAGTGAAACATCCAATTTTTAAAGGTAACACAATAAAAACCTTTCAACAAGTCATAAAACCATAGTGATTCACAACTGCAACACAACTACTGCACGTAACACCATAACAGTACCTCAGAGCCGCATTTTTACCCCCGCTCGAGCCGGTGACCATCCAACCATCGCCGCTGTATATCGATTGCCCGGATCTAAAGAATTATTATGAGCCTGGGGGGAGGGCTGAACTGACATTATAGTGGAAGACCAGTAAGCCAAGAACAACATTAAAAGACCAGCGACAACCCCGATCGGGATGAGGGCACGGTTCATGAACGTGGTCACGGGGTCGAACCTCGGGTACTTTTCGCGACTGATGATGTGCCATCCAAGGCGATTGGTCAGCTCGGCCGATTGCGAGCGCAGAATCTCTGAATATCAAGGTTATAGGTAATGAAACAAGGTTTAGTTTATTGTACATTCAATTTGGCTTTGTGGGTAGTTAAGGTGATTATATTTTATCGACTAAAACAAGATTTACCTGTGAGGATTTTGGTGGACAACAACGGCTTCTCTATTTTTTTGCCGATCACTTTTGCTTCGTGAGGTAACACAATGTAGAATCTGAAGATCCCGATTCTGTTGTCTCGCTTCGGAAACCCGTCCAAAAGCACCACCAAATGCTTGTTAAATTGTACCCTGAGGATGTAATCTTACCATAAGTTAAAGATCAGCTTTAAAAACAAGGTTTTTGGAAATATAAGTATAGTTGTCATTTTAAAACTGGGTAAATGTTTAATTTCAATGATTAATTTTATAAACATGACCAACTTACGATTTTTCGAGTCTACAAGCAGTAGCATTCTTACAGTACCGATTTGTCATCCTGACAATGGCATCTTTGAAAGGGTCGATCAACTCGGTCAAGGGCGTCTCCTGACAGTAGGCCATCTTAAAGCCCGCCGACCAATCCATCAAATTTAATTCTTTAACATTATGTTACAGTACTTTTTAAGTCTTTCCTTACAGTAGTTTAATAAGTAACTGCTAAGAGTTTGACCAAAAATCAAATAAAGAAGCTATAAAGCTAAAGTGGCAAAAACAATCAGTTTAAAAACTATTTGACAAGCCGACATTTTATTCTAGACACGAATGCTACAGTACCTACCCTGTAATGTTCTGTCCATGGCCGAGAACTGGCCCTGTGTTACAGTGGCCAAACATAACAGGAATATCAATAATAACATAATTGCTGGTCACATAAACCCTGAACACTGGGCCTTCTATATTTTTCAATGGATCAAAGTGGCACCTGCTTCTCTTTTGCTGGCAGGCTACTAAACACTTGGCCATCGGCCTCGTAAATCCCCATTTCAAATTAAAAATCGGACGTCCAAGTCAATATACCGTTTATTATACAAATAGACATACTGTTAATTAATCACAGGCAGTTAAAATGTGAATTAGTCCGTGCCCGTCAGCTCTTCACGTAAAGTCTGAAAAAAGTTTAGGTAACAAAGTTATCAATTTGAATAAAACATTCAGATTTCTAATTTATAAAACTCATAGTCTCCTAAAAACAATAGATTGTAAAGTACCTGAACATCTTCTCGAAGCCCGGCGATCTCTTCTCTGCACTCCTTGATGAATCGATCGTACCCTTTATATCTCTGAGCGAAAGTGTTATGTTCGGGGTCCAGATTCATTCTCCAAGCACTCTTCTTAAGCCTCTTCTCCTCTAATTTGTTATCAACTTCCTCTAACTAAACATAAAGATAAACACAATGTAAAACAGCATGCCAAACCCGTTAAGGAAGTTTTCAATACTATCATAGTTACACTACACTTACATTCATGTTTTGCTTCAACTCCTCAAAACATCCGTCCATTTCGCACTTAAACTCGAACATCGCAGTCTTCCTCAATTCACTACAACTATTTTTGGTAATTTTGATCTGGCAGATCTTCTTGATATCGTCCTGAAGGTTCTCCGGCAACATAGCCTCACTAACAACAGCATTCGTGATATTGTCAAACAACTTCTTCACGTCTTCCACTTTTTTCTTCATTTTAGAGTCAAATACAACGTCTTATCCGTGGCCACGGCCGTGGAGAATAATAAAAATAAAAAAGAAATTATTTTTTCGTTCAAGAGAAGCTTTTTCCGCCTAAAAAAATCCGCAGCCTGCCAAATGCTAGCGCAGCCTGCGGTTTCTTTTATATATTACGTCATCGGAAATACAAAAAATATGTCGATAACAAAATTTGGATTATAATTTTGTTTTTGTGATTTTATATCGATTAAAATAACCTTTTTTTAAACATCAAAGTTTTTTTATAGATAGTGGGAAATGTAAAACAATGCGTCACGATGACGCATTTTATAAATTTGCGAAATAAAATAAATTTCACAAAGATTTTCTTGTTTTTCTAAATTTGTTGAATATTTCTTGTTGATTGTTGTCTGTTGAAGTTTGTTATGTCAAGATTGTGCATCAAATGTAAGAAACCAGGAGAATATTGCTCTTTGGAGACTACTAAAGTATTGTTTTGTGGCGATTGCTATTTGGAGAGTATCAAGCAAAAGTTCAGATCGGCCGTGAGCAAGTCTAAACTTTTCAAGCGACAAGGAACAACGAACATTCTTGTTGTAGGTTTTAACGATGTCAGAACTTCGGCTTTGCTCAAACTGATTGATGAATCTTATGATGAACGAAAAGCTGGCTTTCTTAGTCCAAAGGTAAGATAAACGCTTTCAAACTTCATCTTTTAGGTCTATTATGTTGACTTTTCGGGCAATGAAGGCAGCCAAACGTTAGACAAGGTTGATGGAGTAAATATTGTGAAGGTTTCTGCTGTCCTTAACGAGTTTTCAGGTGATTCAAATGTAAGTTTTGCAAGTCGTTTTATGGATTCTTTGTTTAGGCTGCATCTTATGCAAATTTGAAAAGATATCTACCAGATAATGCTTCTTTGAAAGACGAGGTGGATAGACTGATGTTTGACTACTTTATTTATCATTTGGCTGAGAAGTTGGGAGTTAATATTGTGTTCACATCAGAGAATGCTGAACTAATAGCTCAGAAAACACTTAATGTTACCTGTATGGGCAGAGGTAGGACTTTTATTTATTTTGAGTTTTTTTGGCAGTTTCAAATTATTTTTAAAGCATTTACATTGTTTCAATTTTAGCTGAAATGATTCCCTTTGTAACGGATGTCTTGGACGATCGTCATTCGTCGATTAGTATAGTACGGCCGTTGAGGAACATCACAAACACTGAGATTGCGTTTCTAACTGGAAAACTACCTTCTACTGATTATGGATCGTCAGTTTCATCTAAGTTTCTCGAGAATCTGGTTTCCCAAGGATACCCTGGTACTGTATCTACCGTACTCAGCGTTGCCAACAAGATTCAAGTTAAAACCGAAGAAGAAGAAGATAAAAGAAGCTCGGAATGTTGGCTGTGTAAACAGAGAAGTAACAGTGATCAGTGCCAAGGATGCTCAAGTTTTATATCACAGATACCTCAAAGAGACCTATTTCTGAAAGCGTTTAATCGCGGAATAAAGCAATAAGTCAAGCAGTAATGGGAATGTTTATGTTGTTAGTTTTCAGCCGACTTTTGACTTCCTTTGGTACGATTTGGACATGCGGATCTGTTCCCGACTCCCCCCGACGCCAGTTTCAAGTTCTTCTCGAGATCGTCGTCTTCTCGTCATGCCTGACTTCTTTTTCTCGTCTTCTTTACTGCCACTCGGCTTTACGATGGAGTTATTGGCATCTGAAGCGTCTACGGATTGGTTCAGGGGTTCTCCGCTCATGGTTTTGGTGCTTTTCCGGTTCTTTGTCTTCTGACTGTGCTTTGGCCTGAAATGTTATTGGCAGTAACTAGATTTGTTTGCAACATTGTAATTATAGTTTACGTGTTTATCGAAATAGTAAAAGGCTGTCAGTTAGACACCGTCTCGTGTTATTAAGCTTACCCAAACTCGATCATATCTTTGAAGGAGGGAATGTCGTTCACGAATTTGCCGTTGGTTCTCTTTTTGTTTGCCGTGAACAACTCGTTGAAGTAGACGTCTGTAAGTAACGGTGCTCCATGATGTCGTGATTTGGGATTGTATACCAATATCTTCGACAGGAACTCTATGTGCTCTTTTGGAACGTTGAGTAGCTAAAACCGTATTTTATCAAAATGATTCACCGCCAATTCTTTGTCGATTTGATGATTTTTCAAAGGATTACTAGTCTTCAATGAGAAAACCATGCTTACATGAGTGAATCCTCTTGGCAATACCTGTCCTCCATCGAGGCGAGTGCACGATCTCATGGACAGCAGTTCCTCGCAGCCCGGTGATCCAAGAGCCTCGATTACCAATCGGAGCTGGTGTTTGGTATCTCTCCCGGGAAAGAGAACATGCCCTCTCAACATCTCCCCCAACACACATCCACCTGACCAGACATCTACCAATGGTGAGTAATATACAGCGTCGAGAAGTAGCTCGGGAGGACGGTAGAAGCGAGTAACTTGGTACGCCGTGGATTCAACGTTTGGCTTCATGATTTTGGCAGATCCGAAATCACCGATCTTGAGCATTCCTTGTTCCGGGTCTATCAGAATGTTCTGGGGCTTGATGTCACGGTGACATATGCGCTTCTGAAAATAGTATGTAAAAAGATATTGTGGTAAATGACAACTTACTTTCATTAAAAAATAGAGACCGTAGAAGAGTTGCCAAGTGTAGATCTTGATGTCAACGATGTTTAATGGATGGGCTAGCGATTTGACTTGGGAATGTAATGTGGCTGGCATAAAGTCGAATATCATACTTTCACAATACTGTAACAAAATGTTATTTTAGCTCATCTATTGTGTTCACTGTCTAGTTATAAATTCATTCAAACCTACCCGTCCATCTGGGGCTTTTGTTTTGAAGGAGAACAAGACCTGCACGATGTTCAGATGCTTTTCTTTGGAGAGCTCCAATAGCATGACAACTTCGAAGTTCTTGTGGCCATCTTGGCCTGGATCAGGCCACGTCTTTTTGACCGCTACTTCACGTTTTGGCAGAGGCTCTAATAACGTTCCACGATAGACATTGCTAAACACTCCTGATGAGTGTAGCCTCAACTTGCACATCTTTACCTAAACTTTATAAGGTGAACACAAATTTATTTTTAATCACTTCATCTATTATTTTACATTGATTATACGTAATTTCTGTTCATATAATATCAGTTTGTCCGGAAAAGAATGTTAGAAAATCGCACTGTCCCTGGGAAAATCGCGCTCTTTTTTATACAACTGCACCATGCAGATTCCTCCGCGATCGCTTGCAGCCCCAAACGATAAGAGAAAGGATGCACAGTGCATGCCCCCAGTTGTCGCACTGATCGGTTGTCGCAGGAGTCAGGGGACTTGCGACAATCAAAAAAATCTTGTCGCAAACCTTCCATTGAACACAGTGGTGGCTTGAGCGTTGCGACAATCGCGACACGCTGTCGCATCGCCCTTTAAACCGCGATGCGAGAACTTGTCGCAAGGTTTTGCACCATATTGCGATTCCTCTTTCGATGTCGCAGGGTGCAAGCGAATGTCGCACGACTCGCTGAATGTCGCGCGACGTCCCCCGATTCTGGGCGCGACAGCGATTCCTCCAAATTGGGGTTTGCGATTTTGTCTAATTCTTTAGTGGAAAGACTGATAGGTAAGCCAGGCCTAATGGTAGAGGACCCTTACCGTAATTGGAGTCTCTGAAGGCAGCTCCATGGCTTCATATTGGTGAAAAGGCGGAAACATGTTGGGAAATCGACCGACCAGGACGAGTAACGGTGATACAGAATAATAAAAGCAACCATTGCTACTTTTTATTTTGACACAAATTTAGAAATGGAACTTTATTTTGCATTTTCTGTGTTGTACGATGCAAAAGTGACGAAAAGGAAGTACTGGTCCTCCGAAGTGCTGCAACAAACTGGTACTTCAAATTGAATAAGGCAACTTTTTTATGATTTGATATCAAAGTAATAAAAGCAATTTTATGAGTTTGATGCAAAAAAGTAACAAGGAAGATACTGTTACCTACAAAACGTTTAAAATTGTAGCTTTTTACAATTTTAATATTCTAGCTATAATAGAATTATATTATAGTTGCGAAATGGTTTTCGATAACAAGCAGGCTGATGGCTACAAATCAGAACCTTACTGCTTTATTGGATACTTGAACTTTGAAGTACTTGACATTGTAGGTGATGAAGTTAAAACTTTGTCCCATACAACTTCGGATGAAAGCACTGCCATCTGCTTTCTTTTCATATTACTCTTTACAATGAGAAACTACTCTAGTATTATATCAGAAATAATTTCATATATCGCGGCAATTTATTTTTCATTATAACATGTTTAACTAGTAATAGGTATAGCTGGCAGAGCTAGGATAACATGTAATATTTTTAGCTTTGAAAAGTTGAAAGTTCAAAACTGTCCAAATTGTATTTGTTTTACAAGAAAAAGTCACCTCGTTCGAATACGTTGTATTTACTCTGTCATGTTACAGAAAGGGAGAGTGATTGATTGTTACAAATGATTGTTACTGCTTTTCTCCTTTTACGTTAATATTATTTGCAAAAATTATCAAATTATTTTATTTTTCGTAACTTTTCAAAGATCTGGGTCAAGGTTTTGGGGAGATAACGAGTCTGACCATGTTTTACAGAGTCTTCATAGACAATATCAATTCTGCTTTGTACCTTGAGAACCTCACATTCCCTTTTTTTTTTATCAATCCTCAAGTTATTTTCAACATTCTGCTAAATTTTCAACAGAGCTAATTAGCCCTTATCAACGCTTATCACAACTTGACAATTGGCACGTTTCTTGCTCGTTCTTGTGGTATTTAAACGATCAAAGTGAATATAAAAAGTATTGTTTGTTTACAATCGTGTCAGATCTCGGGCTCCCGGGAGTGAAGTCACTTCTCGTCTCTGAAACATTGTTGTAGTTGCTACAACTAATTAGAAGACATTGTTGTAGTGGCTATATTGTTGTTGGTATTATACCATAATTTGCTAAGGTTGTTGTGACTACCACTGTTTTAACAGTGTAACCTTGTTATAACAATATGTCTTCAGACAAGGTGACACATTACTCCACCATGGATCTACCGGCCGATGACAAGCCAGCTCCACCTTCAGGATCCTTGGCCCAAAGAGCTTGGACCGAGATCAAGAGGTGGCAAATCAGAATGGAGCTGGTTATCTTGGCCATTTCTATCTGTGACACTGCCAGAATTGTAATTACCCCTACTCTGATGTTGAGGAAGGTGAGGAGAGTCTACAATGCTTCAGAATACGAGGACGATCCAGCTGATTACGATAAGTTCTACACCAAACAAATGGTCATCTGGGAGCAGAACTACACCTACGTCAACTTGCCTTTGGCTATTGCTGCTACTATCTTCTTCGGTATGTAGCTAATGATACTTGGGGATGTATTAGATCTCAAATCTCTCTGCTTATATTGTTTTTGGCACAATATTTTAGTTAAAAATAATGGTGCCAAACATACTTTTTACTGTATTTAGGAGCCTACAGTGACAGAAGAGGAAGAAAACTGCCGATGATAATGGGTCTGCTAGGAATGTTCTTGGGTAACATGTTCTACATCCTAGTCTGGTGGCCAACCACTGATTGGGCCATGCAATGGATCTTCTTGGCCGCCGTTCTCAATGGATTAACTGGAGGCTTCAGAATCATCACAGGTTCCGTCAACGCTTACCTATCTGATCAATTTACGGTCAAGAAAACTGTAAGTTATCCTTTACTGTAGACTCATCTACCATCGTGATAAAAAACAATTTAATTTTGACATTTTGCAGCTGTCCTTCCGTATGATCATTACCTACACCATCCTCAACATTGGCGACTTCATCGGTTCCCAGATGACCAAGCGAATCAGTCGTCAATGGAGCGAGATCATGGCCGCCTTCATCATGCAAGGCATCAACATTGTCGTGCTTCTGTATGTCATCTTCATCGTGAAACCGGTTGGCACCAGAGACGAGAGTAAACAAAGTCTAACAACCATAGCCAAGGATGCCTTCTACTCGGTCTGGTTGTCGGCCAAGGTGGTGGTACGGCCACGTGAAAACTACTGTAGATGTCTGTTGTTGCTGACCTTCTTCTGTGCGTTGGTCAATCGGATAGCGTTCAGTGAGGAGAAGGCCCTGATTGGAACCTACACCAAGTTGTCGCCCTTTAATTGGAAGACGCGTGACTTTGCCGATTACAAATCTTACAGACCTTTTACTCGTAAGTTGGCTTGTGACAAGTCTAAGATAACTAAACTACTCATTTTGAAGCATTTTACATGTAACAGTTTTAAAAAACCTTTTTTTACAGAAGTTCTCGGACTTTTATTCGGTCTTCTGGTACTGAAACGATTACTGAAGCTGAGAGATGCTACTGTCCTTATATTGGCCACGATTTCAATGGGCTTAGACTCGTTGTTCATTGGCTTGGCTCAGTCATCTACATTGATATACGTTTCACTGTGTGCCGGATTCTTACACGCTTTAACGAATCCCATGCTTTACACTGTCTACAGTTGTCTGGTCGATGCTAATGAGGTAGGTTATAATTGACATTTGTGTTCAAAACTCATTGCAATGTCATAAGTAGGTGTAGACGTGTATAAAATTATGTATAAGTATCCAAATGTAATCAAAACTTATTTACAAATCGAAATACTGACGTATGTTATTGTAGACCGGTCGAGTGTATGCAATGGACTCGATCCTGCATAATGTGGGTTACTTCTTCAAGACAGCAGTTCTCCAGACACTATATGTTCATACTGTCGATTGGTATCAAGTAGGTCATTTACATATATTAGTATACAAGACATAAATATAGTATGTTCAAATGTCATTCTATAGTGAAAACGTGATTACACTGTAATTTCAGGGCTTTATCTGGCTAGTGTTGTCATCGATGGCTTTGGTCTCTGCATTTGTCTTTGGTGTGATACATTTCATTGCCAAAAGATACGGCGTTGGAGAAGACTAACATAATCTCAGTTTACTTGTTGTAAATACCTAATATAAACCATGATCTTGAAAATAAATCAAATTGATATTACACTTTAAGATAAGCATGGTTCAAACAAGTGCGGTCAAAGGTCAAGCAGATATTAATCAAACCGTTTCCAGTTAATAATAGATAACATTTAAGAAGTATCACACGCAGGAAGTGTACTACATAACAAATTAAACTTTCTACACAATATTCACATAACAGAACAAATATTTATTCATCAAAGTAATAATAGTATGTTTAACAACAATAATTAAAAGATGGCTGCTGTAATAATACCCGTGGTATGTCAATGTAAATTTCTTAACAACTACTTCCCAATCCAGCCTATCACCTTGTTGAACAAGGTCCGTTTCGCTGCAGTTATAAACTCATCTCGAGTGAATTGGTCGAAGATAGAAGGCTCAATGTTAGGTCGGTCGATGAATGGGAAGGTTCTCTTGATCAAGGTAGACTCTGGACACAAAGCTGACTCGTTGTGATGCCCTCTCCTCAACGAACACAGTAACTCTGCTTTACAGGCTTTGTCACAATGATAGTCATCTCTACGGGCGTAGTTCCTGTAAGTCGCATATTGTTAAGAGTTAAAAAAGTAGTTTGGGAGTAAAGAATAATCAAAGAATTGTTGATTTTACATATTTTGGAACAATATTGTACATGGTAGTAAAACATACTTTAAAAACTTTCTGTAAAGTTGTTTATCTCCACGGATTCGCTCTCCCAGGTGGCTCCAGCTGGCTGCAGACAGATCAGGAAGATTGTACTCGTCCTGAAAATACCATTTTTAAAAATAAGCTTATTATGAAAAAAATAACACAACCTTTTCAAAATAAATAAAAATTACCTTCGCCGAATACAGTAACTCCCAATCTGGGTTTGGATACGGTTGAGTTCGACTCAAATTCAAAAAATAGGTTTTGAAGTCCAGCACCTCCTAAAACAAGATTACGTCACAAAGTGACCGTCATATTACCTTGCTAATTTTAAATTACAGGTAAAACAATTAAAACAGTCAGACTAGATATTAAAATGTGGCTAATAAGCTTCTATACACACTCTAAAACACTATTTGTAAAAGTCCTTACATAAGTACTGTGCTCGTAATTTCCATCAATTTCATAAATTCTGTACGCTGGGTTCAATGCCTCAAACGTGGTGACACTAGGTGCAGAGTACAGTACATTGGTGGGTCTCGAGTGGAAATTGTTCATGTTCTCGTAGAATACGGTGAACGAATCCGTGTGCACATGGCCAAAGAATTGGGCCCTAATTGTGTACTCGAACCTGTTCACAATCCTGTAGTAGTTTCGTGCCCATCCTTCTAAACATTCACCATCGCCTGGAGGGATGTGAGCCATGATATGAACTACAACACCTTGATCTTCTGCTTCCTTCAATTCTTCGACCAACCATTGTAAGGCACTGTCTGGGTCTGTTTGGTTTATGTAGACAAAGCTAAACCAAAGTTCTTTAAAATTTTGAAAATATAGCTATAGCTACAAAGCTAAAAAATCAATAAATAATTTGACACTTCGCAACATTTTACCCAAAACAATACAAATATTCAAATTGCCGTTTTTACTCCCTATTCAACTAAAATTTCTCTTACAAGTTAGTAGTTTCGCAGAAGTTGGTGTTCAAGTTGACCAACTTCAGTTTTTCCGTCAGCTTCACACTAAAAGATCCTCTGAAGTTGGCCGAAGCCAATTGCTCTGGCGGAATCCACTTGGCTCCAGCATCAGACAATGATTTATATATCCAGTCTGGCCAGAACTTAGTCGGCATTGTATGAGGAGCAAACGAATTGACTGGCACACCTTCGTGGTTACCTACACCCCAAAAGATGGGGGTGTCTGGGAAGTAGGTGTTGACAAGTTGAGTTAGGTTGGAGATGATGTACAGATGACTGTCCTTGTTGTACACCCAGTCATTGTGAGGCATATAGTCACCGGTTAACATAATGTAGTCTATCTTTTTGTCCGCTTTGTGCTGAATTTGTTTTAGATAACATACACACACAACTATATCACTTACATTGTATATAAGTCATACCGTAACAAACACTCACCATTTGTGTTCTAGCAATGTGAGCGAACATACTTTCCACAGTGCGCAATGGTATGTCGCAAGCTGCCAGCGTTCCCCAATAGCCAGCCGGCTTTTTAGGTAACAGTTCAGGCTTTCCTTGGCAACAAACCGGCTTCCCACAATCAGCTTCAGTGCCATTCTCATACTCGAAATCAAAGTGAAGATCAGACAGTTGAAGCACTCTGAAGACCGGACGATTCTTGGAGTCTTCTGATGGTCGATTTCTGGCCGCGTGTAATCTTACTGGTCGATCTTTGTAGATATCAGGCTTTGGAGGTAGAGGTAATGTCCAGTTGCCATCAAATGGATTGTTGGGGATACCGCATTCGTCTACTAGAAGACCACAGAATTGCTTCGGTGACAGTACTAGTTGCTCCAGAACGTAAAGAAATTGGTCCTGAAATTTGAAAAATGTTAGTTTTGACCGATGTAACGCCAAAATATGCCTAATTTACCAAAAAACAGAGTTATTGAAGCCAAAAATTGAATTTAGGTATCAAATTTGATATAATCATTACTTACTCGAAACTGTGACGTTATTCCCTTGCATATTTGAGTATTCTGATTCGCGAATTCTTTGCAGAAGTACTCGGCCGCGCTGATTATCTTATCAGCTGTCGTATTCCGCTCAAACAAAAACCTGAAAAGAGTTTTGAGTATAAAGATCTACCTAGAATTCAGAGTAAAATAAGATCTACTAACCTCAGTATCTCTACTCCACCTCGACATCCCATACACTTCCAGCTGAAGCCTTCCTTTTTCTCCGCCGAATCTGATTTGCCTGGGGCACCTGAAAAAGATTTGTTACCTAAAATTAACCATTGGTTCTTTCGATCGCTCGTGGACGTTTTTTAGCAGTGTATTTTATATAATTTCAATAATAGAAGTTTCTCTTGATGCTTTTATAATAAATTATTACCTAAAAAGCAATTTTCACAACGTTTTGGACTAAAAAAAGTGAAAAGTAAACTATTGTAAACAATGAATTTATGCCACTAAAAATCCTCAAATCACTGTAAAACACAATCAAACTGTAAAAATACCATAAACTCACATTGGACGGCGGCTGCGTGAAGCAGGAGCAAAACAAAGATGAACTTGATCATATCGCTGTGCCTTTGCGACTGATTAGACGCATGCCTTTGGGCGGTCTGATTAATGGTGTCCCTGATAAGTTCCCTGATAAATGGGAGATTTCAGGACCACGAGCAGACTTCTGGAGTAAACTAATGAAGAGGTTCTTCCGGTTAGGGACTTCGGGCTTCTTCCGAACCGCGTAAATCCCGTTCGATCCGAGAAGCGACTTCTTCGAGAAACGTGTTTTGGGCGGGTTTACGTCATCCTTCATATCCCAGCGAACGTATGTAGTTAATAGTGAGGCTTCGAACTCCGAGAAACACATCAATCTATGATAATTTATTGTTTTACGAAAGTTTGAGTGTAAATTTAGTTTTTTCACCTAAAACATATGATCAAAATAGAAAAAAACAATTTTTAATGGACTTACTTGGTTATAACACTCGTATTTACACAAGGACTTTCTCTAAACAATTTATAAATATTTACATGAAGATTTTGGGTAAAATTCGCCAATTTTTGCTTCAATCGACAAAACTCAATATTGACATTGTCAACTTTGGAGGTTTTGACACTTCGTTACAAATACAAGATTTCGTCGTTTTTCTTTCAAAATTTATAAATTTTACAAAATGATGCTTGAATTATAAAATAAACCCTTTCTTCTGTTGAGAAGACCTTTTTTTATATTATCTCGATGTTGTTCATCATAAAAATATGAAAACTTTATTTTTACATTTGCATTTGAATGTAGTATACTCGTTGGTTGATTGAATATGTGGGAATGGTGGAGAATACCGTGATCTTCAGACGAAAACAAATGAAATTTTGAGCCTTCTGGAGACAGGACAACAACAACTATGTTCATGGATGTATTTACAAGGATCAAGAGAACTGATCTGTCATTCGAACAATAAACGATGTACAGTGGCTACAATCTAGATATTACTATGAAGGTGGCATCTGGATGATAGCATAGTTTTAGAAAAAGGTAAGGAAATGTCTAAAATAATACTTTCTGAAAAAGGTACAGATGCTTTGACATAAAGCACTATCTACTATCATATCATCCAGAATCTGTCATTCAAGAGAAACTACCATGAAAATGTGAATTGTAACCAAACTAGCATCTTGAATTAGACTACCGTGACCTTCTGGAAGGTCTTCTCTAGCTTTCGTCGTTCTTCTCGGCGTTCACCAAGAAGTCGATGATATCTGCGTACGAAACTACACCTAGTAAGCTTTTGGCACGACATATCAGCAGACACTGATGCTGGGAAGCGGTGAGGCGTGTGATAGCTGAGAAGATGGACTCGTTGGGCTCTATGATCATGTCCATGTTGGAGTTGTCACAGAGATCCTGCAAAAGAGAACGTCAGTTTACAGTAAAAAGCAGTTTACATTACTGTTTAGTTTACAGTATATTATAGTAAGTTTAGTTGTTAATTATATTGTGATAGTTTTTTCTTTGTTATCTCTTATAGTTTATCATTTCATTGTAAAAGAACGTACTTTGACTTCCATCTCGAGAATCTCGTCGATTCCGTCTTCTCCCCTTTCTGCAACTGCAGCCATAACATCGTATTTGCAAAACACACCACTGATGGTATCATTTGAGTCTAACAGAGGCAGACAAGTGATCTTCTTCTCCAGAATCTGGTCGACCGCGTCCGAACACTTTGTGTTCTCGGAGATCTGAAATCGACCAAAGATTAGTCGAAAATCATTTTAAAGTGAGCTTTTGCACTGTAGGTTGATAATAATGATAATATACAGATCAAATCGCTTTTGAAGCAAAGAGTTAATTTAAAGATTTGATATTTGTGGCTAGAGATAATAACGTCAGGCAGAATCCGTCTTACTAGTGAAACGATGTTAAAGTTTTTAAAAAACTTACAGTGGCAAGACTAGTCCACTTTCCTAGTTTGACCTCGTCCAATGTGACTTTGTTCAAGTTGGGAGATAGACAACATTTAGTCTGGACTAGCTTGATAATCTCCTGGAAGACTGGCCGTAGTGATAACAAGCAGAACAATGCATTTGTCCTCACGATACCCTTCACTTCCATCACCGGGATACGATGGACATGGTTAATACGGAACTGGCGGGCCAAGTCCCATACTCTGAAATGACATTGATTTGATGAATACCATTATTTATGTCAAGTTTTAGTGTTTTTTTACTTGTTTTGAATTTGGTTTGGAACTATTATTGCCTACTTCAACTGTAAGTCTTCTATTTTCTATATTATAGAACAGTGTGTGATCATCAATAACATATGTGAAAGTTTCAAATTCCTATGTCATTTAGAGTTGTAATTCTTTCCCGTCTTGAGCCATGTGTCAGACCAATGTTAATATCGTGTTTCAATTAGAACCTTTTTGAAAGCGTTCCCTCCCCGTCACATGTCGAAATGTGTTTTTAGGTATGACTTACGAGATCTCTGAACTCGCCGTCACCAATCGTTTGTTGGACTGGGTTGCTTCGAAGAACTTGGCAACCGGCTGGTCCCCAAGATCCGGGTCCGACCGCCGTTTTTGTAAACAGGAGAGGAAGTCGGACAATGTGAATATGTTGTAATTTCCGTCTGAAAACAAGGCCTTTAAAAGTGCAACATGCACATGGTGTATATTTATAACCTTTGGCAATGTCAAAAATACTACGTATAAGATATATACGAAAAATTAAGATTCAGTTATAGTAAAGATGAGTTACAAGTTTAAAGGAAGAATAACATACCGACGTTACTGACCATGGCAGCTCGATGTGTCGCCGATTGGGCACACATGGCGTGGATCGTCTTCCGGATGCTGAGGCCCGAGTCGATGGTGAACAAGATACCATGGTTGGGGGCGATGTCATAGGCCGTAAAGGATTGTAAGTAGTTTTTGTAAGCCGATTTCTGGTGTTTTTCTGAAAGACGACGGTATCAGTTGTTGGTCGCGACATAAACATGCCCTTTTCCAACTGATAAATGCACTTACTGAACGCTCCGACAATCTCGAACGATCTGTCAATGTTCTTCCGCAATATTGCGTAATTCTGCAAAGGAAACGTTAAATCATGGTTAATATGTTCGAAACTGGCTTAAAGGACGAAAACAGAAGGCAAAACAGGCCCGCGTTTATGTACGTATATCCTTTATGATGTTTACGCACTTTATGTCCATGCTCTTCTTACATCTCAAACTTACTGCCTTTCTCAGCGTTCGCTCGTCTACTGACATTCTTCGGCCACTAACAGCACAAGCCTCAAAGTCATCGTCAGAGAAGTGTTCGTCTTCATACTGAGAATCCGTACTGACCTTTCTCCAGGACAAATCGTCGGCCATCGGCACGGTCATCTTCATTATCGGCCTCGGCTTCGATACAGGCATCTGAAAGGGAAGGTTTGTTAACAATACATGGGCAATCAATCAATGAAACGGTTGTAAACACTCTCCTACTGTAACAAAAGAACAATGCACCCATACAAAACAACTTACTTTCGAGTTGATGGTAGACCGACGCGGACGAAAGTCCGGGTAGCCAGAGGAGGACCGCCTGGACTGGGGGTCCCCTGTACTAGAAACGGCCGAGTCCGTGGTCGTAGCACTGGAGGAGCTGAGATCTCGGAGCGCTTCGTTTTCTGGAACGCCACAAATGGAACGTTTGTGGCCCACGACGGTCATCTCGTCCAAGGGATCCATCCTCGGCGACAAGGTACCCATCATCCTTTCCACTGCGTCGACGCCTAGCTCGGGCGGAGAACTGCCTTCGAAGGTGGACTGGCTTCCTTCCGAATCCGTGCACGATTCAATGGTGCGCGAGGTCGAGGGCGACGAGAAACGGCACTGGTTTTCGGAGGGACGGCGACGATGCGACCTGAACCGCGACCAGATTGCCTTGATCTTCCCCGCCGGCGGCCGCGGAGTGGAGTTAGTAGAGTCTGCAGTGACGGCTAGCGACAACGTGATTGGATGCTGGGCTGAAGCAAACACGTGCTCTCATTAATTGCGATAAAGTCTTCGGGTCGGGAACAGAACGACAGGAACGCTGGGAAAGAGATCAACGTGACCACGCGGTGCAAAGAAAAACAACTCCTGCCAAAGGGGCAATAAAACGCCAGCGGGCTCCCCCCAGAAAGCGAAAACACGTCCTTTTAACAGATCCCTCTCACAAAACGACCAATTGTTGTCACCGTTCCGAAAAGGAAAGTGTGGTACCCCGACCATCTAACCTTTTAAGAACCCCATGTTTACATGTGTGATTGAGGCTATCAAAGTGCATCTCTCCTCGGTGTTTTCCCTTCTCCGTTCCGCCGAGGCCTTCCACACGGAAAACGTGACCCAAAGTCGAAAACAACCCCCCCCCCTTCCTCCAGAGGCCCCGAAAAGAATGTTTTTTGCAGCACAAAATCAAAACAAAACGCGATCGGATCCGGCTCGCCGACTCCGGCGGACTGGGAACGACGGCCCTACAATAGGGACAGTCGGAATCGGCCGGTCGATTCCACGCTCCTCGCGAGCTTCTGAATTCAGTTTTTCTTCTATTTTGTGTTGACAAAAATAGAAGAAAAACAATTACATAAACGGGGAGAGAGTGGGTACTGGAGAGAGGGTGCGAGGGAGAGGGAGTGAGGCGGCACGCACGTCGGAGAGACGCCAGACAAAGCCAAAACAAAAATAAGAAATAAAGGATTAATTTAAGGGGATTAAACAAAGTTTGCGTAAGTCTGGGGTAAAGTACGGTACTCGTCAAAGAGTAATGGTCACTTCAAGTGGTACAACTACACTAACGCAAGTATAATGTGGAACAGCCAGTTTTTGGAGACATGATATGAACTGACTTTAAACAGTTATGAGAGGGTCACAAGGCCCACATAAATCAAGAAACAAAGCATCAAGAATTAGATAACAAGCAATTAGGGGTACGTAAACAAACATGTATACATTCTGGGCAACTTTACTGGTAGAAGGCACTACTTAATGACATGGTAGATGTTTTTACAGTCTTAGGCTTGTTTTTACAGTTTCAAATATACAGTATGGTTAATAGTTTTGCATTTTTTGTCTGAAGTAACACTTAAATGGCTACAATAACATCTCGTTGTACTTTCAATATAGTAATGTACTTCAAGTAAACTCGACAATGTAAAGGGAGATTACAGCAACGGACTAGACTACGACAGAGTCATGGCTGACGTAGTAAGTCCGTGTTCCGACTACTGATAAGCCTTACAGTACATTGGGATGCAAATCTGCTGACAATATAATAATACTTTTAACCGTGGACATTACTTTTAACTGCAATGTTATCATATCTCTTTTACGTTGTCAACTGTTGTAAATGGATATCTACGTATCTGCACGCTCCAAAGTGCACGCAGTAATTAGATGTAAGATAATTAAGACGAGGTAAACAACATAACAATATAATTACTGCTTAATCAAACATCACTTTAACAAAACAATCTTCAAAGATAATGTAAGTGACGCCAGTTCAGTTACTGTGCGTGTAACTGCGTTATATCAAGGTAAACATGCCAGTATTATTTATAAATATATAGTTAATGTGAGGTGAATAAATATAATTTGAATGTCAGAAATAAAGGGTAAATGGCAGTTGACAGACATAATGAGTTGATGTAAACATACCATTAAGTTGACAGTTATGATAAGTTGTTGTACAACAAACATACCATTACAAACAGACTTAACATTTATATGTGTTGGTTCTGGTGTAAGTTGTGAATGCTATTAACAAGTGTCACATGACTGCTTTCACTTAGTGTTTTGCCTTTTCAAACGTCCTTTTAAAGTTAAAATGCATTTTAAATATATTTACCATTATTGCTGCACAATAACATATAAGCTTATATTGTAGTAATGTTACAGTAAACATAACAAAACAATAAAATAATTCTGCAAAAACAAACTGCCTTACTATGACGTTTATATGGTATTTGCAATCGACAAATAAAGAAATAAACAGTAATGACATTTGTTCAAACAACATACGACACTACCAGCCTTATTTTAGTTGATATTTCTGATGACTTAATGGTCTTTGTTTTGAAGTAAATAAGTTGTTTTGCAGGATGTATATTGTGTGAAGAGTTATATTGTAAAAGACGAATTAATGTCGTTTTTATAGTAGGTTATGTCTAGAGGCATATACCTCAAATTGGTGTTGTTGTGTTTGTTACAATGCTTATAGTTTTTTAATATTCAAAGATACAATAAAGTATGAAGTCTTCTGTTACAATAAGAGTTTGGGTGTTGTTTAAAGGTTTTGAGTGTAGTATGGAATGAGTTTAAGCTAATGTGTTTGACCACTATTGTTTCTTTTGAAAGCTACAATATTATTTATAATTTTATAATTATCTTACGAAATTTTTAATCTACCACGACGAGAAACTTATGAATTTTGCTTCTAAATTTGACAAAGTTTGATTTTTTTAAATCACCGGATCAAATAGTTTATATAGTTAACTGGTAAAGCATTTCTAGGGTTAACCGTTTTTTTTTGTTACTTATGAACTGTAAGCGGTCAAAAAAATAATTGCAGTTTAATTTTTATGTTGTTGTAAAAAAAACTGTAATTTCTACCTTATCACACCAATGAGTAAACAACATTAACTACCTGAAATGTAATCTGTTGAATTCAGAACGATAAATCTCGGCTGATCGATGAGTTCGCACCTGTATCGCTATTGAGTCGTAAAATGCCGGAGGGAAGAGTGGCAGTGATTTTTCAGATTTTATTGAAAAACGAAAGAATACCTGTTCGAAGAGAGAGCACGGAGATGGAGAGACGGCAGAGACTGTCCACAGCTGCTTGTTTTTCTGAAAGCCGGCTTTTGTGGATTGCTTCAGGCAAAACATGTTTGGTCCAGATTACTTTTACTAAAATGACTGATTGGTGGTTACAAATCAAACGGACTAGTTTATGTGGGGTTGTAGTAGCTGGCATCTGGCCAAAGAGCTGTGTAGTTTGAATGTTATGAAGCCAGAATATTTATTGGATGTCAAAGAACTATTAGTCTATAAATATGAGAGTCTGCAAGATAAAAAGAGTTCAATGATTACTTTTTTCTTTTCGAACGTTTTGTTGTAAAACCTACAACAATATTGACTTACTTGAAGGCTTTTGTGGTTTATTTTTCTCCAAAAACCAGTCGAAACGTCATAATTTCCAAAAAAAGGAAGTCGAGACTCTCGAGATGACTTTTTTTGGACAAACAAAACCAAATTAATCAAATAATTTTTCTTTTCTTATCTGTTTTACTGTGTCTATTATATAATCAGTAAGTTTAATATAAAGCTTTAGGTATTGCATCTTTTCAATTGTGTTAAAAGCTAATACCTTTGAGCAATTTTATATTGAACAAGCCGAGATATTGTTTTTTATTTTAGTGACCAATAGCTTAAGCCTGGCTTACTGAGCTCTCTTACTGAGTAACTCTCTAATGAACGGATGTGAGATAAGAAGCTTTTCATAAGAAAATCGTCGGAAGAGCCTTCAGAAGCGCGTTCTTCTGGAGAAACGTCGCTTTCGCCGTTCGTTTTTTGTATAACTACTCGGAGGATCTACTACTCCACCTCGAGAGGTCAGATGGTGCGGGAGGGAGGGGAGGAAGATATACGGAGTCTGAAGTGGTAAACATGTTCAACTTCAACTTGTAGTTTTTAAATTGTCAAAGTTGAAGGCTTTGGGGTTTTTGGGGGTAAAGAGATCATTTTGGGCTGTATGTCAGTTATGTGAACGGTCTTTTTAATACTTTTTTTAAGAGTAAAAAGTATATTATCCTTTACAAATGAATCTACTTTTTTAGAATTTACAAAACGATCGATTAGTACAGAGTCTAAAAGAAGACAAACGAACACCTGGCTCCCAACCGGAATAATCCCCCCCCTCTACCCGGATATGGCCGAAAAAGGGCCGAATTCTCTTTTCGGCCATACTTTCTGTTTACGTCTCACTCTTTTTGCCTGAGGCCATAAATACGGCTTGAGGGGTTCTTTTTCTTTGTTTTACAACAAGTATTATAATATATTTTGTGTTTTTAAAATATTATATTATATGTTGCTATTTAAAACTACGTTCGGAATTGTTCGGAATACAGTAAAAAGTACAATTGGATTACAGGGAATGTAAAACAACAAATTAAATGGCCGAAAACACTCTAATTAAGGATGACTTGAGTAAGTATGTAAACGGTGTTTTGTTGATTTTTAAATTGAAAGTTTGAACTTTCAGCTTTAAAAGTTCAAAGCTTGATAATGTTTATATTTATAATAGTTTAATACTTAATATATTTTAAAACTAATGTGAAATAAATGTGTAGTAAAATATTAATGATAAAAATGTTTGCAGATACACTTCTCGAAAGCCCTCAGAAAGATGGGAAAGATTCTGGATTCATGGAGACACCTATCATCTCTCCTTCCATCTCCAGAAGTCGGCCAAGCAGAATCCCACAGAACATTCAGCCTAAAAAAGGGATTCTGAAGAACAGAGTAAGTGGTCGTTTTTGCATTACAGTGAAAGTGTCATGAGTAAGATGACAGATTTTACCATACTTTTCTTGTTATATAATATATTAAGTTGCTCACACAATTCTGTTTCCCCTCTCAAAGCAATTTTTTCGGTTTAGGGGCACAGAATTATTTGAACACCTTAATAATAAGTCATTTTAGGATCCTTTGAGAAATGAAGTGTTATCAGTCACAGTTACTCCGAACACCGAGATTGGTGCACTTAGGACAACCTTGTTGTACACTTTGCCAGAACGAACTCTAACTTCTTTCCGCCCTACAGTTGGATTCTCAGAAAGGAATGCAGGTATGATAGCCGCCTATCTTTAGTTACAACATTTACTATGGTTCAAAGTTTAGAAAAAGTCTATTAGTGACATTTACGGATTGACACAAGTAATAAAATTGTAAGTTGTCGTTCTAAATGTGTCATAATGTCATAGTTTATGTGATTTGTGTTTCAGTGGCTATAATTGGAGACACATCAGATGAATACGAAAGCGATGCCAGAAACTCGATCTCGATGCCAGCCTTGATGCCGTCGATTCCTGAGACCACATTGGTTGAAGAACCTCAAAAGATGGTCAGGTGAGGCAATGTTATTCATTTACTTCTTGGAAATGCATTTTGATGACGTGTTTTTATAAAAACAGTCAACATAATGTATTTAATATATCTTATGATTTTATTTTAAAATTATAACGTAAAATGTCATATATATCACAGTATTGTAACATAAATCATGGTTTGTTTCAGTAACGAACCTGACAACCCCAACTACATGAACGGCTTTATCATGGCTGACAGAAGTGTGGAATCAACTCCAGAAAGAAGTCAAGATGACTCCAAGATCACAGAAGGTCGTAGCACATCAGAAATTGCTTCGACTACGGAAGACGATCAGATCAGCTTAACGTCATCTACTTGTAGCTCTCACATTGCTGGGAAGTGGTGGAATGGCAAGGATACTAGGTATATTAATATCAATATAAAGCTTTTATAAACATTATTATGTAAAATTACGTTCTTTACACTCAATATAGTAAATATATACATTTCTATTGTATTAACAAACTTTGTTTAGATATGTACTCCATTGTGAAAAGAAGGGCTGTAACCACAAACACGGTAATCAACCACGACCTGGAGATTACCTAACACCAACACAACGCTTCAAACAGGAGATTACTGTACTCAAAAAACAGAAAAAGTAAGCCTTTGGCGTCAATGTTAATATTCAAATTTAGAAAGCTGGAAGAAGAAATAAAACTAAAGGATGGAGAACTAAATGAACATAGAGAGAGGTTCAAGCAGATCGACGACAGCATCATTCTACACCACGACAGTCAGCTGATGACATTGCTGGACAAAAAGGAAAAGAAGTTCGAAGCCGAGAAGGAACGACTACATCATGATCATATTAAGGTCGTCGAGGAGTTGGAGTTACAGATCTTTGAACTAAAGTAAGTCACTTAAATTAGCATAAAAGTGTGGGACAATGTTATATATCTTTTATATTACGTCTCACAGATATAGTAATTGTCACAGCTTTTCTAATGAATTGTGATTTAGACAACTTCTAAACGAAAAAAACCTTATTATCGACCGGTTGGAATCACAACTCAACATTCCCAAATCAGATGTGTCCACCTTCACAGAAGTCGACGTAACAGACGAAGCTCAACAGGTACAACAAGTAGACGGTCAGTTGGGCGGGGCTTCCAACATCACCACCCCCAACGACCCCAACCCATCGTCCAATCTACTGGGAGTAAACGCGGTTTCTGCTCAGACGTCGCCTCAGGTTCCGCCTCCGCCGATTGCAATCACGGAAGTACCTTCTGGAGACCCACTCACCGAAGCCTTCAGAATCGAGGCCCTGTTCTGGAGGGAGAAGGCAGCTCAATTGGAGATCATCGTAAAAGAACAGCTGATTCGGAATGACTTTGACACGATTCAGATGGCTAACGAGTCGCTTCAGACTACCGTCGACCAGTCGAATCCAGGCAGCACGATGACGTCGGCTTCGAACATCAAAGGAATGGTGGACGACGCTACGGAACGACGCCGAAAGTTCACTACACAACGTACCATGATGACACTGGCCAGAAACCCTTCAAATTACAGTATCCCTCAGCTAATAGAAGCCCAGGAGTGTCGCAATCCGAATTGCGTCGAGCAGAAGAAGCTTCTAAACGAGGAGAACGAGGAAATCATCCAAAAAGTAAGTATCGTGAGGCGGTTATTGTTCATGGTGGTGGTGCTTGGCCATCGTCGTGTGGTGTACGGTGTGGTACCTCCGTTTATGTTGGTCTGTGAATATGTTAGATTTGTGGCTTGTTATGTTCGCACCTTTATCACTAAGTTATTCAAATACAAAAAGACTTGACTTACCGTAATATACTGTATGTTTTGCCCTACCCATAAATTTATGTTTTAGTAGATTGTTAGCAGTACTGTAAACTTATTGTTAGTGGCAGTCTGTTTAAAAGTTATCAAACAATTTTATTGCACAAAAATAATCTTTTTCAACTAGGTTTTTGCATAATATATTGTTGTACTATCTTTAAGTTGTGTAAACTTTAATTTTCACTGTGTTTACATGGTATAACATAAACGTATTTATGTTGTTAGATCACTAATTATGTTTGCCAATTACTGTATTTATGTTGACTGAATAAACTTTACCTTCATGTAGATGGACGATCAGTATGCTCGGAATGCTGAACTGGCCGCAGAACTGGCCCAATTCAAAGACTTGCACGATCAGCTTCAGAAAGAGCACGCTGACCTAAAAGTGTCATTCGATGAGTTGGCTAGCCTGGCTGAGAGTCGTATGGCCGAGATAAAGAGCGGCCAAATGGCGTTGGACAGGCTACAAGATGACAAAGAGAAGCTACAGCAAGCCTTCAGTTACCTAGAAGACAAAGCTCAAGCCTATCGTAACACCATCCTCGACAACGACCTTGTAGTACTCGGGGAAGAAGCCGAACAATGGCATCGAGGCTTCACGGACCCGCGCTTCAAGGTGTTCCATTCCACCAGAATCCAGACGGATCTGACTACACAAGAACTGACATTCAACGAAAGCGAGTTTGCTACGATCAGCGTGCAGTTAAAAGAGATTCAGAAGGAATATTCAAACAGACAGATCGACCTGGACGCTCAATTCAACGTGATCAACGAGGGACTTCAGCTCAAGTCTCAACTGGTCGAAGAGTTGAGTAAACAGCTGGAAATGGCAGCCGCCAACGCTCAGACTGTAGAAGAATGTCGCCAAGAGGAACGTGACTACTACAAGAAACGGCTGGAAGCCATGGGAAGGGAAATCGAACGGATTCCGGGGATTCAGATGGATCTGGACCGAGCTCAGCAAGTAAGTAAATAAATGACATAAGATGCAGATATAACTTTGTCAGTATGTTAATCATTATGCTTATAAGACTGTAGAGTAACAAAAGTAAACTATGAAATGTTATTGTAGGAAAAGAGCATACTGGAGATTCAACTAAAGGGAATCAAGGAACAGTACGAAGATGGTCTTGAGAGTGCCTTGGATGTCTCACTACAGAAGGCACAACAACAAGAAAAGTACTGGATCGAGAAAGTAGAGTCTTTACAACGTGCCAAGAACGAACTCAATGTAAGTTTTGCTAAGAAACTACTTTACTCATCAATAACAATGACTATACTACATGATTTCAGAACAACTTTGAAAAGTTGAAGCTGGACTACGAGAACCTGAAGATAAAAGGTCAAGTTGATAAGGCCGAGCTTGAGCAGAGATTATCATCAACAATCGACCATGTGGCATATCTTAACAAAAAGGTAAGATTATGAATACAGTTATATTTGTCAACTTTTTCAAAAACTAAAACTATCGTTTTCAGTTGAACCCTCCAGTCCGTGATGCCCAATGCGAGGCCAAGCCTCGTACTGTGAACAAGTACGTAGCTTGCCGTCCAAACCAACGCCACAAGAACGTTGAAGTCGACCGTAAAGAGCTGGAAATGAGTAAAAGCGAAGAAGACATCCAGAAGCTGTTCAAGTACAAGGACGCCTTCCTCAAGACAAAGGCAGAGCTCACCAAGATCCAGGAGAATGTCATCTCTGTAGCTCCAAAACCTTCGTACGCTGAACCTGCTTCCACTGCTCTGAAAGAGAAAAAACCGAGTAAAGTAAAGAAATCGGGTACCGTACTCAGTTTCGGCCAAGTGCTATTTGACAAAGATGGTCGAGTAAAATTTCCGCAACTTCGAAAAGACTCTAGTCTAAACGACGTCTCTACTGTATCGTCACCTATGATTCTGATGAGAGATGCTTCAGTGTCACCTTCAGAAGACACTCAACCAGACGACAGTAGAAACACTGCCATTCAGACTGAAGCCATTCCTGATGACAAATCCAGTATCAGTGAAACTGATCAGATATCACTTTGCTCGATCGAGGAGATCAAGAAGATGGAGGCGCAGACAAAGAAGCTACAGGACGAGATTCTGCTACTGAGGGCAAAGGCGGCTGAATCAGACACCTGGTTCGAGAAGATTTCCAGAATCCAGTCAATGTTGCCTGAGGCGGTATTGTTAGTGTAAGTCTTTTAATTCTACTGTTTGTTACTTTAATTTATACAACCTTGTTAGAAGTTATAATGTATGATTATAGTGAAGATGACGAAGCCCCAGTATACGGCCACACTGCCATCGGTCGTATTTTAGACTCGACCATATCGTTCCTGAACCAAAAAGCAAATGAACCATCTCCAATCAGACGCCAGTCTTCTGAACCCGATCTCAAGCTGTCAGCTCATTCTATAGAAGCCTCAACTGCCACCAAATTCAAACCTCTCCCTATACCTGACAAATGGGACAATGAACGTCAAGAGTTACTACGACAGAACGCTCATTACGCTGCCCAGCTTTTGGCATTACAAGCAAAACTAAGCAGGATTCAAGGTGAAGAAGCCAAGAAACCAGAAGAGAAGACAGAACTAGATGAACTAGAAGGAGAACTGAAAGAGTTGGCCAGACAGTTGACTACAGTACCCATCTACAATGCTGAACAATTGGCCAAAGCCAGAAAAGAGAGAGATGCCTTGAGGATACAGATCATCGACTTGAGGGAAAAGTACCGTGACGCCTTGAACGAACTTGAGATCTTCAGAATAGAGCCACGATCTGATGCTCAGAAACACTGGGATGATATTAGACTAGGTAGAAGTAGGAGTGAAGAACGGCTAGACACTGGACTAGCTTCCGGAGAGCTCAGACGGTGGAAAGAATCCGCTGGAGTTTCTTTTAGAGAAGTTAATCGGCTTCGAAGTTATGTTATGAAGCTAGAAGACGAGAATTCAAATTTCAAAACTCAAACTGCCATTTTGAGAGGAGAAATGGAGCTGGCCAAGTGTCAAACAGAACTGGCTAGCCAATGGGCTGTGAGGAGGAGAATCGAGTTGAAGATCGACGTTCCTGGACGACGCAGATCTGTGTCGTCGTTGAACTTGAACGACGACTTTAAGAAACCAAAGAAAAAGTAAGAAACTTTCTATAACGTAATAACACGACTTTGAGTACGATACAAACAGCTAAAATGAAAACTTCATTTTTAAAATTCTTTAGTATTTTCATATTTCAGGACATTCCACTCATCGATGGACCGACTAGACAAGAAAGACGAAAAAGAAAACAATGCCAACGAACTCTCAATCATACAACAAGCATTCCACAAACAGGTCTCACATCTAAAGAAAGCCAACCATTCACTAGGACAACAAGTAAAACAACTTCAGGAACAAGTCGAAGCCAATGTAAGTTAACCATATCGACATTTAACCTCAAAAGTCGATATTTTATTGCAAACAAAGATTTTTTTGGACGATGTTAAAATGATACTAAATCCGTTGTTTATACATTTAGTTCTGTATACCTTCTCAACATTCTCAATTTTAGAAGCGCGAAATGATCCAAATCACCGAGCATGACCAGATTGTCGGTAAATTGAGCGGTAAAGTGAATTTACTTCAAAACGAAAACAATCTGTACGAAATGAAGATACGAGAGATCGAAGACGAGCGACAACAAATGTACCTCCTGATGTTCAGGAAGGGTCAACAAGCCGCTCAACACGAAATCACTGAAGTAAGTAAACCGTCTTGTACAACGCTTCTTACTTTATTAAAAGTTCATTATGAAGTACGAATTATTTTCGATATTATATTATTTACCTCATAATCAGCCTAAAAAGCTATTTTAATATCCAAAAATCATAACCAACCCTAACAATACCAAATTCTAGGACAAAGCTCTGGACGAGATGACAGAAGACAAGATGCTCCTCAAGTTCCTTCATGATGCCTTATACTATTACCTCATGAACCGTGGCGACTCCCGCGAACATCTGCAGGCCATCATGACCATGCTCAACTTCTCGAGTAAACAGAAGGACGAAGTTTACAAACGACGCGGCAAATCACACTAGAATCTCAATGTGTATGTACAGAAAAGAAAACATAAAGAATTTTACTAAGATCAGACATATTATCTATGATTAAAGTATTTAGAAATGTCATTAAAGCATAAGTATAACTAGTTTTGTCAAAACTTCTTATCAGCCCTTCTCAAACGCAATATTCTACATATTATAATAGCTTTACTTTATTATATTATCGTACAAGCTCGACCCGTAATGGAAACAAAATCTCTTTGGCTGTTAAAGCTCATTGGCAGTAATTACAACAATATTTACACGATTTGCGACTGCAAATTGCAGATTATGAAGGTAAAACCGACGTATAACGTCAAAAACTATCTAACATAATATAATAGCCTTATCTATTGACCAACTGCATCATTTGACGCAGGTTCTGGTCCAATTCACCGATCGCACCTTGGTCTTCCGATATTCCACTAGCAGTTTGGCGAAGCAAGCGGACGGAAACATCCAATCGGTTCAGGAGTTCGCTGAAAACAGATTTTTGTCAAATTTTCGACAATTATTGTTTCCCGTCGACGAAATGTCACAGAGGATAGGGCAACGAAATGTCAGAGATTTATCGAAAACAAATTCTTGTCGAAATTTAATCTTTTATTAGATAAACAACTTACCGATATCTGAACTTGGAGTGAGGAGAGATGTTTTCAGCGTAAATAGCACATGTTGAATGTAGTTGTTGGACTACATCGCTCAACTGGATCAGACGAGTATGGTTAATATCTTTGTCCAAGCCGCGTTTGAGGCTGCTCAGCTGGTCTGTAAGTTATTTTATTATATGTTTTTTTAATATAGCGGTAGCTTTAGAAGCTGAATTAAGGTGTTAATTTTCGGTTTTTACATTATTATAAGTGTCGTATCGATTTTGAACTCGTTCCTACCTTCGACTTTAGCGTACAACTCTTGAATAGACTCCTTGCTAACTGATGGTACCTCATTATCGACTACTGGCAGTGTCAATAGTTCCTGGGTTTCATTAAAATTGTTGTTGTTAGAGCTAGAAGGCTCGAGCAGACTGAATCTTTTAGTTTTGGGCTCTGGAGCCTTTGGTTTGTGCTGGAATTTCTCGAATTTAGAAGTGAGATCTCTGAGAGATTGAGTACGAGACATGCTCTCGTCCTCCTGGATTATGCTCGACTTTCTGTTCCGGAGATCAATGACTGGTTTGTCTTCAGAATCCTTCTTGGGAGATCGTTGAAGCGTGGAGAATTGCTTCGGAATCATTTGATAGGCCAACGAGCTTTCGGCACGTTGACGTTGTCGTTCGAATATCTGAGATCCTACTGATTTAGGGGGTTTTGATGGTTCGTCTTGAGAAGACAATGATCCACTGGGAGATCGTTGGTCCTTGGATGAAGCTGAGGTTTGAGAGGACAGGGATGGTGAAGATCCGAATTTCTCGGCTTCAACCTGCATTGAAAAGGGACGGTGGTGCTGTAGTGGAGCCACTTTTTGTGTTACGAGTTGTCGGACTTTAGCGACATTAACTTTGTCATCTTTAGTGGGTGATGTTTCTTCTTTGGTTGGACTAGCGTTTCTGAATATTTTACTCAATTCGTCTGAAGTCGAAGAAGTCTTTCGTGGAGATGTTTTAGATACTTCTTCGATCTTGTCAACGTGTCTGAGTTGTCGTATGCGGGCTTTTAACTCATTGTCGTCGTTTTTCTTGTCTTTTGGTTCTTCGGTTTCTGAAATTGATAGTTTAGATGACAGTTTTTCTCTTCTCAAGCTAATATTGTTTTTTAAGGGTTACAAAGATATTTTGAAGCATAAAATTATAATAGGTCTTTTTGAACTTCTGAAAGAGAATCCTGTTTTTGTACAATTAGATTCCATAAAGGGAGTTCTGAACACTATTGAGTTCTTACTCTTTAATGGCAGAGTTGATGAGTTTCGTGCCGTCGGAGCTGCTGTTACCACGGTATTGTTCTTGCCGATGCTTTTCTTCCTCCATCCGGTTGTTTTGGCGTCCGTCTGAGATCCTCCGTCGACTTTCCGCGGCTTCGGTTCGGGTCGTTTCTCTTTTGTTTGCTCCTGTTCGGTCTTCTTCAGACGTTGTTTTAGCTGATTCAGAAGCTCGTTCTGAGGCTCACCGTTCTCAGTTCTGAAAAGAAAACTCACTATAGCCTAATAGACTTATAGAGCGAAGAAATCGGAATAATAACTATAAATTGCTCGAACTATTGTAAAAATAATGTTGAAATTGAAATAATTAAGGAGTCAGGTATATTACAAAAAACCTCAATTTTACAAAAAAAAGCTGGTGTAACTTACCTTGCAGTACTAGGGGCACTGACACTAGTCTGAGGTAGAGCATCGAGCGAGTCATCAGACGACGTCTCGTGTGTGATGACACTGTCCTCAAGCGTATTCTCTTCCGAAGGGTCTTTTCTCATGGATTCAAGGAATGCTTCGATCCTCTGTCCTTTTGGCATTGTGCCAAACTTTCCTACGGTTTTCCTCAGGTTCTTCTCAGCTAACGGTGATGGAAGTTCTGGAACTTCAGAATCCATGGAAGGGATCGTCCGAAGCTTCGGTTTGGCTGAAGCTGGAGGTACTGGCAGAGGCATATTCTTGTTTTTACGTTCATCAGGAGGGGAGTTGCGAGGAGAAGTGTGGGTTTGTGGACAGAATGTGGACATGGGGTTACCTGTAGAAGAAGATGAGATTGTACGGTGAGGTCGGGGCGGTGGAGGTGGAGGGAATTCGAGGTGGGGAGGGTCAGGCGGATGGAATGTTGAGTGTGTTGTTGTAGTCATGGATGAGCTAAGCCTAAAAAAGTAGGATTTAGTAATACATCACTGTCAAACGGAATGATTTCCTAAATTTGGCATCAGAAGTGAAACACTTACCGTCTGTCGCCAACTGAAGGCTCATGAGAGAACTTTCCAGAATCTAGTGATAACCTTGGACTAGCCGCGAAAGCCAGTCGATTACTAGCTGAATTAGACCTATTAGTCTTTGATGCTCTTGTCTTCTCCAACTGGCTAGCCACTTCGTTCTCAAATGTATTGGAGTTGAATAATACTTCTAGAGACTTGTGTAAATCATTGAAGCACGGTCGATCAGAGGGACTCCAGTTCCAACACTGGATCATCAGACGGTACACAGAGTCTGGACATCCTGCCGGAATGTCCATTCTGAAACCTTTTTCCAACAAACTGTAAACATCGCTCAACTCCACTCCAGGGTACGGTGTCATTCCGTAGGTGGCGATCTCCCACAGTAACACTCCGAAGGCCCAGACGTCGGATTTGGTAGAGAAAGTGTTGTAAGCCAAGCCTTCTGGAGCTGTCCATTTGATCGGAAACTTGGCTCCAGCATGAGCCGTGTAGGTATCTTCACGCATGAATCGGGCTAGTCCAAAGTCGGCTACTTTAACAACATAATCATCAGAAACCAAACAATTTCTGGCTGCCAAATCTCTGAAAATGAATTACTTTAGAGGCTGTTGTCTCTACTCAAGCATGAATTGATCTTTGATTTACAAGATATACAATATAAAGTGTATATAGTGTTTACTTACCGGTGGATGAAGTTTCTCGACTCCAGGTATGCCATTCCAGCTGCAATTTGAGTGGCAATCTTCATCAAAATAGTGGGAGGCAACAAACTCCTGTCACTTTTCCTCAAATAGTCAAGAAGATTGCCTCGGTTCATGTACTCTGTTATGATATAGAATGGTGCCTCACTGGTGCAGACTCCCAAGAGTTGTACCAGGTTCTCATGTTGTAGATTCTTCATAATCGCGGCTTCGGCTAGAAAGTCGCCTAAGGCCATGGCGTCTTCTTTCAGCGTCTTTACGGCTACAGTACGATCGTACTTCTTCCAGTACCCTTCGTACACATCGCCGTACTGTCCACCGCCCAGTTTGTTTCTCATCACAATCTCTGTCCGGTCGATTTCCCATTGGTCGGCCGCGGTTGGCGACAGCGAGAAGCTGGCCGGACCTTTGTTTTTCTTCGGAGCCGGATACATTAAGTTGCCTAAAGCAAGATGTCTTCAATGTTATGACAACTTACATATTAGGCCAGAAGAAGAGTTGCTATGATGGTGAACAAGTTCTGACAAGGACTTGAACTTGGAATCTTGAGTTATGTACAACTGAAAGTAAAGAGTTATGCCCGCAAATGAAAAAAATATATAAATTTATGTGGAAGTAAAACCTACTTTTTCGTTACAATCGACGTTTATGCGGTAATGGTAGACCCGTCCTTCATGTCGGACTGAGATCGAGTACTGACCAAGGCTAGTCTCAGATTCTCGGACCAGGAAACTCCCGTTAATCCCTGAGCTGAGCAGAAACTCTGCCTCATTCCGCGATACCTTCCCATGATACCAGCTATGTTTGTCCAACGTATTAATTGGACTGATGTAGAGGGAGGGGACCCAACCGACCATCGGTGCTCCAGCCATCTGGTTACGGTGTTTTCCGCCCACAAACTGGGCCTCGCACCACTCTTTGGTCTTGATGTAGGCCAGCACTCGGACGTGATCACCTCGTTTCAAGGAGAGCTGATCTTCGCCTGCGGCATGAAAGTCGTACAAGGCCACGAACAGGTTCTCGTTGTAGGCACTGGACGTCTCGGCATCCAGCTCGTCGACAGGGCCGAAAGTGGACTGCTGGTGATATACAAGTTTGCTGCTCAAGAGGTCATCTCTAAAAGGGGATCGATCAGAAATGAGGCGTTAAACTCGAGAGAGACGGGAGTGAAAAGAGGAGGGGGCGCGGTAAAGGGGTCGGTAAAACGGTAGGCCTCTAATAATTTGTTAATACCTTTTTTCATTAAATCGCTTGGAAACGAAAAACTGAAAGAAAGGTCAATATTGGACGGTCAAAAACTAAATTTCATTTTTAACGCTATTTTAAATTTCAATTGTATTTTTTACTTAAAGTTATTTTAAACTTATCTATTTTGCTAATTAACGGTATTTAGCGACAAAGGGTCATATTAAAAATAAAAAAAGTCCGAAAAGTTTAAAGTTGCAAACTTTACTGAAATTACTCTCAAAAACGTTTGTTTTGATGGCTCGGACTAGCACTTTATGACCCCTCGGCCATCTCCGGTTTCATTTCCTGCCGGTGCTTAATATAAATAAAGTTGACGCTCATGCATGGGCAAGTGTCATTTCGGCTCGAAAAGTGGATAAATCAAAATTGTCTCAAAACAACGCCTGCGGGCATTAGCACCTTGCCAAGACAAAAGATCTTTTCAATTTCGATAAATAATGACACCGCTGGAGGAGCAAAAACGGCGGTTCTTTCAGAATAAACTATCTGCAGGCGGTAGCCGTGGTCATTAAGCATTCAATACGCCTTTCAATGGCTTGTATGAAAGGGAATGGGTGTGGTGGGCAGGGTTGACAAAAATATGAAAGTAATTACCCAAGTTTTTTAAAATGAATTGAAGGCGCAAGCAACAGTAAAAACAAATATTGAAAGTAAACATACCTGGAAGACCATCGGGATGCGTCTCTCGGCACGCTGGGGAGCGAATGACCGTTCCCGAGGAAGGTCTCGACCGACGAGGCCGGCCTCTTATCCATATCGATATCAATCTGATTGAAAGACGATATGGAGGGGGACTGATCCGCCCTGAGGGAGTGGTTCCGTTGTTGTTGTCCTAGCTGGAACCCCTTCAGGCTGGTCGTAGCGGGACTGGCACTCCGTCGCTGATGCTTCAGGCAGAAGGGGTGGTGACGGTGTAGGTGCTTCTGGCTGGCGTAGCTGGGGCCGGGAGACTCGGTGCGAGTGGAGCCGTTGTAGAGACCCAGGGAAGAGCCAAACTGACCAGAAGACGGCGTTACGCCATTAAAGGCGGTGTTATCGACGCCTGGAAACATTGCATTCACAGGAAGAATAATAATCGGGTTTGAGGGGAAATAGCACTCGAATCATGCAATAAGTGGTGGTCTAACACATCTCAACTAATCCCGCTCTCCGGAGCCCGTTCGCAAAAACTATTTCACGTTTTTTTCGCCCGACTGTCACGCCCCGCCAAACACCTCCGGGTACTTGACAGTAACTAATTTGAACTGTTTGGATTTTCAACTTTTTTTTTAAAAAGTTTGTTATCTGGGAGTTGGCCTACTTAACTTAAGATCAGTGATCTTTCTTAAACAAACTTAAATTATCATTTTAAATTATAATGGTTAACTCAACATAACGCTTCAAAAATGTTATTTGACACAACATAATGCTCAAACTGTCGTCTTTAGAGACCCTTTTACACTAAATTTGCATACGATTGACAGCTGTTCGATAAAAGTCGAGAGTCGGACGTTTTGTTGACCTCTGTGTGGGTAAACAACCATGAACAATACTTTTATGCCCGAAGGGAAAGTGTTGACCATGACAAAAACAAATTGGTTTAGTTAAATTGTTTTCGAGCCGGCTGATTTATTAAACGACAGACTTTTTTCACAAACAAAGTGCAAAATATTGTTGATTTAAGTTTTCAAAAGGGAGAACATGTGTATACGACGCTTTCTAACGCAAAAATTGTTTTCCTTCGTATCACAACAAACATGTCCAGTTACATTCCCATACCACCCCTCACATCTTGGCTACAGCTTCAAAAGACTAAACTCTGGCTATTCGCACTATTTCAAACGTAATACACTGAAATTGCAAGATTGGCCACGAAAGAAAGGCCACGAGAAATGGTTGAAAAGTCTTGAAGTGTGTTTCCAGAAGGCTTTGAGGATTTGAAACCGCAAAAGGATACGAGCCATGTCCAATATAAAATTACCGAATCATCGAAGGGAGTAAATGAGGAAACCCTGAGGGTTGAAAGGCGGCTCCTTTCGGGAAAATAAAAAATGGTCTTCTGGGTTTGGGAAAGTATTTTTCGGTTTTTTGGAAATGAAAAAGTAGTCTCTAGGCCTTGGAAGAAAGTACACTTTCGAATTAAAAAATTGATGGGAATTTTGTGGGGAAAAGGTGTCAAAAAGGGTGATATAGAAGCTAAAACAAGATAAAAAGCTATGTAAAGGGTAGTTTATAGTTCAAAATATAAGCCTAGGCTAAGCTAACTCTGCTAAAATAGAATCCCAAGCGAATAGACAGATAAAGAGGTAATAGGTGGGTGGGACAGCTCGTCAATCATCCCGATCAGGACGTTCAAAGTGCCAAACTTTGAGCCGAAGTGCGCAAAAAAAGTACAAGGCCATGTCCACTCAAACGCCTTAAGCCAAAGAGTTATTGTTAGTGGCCTGTTGCCCCGTCTTTGCTCGGCTCGTGTCCATTCCTAACGCGTTTTGTTCAAAGCTTTGGCCTTAAAAAGATGTCGCGTTTCGAGAGATGTCGCTTTTTGGCATGGCGTAATAAATCAGCGCGCCCAAATGCTCACCCAGATAAGCTACACATTCGTTTGGAACGTCAGGGATTACGTTTCGAATATAATTAAAGAATGACTCAGCTCATGCTTTCCCAGACCCCTATCGCCCATCTGTCGTTCATATTAAGTTGTTAAGGCTTATGCTGGTCGTCTTATAACGAGCTCGCTTAGCATCCAGAAGTAAAAGATTAGGCATGTTATTTTTCATGTTATAACAAAATGCGGTATTAGAAACATGAGGTTTAGCATCAAAACATGATGTTTTAGTCCTACAGAGACAAGTTGATGTTCATAAAAAACTTTTTTGGCGCATTAATTTACTAACATAGCTGTAAAAAAGAAAGGAAAATTTTATATTGTCTTAAATAAAGTAACATAATGCCCATCCAAGCCCTGCAAAATGGTTTCGAAGTCAATCTAAAAGATGTTACTCACCAAAGTCCTCGTTCTTGCTGCGGACCGAGCCATTGTCGCTGTGTCGACTCTGATGATGGCCCATTTCAGGGGGAACTTGGCATTCTGAAACAAATTTTTATATTTCAAAATAAGGAACGGCCGATGACTGTGCCCGATAAGAGCGACCGTTCTCACGCCTCCAGGGTAAATCGTGTAACCTGACAGTGTTTTTTGGGAGAATCGGAGGTCATAGAGCGAATCGATGCAAAGTAAGGGGCGAGGGAGCATATAGATTGAGGAGAGACGAGAGAGCACGGGAATTGCGGAGAGGGAAGGGAGCGCGAGAGCGGTCAGCCTTACAAATTTGGATGGCATAAAAGAGTAATGGGATCAGGGGAATGGGAAAGCGAGCAAATATGCCCATATAATATTGTCATTAGTCTGATTAATCACTTTCGGATGGGATACAAATGTCACGGACATTGTATTCCAATACGAACGGTTTGGAGGATACGACAATGTTATAGTAGCTTCTGTAAGACACAAAAATAAAAAAAATAGCGTTAAATCCACTTTTTAAAATTTATTTCAAACATATTATCCTAGGTTTTTACTGAAAAAAGAATAAAAATTGTTCTGACAATCCTTTTTTTGATCAAAAGCGTCTCCCCCCCCTCCTTTTTAAAGTGGCGTTGATTTGATTAAAAGTAGCCATTGCCTTGCAATAAACGTTCACTCTTGGCTGTCCCGAAGAGATGAATAAGCTCATATTCAGGTGGCCTCAAAAGGGCGCGTCCAACTGGAAAAACCAAGAATTATTGCCTCGAGGCGGGAAACCGAGGAAAACCCAAAACATGTTGTTATAGAGGGGAGAAGCGGGCTCTTAGGGTACCCTCCATTCAAAAAAATAGAGGGAAGGTAGAGACCGCGCGGGAGGGTTATAAGAGCGATCAGCGGTGCTCCACTACAATATACACTAAGAGCTAATATATAAATTATGGTTTTATATTGCCGTATCCAACATTATACGCCAATTTTTAAGTTTTATATGCCAATATTTAATTTACTTGACTGTGATGAAGATTTTACGACAATTTAGAAAAAACTGCATGATATTATTCTGGATATAAGACTTTTTTTCTTATCTTTGCTCCAAATTTTACATTGTAACAAAAAGGAGAGGAAATACGATTAGACTAACATAATTAAGCCTAGAGTGTTACTTCAAGTTGATGACACTTATCTTTTACAATCAGAATTTAGGAATGGTCTATAAGATTACAAATTGCAGTCCGATTTTAAAAAGTTGGTCAAAAAGTTTCTAGAATTGAGAATGTATCACAATATATATTGCAATATATAACAATTAAAAAACGCAACAATAAAAACTAGCCACATATGACTCACATATGAAGCTTATGATAAAACAATCATATATATATATATAAAGTGACATTCATATAAGAAAGCGGAAAGAACGTGAATAAAGTTGTTGTCCCGTATCTGGACCATTCTGAAAACGACTGACCGTTTGGCCATAAAATTGGGATTCTGAGAGAAGGAAGAGCCAGATGGCTTGCTGTAAGATCTGGCCGAATGGAAGAGATATTCATTGTAAACAGCGATCTGCAAGTACCACGCATTCCGGATGGTGTCAATATTAAAATGACAGTTTAAACGGGAGATTCCAATTTTTGAAATTATAGTTGGATTAAACTATTGTACTATTAATAATAACGATAGAACTGTTATACTAAGAAAAGATACTCGTCACTTTCTGACAAAATGAAGTTAGAATCCTCTGTTAGGTAGTATAATATAATATGATAAGACAAAACCGCTAAACTCATAGTGTTACCAAAGTAAAAATAAGGTAAAACAGGATGAAAAAAGAGGTAATAATCAAGGTGGTGGTTATTATAACCGCAGTTTTCTTTGTTCAGGAAAGAGTAGACTCCCTCCATGTAGCGAGTTACATGACTCTAAGAAGTAATGACCAGTTTTCGTCGGAAACTATTATAACACTCTCTCTTCCGTTACAAAGCAAACACTTTCACGTCTCTATGTCACAGTGTAATATATTATAGTATTCAATTTTACTGTAACACAGAACCTTATGCTACAATAAGGCATAAACGTGGTTGCTATCCGGTCTCAAAGTATGGACATTACTCTTAATATTAATCGATAGAACAGTTTTAACAAGAAGTTAACAGCTTTTAAAATTCGATACGGTCAACATACGACGCGCCATGTAATACACAGTTTATGTTAATATGCAAATCAACAGCACACATTCTTGAAGGAGTCTTTGAGCGATCGTCGATGACGGATGGCCTCCTCCGACTCCAATCTCTTGATGTTGTGATCGCGTTGGAAGATGGGCGCCACGTACAACCCCTCCCGCTCGGCACATACGATTTGCCTAATAAGGAAGTTCATGGCCTCCTCCACGTTGTCGCCGGTCTTGGCCGAGATTTTGAATGCCCCACTGAACCCGTATTGAATGGCAAGCTCGTGGAGTTCGGCGGTCGAGAGTTCGTTGTTCAAGTCGCTCTGAAATTTGCATATTACTTCATGTGGAAGTGGTTATAATTGGTCGAAAAAGAGATAAAATGATAAATAAAATGAAATATTAAGGCAATTATATGGGTAAGTAAATTGAAAGATAAAACAAACATTACTATACTAAATACCCTTCAATTTCCTACTGTAACATACCTTATTAGCCAACAAAATGGCCGGAATCGGGTCCCCATTGTCCAACCTCAACTTGTAGTCCAAATCCTTTTTCCATCTGAACGCTCCGGCCACCGTATCCTTCTTAGTACAGTCGCACAATACGACCGCGCCGTGAGAGTCGCGGTAGTAGACGCGCATCATGTTGGCAAATCGATCATGGCCTGAACAATATTTATTTTAATTGAATCGCGCGCTCTCGAGGATTGTTTGCGAGTAAACAAAATGACAAAAATTTGTGCGCAAAGGGGTTTAATTCGGCCCTAACAATAGACTTCTTTCCGTTACCTCTAACCCCACAAGAGATGGCTTGTACTTTTTATGTTTGAGCGCTATTAATACTGTACGACACGTGTGAAATTACACGCCGTACTGTGGGGGTTTGCATGATACAGTAGTCAAAAATCATTTTGATTTTATTAATATATATAAGGTCTTAGTATCCCCTGTTATATTATATATTGAGCTTCAGAATGTACTGTTATATGTATTGTCAATAGTTTAGTCAAGCGTCAAGTATGTTTTCGAACTGACTCTGTTACTTTTTTTACAAAATGATAATTCTAATGCAAACAAGAAGATACCTTAAGTCAACTACCATAGTATACTTTACAGTCTTTGTCATCATATTACGTAGTTAATACAAATCTTACTTTACAGTTTTGGTATTGTTTTTGTTTTAAATTGTCACGGGCATGGCCATTCAAATATTTTTTCAACTGGTCGGGTTTTACGTATAAGATAGTCGTGTTGTTTCTGTATATTATGATTTATACTGTAATTAACGTTACATTTCAAAAAATCATAATTTTACATCGTACGATAGGCCTATTTCGAAATGACTGCAGTCCCTACAAATTCGATTTCTAATAGTAAGGCATTGCTGCATATTTATCAACAAGAATATGAACTTGTTGACATCCATGCATAGTAAAGCCTAGAAGTTTAGTTTACATGTCTCCTTGCATTACCATGAACCCACTTGGTTTACCTCTTGTCTTGAGTGCGGTTTACCGCTGTGAATTGTAAGAATGACCATGACTCCGCGACCTCTCAGCTGAATCCGTTTTTGGGTACTTGTGGAAGGTGGTGGGTATTCCTTGGCCCTCCGATCTCGAGACGTTCAGATCGATATCGCGATCGTCTTGTTTTAGAGCCGCGCAAACACGCATCCCGATTCGACTCTCGAGATTCGTATAATCCCGTTGCCTGAGGGCAAGTGACACGTGAGACGTGCGGAAACGGTTTCGTTGGGGGAAACAGTAGTTTGACTTTACACAGTTCGAACAGGTACTGGGGCGTTCTTTTGGCTCGTCTGGGAGGTTCAGTATCCTCAATGTCTTATGGTACAAATATATTATAGTATGATACTTTGGTATAATATTTCAATACAATATCTTGCCCTTGTCAGTATTGATAACACGGTAACAATACGAATCCACCTGAAACACGAGGAAGGCGTATTCGATTAAGTTCGTAACCCCTTCGGATGGCACCTCATAGCCTCCCCCGTCAAAAGCACTTGTTCTCCTTTTCCGATGACTTCTGACTGAATTCTCTGTTTTCTCTTCAGGAATCGTACCACATGACGGACAGATAGGGATGGCCTACACGTATCCGGACAGGTCCATCTACTCGTGTCAGATGCAGGTAGGTGCAGGTATTGAAGTGCACGATAATAGGCGTATTATGTAACCCGATTCCGTGCAAACATACGTTTGGTTATGTTGTGCTACGACTGTGGTATGTTATTGTGTTCTTTCGTATCTGATCGTTATTGTGTGTCATCTTGATGACATTTGATTAGATATTGTTTTGTTTATAATAGGCCGGTCAAAAAGTTGATAGAATCTCTTTTTACAGACAGATTTGGTCAGTCTTTGCCTTTTCTATTTAATTTTTGACCGGTCACTATTATAAAATTGAGCTAGATGAACCCTACGTTAACGTAACACCACAGTTTACACATAATACCACAGTGTACCGCAGTAATGTGATGTGATGACCTCCTACCATCGAATAACACTTGATCTGGTCTGCTTAACCCTGTAAAGACAATCCTATATTTCAGCTTCAGGGATGTAACCTGCTCCTGATCCTGCTAGGCCTTCTGATGGTTGGTCTGGCGAGCTCCCAGTTCAGTCCGGTCGGGTTGGACAACTATCGACTGGTCGATCTCAGGCTTCTCAACTACTTTCATACGCTAACGGGTGCAGTCAGCTTTTACTGTGTAATCAAGAACCATGGCAGTATTGTGGTCAAAGGGTTGTACATGGTGTCGTTCGTGGTTGGGACATGTACTGCCATCTTTTATGGGTTTACAACTTACAGGGTATGTTACAGTAGTTCCACGTATCCTATATGACATTTTCAAAAACATGTTATGATAGTCTCAGGTATTTTGCTATTTTAATCGACTAAAAAATCTGCTTCTAATTAGTCATTTATAAAGGTTAATATTGCTACTTCAGATAGTGGATTCGTACCAGAATCTGATGCGACTTCAGAATACAAACGGCTTCCAACAAGAATTCGGAGAATTTTCCGAGAATTACGTTGGGAAGATTGTCATCTCGGCCGTGTCCATCGGAGTTTCAGCAGTAGCGGGACTAGTGGCACTAGTGGGACTGTTTCTGTTAGATAGACTGGTCGTTGTCGAACCAAATTGGCCAACGATAAACGTAGGTTTTGCAGTTTTCTAGCCAAATCTACTGTCCTAACCAAAGATAAGAATAACCATAAATAGTTACTATCCCACTCATTAGTACAGTATCCTTTCAGAGAGAACAAGAAATAGAGTTACGGTACAACAGAATCCAACTAAAGTATCTGGCCTTGCTCAAGCTGTTCCTTGGCCTAGGAACCCTTGGCTTGGCCGCTTTCCTAGAATATCTTCATGAATCCCTAGGTCGCCGACCAGATTACATCAAGATATCGCTAGATCACATCGCATCGTTCTTTGCTACAGTAGGCGCTCTCACAGACGTGTTTGCCGTTCACGGTAAGGCACGGTCGTTACTGAATCAGAAAGTCGGATTGGGAATGGCAGTGGTGGCAGCTGTGTGGACGATAAAGGCTGTAGATAATGGAATGTTTCCATTCTACAAGGACGACATCAGGAATTACTATGCCTTACAGAGTAAGTGTCTACAGATAGTGAGACTTCTGGCCAAAAATATAATTCGTAGAACCCCCATTTTAAATAGTGTCTAATCTTCAGTGTCACTTCAGGTTCCCAAAGTGAAGCAGCCATCTTCAACTCCACAGAATACGTAATCGTCATTGTGCACGGTGTGCTACTGTCCACGTTGGCCGTCCTGTTCTTCGTCTGTGCTTTCTCTGCCGTTCTCTCCGGATGTTGTCTTCAACGTGATGCCTACAATACGATGCGACAGTTGACGAAAGAAGCTGTCCTTCAGAGTCGTTTCCTCGGCTTCATCCACGTCTTCTGGGCGTGCTGTCTTGTAGCCTTGGTGGTGATTGGACTGATAAGAACACGGTGGAACGGTGACTTCATTGGTGGAGATCTACTGTGGTTGGCGATGTTGTTCTTCACTACCGGAGTGTTGTCTTCCTCCAAGATGAACATCCTAGTCACCACCAAATGTGTGTTGAATGTTGTGTCAATTGGGATAGCATTGGAGAAGACATGTGTCAGTATTCACCTCATCTACCAGTCGGCGACTTTCTCTGATTATGTGAATCCACGAGTATTAGAGAACGATGCCTACGTTGGACAGATAGTACTGCACTCTTGTCAATGTTTGGTGCTGTTTGGAGAGTTCTTGACTGCTACTGTTGGAGCTGTCATCTTTGGGCGACATCTGATCAGAACTCCCTTTATGCATAAAACACATTCCACGTGTAAGTTGACTGTGTAATCTACTATAATTTGGGTCTTTTGCCAAGTACAATATTATTTCTTTCAGTAGTACATACCATCTTCTCAGTCGGCACATTACTCTACGGTGTCGTCATGACTGGTTGTTATGTAGTGTTTGAACTTGGGAAGTGGAGATTCAACGAGGTACCATTGGAAGTACCATTTTACCGTCTTTCCAATGGTCCTCTAGCGTTGTGCGTCTTCGTAGTACAGGTATGGTTACTGTACTACATTACTGTTACAAGCCGTTATGATATACACAACTATTTTTACTTAGTCATGTTAATTTCAGGTATTGTGCGCCGTATATCAGCCACTGTTATTGTCAGCTACCATCCTACAAATCGTCGTATCTTCGTTGGCATTGTTTGTTATTAACTCGGCGATAACCAACGTGTATTATATCGTAAGTTCCTTCTTTAACGTTGCTATTACACGTAAATCTTTAACCATCTGAACCACCAAGAACATCAATCTATAGCAAGTTCCTTTTGCACCAATAATAATATTATTACTGATGATAAATGTTACTTTGCAGCAAATTCTGTTAGAAAACGAAGATTTCCTCAACTCGTCCTCAGACCAACATACCATACTGATCGTGGCGTTAGTGCTGGCAGCTACCGCCGCCTTATGTTGTGTACTATGTACCTTTTGTGGAGTTATTAGCATACTTAGGTCGTCGTATATAATGCACCGTCGTCATCCTGGGAGCGAGTCTACGGCCGTAGCACCACTAGAAGATGTCCCTTATGCCCTGAACAGTACGATGACATCTTCACCTATGCCTTTTATGGTATGTTAACTTTGTTTTCCAGAAACAACAACACTATCTTATCCTAACCAATATTATTTTAGCCAACCGCAGTCCAGCCGATGGAAGAACAGACCTTGTACTGGTCGGCCGAAGAGAACCCCTATGTCTACAAGTCGACCAAAAGATACTATGGTCAGCCATACTTTGTAGACACCGGTTACTACGGTAACTACCGACGGTCTTCGATGGACGAAGCTCTCAACCGGTCGATTCGAATTGCATCGCTAGCCCCGGAACGTCAAACAACGTCAACTCAGACCCTGCCTCCCCGGAATTGATCTTATCCTACTGTAACATAGCCTTCAAAATTGTTGTCATATCTTTACATTCTCATACCGTTACGCTTTCAGAATTAATAAAAGTTATATTTTGTTTGAAGATTATTGTAAGTTATCGTATTAAATATTTTAACCTTTTGTAAAACTCGAGCAACTTCTAGGATTATTGTATTATAATTATCATTACAAATGTAATTTTAAAAGAATATAAAAACATTTTGTGCAACATAAAGGCTCTAAGCGCCAAAAACCTAAAAATAAAAAAGCAAGTCATTACTTACCTGCTGTGTCCCAAAACTGTAACCGTACCAGTGTATCACCGTATCGTACCAACTTTGTAGCGAAGTCAACGCCAATCTAAAGATACCACAGTTATTACTACCCCTCTTTTTTAATATTGTCAAACAATCTCACAGAAAGTCAAAAAGTTACAAAAAATCGCCAATAACAAACAAAAAATTACTTTAATTTAACTTACAGTAGGCTTATATTGTTGTGTCATGGCATTTCGAACAAATCTTTGTATTAATGACGTTTTACCCGTACTCACATCGCCGACTACAATAATCTTGAACAGAAACTCTTTGCGATCTGAAGAAGTCGAAGATACAGACTGAAACATTTACTACAGTATACAACTACTAAAGCAATCACAAAAAACAGCTACAAAGCCTTATTTACTGCTATAACCTTTTGAGAAAAGCTATTATAGTACACTTTTGAAATAAGAGTGGTAAGATAATATATCAACTTTATATGTACTTTACCATGGTAAAACTCTAAAAGATTTAGTAAAAGTTAATCCTAAGAATTGTAAATAAGATGTAAAAGAACAACTTTAAACTCAAAAGATACCAAGGTCTTACCATTTGAGATCAAAACAGATTATAGACCAGAAATGGAGTCGATGAGTTGAGGAATGAAGAGAACACAGATAAGAATATTATGATTACAAAGATAAGAGAAATCGCTTACATCATAAGCAATGTATTTCGAACTATAACAATCTTATGACTACCGCCACAAGTTGTCTTTAGATATAAAATCCTTCAGAATAGTAAATATCATAGTAAAAAGTATAATCAAGGTCATTATTTATTTATTTTACAATATTTTAATATAAAACAAAAATTAATTAATGTAACATAACATTATTATATCACAATCTCTTGTAAAACTCTGATTTTGTACTCTATTCTTGTAACTCTTGATCAAAGAAGAACTCTCCGAAGCCTTGGCCGGCCAATTTGGCCCCAGTCTTGTGCTTGGCCAACTCCTCGATGTCAATTACTTGGTCGTGGAGGAATCCATCAATGAAATCAGCGAATTGAGCATCGTTAACTCCACTGGCAGTCTTGTTGAGTTGAAGAAATTCAGAGTTGAGACATTTTTCGAGTTCGATCGAGTGGTCGAAGCAGTGTTTGACGTTCTTAAAGTCTGTCACTTCGGGTTCCTTGATGGTGTCAAAGACGACTCGGCCGCCACGAACGTTAAGGTAGTGGAAGAACTGCAATTTTTATTTCTCATAAAATCTTTTTAACTTTACTTCCTTTCAAAAAATAGTCAATAACTTGTTACCTGGCAAATGTTATCGATATATTTAAGACTTATCTTCTCATTTCGTATTATAATATCAAACCCTGTAACAAAGCAGCATTAAGTCAACTTACTTTATCGGCCTGTTCCCTCTTTTTGTCGCTGAGCTTCTCGAAGAACTTGAACAAGTTGACTAAACCAACATCGTGACGATCGAAGAAGTAGGCCACGTTCAGATAATGGTAAGAAGCGCTCAGCAACCTGGTACCAATCTGATTCAGTGCCACTTCCGAATCGTTGTGGAAGTTTTGACGAATTTGGTTCATTTTCAGAGCGAAACACGAAAATTGCCTCGAGAAATGAAGGGAATAATTCGCCTTTTAAGACCGCGAATATTATTTTATCAATCGATTCGTTTATCAGTTTCATTACTTATTTCTCCATAACTTACTATTTCGAAAAATTTGTTTACTTACAGAGCAGAGATGTCCAGCTTCGGATTGCAGGGGAAACTAGTCTTGGTAACAGGTGAGCTTCTCTGAACATTTTGTTACCTAAAATGTGATAAACACATCTGGAAAGTTTAAATTAAGAAAGAATAAATGATTTTTAAAACAAAATAACAATAAACAGTTTTTAATTTCAGGAGCTGCTCGGGGTGTCGGAGCTGCTACAGCTAAGAAATTCGCGTTAAACGGAGCCAATGTTATACTTGTCGACATCATCGAAGATGTCCTCCAACAAACCGTGCGGAAAGTCAAACAAGGTGACAGTTTCTACTGGTTTATCGACACAAACAAAAAATTGTCTGATCTGGAAAAATTTCCGATAATTTTTGTGGCAACCCGTATTATTTTCAAAATGTTGTGACATTTCATGTAATTATTATAAAAAATTTTGGCGGAGAAAAGAAATATTTTTGAGAAGAAACTGCAACCTTTGATTTCGATTTCTTTTGCATATGATATTTTAAATTTTTAAAAATTTACGTTGTTTTCAGAATTTCCGAACGTGACTGTTGTTGGTGAAGTTTGTGATGTTAGCAAGCTCGAAGATGTTGAGAATTTGGGAGAACGGGTTAAGCGACAGTTTCCTCAATCTATTGACGTTCTTGTCAACAATGCTGCTATTGTTCGGATCCAAGATTACGTTGATATTACAGAAGAAGACTTCCAGAAGGTTATCTCCACCAATTTGTTCTCCGTTCATTGGGTATGTTTAGATGAATTTACAGGCTTTGTACAATGAAACTGAACGTAAAGTTAGGCTTGTTTTATTTACGTATTGTATCATGGTATGTTACTATTTTTAACGTTTTTTGACTGTATTTTTTGTAGTAATTTTAATAAAGTTTGCCATTTTCAGATGATTAAAACCTTTACTAAGGAAGCGATCGAACAGAAAAGGCCAATGGCCATTGTCAACATTTCGTCAATTACCACAATCTCAGGAATGGCAATGTTGGCTCATTATGTGACAGCTAAAAGTGGCATTCTTGGTCTGACGAAGACATTGGCCAAAGAGTTGGGCAAGTACAATATCAGAGTGAACGCGATTAAACCAGGCTTTGTTGATACACCGATGAACAACCATTTGACAGCAGAGAATAGGGCTGATATTTGTGAGAAGACACCTCTAGGCAGAATTGCCCCGCCCGAAGAGATCGCCAATGTTATAGTGTTTTATGGCTCTGATCTGGCTAGCTTTTGTACGGGATCGCTAGTCGATGTGAATGGGGGAATGTCTTGGTAAGGTGTGTCTCTGGTAGAATGTTGTTTATGTTCATAGTCTCTTCAAAGGATTTAGGTTATTTGTTGGGCAAAAACAAATTTTTGAATTTTTTTAGACCTGCTGTTTGTTACAGTAAGTCTACTGTATTTCTAGTTTTTGGTTGTCTTAAGCTTAGTTTTGTACATTATATTGTAGCATATCATCTTCACTTCATCTTATTGCATTCACATACTAACATCTAATGTCGCGTTGAATAAACCGAGTTTACTACGCCGCCCAAATCGTATTTACCATGTGAGATCGCAACGGAAATCACTTTTCCTGATTGTATTTGCAGCGTAACAAAGCAAAAGCTATGGTAATCGAATTTGAATTGAACAAAATATGTCCAGCAGCCTAAGGCCCGGGGGATGATCGAATTAGGCCACTTTTGGATGTGGAATAACACTTGAGGTTTTGTTTCCTTTAATCTAATTGCCTGCCAGCCGGCTGGTTACAAAGTGTAATTTTCAGATCACTTTTAATTAGTTTCAGTGCAAATTAACAGCTAATGTGGGGGGAGGTGGTTGAATGTATTCATTTCTTACTGGTTTTGGGTATACCGTAAAGTCACCTGTTTTTGGTAGTTTACTGTATTTGAAGTTAATATTTAGGCTGTATTTGGAGATTTTAGAATTGTGCAGCTGGATTTTAAGGTTTAGTTTAAAGAAAGTAAAATGTTTTATAGTTGTAAAGAGTTTCATGGTTAAAAAGTATTGTGTGGCAGAGCTACTTTAATATTAAACATGGCCAAAGACCGAAAAGTTTGATTTTTTTCAAAGAATTGCCTACTTTTCGCGTTTAAACAGACTGTAACTTTTTATTATACTAGATATTTTAAATCAATTATCAAAGTGAACAAAACATATTTTTAAATTATGAAAATATTGTTTTAGGGTTATTATATGTTTCGTCACATTATAAAAATGATGTAAAAACAATCAAAAAACAACCGGCTTTTATCTTTTCCTTCAAAAATTGCAACTCTGAACCCGCATTTTGGAAAAATTTGCTTTCCGAGAGTTAATACAATCTCCCCAACTGTTTACTGCGGCCCATCGATAACCCGGAGATAGGCGTGTTGTCTGGAGATAAAGTTAATTTCGAATAAATCCCTGGACACTCTGGGCGGCCCCTGAGGGCCCAACTCGAATTCTCAGTTTTATTGTTTTTAATCGGCGCTTATCACAATGACATCACATGCAACACCCTCAGGGCAAAAGTTTTGGTTAATGAAGAAAGAGAAATCCGAGAAACGAAAGAGCCGGAGGGTACGAAGGAAGTGCCGGGCGGTAAAGAAGCCGGTTCGCTTCCCTTTTCGGAGCCTGAATCTATGTATCTTATGTTGTTACGAGGTAGTCGATGTTATTATGAGCCGCAATTATGAGTAAACAAAGCACTTCTAGTCCAAATTGTCCCCCAATTTTATTTTCCCAAAACGGACCCAATTTGAAAATGGGCACAATAAGTGCGAGGAATGTCTTTTTCATTTCCGGTTATCCTATCTATCTGGCTGGCCTGTCGGGCGCCGTGTTTTTTCAACTCATTAATTTCAGGAAAGTGCCTTAGGGTCCTTGGGGCGAGTGCCAAGTGATTAATCGGCCGTTCAGCTGTAGATGATGATTGGGAATGGGATGTCCCTGGTCCCGTCCTGCTTCAACTTCTGAATCCAAGGCCGACGTCTACAGCGTCTCCAAACAGGACCGTGCCTCCTTGGTCGACACGGATGATCCGGAGTCGCCGGAACGGTCGCCACAGAACGGCGCCTCCGCCCAGCTCAACCGACGCGATACCCCTGCCAAGGGATTGTTGAACCCTGATCGGTGAGGCTTTAGGCTTATATTCTTTTAAGAATGGACTTTGTTTGGAATGGCAGCGTTAAAAGTTATGAAATTTTCTAAAAAGCTAAATATTTAGTAAACATTTAGTAATTGATAGGTTTAAAAATGAATTTTTTTTGTTTAAAACTACTAAACTTGAATAATGTAAACGAAAAACCAACTTATTGAATTTCAGACGAAATACCTCAAAACAAAACACAAAATCGTCTCCCGGGTAAGTACTCCACTATATAGTATTTACATTTATATACGACTTTAAATTGTCTAATGTGAACTTATTTTACTTTTCTTGATTATATTTAAGGTTTCAGATTGTTAACCAGTAATAGTCAGAATGAGTTCTTTCGAATGTTGGAAGAGAAAATTGCTCAGGTATGTCACTATTTTTATTTCATTACATCTTTACCTTCTTGCACTTTCTTTTGCTGACTTGGCAATGTTGTTTTATGATACAAACATAACGTTTTAAGTATATTCACGTTAAATTCTCATGGTACCTTGGTTCTTTTTACACTTTTATCTTGTATAACTTTAAGTATTAGTGGATAGTGTAACTTGACTGATCCTTTAGTGCTGTCGCAGTGCAAAGTGATGCCATTTGGAAGCGGAAACTTTTTTAATTAAATTGTGTTAACTTTTGGCTCTTGCTTTCTATTAAAACATGCATAAAATGCCTTAACTTTAGATTTTAAAAAGAATGTAAATTGCAATTAGTACGAAAAATCATGCAGTTAAGAATAACAAAAATATATATTATATATAAATATGTTATATTACTCATAGTCAAATTAAGTAATTTTTGATAATGTTATATCAAAAACTTCCATTTCTGTCATTCTAATGATATGTTACTTTTGGATGAAGGATATTTTTTATTCCTACATATACATAACTAACTAGCCTTACCATAATCTATCTGTTGCACTTTCAAGAATATTATAGTAGGACCGCCAGTACCAAGAAGCCTCTCTTTCCCAGGGAAACAAAACTGGTCGACTGGTATATGTTGACCATTTTTAATAATTTTTAAGTGCGGGTACTATTTCTTCAACCACGTCCCATCGCCAGATACTGTATTTAACTAAACAATATGTTTTAGACCGTCTATAGTATAACAATGTAGTCTTTCTAAGGCCCTAATCAAAAATCAAATGTTTTACTCTGTAAATGTGCTCTTACTCTGTAAATGATCGTATTTCAGGGCCCGGGAGAGCTGTCGGACACGGAATCTGAGCCCTGAATCCAGTCTTCATCGTGCTCTACGGGTACTCACAATAAACGAATATAAATAATATACGGCTTTTCGCTTTTTCCAGTACGATTAGAGATTAAATGTCCTAAAGTATTTGACTTTAATAAAAAATAACTTGAAACGGTCGGGAAGTACGGTCGAGCGGGTTCCGAGGCAGCCGGGTGTACTTTCCCTGCTTTCCTCGGGGTTTAGTTGGTACTATTCGTGAGCATGCAGGTAAGTACGCTCTTGTCTTTGTGTTTTTTGTGCAAAAATAAACTTTTTTTTGGAATTAAACGTCAACTTTGAGTAAGTAATATTGAGTATTAATTTGGTCAGAAAGTAAGTGAAAAGTAAAGGGTAACGAAACCTGTGCGTAAATTACAGTATTTGAACAAAAAAGCAAGGTAATGTAGAGAAAACTAAAACTACGTTTTGTTAAACTATCGGTGTACAATCACGCTATATCTGTAACATAATATGGGTATTATGTCAGGGTAAAGAAGAGTACGATGATCCGGCCGAAGTGCTTCGTGTGGCCAGATTGGCCGTCAAGGAAGCCAACAATCGCGCGATGCGGCTTCAGAATGCGACAACACAACAATTGGTACAACGTGTAAAGGATCTCAAGTACTGGTCAAGCGAGATCGACAGGCAAGGCTTATATCAACTACCTGAATGAATATATTATATAATACTAACAATCAATTTAAAAACTATTAGAAAAGTTTTATATGTTTGTAAAATAAGATACGTTACTTCTAGAGAGCTTCAAGATCTGAAGGATGACAATGAAGACATCGTACGATACTTCCGGAAGCTCCAATCCTGTATTATTGTAACTCACGACGCCATCAAATGTAACGAAGCTTGCTTTGCCGTCAGAAGGAAGAGAATCCATGTAAGTCAAGGGTACTGTAGTGCTTTAAACGTGTATAACTTATAAAATAAGGCACCAGCTTTTTAAAAATCCGAGTTTCAACAAAAAGTTGTTTATGCCAAGTCTTTCTCTCAGTTGTGCCACGTCTTTCCTTCTAACTTATTATAGGTAATTTAACACTAAAATCGTATATAAATTATTGATAACACGTGTAAATCTTTACCATGAATATAGGTAGACAACCACGATCGTGTAGATGCGGCTCTGGGCAAAGAAAAGGATATTATCAACGATTGTGTGAAGCAAATGAAAGAATTCAACGGAATCGTGGAGAAACAACTGGAGATCAACGATCGTACGTACTCTACTATTACGGCAATGTCAATATGCTTTTGTAGTTTGATGTCTTGATCTATTCATTATTATTTAGAATCCAAGAATCGATTGCTTCGTGACTACACATTGAAACAAGAAGCCGTGAATCTGGATCACCGCGCTGCTGCTTTTGGCGCTGACCGTAAGGCTACTCTAATATAAACTGTTTTTGATGGTGGTATTCTAAATTATAAGTTTTTGACAATGAAATTGTAACAAAGATTTATATTTTACCTTTAGCTCGCTACGTAGGCAAAAGAGCCGCTCCAGGCGAAGTTGAGTATCGTGACACAGTACCATTGCAGCGAATGAGTGACTACCAAGAATGGATCGAGAATACAGCTGTTAACCTTAACAACTCGTCCAAGGCCAGAGCAAAGTCGAGGAAGATCGTACAGCGATTGATTAATTCGACCAGAGAATTCGCTCAAGCGATGCGACAGGAGGCCATCAACGTCGAGAACACGCTCAAGGATTCCATCAGGAACTGGACTGAGTGGAGGGACTCGTTGCAGGCTCAGGTAAGGACGGTTTGGTCGAAAAGTCGATAGAAGAATTAAAAGTAAAGAGGTTTGAAGTACTTTTATCTTATTATAACTAGTACTCGACTAGTTCTCGTACTATAATTTCAGTTAAAAGACAAGGACAAAGAAGTAAAAGTAGCCGATGCTGCCATAAACGAGATCCAGTACTCCTTACAAGTTAATGGCAATCCATTACAAGTAAGTTACCATCCTTAATGTCCTTACATATCGTTTTATGTTGCATTAATGAGACAAAACCAACGCGGTCTTCGGCCGGGAATTGAATTGTGTAATGACAAAGCTCAACACGCTTTACAACAAGAACTGAACAACCTGAAGTCCAGCATGTTGTCTTTGGAGCATCAGATGGGTAAGTTAATATAACTTTATAAGTTGTACTTTTCAAGCTGTCGAATGGCACGAGCATAGTTGTTATGTTCAAAAAGTGTATAGAATGTTACTTTAGGCGAGTTTTTAGTGAGTTATTTAGCGTTTTAATGAAAAATGTTTTGTTTTTAAAATTGCGAGTTCAGTTGTCTTTTCTATGTACTTTTTGACCAGGCAGTGAGCCTACTGTATCTCCATTTACTTTCATATATTACTATGTTTTTGCCCACATTGACTTGACGGCAATAACAAGGTAACCGTCGATTGTGAACCATGACCTCGTCAACCAGCCGATGTTGTTCGTGTGACCGCGTTTCCTTTTTTCAGACAAGGCAAAAGAAAGCCGCCGCAAACTAGATGGAGAGCGTTATCGGCTGGAGAGGAAGCTGGAGATCTGCCAGCAGAACGTCGCCGTCGACTACGAAGTGTTGCGTCAGATTCGGACTACTTACCCGCAGGAGATTCAGCTGAGTGGCTTTTTGGTGGGCGAACTCCCCAAGCCAATTATGAAGTGAAACATACCACAGGTTCGTTATTGGTACGACATATATATATGATTTGGTTAAAATGGAATAGCAAGTGGTTTCCTGAACTTATAGTACCTATATTGCACTGAAGGCTGCTGGAAGCCTACTATAACATCAGACATTCTTAATATAGCGTTAGTTATAATTCATAGCCTTTTGCACTTTAACACAGAATAGAACGCTAGTTTTCACTACAGCACCATGCCTACCACAATATAACTACAAAAAATGTAACATAACATTGTCATCAACCTATAATCTATAATTGTCATCGTTATATTAATATAACCAATGATACCAAAATACAAACACTACAAGCACTTTCTTTCGCATATTACCCATGAGTTATAGTAAACGTTTATTACAAATAATGCTTTAAATAAGTTGAGGGACAGTGGAAGGAGTCAAGCGATTAATGACATTAAGGCTTTAATAGTGAAGATCGCGGTGATATAATCTAACAACTCGCTATGTATACATGAAGACCGTAACTGCCGCACAGAGTTAAAAAGGTAACAACAAGAACCGGTAGGAGACGGTCGATTACGGTAAGGGAAAGCACGTGTCGAGGGAAAGGGATTCAGAATCACAGACTACAGTATGATATGTGTAAATGAATAGAATTAAGTGAGTGGACTAGCGATGACGGACGGCCTAAAGTGAAATGTACAAAGTGTAGTCGGTACGGTAACTGGGTCCAGATTCCCTACTATTAGTAATGTTAAAGGTGTTACACCAATAGTAATAAAATATACCGTACTACTACAATAACTATGCGATTAGAGACCAGTCCCAACTAAATGTATCACAATGACTGGAATAACTCGGCTACTCAAGATTACAAGTTCAGTGAAAGAAAGTAAAGTGGGTACAGTAGTAAAGTGGGTGTACGGTAAACACGCTGAGTACGGTAATAACGTTAATCACAGTAAAAGCTTATATAAAACACAATTCTACAATGCTGGCCTTAGATGAACATTGTAAAACAATTAAATTACAGTAGAAACGTTGACTACGGTCGGGCCGTCAAATACAGTATGATTGAGTTCACTCGGCGCTGATCTCGACGAACTGTCGCTTCCGTTTGCTGCAGTTGCTGTTGTTCTCGCAGCAACATATCCGTATCACGCGACACCCACACTTGTCTCCCTTGCCGTTCTGACACTCACCGTGCTCTGTCATGGCGTCGTCCTCTTCGTTGGACTCGTCGTCCTTCACGCTGACAATGCTGGGACATCTGTTCTTGTCGCAGCCGTTCGTCTTCAGCGTCTTCAGAGGGGTTTGGAGCAGGTCGAAGTCGGTCTGAGTCTCGATGGAACTGGTTGCGAGACGAGGTCGAGAGCAGACCGAGGCTTCAGATGAGGCGTCAGAAGCGTTGGAGCCTAAGAGATCCGGCGACTTTCGGGCTAGTGCTTGTTTGGAGAGCCTGAAAGGAGATGATAAGATTAATATAAATTTAAAATGAATTCAATTGTTTTCCTTTCTTCTATCATAATATAACTTTTCAACTTTTAAAATTTAATTTAAAATTTGAGTCAAGTGTTTCCTTTGCCTTTTACGGCGTGACTTGTTTCGTAAATGTACGGTAAACAAAGTCATGTTCATCGTCCATGTCGTGACCGATCCATCTCCTTTGTCCTTTTCGAGTAATCCCAGGTCAGCAAAAACAGGTCCCGCAATGTTTACGCAAGTTCATATAAGTCACAGTTTTACTGACCGACTCCGTTTTACACAAAAAATGACCGTCGTGACGTTTTACAACAGCTACGTACTACATAAAAGGTACAGGACACTTCAGAAACCCAAAAATTCAAAAAATTTAAAAATCGAAAAAAGTTGAAATTTAAAATTAAAAGTACAAAAAACCAACACCACTTACTTGTTGATAATGTCGTTGGCTCTGGCAGCTTTTGTTCCTCTGATGGCCCTATCGATGGCCGATTTAGACTGGACTGATGCCTGAGGCAGGTAAGTGAAGTTAGATTGGGTCGACTGGGGTGTCGACCGAGCTGAAGGTGTATTTACATTGTGAATGTCGGTGTTATGTCGTTGTGGAGACCAGTTCAGAAGGCCTCCCGAGGTAGACAACGAAATGCCACTATCATTAAAGTCGACTGAGTCGTCCAATTTGACCATCTTGGCCAAGGGGGAGTTGCGATCAAAGTCATCGAGCAGTTCTTGGTGATGGTTGTGGTGGTTGTTGCCCATCAACTGGCTCAGGAAGTCTGACGTTGATGAGGAGCTTTGCTAAAATAGGTAACATTAACATTGCAAAGAATTAGTTAATGTTGGTTAGTTAATTTTAGGCTGTGGAATTAGCAACAAGCCTAATGTGGAGCATTCGATTTGTAATACAACCTTAATATAAGCTACATGAAGATTCTGTAAAAAGTTCAATTAACAGAAAAAGTCATTTTCGTTCGTTTCTTAATGATTTTTGTTTTGGGATACGATGGGTTATTGTTGTTGTTACATAAGAAAAGAGAAAAAACTGACGTCGTTAAGATCGGAGTGGTCGGCGTCGTTATTGTTCTCCTGTTTCTTGCTGCATTGTTGTGCCAACATCAAGAGGCTCATCATGGTTCCGTTCGTGGGGAACTTCAGTTCCGTCGGTAGCTTCACCTGAAACGTCGAAAAATACTTTGAAATTCTTTAAATTTCACAACTTTTTGAAACTTCCATTATTAATATAAATATAAATTAATTTTAAAACATTTTTAAGTTTCAAAACGACAAGTACTGTAACTTACGGCAGTCGGAAGTTGGTTAATATTCTGTTGATTCTGATTCCTGGACTTGGAGGATTCTGAGCTCTTGTACTGTCGCAACCTGAAGCCTCCATTCTCGGCGCTTCTTCTGGCCATCGTCAGCGACTTCTTGAGGCTATCTCGACTCCCGAAGGTCACTCCGGTCGTCATGTAGGTGGCAGCTTCATCGATCAGATCGTTCAAAGGGATATTCGGAAAACTGATCGCGGCCAAAATTAGCTGGCTCTGAAGAGAAAATACAGTAACTTGAGAAGCGTGTCAAGGACAAACGGCGAAAGTTTCGCGCATTTCGCTTTTAAATTGGAAAAAGAATAACAAATAAATGAAAAACATCTGGTGGAGCGGTCGAAAAGTGCGTAGAAGATAGAAAATGTGTAATTTCATTAGTTTGACAAAAGGTTTATAGAACCTGCATAAAAATATAATTCTATAAACTTTTTGACCAGAAATATTCCTTTCAAAAAAAGATTTCTCAAAAAAGAAATTCCCTTACCTTGAAGTATTCCAACTCTGCGACGTCGTGTTCGGCTGGATGGTTATGTTCCCCCTTGGCCGTTCCTTTCGTATCATTCTCCCATGTCTCGGCGCGACCTTTGCACCATGACCTCGACGAGGTTAACTTCTTGGCACACACACAACGCCATGTTTTGATACCCTTGGTCTCGACGTTATGGTGAATATTGTAGCGATAGCCTTGGAAGATGAGCTTCTGGTTGCCCTTAAAGCTGGTGACCATCTTTGGCTGGTCGGGATTGTACGACTCAAATTTAGAGTCCGGCTGCATTGTGCAACCGTAACTGGAAAAGGTAATGGATCAGGCACAGTTCGATTAAATAAATAAAATAAACAATGTACGATAGTAAAACGACAATTTTAACTTACAACAATATTACAACAAGAACACAATAATGTAAATCAACTATACAATAGTATCACAATAATCAAATAAAAAAATAAACGATCAACCACAATATAATTTAAAAATGTCACAAATTAACCATACAATAATACCAAAACATCCCACGACACTTTTACAATAAAATCACAATACCACGGCCACGTAGTAGCCACCACTTTCCACCACATTATTCCACGAACAGACCCCCGACATTACCATTCATAAGGATGCCTGGAGCAGAGTTTGGCAGTCTCTTGTTCCGTTTCCTGTACAGCGCCCCCAAAAACAGGCTGACGGCGCCAATCGGGCCCAACCGATCGACAAAAAGGGGCACATCACTCCCTTTTCTCTATTCACCCCACTGCCCCCACCATCACGTTCCCCACGTCTTTTTTGGCGTCTGTCGCTCACATCACATTCGTTTTGCCTTCGCCGCCAACCAGCCTGCCACGATTGCCTTAAGGAGCATATAAAACAAACCGGAAGCGAAGAGACAGCCGTCAGCCAATTGTGGCCTTGGGGGTTTCGAATGGGAGACGGTAATGCCGCGCGAAAACGGCATGGCAGAGTAGGAAAAACTACTGTAACATTTCAACAAGCCTCATTAAGAGCCATAGAATTAAAAAAAAACCATTTCAATTCAAAAAAAGGTTCGGTTAAACTAAAACAAGAAAATATTCAAAATTAGCATACAACTATCAAAACGCTTTGAAACATCCACAATATGGCATAAAACAGCAACAAGATGGCATGCAGAGACATCACGAAGTCGATCCGACGATCACCTGCTCAAAACAGAAAAGCGGATATTGCCTCGAGGGACAAACCCCACCTCGCGACGTGATGAGCGCAATCGTCCGCTCTCACCTCCTCGCCCTCAGATGCTGTTCAGCGTCGTCATTCATTGTGTAAGCCGAAAGGAAGAACTCCTTCCAATCTCCGCCACTTGACTGAATCCCTCGCTGACTCCCCCCGGCTTGTAGACGGCGGCCATGGCAATTAGTGCATCGCCCGAAGGAAAACGATGGAGAAACAAAAAGCAGTCACAGTTACCGCATAATAGGGCTTACCATATCCCGCAACAACCGCGCCCACCAACACAAATAGGTGGCACGGGGTCACAAGGACGGAGAAACGGCACCGGCGTGTCCAATTGCGCCGATTAATTCCAATCGAAACGGGCAGGGAGAGTGAGTGATAGGTCGTGGAAATGTTTATGGCGACGCGACAAATATATTACCATAGAAGTAAGAATCTGAATTTTAAACAAATTCGATTTCAACATAGGCTTCGTATTCAAACTTCGAAGTTTCGCATAAAGCGGAATGAGCTCAAAATACCCTCAAGCACCTTATGACAAAACAACTCAAAGGAAAGGCTAAGAGCCCAAAATAAGCCTAAAAGTCAAAAGATACCCGCAATATACAGAAGCCGCCAAAATACGCAATGTTGTAGACATTTGACTCGATTAAAATAAATCTGGTTTTCTGCCATACAAAGAAGAGTGCGAACACATCAAGACGCAGAAGACGACGAGGAAATCAACGAGTACAAAAAAGAAACACGCGGCATAAAAAAACGAAGAAGCGCCACCAGAAGCCGCTTCTACTGCGTTCGCGCATTGCGTAAAAAAGACGTAAAACGTTGTAGCAGCGATGACACAACACCAAAAACCTTAAAAAACCAGAGGAGAGGGCACGCAACTCCCAAAGCCGGTCTCCGCAAATTAAGGTGAATTGGGGAGTCTGGACTGGTGCCTCGAGAGCCGCGCCACCCCTACCAACTGTACGAATTTGTGGCCAAAACAATCGTCGCCCCATCGGCTTTTGTTTGCCGTTTAATGACGCACACGAGTTCTAAAGGGCTTTTTCGCCTCGCGTCCCCCTTGCCCTTAAACAACGACCAGATCATTTGTGATCAAATGTGCCCTCTTGGCCCGTTTTTCGAATGCCGGAGAAGAGACCGGCACCAACGAAATGGCGCCCGGAATGTGGTGGTCTGCCTAAGGCAGCCAGATCATGTGGCGAGACTTTTCCGGACCGTGCCGACCGCAAAAACATTCAGCCACGTTCGTCTTCGTTCGCTTCACGCCTCAAACAAATGTGGAAGTCGGACTGATCGGGACGGCCGCATTTGGAGTCGGAAAGAAGGCGGCGCCGATCTGTCTCGCTTCTGTATTCAAAAACGCCCGCGGCATTTGGTTTTGAAATAATAAGAACATGGACCCTCCCTATTCGGGCCACACGCTACACCCCACAGCTAAATAAATCAAAGACTGATCGAAGGAAAAGAAACTGGCGCCAAAGGCACGACGTGAAAGGCTCGAGGCAACCGGCAGCGACGTTTGAACGAGCGACACGAGTGCAATGCGGGAAACGAGAGAGGACAACAAAAAAGAAAGCGGCCCTTGCCACCCCGCCATTGTCGGGAACTGTACGGCAAGCAAAGCCCAGCCAAACAGCCCCCGAGTGCATTCCACTCGCGCCGCCAGCAACTCCCCATCAAACAGACCTCTAACAGCCAACCGGCTCGATTCGTGCCTCGAGTCTTTGGTCCGTTGCTGTGGCTTAGAAAAAACGCCGGCGGCGGCTTTCAAGAGCATTTGAAGGGAACGAGCGCAAGATCGCGATCAGAATTCCCTGTCCCAGGTCTGGTTAACATTCACCACCAAGGCACTCACTTCGACAGCACTGAAACACTCCGCTACAGGCACACCACGGTAAATAAAAGTCCTGAATGGTGTTGGAAGAAGAAGTCGCCTCCGGGAATTTACGATCTACAAAAAAGAACTGGACAAAAGGCCGAACTTGTTTGAGCAAAGAAAAGATGGAAAATGGGAGGAGAAGAAGGCCTGAAGGTGACCGCACGAATCATGGCGATGAGGTGGACAGGAGCGGTCCCCCTTCTCGATCTCCGCCCGTACCAGATTCAAGCCGAGACGCGCACTGACCGTCCGTCCATCGCGCCGCGGCCGGTCCCCAACATCGCGACGGAGAAAAAATGGAGAGAGCCTTCTCGGCCAAAGGCAAATAAAGATCGCGACCGCCACACCGCCGGCCACGAATCACTCTCCCCGCCCATTCAAATACAGTCGAAACGGCCCGGTCGAAGCGGCGACTGATTTTCGCCGCCTTTTGCACCCTCAAGGCGCGACTCTCGAACCGGTCACCACGCAAACATACCGACACACAGAAAGCCGGCACCTGGCAGTTCGGTCCTCGGGGACTACGCCGCTCGCCACCTCTACAAAAGCCACGAAAAAGAGGGAAGACGGAGGAAGGAAGGGTGCAACCGGTCGCCATCAAAAACTGATCGGGCCACAGGCAAGAAAGACCTGTACACAGTCCTCCCACACGGTTGCCGACGCAAAGAGACGGCAAGAAGTTTAAAGAAATGGCAACGACTTCCCAACACCAAATTCAAACACACAACGGAGGAATGGCATTTGTTGTGCAGGTCATTAAACAAAGACGGCGACATTACTTTTCGCAGAATGGGCACGACATTACCGGAAATCTAAAAGGAACGGGTGACACTGTTTGAAAAACGGCCCTTGTCCGCCGATTTCTGGCGCACAACATTGTTCTTTGCCCCTCCGCAAAAACATTCCTCGCAACTTTGGCACGAAAGGGGGAGGCCGTGGCTGACTGTCAATCGAAATGACCTTCGGGGAGTTCGATTTCGCGCCCTCACTTCGGCACAGACCGAAGTGCCAGGTTTCCAAGGCTCCACGACGAATTCGATTTTGAACGAAACACATCAAACAATATGATAAAGCCCCCGAGGCGATTGCGCAATTAAATGAATGAGCGAACGACGCAAGCAGGAACTCATTAGTCGCCCACTGATCCAAATGAATCCCTCCGGCACAAACAACGTTACGAATCCAGATTAGTCAGAACTATTATCGGACATTTGCATAATTACAAGTTGTTTTACTTCGTTACATCTTAACATAACATAACTGAAAAGTAATAGACAGTACAATTACTGACTACCCTTCCACCTTTGTAGACCTTATGAACAAAGACAAAACACCATTTTCAAATGTCAACGTATCTACAGTTCCCAAAATTCCTTCTAAATCTCTAAATATTACCTAAAATCCCCCTGACCCAACAAAAAGTTCGGACGCGATTTTGTGGCCGACTTTTTCGAAATGCGATTGAATAGGGAAATCTCGGTACCGGAGCGTACTATCTGTAACGGCACTGCCCTTTGAGCGAAAGATCACGTCTTTTCTCTGTTTGCGATTTGGTGGCCCAATTCGATGGTCTCGAGTCTCGCGCCATAAACAAATCAAATGGAATCGAAACGTCAATAGACTGCGGCATAAAACTACACAAACACTCGTCAACTCAGAAGGTATAGATTTACACTAACTTAAATAATAACTCTAATTAATATGGCAATCAAAACGATATCAAAATCAGTCAAAATCTAAAGGTTCACGTTCATTTAGGTAACATAATTTACAAAGACAGAAAAAATATTTAAAAAATCGCAGTGAAAACGAACTGTCGAACAAAAATGTGTTACCAAACAAAAAATTGTGCCAAAAAATTTTCGATTTTAATTTTTTTGAGATGAACGAAATGCCAAAAAGATTGATTAGGCCGCGAAATGCGCAATCTTTTAAATTCGTATTTATTATCTTCGAAAAATTCCGGAAAAAATTTGGTCTTTGATTGACATATTTTCGTATTATTGGGTTTATACTTTACTAATTATATCAGAAAATGCCGAATTATTGCAAGATTTTGCAAATTTTAATGCTTTTTCTATCTTACAAGGAAAGTGCCCGACCTGCCACGCTCTGATTGACTTCAAACTTTTTATATAGAAAGATAATGTAAATATAAGATCTTGAGCAAAGTACTAAATCGCGCTTCCCAGGAAATCTCGAGAAAATCGAAATTAAAAAATGACATTTTGAATTTCCCGCCAACTTGGCATTGTGTTTCAAGCTAGTAACTTTGTCATTTTTTGACTTTTAACTATTTTTCTTTGTTATACTAGTAGAATACCTTTAAATAAACCTAAATATTTAAATTTGTAAGTTTATCTCATCTGGAACATCATCAAAAGTGCTTGAAACACAATGCCAAATTTGCCGAATTGGCGGGGAACCCAAATAATTTAAATTTAAAACTCAAGAGCGCGAGCTAAAATTTTTTATGGGTACTATTGTTGGTACAAGAAATTCATATAAAAATTTTGAGCTGATTCTGAGCGGGGCAGGCTTTCCTTGTTAGTTTCTTTAAAACCACATATTTTCACACTTTTCTATAGAATAGGCCATATACTTTTTATCTTTTCGAAAGGAACACAAGCTCAGTTTAAACCGCAGTTTAAGAATAACTAACTTTAACTTGGCCACTTGACTCCGATGTTATGGTTTAAGAGCTCTGAAACATGTCCGGTCAGTCTTTATCAGTTATTTTTGTTGTTAACATGCGTTTCTTGTTGTATTTTGTTATGTTTCAATGTGTTATTAGCTACAGGAGGAAAAGTATCAAGAAACCTACAGTATCGAAGAGATTTGTGTCAACTGTAGTTCAAAGTCAACCACCATGCTGTTCTGATATTATAGGAACGTTGGCATGTCGGAGGCTACGAAAGAACAATTTCATGTTGTTTATGAGGAGATGTAGCGATGATGTTGACTTTAGTTTGTTGCAGTGTTGTTCAACTTGTGGTTTGGGGCAGGCTGGGGAGAGACACATCAAGTTCTTCCGGGAGGTAAGTCAACTTCTTTAATAAATTACATTACTTGTTGTGTTTTGTGTATGCTTACACCTTCATTTACTGACGTGCGTGTTTCTACAGGTCTTGTGAAATGTGAACTTGTTATAAAGTTAGTTTACCCAGGTATCTTTAGGGCATTCATTCTCGCGACTGTTTCGATCGTCACGGTCGAGAGTTTTGCGAAGCGTTTGTGATGAAGAAGGAGTTTTGGTCTCCTTCGAACTGGACTTGTTCTCATCCAGAAACAGCTCATCTCGGCTTCAGAGTTTGTCGTAAGAGTTGTGGGTACTGTAGGAAGGACTTGTACGCTGATGACCGTCAACCGGTCTCCAAGTCTCCGTTACCGTTAATGTGCGAGAAGAGGCATAATCGATGGAAATAACTTAATTTACAATTTTAAAATAAAAAAGATTGGTTAAATAAATTATTTTACAAAGTATAGTATACCTTGTAAGGTCGGCTGTCACAAATAGTATAAACGTCGTATCCGGCTAAACGTAAAGTGGTTACAACGCAATACAAGAGTTTACTGCGAAAAGCTCTCAAAGCAGCCAAAAGTGCTTATTTCGGGGTTCTTCTATTCAAAAATGACATGTTCAGAGGGTTGTGGATGTTGCTGTTAGTTGCTGATCCGGTACGAGCCTGGCTAGTTCCGGGCTCCGGCCAGGCGCAGCGCATGCCGTGCTGTAAAGAAAGTATTGGCGTGAATGCGTGTGTGGAGCTGCGGTCGCGTCGACCTTATGAGTTCCAGACTAGGTGTCGGACGGACGCAGACTTTGCTTTTCTACAGTGCTGCAAGACCTGCAGAACAGACATTGCTGTAAGTAGTTTAGCTGTTATACCTATTGGGCTTTGAATATTTAATATATTTGGATTTATCAATTGTCTCAGACGTCTTTATTGAATTCGACGTCACGTATATTAACAGTGTAATTAAATGTTCAGGCTTTGGGAAGGGAATTGTTTGCTCACGGCCCCAGCAGTCGCCATTGTTTTGACAGACACAACCATCGTTTCTGCACTCAGTTTGTGAGAAAAGTAAGTCTCGAAACATGAAACAAAGTGTGCCTTTAGAGTGGAATGTGGGCTGGCGCGACCGGCCATCACAACGGTTGTAACGGGGAGAGTGCCGCGCTAGCCTTCCGGGTGTGTCGCCGATCCTGCGGCTACTGTCGACCGGACCTGTACAAAGAAGAGGAAGAGGACGTCAAGAAATGCGACATTTTCAAGCCGGGAAAGGGCGTCTCGACGACGACATTGGAGCCCGTGTTTCGTATAGTAATAGAGCCAGACAAATAAATAAAAAGTTTATTAGTTATGTTACAGTAACCTGGGATTAGTAGTCTCTGAATCTTCGTATTCGGTCGAACGGGCCCATCGGGGGCTGGTCGTTCGTGAACAGCCGTCTTCTCGAGTTGTCCATCGACTTCATCTGGCTAACAGGCAGTCGGCACTGGACTGGACTAAAGAAACAGTTTCGGCCTGAACTAGCGAGCGGGGTGGCCCGGACCGGCCTTAAGTTGGCTAGTGGGCTGTCATCGCTGGTTTTTAGACGATACCTAAAGTCAATGTTAATATTTTAAATAGTAGTGTAGCAAAATATACTGTAAAAACTGGAAACCTTTTAGTTTTGTTAATCAGATCATCGAAATGTCGATCCTTGGTAATAAACTACTATAAGGTTTTATTTACTCCATAGCTAGATCTATAACCTATCACTATTTCTACTTTTCAACTCACCTCATGACCGGATTCAACTGTGGCAATGGACGAAACATGGGCTCTGCGATCGCGAAGCTAAACAAAACGACGTAGAGTACCGTCTGAAAGGGAACCATTGTTGTGTGCCCAACGTTCTATAATTATGCGGATGGGTTAATTAGAAGAGAGAATGTAGCTACAATACCTTGTTCATCACGTTATTAGACAAAATAACAACAAAATGCTATAATGACCGTCTCCAATGTGGGAATCAAAAGGATAATGTAGATACCATGTTGTAGTAGTCTGATTGCCAGACTTCAGACTGTGATACTTGTTTTCAATTTTGGTCGTATCAACAATGTCACCGTTTTAACAACGTGACTTTGTTAATTTCAACAATGCTACGTTTGGTACTAACAAAGTTGGCCAAAAATGCTTTGTTTGGTAACAGTTACAATATATTAATAATGGGGATACAACAAAGACAGACCTCATTAAACATTAACCACTTCAACTGTCATCATAAGCATATACTGAGGATGGTTATGTACGTGCAGGATAGAACGTACTCGAATAAAAGACACATAAGTCACTTCATGTCATCGTATGTAGTAGTGTTTCATACGAACATGTACTCACTTATAACTAATAATGCATCGTACAAGGACATACCCAAGTACAGGATGAAACATGTTACACATGGCTATATGTGTAATGTCATAGAAAGGGAAGTATAAATGAATGAAACGTCGGTCTAATTAATCAAAAACTGTTTACGTGCATTAAAAGTCAGGAGAATTAAGTAAAACAACAAATGATCATACACGACCACATAGCACGAGATTAAATTCCAGCTGTGGGTGGATGACATAACCATCCCAAAACAATAAAATGTCTGGCCATTGTTATATAATTGTAACGACGTTGAGACATGGAGTAGATGTTGCGAAGATTAGGCAACATCACTTCGCGGAACTGTAAAGTACAGTCTGCATTTTAAAATACCGTATACTGTTGCAAGCAATAGCTTTTAATTAAGAGTTGTAGTTAATAATTAGCGTAAAATTTAGTAAAAAAAGATATTCAAAAAAATTTAGATATTTTAGACTTCTTAATTAAGCTTAAAAATGAAAAAGCAAAGTCAGCGACCCATACAGTACAGATTGGACCATGTCCTCCATAATTTATGTACGAACACTTTCAATATCGATGTGTGGCCTGAACATACGAAAGCATTATTATGTTAATTTCAGGATGAGCCAGACACTTTTTACAAATTCACATTCACGCATATGCATAAAAATGTAAAATGCAAATTTCACTGTTACGTAAAATGTAAATGCCGACACATTATATGTTAAAAATGTAAATTCCGATATATTATCTTTAAAAATGGAAATTTCTCTAAAAATTTTATCATTGTATCAAAATAATTTTTTTTTCGAAAAATATGCAAATTTCCCTAACCACTTCGTTGACAAAACAAACAAAACACGTTCAGTTTCGTTTTTGGTTACTCGTCTGAAGCGGCGCCAACCGTTTCATCCGAAGCCAACATCATTCACGGACCCAACTTCAGAAGCAGGACAACTTGAGAAGCCGGAGCCAAATTCAGAAGCATGCCACGAAAATCGGACTCTCACCACCCCGACAGGTCTGTTAATGAGTTAATTGAAGAAACCAACGTCCCGCGGGAGAGCACGGCACGTGGGGTCACAAAATGAATTCTGCAGTTATTTTTGGCAACAGAAATTTGGCGACTTTTGCTGCCATTTTTTGTAAGATGGTGATTTGATGTCTAATTTTATGATTTTCGGTGATTTGTTGAGATAGGGGGATGTTTTAATGTTATTTTAGTTAATAAATGTTAAGTAATACTGTTTTGAACAAGAAGAAACCTTCGAAAAACTAAAAATATTTATCAATTTCAAATTGGCGCCATTTTTTTGTGCTTTGGTTAAGACTTTCGTAAGAATTTTATTTTCCTGGCAAAAAAGAGAAATAAATATTCAAAAATTCAGTTTTTGAACAAACGATTATGTCTACTACAATATTATAGTAGAAATGCCTCAAAAATCTCAGATTGACCACTAATCACTTCCTGTTTACTTACCTTCTTGTTTTTGTCCAAGATCAACGTTAATTGTTTTAGGGAAAACGAATTAGACGCGAATGCTAGACCAGTTCAAGGAAGTGAAAACGGGAAAGACTGGCACACCGTACAAGCGCTTCTTCCCCCAATCGTGTTTAACCGCCTCAAACACGTGGATTCTGTTGTTCTCAAGGATGTCAAGCTAACTGGTGGGAACACTGGAAGCACTGATCTGTTCTGTTACACCGTGAAGTGGCATGGGAAGGCAAAAAGTCTAGAGAAGCTCAATAAATCGTCGCATAGTCATCAACAAAGTCAATATTCTAATTATTCTAGTTTGGGACAAAGCTCGGGAGGAAAAGGTAAGTGTTTTATGTTCAATTTTTATTTGTCGAAAGAATGATACCTTTAATTATCAGTATTTTAGACAGTATATAGCTTTCTTTTAGCCGACTGCAACATTATTTTAGGCGAAGTTTTATGTAAAGGAGCTCAAACATATGAAGTACTTCCTGACAGCCGACGTTGTGAAGGACCGTGTGGAAGGTTACGATCTATCGACGAGTTGCTAGCATTTGGAAAGTGTGATCATTTGGTTTGTAAATCGTGCATTACAGAGATGTCACCTTTATTTAAAGATCCAAGTAGGTATCCCTCTTATCTTCAAAATAGCAAAAATTTCAGTTACAAATCAAACTTGAGAGCAGTAAGTCGTTTAAGTTTACTTTGACATCAAAATATTTCAGCCCGTCCTATTTGTTGCAACATTTCTTGTTTGTCATCGTTTCTGGTCGATTCTTTTCCGCCAAATTCCAAACACCAAGACATGTACCGTAAAGCGCAGAAGAAGCCGAAGCAAGTCCTGAAGAAGATCAACCCCGAAGCACACTCCTTGTACACCCAGCTGAAGAAGAGCGACACCAGCAGCGAGACCAACGTCTCTTGTGAATCCCTGACCTCCTTCAGTCGACCAAGTCAGTCGGTCGATAAAATGGAAGGAATTTGTCAGAGTCAATCGAGCGACATTTACTCGAATTCGCTCAGCTCGGGACTGTCAAGTCAGTTCAGTACTTTTGGCAGTCAGAAGAAGAGCCATTCCAGCGTGAAAGGTGTCAGCATGTGCAATGTCAGCATCCTCATACTGGATGGAAGTAATCGTCGTTTCGAGAGAAGATACGCCTATAATACCAAGTTAAAGAGCTGTGTCGATCATCTGGCTCAGAACTACTGGTATGGTTTTGGATTTGTCCTAGACTTTTTTAACTTTATAACTACTCATAAATTCAAAAAAGCTTTTTTGGTGTTATGTCCAATATTAAGACAAAAAGTAAAATTATGTATCGTGTTACCTTTGATTATAACTATACGGAAACCGTAATCTTTTCAGCAACAGCAGCAACATGAAGGTGTACTTAGAAGAAGGAGACGTGTTCACACATGGCCGAGCCTACTACATCGACATTAAAAAGTACGGTAACTTCTCTTTGCTACATTTGCCAGCTCAAGATCATTCCATCTACCTCATCTTCGACCTCATCGATTTGCTCGAGCATGTCGAGAACGAGTATGCTCAGCTTTGAAATAAAAGTTTGTATCTATGCCGTTTCACATTTGTATCGTACTACCATATAATGTCCATACCTTTACTACCTTAGCATTTTAACTTTACTATAGTGTTATGTTAGTCTTTCTCGATGTATTATGTTTTTCTCTTAACTATAATGTTCAATTATGTTCATTTTTTTACAATTTTGGAATGTTTATTATCGTATGATCACCTCATGTTCGTATCTGGAACTTCCCTGCTCTAGTAACATATTTAACGCCTTTGAAAGGCTTGTACTTTTCTCCGTACATGTCCAACCGGTTGACTTTAAGGCCAGAAACCGCGAATTGGTTGATTCTGAATTTAACGTCGATGGGAGGACTTTCGACTTGGATACCTCCTGTTACTGATACCTGAAATTAATTTTATTATAGAAAGCCTTTCAAAATTATCTTTTACTTACTATAGCACACCCATATTGGAAATATTTTTTTATGACCTTTTCTACAGTAACTTACCGTTCCTTTAAGAGTAGGAGGTCGCCCTGGCTCCACTTTCCCAACTGTCCATTGGAGAAGCTTGGTGGTGGGATCGTACGAGTACTTTCCCTGAGATGCTACCAAATTGCAGTTCTGAACTTGTTTGGGCATACTCATCTCCAGCACCACCTCCTCCAGCATCTTGCCTGCATTCTGTTTCGGCCCTACTGTAAGTTCTAATCTTCCTCCACTCTTCAAACAGATCAGATGACGAACGTACAGTGGTATTGTTACCATACTAAAATAAAATATTAAGCTTGTGAATGTACCAAATAATAACGCCTAAGCTGATGTTATAACAGCGTTCTTTCTTACCTTTGAGATCCAATGTGGTATGAAATTAGCCTGAAATTTCCATCTGGAGGCACAAAAGACAATAGCCTTTCATTCTCCCATCTCTTGAATCGTACACAAGGGTGGAATGACACATCATCCAATATCCTAGGGTTCATCAATGTCATGGTCAAGTCCGGCATTCCACTTAACTTACAACAACAATTGATCTAAAATATACGTTTAAAACGGCATACTCGTTTAGATTATACTACCACATTGTAAAGATACATCAATTTTTCAAAAGTTAACGGGTAAAACTTACGTATCCTTGAATTTCCGCTGACACTGTTTGTCCTTGCTTATCAATTATGGCATCAATCTCTTCTATAACATCAAAGTAGGCTTCGTTATTGGCATACTTGACTCCAGCTCTTCTCCACGGCACGTTAGACAATGTTCCAGTAGGCAGGTTTTCAGAAACATTAGTCTTCCCTGTTACTTGGTTAGTTATAGACCTGATAAAGTTGGGAGGCTTGATAAGATCTTGCAGTACATTCAGCTCTGTCGTCAGAGGATACCCATTGTCCAGAATCTCGTCTAGTAACTCGAATACTGTCACAATGTTCTCCTTGATAGTCGTATCCGAGAATTCATCAAAGTATTCAGCGAAGACAGCTACCATGTGATGTAGAATTTCGAATACCAAAAGAGGTGGAGCTAAAACAGTGTAAAAAAACTACTCCTTGTCTTTACAAAAACAATACTGCCTGTTTTCAATATTTTAGGTAACAATTTATCTAAACTTTCAACAAAAAGAACAAAAACTTACTCTCATTGATCGTTACAGCTATTAAATACAAGTTGTTGAAATAAATATTGAATAAATAATGGTGGGGAGTAGCTATAACTGGAGGAACATCTTCAAATCGTTCGGTCTTCTTCTGAGAGTCAAAGAAATAATCACAGATCGAGCGGTGAATGACAGTTTTGTAATGTTTCTCTAGGACAATGTCTCCCGAGACATTTACAATAAATAAAGAGTTTATCATCTATACTACATATATACAATCGTATGTCCAAAAATGGCGAGTTATATCGACAAAAAATTTTTATCAATAATTTAATTTGGTCCCAACACGAAAATCTCCAAAACTTTAGCGCGCGAATGTTTTACGCTTTTTCGAAAAAAGAAAAAATATAAAAAAAATTCTTTATAAATTTGTATAAAAATTTTTAATGTTAAATTACAGATTTAACAATTTAATGAGAGATTATATTTTACAAAATACATTTATATCTTGTTTTTGTTTCCTGTTAATACTTATTCGTATGAGCTTTATTAGTGGCTTTGCTGCTTTAATAAAACACTTATATTTTGATGTTTTAGATGGTGGTACGGAAGAAGGCAAGGGCCAGAAATGATTCTGGCGAAATTCAGGCAGAAGAAGAGAATGTTGAACATGAACAGCCTGAAACTTTGGCTGAACGGCTTGGGGATCCACAATTTGACGATAACGAGGACTTGTTGAACATGGAGATACCTGAAAGACCATTGGAAACAGTCTCCAATGACCCGAATGAAGCCAGACTTGTCATTTCCAAGATTGAAGTTGAGAATTTTAAAAGTTATTACGGCCGAAAAGTATTGGGGCCGTTACATAAAGTAAGCTTTGTTTTATGTTGGTATTATTATTTCAGGGGCTTTCACGCAAGCTTTAACTATAAAATAAGAATTTATACATATAAAACTATTATTTTTGTTTTAGAATTACACTTCGATCTTGGGACCAAATGGAAGTGGAAAGAGTAATGTGATCGACTCAATTCTTTTTGTTTTTGGGTTTAGAGCCAACAGAATCAGATCCAAGAAGTTGTCTGTTTTGATTCACAAAAGTGCAGCTCATCCGAATGTGAATTCAGCTGAAGTTACAGTTTTCTTTGAGAGAATCTGGGATAGAGTAAGTCAATAAATGTTTACACATAAGTTTAGGCATTAACTAGATGCAACATATACGTTATATACTTAAAGTATAACAAGAAATGTTTTTAGGGTCCAATAGAATACGAAGTAAAGCCGGGGTCTCAGTTTTCTGTGACAAGAACCGTGAATTCTGATGGCAGTAGTCGATATTACTTTAACAGAAAGACGGTAAAGCCTGACGAATTAAGGAAGAGATTGAAGGAAAATGGCATCGACCTGGATCACAACAGGTTTTTGATCCTTCAAGGTGAAGTTGAACAGATTTCTTTGATGAAGCCGAAAGGAGATGATAAGGGCGAGGAAGGCATGTTGGAGTATCTGGAAGATATTATTGGCAGTAATCGACTGAAAGCCCCCATTGAGAAGTTGGCACGGCGCACAGAACGGTTGGATGAACAGTTAAAAACTGTAGCCAATAGGTGAGCATTTAATTCTAGATAAAAATACAAGTTGTTTGGTATTCTTATAATCATTTTTGTAATTTTGGGTATAAATTAAAGTAATTCTTTACGTTTTTAGACGAACGTTGGCAGCTAAAGAGCATACTGACTTGATTGAACCTCTAACAGAGCTTTTTAAGATTTTGAAGTTGGAAAACGCTATTACAAAGTGCAATAATCAGCTCTATCACATCGAAAAGTGCGTTTATTTTCATTGTTATGTTTTTAGGGTTTGGTTAATTAACTTATATCATTTAGAAAAAAAATCAATGATGAAGCGAGTGGTATCCAAAGAGCATACAACACAATGAAGGAGGACCAAGATAAAGATGAAAAAGAGAAGGATGAACTGGCTGAGCAAGCGGCACAAGCTAGGAAAGAGGTAATAAGGCTTCAGAAGCAAGAAAATGATTTGAAAGAAGAGAAGGACACCAAAGAAGAAGAACAGAAGAGGTATGAGACTACTATCAGGATGATCGAAGGAGATGTCACACGGAATCAAGAGAAACTTCAAAAGCTCACAAAGTCGTTGGAAAAAGACAACAAAAAGGTTAGTATATTTTTAGGTAACAAATTGTAAACTAAGATTTCAATTTTTCAGTTTTAGGTAGCATATTATGTAGACTCCACGTGATTTTATCATGTTTAAAGCTTATTGTTGCATTGTTTTAGTTAGTGGATTTGGAAGCAGAACCAGAAAAAGCTGAAGATGTTATTAAAGAGTTGGAGGGAGAAATCGACCGGTTGAAAAGTGTAGCCGAGGATAAGGAAGAAAAGTATCGTGAGAAGCAGATGGAAGCAAATGAGGTCAACGATGGATTACGAGTGGCATTGCAAGACCTGATGCCTACTGTAACAGAAAGCAAGTCCGCGGCTGACAGTATTCAAAGTAAATTGACACTGGCTTCTGCCAAAGTTAACCAACTGAAGGCTGCTTTGGAGAATCCGAAGAAGGAATTGGATAAAGCAGAGGAAGACCTGGAACAAGCAAAAACTGAGCATGAAAACTTTAAAAGGTGTGACATTTTAGATTGTGCTTTTCATTAGTTTATGTGTTAGGTGTTTTCTGAGAAGCATGTTACTATACTTGATGTTTAGGGACATTGAGAACAAAGTTCACCGTAAGCCTGAGTTGGAGCAAGAGATTGCTCGATTGAGGGAGTCCTACAATAGCAAGAAGGGGATGGAAGCTCAGCTCAATGACGAGATCAGAAAGTTGTCTCATGAGTCGCAACAGTTTAACCAACAAAGTGATGGTCGACAAAACCCTACGTTAAATGCCATTATGACCGAAAAGGCAAAGGGCAACTTTCCTGGAGTTTACGGCCGTTTGGTATGTTGTTTTACATAATGTTTTTTTTTATTTCTAATCTATTCTGAAGCTCTTTTTATGTATTTGTATATTTAGGGTGACCTTGGAGGAATTGATGAGAAATACGATGTAGCCATCTCTACTGCTTGTGGTCCTTTGGATAACATTGTAGTAGACACTGTAGAAACTGGTCAAAAGTGTCTTGAATTCATGAAAAAGAACCGTCTGCCTCATGCTACCTTCATTGCTTTGGACAAACAGCAAAACTTCTGGAGTAAAATCAATGCGAAGCCGTCAACGTAAGTTTTTTAAATTTATGAACAGGATATTTATTTTTTTTGAAATAATAACAAATTTATAGGAATTTACGTAAATATCCCCCATAATTCTAATTTTCAGGCCTGAAAACGTCCCGCGTCTGTTCGATTTGATCAGAATCAGCGACGAAGACGTGAAACCAGCATTTTACTATGGATTGAGAGAAACTTTGGTCGCCGAAAACGTTGACCAAGCAGCCAGAGTATCCAACGCTAGAGGCATGAGATATAGAGTTATCACTTTGGGCGGTGATTTGTTTGAAACGACTGGTACCCTTTCTGGTGGTGGTAAAAGTCAAAGAAGGTAATATTTTTTAGGAATAACTAGTGGTTTTAAAGGTATTTTTTTTTGGGATTTGTTTATTACTCAACAACCTTTATTTTGTTAAATTTGATTGTGATGTTTTAGAGGTCGGATGGGTAAGCAAGCCAAGACAGATGCTTCTCGGAGACTGTCAGTGAATCTGAGAAAGATTGAAGAAACTCTGAGGACCAAACAGACAGAGCTGGGACAGTTGAGGATCGCTTTAAGGATGGTAAGTTGAATTTAAATCTCATAAATGTTGTTTTCTTGTATATGTCTTACACAAAAACCAAAATAATACATATTTTCCAGATGGACGAGAAGATTCGAAATGACGGTGACGAACTTGAACGGATGGGACGAACTGGTGACCAAGATAGAAGTCGTTTGAACAACATGGAGAGGAAGATCCAGACCCTAAAGGAAAAAGTTGCCCAGGCCAAAAGAGATTTGTCCAAAAACGACAGTAAACGACAAGAACTTGCTGAGATCGAACGGGAGGTCGAAAGCTTTTTGGAACAAAAGGCATCAGCTGACAGTGAAGTTGAAGAAGTGACGAAGCGAGTGAAGGAACTGAAGCAGAAGATCAAAGAATCCGAGAATCTGATTGTTGGCAAAGCCAAGAAGTCATTTGAAAAAGCCAAAGAAGACTTCGAGTCAGCCCAAGCCGAGATCAAGAAGGCCCATCTTACCATCAGCAACTCCAAGTCTCTGATTCAGAAGGCAAAACGTCAGATTGATTCCACCGAAATGGAGATCAAGGATCTTGAATATCAGATCGAAAAGGCCGAAGAAAGAAAGGCAAAAGCACAAGAAAAGGTAGATATTCTAACCAATCAGGTTGAGGAATGTGGTCGAAAACTTTCTAAGATCATCGAACAAATTGCAACAATATCTAGCCAGACTACCGAGTGTTCAGAAATAGAATTAGTGTTAACAAAGCAGATTGACGACAGGAAAAGATCCATGGCCGAGTACGAGGGAAGGCTGAAAGAGTTCAACAATAAAATGGATGCCATAACGAAAAAGGTAACCATTATTTTATTTCTAATTAGTTTGCTCATTGAACTCATTGTTGTTGTTTAAATAAGTTTATAATTCAGAAGCTAAATTTTTATATTTTTACTTCTATTTTTAAATCATTTTAGATAGCCAATTTGCAAACTTTCAACGTCCGTCAGAATCTCCAACAAGTGAATGCAAACCAACACCAGTTCAGACTTGATGATACAGTTAATACAAGTTCAAACCGCAACGAAACTGCGACAGACTCCACTATCAAAGAGGATCCAGATGCGACGTTAACAGAAGAAAGAACCCTCACCGAGAATATTGATGAACATCAAGATACAGAAGAAGAACATCAAGATGATACAGTGTTGCAACGACCGTCCTCAAGCCGTGCTCCAAGCAGAATGCGACAAAAGAATAACTCCAGAGTCAAGGAAGAACCTCAAAGTCCAGTGTCAATGAATGATTCTGTCGCGAGTAGAAGAAACAGAAGGAGGAAAGCGGAGCCAGGAGAGGACGCCGACGAAAGTCGTATGCTAGATGGAGAACAAGAAGAAGGTGACGACCTTCCGAACACCACCACTATCACCTCCACGGATGGTAATGTTACTCACGATCCTGCTTATGACTTTGGTCATCTTCCAACCTATTCTCCAGCTGAAATAGACGCTTTTGATGAAGCTCACATCAGAATCGAGTTGACTAGGAAAGAAAAGAGAAGACAACGATATCCAAAGGAATTCAACCTCGACCTGATTCAGGAATATGCTGATAAGGTAAGTTTTCCTATTTTAGGTACTCCTACTTTTTTGAAACGTTATTTCGTTGTAGTATGTTTTTTCGACTCTTTTGGGAGATAACTATTACGTTAGCTTCGTAGGTCTTAATTCTTTACGTTTTAGCTTGAAAAGTTGAATTCCGTAGATGCCCAATACAATTCCTTGAAAGGGTCCTTCGATGCCCACAGAAAGATGTTTGACACGTTGAAGAAAATGCGGGTTACTGAGTTTCAAGAAGGCTTCCAGAGAATCTGTGTGGCCACCGAAGACACCTACAAGATGTTAACCATGGGAGGAGAAGCGTCATTAGAGTTGGTGGATTCCATGGATCCATTCACTTCTGGCGTTTCATATCAGTAAGTGTCAAGAAGGGCCGCGGAAAATTTTTTCTTAATATTTATTGTATAATCGTTTATTTTTATTGTGGTAGAGGAGTAGTCATAATGAAAATTGTGACAAATCTTTTTCAGAGTCAGACCACCAAAGAAAACCTGGAAACAGATCACTAACTTAAGTGGAGGAGAGAAGACCTTGGCCTCTCTGGCCCTTGTCTTTGGTCTACATTCATATAGACCGACGCCATTTTATGTCATGGACGAGATCGATGCTGCTTTAGACTACAGAAACGTGTCCATCATATCAACTTTTGTGAAAGAGCGAACCAAAAACGCTCAGTTTGTGATTATTTCGTTGAGGAACAACATGTTCGAGAACGGAGACCGGCTTCTGGGTATCTACAAGGTCAACGACTGTACTAACAATGTCATCTACGACCCTGATGAAGTCGAAAACGAGCCGCCTACTGTAGGTTAACTAGTGTTACCACCAATTTCCTGTCTTTTAACATTCATTTATTGATCTAACAATAAAATTTTATTATCAATGTCGTGTCTATTCACTTCTCTCCTAAGCACGAACTTAATCTCTTAAATACCGTTTGTTCTCTCTCTACTCAATAATGAAATTTAGGTAAGAAATAGAGAACCAGCGTCAGACGTCAGTCATGTGTCAGAAGCGGCCGCTCACCTACGTGTAGATGAAGGACCACCACCCAAGAGAAGGAGATCCGTTAAATCTGAACGATAACTGTACAAATTTTTTTTTTCAAATAAACTAACTTGGTTTCAAACGATAATTTTAAAAGTTTTGATCTGTTTGCAAAGTCAAGGTCAAAAATTAAAAAGAAAGTCTAAATAAGTAACAACAATATAACAAATTACAAGTCTCTATGCTGTAGCAACTATTAATTGTAAGAACATAAAAACTATACTTCAAAGTTTTGCAGACTCAAAATATTTTTATTTTCTAGCGGATTCAAAAGTTTCAAACCGAAACTCGCCGCGGGAAAAGAAATCTTTGTTTATTCGGCAGCCCGCGCCCATATTTTTAAATTTTGTCGTGGAACCGGAAAATAGAGAAAATCTTTTTGTGGAGAGTCGGACAACGTGTTCTTTGTTTGAACGATTGTGATTTTGGAAGTTTATCGGGGTTTTTATGATATCTATAGTTAGCGGATGTGATTTACTCTGTTTTGACATTCTTAAGACATCTAACGTTGACGTTTTCAGGTTAATTTTAAATGTCAGTTGAGTTGGCGCCGATCGAACTACCAGTAAATGATGATAACGTAGATAATTCGCTTGTTAACGGAACAACAGTTTTGCCACAAGAACATTCAGAGAATGGAGTGGTCGACTATGTAGAAATACCACATGATTTAGTTGTAAGTTTTAATATATTAGTTGATTTGATGTTTAGGTGGAGAATAAATTATTGCGGAACGAACTAGACACAGTCAGAGCTCACAATGAAGCGTTGGAGGATAATAATTTGGATTTGAGAGCTCAATTGGCAGCTAAACTGCAGACGGAGAAGGTAAGAGATCAAGTTTATATTATTTTAGGTATCAATTTCTGGAATTCTTAGCTTTAGATTAAGAATTAATGTATGTTTGACTAAAACACGTATTATTGTATTGTTTATTTTGTTTTTAGGAATTGCAAGAACAGCTTAAGGTATTAAGTCAGTTTGCCATCAACAGTGGTTCTTCACATCAGAAGCAAGTTGATCTTCAGAGAATGTACGATCAAATGTGCTACAAAGACACGAGGATTGTTGAGTTGAATAATATTATAATGGAGAAGGAAAGACAGATAATGGACCTTCAGGAAATGTGTCGAGAACAGAATCAAGTCGCCGAAGCCAAGAATCGAGCTATTCAAATTGTCAATAAACGCCTCAAGGTAAGTTTAAAAAGTATTTTTTTACATTTCTCCAGGTTTTTATCTATGACATTTAGAAGTAGTTTGGCAAGCTTTTCTTTTTCAGGAATTAGACAACAGAAAGTTTTGTGACGCGTCTACAGAAACAGATTCTTCGTTTGGATTCAGAAAAGAAAGATTTGTAAATGGGCGAGACATTTCACCAGGAAGAGCTGTACCACAATTTAAACTTCACAGTAGGTTCTTAATTTTATGGTTATTAAGCTTTTTTTAAGAATTTTAAACAAGATTTATTTTTTTAGGTAACAACCACTCTCCGCCACCATTGGACCCTTCAGAAGAACAATCTAGTTTTGTGACAGAAACAGAAGCTCAACTTGAAGATGGTATAGAAGGAGATCGTGAGCTTACTGCTTCCCCAACGCTGTCTGAAAGAAGAAGGTACCGAAAACGGGTAACGTTTGATCTACGTGCCGCTTCTGTTCCTAAACGTAAAACTCCTCAACCAGACGGACAGCCAATAGACCAGGAGACTCTGCTGGATGACCGCGAATCATTGGCTCAAGCTGTTGTTGATTTGAGTGCCGAGAACGACCAGTTGAGGAAGACGATATCAGAAATGGAACAATCTTTACAAGTTGGCAGCGAGTGGGAGGATGGAAAAATAGCTGCTGTAAGGCTTATTTTGGCTTATTATCCATTTACTGGCCTAATTATATATTATTATTTATTGTACGTTGTTGCAGTTGGAAGAAGAAGCTGAATTGGCTAGAAAAGATGCCAGAAATCAAGCCATTAAGGCCAGAGCAGCAGCTACTGCACGAATAAAGGAGCTGGAGACTAAACTTTTGGAGCTGCGAGTGTCATCGTCGAAAGAGATAGACAACTTGAAGGCCTCTAACGATGTCTTGAAAAACTCGAGAGAGTGGGCTCTGATGGAGAACTCGAAACTTTTGGAGCAAATCACAAACCTAAAACAAAAGCTGAGTGATCTACGTGCAGAATTAGACTCTTCCAACACTGCCACATGTGTGATACGTCAGAGACTTGAAGCAGAAGAGCGACGGTACCAGAATCTTACCGAAGAACTCCGTAACCTACATCTCATCAATCAACAGTTGAATGATGACAAAATATATCTTGTGAATGAAGTTGAACGACTGAGTGAGGACCTGAATCAACAAATTGATGTGGTCTCAGCTATGGAAGGAGATCTCATTGTGTACGAAGCTCACGTCAGTATATTGAGAGAGAGTTTGAGCATGACCAAGAAAGAGGAACAACAACTGATCAAGTCCAAGGCTTTTGCTGCCAAATTGAGTGCATTGGAGCAAGAGAAAGCAGTGATGTCGAAGAGAAGTAGTGGTAGGTGTTGCACTGATTTGAATATTATTTTACTTTTCATCTTTTGGATAGGACTGATTTTTGCAAAACAAACTAATATACTATCCTTCAGACGAAAAACTGCGCACTAAGGCTCTGAACGCTAAAATAAGAGAATTGGAAAAGGAAAGAGATTCTTTGATTGAATCCATCTTCTGTACCCAATCCATTCTGCAACAGTACGAGGAATCCAAGTGTTCTGGGCGACGTACTATGAATAGCTCGTTGGACGGATCTGAATCTGGAGAACTCAAAAAACTGAATAACACGGAAGACTTCAACGACACTTTGCCACGGTTTAATGAGAGGAAAATCATGCAAAAAGCAGCTCAACACGACTTTAAGAAGAATAAAAAAGAGATTGACAGAGAATTAGAAAAACAGGAACAAGAAGTAGAGCACGAAGAAGAAGATAGTTTTGCAGGTCAAGAAGGAAATGGCATTGAACCGAAAAGTTACGAAGAGATGATACCTCCTTTTGCGGCAGCTGAAGTTGTTCCCATAATTCCGACTGAAATCAAATTCAGAACTGATTCTGCTTTTAAACCTCCTACTAAGACTCAAAATGTCGTTGAAGTAAACGACAAGTTACTTGGTAATGTTAACAACTCTGTATCAGACGATGTTAACAACAAAACATCACCTGAAACTGTAACTTTGAGCCCGGAGAAAGTGATGCATCTAATACCTCATGAAGTTCAAATAGAAACTCTACCAGAAACTATGGATGAAGTATTGGAAAATTTGTCTTCTGAAGCTCAAGATGAAGGTGACGTAGAGAACTTGAAATGTGAATTTATTCATGAAGGAGAAATATGTAATGGGGATAACATAGGATCGGAATTAGATGATAAGAACGTTAAACAACAACAGGAAACTTACAAGGAAGGTCAGAAGCCTGAATCTTCTGAAGGAAGAACTGAAGAAGATTCACAACAGAATGGTGACAACTGGGACGTTGAAGAACGGGAATTAAGTGATATTCCTAAGAAAAAGGTAGATAACATTTCATTGGGGGAACCGTCTTCTGAAAGACACTTAAAGGATTTTCAAAATGAAGGTACATATGAAGAAAAAATCGAAGAAGCGTCACAACAGAACGATGACAATTGGGGTTGGGGAGATGAAGATTCTGCTGATTCTGTTGAGGAACAAGATAACCAACAAGCTCAAGACGATTGGGAACGGGGGAGTGAACAACAAGAAGTGAAACAAACCCCAAAGAAATCGGTAAAGATGACTCCTGAAGTAAAACCAGCTTCAAAACAACAACAACTCGATTGGGCGTGGAACGATGGTGCAGGTAAGCACTTGGAGTTATGTTTTACGGTTTAATTATGTTTCAAGAACACTCTTTTTATATTTTAATCGTTTACGATGGTAATTTTATGTTACTGTTTTAGCAGATCAATTAGAAGACAAAGATGAAGATGGTGGAGATTGGGAAGACTGGTAGATTATATTAATGTATCTTATAGACTCATCGATTTGGCTGGTTAATCGAATTGATGAAAATTGAATGCTTTATTGAGGGATATGCCTAGTTCATTACCTAAAGTGCCTAGTTTGAAAACTATTGTATTTATTGACTGATTCTTAACTTTAGTAATGCTGTTTTAGATGTGTATTATGATTGTGATCAGAATTTTATATCTTGTTGATGTATGTGATATTAATAAATCTATTAATATTATAAATCTTATTATATTGCATTAGACCCTCAGACGGGCCTGCTACACGTTTACGCAACAATAAGAATTTTAGGAAATGCATACATTGCACGCAACAACATATAAAATCTTTTAGATTGTATCATTGTCAACTTTTACCCGAAACACTTGACACAAAAATAAATAAAAATTATTTTTGAGAATTTACGGACGAAAAGAAATCTAATGTACGCTTTTAAGTTATAACGCGCCAATTTCTTAGTTATTTTATGTAAAAAATTATTCTACAATCTAATTTGAATAGAATATTTTGTTTTTTTTATTTTGACCATGTCTTCTAAAAGAACAACTAGAAGACAAAGTGAATTTGAAGAAGAAGCTTCTAAAGCTGAAGCTATGAGACGGAAAAAAGAGTCCCGGCCATCGACCAGTCGAGATTCTGTGGACGAAGACGACGAGATTGGATGGGAATGTTCTGTTTGTACATATCGCAACAAAACAGAGTCATTTAAGTGCGAGATTTGTGAAGCTAGGTACGATAAGGTTTCTGACACTTTGTTTTTTAATTTTAAACATCTTTTTTACTTACTTGGTTGTAGAAAAGGCACATCTACACGGAAGCCAAGACTGAACAACTCAGTTGTACAACAACAGCAAACATTGGTTCAGAATCTATCGGCTCCACAAGGACCAATAGTAAAGTAGGTATATTTGAGCCATTTTTGTTTCATCGTTTAGGCGAACTAGGTTTTCTGACGGAAAAAGCAGATTTTCTCCCGAAAGTACTGGTTCTGGCACTAATAGTAGAGGTCTGTCAACGAGATCGTCACCCATTCCTGTCAGGTCGCACAAGAAACGGCAGAACAAGAAGGTGCTGAAGTTGTTGATACCTTTTTCTGACGACTTAGTTGACAGAGAGGTGTTCACTCAACGATCCATTACTACCGGAGGCTTAACGTGTCAGATTGTTGAGTTTAAATTAAAAGAAAAACCTTCAAAGAAGAAGAAACGGGAGAAGAAGAAGTCGAAGAAGGATGACGATGACAGTTGAGAGACTAATATTGTTTATCTGATTCTAATTTTTATTTAATTTTTTAATTAACTTTGGAAACTGTACTTAATATTGTTGATATTTATTAAACTATAACAACATAAAATCTAACTATAACAGATAATTACACTATCATAACATACCCAAACTACAACAACGTCGAAGAGAATATGTCTTTCATGATCTGAGGCAATTCGGAAGTGTTTTTGATCACAAATGCTTTACCCGGAGGCATTTTTCGTTTGATTTCGGCCGCCTGAGGTCCCAAAGATCCAATCAAAATCAAGAAACAATGGACGTTGTCTTCCAATTCTAAAACTCTAGCTAAATGTTCTGGCTTGATTCCGTAGCGATTTAGATTCGCGTCAGATAAGGCTATCACGAATCGTTCGTCGACTTCTGATTCCTTAGCCAACTTGTGTGCTGCCATTTCGATCGCTTCTAATGTGTAGTCTCCGCTGAAGCAGAACTGAAAAGGTATTTTGTCATGATTACCTAAATGTACACCTACCTGGGAATGTGCGAGCATTTTCTTAAGCACGTCCATCTTGGCCTTCTCGTTATCTGGCGGATTCGAAGCCGTTGTGAAGACGACTTCTGGGGAATCTCCAGAATGTCCTACGATGTCATACTTTATCTTGTCCTTCTTCCCTTCCAAAGCTTCCATTACCAACAAACTAGTCTCTAACGACTTTTTCAGACGCTGATCGTGGCCATTGAATCTGTACATAGAGCCAGAAACATCGACCAGTAGCTGAACTCTTTTGGGTTTGGTGATTACCGTACCTGGCTCTGGGACTTGTTCTACTCGTTTTCTGAAATTTAAATATTTCAGTAAGAAGTACAGAAACATTTGTACAAATTGTTTTGTTATTCCGCAGCATGGCTTACCTGTAGATGTTTTTTTCTCCCGCGATGCCTTCGATCAATTTGGCGTCGTCCAGGTCTCCGACGGTCTGATTCTTGGCCCATTGTCTTTCCTTTTCCCTCGCTTCCAAAGATTCAATCACATTCCTCAGAGAATTGACTTCTTTTTCAATCTTCGCGTGTAGCGCATCGTACTGTTTAGCATCGTGCTCACTCATCTCGATATCTTTGAGTCGTTTCTGGTACTCTTTCTTGGCAATTGCTCGTGCTTTCTTCTTGATCTCCTCTGGCACTTGACTCTTGGCTTTGTCGCTCATCTGTTTCACATCGTGTCCAGCATCCAGTCTGAACGGACCACCTATACCTCCAAGACCAGCCGTGTTGTAGCCTCCTGTACCTCCTGCCCACGTGTTACCTCCAGCATGTGGAGTGTTCTTGGGATCTACTTTACCAAACTTGGGTTCATCTAGCTTTCCGAGGTCGAAGTCATCGTCATCTCTGGTGATTTCCACCCTCTCATCAGCTCGGTCTAAACCTAGACTGCGTCTCCAGTTATTGTAGGATTCAAACAAGGCTGTCTGGTCGATTTCCCACTTTCTGGTACCTCCAGAAAGATCACAGGTGTACAGAGAGTTCTCGTCTGATCCTTTACACATTACAAATGGCACTGGCGACAAGGACTGAGCCCATGTGTTGTAGTAGGTCATCTGAACAGGAGCGGGTACAGGGATGTGGTACCTTGAGTTGTTTTTGGTGTCGATTACTTCCAAGAACCCACAGATCTGACCAGTTTGAGCGCCATCTGGCCATGAACTGGCAGGGGTCTTCCAGTTAGGCAGTGACCGCACGACGATGCCATTGTTGAAGGTTACGGTATTCTTGAAGGGATGGTTTAGGTCTTTGGTCTCAGGACTGTAGTAATATGGAGGTTGTTGTACTGTGTCCTCATCGTCAGTTCGTTTCACAGCTACAACTTGTCCAGGCTCCTGAAAAAGAATTGATATTGTCTTTACAAGTTTATATTTTAGGTATAATATCTACTGAAAATGACGAATAGTAGACTTACAAACATTTCAGGGAACATAGACGACTTCAAGTAGTAGTAGTCTTCATTAGCCATTAAGAAGTTAGGACAGTTGAACTCAGCACCATCTTCTGAAGATACGGCTTGTGACATACCAAGTGATGTACCATTGTCAATTTCTAATGGTATGGCGTTATCTACGTCTAACTCTCTCAAAAATGACTGTTCTTTATCCATTGTCAACAGCTTTTGTCTAAATTTGGAAGTTTAATCGTATAACGTATCTCTTACAAACTTTAGGAATGGTAATAGTCATCGTTCTCTCAATCTCGGCTAATTTTGATCTTTAAATTACTATACATTCAAGTCATGTAGTGTTTTCATAACAATAGTTGATAAAAGAGGCCTTACTTGTCATTTCCGAGTACCAGAAGCCGGTTTTCATTGACTGGTATGATATTGTTTATGGCCGTGTCTTCTGGCAATGTCAGAGTTATCTTCGAATTCGTTTTGGAATCCAGTTTAATCAAAGTGTTGCCCATACGATCGTACAGTAAAGCTACCGTATCTGACACGCTGATTAATTTCCAATGATTTCCGTCCATGGCTACTGTAACAGTCACCGTAACATATTAATAACCAATTTTAAAAAGTTAGAGGTTCAATTAGATAACATTGACTTACTTTTGTTGGTGAACAACTTGACGAATCTGTTCTCGTCCTCCAGCTCTACTTGTTCGATAACATTGTCAATGAAGTTGACTTTCAACAAGGTATTGCTCTGAAACAACGCCATAAACAGATAAAGAAAACATCTTCAAACAAACAAGTATACAAAGCTTTAAGAAACTTTCGACCTACCATTTCCTCATGAACCAGTATTTCATTCGACCCGAACCTGGCCATAGTCAGGCGAGGTCTGTAGTTGCCGAAAAGGCGTGGTAGATACGACGATATCGGTATCTTGATAGCATGTGACTGTTTTGGATGTTGCATGACGAATAGAGTTGGAGAATTCACACCAGCTACGACGGTTCGTTGTCCTTGATTCAGGACGTCAGATACCATAGCTCCGTCCTCCATCTCCAACTGCCACATTTGGCTTTGCTCGCTGAAACCGTAGGCTCGGGTGTACTGTATTAAAAGGTCGTTGTGGGCGTCGCCCCAGGCTTGTGATTGCTAAATTTGGTTTTATTTAAGGTTTTTAAATTTCTATCAAATTAGGATTACTACTTTGGACAAAAAGTTCATAGAATAATCAAAATTTTATCAAAAAGAAGTCGTATTTTAAAAAGTTCTAAAAACTTTTTGACCAACTTAAAATAGAAAAGGCATACAGAAGTGGTGATCCTAGTGTCGCTCATCTGTACTTTGTGTGGAACAACATTGTTCCGAACTCCCCAACTGCCTAAGGGCGTGGCTTCTGGCAAGGGGTATCGTTTGGCCAGATGGACAGGCAATTCGCGGTCAATCAAGCCTACAAGTAGTTGGATTAAGGTTTATTCAACAACAACATACTCTACAATACTAAAGTAAAAAGTATAAATAGGAAACAAACCAGTACTACACCTTGATATTAACATAGATCTACTTAGTCTTCGTACCTAAAGGAATGCCATGTGCGCGGAATACGGTCTCGATTGTGCCTACAGTATCCTTGGAGTAGGCGTCGAAGTCGAATACGTTTCTGACCACTTCTATCAGAGGATCGTCTGGGAATTGGTTGACATGTCTGACGATATTAACCAGCTCTCGAGTCGAGTATGGATAGTTGAGTTGACCTTCATCTGACATACGACGAAGTTTGCCAAAGACTGACACTAGAAGGTCAATCGTTTCTTGTTTCACTTCTGAAATGGTAATGTCAAACTCAAATATACAGAAACAACTGTGAAATCAAGTATACTGTAGCAAATACTGTAACTTCAAGTATAAAGTGATAACTCTGGTACTCACCAGGTCCGTACTGCTTCAGCATCTCGGCTTCTGAATGTGGGTCTGGATTGTCGACGACGTGAACAGCAAACAGATCGCCGAGAACGTTGAACAGATCGTTCCCCAAGAAAGGAAAGCCTGGTCGATTGGCCAACATTATGATCCTGAAGTCAGAGTGAATGGTGATAGACTTGTTGTCAGGTAAGTGTTCTGCTCCTGGAGGCTGAATCCGTCGGCCGTCAGCCAGATACAGATACCCAGAATCCAGAAGTGACTTCAGGACGGCGATCACATGTAATGGGGCTTTGTCAGCCTCATCCACCACCAACACTAGACCATCTTTGACCGCTTTTACCAATGGAGAATCCTCAAACAGAAGTTTCCCTTCGGCTACGGTAGATTGCACGGTAAGACTTTGCACAGTCGTATCTCTAAAATGCCAGTTACAAGATATAAATGTCATAAAAACGTTATATATAACATAAAAAAGGAATGGCATATATACAATATCGCCAAATAATACATTGTCATACCTATGTAGCTGCATGTATTGTCGCGGTCGCTGGATATGTTGTAAGAATCTGTCGGTAATCTTGTTCTTCCCCACTCCTTGGTTGCCTATCAACAAGATATGTTCTCCCAGAGAGAAGTCGACTGCCATGTCCTCCATTATTTTCATGTGCTAAAACAATATGTTTCGTTTAACTACAACAATAAACCTATAACAAGTGACACTTATACTTACAAAAAGTATACTTATATCTATAAAAAGTGTCATCCGAATCTTATTACCTGCGTGTTATCAAAGAAGACGACGTCAGGTATCATAGAGTCATGATGTGATGGATTCTGACCCGCCTTCAGCTCCTCCTTCCATCCAGAGTTTGTCGCGGATGACGCATTTTCTGGACTTATGCCAAACTTGTCCATCGCTTTTAAAAAGGAACTCTTGGTGAGTCGCGGAAGAAACTTTGACAACGCCGACCGGTTGATCACATTGTACAACCCTTCTTCCGGCTTCTGGGCGCTTCGCTTCATTATCGATATTATACGTCGCATCGACAACAGCGCCCCAATGTGTCGCAACTAAAAGTAATAGTTGTCAATGTAAAGTTAAACAAATCATAATTAACTTTTTTTAAATTTTAAGTTTTTCGAAAAAGAATCAGAGACCTGCACAGTGCAATCGCCAGAAAACTTTAAAACCATTTAATCGATTGCACCGTGCAAAAAAACCATAATCTTTGCACGGTGCAGTCCCTTCAAAATCGTCTTTATCCCATGCACCGTGCAAAACGCCTGCCGATAAGAACCATTGCACAGTGCAACCACCAACTTAACCTTTGCACAGTGCAATCCTCTTCTTTTCGGAGACAAGCTTCTGCACCGTGCAGAGAATAAGAACCAAACTTCTGCACAGTGAAATCGAATAATGTCGCGATTCAACTGCACAGTGCAGAATTCCTTGCAATCGATTGCCGAAAAACAGAAACACATTGAAAACATTGCACGATGCAGTTTGTCGCAAAAACCGTCTGCGACAGAAATATTGTCGCAACCATTTCAATGAAACCAAAGGGCGTTTTTTGGTAACAGCGACAGTTTTGTCGCATCTCAAACAGCCAAGCGAAGACTTGTCGCAAGATTTTTCAACAGCGACAATGAAAAGTGAGATTGATGTCGCAAAGCTCAGGCACTTGTCGCGGATGTCGCTCAATTTTTCTCAGTTGGCAGTGCCATAGCGACATTCAAAGAAAAAAGAGAAAGCGATGTTTTTGAAAAAAATGTCAGGAAATCGCAAATTTTTTGAGTGTCGCAAGCGAGATCACACCTGCGACATCGCACAGTGAAGGAATTGCGATGATTGCACGGTGCATCTTTTGAACGTCGCTCCGTAAGAAAAAGAAAGTCGCACAGTGCAATTGACAAAAAAGGATTGCACCGTGCAAAGGTTGAACTCTCACGAAATGCACTGTGCAATAAATAATAAGGCCAACAAAGTCTGCACCGTGCAAGATTTTTAACCATCTGCACAGTGCAGTCGGAACAAATCTTTTTTTAGGAATTGCACCTTGCAGGGCTCTTATTCTTTTTTCGTACTGATAACATAAAAATGCTTACGTTCACATCAGATGATGACTTCAGGTAATTCGAAAACTGAATCAGCTTTTCTGAAGTTTCGCCTTTAGAGTTTGGCACAAGGGATAATATGAGGTGTTTCTCTTCCTCCAGTGTCATCACCTCGAGTGATTTAAACAAGAACAAGCTCAGTATCTGGTCGTTCAGCCATTTCGAAGTCGGACCTGATCCATCAGCACTTTGGGAATCGGCCAAAGCGACCAGTCGGAAACGAGGTGAAATCTCATAAACACCCCTAAAAGTAATATTATACCATCGTTTACATGGTTAAAAACAAATATGAAATAATTAATTAATTTTTTAAGTTGTAGTTAATATTATATCACCAACCCACTTCAGATTCAACTCTTTGTCGCTCCACCCATTTTCCTTCTTCAACAACTCAAATGCCTCAGGGCTGATCAGCCGGCCGCCGTCAGGTAAGTGAATGAACCTGTGGAACACCAGTGGAGCCAGCACCTCTGCCGTGCTCCAATGTACCTTCTCCAGTCCGTCCAGCACACACAGACTGCCTTCCTTGGCAGCCTTGATCAACTGAGAGTCCTCCCACACCGTGTCGCCGTTAGGCAACATCTTCCTCTGCTGCACCAGCTCGCGACTGTTCATGTCCTGGAAGAGAGTTATCGTCTCCAAATGGTAGTTGAGTCGTCGGCCGAACTCCTCGATGATCGCTGTCTTGCCCGTTCCCTTGCCTCCCAACAGACAAAAGTCCACTTTGGAGTGTAAGGTCATCAGATGCGACATGACATCTTCGTGATAAGGGGTTGATACGAAGGGTGAGTGCTTAATATTCTCGGTTACCGTGCCTGTAGGTACCGTGAAGGTTACATTATCGTTGTTTCTGTTGATTTTGACGGTACTGTCTTCTGATGCCATTTCTGATGTGGCCGGGGGTAGTTTCTTATTTCGTTTGACAGAAAAGTCATCCAGGAACTGATTGTATATTGACAGTTCGGTTTCTCGCTTCAGAATACTGCTCTTGGGGTAGAAAGAAGCGATCACTTCTTCTTCAGATAACGTCGGATTCAGATTCTGAAAATACAACGATAACGATAGATCTCTATTCAATTTTTTGAAAACAAAACTCATCGTTATATTCAATTCTGTCAAAAATAGTTTAAAACCATCTTTTACAGAATAATTTGGTCATCGGTTGTGCCAACAATGACCTTGCACCTTATCTTATACTTGTTGAGTATTCAGCTACTTCTGGTGTTCAACTGTTCCAGGAATTCAACTTCTAGAAGAAGAAAGGCCAGAAGAAGTCACCGTACCCTCTCAAAACGATCCAGCAAACCTTCAGCACGAGAAGAGTCAGTACGAGACAGATCAGTACGAGGAAAGCCAGTGCGCGATCAAGTTAACGACAGTGATTGGCAAGAAGATGTAGATCAAAGTAATAAGTACAGTAGTAACTTTACAAACATGAGTAAGACAGAGCTAACTGAAGGTAGTATACTACAAAAATGCATGTAGTAAACTACATTTCAACTGTTTCCTCATCACATTATCCCTAAAAACTGTCTTTCTTACCCAAACTTCAAAAGCCTTGACCATGTTGTCGATTGGTACTCTTGGCAGCCCCAAACTGGTACCTTGTTGTTGTACATTGATCCCAAAGCAAACTCCAATCACATTATTCCTCTTTATTGGGTCGATGTTAGGAGATACTGATGAGCACATCTGTTGCACGACTTCAAATGGCAGTCCTGACAGATTCAGGCATTGGAAGCGACTTCTCAAGGGTGGATCTAGAGAATGTCCTTTGAAGACCGGTACTGGAAGGCCTAACGCTATCACGTGGAAGTCTTCTGATACCCGTTCCAACTTCATCTTGGTCATTTCTTCTGGATTGTACTTCTAAATTATGAATGTTATTTCAAACAAAACGATCTCACACATCTGGTATTAGCTATCTTTATCTACCTGCAAAAGTTTGTCGAATTTGACTGGATCCATTAGAAATCGACCATCATCAAGTTGCATTTCTCTGTTCTCGAGTAGGTTATTCAGAATCGGCAGCACGTTACGTTCAGCCTTCTCAACACCATCGATCACTAGTACTCTGCCATTTAAAGCCGCTCGTACTGAGCACTGAAACAACAGTTTACATTGTAAAAAACATTATACTACAACAGTCTTATTTCTTAATTTAGGAATCATTTTTGTAATTTAATTGCTCAAAGATTACTTTAAACCTACCAAATCCGTGTACTGTGCAGTACCATTCTGGATCTCCCTTCTTTGCTTAATGTCAGCTTCTGTCGTGTCTCGAGTCAGCGACAGATATTCGAATTCTCTATTTGACAACTCCAGGTAACTTAACACGAGGTCTGATCGTAGAGAACCTGGCACTCCAATCAGGAAGACATCTTGGTTCAGAACATCTTTCCTCAACAGCCACTTCAAACCTTGTAAGCCCCATTCTGTCTTTCCCTCAGTTACTAAACAGTACATTTGAGTATGCTATAGTAAAATATATTGTACTAGTTTACTAGTCTTTGAGGTAACAAGACTGTCTCACTTACCGTATCCTTTTGGTACATATTCGGCTCTCTCTGCTCTCCTTACTGGTACCTTTACATTTCCTATCTTTATGAATTTGCTTCCTTTACTGTCTAAACATGTACAACATTACTACGTAAGCAGGTATTGCAATTTACTGTTTAAAAGTGTATTTATTTGTAATTAGATTAAAAGGCTGAATCGTCAAAATAATGTTTACTCTAACGTATTAAATACAATTACCGTGGACAAATCTCCTTTGTACAATAAATAGCTGGATAGGATACCTAGACGACATTCACTAAAAAAAAGATAATGTCGTTAAAGAGAATTAATTGTAAAAAAAATATTAAAAACCAAATAATATTTTAAAAAACGAACTCCTCGAGAGAAAAAGATTAAAGTACATTCGCTCAAAACGAAGTCAAAGCAAACAACATTCGGCAAGGTTTCCTAATTTATGAGATCAAGCAGTAGACCGCCAATATTGTACATAATTTATCTGTCTTCAGTGTATATACAGCAACACAACGTCTATGTTCCTCATAAACAATCATGTAGATCCATTGGGTCACTTCTTTCTGATCATAAATGCTAAAATAATGAAGCCGGCTGTCACAAAAGACCACAATCCATACTCTCGAACTGTCCGTCGCTGATTTTCGTCTTCTAACTCAAGTACCCGTGTAGCCAGACGTCCTAAATGCCTTCGTACGTTCTTCAGTTCTCGTAGAGGATCCATATCAACTGCCAGAGAGTTATTTAAGTTTGTAATGGACTAAAAATGACAAAAAATAATGACATATACAACAAAGTATTGAATAAAAAACGTTTTAAAAGAAATCTTTTCAAGTAAACTTACTTCAGCGGCATGTAAACTCTCTTGAGATTCAAAAACTACTGGATAAGCTCGCTTGTAGGCTCTTTTTGTTTGTGGTGGATATTCATTCGCAGTTAAACGATCTGGCATAGGCGAAACTCTTTCCTAAATAAATCTTGTGATCGACATTTAAAGGACCAAAAACAATATATTGTTTACTAAAGACGCTCTAAAACATCAAGTTTAGCCAAAACTACAATTAAAAACTAAAAACTCAACTTACAGTTGAATCGGCCACCACCAGCTTATCCTTGACGACTTCAAGCGGGTCTTTCGTGTGTGCCATCAATCTGCCACCTTCTCCAACCACAATTTTGTCTGGAACAAGCATATCTTGTGCTGAGCCAATTGATTGAGTACGTTGTCCTTTTTTCCGATTGCCAAGGTACAGATGAGAAGGTACTTCCATAAACTCAACTGAATTTAAAAAACTCATTTCTGTTTAAAGAATCACACGCTACCCGTTTGTTTTATCAAATATTATTGTATATTTCGCGAAAATAATGTTTGGCATTCCGCTTTTTTACTTATTGGCATTTTCAATTAATCGTGCTGGGACTAATTAAGAACCGTTGTGAAATAATTATTTTTCCAAAATTTCGAATAATTTTTTGCTTTTAAAAATATTTTTCTTGTTTTTTTCCTTGATCTCTAACTTTTTGTATAATCTACAAGTATGATGCAAGTAGCCAAAAGACCTGCTGAAGATGACAACGTTTGTAAGTTCATAATCTATATAAAACTTAATTTTCTAGCCAAAGGGTTTATTTTTTGAATATTTTGGGTAACATTTACGACATGATAAACTTTCAGATGGGAAACGACAACGATTGGATGTTGTTTTACAGAACGATGGATCTTCAAAGCCGAGGACTTCTTCCTTGATGGCACCGATTATGTTGTTAACTGGCCATCAAGGAGAAATCTTTGCCAGTAGATTTTCTCCGAACGGAAAATACCTCGCTTCATCTGGATTTGACCAAAAGATTTGTAAGTTGTTTTCTTGTTGAGAATTATGTTTTTAGTGCTATGGAATGTGCATGGAGATTGTGAAAACTTTGCGACACTAAAAGGACACACTGGAGCTGTTTTGGATCTTCATTTCAGTACGGACTCAAAGTAAGTTCTAGTTTTTTAGGTAAAGGTTTTGTAAGTATGAGTTGTGTTTTAGTTTTCAGTATCATAGAGAATATTATATATTATGAGTTATTGACAATCGGTTTTGCTTTCTTTTCTAAAAACACACTTTTTTCTTGTTTTAGCTTTGTGTTTTCCTGTGGTACCGATAAGACGGTAAGAATATTTGATATGGAAGATGGCAGATGTGTGAGAAGGTTTAAGGGACATTCAGAAATTGTAAATAGTTGTCATCCAGCTCGGCGTGGTCCAACTATAGTTGCTTCGGCGTCAGATGACGGAACTGTTTTGGTGAGTTGTGTTTAGAGGTACTTTTACTGTTTTCATCTTTTTTATTGTTTGCATTACTTGATCTGTATTTTTTATTATTTTAGAAGATTTAAATGTAAAATGTTAGCAAATATTATTTTAGATAAACGACGAACGATCCAAGCTACCTACTTTGAAGATCAAAGCTTTAAACAATTACCAAGTTACATCAGTTACCTTTAACGACAACGCTCAGGAAATCATTTGTGGAGGCATAGATAACACAATCAAACACTGGGACATCAGAAGAGGTCTTTTGAACACATTTGAAGGTCATGAGGACACAATAACTGGTCTCTCTCTCAGTCCTGATGGGAAGTACGTTCTTTCCAACTCAATGGACTGCACAGCCAGAATCTGGGACATTCAGCCATTCACAACAGGAGAGAGATGTGTCAGATTACTTCAAGGACATCAACACAACTTCGAGAAGAATCTCCTGAAGGCAGCATGGTCTCCAGACAGCAAGAGAGTGTCAGTCGGATCTTCAGATAGGTTTACTTATGTTTATGACGTGGCCAAGTCGACCATCGAGTACAAACTGCCAGGCCATCAAGGCTCGGTGAATGCGGTCGACTTCCACCCAGAAGAGCTGATTCTTTTGTCAGCTGGGAGCGACAAAAAGATCTACATGGGGGAACTAGAGCCCAGCAACTCTCCCAAAACGTTATAAAGTTATTATTTATTACAATAAATTTAATGATTACGGACCGAGTCATCTACAGCATGTACAATTTGTCCTAGGTTGTCGTTTGTGATGGCACATACGTTGATCCGCCCTGAGGGGGAGATGAATATATTGTGTTTGCGGAGAATGTAATTGCGTTGAGGTTCTGAGAGACCAAGTAAGCAGTAGAGACCGGTCGATTGGATGATGTGATCCCAATGGCCGGGGGTTTTGTGGTCCATTAAGGCCTTGTAGAAGTCATTGCGCGACTTCTGGGTGCGCATGAACATCATCTTAATTAGGATGGTTCGATAGTTAATATTGGTTTTTTATACTGAATTCTATATCTTTTACTTACTCTGACTTGGTTCAGCCATTGTGCTCTTAAGTACTGAGTCTTGAGAATGTGTCCGACAATCCTGGCACCATGTAACGGTGCACTGCTCCAAAGTCCTTTAGACAATTGCACCAAATACTCTTTGATTTCTCTGGTTTTAGAGGGTTCGGTGCTTAATACAAGCAGATTTCCTACTCTTTCACCTGAAAGTAGTTAAAATAACAGTTAGATAGGTGAATTTTCTATGGTATGTGCTTAAACACACCTCACAACATTAGGTTTGTAAGTTCGCTTACTGTATAGGCCGAAGTTCTTGGAGAAAGATTGAGCGACAAACAGCTCGATTCCTAGCTCGGCAAACAATCGGACTGGAGCGGCGTCTTCTTGGGGGTCGCCACTGCTTAGGCCAATGTTTGTGACATCGAAGAAAGGTACCAGATCTTGGTCTTTTATCACTTCAGCTAATCGTCTCCATTGGGCCGGGTCTGGGTCTACTCCTGTTGGATTGTGGCCACATTGCAACAGAACTATGGATCTAAAATTATGTAATTTTCAATTTTTGTACGAAAGCAACATTTTTAATACGGTGACATTGTTATGGGTTCTTCATTGTCACATTCTAACCTCTTACCCCGGTTCAGCGTATCTCAGAGTCTTGATCATGCCATCGAAGGCGAGACGTTTGTTTTCATAGTCCCAATAAGGGTAATCCTTGATCTTGCTGATTCCAGAGTTTTGTAAAATGACACCGTAGTCGGACCATGAAGGATTGGCCAGGTGGGCTTCGTTTAGGCCAAGAACTTTAACAGCAAACTCTAGACCTAACCTCAGAGCACCAGTAGCTGAGACTGTTTGTACGGCTACTACCTAAAATGACTTTTAGTATGTGTTTTTAATAGTAAACGGCTTAAAAAAGGGTTGTAGTCTGTAGTTTTTTAAAAGAAATCGCTTAATACGTTCCGAGTTTACAATTAAGTCACAAAATCCAAAAACTTACGTTTTCTCTGAGAGCGTTGCCAAGATGTTGGCCAAGCAGTAAATGTGTTGAGTATTCGATAAAAGACTTTAGTCCTACCTGGGGATCCAAGTAGTCATGATCAAGGTTCTCGTCCAATGCCAATTGTTTTTCAACTTCTCTGACAATTGGCAGAGACCAGGGTTGTCCATTCTCGTTTCTAAAGGCTACAAACAGGGCTACAAAGACAATTTTGTTTACTCACTGTCTATGCTCAAGTTTATCGCTCCTGAAGGGACGTCCAGAGATGTTGTAGGTTCATTTGTGGGTCTGATCAATTCAAATAAAGATGGTTTTCGTGGGTTGGACTAAAGTATTAATTTAGATATTATATATAGTAAATCCTTATGAAAATTATTAAATCGTTTGTTTTTCTGTAGTAAGGCACAAAATTTGACACTTTTACTACAATAACCTTGAAATTTAGTTTTTTTTAAAAATTTTAGCATTTTTACAATAGTTTTGGCACTTACCACTACGAATCTGGCACGACTTTGGGATCGAACGAAGGAAGAAGAAAACGTGCGTATTCCACTGATAATCATCTCTACGGACTGTTTCTAAAAAGGGACCTTTCCGCCTTTTTGCTGAGAGCGGACCTTTCCGCCTTTGCCCCCACATGGTCGGGGGACCTTGACAGTGCCTATACAAGTGGGATCTTGATCGTTTCTCCATTGCTCATGGACGGGGGACCTTGATAGTTTCTCCGTCGCTCTTTTACCCTGTTATCAAACATTGTTATTCGATTCCAGGTGTAAAGTATGGGTCGTTGAGTGGTGTTCCTTTTATTTTTGGCTAGTTCTTTGGTCGTCAGAAGGTTTTCCAACGTGAGAATTGTGATGGGGTTAACTGATCGGTTATTGGAGAGAATAACAACTACAATTATATTATTATAGAGCTTTATATGAAAGGAAAAGTCACGAGATTATATTTTGCAGAGTTGAGTGTAATATAAAAGTAGTTTTTTCATTTTCACAATTACAACTACATTAATGTACAGCTTTATTCGAACGATAGACGATTTACAAAGTTCGATATAATATGGATACGATGCTTCACAGTGTCATGATATACTGATTCTTTATAAAATACGATTACTCAATCTCGATCCAAGCCCTCAAATGCTTGAACCTCCAGCTTGAGTTCAGTGACAGTCTTTCTGAACAACAATGACAACTCGAACAACTTCTCGTTCGAGATGAAGCCAGAATCCGAGTCGATGGAGCGACATCCGAAGTCCTCGATCTGGTCGATGCACGCCTCCAAGAAGGTGATGATCCTTCTGTATCCACAAATCATCTCATCCACACCGTAAAGGGATCCAGAGTTGTTCTTGTCGCCGTCTTGTAGCCTGCCTATAAACATATCCATCCGGAGGGTTTGTAGCTTCAGTCTGTAGATCTGGAATTTTAATTTTTGGTAGTTATTTAAATATTTGTTTATTATTATGAAGCCTACTCTAAAGTTACGTCTTTTATAGTTCCACGGTAAATAATAATATTTATCAAATGATAAATACTATCATAACATACTAGTATCTTGGCAGGTTATAGTGTTAAGCAAACTTACTCTGAGTCGCATCTCTTCGAAGTGTTTCATCTCATCTCGTGTAACTACTTTCTGAAAGTGTCAACGGTTAGTAATTCTAACGTATTTTGTGTCCATATTGCTCTGAACATAGTTGAAACAAAACTTACAGTCTTATCGAAAGTCATTTCCGATACTTCTAGTTTCAGTGATTCAATCATCGTTTCTAGCTAAAAGAGCTTTAATTGGACTTACATTAACCTTTATTATAAGTCAATTTAGCGCCAAACATAAGCTTGCAACACTATGCCAATATTATTTTTTAATTTTCAAAAATTTTTTTTAAAATTAAAAAAAAATATTTAAAATGTTTCAAAAACCTTGCTTTACCTCTCTGATCTTTTTGTTCTCAGCTCGCAACTCTTCGTTCATCTGATGCTTCAACTGTTCGCATTCTCTATCCAGGTCGTTGACATAGACACTCGAGAGTACCATTTGAATGATCTGACGACATTGTTCTAGGTCAGTGTTCTCGATTTGTTCGATCTCAGCCATCACTTTCAACTGAAAGCTTTCAGTTAATACCTAACACTGATAGCTTGTCACACCAACTCGAGCTTATCCAAACGATAGAAATAAGTTTTATCTTTGTACTTCGAAAAAGAAAGTCACAAAATATGCAAATTTGGAAATAATAAAATTGTTAAAAGTTGGGTTTGGTCAAAAAGTAAATAGAAAAATCGACAGACGGATCAAGATCGTTCATAAAACACAATTCTATAAACTTTTTGACCAAACTTTCAGTAATGACAACATAAGTTTACAATCAAAAAAGGTTCACAATATCATATAAAACAAGTTTAGTAACGTTTACAATATACAATACATGCCAAACTGAAGTAAAACAAGAATTAATCCAGTAAACGTTCTACTGAGAACGACTTCATCCCTCAGTTTTCTGCAAAATGTGAGTTAAATAGTCTGTAAAAGTTTGTATATATTATGCATGGTTAACATTGTCCTGGGAAGAAGTATGGGTTCGTGTAAGCGGGTACGTTCTGTGAGTTCTGCATTACGGAGTACGTTTGTCCTTCTTCAAGTACAGTCGAGGTTGGGGTGACCAATGGGTAGCCAGGATAGCCGAGTGAGGTGTCAAAGCCCATGTTACCGTAGTAACCCATACTCGGGTACGATAGGTAAGGATTCAAAGTGTTCTGAGCAGAGTAGATCGGAGTAGCAGAGCCGAGGCCGAACGACGCGGCCAAAGAGTTTCCGTCCGTACACCAGGGAATCTCGTTGAGGTCGGTTTGTCTGGCCGAAGCTTGGCCCAAGAGAACGCTGGCATCTGGAAGGCCCTTGTTGTACTCCATCAACGACACCCCCAGGTTGGCAGAACTCATCCCCGCCCCGACCAGAGCACTGGTTGAGTCGGCCTTCAGGAGGTTCAGCTGGCTCAGTTCTTCTGGATTCATCGTGGGCGCTTCTGTAGAGGATTCTATGGGCGTCAGATTGTTTTTGGGTTCTGGTAGAAGAGGTGGGTGAGCTACAGGAAGGTCCACGGTGAGGTGAGGTTGGAGCTCCAACGTGGGTTGTGGGATGGGTTCTTCTGAGGGATTCAGCTTTGCTAGACATCTAGAATTACATTGTTGTGAGATTTACTTTTTATATTATAACTACCATATATACTAGACTTGTAAGCTCATAATCTTACAATATTTAAACAAGAATTCTTATAAACTTACTCAAAGGTTGCCTTGTCATCATCATGGTTAACATCGTGAGAACTCAGGTCTCTTCCATCGAAAGAGGTGGACTGACATAAGGCATCTGAATTCTGAGCAGGTGATGACATTTCACTTGAATGACTTGAGTCCTTATTCATCTCAAAACTGTTGTTGTTCACATTGTTGGCAGCAGCTGCCGCGGCCGCTGCAGCTCGTTTAGCCGCCTCTTGCTTCATGGAAGCTACGGTCGGCGGCTTCGGCTTCTGCTTGTCTTGTTGACGTTGTTTTGCGCGACGATTCTTGAACCATACCTAAAGTTTGAGATGTTTTACACAGCGTAGCCCTCTTTTTTCTTTGAAGTTTTATAAATTAGAAGCTTGTCTTACCTGAATCCTAGATTCTTGTAGATGGATCTGTTCGGCGATCTTCTCTCTCGTAAAGACATCTGGGTATGGAGTAGAGTTAAATAGACTTTCCAACACTTCTAGTTGATGTCTGTTGAAGGTGGTTCGTTCTCTACGATTTTTTCTTGGTGGTAACCCTAAAATATTCAAGTTAGGAGAATTTACGAAGTATTAGTGTCCACATATACTAATATAACAAATGCTATCACAGATATAAATGAATAACACATACTGCTATTAATATGTTATACCATAAATAACATTCCAGACAAAAGCTGTTGTATTCTCACAAAAGCAAGGTATATTATTCAGAGGCAAGTGTAAGGTAGTCATTTCGAAAACAGTATAGTTAATCTTACCATTGTGACCCCCAATATTCGAAAACATTGCCACAGGCATCAAAGGATTTGTCATCGATGGATACTGCCCGAACGGGGTACCACTAGTTCCATTGGGAGTACCAGGCGTCGAGGTGGAACTGGTCGAGGCTGAAGGTAAATGGTACGACGCGAACGTACTGTAGACCATACTGTAGTTGAAGGGATTCCAGAGATTGTTCGGCCTGGAAAGATAAGCGGATAAGCCTAATACAAAGCTGATTATCACGAAAGCTGATTAGTTGTTGGAGTATAAAGAAATGGGACTAATCGCAACCCAAATAAAACTTTTGAATGAACAGTCGCTTCTCTCCCCTCAGGCGACGAGTCCAGGATTTGCATAATCAACGGGTTTTCGCAATCGATTCCACTCGAGGGACCCTATCACTTATCAGTCGGGGGTACGGTAACCAGACGGGGAGTAAGTGTTTTGGTGGAGAACTTTTGGAAAACGATTTGTGAATATTATAGTAGGTGGGGTGCTAGTCAGGAACGGTTTGTGTTATTATAGACTAGAATTTCGTCTAGTTGAGTTTTAAAACGGCTAAAACTAAAGATCAAGACCATTTCTACAAACTTTTTGACCATAAGGTTGCTAGTTGATTTTAAAAGTTCTTGATCTTTTTTTATTATATCAGTTTGGCTAAAGCTTTACAGCATATTAACCTTTATCAATCAAATTGAGACAATCAGTTTAGCCATGTAAATATCTGATTATTGCACCGTGCTATCTACCTAAACCTTTAGGCCAACTATAATATTCACAAATAGATGAAATACTCAAAATCAAATAAAAAAATCAGGTTCAAAACCCATTTCAGGCTAATTAAGGGGCCTCCCAAGGATAATCTCGGCTAAAAGTACAGGGCCTCGACAGTTTGGGACATTTAAAACAGTTGAAAGCGGCGAATCCGATTAAGGTATTTAAGATTATAGGGAATAAAGTGGCTTTAATGCGGATAATGAAAAGCCAATAAAGCCCTGAGGCTTTGCGTGCGGATGGCAGTGATCTTGTGGATTAGGGGAATGCCGAATGTGGCAACAGATTATTGACCTAATTACCTGATAAAGACAGGTAAGCGGCCGACGCCGGCCCCGAACTGGCGCCGAAGCCAGCAGTGTTAGGAAAATGGATTTGGGATTGGGGCGTGCTGTAGGGGTACGGTGGCCAGTTTCCAGGACAACTATGCCACTCCGGAAACGATGGCTTCTTCATGAGATCCTAATCCGCCACCACTTATATTAATTTACCGTAGAGAAGACAAACAACCTCGGCCGGCGGCGTTATCACTCGGGCGAGTTCCGTTCTCTCAAAACTTACCCAATTAGTTGCATCGTGGGGTTACGGTAGGCACGGTCAGAGGATGGGTTTGGACGGTGTGGAGTGGGTAGTTCAGGTATGGTGCTAAAATACGATTAGTTTACGGTCAAATTAAAAAATATACAAAAATTTTAAATTTTAGTCAAAATAAATATTTTTCAAAAATTTCTGTTTAAAATTTAGGTTAAAAAAAGGCCAATAACAAACTTTAGTCCAAATATCAGTCGATTTCTAAGCCTATTGACAGCAGCTGAGACTCGTGCCAAGTGATGAGCTTACTGCACCGGTATGACATCACGGCCCGCCCCACGAGGCCATCTTCACCTAGGGTAACCACACTTTACCTGCGATAAGATTATATGCGTATCCGGGGTTGCGTCATCGTCGTATGTCCGGAGGTTGTTTTGTTTTAGGGGACATGTACAATTACATGCATGTTAAGCTTCTGATTTAATGCTTGTATGTGCCAAAACTTCAGATATATTATGTTTTAGGAAAATGTTATTTCTTTTAGAAGCAAGTCAAAATTAAACTTTAAAAATATTGTAGTAGTTAGTTCGTCAGATAGTATAAGTACAAACTATAAATGTCAAAAAATTTGAGTTATATTTCTTTTATTACCTAAAATAACAAAATTCAATATTAGAATACAGTAATGACTTCAAATACTGATAAAAAGGCAGTAGCAACAACCACAAATGAAACAGTGGCCCTGCCAGAACCACTCAAGCCTCCCTGAACGTTCAAAGTGAAGAAAACAAGGTTATCGCCTGAAATGGGAGTAAACAGTCAGAGTAAATCCTTTACACAAACATACGATGGTGATAAGTGTTATCATGTTTCTCGATGAAGCCTGTCATTTCTGGTTCAATCGAGTGGTCTAGCCCGTCTTCTGAAGCCGTGAGGTAATCTGAAGTGACATTCTTTGAAATACGATCCCTACCTCCGACCGGTCGTCGTATCATAACCACTAGTCGGCCGGCGATCTTCCACACAAAAGCCGCTTCGAAAGAGGTGTTACCGTATACCTGGGTGTCTGGTATAAAGGTGTGGTTACTGTAGACAAACCCGTCTTGAACTAAGACAAAGTTGTCAGAGGTTACTGTAGCATAGATGACATCTACACAAGAAAATGGCAGTGATAGACTGGTTTTGCCATGTTCTGCTGAAATTAGACTTGTCTAGAAATTACTGAGCCGTTCCTATTGTTTATTTACTGTTTTACTATTTTTGAAATTAAAATTTAACAGTTTCTTACTGTAATTTATGGCATTTTGTCCGAAATACTGCTCTACCCAGCCTAGACACCCATTTCTAATGTGTTTCGGTCGTAATCCAACTAACAAAGAATCAGTATCTTCTACATCGAATATCATCTCTACATTACTGTCAACTACTCTCGTATATACAAAGTCGTTCGTAGATATCGCTGTCTGTGTGTAACACCCATCGTTGAAGATACCGTAGCTAATGTAGCGCCAAGAGCTTCTTGTATTGTACCAATCTTTGTTTACACATGCATCGTATTTACTCACAGTTGACACTGTAAAGTTGTTTATGCAATATACATGTCTTACGTATTTTTTCTTATCCCCCTGCTTAAAGTAGCGCTTTGCCCTGGTAACAACTTCTGAAATGGTACCCTTTAGTATTACCTGTTTCGCAATTGTCACCAAAAATGCCATTTCTACATGCACATCTCCTGGATACGGTAGAGTTGTGTTGACATGTACATTTACCACCATTTTGACAATCTTTGTCGCTTTGACAGTTTACTGTAACTTTTTATACTTGTAACAATAATTTTATATTTCAAAAATTGTGATATTCACAACTACAGTATCTTACCACTGCTTACTCTAATACTGTAACTTATCAAAAACTATGTCATTAAACATCCAATTAAATAGACTCCCTTGTATTACCATAATAGTTACCCAATTAGTTGGACCCACTCCTAAGATCAACCGGTAGTTGGTAAGCCTTACCCAACCTCGTTATCAACTTTACATTACCTCGAAGTTGGCAATCATGACCATCGTGTTGGTTGTCACATTTGCATAACTTGTTATCGCCGCTCGAGGTAATGTTATGATCCTGAATAGTGACATCAGCACAACTTACGTATGTCAAGCCATCAAGTTTGTGTCTTATTTGGAGAAAACAATCGTAGCAAGGTCGTCTGAAGGTAATGTTCAGAGAGTTACTGTAACGTTTGACAAAGTGTTGGATGTGATGGTGCGATGAGTTGTACAGAGTAATTTTAAAAGTCTGGAAATAGTAGATTTAGTGAAATAGTTAAAAAATTAATATAAAGTAGTACTGTAACAAACTTGACACTACAGTAACCCTTACATCATTCCGTTGGTCAGAAGCCCAATGGAGAACATATGACCGGTGCAGTGCAAACGAGTACGACGGGCCTATAAATATTGTTTTCCGCTTACTATCCTACTGTTTTTGTTGTGGTTAACGCCGCAGGGCATGTTATAATCCCTCGAATTAATTCCGTCCAGTGGCGGCGATCTCGGGAAGGGGAATATCCAGATGACATTCCCATGACAGCCAAGGACGAGAAGCACCAGAATTAGCATGGCAATGATAACATCTTTCCTAATAATCATTTCAAGCTACGACCATTGCTCTCCACACATTTGTAACATCAGTTTGGGAGGTAGAGAGAAGGTAAGAGTAATATGCATGGATGAATCCCCAACAAATGCACTTTCACTTGGATTAAAACAATCGAAAAACTGTCTACTTTAGCATTGAGAACTGCGCCTTTACTGCATTTTAAAAATTAATGTTACCGCTCTGTGCTGTTTTTAAATTTCTAAAAATCAAACCTCAAATTTTATAATATTCTTAAACGTTTTCGTAGATATCCTATAATTTTTAAAAATTCTAACGAATTTAACATGCTTTACTCAACAATCAACAACTCTAACACCTTAACTAGACTTTCTCTTCTGTCTAACCTCTCTGTCCCATGATATAAAGGGTTCTGAAGTGAAGATGCCTTCCGTCGATCTGAAGAAGTCGCTCAGATCCAGATTATACTTTTGTTCGTAACTCAGAGCCTGCGCCACCATATCAAACTTGTCCAACTGTTTGACGGTTTTGGCCTCCTTTGTCTCTGCCTTTTCGTATTCCATCCACAGATTGTACCATTCCTCCTTCATCGATGGAACATACGACGCAATTGTCTTCACTGCCTACAACATCATAGTATGTAACAAAAAGCGTGACTCTGTTGTTGTTCATCAACATTAAAGAATACCATAACATTATTTTTAATTTGAACTTTTTTCATTTGAAAAAGATAAGGTGATAAAAAAAATGTTTTATTTATTGTGTTAAATAACTGCAACTCCGTAAAATTGCTATATATTATGCACTGTTATGTGCTGTTACCAATATATCATTAAATGACAAAAAGATTGCGTTGATGTACTAATCCCACAGTTTCATGAACAGATTAGTACTATTTTTGAATTCATAGAACTATTATAAAAGGTAGACTAATTCATTACCAACACTAATAAAAAAATCAAAGATTCTTAATTATTTTTTTAGTATATTGGACTGATTAACTTACTGTATTTTTAAACTCTACTGTACTATAAACTTTTGTATGAAGTATTTTATATATTTGATACTATTTTCTCAAAAGCTTTGCAGTAATATAGATAGAAAACTTACCTCTTCTTCCAACTTGAACTTTTCTTTATCAGACACACCACACTTCGGAGTAATATCACCAACAATCGCTTCGCCAATGTCATGAACTAATGTCATTTTAACACATTTAACTACGTCAACTTCTTTTGAATCCAATGTCATAGCTAATACAGCCATCCTGTACATGTGACTAGCTACCGTCTCTGGCTCCGGGACTTTGTGATGCACCCAGCCAGTCCTTTTTAGATGTTTTAGGTTGTCTATCACTTGCAACAACGAGAAAATATCGACATGTGCCATCTAGAGAAAAAAAAATAAGGCTCAATATAGACTTATACTTAGAATAACAAATTCATAATGAAAAACTTTATAACGCGTAAAAAGTAAAAAAACACAAATAATAAATGAGAATTACATTAGTCAAACAAATTCAAGATAATAAACACTCCATTTATATATAAAAATACATAACACAATATTATACATAACAAAATATTATCAAGCACCTTGCTCAGAAGCCGCGTCCTTCAATTTCCTCCTTAGATCCGCCGTTTTACAGTAGTCCAACGGAGTCTTCTCTTCTCTGTTCTGACGGTTAATATCCGCGCCTCTCTTGGCCAGAAATATAGCCGCACTGTCGTTCTGATCTTCTACTGCCATTTGCAAAGCAGTGTTACCCTCTCTGTCAGCCAAATCAACCCTAGCTCCCTTTTGTTTCATCAACAACATTATCATATCAACATGACCTTTGGCTGCAGCACGATGAAGAGGAGCACTTCCATATTTGTCTTGAACATTTACTTCAGCTCCGTTCTCCAGTAACATACGAGCAATTGGAATGTAGTTCTTAGACGCAGCGTAGTGTAATGGAGTCTGACCGTTGTTATTTCTAAAAATCAAGTTTTATTATAACGACTACTTCAAAAGAAAATTAGTTGAATTCCATAAAAACTACGTCAACATGATTTGTTTCGAACAAACCCTAAAACAAAATAAATAAATAAATTTCGTACCTATGATTGACATCACAGTCACATCTTGACAGCAAGTACTTGATCACATCGAAGTGGCCAGCAGAAGTTGCGATCATCAACAAATTCCACTTCGAATCATCCACAGCATCTGCCATTTCAGGATGTCCAGGAAGAACTAACTCCAGAAATGCTACACAGCCTCCAGAAGCAGCCCAATGCACGGCCAATCTTCCACTGTCATCTTTGAAGTTGAGAAGCGACTGATCTTCTTGAACAATCTTCTTCGCTCCCTCAGGGAGATTTGATCTCAAGAATTCGATCAGTTCACTGTACTTGTTACCACGATCACTTGTGCCCTTCAACATGCTTTCAGGCCACCAAAAACTGATCAAGGTAATTTTTCAAATATTTTTGTCACACATTTTTAGTAAAACGGAATGCCACACATATTGTGGTTTTGCGAAAAGCCCGCCATTTCAAGTAAGAATTTCAAGAAAAATTACAAAAAGTACATCATAACGATTTCTTTTCTAAACAAAAATAAATAAAAATATTTTGGAAAATGATTAAAATTATTTTGCATCGAATATTTTATGTTTTATAAAAGAGCGTCGTAGTATAACAAAATGTCTAAGGTTATAGACCCTAATAGTGGTGTATTTTGTGCCATCAGAGATGGCACTATATTAAATAAGATCCAGAACATTGAAAAGCAGGACTTGAAGCCGTTTCTACCATTATTAATGTACAGAACCTTTTCTTCGTTCTGCATTGACTCGAAACCTAGTCAATCTAATAAATTGGTAAGTATATGATCTTATATAAAAGTTTTTGATTTTTAGGACGTTTTGAGGGCAGCTTTGATTGACTTCCCTGAAGGAAATGAAATAATGAGCTTCCTGAGATACGATTACGAAGCTCTGGAACATAAATTGTTGGAGATCAAGAAGGGAAAACAACAAATGAATCTGAATCCGGCCAATTACTCTTTGATGAATCTGAATGAGAAACTCACACTTATCGGATCTCATATTCTTGGAAAATGTAGGTGACTTGATGTTCCTTGGTTATCTTTGTCAGTTTTTACTTATGTGTATCATAGTTTGTTTTGAGTTAAAAGATTAATGGTTAATGTAATTTGAATGTTTCAGTAAATGCAAACTTAACCTCTACCGTGGATTCGTTTGAACCTTTTGATGCAGAATCGTTTCAAGAAGAAGTCATATGGATAATGTCATTCTTGTGCTTCTACATTCCTGTTCTTTTCAATGTAACTGAAATAGCGCCTTTGTTGCTGCGCTATGCTTATGGAAAACCTCTTATTTTAGGCGTAAGTGTTGAAAGTAATGTTCTATTCTTTTTAGGTGTCAATTTTGTGTATTTCCAGTGAAATTGCTTTTAAATTACTTAAATTTGCAGTTTATTTAGTAAAATGTTTAAAATGGTAATTTTAGGTAATATTGAACAATCCTCAACGGATGGAACAGACATTGTCAAAGCTTCTGAATGCTCGTAACACTGACGAAGGTGTGATATTGAGAAGAAAGAACGATGTTATCTTTGGTCTATTGAGATTGGACCATACTCAAGCAGAGGGATTCCTAAACAAAGTTCTCGAAGTTGGAGGAAAGTTCAAGTTGGTGGTGACTTTACTATGCAGTAGACTCATACAAGACAGTGTCTTCATTAACACATTGATCTCTCATCTGATGCGAAAGAACAGTCATTTCACAGCATTTTTGGTTAAGCATTCTAACAAGGAAATGGCAGAGAAGATACGAAAGAGATTCAATGAGATCCTACAGCTGTAAGTTTACTTGAGATAATATGGTTATTTTAATATCCATATGCATTTTTAACGGTTTTAGTTAAATATCATAGTTTTAAAATTAAAAAAGTTTAGGCGTAGACATCCAGAACTGAAGGAACGTATTGTGGTTTTACTGTGTGTTCTGTCAACGTATAACATCATCAAACTGCCAATCAACTCTAGTGATGTCAGTTACCCTTGGGTACGAGTACTGACAGATACCAGTGTCAACAGTGTTCGGTTACTCAAGATCATGTTGGCAGCCATCTTTGCCTGTCCCAACCTGCTACCACAACATGCTTACTCGGACTCTGACGACCATCAGAATATCAGTAACTTCTTCATCTATCTACGAGAACTGACTCGTGGTGGTGATGTGAACGAGATGAGATCCTTGAATCAGTTCATGTTGTTATTGGCCATCCATCTGAAGTCTGACAACCATGTCGAATTGTCCAAGTTGTTGTCTATGGAGTTGTCATTGACTGTAAGTGTCGTTTACTGTATTTTTAATGTTTTTCATGGTCAAAAATTTATTATTTTATTCCATATTGTTTTAGAAAATTTTATTTAAATTTTGTTTTAGATAGGAGATGTCCTGAGGAAGCAAGCTATTGTCAAAGCCGCGTTCCTTCAGAATGCCATGTTGGAAGAAGATATCGCTCAGAAGGCGGCGAACCTTGGAGTGACAGTAGGGTTAGACAACAACATGAAAGGATACTTGCCAGTACATTGTATCAACCAACTGCTGGTGTCGAGGATCTTTTCGAAGAACCAGATCAATATCCAAGATTGGATAAAGTCGCAGCTACTGCAAAGTCATCTTCCAGTACATCACGTCATGGTGCAGTTGTTGGACAACTTTGCCGCTTCTTGTTTCCCGACAGGACAAGATGCCAACTACAACACCAAGATTGAAGAAAAGTTCTTTTGGGTAAGGTTTTTGTTGCAGTATCAATCAGAACTGGCAAAAGGTTCAACAAAAAAACTCAGAATATGTTCTTTCAGGATATCTTTAAAGGTGATCTTTTCGCTGATGACAAAGTCTTGGCCACTAGAATCCTGTCTTTGTTCTACCTTCTCGCATATACCAGAAGATACGACACTACGGTAGTCCAACCTTCGAAGGACAGAGAGCTTCCAACTGTCTATTCTGACGCTTTGTGGGCAGAGATACCTATTCGTTATATTCTGTCACTTATGGATGCCAGATCGAAGGACTTTGAGTTAGTACGACCCCACCTACTGCACTACATTGGCTGCAGTATACCACACATGTTACCCACGCTAGATGCCATCTTGGACAAAACTGAAGATGAGATTGGAAGAAGCAACAAAGCCATTGATAACAAGGCCGTGATAAAGCGATTCTCAGAGCTAGTAGGTAACATGAGTCAGGACCTAACCAGCTTCACCAAAATGTTGGCCAAGATAGAGGCCCATCCTATAACATGGCAGTACGGACACTACGAGAGTGTGGTTAGGGCTCTCAACTTGACCTTGAACACGGACAAGTATCCGATGGTACTATCGAGAAGATTGGCCAAGATGTGGAAACGATTCGAGAATCTGATACCCAGAAAACTGTACGAACTTACTTTACAGTACTGGTTAAACGGAGACAGGTCTGCTGTCAAAGGTCATCTACAAGTCACCAACGAACTTCTGATGAGGGAAACTCCGTTGATTATGTTCAGAGTAGACGATCGTATCTTCCAAAGTCCACCTCACTTCGAGTTGCTACTTCGTATGTTGTCCTTCTACTTGGATACGGTGAAGAACACTAACCTGGTCAGGCTGACAAAGGCCGTAGCACTGTCGGAATCGAGAGCGTATGTTTTCTCGTCTAGTGTTTATGGTATTCTTGTTTCTTTTTTAATTATTTGTGGTTTATAATGTGTTTTAATAATGATATAACGTTTAGAGAGATCGATGAGAGGCATTCATTGTTCAAGGGATATACAGGTACACAACACTTGGCTGTTGTCCAGGTACTACTCGAAATCTGTGATGGAGATGAGAGCAAAAACCCGAATCTGAATGAAATACGAGATCTGGCATGCGCTCATATACATCAGATGTTCGTGTCCGACCCGGCTTTACCTAAACTGGTCCACTTTAATGTAAGCTGATAACAGTTATTGCGGCATCTTCCTTGATGTATTCTATATTGTTGAACCTTACTGTTATTTATTATCGTTTACAGATGTACCCAGTAAGGCTGATCCCAATGGTTGTGGATAAGGTACCATCAGCTCACGTGCTTCTGGCTGAGCTGCACGAACTTGTACATCAATCTCATCTGCAAAGGAGGATATTCGCTGTAAATCTCATCGCACAACTGGCCAAAAAGGTACTGTTTACACATAAGGTCATTGCCATTATTTCAACTGTATGGTCAAAAAATTCGTAGCACTGCTAACTCGTTTTTTATGCATTTCTTTTTGTCACTTTTTTAAGATTATCAACGTCATTACTTGGCGCTAGGACAAATTCGGTTTTTGGACATTTGCGGATCTGCGGTTTTTAGACACTTGCGGATCTTCGGTTTTTGGACACTTGCGAATTTTTTAAAGGTTTTTTTTAATTTAATTTAGTTGTAGTATGGTACTAAAGTTTAAATTGGCACTGTCTTAATATTTCTTAATGTTAAATAGTACTAAATTTTTAATCGGTACTGTTTTTATATTTTTGGTACTAAATAGTACTAAAAGCCCGAAAACTGTACTGTTATGTTAAAACCGTACCAATTCAAACTTTAGTACAATTTAGTACCATAATACAACTAAATTAACTAAAAAATAAAAAAAAACCTTTAAAAAATCCGCAAATGTCCAAAATCCGCAAGTGTCCAAAAACCGAAGATCCGCAAGTGTCTAAAAACCGCAGATCCGCAAATGTCCAAAAACCGCATTTGTCCTAGCGCCCATTACTTTACAGTACACCATCCAAATGTCATTGGCAGGCCTTGAGTTCATGGAGGAAGTGTTAACCACCATCATCAACACCAAACTTGACGAGAGCGTCATCTTATTATTCGCCAATATTATCCCAGCTCTCAAGACTTTCATCCAACTGTCACCGTTACATTCAGAATCCGTCAAAAGCATGCTACATCGTATTAAAACCGTAGCCAAATCGAGGTGTGCTCTTTACAAAACAAACTTCTCGTATGAGAAGTGTCCCGAGATCATGCTAATACGAAGTATTGATAAAATAGTTTGATGTTACTCAATTTGAAAGATCTTCTAATTTATTAAATTATATATAATTTTAGAAGCTAGTTTTGAGATGGCTGACTTCTTTTAAGTAGATTAATATCATTTTATTTCGTGCACATTACCAAAACTACAATGAAAACTATGTTAGTAACAATATTTACAATTTTGTGAAGCTATTTACAAAATATACAGTTTAAAAGAGCAGTTCTCACTATGCATTTATCTCATAGTACTATGAGATAAATCTCGTCCTCATGGCTTTATCTTTTCGTAGTGATATTTGGTCTCATTCTCTTCATCAATTACTTTTTCGTAAGCCGAATCAAACTCGTCAACAGCGAAATCGTAAAACTCTTTCTCCATGGCATAAATCGTATTCTGTGAGATTTTATCGACCGTTTCCTTTTTAGGTAATATCTTTTTGGTCGTACTTCTCAAATGAGCCCGGTTTTCTAAAGAATAAAATAAAAAAAGAGTTAAAACTTACCATCTAGACCATCAAAATGCTTCAAAGCTCCACGGAAGAAGCGGGGTACTGTCCTCTCTAATAACATAATCATGTCTCGTATCCTATCTGTGTATCCGACCAAGAGATAGTAGTTTATCAAATTGTACTTTGCTGTTTCTAATGCCATTTTATTCCCTGGTTTTCTAGAAAAATTATCATTGATGAATCAAAACAAATTAATTGTTACCTAAAGTTTGAAAAGCTTACCTGCAGAAGCTGTAATGTCCACAAAAGTAGGGAATCTGAACCCACATCTTTTCCAGGTCACAATCTCGTCCTTTCTTCTGAATACACTCGTCAAAAGTGACGTTATTGCCTGATCTGCTCCTCTTCAGGCCAATCCTGAAGTTGTCACCGTATCTCAAGAAGTAGTAGTAAGATACGAAGCGCTCCAACGGATCTCTCAGTAAGTTGATGTAGATAGGGTTCTTGTATCCAAACTTATTGAAGTTAAGGAAGGCCATATGCCCGTGATAGAAGGCTGGCAGCTTCTCCTTCCATTCTGTGGCGTTTTTTACAAAGCTTGCTTGATCTGCGACGTTCAAGTAGTTCAAGTTCTTCGTTATGTTAATGTGAATAGCATTAAAGTGATTTGTCTTGCATAGATCATATCCGATAGCATTAGTAAATGTCGTAGAACCCGTTTTTGGAATCTAAACAAACTGAAAAGGGCTGTTTGGTAACTTACGCGATTGTAAATAACAATATCTGACTGTGACACCTGAGTATATGCATTTTGTGATGGCAATGTAATGCCAGAAGGTCCTGAGGTGTAATAAAAAGTTAAAAAAACAAATACAATAATAAGAATTATTAGAAAAAACTGTTTGTTCATCTTACTGGCATAGCTTTCTAAAACAAAGTATTTTTATTATTTTATTAATTATTTAATTTAGTCCCACCACGAAAACCAGGCATTTGCCTTCTGTTTATTAAAGCTTTTCGGCGTGAAATTGTGCGACAATATTTTGTAGTAGATTTTATTGAGAGGGATTTCTATCATGTCACATGCTGCTGTCTTGCAATTTAAGGAATTTACGGGTATGTTTCCAGAAATCTACTATAGTAAAATTATATACATTGCTTACGGTTTGTGAGCTTTTGATTTTTTTAACATTTTAAATTTCAGGGGTCTCGGATGACACCATTGCTGATCAGATGCTGGGTTGTTGTGACGGAGATGTGGGGAGAGCTGTGGAATTGTATTTTGCTCGACAACAAGTGGTAGAAAGTGTCCGGAATGGTCAACAAGATGATGATGTACAGGTTATCGAACGCGAAGAACACATGGAAGAAGCCGTGCCAGTCTCGTCTAACGCTGTCGAAGTCGCGGACGACGATGGAGTTAGGGCGCCTATGAGGCCAGTTAGTGGAAGGTTGGTACAAGGGTCATTTGATGAACAATACGGAAGTCGGAGAAGGAGGGCAGCTCATCCAATCTTCGAGCAGGATCACGATGAAGCCGGTAAGATTTTAAGGAGAGTCATTAGCACGTAATTTTGTTATTTTTAGTATTTTAATGAAAAAGTTTTAATGGAATGAAAAAGTAAGGAGTTCGTCTTCTTCTTATAGTAAAACAAAAACTTTTGTTTGAATTAATTTTAAACGAACATTTACATAAATAGACAGACGTGTTAACAAGTGAAATTTGCAGGCTCATCCGGAATGTACCGTTACAATGGTGAGAGTAATGAAAACGAGCCGGCTCGCAAGAAACGTCGAGATCTCAAAGACTTGTTCAGACCTCCAGTCGAGTTGATAGCCAGGTTCAACTGGGACAGTTTGCTTCAAGTAGGGCAACAGAAGTCGAGATGGATATTGGTCAACCTTCAAGAGCCTACGGAGTTTGCTTCTCAGGTGCTGAATAGAGATGTGTGGTCGAACTCCACGGTGAAAGAACTGATTAAAGTCAACTTTTTGTTCTGGCAAATGTACTGTGACAGTTCGGAAGGTCGGAGGATTGCCACTTACTACAATATTACACAGTTTCCCGCTGTTTTCGTGGTTGATCCTAGGATTGGAGAGATGGTTCAGTCCATATCCGCGACAGATCCAGATGCCATGATTCATATATGTAAGTGTTGTAATACAAGGTTAATATAGTTATTTAGTGTCTGACTTTACCGAGAAATACCCAACTTTCAAAGCACGCGACTTGGCGATTAAACGTGATATGGCTCAAAACAAAACCGACTTCATCGACCCCAAGCTAAGGACACCTCAAGCAATGAAGAACGGACAATCGGCTTCCACTTCTGCTGAGCCTTCGGTACGTGGTTTAACTTGATTTTTTTTTAAATTTAGAATTTTTTTAAAACTGGTATGGACCGTGTTAACTTGGATATGACTTTTTGATGTTTCAGACTTCAAAACGACAAAGTTCAAGTGACATAGCCAATGCTCAAGCAAAGCGAATGAAGAAGGTCGTTGTGATTGACAGTAGTGAAGAATGTAAGTTCGTATTTACTTTGTTTGAACCTTTTTTGTCACGTATTGCTTATAAATTTTAAAAAAATACTTTACTAAGTTCGCGTGTGTTAACCAGCTATTTTCAGCCGACGATGAAGTGAAACCGCTCACACCACCATCTTCTGACTCCTCGACTTGTGCAATCTCTTTCCAACCATGGCAATCGTACGTTAGAGAAGATTCTGAAGGCTCGGTCGATGTTATCCTCCGAATGCCTGACAGTAGTCGCGAGCCTTTAAAGTTGACATTGAAAACCCCATTAGAGGCCCTATTTGCTTTCATATCAGAGAAAGATCTGGATGTAACACAGCACGGTCTTATTCTAACGTTTCCCCGCAGGGTATTCAAGGTTGAGAACGCAAAAGAGACCCTGGGTCAGTTGGGTTTCCAACGCCAAGAACTTATTCATGTGGAAAGACTGTGAAACGATTCATTCCCTTAATTTATACTGACTCACGAATAAACTTTCCAAATGTAAACTGTTGAGACTGACGATCGTTACACCGCTATAGTTTATTTTAAAGTTATAAAAATACCTGTAAATTGAGCTTGTAAGCTTCGACTTCTAATCAAATGTCTTCATCTTCTTCTTGCTCCCTCAGCTGTTGCTTTTTGCTTCGGGAAGGGTTTGTTATACTAAACATTCGATGTTAGTAGCGATACTATATACGTTGTGGTTACATTGTGTTACGAAAACAGTAAACTTCTTACCTGTATAACGTGCTTAAGGTGGGGTTTTTGTACATTAAGTCGGCCATATCCCTGAACTGCTTGAGTATAAAGTCGAGGTCGAAAGAAAGGCGAAGGTTCTTTGGCACGGTAATCTCGTCGTATGGTTCTTCTAGGAAGAATGCTGACCAATCACCTTTTCGGATTTGAGAGTTTCTCCTGAAAGGACGTAATGTTTTGTTGCATGAATCCATTAAACCTTTCGCATTTTCGATCTCATGAAAATTAAAATACGAAACAATTAATGGATAACAGAGATGGAAAAGACTAACCTAAACTTACTTTTCAATCACTTCCCCAGTTTTGACTCTGACATCCATGGCCGTCATCTCGAAGTCAGCATAGTACTTCAAGAAGCCCATCAGAAGTTCTCCCACATTCATTTCGTTTCGTTTGACTTCATAAATATGGTCTGGAAGTCCTTCTATCGACGTTGTCAAGTGTCTTGGCTCTATTGTACCACCGTACTTGTCGGGTAGAAGGTGCATCAGATTGGGAAGGACTGGAGGATAAACTCCACATTGAAGGTAATGAACAACAAGGAGAACCAGAGCGTAACTGGGAAGGGAGTGATTAAAACATTACGATATGTTACCTGTTAAACCTCTTTTCATCGACAATCTTGACCTGTTTCCCCCATTTCTTCAAAATCACTGATAAAATGGCCAATCTCCGGTCGAAACTGAAAATTAATGTAGCTTTACCCATTTTTAAGGTACTGTATCTCATAACAGTAATTGTTAATAACATTATTAGTCATTTCGACATAAATATATAAATATATAATGACACAGGCAGTTGTGACTACATTAAATGGACTTACTTGACCAATCCACCGAGTAAAAAAGAGTTGTAAACACCAGCGACACAATTACAATTGATGTCTACCTCGATTGTTTTGTCAACTTGGCTGATTCCCAACAATTTTGTGTTGATTTGCATTTTTACAATGGGTACTGTAGCGTCAACCAGTTTAATAGATTTAACAGCATCCAAGTCCTTTAAGATGGCGCCTATCCTGTTTAGTATAAAGTGGTTCACCTTCAATAGTCTATCCTTTAAGTACGTACGGTAATGCTCATAATATGACAGGGAGTTGTCAAGTACAAAAGATGTTATCTTTGAGGCTAACGTGTTCTCAAAAGATCACTGAATACATAAATAAGAATGACCAGTCGTTCACCAACTTTAAAGTCTCGACTTACCCTCCCCTCTTTGTACATTACAATTGGCAGGTCCTTTTCCCCGTAATAATCCGACGTCTTCAGTACATAACATAAATCAATATCTGACGTTGTCGTACCACAATTGCTTACTGTAGACCCACCACAAGCCAAATACCCTCCGGGGTAGACATTTTTTAATTTTTCGTTCAAAACTTCTATCAGTTTATCACGGAACCGTCGGTCTGCTTCTGTCTAAAAATGAAATAACATTGACGAAAAATGTTACTCAAAAGTAGCGACAGACACACTATAATGACTTACTATAAGATTACTATTGTAAAGATCTGTCATTTCCCACGACAAGCGTTCTAAATCTTCTGGCTCTAACTGGTACTCCTTCAGCTTGTACTTAAGTTCTTGTTGCTTCACGTACTCGCGGTTGTAAGTCACACCCCATACGTGACGTCCCATCTCAACATATTATTATAAATTGTCAGAATGATAACATAATAACAAATAATGACGGTTTAGTGACCCGTTTGGATGATAAAACAAGATTGAGATTGTAAGTTTATTGAAAACCGAGGTATTGTATGATATTACACTTTTGTACAAGGTGAGATCGTGAGTAGAATAGAAGGTAACTATGCGAAAATGTTTGCAAAGTCTTGAGCTTCATTTGAAGGTAACAACCAGTTGAATTTTCGAACTGCGGTTACTGTATCTTGTTCAGAGATTTCTTTTTTTACTCTGAAAATATTTTTTGCTCTCATTATCTCCAACTATCATATCATTGTTTTACTAGAAAAAGCTACAACAATATAAGTTGCTGACTTACTTGATTGGATCCAAATACTGAAACCCCAAACTGTTTGTCTTGACTTCAGAATCCACTAGCTTCGTGTAGGTAACGATGGTTGACACGACCTCTTGAGCCTCTGCTTTTTCGTATTTCTTGTCGCACAAGCCTTTGGTAATGAAATGATAGTAGATGACGTCAAACAGATCTTCTGTGTCAGATTTCTTGCGCTTTCTTTTGGGTTTGCCGTCGAGTTTGAAGGAAATCTGCAAAGAAACATATGTTTACAATAAGCTCATGCGAGTGTTCGTTTCTTAACTCTAATATTTACTGCGTGGATATGGGTCACTTACTTCCATTACATCGCCGATTGTTAAAATGAATTTCGAATGGAGAGAAATTGGCACGAGTCCTTTAGCCCTCTTCTCGAAAAGGGCCACACTGATCTTCCTTGTCGCGAAGTCTTGAGCCAAGTTGAGGTATTTAGTGGCCGCTTCTTCATCTACAGTTTTCCTTACTTCGTCTTCCAAACATTGAAAAATTTCTCTGTATTCAGTCATCTAAGTACCTGAATATGAATGTAAAAATAATATAAAGCTAACATAATATCAGTAACATCTTTGACCCAACTAATGTTGTTATCGGCCTAGCTTTAGCTTAAAAGGTATATGTAGGAGGGAAATAACCAAAAGACAACACAACTATGTGAAATGTAAAGAATTTATTAGAAAGTAATATAAAAAATAATGTTAAATAATTAAACCTTTGATTATGTTATTCTAGCACCAAACAAAATACGACAATATACACGTTTCTCGTAAATACATGACAAAACTGATGACTGGATCTGATTGACTTCAGTGCTTGTTGCATAACTGCTTCAAGAACTCAACAGCAGATGTGAACTGGGTCCACCAGTAGGCTTCTTCCCCTTCGATACGATTACCGTAATAGCTGGAGATGTATTGTATGTTAGACAACAAAGCTGGTGGATTAGCTTGGAGTAGAACAAACACTAAGACTGGAGTAATATCGTCAGCTGAAGCTACGTTCCGTCCTGACGCCAGTCGAATGAGGCTTTCGATCGTCTGACAACATCTCATAACACATGCCAGTTTGTCTCGTGGAGCTTTGTATGCGTTGATAATGGCTACCTCCGCTTGGGCTGAAGGCCAAGGACATTCACCGTGGTACTTCTTGGGAATACCGAGTTCTGGATGATCTGGAGTGATAGAGCTGGCTATCAGTTTAAGGGACTTGAAGAATACACTGAAAATTCCAAATTAGTTTTCTCAATAGTTCCTGTTGTAATCATTAAGATTTCACTTGAAAACTCACTCGTCCCGATACACATCAGCTTCGCCGTTAGGGTATAAAGAAGCTCCATATATCTGCCCCATCAGATTCCTGTCCATAGTCATCTTGATAGCGTTTAGCCGTTCCTGTTCAAAATCCTTCCAAATCGGCTCTATATCAACTTGTTCGAACAAGTTACAGAGAGTTCGCTCAACTGCATAAACACGTTCGTCCTTAAATTAAAAAAGTGACATTAACAAACAAAACTAAATATGTAGTGACAAAAGAATTTTTTAAATCTATGATATAAACATGCCTGGACGTTGAGTCTGCTGAAATCGCTAACAAATCGTTTAATGAACTTGTCTCTCCTTTCCAAGTAATACCTGACCAACAAATCGACCAAACAATCGCCCATTAAGTTCTTTTCCCGTTCAATTCTGAGCAACAACTTGTTCACGTAAGAGTTGAGTTGCAACAAAGACAGACGAGCTTGTTGTAGATACATAATGTAGCTTGTTCTTGCCCGATGTTCATCCTTTAATGTCCTGAATAGCTTCTTTATACCTCGGTTGTCGAACATAAACAGACATCGGCGTACCTCGCGAATCTGAGCTGACAAGATTCTATTCTGGTTATTTATGGATTCGGCCAACAGAAACCTGAGAAGCTCATTCAGACGTACAACACTGAAATATCCACACATAGTTGCTTGTTCAGAACGTTTTTATAGACAAATGAACAACGTTAACAACTTACGTAACATCGCTGTCATTGTTTCCAACGTTCAGAGAAGCAGTAGTCGTTGCTTGCTTTGATGTCACACTTGACGGAATATTTTCGGCCGAACTCAATACCAATCTTATCTTTCTTTTGGCATCAGCAAAAGCTTTACATTTGGTGATATTGGTAGGATCAAAATAAGCTACTGCAGGCTCGTAGTTTACCTAAAACAATATTCTTCAGTAAATAGATTGCAAATCCCAAAAACTAAATATTTGAATTACAGTATCTATACTATAAAATTATACGTATTTCCTTAAAATAACCGACTTCATCAGGTTTAGAATCAGCAGGACGGAACAGTGGTCCAGTAGAAGAACTGGGAGTCATCGGAGAACGGTACTTGTTCAGAATGTCATCAGCAATCCTTTCTCTGTCACGCGAACTCAAAGACACTGGATGAGGTAAAGCAACTCCACTAGGACCAGCTTGATGAGAGTTGTTATCACTGATGTCAATGATTTGACCTGTTGACTGACTTTCGTGAAGTCTTGGAGGTATCGGTGGAGGCAGCGGCCCTAGGTTCTGTTCCTGACGTTGATCATTGATACCTTCATTGTCAGACGCTACAACATCCGTCGACCAGCTGTCACTAACTAACGAGTAGGTTTCGTCTCCTAAAGTTATTGTTTATAAGTGTTAGATTAAATTAAGGATACATAGCCTTGTTGTAGCAGTCCTATGAATATTTTTGTAACTAAATTGAGCTTAAAAATTAGGTAATGCAATACTTACTGTTCCTGTATCCATCTTGAGTCGGCAACCCAAACTTTCCAAACTTCTCCTCCAGACCTTCGGCGTTCTGTTTTCTTACCGTAACTGGCAGTTTAGGTAACACTCTACAATACTCGTTGTTAACACTCAATTCATTAACAGCCATTGAAGCCACAGACTGGTCCAAGGCTGGATTGCCGCCTCCTTGAGAAAACGGCGTTTCGCGACCAGAAGTTCGGCCGCCACTCAAACTAGGCGATCCTCTGCCAGACACATTGGCACTGATCGGTACCATATCACTAAAGTTGTCGGGTAAAGTGCTAACTTCTTCTGGGTCTTCATCCTCATCTCCATCATCATCAGCCATGTTGTCATTCATAGAGGAGCACAAAGATCCCACACCTTCAGCTTCGTCCATCTCTTCGTCATCTTCACTCTGAGCGTCGGTTGTCCCAGTTCTGTCTGACACTAAAACAATACCGAGTAAGTGATTTTGTCAATAATTTTCTTTTCAACTTTTTTCTAATTATAGTGAAAATCGCATCAAAGATTACAATAACCTTACCAACACTTTCAGTAGCCTTGAATCTGGTCTTCTTCACCGTCGAATTCTCCAGATTTCCACTCTTTTCGTTTCTTGTTTTGGCATTACTCATAACCTTGTCTTCTGGCTCCATACCCAAAGGAATAAAGCCATGGCTAAACTCAAACACCAATACTTCTGTCACTTCTTCACTTGGTTGTGTAACTTCTGTCTTCTCTTCATTGCTGACCCCATTGTTGCCAGGCAGATTTGTTAAAAGTTTTTGATGTTGAGTCTTGGCTACATTCTGCACTTTATCAGCTAAAATCCGTAAACGACCAGACGAACTTCTAGGTAATGGTGCCTTAGGAGTTCCGTATTCTTCTTTTGTCATCTTAACAGCTACCAGATCTTCAGGTAGCTTTCTGAACAATTGCTTTAGCTTGTTTCTGACAGTTTCATCAGAAATTGCATCCACTCCTTGTCCTTTTAAACATTGCATCTAAATTTGAATAAATCTAAATTAGTATGTCTTACCAAAAGTGAAGCTTCTTCAATTGTAGCTATGAAGTTCCGTCTACTATATATATCTGTTCCTTCGTCATTCTCGACCATAGCTGGGAACATAGAGTCCAGAGTGACAGCATCATTCCTCAGCACACTTTTGACAAAATCTGGCATTGGATTGTCGGCAAACATCTGAAGGATATTAATCATGTAAGCCGGTTGTCCTTCGTACGGGCATAATGCCAAAGCCTGAATGATCTGACCAACTTGCATCAAATTGAATCTGGCGACATGACTTATTGGTGTGTCAGTTATTATGCCATGAGGTTCGGGGTTGATCATTGCAGGACAGATAAAGTTGGTGAAGATCATGTCTGTGCAAATAAGTTCAGCCTAAAAGTAGACTCGTTTTAAAACTAGCATTTAAATTTTGTTAATACTATAGACATATAAAGTGTAAAGTATTGATCTACTTACTTCTTCCCGACTGACCCGTTTTCTGTCCAATAAACTTGTCTTCAGTTGCCTGACCAGCCATGTTAGACTAGCTGGAAAGCACGAAACGGCTTCCTGGATACCTAAAACAACACATATTCTAAAAGCAAAAAATAATTACAAATAAAAATAAGATTTTAATAAAAAATTTTAAAATCTTACTTTTAACAAATTGTAAACAGACTCTAAACAGTTTTTCTGCTATAACTCGTCGATAAGCAGTCAACTTCTCTTTGTATTGTACTGAATTCTCATCCAAACCAAACTTCCGCTTTCTTTCATCTGGTGTTAACCTAATTGGGCTTTTAGACGGATCTACATCCAAAAATATCTCGTCTTGACTCAACAATGACATTATAGGTTCGTGCAGAGCGGCTGTTAAGAAAACCTAAAATAATGAACAATAATAACTTAATTATATTAGATCAAAAGCTCAAATACTCCTAAAATTTATAAAAAGATAAACATGACTTACTTTGGCCGAATAGAGTTGTTCCGAGAAAAGACTGTACATCTTGCAAAATACACTTGCTCCCTTCCTCAAGTACTTCCGAGGATCAGACTTTGAACTAAGTTGTAGGGAGATCAAGTTAGAAAGTAACTCCAGAAATATTCTCTCGTCAGAAGGCAATAAGGCAGCTCCATAAACAACGTTAAATATGCATCTACACATATCGTCAATGGAAAGAGCCGTGGAACGTTTGTTTACACCCAATTCAACGTTATTCAAACACTCAGCTATCGCCTGAGGATGCTGAAGATACACTTTGAGTACTTCAGATATTAATGTAGCATTATGACTCAAAACACGATGCCCCAGGACAAACTTTGTGTTTTGTAACGTCTTCAGAAGGAATCCAACGTTCTGTGAATGAACTGAAGGGTCTGAGTACTTGAATCTTCGCCATATACACTGAAACAAAGTTGTTAACCATAAGTTAAACAGTTGTAAAGCATATTCTTAAATGTTCAAAATTTCGAAAGATTACTTTCTCCTGTTGTGTGATCCATATCTGCTCCTCCAGATGAAGCAAATTATCCCGGAATGCTTTGTTTAAGTCCCTTAGTGTATCCAGCTCGTTTCCGACCACCAACTTCTCAGATCTTAACCTTACGTACAATTCAATGACCTCATCCTGACCCCCTTTCTCCATTGGCTACAAGTTCTCAGTCAATATTATTCAGAGTCTTTTCTAATATATTTAAATGTCAAATAACATTACAAAAAACCACAATCTTTGTGCGAGTAAGTTTAATACTTATGAGTTACAAGAATAAACAAATAAAATTAAATTAACGTCGTTTAGATGAGTTAACAAACGCCCAATCGGCACTCAAAGTCTTCTCAATGAATTCTGATCCGTCCAATCCTTCAATTGCGGCCTGAGCTTCTTCCTTTGTCTCGTACTGAGCTACACAGTATCCCTTGAGGTATCCAGTACGTCTGTCCAAGTTCAAATGCATGTTCAACACCTTTCCGTACTCCTGAAGCTTTTCCATCATGTCGTCCTCAATAACTTCTTCATTGATACCAGAGACAAAGATAGTCCAGCCCTAAAACACCAGTTTGTTTGTTTAAATCGTGTTATTTCTTTCTTAATAATATTTATCTAAACAATAAACATTAACTGTCATTCACAATTACTTACATCAATAGATCGTTGAGGTCCTACTCCATCACCTTTCAATGTGTCATAAGCTCCACCGCTTCCTGAGCTCTGCTGTTTGTCGGTGAATCCACGACCTCGTCGTCTTGTGGCTTGTTGTCTGAGCTCATCCACTAAATTCATAATAATATGATTTATCAAAAACAGTTTTTAATACACAAAACTGTGTATAACTCACAATCCTCTCCTGTTTCCATTGAGATCTCGTTGTCGGACATTTTGAAGGTCTATCCTTTGGAAAGATTATATGAAAAGTTTAAAAAACCAAGGAAAAAATATTTTAGCAAAAGAAAGCTGAGAAAATAAGGCAGAACGCCAAAACTTTTATTTATTTGTTTTCGGGACGGAACCTACTCTCAACATGTTGGTAATGTTTCAGAAAATAGATAACATAACTATATTATAATTCTTTCGAGAGACAGAGTACTTTGCTTAAATTTCAGAGTTAATTTTTTCATTAAATTTTTTGCAATATTTGATATTTACTTGAATTTTTGAGATAATGTTTACGTCAACAACTAAATTAAATAAAAATGAGTTATTATAATTTGCTTTCCTCTAAAACGGTATTGTAAGCTTACGCGAATTAGTTTTTGCAAAAAAATTTTTGACTGAAGATTTTGCTTGTAGTTTATGTTGTTATTGCTCTGAAACGCGGCTGGTGAAAGGCCAACAAACAGCGATGGAAATGGAGAAGACGGGTATGCCATCGCCTGAACTTCTAGAACTATTTTCTGCAATAAAATTCACTGAATCTAAACAAAACAAGACACAACACAACTCTCATCCTCAACCTTGGTGTGGTAAACATGTAAATGATCAAGAAAACTCGAAGAACATCTACAACTATGCTCTGAAACCTGGAAATGAAAAGACTCCAATGTGTAAAATTGCTGAATTAACTAGATACCATAAGGTAGGACATTGTCATCCTGTTATTTACATTTTAGTTAAAACACGAGTACGTTTTGATGGATGAAAGTGGACCAGCTCACAAGAAGAAGTTCACAGTAAAGTTAGTGCTAAAAGAAGGCGAGGAGTATGAGGGAAGTGGTGCTTCCATCAAGAAGGCTCAACAAAGTGCTGCAGAAAAAGCTTTGGAGAATACAACTCTAAAACGGCCATCAAGGAAGGCCAACAAAAGCAAAAATGGTACTGTTAGAGGCTTTTTAAACACTTTTTCTTGACAGGACTGTTTTGTTTGTGAGTCTAAAATTTTATGTAATAATTAATATTATTAGATGTTGAATGATTGTAAAAGATGTAAGAAAACTAATTTTAGATAACAATCCTGTGTGGTTGTTATTCAATGTCGCTAATCGGCTTGGAATCGAAGTTAAATTGGAACATGAACATGTGAACCAAAGAAAGCCGATACTGCAGTTTAGTTTGGTGAACTCTGGCTACAACAATAATATTCTAAATCCTGTTAATGATTTCTCAACCCATGGAGGGTATTATCTATACAATAATCAGTATTTCGGTTACCCATATCCGCCAGTGTGTCCACCGTACTTTAATAATTATTCAAACTATCGAGACAATGGATTTGATGCGGTATGTTTGACTTTTAATTTAAATATTATTTCTTTGTTATAGTTTAGTACGAACGTCTTTATATAAAACATCTTTTAGAATCAAATAAATAAACCTAAACTAACTGGAAGAGTAAAGAACGATCAATATCATCGATGCACGTTTGTTCTTTCTGATGGCACATCTCACAAAGGTGCTGGTAAAACATTAGGATTTGCAAAGAATGAAGCAGCTACGAAGGCCCTTTTCCATCTACGACCATTGTTATCAGAACAAGAAGCAAAGCTGAAAAAGGATTACTGTAACTTTGAAGACAATGACGATGCCGAAGTATCGAGCTTGGAAAGCGATGTGGAGGTTATAGATACGAACGATGATGACAATGACACTCTAACCGCACCAACACGGAAGTCTAAGAAGAGTGTGGTGTCAGAGATACACGAAGCTGCCTTCAGGTTGAAGATGAATGTGGAGTTGGAGATTGTGAATGAAACTGGGGAGCCTCACAACAGAAACTACACTCTAAGATGTCGATTAACATCTCCAAAGACAGGACAAGTTATCGAAGCTGATGGAAATGGGTCGAGCAAGAAGGTGGCAAAGCAAGATGCTTGCAAGAACATGTTGGAGAAGGTTGCTGATTTAGGTAGACTTAAAGCTATTTTTAAGCTTTGATTTATTTATTGTTTTGGCTAATATACTTATTCAAATTAATATGTCATTTTGTAGAAAATGATCCAGTGTACTTGGCTTCTCTGATAGTGAAATCATCCAATAATCCGAAGAAAGCGACCAAAGAGGTGAAGAGGAAGACCATAGTGAAGGACATGAAGATGGATCCGCAATACGGTCATCACATCAACCCCATTAGCCGACTCATTCAAGTGATGCAGACCAGGAAAGAAGCAGATCCAGTGTTCAAGTTGGTAGGAGAACAAGGTCAGAACAGATACCGAGAGTTCATGGTGGAAGTCAGGTGTATGGATAGGGTTGTCACTGGAGTGGGTCAGAACAAGAAATTGGCCAAGAGAGCAGCAGCTGAAGCCATGTTGAGCGAGATCGGCTACGTGAAGTCGATGCCTCAGCCAGGAAAGAGTTTACTCAAAAAGAAAAGTAATGGTAAGTTGTCATGGTGTAATTCACAAATTAAAAATAAGTTTATTCTACAAGTGCCATTAATACTTTACAGATGACATAAAGTGTGTCATGAGTGACATCGGTGTCTTTGATGCTACACAATTGGAGAGCAAGAACGCTGAAGATGATGCTCACGTTTCTCCTGTCATGCAGACTTTTGCTGACGTTGAGGCTGTGGTGAACGAAGAGCAGAACGTTCCGGAAAACGACGATTATTGCGTGGTACGACCTCGAGCTGACAGTGAAAAGTGCGTTGAGAACTTTGTAGACTTGGTTGTTTTACTCTAGTCGATTCATTTTGACGATATAACATAACATTTTAGACAACCGATTGACCTTCCACCAATGCGATCGGAAAGACGACGAGTCACCTTCAGCACAGAAGTGGCTCAGTGTCCTCCCCCAGAAGATAGCAACTATCCGATGTCGAGTGTGACGTTACTCAAGTCGGAAGTCGTGGTAGCTCCAAAACTGAAGAAGCGAGGTCGGGACTCTAAAAAGGCATTGAGTGCTACTGAAAAGAGCACGATAGCGTCGCTGTGCCGATACTTTTTGACCTATTCTATGGCAGAATCCACTCGGTCTGGGATTGTCAACCTTGATGATCCAACTTTCAAAGCGGTTGTTTCTAAAGACGTACCGTCTGCCACTTTCAAATGTGACCTACTAACTTCAAGCTTTAACCAAGCATCAGAATATACTCACAAGATGTCACAGCAACTCCATGAAGACATCGAGCATGGTGTTGTTGTGGTTAAAAGTGCCAAATGGCTGTTGGAAACCTTGGCCAAATTGTACAAGTTTACTGTATCTTACTCAGACTTCCCCAAGGCTTCAGATTCCGAGAACTTCTTCTCTATCGTCACCATAGGTTTAGATAAGCCAATACTGTTGCCTGGTACCGGTACAGATGAAGATGGAGCCCATCTTGATGCCGCCTACCATGGCATCGAAGCTCTTGTTAAGCTTGACAAAGCTAATTGATACTTATCTGTTCTCACAATTCTGATTTAGCTTAACATACTCTTATAGGTCTTCAAGAATTTTAAGAAACTTGTACTACTCGATGGTTGTCATACTAAACCAAGTATTTAGTCTCACTTCTAGTCAGCTCTATATATGCCTAATTACCTAGCTTTACACACCCTAGCATAATTCCATGATTGTTCGATGGCTACCGAAGCTCAACCGATTATCTACTATAATATACTTTCTCTTGCATTTGCCTTTGAACCCAAGTGTGATGTTATGTGTCCTCTTCGTAGTTATGGTTGCTCACTTTAATCGACTGTGCTTGTCACAACTTCGTATTATCATATCCTAGCATGTCACTGTTGTAACGATACTTGCCTCGAGCGCTTAGTGTTCCTAGATTTATTACAATAAAATTGACATTAATCTGATAAGTTTTGTTTTTCACGACGCGACAGAGCCGGCTGTCCGAAGATCACGATCTTGGTTCTGGAGTTCTGTTATGACTAGGTTACCTTCTGAATACGATTGTATTAATGACGAATGAGAGGTAACTTTACGACAACATTTATATCAACGTACCTTCAGAAAATACCGTGCTGTTAAGTTTTGCGACCACTTCGTTGAAAAGGCTTTCTATGGTTTTGTCACCTTCCACCTAAAATTTATTTTATTACTTTACTAGGTTATTATTTTTAAGAGCGATGTTAATATGGTATTTATATTATACAATATTATGAAACACACCACTTGAAGTTTTTTCTTCTCGTCAAGATGTTTTAACATTGGCAAGGTGTTCTGTTTGAACAAGGCCAGTTTCTGTTTCAAAGCTTGTTCTTCGTCATCTGAAATCCAGAATATTTATATCTCAATACGTCATTTTTATTCATAGTCAATATAGCAGTATACCAAAGTAAGGTAACTTGCCTGGGCGACTATTTCCATTTTCTTTGGCATCCTCGAGTCGCTTTCGTATCGTATCTTTGCAGAACTGTTCAGTACAGTCGATCAGAAGGGCGACATCCAATCGACCTAATTGGCTTTCAATATCTTCAGCTTGGGCTAACGTTCTCGGGTAGCCTTCAATGACATAGCCCCAGGACCTGTTTCCCATTTCGTGTACTGTAGAATACAGTATTTCTCGGCAGATTTTCTGAAAAAATGTTAAAGTTTTGCTAATTAAAATTGTTTTTGCATCAAAACGGTACACTTTTTATAACATAGGCGTCTAAAAATCTAATTTTTGTATATTACCATTGGAATCTGTTCTCCGGCATCCATCTTCTTTCCCACTCGCGCCCACAATTCGTCATCCGGGTTATCGTTGACCTTTTTGCGAAGAAGCTCGCCCATACTAATGTGTACGAAGCCGTCGTTCTTCTTGGCCACTTTTTCCGCCATTATCTTCTTGTTAGACCCAGGAGCACCTTAAAGGTTACTGTATGTGACTACAGTTATACTCTTACCTAGCATTAAGATGACAGGAGCATTGTTAGGTAATCCTTTCGGGAATCTGTCAGCAGCGCTGGGTAAGCGGCTGATGGTGCTGGCCGACATGAGTCGTTCTGTGGCTTGAGCTGCTGGGTCTACTACGTTTTCTAAATTTGGTATAATTATCATCTTAGTATAGTTTTAGAAATAAGTCAATTTTACAAAGAGGCCTTTGAAAGTAATCAAAGTGATTACCTTCTGGAAGTTTGGCTGTGCCACTGGACGGAGGTCGTGAAGTGTTCTGCTTGTTGGCTGCTCGAGGCACTGACGGTGGTCGAGAAGTAGCGGCGGCTGACTTCTTGGATGTTGTTGTCCCAGGCCGAGATTCAGCCGTTGGAGTGGGTGGTTTCGAAGCGGCGTCTGGCTTCACGGTACTGTCAGATCCACTTGGAGGACGACTTGCCTTAGATTTGGTGGTTGATGGTCTGGATTGGCTGCTCTGTACAATGTTGTTACCTGATTGTTCTCTATTCAGTACTCTTTCAGTATGATTTCCATTAACTGTTGTAGGGGAATTACGAGCGATAGAAGTGTTTGTCGCTGTTCGAGAAAGTGGTTTGACCGTTCCAGTCTGTGGAGTTGGAGGTTTACTGTCGTTTGTTGACTGTCGCGCAGTACCGTTTTCTAAAACATGTATCATGACATTAGACATGCAATATTACTGAAACAATCATAAGTTCTCTTAGCTTAGCTAAAGAGATATGTTACCTAAAACTTCGTTTGTGTCGTAGTCAACGTCTTTGGAAACGTGAGTTTCAGGGGCTGAAGGTTCGGTTGCGTTGCCCCGGGCTCTAGGCTTGGCTTTCGTAGAAGGACGACTCTGCGCTGGCGAAACATTTTGACTCGAGGCAACGGAGTCGCTCTAAAACAGGAAATGTGCTTCACGTAGCATGCACTTACGACTTCATTGGTGGTTGCGGCCGGATCTTTGGCCAGCACCGAGGTCCCACTGTCCATGGCACGCTTGACTAGCTTCTTCATGCGCTCCAGAATAATACTATCGTCTTTTTCTCCTGGAATCTGCAAGAGAATAGTCATTATTACTTAATTCTTTGTTGAAAATAAAGATTAATATTTAAAAAACGCACAATTGAGATATAAAAATGCTTTAAACGGTCATTGTGTACTTACTAGATGAAGGAGTCTATGGTCATCAAAGTATTTGGCACTCGGCAGGGTTTTGTTCCTGAATTCGTTGATCCTTCGGTCGATTACTTCACGGTCTTGGCCTTTGTTCATCATATGGGTTCGCAACGTATCTTCATCGTAATCCAATATCATGGCTAGGTTCACATTCCGTACCTAAAAGGATACGTAATGTTACAGTAATACTCACGTTCTTCTCGAAGTCTTCAACTTGTTTGGCTTCACGAGGGAATCCCTCTAGGAAATAAGCGTTGGCATTCGGGTATCGCCCCATCTCTGCCTTTACCAACATTTGGATCAGGTCGTTCGAAATTAGTTCTCCTGGAATGGCAATAGTAATCATACGTTTAAAGGACAAATAGCTAGAGTTCAAGTGCAATAAAAAAAGATAAAACTGGTCATAGTCCAGTTGGAAGAACACTTTTCACTCACCACGGTCGTACTTTCGTGAAGCTTCTTTCCATTCTGGATACACGGCCTTGTACCGTTTGATGGACTCTTTTATCAAGTCTGGTACACAGATGTGCACCAAACCTTGGGATTCTAGGGCGTCTCTCACTTTCGAAGCATATTTCGACTTTCCACCTCCAGGGCCGCCGATGAACAATATTATTGGAGCATTCGGGTTAACGTAGGCGTGTTGTGCTGCTTTGACTACAGAAGGCCGTCGCGAATGCGACATTTCTTGACTGTCACTCTTGGACACCGACTTTTTACTACAAAACGTACTCTACTTTGGTATATTACATTTTTTTATATAGGTTAGTGATTACTGTATAGTAAAATTATGTTACTTTAGTTGTTATTACAGAAACAGAAGAACAGTTTTACGAATTGATGTTAGTCATCGAAATGGCATAGTTTACTTACACAGGATAGATCACGTCGAAGCAACAAATGAAACGATAGGAAAGCACACCGAAAGGAAAGGTATTTACTCAGCGACAAAAACGAAATAAACTGGGACAGGAAAGGCACAGCTATGGTTATTTACGGAAGTGTTAGACACCATGAGTCTGAACGCTAGTCCGCCGCCGAAGACGCATCCGAGGCCAGCTCGGAGACGTCGGATTCAGAGGTCGGCTCCGATTCCTGAACATCCGGTGGCGCCTCCGACGCGTCGGACACCGTATCCTTGGCAACCGCCTTCTTCGGCTTCTTCTTGCCCTTCTTCGACTTCTTCGAGGACTTGGACGACTTGGGCGATTTCGACGACTTCCGCGACGATGCCAGCGGCTTCAGACTCGGCGCTCGACTCGGACGTCGCGACTCTTTTGTATGGTGATTCACACTTAACAACGACGTCGTACTGTACCTGGCGTTCGACTTTTTGCGATGTTTGTCAGGTTCTTCTTCCATCGGCGACTGATCTTCATCTTCTGGCTCTTTCTTCTTCTTTGGTTTCTTTTCTAAAATTTATATAGCTGTATATTTTTTTACTTTACAGACGTTGAGGGGTTTCCTAGTACTAGATAATCCCATAATTCTGTATAAATGCTTTTTGGAATACTACAATTTGTAATCGGAGTAAGACTTCAGCTAAAAGCAATGCTTTCCTGCCCTTAAAAATAATAGTACGGTACATGAATTACATAGTAAAAAAGCGCAACAAGATAAAGTCACAACTTTTCTATTAAAAGTACAAGGTAAACCTTACTTTTACTCTGTTTATTGGACGGGACCTGTAGCCTAGTCAAGCAGTTCCCCACACTCCCCTTCCTAGCATAGTCAATCGCATTCGATCTCCGCGACATCAAACTAATACTTTACAACTGTGTTATGCCCCAAACCAACATGAAACTTATACTTTACATCGAGCCCGTGTCTATTTTGAAAGGTGGGACCGGAACTAAGTTTCTTTTTAAAGGCTCAGTCCTCATTATAACCCACCTTCCTCGTCCTTGGCTGTTTCAGTAAAGGTGGTTTTGGCTGGGAGGTTGGCCGCGTCCACGAACGTGTCCCATCTCACTACCAGGTGCGGGTTGTTTTTGATTTTGGTGAGGGCATTCTCGAGGAAATCGACTGGTCGTTCGGGCTTGTTATATATCAGGCCGGTCATCAATCCCTAGATTAGAATATAGGCTTATTCTGACCTTCGCAAAAAGAAAAATCACTTTTTAAATTATTATAAGCACAAAAATCATCGTTTACCTCAAACAGCTGTGGGATCAGATGATCCTTGAGATACTTTTCAGCCTCCGCTCCCATCGTGACAGTCCAGTCAGCTTTAAAGCACTCTAAACTACAAGATGTCGCCTCACAACCAACAATTTGACGTTGTACACGCCGGAATTACACTTGACTTGTCCCGCTTTTAGTAGATCCACGGCTACATCCCCTTCTACCGCTAATGTTTGCCATATGTCACTGAGTTATTCTGTAACCGCGTGGACCTGATGGTTACCATGACACCCGGAATAATCCTGTCTTCTTTTATTCGCCATACATTCTGATAAAGCATTCCTAACGAATTCTGTCAGATTTATATCCAAAGACACGGGAAATAATGTCAGATTTATATAGTGTACGAAGATAAGGTGAGTATTGCCTAACTTATATATTACTGCCTCGTAAGTATAGAAGTTTATGTAAACAATGTCATAAATAGTATAAACAACGGTGTATGTACATGTTTGACATGACTAGAATGTGAGAATAAAGTTGTTAAACAATAAATATGTACAGTAATGTAAGTTAATGTCTTCTGTGACGATTCTTCTTCTTTTCCTCGACGGCTGTACCAACTTCGTTAATGAATTGTGATTCCTTGCCAACTCCACCATGGAACGTGTTCTTTCCGGCTTCAACATCAGAATCGGCTTGGATTCCCTTTTCTTTGTCCACTCCGAAAGTCGAGTTCGAGCCGTAATAGGTATTGTTGGCAGTTATTCCAAGCTGAGCTGAAAAGACCATTATAAACACAATTTCCTTTGTTTTTTCGGCAAAAATGCCAGAATGTGTTCAAAAAAGTAAAAGCATAAATGTTTATATTACTCATTAGCTTATTCACGAAAATTCTTTCAACGTAGTTAAAGCAACAGTAACATACTGAGTTTATGAAGTTTAAACATTATAAAATTAAAAATAGACAAGCTTTTTTTTACCTATAACTACAAATTAAAATTAAAATGAATAACTTACGTTTCAAAGCAAAAGTTCCATTCTTCTCCTTCTCGACGTTGAAGCCTGAACTGGCGCCGCTGCCCATGATGTTGATGTCCGAATTGATGCCCGCGTCCACGTTACCATCTTTGTCCTTTTCGTAATCAATCGACCCAAATGGAATTGGAATCTTGAAACCATCTAAAACAACATCAGCCATAAATCAAAAGGGAAAAAATTATGTACAGGACACCAAAAAAGCAAATAAGGCAAGGTCAATCAGACAAGTACCCAAAAACACGGCCAAAAACGTAAAAAACACTTACTTGTGATGATAACGGTGAGGAGAGCGACGAAGAATACGTTGTAAAACATCTCGATCTAGAACAAACCTCTCGCAGCGCAAAAAATATCAGAAACTGGGCGTTGCGAAATCGGTAGAAAGCGCGTTCTTGCCTTTGGCAACCAGCGGATTTGGCAATAGAAATCTGTCCGAACTGATCGCGGACTGCAGCCTGCAAGTGGCTTCTCCGGTGAGATTGGGCGCACGTTGCTATCCCAATTTGTGTTTTTGAATGTTTTTTTTTCGAAAATTTATCGGAATTGTTTTCCAAGGATTCTTCTGTTATGCGAATTTTTTCGTTTTATTCTATATGTTTTGCTTATTTTATGTTATCATTGGACCTTTCGACAAGTTCAGCTCCAACGAAACGATGTAAGTTATTTTATTTTGAAATATTATATACATTATGTGAACAGTTTCACAATTCGCTGACGAAGTAGCCCAAACTGTTGGCAAAGAGAAGATGGTAAATATTTATTTAATGGACTAGACAGAGATTAATCTTTCGGCAGTAAAATAATATACGGAAAGCTATTTACACCTCACCGAATCGCTTCGGTTTGAGTTTCGGCTTTTGTGCCAAACACCGGTATTCCTAATGATGAAGGCCAGGCCAGGTTCAAGACCTCACGAGTAGAAGTAGTATCAATGCTATCAGAGTTGATGTTGTAGTAGATGCAGCGCTATTCCTAACGTATGGGCTGGCCTCAGATACGGAGATGGACAATTCGTAGTCCTTCGTTTTTAGATTCTCTGGAACGATTATTAGCTTAGTTGAGAAGAAAATATTATTGTTATATTAGTAATTAACACTGTTAACCTACTAAAGTAGCAGCGTGTGATGGTAAGGCCAGAGATTTGGCGTCCCATGGCTGTGAAGCCGGTCACCAGTGGTTCCTCCATGAAGCAAAGTCTACCGTAATCTCGGTCTTGCTTCAGAAATGGAAATACAACTTCGACTTCTGTTGGCTTTGTCACCTGGAAGACTTGAGCTGGTGGAGAAGACATCTCTCCTCCTTGGAGGAACGCTGTCAACCTACAACAAGATTGTATGTTACACATATAGTAATATGTCACTAATATTGGTTATATTATCAATCAATTTGACATTTATATACTGTGAATTACAAAAAAAACCCACCGCAGAGGAAAGTCGGCCGAGCTTCTGACTTTGAATACAAACATCTGTGCTGAAATGTCAGCTGCTCCAATGTCGTCCAACGTGGATTCTGCTGACTTTCCAAATCGATCTAATGTCCTGTGAATCCTACAGTCGGTTCCAGTAGTCTCGTTGTGTCTGTTGAAGTTCTCCCATTCGACACACAAGTAGTACCATGCTCTCTCGTTCAGGCCTTCTAAAGTTACTTGTTTGTCTTCGTTAAGGTTATCTGGGTAGAACACCTTGTTTACAGTATCCTCGTCTGCTTTCAAGGGTATGGCACTGACATATAAGGTTGGTAGTAATGTTGGCGATAGGTGTTCCTTTAAAAATTCGTCCTTTAAAAGGATTCTGAATCCATTTTTGGTTGGGTCGATTAAGTGAACTGCTCTGAAACGGAGGAAACTTATTGTTTTCTAGAAATCATTGTTCAGGATTCACATAAAACACTCACTTGACTGCCAGGAAGGTCCGCTGATTGTATTTTATGGACGCGCGAACTAAATTTAAGGCCAAAACACATAAAATGAAAATGGAGTGTGAAGTTCGCCAGATCATTGGGAACTGATCTGGTTGGATCTGAAACTAAAATACGGTCTTGAAGGACAATGTTGTATATACACCAGCAACAAGATGCGCGATGTCTTGTTAGATAAAATGTGTAGAATCTTACTTTATTGCAAAATAAGGATAAATTTAGGTATTACTTTGTCAATAAGCGTACAATAGTTATCAATATAAACTTCAAAAACAATTTACAGTGTTATACTAAAAGAACCCAACGTCTTTCACTACTATGACCCTACTATAACTCGACCTATTACTACGAGAGTATGTCTCTTGGCCAACTTAAGAAAAAACATTTCAAAAACATTAATCCCCGTATGTTCAAGTATATGTCATGTCATTTAAACAAATCCAGGAGCACTAAATCATTTGAGAACTACTTCGGAGCAAGATAAGACCTCATTTATAACCACGGATAATCAAAAGGTTATGGCCCTAAACGCGGCCTATCAAAACAGCCCTAAATTACATTGCGCAATAGTTTACAGCGTTACACCGTTGACGATGACTTATGGCCGTATGTCGACGTTGTAAACGATAATGTTTCAGTTATATGTGTTATTTATAGTACTGTAACAATTTAGATTAATAGAAGCTGCAAAGAATGTGGCATTTTGAAGATTTGTGATACAGTAGTGAGACATTAAGTATAATACTGTAGTGAGGCATTAAGTATAATACTATTCGGGAAAAGTAATAAAAAGTTTCAGATTTATAAATAAGTGACGTTTAGCAGCGTTAAGTGTTTCTGAATTCGAAAAGCAGGCTTTGTCCATTCGCTTGACACCCGAGGGCCAAATGTGTAAATACGGTCATTCCAATTAACTGGTCCTAATATCCCGTGGAGAACATGACGGAAGCGGCCGAATTCAAATCAAAACGACTCTTTAATTAAACCGGTCAAGTTGAGTGGTCGAGTGACATTTCCGCCCATTATGCACTATTATAGGACAAAACTTATGTGTGAACAGCCTCCTTAGCCCTGAGGCCAAACAAAGCGACTTCCAAAAAAGGTCTAAACAAATTCGTGGATCTATTTACTCCCAATGAGTCCGCGCGTTTTTTCCCCGAAAAGGTCATTTGAAACAAATGCCTGAGGCCAAACGGGATTCCCCAACTATTCCAAACGGGATTAAGGTGGTCACAACATGTTTATATACGGTTCGTCAAGTGTTTATGCTCGGACATGACTCTCTCCGACGTGTCAAACGTCGGCTGTACGTTTGTGTTCCAAAACACTTATTCGTCATATTATAATTGGGGTATAAAACTTCGATATAGAAGGTTTTGAGAGGTATTGTAAGGTTCATAAGACGTTAGTCATAGTTAATGCTAGGCAATTAATTACAATAAAATACGTTTGTAACACTGTTTCCTTAAAGGCTAAAACATTTCATTACAACGGCACGTTTGACTAAATTGAAATGATGTAAAACTAAAAAACGCGCGGTTAGTTACTCATACAACGTAATAGTTCTCATCAAGTACCTAATATACCACAAGAACCGTGTTCACCCATTTACACGACAAAACTAAAGATGCTGAAGGGTAATGGATGAGGATTCGGACACAAATATTATAATATACATATTTGATTTGATTACACTTCGAGACGACATTAAAAATGAATGAACGCAACAAGTCAAGCCACGAGCATGACATCTGGCCACTTCATTCCGAAAACATGAAACCAGGTGTCAAGTTCATCGTGGGCAAATTGTTTCAAAAGGATTCTATCAAAAGTGTTGGCACGCAAAAGTTATAAGGAATCTGGGCCAAAATGGAGTGACTTATGACAAGAAGGTCAGGAAATAACAGAAAGACTTAGAGATGAAAGCAAGTTACTGTAACATTCACTACTTCTGACACAAAATTCGAAAAGAATAGCAATCTCTCATGAATCTCCAAGCTTCATTACAGATACTAAGGAAGAAAGTTGAGCAATTACCGCAGTGATCAAGTGACCGTAACACTCGAAACAATGACATTTTGCAATTCAAATGGCCGTAAAAGTCGATCACTTCATCCAACGCAATAAACCTCTCGATTTACCGCACTTCTCAGCCTTGGCCTTGACGCCGCCCCGCCCTCTAAATGGCTTGCTTAAGAAGAGTCGACGATTTAATCGAGAGAAATTAGGTGATGGAAGGAAAATATTTTAATGAGCTCGATCTGAAATAATTTAAAACGAGATATCGACAATTGCGACAAACAAGTTGCTTTGGGTAACAGATACTGTTAAAAAACGACTACAATGTGATTAATATAGAAAGATGTTAGGTTTAAGTGTATATTAGTCTACCTTATAAAAAAATGTTAATTTTAAGTGGCTATTAGTCTAAAACTACAGTAAAAGGTCTGTTATAAAAAGTAGTGTTTAGAAGTTGTAAGAGAAACTTTTAGGAGGATGGGCAGAGATTGAATGACTGAATTTGCATACTAAAGAGGTTTTTTGTTTCCCCGCAACCCGGATATCGGATACAACAAACAGGTCGGTAGTCAGACCAATTAAACCAGCTTTAATTAAACTAATAATCTTAACATAGGGATCACGATTCAAAATCATAAAGTATTTACTAATTTAAAAATTAAAAAAGGTTACTATAATTTTAAAAGTTAAGTCTATAATAATGTAATTTGGATAGTTATATGTATGCATAATCCTAAGATAAACTGTAGTTTTAAATATAACAAATACTGTTTTAATGAGTTTACTGTATTCATACATACCTTGACACATTACCTTAGGCTGTCAGACATCTATTTAATAAGTTTACTTTATAAACGACCATAATTACCGTAGGGCAGCGAGGATTCGAGCCGAATTACCTTTGCGGAGCGATTGAAATCAGATCCATCAAAAGTTTTACGAAAATTGTTTATTTGAAATGCGTAAAACTTGACGTTACCTTTCTGGAAAACACTCCAGAATTAATAAAAGCGAAGACTTTGGAAATCCGAAACTTGCAAAAGTAAAAAGTATTGTAAGACTAGCCGCACTAGTAATTAGCGCTGGGGTGGGAAGGGTTGAGAGGTTGTGTTTATGTTATACTAACAGCAAGTCGGGTTCAAAATAAAGTGATACGTTAAGATTAATGGATCATTTACTGCATAATCGGTAGAGATTACTCAATATTGCTGTAAATTAAAAAAACAAGGTAATACACTTATTAAGATATATACTTCTTAAAAATGAAAATGTTTTTAAAAATATATGAAACAGCACTTTTCAATACCATAATGTCGAAACACAAGTTTTGGTATTATGGTAACAACAAAATAATCAAAAAATACGAAATCAGTTGCGCAACAGGCTTATCATCACAATTCCCAGTTCATAAAATTAGCATAAGCATATGGAACAAGTTGTCAGGAGAGCAAACAGTTCAAAGAGACATTCATCCTCACGAACATCTGCTCGGTTTTGTACTGAAACCCGAGCTCTGATCTCAATTAAGACGATCGCCTCAGTGACTCTTTTTGTCTCTTAATTAATTTTAATTGTTACCTCACCCAACCTGCACTTGTAGTGGTCGGTCGACCGGAAAGACATACAATAACATGGAAATGAATACGGTATAGAAACAAAGAAGGCATGTTATACTGAAGTTTAAAAGGTAATAGCTTAGTTTTGCTTAAAACTTTAATTGTAAAGTGACATAGCTAATAGTGTTCATTGTTATTTTGACGCTATTGCATTACTTACTAGCACGTTATAATATTGGGCTAGTATTGACCTCGAATCTCTCGATATTACACTTTAAATTAACTTTCTCTGCTGTGACAATCTTACTCTGATGTGACATTCTTTATTGTTTACCAACAACTTGTAAGACTCGAGGGTGTTATAGTAAACAAGGAATTAGTTATGCAAACAAGATGATGAAGCCGGATATTGAGGAGTAAATCCTCCGACCTGGTTCCGTCGACCCAGAATCTGGAGATCGGTTTCGAGTGAAAGTGGCAGCGAAAGTAGCGTCGCAACTGTAATTACTGTTTCAAACTATTATAATTCAATAGTCGCCGTTCTCTATTTTCACTTGCGACTAGACTGCTTGCTGGTCGAAGGTCAGTTACCGTGACTAAGCTACTGTTTAGTTAAAGGTTACTGTGACTAGGCTACTGTGTCAGGTACGGGTTACTGTGCCGATCTGTGTTAGCTAAGATATACTGTATTTCTAGCCTATAATACTGATATTAGTTACAGAATATTGACTGATTTGATAGTACTATTCTTTAAGCTGAAAGTTAATTTGTTTAAGGACGGGTTACTGTACTATATTTCAGTTGCTACGGTATATGTTTAAATGTTGAAACAAAGACATATACGTCATGCTATTGGTATAGTACTATTGGCGTTGATACTACGGAAAGTCATCATTGGACATAATGCTATGAGCTATGTCGCTGAATATAAACATCAGATTCTGACAGAAAAAATGGTAATTTTTAACTTTCGTAAAATTACTAGAGTAATTACCACTTTATTTACGTATTTGCAATATTAATTGTAAATGATGTATTAAAATGCAATTTTTAATGTTTTAAAATTTTTTATTCAGACATCAGACGCCGCCTTTATATTAAGTGTAGCATCGCTTTCTGAAGAAAAGCCGGCTCTAATTCTGATTCTGAATCAGCACGCTTTGAATATGACATTGAATTGGTTGTGTAACACTGTTATGATGCCGGAAGTGCACGAGAGAGCTGTGATAGTGACATTGGACGAGGAGAGTGACATTAAATTGGCCCAATTATGGCCGAACGTTAAGAGGTTGCACTGGAGGGTAGATGGGCTGGCAGATCCTTTCAACTACGGCGACGGAAAGTACCAGTTGTTCTACTTGTTCAGGGCCAACTTGGCCAGGGCTTTTTTGCACTTTGGGAAGCCATTTTGGATGATACAACAGGTTTGAGTTTGATGTTACTTGATATTGTTATAGGCAGTTTTAAAAAGTTTTTTCTAACTTCTTGAGATACAGTACGAAGTTAAAATTACTATGATTCCAATAGGTTTATTTATTATTATACTTCCTTATATGGTTATTTTAGGACACATTCTGGCGGAAAAGTTTACTGGAGTTGCCATCGTATCTTCTCAACGATAGTTATGACATTGTATTTGACAGAGCAGCTGATACGAAAGGTTCTTTGATTGCCGGAGGGTATTATCTAGCCAATGCTAACAATGGCACCAGAAACTACTTTAACAAGTTGGCTACAGACTTGGAATGGTCGTATGTACCTGACAATACCTATATGACTACACTGTGTTCGATGGAAGACCTGGCTAATTGTGGGCAGTTACCTTTTAGGTATGGTACTTTAAAACATATTATTTTAAAGTTTTTTTGGAGTATTAGTGTTGCATATTATAGAGGTATTACATTTTAATGTTGTAAAGTACTTCTTTTGGTATGTTAATATAGTTAAGTATTGTCTTTTTCACACTTTTAGTACTGTAACTAACTGGATTTGGTTACACGAACCTTCGAGAATGAAAGGTGTTGATGTTCCATGGCTAGTCCAGTTTGATGGTGATACTAGACTAGGTGGAAAACTAGCTAAAATGAGGTCATTGGGGTTCTACTTCTTGAAAAATGATGGTATTACTTGTTCGGAGACTTCAGTAATTGTAAGTTTTGTAAACTGTCACTTTTAATATATTACACAGTACAAACTGTGACTATGTTACTCTCTCTTACTATAACATCTACAGTAAAATTACTTTTGAATATGTTATACTTTACATATCTATATCACATATATATGCATATACTCCTTCAGAAGGCCCAGAAACGGGTAGTCAAGTGGTCAGGTGTTAGTGGATCCATAGACGCGACTGACATTCGCTCTTACTCTCATTTACAATTCGGTCTTTACCAGGCCATTGTCGATGTGTTGTATCAATTCAGCTGGACCGAAAGCCTGCTTCACAATGTCATATTTCCGTATGCACATTACTTTATGATTACTCTGTAACGGGTGGATTTATTTATTGGCTAATAAATAACTTATTTTACTCTGTAATGTTGGACATTTCATGTTTCATATCAGTTGTTTGTACTGGCTTATATTGCGTAAAGTTCTGGAAATTAGGCAGTTAAAGCAGGAGGGGGAGGGTTGAGGGGAGGGGTGGTACAAAAAAATGTTTGGTCAGAGGGTTTGAAAATTTAAAAAATTAAACTTTGTTTCCTAAAATTGTTAAAATGACATGTTTAACCTCACATTTTGAAAGTTTTAAACTTTCAACTATAATACTCAAATCGACCTTTATAAACAACATAACACGGAGAGAATAGCACGTTTGAGCACGTTCTTTTCTGAAACAAATTGGCGTCAGAATTAGTGGAGCCAATTGCCCCCCCCCCTCGACTCTATGATTAGTTATATGGTGAAATAAATTATTTGGCTATGGGAAATGAACCAGCGCCAGGAAACTCATCAGAATCCTGTAAATTGTCGCGGAACAGCCGTACTAAAAGGAGTACGGGGCTCTCTCTCCTTCAAGGATCCGATGCAAACTTTATTTATTCAGAACAAAGACTTGCTCGGCCGCTACTTTCTGTTTTCGCTTATAATTACAGTCAATCTTCGGATTACAGCTTCTTTTGTCGTCGGCTACTAAGCTGAGATTTTAAAGTTTTTCTTAGTCTTAGTTTTTAATTTTAGCTTGCGATTTTGTAAATGTAAGGTTGAAGTTTCAAAAATAATTTCAAATAGGGTCTTATTATTGTTTCTGGTCAAAAAGTAGACGGAAAGCAGAAAAAACAAAAGCAATAAAGTAAAAACGTGTGGCCTTTTAACCAAACAAAAAAGTTATACTGTAAACTAATTTTTGCGTCTTTTTACACTTTCGGCTAGCTTTTCGTATATTAACTTCAACTTGTATCATTTTAATCTCAAACTTCGGAGAATGATCAATAATATATCGCGTTTAATGCAACTTTTCCAATCTATTTTTGTTACTTCTATTTACTTTTTGACCACCCCAATACTTGTAGAGTATGTTGCCACTTTGGAATGTATGTGTGCAAACAAACCTCTCGCCATTATAAATTACAGTTGTGGCCAAATTACAATGTTACTGGGCTTGTTTTGGCGGAGCTGGAAATAGTTTTTGCGTCAGTGACTTCAGTCTTCGCTAGATTCTGTTGAAGTTACGTTGAGTTCTTTAAGTTTTAGTGATTTGACTTTCTTTGTCAAAAATTTTGTATGATTTTATAGGTAAAATACAACAGCAGGTTTTTTATAATAGCATATGAAAGATAAGCTTGACTTTTAAAGCAGTAACACAAGACTTTTGATAGTTATGCCTTTCTTTATAAGATGACTTTTTGGTTGCACCGTGCAGTCATTGAAATTTTAATTTTAAATTGCTTGTTTGATAACAAAGTAAAGACAATATAAACTATAGTAATGACCAGATATAGAGCAAGTACTCAAACCTGAATGTTAATTTCGTTTCATATTTACTCAATCCTCTCCACGGAATGTTTAATACATCCCTATCTCAGGTCTCATAATTTACTGCGTCGTATTTCCTTTTACTCCGCCCAATTATTTTTCGGCCGTTTTCAGACATTTCGCTCGGTCGTGTCCTCAGGGTCAAGTGTTCGCGACAGTCGTGGCTTCAATGGCTGGATGCTAGTGCGGTTAGTGCCATTGTTGTTGTTGGTTGTGTCACGGTGTAGCAGCTCCGAGTTGCGCAACGAAATCCGCCAATGGGCCGAGGATTTCTTTCTGGAGTAAGTGGGGCGGAAGGACTTGAGGTTCGCGGCCAATTTGACGCCGCTTTGAGAGGCTTCGGGTTGTTGTACTTGGTTTTCGAGGGTGGTACTATAATGTATAAGATTTGTAACAGCATCTTTGGCTAAAGTTTTGCTATTCATATTCTTTTTTTGACTATAATAATATTTTTTACAACTTCTAATGATTTTTAGTTGCATTTTCTGCATGGACTACGATGACTACAAAAGAATGAGCATCTTCGGATGTACCCTCAAGAGTACTCCGACGTGCAAAGGAAACGTCTGTTATATGAGTAGGTTCTTAGTTACCAGTTATCACAAGATTTTTATTATTTTAATTTTATAATTCTTAATGAATTGCTCTTTAAATTAAGATTTTAATATTTGATGACTCATTGATGTGTCGTTCTTAACCTTACTCCTATGTGCCACTTGTGGAGGTTGAACTTTATTTTATCATTTATGACTTCATTCCTATTTTTATGCTTCAATCTATTTTAAGCGTTTGCCTTCATCTCCTTTAATCTTCTTACAGGGCAACACAAACAAGGCAACTACTTTCTTTACACGTCCGGCTGCCTCAACCTGACTCAAGCTCAATATGACAATATCCATGGCCTCATCCACCTCCCCAATGTAGCGCCAGACCGGGAATCCACGAATGCTACACAACTCTGCGAAGTAAGTTCTACCCGAACAAAGCCGGCTTCTTTATTATTACAACTTCTGTAACTTCTCGCGTAAACAACTTGTACATAACAATAATATAAAATTGTGTTAGCACGTCAATCGAAGCGGAATCCTTTTTGAGAGATAATAATACAAGGAAGTCGATACTTTTGGTACAAAGCAAGCTTTACTTTAGTATAATGGAGTTTAGAATCATAAAACAGATATTTTCAATTATTAAGACATATTGTAGTAGATATTTGTCTTTAAGTAAAAAAGTTGGCTAATCATAAACTAAAAACCGAAAAATTACGAATTTACATTCAGGTGACCAACACAATAAACACCTGTTTGTGTACCAACAAGTTCTCGTGCAACAACGTATCCTCGGTGGAGCCCTTCACCGAGTACACTATACCTATATTCACGGATGTCAACTTTGACGAAGTCGCTCACTTCAGATACTTTCTGCCCGACGATCCCATTCTGGAGTCGATTCAACGAACAGGACCTCGGGACGAGTACTTTTTAATTAAAAGTGTTAATCATGTCTCGGGAACTCGTGTACAAACCGCCTCAGGACTTTTAACTCTAATTCTGCTGTTAATGATAAATGTATATATTTTGTGACATAAAGTTAGCTATTTTTGTTTTATATATTGATAGGTTATTGTTTTAATTATTATAAATCAACATAAATTTAAGTTAAACTTTTTCAATAATTTTTGTGACATTCCGTTTAAAAGTCTGTTTTGACATTACGCCATTTAATTCTCTGAATTTCCGTTGAAAAATTAAAAAAAGTTAAGTTTTTGATTTATTTTAGCAAAGTTATTAGAGGATTCCGAGTTGTTTGAGTTCTTCGAGGGTGGGATATGATGCTTGAGGTCCTGCTCGGCTAACTGATATAGCGGCGATCTTTACCGCCTTTCTCGCCGCTTCAACCGCTCCAAGCTCTGGCTGTGTAGCCAACAAGAAGGCTAAGGATCCACAGAAGCAGTCACCAGCTCCCTGTAAAGTTATATTATTATATTTTGATGTTTTGGTCGAAAAGTTCCGAAAATAGTTAATGTACAGGTTGTTTAACAACGATTTTCTATGTATTTTTTGACCAAGCTATAAGTTATTACACATTAATACACTAATATTCAATGATTTCTTTAATTTTATCGCATTTTCTTTCCATTTTACAAACAATTAAATAATTAGTGAACCTACAACCAGCTATGTTAACTTACAGTGGTGTCGACAGCCTTTACTTTCAAGGCATCCACCTTTTCTACTGTAGCTTGTCCATCTTTGTCTTTGAGAGCTATCAGAGCTCCTTGAGGTCCCAATGTTACAATGGCAGTCGAGGGACCATATTCCGTGACTATTTTAAGGGCAGCTTCCTTGAATTCTTCGAGAGTCTTGAGGGTAAGGCCAGTGATGAACTCGGCTTCGTTCTCATTGACACAAATGATGTCGGTCAAGGGAAGAATCGACCGGTCGAGGTCAGCTAGGCCTGGGGCGGGGTTCAGGAAGGTTGTTACTGAAATTGGGAGTTTACTTTTTGTATATTGAGGGTTTAGTGGTTAATATTAGCTTATTAGGGCTAATTTTGGACATTGTTGATTGTTAATTCTGTTTGGATTTGCCAGTTGAACATTTCTAGTTATCGCCTTGTAAGCACATATTGACCTTAGCTTCTTATCAGTAGCACATTTTGATTGTTTTCTACATTCGTTTATCAGCCGATTATAAAGTTATGACTATAAACTCAAGATAAACTTAACAGTTAAGACAATAAACTTATGATAAGGTTAGTAATTCTAGCTTTCAATATATGATAAATTCATTATATATGACTTTAAACGTTAAACAAGATTACCTCCGTGTTTCCTGGCCACTTTGAAGGCTTCTACATTGGCTTCTTGGGGAACTTCATTCTGGGCGATGATCATGAAGGCCTTGCTGATGTCACTCTCGATCTCCCAAGCTCTGTTCTTCTCGATCTTCATGTTGGCTCCCAGAGTTACCACGATACAGTTCTCTCCACTGTCATTTACTGTCACATTACCCGTTCCTGTAGCTACGCCTTCTGATTTTGTCATCAAGTCCGTTCGTACTCCAACCTTCTTCAGCCCATCGATGTTGGCATCTCCGAAGATATCATTTCCTACCTAAACGATGATGCTGAGTATGATTTTTCGTCTAATACTTCTTATAGGTTATGATATTGTCTACATTTGAATTTTTTAGTGAGTAGATACGTTTTCTTTTCAAATTTAGGTATAATAACATACGTTTCCTACCATGGTAACCTTTCCTCCCAATTTGGCAATGATGTAGGCTTGGTTGGCACCCTTTCCACCATTGAAGAGCTCGAACTTCTTTCCTCTGATCGACTCTCCTGGCTTTGGATATCTCTCCACAAAACTAAAATATCATGTTTATCAGTGATAAAACATTTTTGAAAAGGTTGAAGTTTTACAGTATGAAAAATACGATAGTAGGCATACCTGACTAGATCTTGAACAATACTTCCAAACACGATGATTTCCTTATCAGCCATGTTGATGTCTGTTAACCTAAAACAATATAAGTTTATTATCTGTTTTACTGTGTAATATGATAACAAATATAAATCAGCAGTAAGCGAAACATTACAGTAAGATTTCCTTCTAATAAACATCGTTTTACTAAACAAAAGGTTATCTTTTTACCGAAAAAACGGTTTATTTTGATAAATTTAAATAAAATAGAAATTGGAGACTAATCGAGCAGTTCATTGAATCTGACCATATTAATCAAATTCTTATCAAGGTCCGCCCCAATCGCAAGATATTACAATATTTTGACAGACTCATCAATCAGTAAACTTTTTTACAAACTTGAGTTGAAAGTGAAAGGAACGGTATTATAGTAGGTTACGTTAAGGTTTCAAACTTCAGAAGGCTCAATTTTAACTTCTTATACACCTAAAAACAATGCCAACATATTTTATATTAAAAACAACAAAAAAACTTTGTCATTATGACGAGTTATTTGGATAAAGTGACACATTTTCTAGACGTTTGTGAAGGAATGGATGAGAATTCCAAAAAATTGACGAACCTTGCAAATTTCAAAGTCGTAAATAAAAGTTGGTTTTTGATAGTTTAGGTACTAATTTCAAGCTTTTGCAAAACTTTTTTGACACAAATACCCTTTTAATAGCAAAAAACAACGAGCTATATTACACTAGATGATGGCTTTATTGCAAGTTTACAGAAACATTTATGATTTATGAGCCTTACTTTACTCGAAGAACGAAAAAAGAAAAAGCGTCGAAAGATAAAATAAAATAGAGAAAATTGGACACAAACGTGGCAAATTGTTGTTTCAAGAACAAAAGTGCAAAAATAAACGTTTCTGATCTCGAGATTGTGTTTGATTGCAGGTTCTGGTGGTCAAAGGGGAAGCCTCGTTAATATAGACAGATTTTTAGGTCTAGAGGTTATACGTTTCACATAAATTCAATTTTACAGAATCTTTTTTTAGAATAAATAATGTCTAAAGTTGTTTTACGTTGAATAGGTATTTATTGACAGTATTGACAGTAAAACAAAAAAATGATTGTATATCAGCTAGACACAAGTACTACAATGTAAAATATAAAAAGTAAACCAAAAGGAGTTAAAATTCAAAGAAAATATGAATACTTAGTTTGGTAAAATAAGTTAGAAATGACCGGTCGATTATTGAGTAAAACCTTTCTTACGGTAAGATATTCTTGATAGTAACAGTAAACTATAGGTGTTATGATACTTCTGTAGTCATTTTTACATTAAATTGTTTGTGTTATTGTAGTACATTATATTACCGTGCTTTTTCGTGTTTTCTAACGTACAGGGTGTTTCACCATATTTTGTTTGTAGAAACGAGTTATATCTTTGCAACTACATGTGCTATAATTCTAAATTTTGGTACACTGGTAGTAGAGACTAGTACAATTTTTTGTCAAAAATTTTGGATTTTTTAAGTGCTTTTTAAGGTCGTCATTAATTTTTGAAAATGAGCATTTTTCGCCAAAATACACATATTTTCGGTTGAAAATGCTTTTTTACTCGAAATTTTTCTAAGTTTTCAATTCTTTTGATACAAACCGCATTTTCAATGTTTTCAAAGACTTGGCGGAGACTCGGCGGACGCCTAAATTTATCGGCGGAGGCTATAACTTGCTTCAAACATAACGTAGCGGCGTGAAACAAAAAGCATTAGTTTTAAAATTATCAGGCCCATCTTCACTGACGCTAAACTTGTTTGAAAATAACTCTAAATTAAAAATTCACAAAAAAGTTAAATCAAAAGATATTAACGTTCAGAAATAGACGCAGTTTTAAAAAATTTTACTTATGTTCAAAAGTTATGATAAACTCATTTTCTTCAAAAGTTAAACCGCAAATATATCACATGTTGTATCTTGTTATTTTTTTTTGTTATTAAGTAAACTAAAAGATGAAATACGTTAAAATTTTAAAAATTATTTGTGCAATTTACAAATTAAATTTAAAAACATGGTTTCTTTATTAATTTTCTTAGGTTTTTTTAATTTTTGTGTTTTAAAAATTGAAGCCAAGCTCAGTATCAGTGGAGATTGCCCTGATAATTTTAAAACTAATGCTTTTTGTTTCACGCCGCTACGTTATGTTTGAAGCAAGTTATAGCCTCTGCCGATAAATTTAGGCGTCCGCCGAGTCTCCGCCGACGTTTGAAAATCAAAAACTTTGCTAAAAATGTCATTTTCAATCAAAAAATTGTCAAAAACTATCAGTCGTTCCACTAAAGAATTTGACAACTGCACAGTGCAGTCCCTGGGAAAATCGCGCCCTTTTTTATTCCCCTGCACCGTGCAGATTCTCCCGCGATCGCTTGCAATCCCAAACGATGGGAGAAAGAATGCACAGTGCAAGCCCCTAATTGTCGCACTGGTCAGTTGTCGCAGGAGTCAGGGGACTTGCGACAATCAAAAAAATCTTGTCGCAAACCTTCCATTGAACACAGTGGTGGCTTGAGCGTTGCGACAATCGCGACACGCTGTCGCATCGCCCTTTAAACCGCGATGCGACAACTTGTCGCAAGGTTTTGCACCTTGCGACATTGCGATTCCCCTTTTGATGTCGCAGGGTGCAAGCGAAAGTCGCACGACTCGCTGAATGTCGCGCGACGTCCCCTGATTCTCGGTGCGACAGCGATTCCTCCAAATTGGGGTTTGCGATTTTGTCAAATTCTTTGGTGGAAAGACTGATATCATGCCGTCCGCCGAGTCTCCGCCAAGTCTTTGAAAACATTGAAAATGCGGTTTGTATCAAAAGAATTGAAAACAGAAAAATTTCGAGTAAAAAAAGCATTTTCAACCGAAAATATGTGTATTTTGGCGAAAAATGCTCATTTTCAAAAATTAATGACGACCTTAAAAAGCACTTAAAAAATCCAAAATTTTTGACAAAAAATTGTACTAGTCTCTACTACCAGTGTACCAAAATTTAGAATTATAGCACATGTAGTTGCAAAGATATAACTCGTTTCTACAAACAAAATATGGTGAAACACCCTGTATATTACACTGAAACCTCTACTGGGAGTGTTAATGAGTTAAAACTTTTAGAATGTGTTTCTTCAAGCCCGTCGATTGTCTGGTCTGTTCGACAACTTCAAGAAGATTCTAGTTCACGAGCAATTCGGGGTCAATGAGAACCGTGAAGTCACGATCGTCGAGTTCAGAGACCGTATCTTGGACGTGGTAATCAACGAGATCGTGCCGTCTATCAAGACTAACGTGCAGCCAGTGACTACTGAACGGAACATGGACGAAAGCTACTGTCGCCTTCAGATTCCCGTGAATGGTCGGGGGTACCAGTTGAGGTATCTTAGTGCCAACAGAGCTGGTATCAGGCTGGGGAGACTGTTGGAGGTACGGTAATTGGAAATTATAAATTTCAAAAGTCCATGTTATTCTTAGTGTTATATTGTTAAATGCTTGATTTTTTACTATAGGAATTAATGTTTAGGACCTTGACATGTTCTCCGTGTGGTTGTCGTATCTTCATTGCCAAGGTCGAGAGAACTGGGGGAAACCTACAGTAAACCCGTGTATCTTTGTAACTGCATGTTGTGATCAGATCAACTTAGCTACGTATGTCTATTACCCAATACAATATTTATATTATGTTGTGTTAGTAAATTACTAACTAGTACTCTAGCCAGGGACGTCGTTTGAGGGAGGGGGTAGGGGGGGGGGTAACCTGTACGTGTAAAAAAAGAAAAGAAAAATTTTTGTAAAATCGGTCCACAGATAGCTTACCTGTGGACGAAAAAATTTTTTTTTGGCCTTTCCTCCCCCCCCTCTTTAGAGAAAATCCGCAGCGACGTCCCTGACTCTAGCACTATACTTGGTTGTGTTTACTTAATAAGGGGTACTTGTAGCAGGCTTTATTGGTCGCTTTAGTACTGTAATATTATTCTTTCAGCCAAGACATTAACCCAAAGTCTGATCTTCACCTCGAAGGTCATGTCAGCTGGGCTGGTGGTGCTTCAGTGGAGACTACGATGAGGATCGTACAAGACGAGAAACAACTTCTGGATGCCAAGTTCATCATGGTGAACCTGTCGCCTCAGAACATGAAGGAGAAGGTGAATGTGCCTCAGTTAATCCACGAAAGTCCGGTCGAAAATGAATTATTCAAATTGGGACAGAAGAACAATGCTCGTCGCAAAAGCCAAGTAACTATGTCATCTTTTGTATTTGTTATTGTCTGTGACTGGATTCTAATTGGGGTTGGCTAGACTAGAGACTATTTTTAGTATTGTATATGTACATATGCTGATATCTTGTAGTAATCATCAACTCTACAGTATATTGTTGTAGAAAGACGAATCCTTCCTCAAGAGACCTCCAACTCCAGATCAAGTCCAGCAACTGCACCAACTTCATCTCCGTCGCGTCAAAGACATGTCATATGTTCCGAGCGATGGCGGTACGAAAGATACGACTTACATTGGAGAAACTGCACGTATGACTACGGTAAACTGTTTCCCAGAAGATCAGAACTTCTACGGTAAGATGTTTGGCGGCTTCTTGATGCGTCAAGCCTACGAGCTGGCTGCTATTAACTCAAAACTGTTTGCTCGAACTCGTACTGAGTGTATCGCCATGGATGACATTGTATTCGCTGAACCAGTAGAGATCGGCGACATTCTGGAGTTGTGGACCCGGATTACTTGTACTCAAGATCAGTTTATGCAGGTATGTCACATAATCATATGTAAATTAGTCTTTTTCTTCATTTTTTTGTTATTTTTTAGTATAAAAAGCTATTGTTATGTAATCACAGTATGGGGATACGAGTAATACTTTGTGCTATTGAAATGAGTACGTCTGAGCACTTATTTATTCTAACGCCCGCTGAATTTTGATATCAACTTTGCCTTACGAACGCGTTTTCTGTGGAATTTTAGATTAAAGTAGGATAACAAAGAAGCATGCTATAAGTAGTAAAAGTCTTAAACAAAATATTTAAAATAGGTTCAGAAATGGCTTTTGTACTATTTTATGTAGAGTAATATAGCATATAAAATTTTAAATTCAAAAAAGTCTAATTGTATTGGACTAGTAATAGTAGTGTAGTAAGAAAATTAAGTATGTCACTTTCAGACCCGTGTATTCGCTCGCAAAGTAATAATCGACGATGACAAATCAATCCGTTATCAGACCTCGAACACCTTCCACTTCTCGTTCATGACCTTGGACGGGTCTAAGGTCAGAACGGTACTACCAAAGGACTACTTTGACGGACTACTGTACCACATTGGGAAGAAACACTTACTGGAATGCCGACGTCGTACTGGGCTTTAAACTTACTGTATAATGTCTGTAACGCACTAGTGAACCTTATTGTAGCTACTAAAGTCTAGTATTTGAAATTGAAATCATTTTTAAGTTAAATTTTAAAAACTAACATTACCTAAAGTTAATTTTTGTAAAAATTTACTGATTAAAATAAAAATAGGAACTCGTTTCAGTAGCCGAGGATAACATACGATCCATCAGGGAGTTCTCCGATTAGGGTCTCGGGTTCGGAGGAGAACTTCTTGGTCTTGACGCCGCTGGCTTTGGGAATGTACTGGTACAGGCCGTAGATACTCTTCTTGGCCTGAAACGCCATGATTACGTGTTAAGTTAGAGCGGGGCATAAAATGAAGCTTTCAGAAAATATAAGGGCATGTCATATATTATAATTTTAGGCCATAAGTAAAAAATTATAAGGGAATGTAATGCGGCTTAGTATATGTTAGATATGTGAATATCTTTATGAATGTAAATTTTATTTTAATATCAAAACGTGTTGTAAAACTAAAAATCAAAAAGTCTTACCATTGCAGGTCGTAGCTGATCTTGCATGTCTACTGGAGCGCTATTGATAAAAGCGATTAGGCTCATGACTACAACTAAAACACGTGGAGTTATCATAGTGTTTTAGGTATGAAATTGGGAACAATAACCCTAGATTTGCCAGTTAAATAGTAAAGTGATGACCTTTGGTTTAGCTAAAGTAATATAAAGCAAAAATCAGCTGAAATTTTACATGGATTAAGTAAAACAATACAATGTCTACTACGTAAAATGAAGATAATAGGTAACATAAATAAAGAAAACGAAAAATACCTACATCATGGTAATGAAAAGATACAGAATTTACTTTCTTACAATTCTAACACTACTATGCACTCTATTGTTGCATGAAACAATGTAATTGAATCAAAGCATCAAGACAGAGTATCTTGGGTTGACTTACTTAACATAAAAAGGAGCGGACGGCTCATCTTTGAGAAAACGACAGTCCAGTCCCAGTCGAATCCTTTTTTATACCGGTTACAGTAGGCTCGAGGTGACTCCGCCCACTCTACTGAACAAAAAACATAAATGTACATCTACATGTAGCAGTTGAATTGATATGTCACTCCACCCTCCGCGCATGACGTTATTCATGACCTCAGGGGACCTCGAATTTCATTTACAAAACAAGATTCATAATAACTCGGCCTGATTCCGGGTAATACGACCCGGTGGGTACGATAACTGACCTATCTTTGGTATCTTACCCTTATTTACATTCTTATTTACATTAAGTAAACAAGTTACGATTGTTTTGTCATACTTGATATAGTGTTTACAGTCTTCTGGTAAATTTAGATAAACTGACCCGGAATTTAAAAATACCAGATCAAAAATAGTGATATCTGGATTTTTTATAAAACTAAATATCTATGTTCACCATCTACTACAACTGCCGTAAACAATCCCAGCCAAACATAAAAATGTTTCGAACTTCCTGATGGGTACAACAACATGAACATCATTGTGTACCTGTATAAACCCAAGACACGTTCGGGAGAGGCCGAGACGTCAGAAGTTTGTCTCCGGAATTGAGAGAAATGTCCAAAACAATTAAATTACTATCTCTGGAGACGACTGGAATTAGTGCCCGATTGGACGAACAACAACATCACATTAATTGACCCCCAAAACAATATAGTTGTACTAATTTACGCCTTTGTTCTATAGTAGTGCTATTGATGTTTCCGTTGTTATAGAATTACGTTACGCAGTTAATTCTGTTACTTTGAGCATAAACAACATAAGTTTATGTAAATTGATTATTGTTTTACACATGGATAACACAAACAGATGTTTGATACTTTTTCATACCCAAATTAAGTCAAGGCCTACCCAGAATGTTTTTACACTCGTTGGTTATAAAGATTACAAGAATGACGAAGGCTTTCCGCAGCTTGCAGTCTTCAAGGCCTGGTCGCAGTCTGCCGGATAAAATAAATATATTTTTTGATAAGCACGGTTGTTTTGAAGCAAGAGCAATGCGTCCTTAATTCTGTATTTTTTTTTGAGGCCGGGACGCAGGCTGCGGAATTTTTTCATTTTGTTGTCTAGACCTAGTTTGGTTTAAAGAGTTGTAACTTCGAACTGGGTATTTTTTAATAAGATTTGCTTTTTGGCAAATAACAATTTGATTTTGAGCTTTTTGAAAATAATCTCACTTAGTTATAAATTTTTGTTTTAGCAATTGTATGTTGTAGTAAGTATCTTGAACCTACAATATTGAATATCAAGTTTTATATTACAAACACTGTAATGGGATTAATGTATATATTAAGCTGCGTTGTTCATAGTCAATTTAAGGCCAAAAACATATCCATAAGCCCAATTGCAGCCAAGATATTACTCATAAAACCTTAAATATACAGTAATTTGACACTTAAATTGTAATTTCTCAAATCCAGTCAGTCAACAAGAAAATCGCTTCAGAGGTTTACATGTAAAGGGTCTTAGCTCTTACATCTGAAAAAAAGAGCAGCATCTGCTGAAAATAAATGGCACTTGTCTGAGCCGATATTACACATGGTACGTAATGTAAAGTTATGGCCCGGAAATTTTGATATATTTAAAACCATGATACGCAAATATAGCTCACTGTAAGGTAGAAAACGATTATAAAAAGCAGTTCAACTACTAAATAAATAGTTCTAGTAACAGAATTTAAACTTTATTATGATACACATGTTATATACATGGTCATGTTCAATATGGGTATTTTAATCTTGGTAATCGCTTTTAACTGTGAATTAAATTTGATATTTAGCTCATAGTAAAAGTGTAGAAACATTTTTTTACTGTGTGACAATTTACAGTGGCTTCAGAATCAAACATCTAATTTGTCATAGGTACCGCCACTGACTTCAACTACCAGTAGCTTCTCAATTTAGAAAAAATAACACAACAAGCAATGTTTAATACAACGACTAAACTAATATCAACATATTAAAACACAATTAGTACCTGTCTTATTGTTCTTTACAAGTGTGTTGACGATTTTTGCCAAAATGCACTGCTATCGTACACAGCTTCAAGTACTACAGTAAGAACACAGCATGTGTGATAGTGTATTTTCCTTATTAATGTAGTACAAATTGTAAAATTTCTTAAGGGGTCGCAAATAACTTAAGCATTATATAATTTATAGTATAAAACATTATTTGAAAAAGCCGATTTATATCTTGGTCGTAGGTTTGCTAAACAATTTTCAAAGGGAAGGTACACATACTGACTTAGATACCTATGACAATTTAGATGCTTGATTCTGAAGCCACTGTAAATTATCACACAGTAAAAAAAAGTTTCTACACTATTACTATGAGCTAAATATCAAAGTTGATTCACAGGTAGAAGTGATTACCAAGTTTAAAATACCCATGTTGATGTACATGACTATTTTGACGTTGAACTCCAGAATCCTATAATAGAGTAAAATATTTTTAGCTAAACGTAATAAATGCGCTAATATAAAGTTGCAAGATTCTAACTACAGTCTCTTGTAAGTTGCATGCGTGGCCTAGTAATTTTGTCTACTTTTTGAACGCCAAAAATATTTTGGTAAACCTAAAAAATTTTCAGAAGTTTATGTTTTTTTCATATTACAAGCATACCATTAATTTAGGTCTACCTAGATGCCGTATGCCAAATTTTAGTTCAATGGGACAAGACACTTTCAAGTTATAGGGTAGTAATTATTTTGTCAAACATTATATTAACCTTATTATTTGAAGCTAAAAACGCAAAAAAAAACCAATTGCAAATAAAATTATTTAAAAATGGTGCTTTTTACTAATTATTTGATCTATTAATGAGTGTAATCCCTTTTAAGTACAAGCGCACACCTTCAAACAATACAGAAATTTTTCGTATAATACGTCCACCGCAGGCTGCAGCGAATTTTTCGGAAATTCGGAAAAGGCCAAAATAAAGGACGCAAAAAAACAACCGTGTAAGATTTTGGAAAGAAGTCAACAAGCTCTTAAAAACTACGTTATTGTTAGTTAAAGGTTTAATTATTTATTGTTTTCACAACGTTTATATTGTTTTATGTTGTTTCAACGTTCCATTACCTTACAATTGGTGAGGAGATCTCATAACAAGCCTGTTGGTCGGCAACCAAACATAATTAAAGTAGGTAACAAGCGTTTTCAACATAGTATACGACTTTGTTTTATGCTTTTTGAAGTGTGTCACTGTTGTTTCTCAAATTTAAACATAATCTTACCATGTTTTAGCTAAATGATCGATCAGGAGCCACAAAACCTCAAAAACAGAAAAGGAAGTTCAATAAGAATTCGCTGGGATTATTGGTGATCCCAGCTTCTGCTTTTGGCCTCGGAGTATGGCAAACGCAGAGATTAAAGTGGAAGGAGGATCTGTTGGCTCATTTGAAAGAACAACTAAATCAAGGAGCAATTCCTTTGCCAAACGAGTAAGATAATCCACTTGTTATCAGTTTTTCGTAGTTTAGGTGATCTACAAGACTTGGAGTATCGACGAGTTAAAGTCAGAGGAAGGTATCTGTATGATCGACAGTTCATAATTGCCCCAAGAGGCAGGTTCGACGAGGGATTCAAAGATAAAGGGTCCAGTTTGATTGGTGATAGCAAAAGTTCTTCTCATGGAGGCCACTTCATCACACCTTTCTTGATTGAAGGGACAAAGTGAGTTTATTTATAGCCATTTTTTGAGTGTTGGAGGTGCCTTTTTTATATTATAATAGCTAACATTATTATTACTGTCGGTATCTTATTTTTTAAGTAACTGATTTAATTTAGCCAAATCATAATGGTGAACAGAGGATGGTTGCCAACTGAAATGCATACTTTCGAGATGAACAAGAGACGGAGAAATGAAGTTGTTGAGATTGAAGCGATTGTCAGGAAAAGCGAAAACGTAAACGAATAACTATTTAAGATTTGATAACACTATTTTAATTTTCATAGTTATGTGTTTGGTATTGTGACATTTCCTAACTGTGCCATTCTAGAGGCCCCAATTCGTGAGCGCCAATAAACCAGAGAAGAACATGTGGTTCTACAAGAACTTTAATGAGATGGGGCAACATTGTGGAGCCTTACCTGTGCTACTTGATCTCGCTTACAGTAAGTTTATCCCTATAGGTATATTAAAGTTATAGTCGTTTTACGAAACAATACTCAAAATGTCCTAAGGAGATGAAAAAAAAACACGTTTTCAGACCTTGAGCACGGAGATGAACCTATATCAGGTCAGACTAATATCAACCTCAGAAACGACCATTGGAACTACCTGGTAACATGGTACTCGTTATCAGCGATCACCTTGTTCATGTGGTACAGCAAGTTCTTACGATGAAAGGTTGGATTTCTCAACTTTTTTGTTTGTTTTAGGTAGGTATTGTATGTTTATTTGTTGAATTGTTATACATAAAGCACGACACTTTATTGGGACCACTAAAGACAATGTACATGTTAATAAAGCACCATTTGGTGGCTATACAATAACTTATTGGTTAAACAGCGCTTGTTTGGTACGCAGCAAGGTTTGATGTTTCTCTTCTAGCTCCTTATCAACCTAAAATTTGGAGGGTTATTATTACAGCGGCTCAAGTTCTGATAATATTGCAGTATTCGACACTCTAAATTTAAAAAATCTGTAGCAAAATACTTACCTTTTGTGCTTGTTCTGATACTTCCTCCAGACGAGCTTCATTTTCCAACAGATTCGCTCTTTTGGCTGCCAGTTCTTGTTTGTTCGTCTCCAAAACAAACGGAACTTCTAATGCCTTTTGAACCTACAACAAGATTTAACATCAAAATTAATATTTGCTACTCGTACAGAGTCCCCAAGACAGTACGCAAAAGAAAACTATTAAAACGAGTAATATACGAACAAAAGTAAGTTATTCTTACATAACTGTCCAGTAGCTTTTTCAAATTGTTGTAAACCAGCTCTTCGGTATTGTCTCTTACTTCATTGATGGTGTCCACACAATGGTAGAGCTCTTCCATCATGTTGTTTGCAGTAGCAGTAACATCTCGAAAACTCTGTTCAACTAAAACAATACATTGAAAGTGGCATTGAAACAATAAAAATTTTGTTTCAAAGGACAACACTTACCTTCCTTCCGTAGGTCCATTTTAAACCGAAAAATATTTTTTCCAAAAATTCGCAAAAATTTTTTTCCGGTTAAAAAAGAAATTATTTGAATTAGTTTTTGGCGGAAACGTTTTCGTGTCAGGACTCAAACTGACGATTAATGAGGGATTAGGCGACCAATATATATGATCCTACGTCATTGACAAGGCACTAACGTTTATTTTTGGTTAATCCCAACCGATTTCACTGATATTTCTTTGTCCAACGATATTATCCATGACATAAATAAATATTTATTATAAACAATAAGATACCCGTACGAAGATAATCATGAGGAAATGTTTGGCTGCTGAAGATCAATAAAATGGCAAATGAACGAAAACCCAATCGTAGTTTGTTCAAAAAGTCTGTAGAATTATGTATAAGTTTAGCCGTGTTGATGTACAACATTATTGTTGACCTTTTTCTAGAATAGGATTTCTAATGACATTCAGAATACAAAGGGTTTCTCTAACGGCGATTCGCAGTAGTCGGTGGTGTCAGTCCGTCGTGTGAAGATGGAGAGTCGGGAGAGCATTGTCCTAGTCCGTGAGTGGATGGGCGAGTCCAAGGCATAGGACTCTAGACTGGAGTTGCCGATGGAGTCAAGGGCTTTCAGGCACGGCTTCTGGTCGGATTTGAAGCCGGAGGGGATGGGGTTTCGTTTTGGGCCAAATGCTAGGGCAGAGCTGGCCAATGCGGTGGTGCAGGCAGCGGCCGTGCCCATTCGGCCTGGCTGAGTGTTGATTCTTGGCTGAAAGGAAGTGGTAAGTCATGTTTAACTAGGTCTGGGTGTGATTAATATACTATAGAGTATTAATATAAGATTGTTACGTGTATTTGCAGTATTTGTTACAATTTGTTTTTTGACTATTAAATTTGCAAATTTTGAGAAAAGATACGGTATATGCAAACAGCTTTTTACAGAGTTACATAATTTTTTTATTAAAATGAATAAATTATGTTTTAAAGAGCATAAAATAAAGTACATTTCCTCAAAATTTTGTACCAATAACTCTCATTATGACATAGTTATAGCATTTCGAAAACGTAAAACCCCTTTTTTCAATGCGGATTTTATAAAATATTGCGAGATTTTAAGCCTCGTAACCTTGTCAGTAGTCAATAAAGATAAACTTTTGGTTAATGTAAAACATATTAACTTTTACAAATATCAATGGTTCATCTATAAATGTATCAAAACTCTTACCTGCTGAGTATAATCCACAACGGCGCACAATGCTCCGCTTTTCATTTCTCGTAGCGCAAAGTTGAAGACCCTGACCATTGTCTTCTGGATGTTGGAGGAACTTATTTGCTGGAAGTTAGCGCCAGGCCATCTGAAGGAAGTAATATATTAATGATGTCTGTTTAAGCAAATGCATTCAGAAGGACGTACTATCTTTGTATATCGACGTTTTATTGGAACAGGTCTCTGTCTTTGAAATAGAAAGAGATAGACATTGAAAGAGATAATGGCGTTATAATTAGTGGCAGGAATCAGAAATCAAGTGTTTTTAAATTGTTTACAGTACAGTATTACTTATTCCATAGTATTAGTGAAAAGATAGTGAGGATTTGAAAAGGTATGATAAGGTATTAGGACATCAAAAGCAGTGTTGTAAGTATGTTTCATTGTTTTACTTTTTACTGTGGCTTTCATCTCAATTTACATTGTCAAAAATTCATTCCGTGTACTATCTTATACTAGAAAGAACCTCTTCGCTCTTTCGTAAATACCTCTTTAGTCTTAATGCCTTTTAAGATCTCTATTCTAAGAAAGCTAGTACAATATAAGGACGAAGAAAGCTGTTACTATACAATTACAAAGGAACACTAGTACAATATAATGACAAAAGGAATCTAATACAATGTAAATGGTGACTTACTGGTTGGTGGCATGGTTGTTGATCGAAGCCATCAACGTATCTCGCACCAGCTTCCACTGGTCGGCCCCACAGTAGTTGTTGACTTCCCAGTGGCTGTAGCCGATCTGTCTACACAGGTCCTTCCACTCGATGACGGAGAAGTTCTTTGATGTCAGAGCAAACAGTACCTCTTCTGAAAAGTAATTACTGAATATGCAGGAAATTGACTATAATCAGGACGTTAGGAACGTTCTCGGAAGTGACCTTTTCACAATATTTACAAAGGTGACATTCTGGAAATGGGCATATTTACAGCGATGACATAGTATTTACAAACAGATCGTGATTATCACACGGAATCTGGTTACGTATGCACAATTACACTGTGGCGTACTGTAAACAAATTATGATAACTGAATAGACAAGTTATTTATATGTTTCGGGCTTTAATACTAGACATAACTATATGGTAATGGACGGAAAGTAAGCACAAGTACCAAAGAAATGCCAAAATTGAGTTTAAAATCAATTCAAGACTCCTTTTTATCAGCTTAAAACAAATTTAAGGCTTTATGCAAGGAGACATTGACAATAATCATATATATGTATTAGTAATATGTATGTATTGACAACATGTATGCTTTTGATGTTATTGTACCTACCTATAGCATTGGCCAGAAGAACACCATGCCGTTGAAGTCGTACTTGTTGAAGCTGGTGTTTCTCCATGGCTTCCTTGCCTTTCACATTCTTGGCTTCGTTCAAATCCGAGCCCAGAAGGGCGTTGGCAATGGTTGGGTTCTCTCGGCACAACTAAAACAATATCATATAAAGATAACATCCATGACTTATTGAAGAATGCAATTTTATAATCATAATCGTTCAGAATATGATGTGTTGGTCAAAAAATACGTAGAAAAGCAAAATTTAAGGCCAATTCTGAATATAAAACACGATTCTACACTTTTTGATCCAATCCAATTTTAATCAAAGCTCAAGTTCATAATAACATCACAATCAAGCTAAAATTAAACTTTTGAAAAATGGACCTGAAAGGCCTCTACAGTGACGTCAGAACTTACCACGGTCAAAACTTCAGTACTGATCTTGTACTTGTGAGCTGAGAACCTCGACAACAACAACTCGGCTATCTCCTGGTCGATAGCCACGGTCTTACTGCTGTTACTGAGCGTGGTTATCTTGATGTTTGAGTACTTTTTGTGCTGAAATGTTATCATTATTAAGATAAGTTACCATCTAGATACCTGAAGTAATGCCAAAGATGATTTTTTTGGTAAAACATATGACTATGTAATTGCAAGATGCAGAGTAAAATGATTATGAAAGTAATTTCGAAATGAAAACCAATTAAATTTCGATTAATTTCCAAAAGCTGATTACTTAATCAGCAGATAACATCACTAGATTAGCCCACTTACTCCCATGAATCGCGGCCAATGGTAGAAGATTAACCAGTTTGTGGCCGAGTGTAACGCCAACAACATGTTGGACAGGTCGGTCAGGTACAATGATCGTATGTACTGCTCGATGTCGATCTCCGTCTGTTGGCTACTGGTCTTGCCTCCGTAACCCATCACCTCCATAAGTACGGTATTCACCATGTAGAGGGTGTTGCACATGATGAACTTGATGTTGAGAAGGGTTAACATGTAGTGTATGTTGCGTCTGGCATGGATGGTCTGGGAGCCTACAGTACGACGAGAACATATCTGCAGGGTTCGGATGGTAAGGCAAGCTATGGCGATGATGGGGAGGGGGGCTCGGAAGATAATGTCAGGGATTAGGTGCACTACTGTAAATAAAATGTTAAAAGTTAAAGAATTACAGTAGACACGCATAGTATAGTAATATATGTAGTATTTTAACATCTAACTAAAATATGCCGCAGTAATAAAGAATCTCTACTGTCTAAAATCAGAGTAATACCATCAGAATCCCCAAAACACTTACAGATGGCATAGTACTGGTTGTTGACTAAAGGTAGTGTAGATATCATGGTTCGAAGTTCGAACCCTGAGGGTGTGAACTCATAACAGTCTTTCAGTTCCCTCTCAAACGGTACCACTACCATGTTTAACAAGAAAGCCCCTAAGGCAATTCCAGCACATATCGACCGAACAGAGAACTGAGCGTTCCTCGTTCGCTGTTCCAAAGGCTTGCTCACAGCTGTGTACCTACAACAATATAACTTCAAAAACAAGTTAATATGGTATTTTACATAAGTCAATTTCGTCATATTTCAAGTCAAAAATTACATAGAAAAGCTTTTTTATGTCATTATTTTTTTATATACCTATAACTACAACAAACTGTAATTTCTAATAAAACTGTAAAGAACAAAGTATGACATACCTTTCTATCGTGATAGCTAGGACCTGCCATATCGTACCAGTAACACAGAAACTGGCAAAAGGTTGAAAGAAGTAGAGGAGATACGCGATAATACCCACGAACGGCATGATGCCGTAGTAAAGTGATATGATACCATAAGTTAATAGACAACATAACAACAAGGCCATGTCCCACATACACAACATGGTAAGGTGACATGCCAGGCGTCGAGAAAAGTACCTCGACTTGTGAATCTGAAAATACGATCGTACCTTGGGGATGTCGATTCAAGTAAAGTGCGACATGTATGGGAATTTACAGATATATATCATAACATAACTTTAAAAGACAACAAATATTAAAAGATACAGTATCCCGCCACAAAAAGTTACAGTAACTGAACAATGTTGCAGTAAAACAAAAAAAATTCAAGTAAAAATTACAGTAATCCTGTAACAGATCAAACACGAAAACTACAGTAGCCGTCATCAGACGGCCTATAATTACAACAAGTACAAGAAGGATTAAGCTTACTTGATATACGAACATACTATTGCCAAGAAGGCCGAACGAGGCCAGTAAACAAGTAATTACTCCGTTCACGACAAAGCTGAATCTGGCGTAGCTGAAAATAAACAAATTCCAAAACAGAAATCGCTACATCAGGAAGTGGGATCAGTCGTGTCTACTACAATATAATTCTGGTTCTTTTTTAGAAAAAGTTAACTTTAACTACCATAATATAAAAATATTTAGTACCAAGCTAGCGCAATATAGTACTGAAATATTTTGCAAAATTGTAGTACCACGCCTTTCGTACTATTTTTACCCCAAAATACATTGCAGTACACACCAAAGACTAGCCAGCCCCAAATAATTAGCATAATTTGCCAAAGAAGCCAAAGATTACCTCTCGAGCTGGAGCAGCACGTTCCTGGCCTGCTCGTCGTCCTCGGCCGTGGTCTTGTAGAACATGATCAGGTCGAAGCACCACGCATCGGCCGGTGGGGGCTCCAGGAACAGGTCGTCGGGGACCGATTCGTTCATCGTCGTCCCCCGATTCGTCTGAAATTATTTGGCGTTGTTTCGTCGTTCTCACGCCTCAGGGCCTTGAGGCAAAGGAGAGAGGAAGATTGACCCGCCTTCCGCGATAATCACAGTTTCACAAGGATTAACGCTAATACAAATTGAGGTTGTTAATGTTGGGATGACACTAAGCTCAAACTAGGCAAAGGTTACTCCATGGAATGCCACGGTAAAGTACATTCTCAGACGCTACGGGAACTTAACCAGATACAGAATTAAAGACTAATTTTAAACATTTTTTCAAAATATTTGAAAAAAGACTAGAATCTGCTACAAATTCAAAAATTGCTCAAGAAAATAAAAAAACCGTTTTAAAAATAAGTCGACAGAAGTTGACAAACCATTTCTAAGTGTTTCCTATAGAGAAACGTTCGCGAGGACCGACGTTGTCACGGCAAATTTCAGAAATTGAACAAATATGCTAACATAACTTTACAAAAATACTGAAATTATTCAAAATGGTACTCAAAATTAATCGTATACTAAACACAAATCGGACCACAATAATGTAAAAATACGAAAAACAAAAGGCTTTTTGTAGTTTCCATTTATTTTAGATGAAATGAGTGAAAAACAGTTTAAAATTACGTTATTAGAGTTGGCAATTAACTTTAAATTAGAAATAAAATAAAAGTGTGAAATAAAAAGCTTAAAATTTACATTTTTCCAATTACTTTTTGACCAAAAGTCAATAAAATCAAAAATTCAAACGAAGAAAGTGATATAACAATAAAGATTCTTCTACGCATTTTCTGACCAGAAAGCGAAACAATTTGAATTAGTACTTTAGTCACCAAAAAAGGCAAGAAAATAGAAAAAAAGCCAAAGGTAAGCAACTCCATAAACTTTTAGACCTCAAAATTATATTTTAGATTATCCACCCCCTCTCCTCTATATTATCCACCCCCTCTCCTTCATATTATCTATAAACCCAGCCCCATCAAGTTGTTGTTGCAGACATGACAATGTTATTATGACAAGTTTTGGTTTAAAGCAATGGCCTGTTCTCGGCCATAAAAGCAAATCGAATTAGTCTTCGAAATCCTCGAAAATATCGCCGGAGGGAATGCGCGGAAAACCTGGGAAAATGTTTCGGAAAGTGGATTATGAGCACAAAACAGCTAAACGAGAATATTTTTAGCCAGATGCTGGTCACGCCCAAACTTTCAATTATGCAAATGAGAAACCCCCTTAGGGCAAGCACGGCGGGCACGTCGCTCGATCAGCCAGCCGTCAGGCTGTTAATTAAAGGGGGCCTGTCGCTGAATCTCGTATTTACATAAAAGTAACACAATTACCGTGACTAATTGGCCGAACTAGTACAGTTCAAAAGTTTTTACAAAGTTTTTACTAAAAGACAGAAACGTACTCAAAAGTTGAAAAAACGTACTTAAAAAGATAAAAATGTACTTTTTAGTACTATTTTTAACACAAAAAGATTTTGTATTTTCCAACCTTGTAGTAGTACTTTAGTCGAAATTTACTATTTTTGTCTTAAAATATGTTGCTTTAGAATGTTCTAAAAGGTTTTACCGTGTTGTCTATAAGATTTCTGAATGCATCTTGCAGTCAAATTAAAACAAATAAAATACGACTTTTTCTGACAGAAATGACAATATTATACCTTAATCAAGAAATAAAAAACAGCCCAATCTCTGGCCCATAAAACCTCAGTTTAGGTGTTTTTGGGCAGATATACCCCAAAACATGTACAATATACGACTTAACGCTTTGTTGTCGACATAAGGTAACAAACATAAACACAGTAACAATAAAAACTAGTACCCAGCATAATCTCGCACAGTATTAGCCACAAACAACTGGTATGTAGTGGAACGTGCACATGTTACATCCTCTTTACATCCCATAAATAGCTACAGTAATCGGAAGATTTAGTCAAGTTGAATATTACTGTGATGAAAGATAATCAAATCCTAACGAAATGCAACATACAAGGCGAGATTATTATCAGTAGCGCCATTTTACAGTAAAAGTGTCAAAAGCAATCAGCGAAAGATACCTAAACCAATATGACAGTTCGAGTCACTGTCATATATATTTACTATGTCGCTGAAAACGTTTTTACAGAGTTTGTTGTTGCAAAAGTCCTCGGAAAATCTAAACAGAGCTGTTTTAGGTAATAAACTTTTAGTTTTTCTTTATTTTAGGTAATAAAACGCTTTAATTAGGCTGAAAAGTAATTAATTCGATAATGTTAACATTTTATCAGTAAATTTCAAATGTTTTTTGCCAAAAAAAAATTTAAAAAGTGTTACCTAATTTTTAGAAATGAGAGAGACTTTTAAAAACGTGAATTTTAAGAAATTGCATAGAAATGTGCGTCTTCAAAATGTTATTCTTCATCATTTACATCGTATCTACAACACGGAAGCATAATTCAAAACACGTATCATCAAATGAATAGGTAACAAAATACAAGATAGTTAAGATGGCTGAATCACCACTTTTAATCACAAAAGAAATAAATTGGTACACGCTAACTCAAGCTATAAGATCGTACTGTCCGCATATTTGAAAAAACAGCATAATAAGTTTCAAAATAGACCAAAATCAAGAAAAGACGAAATGCCACAAAATATATTGGAAAAACAAATAACGAAGTAAGGGTTTACTGTGCTTGATTTTGGACAAGTGCATTGTGCAAAAGTTAAAAAACTTTAAAAATTTTTAAATGAAAGTTTATTTTTAAAACGAAAAAAAACTAAGATCTCGGTCAAAAAGTCTTTGGAAATTCATCCTTAAAAGTAGTTATTTACAAGAATTTCTATTTATTTCTTGACCGATATGTCATATTTTGATCAAAAAAGAAAAGATTCGTGCCAAAATTAACATGACGCAAGCTTGAAATTAAAGGTCCGAGACATTTTCCTTTAAGACCGCAGTAAAATGTCAATGATACCATGGCAAGAGCAAAACAGCCAACATACGATGTAAGTTTGCAAGAGTTATATTGACGTCTGATGTGACAAATGTAAAAGAAGTAAAGACCACCGTTTTTCTGAATGTGCAGTAATTAGCCCACAGAAACATACATATCCAGAAACTAATTGGGATTAGGCAAATCTGCAGCCGAGCAAAGCTGTAATCACAAGTCGCACGTAGTCGAGATGACGCTGTAGACACTAAAGATTAGGAATAATATCATGACGGTTACTTTACATCGTATCCACAGACTTTAAAGTATTCAAAGCTTAACAGCTGTTGTAAAATAGAAAACAACTTTACAATGTAACGTATGTATATGTTGACTGTACTAGTTCAATATTGTATCAAAATATTCAATATTGTAACTAAAAATGTCACATTATATAACAAAAAGTTTGGCGCTGTCAACTACTGAGTAATTACTGCAAACGAAGCCAATCGGCTTCACTCAAAGCGAAGCCATGCTCTGAATACAGATTTGGCTGAGGCGTGGGCCAAGTGTAATATGCAAATGGTTAGCTGGAATCAAGGACATCTTTACAGAGTAATTTCATAAAAGGGCGATGAAATTTAATACTTTAAAATCAGTAATTTCGAAAATTTTAAATTTTAATATTCGAAGGTAAGAATAGATAACATTTTTAATAAACAAAACTTCGTAGACAGCTAGCCCAACCAAAAGTTCAAACAAAACAAGATGACATTTAAAGAGCTTAGTAAATCCTCGTATGTTACTCATTACAGACTTTAAAGTAACAGTCAACAAAACTCAATTAAAGCAGCACTTTCGAAGGATAAAGACAAGCCAACATACGACCCAAAGATACCAAACATGTATTTTTATAACTCTGTAACAAGTCGTATCATGATTTAGTAATACTACAGTAATTTGGTCTAAAAGAAAATAGATAATCGCAAAATAGCTAATAAAAATAAAGTTATACATGGCTTTTGAAAACGAAACTAAAGAAGTAAACATTACGTTGATGTAGGACCCCATTACACATAGATACCAACTATCAACTGATAGTAAAACACTGTGAACACTACTTTAACACCCCAAATACTTACTATTATTTTAACCAAACATAACAATAAAACGTCATAAATTGTAAAAGATCTTTCTATTCACGGTAACAAAATTGATAATACTGTAACAATAAACATTTTAACACCACAGTAACTAGTCTTTGTGCACACACAATGAGATAATACTCGTCTGTAGATTAACATCGAAAGCCCTAAAACTCTCAAAAACACTTTATAAATATTCAAACACATTTCCGTGTCACTGAAATAGCCTCAAGGTATTCGACACAGATGGGATGATACCAACAAGGAGTATTAGATATGTCAAGGTAATCGGCCTTTATGCGTTATATAATAATGGCAGTACAAGTTTTGAAATTACAGTATACTACTGCAGTAGTATGTACATCGTATCTTCAAGAAGTTTTTCTATAAATCAACATATCGAGGTAAAGAACGTTTATAAGTCAAAATACCAAGGTACTCTCAACATACTAAAAAATTGACCCCAACATACCATAACAGCCTCAAATGCCATCTTACCCACACCCATATATACCACTCCCGACATGTCTGCCAAAATAACAATTTTCGTATTTACCACAAAGTAAATTTAACTGTGGTATGTATATTTACCAAGACATGTATGGCACTACATTCTCGAAATACGACGATGTGCTTAATCCCTCCACAACAATGCAATGTCATCATCCTCGAGAAAAATAAGTAAACAGTCATAGTCATCAAGTACAGCACACGACTGGTTGGACACAAGTTTGTGAATAACACAAGTTATTTATACTATAATATATACTATATATATGATGTATGCATATACACCATGTTTGTATGGTAAGTTTTGGTACACTATAGTATGTTTGCACTGTAGAACATGTACTTTACAACAACTACATATATATGTAGTAAGTTCGCTCGTGAAAACCTACGTTATATATAAGACACAAACAAACTCTTAAAATCGCAGTTTTACTGTGCTATGTATATGTAAACCTATAACATTGTGTTATATACCCTCACAATATAAAAAGTTTACTTTACAACCTAAATAACACTAAATACGATACTAATTGCATCTACAAACGTGTCGCGGGATACAATCCTCAATATTGTTTTGGGTTACATTATATAATATGGTAAACAACCTCTGATTCATCTTTGTTATATAGTCGTAAAAGTGAGCCTATAACAACATAACACTTGAACCGTAAGTTATATACCTATTTATTATAAACTGACATAGTTATGTAACATAGTATAAAGAATATGTCAATGTATAAATGTATATGTGTAATGTAAATGTAAATAAATACACTGTAATATGAATATATCTTAGAGTATATTTTTATATACACAAACAGACATTCAACAAGATATGGTAGTAAAAATAATCAGTTGAAAGTCCTCAAACAGCTACCAAGAGTAAGATACGACCATAAACATACGAAAACAAAAGTCTTAACATCTTCGAAGATAGGGATTCAGTATACCTTACAACATTAAACCTTTTCTTATTTCATGACAGAGACCACAATATTCACCTTCATGATGTATTAGGTAGTCCGGAAAGTAATAATCTTTCTCAATAGCCAAAAGCAAACATCTTGTTACGATGGCTTATCGTATCTATTCCAAAGTTGCCTACATGCAACTTTATAGTACATGTAGGCCTATACAAACTCAATAAAAGACACTATACTGTACTTTTTTATCAAAGTTCAAAAACAATATATACGAAAAGATACGTCTACATTATACCCTCTACATAGATAGCCCTAGTGTAATATACTTTGATAGTGTAACACCATTCTATAGAAGGAAACTTCCCCTATGACATGCCATCTTGCAAATGACATCTACATGACAAAACCCTTACTTTAAAGTACAGAACAGAGAACAACATGTCACGGCTGCTTAGAGCAAATTACTCTGACACAACTCAAAATACCTACATCTTGTCTTGTTTTTACTGTATTAACATCTTTGCAAAAAATATTACATCACGGCACGTTGGCTCCGTATCTGCATAAATTACCCGGTATTATGTGACAAGAACAACATACGACGATATGGAATGGTAGATGTATTCCCGGTAAAACTATTTTTCTATTTTTAATATACTTCTAAGAAGATATCAAAAGTAAGTGTACATATGCTGACTTACCCGCAAGTTCTACTGTTTCAACATATTATAGTGTAAGTATTAACATATGTTAGTGACATGTACAAAGTATAATATAATATATATGACCTAGTAAGAGAAGCAGTAAAAAAACTTGACATTTTCAGGGTTTTGGCCCATAAGTACTTGGACATGTGCCAGTTCTGAATATACAGTACCCTTGAACAACATCTGTTCATACTGTAAAGCACGCTCCTTTACCATCTTCCTCAAACAGTAAAAGGCAGCCGGCTGGAAGTCAGAGTACAATTTGTGCGCCACGAGTTCAGGTCTTTTGATCAACATGGGTAAGTCTCTGACTCCAAATACACACGAAGCGTGTACAAATTTACCTGTATTATGTTACTGTAATATACTGTTGCTATATAGATTATGAAAAATATACTGTAACACACACAAAAAATATAGTCAATATAAAACTCGTTGCGTTTTGAAGTATTTATCGACCAAAATAGCCATATATTCCCTATATATAAACGACATACCGTTGCACTTCCTAGGCGACCCACTCCACACTTGGTATCTTGGAATATAATAGTAAGATAACATAAACGGTTCGGCTTTAGAAGATGTAGCGTTTACTATCAATCTTTTGTTCCTATTTTCCTTTATTTGTTTAACATATACATACCTCATAGACGTATAGTCAAAAGATCCAGGGGCTGAGAATACTGTAATATAAATAAGCGTTAAACAAAGTAACAAAGAACAGATCTTACAACCATTGTAAAAAGAAGTGATCTATCCTAAGATAAGATAGCCTTTACCACATACCATCCTTGTTACCAAACAATGTTGCCCACAGTAATTCATCTGGGCATGCGTATAACGGTTTCTTCCGTAGTAGATGTAATATAAACTGCGTTATAGTACAATTCACAACAACATAGTTAGCCGCTTCTCTACTTACTATAGCGGACATTGAGGCTTTGTACACCGGGATTACTGTAAACTTCTAAAAAATAATTATCATCCTTTTTAAACTCACGTTAACATAACATTATAGTAGTCAAAACAACAACAGCTTTACTCACTAAAACTAGAAAGTATATTAAAAAAAGAGTAACCTTACAGTTTCTGCTTTTTGTGGTCTGACAAGCTCAGTAATGACAGCTCCCTTCAAGTTCTTGAATATCTGTACCATTTCAAAGTTAGTCTTGAGAGGAAGGTCGTTGTTAGATATGTACTGGTAGTACCTCCAAGGATGATCAAGAGATGTCAAGTACGAGAAACATCCATATAAAGCATTCAAAGTGCCCTTTGAGCACCAACGCACGTTTTCAAATATCTGAAATACAAACAGCTTACAAAGTCATACTGTATGTTAATATTACATATTAATGTTAAATTATTACCATCCAAACTTTTTTTTTAACATACTGTTATCAGAACTTACTTACTTTGACAGTAACATTGCCCAAACACTTCTCCAATAGCTTTACTCTGTTCTGAAAGAGTGCAGTACTCCTCGAGTCCACGCCGATACAGTAAGCATTCTGAGGATGATAGAAAGTGCTAAGGACTGCCAATACTTGTGATATGTCCTTGTATATGTGAAACCCGTAGGCCAATGGATATTCGGCTTCCTCTGAAGACAATGGAGCATCATTAAAGTCATACATATCCTTCAATTGGCTACAGTCAATACTATCATTGGTTGGGTATACAGAGTCAATAAACTTATTTTTATTTGGCTTCCAGCTCTTAGCATACTGTAGAAAAGTTTTGTTAACACTGTCACCAACCAGCTGGTAACAAGGAAAGTCATCGACAAAGTAATCTCTTTTACTATCGTATCTTCTGCTAATTGAGTTCTTGAAGATACGACGATCATGACTGTAAAACAAACTCAAGGTAACAATAACTATTACTACCACTGTAAACTTGGCCAAAACAACTGAATTGCATAATCGTATTAGGTAGGAAAAGACAAAAGTATCGTGCTTTCCCATCAAATTAAAATGATAATGTACTAGGTCTTTTGATTCATTCCGAACTGCTTTATGGCCATAAGCAGCTACATTAAACACGTTAACCCTAATTGCGAGCTAACAGTTTCAAGATGTTCGTATGTGCACATTATATTAAGCACTACTATAACCACGTGTAAATGTTATAGTGAAACAACATTGTTTTAGAAAATAACCATAAGTCAGTAATATTTACCTATAGGTTTATCTAAGGTAACCAGTAGTATTAACTGTGAGTTTATGCAAATTCTCAAATGAACAAAAAACTGAGTGGAATGTATATAGATGTGATGTAGTGTAATATAACTGTTGCCAAGGATTCTGTTGCCCTGGGGGAAGATTCAGCCCTGTTTCGAAGCGCCGGCTCTCGCTTTGAAATTCGACATACAGGTTGGTGCTGATGGTCCTGGTTCTGGATAAACAGTACCGATAAAATCTTTGCCGTTTTGACTCAAATCATAACTTTGCACATTTACCGGGCAGCCGTCGATCACGGTCTGAATTCGTTTTTTAAATATTTAGGTCTATACCGACATCATAACTATTATAATAGTTAGGAAGTTATTTTTGTAAAGTATAGTTTAGTATTTTGGCATGATGTTGCAATCCCGCATAAAATGTCCATTTTGAAAGTTGCCTTTTTCAAAATTTAAATAATTTTAAAAAAAGTAATATTAAAATTATTTTCAAATTGCCTCTTTTCATTGTACGTTTCCCTACCTCACACTTTGTACCCTTTCCTCTTCTGGCCAAGAAACACATTGACAAAAGTGAAAAGTCGAAGGCTGGAGAAGTGCCCATGAGGAAACTACCGGTCGGTTTCACCAAATTGCCCCATTTGAAGTTGGCTGATGCGATAATGTCCTAAAATATAATTTTCCATTAAAACAAAAAAAAGCATGGCAAAATAACAGTCATATATTATAGTAGAAGAACCTACAGCTCGTTTGATGATGAATCCTCTGTAGTTGAGTTTGTTTTTCTCGTCGTTCTCCAACTGATTGATCACTACCCAGTTGTGCATGCCTGATACTTCACCGTTTTTGGCCTAAAACAATAATTCTGCCATTTTGTACAACCGTATATAAAAAAACTATAAGTTCAAACTTCTTAACACCAACTTGTATTAAATTAACCCCAAAAACCGTATTCAAAAAAAACTTACCTCCCCCAGAAACACATGTTCGAAAGCAGATGAATCTTGTTTTCCTCTGGCACGAGAAAAGGTACCAAACCACATATCGTACATGGCCTGCTTCAAAGTATCTGGAGACTTTGCGAAGGGATGGTTACTCTTTCTCAGAACATCGATCAACTGCTTGAAAGGACCACTGTTAAACACCGCCATGATAAAAGCTCTCTGCTTGGTCACTTTAGCTGGACTGGCATCTTCAGCCACACCAGTTTGAGGATTGAAGTATGGTACCAAATCCAAGAGTGCTTTGTAGCTAGGTTGTTGCAGTACTTGAGGACGAATCCATTTAGTCAACCTGAAAATAAAATGATTAAAAGAAAGATGGCTTTGTTCAATGTAAATACGAATATAACATCAGTATTAGTTTCAGTACCCTTTCAATCCTCATACTTACGATTGACTGGCGTAGTCAGACTCTCCACCATCGTAATGTCCTTGATAGTCAATGTAAAATTCACAGAAATTGGGCTTCTCGGTGTCGCTGTCCCTCATCTTCTGCGCAATGTCCTTTATGTCAGCATCGCTGATCTTTAGTGCTGGGATGGCTGACTGTGCCAAATAGCACAAAGCAAATAATAGAACGAGCTTAAGAAGATTTAACCGCATCCCGAATATTAAACAAGCATAACATGTTCGTTTGCCTTATATACATTTGTCATGTTTAATCAAGTGTTCAGTATGATCGTATGAAAGAAATACGTCGGACCCGGCTAATGAGGTCATAGTGACACGTTGCAAGCATATACAAACATGTTGACAGTTTTTAATTATACGTCTACAAACAATGCTATTTTTAAATTCTTTAAATTTTAAAAAGAGCAATCGGGTAATAATTTTGCAATATTTAAACATCAAATCAACTGAAAAGAATAAAAACCCGGCCAAAAAAGCACAGAATCAACGTTTAGTGAAAGTATAAAACAAGATTCCAAATGTGCATAAACTTTAAGACCAAAATTTGCAGAATTTAAAAAAATAAAAGATTTGATCAAACAATTTTACCATCATTACCACGTTTATATAACAATCAATTTATTAACAATAACATTAGTCCAAATTTGAGTGAGTTTAACAAAAAAATTCCCTGAGGCTATTCACGGTTTCTTTTGGGACAATGACGTTGAGTATGAGCCTGATCGCCGGACGCGCCACACAGAGGACATTGAAACATACGAAGACAAGGACAGGTTACTCTGCCATCCACATCACGAAGATTGTGCTCCGACCAACGACCTGGCCCAGAAACATCGATTCCCTGGAAAAGATAATTTTAATTGCAAAGATTTAAAATAATATCAAGTTTCTATTAGAAATAGTCCAAAAACAATTACATACGTTATAAACAACAAAAACACCATGAACCAAAAACATTTATCTATAACAATATGAATAAGTAAAAACCGCCAAAATACCTACATTAACTCTCGCATTGTTGTAGCAAAATCCACAGAAAGTATTCTGGTGCTTCTTTCGGCTGTCGTTTAGCAAAGTTTTGTTGGCAAAGTTGGCAGCCGACGAGTTCAAATTAAAGTCGAATACCTGTTTGGTGCGGGTCGATGGAGAGACTGGAAGAGCCGGAGATGGAAACTGGAAGGTGTTCGGGGAAGTTGGAGACGAGTAGTCAGAAGTTGGAGACAGTGTAGATGTGATCGGAACCAACTAAAATAAAGCCTTGCCTAGCTAAACAATTTAAATCAAGATATTAGGCGACACTACAACATTAACAATACTTTTTTGCATTATAAAACCCTAGATGTTACCCAATCTATCGCAACATCCACACATATAGACAAAATACGCTGCCCAAACCATCACATACCTAAAATTACACCTAAACAACACTTTGAAAACCAACTTACACAATAGTTCACAAGATGTTGATGCTTATCGTCAAAACAAAGGCCCATGTCTGTTTGAGTACCTTGATGAATCAATCCAGAATCGTCAGAATGTGGGATTCCATCGCGGTAGAAGGCAATCTCGCTTTCCGAGTTCCAAGAGACGTCGAGTGTAAGATCAGTCCTCTTCCGTGTCCGAAAAGCTTGAGTGTCGTTGGAGTCGTAGTGCTTGAAGTAGTAAAGCTAAAACAATAATCAAATATCAATCAAAATAGTCCAAACCCAATCATAAACAAGAAAAATTGGTTGAAATTATTCAGAAAAGACGTCCAAATCCAAAAGGATAATATTCAAGCGCAGAACAATGTCATGCTTACCGAATTGTCATTGATATTTTCTTTTAGATGCTCCAATTGCCTGGCACCAGGTGGGACAAAAGTTTTTGACCACACAGCAGCCATTTTATTCGATATTTGTTCAAAGAAAATCAAAAAAAATTTTTTGTCAATTTCAAAGAACCTATTGGCGCGTAGGTCTCGAACGGATTGATCAAATTCCGCGCCGGATTTGAAAAAAGATGTAAATTCGATTTTGAAATGGTTTTTGATGTGTTTTTATATTTTCTGGTGATTAATTACAGAAAATACAGTAAATTAAGTGTTCACAATATTTGTAATTCAAATTTAATCAAATAACAGATGCCAATGCTCTCAGTAATTGAAAACTCTGGAAGTTTTATGGATTCAGCAACCGTTTAACAAGTTTACAAGTAAGTGATTCTGTGTATATTGCTGGGTAAAACCGATTGTAAATACATGATAACAACGAGCCAAATGTTACTTTAGAGGAATGTTATTCATTGTAAAAGACAATAAGAAATGACCGGTAAAAGATAACAAAATGATAGTTTTTGGGTAGTGTGATTATAAAAGCTGTTTTTTAACTGTCGTTAAATTACAAAGGCACATTACTATTCCATCAACATAACATAATATGTAAATTGATATAACATAAGAAGGTAGAACGTTTGATATGTGATTAAGCGACCATGGGCGACAATGCTGTAGTCTCTGGGTCTTCTAACCTCACGTCTTTTTCATTTTTCTTCTTCAGACATGGTACCGCGAACATCATGGCACCACTCAAGAAGAGACAGACGCCGCAGAAGAGGAAGGTCCAGTCATAATTACCAGTAATATCGTACAAAACACCAGCAATTGGAGGTCCAACAACAGTGGCAATACCTTGAACCAGTAGAAGTAGACCAAACGCATTTGTAAGTTTTTCCACTCCAATTAGATCCACTAGTACCACGGATGTCAAGCACACGTAAGATGATATGAGGAAGCCAAAGGAGAAGCAGTAGAAGAGGAAGGCGTTGAAGTCGGTCATCATGAACACGAAGCAGCACGCTATTCCGTTGAACATCAAGGTCCAGTTGTAGATCCACAACCGGTTGGTCGTTGTGTCTTTGCCGTACTTGAACGGTAGTTCTCTGTCGCAGATCATTCCGAAGACGATTCGGCCGAGCAGGTTGGCCAAGCCGAAGGCAGAAACCGTTGTAGCAGCATCTTGTTTGCTGACCTTGAGTATGTTTTCAGCGTTCATAGGCATGTACATCGGAGGTCCGTTGAAGCCAATGCTGGTCAAGAAGTTGGAAGCCGCGAAGAGTACGTAGACTGGGTCTGTGAACAGCGACAGATCCAGCATCTTCTTCAGAACTCTGAAATTAGATTTTGGTCAGTTATTCTATATATGCAATCTGTTTTTACAGCGTTTATGTGTTTGGAAGGTACTATGATAACTTATGGTAATATGTTTACATTATAAGTATTCACTTACCTCCACATTTCGATAGCTCTGCTAGCACTTGTGGCCGTGCTGTCGTCGTTCTCGTCTTCTTCTGGTAACTCTTTGAGGATATCGACGTTGGAGTGATGGGTTTCCTTTCTCCTTGACAGTGAGTCTTTGTGGTCTAATGGCAATGAGGCTACAGAACGAATCTTCTCGTTATAATCCTTGAGTTCAGTGACTGATCTTCCGTAGAAGACATCCTTTACATTGAGGTATCCGAGGGAAGATACCGAAGCTTCTGACGTTTTGTGTAAATGTCCCCCGAGGGATCGTACCCTTTGTAGGTTGTTTTCCTTAGGGTCTTCGTTGATTCCTGTGTGTGACACAGCTGATCTGATCCCTCCGACCGCCAAATGATTATTAACGTTTGATACGATGCCATTCTTTTTCGGTTCTGCTTTTGTTTTCTCTTTTTCCTCTTCTTCTTCCTCTTCTTTCTTGTCTTCGTCATTGTAGATGGGCTCGAAGGCAATCGGCCTATACAAGGCACCACAAGGAATGCAGAGTAATACAACACCTGTAAACAAACAAAGTAAATTGTTGCAAAAGCATCTAAAATATGCAAAGAAAGGAGTGCTCAGAATACAGGAGGATGTTTTGCCTACACTTTGACCAACAAACTTATGATACTGTTGTCTATGAGGTCTTTGTCCTAAAGGACAAATGCGAGGCCAATTAAACTACTTTTTTGCCAAGATATGTTAGCATACCTGCATAAATAAGGAACACCGTGCGCCAGTTGAAGTGCACAATCAAGAATCCGATGATTTTCGAAAACACTGCGGTTCCCACGCCAGCTCCACAAACTGTGACACCCGTAGCCAAAGACCTGTATTTCTCGAAGTACATGGTAACTATGACGATGGCAGGACAGTACATCATTCCAAAGCCGAATCCCATCACGATACCCACCGAGACAAGTAAGTAGTTCATAGAGTACGCAAAGTACGATGAGGCACATCCTATTGAGGCGATGATGGCACCAATTATTGTTGTTAACCTACATCCGATCCTGTTACAGACGGCTGAAGCGATTGGACCCGCTGCCAGCATCAGACCAGTCAGTAGGGATAAGATAAGTGAGGTTTCGGCATTTGTGGCTTTGAATTCCTGAAATTGCTTTATTGAGGAGCCTTATTGCTGTTTCAAGTGTATTATCAATTATAATGTAATGTCATCATTTTCTTAATGTCAGGTTAGGTCTTTAAGTCTATTTTAAGCCTTCCGTGACTAATCTAAGATGACGTGCCAGACCAATGGTTTTTCTTATGATAGAAATCCACCTGAGCTCGATAGGTCAATTAGGAAAAGGAACATTTGTTTATCTGAACTTGAAAACAAATGTCGAAAACCAAAAATCTTGAATTTTAAACTTTAATATAGTTCTTGGTAGTAATCAAAGTCTATTCCCTTTATTTCCAATTGTACATTTCGTGTTGTTCAGCCTCCTCTACTTTCGAAACATTGTCATTAAAAGCTTTCAAAGGTCACTTTCATAATTACGAATTGTCACAAAAACTCGTAATTTTCATAAAAACGAGGTTAATTTTAAACAGCTAGCTGGTTGTTTAATAAACAAAAACTGTGAACGTTTAATATGTTGGGAACGTGGCTTAATTACCGTGAAAAACATGTTAATTATGCCTAATATTAGATGCCATAATTACATAAAACGGATTAAATACAAGTGCAGAACTCACGCTGACGAGACTCTCGGCTATAACTCCGAATGAATAAACAAATCCATCGGCAAACACGTGAATGCAGAACGAGCCGAACACCACCGCCCAGCCGTAGCCGCCGTCCAGGGCCTTGGGCTGCCATCGTACCGGTTCCCGACCGTCGGAATCTGCGACTTTCTTCTTTCCCATCGGGGAACCCTACCTAAACATCAATTATAACATCATAGAGAGGCACACTTCGGTTAATCAACGCGAATGTGTTAAGCGAAAGTGTTAAGAAGGTTGCAAACTGGCGCTTTAAACAGATTCAATGGGTGGGCAGATTATTCTTGCAATTGCAAGGTGAACATAAAAACACCGGGAATAACATGGCCTTAAGGCTGCTCTTCCCCCCTCCCTCTATGGCTCGTATTTAACTAAAACAGCGCGTTTTCCGGCTGCATTCCGGTCTAATTTTTAAACTGTTCGTTGTCAAAGTAAACCAGCACACATTTCGTGGCCAAACTCCTCAGGCAATAAAGTTGAGTTGCATAGACATTTATTTTGTTCTCTGGAACTCATTTATATTTACATGAATATAAACAAATTCAAAAATATAAATAAGATGAGTTTTAGAATCTTATAAACAATGGCACAACTTTTGAAAAAGGTTTTCGAATCCTAGAAAACTAGCAAAAAGTGGTTCATATTTAAAAAAATGCCAAAAAGACGACAAAGATTAGGTTGTTGCACTTTGTTAATGACAGAAGAATAATATGTGAAAGGGACGGACAGAATGTTCAGTGTAATATAATGTCTAGGACAATATAAAAGCCAATTCTTTTAAGGTTTCGCCCTTTCCTTGCCCTCGCTCTCATCCAGAAAGACCCTGCCCGCCTTCCGAGTGACCGACCAGACACAAAACCCCGCGAACGTCATTTTAAGGGATGAATTATTATAAGAGATGCGACCAGCAAGTAAATTTCAACTTTTCCAACCAAAAAGGGCTTTCTTTCCCGAAAACAGAAGGTCGTAAACATTCCCGAGATTCTGGAAGACCTAACATAATTTGTAAAACAATGAGCGACTATTAAGGAACTTGTAATTCGCTTGATAACCACCTTGATAACCACCATTTGTAGCGACTTTTAAGCCCTGATAGAAAAGTGTCGCCTTTCTTTATTTACCCAACGGTCTCTATGAAAAAAACTTCGAAAAAGGCTTTCGAATTCCAAAATCTGCATTTTTTGTTACAAAAAGGCGGTCAAAAAAGAGCTGGGACAGAAAGGACGGCCAGGACGAAAGGAATCAGACTGATTCAATTCCACATTCCGTCTGGTCTTATCGCTTAATGAAAGTACAACATCTTATCAGTCCGGTCCATTGCAAAAGGTAACAGGACACCGAAACGAGCCCGAGGGCATTTTAAATCTGAATTAAATGGGTCAGCAGCTGTTGGGAGAATAAAGGATCACGTGCACTGGGGGGATCGGCTGAAAAACAAGTCAGATGAGGTGATTGGGAGATACGGAACATATCCATCTTTGATATTAAACTGCTTACGCAATGAACTGATATCTGGCGTATGATCGAACACGTGAACATAAAGGAGCGTTGGACAGTAAAAGTTCATTTTTAGCTGTTTTCGTGAGGTTAACACTGTTTTGTAAAAAATGTAACTTTAAAATTGTGTAAAATGATTGATGCACTTTAATGTGGGAAAATTAGCAAAGTTTGATTAATTTGATTTGGAAAGTGTTTAGGTTTATTAAAATGATATAATGGTCACTCCAAGTAAAGCACTTCAAAGTGAAACGTGAAATTTCGAACTTTTTAAGTCGAAAAATCACTGCAATTAGCAGTTTTACAAAGTGCGAGTTTTCTATTTTGATAAAAATTGCTTTTTGAAATTTGTTTATCGCCCTTTCGCAAACTTTGGCATTGTATTTTACCATAATTCTTTATTTTACGTTTTTTGCTTATTTTTTTTTATTTTAGAAAATACATGGATAATGTCCATACTATATATTCCTGAATACATTAAGTTTCAAGTGATAAAAACAAATTTAATAGGGAAAAACGTGAAACACAATGCCATGAGAATAGGTATCAAATTTTAGAGCTTTTTATCAATTTTTTCAACGTGCTCACGCTTTGCACAAGTGCTAATTAGACTTTATGATATTAATACTCAAAGTTTAAAACAATTTCTGAGACCACCTTGATTATTGGCATCAAGTTTTTACATTACTATTCAAACCTTTACTCTGTCTTACATTTGGAAGTATACAAGCGTATATTATCTTTTTACTCTGCAATTATCACTTATCCTATAGTTACACATCATTATAATTAATTTAAACATAATATTTGTTCTGACTCAGCAAAGTACATAACAACCTCTACGGTACCTTCAGATTCCGCATCTGAATAAGTATTCATGACGCAGAAGGCGGCTCTCACGTTGTATCCCATCCTCCGAATTTTTATGTCTTTGTTTAGGTTTGGGCACGAAAGCTCAGTGTGTAATCTTGTTATCAACCACTTTGTGCCATTTATAACATGGTTAGAAGAGGTAACACAGTTAAGGATGATGCACTGTTAAGAATGGTAACACAGTAGATGATGACAATAACCGTAAGGTTGTAAACAATCTAATGATAACAATACAAGAGTGATGACAATGTTTGTTAAGGTTATTCTGTACGTATCATCAAAGATCTCGGGTTACTTTGGTAAGACTTCAAAGTAATTAGCATGACACGCAACATACCACATGTTACAACAACAGATGTTTCCAATGCTTGTTCTGAAACTAGTACTACGTGAGTTGTAGTTGTGAGAGTATGGCATTTAAATGACTTGGTAAAAGGTTGTTTGAGTATGGAGTTTACGGTCAAAATTTAAACTTTAATGGTGCATTTCAATTTAAATTTTAAGTTGAATTTGAATACTAAAACCAAAAGTTCTCGGACAGTTTTTAAAATTTGTTAAATTTATAAAGGTATATATTTAAAACATTATTGTAAGTGATATGCAAATTCACAGTATAACTCTCGATACTTGGTCAAATTATGCAAATTGGATTAGTCCAAACGTCCTTTTTCTGTCACAATTGAAACTCTTAAAATGTTACAAAATAATTGAAAGTAAAGTAAATTGAATTAGATGACAATTACAGTGACATGTCGTTACTCTTGAGCCTGTAATAGTAAGGTAGATGACATTGTAAGGTCAATCTACCACGGTAATTAACAGTTATTAAACATTACTCCCCACCCTTCTGCCCTCTCGCTTTAACTCTACAGTAACCGCTACTTTTGGGTAAACTCCGCCCCTCCCCCTCCCCCCTTCCGTCTTTTTTGAACTTGTGAAGCCGGCTTCGGTTCAGTCCAGTCCTTTCTTGTGTAGCGTCATGTTGAGTCGGTATCTGTGTCATCTGTGTGTTCTACTGTCCATAGTAATGGCCGTGATCAGTGGTAAGTGATACGACATTAATACCGTATTATTATGGTGTCGGATTACTGTAATTTAAACCAATTTGTCATTTTTAAGTGGATTTACACTTTCGAGAGTATTTTTAACCAGTTTTTGTTTTGGTTAAAGTAACGGAAACGAGCTAATAACAAGTTATTGTAACCGTGCATACGTTACAGCACGGTCAGTGAATCGTATGACGAAATTGGCTTCATTTTACTGTGGTTTAGTTTGGTTTTGTAAAACAACAAATTTTACAAAATTTTACATTGACTATAGAAAAGAGCAAGATATGTTGGATTAGTTATGTTACAGTAGTCTCAGACAACTTTGTTAGAAAAATTTCGAAAATTTAAGATTTCAACTTTGATAAGTTTAATCCTTTAAACTTTTCAAACAATTAAAGTTTGTATTGATTCTGAAACAGTACGACACAGTAGATTTACGGCCAAACACTGTTTTAAACTGTCAATTTGCTTAATTCGAACATTCGAATAATTTGTGTCGCGGGACTTGAAACAGCCTAAGGGACCCATTTTGGGCCCTCCTTTTAGAGATTTATTGCCAGCCGTTTGCCTGTAACATTACAACTTTGTGATATAACGAGTAACATGGTTTATTAGCTCGAACATACCACAACATGATTTAGAACAGTAACGTAGTAAAGTATGATAAATGAGTTGAAATGTTACAGTAGGATAAGGAAGTTGTGATTTTGTTTACAAAAATATTACCGTGTTAAGAATAATTTATGGGAGCTAAATCATAAAAACATGTTTTGTTGGTATTGTCTTTGGTAAGCATATGATCTATATTATGGTAGTTGCATCAAAATTGAACTTAAATTTTAAAAAACCTTTTTATTGTAAAAATTTTATCTAAAAAAGGGTTTTTCTTGAGACAGTCTATATCTCGATTTCATGTCAAGATATTTTGAGATCCTACGTAACGTAACTACGTTTGTCAATCTTGTTGTAAACAATATTACAAAGTCATTTAAAGTAAATTTAAACACTTAAATTTAAGCCAACTTTGCTACAACCTCCTTAAGTTAGCTTAAAATGTTTGTAAATGTCTGTTTTGGCAGTGTCATGATGACATATTTTTTGGAAGCTGCCTAAATTGCCTTCTTTGAACTAAAACGGAAAAAATAAAATTTCTTTTTTAATTATTGGTCTGTGATATTTGCAGTTTCCGTGGAAGAGCCAGAAGAATACATGTTCATCGCCAACCCCTACCCGTCGTGGCCCCTCCAAGATGTAAGTTAATTCATTGCCGCCATCATTCCCACAACAATACGAATATTATATGCCCAGTAGGCGTATTTATATAGCTATAAATATATAAGCGAAAACGCTATGATACACTTTTATACTTTGGGTAACAACAATACGTTTATATTAGACTAATAACAATGCTTGTTTGGGTATGTTATTGTAGGTATTGTAGTTTTTTCCGTTTGTTATGGAGGAAGTTTAAATTGTTATTGTAAAGGGTTTATAATTATTGTTAATCTGTTAGGAAACAATATCATTTCACAAATTAATAGTGACGTGGTCAAAAATTTTATGGAAAAATCAAAAGAAAGTCACAAAGTTCAGGATAGTAATCTTATAGCTATAGTACCATCCATAAACCCCTTACCAAGTCCTTTAGTAGAAAAACATTCCAATAAAGAAATATAAAAACACCTATTTACTTTGAGATTAAATTACATGTTACAATACCTTTTATAATTGTTTATATTCACATAAAATGGCACGTACACGTGCTTCGTAGACATACCTGTATGATATTTACATTTCAAAATATTTTTAAAATGACTATTCAGCGCTTAAAACAACAATACTTATTACTTACGCTTTGTAATCTTGTTACCACAATAACATGGCAGATAACTGCGTCACGTAATCTCTTCAAAATAACTTTTGCACTAAGATATGATATTTTACATAGACATCGTCTTGCAAAAATATTTAAATATGAATACCGTTTTTGAACTAGTTATGCCTAAAAGTTCGAAAAACAGCCATTTTTCATAGAATTCATTTAGGTTTTTCCGTTGATTTTCCTATATACTGTCACATCAAAAATTATACTTTAAGCCTACAAACTTATAGGCGTTACTACTTTAATATGCAAATTTTGCAGCAAGGTGAAGCTCCGCACCGAATGAAGAAATGGGCTTCTTCGCTGCGGTTCGGCAAACGAGGGCCAGGATGGGCTAGTCAAGTTCGATTCGGCTAAACTCAACTTCACCGTGCCAGTCCAATTCGTCGGTTCCTCTCTGTTTCTCAGTGGATCTCTCAGATTACAATACTATTTATTCGCGAAGAGATTTGTGACCTTAAGTTGTGTTAAGGTCGTAGATAATGTTCAAATAAAGGTTGATTTCTATAGTATTATACTGGAGGGTGATTTTGTGTTTATATTTCATGTTATTTTACCCCAAATGGAGCATGTTACTTTATAAATCAAACGAATTTTTGTTACGCACCAATCTCAGTAAGGTAAAACTAGTGACATTGTTTGATGGCAAAATATAAATCGCCTTTGTAAGAAATTTAACAAAAAAACATCTCCAGCTTCAACATTTTTTGACCTTATGTCATTAGAATAACGTCCAAATGTGAAAAGACAAAAAACAGGCGTATTATACACCTGAGTAGTAAAACACTTAGCCATATTGGGTCCGGAAGTAAGTTCATAACTCGTAATCATGTCGAGATTGCAAGTCCATCCGACCTTAAACTTGTATGTTAACATCCGGTTTGGGCGTTTCGGACAGACGGGTTTGGTCAGAAGAAACAGATTCTGACCTTTCGGCGGACAGTAGCAGGTGAATGCGCTACGGCAAAATCTACTACTACGACCGGTTGGGAAACAAGGTAGACGATCACGAGCCGGTTATCAAGAGTAAGTGTCATATAAGTCTGAACTGAACAGTATATTAGTGTCGTTATGTTACTACTGACGTCATTGATAACTTTGGCACAAAATCTATAGTTCATATGTGTAGCTATAATACTGTAACTTAATTCTAGACGAAATCCGCCATTTCTCAGTGAACTCCCCCAAGATCTCCAAGGTCCTAGCTGGCATACCTTTCGACGAGAACAAGGTATTCCCAGATTTAGACAAAGCAGAATCCATGGACGGTCTGAATATGCAAGAACTCATATCTTTCGACCGACCCGCCTTACCCGTCGACCTTGATGACATAGCCTTCCCCCAAACTGACAACGATCATGGTGGATATCCAGCTGACCCAAAGCCTGTATTCTCACCATTAAACGATCTCAAAAGCCCCGATGACGATAGAAAACAATTTGCCAAGGAGTTAGATCACTTGAGTGAGAACTTGAGCAAACTTAAAAGTGCAAATGAACTGGCAGAACAATTCAAGACTAGCCAGCTCGAGAAGGAGTTTGGAGCTGATGACCTATGTGATGACTGCATACGATCACTGACACGACACGGCCAACGACCACACAGACATGGTGCAGATTCTGCTCTGATGGGTGATAATGTAAGTTCGACCCAAAATAATCTTAACTTAAAGATTGTCGAAGAAAAAACTACAAAACTAATGGAATTTCTAGGAACAAGAGTGGCAACGAAAGCTCAGAAACCATGTAGACAAAGTGAACGACCAACTGTTTCATGACCAACGTAGAAGAGAGTTACTACCGGTAAGTTGTGTGACAAACAAACATTGTGATCTAACCGAATATAATGTAAGATTTCCGCTGGTAACGCTATTCTGTAACTAGTTATACAATAATATAAGTCATTACAACATCCAGATGAACGTATTACCACCATTTGCATATCGACCAGACGAAGACCAGGAAGTAATTCGAAAACAAAAAGAAAAGTACAGAATAGAACTAGAGCAAGACATTGAAAAGAAAGAACGAGCTAAAGTCGACGATTTCGAGAAAGGACAACGTTACAGTAACGTCCTTAACACGGCCGATGCCCAAGCTTACTACGACGACAAACGAAACCTAAAGCAAGTTCAAGAAGCCAACGAAAGGTACGACCAAGAATTCAATCGACGTCAGGTAAGTTTACACATTTGAAGTTAATTGTAAAACGAAGTGTACCAACCTGAGTAAAATTACATACAGGCCGAACTAAGAGCCAAAAGAGAGAGATACGATGAAGAACAAGGAGAATGGTGGGAAGACAGAGCAAAACAAGGTGAAATGAAGCTAGAAAGAGATAAACAACATTATATGGATCAGCTACGGCGCAATGAATTCTTACAGTAAGCTATATTACCGTTAACGTCATTAAGAGGTTCCTTACCAATACGCTTAACTAGTCCAAGATAAACCGCTATTTAACTTTAGTTTATAAGGGTTTTAAGCTTCTATTACCCGAAAATTAATCCCAGATTTCAGACAGAACATCCAGAACCTTCAAGACTTCGAAGACCGTTTCAAAGACCAAAAAGAAGCCCAACGTGCTCAGCGCTACCCTCATCAGGCCGATGTGCGGGCCAAAGTAAGCCCCATTACATTAGCCTTTACTGCCCATTTAGGTGAAGAGATAGTCGGAACTCATTTCAGGTCGAGATTCAGTCGGAATTAACACGACCAGAAGCTGCCCGGAGAGCTCGAGTCAATCTCGAGTCCGTCTGGGACCAATGGGCCGAAGCTCATCAACGGAACGATCGACGGAAGCGCGTCCTACAAGAGCACGGCCGAAAATCGGCGGTTGACAACCGGGTGATATTTGACACCGCCGGCCCTTCACATTCACATCATCATCACACGCCACACGTCAAGTGTTGCAGGAGATGTCATCGGCCCATGCAAATTATCAACTGAGTCTTAATTAACTTTGTCTTTCGCGAAATTAAACAAACTGTTCCCTCCGGGCGGTAAAACTCGAATTAAAGTGTTTCTTAGAAATATGATTTAAAAAGTACATCATTTAAAGTATTTCCAGTAAAATTTAAACTTTTGAATTATTTCTGCTTCAAATACAACTAAAAAAAGGCATCTGAACAAAAGAAAATACTTTTTTACCATACAAAATCAAAACATTGACTTACTTTCGTATACAAACCACAAATAGAACGTTTACATGCCAAGAAACAGAATTTTGTTTTTTCAAAATTTTCTGGATCTTCTCGAACTGCATTTACCAACAAAGTGTCAAAATTGATTCCTGTTTTTATCGAGAAAAATTATTTTTTACATTTTTTGGAATTTCAGAGCTTTTCAAGTTAATCTTTCATGAACAAAACCGAAATTGGAAGGAAACAAACAGCCCAAATCTAACAAAAGTTTACTAAACAAGATATTAGAATAAATAAGTTCTACTCTGTTTACAGCTCGCTCTTTTTGTTCTCCTTCTTCTCCTCCTTCTTCTGCTTCTTTGGAGGTTCTGGACCGTCAGACTTCTTGGCCGGCTTCTTTGGCTTCAATCCGTCGGCCTTCTTGAGATCAGGAACGTCGATTTCAAAGTGGCGCAACACATCCTTCATGGTGTTGATGATATCGGCTGGAGACGAGTAGTAGTAAGAGTAGTTCTTGTACTCGGCTTTCTTGTTCTTGAATTGTTCAAGAAGGTCACCGTTCTTGTCCAAGAACATCAGACGAGGAATGTACTTTCCATCGGGACGGTATTCCTCTTCGTATGGCTCTTCATCGTCAGCAGTGTTGACCATGACAAAGTATTCTGACAGGCGTTTGAAGGCCTTGCGGGCGTTTGATTGTTGCATCGTCTTCTTCAACGCTAAAAATGACTCAATTTATGGAAAATTTTGAAAAAATTTCTATTTCAAAAATTAATTCAATGCTTAATCGTATTCCTCAATAAGAATATGAAAAAGCTGACTAATGTAGACAATTAACAAGTTTTAAAAACATTATTTTTAAATAGAACTTACATTTGCAAGCATGGCACCAAGTTTTGTGAACCAACAAGAAGACGGGTTTGTTAACTTCCAAAGCCTTCTCAATGGCATCTTCCCACTTTACCCATTCGATGTCGTCTCCGAAGCCGTTGGCCAAAGGATTCTCGATGGCATCAGTGAACTTCTTCAGAGGATCTTTTTCAGCATTAACAGCCAAGACCGCCAAACAGGCGAGGACAAACAGTTTCATCCTTAAATTACAACAATTATCAATTATTATACAACTAAACCATGATTAAAATAACAAACGATAGTAATTTAAACGATGATAAAGCAAAACCAAACTCACGAAAGCGAAAAAAATTTAAAAAACTGTTATATTTGGATTTCAGTGGGTAAGGGGTGACGAGGCGAAGGCTTTGTCCTTGACCTCGAGGTAGATTCTCGAGAAACCGTGTAAAACAAGTTTTAACTTTTGGAATCACACAAATTCTCTGAAATACGACTATTCCTTAATTGTCCAGGTATTATTAGTTAAGAGGGAACTCCACTCTTCCGCGCACTGCTTGACACGTCAGCTAACTTCAGTCAGTCCGCGACCGATCGCTGGAATTACTCCGCCTTCATCTCCAAAAGAAGGTAACAGAGCTATCCCGAACGTTCTGCGTATCACTTATCTATCCAGATTTGATATTTCTTCGTATGTCATTTTTTGTTTAAAACATGCGTGCAATACCTTTATGTTATCATAGATTTTTAATTCAAAGTTGCTTTGAAAAAACTTTTATTACAAAAACTGACAACATAGGCTCACAAAAACACGTTTTCATTACAAAAAGAAACATAAATAGTTGTTTAAAGTAAGAGTTAAGTTACTAACGCAAATATGAGAATTGGTTTTGAGCTGGGGTTTGGGCAAAGAACCCTTGGCCTTGAACTTGCCGAGAGACAGCACGAGATGGAGCGAATCCCAGAAGCTTCTGCAGATTCTGACGGATGCTCATGGTGCACAGAATGTACAAGAAGATGAAGGAACAGTCAGTGTAGTCGTCTCCGACCAGATTTCTGTGCGAAAGACCTTGGACCCAGGAGATCGGTTCGAAAGGCAGCTTGGCCACAACGCGGCCTTCGAAGATGGAGGAGAAGGTGGACAACAAAGCCGTGAACACGAAGCCAATGGCCATCATTGACTTCATCCTGAACATGGACAAGTCTCTGTTGGTGGTCTTCAGGCGTTCTTCTTCTCTCTCGATCTTCTTCTTGGCCGTTCGGCTGGCCGCTGACTCCGTTGTTTCCTTTTTCTTCTCCAATCGTTTGGTTTTTCGTTCCATCAATGTCTAAAGAAGGATAATTTCAATAGAAAATGATTTGATCGTAATACCTTTCAAAAGTTCCAAAAGCTGATTATCTTACCTGCAATTTCTTGTACTCTTCTGACCTGTAAACCAATACATACGTCAGACCTTCCCCAAGAAGTGCCGTACAAATGGCGATGACAATAATCATGATCGCATCGCTGTACATATTTGCACCCTACAGAATACCACGTTGTATATTAATAGTAAAATTATAATCAAAGTACACGAATAAGCAATATAAGATATTTAAAAGAACAAAACTTACGTCCAAACACCGAATATTGAAACAATCTTTATTAGCAACAATCTTCAACAAACAAAAACTTAAATAAAAGGCTCAATGTTGATCTCCAGAGCACAACAAGGCATATTTAAATTAAAATTGGCCAAGACTTGGGGATGTAGAATACCGAAGACACCGAGCTGGGTTACCGTACCCTTTTCGTCCCTATAGTTTATTTCAGCTGATCGACCAGGGAAGTATGTGGCATCATCTGAAAACAAAATAAATGCAATGGAAAATAACTACAACTCATTTGATAAAATTATAAAAGATAACCAAAGATACTTTGCTTACCTTCTTTTTCCTTGATAAAGTATCCTCGTCCTCCACTTTTACTTAACGGAACGTCCAACACTTCAAAAATCCTGTCCAGCAAGCCATGGATAACTTCGAAACTGCCAGTCTTACTGTAATATACAGCCGCGGCATTGCGTTGATTCCGAGAATTCGTGTCTAAATAAAAATAAAATAACAAAAAGAGATGCCTTACCTTTCGTCGTATCCTTAAGGATAATATCTTGTACCTCGAACAACTTTATTGGCAGTGGCATCTCTTTGTTGTTACTCAAAGTCTTCAAAAGGCCTGGCAACAACGAATTCCTGGCCACTTGGAACTCCAAGGTTTTGGGATTGGCGATTTTGACACTGTTGACATCTTTCCTGTTCAACTTTGTGGTAATGTCATCTTCTGAACACAAAGCAAAGTTCATGACTTCAGTCCAGCCGGCTAAAGCTAATTCGTTCCTCAATTGATCAGACAACTTATTCAATGGGTACGGTTGCGCTACAGTATGGGCTTGCGGTAGCCGAGTGGGCAAGTTGTTGTAACCAAAAGCTAAAGCCAAGTCTTCGGCGACGTCACATTCGTGAAGCACGTCGTGTCGGGTTGGAGGAATTGTTACCTAAATTAGACAAGTTTTATATTTTATATCAAAAATAGATTAAGTTTAGGTAATTAAAAGTTTTAAAATTTAAAAATATGTTATTCAAATATAAAAACATACAGTAACCGTCCCCTTTTTGTCTTTCTTTGCCGAAAGTGACATTTTAGTCAACAACTCCACGGCTTTGTCAGCTTCCACATTAATACCGATCTTGGTGTTCATCCTCTGCACATCAACATTCTGCTCTCTGTAGGACAACGACTGAAATCAACATTGCTACACCTTTTACTTGCACAACAAAGTAATATTAACAAAACAAACATACGGTCAGGGCCGGGCGCGAGGGGGGGAGATGAGGGGGGGTACCCGTACCCCCCCCACAGAAAAAAAATTTTTTGAAAAAAATTTGAACGTGGTCCCCCCTGTGAATTTTTGGAAAAAAATTTTTGAAAAAATTTGAACGTGGTCCCCCCCCCCTGTGGATTTTTGGAAAAAAAATTTTTGAAAAAAAATCGGCACCTGCCCCCAGACCAAAAGTACCCGCCCGGCCCTGCATACGGTCAAAACTTACAGGATAGACAGCTTCAGTCATTTTTCCATTCTCATACACCACTTTTACTGGTTCTACTGTAAACTTCTTGGTACAATATTGACTGAACAAAGCTACAATAGTATCCAAAACAATATTGGCTTTGTTGAGATCGACCGCAGTAGCTTCAATAAAAACATTTTTTGTTTTCAAAGTAATTTTGGAGTGATCGCTGTTGATGATTGGAGGTAGTGAGCATACGACATTGTTGGAATCGAAGACTACTGGATACAAAGGCTTGTCCTTGATGATTGGAACAAACTCTCTCAGATGGAGCTCATTCTTCTGCAAATAAACAAAATATAACCTAAAAATCACAAAATTCCATAGTTTTTTTGACAAAAGCAAATGTAGCAAAATATTTTCAAAACATTAAAAAAACAAATTAAACCTACCTCATACTCCTCCAACAAATCTTTGGCATTGTATTCCTTAGTCTTGTTCAGTGGAACAAACTTAATGTCCTCCGGCTTCAAAGCTCGGTAGTAAAAAGGTTCCTTAACCGTGTCCAAATCGTGAGTGCCAACAGATACCAAAGTCCTTTTCCTGCAGATGTTCTGATGCAGTTTATCTTGTAAATCGATAAAGCTGTTGTAGGTATCCTCATCAAAAGTTACGTCTCTCAAAATCGCAGAGACGATGTAAGGTCTCACTGCTTCTACGGACTTTTCGACCTTTAACACAACTGGATCCTTTACTTTTAACACTTCATATCTTGGAGGCTTCTCGCTGAAATCATAGTTCATGTTATGCTTAAAACAAGAGACAAACTGTAAAAGTAAAGTCAACATAAAATTAAAGCAAAAAAGGTTAAATAATCTTACACTCCTTCGAACACTCTCAAAGCTCTGGCTAGTCCCTCTACACACAGTAAGTCGTAACGATTAGCTGGAACTTCTATCTTGAATGTAGACTCTTCTTTTCCTTCAGCATTCTTCTCTACTACCTAAAAAATAAAAATTTAAACAAAAACTATCAAAACCTACAATATCATCCAATTCCAATCCGTAGTTAAAGAACACTTCGTCCAATTCCTTCTCAGTGTATTCTCTACCAAGATATTTGTCCAGCACCCTCTTCTTAATCCCAATTGTTGGCATCTAAACGGCAAAAATACACGTGGTAATAAACAAGACTTAAATTATAATCACTTAAAAATGTCTAAAACAATAAAAAAATATAAAGACATAAGTAAGTTATTGGTTATAACCAAAACCGCCAATCTGCTTCATCAAAGCTAGTAATAATTTATTAGAATAATAAAATTAGCTAACTATAAATAAATTAAGGGTTTATAAAGCAGTGTCCAGTAGTTTCCTCGTGAAGGCATCAAAGGAAAAGTAGTCCTGAACTCTCGTCCTTCCAGCTTTACCCATTTGCTGAAAACTTTTCGAATCTTCCACTGCCTTCACAAAAACATGAGCAAAGCTGTCTTCATCAGCTTCTGGATCCACCAAAATCCCTGTTTTAGTGTCTTCAACAGTTTCAATTGGTCCTCCGCTTCGAAGTGCCAAAACTGGCGTTTCCAACCACATCGATTCCAAAGGTACGATACCAAAGTGTTCGTTCTCAGGTGTGTAGAACAATAAAGTAGCCCGTTTTAGCAGCTCTATCTTCACATCGTCACCTAAACATCAAACTATAATAACAAAAACGTTTAATTGTAGACAGATACAACATTTTACTTACTTGGACTCTTCAAGAACTTGACATTGTCATTCAATCCAAATTTATCTGTTTTCTCCGCCAACTCGTTGTAGATTACCTTATTTTCACCATTCAACGGATCGTATCCTCCAGCAAATACTAACAGACATTTATCAAACTTTTCAGCAGGTATTCGATGTTTCAGTCTCTCTAAAACAAGAAATGTACGTAAATTTACTATAACAGAAATCAAGTAATATAAAAAAATCTACCTCAGCAACTTTAAAAAATGTAAAACTCTTACCAAACACATTTAACGCCAATAAGTGATTCTTCTTGCCCTCAAACCTGTTCAAACTGACAAACACAAACTCATATTTATCCTCGACATCTAAATGACCATCGGTAGACTTATCCAAGAAGTCCGTATTCACACTTGGATACAACACATCAAATCTGGATGGATCTACAGACGGAAATGTTTCTTTGCAAACATTCTTAGTAAACAACGAATTAACGTATATTTTGTCAGCCAATGCTAAAGTTTTGTTTTCTAATCCATCAATAAAGTATCGATATGCTTTCTTTAGTGAACCTTCTCTTTTTGTCAGTTTTTGATCAGGAAAGTGACAGTAGAATACCAGTTTTGGACGATAAAAGAACCCGGCTAGTTTGAACAGAAACAACGGAAGCGATATCTAAATAAACACTTAATAAACAAAAAACCTTAATTTAAGTTTATGTGCTTAAAATAACAAGTAAAATTTTAATCTAACATATAAGCTCTTACCTGATCTATAAATACGACATCGGCCGTGGCATCAAAAATTACATAAAGAGCGGCAATACACAGGCGTAGATATGCAAATAAAGCATAAAACTTGTTGAACAGGGTCCTGGGTACCCATTGAGCAGTAACAATGATACCTAAAATAGCAATTATCAATACAAACTCAACATACTGTCTTTAAACTTGAGAGCATCCGAGAAACAATGCGTTTCGCTAAACTGGTTCGTTACGATCTCGATCTGATGCCCATTCTGATCAAAAGCAATTGCCGCATCCAGCACTAGACGTTCAGCTCCCCCCACACCAAAATCCGGATGTAAAAATGTTACTTTCATTCCAAGTATATACACATTTCATACAAAATCCCCAAACAGAACCGTTTTTGTCCAAGAATTACCTCATAAACTGCACTTTGACACTTCGTTTCAATAACAGCGTAGCGAAGTGTCCCTAAAAATATTATTTGTTTGTGATTGAACACGAACGCAAAATAAGAATACTTTTTTATTATTCAGAATGGCGGAGATACCGAAAGGACTTGCTCCTATCTCGTCGTTTGTAAAAATTGCCAATGAATACAAGAATCGAGATATTGTGATCTACTACTGGAGTAAGTTTTTGAACTTTTTTTACTTTTTTTGATTTTATATGTAAATTATCATAAAATTCATTGTTTTAGCTCTGTTCCATGCTGCCAAGCAGGCTATGGAGCTTTCCAAAGATTCAAAAGAATCAACAGCGTATTTGGTTGGCATGTTGGATGAACTGGAGAATGTAAGTTTGATATTATAATTAATATTGTGAAATGTTAGGTTAAGAAACAGCACCCAGAGAATGAGTCATTACGGGTTGATGTTGCTGCACAAGCTCATATTGAACAGCAGGCGGCCAAATTGTTTAATTTCGCCGATAATAAGGATCGCAATGGAGAGTTCAACAAGAACACCATCAAGGCTTTTTATGCTGCTGGTCATCTGTTCGATGTTCTGGCAGAGTTTGGAGAACCTGACGACGCTGTACTGGTGCGTTTTTATGTTATATAATTCTCTAGTTATATTTGGGATTATTTATTTTTTATATTTTTACATAATCTATAATATGACCTTAAATATATTGCTTTTATTTCAGAATAACCGTAAATACGCCAAATGGAAGGCTACGTACATTAATAACTGTTTGAAGAATGGAGAAACCCCAGTGTCAGGCCCTCCTCCTTCCAGCAAGGATGAAGATGATGAACTTATGAGGCAACTAATCCAAGTAGATGACATTAAACCAACGCCTCCACCACGCTCTTCTCCCCCAAATTCCGCAAACACGAACGTTGCAGATTCTCAGAAGTTTGGATGGAGCGATATACCTTTCGAAGGTCCGTTTTCTTCTCCGAACAGCAACACTTATAACCAGCCGGCTACGAATTCACCTTATCCTACGCCTTATTCTCAACCCGGTAGTCAATACCCTGGACAGTTCTTCAATCAGCCGTTCAATCAACCAAATCAACCTTCTTACGCACCGCAACCATACCAGCCTCCTGCTGCACAACCACAAAGCAATCCGTCGTCAACGACTTCTTTACAGAGCAGTTCTAGCAAAGGTGAGATCAGTTTGTCTACTACAACATGCTATTTAAAGCCCTAGTTATTTTTGGGAATGAGTAATTTTAAGTTTACTCCAAAAAATCATTCTTTTGATTGCAGTAAGTCTCGAAAACAATCTCGAGGCTCGTCGCTTCTGCAAAATGGCGTGTTCAGCGTTGGACTACGAGGATGCGAAAACAGCGATCGAGTTTATGGAGAAGGCGTTGGCAGTATTAAGAAAGTAACCATAGCTATTGTTACCACATGTACAATTCGTATGCTAAGTAAGTAAATGTAATGTATTTACAGCGATATTATTGTGATATGAAATAAAAATTTGAATTAAAAAGCGGAATGGAGATGCATCAGATCAGGGATCACCGGTTGAGGAATGGAATTGTAGTTGGTACTAGATTAGTCAAAAGTTAATATATGACACTTCTACGCACTTTTTGACTAACGTAGTACAATTATCGTGTAGTGAGTACCGCACCTAATATTATAAGTGTAGCGGATACTACAAGCGATAAGTGGTAGAATGTTGTTATTTCTCGGCGTCGGCTCCACCACTCATATCCATCGTGAGGGCCTGGACAATCCAGGGGTCATTTTTACTGCCTTGTTTGAACTCTTCACGTGTCAGTTTCCCGTCGAAATTCTGAAAACAGATTAACGGTACTTAATAGTCCCCTAGTCTCTTCAAGGGGAACAATACTCTTCTATAATATTACAATGAGATTATTAAGTGTCATCATAATTTCACTACTCTACAGATAATTGTGAATTCTTTACTTCAAGACCATTTATGATGATGTGTTTAATCATTTACTTTGAATTTGAAAGTTTCTTACCAAATCCATATTTGAGAAAATCTTCTCCACTCGCTTCTGTGGGGTGTCCTCGTCTTTGGGCAGCTCTAACATGTTTCCTATCATCGAATAGATGGCGTCCACAATATTAGCCATCTCTTCTTTTGTTATGAAGCCGTCTTTGTCTACGTCGTACAACGAAAAAGCCCCTGAAAGACAATAACATCAGGGTAATAATATTAATATAGATGGGAAGGGATTAGGGACAACTTACAATCTAGTTTCTCGTCCAACGTTCCTCTGGACGTGATGGATAGGGCGGCAATGAACTCTTTAAATGAAATGTGACCATCCTGAAGTGTTACGTAGTATACGAGTAATGACACTTATATAGTATTCAAGACAACAAACATTACCAAGTCTTGCTCAAGGCATTAAAGTTTTAAAATGCACAAGTTTGGCGAGTAAGAGCACTACATTAGCAGGTCCACTTACTCTGTTGTCATCAAACACATTAAACACAAATGCAGCGAACTTGGAGGGATCTCCGTTGGGAAAGAACTGCTTGTAGATGTTCTGGAACTCTTCCAGCTTGAGCTCGCCACTAGGACAGTCTCTGACAAAGTCTTTGTACCACTTTCTAAGTTCTTTCTTTGTGACTAAAATGTGTTTGTTTATAGTGCAGGTAATATACAAAAAAGAATGTTGTTCTTGACGTAAACATTCTTACTCTGACGACACCCTTTCAACAAATATGATTCATATTTGACATAAATATAGTTTCTAAAGGATAATATACGTTTTCACATGACATTTTAGTATAAAAAAAGTAACGCTTACAGTATGTTTTGCCCTCTAGTTCTTCCAAATCCTCCATTGTCAGCTTCTTGTTGGCCTTCTTCGGTTTACTTGACACGGTGGTGTTATTGCCGTTTATGTCATTGGGCCTAGCCGATTTACTTTTGTGCTGACCCATTGTGGAGCTGTCTTACAGCAAGCTGAATTTACAATCAGTGAAAGTAAGTTATTGAAAAGATAAGAAACGCAGTTCGGACACGTTTGTTATAAATAATGTGTGCAGAGTATCATATAACAGACTAATATAACAAACTGCGTCGAGTATCCTTCGAAACATTCAAATTAACAACATTTCGAAGCAAAACATTCAAATTGGGACGATTCGGAAGCCAAAAAGATTAAACTACCACTTTTTGAAAATTAAAAAGTAAACATTAGATGAAAAGCAGGCTTCTAGAAATATTAAAGGCTATTTACGTTCCTTATCACTACGTCACTCCATCGATCACCGTTTACGATTGCGCAGCCTGTGGCAGTTTCGTATTCAACCGAGTTGAGACAGCTGGCTGGCTGACCTCACCTCCGTCCACTTGTTGCTCTCGAGTGTCAAAAGGTATTTTGTCACTCGGACTCGTTTACGTTGAAATATAACATAAATAGGTGAAACTTAACATACGGAAAAGAATCTTAAAGAACTATTAAATGTAAAATGAGTACAACAACATAGTAAATCTTTTTCTAAATTTACAATATAAGAAAATTAACTCTATCACGTAAATACGGAGAACCCATAACCGTAAATATAAGAAAATAGGTACTCAGAATTAAGGAAATTTATATTGCAATAACAGTAAGAAGTAACTCCATCACGCTCCATGATTTATGTTCTGGATTACCGTAAGCCTTTGATTGCCAGGTGGGAAAACAAAGGGCATTAATATAATTTACACACGAATGGCGCTAGATAAGCGAATGTGCACAAAAGCGATAGGCATTTGTAGTCTCAAAAAGGGAATACTTGACTCTGGGGCTGGAACGCCGCTTCCCCGGGCCTGGGATTACATCGGCCAAATCCGAAGATACTATGGCCGTGGGTGGAGCGGGGCTTCTTACCTAGCCCCTATAATCAGTGTCTTAATAATGAGTACGAGTGTCTTAGCGGATTTCTAACACGAGTTGAGGGTGGATTTAAGTGTATAATACAGCCGGCGGGCCACAATGGATTGGGATGCGGATTTCCGATTCGGCGTGACTTCAATGTGAAGTCGGTTTGGGCAAAAAGCGACTTCAGAAGGCTTTCAAAAGACCCCTAATCACACAAAATTAAGCAGGGAACTTTGACGGTGACGTTTGGTCGTTTCCTATTTATCCCGCGGAAAGTAGCGGCCGGTGTACGGGCTCGCTATTTCATCTATAAAATACATTACTGTGCTCTCGTTTAAATTAGTGGCCTAAAAATAGGTTACGTATCATACAAAAAAACTCAGTTATATCTAAAATTATATAGTCGCTTTCCCATTCCAACCAACTCATAGTTTAGAAGTCGTCTTTTGACCTAATTTAAAAAGGTTACGGTACGAGCCGTTACATATAACGTAAAATACCATGGCTACGACGCCAACACCAGAAGCACAGCGTACGATGACAATTTTGGCCAACGTGCCAATGACATGCGGGTCGATGGAAAACAAACAGAGATTTGAGATACATTTCTTCGGCCGATTCCCACCAATTTATAAAAACAATATGAATAAGGTTAAGTGAAGCGAGAGGTCCTTTTCCAGATGCCCGGTTTGTTTTAAATCCGGAGATATAAAGAAGTTCGGTGTAAGAGACAACATGTTACTGCCCGCGAAAAGTATTACGTCGGATTAAAGGCCGCAATTGTAAGTGGAAGCAAGAGGAAAGTCGAGAGTTCGTGACATGCATCCTCATTTGGGTGTTTAAATGGGACGAATTCAGTTGAGGTGTCTCTCTGCGAAGTCTCATCCACAATTAATCCAACGTTTCGGCTGCCTTTGTCCCATTTGATGAGCAGCTTTCAACTTTATTCGGCCGACAACACTTGTAATTATACGAGTGTCAAGTATTCGGACAGAATTGTCATCACAAGTGGTTCATAAAAATATTTTAAAACTAAGCAGTCACAACTTAAGAAATGACACAAACATGAAAATGTCGTGAAATTCAAGAATTTAATCAACCCGTCTCACACAAATAGATAATATACACGAAGAAACATTAGTTAACGTTAGTCATCGTCTGATTCAACTTCTCCGGCGTCAGTTGCCGCGGCCCCATTCCCGATGGCTTTCATCCTCTCATCACATTCATTATGAATTCGGCTGAACGTCGGAATCTTCTCCTGAATTATTTGTGGTTAAAGTTTTGAAAAGGCTGGCCATAAAATGGACTACTATATTAATGACTCATCAAAACACGTAATGAATCAAGAAATAGTATAAATAATAATATAATTACGACGCTCGAGGAAATGGGTTTTTGAAAACAAAATGATTTAGTTATGTATTGAGACCTCGTCATGAGAAAGACATTCCAATAGCTATAGCACTGCTATTGAAGACGTTTTTAGTTGTTCATCAAACAAAAGTAAAATTCACACTTAATCTACTTCCACCTATTCGTATCATATAAAATACCTTTAAAAATTTAAAACTAAAGATTTTTGTAGAAACAAACAAAGAAATGTAAGCAAAATTAGTTTTGGCAAAAGTAGAAACTATTACTTTAATTATCATAACTTAAATTAAAACAGCTCCCTACCTTTTGAAATATCCCTCGTTCTTCAGGTGGTATTGGCACGGTCTGTCGTACCACCAATTGAATTATTTCCTCAACCAACACCATCAACTTGTCCGCGAGAATGGCATTCCCAGTATTCGATGTCCAAGCGTCAACTTGACATAACCGGTGGATGTAATCTCGGAAAATGTCCTCCATTTTACCTAAATATGAAATTTAATAAAGGGAAGTCTATCTGAAATTGATTAAAACATTCTAATTTAGTTTAAAAGTTATTAAAAGTAAGAGTAATATTATGTTTGCTATGTGGTTTTCTATGACAAAAAACATGTTTAACAAATACTTACCCATTTTGTTCAAGCCGTACATTAAAGCTGCCAATGCAATATGTGTTGGTGTGTATAGTAACATAACGTCGCTTAGTAAACATTGCTAAATAATAACAATATCATTTTCTTCGATAATTTTTCTTTACCTTGAAAAAGGCATCTGAATATTCCCTGATACCTTCCAAATCAAAACCCAGCATGCCGTGTGTCTTCATTTCAATCAGATGACCCTCAAATGACCTGAAGGGGCAATGAATAGTCAACTGATAATCCAATTTAAACATTATTATCGGCTCCCAATGAAGCACACATTCTGCATTCTGTTCTGGAGTTCCGGAACTAAAACAAGAAACATATAAACCATGAAAGAAACTTACTGTAAATTGGCTATAAAATCGTGGACCGTAATATTGAACTCGTCTACTTTGGTCGCCAAATAATAGGAAGCCATCATGATGTTCTTCGGGGAGTATTCCATAGCTGAATGTCTCAAATAAAACCTTTTGAAGAAAGCGAAAGCTGTCCATCTGACAGCCGGCCACATTTTAGGTACAAACTCGTCGCCAAACCTAACTCCAGTCTCCTGAACTATCTTCAAAAGTCTGTTTTCATCTTGAACACCCAGCAGGTGATCTTCATCTTCCGGTTTCTGTAAAAAAGGCCTCAGTTTGTCTCTGTAAGCTTGATTTGCTCTGGTCCTCAATTCTTGAATTTCATCAGGATTGGAGAATGTCCAATGTTGTTTTTGTGTACTAGTTGGATACATTCTAATAAAAAAATATATCGATGAAACTGTTTGGTAAAACTTGTAAAATAAAATAAGGAATAAAAGATATACACGAAATGCTATTGACTGGCCAATTTTTGGAAAACGACGACCTGGTATTTATGTGTAAAAAATATTGATGCACCTCATACCTATCAATACCATCCAAGTTTAATAATATACGATATTACGTTTGTGATTTTGAAACAAGGTTTCTAATGACATATTTTACGAAATCAAACAATTTTTATCACAATATATTGCAATAGGACTCTGGAACGTCACTGAAGATTAACCGACAAATTCCATACACAAACAACAATAACTAACTACTGATTTATTAGACTTAAAATATGCAAACACAACCAGAAATTAATCATAGTTTGAAAAGGCGAGGATCAACCTCGATTCACTCGTACAACCATGGTTGAGTGGCGAGCTTGTAGTTGACAAGTTCTTCAGGCTTGAACCAGTGGGCGATCTCGCGGTTGGCGGATTCAACAGAGTCGGATCCGTGGCAGATGTTGCGGCCAGTCTGGATACAGTAGTCACCACGGATGGTTCCTGGCAACGATTGGAGAGGGTTGGTGGCTCCGAGGATGGCGCGGCCTTGCTTGACGGCGTCGAGGCCTTCCCAAACGGTGGCGACAATTGGGCCGGAACTCATGTAGGAGATAAGTCCTGGGAAGAAAGGCTTCTCCTTGAGGTCACGGTAGTGCTCTTCCAAATGTTCCTTTGAAGCAACCAAGGTCTTAATTCCAACAAGTTTGTAACCACGGTCTTCGAAGCGGGCCAAGATCTTGGCAACCAAACCTCTTTGGACACCATCGGGCTTGACGGCGATGAAGGTGCGCTCGGTGGTAGACATGATTAAATGCTGGAAGAGCTCACTATATAGGTCTCGGTACATTCAAATACATTCCAAACGCGCTAAAGTGGGTAATCCCGACAAGAAAAACTAAATTGACGAAGAATCCGGGCCAAGTTCCCCGGGCAACCGATAAATAAGCGGCTTTAACTCCGCTAAACCCGCACAAACTAATCACCAACTTTTGCCTACCTTTGGTCTTCGTCTCCAAAAAAAAGTTATCCCATTTTTCGACAGGCTTGCCTGACCCTGTGGTTGGTCTCGAGGCGACCGTGGCAATGTGCAATATTGAAAAATATTTTACCAAAAATTGTAAAATTCTTTTTTAACGGAATTTAACAAAATATTTGGAATGTCAAAAAGAAAATCTGAATTGCTCAACGAAAGTGGGGAAACGAAGAAGCGACATTTTGGTAGTACAGATTACTTTACAAAAAGGTATCAGACAAATATACCAGATTCATTAATAGCTCGAATAAATGATGGCACAACTTCAACACGGAACCTCTCAGTTAATTCGTTTCCCGAGGCTTCAACGCAGTTATTAATAAACACCAGTTCTGATCTAGTAAGTTTTATCATTTTATTGTTATTTGCCTAGATACACAACGAAAACTTGTAATTTTTATCTTAACGTTTAGGCTATTGACAAAAAGGAGATTTCCCTGATTCCAAACATAGAATTTGTGCATAAGCGTTTGCTAGCTGACAACAAACTGAATAACGAAGACCAGAAGTTGTTTGGTATTTTTGGAAGATATTTGGATGTTTGTTACGCTCGACCTCAAGGAAAATATACTGTAAGTTGTATTTTGGTTACTAATCTTGCGTTTTTAGGATGCCTACTGTTACCACATACTCAATCACTTGTTGAGGTCCAAGAATCAGATAATATTAAACCAGCAGCGGATAGAAGCAGCAAAAGTAAGTTGCATATGTCTATTTATTTTATTTTGATAATTTATTTTTTACGTTATATCTTTATAGCAGATAAAGGAAGACATGGATTAACTTATGAATTTCAGAATCAGTTGACTGACGATCTGATTGAAGAATGTCGAGACCAAGGGCTTACCCGACCAAAAGTACTGATTCTGGCTCCATTCAAAAAGCATGCTTATGACATTGTTAAGACTATGACTAGGATATTACTGAAGGATGACAAAAATCATATTTTAAATTTGGCCAAATTTGAAGATGAATATGGTCCGACAGAAACTGGAATGCACGATAAATGGAGGGCTCCAGAAGACTTTAAAGTAGGCCTATTTTTTAGATTCTATTTAATAGCTCATATTGAGTATGTTTCATCACTTGATTTTTATTTGTATGGAATTAAAAAGTATGATTAGGTATAGTAATGTAAAATTTTAGGAGTTGCTTTCTGGCAATATCGACGACTCCTTCAGAATCGGGTTATCTTTGGGAAAGAAAGCGATAAAACTGTATACAGCTTTTGACAATTCTGATATTATCCTGTGCTCTCCTCTAGGCTTACGAATGATTGTGGGAGATGAAGAAGAAGACAAAGAGAAACGAGAAATTGATTTTTTGTCATCAATTGAATTGGTAGTTCTTGAAAGAGTAAGCTGTTACAAGGTCCAGTTATTTTTCGTAGTATTTTCTAACAAGGAAAGTACCCAACCTGCAACTCTCAGAATTAGCTCAAAATTTTTACACGAATTCCTTGTAGCACCAGTAGCACATATAAAAAGTCTTAGCTTGCGGTTTTAAGTTTTAAAATTAATATATTTAAACTTCCCGCCAATTTGGCAAATTTGGCATTGTGTCGCAAGCACTTTTTTTGATGTTCCAGATAAGATAGGCTTACAAATTTAAAATTGTAGGTTTATTTGAAGCTTTTCTATCATTATATTAAAGAAAATTTGTCAAAAGTCAAAAAATGAAGAAGTTAAAAGCTTGAAAAACTATGCCAATTTGGCGGAAAATTCAAAACGGAACTTTTTGATCTCGATTTTCTCAAGACTGACCGCAAACCGCAACTTAGAATTTTGTATAAGGTCTTACATTTACATGATCTTTCAATAGAAAAAATTTGAACCAAATCTGAGCGTTGCAGGTCGGGTACCTTCCTTGTAAATACTTTTGTTATAAAATTTAATTTATTTTCGTATAACTAATTTAAGGCCGATGTGATGTACATGCAAAATTGGGAACACTTGTTAACAGTTATGGGTGCGTTAAATCAGATGCCCAAAGAAATACAAACTGACATTTCAAGAGTCCGCCATTGGGTTTTGAAGGGACATGGGCGTTACTACAGACAGTTGATGGCATTTTCGGCCATAAACTTTGCTGAATTACATGCCTTGTTTGTTGGAAAGTGTAACTTCTTTGGTCAGGCTAATATTATCCAGAAGGCATCTACATTAATTGATAACGTAAGTGAATCAACATTTTGTATATCTCAATATGGAAAACATACTACTGTATGTATTTTTTAGATTCAAGTACCGTTATTGCAAGAGTTACACCGATTTGACTGTGATGATCAGTCTCAACAGTCAGACTTCAGATTTGCATATTTTGTCAGGAATATTCTACCTAAACTGAAGCAAGGGACGTTGGTATTTATCCCGTCTTACTTCGACTATGTTCGAGTCAGAAATTACCTGAAGAAGGATGAAGAAAGCTTCGCCCAGATTCACGAATACGCTTCCGACGGTAAAATACGAAAGAGTCGAAAGGCATTTGCTAATGGAGAAAAGAAAATCATGTTAATAACAGAAAGGTACGTTATCTTATCTAATTACTACAAAGTATTATATTATCTAAACCATTTTAAATCTATTAAACAATATTACATTCCTTTTTAGATGCCAATTTTTCCGGCATTTCTTTGTCAAGGGAGTGAAGGCGGTTATCTTCTATCAACTCCCTATCGTTCCTCGCTTATATTACGATACGATAAATATGACCAAAGGGGACGGCACACTGTCCACCTCACTCATATTTAGCAAATCAGACGTTTTAAGGCTACAAAATGTATTTGGAATGCAACAAGCCAAAGAACTTATATTATCACAAAAGAAGTTTCACGCACTTGTAAGCGAATAATTGTTGTTACTGTTACATTGTTATTGTTGATAATAAATACGATAGTTTAAAGTGATCGAATTCATGAAAGGCTTGAATGGCACCAGGTATCTATAAAGCGGACACGTCCTTTCCGGTCTTCTCGAGTTGTTGTCTTATCTCGTCTTTGGTGGCTGTTGTCGTCACGGAGACCTTCTTCTCAACAACGTCGATCTTTACATCTTGTACTTTGTCTAAACATAAAAATCAATAATTTATAAACATGAACTCACCTCCTAATTTGCCCAAGACTCGTCGTACCGCGTTCGCACATCCTTCACATGTCATAGCTACACTAAAATCGTATGTCTAAAAATTAAGTTAAAATAAAAAGAAAACTAACTTACTTCAGCCATTTTTCGTAACGTTTGTTGCTTCGATGAATTTTTTGTTTCTCGATATATAATAATTCGACCAAAAATTAAGTGACATTTCGTGGCAATCAATAGTGAAATCGCGTATTTATTAAGTTTTTGTTTCATAAAATTTTTATTTATTCGGCTTTATTTCATAGACTAGCGCTAGGCGGAAATGTCGATGGCCAATCCAGAAGATATTGCCCGAGCTGTGGCCGCTCTACAATCCCATCCTGCTCTGGCCAATGCTGTAGCTCAAGCTCAACAAGCACAATCGAATGGAACCGCTTCAACGTCTGCTCAGAACGCTTCTCTGCCTCAATACTCGGTTCCTGGACCTGTGATGGCGGGCACGTCGAAGTACACGCAGTTGTTGGCTTTGATTGAAGAACTAGGCAAGGATATTCGACCAACTTACACTGGAAACAGAAACTGTTCCGAACGGCTGAAGAGAGGACTAGTTCATGCTCGGATCTTGGTTAGGGAATGTTTGGTGGAAATCGAGAGGAACGCTGCTCGCAACCAATAATTCAAGTTCAAAATATGAGTAATGTAAATTTATTTATTATGTCTTAAATTAAAGGTGTGGCTTTCAAAAACTCTGGATCTCCACCCATTACTTTTGTCACGTAAAAGGAATGCATTGTATATACGATACACAGGACTTCGTCGCTGATGATGTCCTGCAATAAACTTGTTTTATGAAACTTTTCGAAGTAAACTATGATTTTTAAGCTCCAAATCAGGAATGGTATGTTACTAATGGTACTTACTTTTACTTCAATTTTACTGTTAGAGTCAGCAGAACCTAGAACTAACTGTAGGTTGACTTTGCCATCGTCTGACGACGATTGTAAAGATTCAAAACCATACTGCCATATGTATTTCTAAATTTTGCTTATTATTGGATAACTTGTCTTACTTTCGTTGGTATATCATATAAGCTGAGGCCTTGCTTAATGTCCAAAACAAAACCGGCTGGCCTTCCTTCGTAACTACACGAGAAAGTTCTTGTCTGAAATTTTTAAATTAATTTTGGTTGTGTGTGTGAATTTTAAATGTTACAGTAAGCAGTCTTGGTTGGAAGAATATCCGTCATTGTTTACTGTGTGGTTCGAGATTTACCTGCATAGTTGTGACAGCTTTGTAAAGACTATTGTAGAACGCGGATTCCAGTTGTTGTAGCTCATGGGGACTGTGAAGCGAGAAGTAATGTTGAGTTCCGTTGTGTGATTCCAAGATAAACACACTTTCACGGCGATCTTTATGTTTTATGGCTGTCTTTAAAGCTGTTTCGTAGATTTTATACAAAGATACACACTTGTCAAGTTCTTCTGAATTCAACTGAAACAATGGTAGAGCATTACGATACTGATAATAGAGTAATAAGTTAGCTAATTTATGGAGCTGGTTTAAAGGTTAGTGATAGCGAATAATATTTGAAACTTGCTGGAGGTGTTTCGAAGATACACAAGTCTGTGCCTTTAAATATCAGGAATCGTTGTGCCCATCTGAGTTTAGGATCCTCGAAGAAGCCTGACTCCATTCTTTCCTCAATCCATCCAATATACGTTATCTAAAATAACGGATAAGGCTATTTTATTGGTCCTAAAGGTACAATATCTGACCAAAATGGCAGCTTACATGTTCAGATGGATGTAGGTACTTGTTGCTCATCTTGACAGACTTTTTGTTCAAAGCTTCAATGTGGTTTTCGATGTTCTTGATCCATTGTTGCAGAGCCTTACGGTCTTCACAGTGTATGATTCCAGACGACTTTCCATCCACACTTCTCAATTCGAAAGCGTTATTTCTGAGTTTGTCAGTTCCCCATAGGTATCGGGATACTATGGCCATGGGGAGTGCCAGTTTTTGGATGTTCTTCCACCCATTTTGCTCGTCTGTGTCTTTTACTGTAGCCTGACTCTTCTCGGTTGTACTTTTGAGAGCACTCTGGATCTTGTACATGTTCACATCTACCATGGAATCGCTTGGTCCGGCACTCAAACGTTTAGAGGGAGATCTAAATAACGAAAATTATTATAGTAAAACTGTAATGTAAATCTCAAAAGACATTTTCAAATTATATGTTATGTGAGGCTCCAAAAATGTTAATCTAACCGTAGTAACGGAGCCAGCTGTTCGTTATGCTTCAAAGTAAGCGTGATATGAGGGCCAGTAGCGTCTCTTAGGATCTGAACGACTTCTTCGTGTGTTTTTGTCTCCACGTTTACACCATTAACCTCAATGATCGTATCTCCGACAAATACTTGGCCAGTTTGGGCAGCTGGCAGGTTGGGCAAGACTTTCGATACTGTAATTGGGACACTATTCTTCTCGTTGGATCCTCCCTAAAAATTCGGTTAGATGCTTCAATTTTTCGGGTGTTAGTGAATCTTACTACAAGTATTGGATAATTTAATAGATTGTTTGTTTTTACCTTGATTGAGAGTCCAAGTCCTTCATTTGTTTTTGGTACATTTACTGTTCTTGTCATCTTTGTTAACGTCGCTTCTGGAGTCTCGACGGTAGATGTGACTCCACTGACAGATGAGGCATCGTCACCCCCACCGAGGTTTGATTGAATCAGTAGTTGTTCTACAGTATTTTTTAATTTTATGTTTATGATTTGATAAAAAAACTAATGTAATGTATAAAGTATGACACTACTCTTTAAATGAAGGTTGTTTCTCTAAGCAGCACAACAAAGTATTAAAGTACCTTTTGTCAGTACCAATCGTACTGGTTTACCTCTGCCTTTTTCGTCGCTCAAAATGGCCATGCCACTGTGAATCTAAAAATATTCATGACCCCTTTGTATGTTGTAAGCGTATGAAACCTTAAACTTATCCAAACTTACGACATCTAGGTTCTTGGAGCGATTCTTCATGATTAATAGCAAGTTAAGGTTTTACAATTTTAATTGTATATTTTTTTATTACAAGATAAGAAAAAGCAGTAGTGATCAAGAGCAGGTGTCTAATCGGATGGCCAAATCTTGGCTTCAAGTGCTTTAAGGCACAGTTTAAAGCGGCCGAAAGCAAAGGAGAGGTATCAGTGAAAGCATAAAATTGATATCAACATAACATTAACATTTTGCTGTTTTTGCATTTACTGTATCTTTTTGTATTGAAATATCTCATTTCTAATACTTCGGTTATTTTCCGCATTTTTTACATTATTAAACGAAATTTACTGTTAATAATAGCGTTATCAAATTTATCATTTTTAAAAAACTTGGACATTACATTTTACAGTATTCCAATGTAAAAAAGTATACTTTAGTCCATGTTGTAACACATGATATACGTTTCCGTAACACTTCCGAGCACGATCAAGCCCGTATTCAAACATCGACAACAATGCAAATCAGGTTTTGGCGGCGAGACGTTCAGGATTGCTCAATTCGTCGTATCTTCTTGCATAATTGGTTTAATGTCTCAGTTTTTTTGGTCGGGAAGTGAGTGAGCTTAAAGAGTTTCCTTTTAATGGCGCGTTTCAAACGATGGAGTCGGATTTAATTAAAGAATTCCGAAGCTCCTTAACGCGCCGTCGACAACTCCAACAGGGTCACTGGCTAGTTGCCTGAGGGAAGAGGGCGGGGCGGTCGGATTTATGAAACCGAATTATAAATACTTGATGCAACATCCATTCCGCTATTTGCATATTATGTTATCCTACCCGCTGATTACCGTCGTCGTTTTCCTTCTGAATTTTGCGGATTCTGAAGATCAGTATCCGAGTCCCAGCAGCTTATTTGATGTTAATAAGCCTATCATTTTCGATAAGAAGTCGGCCGATAAAGTGAGCTTTATCTGTTTAAACTAATATAACTTTATCATCAAGGCAACTTTAATACATTTTATAGTTTTTGAGATGTGTAATTGTGTTTAATGGTGTCATGTGATGAATAAACCATATTTAGGTACAAACCCGCCAACGTCGTCAAGGATATGTAGTAAGTAGATCATAACGCTTTTACCACTAACCAGGTTCTTGAGCAAGGAGATTTAGATACCTACCAAGAAGATAGTCCCGCAAGCTCACTAGGTCAGCTAATACCGCCATCGCCGGCTTTCCGCTTTCACCCGCCTAACCACGACCTTCCTCAAGACATAATTGAGGATCTGAACGATCTCATAAACAATAACACTAACGATACTAACATAAGCAACAACAGTAACGCTAACAGTAGGGAGCCTGATACGGTACCCAGTTGTGAAAATACGGTAACTTTAAGCGTCCTCCTCAAAACAACTTTGCACCACAAAGAGGACCATTGACACCAGTACCAGACTTTAATCCCCCTAGTTCTGTACTATCCACTTCTAATGTCCAGTTCCAACAAACTGCACCATCGGCACCACGTGTCTTACCTTCTAATCAGTTTAATTCATTGAACACTGCACCACCTGGTAAGATACCACCTAATATAAATGCACCAAACCTTCTAAGGCCTGCACCAAGGTTCAATGTAAGATTTTGCACCATTTCTTTATGACATATTTTACAATGTTTTGATACTTTACTTTCCAATTTCTGTTTTAACTTGACTGCAACACCTTTATCTTTTATGCACATTTCTCTTTACTGTATAATTCACAATGCCGTGATTACTGTAGTTTGTTGTAGACACAAGCAGAGCAGCCACAACGTAACATGCGCACACGACCACTCAATTGGGTAACTTATCCTTAACAGTTCTAACTTTACATTCAGCCAGCTTTCAAAGCCAGTAACCCTCACCAGTCAGCTACAGCCAGTCGAGGGCCTCTCATACCCAAAGTGAACGCGTTCAACGGGGTAATCGCACTTACTCGTAACTTACACCTACTCTGTAATTAACTTTCTCTTTTCCTCTTAAGCACAAAGTTACAGGCGCCTCTCCTATCTCCGCAGCCACCATCTCCATCGGGTGGTACTGATGATGCCCATCCGTATTACTTCCCTCCAAGAATGGCATTACCCTTACCTACGTGTTTCCACAACCCCACTGGATATGCTTGTTGTAAGTTAAAACTGCATAAATTCATTGAACTTAAACTATAGTCTATAAAACTTTTATTTGTCCTAAATTCTAAAAATCACAAGTCTTATTTTCATTTTAGGTAACGCACAACTGAACGATCTGATAGTAGAAACTTATACAGAGCTCGAGACAAAACCAAAGTTCCATATTTGTAATATTAATGCCATAGCCAACCAAATACAAAAGAAAGCCGAAGAAAGGTATGAAACTAACAAATGTGTAATTGAGCCTCAAAATCTCATAAAAATTGTAAAATACGACTTGAAACAATTTTAGATTCAACACAACCTTCGAAACGATCGCCGCCTTCGAAGACTTTGCCCAGAAAATACATTTCCACAGCGATCTCGTGTGCAAAGTAGAGTTGGGGGGAAAGTAAGTCAACATACCCACCAACCAACGCCTTTCAGATTCATGTTAGCTTACGGTACCGTGAAGAACGTAGCTGACAAGCTAGAACCCGAACCCTCACACATAGTGAAACGAGAAGTGTTCGGCCCAGAAGAAGAACCGATGCCTGCTCCGAAACCGACGTATCACACAATATTGATATGATAACACCTGTTGATATGACAACCTGTATTTATTCTGTAACGCCCATCTTGTTGTGATAAGCTATCAGAACTGGACTTGATAATTTTAATATATGTTAGGCTGTTAATTTATGAATAAACTTGGAGATGTTGGCTACCGAGTTCAGGAAAGTCATTTGAGACAAAGGAGCGGTCCGTCCGTCCGTCTTATCATTCATTCCCTAATAAGCCAAAGCAAAAGAGACTCGTTTGTTTGCTCAATGATTATGGGATACGGTATCTTGCAAGGTACATTTTACGGTACTTTTTGTTTTTGGAAAGGAGGTGGCTAAACTAATGTAATTAATTTAAGGATAATTTTTTGTTATCTTATATAATATGCCTATGTTAAATTACTTTTTAAATTAAAATACTTTAACCTGATCCGCAAAAGTCTACGCTTTAAGATCATTTAATAATGCTAAAAAAAAAATATGCTGAAGTTGTTTATGAAAAATCAAGTCCGATCATATTATATGCTACTATCTAATTAAAAATAAAACCTAAAAAGCAGAGTGCTTTACTTTATGTATGCCAAACTTTAAAATTAAAAAAGCAAACAAAACAAAGATCGACTCTCACATCAGATTAATTACAACATTCCGTAACAAACACTACCGTGCCTGGAATCTGGAAAACGCGTCATGCAAATTAAGACTTTGTTAATAACAAGACGATTTGTTTGCCAACCCCTCTCCGCCGATTGGACAAGACAGGGACTGATAAGAAGGTACACCAGGTCTCCATTCCCTCAACCGAAATAGTTTTCCTCTCATTAATCGATCGCTTTTAAACGAGTTGATTAGATAGTACTATCTATTTGAGTCTAGATTAGTGGTTATCTAGCGCGATTTTATGCCATCGGTACTGTTATCAAAAACAAGGGCGGCATCTAGGTTACGATAAGGTTATCAGTGTTCGTTTCAGATGGAGCCGAGTTCATCAGATCCGAACGGATATGTGGAGATGGGAGGGCTGAAGGCCCCCATCCCCATAATGCACTCACTCGAGACTAAGACCAACTCCCAGCTCGAGTTGGACCCCGCCACCATCACCCAAACCGCACTAGTCGAGTCCGGTCTGGGGCAGGTCGAGAGGAATGCGGTGCTGGAGATGCCCATCGCATACGAACATTACCAACAACTGCCGGTTATGCAACTAGGCCAAGGTAACAATAACGTTCTGATGAGTAAGCTTATCAGTCCGAATGCAGCAATAACACTATCAACTTTTAGCGTCATTACAAAACCAGTCCTATGTGTATCCGTCCATATATAACACTCCAAACTACAGTAACCTAAACACTGCTCAACCGTACTACGCTTTTAACTCTCTTGTATCGCCAGATCTCACACAACTTCAAGCCAGTAATGAGTAAGAAATTAATTGAAGATACGACAGTTTAAAAAACTAAATTAATTCATAGCTAAAGTTGAGTACTACTAAACCATAAAAATACAGTAACAAACCCATTTCAGCCAATACCTACAATTCTCACACCAAAACCAATTTACTCCCGGTTTATTTCGTGCCGATGACACCAACTACAACCTCAACAGCTACCAGAACATCCAGTTGATAGAGAAAGAGTGCACTTCTTGTGGACAGTCCTTCAACTATACCTTGAAGAAAGACGAAAGAGGATGCAGAATCTGTATGACATGTCTCAACATCTCCGAACAAAATCAAGAGATCGAAACCAATGTTCATATCGACGATGAGCCCAACTCGGCCTTCAAAATGTATACTCAAAGCAATGATAACAAGTCTGTTATCTCGGCCAATGCCCAACTTGCCGTTTCAAATGCTCAGAAGCAAAAACAAAAGAAAACTCCGGTAGGTATGACAATATTGATTAAAATTCCTATCCTCAACAATAAAAAACGTATTATATTATTATTAAAAAAACTACATCAGCCATACTGAAGTTTACAGTTTCAGCAAGTTTCTCAGCGCCGTCAAGGTCTTGTATGTACCAACTGCAAAGGATCATCAACAACTTTATGGCGGAGAAACCACAAAGGAGAACCTGTTTGCAAGTAAGTTACCATTAACATAAAATTACCATCAACTTTTCTTCGGTATAACCTCTATATTTTCCGTCTTTTAGTGCCTGTGGATTATACTACAAACTCCACCAAGTCGACCGACCAATCTCAATGAAAAAAGAAGGAGTTCAAACGCGAAAACGGAAACCGCGAAACCCAGAAGGCCCTAGTCGTCGAAACAGAGGTCATAACAGTACCATCACAGCTTCAGCATCAAGCTCGGCATCTCATTTGACTACCGACTTCAACGATGCCTACGGAACGGTATATGTCAACAACAATTTGTCCTTAGATCAAGCCGCTGTTCTACAGCAGCCAGCACTACTTGACCCCAACTTTGTAAACAACCAATTACTACATGAAAACTCACAAATGATCGCGATGTCATACCAGAATATGGCTCACAATGGCCAGATGGGTGTTGGCCAACAAAACGCTGCACTTCCTCCTTTGATGGACACCTTCTGTAAGTTTATTTTATTCTTTCTCTTCAGAAAATTATAGAAAATGTTTCGAAATCGACAATTTTTTGTTCTTGGAATTTTTAAAATACGGAATTCTTCCAAAGGAATTCGTTGTGTGACCAAAATGGACGGAAAGCGAGTTTTAGACCGAACAAAATTTCGTTTCCCTAATTCTGCCATCAACTTTGAGCTTTATTATGTCAAAACATTGAGGTTTTAAAATTGTTATTACTTTCAGTTACAAAAGTAGAAACAAGACTGCCATCCAACAACGTGTTACCTAAAGAACTCGGCCAACCGTCGAAAACTGAACAGAATCTGAACGGTTAATTTATTAAAATCGCTTGTTTGAGAAGTAAACAAATTATTTATATTATATTGCTCATTGGAAGACGTCCTGTCTCAGTTGTCCTTTACCTTTCCCCACGCCGTAATCTGAAAGGTTTCACATTATTTTAGGTAATAAGTGTGTAAAATAATAAGGTAATTGCTTTATATTAATGCCAATGGAGGCTACATTTTGTTCTTTAAGAAGTACTGTGACTGTTCCCTTTTTATAGAAATAGTTTTATATTTTAGGTATCACTTACCAAGTTATTGAGATTTAGGTAATACTTGTTAAGTTAAGATTGGGTTACCTGATTTATACTGGTGAGTGTTGTCAGAGGACTCGTTGAGCACGGCACCATTGTTAAATCGAGCGATCAAGGCGTTGATCTTTCCTCGTCCTTGGTTCTTGAGGGCCCAGTCGTTCTCGTCTTTTTCTAAAGATTTCGTGGTTTCTGAAGTTGGAGCTGCCTGAGGGAAATCTCGCTTGACTAAAGGTTTTGGAGTAGGCTAAAACAAATAGTAGTGTTGTTTTGAATTATCAAAGACAAAAATTCAGTGCAGTATAAAGGGCATTTAGTGAGTTTTATTTTGCGCAGTGATTTTTATCAAATTTAATGATTGCACCGTGTAACCAGGCCGATTACTTTGAAATGACCTCGTATTTTTCAAATAGTGACAAATTTTGACTTACCTTTGACTCGGTGGTTGTCGTGACTTCATCGATCTCCCTGGTTTTGGTGGTTTCCGTGACTTTGAGCTTTTCTTCTTTGATGACTTCGATGACAGAAGTCTCTTCTCTTTCCGGATTCGGGTGTTTTTCAAGCTCGCGGTGACGCAGTTCATGTTCTTCTGGTTGGATCTCGGGTTGAGCGTGATACTCGTGAGAGTTGGCTTCACGAGCTTCGGAGCTGTGTCCAGAAGAGCTGGTGGAGGTGTTGCGGGATCGGTAGTTCTGATGCTGGTCGTCCTCCACGAACTTGTCCTCGGCCACTTCTTGGGGTTCGACGAAGTCCTCTGGCCGTGCCAACTCGGCCTCACCCAGTTGAGTCTGCTGAACCGACTGGTCGAGTTCGTGAGGCTCGCGGCTGAGGACCTGCTCGTTGTAGGACTGGATCAGTTCAGCGGACATTTGTTTTCTGAAGCGATTAATATAAATAACAGGAGAGAAGAAGGAATCGAAAGACTGTCGCCGGTGCGGGCAGATTTCAATCAACACGTCAAAAATAGGAGGAGGACGGAGCGAATTCGGAGGAGAAAGGTGCCGCGATGATCTTCGGAATCCGGCGAGCTAAAAGTCGGGCGAAAACGGGCTGAAGATGCTGCTGCGGTGGGAGAGTAATAAGATTGACACCCGTTCCGAACAAGGCATACCTGGAGCCAGTTTTGCAGAATGGAATGCTATCCCAGAATCTGACCTTCAAATCGTTCTTTGGCCCCGCGGTATACGTAACCAGAAATGAAAAGCGGCATTCAGTAAAGTTATACATAGTGTTAAGATAAAAAACGAGATAAAGCAAATTGTGACGTTATCGTATACATACATTAATAAGTAAAATTTTGTTTTCATCAAAAAATATTTTACAAAAAATGGCTACAACAATATTCACATACTTACAAACATTTTTTGAATACCTGGTAGCTGGTTACGTAATTTTTTGTTTTAAATAATGAAGTTAAAACTGGTGTAAGCCTTATAAACAACATCAAAAAGACAAAAAAGCAAAAAGTAGGAAAAAGTCGTTGTTGAGTCATCCCAATGTATCAAACGAGTAAATGCTAGACGGAAATTTACTGCCCATGATTATTCATCTCAAAACAGTAATCGAATGACATTCGGAGACAGCAATATTGAAAATAGATTGAAGTGCGGGTTTATGACATAATGGAATGATTTGAATATCCCTTTAAACCTCGCCAATTCCCCCGACGCCCAATGAAATTAAATTCTTTAAAGAGCGTGACAGTCGTATGCAAATTTAGCTCTATAAAAGGCATCAAGTATATCATGCCTTTTATAGGGATACGGAGAGGCCAAACCCTGTACGAGCGGGGACAGCCAGACTGGGAAGCACTCCCTTGCCTTATGAATCAGCAAGTCTTGCCCTTCAAAGGCGTTCTGTCCCCAAATCATCCCCAACTTTTAAACAATCGTTTATTACACTATTGCAATATTATATGGCGCAAAATATAACAACAAATAGCTATGAGCAAGACCGTAACAATATAAAGTTTGTACAAATAGTTAAAACAAGTATTGGCCGAATCGATTTTGAATTGAAAAACAAAGATATTAGCATCAGGCAGAGCACAGTTTAGATATTGAAGAGACTTCGCGAAAGGAGTAAGACCATTTAGAAAAGACATTATCAAAAAGACGATCGTTAACACCATTCAGAAGGTTATTTACATCTGCAATATTAATGTTAACCTTGATTGCCTATGCAGAGTGAAACAATAATAAATACTAATTGGAAAGCAGAGTATCGATCTTAAGACATTACCCGCAGGCTGTTTTAAATTAGTTAGCTCGAAACGTTGGAGGAAGCGTCGCTGATGTGAGTCTGAAAGATAAGATTAGCACTTGTAAAAGCATTCCTTTTACTACAGTTTTATGGTCGTACCTCGCCGTCCTCCACCTTCAGCACTCGATCCACCTCGAATGAGTTCTCTGGCCGATGAGATATGACCATTACTGAAAAGTCGCTAAAGGTTTCTCTGATGATCTTCTGGAGCAGAACATCTGACTTTACATCCAAGTTCGAGGTAGCTTCGTCCAACACCACCAACTTCGACTTCCTAAACAGTTGTTGTTAAAGTAGGCATGGAGTGTTATTTTAAAATGTCATTCCAAAAAGAAATGTAATGTATTGTTACCTCAGAAGCGCTCTTGCTAAGCACACCAGCTGTCGTTGTCCAGAAGACAGATTCTTTCCGCTGTCTTCAATCTTCAGTTCCAGTTTCTCGCTCGTACTACTCACCTAAAATGGAAAACATAACAAAACTAAATCATTTACTCAAACTGTAAAGTAATATTCAAAAACTATTTTTGTATAAAACAATTTTAAACGTACAAAGTCTTTCAAGCCAACCTTATCCAATGCTGCCCAGTAGTCAGTATCACTATATTGCTCTTTGGGGTCTAGATTGAATCTCAAGGATCCACTGAAAAGTCCTCCATCTTGAGGAATTACGGTAATCGAATCCCTCAAAGTTCGCAGCGGGATCTTAGAAATGTCGAGATCATCGTATTGCACCGTTCCTTTCTCGATGTCATAGAGTCTGAAGATCACGTTGACAATGCTCGACTTCCCTGACCCTGTGCGGCCAATCACCAACACCTTATCCTTATCATTCAACATGAATGACACATCCTTCAAAGCGGCAGCAGCTCCCTCGCGGTACCTCAGCCTGAAGCATAAACATCAATTTTTCCAAAACGAATTTAAACTTTTAAAAAGTAAGTAAAATAATCGCCTAGTTCTAATAGATTTAATTTTAAATAAAATCAAGAACTTACGTAACATCCTTGAACTCTAAAGAGCCTTTTTGAGGCCATTCTCGGTTGATCTCCTCTCCTTCAACCCACTTTTCTTGCTCAATATTCTGAAAGTTGAGATCAATAACAACAATCAAAATTATCAATACTCACCTTGTAATAGTACGAAACCCTCTCCACTGAGGTCAACTTGGCTTCCAATTCAGTTTGTGATCTGACTGCAAACTGGAAGATTCCACTCATTTGAAGAGCAAAGGCTAACGCCATTCCAGCGTCAGAAGGCTGAACACTTCCGGTCAAGAAGACGATGCAACAAGATACGAGGAATGAGATGGCTACAACCAGAAGGTCGAGCCACACAGCTTGCCATCTCATGGCCGAGTGGTACATGAACATCATACTCGAATTGTCGTCCAATTTGGTTTTAAAATTCTCCACAAAACGCTGGTTCTGAGAATAAGAATGGACGGTAGAAAGGCCTTCAAGACTCGAAGTAACGTGGTCAAACACTGGAGATCGCGACACATTTTCCGATCTTTTCAGGCTAAAAATATGTTTTCATACTACAGTCTTCAAATCAAATAAAGTATTGCACGGTTGCAATATTATAAAACTTACCACCTAATCCCAGCCCGGAAACACAAGAAAAACATGACGAAGATAAGGGCAAGTGGAAAGAAAGCGACCAGAAGCAGAGGGAATACCCAAATAATCGTCAATATCAGTCCAGCACACGTTATGAAATACTGTAACAAAGCTTCAGCAGAAAATGGCAGTTTAACATCAACTGAAAATCAAAGAAAATTAACAAATGTTACCTAAAATTATGCTATTAATTTAAGATTTCTATGTTTAAACCGTCTTTAAGAAGCTTACTTTCATCAACGTCTTTGGAAAATCTGTTCAAAATTCGACCGGTCGGAGTGTTGTCAAAGAACTTAACCACGCCATGAAGTACACTCTTCAACATCCGCAGGTGAAGGTTGGTAGAGGCTTTGATTGACAACTGTAATAAATGTATAATATATACAAAATTAAATAAATTTTGAAATATTTTGAATTGCAAAATTACTTACCTTAACAAATACCATGGCTTTTACTAGTCCAGACACAAACAGTACAACGATCGAGGCTACGTAGATCGATGCATAGTAGTTGAGGTTAGAATCATCAGCTAGACTGGTATAATTCTGACCATGACTAGCCACTCCGTGAACGTCTTTCATCCAAATAGACAACCATAAGGTTCCGAATATATTAGCACCAACGTTAATTACGAAGACACATAACAACATCAACAAAACTGCAAATCCTCCAGCAGCTTGAATGTACTCCCTAAAGCAAATAATTATTGACAATATAAGCTTACTTGTACACATCTTTTGATATATTTTGAGTTCCAAAGTCTTCTTCGGCTTCTTGAGAGTCATCTTCTAAAACAACATGATTGAAACCATATTAACATATTCTATATAATTTTTCTTTATGTATAACATATCAATGAATCCTTTAAAACTAATGAATTTAAGCACGCCTAAAAAAGATTTAAATACCTTTTTCATTGTTGTTGTTCAAGCTGACACCCTTTGCTTCAACCACTTCCTCAGAGTCAACAAGAATATGACTCTTGAAGAATTCCGAATATTGTTCGTTGTTATTCACTAACTCTTTGTGAGTTCCTTCTGCCACTATCCCACCATCATAGAAGAACAATACTTTGTCACATTCTTCCAAAAACTAAAAAAGACCAATTTTATTACCTAATTTTACAATTTTTCAGTAAACTAAACAAGATGCACTTACTTTACTGTTAGAAGTGACCAACAACACTGTCTTGTTACCCAAAAAATCCTTGATTCCTTTCTCAAAGATGCTCTGAGCGACATCTTTGTTGATCGAACTGAACACATCATCAAGCAAGTAGATATCACGATTAGCGTAGAAAGCCCTTGCCAATGCCAATCGACACTTCTGTCCTCCAGACAGCTTAGATCCTCGCTCTCCGACTTCACTCTTCTCATTGCAGGGTAAGGTCTCGAGATCTTTGGTCAAACTGGCTGCACTTATCACTTTGGAATATCTTTGGGAATTTAAAGGCTGACCAAACAGAATATTTTCTCTGACAGTTCCGTTTAAGACACAAGGAACAGACGGCACGTAGCCAACAGTACCTCCAATTGAGACTTGTCCCTTATCGTTCGACATCTGAAAATATTCAAATGTAATTTTAGGTAACACAATAATCTTAAAGTCATTTAGTTTGTAAAAATGTAAATTAACAAAACATACACATCCCAATAGTGCTTGTAAGAAAGCGGATTTGCCACTTCCAACAGGTCCACAAATGCCAATCTTGGCCTTTCTGTCAACAGTTAACGAAAGATCGTGCAAGATGAACTTGTTTTGTTCGTTTACCTTTTCAGCTTCACTTGGAGTTTCGGCCTTTTCATTTTCTGTAAAAGTAAAAGTTTCGTTGATATTCGAGCTTATACAATACACTAACAACTATAAAATACAATTATACTCACCATCAAACGAAAAGTATGCGTCCTTCAAAGCTACAGCATATTGTGTTTGAGTTTCTGATAAACCATGTTGATATTTATCGAACAGCAGCAAAGCCTGAATTCGAGAAATAGCGACTCGAGCTTCAGCCAAGTACCTGGCTCCATATGGAATCATCCGAATGCCAAACAACATGACGAAGAAAACAGTGATGGCAGAGAATATCTAATCACAAAATAAAACATAATAAACACACTTACATCACTAGCGAGAATATCATAACCATAGTAGACAACAGATACCACAGTGACTACAGTCGCTACAACAGGCACAATAGTTCCTGAGGCTATAGCCAAACTTTGAGCGTAGCCAGCCTTTTGCAAGTTATTCTTCTCTTCGAATCTCACATCTAAAAGTAATAAACAGTAGTTTAAAATTAAACACTAACTAAAATATCCCCCAAAAGAAGAGGTCTTACCAGAAACTTTTTTCATAAAGACATCTTCCCATCCATTCATCTTGATTAACCTGATGTTCTTCAGAATTTCACCCATTAAATACATCTAAATAACCATTTTTAACAAAACAAAGTTAATTTAGGTAATAAGAATGCAAAAAAATATTAATTAAAGCAAACACCTTAACATTTATTACCAACTTACGCGTTCTTCAGTCTTCTTTATAGCTTCATTTCGACATCTGACCAAAGTTATACCCAAAAACACTTGAATGGCGTCAAACACTAAGAAAATTGATAGTCCAGCCAAAGACCACAGCCCAATTACCTTGACTAAATACACAATACCTCCAACGATAACAAATGGTCCCATTAGTACCAATGGTGCAAAAGTTACTGCGTCAAAAATACGTTGACCATCATTGGCAAAGATATTAACTACCTCAAATTAAATAAGACACAATAGTGTGGTGTAAAGTTCGTAACAAACTTAATATCCAAGGTAAAGTAACTCACTTCTGATGCAGTTTTGTCCCTCAAAGTTTTAGAGTTCATTAACGACTTGTACAGAAGAGTTAGCACGGCACCTCGTACTCTGATTCCAGTACGATAACTAATAGCCCATGTCGCTCCGTACATTAAGACTCGTGAAATTTCAACCTAAATAATGTAATATACCATACTTTAACATAATCCTAAAAATTTATATAAAAATAAAGAAACTACTTACAAGTAAAATAGCGATGGCAAGATAAAACCCGGTTGTATATAAGATCTCTTCATTAGATCGTGGTGGACGTTCAGTAAAAGATACCAAACCTCTGACTAAGCAAGTTGGCCCAATAAAACCAAAAATCAAACAAAATAAGAAGATGACACATGCGATTATCAGTCGATCTCGCATAAACCTCAATATCACCTTAAACAAAGATGGAGAACTTGGATTAATCTTAACTTCCTCATTCCACAAATGTTCGAGTCTAAATTAAACAATCTGTAAACACTCAAAAAGCGTAAATAATTAGGAAAGTATAGATAATAGAATTAACAATGTTGTTATTGATAACAGTAACCCACCTTGTACAATTTAGATTAGCTGAATCAAAAATACTAACAGGCCAATTCTCCTGTTCATCTATTCTTCCCTTGTACGCATCCCAAAGATACGAGAATATCCATGAGAAAGATATGTACGATAGTGTGCCAACTTCATCAACTTTAGCTGTAGCTTTCCTAAACCAAAAATATATTAAGAGACATGGTTTACTTACTTTTCCGGTATTTCCACTGTTGGCAATAAATTGCCGTCTTCCGGAGTGTCCTTTAGTTTGACCATAACTGAAATAGAGAATTAAATGGAATTCGTTTCACAGAGACGAACTGATAAGTAATATGACGGGAAAATGACGTCCTGTGTCAACCTTTATCACACTATACTTCGCAAATATTAAAAGTTCGTGTCTTATTTAAAATTTTAAAAGGTATTAAAATTAGTATTTTCCAGTTTTCATTCCGAATTACCCAATTTATCAAACCGCATTTTAGAAAAACGAAAAAAATTAACACGCCAACCGTTCGTGTAGGCCCCGACACGAAAATAAGTGGCTTGGCCTTCCGTATATATAATTATTTTATTAATTTATTCGACAAAATGTTGTAAATTGTATTTACTAGTATAGTTTATTTGTTGTTATGATCAACTGGTCTTATTACACTATCTCGGGTAACTATGTGCATAGGCAACATAAGAAGACGTGGACCTGGACTCAAGTTATTTATTTATGGTTGTTTGCTGTATTAGACTGCGCGATATTCCTTGGCTTGACTATTTCATGTTACTTATGTATTGGATGGAAGTATTTTGAACCTCCACACACGCCTTTCAACTGTTCTGATGTCAGTATTCAACATGATCTTCACAAGAACACTGTGTCAACTGTTCCTCTACTTCTCATCACTTTATTCCTACCATCGGCCAGTCTGACACTTGGATTGATGATTGCCCACCAGAAGACGGACATTCCTACCATGGTATCTATTACTACTTTTTCTGTTTACACTTTCTTGGACTACTCGATGTGTTATTGGTTGTTGACATTAATATTGGAGATCATCAAATGTTCCGTGGGACGATTACGGCCAAACTTTGTTGCAATGTGCAAGCCCGACCTGATTGGAGAATGTGATGTGGACCATGACAAGCTGGTCTCAGGCTATACCTGTTTGAACGATTACAAGTATGGCAGAAACTCACGAGCTTCCTTTCCTTCCGGACACTCTGGAGCTGCCACTTTTGCTTTGGTGTTTGTGTTGATCATATTCAACCAGAAACTGTTCACTTCCCGGTTGGCCTCTAATGTGTATCTCGGTGTGTATCGTGTTGTTGTTATGGCGTCTTTCTTGGTCTTTGCCATTCTTTGTTGTATATCTAGGATTACTGATTATTGGCATTGGCCCACTGATGTGTTAGGTGGGGCTACTTTAGGAGCAGTATTGTCTTATTTATCTTTTGTTTATTTGAGGAAACCTAAGTCAACTATATGAATAAACTTGTAAATTTCTATTCGTAGGCTTAGTTTGTTTGATATATTGATAATGCGGTTCATTATTATTATTTAATTGTTAAAAAGTAAATGTTACAGTTGGAAAATGAATTAATTTTTGTAATCAGTTTATGAAGTTACTACTTCAGAATATTATGTTTTTATAGTATAATTTGGACTCGTCATTTGCAAAACATAGGGTGCTAGCTGCGTAAATAAATAATTTTTATTTTTGATCAGCTCTTCTGATATGATACAAAAATGGATCTTGAAGAAGCCAAGAACAAATGTTTAGAAGTGTTTTCAAGTGTCAATCCAAATGATATCCAAAAGTTACTGGACTTTTTAAATATTACTACAAAGTCAATGTACGATGGAGATGGTAACAGAGTAAAAGTGGTTAAGAAGCTGAGAAGCATCAGTAAAAAACTGCGGAAGAACGTACGGTTATGTTTTACTTTTTAATGTTTAGGAAAGTAATTTTATCTGAACGTATTATTTAGACAGATATCAGTGGGAATCTACCTGGAGAGAAGATACTGTGGCCTACTGAAGGATCATTTAGTGATTGTGACGTCGAATCTACAGATCAAGTAGATGCTTTTCTGTACGATGATATAGAATTGGACGGTTTACGGGAAAAGGGACTTTTGAAGCCAGAACAATATTGTGCACGTTGTAAATCAAGTGATATCGTGGAAAATAATGTCATATCACATTCGCTGAGTATAAACGAGGTAAGGATTTTTGGTGTTTAAAGAAATGTTTTGGGTTTATTTAGTATTGTCAAAATTAATTGTGTTATTTCAGTTGGAGTACCTGTTTTGTGATTTACTTCCGCTGTATGTTGACTTTAATGGGAAAACCTTAATTGATATCGGATCAAGACTCGGTGCTATTGTGTATGCAGCTCTTCTGTTTGTGTATGTTAACATCTACTTTTTTAAGTTAAAAAATAATGTTATTATTAAATCAAAAAGTATTATTATAGCTAAATGTATATCTTTTTTTACACCTTTTCAGTCCAGATCTGGCCGCAGTGAAAGGAATTGAGATAAGCGAAGGACATTGCAAACTCCAAAAAGACATTCTCAAAGATGTCGACTTCAACAACAAGGCAGAGATCCTGGAAGGGGACTTCAGAAGTTTCTCTTACGAGCTACAGAATGCCAATTTGATCACGATGAATAATGTTTTTACGTTCTTTGCGTCTCCAGAAGAACAAGTAAGATGTTGGAGATCTCTGAAAGACAATCTGAAAAAGGAGACTGTCATCGTCCACAATCATTCCATTGAATACGTAACTCAACACCTTCAGCTGGACTTCCGAATAGCTGATTGGGTTGAAGTGGTATGTTAATTTTATGTATGTTGTTGTAGGTAGTTTTACTAAATGAAAATGGTGTAGGATTTAGTACCTTATATACAGTTGAACAATAATTTTTTGTTTTCTAGTTGTACCCAACAGAAAAGACGGAAGAACTGATGGAAGACGAAAGCGACGTTGACTACAAGTTGTTCATATACATTGTTAAGTAGATTTGTTTGTTGTTGAATAAATTGTTTTGTTATAATCTTTGAAACTATGGTTTTTGTAAGTCAGCTTTACTGTTCAATTTATTGTCCTCTATCTTGCAAACGTTTTTCGTATAAAATATTTTGTTAATCTGCGCTTGGCTCGGGCGCATTTCGAAGTAAAAATAATTATAAAAAATATAAATTTTATTTGGCGTTTTTTCCTATCTACATTTTTTTAGCTTTATAACTTTTATATTGTTACAATAATGAAGCGAACTCAAACAACTTCAAGTAGAAGTGTCACAACTAAGAAGCTGATTGTTAGTGAATATCGACGGAATCTGAAGCATAACATACGATCATTGAGCGAAAACTTTACACATATTCTTCAAGCATCAAAGGTAAGGTATTTGTGAATTTTCTAAGAATGTTTAGGTGTCACAAGATGAAGCTAATGCTAAACCGTCTAATGCAGGACTGATGGCAGAACATTACACTTTAGTCAATGAAGTTGTCAGTCGGACAGCGTTGATGGCAAGAGCGGCTGACGACCTACTGAAGCTCACTAACAGCATCCGAGAGTTTTTGATATTGAGGGACTTTAACTTTATCAGTCAGGCTGCAGAAGCGTAGGTTTATGAAATATTAAAAACGATCAAGTATAACAATGTTTGCTATAAACAATACACGTTTTTGTTTATATTAATATTGTAGTGGTCATGAATCTGCGAAGACCGAGTTTGATAAAATGTTCGAGAAATACACAAACTTCCGCGCCGAACTCGCTAACATTTCAGCTGATATTGATAATGAGTTATGTGATAATACTGGTCTCAGAAACTAATAAACTAATTATTTATAGTGACGCGTCGTACTATACCTTTTTATGGTTTGAATATCTTGGTATTTTGATATTAAGTTGTAATGTTAAAGTTTAATGTAACATTTTAATATAGTACCTATCCTAACATAAGATGGAGGTATACTCTGACGGATGGGCCGACTTTAAGATGGCTTTGGTAATGGGTAGAAAGACAATGTTGAGGAAACATAATCCTAGAGGTTCTATAGCAATATTAAAGGAGTTGTGTACTAAAATGAAAGACCAAAATCAGTTGGAGACTGCTGCCATGTGTAATATAGAGTTGTCTTTGATATACAAAGACTTGGAAGATACTTTATCAGAAAGAGAATGTATGTTAGAAGCTGCCAAGTGCTTTGAGGGTGGTCACAGAGAGAATAACGGAAGTTACATTCCTACAGAGAATGGGTTGTTGCCTCAATTGGAGCAATCGTATGTTAAGATAGCCGAAATGACATTGAGGGACAAGTGTTTGAAGAACATTGGAGTGGTGCTGGTTCAGTTGGCGACTACATTGATGGAGTTTCAGCAATATTTGGTTGCTTATGAGTATTTGTTTAAGGGTAGGCTTTGTTTTTGTTTTATATGACTAGCTAAAATTTAATAACCTATCTTAATATCCATTCTTACAATAATGTTAATTGTAACATGTTTGATGGTAAATTGTTATTTTTAGCCACTAAATATTTAACAGCAGAGTTTTATTTTCGGTTGATGATATTCGAGAAGTGTATTGTGTGTTTGGAGCATTCGGAAGATTTAGCTTCTGACTTGATGGATCTAACGTCAATGTACTCAAAGTATATTAGAAACGAGAGATTGTGAGTTTTAGGTTCATTTAATTACCTTCAAGCTTAAATTTATGTAAAATTAAGTTATGTAACGTTATTAACTTATATAAGTTTAGAAATGGTGTGGTAAAAGACCGTATGGTGACAGTGGAGCTGAAGCTAGTGTTACTTCACTTAAAACAATATTCAGAAGACTGGGAAATGAGGCCAAGGTCTTTTCTAGCCAATTACAGTACTTACATTGAACATACGACAGTCATGACTAAAGCTGAGCATGGTGTGGTGTCAGAGTTTATAGAAGCCTTTGTCAGGAGAGATTACTTGAAGCTATGTTATATGATGCATTCTGAGTTGTGGGATAAGCTGGACGATCATGGAAGGAAGCTTATGAACACGACGATACAGAAGACAGCACCGTCTACTGGGATATTAAAGTAAGGGTTATGTTGCGTGTTGGTTAGGTTTTTAAATTTTACTGCTTTTTAGAAAGTATTTAACTGTTACAACATTTTGACAACAGTTAATCTAATTGACCGCTATTTACATTATTATTTTTAGTGAGGAACTGGTGATAACAGAGGTTGACGAACTTGATCGAAGGAAAAAGATGATTGAATGGCACAAGTCAGTTAAGAGAAGCCATGTAGCCTCTTATCAACATATATGACATTGTAAATAAATTTAAATTGTTTTAATATCTGAGGTTGAACATAACGGTTATTCCAATTAATACCAATCATATTACTTGACTTAATTATGCTTGTTTCTGTATGATTTTTTTTGTACTGTAAATGTCTCTTTCAGATGAAAGTTGCAATATTACTTTTGCTATTCTTTAATGTAATATTTGCATGTAAAACGATCAAGGTTGATCTCCAGTCAAAAGTAAGTTAATATAACACAGAGTTAAATACGATCTAAATTTTAATCTACATATATATTATATGTAATATAGATTATACGACTATAAAATATTAAAACCTTAGTTTATAGTTGACTGGCGAAGGTTACCATCGCACGATGGATGTTGTAGTAGAAGTGTCGTCGATGGAGCGACTTACAGAATGTAACTTGGCTTACTTCTATCAGATCCCGAAAGGTCTGTTCATCAAAGTTGAAGCTATGAACGAGACCTTGTTCAATCATTGTTACCTGAGCTCTTCTTGGAACCTGGAGGACTTGTCTGATTCTGTGGCTGTCACTGATCTCAAGCCTCTGATTATCTTCTCCAAGAAGCAGATGAGGAAGGTTTTTGTGTTTAAGGACGAGTTCAAGTTCCCAGTTCATTTTAGATATAATCCGGCTAAATACCCGGAGGGTAAGCTGATGCAAATATATTTTATATTGTTATCGTACATATAATTATAATGTATGTAATATTTAATGTTTTTGTATTTTTACAGTGTACTAATGATGCAAATCGAAGTTTTACGTTGTTTTAGAGCTTCCCCCAATAGTAGAAATTGCGTCTCCAAGAGTTTACATCAGATGTATGGAGAACAAAACCTTGCTGGAGGAAGAAACTTGCTACAAGAACAGAGAAAATGTAGGTTGAAAGAGCAGACTTAATACTATTATAAATAGGATAATATAAGGTTATATATAGTCATAACTTTACTTTTTGTAAGATTTTATAGTTTTACTTCATTTTAGTTAGCTTGTGGATGCAACCAATCACCTAGATGCAGCTATATTCGTCTCAATGCATCAGCTTCATCTCCCAAACAGAAGGCTACAGTACCTTCTGGAGACAAGTCCAAGGTACAATTGGTAGTGGCTTCTACCTTGGTCTTTGTGTTCGTATGTTTGGTGGTGATATTTGTTTCTACTCCAGCTCAAAAGTCAAAGAAAAAGTGATCTCAACAAGGAAATACGGTTACAGTAACGTTACGTATAAATTATTATATTGTAGGTATGTTTGAGGTAATAAGATGGTAACATCATATATATTAGGTAATGCCTTTAACGGTTTAAAAACGTAAAATTTATTTAAAAATATATTACACATTACTTATAACTGATATGATATGTTAATGTTTGGTCATTTTCTTTTGGTACGGTAGTGTTCTGACTTCTGTAGCCGTATGTTGAGGAATAGGAACAGGCCCTCCGGGCTGGGCAGCGGTAAGGTAGTTGGCTAAATGAGAAGCGGCCGATTCTAGGACTGGCAGTAGTACAGCTGAAAAAACTAGATTGAAGGGTGACAATGGTTGTGTTACAGTATCTATTTGTGCTTATGTTACAGTACTTTCTTGTGATACTTTTCATAAAACTTACTTTGTTTAATGTCCTGCTCTGGCTGCGTAGCCTTCTGACCTACAAAGTCATTCTGTCTGAGCGCTTCTTGGGGCAGGCTGATGACACTTGGCTGGATTCTGTCCTCGCTCTCTTTGTACCGTACCGATTGACTGGTGGGATTCTGGAGAGGAGGGAGGTTGCTGGGGTAGACTGAATTGGCAGGGATTTGAGGATATTGTTCATGAATGTTGGGTAACATTTGATTAGGACCGGTCGATTGGAATTGGCCTGGATTAGCTGGTTGGCTAGTCGGGAATTGACCCGGAATGCCTGGCTGGCCGGTCGGTAATTGCAGTCCTTGATTTGGTATCTGAGACTGTGGGATCATTGGCATCTGGCTAGATATTTGGTTAGGGAGTTGGCTTGGTATTTGGCTAGATATCTGGTTTGGTGTTTGGGTGGGGATCTGTTGTGATGGACTGATCTGATTGCCAAGTTGTTGTGGTATCTGAGTCGGTACGATGGAATTCTGTGGAATCTGGCTGGACAAGATTTGGCCAGGAGGTACACTACCGTCCAAGGAACAGCCGACTCTGCTTCTCATTTCTGGTGTTACTCTGTAAAATTGGTTTAATCTGTCATTACAACTTGAATAACAAGTTGCACAAGGTCGATCATACGATAGTTTAATTACAGGGACTGTAAATATGATTGTACGTTTGACAAAACTCACTTGAACATTCGAGAATGTCCGGGAACGATGACGTCACACGTGCACAGGATTCGTCTTCGGTTCTCGAGGCCGAGGGCCGCGTTCCAGGCGTCGCGGCTCCAATCTTCTCCTCCCGACAGCGCGTCTAATTCCGAGTAGAACAGGTCGCCTGAAGGGATTACGGTAACTTCGAGTACTTTACAGTTTTTTCAAAATATTATTTTTCCGTATTTTAAAAATTTAACATTAGAACATTGAAAAAATATGAAAAATTAAAAAAAGTTAATGAGATAACGATAACATACCAACTACACCGATCGTTCCTAACTGCGGCACGTTTCGTACGATAACACTAACATCCTGGTTGGTATGACCTGGAGTGTTCCAGACTTGGACGTTTCTTGTAAGTTGCATCTCGTTTTGCTAAAATTAATATACACTTCACTACAAATGCAAATTTTGTATAACATAGTTGAAGCTTAAAATAGTTTTTACGGTTAAAGATAATTGCAAAAAGTACTGTAATTTTGTCGAAAAACCGTCCATCTACTACTATACGTTTTATAACTTTACACTGAACAATTCGTTTCTGTTAAAGACACTGTTAACATAATCATAAGGTCCGAACAAGTGCCTGGCATTAGTGAACAAGTTTTGTTGGCCAAAGTGGTCTGGGTGGCCATGGCTAGTCAAGGCGACGTGCACTTGGGCTGGACTGATTCCAAAATTTGACAATGCTGAAAATAGTCTTGTGTCATCTCTTAATGTAGTACAAAAATAATAAAGGTTTGAGTGGAAGTAACTGCACACTTAAAATGTCTTGATTTGATCTATGATAATATACAACCTGTACTAACCCTTGAGCATCATTTCTGTTGTTTGCTTATCAGATGCCGATGGAGAATCTACTACGATAGCGTAGCCTTGGTCGAGGATCAACGTTACTGACGATACCATGACATATCCCTAGAACAGATCCGTTAAATAAGTTTATGAAGGATAATATTGAAATACTGTAGTAAATACGTGTTTCGACAGAGCTTTTAAAAGCAAAGTAAATTTTAACTAAAGTCACGTTTGAAGTTATAGCAAAATTGGCCCACAACTTTCGGACCGTGCCATACCTTTTCCGTCGGGTACATCATGCCTTCGACCAAGGGCAACACTCTGGTCGTATCTTCCACCGCGTACTGTGCCTGTGGCTGCGAGGCCGGCTGGGACAACACAATCTTGATCTTGTCATTCGTCAATATCCAAGCGGTAATCAGAAGCGCGAAGGGCCGCATTCTGAACATGAAAAACAAATGGACTGAGCATGCGCAATTTAAAGCGCGATGTTCTCAAGAGTTGGAGCTGCTTTGATTGTCCTGATCGAGTGACCAATTCAAAACACACCCAAATCACCTCCGAGGCGTTTTTTCTACCACAACATCACTTCCGTTCCGAACCCTACCAACACGTTGCAACACTACACAGCACAGCATGACGGTAGTGTCATCATGTGAAGACTATTATGAGAGGGACATAACACAACATATTATTATCAGTCTTTCCGGAAAAGAATGGGATAAAATCGCAAAACCCAATTTGAAGGAATCGCTGTCGCGCCGAGAATTGGGCGACAGCGACAAGGTCTGCGACAATCGCTTGCACCTTGCGACATCCTAATGGGAATCGCAATGTTGCAGGGTGCAAAGCTTTGCGACACACTGTCGCGTCGCGATTTGAAAGGCGATGCGACAGCGTGTCGTGGTTTGGTTGTCGCAACGCACAAGCCACCACTGTGTTTAGTGTAAGGCTTGCGACAAGTTTCTTTTGACTGTCGCAAGTCCCCTGACTCCTGCGACAACCGACCGGTGCGACAATTGGGGGCTTGCACTGTGCAGTCTTTCCATCATCGTTTGGGGTCGAAAGAGGTCGCGGGGGAAGCTGCACGGTGCAATGGGGCTGCGATTTTCTCAGGGATTGCACTGTGCAGACATCCCATTCTTTTCCGGAAAGACTGATAGAATCGTCAACTGATAGATGAGTTACAACGCTGTTTCTTACTCTTTATGACAGTAAATTTACCTGCCTATTCTTTGTTACAGTACATCTACTTGCACAGCCTTCGATACGGTATATTTACCTCCAGTTTACACTGATATGATCTCTGCAATCGCTTGCAATTCTCTGAAACTTTATAAATAAAACCTTTTGAAAGTTGATTTGCAAATTTAAACTTCTGAAATACGAAGAAGATAAACAGTTACCGTAATCTCTTTAAACTAGCAGTTACCGTAATCGCTTTAAACTTTTTGTAAACAATATCAATGATAATACTGTGTTCTTTCCTCTCTTGCGCAATACTCATCTTGTCAGTTTACTGAGTAATTCTTAGTTTATTGTGTGATCGATAAGATACCATGAATATACTGAGTAATGTACAGTATTGAAGGCTTTTTAAGATACGATAAATTACTGACTAATTGATAATATCAGTAAGTTCACTAAGTAACCATTAAGATACAGTGAATTGACCAACTGATTCAGCAGATGTGAACAGCGGCTGAACTCTGAACGTGATTGATGGCGTGCCGTGAACAGCCTTTGGTGACGTTTGCAGGTTGAGGCTATCTTTAGTTCACTATCTTTAGTTTGAAGCAAGTGTAACACCATGGTTACCGAGCGACCGTGACGTCAGATTCCGTTCGTTTAAGGAGCCGTATTACTTGTTTACAACTTAACGTTACTTTTTACAATTTATGTTGATTTTTTACATTATTGTATAGCAACTTGGTCAAAAAAGACATAGAAAAAACGAAAAGAGTGACCAATCTTGCAACATCTAAAGTTTTCATGCACTTTTCGACCAACATTACAACGTTTTTACAATTTGTTACCCATTATTTACAACCTCTATGTTATTATTAGTTTAAACCGAGGCATCTCTCGCTCCCAACTTGACCATCTGATGTTAACCATGACTGTGTTTTGAACTTTTGTCGACTTTTAAAGTGTCTGTTCGAGAAACTTCTGTGTAAGTGGCGTTCAACAAAGCGAGGCTATCTTAATATAAGGGTTTGATGGTGTAGTCTGTGTTTTCTGTCACGTGTAGTCAATGTAAACAGCTCTGCAGCTAATTAGAAATGCAAAGTTGTTTATCAGATTATAAGACGTTATAGTAGAGCTTGTATAAGTAGTAGGCTTTTAAGGTTGCGTACTTTAGTCAGCCTGTTTTGTCAATATAAACAAGCCTTAAAGAGGTACAGTGTTTTAACAGTTTGCAGTCAATTCAATGTTTTAGATTTTGTTTTAATTAATGTTTCATCACTTTGCACAATCATTGTTTTAATGACAAAATTGTGTTTGAGCAACTGTCAATGCCAAATACATGTAGCTCTTTGTACTTATTTTTAATTTGAGTACACCAACTGACCTATCATATGTTACAAACCCATTTGACCCAAACTTAACAGTTTTCAACCAAACAAGCCTATATGTTACTACAATCGACCACAAACCTTGTCATCATGTACTAATGTATTTATAGTTGGCATACGTTCTGAACAGTTTAGTCAATTACCTTGTTGTTATGTTCGTCTCCACCTGCGTTTACCCATAACGTGACCTAATAACTGTCAAAACCAACTGTGTTGTGGTTTGAGACTGGTCAGAAGTCGGAATTTACAGCGCTCTCCATCGCCAGCCTTCCTTCCAAGTCTTGGAGTATTTAATAGCGGTTCGATCGACAACGCCTCGAGGCTTTGAAAGGAAAGAGAGCAAAGCAAGGGAGGGGGGGGTGAGGCGCGCGAGAGAATCCCTTCATTACATCTGATCGGCACAATGCCTGTCTGTCTTGCTCCCCTTTGACCTCAACCTTATATCATCCACCTTTCAGAAGTTGCTCGAGCGAGAGAGAGCTAGCCGCTCCAGTCTATGACTTAACAACAACAATGTTTGCGGTCTTGGAAGCCGGACGTTACTTGTACGGTGATGTGTTGGTCGACCTCATAACCTCGGTCGTGTACCCGGAAGCCGACCTCAGGCTGAAGGTGAGTGCGGTGTCTCGACCAATCGATCGATAGTAAAATTGACTCACTCGGTCGATAACCATTATAAAAGATAGGGAATACGTTTGATACGGGTTAAGATGCGGTTTTTCATTGTTTTCCCGTTTGCTCTACATCTCTTTTGTTGAGATTAACATAGTCGAGACTGTGTATTTACAGGCAATTAACCTGTTTACAGTAGTTTATAGCCCTAAATTGGCCAAAGTAAAAATAAAGGCCGACCTTTACCTTCCTTTAGATTAATTTTACATCCTTTGGACCCAAACGTAATATGTTTAGTTAAAAACTGTTAAAACCCTTTCTGCTCATAACATGTACATACCTTTATATATGATAAGCCCCAACTGATAACCGGGTTTAGGGAGGCCTGAAGCGTGATGCGAGTGGACTGGGCAGTTGGCTGGGAGTGGCAGGCAGCATGAGTGTAGCCAGTTTCTTGCTGCTCACCTTCCTTATACTGCTCGTCATCGCCATATTACACATACCACTGCCTTACGAGATATGTGATCGTCACAAAGTGCAATTCTTCGAGTTTTTACTACGTGTTTCAAATGAATATCTTGTAAGTTTTAGTTATAGACATTGTTGTAGAGGACTTAGCTCATTATTTTAAGTTTGTTAACTTCTTATATTATAGTTGGTTTAGGCTTATCATTTCATCGAAACATAGCATTACTTCTGTTACATCTTTTTATAGTAGTAAGCGTATACATATTATTTTATCTTGACTAATTTGACTTGAAACATTCCGCTCGCTGTGGCTGACCACCAGCTGTGTTATCTTAAGCGACTCGAACCAACGCTCACTCTCTAACCCAATTTTAAGAACCAGAATAGTTTCGACGAACACCTAACATAATATACTCATTACATTTCAGGGTAATATAATAGAGCTGATCTTCGGTGTGAGACTGCGCAACTGCTTTACTCGCTTCGTGGCCGGTATTCCTTATTTATTCCAAAGTAAAGCCCCGAAATGGTGTAGTATCAAGGAAGAGCAGATAGCTGGGGTCACCTGCAGAGTCTATTTACCTGACAAAAGCACTCGGAGGAGTGACAGTCTGATCATCTTCATTCACGGCGGAGGATGGTGCATAATGAGGCCTCGTAAGTAGAATATAAAGATTGACAGAGTAATTGTAAATAGTTTTAAAAAGTAGTTTTGTTATGGCAGCTTTGATCACAGAATCAATCTTGGTTATTTCTATTAACAGTTTTGACACATTCTATCAAAACATACTTCAAAATTTCATAACTTACCATATCAACTTTCCCTACGTTATCAAGTATGTTAAGAGTTACTTGTTTATATATTACCAGTTTGCTCAAAAGTAAATAGAATCTTATAAATTTAAGTCGTTTTTTGATTTTTCTATTGATTTTCTGACCAAGATGATATCACATGATCAGTTTACGATCAGCTGTTACATCACAATGTTTTTTATGTCACCACTGTTTACAGAGTTGTAACCTCTAAAATCTGCTTCCTTGTAATCTTTAATTTTCCAAAGTTTCTGTTGTTACGACAGTGTTCGATATGCTTCTGGAGGTATTACACACGGAATTAATCATTAAAACCTAACGAACGTTCGCTTTACAACGGAATGTGAACATCCAGCACATGAATATATTGTGATAGCACAGTCATAGTTGTAGCCTTGAGTTTACTTGAATCTTGATAAGATAGTCAAAAATACAAAAGCATAAGAAAGCTTAAAATTACCGCACTGTAACTCAATCCTTTTATTACTCTACAATAACGTCACCTATTACCACACAAACATACCACGGTCATTACAAGTATATCGTGGTCATTACAGGCTTCTATGACGGTCCATTACTGTCGCTAATACGACGAACCGGAACGCCGATCATATCCATCGACTACGATCTGGCGCCAGAGAAGCAGTTTCCTCACGCTATCCTACAGTGCGAAGGAGTAATTAAAGAGCTGTACGAGAGAAGGTAGGCTTCCACCGAAGTCACGGTGAATACGACTATTTCAGATTCCTCCAGTACCAAGTGAACCCCGAGAAGATTGTACTGATGGGTGACAGTGCTGGTGGTAACCTGACTGCTGTAGCTTGTCAACGATTGAAAAGAGAAGGGAAAGGGCATTACATCAAGGTAACTGCGACTAACAATCACTAACACATTAAAGTAAACAATAACCTTAACAATTACAATATCTTTCTAAACATTTCTTATATTAACCTTACGAATAGAACAAAAAAAGCATTACGGTATAACAAAGCCGGACTGTAATTACAGTAGCCGAACAAAGACAGATTAACCTGTAAATAACAAAGACTCAATACCATAAACAACAGATTACCACGGTAATTTCAGTCTCAAATCCTTGTTTATCCCGTTATCCACATGTTCGACTTCTTGTCGCCGTCGTATCAATTATATTACTATCGCTACAAAGGAACGGCGCTTCTGAATCCATTCTCGCTGGCTAGATGGTACTTGATGTACGTTGGAATAGAGCCGAGCATGAAGAACATCAAGTTGATGATCAAGAATCAGCATTTGCATAAGTAAGCATTCGGTGCTAGACTATATTCTTTACGAACAACTTTTAAAATTCCAACTTTTTCTATGCTACAGTATACGAAACATGTAAACAGTAACTTTACAGTAGTGTATCAAATAATTCTTTACGAAACATCACTTTGTTGACGAAAATCAATGAAAATTACACTTTTTTTATTGATTTTAGTCATCAGTACTGCCACCAATTAATTAAGACACACTTCGTAGCCTTTTTTACATTACTGTAAAGCAAAATTAATCAAGTTACTTTGCAGAGAAGTCGTCGATCATGTCGAGACTTCAGCCTTAGCTCACCATCATCGTCTGCCTATGGCATGGACAGACAAATCAACATATCGAAAGCCAATGCCTTCCCCTAACTCATGTCCTCAGGTAAAATATTGTCTTCAATGATAGTCAAAACATTTTTTTTTATAATTTTTTAAAAAATTTAAAACGGTTTTTAATATTAAAAAGATTAAAAATGATTTTGAATATATAAATAGTCTACAACCCATATTTTGAACACTTCTAAATACAAAAACCTAATCTTGTTTACCCAGAACAACACTCAAAACCCAGTAATAACCTTCTCTTTTTAGCTAGCCGAAAAGTTCCGCCAACTCCTCACCAACCCTGACATCTGCCCCATCGTCGAAAAAGATTTGTCCAATCTGCCACCAGCTTTAGTTATGACAGCTGGCATCGATGTCCTCAGGGATGAAGGTGTACATTATGCTACACGACTAAAGGAGAACGGCGTCAGAACACGGTGGAATCACTACGAATCCGCCTTTCACGGTGTGATGAACATGCCCAAGAGCAAACAGCGAAAGCAGATGCTGGACGACATTCATGCACATCTGATAGAGCTCAAGCTACTTTAAATTATGTTAGGCAATGTTAATATCAACATGTACGAAAACCTTGCTGACACCAGCTCAACAATCCTATAAGTCATTATGATTGTTTATGATAAGCATTAATCAACAAAAAGCTATTTAGAACCCATTATGATCTTATCATAAGTATCCTATACGATGTTATATACCAGCATCTAGATCTTGTACTATATCAGTGTGAAACTGTGATAGTTGTTATTCGAATCTCTTCCTCGTACTAGTCATTTTTGTTATCCCGTGTATGCTCGCATGTGTTTTGTTGTAAAAACTGGTGATAGAAGTATATAATTATTGTCTTACGTAACCCACAGCTAAATAAACATATTCATATCACTGCTCCTATCTTTGAGCAAAAATTAACTTCCTCAATCACCCAACAATTTTAAACACATAATAAAAAAAACAAAAACCCCATTATAAATATTATCATAGACGATAACTGCTTCTTCCAACCTTATCATAGTCAATATTTACTTGTTATTTACGCGAGATTACTTATAGGTATATGGCAGTGATACAATATAATTATTAAAACTATTTCTGTCCTTCTTGCTCCAGACTGACAGTGTTCAAGCATCGTGTCGGCAGAGAAGCATGCACGTTCCGTAGCTTCTCCAATTGTTTGCTGAGATTGTCGACTTCTCGCTTCAGAAGAACCTTATCTTGTTCTGCCTTCTTGTTCAGCTCATCTTTGACAAGCTTGTCCAATTCTGCTTCTCTGTACTCGGTTTCGGCCTGATCTAACAATCGTTCCAGATCCTCCAGTTGCTCATCGTTCACGTTCTCCAAGGAATCTGAAAATTGAAATTAAAACACTGTAAAACAGAAAACACGCTGCAAAATATTAAATTTGATCTCTACTACAACATATAAACAAAAACACATTAAAATTTCATAAAGAAAACAAAAATAAGTTGGTCGAAACGTACTCAAGAGCGACAAAGCATTGTTAAGTTGAGATTCCGACTTGTTGAAGTTAGCTTGTAGATTCTTGGCAGCAGTTTCAGCTACAATGGCATTTCTGAGAATCTCGGTAGACTTTTCGTTATCACTTTGAGCCTGGTTTTCGAACTCCGTAGTCGTAGCTTCGAGTTTCTTGATGTTCTCCAAGGTTTCATCAAGCAAATTCTGTTTTCCTTGGGCCTTGACTTTGGTGTTTGTTGTGTCAGTCTTCAACTTTTCTGTCTCCTGAAAATAAGCATTGAACTTTGTGACTAAAATCAATAGTGTCACTTCGTTTTTTCCATATTTTGACATTTTGTCTAAACATAAAGCGTTATTTTATATATTTTGGTAAATTCTTACGTCTGCTAGTTTTCTGGCATCTTCCCGAGCCTTTTCGGCCAGTTGAAGCGATTCGTTGGCATCAGAATTGGCGTTTCCAATCTCTTTCTCGGTATCAGCCGCAATTTGTTGGGCTTCCTTGATTTGGTCTTGGATTTGAGTGAGTTTCTCGAGTTGTTCCAGGGCTTCTTGCTTGGATGCGTCGATGTTCTCACTGAAGTCGTTCAAGGAGTTGTAGGATTGCTCGGCTTCGTTCCAGATCTTCGTGGCTCCATCAAAGGCATCCTTGGCGTGGTTACGGCTCTTCTCAACTTCGGCCAGGATTCTGTCGGTTTCCTAAAACAAAGTTAGTTTGTAGGACTTTAATTTTTAATAACCTAAAAACACTATAAAGCGTAAAGGATACTGAAAATAAGCTGGGCATCAACAATATTATTCAATTATTACCTCTTGTTGAATCTTGGCAGCGCGTAGATTCCCGGCGGCTTCGGTCAAGATCCTTTGAGCATCTTGAAGCACCTGCTTCTGTTCCTCAATCTTCTCGTTAGCATCTGTCGACGATAGTTGTGATTCTTCTTTATGTAATCCAGCGTTTTCGTTGATCTCATCAGGGATAACGTCAGGAAGCTTGGTGCCCTCGACAATACTCAAGGTTTGAGCGGCTTCATTGTAAACGGATTCTGCTTCTCTGATTTGTTCTTCAGCCAAGGCCTTGGTGTTGTTCAGCTTGTCGGAGGTTGATTTGAGTTGCTTCTGAAGAGTAGCGATCTGCTGACTTGTAGCTGACGCTCCGTAGATGGCGTCATTAGCTTCATTCAAGGCTTCCTTCGACTTGTTTGAAGCCGATTCGGCCAACTTCTCGATTTCGGATTGTTTCTCGTTCTGGTCTTGGACGAACTTCTTAGATTCCTTGGCCAGGTCGGTGAGAGTTTGGGACTTGTCTCCGAACCGGTCGACGGCTTCTCTGGCTTTATTCAACTGCACGTCTCCTTCACGCTCGGCGTAGCTAATTGCGTTATCTAATTCGCGTTCGATTGCTTCCTGCTCCAATCCCAATCGTTGTCTCTCGACTTCTACGTAAGCCGCCTTGCTGTCGATCTTTTCGAGATTGTTCTTGATGTGAGAGACGGCGCCAGATGCGTCATCAAGGTTTTTCTTGACGACATCGACCTGTCCCAAGAGTTTGGCGTCATTTCCGTCTAAAAATAATTAGTCATTTGAACTGAATTCACAATGTTTTAGTGTTATATATGAAGGCACTTACCGAGTTTTGACTTTGCTTTGGAACTGAGTTCCTCAACTTCTTCCTTCACTTCGTTCACTCTAGCATCGAACTCAGCGTCCTCCACCTTAACTGGGTTGTTCTGAATCTCGTCCAAGTTTTCCCTGAGGGCGGAGATACTTCCATTCAGCTCGTTCTTCCTCTTCTGAATCAACGTGTAACAATCGTCACAAGCTGGACATCCACTACGAAGGTTGTAACGATTCTCAGAACATTGGTCACACCTGAGACCTTCCACATTGTTTTTACACAAACATTGCCCAGTGTTAACATCACATTCCCTGGATTCTGATCCAAGTTGATCACAATCACAAGGCTTACAGCCTTCTGAGCTGAATCCGTAGTGATAGGGAGCACACTCGTCACATCTGCGACCCGTGACACCAGGTTTGCACTGACACGATCCGGTTACAACGTCACATGTGGTATTCGAACTTCCGAGAGGATCACAGTCACAACTTTCACAACCATTTCCAGAAGTCAGGTTGAAGTAGCCTTCCTAAAAAGACAGATTAATTAGATATTATTATTAAAAATGATTATAAATGAGGTTTTGGACTTTTGACCGAATATAAATCATCAAAAAACATGACTTACTTGGCACTTCTCACAATACTGACCAATCACGTTGGGCTGGCAGTCACACTGACCGTCGCTTTGTTGACATTCCAAAAGATTGTAGTCGATGGTTGGTCTCTTAGTGCCAGGAGTGTAGCAGTTACATGGCTTACAGTCTCCCTTCGGCTCAGCCAAAGCGTCTCCCCAGTAGCCTGGAGCACACTTTTCGCAGTTGAATCCGGTAGTTTGGTAGATACACTTGCGACATTCTCCAGAAGTCCTAAACACAAAGTTTGATCATTAAAATGTAAGACTTACGTATCGCAGATTCCAACGGCATTCGTGTCGACGTTATCGTTACATTCACACTTCTTGCACGGAATACCTTCATCTGGGCTACCGTAATATTCGTCAGCACATTCGTCACATTTCTTTCCTTGGTACCCTTCTGGACATTCGGTACAAGTCGTGGTACCATCTGGTAGAAGCATACATGGGCCGCCTTCTGGACAGTCACATTGCTTACAGTCTTCTGGAGAACCGACCAAGGCGTCGCCGTAGTATCCACGAGCACATCGTTCACAGAAATCGCCGTCAGTGTTATGATTACAGAAGCAGGCTCCAGATTCGGGGTCACAGGAGTCTGAATGGCCATTGCATTCACATTTTATGCACTTGGCCATGGGACCTCCGAACTTCTGAACTCTCTTGTAGCCGGTCTCACAGGATTCACAGAATTGGCCGATGAATCCCTCTCCACACTTACAGGTTTCCACCCACTTGGCTTCCCGGCTCTCAACGTCCTCCGGAACGATCAGACCTGCCGTGCCAATGTAGAAGTCGGACAAGAAGCCGACGTCACCTTTGGAGAAGGTTCCTCTGATCTTGATGGCCGACAAATTGGCCAGAACACCAATGAAGTCAACTTCTCGAAGCGACGGGCTCCACTGGTAGACTTGGTTAGCGTGCAGTCTGAATCTGTAGCTCTTTTCGTTCTGTCCTGGAAGGGTGTTGTTCTGATGGATGATGGGGATAAAGAGCTCCATTCCGTTGGCTCCAACTAGTACAATATCCTTCACGGAAGGCGTTGGTTGGACTTGTTGGATTCTGAGGGTAAAGCCAAGGTCGTGGTTGTAAGCGAATCTCTGATCGCCAAGGAACTTCTGTGGAGCGTAGAAGTACACTGGGCTTTCGTCATACTGAGAGATGGCTACAGCTTTGTCCAGTTGAGCCCATTGGATGTCTACAGGATGACGATCGGAGATGCCAGCCTTCCACTTCTCCACGCCCTCTTCGAATCTGGAGCTGGCGTTGAAAGCGTAGTAGCCGTCGCTTTGTTGACAAACCGAGGAATGACCGTAGCAGAAACATGGCGAACATCCGAACACGTTCTCGACGTCAAGGTTGAAGTAGCCTGGCTTACACTTGTCACACTGTTGTCCTTCCACATTGGCCTTACAAGCACAACGACCATCTGAAGCCGAGCACCGTGGAGTGTTTTGGTCTGATCCCGCCAATTCACAGTGACAATCTCTGAAGGAAGATTAATATTTAAAACTAAACCTTAGATAGTATTGTATATATAACAATTGTAAAAAGAAGCTATGATTCCACGTTATCATGAAGTTACAAAAGAATCTACACTTACTTGCATCCAGAAGCACTGAAGTCGTAGAATCCGTTCTTACATTGGTCACAACGTTCTCCGGTGACTCCAGGCTTGCAAGTACATTGACCTTGTTCATCACACTGTTCACTCTCTGATCCGAGAGGATTACAGTTACAAGCTGTACATCCTCTCTCACCAGGTCGACGGTAATGGTTGACAACACACTCTTCGCAATGGGGTCCCTAAAAAATGTCTGATACTGTAACAAACGACTTACCTGAGTGTTCTGAGTACAATCAATACAATGACCTCCATGTCCAGTTTCGTTGTAGAGTTTTTCGTCGAAGAAACATCTGTTGGCCATACCGTTACAGTTACATTCTGAAACATTAATTAAGTTTATATTTTGCATAAGAAGAAGCTTTACAAACATATAAGATAATATTATAGTACCTCAGACGTATACTTACCCACACATTCGTTGGCGTCAGTTGAAGTAGCTGCTCTCCATGGTCGATCAACGTGGAATGGAGCACACTTCTCACAATCTACCCCAGCAGTGTTGTGTTTACAGTTACAGACGAGCTGGTTGGTCGACTCTCCAGTAGATCGTACACATTCACTGGCGTGACCATTACATTTACATCTACCTCCAACAGCAAAGTCAGAGATGGCGTAATAGTAACTTCTGAGTACTCGAGGGTCTCTGAAGATCTCGTCACCGTACGAGTTCATTCTGTTCAACACCACCATGATCTCCGTAGCCGTGACCCACTCTTGAAGAACTTCAGATTCCTCGAAGTTTTCGGCCGAGGGACGACCGTCAAGTGTTGAGAAGGCGATGGTGGCACCAGTAATAGGTGAGATATCTGAGAATTCCCTCGTACAAATGGCGTGGGCTTCGTTGTTGGGCAAGATCGGCGACCGGTCGGGTAGCTTGTAGGTGGTTAAGCACGATCCCGAGTAGTACTGCCACGGTTCCCATTCAGAATCGGCCGAAGTCTTCTTGTAGATGGCGAAACTCTCTGGCCGAGGACTGACGAACTTGATTCTTGTGTAGGTAATGTCGAAGGCCTTGTCCAACTTGAGGGTCAGGTTGATGCTGGTCGGATACTGCATGCCCTCGAGCATCGTGTCCGACTGCCACCAGGTCTCGTTGTTGGGGTTGTTGAAGTCGGTCAAGTAGGTGGTCGGGTGAGCGATCTCCGGTCTTCTGGCATCACAGTGTTCACAGACCTTCCTTAATCCCATATGACCAGTTTGAACACAGTACGTGGTCTGGCCACGTACTCCACAAGTGTTGGTGGCTTCGACGAAGCGGTTGAAGGCGGCGTTGATGAAGTCGGGCACACAACGCTGGGGTTCGTTGTTTTGATCGTAACAAGGATTTGAGGCTAAAATTGTTTGTCAGTTTATTGTAATTATTGTGGAAAGTACTTTTAAACATATTTATAGACTTCAAGGTTACTTTACAATAAAGATAAATTTTGCAAAATTCACAAAAAATTGAAATTCGAGTGACTCACATGGCTGGTAATGGTGAGGATCAATGCTGGGTGTTTTCTCAGCAGGCTGTGCTATTAAAAGCGGCAAGAGGCATAGCACCAGCCTTAACGGCACTGGCACTAGCTGCATCTTACCACCCCAAGAGATCTGAAACAGCGAACGTTAGGTAATGAATCAAACGGAGCAGGCTAACTGGCCTAAAACAATGTTTAAAGTGGAAGTTACGGGCCCGAATGATAAGGGATAAGATAAATAAACCCAACACGCCACACAAAAGTACAGTCGAGGTCGTTTATGTAATTAGGGCGTCAAAATGGAAATTATTTGCGCGTTGATTTAGGTTGGGCTGATCAGATCGAGCAGAGAGATCCGGCAGATCGCCTTTGACCCGCGTTCTCTCTGGCCTCTCTCTTCTTAGCGAGGCTGGTAGGCACAAGGTCGTCGCCCCCTGAACCCATCAGGTAATAACTGTCCATCTTCGCGCGCTTTCCCGGGACAATGCAGTTGCAACTACTTTTCTTTCAACTGATAAGACCCGAAAAGGGAGAAACCCTCGCCACTATGTTTGCTTTGCCATCCCTTTCGAGACCATCTTTTCGACCATCCCTTGAGATGATTTCAGAGGTGCAGTGACCTCTTCCTCCATCGCAAATGTCAAACAATTATTCACATTATCCATTCCGTTTGCCGCATTACAGCCTGGTCGGTCGGTATTATTGTTCGCGATGTTCTGGCCAATTCTCTTTCTCATTTTGACAAGTTTGGCCCAGGTGTGTTCGTTTTTGTAGTCTACTTACAGTACAGTTCCGTTTTCATGGCAAAAAACAGCTGAGTCATATTTAGGTATTTAATATAGGTAAAGTGGCCAACCACCTAACAAAAGCTTTGTTTTTTTGTAAAATTGTGTAAATTTAAACTTTTTAAGATTAAAAATTAATCAAAATTAGAGTTTTTGTTATTTACCGTCAGGGACGTCGTTTGGGGGGAGGGGGGGGTACCCCTCCCCCAGAGCCGGTCCGAAAAAAAATTGCACAGGTAGGGCGCTAGGACAAATGCGGTTTTTGGACATTTGCGGATTTTTTAAAGGGGGTTTTTTTTATTTTTTAGTTTATTTTGTTGTATTATGGTACTAAAGTGTAAATTGGAACTGTTTTAACATGTTTTAGTGCTAAATAGTACTAAATTTTAAATTGGTACTGTTTTATATTTTTTGGTACTGAATGGTACTAAAAGCCCAAAAAGGTACTGTTATGTTAAAACCGCACCAATTTAAACTTTAGTACAATTTAGTACCATACTACAAATAAATCAACTAAAAAATAAAAAAAAACCTTTAAAAAATCCGCAAATGTCCAAAATCCGCAAGTGTCCAAAAAACCGAAGATCCGCAAGTGTCTAAAAACCGCAGATCCGCAAATGTCCAAAAACCGCATTTGTCCTAGCGCCACAGGTAGGTACCTGTACGCGAAAAAACGAAAAAAAATTTTTTTGAAAAATCGGTCCACAGGTCCTTCCCTACCTGTGAACGAAAAAATTTTTTTTCGACCTCCCCCTCCCCCAGAGAAAATCCGTAGCGACGTCCCTGTTTACCGTTACTTCTGCCATTTATAAATTGTTTCTTTGACCTTTTATTTGTAAAGTTATGTTAAGCATGGCGCTAAAAGCAATTAGAAATCAGGGAAAAAGGACTTTTTCAAAGAGTTTTGGGCCAATTGGAAGTTTCTTTTATCAAAAGGTCACTTATCTATCTTTAACAGCCTTCCATATCTTGTTTTATGTCTTTAGTTGCGATTTGTTTACTTATTTACATTTTGCGAAGAATTTTTGGAAAAAAAATGAATTTTCGTCTAGAAAATGAGTCATTAAATGTCTCTTTTACGAAAAAAGTGTCATAGTTTGTCTTTTTTCCATAAATTGCCTTGGAAATGAATTGTAATATTAAAAATGTTTTTCGCTGCAATGTAGACATCGTGTTGCAATCTCTCAACTTACCATTCATTATTTCAGAATGTGGTCTTGGCCGCAGAATGTGAAGCTGCCAACGAATTCAACCATGCCGCTTTATTGTTTTGTTTTACCACCGCCGCGAGCTTAATCTCCCTAGTGATTCTCTTCATCGTTTGCTTCAAGTTCAGAGGTGTAAGTCTTCAAGATATAACTCTGGCCTAAAAGATTGGAATTCATAAGACAATAAAGATGTTATATTCACCTTTGACAGCCTAAAACAATATATAATGCATTACCTTCACTTTCAGGGCAAACTGCTCAGAATCGAGACCCGACTGTTCACTGTGATGGACCAGGTACTGCAGAATACATTGCCGATAGTGCTGACTGAAGAGATGTTATACAAGAGCCTCGACTTGAAGACACAGGAGAACATCTACCACGCATCCCTCGCCAATTAGTCGGGATCTTATCTCGGGGCTCTCGACTCAAACGCGAACTTTAACAACCTAAAACACCATGAAATGGCTCCGGTTCAACTGTTGTGTCATAATATTCGTTCTTATTTCTCGTGTCTTTTACAATAAATTAAGTTACAGTAACCGGGCTTTGGAGTATTTGAATGAAGCGGCCAAAGACTTTGTGTATGGTGACTTTTCTACCTCGGTACAGCTGAATGAGGTAAAGATAAACATGTTATTTTAAGTTTATGCGGCAATTTAACCTTGATTACGTACGGTTTTGTAGGTATTAGAACGTACCAGAAGTCCTCACGTCATACTACTTAATAAGGTAAGAAAATGTAAAAGATGCTGTTCTAAAGCCCAAATAGTGATATAGAAATTTTTAAAATACAAGGAAACAATTTTGAGTAATCTTGAGTCAAAAGTACTCACTTCGAGTGTCATATGTATATTTCATCCTCTAATAACAGTACCCACCATTAGCACGCCTTAAATGTTACTCTCAACTTTGTCTGTAACCTTCGCCACTTCAATGCAACCTCCGGAGTTGTCGCCTTCGCTTTTGACTACCATTCGTATACTGTAATGAAGGGCTCGTTTCCTGAAATCAGTGTAATTTACTGGAAGATGATGTCGCTAGTAAGTTTTACCGAGATTTTATGTAAATTTAGTCAGAAATGTTAAAATTATTTGCAAAATTTTTCTGAAAATTATAATGTATATCTTTACATTGTAATGAATACCTTTACAGGAGGATAGATTCCAAGCCGGAGATGGAAGATACCAACTTTTCCAGTACTTCCGTGCACGATTGTCATCTTATTTGAGTACTACAGCAGATAGTTTCTGGATGATCCAAGCTGACACCATCTGGAAGAAGAACTTCTTTACTACAGTTGGTATGTTACTATATCGTGCCACCACCATTAATCTCATTTACAGTATAAAATCTTTTAGAAAATACAAGACATTATTCATAATTAAAAATGTTCCAGAATACTCCGACGCTGATCTACTGTTTGATCAAGAAGGAGAAGAAGGCCTATTATCCGAAATGACAGCTGGTGGATATTACTATGTAAAGTCAAATGAAAAGTCATTTAAATTCTTTAAAAACATCGGAGATACGTTACTAGAATACTATGTGACAGACAACAACTTAATGACAAGACAGTGTTTACTGCAAATGTATGATGTTACCTGCAGAAAGATACCATACAGGTAAGAGATAACATAACACGTTTAAAAATGATAATATGACAGCTGTACCTAGTAAGCACTCCTTTCATAGTAAAATGAATTTAAATACGACATCAATGGCAAAGTTAAAGAAGGTGACACTTGCAGCACGCTAGTAAACTGGAGATACGAACCCCGAGAAGACCGTCCCGAGCCACCGTTCGTCCAATTCGATGGGGGCGAAGGGGCGGAGGAGAAGTTCCTGAAAATGAAGAAGGCTGGAGCGTTGTACGTGGACCCGGAATCTCTATCAGAAGAGCCCCGACCCGCCAGATGTCTGCCGCTTATAGCCACGGAACCGGGCCAAAAAGTTAAGGCCACAAAGAACATTAATAAGGCCAATTGGGTGATCAGAAGCGCGCATCAGGCCACGGAATGGCTTTGTCTTCTGATTCCGCGGCTTCGGACCTTCATTTTGGGCTATGTCTTTCCGTTTTACGCTTATTTTCTGGCCATTTAGGCTTGCCATAAACTGATTTTGTCTAATAAAGTTTGGATTTTGAAAGTGGTGATTATTAGATCATGGTCAAATAAGTATAAAAGGATTTAAAAATGAACTTTCTGGCTAATATGCGTGTATAAAGACAAACAAAAACTTAATTATGCTTTCAAAAAATTTTAAATTAAAAAAAAACTTTTCCCAAAAAGCAGCTTCATATACCTAGAAGACCATTTAATGCCCAAAAGACGACCCTTAGTGCAAATCTAACCTAAAACAAGTCCCTCGATGCACAGACTAACTCCAGGTGTGCCGAGTTCCGGAAAGTTTGCGGATTTAATGTTTTTTGTATTGGTACCATCGCAAACGCGAACGGAATGACCAGGCACGGTTAATCATTTTATGCAAATACCATCGGCCCGACTCACGTTACAACATTTCTTTTTGTTTCGTGCCCGTCCTTTTTGTAATTCGGCGTCTGATCGACTCGTTTCAGGATGGATCTGGTCGTTATCGGCCTGATATTATTCCTCCAGGGCATCTGGGCTCATCCCTACTCGATTAATGCAAAGTGTAACACTCGGAAAGGATGTAAGTGTATATTGTTGGATGGTGGGACGTGATAGCATATTACTGTAGATAGCTACACAAGGTTTCACTTCACTATAAAGAATTACTAATGCTCTTAATAAATATTAAGTTATTTAAAAAGACTTATAATTCACTATATTTTAAGAAATTGTTATTGTTACACTAAATGTTAACATAAGTCAATATTTTACATAGCCAAGTAATGTATTCAGCATTATAACGTTCTTACTAAACGTAAAGATAGTTAAGACTTAATACGGGATCTACAACTTATTAATAATACCTCATTTTCAGCCAAAACCCTTTGTTACGACGAAACTTCTGGAGAACCTCAACGATGTGTAGCCGACTTTACCAACGTTGCTTGCTCGAATGTTCCTGAAGTCACGAATACCTGCTCCAACACGGAGTTTTGTCTCCAGAAGGGCAACGAACGCTTCGCTTTTGCTAATTTGGCCTCGAGTGGCTGTGGCATCTGTAATCGACATGAACATGGTCCAGACAAACTCACGGATCCCAACGGAAATCAGACATGGTGGCAGTCGGACACGATGATGGAAGGAATACAATATCCGACTTCTGTAAACATCACATTCAACTTTGGTTGGTCGTTTCTTCAAATTATTCTTTCCACAAAATTTTGTCGGACAATTTTTGTCCAGAAAAGGTGTCATAAAGAATGATCTTTTCAGGAAATATGTCATAAAAAACAATATTTCTACAAAATGTGTCATCAAAATTATTCTGTTTTTAGAAAGTCTGTTATTTATCTAGAAAATATGTAAATTATGAAAAAATTTTTGGAAAAATAATTTTGAAACATAAAATAATTTAATTGTTTAAAGTTTTGCTCATACTATATTTTAGGCAAGACGTACGATGTTAACTACGTTCAAGTGAGCTTCATCACCTCTCGACCTCAAAGTTATGCTATTTACAAGAAACGTCGTCCCACAGACGACTGGATTCCTTGGCAATACTACAGTGGATCTTGTCGAGAAACCTACAAGCTGAACAACCGAGTGCCAGTTCTGCCGGGAAAAGAAGCTGTTGCCATTTGTACTGACGAGTTCTCTGACATTTCCCCCACGAACGGCGACAAGGTCGCCTTTGGAACGTTGAACTATCGACCGTCCCATGAAGAGAAGAACGTTCAACCGAAGCAGCTACAGGAATGGACGGCGGCTTCGGATGTTATGATAGTGTTGAACAGACTGAACACGTATGGGGACGAAAAGTATGGAGATCCGAGGGTTCTGAAGAGCTACTTCTACGCCATAAATGACATTGCTATTGGGGCGAGGTGTTCTTGTAATGGACATGCCAATCTGTGTGTGCCGTCTTCTGGAGGCATCTACAAAGAGGCATGTCAATGTGAACATAATACTACTGGAGTTGACTGTGAGAAGTGTCTGCCCATGTATCAGGACCGACCGTGGAGGCCTGCTGATACTCAAGATGCCAACGAATGTCTTCGTAAGTTTTTTGAGTTTTAGAGGATCAAAAATTAAATGGAAAGATTTGTTTATGAAAATAATGTTTTATTATCTTTTTGATTCAAATCATATCTATTATTTTTTTATTAAAAAAGATATTTAATAGAATGTTAGACGATAGGTAGTATAACAAAATGAATGATATCTTTTGTTACTTTCAGCTTGTCTTTGCAATGATTTGGCCGACAGATGTTTCTTCGACGAGAAACTCTACAACGAGACAGGTCATGGAGGTCACTGTATCGAATGTAAGGGAAACACTGATGGTCCTCATTGTGACGTCTGTAAACAAGGTCATTACCGTGTCGTTAACCGTGCTGACTGTTTACCATGTAACTGCCATGAAGTAGGGTCTCTGACTTCAGAATGCGACCGTAATGGGCAATGTCAGTGTAAGCCTGGAGTAGAAGGTCGTCGATGTGATCGATGTAAAGCTGGCTTCTATGACTTGACGGAGATTGGATGTAAGGATTGTGGTTGTTCAGAGGCTGGATCTCTCGCCAATTGTCACCAAGGTCAATGTGTGTGTAAGAGTAATGTCGAGGGAGAGACATGTGACAGATGTAAGCCAGGATTTTTCAATCTGGATAGGAATAACACACGCGGATGCTCTCCATGCTTCTGCTACGGTCACACGTCTGCTTGTCAATCAGCTCCCATGTTCTACGAGAAGACTGTCACGATGGATGAAGGTAATTTTATGTTATATTGAGTATGGTTAATTGTTTTTATTTATATTTGGATCATATTTAAATACTAAAAATTAATATGTCTGCGGTCTAAAAAGGTAATAATATAGTTTAGGTCCTAAATTTAAACAAGACTTCGACAACATACCTACGCCGTTTGTGGAACATCAACAAGGATACGATCCAGTCTACTTTAATGTACCTGAACACATCTTGTCTCACATCAAACATTACTCATCACCTGAAATTAGCTTCAAGTTCAGGAAAGAATCTGCAAGTTCTCCATTGTCGAGACAGTAAGGAGTTACAAATCTTTAATGTTATATTATATAGTGTGTGCAACGACAAGTCTTTTAATATTTTAGTCACGAAGTTAATAATTAATTATTGCTAACTTTCTTTAGTGACATTATTTTGTCTGGAAGTGGAATCACCTTGTCAGCACCAATTACCTCTCAATCAAATCTACTGCCGAGACAGTACGAACAAGAGTACAAGTACGTGTTGGGAGTTACTGACAATTCTCATTGGCAACCTAAGATAACATCAGAGCAAATGTTCTTGTTGTTATCGAACGTCACTTCTGTTAAAATCAGGATGACCTACTCGCCTCGTGGTATGTTGTTTTAAATGTTACAATAGATGGGTGGGTAATCTGGGCGGATGATTCATATTGAGATTTAAATTTTTGTGTTTTTGTCGGTATGTGGTTGCTTTCTGTTTTATACCTATAATGTTCTTACCTCTAGATGTTGGATACTTGTGGGATTTCAAATTGAAAGTGGCATCGTCAATACCGTCACTGCCTGTGAAGCCTGTAGCTACGGTAGAAAAGTGCATCTGTCTACCTGAGTATGTTGGCCAGTTCTGTGAGACGTGTGCTTCTGGCTTCAAGAGAGAGAAGCCTGCGGATCTACTGAGTAAATGCGTCAAATGTGAATGTAACGGACATTCGCAGAACTGTGAGGCTGAAAGTGGTAAGTTTAAGGCTTCCGTTTTTTATCTTTTGATCGACTGATTACGGTTTTGAGAGAATGTTTGTATTTATTACCTAAAAATAGTTTTTACATTTTGAGGTCGATGTAAACTGATTTTATGTTGTTGTACGTATATAAATATCGTTTAGGTGAATGTTTCTGTACTCACAACACAACCGGAGCTAAATGTGATCAATGTGCTCGAGGATTCTACGGAGATGCTACTTCTGGTACTGTGAACGACTGTAAACTTTGTGAATGTCCAGATGATGGGCCTTGTGAAGTAAAACATGGTTTAGTATACTGTACCGAATGTCCTGTTGGATTCACTGGGCAAAGGTATTAATTTACTGTAATATATGGTCTTAACTGATAAGATAATACTATGCTAACATACTATCTGGTGGCTAATTGGTTTTACTTACTGAGACTTTAGATGTGATTACTGTGCTGAAGGCTACTTTGGAGATCCAGTCAACAACATACCATGTAAACCATGTGGATGTAATCAGAATTCAGACCCGAATTACATCCAGCAGTGCGACAAGTAATGTTTTGGCATAATTTTCTTAATTCCTAAACTATTTTTGGTTAATATACAGTTACGAAAAAGCTGATTTTGACTAAAGTACGTGTGTTTAGATCAGGTAGGTGTCTTCACTGTTACTACAACACGACTGGATTTGACTGTGAGATGTGTTTCCCTGGCTTCTGGGGTAATGCCACTTCAGACATTAAGGGAGATTGTCAACAATGTCACTGTTATGGTCCAGGAACGGTGAAGTCTACGGTTGACTATGATACCTTGGAATGTCGCCAATCTGATGGGCAATGTGATTGTCAGCCGAATGTGATTGGACAACATTGTGATCAGTGTGAGGTAAGTCGGCATTTTGAATGCAAAGTCATAATGTTAGGTCATGCTTTCCTGTGTTATATAATGCAAATACTAATAGTTATTAACCATAGTTGCTTCAATTTGTAATGATCTTTCTTAGGACGGTTTTTTCAATTTGGCCTCGGGCACTGGTTGCAAAGCTTGTGATTGCGACGTTCTTGGAAGTAGCAGTTCTAAATGTGATGTCATCTCAGGTCAATGTCAGTGTAAACCGGGAGTAACTGGTCGTCGTTGTGACAAGTGTTCTCCCAATTACTTTGGCTTCCATGAAGGTGGCTGTCGGAAATGTGATTGCGACTTCTTCGGATCTTCTTCTCAACAATGTCATCTGACTACAGGTCAGTGTGAATGCAAAGAGAACGTTGTCGGTTTGAAATGTGACCAATGTGCCGAGAATAGATACAGTATCCAACAAGGGTGTCTGGTGTGTGATGATTGCTATAGATTGATCCAGGAGCGGAAGAATCATCTGAATTCGAGTATCGTGAAGCTGAAGGGATCATTGGATTACATACACAACACTCCGGTCAAAGCTGACGATCCAGAGTTCAAAGACAAGGTCAAGGAGGTGCAAGAAGAGTTGGATGAACTGCAGTTTAAGGCGAAGGACTACAGTAACAAATATTGTAAGTTTGTATTTTTAGCGCTTTTTGAACGACATTTTAGGCCAAATATTATTCATGTTGAACTATGTATTTTCAGCTGATTCTTTTGAATCCATTAAGAACGTTAATACCACTTTGGTCGGCACATTAGCTGATGTTCAACAAGTGCTCAAGACTGTCGGTTATTTGAAAGAGCCCGTGCTCAATCATTTCTACACTGACAGAGGTAATTTTATAAAACAATTTTTTTGTAGTTGTCTATGACATTTTTATCAATATATTGATTTAGACTTTGTCCAAGATCAACTCAGTATCTACGAAGAGCAATTTAATGGAGTCAGTAGCAATGTTCAGAATCTGAGACAAAAACACACTGGAGAAAATAAGGTACAGCTGCATTTCAAGTATAACTACGAATAACTGATTTTAAATGATCAAAACTAATATTTTTCTTAACATTTCTAAATGGACAAATTGCTGATTAAAATAGTATTGATTTAGATACCTGAACTGGACGAAACAAGAAGTCTTGTGAAGGAAATTACCGAGAAGGAGAAGGAAGTTGTCAGTTTAGCAGTAACATACGAAGAGCAGAGTAAAAGACTGGTGGAAGAAGTGCAAGATATCATATACAACAACACCATCAGTCAAGAAGTTACTCATCTTCTGCAACAATGTAATGCTACAGTAAAGGCGTCCGAAGATACTAAGAAGTTGGCACAGTACGCTTTGGAGGAATCTGAAGAGATCTACAATCAAAGTGCACTTGTTCTGAATCAAGTCGAAGAAGCCAGACTTCCTGAATTTGATGATGTGGCTGTTGTAAGTTTAGATAGGATAATAATATTAGTCTTAAGAACGTTTTGTATAATTTTAAAATTTTAGCCAAACGACTGGTATAATCAAACTGAAGTTGATATTAACATCAGAAGCATTGAGAAGATTAAAGAAAAGGCAAAAGAAGAGCAATATAAAGTTGAGTTTGCGTACGGTGAAGCGAAGAAGCACGTTAAGGCGCGAAACGACATTATTGAGGAGCTGAACAAAGAGCTAGACGAGATTAACTTGATCTACAACATGGCTATCGAGTTCGAAGAGAGTTTACAACATTCTTTGGATGTTTTGGAAGGTAATATTACTTTACCTTACCTAAGAGTTATATAAATGTTTTTTGAGTATGTGAATTTATTCTTTTTCTGATTATTTTCAGATAAGAATAGCGGAAGTCACAAGTCTGTGTACCTTGAAGAAGTGAAGAAGGTCGAAAAGATCACACAACAAGTGGACTTGGCTTTTAAGTCTGTTAAAGAATTGGAAGCCCAGATACGAAGCCTTGAGAGCAGTGTAGCCGAGATTCAGAAGAAGGAGGAAATAATTTCAAAAACTGTTGAGAAGCGAAAAGAACAAAACGAGGTAACGATAAGACCGTCAGAGTTATTTTGTCTGGCACTTTCTTGTTTATTGTCTTACTAAGGTTAATTGCTTTCTTACATAGTAATATTAAGTTAGTATGACTTATTAAAAGACTGAGATTTTATGTAAAAAAGTAATGAACTTGATATTATTAATATACGATTATATTACAGAAAAATGAGGCTTTACTTAAACAAGTACTAAACACAACAGAGGCACTGACAGATAAATTGAATGGATACGAAGATCAGATACAAGATCTGAAGACAACAGTTAATAGTAAGGTGGATGTAGCCAGTAATCAGCTAAAGAAGTCGAACAGACAGCTACGGAAAGCTCTGAAGATCAACAGAAATGTCACCAGGATTCATCAAAAAGTGGAAGACGGGCTACAGACTATGAAGAGAGATCTTAAACTACTTTGTAGGGTTTTATAGTGTTACATTGGGGTTGGTAATGTGGTTTAGATACTGGTAATTCTGGATACAAAATTTGTGTAATTTGGCTTTTTTAAGTGATATGATTTTAGCCAACCTGAAAGACCTTGATGACAAAGACCTGGACGAGTGGGAGCAGTTGTTGAACAAGGTCGAAGAAAGTTTGGCACCTTTGGAACTGCACAATGCAAACTTGGATGGTGACAACCAGAAGTTGCTGGAACAACGTCAGCAACTTTCCAAGGAAATCTCGTTGCTTAAAAGGGAATCTGAGCAACTTTTCAAGATCTCGTCTTCTCTGCCTTCTAAGTGTGTCAATGTTGTCAACATTGAACAACAGTAGCGTTACTATTACCTAATATTATTAATTTGTCACTTTCTACCTTACTAACTACTCTCTGCTAACTAAAAGTATAATCAAAGGGCATAATAGTACATTAAAGTCCGAAAATGTTATCTATGAGAAGAAATCTACTCCGAAGCCAAAGAATCCCTCAACCCCAACCTTCTAATGCACTGCCATTGTGTAGATGTTGTGTTTTATACTTTGTAAACGTTCTCAAATAAAATATGTCAAAATTGGAGTTGTAGAGTTTCCTATTTTGTTGCCCGTGGAGACGGCCAACCGGTTTTTTGGCCCCATTCCCCAGAGGGCGTAATTGGATAGATTTGGGAGTTCAGAGCGTTCTTTTGCCTCCCAAGGTGGACTGGTCACTTGTTGGAAGCGGTCAACTGCACTTCCGGTCGAGGGCATTCTCTGCCACCCCCTGAGGGCATTCTTTTCCTCATTTCATTGTGGCCATGAATGGATGGGTTGCCAACAGTCGACGTGTCAGATAAAGCCCGGTGATGTGTACGACGACGAAGCCATTGGTGCTATCCACTCCGAGCCAGTCAAGGACGTTGTGAAAGAGGCTGGCCTGGCTGTGAAGAAAACGGAAAGGTTCGATATTCCTATTGGTCGAAAGCTCTATCGACCACCGACCTCCGATTCAGCGTATTCAGAGACCAGTGTGGATTCAGGAATGGGGTAAGATGATTTTTGAAGCAGTTTAACTGCGGAAAACGCTATGGTAGGCTCTTTAAGGGATTAATTTTTTAAACTTGACGATACCATATTATCTATGATATGTTTTTATGGAAATTTAAAAAAAAGAGATAATTTCAGAAGTGCGGAGACTAGCCTAGTTTTCAAGCCGATCCAGTTCAGCAAGGATGAAGACTTTTCGATCGATACCTCTTTAGCCAAAAGCAACAGTCAGGTGGTGTCGATGTGTGCCAAGAAATTAAATATTAGCGAAGTAAGTAACGATTCAAGTAATGTCATAAGTAATAAGGAATGGCATTATTTTGTAACAGTCTTGTGCCACTTCATTTCGAAATCCTTTTTTAAACTTTGAAAAGGAGGATAAGGGTCTTTGGACATTATATATTTGGCATTATATATTTGGCATTGTGTTTCACTTTCTAGCCATTTCTCTTGTAAAACAGAGATAGGCCTTGCATAAATGAGCTTTTTATTTATAAACTGCCATTGTTTATATTACTTTTAAATTTCTGAATAGAAACAGAAAAGAAACGGCGTTTTCTCTGTTTTAGGAATATTTGAATGCTCATAGACAATATAAACAACGAAGCAGTCAAGTTAAAATAATTAAAAAAAGTAAAACTAACAAAATTTAAATCAAAATGTTGTAGTACCCAGAAGGACGTCCTGATGGCCAGCCATGTTCAATATACTGGCACAGTCAAGTCCATAATGACATGAAAACGTTCATACGAAGTCAGGATTCTAAAGTCAACAAGTTTCCAGGTAAACATTCTTATTTTACTACCGAAGACAGTGTAATAACACAAAGATTATTTTGATGACGACAGTAATTAATTTCATGCTTAAGTTACCGTATTTTTACAGGAATGACAGAATTGGCAAGGAAAATAGCCTTAACCCAAGCCATCCGGAGCATGAGAGAGTTGTTTCCAGAAGAATATAACTTTTACCCTCAGAGTTGGATTCTACCGTCACAGTACAATAGCTTCAAAAACTACAGTACTCGCAATCCTAACAAATGGTTTATTGTGAAGCCAGATGAAGGTAGGAGCATCTACATTGTTTTATTTTGTTGTTTTGATCTTGAATCTTATATCAGTTTTGTTGCATTTATAATATAGTTTCAAATCATAACTTTCAAACACTATTACCTACTATAATAATTTCAGGAGCTCAAGGAGTAGGTATCTATCTGATAAACCAAGCAGAACAGCTCCACAGTGTCAAAGACAGACTCCTGATCCAAGAATACCTCGACGAACCCTACCTTCTGAAGGACCGTTTGAAGTTTGACTTCAGAGTGTACGCTGTCATCAAGAGCATCAATCCTTTGTCCATCTACGTTGCTCGGGAAGGAATGGCACGGTTTTGTACCGAAAAGTACCAGAAACCAACAGCTGGTAACTTCACCCACTTGTACTCCCACCTCACCAACTACTCACTGAACAAGGGTAACGACGCCTATGTTCACAGTAGTAACCTCAAGGATCAGCTGAGTGGTAGGTTAACTAATTTGTGTTTAACTTTCTAAACTGCTGTAAACTATTTTACATTACTGTAGTTTATATTGACATTGTGAAGTTTAATAGTCATTGTACCGTTCAGGAAGCAAAAGATTGCTGTCTACAGTATTTCACCAGATGGAATCCAATGGTCTCAGAACCAGGAAGCTATGGCACGATGTGAAGTTAATCATCGTGAAGACAGTACTGGCCATGGTACCTGAGATCATGTTGAACTACGAACATTACTTTAGCGATTCTCCTGGACCTCAGTGCTTTCAGGTAAGAGCAGTATCATAATATACTTTTGTATTATAATTGATTAATAACTAGATTATATATTCTTTAAAACATAATGATGACAAGATTATGACAAGACTGTCTTAGATTATGGGTTTCGATGTTATCGTAGACAAAAATGGCATTCCACTGCTATTGGAGGTAAACTCTGCTCCATCTTTAGTCATAGAGCACCATCTGTCGGACGAAACAGCACCAGTCCGGTCTATCATTGATGAAGTAAGTAACATTTACTTTACTGTTGTCGACAAAATAAGCTGTGACATACTGTACTCTATAAGAGTAGTACAGATTATAGGCCAGTATGCATTGCATCATGATTAATTTTGGTTCCGCTAAACTGTAATTTTTAGATGATAAAGGTACCATTAGTACGAGATACGATGCTTTTGGTCCTAAACCAATTAAATGTCAATGAAACTGTCAATCACATGGACAAGGTCAATAACAACTGCCAAGATGACATCAGTCTACCTAAGAAAAAGAAAAAAGCCCATCTTTCTGAGGTAATACTGGATGCTTTACCACAGTAATTGAGTTAATTCACAATTCTTACTATGTTAACATAATGATTTACTTGTTTTGTATAGAAATGATGATTTGGTATTTACAATAGGTAGTAAAATGTTACTTAACAGTAAGTTTTAGATATTTCCATTACGCTACGGGGCCAACAGTAAACATTTACTGATCCTGGACCGAGCCGTCTACTTGTTTATGCAGTTTACGAGTATCAAACTAAGCCTTACAATATCCTTCCTTTCATTAAGAGCCTTTATCAAGTAAGTTCACCGTACCATATATAGCACCTTTCCTTCAGAAAGTGCAGTTTGACCGATGTGATAGACATACCCACATTGGAGAAGCTTTACTGTCACGTGAACTACTACTTTACCGGTCGAGAGAATGATCTGAATACGGGTTTACCATTCCACGGCTTTCTACAGTTACTCTTCCGCATTTCCTGGATCAAATTCAGTTTTTGTGACAATCAGTTAAGTGCTCTACAAAGACTATTTGCATATTGCGACTCTGCCCTTAGGAACTACGGTGTTCGATCTACACGGCTACGGAGGACTGAAGTCGAGACTGACGTTAATGAAAAGTAAGTACAACATACCTGATATTAGCAAAACTTATATTGTTTTACAAAAGTGACGAATAAAAATGGTAGACAAATCAATTTTTATATCAGGTTGTCCCAATATGGATGAGCCACTTGGATAGCCTAACTTTGAAAAATTGTAAAAAATTCAGTTTTTATCAGAATTTTTAAAACTTTTTTTTCTTTGAAAGCTAGTTACGTCTACTACTGAGAAAAAAATTATTTTGAACATTTGCATTTGTTTTTAAGCTGGCAGAAATTTTTAAAAATTTTGAAGAAATCTTCGTTTTTATCAAAGCATTTTGTGGTAATGTATAAACTCATAAACATAATCTCGCTACTTCGTTATTAAATAAATTAATGCTCTAGAGTCTTATTGTTAAGTTTACATCAAAAAAAGTTTGAAAAAAATTTTTGTTTTTTTTATGCACACGGTAGGAAAAATACCTCTCAACTAAGCCATCAAAAGATTGAAAAAATGCCCTGAAGCTATGAACTGCAGATAAATTAAAAAATGGTACTAATAGGTTAGATAGGCATCTCTATTATAAGAATATATAAGATTTGAACTGTTTGGAACAAATTGGTACACTAAAAGTTGTTACCAAAAAAGTAGCACTTTTCTTAGAAAATCGGTGAAAAAAACAGACCGTGAGAGGCTTTAGAACGGCTTCTGATGCTACCGAAGGAAGAAGAGTTTGAAAAAATGACTTTGTCTTTGGCTAAGAGTATACGCTGGTTAAATATTTAAACCATTTTAAAAGTTGGTGTCTACACGGAAAAACCCTAGAAGGCAGTTCAAAGTTAAAATGTACTGTAAAACATGGGTGTATTTCACGTTTGGTAATGTATCTTTCTCTTGACACGAGGTAAATTTTTGAAACTTGGTAAAGATACTAAAGTAACTATTTACAACACAATGCCAAGCAAAAATTAGTTTAGCTTACTTTAGAAATTTTAAAAATATGCATCAACTATTTTTCCAAGTGGGACAAATTCACCTTTCTTAATGAAGACCGTGGCAAAAATTCAGAAATCATGCTACAAAAATGAAAACTTGTTTTTTAAACTTTAGTAGTGTTGCTTAAACCGATTTACATTAATTTAAGTCTTTACTGTTTCTTAAAACTCAGAAAGCTATTGGCAAACTTGATGTACCCAAATTTGCTTCAAAAGCTTTGAAAAACTCCAGAATCTCTAAAAATGATGCTACATGTGTAAAAATGGTTTTAAAACGTAGACAAGAGTCCAATGTTACAGTATAGAATAACTGTAAAAAAACAAGTGTTATTATTTAAAAAACACAATTTAAATTTTAAAAAAATAAAATTGGCTCATCCATATTGGGACAACCTGATATTAGTTATTACCTAAATACGTCTTTCATTTGTGTTTTGTGACTAAAATTACTTCAAAACACGATTAACTATCAGAAAAACAAAATCAGATTGAATTTTGACAAACCATAATGAAAAGACGTGATTTGCAGCGGATTAGTGGAGATCTATTTGCTGCCGAGCCGAATGAAACGCTCCAGAAGCCGTTACCACCATCAGAACAGTAAAAACAAGACCAGATCTCGGTCGATGCAACAGCGAACGGGTTTTCATTAGGCGACCTCCATTTCTGAATCTTCCTTTGCATTCTGAAGCTCTTCCACGTCGTAGCTTCACTTTTAATATTTTTTGTTTTTGTGCCGTTTTTCGTCAATAAATCGCTCCACCGGAAGCAAAGTCATTTTTTAAAATATTTTTTTTGTTTTCGCTTTCCCGATCACTTTCCTTCGCTTCAGATTCCACTTTTCGGGCCAGAATTCGAATGGACGGCGACAAAACTACAAGTAGGTTACTATGTCAATGTTCTTTTCCTTTTTTGAGTAAAACGGAAATTTTAGAGGTCAGGTTTTAGGTAACAAAGTTGTGGTTTTCGGTATCTTGGGCATAAAGTAGAAAAAAATTTAGACTGTGATTAAAGATTTTGTATTATCTTTACATTTTATGCATTTTTTAATCATTTTTGACTTAATTTATACCTAAATTATTAATTTATAAACAATTCGTATGTAAACCTTTTTTATTTTAAAAATATATAATTTCGATTATTCCTCATCAGATTCTTTATTTCTTGCCTATTTTATATGTTTTGCCATTTCAGAAGTTTTGGTAACCGGAGCCTCAGGCTATGTGGCCACACACTGTGTCCAACAACTTTTGGCCCAGAACTACCACGTCCGAGGAACTGTCAGATCGTTGAAGAATGAGAAGAAGATTAAACCGATAAGAGATATTGCTGATAACAGTCCGCTTCTGGAGCTGGTGGAGGCCGATCTCGAACAGGCAGCTGGTTGGGATGAGTAAGGTTTTGATCTTGAAGATTGTTAGTTCAAAGTATTATAATGGTTAAGACGTTACAGTAATTGATATTTTAAAATCCAAATATCAAACGAAAAATTAGGTAACAATGTTAAACTTACAGAGTAGTAGAAGGCTGTGACTATGTTCTCCATGTTGCCAGTCCTTTCCCTTTGGAAGACGATGTTACAGTAATCGAAACAGCTGTTAATGGTACCTTGAACGTCTTGAAGGCCTGTGCCAACAGTACTGCTGTCAAGAAAGTAGTCCTGACTAGTTCATGCGCAGCCATCAACGAAGGCCATGATGATGAAGATCGTATCTTCGACGAAGATGACTGGACCATCGTCGAAAGCAAGAAGGTACAGTCGTATGCTGTATCCAAAACCGAAGCAGAATTGGCTGCCTGGGATTTTGTTAAGACAAACAGTAAGTTATGATATACTTTGGGTTACTGTAACTTTAGAAAAACACCAGTTCAAGTTGACCGTCATCAATCCAACTTTCGTAGTGGGACCCGTTTTGATGGATACGGCTGGTTCCAGTATTACGGTGAGATTTAACTTTATTTTTAAAAGGAAAAAAACTTAAAATCTGGTTCCTATAGTGCCATATGTAGATTTTATGTGAAAACAGCACCTACGTTTAAGCTTAATTTTCTTTCACCTATCTTCAGACCGTGAAGAAGTTCCTGAACAATGAAGTACCAGCCATCCCACCCCTCGAGATGGGCATGGTCGATGTGAGAGATGTGGCCAAAGCTCACATTCTGGCCATGGAAAGGTCGGAATCTGATGGAGAGCGGATTTTGATCACTTGTCAGACCGTCGCCTTTTCTCAGATGGTCAAGTTTATCGGTCGAGAATTCAGAAGTCAAGGCTACAAGTCTCCGTTCATCACCGCTCCATACTTTTTGGTCTGGGTCTGGTCGTTTATCGACAAAGAAGCCGCGGCTTCACTTCCGAGACTCAACAGGAAGATTCTGTTCGACAATTCAAAGGTAGGTTAACATTGTAAAGTTCTGTTTTATGTACAAATTGTTATAAGAAAAAAACATAATAATTACAATGTAAATAGTTAATTAATCTACAAATCGTATTGTTCATCAAAACAAATATACTTTTCAGTCCAAGAAGCTACTGGGCCTAGAATACTGCAACATCGAAGACGCAGTCGTCGACATGTGCTACAGCCTGATCGACCGTGGAATGATACCCAAAAAACAGGGATATAAACCAAGAAAAGCCTAATAAACAGATTGCTAATTGAATTTATTTGTTTTGAACTAGAAACTTGAGTTGGTTCTCGAGCTATGAATTAGTTCTTGTCCTTCGGGGGCAGAGTGTGACCTCGGCAATGTTCGGTCTCGTTCTCATCCTGTTCCCAAGTGGAAGGATCGTCCCAGATTCTGGGTTTGACGTAGACACAACAACAGTTACTCTTGAGCCGGCCCATGTTCTCGTTGTCTACAGTATCCGCGGACCAGGTGACATGAGGACGCTCGACATTAGTTGTTCCTTGAAGACGGAGGATTGGGAGCGTTCCTTGAGCTTGAGCTCGTCGTTCTCCAGCTGAAACATCGCAACGTTAAAATGGTCCCGCGGCGAAAACGTTTTCACGTAAATAAAATAAATTGAATACGACGAAATTACATTTTTACAATTTCGTGTACAAAAAGATGTTACTATGTTAGCAAAATTATATAAAAACTTACTTTCTGTGAGCGTAACCGACATTTCTGTGTTGGGTTTGATTAGAATGAATCTTAACTTGAAATTGGCCGTTTTCAGGTGAACTTTTCTTATGGAATTTATTCATTGCAATTCTTGCTTCGAATTGCCAAAAAGTAACGGACGCACTTTCTTCCTGACATCTTGTGGACACATAGCATGTGCTAAATGCGTAAAGAAGAGTAAGTTTGCTTTTTTATATGGTGGCTACAAATTTAGATATAAAATATTTGATCAATGTAAATTTAAGCAAGATATTGGTAGTTCATACTTTTTTTGATGTCTTTCAAACATTGTTTTGCAAGATCAGGCTTAATTATAGACAGTATTTATTATATTTATATTGTTTAGACAAAAACACAACAACCCCGTCGAGGTCAGAGATCTGTAGGACCTGCAAGAATGCATGTACATATTCCGAAATCAATAGAAGTCTTGATGGCAACTCCAAAATGTTCTTCCAGAGTCCCAAAGACTTGGCAGCACAGTACATGGTGAACTTGAAGAAGGTTCTCGAGTTTCAGAGTTATCACAGAAGTCGGTTGTTCAAGTATCAGACGGAACGAGTGAGTTATCTTCTTTTGGGTAATGTTTTCGCGGTTTAGGGATGTCAGATATGCATTTTATGCTGAAATGTTTAAAAAAGAAACAATTTTAGAATAATTTGGCGGAATATGTTAATTTATTTGTTTTTAAGGTTAGTTAAAGAGGTTTGTCATGAATAAAGTCAATTTAGATGTCTTACATGAACAAATACGTGAAAACAGCGCAGGTCGAGATTAAAAAACGACAAGAAGCCGAGAAGAAAGTTATTGCCGAAAAAGAAAAACTCAAAAATTATTGTAAAGAAAAGACGCAGCAAGTTCAGGAGCTTGAGATGAAGTGAGTCATGTTAATATCGTTCATAAGTTTGTATAATACGTACAATATCTTATTTCATGTTTATGGTCGATTCTAAATTGTTTTAAAGGTCATTTTTGTCAGCTTTCAGATTGACGACTTGTAAAGAAGAGTTGATGATGTTGAACAAGCTGAAGGAGGAGAATGCGTTGAGGAGGTCGAGCAGGGAACGAGAACGGTCGATTACGCCGAAAAGGAGTGAGTTTGAGATTCATATTACCCATAAGATTGTTGTTCAAAGACCGAAATTACTTTAATAAATAAGATATATTGTAATTGAGTTGATTTTAACCAATATCTTAGCTTGTAATGCTATATTTAGATATCTTATCTTCAGGTCAGAATCATCAGTTTCCAAATTTATACGGAGATACGCCTATAACAACGTTATCCATGGCTTGTACGACGAGCACACCAAATGATGTGAGTTTATATAGCTTTGTTAAATTATCGTTTTTGAAATTGGAAGGGAACATTAGGTATAAAATACTGTTTTACTCGTCTTAGAAATAAAAAAATCTAAAATATTATATAAAATGAGGTAATATTAGGTGAAGTCTGACTGTTTTTAAAACTTTCAGCCATGCTATTTGAACACAGACCCCGATCCCATGAGTCCAGCCGTCTTCCACGAGAGTCCAGTAGTCGCGTGTGGAGGGAAGTTCTTGACCACGCCAGCTTTGTTAGGCCTTAATAACGGAATTCAAAGGTAAGTTATTTTTAAAAGTGAGGCATAGATGGAATTATTAATATATTTTTATAAAATTTTGACCTTTTTATACCTAAAATGAAGTTTACCTGTAATTTGCGTACAGATAAACTGTGTTTTGTGATGTCGTTGTCTGAAAATACAACGCGTAGACTTCATCGTATTATTTTACCGAACAACAACTTTCTTTCTAGTTAAAAATACAAAAACTGGTTTCAGACGCTCATCAAGCCACGGCCGAGGAGAAATGCCTACACCGTCATTCTTTCAAATGCAATACGACTAGTTAGTTGACACTTTATACCTATCGTTTTTTGTTCGTAACATGATTAATATCCGTTTTTATATCAGTTTATTCATTGTTAAATATTGTTATCTACAAAATGTTACCTAATTCTAGTCAATTTGCTTTTCACAGTATTTTCCGAAGTAGCCAGAAGGGCAGTTGCATACAGTAAGGTCGATGATGCCACCGTGTTGACATCTAGGGATCTGGCACTCGTCTCCGTAATAGTTATCGTCACATTGACAGTAGCCGTGCTCTTCTTGGAATTGGCCGTTCTTACAGTCTAAAAGTGTTACATTGAAGCTCACTAATTTTTGATATAATTGGATTTTAGGTATTATGAATGTTTATTTCAAGTTATACCTAATTTCTCCGGGAAATATGACTTGATTCTCTGGAATTGGTTTCCGTTCTCGTCTTTACCATTCACTTTTACCAAGAATGGAGCTTTTGTCAAGTCGTAGTTGCCCTAAATCAATATATTACGCTAAGATACAGTGACATACCTGAGGGACAGCAATGAGGGGTGTAATGAATTGATGAGCACATCTGTTTGGGTCTCTGAGGCCGATGCTGGCTTCATTTAGCTGAGTATCGACCACGGTGTTCAAATCACGAGAGATCAAGGTCAACTTCTCTGGGGTAACTTGGTGGTTCTTGTAGAGAGCGTTTCCGATCTTGAGAGTGATCAGAGTACTATGGTTCTTACTACCCAAGAAGCTGGGTCTCTCGTTAGGGAAGTCGTTGTGGGGGTTGATTGTGAAGCCGAGGTCAGTGTGCAATTCAGAAGAAGAACGGATCTGGACGGAACACTTTCCTGAAGTCGTCTTCACCTTCAAGGTCTTTGGTCCAGGAGAGTAGCTGCCTAAAATTCATACATTTGAATATACTTATTTGTGTGTTAATGTATGGAAGTAATAATGTTAATGTGAAGAAAAACGTTGACAATATTGAAAGTCTCACTCTTGGGGATGATAGCGACGATAGAGTTTTGGTCCTTGATCTTGACGTAAGAGTTGATGTCAGCTTTAGTTTGTCCGTTCCACAACTCAACATTGTCCCTGGCTCCAGTACCACTAACAACCACACTGTACCAGCTGTTTCTGCTTTCGACCGGGAAGTCGACGCTGAATTGTGTGGTACAGTCCTTAGTCTGTTTGTCTTCAATCAGAGCGTTTTCGTAGACAATTTTGTGGAGGTAGTCCTTCAGAAGTCCTCTCACGTTGCTCTTGTCCAACTTGATGAATCTGCCACTTGTAGCGTAGCTGATATGAGTAAAGTACTGTAGATTGCCGAACTTGTCGACGCTTCCATTATCGTCGATCAGGATCACGTTGACTTGGACTCCGCCTTCAGACAGAGCGTCCAATGTCTCGATGGCACTCTGAATGGCTGTGTTCTTGCTCGTGATCAAGTACACGATCGATGGCTTGTACAGAGAAGCTTGAGCGGCCAGTTTTACACCCAGCAATGCCTGTGTAACCTTGGCGGTGTCGTCTGATGTTGAGTTCTGAAGCTCCTTCTTGAATACATCTACGAATCTCCGAGAACTGATCGTGTTGACCACATTGGTGGCTGAATTCTTGTTAAAGGTAACCAAGTTGAAGTGCTTGAAGGTTCTCGTTTGCCCCAATCCCTCCACAAATTGGTCGATTTCCTCACTCAGAATCTTGTTGTAGTCAGGCTGGTTTTCGTAAACAACGAAACTAACGGTTTTGTGCTCAAAATCTTGAACATCGTGACTGTCGAGGAAGTTCCACTTGGTACATTGAGCTAAAATAGCATTTTTAAGGCTTTTTGAGTTTTTTTAAACTTTTTGTCGCTATTATGCTAATATTACTTATGTTTATTTAAATTTGAAGTCTAAACTTACTCAATTCACAGAATTCTCCTTTGAAGCCTTCCAAGCAGTTACACACCGTTTCGGCCGAGATTCCTCCGTTCTGGCAGATTGGATTCTCGCAGAATTCTCCAGAATATTGTGGCGAACATGAACACTTTCCATCTAAAACAATAATTTAAATTAAAAATTTTTAACGTGCTGGTTTCGTAGGAAATAACTACCTACATTTTCATGAAAGCTTCCTTGCCATTATCTTGAGAAGCAAAGTTGACTCAAAAGTATAATAAAGGGAAGACTTGGCTCAAAGATCAATTTCGGTATTTTTTCTACCACATTTTTTCGATTTTGCATAACACTGGGCATTCCGAACTTCATTTGATGTAACTTACTCTCTTCTTTGCCTCCATGAAGACATTTCGTATCTGGCGCGTTACAGTAAGCCAACACACTTCTCTCGATGGTAACATTGTCAGAAGTCGAAACCTTGACAATGGCTTCGAAGCTTTTGTCGGATTCCGAACAACTGAATGGATGGTCGAAGTAGTAGTCGTAGGTACAGCCTTCTTCACGGAGAGATCCGACTTCTGTGTAGCCGTTGACTTCTGGAACCGAGAATTCGACGTCAACGGTAGATTGAAGCTGACTTGAGACGTAGACGACTGGGTGAAGTGGGGCTCCTAAATTTATTATGTTATACCTATATTTTTAGTTTAAAGAACTGTGCTGAGTTGTAAGACCTGCGATCTTAATTCATCAGTAATATTAATGTAGGTATCTAACTTTAGTTTGCTCACCGAATTGTGCTGTAGCATTGGTGTTGTCGAAGCTGGGGTTAACACTGTAGCCGAACAGTACTTCGAAGTCGCTTTCCTGACCAACTTGAACGTGACATTTTCCTGATTTCGAGCTTGAGATTATGACATTGTAAGTGGTTTGGCTTAGCTTGGAAGCCTTGAATACCGTGACTCTTCCTAGTTTTGTCACTTTCTGGACAACGTGACCCGTTGAGGCATCTGCGGCGCTTAAATTAATGTCCACGTTGTCGGCTTCGTACGATTCTACAAATATTACTCTGTGGTTGGTCTGATCTGACACTGAGAACTTAAGTTGTTCTTTGGAACAGTCGTCGGCGATCTTCCTGTTGGATATTTGAAGTCGCTGAGAAGTGGCTACAAAGCTTTCTACAAAATCTTTGACTTCTGAGGGTTTGTCTCCACAATTGTGGATGAAGAAGCCTCCAGTAGACAAGGTCAGGTCTCTGTAAGAGTCTTGGTCGTTTTGTTCGAGACAAGATTCTCCGTCAGCGTATTCAGAAGTCGAGATGACGTGGATCTCGCTGACTCTGTTCAAGGCTGTAGCCTTGAGTTGTTTGATCAGTTGGTCGTCTTTCTTGGCTGGAGAGTCAGTGAAGACTAGGACGAGGTTTTTGTTGACATTGTTGATGTCTACTGACAGAGTTTGCTTGATAGCGTCCAAACTTCCTTGATCTCCTGGCTTTGACATCAGGTATTGGATGTTTTTGGCGTCCAAATCGTTGATGAATTCAGCGCTGTTGTTGTAGTATTGTGTTTTGACGATCTGTTGTTTGTCTTTCAGTGTGTTAGCGTATGTTGTGAGTACGAATTCGTCAAAGTTGTTGGCCTTCTTCAAGACATTGTTGATACCATCTCTGATCGGAGCGTTGTAGATGGCCTGACTGAAGGTGCGTTGAAGGATCACGATCAAGGTTCTGTTGTGGGATTCGGGGAACGGCGATTGTTCAGCACACGTCACTGTAATTAATAAACTTACAAGAACAATAAAAGAAGCAATTAGGCAACGAAACCTTGTAACTTACTGCGTTCACAGAATTGACCTTCGAATCCAGGTTCACAGCTACAGAGGTTTTGTCCGTTTCCTGGGAATGGATTCACTTCACCGTAGTTGGCACACTTGACGTCTTCACAATATTTTCCACTGTAGAATGGTTTGCAGATGCAGGTCTGGGTTGACTGGTCGTATCTTCCATTGTGGCAGTCGGGGATGTCGTTGGTTTGATGGTGGACTGGTTCGAAACAGAAGCTAGGTATCAAAGAGACAAAGTTGTCGCCACTCTTGGTCTTGATCTCGACTTGAAGTAGGAGAGGTCCTGGAGTGCATTCTACAGTCTTCTTGGCCACGTAAGGGAAGTTGCTGTCGATGACTCTTTTGTTGTACTGTGTCTCAGCGATGACGTTGGAGTCAGTAGATAACATCTTGGTGGTAATGGTGTCTACGTCTAAGTTCAGAGGTCTGACTACGGCCATGTTGGGGAGACCTTGAGTGGCGTAGTTGGCTGTAGCTTCTGTGAGTTCTTCTGAAGTGAAGGCTGTGGATACGGCACTGTCACTCTTGGCTACAGCTCTGTAGCCCCAGGTGGAGTTGTTGTTGGATGTGAATTTGATGCTTGAGCGGTTTGATTCTACTTTGTAGAGCTGAAAATCATTGTTATAGGTATGCAAGAATTACAAATTTTGGAATTTATATGGGGATGTATACCAATATGAGTGCATTATACTCACAGAGAATTGGTTTGTGCTGAATTCCGGCGAGAGTTGGACAGCTCCAGCGATCACTGTTACATCTGAAACGCAAAGTTATTTGTTTTAGCTTGAATCATAGTAAAGTAACAATGAAAAACGTAATTTTGTGATATTATAGTATCAAATTTACCTCCATATACAATTAGGTAAACGTATCCGTTTTCCTTGATGGAAAGTTGAAGTTGACCTGAAGCGTCAGTCTTTTCTCTGGCTAGGGCTACTGTATTCGCTTTATGTTGAGCTTCTACAATGATTTTGAGCGCAGTGGATACTGTATTCTTGGCATAAGGTAACCGAACGAATTCACCGTTAGAACGATGGGAAGCCCGCTTCAGAGCATCGAGAGAGGCGCCAGGGTTGGACGGGTGAGGTTCGTTCTTGCTTTTGTCGGCTAGAATTACGTGGATCTGAAATACAGTACTTTTTTGGTCAAGGTTTGACATTATCGACGTTCTTGCCTTATGTTGACATAGATTCTTTTATTATTAAGCAAAAGGTTTTGGAGTACTTACGGAATGTTGCCAATGTAAGGTTGATTTCAGTAGAAGGTTTTCTGGATTGGTGTTATCTTCTCTGTTCGAAGTCGAAAAGGAATCGCTAGCCAAAGCGTCACTCACAACGAATACATTTGACTTCGGGAGGACGAAGCCTTCGCTAAAACAACAATATAAACGTTAGTCTGAGAAAGAATATTGAAGCTACAAAAAGATACATTGTAATTAATGTAAGTATAAATACCGTAACGAGTAGATAATATGAAATTTGCTTACTGTAACAAAGCATGGACTGTTTGAGTTAGAACTGGCTGTCTGGCGTCAGCATTGACGACACTTGTTCCGACAAAGTAGTCGATAAACCGGTCGATGTTCTGAGCTTGGTGCACTGTGTGAATCAAACTGTAGCCATCTTTGGCGAAAGTGACGAGTACAAAGTCAAAGTACTGGCTGAGTACCTCTGTCTTATCTTTCAGTTCGTATAGGTAGGTGGCGATGTCGTTCATCTTTTGTGCCATCGTGAGACTATTGTGTAGCACAAGCACGAAGCTCTTATTGCTAAAGTCGAAGGAGCTCTTGGAGACAGGCAGAATTGGTACTGTAATAAATGTATAACGGTGGTATATATACGGGCAAGATACGAAGAGTTATTTTTTGTAAGACGCTGTGTATGTAGCCTTTAGATGTCAAAGTAACTTACGTGTTTCACAATGTTTTCCGACGTATCCTGGAGGACAGTAGCATTCTCCTCTGATGGGAACACCTTGATGTTCACATACGATCCGAGAACAGTTGGTACCAGTGAAGTAGGATGGACATACACATGTAGCGTTAGGAAGGAGAACACCACCGTTCACACAGTCAGTTACTTCTAGCTCGAAGTACGAGGACAAACGGGTATTGAACAGTGATGGGGCAGATGGAGTTTCTGAAATTATGGTTTTAAGGGTAACATGTTATAACAGTGTATTCAGTAGTGGCTAAATAAAACATTCTGAAAGTAAAAGGTATCACAATATATGGTTAAAAAACTTACTGATGGGTGCAATGTACGGTAGCACAAGCTCTCCAGACGCCAAAACTTTTTCTATTATGACATCACGTTTCACGTCGTTCTTCAGCGTGAGTTCGGCGTGGAACATGACGGTCGGAAGGTTGAGTTCAGTACCAGCGATGCTAAACTCGTATATCTTATTTGTTACAGTGGCAACTTACGCAAAGTCGTATAGGTTCAGACTGACATCTGGAGTTCCGAGGACTTCTTGAAACTAAAATTTGGGTATTATCGACAGGTTCTCAATTACAAGTACGGTATTTTGTGAGTATTCTACTATTAAAACGAGTAAAATCAATATACAGTAAACAATTAGTGGGCTAGATATGTTATCTATTTATATAATGGTCAAAGGTTGTTGTTGTAAGTGGCATACCTTTAGAGTTAGTCGTTTGTAAACGTCGTCGTATGTCTGTTCATGGCTAGCCAGGTAGAGGTCCTGTTTACATATGGTCTTCAGATGTACTCGAATGTCATAATGGGTGTCTGCTAATGTCAGGCCTACAATATAAACAGTTTTGCATATGCAGGTTTAAAAACAAAAAATTTAGTTACTGTAATTTATCTACCGTACCCTTGCTTTCTGTGAGATTCTAAACTTATTGTTAGTATCTTTTCACAAAAAGTGAAGCTTAATATTCGGATGATAACAATATCTTTCAAAATAAACAGCTCAATAGTTGCAACTCTTTAAAATTTGAAGTTTGTGTCGTACCACCAAACTTACCCACAACGAGCGACAATATGCAGAATGCCCTGAGGAGCATGGTTAAAGTGCAAACATCTATAGTGCCCTGATGGCCTTAAGTAGTACCGATAAGGCCTAATTGACGAACCTCGTAAAACTCGGAATGAATTGTTGTAGCAGTTTATTACAACTTTCACACAATTGACACTGATAAAAGTTTTAATAGCAACAGTCCAGTCCACGGGACTGGGTCGTTAATGTTTAACAAAAGAAATTGATAAGATATTCACATTAAACATGGTTGTCAGATCTTCTTCCTCGAGCATCTTCTTCCAGAGTATGATACCCAGAGTATCCGTGTAGCGTTAGCAGTTACAGCACGTGACACAAGGTATCTGGATGCCTCTGTTAGTGCATTCAATCGCTGTTCACCATAATCGGGCTGTGAGAGGAACGGTGCTTCTGATGGTCGTCGCTACTGAGTTGTGAGCCGCTGTACGATGAAGTCGATTGGTCTAGTGAGCCACTTTTACTGTCTATATCTACATCTCCGATCATGGCCTGGAAGATATACTCGTTACTTTAATTTTCTACCTAGCACATCTATTTACTATTATGGTGAACATACGGTTAACGTTAAATATGATTTGATTTGTACTAGCGTTATTTACTTTTCGTCCACTTCACTACCTTATGCTATCCAACCCTACATCAACATACCTTAAGTCCCAGTATCTCCCCCTTCACGACTAGTAGCTGCGGTAGCCCGTGAAAGTCCTGAAAGACGTCGTAGTTTCGGCATCCGTGCACGATGAGCTTCTTAAGTTTTTTGTGCTGGGACAGGATGGCTACAGTACCCCGATTGACTTTCTCCAAATCCAATTCGCGAAGATAAACAAACTGAAGAGCATTACTACAACTACTACTGCTGTTTACTTACTTGCAGATTACTCAACTTTGTACATAGGAAAGTGAAGAAGCTGTCGGGGAGGAAGGGGTAGTCGACCGGTCGGTCCACCAAACATACTCGTTCTACTTGGGGCGCCGACTTCTCCAGAATACTTCTGAGTTTGGGCTGGAATTAGTACTATTAGGTATGTAATGTATAAAAAATGAAGGTTACTGTGGTTTTCTGCTGTTTTGCGATATGTTTACTACAAAATCACATAACATTACATTACCAAGCCAACTTTCTTTTAATTTCAAGTCTAAAAGTATACTGTAAACCTTTATGTTACAGTACTGCTCCCTTGCTCAACACCGTTAAATGTTGAACAAGCAATTAACCAAGGTCGTAAACCGTGACGTAGCATCTTGAAGTGAGCCATAAACCTTATCGGAAATATTTAAATTGCAAAAGTAATTCTCTGATTAATCTTTTACTCGGAATTTCCCTAAGGGCACGAAACCGCCATTTCCGTATAAACACAACAGAGTAAACATACAGAACATAAACAATGCTACAGACGTTACACATCGGTGAACCCGTTACTGGTCTTTGGAATGTAGCAAATTAAAGTTTATGCTTATATGAGTATATGTTACACATGTTGTCAAAAACGTTATGCCAATATTTAAGCCTATATATCGTTGAAAATGGTAGAAAACGCAACTTTTTTGGTCAAGAGCCTATTTCTTTGTACATTAGAAAAGATTGTCATTTTGTTGGCATTTCTATGTACTTTTTGACCTTAAAACATACCGTGTAACAGCCAAAGTATAATATCAAACAAAAAACTTACCTCGTGTGTATCGAAGTGACATGAACAACAGAAGACGTAGATGACTCGTCGGTTCCAGAAGACGGGCCCATCGTTGCTCTCGTTGACGTTGATCTTGTCGTGGCCGCTGCTGGGGTTGCGCCGGAAGATGACATAGACCCAGACGGGGACAGCGGCCTTCTCGGACATTGCCTGTAATGGCTTTATTGGCACAAAAAACGTTTCGTTCTCAATTCATACTCTCGGGAGCGGATGAGGAACAGCACGGCCCGCAATGCCCGCAGGGGATAGAACCGTTTTCTAACTCAATTACCGCGAAAAACACAAGTACAGTAGCGGGTATTGTGAGGCATTGTCCGGGGCGCCAGCTCCAGTCATGTTTTATATAAAACGCCCCAGGGAATTTGGCCGACGCCCAGATATTTTCGAGATAATATACAACGTCAGTATATAAAAAGACACTCGAGTGTGGGTTTACAGTAATATCCCACCATAAATAACCAGATTGTAACGTGTGCTTTGAGATACGAGACTTTTGAAATACGGTAGACCTAAATTTTTTCAAAAAGTTTAAAAATATTTCAAAAAAAGACATTCCTAACTTAAATGCCCATTCTAAACAATTTTTGACCCACCAGCACGCTATGCAATAAAACCAAAGTACATACGTCAGGTACAGTAAAATTGGAATACGATTTGTCAAACTTTGCAAAGATTAACCCCTCCGGAAGCAAATGTATTGAAATTTCCGGAAGGCAATTTTCCGCATCTAAACCTGGATTCGGCTTCGAATAATGGAGCCCTGAATATAGAGCAACGTAATAATTGGGTAATAAACACGGGTTTGAAAGCACAATTCGGTTATTGCCCCAGGGCCTCGAGCCGACTTCATTAATCTTGTCGAATAAAAACAAAAAAGTTTGTTTGTGGCGTGCTGAAACCACTGATCCGGCTCTATTTTGAGGACTTCAGAAGCCAAAAACAGAAAACAAAGTAGAATGGGTTACAAGGTGGAGATGGCCAAGAAAGGGCCAAGACCGGAATGGACAGCCGGCCGAATGCCGAAAACGCCTGTGGCCAAGAAAGTTGTGGCCAGGCGGAGTTTCTTTTTCTTTTTTGCCTTTCGACTCGGCCCCAAATCGAAAAGGGAAAGCCCTGGCCATAACAATCAAATCCCGACAAAACACAACTGTTACAAATAGACTTTATGAGCTTGTTGATGGTACCAAGTGGTCATAACAACAATGTAGTTTTTGCAAAGAGTTTTGAAATGGAGTAAAAACAGAGCAGGCGATGTCTGTAAGAATTATGAAGAAAGCGTGAAAAGACGTTATATTCAGGCACAGCTAAAGCAAAACAATTAAAAACGTCAAAACTTTATAAAATTTAAAAAAAACGACAAAAGACGTAAAATAAGCCTATAATCTTTAACCAAAAATTCAAAAAAGATTTGTAGAGTTAAGAAAAGTCAAAACGATAATGGACAGACAAATTCAAACGTTTTTGAATATTACTTTTGGTGTCTAGCTGTTCAAACCCCAGACACAGCATTAAATATAGATGAAGGGAAGAATATGTAACGGAATCTCATGTCAGAAGTAATGTTACTTTGAAAGAGATTGACATCTTTGAGTAAAGCAATTGCATTTTACTCTATTTTGAGTTACTATTCGAAAAAAGTAATTTCGGAATAAAGAATTAAATTAAAGTTGCATTTGAAATGGCAATAGAAGTATGATACTAGTTCAAACATCATCATAGTCTTATTTATGTGTGTCTGGTCAAAAGTAGCGAGGATTATTACAGTGAGCATACTAGTAAAGAACAATTCTACGAACTTATTGACCGATTTAGACTCTTAAGTGTTCTTGTAGTTAAAAATAAGTATAAAGTACCCATTTAATGCTTCTTTAGACAAAAAGCGCAATGAACTATATTAGTAATAAAAAGCATTTTTGGCAAAAAAATATTTTTTCGTATAAAAAACTGTGATACAAAGTTTTAAAAACTAGTACGATCTCCAAACTAGTCTTTTAAAGTTCATAAATCAGCACTTTAAAGTTTGAATTAGATTCTAAACAACATTACCCTTGCTCTTTGTCAAGCCTATAATCGCCCTGAAGCAACAATAGACCTGCATATTACGTTACACTCAAACAACGAGCTTTGACGTGCCCCCGCTGCACGGCCGTTTTGTTTTCATATCGCATTACATTGGTCATTAATAATTCGGTCATCAGGACGGGCCTATTCGAAGCCAGCCAACCGTAGATCGGGCAATAAATGGCCATTAACCATGCCCAAACCCGAATCTCTCCCCGCCAATTTGATTTGTCCCTACTCGAGATTAGTAGCTATTTGACTGACGTGCTGACATAAAAGCCGCATTCAACTCGAAATGCGCGCAATTTACAGTCCGAGTGCCTGAGGCAAGATGGACCTGGACCCTCACATTCTACAGATCGAGCCTCCAGAAGAGGTACACTACCTGCTCGGATGTTGTGTACAGTGGCCGCTTACTGTAAGTTGGCAATTATAGGGTTTTAATGTTAATGTACATCTATATATTACTATAGAAACCTTTTACAACCTCTGAAACATGTTTTGAACTAAATTTAAGCCTGAAGAAGTCCCAACCTTCATAAGTTTAGGTATAAAAACTGGAATATTTTTAGAAAACATACTCATTTAGCCCTAATAAACCGGAAATTACAGTATTAGATTTCCGGCTGTTTCCAAAAACGACCAAAAGTATGTTAACATAGTCACTTGCTTTCAGAAGAGTGCTCGGTTAGTAGCCTATATATCTCTAATATCAGCAATATGCAACTTGTGCATCATGTTATTTGCTCAAGAAGCGTCGCTGCATGTTGTAGTAGATGGCATCATACTGGCAGTTGAGTTCTTTTGTGTGTTCTCATTGTTTTATGGTATCAACAAGAAGAAAGCTAGAGCTCTGAAGCCGTTCATCGTATGTGGGGTAAGTGTACCAGTCAGTACCTATTACAATATCATCAGGCATGTGCAAACACTATATCTGTCTATGATTTTTGAATACTTATATATTGAAAATGTCACACGTATTTTAAAAAGTGATATTGATGATGACATTCAAATCATACTCATAGTCAATATAAAATAACATATGCCACGTTTTTAGACCATCTGGAATGCTTTCTTGGCGATTCTCTGGTTATGTTGTGTCATTCAGTTGTTCGACCGAGACAAGTTCACTTCAGAAGTGTTGTCAAATCTGTCCCAAATGTTCAATCTCAGCCCTCAATCTGATGGTAACCCTTTGAATAACAGTTAAATCACCACATTTGATCAAAAGATGGCAAAACTCATATCATTTTAGGAGGATTCTGGATGTCCTTGGTCCTAGTTCTTCTCCTCGGACTGACAACCTTAATGGGAATCTGGTTCCTCCACATTGTTATCATCACCTACTACTACTTTATCGACCGACAAGAAGAGATATGGAAGAAACAGCCAGAGACGAGGAGACTGATCCAGCCAGAGATGAATAATTTACTCAGTACAAAAACAAGTAACGTCAATACAGAATTCAGTTTATAAGTCCTTGCCGAGCACGATCAGGTTCTGCTTGATGGAAGGGTCAAGATCAGGTCCGTTGACCCATTCGCTGATATTAACTACCTCTCCGATCTTGTCAAACATCACCAGCAAGGCTTCGATGTACTTTTCCTTGGCCTCTTCTTTGGCCAAGCCTTCGCGGGCCTTCCAAGCATCCCTAAAATATTAATATTGCTGTTTTTATCTTATTTATTGCTTTCTAATGTCTTTTTTGAGCTTCTGTTACATTGAAATGACACAACCCTTAACATTACCTACAAAGAATACTCCAAAAAATCTCATTTTTTGTATTTCTCCACTGTTTGCCTGTTTTTGACTGATAAAACAGTTGTAAATAAACTCCTAAACCTACCATTTGGCCTTTTCGACCAGACTGAAGAAGCCGGGTCTCTCAGTGTTCACATCCCCAATCGTGGCCTGCTTGAACAAGGAGTAGAACTCCAACTTCTGGTCATTGGAAGTCGAAACTGGACCATCTTTGGGCAGATTTTGTACAATTTTGACAGCCGCATCGAAACGCTCATCCAAAGACGCCATGATTGCTACAAGAAGGGAGAGAAAGAGTTGTGACCGATAAAAGCCGCAATCGCCTTGAAGAGAAAAACATCGGCAAGGTCGCGAGAAGACGGAACTGTATCAAGCATTGTGCCCCAGTTATCGGCACTTTCGGGTTTTGTACATTTCGAAATTTAGAATATAACAAAAACGAGAAAAATAACCCATCAAGAACCCATTTTAGGTCAGAATGTAAACAGAATAAGCAACAATAAACTCTAAACTCAATTTTGAACAAAATCAAACACTTATTTTCTAAAAGATGACCAAAAGCTATAAATTCCTAAAGCCTATGGGTCCTACCACGAAATTGTTAAAGACCCCAAGAACAAAAAAATAAGCCACTTGCCGAATGAATCATTTCGACTACAATAAAAGTAGTGAAAATCGATTTGATAACTTTTCTTACAAAGTTCGGTTAACATCTTATCTTTAACTTAGCAAAACAGCAAAACTAACTTTAAACAATGTCAATGTAAAGTTAAACTCGAAGCATTGACAAAACTTTAACTATCAAAGCTTAACTTTAAAAAATGCCAAAAACAATGTCATTAAGCACTTCCCATAAGATAAAATAAGCTAAAACATAAAGGGATCATGTATAATATAAAGCATGTAGTAGTGTTAGCAACGTGTTAGTCATCAAATCAAGCATGAATGTTAATTTTATAACCAAAACAATAAACAACAACTTGTTACAAGAAACCGGTAGTTCAAAACCATGTATAATATACTTTATCTAAAAGTGTTTAGACATTTCATTGTACAACGCTAACACCAAAGCTGCTCCTACTCCTCGGATCGCATTCACGAAGGCACCGTGGTAGAAGGCTTTCCAGCCTTCTCGTTGATATATCTTCTAAAAATCATGGATGTTAACATCAACTTAATAAATGTATAATTGAAATCATACTGAATATACACTATTAGCCACTACATAATCAAAAAATGTAACTCAAAAGTAGATTGCCAAAAAGAAATAAATTACTGTAAAGCTTAACTTACTTTAGCACAGTCGAGCGTTCCATTATAGGCGTGAACTTTCTTCCCAGCCTGCATCATAAGTCTTCGCCGTACTGTGTCCAAAGGATATGAAAGCATTGCTGCCGTGATTGCAGTGTACTATAAACCAAAACTGTATTCAACTATACTATTGAAAAACTATAAACTTATTAATACGAAACACTCTGATCAAAAATGATATATAAAACATTCTGATGACCTTTTTTACAGCAATACAGAAGTTTACAGCATCACAAACAATACTTGGTCCAATTTATCCTAATATAAATAAGCCACAGTAGATACAAAAACAGTAATCACTCATTGTGCTTAAAGCTCAGCTCAAACCATTTCCATACTTTATTATTACATTACTTGTTTACTGCTTACCGCAAACTCTGTTAACCTTTTTGGTAAAGTTTTCCCAAAATATACGTATATTCACTAGTTCTTTGTTGCAATGAATTGCCCTTACTATTTATCACTCAAACACGTGTTAGCAGAGAAAACACAAATGTTGTAAAAAATAAGAGCAAAACGTACTTGAGCAATTGCAAAGGCCAACGAGAAACTGAGATCATTCGGCTTGGCCAGCCCGGCATCGACGGCCACAACTTTGAGAGTATCGAAAAGCCCGTAATACGCGGAACGGTAGAGGAAAATGTACTGTAGAGACGGTAGAAAGCCGCGGTAAAGCCCAATAAAGCCGTCGTGTTTAGCTATTTTGACTAGACAGTCCACAAGACCGTTGAATTCTCTCGAGCCGGCGTCTGAAATCATAAAGTAAAACAAAAAAGTAGTAAAGTAGGTGATTCAAATCCACTTTTCGGAAATATTTTAAAACGTGTAAAACTGAAGATCACATTAATGGTCACAGAAATCCAAAATATATGTTCTTTGTGCTACTAAAACTGTACTTAAAAGACATTTGCGTTCCTTCATTCCAATACCTAAATTACAAAAAAAAACTCACCTTTGCCCATGTCTATTGCCAATCTTGTCCTCGAAAAGTCCAGCGGATATATAAAGCAAAACGTCGCACATCCGGACATTCCTCCAGCCATAAAATTACCTAAAAACAAGAGTTAAAACAAAGAACAATACTTACCTAACACAACATTCTTGTAACTTGAATCTTTATGAACCAAATATCGTTTGAAGATTTCTTTAAAAGCCATTCCAAGACTTTCCTAAACCAAAAAAAGATTACAAACATTATTTTAGCTTACCTGACTAGATGCCCTGAGAATATTGGACCAGTTTCCTCGCCAAAACGACAAAAATCCTTGTTCTCGAGGTACCCTGACAAAGCAGTCCACCATTCCACGGTACCTTTTCGAGACTTCGATGGTCGATTGTGCATTCTGAAGCTGTAGAATCAGTTTGACTCGCTCCACCGGGGCTATAATAGTCTTGGCCACAACCGCGGCCCACCCGCCGGCCGTAAAGTCTTTGGCAAACTTGATCATCTGATCAGTTCGCGGTAAATTGACCGGTCTTAACGACTGGTCCACCGGTGTCATAATAGATGTCATATCAGAGGAAAAAAGAATAGAATGTGTCTCAGGTCGACTCCCGAACCATTTGAAGCGATTTGAATGGGAAAATTAAAATCACGAGGCGGAATCACAAAAGTTCAAGAGCAAAGAACAACAACAACAAAAGAAGGTAACAGGAAAACCCCTTTCGGAGTAGTACTTTTATCTCTACAAATTAATAAAAAAATAAAAAGGAATATGGGCGCGGCTCGCGTGAGGTCGTTTATCTTTGTAAAAGCAGGCTGCGAACGGCAAATTATACGAAAAACAACAGTTTTTTGGAGTTTCTACAAAAATTTGTCAAACAAATTTTGAGGAATAAAACCAAAAAATGATGTTGTGGACAAGACCGAGGTTTTAAAATCAGTCAATATAACCAATTATTTAGTTTTTAAAGTTTTCGGAGTTAATTTTTGAAATGTCAGCACAAAAACAGTTCCTCGTTCAAATGCCGTGTTATTTTAAACAAAACGAAGAAGTTTTGTCTGTTTTCTAATTTATTTTCACTTAACTTTCAACCCGAACAAGATTAGGTTAACTGAATTACGTCCGCTGCTTTGTTTATCAATTATTCAAAGTTATGGATAACAATTAACATTCAACTTTTATGGCTTCAGGAAGTTGCTAAGAGATGCCTCGACAATACATAGGAATAGTGAAAAAGGATTAGATTCGAATCATCGGAATCCGTTTGAATTGTATTATTGTAGTAGGCTACTATAGTAGGTGGATATTGTAGTAGTTTGGTTAGTAGCTATTGTTGTTTTAGTTGATTCTGGTGTTGGTAACTGGTTATAAAGAATAAAAAGGCATAGACGTCATTTTGTCAAATATTATACTATATTGTATGAAATGTATTGTAGTAGCTTATTTCTGTAAATTTATATTGTAGTTGACTCAAGGTCTCAATAGTTTATGTTGGTTTGGCGGCCTGTCGGCCATGATTTGGTTATGAATTGGTGATTAACTGCTTAAAGTACTTTGAAAACATTATGCATGCAACAACTTTGTGTACAATTTCGAAATTGTTTTGAATTCAACGAAAGCGGTTTAAATTAAAAGTGTTGTTATCACGAGCTTATCAGTCTGGGGATAGGGAGATGTAACTATATGAACGTTTCCAAAGTTTGTGTGCAGTTTACCTGTGTCCCAGCGCTTCGTGTGAATGTTTGCCGAAGGTAAAAGAGACAATTCTCGAGCGTATTTTTAGTCTCGAGAACCGGAAAAACGAGGGAATATACCTGATAAGGTAACACTCACATATTCCGGTGTCGATATCCCTGCGGCAAACAAACAGTTTTGCATACGATTAGCGAGTTAATTGTGTAGCCAGATTCTGAAGTCGGGTTTCTAGGTCGATATTGGTTTATATAAAGTAATTGGGTCGGGTTTCTTTGTTTATCAACTTTCTGACGTTACTATCAAGTAGTTGATCACGGTTTTGTTGTTTTTGAATGTTTGCTATTGTAGAATGTCAATTTTGAAGAAATTGTGTTTGGTTTGACAACAAATAATTAGAAATTGCTTAATTAACTATTTTTCTTACAAATTATTTTAAATTGTTTTAATATCACTGAAGTTACAGTTTTTTAAAAAATAAAATCAAAAGTTTCACTTTAAGCTGCATTTAAACTCCAGACAATCGTTTTCCTTGCAACACTTGTATCATTAAACCTATAAAACGCCCTGACTCATGTTGTTGTTGTTATTGTCGTTTATGGCGATTTCTACATAGCCGATCCTTGAAGCGAATAGCAGACTTAGTAACTTTGAGGGAAAGGTCATGCCTTCTCTGATTCATAACATTGGAAATTCGGAACGGAACGTTGATAAGTTGTTCGATCGTGAGTGAGGGAGTGACGCGCGGGAGGTCTTATTAAGCAGAGTATAACATCATGTCTGGCAGTACAAGGTCTTTGTTGTGTGTTACAAGGAAGGTCATCGTTGATTTTTAAAATTATTTCAAATTTTTTTAAGTTTTTGAGAAGTTAGGCAGTTTGGTCAAAAACTACGCAGGATAATTGTTTGTGCGAGGTTGATTGAGTTTTGTCATTTTTTGATTGCGCAAAAGCTAAATATTTTAAGCTTAAAGTTGTATGTATTGTGCAATTAAAGTAAAAGTATGGTCAAGCATGGTCAATAACTATGTGACAATGTCAAAAACGTTATAAAAAGAGTTTGTTTTGTTATTCTGTTTACTTTTTGACCAAACAACATTCTTTTTTGAACTTTGAAGTAGTTTTTGTTTATTATTTTCGACCAAAAATCTTATTTTTAAAACCTGACAAAAGCCTTAACTTTTTACATTATTGTCTAAGTAATGCTATCTTTAATAACACTTCCTCATCGCGAGCCGTGCATACAAAATGTAAAAATTTGTAAAACAAGTTAATACGTGGCTAAGCGAGTTATTAACTTCTAAAACAAGGTATTGCAGTGCCTTATTCTCCCCATGGAAACCAAGCAAGCTCTGGAGCGGCGGATTCTTTTAATTGGGAGTTATAAAAAGCTATTGGTAGGTTTCGATCCATCATTCACATTGATTTATAGTTTGACAGTTTATGTGCTGCTGCCGAAAGATACGAGAGACATGTCCAGTACCACGATGTCTACTACCTCTACTTCAAGATTAATGAGAACACCATTATTATCGAACTTACGCTGGCTGGCACGGTAATTTCTTTTTTTTTACTGGGCTGATCAAGAGTCGATAAATTTTGAGGACATTTTTCATCGTATATTATGTCTTGCGCAGGTCGCATCTTTTTAATTTATATTTTTTTACGAATTTTTGGTTTGAAAGTGTGTAATTATTAGCAAAATCTTCAATTTTAAATTGTCTCGATGAACCTTTGGACCAAAATATTTAAATTTTGAATTTAAGGAGCACACTGGAGCTCGTGAGATGGCCATTAGAAATTCAGATGGAGTGATTATTTGTTACGCTGCCAATTATCCGGCTTCGTTTAACGAGCTGGCTTCGCTCAATGAAGACTTTAAGATGCGCAAAAACAAAAACGTAAGTAGTTTTGGATGTTACGAGCAGTTTTAAGCTGAAAAACCTTGAACTTGCTTGTAATGTGTTCTCTTTTTCTTGTAAATTGATCGTTGTTTCCACAAAACTGAACCTTTATCTATGTTGAAATATTGTTTTGTCAAAGAAAATTCAAATGTTGTAGTTGTTATCAATCTAGGTGTCCAAAAATGACGTGATTGTTCAGATTTTATTGCTTTGTGACGAATTGTGTTGATATACATGTATGTGGTTATCAAGACTCTTTTGACTGCTTATTCATCACAATCCTATGTACATATTTGTTATCAAGCTTATTCACGGCCAATCCTCGAAACGCTTAAGTGACGTGAAGTTAACGCTGATTAGAGAACCGTTCCCTTTTCTGTGATTACCTTTTATCACTTAACAAACAATATAATGTTGACAATTGTTACCTAGTTTAAAGAAACAATCTTAAAATAACAAAATTTAACTATTTTTTGGTCAGGAAGTATACAGAATTGATCTTTTCCTTTTGTTATTGCCTTCTTTAAAGTTTCTATTTACTTTTTGACCAATACAAGGTCGTGACATACGAAAGAAATTATAGCACAAATCTTTTTAGGCCCCAATCCTACTGGTCCGAAATGAAGATGAGTATGTTGAGTTAGATCCAGTTGAGAGCTCTTCTTCCCAAACTGGATCGTCAGACAAAGATGACATTTCTAGAAACACAAATGAACAAGCTGACGATGAGAACAAAACAATGATTACATCAGAACAAGTAAGGGATTCAAAATAGTATTAGAGTAGCCTTCGTAAACATAAAGTTGTGTTAAGATTGTTTGTCAATACGAAATGACATTAGTAATGACATTAGCATCGCCTCCAAACTTAGAATACTATTAGTAGCCGCTGTAAACATAAAATAACACTAGTATTGTTGTTCAGGACCAAGAACTGGCCAAGGAATTGAATTGCGAGACGATGGCGTTGAAACTGTCAGAAGCAGGTCCCATGGATAATATTATACTGGACTTTGTGAAGAAGGTGTTGGATACGGACAGGAGACAACGTAGGAGATCTACGTTGATGGACGGACTGAAGCATCTGAATGTGATCACGCTGAATAAGCTGAGGAAGTCTGACAAAGACTCCTCGAGTCATTCTAGCACTTCTGACATCAGTCCTGAAGCAGATCAGGAGAATGTTGATAGTAAAAGTGATAAGGAAGACGGAAAAGGTACTAAAGAGAAAAAGTGTACCAAAGACGACAAAAAAAGTACGAAAGACTCTGACAGTGATAAGGATGACAAACTCAGTGTCAAAAATTCAGAATCCGATCTAGAAACCAGGTCGACTCCAGCTACACCGTCCAACAACCGCAGCTTTTTACGGACTTTCAAACGGAATCAGACGGCACCGTCGTCCCAGAAGGGCAGTAGCCAGCATAGCCACGCAACAACGACACAATCAAAAGTGTGTGCCGTAATGTGATGGGGCTTGTCGCTGAAGCGGGTCTAATTGGCCGGCCCCGCAAGGAAAGGCGGTTCGAACCGGCGGCCGTTTCTTGAAATTCATGCCAAGACACTATCCGAGGCTATCCGATCCGGGCGCACTTCCGGGGCCGCGGTATTTGTTCTTGCAGAGCCAAATAAACACTTGTGGCGGACTAATTCAACTTCCGACCAGCGGATCCGGCTCTGATAGAATACGAGTGCCGAACATACGATTACGGGTTGGGGTATTCGTTTTGACATACTTTTCTGCGCAATAAACAATTCTCGGAACACTTGGCGGGCTTCGGGTTACAGTCGGGTAAAGGGAGGGTTGGGTTTGGAAAATTTTGAATTTTTTATAAATATGTAGGTAGTAGAAGAAAAAATGAGTTTGCATACTCTACAATTGTTTAAAAATTAAAAAAATTTTTTTAAAGTTGCGAGGACACAGACTTTCTGAAAAAAAATACAAAAATTGGGGAAAAAGGCTGTGCAGCCTGCGTGAAGCATTTTATACGCACGAAGGTGTTCTCAAAGCTAATTTTTGACAAAACTAGGAAACATGACACGAGGATTATTTTTGCGTATAAGAATATGACTTTCTGTTAGCTTTTTATAGAAGTATGACATTGTATGAGGGAGAGATGACTTCTGAGTAGCTATGTTGGGATGTGTGGAAAAGTGTCTCCCGATCGGGCGGGTCGTAATAATAGCCCCAGGGGATGGGGGCTTGTTCCATTTCCGGGCTTATGGAATCTGTGTCAATCCTTGACGACCTCTTTGATTGATGGAGTGTCCTACTTGTGCAAGCCTGGACTTGACTCTCGAAAAACGACTGGAAACACTTTAAATTTAATTCGGATTCCTTTGTTCTTGCGCAGATTTGGCCAGCTCCTTCAGAAGGCGGCCTCAGCAGGGCCGCGTAAAACTGTCTTCGGCCGGCTTTATCTTTTGATCTTAATTGAAGGGGGAAAATAGCCGCTAATTGGCCAGGTTTCTGGGCCCGACCGCACGAAAAGCCTTGGAGATGTTATCTCAACGTGACAAGTACTCAATCACAATTTCTGTTTCTTAGGATTTTCGGTTCGCTGATTCTTTTTAAGTCGCTTTTCGAGGCCAAATTTGCACCTGCCTCCGGGAACTAATCGGTTTTGACTGTTTTCGGGTGCAAATGACATTTAAAATAATCGAGTGATGGCTTCAGATGCCGCCGTTGGACGACGTCTCAGTCCAGACCTTCAATGAGATCATCCGAGCTGGAGTCTCGTCCAAATTGGTTTATGGTGGGTTTTTGCAATGTCATATAGTTTTTAATGGTACAAGCACAGATTTAGTTGGTTTAGTTTTTTAAAGACAATCTAGTGTATTTCAAATTGTCTTTTAAGAAAGTCGACATAGTAAAGAATAAAAATTTATATTTTACATATTTTTGTAATTCCAGAAGGCTCTGTGTGTGATGCCTACCCCTGTTGGAACGACGGTGTTTGCGTAGAATCTAATCTGACCCAGTCTGGCTACTTTTGCTTGTGTAATCGCTATTTCTCTGGCGATCATTGTGATGTTCAGGTCAGGCTGTATTTAAATATATTTTTAATTAAAAAAATGACATTTTAAAGTTTTTGAAATGTTGAATGTTGGACATTGTTTTAGGTAGTAAACAACTGTAGTAATATCGTATGTCAACCGGGTCATGTATGCATATCATCTACTGCTACGTGTGTGCCAACATTTGATACTAGTAAGTTTTACTGCTAAAATTATTTTGTGGTGCCGCGGCATGCCGCCACGAAAACTGGAAATAAGGATTCTAAAAATTAGAATTTTGATAAGGTTTTTGTCAAAAACTAAATTATTTTTGATAAGTATTATAACGTTGTCTTGAAGGAACGTTCCCCAAATGCACATTCGAGCCATGTCGTAACGGCGGCTCTTGTGTTATGTTCGATTACGAACGACCCTTTTGTGTATGTCCGCCCAACTTCCACGGATTACTTTGTGAATGTAAGTACATGATGTATTGTTTTATTTTGCTGTTACATTTTGTCCATAAATTCATATATACAGCATATACATGGAGGACGTGTACATCTATAATATCTACACATAGACATTTCTGAATATCATCTATACTTCGAAAAAACATAACTGTAAAGTTAAAAAATAAAGATTCAGATTCTCAACGTGGCCCTGCCAACATCTCCATGGACTGGAATATAATGCAGATGCTGATATTGTTCGGCGTGGTATTCTTCGTATGTTCAGCTCTACTGACTTTATGTTACAATGGTAACTACAGTTGTTACCTCAATTGGAAACGACGCTACAAGTACGACAAATGGAGCATTGAGCCAGAGTTCCAGTGGTACGAGTCTGACGAAGAAGAAGACGAGAATCTTATCAACCGGTCGAAAGTTTATCGACCAGGGAATCAGCTGAGTGCCACTGATACCTCCAAGAACTGCTTTGAACTAAAGTATGTGATGAAGAAGTTTTAGATGATTTTAAACACTGTAAAATGTTACTGTCACATCAAGTGTTATATTTTATAGTATTAAGCCTATACAACATACAAACAATATACTTTAGAGACAAGCCATTGCGAATATCTTCAACATCAGAATCCTTCGTAACGTACAGTGGCAACAATGCGACGCCATCAGAATCTCATCCGTCTGCACATCCTGTAGAATACCAAAAATAATTATTTTAAGTTTACCGTAATGTGCTACTACCTTAAATATGTCTGTAACCTTAACTTTGCGTTATATATCACGGCTGTACCTATGTTATTTTAACTCAGTAATCAACTTGTATATGTTCTACCTAACTGATCAACGTTTATTTTGCTTTTACACTGCCTAGTCTTTTATTATTATTGTTTTTACATTATCAGATGCTCTACTCTCACTGCTACGGGTACTCAGAGACAAAGGTGCGAATAAGACCAATAAAGACAATTAGCTACCTTATGGCTTGAGTATGGTTGTGGGTACGGGTATGGCATGGGTATGATTATGGGTACGGGTATAGCATGTTTAAATGCGGGTGGGCACGGGTATGGGTAAGGGGTGGATATGGATATTGGCGTGGGTACAGGTATGGCATGGGTATGTGTTTGGGAATGAAATGGCTACGGGTATGGGTGTAACATCGGTATGGGTGGAGGTATGGAATGGGTATGGCATTCGTTTGGGTATGAAATGGCTACGGGTATGGTATGTTTTCCTGTACGGGTACGGGTGTGGATATGGATATTGGCATGGGTACAGGGTAGGTCATTTACAATATTTAAGTGGTAAGTCAGCCCCGGCCCCCGCTCCGCTAAGAGCGGGGCCGGGGCTGAAAATCGGCCCGGCCCGTTTGCCATGTCTAGTCTCAATGGGCGCGAGGTCTCAATGGGTTTCAGTGAGGACGCCAACCAAGGCTATTTTTACATTTCCCTTGCAAGCGAAATATGCGGCTTTAAAGATTTCTCTTTCCCAATTTGTACGTTGTATTGTTGTTATTAGCTTGTAAAGGTGTTTAATTGTCATGTACATCTATGGTACAGAAAGAATTTTTCAAGTTAATAATATTATATGTTAATTGTAAAAGGCTCGGAGCTTCCAAAGACTAACCTACTGACTACGGAAGCAATCTCTTTCTTTTTTTCTATTATATGTAACAGGGAAAGTACCCAACGTACGACACCCAGAATCAACTCAAGCTTTTTATATGAATTCTTTGTACCATCAATAGTACCCATAAAAAATTTTAGCTCGCGCTTTTTACTTTTAGCTTTGAATTATTTTGGTTTCCCACCAATTTGGCAAACTTGGCAATGCGTTTCAAGCAGTTATTCCGGCTTCCCAAACAAGCTGCGCTTACAAATTTAAACGTGTAGATCCGTTAAAGGTCTTTTATTAGTATATCAGAGAAAAAAACCTAAAAGTCAAAAAATGGCAAAGTTATAAGCTTGAAACACAATACCAACTTGGCGCGAAATTCAAACTTTTGTGATCTCAATTTTCTCGAGATTTCCTGGGAGTTGCGATTTAGCAATTTGCTGAATATCTTTTATTTACCTACATTGAAATAAACTGTGGTAGTAATTTAATATCCGCTAGCGCGCAGTTCAAAAACGTTTTGCAATTCTAGAACGACTTAAAAATAAAATAACTCTGGGCATTAACAATACAAATGTACGAATACTTTTATAATATAAATCAAAATGTAGATTTTTATATTTTTTATGCAAAAGCCGACTGAATTAAAATGCGCGCTGTGGTGTTGAAAACAGACTATACTTATATTATATATTTTAGATGGGCAGTTGGTGTAAAAAGCTCTCATACGAAGTAAGTTTTTAAGTAATAGTTTGCATAATTATTAAATATTAACAATGCGATTTGTAAGTATTTCTACGTTTGATTACTCAACAACTAGTTAGCTGTTCTTGTTAGGTGTATTTGTTTATGTATTTATATTCAGGTATGGCAAAAAGTTTTCAATAATTTGGAAGGCATCGACAACTTAGCTGCTATGGCAGCAATCTACAAAAACTTTTACAAATGGATCAACAGGGACTTTAAAGAAATGTGTTACCAAGAGGGAATCTACAGATTCAAAGGAGAATATTGGGCTACGGCCTTTAGTTTGTACGTTCTATTACTGTATTTGAATTTTAGGTAAAAATTTGCGTATAAGAAGTGGTTTACAATACTATGTAGATGAAATTGGAGCGTAAACTCCAATGCGTTTAGGGTAGCCATTTTCCTGCAAATTCGTATATGTTACGATAAGGGTATATTTGCAACAATTGATTTTTTTCATTTGTGCAGTAGGGGTGAGAAACGAGCGGGTCTTGAGCTTTATAACGACGGAAAAACCAAAATTGGCGTGCGAGGGCCGCAGGGCCGGGCCAATTAGTTTGAATATTATAAAATGTATTAAAATTGGCACATTAAAAATAAAATAGTTTTATTTTTTTCTAGTACAATTAATTCTTTTTCGTTTTAGGACGAGTTACCGCGCATTTGATTTGATTGGCTATAGCGTTATCAACTGTCCCAATAGTGGAAAGATTGTGTTTTTTCTTACACCCACACCATGCCATTATTTCTCATATTGACTTTACGAATTTTAAATACGAATTAATTGACCTTAGACAACACTGTATGGATAAAGACAAGTACAGTCCGCATCGATATATATCAATGTTTTCACGTTCACAAAAGGAATTGCACATTAAAGACATGAAAACAGGCGAGCTGTTCAAGTTGTGCAACGTTCCAACCAATTTCTTTGGCCGCACTATCCTTGAAGAAACCGGCCTCTTTCATGTTATATGTAAGACATTTTTTAATTCGAAATACAGTGGAACCCCTGTATAACGAATTGCTCACGGATTAACAAGTTGTTCGTTAAAAAGGAGTGTTCTTATACAGGAGTTTTAAATGCACTGTGTAGTGTTATACGGGAATTTAAATTTTGTTCGTTATACAGGAGTTCCACTGTTGAAGATATTCAGCAAAGTACTAAATCGCGCTTCCTAGTCAATATCGAGAAAATCGAGATTAAAAAATGACGTTATGAATATCCCGCCAAATTAGCATTGAGTTTCAAGCTTATAAATTTGTCTTTTAATTATTTTTCTTTGATATACTAGTAGAAAACCTTTAAACGAACATATATTTTTAAATTTTTAAGTGTAGCTTGTCTGGAAAGCAGAAAAAAAGGGTTTTAAACAATTTTCAGATAAGCTCGATGGCTACGATACAATACAATTTTACGACATAAAAACGCGACAAAAAATATTTGAACGCTCATATGTTTCAACTGACAAATCTTGGTACCCCCTTTCAAATTATGCCCTGTTTAACTATGATAGTGGCGAGGTAAGCGTTAAAAAAATTATTTAAAAAAAGTTAGAACGATTGTTATTATTAAAACTTTAGTACATCATTTACAATCCCAGAAAGAGACAATTTTATTCGAGATTCATCAACTGCCTGTATCCAGAATCTCACGAACATATCTCTCCAGAAGGAATGTTTGAGTGTAGGTTTTCATCAATTCGCAGAACAGAAGGCCGTAGATGTTTCGATTATTGCATCTTACATAAATCTACGTTCTATTTCGATTACACAAAAGGTAATAAAAAACCAATAGGTTATCGTTAAAAGTTAGTTAAACACACATTGATATAATAAAATGACATTTTTTAGATAAACTCAGATTGATGCCTATTGATGTAGATGAAACAGCATATGTTGACGAAATATGCAACCAATGTGGAATTTTTTTAAAGGAACATCAAAACATGACAATTACTGCGTTAGCTGTTGCAATGAAACAGTTTTTTGTAACAAAAATACAATTATTGAAGACACGCCCAGCAATTCCCAAAGTAACCAAATTTAATAATGGGTTCCACTTTATCACTAAGCTCACGTTTTTTCGGTCTCGTAATGCTAACTAAATTTTGTCTAAATTTCTGTTCACGACTACAATAATATTTAACCAGACGGGTCTTATGGTCTGGATATCTTATTTTTAATTTAACTAGGAAAGTGTCAAAACGTGTACCTAACGCCCAAACATGTGATACAGCTCAAAAAATTCTGAGATCGTCCTGTCTCAAAATCCCATTTTCGCAATTTGAAAAATTTTGAAGCGACCGTATTATGGCCTTCTCACTTTTTCGTTCGTTTTCATAACCTTTTTGGAAATTTAATAGGAAAACAGTGCAAACTGTAAACCACCATAACACGGTCGAAACAAAAACTTAGCAACTTTGAAAACGGATCTGAATCAGGAAGACTTTATAATTTTTTGAGCTATATCACATGTATTTTGTGTATTAAAATTCTGTTTATTCTAATTTTCAACTATTTATAGGCTATATTACCTTCCTTGTTAGTTGTTTTATGTAAGGAAATAATTTCTAAAATACAATTATAAAATATTTTGTTTTGTTAATCTTGACTGTGTCTTCTAAAAGAACAACTGGAAAACAAAGTGAAGTTGAAGAAGAAACTTCTCAATCTGAAGCTATGAGACGGTAAAAAGAGTCCCGGCCATCGACCAGTCGAGATTCTATCCACATTGTTTTTCAGTACTTCTCAATTGTTGACTGTGGCGGAGTCTCTTCTTCGTCTTTGTAAAAAACATCAAAATTGGGTTAATAAACCTTTATTGTTATTACATAAAATTAAAACTCGACTAATTGACAAAAATAACAGTTAAAAGTACAAATATTATGAATTTTTTCGACCCCCGCCCCCAGACCAAAAGTCCCCGCCCAGCACTGGCCGTAACAATACGCCCTTTTTTAACAATGCGACTGTCGTCGCAACATTGACGTTCAACATCAGAAAGTTGTAGATATGCACTAAATTCAAGCCCTTTAGTTATATAATACATGCATTCAGAACGAAGATCGATAGCACTCCGGTAGGGTCTTCAGCCAATTATACGGCCTTACTCATAATCGGGCGGTAGTACAAATGCGGTTTTTGGACATTTGCGGATCTGCGGTTTTTAGACACTTGCGGATCTTCGGTTTTTGGACACTTGCGAATTTTTTAAAGGTTTTTTTTAATTTAATTTAGTTGTAGTATGGTACTAAAGTTTAAATTGGCACTGTCTTAATATTTCTTAATGTTAAATAGTACTAAATTTTTAATCGGTACTGTTTTTATATTTTTGGTACTAAATAGTACTAAAAGCCCAAAAAGGTACTGTTATGTTAAAACCGTACCAATTCAAAGTTTAGTACAATTTAGTACCATAATACAACTAAATTAACTAAAAAATAAAAAAAAACCTTTAAAAAATCCGCAAATGTCCAAAAACCGCATTTGTCCTAGCGCCCATAATCGCACTTACAAAAAATCCAATAAAGCCTATTATTTTTTTATTTTTTTTGTGGTGATACTATAAAGTAATGTCTTAATTAGCATATAATATACATTTTAAGCCATAAAAAACCCCCTGTCGACAACAAAATATTTTTTCTAGAAATTTTCACCATTGAGTAACTAAAGGACACTGATTAAAGTGGCAACAATATTTTTTGCTAAAATTACAGTATACGGGTATAATGTAGTTTGGCTTGATTTAACTATCTCAAAAATGAGATGCGGTAGAGACATGAGGTATTATAATAATGAATAACTGCTAATTACACCTAGTTTCGAAATTGTCTGCAAGTATTTTTAAAATTTAGTTTTTTGTTCAAAATTACAGTAATCCTCCATTTGTGCAACAAATGCATTTAATAAACCAGGTTTCATTCAAGTTTATTAAATTGGAATCTTTTGCCGTTCCAACGCACCTAATCTTGTCTAGTTAAAATGGGACTAATGGGTGCAACTATCATAGTTGAACTATGCGTTTAAAACTTGCACCGCAACAATTTTTTTTAAATTTTAAAATGAATTCAAAGCTTAAAAATACTAATATATATATATATATATATATTATAATATAATACTAAGGTACTCATAAACACTTTAAAATAAAAATTTTTCTTCAATGTTACAGTAGCTAGGTATACTGTAACTGGCCAAAGATTTCTATATCTCAAGAACTAATGGTGCTAGAAACGTGAACTTTTTTTTAAATGTAGAGCATACTTTGCTGTCCAAACCAACTTTCTGTGTATTGTGAGTCATTCCAGGCTTGGACGCAGGGTGCCCTGTACCATGCCCCGTTACAGTGCATGGTAGGGCATGGTATAGCTTGGAACAGAGCAGGGCATAGCATATGCCCTGCATTACCCTGCAAATGCCCTGTTTGTGCCATGGTAAGTTTTGGCGGACGCCTCCGCCGAGCGGTCGATAATCGGCGGACGCCATAACTTGTTTATCGCTCTCTTTTTCTAAATTGTATAAAAATTACATTAGGTAAAATTCTAAGCAAAAAACCTTGTTTTTTGTACAAATTAAACATTTGTAAATTATCGACCGGTCAATAACAATATTGCTTTCAAAAACATAAATTACTGCCTTAATGTGTAGATTATAACATGTAACAAATTCTGCACTTAATTACATGTTTCTAGCTGCTAAACTAACCAAGTTATGGCGTCCGCCGATTATCAACAGCTCGGCGGAGGCGTCCGCCAAAATATATCCAAATGCCCTGTAAATACCATGTAAATGCCCTGATGCCCTGCAGGGCAAGGGCGTGGTAGAGCAGGGCACGGAAGTCGAATGCCTTGTACAGAGCAGGGAATTGCAGGACACAGGGCATTACATGGAAATTTGTCAATGCCCTGCCCTGTGTCTAAGCCTGCCCCCGGTTCTCGGCGCGAAAGCGATTCCTCCAAATTGGGGTTGGCGATTTTGTGTAATTCTTTAGTGGAAAGACTGATAGTTGTAGTCTCACTACTACGGGTACTCAGAGACAAAGATGCGAATAAGATCAATAAAGACAATTAGCTTCCTTATCATTTTGTCTAGAACATTTAAACGGCCGATAACAGCATTCCATTTATGTTTACACCATGACCAGTTGGTTGGGGCTTCAGGATGAAGTTGGGATCGGAGAACGGAAGCCTTCCAAGTCATCGTTGCGGCCAAGTTCAGCGTTATCGTATCAGGCTGATGGTAAATATAAGTGAAAATACTTTTTCAGTTTTTGAAAACAGTAAAATAATGAGTTAATATTGAAAAGTTCTTTAATGTGTGACAATCTTTTCTTGTAAATACTAAATTTCCAGAAACCAAATAAAATTTTAGAATTACCTAAAAAGAAAAAAGTAGATCACGCCAACTTGTAGATCGCCTCTCCCAACGGCATGTAGCTTTCGTAGAGCCAAAAGGTGAAGTACCTGAAGATCACACAGATGCCCAAAATGATAAAAATTCAAATTGGCTACCTTGTTCCAATGTTTCCCTTGGGACCGACCCTCAAAGCGGCAGAATCAAGTCTATGAAGGTATTAAAACAATATTTACAGAGGGCTATATAACACTAATAACAATGCCTAACAGGGATGAACGTCTGAATAAGAAGGAAGTAAAAAGCTATACAACCATTCTACATAAATACAATCACAACTATTTCTTTACGTCAAACCAACAATAAGTAATGGTACCTTTTCAGTGTAGTTGATCGACGAATCCTTAGCCGAGCACATCTTTCACCTGAGTCCGTCATCAGGTGGACTCTTCCCCACGATCTCATTAGATAGGCGTACCGTACACAGAAACATACTCAATCAACAAAAACCTACAGTATTCCAGCATATGGCCAAGTAAGCATTTAAAGTACACATTTGGTCAAATTTTCACCAATAAAACGCTCAATATCTTCCAGATTCCATCACAAAATGGGTATCCGCCATCTTCTCCTAGTTGGAGTACTAATATTATATGCGGTGCTCGGCGGACTTCTGTTTTTGATAATCGAGAAAGATGCCGAGTACAATTCTGTCAGAAATAACCTAGATCAACTCAATAACATCACAGATGACATGACAGATACCTTGTATGCCATATTTCATGTTGATAGAAGCAACCGCAACTTTACAGAACGTATAAAGTTGTGCATACGGTAAGATGGCAACTTAAATTACCTTCTATTTTAGTGTAGTTATAGAGACTGGTTTTAATACTATCAACAACCAGTTGACAGTACGTAATACAACTGTTATCTGTTTCAGAGATTACTACCAAAGAATGCTGAAAGTAGAAGGCAAACTGATCGGATCAGCCTTTCAGTACGACAATCTGGAGCCAAAGCTTAGCTGGAACTACGGTAGCGCGGTGTTTTACTCAATGACATTATTCACATCTATCGGTTACGGGTCGATAGCTTGTAAAACAGATGCCGGCAAGATTCTGACTGTCGTTTATTCTGTATTAGGTATACCGTTGATGCTAATGGTTCTAAGCGACGTTGGTCAAGTGATACTAAAATGGCTGACAATAGCTTACAACGGCGCACGAAAGATGTATTAGTAAGTTTTGTAATTGCAGAGTGGAATCCATATCAAAATTACAGTAAGCTTAACACATCAAAATCCGAGTTACCATACTACAGCAACAACTCCTTGGACAGTTGGGATTCAGATGACTCCATAGAGCCAAAGTCCTTCCCTATGCACCTGGCCATACCCATAATCATCGTCTACATGCTATTATGCGCACTAGTCATCAGCATACTAGACCAAAATGCCCAAGAATCACCAGGAATCTCGTTTTGGGACGCCTTCTACTACACTTTCATATCTATTAGTACCATCGGGTTGGGTGACGTACTACCATACAATATTGAACATTCCTCGCTTCTGGCTTTAATGTTTCTGTTTGGTTTGGCTTTGCTTAGCGTTGTTAATAGTACTGTGTACACAAGACTACAAAAAAGGTTCTTGGCAGCCATTAATATGCTGGAAAGTTGGCTGGAAACGTTGCATTATCACCGTCACGGAAGAGAAGGCTACATGGTATTCAAGGCTCTCGGACCAAACCTACAAGTAAGCAAGTCCATAAATAGTTTTGTGACATGCAAACGTATACGATACTATTTTTTATTGTACACCTTTAAAAATATAAAGAAAACCTTAACTTCCAACTTACACTCTCTTTCAGTTACTAGCCTTGGCCCTTCCCTTATTTGACAATGAAGATAAGATTGAGAGAATGTTGGGACCAGAGAACACGGATCTCGGCAAGAAACTATTCAGGAGACCTCAAAGACCTAGTAGATCACGGTCTTTGCTAGAACAAGACATGAACAAGTTCAAACCGACTCTAGGGATCTTCAACATGGTACCAAGTAAACCAAGAAGAAATCGTTCAAGTACTTTTGCTGGCAATATCAACCTGACAGACCTACCACAATCAGAATGTGACAGCAGGCATCAGAAGCAGATAAAGCGATCGAACAGTGAGCACGTTACAAAGAACGTTAGGCAGTTAAAGCCTCGCACGAAGAGTGAATTCTTGCGTAGATAATGAATGTAAATAACATGGTAACAAATAACATAAAACTCCTATAATACTAAGTTCAAGAGAATACAGGGTATATAATATAATTTATTGCCTTTTTAGTGAACAGTTTTTAGTATTCAAGTACAGGTTTACTCCGGATTCATCAATGAATTCAACGACTACCTTCAGTGTCTTTCTGATTTTCCTTCTCAGCCGGTTTCGAGGGCGGGGTGACAGCCGAAGGGGTGTTTCTGGGGGAGGGCAGCTCAGTTCTCTCTAACTTTGGCAATTCCTTCTCTTTTCCGATCTCTTCCTCGACTGAAGCCTTGGATTCTTTCCTCGACAACAACTCCTTCACTGACGCCCCAGATGAACTCTTTCTTCTCGCTGCAATCGTGTTGTATCAAAACTGATTATTATAATCGTTATTAACAGAATAACATCAAAATATTATAATTAGTCGTGTTGAGGCAGGTGTCCAATTTTAACTAAAAATAATATCAAAAATATTTACCTCGCCTTCTTCGATTTGATGGTGAATATCCAGCAAACGACGCTACTTCAATACTTTCCATTTCAGCCTAAAATTAATTTAACAGTAAAACATGTTAACTTTTATAACTTATGTATTCAACGGAACTAAATATCATTATAAAACCCACATTTAACGTAATACTTACACTGTCATCCTTCTTCTTTTGAACCTCCTGGCCACCCGGGTTAGGATTTGTAATTGGTTTTGAAGGGCCTAAAACTTAAAATAATATCATAATACTTTACAACTACCTATAATATTGTACACGAAAATAATCGTTAGTATTGGTCAAAAGTATTGGTCATAAAACTGACAAAAAAGCGAACAAAGTGTCATTCAACGATTTAGCAAGCCCGTATTAACTCCATTACCTGTGTTACTGCTTTCACTACTCTGAGATGCCCCTCCGTAGAACCATGTTGTGATAGACCAAGCCCAAACACCAAAGATAATCCAAAAACTCATTCTTTTCTAAAACAACCGCTTACTCGCCAAATTTACACAAATATGAACATTTTCAATAACCTATTTTCAGTCACAAACATGACCACAACATAAATCGTGCATAACAACCATCTTGAACGTCAACATTATAAGGTCATTTGCATTGTTTTCATTACAATTTACTATAAACAACTTAACATTATTCAACACGAGGCACGTTATTTAAACAGTCATTTAAACCGCGGAATCTTATCAATTCCATGTTTTCTTGTGGTATTATCACGCCTTTGTTCAGAAGTAGCCCTTTGTTATACCTGAAGCAGTCCATCTGCAACTACTACAATATAATTTGTGTCTTTTTTATTCCCGATCATGTCCGAGAAACAGAAAATGTAAGTTTTCATTGCTGCAATTCCTCGATGTTCTTCGCGCGTTTCGGAACTACTTTCAAAAACAGTTCGAACCAATATTAGCCCGCCGAAGTAGCACTCGCTCTTTTTGTTTGGCGTTCCGCAATTCCTCGAGAAAAAACGTGGAATTCGGATAAATTTGTCGCTAAAATACACTGTGATTGACCGCACTTGACATACATGTGATTCCCGAGAGCTTTTAAGCTTCTAAGTTCGAAAAAATGATTTTCACTCATCTCTTTCCATGGACTTGTAGAAGGTATCGCTCGTCCACTTGAAAGCTTTGTTTATCCCTCGTTTTGTTTCAGGAGACTGCTTCTGATGAACAATCAGACCCTAAATGTGGTCCAGCTGGGCATCGCCTTCTTCCTAGTCTTCTTTGCTTTCAACTCGGCATCTTTTATTGAGGAATATGTGATTCACAGTTTTGCAGAGAAAGGAGAGATCTCCAAACATGCTGGATACAACAGGTATATCTAAAAGTTGAAATAAACAAACAAACGTAAAAGAACTTTTATAAATTTATTAAACATAGAGGTGCGTATTGGAAGAGTAAATTACGTTTCGAGTGACATAACTTTAGCTTGGCCATCATCTACGCTTCCTTCACGGTGTTCAACTTCTTGGCCGCCACGGTTGTCCACAAACTTGGGGTGAAGGGTGCTATGTTCTTTGGCGGAGTCACTTACGCCATCTTCCAAGCCGGATTTCTTTACATTAACGAAAGTTTCTTGTACATTAGTTCAGCACTTTTGGGCTTGGGAGCTGCTGGTAGGTGAAGTTATTGTAGTAGTTTAAGTTTTACAGTTATATGGACTGCCCAAGGAAAGTACTTATCGCAGAACTCGACCGAAGAAACTGCTGAACGACATTCTGGCATATTTTGGGCGATTTCACAAGCATGGTGGGTTTTACAGTAGTTTAAGGTCATTTTAGGTATAAAACTGCAAGTTGTCATCAAAATAAGTTTTTAGTACCAACTAATAATGTTTTACTCAATCTTAGCTGTTGAATTTTGCAGCTTGTCATGTGGTGGAGTATTCATGTACGTAGCCTTCCATTCAGACGCCGATACCATAAGCGACGATACTATGTTAGTATTATATGGTGTCTTCACATGTGTAACAGTCGTTGGCCTTATTTTAATTTTACTTTTACGTAATTCAAAGCCGAGTTCATCGGCCTTGATATCAGACGTCAACGATCCTTATGAGAACTTGACATTGTCGCAAATGTTCGGTAAGTGACTCAAATAAAGGTTACTATTATACGTTAGTGAAATTTAAATGATACAAATCCTCCTTTTAGGATCAATGTGTGACTTGGCGAAACAAAAACGAATGCTACTGTTGATCGTAGTCTTTATCTACACGGGAATCTCTCTCAGCTTCTGGGGAAGTATCTACCCAACGTGTATAGGCTTCACGTTACTGCTAGGAGGTAACACGAAACGACTGATCGCTTTGAATGCAATAGCAGAAGGGCTTGGTCAAGCTTCAGGTAAGAATGATTATTTCACTTGTACTAGCCATAGTTTAATCGTATTACAAACCATTGTTTAACTAAAAGGTATAAGCTATTGATGGAGATATGTTTGGTACTATTATGTCGATGATCCAGATGATGTGTTCTGTGGTGGGACAGGGGAATTGTCGTCCACAGTGTTCTCTTCTTTTTCTAGTTCTCCTCGACAAGGATCGATCCCGTAGACAATATAAACATCGCATTCTTTGTCCCAAGTAATCCTAAAACACGAACTTGCTATAGATATTGCCAATTAAAAGTAGGGATTTCCGAAACAAAAAACTTACTAAATTCTACACTAAAGAATACTGGACTAACTTACGTGTTGGTACACATTCTTTCTTCCACAAAAGTTGGCGCCCTACTAGGATGGGGTTTGAAAGCCTCAGGGAATCTTTCCTTAACCGTTGTGTAGTTGTCGTTAGTGATACTCTCGTCCTTCAGTTTTAATCTGGGATAAAAACTCTTCATCTCGTGTCTCATTGCCGCTTCCACTGGAGCATCCAAAGGTTCTCCGAGCTGTAGCACCTTCAACTTGACGTTCTTGTCGGAGTTCATAACCAGATGTTTGTGGGCCGACTTCCTCGGATCCAACATCTGTGCTTGTGCCTTGCTTATCGTTCGAGGAATCATCAGGCCACGAGAATGATCCCTGTACCACGCACGACGATATAGACACGGTATTAGAAACGAAACCGAGGTTAATATAATCACACTAAACAAAAGCTCCAACATGACCACACTTCGTAAACAAAATATTTGAAATAAAAATTGAAAAAGCAAATTTTGCGGACTAATACCTAAATTTTCATTATTTTAGGCGGCTTCATCTTTGGAATCCTCGGCTCCAAGAAGTTCAACATCAAAAGGACAAGAGTAGTTTTCATTGCCACGGTGATCAACATAATCTCATTCACGGGGATCTACATTAACTTCCCGAATGACGCTTCCTTGGCCAAGACCCATCTACCTGGCCACATAAGTCCCAATGTTTATGTGGCCTTGGCATGCGGATTCCTTCTGGGATTCGGTGATGCCACTTGGAACACACAGGTGTTTGCTACGCTGATTAGCCATTATAACAAGCATTCCGCCCAAGCTTTCTCAATATTCAAGTTCTTCCAATCCTTCATGGCGGCTATAGCCTTCTTCTGTGGCACAACCATACCTTTAGACTATCATCTGATACTCCTAGCCGTAATGTCAGTAACGGCATGTGTTGCATTCGCTATATCAGAACGGTCGAGTGAAACACTGGAGGGAGAAGATAACGATACTCATGTAGAATAATTATTGTACATATCAATATTTAACTGTGATAATATCCAAAACCTGTGTCAAATATTTTATACCCAATGACAATATTGCAATAAAGTTCTAAATCATATTTAAATTGGTTTCCGTATTTTTTAATCCAAAAAACATTTGTTATTTTGTGAAAATAAATAAAATATTATTAGATTTTAAAATCCTGGGAACAAAATAAAACACATAAGAATTTTTGCGTCCCACAACGAAACCAAACAATGCCCGAGAAAATCGTCCGACTACGGTGCTTCTTCATTGGGTTTTCGAAAAAAATTTCTTTTTTAAAAATATTTTATGTAATTTTTCGCTATTTATGTCGAGTTTTTGGTACTAATGTTAAGTTTTTGATTTTATTGCTGTATTTTTAGGTTACCATGGGTTTCAGTACCAAGCCTCTTATCATTGACGCCAAGGATCATATCCTCGGCCGTCTGGCGTCAACCGTGGCTAAACAACTTTTGCTTGGTCAAAAGATCATTGTTGTTAGATGTGAGGAGATCAACATTGCTGGCAACTTCCATCGCTGCAAGCTGAAGTACTTCTCCTTCCTCAGAAAGCACTGTAACGTCAAACCATCTCGCGGTCCCTTCCACAAGAGAGCTCCATGCAAGATCTTCTACCGCACAGTCCGTGGTATGATCCCACACAAGACTCCTCGTGGTATGGCCGCTCTTAAGAACCTCAAGACCTACGATGGTGTACCACAACCTTATGACACCAAGCAAAGACTTGTGCTCCCATCTGCCGTCAGACACATCGCCTTGAAGCCTCGCCGCAAATTCAGCACCGGTAAGCTTCTATTTTTATTGGATTTGTGTTTAGATTGACAAAACATGAACAAGGAATGCTTTTGTTTGTGAATTTTAATGCTAGAAATATTTGGTAAAATGGCTAGTATTAAACAACGATATATCCTTTTGTTAAAAATTTGTACATTTTTTAGTTTAAGGTTACTTTAAGGTTTTATGAACTATTAAGCTTGTATTCTTGATCGTTAATTTTTTTATGTGCTTCTTATACTTGAAGTTATATTCTTTATTTTAGTTGGCCGTCTGTCCCACGAAGTTGGATGGCAATACCAGGGTGTGATCGCCAAGCTTGAGGAGAAGAGAAAGGTCAGAAGCGCTGCTTTCTACGAACAAAAGAAAGCTGAATTGAAGTTGAAGGAGAAGGCCACAGCCAATGTTGCCAAGAAATTATCGAAATACGACGAGATCTTGAAACAGTACGGTCATGCCTAAGTTTTGATTGTTTTTTTCTTTGTTATAAATGTTATACAATGTTGTTTTGAATAATTGGACGGTTTATTACCTATTTCGGTGTATTTCTCTTTTTTAATATACTTGAAAAAGTTAGATGGTTTTAATATGTTGCGATAGATGTTAAGGAGATCTCCGTATGCAGCTGATATTAGCGGGTTGACTGGAATTCGGTACGATTCTTGTTTGAATCCACAATTTGTTATTGCTGAAGCAGCAAGTTCATTTGCGAAGGAACAGGTTGTGTTAATATGTAGTTGTTCGGTTTCTGCAGATATGTTTCGGTAATTTTTTCACCTTTTGGAACATAATATGATTAGTATGATGCCCCTAAGAAACGCAGAAGTGTTTCTTTTAGTTAATAGAATAAACTGTTCTTTAAACATGTATAGTAAGTGACTTTAGTGTGGCATGCAATAAGGCCTTGATGAACATGAACTCGGAGAAAGTTCGGTTTATCAACCCGACCGTTGTGGACTTTGGTGCGCCTATCTCTGAAATATTGATAAAGGTATATTGAACTAACGATTTCGTTTAAACACTCATTTAGAGCTTGTGCGAAGAAGGTGCGAGGCTAAACGGGGCGAGATGCGTTGTAATACTGGATAATTTGACGTTGATTTGTGGATCCGAAGTTGAAGAAAAGATAAAATTTGTACATAATGTTCTGTCAACTGTTTCTGATGATTCTACCGTAGTCTACACAGATCCAGCTTCCAAGTTGCCTATTGATCACGATGTTTTCATTGATCTAACTTCTGTTGGCTCGTCGTTTGGAAAGAAGGTCACAGGCAGGGTATGTTATTCTATAAACTGAAAATATGGCTCACAATTATTTTTTTATTTATGACAAAATTACATTTCAGTTGGATTTAATCACGCAGACAGAATCTGATCCGAAGCCACAATTTAAGAGCTGGCATTACTGCATGGGGGAACGGTCGGTACAATTGTTTCATCCAGGCAACGCTGATGTTATGTAAATTTGTTGAACGTTGTCATAATAAATTAAAATAAAAGTTGTGGCTTTCATTTTATTTGTTTATCAATAATTTATACTTTATGATTATCCATTTTAGTAGTTTTTGACACTTGTAGTGTATTATAGAAACAATGGCTACGATTCCCGAGCCATTCTTTGGCACATTCAAATTGGAGAAAAGCGAAAAGTTTGATGAATATTTGGCTTCTCGAGGGGTCAACTGGTTCATCAGAAAGATGATTCAGATGTCATCTATCACCAAGGTCGTAATCCCAGGGACTGAAGGTACCTATACTTTCTTGAACAAGAGCAGTAAAGCCGATTTGAAGTACGAGAATGTCAAGTTGGGTCAAGAATTCGAAGACAAAGGATTCGACGGTGCTTTACACAAGGTATGCAGTTAATATCTTTAAATATTGTAGTAATTCAAGGACCTTAAAAGTCTTTATTCTTGTTGTATTACTGTATATACTTTCAATTAAATTTATTTACTGTTGCAGATAACTTTCGACATGGATGGTGACAATGTCTTGACCGAGAAGCATATCAGGTTGGACCGTCCTGGAGAGCCTGGAGAAACATATCGCTACACAATTGATGGCAACTACCTCATCTTGGTGAGTAACCTTAACATGACAATCAGTGCTCGACCTTTAGCATGACCGTGTTTGTAATTACAAGTATTATACTATTTTTAGGGAGCAGAACTTTTCGGGTAGGGACATTTAGGGTCGCGACTTTTCGGGTAATGGATATTTCGGGCAATGGTAATTTCGGGTAGGGATTGTTCGGGTAGCTACTTTTCGGGTTATCGACATTTCGGGTAGGAACTTTACGTGTAATTTATAATATTAAGTTACGGATAATTACCATAAAATTTCCAAACTTAAAATCATGACTTACAATGTTAAAAATCGTAACTAAAATCTTTTTTTAAAAATTGAAAAAAACAAACGTCGAATGTTAACTAGAATACTGTGAATGTTATCGTACCGTGCCGTGAACGTTATAATGTTACCTTTTTTGAAGTGCGATGGTAACGCTATCTTACATCACATACTTTTGCAAATCATTACAAAAACCGTAACATCAGAACGTTCACAGCACGGTACGATAACGTTCATAGTATTAACGGTACGATGTCTACGTTCACGGTACAATGTCAACGTTAACGATACTTAATAATAAAGAGAGTACTGTATATTATTAATTATTTAATTTTTTAGTTCTTTAAAAAACACTATAATTACGATTTTTGATATTGTAAGTCATGATTTTAAGTTTGGAAATTTTATGGTAATTATACATAACTTAATATTTTAAATTACACAAAACGTTCCTACCCGAAATGTCGATAACCCGAAAAGTAGCTACCCGAACAATCCCTACCCGAAATTACCATTGCCCGAAATATACTTTACCCGAAAAGCTATTACCCGAAAAGCTCTTACCCGAAAAGTCCTACCCGAAAAGTCGCTACCAGTAATGTCCTTACCCGAGACATCACTAACCCCTATTTTTATGAGACAATGGCGGCACTAATGACTTTTGTTTATTCGTTTGTTTTAAATTGTTTCTATGTCATTTCGAAGTGAATGCAAACAAATCAGCCAGTGTAATGTCGAATTTTCAGGCCCTGACAAACGGCGACATCACTGCCAAGAGATTCTTCAAAAAGACGGACTAATAGTATTGTTATTCGAATAAATAAAATATTTTTCTTGTGATCAGAATGACCCTAGTCAGGCCCTGCCTGATCGATGGTCCCTCCGTTTATTTTATCCCGCCAATCCTAGATGATAAACACAAAGTTTGGCCCCTCCCAAATGAAGCGACGCTATGTACGGCTGATCTGTCCATTCATTCTTCATCGTGTTTGCTTTGATAGACAGTAAGATGAAGGTGACTTGTGTTCTTCTTCTGCTTGTTACCCTTGCCTGTGCCCAGAAACAGTTCCCAGAGAAGTTCTTGGGATCGTGGACCAACTCGCACGATGAGAACTTGGACGAGTATCTCACAGCTAAAGGTAAGTAAGGTGATGGCAGTCTAGGCTAGATCTCTGAAAGAAAAGCTGAACTCGACTGAAGGCTCTTGTCTAAGTATTGTCCTCATCTTTTTTAAAATTATGTGAAATTTTGTGTAGCTAGCTAAGCGGCTCAAAAATTTTATAGTCATAAAAATGTTACCTATACCACGTTAAACAATAACATAAAAGCCCCTTTATACAATATTATTGTACTATTTTAGGATACGGATGGTTCATGAGAAAGTTGGTCCGTATGGCTACGATTACCAAAATCTTTGAAAAGAACGAAGCTCCAGGAAAGTACAACTGCAAGATCCGTTCCACCAAGAAAGACGTCGATTGGCTTGGATTTGAGATGGAGAAGACCTTCGCCGCCGAATATTTGGATGGCGAAACACACAACGTAGGTTACAGTATACTAGATTCGTCGAAAATGATCTTTAAAAATATTAAATTAATAGCTTGAAACTAGAATGTAGAGAAAACAAACGTGTACACTCTAGTGTTCATTAGGTATCATTTTCAGATCACATTTAACTATGACACCGCCAAGGAAACCCTTTACGAGAAACACACCCCCACCGACTCTCCAGCCGGAACTGCCCCAACCATCTACGAGTACCAGATTGTGAACGACGAACTCAAGATGAGGATGGAGCACGATGGCGTTGTTTGTTTTAGATACTACGCCAAGAACAAGGAAGAGTGATATTGTATTTGTTTATGAAATAAACATTAATCCCTTAACATGTGATTAGTTAAAAACAATAAATTAAAGGTTTAAAGTGCAGGGGGTGTGTACTGAAAATATAAAATAAGAGAGATGTAGGCAAAGACGATTAGATATAACAACATAAATGAAGGTGAAAACAATGTCAAAATTGAATATATTATCGCTTAGTTTGGCTACAGGATTACTTTATAGGATCGTATAAAGCAATCGCAACGTAAAGCTACTGTATCACAAATATCAATGAATTGTCTCTTTTTTTAGTTTTCACAATTATGTAAAGAAATTTTTTTTATTAAGATGTTTAACAAAACAGAATTTTATTTTATCCAAGTGTATACTGTTTTTCGGTATGACATCTTGTATATTTCTGGAGCAAGCAATATTTTTATAGTGCGGACTCGGCTCGGGCGCAGGCTGTCGCGCGTTATTTTATACGAACAGATTTCGCATTTTTTCCAAATTGGCTTCGCTTGGAATTATATTCCTTTTTATGCAAAAAATGTTTTTTCATATTGCTTGTTGTTTTACAGCAATTGGCATCCTATGTTTTTATTTGCAAGTGTTGTTATCGTTGGTACTTATTTATTGTTTAAATAATGTTTTAATTTTAGGTACCTAAAATATTAGGTATTAATAGTTAAGTTATGGATGGTGCTGTTTTTACATCTGATGAACTGAACTATCTAATCTATAGGTATTTGTTGGAAAATGGTAAGTATTTTGTTATATAAAACAATTTTTTAAGTTATCTTTGGGTAATATTTTGATTTTTATAATTGGAAAAACCTTTAAACACTGGATAATTGTATTGTAGGTTTCCAACATAGTGCTTTTACCTTTGCTAACGAGTCTAGTCTGTCGAACACGAATGTCGACGCTGCTATGATACCAAGAGGAGCTCTGATAAGTATTGTCCAAAAAGGACTTCATTTCACTGAAGCCGAGTTCTTTTCTACTTTGGCTTCGAGTTCTGCTGAGAAATACGAAGCGTGGAAGTATGAACGAGCTCTTGGGTCAATTAATCTATTCGATGCAGGTTAGTGTATATTAATATTGTGTTAGTTGTTTAGTTTTACCTGATACCGAACGGCTGAAGAAGCTGGAGGAGAAGATAATTGAGGAAGTGGGTGAAGAAGCCGTGGCAAACCCATTGAATATTCGAATAATGGAGCCACAACGACCGGGTTCAGCTATTTCGGCTCCGAGTAGTCAGGATTCTTCTGAAGGAGACCATCATCTGCCTGACGATGAAATAGAGAGGCGTGTGGAGCAATTGAATGTTGCTAATGATGTACGTTGTTTTAAAATTTTACAGTTATATTTTTGGTACTTTTATTTTTTCCTGTTTCAAACTATCAAAATTTTACGTGTTTTAGGTACAAAATGCTTCTGTGAGCGGCAAGACAACACCTCATGGTTACCAGCAGCAAAACTTGAATCTAAATGAGGCATCAGCTTCTATAAACTCGCCTAGTCGTCCTCAAAATGGCACAGTTAGCGTAGCCGGTCACAGTGGGAAGAAAGCCGCTTCTGCTGCTGTTCATGGTCTTCGTGCGAAGTAAGACTTGATTTGAAAGATTAAGGGTATATTCAGAGAGCTATACTTATGAACAATATCAATCTTTTCTTTATCTGACGACGCTAATTTTAGTTCAATTACTGCCAGCAGTAATCAACTAGTTCAATATGCAAATGGGAAGCTACTCCCTAACAACGATCAACTCCAAATCGACCCTGACCTCGAGTTGGATAGAAACAAGGTTCAAGCTTTGACTGGTCACAATGCTGATGTCTTCATTTGTTCGTGGAATCCAAAGCACGATTGTTTTGCTTCTGGGTATGTATACGTGTTTAATGTTATATTTGATAGAATAGTTTGTTAATTTATAAGCTGTCATTTTACATTTAATCTTATTAACTTTAGGTCTGGAGATAGTACAGCACGTCTATGGTTCCCAGGTCCTGATATTCAGAATCCAGTACAGTCTATGGTACTGATGCACGAAATGCAGCAAGATCAGAACAAGAACAAGGACGTCACTTCTCTTAATTGGAGCGTAAGTTAACCATGAGTAAAATGTAGTATACTGTAAAGTATTATACGTTAAATAACACGGTCCAATGCGTACAGTATGTACTGATATTTATAAAACTTGTCATATTAATACTTCGTTTTTTAGTCGAGCGGAGAATACCTGGCTACTGGATGCTACGACGGTGTAGCCCGCATTTGGGACAGAAAAGGCCATATGGTGTTGGACAAGGTTACCCACGCCGGCCCCATCTTTGCCTTGAAGTGGAACTACGCAGGAACACGAGTGTTGAGTGCTGGTGTCGATAACGTAAGTTGTGTATTCAGAAGGCAGTGAATGTTGGTTTAGGCCACCGTGGTTTGGGATCCGACCACAAACACCACCAAATCCTTCAAATTCCACACTCAATCTGCTTTGGATGTGGATTGGATTAACGACGAGACCTTTGCATCGTGCTCGGTGGATTCCTTGATCCACATCTGTCACTGTCAAGGAGATTTACCATTGAAGACATTCAGAGTAAGTGTAATATATTGTATTACTGTATGCTTATAAGTTATAATTTTTATAAGAATTTTAACTTTTTATTATTTTAGGGACATGCAAACGAAGTAAACGCTGTGAAATACGATCGTATCTCTCGGTTACTGGCCTCATGTTCGGATGACAGAACGCTTAAGGTAGGTTGTCATAGTGGTTTTTAATATTGCAGGTTTTTGTTGGATCTCTTTTCAAATTGAATTGTTTTAGGTATGGAATCTGGATGAAGAATCTCCAGTATTTGATGTAACAGCTCACGACAAGGAGATCTACACGATCAGATGGTCTCCTACTGGCAACGTGCTCGCTTCGGCTTCATTTGATTGCTCTGTTAAAATCTGGGATCTTCAGTCTAAAGTGTGTGCACGACAACTTCAGAAGCACACCGAGAGCGTGTACACTGTAGCGTTCCATCCAGAAGGAAGATTGCTGGCATCAGGGTCTTTCGACAGAACTATTAATGTCTGGGATCTCAACGTAAGTCATATGTAGTAAACTCATACTTAAAAGTAATGTGAAGATCGTAACGTTAGTAAAGAAGAATCTTTTAATGTTATCGTTGTAATAAGGGTCTGTTTAGGTCGGTCGTGTTGTCATGACTTACACTGGTTGTGAAATGAACGGAGGATTCTTTGAAGTGGACTGGAACAGATCTGGAGAAAAACTAGCGGCTTCAGCAGCTTCTGGAACGGTAAGCATTTTGGATTCATAGAGTAAAACATTTTTTAAATGGTTTTGAGAGACTTGAAGTATTCTCAAACATAATTACATTTTGTCATAGAATTAATTTAACTTCTTTCAGATGCTGATGTTTGACCTCAGGTTCATCCGCAATATGGTTCGTAACTAACCCAAACACTAAACATTGTATCATTATTAATTTTGTATCTTATTTTGTTGTTAATAACTGGGTGAACTACGAAACTGAACACCTAAATTTATGGTTATATATCTTTTAGTTAAAAATAAACTAAAAATGACGTAGACCACAAGCAGGGACACAGGTACCGATTTTTTTTCTGGGAGGGGGGGGGAGTGTAGAAGCCGAATTTTGTTGGCCCACAGCTATCTTGCCCGAAAACATCGATGATACTCATAAAAATATGAAAAATAAGTAGGTGATCAAACAAATTAATCAAAAACAAGTCCTGCGTTACAATAATTTATATTTAGAAATAAAATAAGTGTGAGACCGGATGCTCTTTAGACGAAGTACATGCGTTGCTTGAAGTTCTCGGTCACGGCCACGAAGTTCTGCATGATTTGGTCATTGTTCGTCTCAGTCTGGCGACTATTGTGGTTCATCTTGTTGGCTCCAGATGGACCATTGCCATCGACACGGAGGTCGGCACTGAAATTCAAAAAATAATGACTTTCATAAAATTCAGAGGTGACAATTCAAAATACCATGAATCAAAAAGAGTCAAACTCACATGTGTCTCTTCAAATGGCAACGAGCACGGTTGGCGACCAAATCCGCATAGTAAACTGGTGCTGGAATAGAGACAGAGCGAGCACAACGACCATAAGTGTAGCACAGATGGTAGGTCATGGCCTGGAGTTCGTCGGCGTTGAAGCCGTTGTCATCCCACAAAACGTGATAACGAGCCGGGCGCGAAGTGCCTTGAATTCCAAAGTGTGAGCATAGATAGAAGTCAAAGCCGTCGGCAGACACAATGCCAGTGTCAACAGTGGTACCCGGTGGAACGTTCTTGGCACGACCGACCATGTCACGTTGATTTTGACAGAAGATTCGGGCATGATGACGCTTCTGGACAACGATGTAGGTGATGGGCGGGTTGTAGTCCTGAGAAACCATGCCACAAGCAGCACGGATGCCATTCAGTTCTTCACGCAAAACTTCCGCAAACTGGCCATCAGAGACACCGTCACGGTAGACAATGATGCGCTCAGGGTGCCGGTGGGTCGAAGCCATAAAGGCCAACAGACGCTCACGAACAGCTTCAGTGACGTAGACAACCGACTCACGACAACGACGCTGAACCTGGAAAGAAACAATCATGAAGTCAAGAACTTTGAAAACTTCACAAGAGTTAAAAATATATAATACTCAAGCAAGCCTACCTTAACATTGGCTCCGTAGCTCTGAGGCATCATGTCGAGGTTGCCGACGACCGCTGCGACCGATGGCATTCCAATGCGTTCTTCAGCTTGAGTTGGGTGAGTAACGTCGATTCCCAAGACCAGAACTGGTCGATCAACCAGGTACTTCGAAGTGATCTGATCGGCGACCAAACGAGAGTTGACTCCTCCCAATTTCATGTTAATCTTTAGTACCAAATTGGCACAAGTAGCTGGAGATGGACGCTGAGTGGACTTGAACAAGATGCACTGCGACATGACACCGTAGCGCATGTCAGACAGCTCCTTGATCGTCACTAAAACAATATTTTTTATAAAGTATCTTTATTTTTACAAAATGTGAGCCTTTAAAGGCGGCATTCTTCACAAAGTTACTGTAAAACTTACTGTAGAAGTCAGAATTCTTGCTTGGGAGCATAATGATGATCAAATCACATTGACGGCCCAGTTCTCTGCAGTCGCGAGCAGTCTGACGGAACATGGCCTCAATGTCGTTGGCATTTCGGCCGTAACGCACAAACTCTGGCCATTGCGGGAAGTTCATACCCATTTGTTGGGCCTTTTGACCTAAAAAGTGGCAGAACTTTTGCAGAACCGGCTGTTCTTTGGGATCGACCAGTGCAAAGATCGAGTACGATCCACACTCGGCCGGCACGTAGAGTCGTTGATGTTCCACTGGCCACACCCCGTCCTTCGGAGTTACCACGTCTTGGCGTTGGTTGCCGTAGAGGATTTGAGGTGGAGGAAGAACACGGCCGACCGTCTCGATCATCTTGGTATCGATTTGCAAGCCGAACGACTTCAGGAAGGGGTCGTCGCGGAAGCCGGCCATCTCGCACAATTTCTCAATGTTGTTCTCACGTTGTTGCGCATCAACGGCAGAAGCCTAAAAAGAAAGAATACTATTGCAAAAACATAATAAGTCAAAACTTCACTCAAAACCAGCCCAACTCACTCGAATGATGGTCGAAGTTTGGCGATCGCTTAACTTGCGAGTGTACTTTTGTGGAGTGTCCAGGATGCAGACTTCCAACGGCAACAGAATGTTGCGAATTGGAGGTCCAACATGAAGACAGGGCAGAGATGGGAACTGGAGTGGTCGATAACGAGCCGCAAAGTAGTCGGCTACAGTGACCATGATCTCGTTGCCAGCTTCGTCACGAGTCGGGAACGACATTACATTGGCTGGTCCACGAACTCCATTCACACGGTAAACACGGTCCGATCCCTTCTGGTAGTTGGCACGGACTCTCAGGCCGCGCATTGCTTCGGCAAAGACACGGAGTTCATTGGTCGAGAGGCATGCGTCCGAGTGAAGACGATCTGCCTAAAACAAAAATGACTGACGTTTCGATTTTAAATTGCAATAATTCGTTTTTTTTTCACATGTGTAAACCTACCGACAACCCACTGATGCCCTCGTGACGGCCTCCTCCACCTCTGCCAACATTGTGACCTCCTTGACGTGGTCCACGATCGTACGAACCGTGAGAACGTTCGTTGAGGATCTCACACAAAAACTCGATGCACGTCATTCTGGGCTTGTAGAAGGCGGTGTGAGCCACGTCCACATTCAGAAGCGGCGTCCACGCCGAACCCAGTGTAGCTGAGGTGAAGAACCCAGTCCACATTTCCTTGCCACCGTCCAGATTGAGAGCCGGCTGACCGTTAACTGGGAGACGGTAACACGAGTTCTTCCACGAATAGAATTGCTTCGACTTGCTAGAAGCAAAGTTTTTGACAAACTTTACAAACATAATATGAAAGTACTTGCCATTTAACAAACCCAAAACCATTTTTAAAACGACATTATTTTAAGCATAAAACTATAAAACTGACCTATAAAGCGGACAAGTCAATGCCTGGCGAACGACGATATCCAAGACCTGTAGCGGGGCCACGGTTCCATCACTATGAGAACGAACTTTACTCATGTCCTCCAATAAGATTGAACCAGTATAACGAAGAGTGACACCGCATTGGGTACCACGAGATGAATCGCGAGCCAAACAAACATGGGCCTCCAAAGTGATACTCTCACCAAATGGCAGACGCTCCGTGGTGTACATCTGATGACCGCCATCATAGGCGACAGCGAAGCGTTGGCGGAACACGTGCTGACCCTCCTCGACAATCTTCCAGAAAATCAAGCGTGATTCGTCACTAAAAATAACATTTTTAAATTTTTACCATAATTCAGAATTCCTTTCTCTTTTCAACCGGTCGGTTGCCCTCAAACCACTTACCGGTCCAAAGTTCTCATGCCAGGGTGGTGAATTTCAGCGTGGTATTGGTGAATTGGGAGACCGTTCTGGGCAATACGGATCTCGAAAAAGTTGGCACGTAAGGGAATGGTTCGGCCGCGTTGACCGACGGCTGGACGAGAGACTACGACTTGAGTGTATTGTTGAGGATCGTCGGCCATAGTTTGGCCGATTTTAAGCATAGAAAGCTTAGCCTAAAACTACTAAAATTAACTTCTCAAAAGTTTAAAAAACCAATTCGAAAACTAAAGTCAAAATTATAAGACACCCACCTTAGTCGCTTCAATTTCGTCCTCGCTTTCGCTGACAACCGACTCGACATCAGAGAATGAGTCTTGTTCGTTGTCACGCAACAGCAACACGTCGCCCGCATTCTTGGGATTCGACGCCGAGGACAACAGGTCAAGATCAGGTTGTCCCACGGAGCCGCGGTCAGTTGGAGGACGAGAGGATGAGACCTCAGACACCGGGTCCGACTCCGGCAGTGAAGCCGAAGTAGTAATTCCGTCCGACGAGTTATCCACGAAGGCCAAAGGAGGCTCCTGGAGTTTCGGCAGTAGAACAGGATCTTCCATACTATAATAAGTAATAGGTCACAACTGTATATGTAAAAAATCACACTCATGAAAACACAAAGAAAACCAATATTCATGCCCAAACCAACCGAAAACTTGAAACAACAAGAATCAAAGTGAACACTTACATTAGACTTGATACCTAAGTCAGAGTCAGCGTGATAAAGCAGCAGCAGAACACGGATAAACTCCAAAACAGAGTGATCCAAATCCACCTCCACGACCGCTTTTATACCACGTACTTTCACATAAGTTGAAAATGAAATTTGCATAATTCCAAAAAGAAATGGCCAAAATTAACAATTTTATCCAAATTCCACAATTTAGTACAGTTTTCAATCCAGTTGCCATGCTGTTACCTAAAATCAAAAAAATACCAAACAATTTAATAAATATACCAAAACGAAATTTCTGAAAATAAGATGTTGCTATAAATTTTAATATCAAATTGATGTTCAATCTTATTTGACTTTTTTACTTTGCCATCTGAAGTCAAGTAAAATATTTATCAATATTTGGCCACTATGTGAAAAAAGACGACACAATTTTGAGTTAACCAATGCATTGCAATGTCGGTTTTTTGCGCGAATCTCAACAAAAACAATTGTTTTTCTGGGACACTTCGTTATAAATAAAAGTAAAAAGAAAATTCACAACATTTTTTTTATAAATTTAGTCGGTTTTCTTATTCTGCGCGTTGTGTATAAACATATTTTTCGAATATGTAAATTATTATAATTCGTTTCCTTTAGAATGGATGAGTATCAAGAATACGGAAAAATGTCTCAATTTCAACAGAAATTAAACTCCAAACTGGAACATAATGCAAGATCTGTGTTTGGTAAGTTCTTTGCCTTATTATTTTCTTATTGTTTAGTGGGCAACATATCTTACGATGTGTCAGAAGAAGAGATTAAGCAACTGTTTTCTCGTGTTGGCAGCATCGTCCACTTTCGACTTGTTCATGATCGGGATACTGGAAGGCCAAAGGGATTTGGCTTTTGTGAATTCACAGAACCGCCAATGGCTGATGCTGCTATTAGACACTTTCAAGGCTACGAGTTGCACGGACGAGCTCTACGCGTAGATTCAGCGTCTGCTAGCGAGAGAAACGTTGAGGAGGTAAGGGATTTACTTGGGTGTTTGATAGTGTTTAACTAGTTTTAATCATTGAGATAGGTATTTTTATCGAAAAGTATTATTTATTTTAGACACAACAAATGCAAGCTGCAGTTCAAGCAGCCAAAGAACAATATACTCGAGTAGAAGAGACACAGTACGGAAAAGAGACTGATAGAGGTAAAGCCCCTGAGGCCATTGCTAAAACAGTGTCTTCATTGCCACCAGAACAGATGTTTGAACTTATGAAGCAGATGAAGAACACTGTAACCTCGAATCCTTCTCAACTTCGCCAGTTTCTGTCAGAGAATCCTCAATTGGCGTATGCGTTATTACAGGTAAGTTTTAACATAGTGGAAGTTACTTTTTTGTAATAAGTAACTGTTGAAGACTTACTTTAATTTTTCAGGCTCAAGTTGTGATGCGCGTCGTCGATCCAAAGGTGGCGTATTCAATGCTACACAGAGAAACTCCAGTAACACAACAACCATTCCACAAGATGCATGGAGTGGCAAATGGAGGCAAGTTTATATTATTTCTCTAGCTGTAATATAGTATTTGACAAAATAGGTATCTTCTATAATGGTTTTTTAAAATATGTTTTTTATTAAAAATGTTTAAGTGTTTAAACATCACTCGGTTTCAGGTCCCCCTGCTTACACCGGGCCTCCGCCAAGCCAATATAACCCACCAATGCCAGCTCCTCGCAACTACGGGGGCCCTCCTGTGTCTTCAGCTCCATTATCAAGATTTCCAATGCCACAGTCACAACCATCACCTATTCTTCCGTCAGCTTCACTTCACAACGCGCCTGGAGGTAGTGATGATGAACAACAACAAGCTCAGATGTTGTTGAGAGTAATGCAGCTTTCAGCCGACCAAATTGCTTGTCTGAACCCAGATGATCAAGAGAAGGTCAGAGCACTGAAGGCGCAGCTGTTGAACTCTAGTTAGTAATGGTTTCAAAAAATCATTGTATGTTAATTTAAGTTTAAGCTATTAATAACTGGTTTTTTATGAAAATAAACTCCTATATGTATAACATAATCTTGGTATCATCATGCCTACAATTATAAAGGAAGTTGAAGCGAGTGATGGCATGTTTTGTTGATGTATCGGATTTCTGTTTGAGTATTATACAAGACTGTATAGCATTTGGTGGGAAATAAGGGCTCCTTTTACAAAAGTTCACATATGTTTTTGTTTACGTCACGATCTTCGTACAGACGTCAGCTTTTGACCGGAAAAGAGTCATCAGCTCGGCAAATTGGGGCCTATTTTGTTTGTAAACGGATGCCAAGTCTATGGAAGGGCTGGCTTGTACGAAGGCCGTTCTTTAATTAAATGCCGCAATACAAACATGACAAGCACACTAACGATGTCTAGGACAAATCATAATATGAATTACCGAAGAGTGACTTAAGGAAGTCTAGGTCTTGAAATAACGTTTGGTTTTATGTCATTATGGCTTCGGTTTTGTCATTACTATGTAGCTATTTTTGTGAGAGTTACAATATGACAATCGTTTTGTAAAAACATATGTTTTGCTTTACTTAGCCTTAGTTATGTACTATGTATAGTATGATTTTTATTTCGTATCAAAGGCTTCACTATCTAGTTACAGTAGACAAATGAAGGTAATCCTTCAAAACGCTAAACGAGACCATTCCTTATTACGGAGGGGTAGATTTCAGAAATTAGCGGTGTAATTTACTGGATTAGACGTCAATCTCGGAGATTGTTATAATACTCAAACAAAGTAATTGGCTTAAGAAGTTATTACGCCTACAAATTGGGGGGAGGGTCCGTCCACCGCCACCTCTCAGTTTTCACCTCCTGGCCTCGGATTTCGTGCTAACGATGCTCTATTTATGCCATTCGATTGCTTCAGAGCAGTGCCTTCCGCAAAATGCAATCCTTGGTCGTGTCCAGCTTGGTGTTCCTCCTGACAGTGATGGTGTCCACATCAGAAGCGTCGCCGTTCCCTCCACACACGTCGCTCGTCATCCAAGACACGCAACTTATCCGACAGTTCCTCGACCGATATCAACCAACCGTTTTGGTGCATCCAGTTGTACGACGGTTCGATGTGCAGGTAAGACTACATTTGCATAATTACACAGTAGTCGCTACCGACACCTTAAATGTAGGTATCAATAGCCACTATTTTTAGTACAATAACTTTTAACTTTCTCATCCAAGAGAAACTGTACATAATATAACATTGTTCTTAGTCAATTTTGTTTTGAAGCGTTAAAAAATTTAAATTTCTCTTTTTTACAAGTATTTTTAATGTCAAAAATAATATTTTTCGTGTATTTTTAAACTAGAGTTTTTTGTGTTGGCATTGTGTTGCAAGTACTGGTAACTTTTCAAAAAAGTCATTGATAAGAAAAATAATGTTGTTTTATACATAATATAAGGTTTTTTAATAAAAATGTTTTTTGAATCTAGCAGGTGTAACGTGAACGAAATGCTTCTCTATATTTTAACAATTTTTATTTAAAAAAAACTCAAAAGTATACATCAGAAGATAGAAAGTTAACTTGTAACAGACTGCCAATTGCTATCTAGACTTGAAATCTATTAACTATACCTGCTTGTTGAGCACAAATTATCAACTTTTCAACCGAAACTTAAATTTTAGGCAGAAGACCTAGACGACAGCGATGAGCACGTGTCGCTGAGAACGATGGCCAAGCGGAACAACGCCGAGGTCGTGAACCACATCCTCAAGAACTTCGGGACCTTGGATCGTTTGGGCGACGTAGGAAAGTGAGAAGTAGAAGTCTGGAGATCCTTGTTTCATGTGTGTAAAATTCATTTTGTGTTCGAATTTATAAACTTTACAATTGTTTGTTGTTTAACTTGGGCCAAGTTTAATTTGTTTTGTCTTTTGGCGAATTTTACGATCTTTGTAAGGTAATGGCAATACAATACTCGAAGTCTTACCCTTCTTACCCAAACAAAAGTGAGCTTGGCCTTCTAGTGACTCAGTGGCCATTACGTTGATTAAAACGAACAAAGCCGATCTTGAGTACTTTTTAAAGCTGTTAATGCGTTAAGTAACTTTCAACTACGTGGGGCTAGAAGCCGAATATAAGAAGTTAAGGCCTTTATTAGTCCGCTTAAGGCGTTATTAGTACAGTTGATGATAATCTAAAATTAGCACAGCTACGCACGCTCAAATGGTTCAAATTTTTGACAAGAGCTAATACCTTTATGCTGTTTTTGGTATAAAAACTAATTTTATAAAAAGGCGTGGATTTTTATTGAAACCTGTAACTGTAATCATTAATCTAAGAAATGGAAAGCTAGTTTTTGAAATAATCTAGCTAGCTAAATCATTTTCCCAAGAATTGCCTGATGCAGATTTAATAAAAGATCTGCCGTTCAGAAGTTACGAACTTTACAGTTGAAGAAAGGGCTGCTTGTAGCAGTTTTATGTCACCCTTTAGCACATTGTAACTCTGCAAACTTTTACTTGATAATGTTCAACTTTTCGCATTTTTAACATTTATATATATTTTTTAAAAAACTCCTGGTACAACGATCGCAAGAGGATTGAAAAATGGTTTGCTGTAGCGACTTTTTGTTTTATAAATTTTTTTCCGGGAGATTCAAAAAATCGCTGTAATGGGGTTCGTTATTAACCGAGTCCTACTAGCAAGGTCTCCTTGTACATTGATTATATTTTTTAATATTTTAAAATTCATTAGATGAAACAACTACCACAATATTACTTGGCAACTCAGAAGGTTCTGAAACAAGACTTAACGAGATTTTGTGTACAACAAAACAAGGTAACTGTTGTTATGATAATTGTACTACTTTTATATACTTATTGTTACCATCCGTAAATATTCAGTAGCATTAACCATGCCATCTTTATACATTTAGTAGTACTAATCATAACATGAACAAACACATTCGTACTGATCACAAACGTTTGAGAACAAACCGAGAACGTGTGCACCCATTTCCATGTTGTTGTCCCCTCTGGCCGCTGGTGTTTGGTCGGGAAACGATGGCGGGCACAGTGTTCGAAGGTTGGCGCTCTCTCGGCGGGGACGCTCTCTCCGAGTTGCACTTAAAACGCTTAAGGGCACGTGTCTGGCGGGCAAGACGCCGCGTAGAGATTGGAGTTACACAAGGGCTTGGTTAAGTGCAACACCCGCCCAGATCTCGGTGACGTATCCACTGTTATGGCTGTAATTGTTGTCACTTGTTGTTGTAGCGTGTTCGGTTTGTTTTTTGTTATACTTTGAAGTATCGGGTTTCGGGTGGTTTTTGAACAGCATGTTTTAGATTTATGGTGTTGGGTATTGTTTCGAACCTTCAGCTTTTAATGGTAGCTTTTTATAATTCGCGGGAAAGTGACAAAGTTATATTTGACTTTTTTCACTTAAAATGCGTATTTTTCCGTAAATTTAGTTTTTTCTAGTTTTTCTGTTCTCTTTTAGACCGAACTTTTAACTTTAAAAAATATTCAAATTTTGGTCCCAACACGAAAGCATTGTCTTTGCCAAAAGTTTTTAGTTTTTAATTGTCCCTTATCCTATAAACTTTGTCGTTTTTCTCTAGCATTAGACTATAACTTTTAATTTAAAAAAACTAACAAAAACCGATCTTCGTAAATTTTGGTCTTCCACTTATTTTCTGACCTCTATCTATATTATAATTGGCCAAAACGATCATAGGACCCAAAATGAAAAGCTTTGTTCATTTTTTATTGACTTAGCCAAAATTATGAAGTTTAAACGTTCGAAAACATAGGATAACATCGTGAACAATATGAACTTTAAAGCTTCAAAATAAGTTACTTTACTCGTTGAATACAAACCTTAAAATACGTTTTACTACACCCTTAAACTTCGCTACATCCCAGCCAACAACGATTGTTAAGCGCGTTATCTCACTGTTTGCGAAGTGATCATAGATCGCTGAAAACAGAAACACAACGTGACCCACTGTCTTCTCCCCTCCCTTCACATCTGGACTGCTTTAGTGCAAAAAGTGCGTGGAGTGCGATCGGGAGCACAGCCAAAAGACGCGTGATTCGAGGAGAGAGCGCCGTCAGGCGACGAAACGGATTCTCTCCGTGCATGACAGACTGCACCGTGCGGAAGAGAGGATGAAACCGTTAGTGAGTGTAATATGTTTTTGACGTTCCTTTACATTTTTGGCGTTCTTTTTCATTTGGCGTGCTTTAATTGTATCCCGAGCAGAACCTTTATGTTCGGTAAACAGGTCTGCCAGCCTTGTGATATTCACAATCTTTATGCATGGTATGAAAAGTGACATTAAAGATTGTTTACGATAATATCTGCAATAAATTTCCCCTTAAAAGCGATCTGCTTCTCTTCGTATCTGCTTCATAACCGATGCGATAAAAATTCTCTCATCCGCAAGGGGTCGCCCCCCGTCCCTTTATCAATCAAAAGACTGCGTGAAGAGAGAGCACGGCGGGGTGAAGAGACGGCAGGGTGGCAGACTAAAATTAGCCGGTGCCTTTTTTGTCGCCGACGCTTTGAGAACAGAATGCACCGACTTTTCCAAAAACCCGTCTTGATCGTCTTTGTGATCTGAGGGCGTTCTGAGGTCGCTTCAGAAGCCGGCTGTTTACCGTGTGCGTCGTTACCGCGTCCCTTTTACCGTGCTTCGTAAACAAGGTAATCGTTCTCGCTTAGGTCAGCGTGCTCGATTTGAATGCGCCGTGAGAGCGTCGGCGCGCAAACCCCAATCGAACTAAAGGTTTCCATCAACGAGTCGAAGAACCGGGTCCGTCTCAGCTTTCGTTCACGGTCCACCGTCCTAGGCCGTCCGCCTCAAAATGAGTTTGGCAGAGTCGCGACGTCGCCAAAGTCGAGAAAGCATTGGCTCCAGTGACAATGAGGACTCCAGATCGCCTCCCAGCAGAAACATGAGTCCACGGAGTAAGTTAATTCCACATAAAGTTAGGGAAGACTAATACTTTCTCTATTTTTATAACATTTTAGGTAATATTTGCCCATTTATCATAAAATTAAAAAAGCTACTTTGTTAATTAAACGGCTAACTTATTAAAGTTGAATCTTTTGCAGGTATCGACGACGACGATGAGGTTTCCAGGGATTCTCTTTCCGAGTTTTCATCGTTTCACATCGACGGAAACGACCAAGATTCTCAAGACGCAACACGTAAGAGACATTTTTAGTAATTTCAAAAAACTTAAATCTAAAAGCTGCTTAGAAGTAACAATTCTAACAAAAAGTTCCATATTTTCCTTCAAAATTTTTATTTTCTGTAAAATTATAATTACAGAAAATAATGGTGTGCGAACTGCGCGAGACATTTTATACGGCAGAACATGTCCGTCCTGTTTTTTTTGTTTTACAAATTAAAAATATTGTTATTTGAAAAGCAAAATTTTGTAAAAGCAGAGACTTTGTTTTAAGATAGTAGTTATGCAGACAAACGACCTTATACTAATGTTTCAGAACTTGTCTCGTCCAGTGTCCCTAACCAGCACTTTCTGAACAACGGCCCTAACCGGAAACGTGAAGCCAACGACGGGTCTCTGGATCCATCAACTCGGAAACGCACGTTCTCAAACGCCGGAACAGAGAAAAGAACGGCGACAAAGATCTGTCGTGTTTGTGGCGACAAAGCCTACAGTTACAACTTTAATGTCATTACCTGCGAGAGTTGCAAGGCCTTCTTCAGGCGGAATGCCAACAAGGAGAAGGTAATACTTGAATTATAATTTACAACATATTCTTGTACATGTTATCTCTTATCAGTTTTGTATGATCTTGGTCTAAAAGTTTATAGAACTGATTTTTATGTACCATATAAATTTTTATAATTTTTAAAATTAAAAGAACTTAAGACCTCAAGTAGATTTAAAAGTTTTAATAATTCGAATACTTTGGTTCAGCTACCGTACCCCTAACCGTATTATCATTATTTATAACTTCGAAATCAATTAGTTTAATTCGTTTTAGGAGATTCGCTGCCCGTTCAACGAGAATTGTGACATTAACATAGTGTCGAGACGCTTCTGCCAGCGGTGCCGGCTCCAAAAGTGTTTCAAAGTAGGTATGAAGAAGGAGTGGATTATGAGCGACGAAGCCCGGCTGGAGAAGAAGCAGCGGATCCAGGACAATCGAGAGCGACGGATGGCCGAGAAGGCGAGCGAAGAGAGCAACGTCGTTCCCATGCCCATCCGCAACGTTCCCTCCAACGTTCTGCCGCCTCCGCCCGTGCTTCCGGCTCCTGTTGTAATACCCGCACCCATGGTTATACCAGCTGCACCAACGGCGCCAGAACATATTAATCCACCGTCGCTGGCCCAAACCGTGCTCCATGCTCAACAGGTGCAAAAGTAAGTGTTTACTACAACTTCATATTATTAAATATTGGTTTGTGATATTTATTCTTTAAGTTACTGTAATTTAAAATTGAAATGTCACAAACTGTATTATATAAACTATCTGTAATCGAAACCAAAAATTAATGTTTAGACCCACTGTTTGACCAATTTTAAGTATCTTAGAGTACCATAATTGTACCTTTTTAGTGCTCAAATCCTGGCCGCTGCCGCAGCTTCAGCTCAAGCCGACGTTAACCAGCAGATTGCAGCTGCCGTAGCCGCTACTCAACCTCCAATGTTAACAACATCAAACTTGAGCGACAACCTCACCAACGTAAACAACTTTAACTCAGCTCAACAACAAATTGCTCAAGCCAATCAGATAGCACAAGTCCAACAGGCAGCTCAAGCTGTCCAAGCTCTACAACAACAAGTTCAGATCGAGCAGATGCAACAACAAGCCGTCAATCACATAGTGGCACAGCAGCAACAAGCTGCTGCTCAACAGGCTGCGCAACAGATTGTTGCCCATCAACAACAACAGCAACAAGTGCAACTTGCAGCAGCTGTGGCAGCAGCAGCAACCGCAATCGGAGCTAGCCAGAACACGGCAGTCCAGACAGCTGCTGATGTTGTTCATCAACAAGCTGTAGCCGTGCTACAAGCTGCTGCTACGGTGCCACAACATCAACTGACCCCACCCGTCTTGAACAACACCCCCATCTTGAACACCACTCCCGTGTTGAATACCACGCCCGTACTCAACAACCAGAGTCCTATCATGCCTGTACCACCAAGTGCACCATTGATCAACTCTCTGAATTCGACCCCACCGTCGTTGTCGTTGATGAATGAGACTCTGCCCACGCCTCCGGCTACAACCTCAAATGTAAGTATTGTAGACTGATCTGGTCAAAAAGTTGATAGATAATATAAAATACTTAAATTCTTTACAGGAGCTGATTGCCGTTCCCAAGAATCTGCTGATTAAGTTGGTGGAGAACAAGATCGAAGCCAACCAATCCAACCACAACCCTCCCATCAAGTGCAACTGCAGATGTCAATGTGGACGGTACTCTAACGACGTTCTGATTGTCGATAAAGTTATGGCAGATCTTCTGGAGAACAACTCCACTGAACCCAAGCCCACGATGGAGCTGATGGATACTACTCAGGCTTCAGATGACTACGCTCCGCTCAACAACGACGATAGAGCGGCCTTGAACGAAGTGCTCCAGTCCAACATGTTCTGGGCTTCTGATCAACCGATCGAGTCCACGAGTGCTACAGATGTCGCGCTGAGAAGGCTGATCCGAATGATGGGCGGAATCACATCGTTCCGGCATCTGAACAAGCACGACCAGACTGTGCTTCTGAAGAACGGGTGCACGTCACACTTTGCCATCAGATCAGCGATGACGATGAATGACAACGCTTCACAACAGAACAGTCTCATCTCCAACACCGTCATCCAGTTCTACAACTCGCTACGGGAGAGTTGGAGGACCAACGAGAGCATTATGTTGTTGTTGAGCGTCATCGTCATGTTCGACCCTGAGGCTCCCGAGCTGGAGAACAGAGCATTGGTGCAGCTACAGCACGTCAAATGGGTACGGATTCTGAAGCGGTAAGTAGATTAATATAAGGTTATACCATAGTTGGTAAGGTGCAAAGAAAGTAAATACGAAAGTAAGCAAACATGACTGCTTGTTATATCCATAGCAATCAATGTTTAACTTTTCAGAATCTTGTTCACGTTGTGCTCCAACAGCCGGGAGCAAGGCAAAGCCGAGTTTGATGACATTTCCAACAAGATATCCATCCTGAAGTGTCTGAACGACGTCTCTCTCAGTCAGGCCAACACTTCTGGAGGCGGAATCTCGGTGTGTGCCTGGAGCAACGATGTTGTGGAGCCACTGCTACACAAAGAACTGTACGAACCCAACCAGAACATCAACATCAATGTCCACTAAATGGCCTATGTTAGGCTGTTGTTGTCTCCCTTATTGTTATTACCTCTTACCGCGTCCACTGTACATATACATTTAATGCGAAATCATCTCACAAGAATTTTATTGATTTAGTCTTGCATATTATGTCCTCAGAAGTGATCAAACAAAGTAACAACGGGCTTTCACACGCACATATATCTGTACCATGTAATACCCTATGTCTTTATGTAGGAGTCTACTAATTCTGTCAAAAAAAAGCGAAAGAATTAATGGTGGATTCAACTGAAAATACCGTATTTCTAAAGAACGTCCTCATATATTACTGTACATCCTCTATAATACTGTATTTAATCAAGATACGACCGCCTTCCGTAAAGGTATATTCCGATAAATAAATATGCTGTGATATATTTATTAGGCACTTATTAGTAGGGGGAACCGACTTAGATTTTCAACTCAGGGTGTGTGACGGTATATCTGTTATGAGCTCTCCATCTCCACATAACTGTCTTCTTCCGACCAGTCTCGTCGGCGGTAGAAGAGAACGTAGGCTTCACAGTTCAGAACTTCACCTTCTGTCACCTGTCGTACAAAGGAATCGTCATATTCGTACCAGTTACCATCGATGTCATTCAGACAGTAAGCCACATAGTGACCAACTAAAACAAAAAATGTTGTATAGGTTTAAATAGCAGTATGTAACTCGAAAACCTTAAAAATATTAAAACTTAAATCAAAGTATATATCAACATAACAAAACATTATAACTAAACTTACAATCGACAGAACTGCCACGATGAGATACCACCGACACCAGATCGTACACATATCGGTTCTTGTCATCAGACTGAGGATCTACATACGCATTCAAGTCTAGATCGACCATCGGAAACATTATCTTAGTGTTCACCTTGCTATTGTACATGCTGTCATGTCTGAACCTCTTCAGATGTATACACAACACCTCGGGGAATGCGTTTATCTTGCAAAACTTTACTCCGTTTCGAAGTCTAAAACATAATTTTTAAACAAAAATGATAAAAAGTTAAGCATATACTCTTTACTTTTACCTAAAATTAACCTACTTTTGTAGACCGATTCTAGCCATATATCAATGAAAATGTCGTAGAATCCATATTATAAAGAAATGTTAACTCATTTATAACCCTTCTAATCACTATCAAATAAAGTAAAAAAGTCTTCTTACTTATTGCATTTCTCACATTTGTACATGTCTTCTCCCCGCAGGTAATCGGCCGCAAAGAATCCCCTTAGGCAATCGTCAAGTGAAATACATTCAGTAAAAAGATACCGGTAGAAGGAGCTGATCCACGAGAACCACGGGTATATAAACCACCTTGCCGTGAAGTCGTACAACCACTAAAATCATAAGAATACTGTAACAAATATACTTACATAGGCATATCCATTACTGACTTCTGAATTCCACGTTTTCGACCCGTCGTATCCTTCCTCAAATGCCTCTCTCATCTTCTCGAGTTGTTCTGCTGTCGGGATACTTAATGACACATCCTATAAACATGATTAAATTGTTAGCTTATGAGCTTTACTATAAAAATATATATTTAAAATTTTTTTATGTTAAAATTACTCTAAAACAACGTAAAAAGTTGTTAAGATTTAAAAATTAAACTACCTGGAAAGTCTCCTTTGTTTCACTTAAGTGCTGACATGTTAAACATTTGACTGTGCTGTTTAACTGGCCATCAAACACCACATTCACAACACTTTCATACACTGGTTTCTTCTCTTCTAAAACACGAACAGTTCAGTCCATGACACAGTTAAAATAATTTGTTGTCATACCTTTCTCTTGTAATTTCTCTTCATTGACATTTTCTGCATTTTTCGATGACACTGACTCCTAAACCAAACTTATAATAAAAACCTTCAAAAAACATTAACAAGGAAAGTACCCTACCTGCCCCGCTCAGAATCAGCTCAATATTTTTATTTGAATTCTTTGTACCACCAATAGTACCAATAAAAAAATTTTAGCCCGCGCTTTTAAGTTTTAAATTTAAATTATTTGGGTTTCCCGCCAATTTAGCAACTTTGGCATTGTATTTCAAGCACTTTTTTCGGCTTTCCAGACAAGATAAGCTTACAAATTAAAAAATGTAGGTTCATTTAAAGGTTTTCTACTAGTATATCAAAGAAAAATTAAGAGCGAGGCAGATCGGGTACTTTCCTTGTAAGTAAAACCGTAAACACCAGTATTAAAAAATTAAGTAGATTTATTGTTAAAATCACAGCACTTACATTCTCAGTACTCATACCACTGTCCCCATTCTCTTCCTCGTTACTCGACTGACTCAAAGAAGAATGGGAATGTTCTTGAACCGGATGAGCATTATCTGTTGGCGGTATTTCGTATTTCAATTCTTGATGTATAACATCCAAAAAGCAACGAATAAATTCTTGAGAATCTTGTTGAGCAAAACCTCTGAACTGGGCACACTTTTCTCGTAGCCGCTGAAATTTATAATTGTAGTTAGTAAAAACCTAGAACAGTTAATTATGTTTTTCTTTGTTTTTTGTCTTTGAAAACTTTAATCTACTATCAAAAGAAGGTTAGGTAAACCGGCTAGTGATAATAATATCCATAAAACTTACAAAAAGAAACACCGTAGGTCGTACAGCATTAGTATTCGTCGGAGACCATAACCGGTTCATCAAATCCCTAAAAGCCATCGAAACTGGAGCATCTGTAGGAGGACAATTTGAAGATAACTTAATCCCTCCTCCAAGAACACAAAAGAAATCCCTCAGAGGAGTACAATGAGCAAGTGCTTGAACTGCCGAGTTCATGTAGCATGTGTTTCCGACGTTAAACATCCCAGAAATGCCACAGATTCGACTTCTGGATTGGAAGAACGCTGCTTCGACCTCTTGAGAAAATAAAACTTGTCGTAGATCATAGTCTTCTACCTAAAATTTAAAACAACGTTTAAATAGCCTATTCACTTACTTGTTCCCCTGAATCAGGATCGTCCTCAATGATCCCCAAATTTGGGACGTCTGGTTGATCCGCCAAATTGCTCACCATTGTAAAACTAGTAGAAGATTCTGGCTCTGTGTTCAAAGAATTGCTCTAAAACACAAATGAAACAATATTTAAATAAATAACCTAAAAATAACAGTTGTAATAAGAAATCAAAAGATAAAATTATTTTTATTAAACATCTAGGTATAATGTTGTTTAACGTATTTCTGTCAATTTGAGTTACACTTACATCTTTTCCAGAATCTTCACTCCCAATAACAGGTACTTGTTCCAATGGAACCTCCATTTTTGTCAAACAAACAACAATTTGCGTGCATACAATAAAAAATTAATCTTTTCTCCACTAAAATTTTATCAAAAATATTAGAGAAAGGCTTGTCTCATGTGTCAAGTCTTCCCTCACGTCGCAATTTTTTGTAAAACGAATAAATACGACAAAATCTCTGTTAACAAGTTGTGTAATTTTCATTGGCAATTTAATATTATCAACTCCTTAGTTCTGACAACTTCATCATTCTTTGAATTGGTCCTCCATCTTCGAACTTCTTCAATCTTGATTAGAATGTCGGCTAATACATAGATGACTTGACAGTTCGGTAAAACGTAATACGTCGATTAACATTTCACATGTGAATTTACAACATTCAGCAAAGTTTTAAATATTGAATAATTTGAAGAAAAGCAGATTCGAAATTAAAAAAAAAAGTTAAAATTTTTAACAAAATGGCTAATAAAATCAAAACTTATTGACTTAAATTGGTTCCGTGATATTTTTGCGGTGTTTTTGTTGAATTTGATCAGTTCAAGGTACTGGCTCAAAGTAGAAATCAATATTATTAGTTAGACAGCGCCAATAGAGGCCTAACTTTAAAGTTTAGTACCATACACTATTGTAAGCCGGTATGATTGTTCAAATTGAGACGGTACGTGTGAATCGAGAGGTTTTGAGCACATTCAGACCCTCATGCAAATTTTGCTAATGTCATTATTTTTGAAAAAACAAATAATCAGTCAAATTGGACCTTTTGCGATAGAGGGCGGTCGTGTTATTGTGAAATACGGTAGGATACTGTGGTTGATCAGATACGTAAGTGTGCGTTTAGAGCTCTTTTGAATATGTTGCTGTATAACAAGTTTGATTTCCATAAAGAGTTTTTCAATTTAAAAATTAGTGGGAAATAGCAGGATTTCAATTACTGTTGCCGTGTAATACTGTATATTTACTTAAAACTGTTATCTTCAAAATTGGTGATAAAACTTTGGCCTTACTTTACCTATTTTCAGGATCTCGATACTTAATAATGTTGGGATCTCGTCGCCATCAGATTGTGACCTTAATGACCATGGGCAGGGTGTTTCAGCTCCATCCGTCGCTCCATGGCATTCGCTTTGCCAGCACCGAGTTCAAGAAGGTGATGGTGGCAAACAGAGGTGAGATTGCTACTCGAGTCTTCCGTGCTTTGTCTGAACTCAACAAAACTTCGGTAGCCATCTTCTCGGAACAGGTATGCTGACCTTACCTTATGAGTTTTCAGCAATTTATATGGGTAAAGTTCTAGATAAAGTACAATTATGACGCGGTTTAAAACTAAATTTCAGGACAAACATTCCTTGCATCGGCTCAAGGCAGACGAAGCTTATTTGGTTGGCAAAGGCCTTCCCCCCGTCGAGGCCTACCTCAATATCGAGCAGATCATCGAGGTTGCTCTCAGACACGACATTGAAGCTATCCACCCCGGTTACGGCTTCTTGTCCGAACGTTCTGACTTTGCTCGTGCTTGTCACGATGCCGGGATCGCCTTCATTGGCCCTCCGGCCGAAGTTATGGCCAGAATGGGGGACAAAGTGGCGGCCAGACAAGCTGCGATTGAGGCTGGAGTTGAAGTCGTCCCTGGTTCTCCTGGACCTGTTGCTAATGTCGAAGAGGTGAAAGATTTCGTCAAACAATATGGATGTCCCATCATTGTCAAGGCGGCCTTTGGAGGTGGTGGCAGAGGAATGAGGAAGGTCGACAAGCCAGAAGACGTAAGTTGAATATTGAGTGAGAGCTGAGAAGTTCAATTTTGTCTAGATTGAATTTTAACACGACTTTTTTGTTTTGTACCGTATTTTAAAACAGGTAGATTTTTGGACTTGCGCCCGACCTTTTCTGATCTGCGGAATTAAGTTATACGAACACAAGAAAAATTCACAATAAAAAATGAAACAGTTCATACAAATGAAAATATTGTTTTTTATAATGTGCTTGGTACTTGTTTTAGTGGTGGAATACGTTAATTAATTTTACTTAAGCTTAAATGTTGTTTTAGGTTGAAAATGCATATCAACGTGCCTCATCAGAAGCTTTGGCGGCGTTCGGAGATGGATCTCTGTTCGTTGAGAAGTTTGTTGAACGGCCAAGACATATTGAAGTGCAGATTATGGGTAAGTTACACTATTGTTTTGCTAAGACCTGAGTATTTTTTGAGTATATTTTGTTTTAGATCTAAATGTATTTGTTTGGTATTACCTAAAAAACGGTGTTACGATTAAACTAGTTTAGGTGACAAATATGGTAACGTGGTCCACTTGTTCGAAAGAGACTGTTCGGTCCAAAGACGGCACCAAAAGGTGGTCGAGATTGCTCCAGCTCCCAACTTGGACGATGAAGTTCGCCAGAAGATGGTGGCTTCAGCATTGAAGCTGGTGAAGCACGTGGGATACTCTAATGTCGGTACCGTTGAGTTCTTGTTGGACAACCAACAGAACTACTACTTCATGGAGGTCAACGCTCGTCTTCAAGTGGAACATACCGTCACTGAGGAGGTTACTGGGTAGGTGTTACAGCGTTGATGTTCTGTCTCTATTGAATTCTTCTAAAGGGTTGAGAAATAAGCTGCATTTGAACGAATTATGTTTGGAATGACTTTTAGTGTTGACCTTGTACAATCTCAGATCCGTATCGCTGAAGGCAAACGTTTGGAAGATCTGAACTTGCAACAAGAGAACATTCACATCAACGGATTCTCGATCCAATGTCGCGTCACCACTGAAGACCCAGCCATGCACTTCCAACCTGACACTGGCAGAATTGAAGTATTCAGGTCGGCCGAGGGTATGGGTATTCGTCTGGACTCGGCTTCGGCTTTTGCTGGCTCAGTGATCTCTCCTCACTACGATTCCTTGCTGGCCAAGGTGATTGCAAGTGCCAGAAACTTTCCGAATGCATCGGCCAAGATGGTGCGAGCTCTGAAGGAGTTCAGAATCAGAGGTGTCAAGGTAAAGATTTGATTTATTGCAATATATAATGGCACTTTGTCATAGTAAATGCCTTGGATTTTTTACACGTATTTTCTCACTTTGCTACGGTTTTTTAAGAGAGTAAACTTAAAGAAATGTTTTAGACGAACATACCGTTCTTGGTAAACGTGCTCCAGCAACCCAAGTTTGTCAACGGATCTGTAGATACTTACTTCATCGACGAGCACCCGGATCTCTTTAGTTTCACTACCAGTCAGAATCGTGCTCAGAAGATTCTGAGATACCTTGGTGAACTCCAAGTGAACGGATCTCTGACTCCGCTGGTAACCGACTTGAAGCCAAAGAACGTTGTTCCAGCTGTACCTCCGGTTCCTCTGGGTAAGAATGATGTGAATGCAATCTATTTTTACTTTGTTACTTCGAAACTAATTTTATCAACATGTTTTACGTTTCCAAAACGTTTAGTTTTGTTTAAGATCAGAAGCCTCCTGCTGGTCTTCGAGACATTTTGGTACAAAAAGGTCCAGAAGCCTTTGCCAAGGCCGTGAGACAGAACAAGGGATGTCTTCTGACCGATACCACTTCCAGAGATGCCCATCAGAGTCTGCTGGCTACTCGTGTCAGAACATACGATCTGCTACAGATCGCTCCATTCCTTGCTCACAACTTCAACAACTTGTTTTCGTTGGAGAACTGGGGCGGTGCCACCTTCGATGTGTCTATGAGATTCCTCCACGAATGTCCGTGGGAGAGATTGGAGCAGTTGAGGAAGCTGGTACCCGGAATCCCATTCCAGATGCTGCTTCGTGGAGCTAACGCGGTTGGCTACTCCAGCTTCCCCGACAACGTGATCGACAAGTTCTGCGAGCTGGCTGTCAGAAGCGGCATGGACGTCTTCAGAGTGTTCGACTCCTTGAACTACGTCCCCAACATGATTGTTGGCATGGAAGCCATTGGAAAGGCTGGTGGTGTGATTGAAGCTGCCATTTCCTACACTGGGGATGTGTCTGACAAGAACAGGACCAAGTACGACCTCAAGTACTACCTGGACTTGTCAGATCAGCTGGTGAAGGCAGGAGCTCATGTTCTGGGCATCAAAGACATGGCTGGTGTCCTGAAGCCAGAAGCTGCCAAGTTGTTGATCACGGCTCTGAGAGATCGTCATCCTGACATTCCTATTCACGTTCACTCTCACGACACTGCTGGAGCTGCTGTAGCATCGATGTTGGAGTGTGCGAAGGCAGGAGCTGATGTTGTTGATGTAGCTGTTGACTCGATGAGTGGAATGACCAGTCAGCCTTCGATGGGAGCTGTTGTAGCATCGTTGGAGAACACTCCATTGGATACTGGCATCAAGCTCGAGAACGTGTCCAAGTACAATGCTTACTGGGAGACTGCCAGACAGTTATACGCTCCATTTGAATGTACTGTAACTATGAAGAGTGGTAATGCTGATGTATATCACCACGAAATTCCTGGAGGTCAGTACACCAACTTGCAGTTCCAGGTGAGTATTGATGAAGTTGGTAGGGTGTTCCTAAAAGACTGACATATTTTGATAAAAATGTTGTTTTAGGCATTTTCACTGGGCCTTGGCGAGCAGTTTGATGAAGTCAAGAAGATGTACGCTGAAGCTAACGACGTTCTCGGCGACATCATCAAGGTCACCCCCTCCAGTAAGATTGTTGGAGATTTGGCCCAATTCATGGTCCAGAACAAGCTCAACAAGCACACGGTAGTGGAACGTGCTGAAGAACTATCGTTCCCGACTTCTGTAGTCCAATTCTTCGAAGGCCAGATCGGTCAACCACCCTACGGATTCCCAGAACCTCTGAGAACGAAGGTGCTACGAGGAAAGAAGAAGCTCGAGGACCGACCAGGCAAGAACATGGCTCCACTCGACTTTGACGCGCTTCAGAAGAGTCTGGAGGAGAAGCACGGTAGAAAGCTGAGAGATGTTGATGTTATGTCATCAGCTATGTTCCCGAGGGAGTTTGACGAGTTTGAACAGTTCAGGCAGACATACGGACCTGTAGACAAACTCGACACTCGGGTCTTCTTGACTGGATTGGACACTGCTGAAGAAACTGATGTAAGTTGACTTTATTGTTTGTTGAGATTGTCATCAAAAATAATTGGGCAAGAATTCATACTCCATCTTGTAGGTAACCATCGAGAAAGGAAAGACACTGGTAATCAAGCACTTGGCCGAAGGAAAGATCAACGCCAACGCGGAGAGAGAAGTCTTCTTCGAGTTGAACGGCCAAATGAGATCCATCTTTGTGCAAGACAAGGAAGCGGCCAAGGATGTGGTTTTGAGGCCAAAGGCCGTCCCTGGCGTCAAGGGATCGATCGGAGCTCCGATGCCCGGCGAGATTCTTCAGATCAACGTGAAAGAAGGCGACGTTGTCACGGCCAAGACGCCACTGTTCGTGCTGTCGGCCATGAAGATGGAAATGAATGTAGATACTCCCATCAACGGCACGGTCAAGAAGATCCACATGAGAGAGGGCGAGAAGGTTGAGCCCAACGATCTGGTCATCGAAGTCGAACCCAATTAGCTAAAGTTATATTAGGTATCTCCGAAGTCTTTGATCCCGATATATTAGGTTGTCTCGACATGTTTGGTCCGAATGAATACCAAAATTTTAAGGTCGGTCGATATTGTGTTTGAAGAGACTATTGTTGTCTGTTATAATGTGTTAAGTATATTTCAGGTAATATTATAGTTTGTTGAATGTTTTCTAGTCAAAACATGAATTCTAATTGTATTATAGGCTATAGTGTAGTTATGTCAAACCATAGTATGAGTCAGTTTTATGCAACTTTATTGTGAAAGTGGAAAGAATAAATAGGCAAAGCCCGTATCAGTAGTTGGTCTTTTTGAAGTAATCAGCGAGATCTCCCGAAACTTTACTGCACTGTTCCGGACGTACGTTGGCGTCGTATAAAGCGATGATAAAAGCTAAAATACGAACATTAATATTGTTTTTACAGAAGTTTTTGAACACCTAAGGGAGTGGTTGGTTTGGAGTGATAATCTATATTCGACAGGGTATTTTAAAAGTCTTAAGATGACTTGTATTGGAACATCAAGTATCTTTCAGAACTAACTCAATGTCGTATAGAATTTGAGCTACAAGATCAGAAAATAAGGTTATTTACAGCGAGCAGTAAAAGACTGAACAATTTATGTCTTTTTTTTAATTTTTCGTTTTCAGCTTTCAAAAATAACAATAATTCTCTTTATAATAGTATTACTCAGCAAAACTTGGTACTACACTGATTAAAAAAAGTATAAATGCAGTAAAAACAGAAGCCTTCAAAAAGTACGGCATAAATCATTACCTGTAAGAGTTTTGTACAAAAAGAATCCGTCGGCGGCCTTCTTGCCGATCACTCGCTCATCGTCGGCCTGAAGCACGAAGAACTTCTGACCTTCGAATCTGAGGCCATTGGCTAGGACGGATCCCGGGTCGGAGAATGCTTTGGCTGCTGTAGCGGCTTCAGAAGGGTCTAGCTACAAAAGGTGTCAAGATAAGTTTCTTGTTTCACAAAAAATGACCACAAACATAAGGAAATCATTATTGCGTAACCCAGTTACAGTTACAGTAAGTTAAAGTATATTAATACAATCCAAAAGTTCTCTGACAACTTGAAAATTCCAAAGAAAATGTAATTATGAGAGCTTTTGGTACAATTATGATTGCAAAAGAAAAAAACGAATATAAAGTGTCTGCGAGAGAACGACGAGATTACAACAAGATACCATGTCAACAACCCACGTGTGTTTGTTTTACGACAATGATGTAAACATTTATGACAAATTAAAAGTGACGAACTTACGTTGAAATTGCCGGACTTGGCCCAGATGGAGCCGTCCAGGCCACAAATGGCGGCCTTGGCCACGTTTCCAGTGCCAACCAAGTTGTTATCGACCAGATCTTGCCAAGACATCACAGAGACTGGCCACTAGAGGGATATCGACTGAGGGAAAAGCGAGGAGGCGGCCGAGGAGGTGGACTCGGCCCAGCAGCTGTCCCCATCCTCCTTGATCCGGGTGGATCACTCGAACGTCTCTCGCCCTCTCCCCACCCTCCACTGCCTGGACAAAGCTGATTCACAAACCTTTCAAAACAATAAACAATTACTTATTCACAATAACCTAACAATTCAGGCATTTTAGAGTACACGTTTGATCAAACAGCATAATTTTTAAAAAATAAAAAACCTGTATTTTAAAAGTTTTGAAAATTTATAAATTTTAAAAATAATTTTAATTATACATTATTAAAGCAATACCTACATTAATATGCCCCATAAGAACACAAAAGTGACAAAAAGCGTTTCGAAACTTTGAATTCGCGCATTAAATTGATTTGCTTTGAAAGGAAGTTCCCTTCCCAGATCACATAGCTATCTCAATGTCTGTTTCGATCGATAAAGACACGAATTCATTGATCCGTTGTGTCGTGAATCCGGACAGATTCGACTGGGAAAAGCGGTCTGTGAAGGACATACTGTGTGGTTTGCTCGACAACTACACCTCCAATGACTTTCAATTGTTGTTTTTGGCCGTTTTGGCTCACGATAAGGTTCAGCCTTTCCAGATATTACTCGAGTAAGGACGAATGACAAATGTTGTTTTCAGTGACGAATTTCAAAAAAGTACAAGTTACGAAACCTGCTTCATAAAATGTCATTAAACAGAGTTTAACAACTTATTTTAGGTTCAATCTGAAGAAAACAAACCTATGGTAATATGTTTGGTTTTCAGATGTAATTTGATAGAGAAGACCGAGCAGAACAATGAATGTTTGTTGTTCAAAGTAATCGAGAGTAAGGCCTTCAGATGCCTAAAGGCCTTCTTGAAATTCATCGAACCAGATTCTCAGTCCCGCAGCGTATTAGCCCTGCATAATAACATCACCTCCATTCACTTGGCTGCCCAAATTGGTGCTCCAAAACTACTCAAGGTAAGAGGGTACAAAACATAGCATACAGATGTTGTAATAGAATATAATCTTGCTTGAAAATACGAAAAGACCTTCAAGGCTTTATACAACAAGTTTTATAATAGCGTTGGTTGTTTAAGGTCCTTCTGGAGGTTGTGAGAGACGAGATCAGCGAGCTAATGTCCGACGTATACCAGAGAAGCCCTTTGCATTACGCCGCCATATCAGGATCACATCAATGTGTCGAGGAATGCCTCGACTTTGGCTTTGCCGTCGATAAAAAAGACAAATTCCATCAAACTCCACTTATGTTCGCCGTAGGCAAGGCTCACAGTAAGGGCAATTCTATTTTCACTTTACATTTCCACTCAAAAATACAATTTTGCAAAAGTAAAAACTACATTTGTATGATATTGTTGTACGTTATTACTAAGTTCACATGTTTCAAACGTCATGCTTGCAGACAACATAATCCAACTTTTGGTGCTGAAGAAGCCGGCTTCAGTTTCAGTTCGAAACAAGTTCAATGGAATGTCTGTACTTCACTTGTGTATCTTGAACAACAACATAGAAGGTCTCAAGATCATACTACAGTATGCTCCTAAACAACTGCTTGATGTAAGGGTTTTGAAGATTAATATTATACTTATAAAGTATCTACAAAGTAACCTTAACATTGCAGCAACTAGACGAGAACACAAGAACACCTTTACATTACGCTGCTTTATATAATCGGAAGGAATGTGCAGCGCTGCTACTGAATCACGGTGCAAACAAGAACGTGACTGACAAAAACTATGCTTATCCAGCACATTACGCAGCACAGCACAGTCTGGCTACGCTCAAGTTGCTTACAGCTGGTGTTAAGGATGTAGGAAGTGTCTCACTACAACTTCATATAATAACTCTTAAGAACTAATATAATAACTCTTGAGTATTACCAAAATAAAAAACTCATGTTTTAGGACCTGAGGGACAACAAAGGTAGGACAACATTCATGTGGGCAGTTCTTGCTCAAAACAACGAGATCGTAAAGGCATACCTAAACCGAGAACTGTCGATAACAGTAGACCCCAACTCTCATGACATGAAGAAGAAGACAGCGCTACATCTGGCAGCTCAGAAGGGTTACCTTCAGATCTGCAAGCAGCTTATCAACGCTGATCCACCTTGGATCTTGGAGGTAATAGTTTATGGTTTTTAATGTCATATCTCCATTAATTCATTCGTGTTATACGACTGGGAATTATTGATGTTTTACATGCCACAAAATACTTTTTTATTTTGTTATATCAGGAATTACTGTCACCTTTTACCTAAAATGTTGGTTTTAGCGAGAGGACTGGAACCAAGCCACGCCAGTCCACTTGGCTGCTGGAGGAGGTCACAATCACTTGTTGGAGTTCTTCCGCTTATCTGCTGACATCGACCTCTCCAATAGCTCTCAAGTGTAAGTTATACAGCATGTTCCAATGTTTTATATAATGATAAGAAAGTAAACATTTCCCCAAAATTTTATGACTTCAAACTAATGTAGCTCACAAAAACATTGATGTTATACCTATTTCATTGTTATCTTTATATTACTTATAATGTTCAGAACACCCCTATTCTATGCCTGCTTGGGAGGTATGGCGCACACTGTACAAGTTCTGGTCGAGACGTATAAGGCCAATGTGAATCACAAGAACAACATCGACCAGACGCCTCTACACTGTGCCGTGTTCGCCAATTCTTTACCGTGCGTTGAAGTCCTGATCAAACTCCAGGCCAACCGTTTTATGGTCGACTTTAATCGCCGCACACCGGTCGAACTGGCAGAACAACTAAACCACAAACTGATCAGTGATTACCTCGCTTCCTAAGATGTCGGTGAAGGCATGACAAACAAGATGGTAACCTAGTGGAGGACAAACAAAGATAACCTAATGACAAACACGATAACAAAATCTAATCTCTCATATCATTGGTTCGGAAATCAAGGGGTCCTCCACTTGCCTTTTCACTTTATTATATTATCCATGAGCGGAGATGGATGCCACAAGTTATGAGCGTTGTCAATGTCGTTCATTGCTCGTGGTTTCCTTCTCGCTCGCTTACAATTTACAGTCATGTACATGAATATTATTATTGCTCTTGGCTGCTACCCGCTGTTTCCTTTTGAGGTAATAGGGTGTTTTCTTGTGCCATCGCTGCCACAGCTACTGCAATATCAGTGTTTTGGGAATTTATATTATACTATTAATTAACACTATTTGTTTCAAGCCTTATTACTATAAAATAAGGTGTAAAACCTTACAAACCACTTTACAAAACCCAATAGCCTCTCAAGAATCGAATAATTTTAAAGTAACTCACATCTTTCCCTGGCATTCAACAACATTAAGTCCTTGAGAGTCAGTTTGCCGATCTGATCAACGCCCACCGACTGTAAGGTCTGTTTTCCAAGACCTCCTTTGGCCCATCGTGGTCGATACTCTTTTTTCCTCTGCATCAATGGGTCAATGATATGTACAAAGACAGGTTGTTCTGGCTTTACAATATCCTTTCGCGTTACTATTGGCTTTATCAATAGATCTTTCTTGGTTAGTTGAGGATCAAAGTAGTGAAAGCGCTTAGCTTTTACCAGTGAGTTGAGTTGTTGAATGTAATGTTGGTTTGAATTTAGAACTAATTCGTTTTCCTTGGAACTGGAATCTAAAATAAATACTGTTAAACTGAAATTGTGAAATTAGGATGATAATCAAAGGATAACAAACAAGCAATATTAATATGTATAAATGACTGAAAGCTTAAATTTCCCATTTTCACAACATATCTGGGCTTTCTTCATGATATCCTCCAAATTCCGTCTTCTTTCCACGTTAAGAGATCGAAGTATGTTCCGAATCTCTGCCGCTTGACCTGTTTCCAAACTCTTCTTCACCATCATAGGCCAAAAGAACAATTTGAACATTCGAGCCTGCAATTAGAAGATTATATAAAGTAAGAAGCAAGCTTTTAACTTAACAATACGCTATCCACAAAGGCCATAAATTAGCCTGAAATTACCTTAAGCGATAAGTAATCTTGAGAGGAAGTGATTTTATCGTTCAACTGAATGTCCAGAATCCCATCGTAGTCCTTGTTGTCTTCTTTGAACACACTTTCTTGTTTATTCGATCTCAAGAAGAGCTCGTTAGTTTGAAACACCAGATTCTTTCTTACGGCTTCCTAAATAAAATATTATACCTCTATTGATTCGATCACAACAATCAAATCAAGATTAATACCTATTTGAACGTAACTTACATAATAATAAAACAGAGAATTCAAAGTGCAGACAGTAGGTGGTACCAGATTGCTGAGTAAGTGAGACATGTTTAATTGTCTATGTATGCCACTTTCTGGCTCTAGTGTACAAAGGTTGCATTTCAAGAACTATAAATACATATTGTAGCACAAAATTAACAAATTTAGCTTCGTACTCAAAAACAAGTAAAGTAATGAAGACTTACTTCCAGAAGGTAAGACACCAGTTTCACTGAAAACAATTCTTTCGGTATTTTAGCCAATGCCGTCTTGACATTCGCGTCCATTTCCCTAGCCAAACTTTCAGCCATTTGAGTCAAGATGAACAACCGTTGATCCTTCTAAAAGCAATAGATAGTGTTATTAACAAGGTGAACTTTGATATATAAGATACAGCAAGATCGGATGTGTCTTTGTTACCTTAGGCAATTTAGCGACATTGTAACAGAACTCGTCGGCCATCCGATCTGAAGCAGAGTACCGTTTCGGGGCCAGATCCGAGATGTACATGCTGATGTCAGTCTTGGCCTTGGTCTTCTGGGAGGTTCTTCTTCGTTTCTTCTTCTCTTTAGGTGGCTTCACCACCTTCGCTCTATGCGCTTTCTTATGAGCTTTGCTTCGATGGTACCACTCGATGTCACTAAAGTTATGTTACAGTACAAGTTAAAGGCACAAAACATACCTTTCAGTCACTTCCAAGTTGGTCACCATCAGTTCTGACACATTTTTTAAAATGATTTCGTCTTCTTGTTCAGCATTTTCATCGTTAATACGAAGAACTCTGGCTGATTTTTGTTTCAAGTATTCTTCCAACTGAAGTTATAATAACTTTGACTTAAATATACTCATTGACGCCCGTCAGTGATAATAATAAACATTTTTACTTACGATTTTCCTTTTTTCCCTCGGCAACTTCTCCTTTTCTTCTTGTAGCTCCTCAACTCCGTACTCATTCGGATTCTTGGACATCTTGCACCATCTTCCATTGTTGGCAATGTATCGCGATCCAAAGTTGACACACAATTCAGATTTTACTTCGCCTAAACACAACAATATACAATTTATAAAACCATCAACAAAGTATAAGTGATGTCAACTTACTGTAGTCGACGTCACATTCTCCGTCGTCGTTGACCACAAAAGTACCGTAACCCATCCGTTTGTTAAGTTCGGCTCCTTTTTTGTTCAAGTCATTTGACAGTTTGTTGATCAAGCCAAACTTTTTGATTCTCAGCGATTTGGAGTTGGAGAAAGAAGTGTTGGGGACATCTCTAAGTGAATTCCCATCCACCATCGCCTACAATTACTTTGTAATCACACTTAAAATTACATTTTTTATCTTATTTTACAGAAACTTTTAACAGAAACATACCGCAATCTTCCACCGAAGTAGGGTTCGAGATCTGTTCTTGGTATCGCAGTTATTTCGACCAGGCAAAAGCTTGGCAATCTTAGCATATTGATCTAAAAAGTGGCCATATTAACGTCACAATCTAGAAATGTTTCCCTTTATCAAAAACTAAAACACTTCATACACTTACTTCTACCAAAGATCTTCATCCCAACCAAAATGGCCTCGTCCTCTTCGACTGACCATGGATTCGAACTCCTTTTGTAATCCAAATTGTTAATCCATCTAGCTCGACATTGCAAAGCAGACCTGGCTGGTACTTGGTTGGCTATACGGTACCAATCTTGAGGACCGTATTTGTTCACAGCGGTGGTTAGAAGCTAGAACGACAAAATTTAAACTTTGTTTCAAAATATTTCTTTAAATAAGTAATTAAACCAAAAACTTACCAAATCCTCCGCCTCACTCCACCGCCCGCGTTTTAAACTTTGGTCCAGCGATTGAGTGTACCTCAACATGCATTGTCTACTGTTTCTGTTTGGAATTTGAGCAGCAACTAAATTAAAAATGAAAGTCGACCACTCACAAATAATTAAAAAATACGTAAAAACACAATAACAGACCTTAAAACCCAGAATATTGTCTTAAAGCCATTACACATACCTCTTCCCCAATTGACATCGTTTCCAAACTTAAAAGTTTCGACCAACCTAACCAGTTTGTCATCTTCATCTGAAGTCCACGGCTTCTTTTCCTGATTTTTCTTCTGAAGTTCAACGTACTTTTCGAAGCATTGAAATGGAGACCTTTCAGCCTTTAGTTTCTCGCTAACCACGTCCCAGTTAACCCAAGGAACCTTAGTAATCTCTGTTAATGTGTCAATTTCTTCTTCCGACCAAGGACCTTTCTTCCAGTTAGGAGCTTGCTCGTATAGCCACTTCATTTTTAACTGCATGATGGTTCTGGTACCAAAAAACTAAAAGTATATTGTTAAAAATGCTTTTATGGATTACTTATATAGTTTTAAAAATCTCACAAACACAAGAAATAAAAAAAATTAAACATACGTTAACAGCCGAAATCCGTGCCCAATCAATGTCATCGTAATTGGCCGATTTGAAAAGTTCATCTGAAGACTTCGTTCTAAACAAATAAATATCGTAATTAACAAAGCCACGACTTACTTCAAATAGGTCAACCGCTTTTGAACTGCATTTAACTCTGTTTGCCAATCAAATAGCTGTGCCATACCATCTTCGGCATGGTAGTTTTTTATTTTTTCCCGTAAAGTCTCGCCTCTAAAACAAACAAGAAACTAATTGTGCTGTCAACAATTTAAAATAAAAAATTAGCAAAAACTTACTTGGCCGTAATACTAGAAGTTATTTGTTCCGTCAATTGCTCCAGCACAGCATCCCGTAGTGAATCCAGCTCTTCACTCGACCCTAAAATACATTATCAAAATTCAAATTTTGAGAGCTGATCGACAAAGACAAGTAAATAAACTTACATAAAACTGGCTCCCTCATCAGAATATTCAAAGAACAAGCATTTGTAATAGCTTCGCTTTCAGGATTGGACACAGGTACCTAAATATAAAATAAGAACAATGGAAACCTACCATCCCAAAACAATCATGGAAATACGGAGGACAGAACTCTTTTTTAAAAATCTTAGAATCCTTTGCAGAAGACTGTCCGGAAGCCAGTTGCATCCTGATTTTCCTCTGAAACCAGAACATTATTCTTCATAAATGTAATTAACTCAAAAAATAGCACATGCTTCATCACACATTCTACAAAACTCGTTAGTACCTTCTATCTTTGACACATACCTGTTGTTCTCTATTAGCGTCTAACAAGTTGTGAACCTTTTTCATTATTTTATTCGTCAACAAGAGATATGCTTCATTGTGCGCTATCATAGCCACTAAATCTTTAACAGACTCTGTGCTTTCTGCCTCTCCATCATTTTCAGAATCATAATCTTCTTCACTTTCGTATTCTCCTTCGGAAGACTCACCTTCATAATCTTCGTCGATTAAAAAATCATCTAAATCTAAGGTTAATACAACCTACAATATCACTTACCATCTGAATCCGGCATGTTTATGTGAAAAGTAGAAAACTGAAAGTTGAAAAATAATTTAAAAAAAGTTTTTTGTCAAATTTTTGCGGATTATTTTTGTTTTATTTTTTAATTTGGCATTCTGTTTTAAGAATGCTTGTTTCCGTGGTGGGACTTAGAGTTGCACCTAACGTCAGCACGTTCGAAGTTGCCACAACATTCCACTTTATTTTCACTTGCCTTTGGCATTTTTCATATCATCTTTGACGTGATGTTTTTGCGCGACTTTTTTCTTTATTGAAAATTTTGAATTTTAAAATGATTGATGTTAAGAATTTTATGTTAGGAATGTCGAAGCCGTGCGATGCCTTGTTTTCTGGTACTGAACAGAGATTGGACGAATGCCAGCTAGCTGTTATTCGTCAGATTCAGACCACTTCTGGTGCTAAACCAAAAGAAAAGAAGGTAATATATATTTTCATGGTTTTTGTTATCTAAAGTATGATATTTTAATGGTTTATATAATTTTCTGAAGATTCTTGTTATGGTGTATCAAAATTGATGTTGTTTCATTCGAGTTTATGGTTTTTTGTTTAGAAGAAGAAGAAGGTGAAACGGATTAGAGTGGAAGAATTGTTAGAGAACTCCAGTGAGCCAAGCGAATCGGTTTCTCAGAGTTATGCGGCTCGACAATCGAGGATCAAAGCTCACCATCAACATCTTCTGGATAGTGCTGTACGAACAGATCGCTGGCCTGTCAATGCTCCAGGTTTTCCAAAAGCCGCTCACGCCAACAATCCGACTTCGACCTTGGTTAAGCCTGATATGATGATCAGTGCTTTTACTGCTGGACTCACTACGCAGCAAACCATAACAGAGATGTCTTTGCCAGGTTTGTTTTAGTTATTTCTTTGTTGTATGTTAGTAATTTTAGCGTTTCTGTTTCAAAATTATACAGTTTGGATTGCGAAAGACCTTTTGCGATATTAAGGATGGTTGTTTTGAAATGTTCTCTTTTCTTCGTTGTTGGCGTTGTGTTTTAAATAATATTGTTTAAGGCTTTCCGAATGGAATTTTTGGGAGTTCAATAAGAAACGCGCAAGAACTGTCTTCAAGCACGGAATCGAATCCAGTGTTGGATTCTTTGTTTGCCTTGGACAAGGAGAACAAGAAGAGTGGAGCTGAACTGATAAAGAGCTTGACGAGATCACCTGGAAACAGCGTAGACTTGTCAACTAGTGTAGCCGCTATACTGCATCCCTCAAAATCGGTCAGCAGTAGCGCAGTGTACCCGAATAGCAGTATGTTGCACGATCGTGGCAACATTCAGACACAGAAGATGAGGAAGCCGTACTTTATGCCGTACATGAATACGGAGAACGTGGAGAAGGGGTTACGAAGTGGAGACTTGATAAAGGTGAGTAGTGTTGTTAACACTGTGCTGTTTAACAATTCGTATTGCTATTTTTGTGTTTTTAGGGAATCATCAGAATAAATCAAAGAAACTTTGAGGAAGCGTACATCGACAATCCAGAAGGCGACGAGAAGCAGGACATTATGATTCTGGGTGTTCATGACAGAAACCGTGCTCTCCATTGTGATGAAGTTGTGGTTAGATTCAAGGACAGAAACCATTGGATCCTGAGGGACAGTCTTTACGAAGCTTGGAGATCAGGTCACTTGAAAATAACATTCGACGATGATGGAACTCCACTCACTGTGCCTCCAGTAAAGTCAGAAGATGTGACCGAAAAGGAACAGCTGGCTCAGGCGGTTGACTTCTTGCCTGTTGTTCACCAACAGAAACTGGAGAAGGTGAAGATTAAGGAACCTGTTTCGTATCCAAAGAACAAGAGGTATTCCCAGGAGATGATGCTCAAGATTGCAGCACAAGTAAGTTTATATTAATTTCTGTGTTAGAAACATCGTACCTTAAAAAACAACTAGAATTATTTTCTTTGTTTTAGATGGAGATGCAGAGAATTCAGCACGAAAACCGTGTAGCTCACGTCGGAAAGAAGCAAGACAAAGTAGAAGAACGTCGAGTGCCTACCGTAGAGTTGGACAATGAAGCTGCTACTCAGATATCGCGTCTTAACATTGCTAAAACCAAATTTTCTGCTCAAGGTGAAGCAGGTTCAGGAACCTTTGCCTCGAACAGAAGAAGCGTCAACTCTACTAACACGCTTCAAAGAAGACTCAACTACCGTGTTCTTGGTGACATGCCTGACGATGATTGGGGTATTCCTGATGTTTGTCTTCAGAAGACCGCCGAAGTTGTATACATCTACAAGAACAAGAACTGTCGAACGGCTGTGGGCCAATTGAAGGTACAGTTTGTCATGATTTGTAGTTTCGATACTCATAATATTGTTAGTTCATTTTAAATTACTTATAATATCTCGTTTTAGGTCATGGCGGATGGAAACAAAAACTGGGGATTGTTTTCTCCCAACGATTCTCGCTTCCCACGAATGTTTATAGCTGCTAACGAACTACCTAAAGGATTTTTCGAAAGACCGCACGACTTCAGTAAGAATATTTACATCGCCAAGGTGGCTGAATGGCAAGCGACCGCTCAGTTTGCTCGAGGGACCTTGTACAAAAGCCTGGGCACTGTTGGTGACGTTGATGCCGAGACTGAAGGTATTCTGATGTCAAACGATGTGGACACCAGAGAGTTCTCAGCTGCTGCTTTGGCGTCTTTGCCAGTAGTTCCAGAAGAAGGATGGTCTATTGACGAAGTAAGTTGTTTTTTTGTTGTGGCCTATCTTTTGTTGACTGCTCTACCTTATAATGTTTTATTTTAGGCCGAGTTCAAGTACAGACGAGACTTCAGAACCGAGTGTCTCTTCACCATCGATCCAGCTACTGCTCGCGATCTTGATGATGCTCTCCACATAAAGCCAATTGAGGATTGTGATGGTAAAGGGGCAAAGGGATGGGAAGTCGGTGTTCACATTGCTGATGTCTCCTACTTTGTCAAGGAGAACACCGAGTTAGACACGTGGGCTAAACAACGTGCTACCTCAGTTTATCTTGTTCATAAGGTAAGCTTGGTTTACACTTTTTTAAAAATGTTTTAATATATTATAGTACGAAATTTTATTGTTTTAGGTCATACCCATGTTGCCAAGGATGCTGTGCGAAGATCTTTGTTCATTGAACCCTGGAGTTGATAGACTTACCTTCTCTGTCGTATGGAAGATGGACCTTGAAGGTAACATTCAGAGTGAATGGTTTGGACGGTCCTTTATCCATTCGTGTGTAAAGTTGGCCTACGATCATGCCCAATATATGATTGAACACCCAGAAGAAGATGTAAACGTTGAGGCGCTTCCAGAAGTGTTCAACAACATGAAAGTCCAGAAGATCAAGGAATGTGTCTTGAATTTGAACAAGCTGGCTACCGCTATCAAGAACAGAAGAATTGAAGGCGGATCTTTGAGATTGGATGCTACTAAACTGAAGTTCGCCTTAGATCAGGACAAAGGTCTGCCGATTGGAGTTTGCACTGATGAGGTAGGTCGCCTAATATATTTTTGATATTTAATTTCCAGAGAAAAGAAGCAAACTTCTTGGTCGAAGAGTTCATGTTGTTGGCAAATCAGTCCGTGGCCAAGAAGATCGAAAGTCACTTCCCTGACACTGCTCTTCTCAGACGTCATCCTTCACCCAAACAGAAGGTTATGCGAGAAACTTCAGAGAAGTTGGAGCTGCTACACTTTCCCATCGAGACTGAGTCTAGTCACTCGATTGCACAGTCGCTTACTGAGTACTATAACGATCCTCGACTGAGAAGTACCGTGTTTCCAGTATTGGTGAACTTCATGATGAAAGCCATGCAATTGGCTGTCTACTTCTGCACTGGAACTGTCAAGGATTACCACCATTATGCCCTCAACATGGACTTGTAAGTTTTTTAATTTGGTTTATTGGTTATACTAAGAAATTATGTCATTTTCTACTAATATTTAAACTTTAGCTACACCCACTTCACCTCACCTATCAGAAGATACCCGGATGTTGTTGTACATCGATTACTGGCAGCCGCACTTGAGTACTCTCCTGCTCCCTCCCATACTGTAGAATCCTTGGAAGAAATTTGTAAGGACTGTAATGAAAAGAAGGTGAATGCCAAGGCTGTCAGCGAACAATCGGCAGAGATGTTCTTTGCTTTGTTCGTCAAAGAGGCTGGATCGCTGGAAGTTTTGGGAGTAGTCACTGGAGTTCTCGATGCTGCTTTTGATGTTCTACTGCCTAAATATGGTTTGATCAAACGTGTTTACACTAACGTAAGTTAGTTCAAAACTTTTTTGTCTTCATTACCTTCGTGGTATTATTGTAATACGAAATGTAAACTGTTATGTTTTTAGAGGCTGAAGGTGAGCAGAGACTGCCGTTTTGTGGAAGGCACTCCGGGAGCATTGTACGTTTACTGGGATCCCAATTACATTGCCCAAGTTCGGAAAGTAAAGCCAAAGGATGACAAGGAAAAGAAAGAAGAAGATACAAAGGACACTGAAGTCAAACCGAAGTACTTTGCGGATTGTGGTGACAGCGATGAAGAAGAAGAGGAGCCTCAGAAGAGTGTTGATGAAGATGAAAGCGATGATGGCCACGAGGTCTACCACAATGCCATGGATTACGAACAAACCTTGTCCGTGTTCTCGGTGATCAAACTAGTCCTGACTCCTTCCCCCGAGCCTGTCAAGTTTGTGGCCACTCTCCTCCCCACACCCGACAAGTACAGGATGCGACCGAATGAGATTCAGAAATTGTTATCGTAGAGATGTGATCTCTTTTACCATTTACGTGTATTGTTGTTGATATTATTTTGTTTTAAATAGTTAAAATTAGTTTTTTTTTGATTCGGGTGAAGTTGAATATCCTTGTAATTTCTTACTTTTCTGTTAAGAAAATGCAAAATGCGTATAAGACTTTTTATAGAAACGTGCCCTTAGCCATGTTAAAGAGCGTTGAAGAAGTTATATTGTAAACCCAAGTTTAGCGGCTCATAGAGATTGATGTTAGTTACAAGGCATGAAGTAATTTTAATTTACGCGTTGTCCTGGTGGAAAAAAGGTGTCTATAGTGCGTGATTGTTCAGCGGTAAGATTCTCCATCTCAGCCGACGGGTTCAATGCCGCTCGCGCAAGCCAAGACTGTGTTTTATTGCATTAATTGACGAACTCTTAATGCAAATTTTTAGATTGAATTTAGGCTATAGAACCGGCGTTATAAGTCAGCCAATATAACACAAATAAAGGCTTTATCACACATTAAAACGTATTTAACGTGAAAAAATTGCTATAAACCCATCTTTCTATCCACCTTGCGTGACTCCAAAGAGCTAAACTTAAAACCAGAGATTAATAATAACTGGTACCCAATGGCCCTATGGTCTGCTAACAGTATTTGTTTATAACATAGTGTTTGACATTGCTTCACGTATTATAGGTCTGGTTAATAGTTCTGATAACCTGGTTTGTATTTCTCTCGCTAGACCTGTTACAGGAAAATTATGTTAACTTCACGTATTACTCGCTACTTTAGATTTATTATAAGTCACACTAGAGGATCACACTACAGTAATCGGGAAGCTATTTACTGTTTCTAAGTCTTGTTTCTGCTCTAATTCGTCGTAGTCATCAACATCCGTAGCCGCTAGATGTTGAGTTATTGCGTCCGAGTCGAGAATCTGACTACAGAAGGCCCCAAGATGGTCACGATATATACAAGGCTTGTTGGTGCAGCACCAGTAGATGAGCACCTTTATGGCATGCGTCCAGCTGTTCTTGTGATCGGGTTGGTTGACCTCTACACTGGCTAGTTCGTTTGTGATGTTGCTTACGTCATGAATGCCTGGATGATGTTGAATGAAGGGATTCGTGGCAATAGGGCGCTTCGGCCGTTTCCTGGTCAGCCTTCTGGGGAAGTTCTTGGAGCCGACAATCCAGTTTGAACTAGAAGCGGGTCGTATCTTGCCCAGCTCTGTGTTGGGCCTGATCTTTCTCCTTCTCATCGCTTGTCCGTTGTTCCACTGCTGGCCGTAGTTGTAGTTGTTCCAGTTGTTGTTGCGACCCCATCCATTGTTCCAGTTCTGAGTACCCCAGTTCCTGTTGGCCCAATTGGTTCCCCAATTGTTGTAATTGTTGTTCCAGTTGGCCCAGTTATTGTAGTTGTTGTTGTTGTAAGGCCAGTTCATGTTGTTTTGAACTGGTCGGGGATCTGGAGTCCATGGAGTATCGACCGGTCGAGGGGGTGGTGGTACCCAAGGTCCCTTGGTAGTCGTTTTTTCTCCGTAGAAGTCTAGTTCCTCTTCTTCTGTCATTTCGTTTTCTTCTGTCTTCTTCTTGGGCTTCGGCTTCGAGCAACAGATATATTTCCCTCTACCGTACGATGCGAATACACAACGGTAGTTGGCGGTGCACGGTCGATGCATACATTCGACTACATTTCCTGTCTCCTTGTCGCGTTGTGGTTCAGAATTGGGTAGGGGACACGTTACTTTGGTTTCTGAATTTCTTTATATGCTATTAGTGATGCCTCTTACCCATTGATCTATCACAACATAAGTAGTCTTTTTGTTGAGCAATGTAATTACACGATGGGAATGATCGAGGACATTTGTTGCTGATACAAGATATGGCTACACAACCGGCTCCTTCTAAATATGGGTGTTATAGTTACACGATTACCGTACCGTAGTCTACACAAGCTTCCTCCAGGAACACTTGGTTGAAGTCACACGGTCCTCTGCACTTTCCTTTGATGCAAACTGACCCAGTCAGACATTGTATGGGATGTATACATGGCCCTCCGGTTACTGAGTAAGGCAGACATTCTGCACCCATCGCTACATAGCCTGGTGGGCATTCTGAATTACGTCATGACAAGTTGTACAATGAGACTATTGAATAGAAATCAATTACAATATACAAAAAATGACTGAATTATTCATACATTCGAGCGGTCCAAACATAACACATTTGTACTTACCTGGAGCTTCTTGACAGATGTTGGCGATACAGTAATACTGGACGTCGCCAATATTCATACACTGCTCAGAAAAGTCACAGGTCTCACCAGGCTTCTTCCTGACATAACACTTGCCATTCTTTTCCACTTCTAAACTCGAGCATTCTGGTTTTTCAGGTAACGCCAATTCTGAAAAGTAACACACATCGATAATATCTTTGATAATTGCAGTCTGTTTTGTTTGAATCAATTATGCAGTACCCTTACCTTCTCCACTAGCCGCATACTGGTCATCTTGATTATCATCATCGTATGCTACACAATGAGCTCCGTTCCATGATCCTGTAGCACATTCACAACGTCCTTTCTGAGAACATATCACATCGCCTGACAGAGAACATTGAGCATCTAACAGACACTGCTGTCCTGGCTCGGCGCCCAGTTGGCTAGCCTTTTTGACAGATTCGAAGAAATTGCTCACAACTAAAGAATGATAATCGTAGCAAGAAAGAAATGACAAAACAGTGTCTATTTCGCAAAATACTGTAAAAGCTGTTGCCTATCTTATTGGCTAAACAGTAGCTGACAAGATAAACCCACAAAAATACAGTAATATCCATCACTCACCAGTACTAGGCATGAAGGATGAACCACCGGCAGTAGGAGATACCAGCACGAGGAGGAAGAACGACAAGCACAGCCGTCGTCCAGGTTTCGCGCTGCGAAGCATCAATGAAGTGACAGCCGGTTTGAAGTCAGAGTTGGAACGGCACTCGCAGCTGGAGCATGCCAAAGGGAAAGCGTGACAAAACGGGACAAAACAAGATAATAGGAATTGTAAGAAAGTGGGTAACCGGACGAGTTTATTGTAACAGAAGCGACCCACAACTAAGGTCGGGTCGAGAGGTCGAGTCGAGTACCTCGCGATCACTTGTTTCGTCGTCGCTTCGCACTTGACTTGCCTTCCATCACGGTGAGGTCGGAGAGCATCGTGACCCGACCCTGTACACTCCTGGAGCCTCGTACGATGTAGCTGATGACCGAGTACGGGGTGAAATGGAACTCCTCCTTGAGGTAGCCCTCGAGGAGAAGCGTCCCCACCACCTTCTCCAGGCCTTCTCGAGAGTCGTCCAGCTTTTTGTATAAAAGTTCGAGAAGTTTGTTGCCCGTGATCCTGTCTTTGCCTACTTGTTTGTCCTGAATATTTATGGTCATTATTCATTTTTGACAAAGAATTATAACTTTAAAAGTTTTTTTAATTTACCTGTAAAATCTCCATAACTAACCGGGTTTGTTCGGTAATATCAACCTCCGACACGTTTGTGGATGAGCGACAACAAAAATCACACTTTCTGTCGCACCAGCTTTTATCGTATGTTTCTCCAAAGTACTCTGACATTGCCATACGACGACATTCGTAGGTCTGTAAACTCAAATAAAACATCTAACACTCAGTTCTTCGGTCAGAACTAGATAAAAACAACTAAAAAAGCTACAGCTTGATGTCTTTTCGTAATATGACTACAGTAAACATACCTGAATACAGTACTTCATCATACCGTACAGATGAGACACGGCGTCTGTGTAGTTCATCGTGCTTTGTTTGAAGATGTCAGCCAGCTTAAACAAGGCGATGCATTTAGCTGGTTTGTCATCTCTGCCAGCTCGACCGCTTTCCTGAAGATACAGTAAATGACGGTCAAACAAGGTTACCTGATAGTAGTTTTCCATTGACTTGGCAATCGAATGATGGATAACAAATCTGACATCCGGCTTGTCAATACCCATTCCGAAGGCCAATGTTGCTATGATCACTTGATATTCTCCAGAATTCCACTTCTCGTGAGCTCGATTTCGACCTTCCGCTTCTACATCTCCATGATAATATGTGCATCTGACACCACGGGCCCTAACAGTCATTTTATAATTAAAAAAAATACATTCCAAAAATTTCAAATTAAAATATTTTCAAAACAAGATAATGCAAAATCTAAAAATTTACAGACTCAATAATTACAGTAACCCTGTATAAACTTACTTGAGATCTTTCGTCAATTCTTCGCAATCTTTTCGACTCAAACAATAAATAATGCCGGTTTGGCCAGCAAACTCGGTTGTTAACAGATTAGAGATCAGAAGGTTTGTTTCTTCAGTGGATTCCGGCTTTTGAAGCACCTCGTAGTGAAGATTCTTGCGATTAAAAGCTGTTTTCAGAGTGACACAACCTAGAATAACAAGGCGTAAAAGTCAATCAGAAAGTAAAAATTAAGATAAAACAAAAAAATAATTTTAAAAGATCAGATAGTTCTTTAAAATACGTTACTTCGAATGTCAAGTATCTTCTTCACATCAGTAATCACATCTAAGGTAGCCGTCGCTGTTAATCCCATCAACGGAGTTTTTGGGAACTGCCGCTTCAAAATGCCGAGAAACTTGTAGTCTCGCCTGAAGTCGTGACCCCATTGAGAACAACAATGCACTTCGTCAATTGCAATCAACTAAAATGTTATTCTTTCATAAAATTCCAACAAGAAAGAACTTTAATAAACAGTTAAACACATAACCTAGTAAACAAAATAATATAACACTTCACAAAATTTTTAAAATAAGATTGAACAAACCTTCAAAAGATCAAATTCGTAACATTTTTCCAGTTTGTTAATGAATCTTTTGCTTTTGGCCAACTTCTCGGGTGTCACATACAGCAGTCTCAATGTAGAATTCTTGTCGCAAATCCATTTCAAGATATTTGAAGCCTAAACAGTAACAAAACATAATGTTACACCTACCTCTTCCTTTGTAGAATTTGCATTGAAAGACATAGCATTGATGCCCAACATCTGGAGATGCATCAACTGGTCGTTCATCAAGGATATTAAAGGAGAAACCACCAGAGTTATCCCACCTAAAACAATATTTTACTTTTTTTCATACGAAAATTTACCAATGCTTTTAAATTTAAATATATATATATAGGTATGTTTTACGTGTACGTACTGTTGTGCACCATAGCTGGTAACTGATAACACAAACTCTTCCCAGCTCCAGTACTCATGATAATAAGACTGTCTTCCTTGGACAAGGCCAGATTGATAGCTGCTCTTTGTAACGGTCTGAACGTGCTCAATCCAAACACCTTGTTCAAGCACTTGTTTACTTCACCGTCCCAACCGTAATTCGTATCGTTCCATAAATTCTGTTCATCTCCATTTTCTCTTCGAGATTCCAATTCACTCGCCTTGGCTGTTAGCTAAAATTTAAACCCTCCCTTTGACAACCATGATTCACAGTTAAAAGACATAAAGCAGTATTATTGTATTATATTATACATACCACTTTCAGCTTTTCCTTCAGCTCTGCCCTTTCTCTTTCAACTTCAGTTAATCGTCCGTTAACTTCCTTGATTTCATTGTAAACCAGGGTTAAAGCCTTTGTAGAACTCATTTGCACGTTATTTTAGCATCAGAATTCACCAATCTTCCATTTTTTCCGACAATTTCCTGTCGAGAGATTTAAAATTGGGCACGAAGCAAACGCAGCCTGCCGGTGACATATTATACGATGAATTTTGAAATGACATTTGTGAGTCAAAAGTGAGTCATTTTGAGTTTTAATTGTTGTTTCTTTGCGTTATTACTCTCGGTTTGACTAAAATTAGTGATAACAGAATGTTTTACAAGTAGATCAATGGTGTATTATAGTAGCAACAACAATAACAACATTATTGTTTATTGCCTGTTTACAAGGCATTGGTGCCCGTGTTTATAATTAAAATTTCAGTTGGCTAGTTTAACAATCTCTTAACTTGCAATCAAACCCGTTTTATGTTATTCTTAATGCTCTGTTGCTTCGAATGTTTATGGCATTGAAACGTTTTTGGCCTGAGGGCACAATTCTGTTCTGCTTCTTATTTTCGTTCTTACATTCCCCCTCAGGACCACTTGTCCTGACAAAACTGAATGCATATAGTGTTCGTTTTAAAACGTTCAAAAGTGCATTTGGATTGGTTTTACATCGAACTTTTACCGTAACGTAACTGTTGTTACCATTGTAGTTGTACGCGTATACAATGATATTAAGTCTCGGAAAGCGCGGTTTTAAGCGGGCAAGGTAATTAATGGTTTTGTTTACTGCGTTCTGAAGCTCGGGAATCGCGGGCCGAGTCTTTTTGGCGAGAGAGTGTGTGAAAAGGAGAGACCGTCTCTTTCAGCCACAAACAAAACAACAAAAAACAAAACCAGCCTTCAGACGGCGTCGGAGATGGTCGTCGAGGAGGACTTCAAAAAGGTTTGTGAATATCCTAATGTTGTTTACACTGCTTTTAAATAGTTAAGCTTTTGCACTTTTAAATTTAAAAATATTTTAAAGTCCAACAGAAAGTCATGTGGGGTTTACGACTTTTGGTCGATACTAAAGCTAATCGAAGTAGCATGGCCATATTGTAAACAACTATAGTCATAAAGTTGAGTAAGAATGTGCTTATGATATTGTTTTAGGTAGAAGTCCAGCCAAACGAGTTCAATGGACTGATTGGCAACTTGGCCGGCAACTTTATCCGCGACAAAGTTGGTGGTGGGGCTGGTGACATTCTCGGTGGCCTAGCCGGTAATATTCTCAGTGGAGATGGCGGCCGTGGCGGCGGAGGCTTTGGCGGAGGAGGCGGTGGCGGCGGAGACCTCGGCAACTTGTTGGGGGGTCTTCTGAGCGGCGGTGGAGGTAACAGAAGACAGCAACAAGACTTCGGGGGTGGTGGATACAGTGGCGGCGGTGGTGGGGGTGGATCCGGAGGATTCAATATGGGAGATTTGGCTGGTGTCATAGGAGGATTGGGCGGTGGTGGTGGAAACCGCAGCGGGGGAGGCAATGACATTGGAAGTTTGCTTGGAGGTATGCCATCCTTTTGAGGTTTCTAATTGTCATAAAATGTCAGTAATAGTTAATATGTCAGTAATACTCAAATTTACTTTCAGGTCTGATCGGTGGTGGAGGTGACCGCGGTCGATTCGCCGGGGGTGGTAGTAACATAAACGACCATTTCCTTTCGGGGGGTGTTTGTGACATGATTGGCAATCTGATTGGCCAAGCTGCTCACAGATTCCTGGGAGTGAACCCTCAGACAGGCAAGATTATTGGTGCTGTCGCTGGCAATGTCATCTTCCAGCTTGGTGGTAAAGACAACAAACTGAGTAATGTGGGAAAGGTCATCTTGGACAATATAATCTCCGGAAAATTCCAAAGAGATGTACGTTTTAAGTGTCTTTAATAGTAGCACTATACAATTAGCGATATGATAAAAAATATTATTATACAATATCTTTATATTAACCCTGTAATAGACATTAATTACATGGAAAAGTTTAGGTAGACCCCTTCGTCAAACCCGAACCGGTACCAACTCCAGGACCGCCAATAAGACGTGGAGAACCGGTCGATTTCTATAGTGAGAGAGATCGCTGTATCCAGGAAAAGAGATTGTACGAGGATCCTGAATTCCCAGCTAATGACAGTTCTCTGTACTACAGTAGACGTCCGCCAAAGAGAATCAACTGGCTTCGTCCTGGTGTAAGTTACACTAATTTGAAGTTAATAATCATTTGTCATGGTTAATATCAGCGTTCCCAAGTTTAACATTTCAAGTACAGGCTCTATCTTTTTCAAATTTTAGCTCCGGAACCCTTGGGAACTCTGGTTAATATATAATTCTTTTTTTACCTCTATGATAACATCTGTTAATATGTTCATATAAGAAAGTTACTTTTTAGGAGATCGTAAGAGATCCCCAGCTCATCTCAGAAGGCCACACTCGCTTCGACGCCATTCAAGGTGAACTTGGCGATTGTTGGTTGATGGCAGCCGCGGCCAACTTGACCTTGAGAGACGAGCTCTTCTACCGCGTCGTTCCTCCAGATCAGAGTTTCACCGAGAACTACGCCGGCATCTTCCACTTCCAGTTCTGGCAGTACGGTCGCTGGGTGGATGTTGTCATCGATGACAGACTCCCTTGCGATGATGACGGAAAACTTTTGTACATGCACTCTCGTGAGAACAACGAGTTCTGGAGTGCTTTGCTCGAGAAGGCCTACGCCAAGTTGTACGGATCGTACGAAGCCTTGAAGGGAGGTACCACTTCAGAAGCCCTTGAGGATATGACTGGAGGACTGACAGAGTTCTACGACTTGGCCAGTTCACCAGAGAACCTGCTCCAACTGATCGTCCGAGGATTTGAGATGGGATCTCTGTTTGGCTGTTCTTTGGAGGCCGATCCCAACCAATGGGAAGCCAGACTCTCTAACGGTTTGATCAGAGTAAGTCATCGTTTTACTGTAATTTTTGACAGTGAAATTACAATGTTATTTATAGAATATGGAGTATTCGTAAACACAACACACAAATTATATTAATTTCAGGGCCATGCCTACAGTATCACGGCCATCAGAATTGTGGACACACCCAGAGGCAAGGTACCACTACTTCGTGTTAGAAACCCCTGGGGTAACGAGCACGAGTGGAACGGTGCTTGGTCTGACAACTCCTCCGAATGGAACTCCATCTCGGAAGACGTCAAGTGCGACATGGGACTGACCTTCGCTCATGATGGAGAGTTCTGGATGTCGTTCTCTGATTTCGTGAAGAACTTTGAGAAGATGGAAGTCTGTAACCTGGGCCCAGAAATCATGGAAGAGATTTTCGAAATGACTGGGGTCAAGGCCAACAAAGACGTCTGGGCTACAAACTCTCACGATGGATCGTGGAGACAGGGCTCCACTGCCGGAGGTTGCCGCAACTACCTCAGGACCTTCGCCAAGAACCCACAATTCAGAATCCGGCTGACCGACAAGGATCCTAATGATGACGATGACTTGTGCACCATCATCGTAGCTGTCATGCAGAAGTACAGACGTGAGCTGAAGAACGCAGGTCAGGAGAATCTGGCCATCGGCTTCGCCATCTACGAAGCCAACGGCTACAGTGGCCGGCTAGACACTGAGTTCTTTGCCAACACCAAGAGCTGTGGCAGAAGTCCAGCCTTCATTAATCTCCGTGAAGTGACCGGTCGATTCCGAGTGCCACCAGGAGAGTACGTCATCGTACCAACTACTTATGAGCCGAACGAGGAAGGAGACTTCATGCTTAGAATCTACACTAGCGGACTTATCGAGTCAGAGTAAGAATTATAAAGTTTAAAACTTAGTTTTTAAAATTTTAAACTTTAAACTTAAATGTTTTCAGAGAACTGTAATCCGCAACCGTCCAGAGCCATAATATGAAAGATACTGTATTATTCCGCTTATTATTTGAGAAATAAATATAATAAATGTCCTCGATCGAAGGCACATGCCCGGGAGAGCAGGGGAAGGGGAAAGAGTCTGAGTGGGCGCCATATGATCTTGTATCAGAACGAAAAAAACAACGAAATCAGTGCCATCACGTCTGTTCGCGTCGTTCTTTCACGTTTTTGTTTTTTTTCACCTTTTACCTTTGTAGATGTCCTACCGATCCGGGGCACGATCCTCCGGCTACGGATCGTCGGCACGTGCATCTAGCTCCCTCGGAACAAGTTCGTCAAGTTACTCGAGAGGCAGTGGCTACACGGGAGCGACCGGTCGGTCTTCAGACTATCGTTCTGAAGCCCGCGCCAGTTCGTCTTTAGCTTCAGACAGAAGAAGCAGTGCTACAGCGTCGTCAAGTAGATATTCAGATTACACCAAGACATCTAGTGACAAATATGGGGTCACAGATTATCCTTCCGAGAGAAGAAGCAGCCGACCAACCACTGACAAGTACTCGACCGACAGGTACTCTAGTTTGAAAAGTGACACAAATGACTACAGCTCAACCAGAAGCCGTGATTACGGTGACTACAAAAGTGATTACAAAAATGACACAAAGGACTACCTGAGCACAGACAGACGTTCCAGTACACTTGGAGACTACAATAGACGGTCGAGTTCTACAACAGACTATGCCAGTCCATCTAGACGTAGATCCAGAGATCCAAGTTCTGACGTCAAAGACACCGATTACGGTAAGAGAACTCGAGACACTTCAGTCGATTACTCCCGGAAAGGTCACGACAGAAGCTCGAGCAAGACAAGAGATTACCTTGGTACTTCCAAAGGAGATACTGAAAGAAGCGGCCGAGACTCAGCTACAGACTTTCTACGACAACGAGATGTCAGCACTGATCGCCCAGCTAGCAGAGACTTCAACAAAGACTACAGCGACCACAAACGACAGTCAAGCACGCTCAGAGATGCTAGTACGACCAGAACGACTGACCGAGAGTCTTCTAGAGACTTTGCCAAATCGAGAACGGAAGGATCTGAACCAAGGTCTCAGGTCAAGAAGAAGTCCATGTTCAGTGATCTGACAGATGCCTTGGCCAAACACGAACAGACTTTAGGCCAAGACGCTGTCAAACTGAAGTCTAAGTCCAGAGATTTAAGCAGTAAAAGGAAAAGTCGTGACACTTCGGCAAAAGAACTCATGAGGTCAGCTGAAGAGCGTCGCAAGTCAAGAACGAGGGATCAGAGCTCGGATGCCAAATCCGGAAGTGACTACTTAAAGCGACAAACGGAGAAACTTCTGGCAGAAGTCGAAGCCAGTCGGAATCAGAAGAAAGAAAAGAAGAACGCTTTTGCTGACTTGACTGAAGTTTTGGCTAAAACAGAGAAAAGCCTAGGCCAAGACATCGAAGCTTTAAAGTCGAAATCAAAAGACTTGGCCGACATGAAAAAGCGAGGCACATCCAAAGACTACAACATACCTGACTACCCAGAAAGGAAACAGCGACGTCGCGACCTCAGTGTAGACGCCAAAAAGTCTCGAGACCTGAGTTTGAATCGACCAAACAGAGATCATAGTGAAGGTCGGTATGGTCGTGATTTAAGTGTCGGTGTACCTTCTGGCAGAGGTACTCCCACTGATTACCTAAAGTTACGGTCAAGAGACTTAAGTAGCGACAGAAGGACAAGTCGCGACGTGTCAGCCGACTACTTGAGTTCAGGTAGAACTTCACGCAACTATGGGTCAGACTTATCCAATATTGAACCTAATTTGTACACTCCTAAACGATCAGCTTCAGTATCAGCCAAGGAAATCTCGGACATCATTAGTTCAGGAGTAAGTTGTTCTTTCCTTATTAATCGATTCTGTGTTTAGGGAGTGCCGAGATCAATATTCGATCAAGACGACAGTGAATACTCGTACTACGAAGACGAAGATGAGTGGGAAAGCGAGATAGAAGAAGTTGAGGTACAACAAGACAAAAGCAAAGAAGGTGACAAAGAACAGCCTGAAAAGGTAGAAGAAAAGAAAGAGACAAAGAAGGAAGAAGAAACACAACAGAAACAAGAAGAAAAGAAAAAACGAGAGTCAGAAAAGAAGAAGTTGGAAGAGTACAACAAGAAGTTAGACGAAGAACACAAGAAAGAAGAACAGAAACGAGTAGCCGAGTTGCTAAAGACAGGAGTAAGTTTAAAAATATATATAAACGTAATAAAGCTTTGCTTATGGAGACAAAGAATAACATATAATAACCTTTTATTTAGGGAATACCAAAGTCGGTGTTCGACCGCAGTGAGAGTGAGTACTCATACTACGAAGATGAAGACGAATGGGAAACAGGTGAAATCAGAAAAGACAAAGTTGATGAAAAACCGAAAGAATTCGATAAACCGGAGGAAAAGAATAAGGTTAAGGAATCAGATGCTGAAGAAAAGAAACGAAAAGAAGCTGAAAGACAAGAAAAAAAAGGAAAGAGAAGCAGAAAGGGAAGCGGAAAAGAAAAAAGAAAGAAGAATACAACAAGAAACTGGACGAAGAGTTCAAAAAACAAGAAGAAAGAAGACTTTCAGAGTTGCTAAAATCTGGGGTAAGTAAAAACCGTCCAAAATATCAATTTTTATTTAAAAAAAATATTTTTGACACTTCGTTCAATGCCATAACATCTGTGACATTTCGTTTCAGGGTATTCCAAAGTCTATTTTCGACCGGTCTGACGATGAATATTCTTACTACGAAGATGAGGACGAATATGAAGATGAAACTTTCCCTGATTCTCGGCAGACACAAGACCAAAACAGAAACGACAATGAGCCCAAAAGTCAGCAAAAGACAAAAGATGACCGACCAGCTGTAAGTTTCCGACCAGCTGTATATCTTTAAAATCATTTGTATCTTAAGTTTTACCGATCTTTATGCATTCTACTCCAATATCCTTTATTTTTAGGCGGTATTGAAGCCTGTAATCGACTCTGACTCTGAGTACTCATACTACGATGAGAGTTCTGAAGAACCTGACGCAGAACTGACAATCGATTTGGGGCAAAAAAGAACTTTCGATGACAAACCACAACAAAAAGAAGGTCGTTCAAAACAAGACCAGAAGTCAGAAGAAGAGGATGATGAATATACTCCTTCCAAAAAGAGTAAAAACATAAAGAACATAAACTCAGAAAGCCGAAAGAAGAAAGAAGGCCACGACATTTCAACTAAATTGACGGGTAAAGGAAAGATCTTGGACAATATTGAGATTGAACAAGAAACCCCACAAGATGCTGATACTGTGAATATGGCAGAATTTCATTTACCAAAGACAAAGTATACAGAAGAAGACGACGCAGAAGACGAAGACATGCCGAGAGACACCAGGAAAGGGCAGAAAGAGCCCCACGCTACAAAGATAAAAGGAATCGACAGTGAAAGTCGCAAGAAACCGAAGAGCGGGACAGTAAAAACGACAACTACTGAGAAAGGCAAGGTCGTGGATCCGTACCAACAAGAATATACTACCCCTGATAACGAAGACAACGTTACACAAGCCGAATTCACTTTGCCCGGCCGAAAATATTCATCAGAAGACACAGAAGTTGCACCAGATAAGGCTACACCAAAAAAGCACAGTAAAATAAATGCCACAGCAAAAACGTCACAAAAGCCAGCCCATCGACTTACAGATTACGATGAGAGTGTGATTGACAATGATGATGCAGACGAAGCCTTTTACGAACAGAAAATGAAGCCATTCAAAAAGAGTTTCGCGAAGCAGTCATCTGAACAAGAGTTCGAACCTGAAGAAGTGACATCAGTGAAACCTCTAAAACACGATGTTAAGCTAAAGCCAAAAGATGACGACACCAGTTCCTCATACACTGCCAGCCTTCCTACATCAAAAACTAACGACGCCAAGAGGCCAAGCTCTTCCAAACCTAAAGTGGACGACAAAAAACGTTCACCTGGTACCAAACAGCATGATGACGATGAACTTGAACCTGAAGAACTGCCGACAGTAAAATTGCCAAAGCACGACGTAAAACTGAAGCCAAAGAAGGAAGGTCCTAACGCTGATTTTACAGCTAGTCTTCCAGCTCCTAAATCTAAACCTAAAGATTCTGCGAAGCCAGCAGACAAGCCTAAATCAACCTCGTCAAAACCAAAAGAAGGTGACAAACATAAAGACGCGGCAAAACCAGAAGAAAGGCCAAAAGATAGATCAAAACCCTCTTCAAAGAGGCCAGAAGACAAGTTTAAATCAAGTTCTTTAAAACCGAAGGAATGTGACAAACCAAAGCCTCATTCCGGCAGGAAACCAGTAGATGGTGAAGAACTTGAACCAGATGAAATGCCTTCAAAACAGCCTTCAAAGCATGACATAAGATTAAAACCAACTGAAGACGAACCTAATGCCGCATTCACTGCATCTTTTCCAACATCTAAAACAAAACCAGACGATAAGAAAAAAGCTACATTAAAACCTGAAGACAAAGAAAAAGAACGGTCAAAGTCTCCTGCAAAGAAGCCAGAAGACAAAACTAAATCAAGCTCAACAAAACCAAAAGAAAGTGGTAAGCCAAAAGATTTATCAAAACCGGAAGACAAGCCTAAATCAAGCTCTACAAAGCCAAAGGAAGACGGAAAACCAAGGTCTCATTCCACTAGGAAGGCTGACGAAGATGAAGAACTCGAGCCAGATGAATTACCTACAGGAAAGTCTCCAAAGCATGACATAAAACTAAAGCCAAGGGATGACGAGCCTAACGCGGACTTCACAACCAGCCTACCAACGTCAAAATCAAAGCCTAAAGATCCTGCAAAGCCAGAAGAAAAGCCTAAATCAAGCTCATCAAAACCAAAAGAAGGCCAAACACCGAGATCGCGATCTGTCAGAAAGCCGGATGAAGATGACGAACTGGAACCCGAAGAACTGCCTACAGGAAAAGTGCCAAAGCATGACCTTAAACTCAAACCAAAAGAAGACGACCCCAACGCTGACTTCACAGCAAGCCTTCCTATACCAAAAACAGCGAAACCCACAGATTCAACAAAGCCGGATGAAAAGCCGAAATCAAGCTCGTCGAAACCAAAAGATGCATCAAAGCCAGACGACAAACTTAAGTCAACTCCTCCAAAGCCTAAAGAAAGTGAAAAACCAAAGTCGCGTTCCACCAGAAAGCCCGACGATGACGAAGAGCTCGAAGCTGATGAGTTGCCTATGGGAAAATCTCCAAAACACGACATCAAACTGAAGCCTAAAGAAGATGATCCTAACGCTGAGTTTACAGCCAGTCTTCCAGCTCCTAAATCTAAACCTAAGGATTCTGCAAAGCCAGAAAACAAGCCCAAATCGACCTTGTCAAAACCAAAGGAAGGTGAAAAACTCAAAGATTCATTAAAGCCGGATGATAAAAGTAAAGAACGATCAAAGTCTCCTTTGAAAAAGCCCGAAGACAAACCAAAACCAAGTTCTTCAAAACCAAAAGAAGACGAAAAACCCAAGTCACGATCCACCAAAAAGCTTGATAGTGAAGAAGAGCTTGACCCAGACGAACTATCAACAAAGAGGCCTTCGAAGCATGATATAAAACTAAAGCCAAAGAAAGACGAGCCTGACGCTAACTTTACAGCCAGCTTACCAACGTCAAAATCCAAGCCAAAAGATTCTGCAAAGCCGGATGATAAGCCTAGATCAACTTCGTCAAAGCCAAAAGTAGGTGAAAAGCCAAAAGATTCCTTAAAGCCAGACAATAAAAACAAAGAACGATCTAAATCTCCTTCCAAAAAACCCGAAGACAAAGCTAAATTAAGTTCGTCAAAACCGAAGGATAAGAAGCCTAAATCCTCTATTAAAACCCCCAGTGAAGACGAAGAACTTAAACCGGATGAACTACCAGCTGTAAAACCTTCAAAACATGACATAAAACTCAAGCCAAAAGAGGAAGACCCAAATGCTGAATTCACAGCAAGCCTTCCAGCACCAAAATCTGCAAAGCCAAAAGATTCAACAAAACCGGATGACAAACCGAAATCAAGTTCATCAAAACCGAAAGAAGGTGAACAACCAAGATCTCGTTCTATGAGAAAGCCTGACGATGACGAAGAACTCGAACCAGATGAGCTGCCAACGGGAAAACCTCCAATGCGTGATATTAAACTGAAGCCTAAACATGGTAATCCTAACGCTGATTTTACTGCCACTCCTCCAGTTCCTAAATCTAAACCTAAAGATGCTACAAAACAGGAGGACAAGCCTAAATCAAGTTCTTCAAAAGCAAAAGAAAGTGAAAAACCTAAGGAATCCTTGAAGCCAGACGAAAAAAATGAAGAACGATCAAAGTCTCCTGCAAAGAAGCCCGAAGACAAACCTAAATCAAGCGCTTCAAAACCTAAAGATAGCAAAAAACACGGTGACAATGAACTTGAACCGGATGAATTGCCAACAGCTCAGTCTCCAAGACATGACATTAAAATAAAACCAAAAGAAGACGAACCGAACGCTGATTTTACGGCCGATCTTCCAGCCCCCAATTCTTCTAAGCCTGGTGATAAGCCGAAATTAAGCTCATCAAAACCAAAAGAAACTAGTAAGCCTAAAGATCCATTAGATTCAGATGACAAACCTAAACACAGCGCGTCAAAGCCCAAAGTGAGCGAGAAACCCAAATCTTCAAGCAAAAAACCAGATGATGACGAAGAACTCGAACCGGATGAGTTGCCAACGGGAAAATCTCCAAAGCATGATATTAAACTTAAGCCTAAAGAGGATGATCCTAATTCTGATTTTACAGCCAGTCTTACAGCTCCGAAATCTAAACCTACAGATTCTGCAAAGCCAGAGGACAAGCCTAAATCAATCTCTTCAAAACCAAAGGAAAGTGAAAAACCTAAGGATTCATTAAAGCCAGATGCGAAACGTAAAGAACGATCAAAGTCTCCTTCAAAGAAGCCCGAAGACAAACCAAAAACAAGTTCTTCGAAACCCAAAGATAGTGAGAAACCAAAAAGTTCTTCAAAGCCAGAAGACAAACCAAAGTCACATTCTGTAAAAAAGCCTTCCGATGACGAGGAACTCGAACCAGACGAGTTGCCAACAGGAAAGTCTCCTAAGCATGACATAAGACTGAAACCAAAGGATGACGAGCCAGACGCAGATTTTACAGCCAGTCTTCCAGCCCCCAAGTCTGCAAAGTCTGACGATAAGCCCAAATCAAGTTCTTCGAAACCTGACAAGCCAAAAGAAACTCTAAAACCCACAGAAAGACCGAAAGAAAGATCAAAATCTCCTGCAAAGAAACCCGAAGACAAATCAAAGGAAGGTGAGAAACCCAAAGATGGCAAAAAACCGAGATCAAGCTCTTCGAAACCTAAGGAATTATTAAAGCCCGAGGACAAACCCAAAGAACGATCCAAATCTCCTTCCAAGAAACCAGAAGAAAAACCAAAAGAAGTTGATAAACCCAATGACAAACCCAAATTAAGCTCTCAAAAGCCTGAAGTTAGCAAAAAACCAAAAATGCCAAATGAAGACAAAGAATTTGAACCGGATGAGTTACCTACAGGAAAGTCTCCAAAGCACGACATAAAACTCAAGCCAAAAGAAGATCCTAATACTGACTTTACGGCTAGCCTCCCAGCAAAGCCTAAGGTACCTTCAAAGTCAGGAGAAAAGCCAAAATCAAGCTCATCGAAACCAAAAGAAAGCGAAAAAACGACATCACATCCAAGCAAAAAACCTGAAGACGAAGAGTTTGAACCGGATGAGTTACCAACGAAAAAATTTCCAAAGCATGACATTAAACTGAAGCCTAAAGAGGATGATCCTAACGTTGATTTTACAGCTAGTCTTCAAACACCAAAACCGAAAGATTCTGCGAAACCAGAAGAAAAACCTAAATCAAGCTCTTCAAAACCCGCCGACAAGCCAAAAGACACTTTGAAGCCTGGTGAAAAACCAAAAGAACGATCAAAGTCTCCATCAAGGCCAGATGACAAACTTAAATCGAGTCCATCGAAACCGAAGGAGGATGATAAGCCAAAACACAGCGCAAAACCAAAGCCTTCAGAAAAGCCAGATGAAAAGTCTAAATCAAGTTCATCAAACCCAAAGGAAGGTGAAAAACCAAAAGAACGGTCGAATTCTCCTGCAAAGAAGCCAGAAGACAAACCGAAATCAAGTTCGTCGAAGCCCAAAGAAGGCGAGAAGCCAAAAGAAGGTGAAAAACCAAAAAGTTCTCCGAAACCAAAAGATTTGTTAAAACCTGACGAAAAACCAAAAGAAAGGTCCAAATCTCCATCAAGGCCAGATGACAAACCCAAGACAAGCTCATCAAAACCCAAAGAAGGCGAGAAGCCAAAAGGTACGCTAAAGCCAGGTGAAAAGCCAAAAGAAAGATCAAAATCTCCATCTAAGAAGCCAGAAGACAAACCAAAAACAAGTACGTCAAAGCCGAAAGACGGCGAGAAACCAAAAGACAAAGAGAAGCCAAAAGATACTTTGAAGCCAGGTGATAAGCCGAAAGAAAGATCCAAATCCCCATCCAAGAAAACAGACGACAAACCAAAATCCAGTTCATCCAAGCCAAAGGAAGGAGAGAAGCCGAAGGAAGGGGAGAAACCAAAGGATACGCTAAAGCCTGGTGAAAAACCTAAAGAAAGGTCAAGATCTCCATCCAAGAAACCAGAAGACAAACCAAAAACAAGTTCATCAAAGCCAAAAGACGGCGAGAAACCAAAAGATACGTTAAAGCCAGGTGAAAAGCCAAAAGAAAGATCGAAGTCTCCTTCAAAGAAACCAGAAGACAAACCAAAATCAAGTACATCAAAGCCAATGGAAGGCGCGAAACCGAAAGACGGCGATAAGCCGAAAGATACGTTGAAACCAGGTGCAAAGCCAAAAGAACGATCAAAATCTCCTTCAAAGAAACCCGGAGACAAAGAAAAAGCAAAACCAAAGGAAGGCAAAAAGCCGAAAACTTCATCAAAGCCAAAGGACAAAAAAGAAAAGGCAGACCCCAGTGAAGAAGACAACAATAGTGAACCAGCTAGCCACAATGACAGTAATGACAGCGAAAATGATGAAGATAAGCCTCGCAAAAAACCTAGACGAAAGAGAAGACCAACGAGAAAGCCTACAGGTGAAGACGACGATGATGATACACCAGCGAAGAAAGGTAAAGATAACATTAAAATTTTTTAAAAAGAATTTTAGGAAAAAGAGGGAGAAGCCGGTCCAAGAAACCAACAAAAAGGCCGAAAGAACCAGAACCGGAAGAAGAGGAACCTCCCAAACCAAAATGGGTCCCACCGCCTAGGCCTCCTCCAGACACCTACGAGATGCCGCCACAAGAGAAACCCTTGGTGGAGCGGCTGCGTGAAGAGAAGATTGACCCTCGAAAGTTCTACTCCAAGAAAACTCATGTGTAAGATGTTGTTTACTCTTACATCAACTTGATGTATATTTTCAGAGAAACTAACATACCTTTTGTGATACCATGGGAGCAAGCCCCTGCTTTGATAAGTCAAGAAGGAATGGGTGCTTTTGGAGCACAAAGAGGCGCCAAAGCACACATTGACGATGGGCATCTTAAGCTAACTCAGGTATTTGCCATTAAGATGCTTATACTTTTTTAGGGCGACCTGAAATCCGAGAACACCTTGACATTGTTTGAAGAAGGAGCAAAGACAGTAGCATCACAAAAGGGAGAAAGATCGTTCGGCTCACACAGGTCAAACGTCGACAAAGTTGTGGACAACCATCATTACGAAAGTGATCCGAAAGTGAGTGATATTCACCTCTTAAACCCTTTGTATTTATAATAGCTTATTGTCATAACGAAAATGCAGTAAGCAACAATTTTAATTTCAGCTAAAACTATGTGAAACGGTTATTCCACAAATCAACAGAGGTCTTCTTACTAGCCAGCAAGGAATGGAGATGGGTAATCTGAGACATCAGGTAAGCTGTTATGTATGCTTAATAAATTTGCTTAACTCTTTAGACAACGAAAGTCAAGTATGCAAAGGGCATGACACCTGGATTCGACAAAGAAGGTAACAAGTTCTTAAGCCGACAATTTAAACCTAATTCGACTGAGGTGGCGGGAAGCAACCTCATCGACACACGTCGTGCCATTGTCCAAACTGTAAATGTAAGTTTTGACATGTTGTTATTTTCTGTAAAACAATATAAAAACAGAAAACATCTTACTATATGAATTGCACAATGACTGATACTTTACGAAACTGATTTACAGGGGGTGGAACTAAAAATGTGCCCAGAATCAGACGGAATTATCCCAAAGCTGTTTTCGGTCGAAGATATAGAAATAAAGTCAGGAGCTGACTTCGGATCTTTCCGGCCAATGTTCCAGGATTCTGAAGGCGGCTACAGAATGACGTACGAAGAAGAAGTCAAGTGTAAAATGGCCATTCCTTTCCAGGTATAAAACAAATTATCATAAAACAATTGTATGCAATGTGTTAACTATCATACATTATCACATTGACATATCATTGTCTTTACACTAAATTCAATAAAAGCAAAAAAAGACAAGATATAACTTACATACTATTTCAGACAGCTCCATCTCTTCTCTACTTCACCCAGCAATAATTGATACTATTTCTGTATAAAGTTTATGAAATAAAGTAAAAATAAAGTTTTGAGTTCATTTTTCGATAGGGTGATAACTGAGAAGCTTTTCGATCAAGTCAACGTGAGAGAGCAACATCCTTCTACAACAATATCTTCTCAAATTCAGCGAGTCAAGAGCGTCACCTTCTGGGTTATCGGTCTGTAGAATGTTGAGGTAAGTGTCCCATTTGTTTCCGATCACTTTGCCACAAGTGAAACAACGAACTGGGATGATCATGACCTAAAACAACAAAACTTACTAATAAAAATATGAAAAATTAAAGACTAAAGCTCTAGTGGAGTCTGTTAATATTAATCATGTTGAACAAAAAATAACACAATCTCCGTGAAATGTTACCAATTAATTGAGAAACTCTCGCATATTGTTATAACTAAACATAAAATATAAATTAAAACTTACGGTTTAACAGACAACAAATTAACAACAAAAACAAGGTAGGATATATCCCTTCTACACTTCGGACAAAAATTTGTTTCGCAAAATGGGCGACGCTAAAACGGAAAGCCAATAATTATTTGCGTTATTCGTCACCGTGGCGGGACGTATATACTTTATTAACGAAAAATTCTATTACTAAAAACTGAAAATACAAAACATATAATAATTATTTTGTTTAAAATAACCGTTTTTCAATTATGTCGATGTTTTAAATAAAATAAAAACGATAATTTTTAAATTATTGTGTATTTTTTCACAACTAAATAGTGAATTGTTCATTTTTTTATGTTTTTGTAATAAATATTTGAATTTACAATATTTTGTAGTATTAGAGTAACTGTAACACCATCTTGCCGGTGTGAACATACCGTTTTACGGACAACATAAGATTTGTTTACCTGCGCCCTGTGTTTTGAAACTGCGGTTAAGCGCGCAGCTTGCGTCCACAAAGTGCATTTGCATTAAAGATTTTTGTTTGTAAATTTGGTTCTTTCTCTGAATATTCTAGCTTGCAGATCGATGAGTTTAGAGTATTAGGTAGCGACCTATTTGTATTATATTGCCACTAGTATATTGCTATTGTAAATATGAAAAGTCACAAACGTGAGCACAGTGAGTCTCATGTGCCCTTGCGAAAAACGTCAGTTGAAAGCCGATCTCAACAAATCGAATGCCAGCCATCGAATGGCTCGGCTCAGAACGCCTCCTTGATGCAAACCATGTCTCTAGACCCTGAGGGGAGTACAACTGAAGCAAGACCAAACAAGGTGGGTGGTTTTTGAACAGGATTTACATGTTTTTATTCTCTGGTAAACATGTTTTGAAATGTTTGTTTTGATCACCCGTTGTATATAAAACTAATGTGATTTAAAATTTGTTATTCGAAATGTCTAAAAGTGATCTTGTTCAGAGATGGCGGAACGAACTGATCAAGACCGTGATCGCTTTCTATTGTCTGATGCTGGCGGCATTTTTGAATTTCTTTTTACTAACGGTGATTCACGATATTGTACCGCTCAAGACCACTAAACGGCTGCCGGATCTAGTCTTTTTTATGGTCAATCAGCAAAGATGGGCGTGGGCTGTTGGTGATGTACTGTCCACTGTGAAGTAAGTTTTTAATAATAATAAAATTAAAGTATAATAATTTTTGGCGTTAAATAGTATCTTTAATACAAACTTTTAGCGCTATTGTTGGATTTATTGTGGTCTTATTACACAAGGAGAGAATAGTCGTGATCAGACGCGTGTTCTTAATCGGAGCTATCATGTACGGGTTGAGAGCTGTTGTGCTCAGTGTAACATTCTTGCCTCCAGCGTTTGATTACCATGAAGAAATATGCATGCCACAGTCTAATCGAACGGGAATGTACGCATCAGAGATCACCGCACGGTGAGAATGTTTTTTAAATTATCTTATCTTTTAGGTTCGTTACCTATGTTGTGACACTTGGACTAACATCTGGTCAAGATAAAATTTTGTGTGGAGATTTAATGTTCAGTGGGCACACAGTCGTTCTTACAATAATGTACTTTACTCAACTACAATATTCACCCCGAGGACTGGTGGTGTTGAGGTTGGTTTTTGAAACTTTTAAAGAGTTTAACTGTACTGTTTAGCAATGTCTTTTGCAGAGTATACAGATTGCTATGTTATATATAAGCATAACAATTTATAGGTATATTGCTACGCCTATTACTTTCCTGGGCATAGCGGCGTTAGTTGTGTCTGGAGGGCATTACACTATGGACGTCCTAATTGCCTATTGGCTGACGTCCCACGTGTTCTGGAGTTATCATCAAATGTTTGAGTTAACTCATGAACAACGTGCCCAAGCCCCGTTATCGCGGCTTTGGTGGTTTTGGCTGTGTTATTGGTTTGAAAACGACGTTAATGCAGGTCCGATGAAGAACGAGTGGAATTGGCCGCTTCCTGGGCCTCAATTCATGCACAATATCATACGCTTAATGAACACCAAATTGCAATAGTCTTGAGTGACAGGTGATATCGTCAAATTGCACCCGGTTTCTTTTGGGGTTAAGTCCTCTGGGGTTCGTTACCTAATAGTTTTATATCTTTTCAACTTATTCATTTCATGACAGATATTAATACCTATAATACTACTTACAACGATGACAGCATTATACTTAGATTTTTGTAAGGTCCCTTTGTGATTGCAAAGCTCCTCTAAACTCAGTTGTTGCAAGATTCTTATTAGCGGCCTGATTGCCGAATCTCACCTTAATGGTCTCAATACTGATGTTTTCACTTTCCGACAAATACGTAGTGAATTTGGGCTTCCCAAACGCCATATGTCTATCTGTCTATACATTGTGTTATGTTGTGTAGTTTTTCCATTTTGATTGCTCAATATCAAAAGCATAATTACTTTAATAAAACAGTTAATATAATACAGGCTCAAACTTGAACTTCTTCTAAGGCAGGAGTGTTGTGAGTCAAATGATTAAGGTGGGGCACTACTACCATAGAAGTCCCCACAGAGTTGGCACGACTTTGTGAGACCATCATTTGGGCCGCTTTACCGTGTCTGGGGCAAGTCGGCGAAATCCCCGGCCGAATCAGTGCTGGCGTTGAGCTTTTAGAACTTCCAGCTAGGAGAGGCTCCTGAATTGAAACATTAAGATAAATGAAGATAACATGATAATATTCAGAAAACATAGGAAAGACAGTAGGTTAGTAATGAGGGTTATAACACACCTGCTCTTGCATGTTGAACTTTTGCTGAATGTTATCTGAAATAAGAGCAACCGTAATTTTTGTGTTTAAACCCACTTTGGCTGTCGTGAAAGATGCCCGTAGGCAGGTGTTGATGCCGTATCGAGTTGGCCGACGAGTCGTAGGCAAAACTGGAAGCTCGAGAAGTCTCGTCACGTGAGTGATTACGTGACGGCATCGGAGGTAAATCTGGACCTGTTAAAGCGGTTTGTGAGGGAGGTAATAACTGCAAACACGGCAAAATTATATTGACTTTGTTTTGTACATTACCTGTTGGCTGAAAGGCGTGTTTGGTATGTAGGTAACCTCAGAAGGGTTACCGTGAGCACTGGTGTAAGGCGAATAAGGCGGCCGTTTTTTGGTGTCGGATTTGTTTTTCTGACACTAAAAGTAGATGGTGTTGTAACTCAGTAAGGCTATGAGATTCTATGTACTTACAAGTTTGTACATCGCGATGTATATGCATGTGTTGATGACAATGAAAGCAAACCCGAAAACAATGGCCAACACAAAGATGTGGTTGTAGTTGCTTTCTTTTAATGACGCTTCTGCAGCTTCTGTAGGCGCTACTTGGGGTTTTGGTTTAATTGCTGAAATTTTAAAATTAGCACCATGTATGATTCTGGATGAACATTACTGTAGTGCACTTACTTGTACTAAGTTTTTTGAGATCTTTAGGCAGAGGTGTGGGAGGCATGGGCGGAGGAGGGAAGGGGTGGTTGTTTAAGTTCGAGTAAGGGCGTACCACACCGTAGAAAGACTGTTTGTTAAAGTGGTCAGGCAAGAAGTGGTGCTCTTCGTCTACATTTCTGTCTCTTTCATCTTTGTTCTTGCTCAACCTAGGTATGTAGTTGTTCCAGAAGCCAACGTAAGAGTTGCGGTAGAAATTCTTAACCCGAGGTCGATCAGCTGTAATCACGATTTGCATAACAAATTGATTTAAGGTTAAGAAGATTAATGCTTACAGTACTAGCTGGCAAAACTTACAAATTTCAAGATACGACTCTCGTGTCGCCTGGTTGAACTGTGGCCACGGAACACTGTGAAACCTGTCTTCAATGGTTGTTTGAGTCGAAAACATCTTTGGTCTTGATGGGTCCCTAAAAACAGTATAACAGATATTATATACCGATTACTTACCCTGTTTTGACAAAGTTGGAAACATAAGTCATCATCACCTTTGATATGTCTTTGTCGTTCCCCGCGAATCCGTCAAATATCTAAATTTCTACAGTACAGTAATGTTTTGTGACTTACGTTTTTCCCGTTTGTCTCTAGCAATGGATACCCGAGTATGTAAGGGACGTGCTCGTCAGAGATGGCACCTCTGACTCCTCGCTTCTCATTTTCGGTCGATTCGTGAGAAAATACGAAACTAAAAAGAATTTGAATAGGTATCAATCAGAAGAGTAAAATACAACATTATATGACATAAATAACTTACAAAAAAGAGTTTGATGACATTGAGGCTTCGTCTGTGGCGTGCATTCTGAGGGTTTCAACCAAAGGAGCGACGTAGAGGATGTCGCCAAGGATATTCAACAACGAATCTCGTATGGATCGACTGTGATTCTGAGAATATAAATATAGACAAAGAAGTGTGTTAACTTACTGCAGGCTCTTCCCAATTTGTATACTCGTTCACAATAGCATCGAACACTTCTGTACGGTGGAAGTCAAATAAGTTTCGTACTAACGTTCTGAAATTAAAATTATATTATAGCGGATTGTGGAGTGAAAAACGTATGAAAAGAATAAATTGGTAAAGAAACAAAAATATTATTAAAGTAAAAGTGATCACTTAGAGTTCTTACCGGATGATTTTGTCGCGTTTCTCGACGTGAATTCCGTGGCTAAGATCGTCGTGAGAGAGTAGATGGTGTGACGGGTGAGACACCGTACCAGCTAACAAGTCGATATCTCTGAACAGACTTCCAAACTTGGGACTGAAGCTGAAGCGTGGATGATTTGGAACAACCTAAAACAAGATGATCAGTATTACTGTAACTAATTTACCTGGCCGTCAACAATCGGTGCAAATGCTGATGTAAACGTGGGAGCCTTGATCTTCTGAGCAGCCATGGTCAGGTTAATCTGACTTTGTTCTTGAATGCACCTCAAGATGTGCGAAGTCTCTTTGTTGAACATGTCCTTCGAGTTGTGTGGAGTATTGGTCACACACTGAATACATGTATACATTATAGTTGACCTTACCTTCAACTCTTCGGCTATCCTCATGAAGTACTGTTGTGGATATTCACTCAATGCCGACGGTGACAACGCTGTTCCATCGAGCAGGATGGCTCTCTTGAACAGCCGATTGTTGGGCTGTGTGATGGGAGAAGCCATCAGCAAAGATATTAACGCTGCTCCAGAGCCCCAGCCCATTAAGGTGACGGTCTGGGGATCTCCCCCAAATGCTGGTAGGATCTTACTCAGCATTTTGAGGGCGGCTACCAAGTCTGTCAGGCCGGCATTACCTGTACAAGCCGAAGCCTCGCATCTACTTAGGAAGCCTAGGAAAAGTTATGTTAATAATGTGTAACTTACCGTATACATCTAGACGGTAGTTTAAAGTAACAACAATAACCTGCCCTGAGGCAGCCAACATAGACCCGTTTATCACATTTCCACTGCTCCAACCGTACTCACTGCCGTGAATTACAACAAGAACGGAGAGGTTGATAGCGTCATCTGAATATTTAAAGAAATTAACATTGCTGTAACAATATTTTTTCAAAATATCCGATAAACGACACTTAATTATATACAACTTACCTAGACGTTCCGGAACGTACAAGTTCATGTACAAACAGTCTTCCGACTGTGGCTTTAGATATGGTAATACCCGATGAATATAGTCGAAACGTTGAGCAGACGTCTTTTGAAGAGCTCTGAAATTGTCATGAACAATATCAAAAAAGTGTAACAATTGTATCATCGGTAAGGTATAGCACGTACTCTGTTTCCGACATATGTTTGAAGCCTGACTGTACACAAACTGCTGCCATCTGAGTAGCGTCTTTAGGCTTGTGAGTCCATTTGGCTGCTGATATGGCCATGTTGAACCGATGCTGAAAGCAATATTAAAACGAACACATATTAGAAAACAATATTTCGTTTATTAAGCCTATAAAACGACATACTGTAACAACAAGACTTACTTGACCCGTCGGAGAGACGCCATAAGGAACACCCAAATATTGAGCAACGGCCGGCAGCTCGCCTCCAACCTCCACAACACGGCCGTTCAGCACGCCGAAGGGGCTGTTGACGGACTTGGCAAGAACGACGAGATCAAGGAACGGTAGAAGCAGGAAGGCGCCAAACATGTCGCGGTGGAGTCAGCGGCCCGGGTTCCGGCCGAAACTCGAGTTGAGCATGCCAAGCCTTGCCTTCTGGTGATATGCCCTATTTCCCTGGTGAATCTGATTCGTTGCCGCCTGAATGACTTTTCAAAAAAGCAGATGAAAGGAAACGGCCCGCGGATAGTAAACTCACAAGTTCCTTAAAAGTTTCGGCCGGGGTTTTCGTCCCCCGACAATAACATTAGCGTCAATTCGTTATGCAAATCAGTAGACACAAACGAAGTGGAGAAGATGAAGCACGAGAAAGGATGCGCGCCCTCTAACTGGACTACCCTTCCGGTCAGCTAGGGTTCATGCTAGTATCGCGGATTTAAGGGGGACAATAGGTTTACGATGACACTGATAACATACTTTATATAGGAAACATACTCTTACTTTCCGGTAGTTTGGTCAAAAAGTAATTAGTAAAATCATCATATATGTCAAGAAAAGTTATTAATTGATCTTTTACTAACGCTTTAGATCCTACATCAAAATTCACAATGATAAAAAAGATCAAAATTGTAAAGCACAGTGTTATAACATAAAGATAATAAGTTTGGTATTCATACTGCCATATCAAAGCAGTCGTTATGCAGATTACCCCAAAAACAAGGCCCTAACTCTTAATAAAAAGTAATCTTTCATTGTCAGTTTGGCGGTTACGCTCCATTAGTCCGATGACATATCAGCTCGGGCCTTTTGTCATAACTCATTATAATGGTTAGAGGTTGGTTTGTCAGTTTTTTGAAGCAAACCTTGCGTGGTCCAAACCCGCTTAATATACTCGAGAACTAATCGCACACTTTAGACCGGTTCTTCTCGAGCTTTTGAGTGGGTCTTCCTCCAGCAGACAGCCATTAAAGACGATAATCAAGTCCTAATTTTAATTAGGCCTGTTAAGAGATACAAGCCCGGTAATTAGCCAAAACAATACGCACCGAATCAAACCTCAAATTGTCACACCCTAAACAAATGTTTTATTGTGAGTAAAGCGGGCCGAGGGAGGGAGGGCCAGCCTTAGATTCAATCAGTTTACTCCTCCTTGGGTTTTCCTTCTCTGGCCTTTCCCCTCCGGCGCTGAGGGGGTTTCGAAGGGTCGACCCAAAACTTTAAAACCTTTTCCTCCTGATAACTTCCACTTCTCTTAATAAATCCGCCGTGGGAATATACTCTTCAAGCTTTTCTGGAGTCAGTTCTGTGGTCGTGATGAAAGAAAGCCCTGAGGGGAGAGAGATCGGATCTGGCAAAACAGTTGTTCCCAAGCTCACAAGACGTGCTGCAATATTGAACTTGTCATGTTTTTATGTTTTTGGAGATGATGTTTTGTCTTATTGCTAATTGTTTGCCCACATGGTATGTTTTCATGATGTCCTGGTGGTTTTCGTATGTTAAGTGGTACCACATAAGAATATGTGATGACAAAGACTGAGGATGGGAAGACAGATCAAATTACAATCATTTAAGTTTAACACATGTTAGATGACATGTGTGCGGATTGCCATAATCTTATGGGTATTAACACATTAATAACACATGACAGACTACTACATATATACATCTTGCACTCTAGAACAATGAAGTTTGAAGTAGGCCTCTTTGGGAGGCAACTTTGACCGAACACTTACAACAATATCGACAACAATTGTACTAAACATTTTGAGTTTTTGTTAAATTTACTGCATTGTATAGTTGTCACAATGCATTCTGACAGAAAAAGCTAAATATTTACTTTGTAAAGGCTTAAATATTTACTTCGTAAGACTTTAAATATTTACTGAGTAAATAAACAAAAACAAGCTCCTAGCGACGTTGCAACACACAAGTAGAAGTCCTTTAATTAAGACATCAGACAGAGCTTAACAGACTTGACCAAGTTGTTGTCAGGGTTCAGAAACCTTGTTGAAAGAAATGCCAGAAATACTAATCGATACGGCACGTTTGAGCTCTCCAGACGCCGTTTCTTTTAAAAGAACCATGGAAGTCCAGGCGACTTGCTCCTGGGCCACGTCCGGCTCTTGTTTTTCGTTTTTCCTTTAACAACTTTGTAAGCTCGTCCTCAAAAGGAAGCCGCTTTGAATTCGTATCGAGCGTTCGGTAATAGGATTACGTGCTATAAAGTTCTCGGATATTACAATCGTTTTCGTGCCTCTTTTTGTTCGGTTTATGGCCACAGACTCCGGCAATTACAAATTCAAAAGGTTTTCGAACGTTGGCACACCTGTCCGGAGTTGTTTTTATGCTGACCTACTGACAATATTTATGATTTAAGATGAGTTACTAGTCGATTTTTATAATTTTCAATGTCTCTTACATGGTATATTATGGTTGTTTGAGCGAAATCTGCGACTTGCTTTGAGCTTCTGCGTGATATTGATAAATGAGGATAACTTACTTCTCTATTTTTGTAATTGTTGATACATTAATCTGCAATATCCGTTGATATACGTTAATACATCGTATTTCTAGTTTCAGATGACTTACTGGATGATATTCCTTCTCTTCAGGTTACCTACAATATACCCAAAACAAAACAGTAAGACTTTAATCACAATATTATTGTACTTTTAGACGATAACCTGGACAAAGTAATCAACTGGAAAGAATCGTATCAGAAGAAGGAGAACAATGAAGCCTCGCTCAACTTTCTGGATTCTATTTTGTCACTCAAGGATGTGAATGTACAGTTAGGAGCAGTAGTAGCCAGAGACAACAAGTCCGTGACCACATTACCTGTATATGGCAACAACAAGATGTGGCCGTCGGCTGCCATAAACAGGCCAGGTGATGTTACCTTGAGGCAGATACAGAGTGCTTTGCGGCTCAGTAAGCGATTTTTTGAATTTTAAATCAAACTTTAAATTAAAAATTGTGTAATTACATTACTGTTTAGAATCGGAAGCCGTGAACACTGAAGAATTACTGTACAAAACACTGCTGGACCCTAAGTACTACGAGAAGAATGTGAGGCCAACACCCTCACATCGACTGCCGACCAATATTACCTTTGGCTTCTTATTGAACCAAATCGTTGAAATGGTATGTCAAGTATAATATTAGAACCTGACGTTTTGTAGAGTATAATATTGTTGAAAGGTATAATGCTATGATAACCTTCATTTGCCCTACAAAACTATGTTTAGGACGAACGTAACCAGAAGCTAACTACCAGATGCTGGTTGAATGTGAACTGGCTTGATAAGAGATTATCGTGGAACTCTACACTTTGGGACGGTATCAAACAGATCTACATACCGTACTACAAGGTCTGGAAGCCTGACATTACTCTAGTCAACAATGCTGTCAGAGAGTACTTCTCGTCCATCATGAGCACCGATGTGATGGTGACACACGAAGGAAACGTCACTTGGCTGTTCTCTGCCCTCTTCAAAAGTAACTGTGCTATCAAAGTACGGTACTATCCCTTCGATGAGCAGGTACTTTTTTGTTAAATTATTTATACATCAAGTTACCTACTTGGCAACATAATATATATCATATTATGATGCAAGTAGTTGCAGTAGTTTATATGCGCAACTTCTTGCTGACAATTGTAAATCTATTGTAACCTCTAGGTTGTGTTTACAGGAATGTGACCTAAAGTTTGCCTCCTGGTCTCACGATATGAGTGAGATCGATGTTGGCATCACAACTGATAAAGGAGACCTCTCCAGCTACATGAACAACAGTGAATTCGACCTCGTGGATATGAAGGCCATTCGTACTGTAACTAGGTTTCCCACCGATCAAGAAGCTCTGTGGCCAATGATTGTCATCAGAATCCGCATGAACCGACGACCCCTCTTCTACGTGTTTAATCATGTAAGGTTGTGGGTAGTCTAACATAACATATTACACGGTATTGTAGCGTAGTGATTCTGACAAAGAGATTTGTTACCAAGTCTTATAAATTACATTACTTACTGGTATTACTATAACTTTAAATATTTACCATGTCTTAGATACTGCCATGCGTCCTGATCTCTTCGATGGCTCTGCTCGGCTTCTTTATGCCACCAGAAACCGGAGAGAAGATTAATATGTGTAGGTTTATGTTCAGAATATTATGAATACATTTAGTATATACATTTATTAAAAACTTTTAAATTTTAGTAACAACTGTACTGATTACTGTATGTACTGTAAGTGAAAGCATAACAGAATCCATCCCTCCAAGTTCTGAAGCTGTGCCCTTGATTGGTATGTTGACAAACGTGTATTTCCTTACATGGAAGATTAATTTACATTGATGATATATCACAACAATTATATTCTTTATTGGATAATTACGCTGTAGTACTACAATATTTTTTAGGAATGTACTACGTAGCCTCACTATTCATTGTATGTTTGGCCACAACTGTCAACGTAGTAACCCTGAACGTTCACCGCTACGGTAAATCGAACCAAGGTCGTAGGGTACCGTACTGGTTGGAGAAGATCGTTCTCGGCTACATGGCCAGCATGTTGTTCATGACAATTCATGAACCTGACTCAATTACTTTGCTCAAGACTTCACAAGTAAGTGGTTCCTATCGGTGTACTCTCATATTGATCTGCTTTCTGTTAGGTACTTTAAGTTTTACAATATTGATTTGCAGTCAAGACTCTCGACATTAAGAAGATCAAGTCTGATGCGAGATCTGAAGAAGTCCAAGAATCTTGAATACAGGAAGGCACGGAGTAGAGAAGACTTGTGTGAATGCATCAGCAGTAACTTGGCACGTTTTGTAATGACTTATATTGAGCATTCGTAATATATGTCAACAAGAACTAACTTAATACCCTTTCAGGCTGCCATGAGAATGTCACAATATGTGGAAATGGAAATCCCGAAAGACAAGGCAGCTAGCCACAAAGCAGGGGAAACTGCCTTCTTGGGCCGCGTTGTCAAAGATCAGGTATGTAAAGTTACCATGGCTAACATAACATGGTTTAGCTGATCCCACGAATCGCTGCCACGTCGAAGCCGGCTCCAATGATTGCCGAGTTCGAAGAACGCTTCAAACGGATTCTGAAGAGGATCTACAGAAGTCTACAACAACATGAAATCCGAGAAGAGGTAAACTTTAACTGTAGTTAATACTTGCGTACTTCCTATATATTACGCAAAAGTAATCCCAATATATCGATATTACAGTATATAAACAAGACAAGCGGTGTAAATTATAAAATACGAAAGTAAATCTTCACTTTCAGATACTGGACGACAGAAAACGGATCATGTGGCAATGGCAAGCCTTGGCCAGCGTTATGGACCGCCTATTACTGGTACTGTTTCTGTGTGCCACTTTGTTAACCATCTTCACTTTCATGTTTATGCCTTTAGAGTCACGATTTCTGAGCTTGTAGAGTACTACTACACGTCAAACTGAGGGCTGAATTCTAATTCAGTACAAAACCTACTGTAATGTAATTCATTTTGTTGTTTTAGGCCAGTTTAACGTGTACTGTATCTTCCCACAATCACAAAAACGGGGTAAAGTAAATAGTTTTAAGGATCTTAGGTACAATAGCAAGACTTCTTCTAAGTTATTTCTCATTATTAAAGCAATAAAACCAAGTCACTTTTGTTATCTTGTCATTTTTCGTAATAAAATACTGTAAAATATCGGATAAATTTTATAAATAAAAAACTGTGTAAAATGTTAAAAAGTATTTGTAAGACTTTAAAGAAGATTAAGAACCTCATGTCGCCATTTTACTTTTACTTCATCAGTTATTGTTTCACATACTCGATGGGTGGGATTAGTTTCTGCGAACACTTCTGGCAGTAAGCCTTCTCATGGATTTGCTTGAAGTTGGCCCTTGTCAGCTGTTTACGACAACGGGAACATTGGAAGTGCTCGGGATGGAAGTGTTTCCCTAAGGCAATCACACACCGGCCGTGGATGGGCAGATTACAGTGGCAGCAGACCGAGCCTCGCCTCAAATGGTAATCCTTCTCACACAACGGCATTCCCTTCCACTCGAAGAACGTGCCGTTCAGGAATGGTGAGTGACAGTCCTGAAGTTTCCGGCTTATTGTCCTTCATAACAGTATATTGTTGTAGGTTAGTGTTTTCATTGTTTTTAAGTTTAATAACGACACAATCTAACCAAAATTTTAAAAATAACTTGCATTTAAAGGCTGAATATTTTTAAAATTTTAAACTTTGAAATATTACAAAACCAACATACCGTGCAGACAAAGCAATCCCGGTCCCAAGTATGCCCCAAAGCTGAGATGAACTGATTCTGAACTGGTCCCTTACATCCATGACACTTGGGACCAAACAACCTCAAATAGTCCATCTTACAGTATGCCACTCCATCCTTCTCGTAGTATCCATCGATTCCAAAGTCTGACTCACATTCAGCACATACGAAGTGTTCGGTGTGGTATACCTTGCCTAAGGCATGTACACATCTCTAAAAACATTTATTTGTTTACTTAAACGATAATGTAGTCAAAAGTACATGGAAAACTTTTAAATCTTATTTTTTATTAAAATAAAAAATATTATGAAAAATAATGACCTGATCCAACAATAACCTTCAACACTTTTTAAAACTAGAAAATTTAAATTTAAACTTGCATCCTTAATAGCCTCGTCACAGAAAGCACATCGAGGTAAGAACAGGTCTTGATAGTCTCTTTCACAGTACGGTTTGCCGCCTCTCTCGAAGTACGGCACGTTGCCAAGTTGTTGACCACATTGGCAACAGATGTAATGCTCTGGATGCCAGTTCTTACCCATGGCAATTACAATCTGAATTTAAAAGTAGCGTTTCTAAACAATATGTGCTTTAAAATTTATATAAAATTACCATGATTTACTAAAAGTTTTTAAAGACAATAATTTTTATGATTTTACAAAAAAAATTACATTTTGGATAAAAAAGACCAAAATTATAACAAAATAAGTTACCTGCCCCACGATCTGATGCCCACAGCCAGCACATTCCCCTTTTGGAATGGTGTGAACCCCGTGACGGTCCGAGACGTAGCTCATGATCCAGAAAGACGGTGTTCAAGTGAGATAAAGCCTCGGGCCGCGCACTTGGCCGATTGAATGTTTGTTTTCTTTTATCTCGTCATGTCAGATCAGACGAACAGAAGGACACAAACACAACTAACATTGGAAATACATTAAATCTGACTTTTTTCGAAATATTTCGAATTTTAAAATTATGAAACAGTTTTATAACCTTAACTTCTCGTAATTTATCATACACTGTTACACATCATGCCAAAATAAAAGAAAAATGGAACTAAGGTGGCCGTGGCATTTCGTTAACTCAAAAGTCTCAAATATTGATTCAAAAAATAAAATAAATATTTAAAATGTTGAACGAAACGTGTGAAATTACTAAATAATAGTTAAAATAAATCAAATTTTGAGCTGTAACAAATATTAAAAAATTCGCTATGTTTCGGCGGTTCTTTGAAGGCCAAACTGGTCTTGATCCGTCAAAGAATCGTCCAGATATCACACTACAAGTTTACCACAAACGAATTTCATTTTCAAAATTCCGACCGCTTAATTTCAAACAATTTTTTACAAAAAATAGAATTTCACACTTCGCATCGTTTTTTACACGAAATGTCACTCTGTCTTTATTTCCTCTTTTGGCATGACGTGTGTTACCTTAATCATAAAAATCGATCATTTTAACATGCCATTTACAGAATTAAGTTTTAAAGGAAATCATCGTATGTACAAAAAATGCAATATTATTGATAGGATTGCCCTATTTGCCCAGACATATCGCATATCTTTAACCTATATAACTGTATTTATATTGTAGTAGTTGGAAATAAAACATTTTTTGCTTTTATTCTTCTAAACCCTGTTTTTTAACAAATATCAGTCCTACAGGACTTTTTGGAGTACTTTATCGCGCATTTCTTTAAGAAAACCAAAATTTACGTGAAAATTCCCTAAAAAACAAAATAACAAAAAGCAAACTGCGCCCTCAACAAAAAGTAACTTATTTTTGACAAAATTTACAAAATATCTTTGTCAAGTTTTAATTTCGTTTTGGGATTTTTCATAAGATAAGAATGTTTCCTATTCATTTTTCTGGTTTTAGGCTTCGACTGTCTACAAAAACATCATGTCTGGAGACAGCAAGACCTTGTACACGGCCGAAGAAGTGGCCAAGCACAACTCCAACGAAAGTTGTTGGATTATCCTCGAGGACAAGGTCTACGATGTCTCCAAGTTCCTCCTAGAGCACCCTGGAGGCGAAGAAGTCATATTGAACTTGGCCGGACAAGACTGCACAAACGAATTCAATGATGTTGGCCATTCTTCAGACGCCCGTGCCATGACCGAAGACTACCTGGTCGGCCACCTGCATCCAGACGACCACAAGAACGCCAAAGAACCTGTAGTTGTGGAGTTTTCCATCGAAAAAGAAAATATCGGAGATATTCTGTCAAGCCCGACTTGGACCAACTTCCTCATTCCCTTGGCCATCTCCATCGTGGTCTACGCCCTTTTCAAGGTATCTCAACGTGTGATGTAATGAGCTAGTTGTTTTGTTATAATGCAGAGGATTTTTGCCGATTCAATGGAAACCAAGAAGTCCATCGGGTCTTTCGATCAACTAAAGATGCTCTGCCTTATCCAACGTGTAAGCAATTAATTATTTTAATATCTTTTCAACAATAAACTTTATTTCTTTCCTTCGACCATGATTACGTGGTACCCGAACTTGGTCTTGACCGGAGGGTCAGTGTAGATGGGTTTGTCAGTTGTACTCTTGGGCAAGGCGAAAGCTGCGTCTTGGAAAGGGCCAACCATAGATCCCCTGGTCATCCATCCGAGGTCTCCCTAAACTATAAGACAATGATATCAACAACTTACGCCTGATCTGGCTTTGTCTTCGCTATATTGAGCTGCTACTTCGTTAAACTTCATACCCGCTTTTAACTTTTCAATGGCCTCCAACGCTTTCGACTAAAAAATAAAATTAAAACAACGGCGCTTATGCAAATCATTCCCCAAAATCAAAAAATCGTTACCCACTCGTAAAGGCATAACCGTTACCCCCTGTGATAATATCCAATATTAAACGTTCGTACCTGCTTCTCACACAAGATATGTCGTACTTTTACTGTGGTACCACCTTTTGCTTCTTTAGAACCGCCCTCGTCTCCCTTAGCCGCTGGCTTCTTCTTTGGTGGCATTCTAAACAACAAACTTGTTGTGCAAACATTACATGTCAGATATTGTATAGGGGATTACCTACTCTTTACAATCAGACATCAACAGGTCAATTAGATATCTTTTATTCAAATAAATTACTGTACATATTTCGAAGCGTCTTCGTAGGGAACAGTGACGCTCCTACCGTTCCGTGTCCCCTGTTTGATACGTAGTTTAACAGAGTAATCTCTTGTGAGAATCTCCTCTAGAACTGCTATTTCTCCTCGGTAGGCACCATTTACTATCATCATATCTCTCCCTACTTTGGGTATCACGGTCTCCAGATACTTCTGATCCAGAATGACTTCGTCACCAGTATCATCTAACTCAATAACTGCTCCGTAGGTGTCTTTTACTCTAGTTACAACACCTTTGCTTTCGTAGTATTCACTGCCCAACTTCTTGGTGACTATTTTGACGACAATTCCTTTGTGAAGCCAGTGATCCTTGCGGTTCTTCTTCTCCTTGAATCTTTCTTCCTCCATTTTCAACTCATCCAACGCTGATCTTTTGGAACCTATAAAGAAATATTTCACTATATTCTTTATAAGCACCTTAACAACACGCCAAGAGTACGAACATTTACAGAAATTTAAACATAATTATTGAAAGATCCACTTACTTTGTGGTTTCCTATCCCTCGATGAACCTCCATAATCTTTTCGTTTGACGTCTAGAGCTGGCTTTTCTTCTACCTTCTCCTTCTTAACTCCCTCTTTTTTCACCTTAACTGTCTCTTCTGTAACTTTAAAACTACTTTCAGAAGTAGTGGCTTTAAAGTTGAACACTATAGGTTTAGCGTCTTCGTCTCGTACCAACTCTTCTGGTTCCAATTGATTTAACAGCTCTTCATTTGCTGTTTCCATAGCTCTTAAATACATTTTATAATATAATAGCCAATGCCCACGTGCTATAATTGTTAAAAATACGGTTTTTTTACAACTGTAAAATAATATAACATTGACATACCTCTCCATCTGTCGCTGAAGCAAATCTTCCATCCTTTCATCGTCTGTTTTCTCTTGTTTAGCTCTTCTTAACGTCTTTTCCTTTCTCATCTCCTCTTCTTGATCTATCAGTTGGACAAACCATCCTTAAAATTAAACATTTATCAACAAAGTAGTTTACTTTTAAAAAATCAAATATTGAGCAAAAACCATAAGAAAAACTTAAAAACAATCCAAACATACCTTTTTCAGTCTCGTCAATCCTGCATTTACCAGACTCTTGAAGATGATGGATAAAGCCCGTCAAAGTGTGCCACACTGTCGAATTCATGTGAATATGGCCTTTGTCTTTGATGAGATCCTGATAAACATCATTGGCTCGAACTCTCTTGCCCCCAAAAGTATTTTTCAATATCTAAAACTATAATATAAACATAAAAACTGCTTACATGTAAGAAGTTCGATTCGAATTCTTTGCTGAACTGCTTCAAATAAGACGTTTGATTCTCAGCAAACAACAGAAGTTGACGTTGATGAGCTTCACTTGTTAAATGGCATTTGAACCCATTTTGATCTCTACATTGTTTCTGACACATTTGACAAAACCTGCAAACAAAAAAAATGTAGTTTTAAGTATGTTTTCAATATAAAAATATGTTTCTTTGACTTACCATTTCAACTTCTGAAGTCCTTTAGACTTGGCCTTGTTGGCCAAAGCCTTGATTGATCCCTTTTCCGCTTTACCCATGTTTTATGTACAAAAAAGGTATCTAAAGTTCAATAAAAAATATTTTTCAACTTTTTCCGAAGTAAATTGCGAAAATAATAAATATTTTCGTCCTCCCACGAAGATGGCTTTCTGTTTCTTCATACAAATTTTTGTTCGGGATGTTTATTTTGAACGCATAAAGTGCAAGTAAAGCAACTGGTTTCCCAAAAGGTAATATACCAAATTTATTTACCATAATTAATTAAAAAATACCCTAACAATAGGAAATATCTGTTTAGAAGAGGAGTTCTCGTAGGTTCTTGTAGTTCTTCTCTTGCTGAAAACAATTGGATTAGTCTTATGAGGTGAAATAACCCCAGTTATGTAAAAAACTAGTAAATCACTCTGATTTCTACTATAAATAACTAAAAAGTAATCTATAATAGAGAATTTTATTTCATAGTCATTGTCACATTACCTTCGCCCACATCTTGTCGTCCCATTCGGGGAACAGCTTCTTGAAGCCTGGGTTTTCTTTGCCTTGGTATAAGATGTCGATGGTGGCGGTTTTGTGACGAGGAATCTTGTCCGTGTCCAGATACTTCTTGGCAGTTTCGTTGGCGGCGTCTTTCTCAGCTTTTTTGGCTCCATCTCCAATCCAGACGTAGATGGTGTTGAGGGCATCCAGGATCATAACATCGTCTGTGTCCAAGTCTTCTTGGTAGAAGTCGGCGATCTCCTCTACTACGAGCTTTCCAGTTTCATTAGAAACATTGAAAAGTTTTGGCTTGAAGTTGGAGGTCTTTTTGGCATCGTTCCAGTTCGAGAACCATTGAGTAAAGCTTTGAGGTTCAGCACCTTCCAAGACCTTTACTACCTGGGTATACTTGTTTCTTTTCTGCAAAGCATACCATAATTTATGCGAAAAAGTACAACAACTATAAAAGAGATTAAAATTGGTTTCTTATAACATACATGTTGTTCAAGGTATTCTTGACCCCATTTTTGGGCTTTGGACCGTTCTTGTTGGGTACCTCCCTTCCCAATCCATACAAAGAGACCTCCTTGATCAGCATCAAGAATAAACGCGTCCTACAACAATTCTGCGTATAATTAATTTACTACACACATGTTTCACAAATAAAAAGTACTGTTAATATATTGGATTGCCTTACATTAGTGTTAAGATCCTTGATGTTCTGATGACCCTGGTTGACTTTAGTGACTTGTAAGGTTCCGCTAGCATCAGAAACCTTCCACAATGTTACGGCTTCTCCCTTTTCTCTCCAGTAGTTCTCGTCAGTTCCACCAGCTCGTGGAGTCTTGACCCAAGAAGCCCATTGGTTACCTCCAAATGGCTTCCAGAAGGCGTGATGAGTGTTCCATTCTTGATCAACAACGTGGATCTTTGGTCGACCAGCACGCTCTTGGTCCCTGATACTCTTGGCCTGGTTCACACCCTTCATTCTTTCTAACCTTCCGGACTCTGGAGGCATCCATACGAAGATGTCGAGGCCACAGTCAAGAATAAACACGTCTCCCAAGTTCAGGGATTCTTTGATACAGTCTACTTGAGTACAACGTACGTTCCGTTTTCCTTTGCATTGGAACAGCTTGGGTTTGTAGTTATCGTAAGAGTCAACGACGTGGTTGAAGCCGGTAGCGTGACCTCCTTGGAGATATCTAAAAAAGATTACATGATGTGATTGAACATATTGCTTTTAAATTATTTTTAAATGAAAAAATTACTTGATCCCGTCTCTGAAGTACGATAAGAAGAGTGCACTTTCGTGGTCTTGGACTTCTCGATATTGTACAGGAATGCCACCGAGGCAATCGTCCAATTCTACAGTTTTGATGGCGGCCGTTCCAGCCTCGTCTTGGGTGGTGTTCCTTCCTAACCAGAAGTGGACGTCCCAGTTGTCATTGTTTTTCGTCTACTTAAAGGTCAGCTTAATGGTCATGACTTACGTTCAGAACAATGTAAGAGTCGCCAGAGTAAAAGTTTCCAAATTGTTCTTTGGGCACGACCTCCAAGTCGAACTTCTGAAACAAATAGCTTATCAAGTTTCAAGTGTTTACGATTAGTTAAAAACGCAAACTTTAAACTCATATATCATTGTCATGAACATTTGCCACAACTTATGAGTCATCTATAAGTTATGGCAACAAACCTTGATGCGCCAGACCTCGAGGCCACGTTGCTTTCCAGCATTCTTAAACTTTGGATCCACCGCAACCATTGTTGTTGTTGATTTGACCCTTAGCTTTTAATAAACTCTTTTTCACCTCAGCTTAACTGCGGAGGCCTGAGGGAGCAGCTGGCTAATCACCTTTATCTCAAAGAAACAAAAGTGTTCCAGAAGAAGGCGGGGCCTCACATCATTTTGAGCGTTCAACATTTGTCATAATCCATGTTACATACAGTAATACCATATTTTAATAAGTGGGAGATGACGCTGCTAAAAAAGACATACTTTTAAGAATGAGCAATATGTGACTACTTATCACCATTTTTCAAAGTTAACAAGAATTAATTTTTGAAATTTATCAAGATACATAGGTTTACACTTTTCAATCATTGATTCCGATATATATTTTCAATGGTGAAACATTTTTAAAATGTCAAATTAAAACCAACAGTGAATTCCTTTTTCACAGACATGCTATCGACAAAAGTATAAAATCGCTATGCAGCCCGCAAACCCACGGACGCAGTAGTACATCCCAAAAATAATAGCAAAAATAATATTTTAGTTAAAAATGTTTTATTCCAGCGTTCTTTTACAAGTTTTACCAAAATAATACGCCACTTTTTCAGGTTACCCAACGAGTGATGTTTTAATGAGGAAAGCATTATCTTCTGTGATCGAAAACTTTCGCCAGGGCTTGAAAAGAACAATTATATTCGACAGAATGGCTGAAAGCAATCTCTTGGGTTTTTTAAACAATGTTAAAGATGGTGCTGTCGAGAATAAAGAGCCTGCGAAGCCAAGAAAGCCGAAGAAGGTCACTTATGCTATGATGTTGTCATACCAAGGAAAAAACTACTTTGGAATGCAGGTATACCCTTTATTTCCCCTTGGACTTCTGCCAATTTGACAGAATATACAGTAAAGGACTAAAATTTTATTTTTTTGGGTTCAGAAACAAAAATCGGAAGCGACAATTGAATCTAACCTTCACGATGCCATGAAGTCAATTGGAGCCATTACCGAAGCAGAGTGCGCTAAGCCGAACTTGTGGTGGTTCCAAAGAGCGGCACGGACGGACAGAGCTGTATCAGCCGTTAGACAGATCTGCTCTATGCAATTACCTCTCGATCAAGACTTTATTGACAATGGCCCTTCGAAGATGAATGCTTTGTTACCTAAAGATATCAGAGTTATGGGTATCAAGAGGACTACACCTTCTTTCCACGCTCAGAAGACTTGTGATGCTAGAACCTATTCTTACACAATTCCCACTTTTGCATTTGCCGAATTGGACAAACTCACCAATTGGGACTACAGAATCAATGAGGAGAAGATAGCCGAGATCAATGACGTGTTGAGTTCGTATATTGGAACCCACAACTTCTTCAACTACACTTCCAAAAAGTAGGTTTCTTCTCAACTTATCAATTACTTGACAGTCCTTAAATCGTGATACTTCAAACGGTATTTTACGCTTAATAGTCAAAAAAAGGCAAAATCACTGTACATTTTAGGGATCACGATGATCGCAGTTGCTACCGATACATTAAATCTTTTGAATGCACGAAACCGTTTATTTTCCACGATGAATTCAGAAACAAAGATGTCGAATTTGTGACGGTATACGTTAAGGGACAAAGTTTTATTCTCCATCAGATCAGAAAAATGATGGGTATGTTTTAAAATAATACTTTATTTTTAAAGTTGCAGTACCTTTTTGATAAAAATTAATGTTCTTACCGTCAAGGCTGCTTTTTGTTACGTTACAGTAAATGTGTCAGACCACATTAAATTTTAAAATCATTTTAGGTATGCTGATCAGTGTGATCAGAAGACAGGTCTACAAGTCTGATATATTGAAGTCTTTTGAGAGCCGGAGGGTAAGTATCCTATTCGTAAAGGTTAAATTTTAATGTTTAGATGGACGTTCCACGAGCTCCGGGATTAGGCTTGTTGTTGGAGAAGCTGCACTACGATGTGTATGAAACAAGATTTTCGCAATCGCACGGTTCTCTGAATGATTGGGGAGAAGAGACGGAGGAAGCCGTCAAAAACTTCAGAGACGAATACATCGTCAGCGAGATTCTGAAGGGAGAATGCCAGACCAACCAGTAGGTTTTACTTATTGGTATTGGGACTACTTTGGTGAATGTTTTAAAATCGCATAAAAGATTATCCGTAATTTTTGAAACAGAAAAGTAAAATATTTTAAAAAGTATTGTTAATACCTTCAGAATGATGCTGTGGTTATCAACACTAGTTCAACACAGATTTGCATGTGATCCACTAGACCAGAACGGCGAAAGTAATTCAGACTTAAGAGAAGCCGCTAACGTCGCTACCTATGGTGTTCCGGAGCCAGAAGAGCCAATAGATACTGAAGAATTAAAGGCTGAACTCGCTGCCGACTCTGGATTACCTACAGATCCCCCTTCTGAAATCACAGAAGAAACGGGCGAGAACGAAGAAGATGAACCGCAAGAAAAGAAGGCACGAATTGCTTGTTAACCATTGTTACTTTTTGTTATTTCATTGTTAACTAAACAAAAAACAACAACCTATTTGAGATCTATTCGTGTTCCGTTTTCCACTTCCGATATTCGGCCAGTTTTCTGGCCTGCTCGGTTTGTCCTGTTAAACGTGCATTTCTTCTATCGTTTAGGTACATTTCAGTCATTCGGTGACGGAACGCTGGATCGTGGAATCTGAAGAGTTAAAATCACTTGAAAGAAACCTAAAACAAAAAATACAAAACACGTCAACATACTTGTCTTTCTTGCATCCATTAAGAATATCTTTGGGCAAGTCGCACCTCTTCAAACCCATCGCTCCACCTTCCTTTCTCATACATGCTACAAGATCTTCTACTTCTTTCCTGCATTCCGTCTTCTCAATCTGCTTGTTCATAAGGTTCGGAATCAGCACGTCTGCTTCAATCTTCCTCAACGACCGGTCGTTGGGGTCTCCAATGCCATAAGGGCCACTAACAGATTCGTAAGGCAACATGCTCTTACGAGCTCGATACCTCTTTCCATCTGGTCCAACTACAATTTGTCCTTCCTTCAAGCTCCTCAACTCTTCTTTCTCAAAGCTGGAGAGCTTGATAGGGTTTTCTTCTGACATTATTATACTAAAATTACACAAATTCGACAAAATATACAAAAATAAAAAAGAATTTCAATTTTTATTGCTACAATCGACTGAAATACGAAGTGTCACAAAATTAATTGAAGATCAAGTGGTAGACGAGGCTTCGGCTTTGTTAACTTGGGCGTCGGTAATCACAGTAACCTGTTCAAAACTATCATCGTCTCCCTTCTTCTTTTCTTTTTTCTTGTCTTCTTTGCCCTGCAATGTTGTTTTAGATTACAGTGGTGGTCTTTTAACCCTTATTCTCAAAGTGCTACAAAGAAAAACTTACTTTTTTGTTATTATCAGTGCTCGATTTTCCTTTTCCTGCCTTCTCCTTGGCACAATTAACGAGGGCGAAAATGAGGGGCAAAAACAGTACAGTAGACGTGTACAACAACACTAGTATCGCATGCATATTCTTATTTGAACACAACCGAGTCCACTTTTACTGTCTTACAAATAAAGTTTTCAATCAAAATTCTTCAGAAGCGATTGAATTCAAAAAAATTATTCTACTCAATTTTGAATTTTGAGAGAGAATCATACTTTTGTCAGAATTTAGATTATACGCAGTTCTTGAGAAAATTTCACTACAACAATAACAACTCTACATCGATAACATGACAATTCAATAAAATTATTTATATCATTCTAATATGCAAAACCCTGAATGTAATTTACAAGATGTTTGGATCGGATCTGCCCAGCTTGAAAACTTGCTCAATTTGCTGAAAAAGTGAGGTTAATACCAACTAAGATTCTTGTCAATAGTTCATTCATAGTTACGAACAATAAACTTACTCTTTTGAAAACGTCAAAATTGTGGTCTATAAGTCCCTGTTTCTCGTAGTTCTCTTCTTTGATTACACATACTAAAGCCAAGTAGAGGTTGATTTGTCGTAGGAATATAACTTGTTTCGTTTTGAGAGTGATAACGGCCGAAGAGTTGGGATCGAAGCCGTCAGATCTGTTAGAATTGCTAAAATACAGTGATTAGCTTCTGTTACAACGCACATTCAAAATTTTTCTTACCCATAAATGGAAGATATATCAGTAGCTACGTCAATCATGTCGCAACATAACTCGTACGTTGCCATATCGACTGGTGAGGTATCTGTCGCAATGTATATTTTGCTAGCAACATCAAACAAGAAAGACTTTTCAACATTAGATCCCTGAAAACAGACATTAACCTTAATTTATAAATCCTACAGTTTTCAATATTGTACTAAAAAGGAAGTACCTAGTCCACTCCAAAATATATTTAATAATCGTGTTAACCTACCTGGTTAAAAATGTCCAGCAACGACTCTAGAGCCAGAAGTTGCTTTATTAGCTTCTGAATAACCTTGCTGAAGGCTTCGAAGATGGAATGATCGTAGATACTGGTCATGTGATAGTTGATCCTTATCTTCTCCATGCCTTGATCAGCCAAGTCGTCCTGAACGGTTTGGAAGATCTTTCTGTGCGTTTCCATTTTCGTTTCCTCACTGAGACCATCAACTTTGTGTACAAAAACTTCAAACTTTATGTTTTTGTTTATCTGGTACGATCTGACAATCGATGGTACCATCTTCTTTAGCGCTTCATCATAATCTGCTTGTGCATCAATAACGAACAATAACGCCCCACATCTTGTGAAGATAGCATTTGGATCAAAGCTAGCTTCAAACGGATCCACTTGACCAGGAAATTCAATTGTTTCGAAGTTTATGAATGAATCAGACACAGCTAAAAATACAATCAATATCAAGATATAACTTACACTCATTTGTAACTCGAGCTGTGCTTTCCACAAACAACGTCTCGTTGGGGGACATCTTCTGGAACACGACCTTCCTAATAGAAGTCTTTCCACTGCGTTTCAACCCCATAATAACAATGGTCGGTCGATTTCCAACAGAAGATTCAGAATCCGAGTCCTCATCTCGGAGTCCATAATCGAACTCTGATGTTTCGTATGCTTTGTCGTCAGACATCTACTTCAGAAACACAAATTTGACAAGATGATTAGCTACGATTATAATCGCGATTAGACCAAAGATAATTTACTGATATAAAAGTAAAAACAATATTTTGATAAAACCAATCAATAATGTAAACAGGTTTGTGACACTTCGTCTTATATTATCAGAAAATTTTTGGAAAATTTAGAGATTGAAATGTAAAATTAGAATAATTGGGCATTTTTCATACCCCAAGGGTTACTTTTACATTTTTTTCTGATATAAACGTTACATTTTATTGTATTTTCAGAATGATATCGTTAAAGTGTTGTCGGGTGTTGCAGAATGGCCGACGCCTTCAAGCCTTCTTAAGGAATACGAGGAGGTTAACTACAGAACATACAGAATCATCAGAACCAGAGTTTTCAGAGTTGATTGATGAGATGGTCAGCACAACAGAACAAAAGGTAAGTCGATATATGTGGCAGAGATATGTTTAGGAAACCAATTTTGCCAAATTGTTCAAGAACTCAAAGTTTGTTCAATTGGGAGACTACGACGGACGATTGGTGTCTGGTAAGATTGTTCACCGTGTTGGAAATGACCTTTATATTGACTTTGGGTGTAAATTCAATACTGTTTGTAAAGCGCCAGAAGACAGCGAGTAAGTATAACATTTTTGGCTATAATGATGTGTTTTACGTACCTGAAACGAAGGATTTTACATTTATAGAGGTTATTTGGTCGGAGCTAATGTACTGGTACGCTTACATGATCCAGAACTGTCAGAACGTTTCCTTGGTTCAAGATATGATCTCACGATTCTCGAAGCCGATGCCACGCTTATCGGGTTGTATGGAAGACGACGAACAGGTGAGTGTAACAACAATATTATTCTCGGTGTAACGTTTTTCACGAAATTTAAGTTTATTATCATATTTTACGTATTTTAGCGGAAGAAACAAAGACGCAATAGGCCACGTTGTTATTGAATTTGTTTATTGTTACAGTTGTAATAAAGTAGCGAAATTGAAAAAATTGTTAAGAGATCGAATGTATAGTTATTGGTTAGTTGACGAGTGTGTATCTGAGGCGCTTGTTTTGATCTTCGAATAACACTCCAGAGTTCGTCCAGGTTTCGATGCCTTGTAGCACGACATCTTCGTCGATTCCTTTGGCTACACACTTTCTGATGATGTCTCTTCTGGTGACGTTGTTGTGGCCAGATTCAACCAAGAACTCCCGGATGGCATCGAATGCTTCATCTTGAGGGTTCTTTCTTCTGAAAATTTACATGTTTTCAATGATTTTTAAGTAATCAACCGTTATTATTATAAGTTAAAAAAAAGAGATAAATAATATCAAAAACAACACTTACCTCCTAACATCCATAACTTTGGGAGCCAAAGAAGCCTTGGCGGAGTCCATAAGCCTAATGGCTTCATCGACGTGTTCGGCCGACACTTCGTCACTCAAATGAAGGCGAGCCAAAGCAGTGCTCAAACGAATAATACCCAAAAGCACACGAGGAGACGTGTACGTAGAGTTCACAACTTCTTCGGCATCGTTTCTGATTTGCACGTACTTTTCGACCAACCTGGCGGTCAAACTGGATGGAAATCTAGGTTGCTTCTTTTTGCAAATTGCAATGTATTTTCTAAAATAATCAAAATTAATTGTTGAATGCATAAAAAATAATAATAAAATAAATTTTATTTACATTCCCTAAAAATTAAATATGAAATAAGTTACTCGCCTGACAAGATCCATATGTAATGGCTCCATAGCGGCCTTTGGCTGATGACCTTCTCTGTGTACGAAGGTGACGTGCTCAGCCAGACGACGATCGGCATCTCTATCAGGGCGATCCTGGATCAGCCACAACAAGTCGAACCGAGACAGAAGAGCAGCTGGCAGTTGAATATTCTCCTCAATCGAACGTTTCGGATTATACCTTCCAAATGCTGGGTTGGCGGCAGCGACAATAGATACACGAGCATTCAACGAGGTCAAGATACCAGCCTTTGCAATTGAGATGGTCTGTTGTTCCATGACTTCGTGGATGGCTGTTCTGTCACCGTCCATCATCTTGTCAAACTCATCGATACAGCAGATACCTTTGTCAGCGAGTACCAAGGCACCACCCTCCAATGTCATTTCTCCCGTCACAGCATCTTTAACGACAGCAGCAGTCAGACCAACACCAGACGACCCACGACCAGTAGTGTACTGACTCCTGACAGCCAATCTGTCGACGTAAGACAACAGTTGAGATTTGGCCACACCTGGATCGCCGACCAGAAGGACGTTAATGGCACCTAAACGCAAATTTGAAATAATTTTTTATTAAAGTTTTAACTGGAATTTATTAATATTTTCTCATTAAATAATAGAACTTACCTCTAATCTTCATTCCAGACTCTTGAGCGTCTGTTCCACCAACCAAACACAGAAGTAGCGACTTCTTGACATCTGACAAACCATAGATTTCAGGAGCAATACTGTAAGCCAATAAATCGTAAATGTTTTCCTGAGACACAATGTCAATTTCTTCTTCTGTCATTTCAGCGTCCACAAACTCCTCGGCGTCGTTCCTGCTGTTCTTGATGAAGTGAACATCTAGTACAACATCAGTGATCAAACCTCCACCCATCTGTTTGAATCCGGTATTTAAAGTTGGAGTAAGCACTCCACAGACAAGTACTTGATCTCCTGGTTGTACTTTCCTAGTGTTTTCTCCGTAACAGAAAGCCGTAGTAGCTCTGGGAATGCTTCCTACTGGTACTTGATCGCTCTAAATATAAAATTTAAGATACAGACTCAAAGGGGTAATAATACTAAACAAAACAAAAACTGACCATTTCTTGAATACGAATCTCCTGGAACTTTGGCATTTTTGACCCACGGTGTTGTAGTTGCAATCGTCCACCAGCCTTAGAGTCTACACAATCCTTACTTTGACACGCGATCAGAGGTTGGAAGGACCTTGTGGAAATAGTCTGGTACAACTCAGCACCACAGGTATCACAACTATACGTGATAACACTAACAGAAGGCTTAACGTCAGAAACTCTTATGACAACACCTCTCATTGTGACAAGCTTTCCAACACAGTTGGCTCTGATATCTCTAACAGCGAGTTGTGGTGCCACTGGCTCTTGGATAAAGTAGATCTCACTGAAAATGTATAGTCAATATGCAATATATTACCTTTAAATATAAGTCTCTATAATTGAAGGATAATGTCTTGATACCTAAAAGTCACTTACAATCTTCTCATCAGTTCCTCTGGATAAGAATTCTTTGGGTCTTCTGGTACCTGGTTGCCCTCCTGTTTCGTCTCCTGCTCCTTCTTGTCGACGTATCTTCGTTGAAACACAAAGGCATCAAGAGCATCTAATACAGGAGCTTCCATGGTGTCCAGAATTTTTTCAATCATACCATCAATGCATTGAGCAAACAACTTCTGATACCTCCTGGTGTTGTTCTGAATCTCGTTCTTCAAGTCGGGATCATGTACATTAACATCAGCCAGCTCCACATACAAAGCGACAAATTTTCTAGCGGCCAAGTCAGTTACCTTGTCAGCGTAAACAAAGTTCTTGTTACCATCTTCGTCAGACTTGTAGAAGTTCTGTAAAAAGTCGTTGATTCTGGTCTTGGCCTCATCGTAGTTCTTGATCACGCCCATTGTTATTAAATACACTAAATTAGATCTGAAATGGAATACATTACACACAAATGAATGTAAAGTACTTTTAAACACATTTAGGTTAACGATAGCCATTTGAAAGTAAACTACCACGCTAATTAAAAATTTTAAAAAAAGTTGACACCCATACGACACTAGACTCGTATACTATGGGTTGCTCTATCGGAATTTGTCGCCAAATCTTTTCCGTAAAATTGTTTTATTTTTTCGCGCTCATTCCTTTTCGTCGCGAGACTCAAATAGTTAAGGAATGTAATTCAAATTCAAGTGTTTTCCGCGCAAAAATGGAGAAACAGCGATACGACACGATCTCCCATTGATTCCCGCACTTTTCTGCAAGTTTACAAGATTTTAACAAATAGTTGTCAAATTTACATAGAATATTAGAAAAATCTTCAGTTTTATGTAAGTATAAATATTTTTATTCCAAACTCTTGTTTTCGTTTTTAGGTAATGCCTGGTCCTGATCATGGAATAAATCCTGAAAACGAGATAAAGGATGGAAAGCTTGGCGAAGGACACTATAATGGAGTTCAAAGGATAGGTGAAGGAACTTATGGATGTGTATATAAGGCTAAGGATACGAAAACAAATACATATTACGCCTTGAAGCAGATGAAGTTGAATGCGTAAGTGTGCTATTAATTTTTCATAGTTCTGTTTAGGGATGAAGAAGGAGTTCCGAGTGTTTGTATCAGAGAGATCAGTATATTAAAGACATTAAATCATGCCAATGTGGTCAAACTATATGATGTTGTACTCAGACGTATGTTGTTTTTTCTTTTTATGTCGTGAAACAAGAATTAAAATCGTTGAGGTGTATTATTCTTTGTAGATGGCAAGGACATCATCCTCGTATTCGAATACTTGAATGGAGATCTCTCTGAGCTCTTAAAAAGGAATAGAGGAGTGCCATTACATCCACATTTGACAAGAGTAAGGGGTTTTTACTCGTTTTATCATTTTTTTTACAATGTATACTAATAACTCTTTTAGTTTATGAATACCAATATTATGGTTTTTTAGAGTTTTATGCGACAACTTCTTACAGCTCTGAATTACTGTCATTCAAGGAGAGTTATTCATAGAGATCTGAAGCCAGCTAACATCTTGGTAATGAAGAATGGAGTTGTCAAACTCGCAGACTTTGGTTTGGCACGGTAAGTTGTTGGTTTTTTGTATTATTCATGACACATTTTACACTTTTATTATTATTTTTTTTTGGTTTCATTTATACTTTACACTTTTTATATAACAAAGTTAAAGGTACATTTTTGAAGATAATATTATCATACACAGATTACTGGGATTTCAGGACTGTTTCAATACCTAGTCGATGTTATACTCATGAAGTGGTAACGATGTGGTATCGCCCGCCTGAGTTGTTTTTGGGGGCAAAATTCTACAGCTCGGCGTTGGATATCTGGAGTCTTGGATGTATATTCGCTGAAATGTGTAGAGGGAAAGCTCTGTTCGATGGCCTTTCAGAGATCCAGATGTTGTTCAAGATATTTGAAAAGTTGGGGACACCGACGCCTGAGGTAATCATGTTTTCTATTAGCTTTTTAACATCAAGCCTTTTGACCTTTTTTAATACCTAAAAACTAAAATTTATTATTTTTAAAAGTGTTTAGGTAGTAGGTCAGGATTCTGGTCAATACATGATCATTAAAGGTAGAAAAATATCATATCAATAATTTGTCTTTACAATCGCATTTCTTTATTAAATTTGTAATAGAAAAATACATTTCCAAAACAGGTATTGTGTTGTGATGTGATTAATGATACGTGTAAAAGAAATGTTGTTTTAGATATGGCCCGGAATCGACAAGCTTCGAGACTACAATCCACAGTTCCCAAAGTTTAAGAAAAAGTTGTTTAACCAGTTCCTTCCAGGACTAGACCCATTTGCTGTTGATCTCCTTGAAGTAAGTGTTTTTAAATTTTAACAGAAGCATTTATGTGCAAAATTGTGCTTCTAAAATTAAGAAAACGGTAAATCTGATCGTTTTTTGCACTGTGAACAACGGTCAACATACTGAGCATATGCTGGTCAATTTTTTCTGGATGTTGAAATGACCTTTAAGCGTTCTAGTATCTTTTTCGATCCACCACAGCCTGAGTGTTATCATTTCCAAAAATGTTTACATTATGTTTTGCAGCAAATGCTAGTATACCATCCTCCTGCCCGAATAACGGCCAGCTCTTCTCTCTGCCACGCCTATCTGACCGACGTGACTGAGCCGTTCCCTGCAATAGAGCAATATTATAACTAAATAATGGGATTAAACAAGGAGAGGAGTCTTTCGAAGTCGTAAACTGTTCGCAGACTGTAAATTGTGTATATTTCGATTTCACAAATAAAGTGAATTATTCATTAAATTGGGACTGAATGTCTTAGCATTCACCCGCCTTTAATTGACCCGTATATTGAAGGTCATGAGTGAAGTGGAGGCTCGATTCCTGCGGAGGAGAAGGTTTGTTTGTGCGGATACAGGTCGCTTTTGTAAGAATGCCCATAAAGTCTTCCTGACATAGATGACACTAGACGTCGCTCGTATGAATTTGAATATTTAGGCGGAACGCATTGTCACGCTTTTTAGAGGTTTGAGTGGGCTACCATGATTTGAATAATATTGGAAAAGAGGGTGAAGGTTAGCAATTAAGGATTCTAAAAATGACGGGTTATTCGACGACAGGGGCATGTTGGTTTTCTTTAGAGAAGATGTACGAAAGTTTTGTTTAGAATATTCGTGATCCTAGATTTTAAAATTTTTACGTAAACGTAGTAGTTTCGAACTCATCGACTGAAACGTTGTTTGTTTGTCCTATCCACCACTTGCAAACGTCTAATTACTCTGGTCATTCCCCTCCGTAAAGGGCTTCTGTTAGAAGACATATCACTCCGCGTGCGACACAGCCCTCCATAATCGCAGCCTATATGATGGAGATTATGGAGTAGCGAGAGTGAGTCTGTTCGACAGTCCAGTTCTCGGTCTCTGGAGGCAATCCCGCCGGCTGCCCTTCGATTTCTCTTTTTTCGAATCAAACACTTCTTCACCATGTCGACTACACCCACTATCCCCTCTCGCCATCGCCGCGAAACGTTACCTCCCGTTTTGGTGGTTGCGCTTTTCAGGTACATACGGCGACACAAAGACGATTCATTCAAGAGAATGTGCGCAACTCCACCATTCTTCCCTCCCCCCTCACGAGTCGCGCGGGTCAGAGGTTTCAGGAAGGGTACGGCCCGGTTCCGAGCCATCCGTCATTTCCCACGTCTGATCTCCGTGATCCAATTAATCGCCTTTTGTCGCGGAAGAAACGTCATTTTGGCAAAACTTTTACTGTTTTGGGCATACTTTCAAAACTAGATTGTTGCGGGCACACTTTTAAAATTTTGAGTTTCAATCATACTGCGTGAAAGTTTTCATTTAAATTGTTTTCATCAACTTTTCCATACTTTTTTTGATTTTATTGTTTTAGCCAGACCGGAGATGATCGGGGCTTTGGCGCCGTACCTCGGGCGCATCCGTCGCTCCTACCAGTCCAACGACATCATTGACCGGCTCAACTATCAGTACACGGCCGTCATGATCATGCTGGCCGCCTTCACATTGACGGCGACACAATACGTCGGGAAACCTATTCAGTGCTGGGTCCCTCCTGAGTTCACCGGAGCGTGGGAAAAGTAAGGTTCGAATATATTGTAATAGGCCGTTCGAAGACATTTATGACGCAACACTTTGATGACTTTGCAGTATTCAAATTGTTTTACTCGTATGAGATATTCCTTATGTCAACACAAAGGATTTAAATGTTTTTATTTGTAAAGTTAAGCCTTTGTGTTGTCAAACCATTTTAAGATGTCGTTGACGGCTAATTGGATTATCCTATTAATTCATTAGAGTTGAGTTTTTGTTTTATTCCTCTGCGCAACTTCTTTTCGTACATCATTCTTCAGATATTGTTATCCAATATACTTGTATCTTCAGATATGCTGAAACGTATTGTTTTGCCAAAGGGACCTATTTCTTGCCCGTCTACGAGAGCATCGACGCCGTGCCAGACGCAGACAAGAAGGTGATAGGATATTATCAATGGGTGCCATTGATTCTGGGTCTCCAGGCCTTCCTCTTCTACTTCCCTTCCTTCGTTTGGAAGGCCCTCAACTTCAACACAGGTAGGTGACAGTGCCTTTCGAAGCGCTTATCTCGGTGTGCATCAGTAACTGCGTGACCTTGCAGGTATTAATGTGAAGAGTGTTTTGAACAGTGCAGCCTTGGTCAAGAAGAAGTTCGATAAGGGAACCAGGAATGTGCAGGTGCAGAAGGCAACACTGCATTTGATCGAAGCCCTGGAGATGCAGAGAGATCTCAAAACTTGTAAGCATCATTTAAAACTTGATAAGATCAAGCATTACATAGAAAAATAAAAAAAATTATGAGACAAAATGGGTTTTTACCACAATAAGTCATGAAATTCACAGTAAAACATACGGTAATCATAAAATAATCTGGTTTCAGCCACCTTCTTCTTATCAACTTTCGGAAAACGGAATGGACTTTATCTCTCCGTACTGTACTTGTTCACAAAGTTACTGTACGTAGTTAATATTGTCGCTCAACTTTTGATGTTGAACCAGTTTCTGGGTCCGTCGTACACTTTCTGGGGCTACGGAGTTCTGACAGATGTAATGAGTGGCAGGGAATGGAGTGAATCTGGCCATTTCCCTCGCGTCACGCTTTGCGACTTCAACGTACGTGGTTTTACATAATTTCTCAGTGATCTTATTTTATAAGGGTCATATGGTTTCAAAAGTTTCTGGAATATCAGGCTATAAAACAATGATAATATTAAGATTTTTGAAATTTAGGTCCGCGTCCTCGGCAATATTCATCGATGGACCGTTCAATGCGTGTTGATGATCAACATGTTCAACGAGAAGATCTTCGTCTTTATGTGGTTCTGGTTCATCTTTGTTGGTGTTCTGTCGGTTCTCAGCTTCTTCTACTGGTTCTTCGCCATTACTCTGAGGAGTCAACGCCGCTCGTTCATCACCAAGTACCTTCGCTGCACTAGTGCCATCGGACAGTATCCCTCGAGGACAGAACAGAGTCTAGTCAACGATCTGACCATCAAGTTCTTGAGATCGGATGGAGTCTTCCTCCTCCGCCTGATTCAGGTAAGTAAATCAAGATTTAATGTCATGTTTAGTCATCAAAATGATATAATAATGAAGAAAAACGCCAGTTTAATTACATTAAACGTTTAAAAAACGATAAAATTTGTTTTTAGACAAACGGTGGTGACCTTCTAACGGGTGAAATAGTATCAGCATTATACCAGCACTACCAGGACAAGCAGACAGTTAAAGGATCGGCCAGTCCAGACTCATCTCAGATCTGAAAACCCTAGTATGAACTGCTTTCACTCAAATATCTATCAAGCTCTTCAGAAATCAACCGAGAACCCTCGATAACCAATTCTCCATGTAAACTCAACGAAATGTGATCCTTAACCCACAGATCTGGTAGAATATTATATTGTTTTAGACCGCGGATACACTTTATATTGTTGTAGACTATCAGGAAACTCTTTCATGCTTGCGAACGTGCCCAATGACCGGTGAGAGGCACAGACTTTTACTTTAACCACTAATAACACTGCCGGACTCTAGTTTGTTACCTTGTTATATTATTATGCCTATAAACAACGAAACGGAGATATATCAGTCAGTAATAACAAATTTATAATGAATAAACTTATATCTCTTTATGGCTGTGGACGTTATTATAAATGCATAATCTGTACACGTACTCAATAACATCTTAAAGCTGCAATAAACAGTGCGATTCCCAAAACTGATTTACAATCCTTAATGTTAATTTCCACTTAAAAACATACAATATAACATTAGTAGTGATATCAGACTTCTTCTGTCGTTTTCTCTTTCGTTTCTTCTTGTTCCACTGGTGGTTCGACATCGTTACTCACCTTCATCTTCTTTGCCACTGGCTCATCAAGCTCATCTACCTACAAATTAATATCTTTATAGTTACCCAATAGTTAATTACATCAAACAGGAAAATATACAAAGGTGATAAAGACTTACACTAACAATAAAGTTGTTCTCCACCCTATGAACTGGCTCTTCCTCTTCGTCACTGTCGTCTTCTAGTTTAGCTATCCTATCACCAAACGGATTTACACATGTTACTATGTTAACTGTCTTCTCGACTGCTCTTAAAAATTTTCCAACCAAATTATAGTGTCGTGTAGGCTCAATCAGCAACTCTGCTAACCTGTAAAACCACATAATAAACGTCGCTAATTTGGAATATTAGCCTTCAATTATATAAAAAGAAATATTCTGTCATTAATTGTAATAGTTTAAATGTGTCTTACCTTTGAATTGTAAACGGCGCCGCTTCAAATGCTTCGAAGTGTCGTAAAATGTCATTCTTTAACTTATCGTAATATTCTTTGTTACTCATAGGTTTTAACGGTTCGTTCTCGTCGTTCTCTTTCTCTGAATCTTTGGCCAACATATCCTCTATAACAGTCTAAAACAAAAACAATAAAAGTGTAAATTAGGTAATACCTTTAACTTCCAAAGGAATGGCCCTCGACATAACGACCAGTCATAAGCGGTTTGACCACGATGTGCTACATAAACAAAGTACTCTTCCAACAAACCATTAGAATGCTCCCTGATTCCGTTACTGTTTTTGTTCAATTCTTCCTAAAAATTAAGGTAAAAAGAATCAACTAGAATAAAGCTTTAAAATATTAAAAGTCCCTTTATACTGACCTCAGGTTCTTTAAACTCTTTAAGTATAAGCTCGTAGTCTCCAGGATTATGAAATACAACCTCCTGTAGCTTTCGTTCGACCATTTTGGGATAATATATTATGAATGCGCGAAAAATAGAAACAAATAATTGTTCGCTTTATTTTTCCGCGCAGCCTGCAATAGCGAGTTCGCAAGCTGCGCTCACGACAAAACAACGTAATTTTTAATATTCAAGCCTGCAAAAAAAAGATACGGTTTACATTTTATGTTTTTATAGTTCACAGACTGCTAAACTCCGTGTGATTAGCGTCTGTGGACATGAAGACGTCGTTACGGATATTGTACATATTATTTTTTATTTCTCAAGTAAATGCGACTAAAAATGTTGTCGTATCTTTGCAAGCTCAATGGAATCATACGTCGTTTGTAGCCGAAGCTAGGTAAGAATTTTGTATTTCAATTTATGTATTTTTTAGTGAATATTTGGCGTCTGAAGATAAAAATTTGTTCTGGAGGTATCTTGATCAGCTAGCGGATGCCAAATCGTTACCAAGCGACAGTAAGTCCGATATACGGGTTATAAAGGTCTTTTAGGAAGTCACGAAGCCGAGTATGAGGTGGCTTACAAGAATGTCGTGGCTATCGTTGGTGAAGCACGGTCCGACCTCATTAAACTGGCACTGGCATTGAGAATATATTCTCCTAGGGTTTCTGTGTTCAGGCAGATGGGTCAGGATGAACATGCTGATTGTGATACTTTTGTTGTTGTAAATAATCACAAGCTCTGTGATTTGTCTGGATTGGACAATGCTTTGACATCTGGTGACAAGTAAGTTATGATACATGGAAATATTTTGTTAATATTTAGTTTAACAAATATTCCTGAAGCTTTGAATTCTTATTAAATTTTATTTTTTATAGTTCATGGTTTCTTTCGTACACTTTTGATCACATCTACGAACCAAAAGACGAAAACAAGCCGTTTGCTGTTTTATATTGTGATCTGGGAACTGAAAAGTGTTCTACCTTCCACAAGAAGCTGGTGTCTTTGGCAAAGGTCAACAAGATCCAATATGTTTTCCGTCATTACTCAAAAGTAAGTTGCTATTTGTGTTTATCTTATTGACACGGTTAGGAAACTGAGGTGTCAGGAGTTGGATTATCTGGATATGGAGCAGAGTTGGCTATCAAGAACACTGAATACAAAGCTGTAGATGATTCTCAACATAACAATGCTGATTTCGATGAAGAAAAGGACAGAGACATCCATGGCCTAGACTTCAACGTGCTCAGAAAGAATCATCCTGACAGTGTTGCTTCATTGAAACAGTTGAAACGTCATTTGTCTGATCTCGAAGAACTGACCCCGTTGAAGCAATGGGAGGTGTCTGATCTGTCTTACCAAGCGGCTTACAAAATAATATCAGCTGAACCAGAAAGAGCGTTGAATGAGTTGACGGATGTGTCACAGAACTTTCCCATTAGAGCCAGAAGTTTGGTCAATGTTAAGGTCCCTCAAGACTTTAGACAGGAAGTACGTATGAACCAGAAAGTGATGAAAGAGGACAGCGGAATATCTGAAGGAGAAAATGCATTCTACGTCAATGGAATCAGCGTGGATGTAGAACAACTTGATGTTTTTCAGTTGTACGAAACTGTTTTGGCCGAGGAGAAGTTGGCGTCTGTGTTTTACAACATGGGCTTTAGAGTAGGTTTTCCTTATTTTTGAATGTATTTTTTAGTGCATACATTGTAATCTTACAATTTTATACTCTGTCCTTAAAATTACATTAAAGTTATGGTTTTTAGCGTGAGTACCTGTCGTTGCTGTACCAACAAAAGTTCATCGAAGAGAAAGCCAACTTTGCCATCGATTACAGAGAAGCTTATCCAGAATACTTGAATAACTTGGACAAGGATAAACAGTACAAGGACTGGGGTAACAGTGTGAAAGCACTTCTACAGCCTACTTACATGGGAATGTTAAGGCCGATTGCAAGGAATTTCTTTACATTAATATTTGTGGTGGATCCAGCTAGTCCGGAAGCGAAGAATCTGTTGTCTGTGGGACATTCACTGTACATCCACAGAGTTCCTATCAGAATTGGTTATGTGTTTGTAGTCAACGATGACAAAACAGTGTCTGGGTTGACTGATACTGGAGTCGCTCTTCTGAACTTGTACAACTTTGCAAAATCCGATAGGAAGTCTGTTCCAAAAGCGATTGATTTGTTGGTAAAAGTAAGTTTCGACTTTAAAAATTACTGTATTGATAAATTAGAATTGATAGTATATTTTTTGTATGTTTTATTAATTTTACCATAAAGTTGTTCTAAAACAATATGTTTTAGTGCTTGGAGATAATCTCTTCGAATCCATCAGCAGAAGCCGTTCACAATTTCTTTAAAAAGAAGTTCCACGGTGAAGACATCAATGACGTCTTCCAAGCTGACAGTGACTACGATACTGGTCGTACTGCTGGAGCTGCTTTCCTTCGCCGAAGTTTGTTGGAGAAGGCGCCTAAAGTAATGTTGAACGGAATCATCCTTGACGATGCTTCGGTCACACCAGATCGGATTGAGGAAGCGATTCTGATGCAGATCATGAGACAGACTAACTATTTGCAACGATCTGTTATGATGGGAAAACTGACAGACCGAGACAACGTTCAGAACTGGGTCATGAGCCAACCTGAAGTGTTACCTCGGCTTAACCGACGTTTCCTGGAAACACCAGATGTTGTTGTTGTTCATGAAAACGTTTATCGTAAGTTTTTATTAATTCATTAGCATATTTTTTAAGTTATGTAACGTTTGTTAACTCTATTTATACCTAAATTTAACTTCAGCATGCGCAGCTAAAACAGAAGCAGAAATTGCAAAAATTGGACAATCTGAACTAAATCAATGTGTTTTGGAGCGTGTAAAACACTTTACAAGAGAAGGTAAGCACAATTTTGGAATGTTAGCAATTTCCAATTATTTATTTTCACCTTAACTTATTTAGGAGGAGATAAGACTCGGTGGCTGACATTGTGGTTGGTGGTCGACTTTGATTCAAAGTCTGACAGATGGGTAGCTCTGAATGCTTTGAAAGCTCTGAAGAGATCCAAAACGATTAGACTAGCCTTTATTCAGTCTGGAAGTGCAAAGTCTCAGGTCAACAAGTTTGTGCACGGTCTGATTGAGATTTTGCCTTCTGAAGCTGCTAAAGAAGTCTTGACTAAGAAGTTGAACGATGAAGCATGGTTGATCAAGGCTTCTAAGAATGTTCAGAAGTTGGAAGAATTGAAGGTTAAGGTAAGTTCACTTAACTTTAGCTATTTGCTAAATCATACTATTTTTCTTGATTATGGTATCTGACGCTTGATTTTCTAGGACTTGGACGTGTCTTCTTTCAAAAAAGAATTCGCCGCGCTGAGCAACTTTAAATTGAAACTTGAAAATGAGTTTGCCAAGAGAGTTGTTGGGGAAAAGAAGGCTGCTGTCATTGTGAATGGTGAAGTAAGTTATAATTGTTAAAAAAAATTAGTTTTGGTACAAATTGTTACCTAAAATTTGATTTTTAGGTATACGGTCCACTGAAAGCTAGTGAAACTCTTGAAGTTGAGGATATCTTTCTTTTGGAACACTTGGCCAAACAGCGAGGAGCTGTTGAACTAGCTGATGCTATTGACAAACTAGATGTACCTGCTGCTAACGACAAGTCCAGTGATGTTCTGCTCAGAGCATGGTCAGCTTTTGCAAAGTACGCAGTGAAGAAAGAACGTCGTCAGCTGAGTCTGGCTTCTGACTCCGAGAGTGTATTGTACTTGTTGGCTGGCGACCAGAAGCGAGGAATCCTTGACTTGACATTGGTTGTGGATTCTCTGAGTAAAGGAGCTCAACGACTGTCAGCTGTGGTAGCCAGTCTTACCCGAGTGCTGAATTGTGACATCAAGATAGTCATGAATCCGAAGGCCAAACTCAGCGAACTACCGTTGAAGCGCTTCTTCAGATTTTCCCTGAACGAAGAGTTGCTGTTTGACACTAATGGAAAGATTGTCAGTCCAGCTCTCACCTTCTCTGAACTGCCTAACAAACAGCTTCTCACCTTGAATATTATTCCTCCAGATGCCTGGATGGTGCAACCAGTGTTTGCCAAATACGATCTGGACAACATCAAGATGGAATCTGTAGCCCAAGAAGATGTAGTAGCTGTCTATGAGTTGGTACACATTCTGTTGGAAGGACACTGCTTTGACGTTGAGAGTGGTTCTCCGCCTCGAGGATTGCAATTTATTTTAGGAACGCAAACTGAGCCAGCTGTCTTTGATACAATTGTGATGGCTAATTTAGTAAGTCTTATAGTATTTAGAAAATATGCACAGGAAAACAAAAATCCGTGACAATGTTTGTGTATTATTGTGATATGGTGTCTGAAGTAATTAAAAATGATTTTAGGGTTACTTCCAATTGAAGGCGTCTCCAGGAGCTTGGATTCTGCAACTACGTGAAGGTAAATCACGAGGAATCTACAGTATCCACAACCACACCAACACTGAAAGTGAACAAGGCGTTCAGCAGATCCGGGTTGTCATTGACAGTTTTCTCGGTCGAGTCATCCGAGTTCGGGTCGGAAAGTTGCCAGGAAAGGAAAATGAAGGACTTCTTTCGGATTCTGGAGCCAAAGATGAGGTCCCAATGTTTGCAGAGGAAGAAGAAGAGTCGATTTGGTCTTCAATTCAGAACAAACTGGTCGGTGGAGACAAACACGAACAGATCAACATCTTCTCCTTGGCTTCTGGCCATTTGTACGAGCGATTTATGAGGATTATGATTGTCTCCGTGGTCAAGAACACTAAACATCCGGTCAAGTTTTGGTTGCTAAACAACTACTTGTCACCTCAGTTTAGGGTATGTTCAAAGTGTTTTTTAATAAGTTTTCAAATTTGAATACGTTTTCAAGTTTACTAAAGACCTTGTAAGGCATTTTAAATTTTTTCAAAACAAAATTTTATAGGAATCGCTACCTAAAATGGCCAAATATTACGGGTTTGACTTCGAACTGGTAGAATACAAGTGGCCGAGATGGCTACACCAACAGTCGGAGAAGCAACGTATCATGTGGGGCTACAAGATTCTGTTCCTTGACGTGCTGTTCCCCTTGAACATCAAGAAGATCATCTTTGTAGATGCCGATCAAGTGGTTCGAACTGACATGATGGAGTTGATGAACTTTGATCTGGGCGGAGCTCCTTATGGCTACACTCCGTTCTGTGACAGTCGTTCCTCAATGGAAGGCTTTAGATTCTGGAAGAAGGGCTACTGGTCGAATCATCTGGCTGGAAGAAGGTATCACATTAGTGCTTTGTACGTGGTCGACTTGGCCAAGTTCAGACAGATCGCGGCTGGAGACCGTCTCAGAGGTCAATATCAAGGTCTGAGTGCTGATCCTAACAGTTTGTCTAACTTGGATCAGGACTTGCCGAACAATATGATACATCAAGTCAGAATCAAGAGTTTGCCTCAAGAATGGTTGTGGTGCGAGACATGGTGCTCTGACGAGACTAAGAAACAGGCCAAGACTATCGATTTGGTAAGTTTGAAATATTTTAGTAGTCAATTATAAATGCCCTAATTGGTTAGAGATGTTGAAACTACTAATAGATTTTATCAAAGTAATCAAAAACGGTTTTAGTGTAACAATCCAGAAACCAAAGAGCCAAAGCTGGATTCAGCGATGAGAATCATACCAGAATGGACTGAGTACGATACCGAGATCAAGAAGGTGCTCAGCGGAGAACTGACGCCAAAAGTGCAGCAAGAGGAGGATAGTCATGCCGAGCTGTGATTGCGGGTTGTCTTTTATGTTTTGTCAATTTATTAACTTATTCTTTAGTATCTTGTCTAACCTTACAATATTGTAGTCTGGTTGTTAACTTATGTTTTATGACTTAGCTTGTTACCTAATCTTTTAATAACTGTTAAATTAACACTTTCTTCAATTTATAATTTATTAACTGATTGTTACCGTAATAATAAAGTAGTACTGTAAAATGGGTGAAATAAAAGAAACCCGTATTTTGTGAGTGAAAGTGCGTTGATATGTTATGTACACTGTCATGAGTAGTTTGGCTACACCCGTATTTAAATGAGCCGTTCCTGTTTCTTGATTGGTTTCTGGATTTGGTGCATCTGAAGGCAGATACCATTACCTTGTTGTAATATGTTTTGGAATGACAGTTTTAGATCCTCGGTGGGCGTTAAAAGTATTAGTTTAAGGTCGCACTTACCTGTACTCTGGCTCCTGTCATTTCCTGATTCGAAGGACTATACGTCCCTTGATTGGCTCTTCGATTCTTGGCCACAAAGTAGAACAACATACACACCATTATGGCACACACGACCAGTAGCACCAAAGAAGGCCCTATTATGTATCCCAAGGATACTGACTTGGCCTTTTCAACCTGAAATGAATGGCAAGTAAGACAATAGGTAATGATCACATAGGTTGTATGAGTTGTGTCGAAAGTCTATATGTCGTGACACCATTTATAAGATATTAGCAATCCAAAAATACTGTACTAACATACCATTTGAATACATTGAGGCCCTGTGTAACCGTTGTGACATTTGCATTCATACTGACTTAGTTCTCGTCCCGAAGCGTTTGTTGTGACACGAGGGTTGACACATTCGCCATGGACACAGTTGTGTAATGTCTTGTTCGTATTCGGTATCGTACAGGGATTTACCATATTACACTTGGATCCGATGAAGTCTAAAGTTGCAATATAGTTAAAGTAAGTTGTAATATTATACTAGAAGTAATCAAAGAGTAGGTATGCCTTTAATTACTCAATGACTAGAATGGCTTTTCAGTGAAGTACTTACTTTCTTTGCAATGACAATAGTAAGATCCTGGCAGGTTCTCGCAATGTCCATTGACACAGTTCAGTCCTTCTTCGTCGCACTCGTTGATATCTTCCTGACATTGTGTTCCTTTGTAGCCTGTACCTCGACAATTGCACTCGAACCCATTGACTCTGTCCATGCACTTCCCTCCATTTGCACATTTGTTACCTCCAGCACAGTCGTCGATGTCGGTTTCGCACTTTTCCCCGGTAAAACCAGCGATACACGAACATACGAAGCCTCCGATCATACGTTTACAGGTGCCTCCGTTCTGGCACGGTTCTGTCTTACAGTAATCTATCTCCACATCACAGTTGACACCTTCGTACCCTTTCTTACACTCGCACGTGTAGTTGTTCTGGCCGTTCTGGATGCATTTACCGTGCTGGCACGGTGATGTGGTGCATATTCCTGCCGTCTCACACCGTTCGCCGAAGTAATATTGAGGACAGACACAGTTGAAACCGCCTTCTGTATTCACGCAGCTACCGTTGTTCTCGCAAGGGAAGTGCTCTAGGCATTCATTCACATCTCTGTCACACCGCAACCCCTCCCAGCCTTCCTTGCAGCTACACATGAAGTCATTAAAGATGCTCCTGCATACACCGTGCTTGCACGATGAAGGCTTGCAGTGGTCTTTGGGGACTTCACAGTGGTCACCCTCGAATTCAGAAGGACAATCACAGAAGTAGGTGGTAGAGTTCTTGTATGTCGTCTTACATTTACCACCATTGCGACATGGCATGTCAAGGCAAGCGATGTCTCCTAGAGACACTTCACACAAATCACCGCTGAAGCCAACTTGGCAATCACATTGAGGTCCCATCTGAAAAGAAAGAACAACATTACTACTGTAACATTCAAGACAACATCATTTGTCAATATTGTAACATAAATATCAGCCTTAATTTCAAAACTCACTTCAGAATCCTGACATTGAGCATCGTTCTTGCACGGTCTCGTCGCGCACTGTGTATCCCTCTTCACCGTGCAGTTCTGACCAATGAAGGCTTCCGTACATTTACATTCGTAGCCGTGTTTAACATTACTACATGTTCCACCGTTCTTGCACGGATTCTTCGTACAAAAGTCGACAGGTGCTTCACATCGTGCTCCAGAGAATCCTTTTTTACACTGACATTTGAAAGTAGCAATGTCATCTACACAAACACCGTTCTCGCCACAATCTGTTACTCCGTTACATTCGTTTACATTTATCTAAAACATAGTATGTATTATAATGCTATTGGGTTAAGTGCAGTCTTTGGCACAGTAAACGAAATGTCAAATACAGTATCAATACATAGTAAGATATGTGATAGTAACCTACCTCACAGAACTCTCCCTCGAAGCCTTTGGCACATTCACAACTTTGTTTGTCAAATAAGTCTTTACAGAGTGCTCCATTCTTACAGGGGTTACTGTCACAGAGACTCTTACTGTGACAGCCATCTGGTCGTATGTTGATCAGCTTTGACGCCACCAAGTGAGATCCTTCAATGAATCCACTGCCTTCTGCTCCAAAAAAGGTTACATAAGGGTACGATGACAGTTTTACATTGTGAAGACACCCCTGTAAACAGACGATAATCATACATTACAGTAATATAAATTACTGTAAACAAGTAAAAGAAAGAGTTATATCAAAAATATAGTATTAAGCATCAAAACAGACCTTAAAACTGCCGTCACTGCCATCCTTTCCGAAGACTACACTGTCAAAGTCATCCTTAACATCGTACTCCCATCTGAAGTCTCTGAATATCTTGATCGACGACATGTTATCAAAGTTGGCATATAGTTGTTTGTTCTTCACAAACAGATTCACAGAATGCCATTGTCCATCAACTACATCTGTCCTCACGGTGTCATTGACTACACCGTCATTCGTCTTCAGACCAAAGTTGACACCTCTGCCATCGATTTTCATGAACATCGTGTCGTTCCGTAGCCTCAACGTCAATATCCTGGCCTTCTCAGATCGTGTGCGTAGAGAAAAGGTAAGATCAAAGGCTACATCTACCGTGTCATTTCCTTGTAGCACGAATTCAGCGTGACTTGTTGTAGCAAATGTAGCCGGAGACTTACACACGTAACCACCGTGAGTATTCAGACATTCAGAGTTTGTGGGGCAGGGCTGAGTGCTACAGTAGTCCCTCATATCACACTTCTTGCCCATGTAGCCAGCGCTACATTCGCATTCGAAGTCGTTGAAGGTGTCCGTGCAACGACCGTTCACGCACGGTGTGGATGTAGCACAGATTTCGTCGCTTACCGTACCCTTAAAAATTTTTTACTAACACAGTACTGTAGATATCATTATTTTAATGCTGTTTATTTGCTTTTACTGTACGCAAGTCAAACTACAACTCAACATACCTCCAGTAGATTCTGATTCTCGACCATCGTCATCGGCAATGAAGACCGTGCCAATTCAGATTCATGCTTATTCAGAATCACAGAATCCCCATTGATCCGAACATCTTGTAGCGTTCCCTTGAAGATACTGGTATCGTTGTCGTACTGTGACATGTTACCGCCCAGTATGAACTTATCGACCAGTAGAGGATGTTCGAATGGTCGGTCAATCTTCAGAGATCCATCGATCTTTCCGTCGACGTATAACTAAATTCAAAATCAGCTTAACCTATCGTGCACTTACTTCTACCGTATTCCCTCTCCTTTCTACTGTAACAATGTGATTCTCATTGTCAGCGATTACTGTATTCCCTTTCAGTGCAAAAACTTTCCTTCCACCGAGTCTAGAGTCAACTTCAAAGCTACCATTGGCCAGCCTTCCGCTCAAGAATGTAGCCGTGTCATCGTCAGAAGTCTGTCCAAGGTAGAATACCTGACCTACATCACGGTTGGTTCGTATAATGAATGACACATCTGTGGCTTTGGATAGTCGACCAGAAGTGTCGGCATCGCCAACATATTCGGCCAGAGAGGTCAAGTTATCGTGGCCAAAAGTGGATTCTGAGAGTCGATGGCTACAGTCGGGTTCGAGGTACGGTCGACGACATTCACATTGGTGGTACGACCAGTGGTCAATACAACGTCCGCCGTGAGCACAAGTGTCAGGTCTGCACTGGGTTTCACGCTGACAACCACGACCAACGTCAATCGATCGTCTACAACAATATACGGTCAATAAGTTTATAAAAAATAGAAAAATATTGGCTAAGACAATGTTTAGCATAGTTAGACTAATAAGTAATGTAGCTACGTCAACTTACTGTTTAGAGAAAACGTCAATAGTCCTGCCGTTTACCATGATGTTACGAACACAGCCAACGAAGTAATTGTCTCTGTCGAATCTCCCAAACCTCACCGAAAAGATGTCAAACTTATTGGCCGACAACTGCAGATGTCCCAACACATACCCAGTCTCAAAGTGTGCCACTTCTATAACCGTGCCATTGCCAGTACCAACCAACGTGACCTGGTACCAGTCTCCGTCGTTGACCTTGGTATCTTGTACTAGTTGCTTCGGCTGATCCTTTAGACTAAAGTAAACGTAGCCATCGTGTAGCCCGATTGAATACGAAAAGTCATTCAAAATAGACTCTCCGGTCATGATGTGAACGTTTGTTACGGTGGTACGAAACGTGAATTGTATCCAGTGCTTCGTATCTTCTCCAGAAACCTGTACGACGACTACAGAAGAATTGTTGAAGTTGGCATCGTCGATCTTGTGGCTACAATCGTCGCCTGTGAATCCTGATGGACAGGTACAGTAGGGTACGTCAGTCTGGCTCGTTCTTCGTAGTCTACACTGCTGGCGGTGAGGGCACGATACTGACTCACATACCTAGATAGTTTTTGTTCAGTAAAACATTTTAACTATTAATTTCATAGTATCACCTCATAGCACTGCGCGATACTCCCACCCCTTGCACCGTTCACTTTAAAAAGCTTTAAATGAAAAAACTAAAAGAAGATTTACATTACTGCGTTCAGAACAGTAGGATCCCTTGTAGTTGGGGTGACATAAACAGAGATGTTGTTGGTTACTGACCACACATTTCTCTGAATTCGTACATTCTTCACAGCTTGATATGTTCTGAAAACATACTTTATTATAACCTTAAATTATGCAGTTTAGGCCAAAGCAGAGATTGTCAAACTTACAAATAAAGGCACAACAGCCACTCCAGATTGTGCAATGTCTGGTATAACTGGTACATTATCGACTGATCCTTCAACCGTAGTACACTGAAAACCAACTTCAGACGGCGCTACATGGCAGACTTGTGTATCCATACAATTACACTTCACTTGACATTGGGGGCCAACAAAGTTAGACGGACATTCGCAGACATCTAAAGCTAAGATATATAATATTATGCTATAAGATAAGTTAAAATAAAGTAACGTGAAGTTAGAGTCGTAAAGATATCATTACAACCTGCAGCAAAAGTCTTAGTAATGACAATACTTTGTAAAACAACTTACCATTACTTGAGCAAACTCCACCATTTTGACAATTACAGCCAGATATGGTAGTACTGACTACGTTGTTTGTGCTACTGATTTCTTCTTCTTCTGTAGCCAACTGTAGCCGATCACAAAATTCTCCTTGGAAAGGTTCTGGGCATTCACAGTGTGCCAGCGTTCCGTTCTTCACACAAACTCCACCATTTAAACAATCTCTGCCTTTTACTTTACATTCTGCTTCTTTCTAAATACGTTACTATAGTAAAGTGATACGCTAATACAGTAAAGTCATACCTTAATATAGCAAAGTAAGTTCTAAAACTAATATTTTATATAAAAACCTTTTTACATTATAATATTTAAACTCACATCACAAAGCCGTCCCTCGAATCCCTCGTTACAATCGCATCTGAAGCCGGCTTCAATGTCTACACAATTACCGTGCACACACGGCTTCTGAACACATTCTCCGACCCTTTGCTCACAGATTTTACCTTCAAATCCGATGGGACATTTACAGTTGTAACCTCCCAGAATATTCTCACAAACCCCTCGATTCAGACATGGCATTGCCTCTTCTTCACATTCATCTACATCTTCATCACACAGTCGACCTCGAAGGCCTTTGGCGCATTCACACAAAAAGTCGTCCTAAAATACGAATTTAATTCGAAAAACATTTCAAATTTATGTTTTTTTCAAAATTTTTAAATTTTGATTTTTATGTTTTTACAATACTTTTACCGCTTCTGTGTCAACTTTTACCACGGTTTCCCCTGCTTCCGTAAACCTTTACGACTTCCTGACAAAACTAATTAAAGCGTAACACAAATTACCTTAATCGGACGACAGGTTGCGTTGTGATGACACGGATTACTGTGACAGAGATCAGATTCGCACGAGAATCTGTAGAGCGTCAGATCCATAAGACAGACCTGCTCTTCGGGACAACCGCTTTGCTGACAGTCGGCTTCTTTATCGCACAGTAGTCCAGAAAAGCCCTCGGGGCATGCACAGAATGGCTCCGGAGATCCGTTGTGGAATTTGCATATCCCATTTTTCTTGCACTTTAGATTGCAATCAAGTTGTTCTTCACACAACGTGCCCGTGAAGCCGGCTGGACATTCACATTGGAAGGTGGGACTGTCGTTATTGTCACCCTTCTCCACTATACAGATGCCTCCATTGAAACAGACGTTACTCACACATAGCTTTGGGTCTTCTGGAACAAATTAGGTATTATTTACAAAAATGAATTTTATATTAAGTATTTTACATCAAAAAATGGATCTTTACATAAAATAAGCATTGCTCTCACACTAAAACAGCGTTTCTAAGTTAATATTTTGCCTAAAAAAGCTCTTCCTTATGTATATTACCTGCTATCGTGGTGTGTATGAGGCCATAGAAGCACAAAAGGCCGAGCAGGGCAACCTTGTTCATGACATTCAGCCTGAAAATGTTAATGGAACGTCACGCTCGATATAAACTCGAGTTTATAGGCGCGGGAAGTCGGTCGCGCGACATAAAACCACTGAATCATGCAAATTCTCATACGATCTGAGGTCGAAAACGGTCATTAAATGGCCCAAACAACCCCGACCATTACCTATTTATACGTTATATGTAGTGAATACCCCTTGCATATTAACATACACGCTGTATATACTATAGTATATCGACAAACGTGTCGTACCTAGTATATTTGCACATATATAAATTAATTAATAAAAATATTTTATTAGCATGTTAATATAGGTATAGGTATAGAGACACGCGCGCTGATAAGATACCGCAAAAGCAGCCAATATGTTACTATCGGTATATAGAGGCTATAAAATGCCATATATCTTTAATTACTACTTTAAATGACATAAATATCCGAAAGTTTAATTACAGGAAGTTATAGTATTTTCAATAAAGAATCACGGTAATAAAACCATAATGGTATATACTAATCGCCTAATCAGACAATTCGAGTACTGTAACCAAACCCAATCACAATAGAGTACTGTAAAGAAAAAGTAATTCGAAAAGTTTCGAAAAGATTAGGCCAGCTCTCGAGCTATCTCAAGAGGTCGGCATTCGACTGGACGCTGGTCAGTCTTGTCTATGTTTGTTTGCACTCTCGACGAAGAGAATATAGCCCCAGCTATCTGAGAATATCTACTTTCCGACGTGACAATCAGAACGTGACCGACCGGTCTAAAACCGCGTAACTCGAGCCGGCGAACAACCGGCTGTCAACAAACCGATTACAATATTGTCTTAGGCCGGACCAAGGATTACAGTACGGTCTTAGACTGTAGAAAGTGTTTGCAACATTATTTTAGATTTGACATTGCAACTTCAATGTTATCTTAGGTTATATAAAGTAATTATAGAGATATATTCAACAAAACTCTTATCTAAAAAGGTGAAAAAATATTATAATGGGGTCAGAAAGTACCTAGAACAAAAAAAACTACTAACATTTTTAGAAAAAAGAGCTGGTTCTTAACATTATTGATCAAAAAAGACTGCCAAAATGATTGATTACAAATACATTGTCCATAAAATCCAAAAATCCCACTTAAAACCCCAAAAATTTAAAAAATCCACCCCCAAATATAATAATTTAAAACTCAAACGTGACGTCGCAGCCTGAGGTTACCTTTTGTCGCGTAATTCTCGAAAAGTAAAAGAAACGGCGCCGGAATCACCTTGAAGTAGATGTTAACTGGGACGGCGATCCATCTGATAAGAGACCGAAGGGCGAACATCCAGATGATCCCATAAAACAATTCGGGTACCTGTTACCATGGTAATCAGAGTAAAATGACCGTTAAGTCCGCCAAAAAAGGAAAGCGAAAGACCGAGAAATGCAAATAAAACGGCATTAGGGGGGGGGGGGGGGGGCAAACTGTTCCGATGGATTGGCACACCTATTCAGGAATAATTCATCCAGTTTTGGGTAGGGGTGAGACAATAAGGCCTTGGTGGTTCATATAAAGGTTAATAGAGAAATATTTTTAGAGGAAAGTTACACTTTTACACCTCATAATCTTAAAAATGGCATAGATAAGCAAAACGTGTTCAACGTGTTAAATTATTCATTACCATGATATATACTCGATATGTTTTACTTTTACCTAATTTAAAAATAAATAGTAAACCCCCTCTAAAACAATAAAAACACCACCCCTATCACCCTCTATAAACAATATAAAACCCTTACAACGTGAACCCAATGTAAATAAACCTTGGTTTATCAAACAAGAACCTTGTTAGCCGGCTTTACAAAAAGCTTTACCTTTCCCGAGTAACCTTTACAATAAAATGGAGTTGACGTTGAAGGCTTCCGGCGCTTTCTGACTCAAATCTTTCTGGATTCGACGACAATTACAGTCGCAATTATAGTCAAACCTCGGTCGTCTCATCTCCAAATTAAAAACTTTTGTCTCTCCGCAATGTTTATTCAACTCTAATTATATCCGCATAATATGGCAATTACTCCGGTATTTATGCCGTTTAAGCAAGAAGTGACATTTTAAAAAGTAATTAAATTCGAAATCAGTTTAAACTTTAAATTGGTTTATTATTACAACTATTGCCAACACCCATACTGACGTATCCGGGTTTCCCATGATACAATAATCAACATGGACAACGAGTAGGCATATTACTAACATAAGATCGTATTAAGTAAGTGTAAACAAAACAAAGACTTAATTGAGCAATTACAGTACTGACATATAACAAAAGTAACCGTCAAGAGCAGAAAATACAGTAACGTAAAAAAATAGAAACCCTAACAAAACTACCATAACCTTTTTCACAACATCTGTAAGAGATTACTGTATCTTTTTGCTAAACTACCGTAACCCAAAAATACAAAATCTCCTTAAAAATACCGTATCTTTAAAACCCCCCTCATAGTATAATACCCTTATCACTCCCAATCAGCCAAGTTCATCTCCTGATTCCGCCGGCTCAACTCGTTCAGCTCTTGAAGCTCCTTCGACGGTCGATTCTTCCTGATGCAACATCGACCGAACACTCGCTGAAAGCCGACCACATTCAGAGCAACACAAGCTGCAATTAGCCCGCAGAAAAGAAAGGAACATAACACAGATACGACGCCAATTACGACGACTTGTCTCCATGTTGTTGTAGAGTTGAGGCGAGGCTGGGAAGGAATCACCTGGAGCAAGGTCGAGTCCAACAACGTCGAGAGCAGGTGTTCTCGAGCCAGAAGAACGTCGATCAAGATGTTTTGGGAAACCAAGTTCGCTTCTAAACATGTTTCCACTTTCAGTTCGAAATGTCATTCATTTTAACTTTTTTGTTTCAATTTTTTTAGTTTTTAAGTTAACGTTTTTAAACGTAAAAAAACAATTTTTGACAAAACTGACTTAAAAAAATGTTATTCTTAAAATAATTTTTTGGTTGCTCTAGTAATATCTAAACCATTACTTATTTACCCGTTGTAACGCAAAACAAGGATAATCTGAATATATCGTCCACAAAAGAAGGTCACCCAGCCCATAAACAACAACTTTACAAAACCCAAAACAAATTTTTAAATTGAAAAACATTACCGTTATCAACAGAAGCACTAGAATTCCACCGTACCACCAAACTCATTCGACTTTCCATGCCCTCCATACAAGCAAAGTCAGTGATAACAACACTTTTGGCATCCAGACCTCTACTCGACCTTCCACACTTCAGTATAAAAGCACATTCCTCCCTGACCCAGTTCGCGATCTTCTGCCTGACCTTCTTCAGATCCACCACCACCCCGTCGCTACATTCTTCGAACTCCACGGTGACGGCATTCCTTTGATCTGAGAACATCCGATGACAAGAGAGACACGAACATCGATACTCTGTATTCTTTACAAAACTGATATTACACTCGATACTATACCTGATTACACACATGGTCCGCCGTTATCAACCCAAGGTGAAGTATCGACAAGTGAATTATGAACCAAACGGAAAAAGACAACATTCCACTGCCTGAGGGTTTTACTCTTCCGTAAAGCGCACTCAAAAAGAAACCGCCGCCGATTGTAACCGAACCTACCACCCCCCCCTTTTCCGTTTCAAAAAGTATTTATTTATATCACCAAAAGCCTAATAATTCCACAATTCAGAGATTGTAGCCGTAGTCCTTCTTGTAAGTGGTAACGTGACCTGCGTTTCTGTTGGTTTCGTATTTGGCCGGATACTCCTGGAAAACAGTACCATTAGTATAGAACACAAAGAAACATTTCTAGAATACTCTTCTCAAATGTTACATATAAGACCAACACAACACTACTTTTTCAAAAGACTTTCAACATAAACATAACCTTTTCTCCAAATACATATTATCATAACTTTTATTTTTAGCCCAGTGTGAATGTACTCATCCAAAAATACGCCTTTATCATCAAAATTTTCATTTTGACCTACACCTCGTACATCCAAATAAAAACAATTACGAATAAGCCCCAAATTCTCATATTGTCTATGATAACATACCTCTGGAGTTCTCCACAAATGTACAATTCTAGCATCAGGACGAACCACATCGTAGTTGGAACGATACCATGGACGCTCTAAACAATCTTAACATTGAAAGGACCAACTTACCGATAGAGTACGGGTTAGTTACTGCTTCACGAATAGCACCGAAGACTCCGACTGATCCAAATGTACAAAAGACGATCATTTGTTCTGGCCATAATTTCCAAGCTTGGCGTGGCCAATAAGCCAGCTTTCGGTAAGCCCGTACAACCCGGGACATCTAGAGGAAACGTCAATTATCGATACTAAGCTTAAGATTAAACACGAGAAGTTATAGCAAATGATCGGATCAATCAATATTACGATAAACCTAAGAGCTTTATTAATTTTTACTCAAATTAATTAAAAATAAAAAAAATAGTTATTTTTCCAATAATAAGATAATTAACCTGAAGTTTCAAAGAGAAACTAATGAAGGACAAAAAAAATGCAAAATCTTGCAAAAAAAACTCTATCAGTCTGCGCTCTACACCCTGCAGGCCGCGTAACTCATATTATACGCAAAAAAAAATAAATGCGACTTCGTAATGAATAAATTTCATTTCAAAATGAAAAATATTCAAAATATATCGTCAGTTTCGGATACAGTAGAGACAGAGCGGGTCCAGTAAGTGTCGTCAAACTCCCATTGATTGTCACGACCAAACGCGTCCTTTCCAACGTACTTGAACCACCTAAAACAATATCGCGTGAATATATTATAAGGAAAATGTTAAATGATTTTGTGTTTTGGATGTTGTTCTTACTTTCCCTCCTTGTCTTTTTTGCTTTTCTTGGATCGTTTTCGAGCTGCTCGCTGCTTCTCTTCCAGTCGGTTCTTCTCGTACTCGGCCTTACCTACAAGAGATATAAAGGTTAATAAATATAACAACATTAAACTATAATTAAACATAGAGTATTAATAATATTAACTTACTGAATTCGCTCAACTCAAAGTACTTCAAATCTGGTCGGAATCGGCAGTCGGTCTTGGGAAGGGATGCTGAATTCTCGGGCATCTCGTTCAGCATCATGGTGAAGTAATTGAAGTTGTAGAAGTACTCTGACCGTGGAGGACGTTCGATCGAGCTCCATAACAGCTTAGAATCTTTGAACATGACAATCGGACAAGTCTAAGATGGTTATGTACAAAGTAGATTCAATATGTTGCTTTAGCTTCTACTTATTGTAGTAGTTGTAAAGAAATTGTAAAAAATCTACTTTATGAGACAAAAAATTTATTAAAGTACGTTTCGAAAATATGATTATCTGAAACTTACCTCAACGAGACTGTCGCAATGCTTCCTGAAGTTTTGTTCGTATGTCGCAGCATTGTCCATGTAGATCTTGTAGGGCATGCTGGCTATAAAGTGTGCCCAATTACCGTACACTTTGCTGACCTTAGTTTTGCTAAAATTTAGTTACAGTAGTCTCAACTCATTTTACGATTTAAGATGTCATCTACTACTAATATACCTCTATCACAGCTTGTTGCTTAACTACAGTAACTTACTGCATGAATACATCACCTTCCATAAGCAAATCAGCCCTTCCTGAACCTGCGCCTTTGAAGTGTAGCTTGGCTTCGTACGGTGTGGAGTGGGAGATGATAGTCATGTGGCCATTCTAAACATAATGTACATATTACTGACAAATTTACTTTATGTTTCTAACAGTAATACTCTTACGGCACAAATGTACATCGTCCCCATGATGATGTTGTATATGACACAACTGGTCGCATTCCAAGTGTAGATTTCGATGCCTTCCTTTCTAAAACCAAACTTATATTACGTATACGATTGTCAATACTCAAATGACTATTAACTGTAAAAAGTTACAAACATGGTTACCGTAGCAACTTCAACGTGAAGGCGGCTCCAGGATCACATTCGATCGATCGACCCCAGAACTTGACCTTCGGAGCGACAGTACCACTGAACTCGAACGTCTTGGACTGGGCGTGGAAGGCGGAGATCGGGGGATGATGTGACACTTGTTCAGCGATGAAGTTGAAGCCTAATTCAGGACGATTCAGTTCGTAGGTCTCGTGCAGCAGAGGGTTGAAGGGCTTTGTCAGTCGGATACTGGACAAAGTCGAGGCCGCAAAGGCTGCGATCAACTATAAATAATGGCCTTAGATATTACTGCCTAGATATTGTTACTGTCATACTAATATGGTAAGTATTTTTGTGTCATTCAGTAATATATGTAACAGTTAGGTAGCACCACTTACCTCGATTCTAAGCTGAGGGTCGTCACTTTGAGTAGCTTGCGCCAGTAGATCACTGTGTTCCATGTATTCTGCCAGTCGTTGGAGGAAAGTGATTGGTTCATTTAGACCAATAGGTAACGTGCTCCGAGAAAGCTCCTGTAGTTCGCAAAGTAAAGTTTAATATTATAGTAAAAATCACAAAAGGTTCTGTAATTTGATTTAAATAAAGTAATATTACCTTTCCGATTAAACTCTTCAAGACACTCCAAACGCTGACCGTGCCTTTTGGTACCGAAGGTCCAGGTAATTCAGTCCGTGTGGAAACTTTCGGCTTGGGCCGCGGCCGGCTGTCCAGGAGGATTGCCGACTCGTCTGCCATCAATGCCGCCTTCAGCCAGTGTGCGTGGAGTTTGTTGACAACCGGACGTCGCTGTGCCTACTCTTAAAAAATAAACTGTTTCAAAATAAATTGTTTTTGCATATTACCTATTTTCTTTTTGTGTTTTGCACAATTTAGACAGTTTGAGCATGCTATTTTATATGTATTTGTGCAAGACAGCGTGTAAATTAAAATCTTAATATCTATATGTATTTGTGCACTTTTATAACAATATTGACGAAAATTTTAATCGTATAAAAACGTCTCGCAGACTGCGACGATTTTCTTTTGTTGCGCCCGAATAAAAAATTATTTTGTTAGGAGAAAACGCGGGTCCGAGTAGAAATTAGATAAAACATGATGGAAGTTGACGAAAAACCGGTGTCTATATCTACAAACGTTCAGCAGGTACCGTTATATCTTTTTTGTTGTTTACGATGTTTTCGAATCAAGTCTTATTTTTATATTTGTAGGAGAACAATGCTGCAATAAAGAGCAGAGTGGCAGCACACAGTCATGTGAAAGGATTGGGATTGGACCCAGCTACAGGAGATGCCATTGACAAGTCTACTGGCTTTATTGGTCAGAAACAAGCTCGAGAAGCCGCTGGAATCATTGTCGAGTTGGTGAAGCAGAAGAAGATGGCTGGTCGAGGTGTTCTGTTCTCAGGAAAGCCTGGTACTGGAAAGACGGCCATTGCTCTGGCGATCGCTCAAGAATTGGGAGATAAAATACCTTTTGTTCCGATGGTGGCGTCAGAAGTCTATTCTTCTGAAGTCAAGAAGACTGAAGTCTTGATGGAAAACTTCAGAAGAGCTATAAGTAAGTATTCTTTTTTTGTGCTTTGATGTTTAGGTATCAAATATCTATATTAATGTTTAGATGTGCGAATGATGGAAAAGAAAGAGGTATACGAGGGAGAAGTTGTTCAAGTTACTCCATTTGAACAAGAAGGCGTCAACTTTGGATATGGAAAGACGATCAGCCATGTAGAGATTATTCTGAAAACTGCTAAAGGTTCAAAGAAACTAAAATTAGATCCATCAGTCTACGACGACTTGTTGAAACAGAAGGTTGAGGTTGGGGATGTCATCTATATTGATGTAAAGGCAGCTTCAGTCAAAAGAGTAGGAAGGTCTGATGTGTTTGCTAGTGAATTTGATGTAGACGCAGATGTGTACGTGCCGATGCCTAAAGGAGACGTTTATAAGGTTAAAGACGTTGTTCAGTTCTGTTCTTTGCATGACTTCGATGTGGCTAATATAAATCCAAATGGCGGTCAAGGAGATGCCTTATCTTTCTTTAATCAGTTAATGAAACCAAAGAAAACAGAAATTACTGGTAAGCTTATGTATTATTTTCGTGGAGAGACCTATTATAAACTTGATATGTGTTTTAATACTATTTTACACATGTGTTTCAATATAAATTGGTTTTAGAGATGCTACGTGAACAAGTTAACAAAGTGGTAAACAATTTTATCGAAGAAGGAGTGGCTGAACTATTACCTGGAGTTCTATTCATCGACGAGGTGCATATGCTAGATCTGGAGTGTTTTACCTTCTTGCATCGAGCTCTTGAATCTCCAATCAGTCCGATCGTTGTCTTTGCCACGAACAGAAACCTGAACTCTGTAGACAAGAACGAGCCTTGCATTCCATTGGATCTGCTGGATCGACTTCTTATTGTACATACTAAACCTTACGACAAATTCGAAATTGGCTCTGTAAGTTTCATACTGCTATGTGTTGAAGGTTGTTTTATACACAAAATTTAACGGCTTTATTAAAAATTATATAACCTAAAAATATTTTACGTAATTTTGCTTACTTCATCAAGTTTTAGATAGTAAAAGTTCGCGCAGACGCCGAAGGAGTTAAGTTAAGCGAAAAGTCGGTGGAGAAGCTGAGCAATGTGGGCAAAGAAGCTTCTTTACGGTATGTGATGCAGTTATTGACACCAGCTAAAGTTCTGGCACAGCTAAATGGAAGGGATATTATTGAAGTAAGTTTTTAGGTAATAAAATAGCGTTTCTTTATAATTAAAACTATAATTTTCAAAATTTATTTGTTGTTTTTCAGCCTCAAGATATTGAAGACTGCGAGAGTCTGTTCCTGGATGGCAAAAGATCGGCGAAGATCGTCTGAACTTGACTTTGTTACGTTCTCAACTTGTTATGATACTCAGTTCTTTGTTCATTGTTATAAACTCTAAGTATAAATGTGACGTTGTTTTACATGGTTACGGCCATTAACTATTTTTTGATTTTTGAGTAATGATTTGCTTTGAGCTTGGTTAATTACATTATAATATCTATGTAATAATTTTTAGTCGTTATAATGAGCACCGTAGATTGGGATTCTGTGCCTGACGATGAGCTTCACGAAACAGTTTGGGAGAGGATTGAAGCATTGAAAGAGATATTCCCACCATCTTTGAGAAGTTCGGTCAGTGCCACAGCTGATTGGACATTATGGTTTGGCAAGAAAGCGGTGAGTTGTTACCTAAAGTTTTTTTGGTTTTTGTTTGGTGTATTCGAAGTTATTGTGATATTATTAATGTTTTTTTAGTTTTCTACTTCAAAATCAGCTCTGTGGGTAGGATCGACCTCTGGAATTCTAATGTTCTTACCTGTTATCATCGAAAAAGAGTTGGCGGAAATGGCAAAGTCACAAGTCAGTTTTAATATATAAACCCATCATTTTAAGCAAAATCGTATAATTTTATGGATTATTTTGTTACATAAAGTTACCAAATGATGCTTTTCAGATTCAACAACAACAACAGATGCTACTCGGACCTGTCAAACCTTAGATCTTGTACTATTTAACCTTCAGATTGTTTAGATAATAAATTGTTTTTGTTTTGCATCTAGTTATTGTTTTGTTTTACGTTTTGGCGTTTTGTATTTTAAAAGTCACTGCTTAAAATGTAGGTATATTGTAGTAGGCGATGATTACAAGACATTTGCGACACATGCCTCGGGCATATCTTCGCTTTGCCTCTTCTTTAGCTTCTAAGGATTCTGAATTGCCAAAGGTTGCATCAGTATCTAAAGAAGAAACGGTAAGAATAAACATTCATTTTAATTTCAATAGTTATTAGCCAATGTATGACTTATAGAAAAAGTATGTTTTAGAGTGTATCCAAAGTAGAAGACAAGTTAGAAAAGATTAATTTGTTGGGGGAACTTTTGGTAGGAGAACTAGAAGCAACAAATGACGAGGATAAACCTGGGTTTTTTGCTTCAGGCAACGTCAGAAGATACGATTCTGAGTTGGGAGAATCTCGACCAGCCAACAGATTCAGAAATATTGTCTACGACGAAGGCGAACTTGACAATTCAGACTTTACGAAGCCTCCGTCTTTGTATGTGATTATTGTTTTTGTTTGCAGTTTTTTACTATGTCTTTTACAGTATGATTTACTTTGACACGAGTAATATGGTATTTGGATTAAATTTCGTAAAAACTATGATTTTCATTATTTTGTTTAATCTCATTTGACTAGACTAAAAAGTTGAAATTACAGAGAAAACCCCCACCCTCTGGATGTCAGTAATCTTCCACCAACTCATGCCACTAGTCTAGTAGCCTACGTTAATCATCTACCGGTATTACAGAAACTTGTGGATATTAGCGTAGACTTGTATAAGGTAAGTTTGTAAAAATTAATATTTTACTTTTGAAAGTTGCCAACTTTAATTACGGTGTTTTAGGTAGATAATGAGCCCAAACTGGGAAGGAAGTTAATGTATCTTAACTGGGAACAAGATGTTTTACCGAGAATAAAGTGGTTGGTCCAGTATCTCAGAGTACCAGCTCCAGAGATAGGATCGTATTTCACGAGGAACCCTTATTTTCTACTACAAGATACGAACAGGTTACAGGACAGAGTGAATTACTTAAAGTCGAAGATGTTCACCCAAAAAGAGATACGGAAGATGGTCATAGAATACAGGTAAGTTACTGTTATGTTAAATTATTGTTCATATTACGAAGTGTTATGATTATGTATGTTAATTTACTTACAATGAACGTATTTTATAGGGAATATTTTAAAAGTTGATTTGTACTTTAGGTATTGGCTGAACCAAGAAATAGATGTAATCGATGGTAGATTGGGGTGGATTCAGAAACAGTTTCAGTTGAGTGGCAGGGACCTGAGGAAGATGATAGTCAAGGAGCCTAGGATAATACAGTTTGGCATCGGGCCTTTGTCTGTGAGTTTGTTTCACCATTCGCTGATTGTTATAAGTGGCACTGTTTCTGGATTTATATGTATTTTTGCAATTGTTATATATATATCTAATGTAATATGTCTTTGCAGCGTATAACTATGTTAATGAACAACGACTTCTCGTTAGGTGCTGGTGAAATCAAAAGTATATTTATCAACGACCCACGATGTTTTATGATGGGTAAATGCTTGATTTTCTTATAATAGACTATATTAACAGTTATGGTAATGTTACTATGCTCAGTATTATTTAAATTTTATTTTCTCACTGTGTTTTAGATCCTAAAGCCCTCGAGATTACCTACAATTATTTGCACCAAGTAATGCAAATAGAAAACGAACAGATTGTACAGTACCCCATGGCCTTACGATGTTCAGTAGCCATGTTACGAAGAAGATACGACTTTCTAAGACGATTAAAGAAGGACCAAATGAATCCAGAGCTCCCGAACTACATCTCGCTACAGAAATTACTACATCCGAGTGACAAATACTTTGCCGAAACCGTATGTTCAACTCCTTTGGCTGATTACCAAAAGTTTTTGAAGACTTTGTGAAGCCACGAGGTATCCTGTAGTGTAAATGTAAAGAAAGATAGGGAGGAATAAAGTTTTAAATTAATATTTTATGGAGAATTTTGTAAAGTAAGCCTACAATTTAAGTAAAATAAGCCTATAAGTTAAGATAGTAAAGAAGGGTTTATGAATAACAAACTTAAAAGATTGGAATAACAAACTTGTAAACGAGTCAAATAAGTGCATCTTGCTCTTTTACGTTCAGTTCTTTATTTAATCGACGCGCGATTCGCTGACCGCACTTCAAATAAGCCTGACCAGAGCGTTATCATCGAAAGAAAAGTTGTAGTCAAGATAAAGTCGAGGTATTCTTTTGCTTTCTCCATAACTGTCTACCTTTAATAGTCGTAAAGTTGTTTTTACTACAAACACTTCACGCGGCGTCTAATAGTACACTTTGTACTGTCTAAAATACTGTTAATACTATAATAACTAAACAATGGTATCTGGTACTATTCGGCCAGGTGACAACCCAGATCTGACCAAAGAAAGGAAGGCGGCTTCCTTTGATGTGAACCAGCTGTCAGAATTCATTCACGGCGGAAAGGAAGTTTTGGCACGGAGAAAGGAGATTCTGGAGTTTGTGGAGTCGAAGCCAGAGTTCAAACAAGAAACGCCAATCGAGTTCTTAAGTAGAGAAGAGAGGTACGAACAACAGGCCAAGAATGCTGTAGCCATGACTGAATACGCTACAGATGCCATCGACGGTAGTGACTTCTTCGGTGAAGGAATGTACTATCAACAGTAGGTGTTTGAAGTTAAGGTTTATAGGTTTAGAGAGATTACAAAACTAATATAGTTTAGGCTTTAAATCATATAGATATAATATATCGTCCAGATTGATCATGGGTCGTGATCTCCACGCTCTTTCATTGCACTATGTCATGTTCTTACCCACAATCCAGAATCAGACTACAGAAGAACAGCTCGACAAATGGTTGGGACTAGTCATCACTCGAGGTATAGCTGGTACCTACGCTCAGACTGAGCTTGGGCATGGTACCAACCTGAGTCAGTTGGAGACTACGGCTACATACGATCCCAAGACCGAAGAGTTTGTGATTCATTCCCCAAAGGTGTCGGCCGCCAAGTGGTGGCCTGGCGCACTTGGGAAGTCCTCAACTCATGCCATTGTGATGGCACAGCTATATACAGATGGCCAGAAGTACGGTCCACATCCCTTCATCGTGCAGATCCGAGACCTCGAGGACCACAAGCCTCTGAAGGGGATTACGGTAGGTGACATCGGCCCAAAACTGGGAATTAATGGTTCTGACAATGGGTTCTTACTCTTCAACAACTACCGTATCCCCAGAGAGAACATGTTGATGAGGTACTCTAAGGTGACAAAGGAGGGAAAGTACATTCACCCCAAGCATCAGAAGTTGGGCTACGGCAGTATGGTGTTTGTACGGTCGATTATGATCAGAGATCAGTCCTTGCAGTTGGCAGCTGCTTCTACTATTGCTACACGGTACGCTGCCGTCAGAAGACAAGGAGAACTGGTTCCTGGGTAAGTTAGCTACAGTAGGAGCAGAGATTAGAAACGGTGTGAAAAAGAAAGACTTGGTATCTTTACTTTGTTAAAATATATATTTCAGAAAAGGGGAAGTTCAGATCATTGACTACCGTACCCAGCAGCTTCGTATCTTCCCCCAAATCACCAAAACCTTAGCTTTTCTGTTTGCGGCTTCAGAAGTCAGGGATCTGTATTTGAAGGTAACGGAACAACTATCAGATGGCAATGTCGAACTTCTGCCCGAGCTACACTCTCTGTCTTCTGGACTGAAGTCTGTGGTATCTTGGGAGGTATCTCAAGGAATAGAACAATGTAGACTGGCTTGTGGTGGGCATGGCTACTCACAGGCTAGCGGGTTTCCGGAGATATACGCGTATGCTGTTGGGGGATGTACATACGAAGGAGAGAACATCGTCATGTTGCTACAGGTTGCACGGTAAGATTTGTGAACTTTCGATAAATGGATTTTTTAGTATTTTGAGATATATTTTTATACTATCTTGTATACATTATGTTACATACTCTTTGTATATGTACATACCTAACGATGGCTGTATATAATTCTAGGCAATTGATGAAAACAGTGGCTAAAATAAAGTCAGGAAACGCCAAGTTAGCCCAGATTGATGGTTATTTGAAAGCGTTTAATGTGAATAGGTCATCGTTCAATGGTCTTACTGGACTAACTCCTCAGATCTTGATTCAAGACTTTGAACAAGTGGCCAGGATCCAAGTAAGTTATATTATTATTTGTTTTACAATGTAATTTATTGATGACAGAACAAAAAAAGTTGACTTGGTATCTTTCCCAAGTCTTTTCAAATCTAAAATTCTCAAATATTTGTGTAAATAGGTATTAAATCTAACTTTTAAACTTGTTTTAGGTATTCGGAGTCTATTCTCGTCTGGCCGAACTGAAGAGAACCTTGCCAGAACACGAAGCCTTCAACAAGATCTCCATCGACTTGTGCCGTGCCTCCAGATGGCACGTTAAGGCGTATCTTGTCAAGAACTTCTTCGCCTACATATCACGGTGTTCTGGGGCCGAGAGAGTGAAGCAGCTCCTGGTGGAGATAGCGAGTTTGTACGCTCTGGATCAGATTTCAGCTGGATTAGCTCACTTTCTGCGCGTAAGTTTCGAAAAAAGATATAGCTAGCCTCTTTCCTGACAAAAGATATACACTTTTAGACGAATCTGTACTGTAAGCTTGTTTTTTGATATTGTTGAAACTAAAATCAAAGAAAAAATCAAAATTAATTTTAAAAGTTTGGACAAAAAGTGGTTCTACACAATCTGTTGACTTAAAGACATTATTTTGTCATTAGAAATAAGCTAAAAAGTCGTTTTCAAATATTTTTGAATTCTTTCAGAACCAATATTACTCACAAAGCCAAGCCGACCAAGTCAAAATGTCAATCGAGACCCTTCTGGAACGACTTCGCCCCGAGGCAGTTGCTATTGTAGACGCCTTTGACTTCAGTGACCGAGAGTTACATTCTGTTTTGGGTCGGAGGGATGGTAATGTGTACGAGAACCTTCTAAAATGGGCCCAACAGTCCCAGTTGAACAAGTCTGATGTCTTAGACGCCTATCACAAACACTTGGGACCAATGATGAAGGAAGGTAGAGCCAAGTTGTAAAGGCACCGGTTTATTAATATATATATGTATATCAAGGCTACGTACATATTACATGACCAGAGTGTACCACAGTAACCGTACTACTGTACTTTTGGTTAGAAAGCAATATTTTACAATTTGTAATTATAAGAGACGTACAGTATACTTGGAACACACTTAATATGCAATGATTTGATAATAAATGCTACATAACTATACGTATTAACAGTATTATACAGTAATACTTAAGAATACAGTAACTTATAATAAATTTTTTAGTACAAATAACTAAGTTAACGGTTTGATACTGTAATCATAGTACTGTAGTATTAAACAAAAACACCATAATACTGTAGCAGGTTACTGTAACTTTAAATAAGAGGCGTACTGTAACTCATATAAGCCCGTCAATGTTGGGAGGTTGTATCACTGGCAAGTCTCTGGCATTGTTCTCTTCCAACTGTGGTCGATATTCACCATGATTCCTTCGTCGTTCCTTTATCTTCCGTACTCCGAAGAATGCAACGGCTCCCAAAACACACAGTAACACCTAAAGTAATTGGAATTATTTACTTACGCGAAACAGGTCACATTCTAACTTGACCCACATCACGAGTGTTTTCGTGTTTTGTACTCTCGTGTGTAATATATGAGCAATAGTACGATGGGAGACGTGTCTCTGATGACATTAAATGAAAAGAAGAGCTAAGCTTATAATTGTAGACGTCTGTTTGTACTCTTACATTACTCTTTATTGTGTTGTGATAGATGGAAGATGGCTTTTCGAATTAATATCTCTTTTAAAATTAGTTTTTTGAGCGTAACTTTATAATAAACACAATAAAAGTGTAATATCTTTGATTGAACTAAGATCTTAAATATTGTACAAACAGATATCTACAATATCCACTACAATAAATGTTGCAAAAACTTACTATAACACTGATTACTATGACAACGACGACCCATGCCTCCAGTCCGTCGTTCTGCGGCTTGGTGTGGTTGGAACGTTGAGTGGTAGTCGTCGCCATAATAGAAAAGGCATGAGTGAGAGATCAACACATGCTCTTCCGGGATTAGCCACAAAGAAGATGCCTGAAGGAGGAACAATCGACGAGTGACTCGCGACAACGACGACACGAGAATCGATAAAACAGAAAGCAAACAGAGAGAAAAGGAAAGTGCAGGTGAGTGCCTCAAGACTTCAGCCCAACCTCTTTTCAGAAAGACTCCTTCTCTGACCGCTGTCCACAAACATTATATTAATCATCCCTTGTTTGGAGGTACGGGTAAATAACACAACATAACACTGGTCAAAAAGTGTATAGAATTTCGCTTTTTTTGTAAGCTTTATTAAACTGGTAATTCCTTTTCAATTTTTTAAGAAAAACAAATAAAAAAGGGTAATAAACTATGACTTCGCATAGTTTAAAAAGTAAATAATTAATGAAACGAATATAAACCAAAGTTTATTAATACAACAAGTGTTTTCAATAACAAAAAAACAAACTGTAACCGGCACCACTCATGGCCAACCCTTAAGCTTGGAGCTGTTCTTCCTCGGCCAAACTCTGAGGCGTCGTTTTTTGCTCTTCTGGGCGCATAGCTGGGAACAAAAGTACCTCCTGTAAACAATAATCACTAAATATATGCAAACAAGTTGTGTTTAATTAAGTCATCAAACACGTCTTTTGCCCAAAAAAACTCCTGAACGGAAGTCAAAACAGCCATTAAAAGTTTTTATTGACAAGTTCTGATATTGTCATTAAAATATTAATTAAAATGACAACATTGAAATTAAAGAAATGACTCTTAAAAGTTTAAAAAACAATTTTGTCCAAAAATCAAAGATTACACTTTCTACACAAGACATTATGCAACTAAAGAAAACACACATTCACTTTGAACATACCTTAATATTGTTGCTGTCGGTCAAAAGCATAGTTAGTCGGTCGATTCCCATTCCCCAGCCAGCAGTTGGTGGAAGACCGTATTGCAGGGCAGTGACAAAGTTGTCATCGATCAATTGAGCCTCGTCATCTCCAGCGTCCTTGTCTTTAGCTTGTTGCTCAAAGCGTTCCTTCTGGGTAATAGCATCGTTCAACTCAGTGTAGGCGTTGGCAATCTCCTTGTAGACAGCAAACAATTCGAATCGTTCTGTCAACCCTTTGCGACTACGATGCCACTTAGCCAATGGAGACATGACTTGAGGGTGACCGACCAAGAAGGTGGGGTTCAAGAAGGTGTTCTCCAAGAACTCACCAACCATCTTGTCCAGAAGTCTAGACGCAGTTCTTGGTTCAGGACAGTCAACGTTTTTAGATCTGGCAATCTCAGAAAGCTTCTGTCTGGCTTCTAAAATTTTTTAGAAAAATTATTTATTACGATAAGCATAGAAAAAATATTCTGACCAAGAACTTTTCAATAAAAAACTGTATTTAATGGATACATCTACTGTTACAAATCTTACCTTCAGTGTGCAGAGTATCTGGAGGTGGCAGTTTGACACCCAATTTGGCTTCCAGATCATCGTAGATGTGAACCCGTTTGAATGGAGGTGTGAAGTCAACTTCGAGAACTGGCTCAGTCGAAGGTCCGTTTGGATGATATGGAATCTTGTATGTTCCGTGAATCGTGTACACCATTTCTAAAACTTGCGACCATAATTGTACACACAACTTTTATATGTAACCATACAGCTTTTATTCGTATTGTAAATTTGTATTAGTAACTGTTTCGTAAAGGATAATATATACAATTTCCAAAAACTCACGAGACACCAAATCCTCAGTCAGCTTGATCAAATCCTCGTAATCGGCGTAAGCCATGTAGAACTCGCATGATGTAAACTCAGGATTGTGTGTCATGTCAATACCTTCGTTTCTGAACAAACGTCCGATTTCGTATACACGATCCAATCCTCCGACTACCAACATCTAAAATATTATTTTAGTTTCCGTAAGTAAAACTCAGTATCTTATCAAAATAACAACAACACGACAATACTTAATTGTATTTGTAGAATAAATAATCAGAAAAAAAGCAACACACCTTGTGGTACAACTCTGGAGCTACACGCAAAAACAAGTCCATGTTCAAATCATTGTGATGTGTCACAAAAGGCTTGGCAGTGGCACCACCAGCGATTTGATTCATAATTGGAGTTTCCACTTCTAAGAACCCGAGGTTGTCCAAGTACTTTCTAATAAAAGAAATTATCTTGGCACGGATAATAAACTTATTTCGCACATCTGGATTCATGATCAAGTCAAGATAACGCATACGATACCTAGAAATGATACAAAACATTATTATCTAAAAACTTATTGCTCAAAATAAGCAAAGGTAACTAAAATTTACATTTTTTAACTAATGAAAAATAACTTTTAATGGTTCTTACCTAGTTTCCTGATTCTTAAGACCAAAGTGGGTATGAGGAAGCATATGAAGACATGGTGTCAGCTGAACAACTTCCGTAGGCACCAAACTCAACTCTCCTCTAGCAGATCTCGTCGGATGGCCAATGAATCCAACAATATCTCCTCTCTTAACACGATCGTGAATCTTAGCAAAAGCATCTTCTCCATCTTTGTGGTATTTGGCGTTGGCCATCACTTGAAGTCTAGTGCATTCTCCGTGAAGATCGTAGAAGATCAGTTTAGCACCAGCTTCTCTTTTAGAAAAGATACGGCCTATAATTGTTAAACTATTATCCAATTTCTTAAGTTACCAGATATCTTATCAAACAAACCTAAAATTAAAATAATAAATAAAAAAAACCTACCAGCAATGCTAACCTTGGTGTCCTCGAGCACCTGGTTGTTCTCCAAATGGGCATACTTCTGCGTGAACTCCTTCAAAGAGATGGAAACGTTGAACTTGTGCGGAAAGGGTTCTTCTCCAGCTTCACGTCTTTCGTTAATCATTCTCACTCTCATGTTGAAGTATTCTTGAGGGTCAGAAGGATCCGCATCCTTGGCCTTATCGTTCTTCTTAGCCTGGACTGGATTGGCAGCTTTAGCCGCATCTTTTTCGGCCTTTTCCTTTGCCTTTTGAGCTTGCTTGGCTAGCCTCTTCTGCTCACTGAAATAAACAAATGTAAAGAAAGTATTGCATCACTTTTCTATATGAATTGTTAACGTATTACTAACAGAAAGAACACTAACCTATATTATGACAGATTAACACTAACCTATAATTAGAATTTAAAATCAGCCTCCGACATGAAACTCTACATAAAAAGCCGCGTGTAATCGGAATCATAATGGATGATTGCTACTTACTTCTTACTCAGCTTTTTATCACCTTCTTCAGCACTCATTTCCACAATAAATTAAACACCCTAAAAGAGAAATTTAATAAAACAATAAAACGATTCGAAACTCAATTCACAAAGTTCACGAAAAAATATTCAGGTACATCAAAGCTTATTTACAATAAAATCTTGTAAAGTTTCCTTGAAACACTTCAAATCCAGGAAATTTTAGGCCAAACAAGATTTTTCCTCCATTCAAAAAATAAAATCTCAAAGCAAGGCCCGCAGACTGCGCCCGTTAGGTTATACGCTGAAACGTGCCCTGACAGAACTGTTTCTCGGTTTCCCCCGTGCAAATGTATTAGTTTTGTAATAATTCTAATAATCTCATCTTTTATTATATTCTTTAAATTATCAACGGGATCCAAATATTACACTAATCAACAATGTTTTCATGAAGACTTCACGCGAATGGAATCCTCAAATTCAAGGTTTCTGACGATTGTTGTTCTGTGAGTCCGAGGCTAGCTTTAACATCTGTTAAATCCCATTCTTGATATACTTGTCGTACTGGTGGTTTGTCTAAAACTGTATTTTAATCATGTACTTTATATTACCTTTCTGCCTGACCAAAGAATCCAGACTTAAAACATCATCTTGGGATGGGGAACCGTCGACCTCCATGGGATCTGCTTTAATGTCCCACAATGAAATGTATTCTTTTTTCTTTTCGTCTGATATCCTGTCTCCTAGACTTAGTAACCTTAAATTACACATTACAGTAGCTGAAGCCGTTACGATACGTTGAGAAATAAAGTAAGAAGAATGATTAAAAAAGTTTGTATGTTTGTACCTTTCAAGTAAGATCACCATAAATAAAGAATAATTACTTACTTTAGAAATACGTTCTTCGAGAAAAAGTAGAACCCATCCAGAATGTTGACAATGAGAGACTTGAGGTCGTAATCAGACAACGAGATCTCTAAAGTTCTATGTTAATGATACTTAAACATGTCGCTTACCTGTTATAAAAACCCGATTCAAAAGTAATGCGCTCCATCCAGCATACTGACTCTTTTCAAAGAAATCTAACGTTTCATCTGAACATAGCTGTGTTACCTAAAATAATTATTTCAAAAAAATATTTATATCGTTTAAAATTTTAAATAACTTAAAGTAGAAAGATAAAGGAAATCTAACATCACAAACACACAACATAAGTGAAAACTTTTACCTTATTTAAGAACATTCCATAGCAATTACAATCCTCCAAAACTACAATAAGATGATGCCAGAAGGTGGCCAAGCTTTGAGGTATCGTCCAGACACGATTTCCAGTTTTAGCTACAAACAAGAACTTGTATTACACCTAATAAAATACAACATTATAAATAATAAAACGAACTCACAGCAATCGTACGTAAATTTGGATTTTGTCATGGACTCTCTGGTGACCAACAATCTTTTAGTAAGAGCAGACACAAACGAACTGAAAGAACAATAACCATAGTTAACAAAGAATAGGTAATTGCAGTATTTAAAACATGAAAAAACCATATCAAAAGTACGATTAAACTACTTACTGTGGTTCCTCCCTAATAATCTTTCTGAATCCATCCAAGGAATTCTGAATCTTCCGTTTATTGGCCGCTTTTTCAGTTGCATCTCGGGATTTACTAGTCATTACATTACAATACTCTAGTACCAGCTTCTTGAGATGTTCAAAATCTGGATTGGTCTGTTGTTTCTGTTGAGTAAAGTCTGCTCCAGGTATTGTCATAGCAATTTCAACCGGCTGGCTCCAATGAATGTCCTAAAAAAAGTCGTTATCTTATTTTAAAACATGTATTGGTATCAACAATTTGTTTTGTCATATTTGTTGTAATGCTACCTTTAATTAAAAATAACCAAAGAAAATATTAATTACAAGAACTAGGTGTTGGCCACTTACCCACAGCCAATTTCGACAAAACCTGACTCCATTTTGCAATTCTTTCAAATTGGGTAGATCAGCATGCGCAACACTATGTCTCATCTGGACTATCCAGGGAGGTATGCCAATCTAAAGACAGTAAGATACTACAATGCTTTCCATAACAACAATAAGATAAATCAATGCTTTGAAGATTCTTACTTTTTAAGTAGTTAAAAATAAACTTACTTTACTTGTTGCATCCACCACAGATCTCAAAGGACCATCTTCAGATTGACACATCTCATTCAAGTAGCTCACGAATCTAAAGAATCAACAAACTATATTAATATGCTCACCTGATCATTACCGTGCTGTGAACCAACTGTTTATTGTAACAAACGAGGTGGTTTGGTACACTGTTTTCAATATCAAACAAGATTCCACTAATAACCAATCGCGTCAGTCGTATAACAACTGGAGTGTGCGGTTCTGACCTAAAACAACATGATTAAACCATAATATTTAAAGTTATGTCAAACGTAAATAAAAAACCAAAAATAGAAAGTTTTGTATCTTAAATGAAATTTAAAATTGTAGCTTTCCTCGTGCTTACCGAAATTCCCACATGTGCAATACCTCAACCACTTGCTTCAAGATATTAAGATTTAAGGTCATTAGATTGTTCTTCACAAAATTCCATTCTTGTCTAAAAGCTAAGTAATAATGTTGTAAACCTAGACTTACTCTGTAAACGGTACGATGGTCACAGCATCGTTATTGTCCATATTTGACTAATATTGTCGTCAGCGGGTAGGTTAATATCGTAGTTAATATAAACAAATAATAAAATAACTTAGTAAGTTCGTTAAAATACAAAAAATTAACAAATTGAAAGACTAGGCAAGTAAAATGTGCCAAGTGAAGAACTTTTGACAATTTTTAGACATAATTTTCTTTTTACAAATGGCATTATGCCACGGGAATCTTTCGTTGCGGGACCTGAGTTTACAATTTTACAAACTGTTTTACGTACTGTACTTTGGTATAAATATATCCTTGAAAAATATGTTAAATTACTATGAGATACATTGAAGGAATTCCGACAATTTCAAAACTTAAAAAAACGATTGGATCAGGTTGTGGCCATGAGGAAGGACAAGTCGAATCAAAATGTTTGTTTCTCTTTTCTTATGAATGGATCCCCATTGCTCAAGCTGCTTTCTTTCTACCTGTACTTATGCTGATTGTCCTGTAATATACTGTCCCAAATGTTATGTAAAACTACATGAATGTAAACTAGATGAACATATTGAGCATACATGTCGAGAAGTGAGTTTTTGACATTTTTGAATGTTTGTAATAAGGAACAAGTAAAAGTTTAAAAAAAAGTTTTTAGACTTTAAGACGAGTGTTGTTTTTAGTAAAAAATGACAGAAATGTTGTTTTTAAGAAGTAAGAATGTTGTTTTAGGCAGCCACGCCTTGTCTTCTTGCTCAGTACGGTTGCACAGCTATCTTGCATCGGAAAGCTTTGAGCAAACACTTGATAAATTGTCCTGCAAGTGTAGTAAGATGTAGTTTCACATGGAGCAGACAGTTTCTGTCATTAGATGCCAAGAAGTTGTTCAAGAAGATGCACAGAACTTCAGAATCCCTTGAGAACCTGGAAGAACCTCCATCTGACAATATAGAGTTGAAGTTGGCACTGCTTGATCAAAAAGTTTTATTTAATTCACTCAACTGTGTGAGAGAAGTTAGAGTAAAACAACGTGAATTCATGAATCCACAACATCCGATGTTACCGTTACGGTATTTTGTGGGAAAGGATGATAATGTTGGTAGGGAACACGACAGTAGTGACGAGGAAGAAGACGCTAGGGTAAGTTAAGATTCAAAGAAGGTTAAAGCTATATATTTGCAATTCTACTTACAGTTATACTAATTTACAGCTGCGGAAGTTAAATGCGAAGAGGAAGATCTTTGCTGGTTGTTTACAATGTAAACTAGATCCCAGTGCTCAGCACCTGCATACTTTGGGGGCAGCCAATACGGAGTACGATTTGTCAGTAAAGGAAGGGAAGAACAGGTTCTTCACTAACAGCATCCTACCTCCATTCAATGCCTCTTATGGGTTGTTTGTAAGATAATTACCCTTTTGTCATCATAGTTTTATAACTACTTTCACAGGTTTACAATGAATATACCAAAGTGAAAGCAATTAAAAGTACACTTTATTACATAAAATTAATACTACAATTGTAGTTGAGCTTGGAAACAGACAAAGCGCCAATCCGAACACTGAGCAACGAGATGAGGAAGCTGGTCTACTTCTTCAGTTGCGATCAAGATGTGAGGAGAGACGAGATCAACCACCACATCTTCTACCACCAGAAGTTCCGTGGCTGTGACAACCGCTACATCTGGTGTCCCTTTAACTGTGGGTATGGCGTGAGTTTGACACAAACGGAGGAATTACGGTAAGACCCGCTGTGATATAACTCTAAAGGATTAAGGCTGGCTGACAGACTGGATACCGTGTTATTTACCCCCAATAATTCTGGCAATGAGACCCAAAGAGATTACCAGCTAAATCTCGTCTTGAACGTCATAACCTTAGTGGAGCCATATTTAGATTCACATCAACTCAACAGTCTTTCCTTTACGTGCTCTACAGTACGAAACCATCTTTTTAGTAGTTTCAGTAACAGATGGATGGTGCAGCCAAAGTGGAAGAAGATCGTGACAGAAGAGGGAGCATCTTGGCAGATAGACGGCCTTGTATGTGATTTTAAATCGTTAGTTCAATAAGTCGAATTGATTAAAAAAACAATATTTTTAAAAAATTTTTTAATTTTTCGAAACAAACTAAACGTCAAAAAGGGATCTTTTTGTTTTTGAAATCAATCTTGGGTCAAACTTTTCTAAGCAGATTTAAAAGTTACTAGGCTCCAATAATTAAAATTTATCATTTTTTGGGGCATTAAACAATAAGACCTCAAAGATTTGTTCTTGGTATGACCAATACACGGCAAAATGATACTATAAATGTTATTATAAACAACATTTCAACAAGATACCGAGCAGCGCACCTTATTTTCTTGTAAAAGTGACTTATTTACCAGAATATTTTGTAATTTTGAAAATATTTTACAGAAATCTTCATTTTCCAAAGTACAATCCAATGTAGACGAGCTTTACCATTCAACTACAGAGCTACTGAATCGAAGGTTGGAAGCTCATGTAGCTGGGTGTTCTTTCCGAACTGATCTTTGTGTGCCGAGCACATTCAAGAATCCAGATTTTATGGCAGAGTTGGCGAGTATTAGGCGATAGCGAGTAGATACTGCAATAATTTGGTAACATAACGTTACAGTATCTTATTTGCAACTAATTGTATATTATGTCATATAAACTATTAAGAACTATATTATGGCACTTTTATTATTATTTAAATTAAAGTAATAGCACTGGATTTTATAATTGTACATTACCGTACTACTCAAAACGGTAATATTACAGTAAGAACAAGATAAAGTAGAGAAATTTATTGGTGTCTGCTTCAAACAACTTTAGTACTGGGTATTGAACAGTGATCGTAATCTGGAGATGATCTGGTCGTTGCTGAAGGCGTTGTAGCTTGGCGATATATAGACGGGGGGTTGGCTGTCGTATAACTGGTCGAAGACGGGTCGGATGGCTCGAGTGTCTCGTGTTCGTTGCTGGAGGCTAGAGGATCGTCCTGACCTGAACAAGGCTCCGCGAATGCTCTCCGCCAGCAGTGGCATCAGTATCAGTACTAAAACAATATAGTGATAAAAGTGATAACAGTTTTTGTAAAGTATTATGGTTGTTTTGGTGATGTAGTAAGGTAAATGCAGTGGCTAGTCACTTTAGACTGAACTATTTAATAGCAAAACAAAAAATATTGGCATTTTCTAATTAAAAATAATTAAATTTTCGAAAAAAAAAGTAATCGAGTGATAAGGAAATGATTATATTATGATTAAAACTATAATACTGTAACTAAAACTTACTCAGTAAGGTCTTGGAGAACATAATCGGAGAGACTTGCAGTGATATAACAACTTCTCAGCTTATCAACCTTATTTGAAGCCGGCTGGCAGGTCCGCCTTTTCCGGATTAGGCATTAAGAAACCAGAAGATATCAAAATACTTGGAATCTTGTCTCAAAACATGTTACATTAATGTCAAGTTACTTTGTCAATCCGTATTATGATACTATCTGATAGTACTATCAGCGACAAAGTTTTATTGCCGTGTTGATAAAATAATGTTATCATGTAATTGACGTACTTTATCTTACAGTACTTGATACATAACGTGTCAACAAAAAGTTATGTCAAATAAGATGTCATAGCAACATTTAATTTAATGTCATCACGTACCTACAGTACAACAGAATATCAACACAGTCAAGTAATCGGCCCAAACCATGGTAAATCAAATGGTGAGTCCCAACAGTATGATGAACTTGAACAAACACTGGGGATCTGCCTCCACCCACGTCTGTCTCCGCGCACAGCTAGCCATATCTCTGGGGTCAGAGAAGATAGGGGAAGTCGGCTGCGCATCCGCCTCCCCTCAGGATCAAAAGCCAAACAAATTGGAAAGAAGGAGGATAACTTGCTGTTAATCAGTTGTTCCGCAGCCAGCCTACACGATGGGCGAAGACGTAAGTAAAGTGTACCCGACCCAACTCTTTTAGGACAACGGCACGGCCAGGAAGCCAAAATGGAGCTACGAGCAGATCAAGGCAGGCGACACCTACTTGAGCATGCAAGCTGGTACTAACCGATTCGAGAGTCAAAAGGGCATGACGGCTCCAGGTATGCCACGATGGAACATTACCAAGGACAAGAACGCTGGGTAAGGTTGATTTCGTACTACTTGATATTACATGCTAAACTATCATTACTCAAAACGTTAAATCTAAAAATATTACAAGAACTAATCAATAATCCAAAAACTCTTCAGCTACATCGAACCAGACCGTCGTTCTGAAGAAGTGCTCCGTATCCAATGTGGTACCAACTTGTACGCTTCTCAAAAGGGACAAACTCCAATTGGAGCCAACCGCTCCCAGGTGCCAAGAGTAGTCTACAAGAAGGACTGGGAGACCATCTTGGACAAGGAGGGAGAGAAGATCCTCCCTAAGCAATCTGGAGACTACGGTCTGGCTACACAATCTGGAGAAGTCTCCATGGGAACTCATCGTAATCAGGTACCCAACATCAGAGGCCGTCTGCCCAATGACCGTCGTACTCACGGTCTGCTTTGTTACCAATCCGGAACCAACATCTTTGCCTCTCAACAAGGCATGGGTGCCCCGCCTGGTGTTGGTGCCATCCGTCAAGCGACCACTGAAATCGAAGGTCTTGGCTTCAGGTAAGCTTTGTTCTTCATCTTTAAATTTTCTGGCTATTACTATCTTTAATGCTTAACAATAACATTTGTAGCGAAGACAACCTCCGCCGTGGATCAGAATTCACCCCATGGTACTCCGGACAAAACAAGTTTGCCAACCAAAGTGGTACCGGTGGTTTCCTCAAAGTTCGAGATGTTTTGCCTCATACTCAAGTAAGTAAACAAACATTGTGTGTTGACAAGATAACATTACCCAATCACAAACTTATTTTACAGGGTGGAAAGGAAATCCCGGAAGAACAGAAACTCAAATCAGAAGGATTGGTACCACTGCAATCTGGTACCAACAAACTGGCTTCTCAAAGAGGAATGACTGGATTCGGTACTCCAAGAAACACCATGTGCAGAAACGGATGGAAGAAGGAATGGTAATATCAACCTTTCTATTAGATTAGTAATCATATTTTCAGGGTCGAGGAATACGAAGCCGCGTTGAAAGAATGGGAAGAAAACAAGCCTCCAGGATCGGCCGCTTCAAATCTGGAGCCTTACCAAAAGCGGAACGAAGAGAAAGAGGTAACAATACTTGTGATTGCAACAAAGATTTTTAGGTTAAACAAGAGAAAGTTGAATCTCCGAAAGAAGAAGAACCCCCAGCTGAAGTTGTAGCATCCCCACCACCAGCCGAAGAAAGGCCCGCTGAGGAAGAAGTTGAAGAAGAAGAGGAATACGAAGAGGAAGACGAAGAAGAGGAGGAAGAAGAGGTAATGTTAATTACAAATAACTAATAAATTTTCAGGAGTAAACCATTGAACCATGTCATAACCCGCAGTCCAGCCCGAACACTGAGAAGCCAAGAATCTAAGTAATACATACACTTTACGAATATTATCCATAATTTGATTGAATAAACATACTTTTAACAATTTATGAACCAATAAAAGTAACAAAACAATCAAAAAATTAAGCCTTCAAAGCATAGACTCTTCTTGGAACAGTGGTGGCTTTGACCTGTTGTTTGTGGGTACGGAGGGAAAGTTCGTGTTTGGTGAGGGCACGGCGGAGAGCTCTAGTCTTCTTCTGGCGAAGGTCCTTTGGCACGTGCTTCTTACCCTGAAATACGTAAACCATGAGTTAAAATATCATAACCCGTCAAAAATAATATTCCTACGAAAGACAAAACAGAGAGCTAAATATATTTTCATAAACAAAGATAACAAGCCTAAAAATAACTAACAATTAAAGTAAAATATTAAGAATCTTAAACAAAAACCATAATACACATCCGACAAAACTGAACTTTTAAACTATCGAAAACTAAAACCGTGTACTTTTAAACTATCGAAAACTAAAACCTTCCTAAACTACAACTTCATAAATATTTCTTTACAACATTCCTGCATTTCAGAAGAAAAAATTGTACCTCCACCAAAAATAGTTCAAGAAAATATAAACTTTCAGTTTCAAGTTTTCGAAGATCTATGGACAAGTAAAATAACTATCAAATTTAGTTAACAGTTACATAATCACAACTCAAAACAACCTCTTTAACTCAAACCAAACCCTATAAACTGAAATAGCACCCACCTTGTACAACTTTCTCAAGTTTTCACGTTGAGATTGGTTAACAACGGTCAAGACTCTAGCGATGTTCTTGCGGATAACGTTGATCTTGGCAAGCTTTGAGGTTGGGCCAGCAGTAACTTTGGAAACCTAAACATAAAATAAAAAAAAATAATTTAAAACTCACCAAAATGTTGGCCAATTCGTTCTTTTGTTCCTCCAAGACTTGAAGGAGCTCTTCCTTCTTCTTTCCTCGAAGTTCGGTAGCCTTGGCTTTGGACATGTCTAAACCTGGAAGAAAAGATCATGAGCATGTCGATAAATTTGTTTATGACAATATCACCTCACATACAACACGAAAAAACGAAAAAAAATTTTAAAAGTTCGAAAAAATTGAAAGGAACGAGAATAAATTCTGTATTTTTACCGTATTATTCGCTGAGCTCGTTTGTTTTCGCGGCGGGAGAAAGGTTAAACACTGATGCGATGACTTTTTTTGTGTTTTAATAATACGGATTAATAAGATTTTAAAATATACTAACAAATAACAAAGTTTGACGGTTATTTAAATTTAAGTTGTTGTAACTTACATAAAAACTAAGTTATTGTGTGTGTTTTATATGAATGTATTATTTTACTGATTGTGAGTGTACCAAGAAGTTTGTAGCCTTGAAGTAGTTTTTATTTAATGCTAAATATACACTTGCTGTATTTTTCGTGTGCCACATTGTGTGTTCCTCACAGCTGAATAAAAAATTATTAAAAAATTTCTTGAGACAACCTTGGCTAGTCGACACTGAAGTGAGCTGCTGCTTTCCTTGAATTATATTTTACTCACAACTATACATTTTTATCTTTGATTGCATGTATTTACTTAAAATTCCAAAACACATGCATATTCTATTTCATTTTCGTTTTAAAGGCCGAATTTTATGGAAACTGCTTTCCCATATGCCCTCGAGGCAGGAGTGAAGACACACATGGAAGGCGAAATCCGTCTGGTTGAGGTTTACGTTGTTGGAGTAGCTTTTGGAGGTCTGGTGGTGTCACTGGTATTGTATGTGTTCGTGTGTTGGCTGAGAGCTTGGAAGAGCGATGATACGAAAATCAAACTAACTAATAGGTCCACGCTTCTCTCCATTGTTTGAGGACTCTCCTTCTCTGCGTGGGCCAAGTGATTCGAGAGTCAACAATAGAGACGTTCTTTTCTTATGGCGAGCCGAGAACATCCGATTCGTGTACTTGGTCCTGAGGATTATAATAAGTCCTTTCAGGTGGGGAAGTAATTTGATTACAAACTCGTTGTTTTAGGAGATCGGCAAGGAAGAGGTGCATACTGTAGAGGCTTACGAAAAGAAGATTCACGGCAAGAATGTAGAGGTAAGGCAACGATGTAAAAGTAATAATGTATAACAATTTCTTTAAAGATTATTTTACAAAAACCGCGTTCTTTAAAGCAACTTTTTGATGTTGTTACAGTAAGTTAAATTGACATTTCAGCCCAAACGTTCATTCTCTACAAAATCTTTTATTGAACGAAGAACATTCGGAAGAGACGAGAACGGTGATGTTGTTGTCAAGATCGAGAACAACGTGAGTTCATAAATCATACGCTCGTATAGCAACATGACTTTTACAATAATTACCTGCATCAGAGTACAGCTCGGTCTAATAATAGTATAATACGCAAACGTTGCAGCCGCGGGACCCAGTACGTCCTGTATCTCCAGTACGATTAACGGAAGGAAGTGACGAAAAGGTGCTGCGACCATTGCCTAATCTCGACACAATTCCCCTGCAGATTCCCAGAGTGGGGCTGAAGGGAACTGGACAACGATCACCTTCTATACAGTGGAGAGGTAGTTAATTAGATTACGAGTGTTTAGCAATCAAAGATGTGATGGATTACAATCACTTTACACTTTTTTAGCATTAGACTTCACAAAGTGCATTGTACAAAAACAATATCTAGCAGTAATTGGGTATAAAATAGTTTGTACTTGGAAAACGGTATAATTATAGATCAAGTATCACCACAACAAGACAACAGAAGACCATCATCACAACAAGATGCGAGACGACTAACACCCCAATCAGCTTACCCCCGTTCTGCTGGCTACCGAAGACCGTCACCCCAGCCTAGCCACCATTCTGGGCGTTCTTCCGGCTTCAGCTCCGGCTCCAACACGTCGGAAATCTCTGCTTCTGTCCCCATGAAGAAGATTACCAAAAAGTCGAGGATGGTTAACATCTTCGACGGGCGCCCTGTCAGTGATTATGAAGAAACGGTGCACTTTGTGCCTGTAGACAGACCGTTCAGGTAAACCACAATAACATAATTGGGAAACGAGGGAGTTGTTATAAGGAATTGTAGTTTTAAAATATAATTGAATTACTTTTAAAAAGGAGCGCTGGTGGTTACGTAACTCTTTTCAGTCGATGGAACGAGAGCGATGACTTGTATGGGTATCGGAACAGGGGGGTGAATCTGGAGCAGAGCTACAGACAGTCGGGGGTGGATGTGATGCAAAACCCGTACTACTCGGAGTACTGACGTGATCTTTCTTTAAACCTTGGAGTTGGAGTAAACAGCCTCTTGTCATGTATATTAACCACAATAAAATGCCTTACATTATACTTAATCAGCTGGAAACGGGGCGCGGGACGTTTGGGGAGTTTTTTGATTTTTACAATGAATTTTGTGGTCATCGTTCCGTCCCATCGTTGCGTGACTGATTGAGAAATACCTTCAAACCTTTAGAGAACTTCAATTGGAGAGAACTTCATTTCGATCTCCCAATATGAACAATAACTATGCTGGGCCCAAGGCGCAACGCCGGCTGTCAGACCCGGCCAAGATGCCGATGGAATTGTGCAAGTTTCTGAATAGATGGAACGACGTTGAGGGTAGGTTAACATGTTTTTGTACTTTGAGAGAGCTTGGTAGATATATTTCATGTTCTTATGTGTGTTACCAATGTATGTTATCGTATCTTAAGTAGCACAGTTTGTGTTTGGCGGTCGCGGTTACGCAACAGATAACTATTTATAAAGACGCCTTACTATAAGATGTTTTCGATCGAGATTTCGACGTATTATAGTTTTTTCTCGAAATGATATATGAGGATGAGAAGTTGCGTAACGCTGCAAATAATTGTGTTTTAACAATTTTCGAAGGAATTTCGTTGTAATTTTGGGATTCTCAGCTACATCAGTTTCAAAAAGTACAGAAGTACGCTGTAAATCTTAATATTAAATCTATAAAAAGCAACCATTGTAGACACTATTTATTAAGAATATAAGTCATCAAAACATATCTCAATTTGTAATTGTAAAAGTTTATTTTTAGTAATTGAAGTAGTAGAAAACCCCCCACAAGTACCACACGACAAAGCCTGGATCAAGACGTTTTTGAACAAACTGAAACTACGGTTATGCACGATCACCCACTGTGGCAGGGAAAGGAAAGGTCAAGATGAAGACAAGTTCTTTGACGGTAAGACTACTTTGGTCATAAACTCCAAAGAATGTGACAAAAAGAATGTCACAAGAATAGATCTTTTGTTCTTTATGATAATATTCCTAACTTGTTTCTTATTGTAGATGACGATGGAGTTAGAAGACGATGCTTCTCGACTAATGCCATCAGAGCCGACATGGAAGTGAATATTCCAGAATGTCTGAACAATCGCCAGAAGCGAGTTTGCTTTGGAATCAAGCAAAAAGTAGGTTCTTTGAAGTCTCTGTAAAGGTTGTTCCTTAGGTATTAGTTCATTTAAAAAGAAGTTGACATAGCCTTCTAGATACTTTAGTCATGTTATCATTTACAGGATGACGATGGAAAGGGTCCATGTGAACTTCGTCCCATTCTCATGCGTCGTCGCAACAGTGTCACTATGGGGCAGTTGGAGAAGCTACCGTACGCACACATGGACTACGACACCTTTAAGGCCTGGAGACGTGGCAGTCGGCTGTCAGACGATGTAGCTCATATGCCGGACTATAAACCCTACAAACCGTTGGACTACTTAAGAAGATCAGAACGGAAGATCAAGGAGAAGACAACGCCCATCCAGAAAGTGGTCAAGAACTTTGTGAAAGGGTGTCACGGTCCCGAACGCAATCAGTACAACTCCTCGGGGTTTGCCATCTGAACGATCTCAAGTCAGTAGTGATATTACGTTTGTTATAAGTAGTTGTGATATTGTGTTTCGTAGATAATAGTGATACTACCTTCTTCGGCGTAGTAGTGATGTTATCCTGTTATGGAGTGATATTACTTTGTTATAAATAGAATGGGAACAAAGTCTCAAAAGCCTTTGAGGGCACTTTTCGCATGTTTTTTCGCTGCGATCGGCGCATTCAGCGAGCGTGATCGTGGATTTGTTTATTCAAGAAACTATTATCCTCTAATTTACCATATTTTGCATTAGACTGTGTTGTTCTGTCTCTTGTTTATTTAATTCTCCTAGCGTTTGATTGTAAAATAAATTAATATTACTTTTTGGCAGGGTATTTTTAACGGCAAAGATTATATTTTTATCAACATTAATGGCAAGTATATCAAGGACATTCTTCTTTCTTCAAGGTCCTTATTTTGTGATAATCAGTATTAAGTACAACGTTAGCTTTTTATGTCATTTTAACCAATTTAACTATAAAATATCATGTAGAAGTGCTCTGTTATCAAATTAATAACCTTGTAATCGTCGCTGATATTTCCCACGGCTGTCACTAATTTATGCTATTCAACCTTTAAAGACTTTGTTCATCAAGTGTAAGATGGGTAGAACGGCATCCCCAGCGGCGCTTTTATAAGGTTAAAAAGCTTGTTTTGAAAGTGAACGTCATGCTGTTTCAAGAAGATTACCTGATTATACGACGTTGTTCGGACGATTTGTCATGCCGAGGAGGGATGGTTCCCTCAGGTCAGTAGGCGCCTCCTTTTCGTTTTATTTCGAATGCTGGGAGCGGCGGCTGAAACCGGTTTTTCGACTGGTTTAGAGCCGGCTCTTCCTCACCAGATATCAATGATGATTTTGAGACATAATAGACAATCGCGCCCGGTGTTGTGTAATCGTCTCGAGAATTATTATTAGACATCGCGAGCCGCTGTTCTTGAGGGAGCGGGAACGCGGTGGTGGTTAGCCAGAAGCCGATGGTGAAGACGATGACCACAAACCAGAAGAGAACGGCGATTTGCTTAATCCGGCACAATGCAACTTAAAGTGAAAATGAACGGAGAAGAAGACGCTAATCACCCTGACGCTAGCCATCCAGCAAGAGAGCTGGACCGGAAATTCCGAGGGTATTCGATCTGTCTCCCTCTCATCCCTCGCTATGAAGGTGATCCGCCTTGCTGCTACGCGCCGATCGTCGTGGTCATTTCGCTTTCTGTCAATTCTGTGCCGGTTTATTTAATTTTTATTTTTTGCAGACCTTCAACCTTGCCGTTTCCCGGAGCATCTTCAACATCGTCTATGACTCACACCAGTTAAAGAGTTCATGTCAGCTATTGATGCTTTTTCAAGTCATCATCACATTGCTTGTGTATCAATGTCAGGTGAGTTGGCCATTCGTCATCCTTGATTTCATATTCAGTCATCGTGACATTCTTGATGTCATACTTCAGTGATAAAGATCATTTTCGGTTTCAGTCTTTTCATCATAAGCTCACAAAACAAGAGTTGGCCCACACTTTCGGCGTCGAACATGTTGATCATGTGCCGGAGTACGATCTCATCAGGGCCAAACGTCATATCATTGACGGCGAACGGAAGAAGATCGAGTTCAAGGCGTGGAACAAGAGTTATGTCATCGACTTGACTCTCAACAAAAAACTTATTAGCCCTCATTTGGTATGTTGTTGATACAAGCAGTATATTGTACATGTTTCTTTATTTTTTAAAAGTTTTTACTTGGGTTTTAAAATAATTGTCATCTTTTTTAATCGTTGTACCTATTCAGATCTCAGTAATCCGTGATTTAAATAGTACAGTAGAATACAAAGGCCTGCCTACTCTCGACCAATCTTGCCATTACATTGGCCAACTCGTTGATGGAGACCATAAAGCTGCCATATCAGATTGTAAACGTCTTCAAGGAGTTGTCGTTACAGATGAACACTTCTTGGTATTACAATCTGTACCAAAACGACTGCAAGATGAACATGTAAGCTTTATATTTACTTTATCATCTTTTTGCTTCCTTGATTATCTAAGTATTGTTTTAGGGTCCTCATGTCATCTACAAACGGGAGTCCGGCTTGATCAATCCTCTGGAGCATTTCACAGAGTTTTCAGAAGATACTAAGCTGACAGACATAGAAGAGCACGGTGAATTTTGCGACGTGAACACGGTAACTGGCGATGACAAACATGGCAACGAGAGCAGTAAGTGTCCCTTTCATTGATAACACTCCTTTAAAGATCGGTTTCTGTATCTGAACTACACGATACCGTCGGAAGCCAAGCTGGATTCTCTGTTCATTTTCCCTCAGCTTGATCCTATTACTCTCGAGATCGGATTATTCCTGGATTCCGCGTTGTACGAACACTTCAAGCGAGAGTTTACTGCTGATCCAGAAAAGCATCTGACCGAGTTCTCGCTGGCCTTGATCAACAATGTTCATGTGTTATACCAACAGCCGACATTGTCACCAAACTTGGATATTGTCATCGTCCGTTTCGAAATGTGGAAGAGTCAGCCGGTAAGAACAAAATTTTAAAAAACATGCATTCTTGATGTATTATCGTCCCTCATACTCACGTTTTAGCCCAACTTGGCCTCACACCTACATAAGAACGGGCAGGCTCAGACACTTCTAGATTCTTTCTGTCGTCATCAAGCCAGAATCAATCCAGGTACTGATCTCACCGATCCAGGACATTGGGACCACGGCGTGTTACTAACTGGGTAAGTTAAATCTTAATTTGCAAATTATTTTAAGGTATGACATATACCACACAACACCGTCGGTGGCCGGAGTTGCTCCAGTCGCTCGAATGTGCGACGACTTGTTTGCTTGTAGCTTGGTTGAAGGGCTACATCTTGGTCGATCGTTTGTTCTGGCACACGAAATGGGTCACAAGTAAGTTTTACAAACGTGTCTTTATCTTCATGATGTAATGTGCGTACACTGAAACTTAACAATAAACCTACTTTAACATTAATAGCATGGGAATGGTGCACGATGGTGTTCAAAACCAGTGTGGAAGAAGTTGCTGTTTAATGTCTGCGGTTAATGGAGCCGGTAAAACGACGTGGAGTGAATGTTCAGTCAGAGAGTTCAACGCCTTTATGTTGCAATTAGAGTGAGTTCAAATGTTCACGCGTAAAAAAGTAATATTTCAACCTTATAATTGTAAAAACTTATCAGATCAAAAATTCAATCTAAAATACAGGGTGTCCAGAGAAAAGTGGAAGAAAGTCCAGGCTTCGTTCTCAAAAACTAGAAGTCCAAATTGACTGATTCTTTTTTTGTTAAGCTTCTAATAGCATGCGGATTTGTTCTGTATGATTTTTTTTGATCATTCGGCGGAGGCTCGGCGAAGACCGGCGGACGGTATTTTTACTGTTTTCATGGTTATTCCAACCTGTTTCGTAGCTACTCATGTTTTAGCCATTTTTCAATTCAATTTTAAAATTTTATTAAAATTTCGTACCATCGGCGGAGAAACCCGGCGAACGCCATAACTCAGCCAAGTATTGATATTTTTTTTCCAAACAAAAACTAACATTTTCTATGTTTCTTTGCCATAAAAGTGGACTAAATTTGGTAGTTTTTAAACTTGTGCACAAAAATCGGCGGAGAGCACGTTTGTCGGCGGAGGCGATAACTCTGTTCAAAGTCAATATTTTGACTTGAAACAAAAACCATTATGTTTTTATGAAGATCTTCTTTAGATTAAAAAATTTTTACAAGTTTTAAACAAAAATGAAAGAATCGGCGAAGACCCCGTTTATCGGCGGAGGCCATAACTTCGTTCAAAGTCAACATTTTGACTTCAAACAAAAATAATTATGTTTGTATGTGAATATCCTCTAAAATAATAAAATTTGATTGTCTTCAAATAAAAACTAAGGAATCGGCGGAGAGTATGTTTATCGGCGAAGGCCATAAATTTGTTGAAAGTCAATATTTTTATTTCAAACAAAAAACAGTGTGTTTGTATGTGATACTTCTTTAATATAATGAAATTTTGTTACACATTTGCTTTTAACGTCAAGAGACCGCAACCTTATTTGTAACAACAAGATATTTTTCGTAAAAATTTACTATTAACTAATATGTACTACGACAATTGGTATACGAACGTAATGGTTTTTGCTTCAAGTTCAAATATTGACTTTGAACGAAGTTATGGCCTCCGCCGATAAACAGGGTCTCCGCCGATTCTTTAATTTTTGTTTAAATTTTGTCAAACTCTATCATTTTAAAGAAGATTTTCATACAAGCATAATGTTTTTTGATTGAAGTCAAAATATTGACTTTGAACAGAGTTATGGCCTCCGCCGATTCTTCCGTTTTTGTTTAAAATTTGTAAAAATTTTTTAATCTAAAGAAGATCTTCATAAAAACATAATGGTTTTTGTTTCAAGTCAAAATATTGACTTTGAACAGAGTTATCGCCTCCGCCGACAAACGTGCTCTCCGCCGATTTTTGTGCACAAGTTTAAAAACTACCAAATTTAGTCCACTTTTATGGCAAAGAAACATAGAAAATGTTAGTTTTTGTTTGGAAAAAAAATATCAATACTTGGCTGAGTTATGGCGTTCGCCGGGTTTCTCCGCCGATGGTACGAAATTTTAATAAAATTTTAAAATTGAATTGAAAAATGGCTAAAACATGAGTAGCTACGAAACAGGTTGGAATAACCATGAAAACAGTAAAAATACCGTCCGCCGGTCTTCGCCGAGCCTCCGCCGAATGATCAAAAAAAATCATACAGAACAATTAGAAGCTTAACAAAAAAAGAATCAGTCAATTTGGACTTCTAGTTTTTGAGAACGAAGCCTGGACTTTCTTCCACTTTTCTCTGGACACCCTGTAATATACAAAGAAACATACCTTTTACAGTGAAAGTGGCAGAGGGAACTGTCTTCGTGATCCAGCCATCAGTATCACCAGCCACGATCATCTACAAGACGGCCGTCTCCCTGGCCAACGTTTCACGGCAGATCAACAATGTTCGTACTTCTGGGGTAGAGACTACCAGGTTGAGATCCCGAACGGCCGTAGCATGGAAGACATCTGTCGTATCTTGTGGTGCGGCAACAGCGGATCCACCATTTCGACGGCTCATCCAGCGCTCGAAGGAAGTTGGTGCGGCGGTCAGAAAGTGAGTTTTAATGAAGCGATTCATCTGTTTGTAGTGGTGTCAAGAAGGTCAATGTCAACAATGGAGAAGCCTCACGCCGCAGCCCGTTATTGTGCACGGAGGGTGGTCACAGTGGTCATCTGGAGACAAACAATGTGCCATTACACCGTGCCAGGTTACTGGAAGTATCGCTGTGAATGCCCAGTTGAGAACTTGTACTAATCCTGCGTAAGTTAGTATGCTTCCTCGATAATCATCAGCATTCCTTTATTATTATACACTATCACCACTTTTTCGTTAATTAGGTAACATTATTATCATTCCAGACCAAACAATGGAGGTCGCCAATGTTCAGGAGCCAACATCCGAGGACTGGTTTGTGGATCAACAAAGTCCGAATGCAAAGGATTAACACAAAAAGAATATTCAGATCACATTTGCTCGACAATAAAGAACGATCCCATCAGACCGGACCGCCAGTTAAGCGGGATCGGCTTTATGCGTGAGTATTCTAATGTCAAGTTACTATTTTTAGACGCGAACTTTATTTGTTTTATAAAATTAAAAAACGGAATCAAAAATATAAATTTTGTAAAATATTTCCGAAAACTCCAATTTGGCCTATTTTTTGGTTTTTTGAAAATATTTTGAGCGCCAAAACCAAATTTTGTTTTGTGACATTTCGCAACAAATATTAAAAATAAACAATTTATTTGTCAATTTTTTCTGTGCAAAAATAATTATGAAAGTGCAACATTGATGAAAGTTTAAGATTTTAACTTTTAGATGCTACACAACCATGTAAAGTTTGGTGTCATGTAACAGGTTCTGAAGTGATAAGAAACAAAGGACAACTGCCAAACGGGTCGCCTTGTGGAGATGGACATCATTGTGTTGGAGGAGTTTGTTTGGTATGTCACCTATTTTTTCTCACAACACAGGAAATTTTCCGATCGAAAACTAATAAAATAAAACTTGTAGAGCTAGAATTAGATTAAAAACCTTAAAGTCTTGGCTAATATACTTTATAAAAAATGAAATTTTTAGAAATTGAGATGCAATGGCCGGGCTCTGGTGTCCAGTCTAGCCGACTGTCCTGAAGACAATGCTCCAGCCTTCAGGAATGCTCCAAAGTGGGACTCTTGGAGCGAATGGTCGACTTGTTCTGTATCATGCGGAGATCACGGTCTTCAGAAGCGAACTAGAATCTGCAAATCTGGAGAACAACAATGTCAAGGAAAGCCTTCTGAACTGCGAGATTGTACTCCTGAACCTAAGCCGTGCGAACGATATTCAGGATGGACCGACTGGTCGAAGTGTTCGGTGTCTTGTGGAGATGGTACACAGAAGAGGACACGGAAATGTGAGAGTGGCGATAACTGTTCGGAAAAGTTGATGGATGTTAAGAAGTGTACGGAAGTAAGTCTTTTTATAAATTGAAGTTAGGTTTAACTTAAAATAGTTTATAATTTCATGTGAAGTACTAAAGTTTTCACTGATTTTATAAATTAAGAATAAGGTTAATTTAAGGAAGAGTGCCCTTCATGGTCAGTGTGGAGCTCGTGGACATCGTGCAGCGAAAAGTGTGGCAAAAAAGGGACACAGAAAAGGTCGAGAACATGTCGCCAGAAAGAGTACCAAGTGTCAAAGGAGCTCTGTGAAGGCGATGAGGAAGAAACACAACCATGCCAAGAAGCCGTATGTTTTTATTTTCTAAACTTATGCGTACTGTAGATTAAAAAATTTTGTCATTGTGAGACCTAAATAAGTTATATTGCAAGATATATATTGTGATTGCAGGAATGCGAGCTCCAAAAAGAATGGGGCCCGTGGCAACAGTGTTCCGTGAGCTGTGGAATCGGCTTCCAACTCCGAGAACGACAATGTAATGGCAAGCCATGTGGCGGGAAGCAAGCCCGTACTTGTAATGCTCAAGATTGTATAAAGCTGTCGGATCATAATGTAATGTCAGAGTGGACTTTGTGGAGTAAGTGTAGTCAATCGTGTGGTCAAGGGACTCAATCACGTCAACGTCGTTGTCTTTCTGGAAAGTGTAACTCAAACGAGCCAGTGTACGAAGAAAAACGTTGTGTACTTCGACCGTGTCCAACGTGGACAGCGTGGGAACAGTGGTCTACTTGTAGTTCATGTTCAGAGCTGGAGACGAGAAGAAGGAAGCGGAAGTGTGTGATTGGGTTGACTTTGTTGGAGGACGAAGTAATAGAGATCGACTCTCAGTTGTGTACTGGGGAATCTGTGGAAACAACAAAGTGTTCTACGTATTGTGAGGATCCTCTGAAGGCGCCAGTGTTTCCTGTAGAGAGAGCCTTGTCCAGCTGGGCTGAATGGGAAAGTTGGCAGGCATGTTCTGTGTCGTGCGGAAAGGGCTTCAAGAAAAGGTAAGCGTTACTATAAAGAATTATTGTCACTTTAATAGTAGGTTGACCAAAATGACGATCACAAGGTCTTCTGTATTTGATGTTTCAGATCGCGAAGATGTCGTTCTGGCTTTGACTGTGAAGGCGATGGATTCGACTTTGAAATTCAAAGTTGTAATAATGAATGTAAAGAGCCTGGGGAGTGGAAGGAATGGTCCGAATGGTCACTTTGTAGTAAATCTTGTGGGAAGGGAAAACAGACTAGGTCACGAGTGTGCTCACTCTTATTGGTGTTCCTCTGTTCAGGCAACAGTACGGAAGAAAGGGATTGTAATGTGCACGATTGTGGAGAGGTTGAGAATACTGCTTTGAAGCTGAAAAGTTAGTTTTATCGTTATCTTTACATCTTGTTGTTCTGTCGATATTAAGATTATAACTTTCGGTACAATTATTATTGATTACTGTGTACCATTTCACATTTATATTGTTTCAGAGCCTCAATGGAGCGATTGGAGTGAATGGTCCAAATGCAGCTGTTTCACGTTGAAGAAGTTCAGAAGGCGCTTTTGTATCATCAACGATCCTACGGTACAAGGATTTTGTAGCGGACCGTTGATCGATCAGAAGAACTGTGAACCAGAATCTTGTTGTAAGCAAAGACACGTTTAGCTTTATTTGTTATTTTCACTTCTGAATTTAGGATATTTTAAATTTAATATGTTCTGTTAGTTCATATTGCGTAATGTTTTATAAACTTGTCTTTCAGTGGCGGTAACCGGAGGCTGGTCTTCGTGGAGTGAGTGGAGTCTCTGCTCCAAAGACTGTGGCGGTGTAGGCCACCAAATCAGAAACCGGATGTGTTCAGAGCCTCTACCATCAAACAGAGGAGCGTACTGTACTGGATACTCCTTTGATCAGAAGACTTGTGATCCTCAGAAGGCGTGTACGGAGAAGCCAGTAGACGGAAAGTGGAGTGACTGGACTGAATGGAGCACTTGCTCAGATCCTTGTCAGAATGGCCAGAGGTCACGTACTCGGTTCTGCACGAATCCTTCACCACAAAACAACGGAAAGCCATGTCACGGTAACGACTTTGAGTTACAGCCATGCTTGGATCTACAGTTTTGTGGCAAATGTAAGTTAATATGGCACTGTATTTTTCACCACAGTATGTTTTGAACATTTTGAAAAACGTTTTTGATTAACTTAGGGTTTTATGTTCACTGTTTGTGTCAAAAAGTATTTAGAATTGCATTTTATTTTGTCGTTTTGGTGCATCTGTTGACCAAAATGGCACACTTTTCAATCGCACTGCCACTTTTTAGCTGTTCACGGAGAATGGTCCTCTTGGGACCGATGGTCCAACTGCACCGAACATTGTGGTTTTGCTTTTAAACGACGAGAACGTTATTGCACAGCACCACGCCCTGACGGCCAAGGGAAGCCTTGCTCTGGGTCGGCTCACTTGGCTTCAGTCTGTAGAACGTCACCGTGCACTCAGCCGGCTACAGACGGAGAGTGGTCCGAGTGGAGCTCATGGACCGACTGCACTATGCACTGTGGCCACGGCACTCGCACTAGGTTTAAAAAGTTTTGTTTGATGCACCTTAGGCTTCTCTCTTTCTAATTACAGTATTGTTTCAGGAGTAGGACTTGTGCCCAGCCTAGCAATGGTGGAATGCCCTGTTTCGGCCTGTCCGACCAGTCGGAAACCTGCACCACCGATTCTGATCTCTGCCCACTGACTACGAATCATACTGTAATGGTGGACAAGTACCTGTCAGAGGCGTTATCCTCCTTCTAACTCTACTAATGTGATGTATATAAATGTATTTATTCGCGGGTCTTCGTCTGTTTCTCCTGCCCAAAGACGTCCTAGTCCTTATCATATCACTCTTGTGTTTGTAAATAAAGGAATGCATTATTGGCGAGGCGTTTTTATTGTTTCATAAGCCGAATTATACGTTTTGTCGCAAACGAAACATTTTTTTCGTCGCGAGAGTAGAGGTCACGTAGGGTGAGTCAGCATCGTATCTTGGAACCGGTAAGGTCTCGTTTAGAATATGCGAGCAAAACAAGGTGAGGAAGGTGGCTACCTGCCAACCAGGGTCCTCTTACTGCGCGCTCCATTCTGACCGCACTCTAATACAAGGCTTGACCACACTCCGGTTACCACGACAGCCCTCTCTCCCTCTCATCTTTGACCATCCACCTCTTTGTTCATTACTCATCACATTCCTGACGTATTTCCACCGCAGGCGTTTAGCTGTTTTCGGGGAGGATTCATTCTTACCGTGCACTTTACGGCCAATCCCATTAGTTTTCAGTAGCGGTTGAGCAACTTTCTTTCTTTGTTTTACATACCTATATCGAGTAGTTTCACGTGCAAAAGACTTTTTACTTACATTTGTTTACCTGGGGAATGACGTTTACATTAGTGTAAATGAAAAGCCGAGTTTAAAGCTGTTTTTTAAAACTAAAGTTACTGTTTTAGTCTTAGGGTTTACTAGACATGAAGAGAGATGTCCATCGCGCGTTGGAATTGCTAGAAGAGTATCATGCAGACCTGATACGAACCTCTGATGTCGAGCTCAAGTACAACATTGAGCGAGTAGTAAACTCTTTCAAGAGCGGGCTTTTTAGTGCATTATGTGGTAGGTTTGCTTTTAAATTTGCTTCTAAATTTTAAAATCTAAATTCAACATCACCTGTTTTTCGCAGTAAATCGAAAAGTAAATAGGAAAAAACCAAAAATTGCATAAAGTGCACTTTTTCTCAATTTTTGATTTAAATAGGCATAACCGTCTTTTACAATAAAAAATCTAAATTTAAGTTTTTACGACCAAAAAAATCACCAAGTCCAAACGTATGTTTGCAGATATCCAAGAATTCTACGACAACATTCTTCTGAATCCAAACATCTCGTTTGTTCACAAAACAGTAGAAGCACGCAAGTTTGCTGATCGATGGGATGGAACCAGTGCGTATTTTAATGCTTTCAGCGTAAACAAAGTTTTCGCACCTCTCTAAACTAGCCTGTTTGTGCATATATTTGGGTAACAAAATATATTTCAGATGCCATCTCACATTCCATTCCCGTCGCTGTGCCATCTCAACCTTATTCTAGGCCAAGTTCCGCGTTCTCAGGTGTACGATTTGGTACGACTGAGCCTATTGGTACCGGAAACATATTAACCTACAGTGCAGTAAGTATTCGTAAATTTTTTAAAATGAATTTTGCTTTTATAAAAATGTAAACTTTTAGAAAAATGGTATTTGGGTCTTACTGTATATATTTGGGCACAATAGACAATATTAAAAGGCCATAAAATATAAATTATGTTTAAAATTTCAGTCTCGAGACCCTCAGGTAGAAGACTATGACATCTTTGAAATTGTCATCGACGCTTCCCAAGCTGGCCTCGGCTTCTCAATCAGCGGAGGATCGAATCGCCCTCCGGCTCCAGATCAGCATATTCGAGTGACCGAGATCAAAGAGAAAGGAGCCGTCTGGAGTGACGGCAGGGTTCGTATTGGCGATGTCATTCTACGCGTTAACTCCACGGATGTAACAAATGTACCTCATGAAGTAGCTGTCGCCGCTTTAAATAGTACTGGTGAACGTGTCACTCTTGTAAGTTAACATTCGTGCTGTTTAGTCAAAAAGTTTATAGAACCAATGTTTTTTACATATTCATAATTAGGTAATTTTTATTTTTGACTAATTCTTTACAATCAATATTGTTTTAGCTGATCAAGCGCGATCGTAATATCCGAAGCCTGAGCCATACCAACTTGTCTCAGCCGCCATCACAGCCAGCCTTCGATTTCAAGCCCGTCCATCGATCAAGTAAGCACCCACAATAACTGTCACGACCTTTTAGGATCTCTTCATCAACTGCCACAACCCACATTGACCGGTCGGCCGGTGAGTCGCCAGTCCTTCGGAGCTCCGGTCGCTTATCCTCAACCACCGCCAGCCTTCCTCACCGTCCCCCGCCGTGTGCTTCTACGCAAGGGAAACCAAGGCCTCGGCTTCAACATCGTCGGTGGAGAGTCGGGCGAGCCCATCTACATCAGTCAAGTCATGCCCAACGGGGTGGCTGCCTTAAGCGGGAACGTCAAAAGGGTAACTAATTTGAGTTAATCTATGTATGCGGCTTCTGTTTGTGTTCGCTATTTGAGTGTTTTAGGGTGATGTCCTTTTGCGAGTGAATGATATTGATCTGTCGAATGCTACACACAACGACGCTGCTCAGGTCTTGAAGTCGATCCCGCCCAACAGTAACGTGGATATGATATTACACTACCGACCGGAAGGTGAGAACTTTGGCGCAATTAAATGTTTTGAAAACAGTATAACAAAGTTATTTTACTTTATTTTTTAAGATAACCACGCATTCCAAAGTTTGTAAAAGGTGAAATTTCAGAAAGCAGCCAGTTCTTCACCAAACTCCAAAAGCAAAGCCAGCTAACTCTAAATCAATATGGCCGATAGAGAACAAACCACTGCCGGATCGAATATACATCTCTCTATGTACAATTAATTCACTTTCTAACAATAAATACTCTTTCGCTCCGCAAGGTCATTTCCGAGATTATAATCAAGCTTTGAAGAGAGTTGGCATGACAACGTTGGCAAGAGTCCAAGAGAAAGGCAGATAAGAGGGGAGGTGAGACGAGACTCTTGATCACTCTCCCAGACAACTGGCATAGTGCTGTTTTTTCGAATTGTGTTTTATATGCGAAATGCGGGAAAGGAATGCGCAAAGCCCCGCCCTCCGCAGATAGCTAGCGACTGTTTACCTCCAACAGAGCCTCACCCCGCCCGGTCCAGGCGAAACCGAAAAAAAACTTTTTTCACGGTTTCGTGCAGCAATAGTTCGAATTTCTGATTGCGTGTCTCCCAAACGCAATCGGCTACACACAAAAAACGGTCTTCTTCAAGATTCCAAGGTGGCCTGCCCCTTTCTTTATTCTCCCTCGTACAAAAACCGATGACTCAATTTTTAGAGTCGCGGCAGAGGAATGATTGGGCTGCTGACTTTTGTGAATATGCTAAAAACAAATTCCCGGAGGCGCTACGTTTGTTTTTTTTTGTAATTAGGTCATGTCGAAAGTGTACAAAATTTAATATTCTCAATTAAAAGTGTTGATAATTTACTCATTTTACTATGTAAAACATTTTTGTCGTACGTATCTCTTATAACACATGCTTAATGTCTATGATAAAAAGATCAATTTTGTTGCACTAAAATAACACTAGCGCATCCCTAATGCTAATTGGCCGTTGTGATTAATTATCAGTGTTCCTAGTGACAATTACTCGAGAAAAAACAATTTTCCTTTATCATTTATCAAACTGACTATCAGTTCTCCAGACCTACATAGTCGTACATGTGTTCTTGTCGCGTTGTTTAACCCGGGACGGTGTATTGCATTTCTTTACTTGCACTTTCTTCTTGTTTTACGGAACGTTTTGTCAACAGACATGAATAAAGTTATTATAACCGGTCAGGTCGGGGCCGGGTCACTCGTCCCTAGGAGGCAACAAAGTGTTCGCGTTTTTATGTCTAGTGCCGAGGTCATATAAGGGGTGCCCGTCCCCGCGCACCACAGGTAATCCCTCCATTCGAGTCCTATGGAGCGGCGCCGCGTCCTTGCAAGGCCTCGATCACATACCTGCCTTCTTTCCCCCCCCCCCCCCCCTTTTTTTACCCGTTATTGCCTTCCTCCTCTGCTAACAACTTTTCCTATCGCTTACTGCAAATATACATTCGCGATAACTTTTTGATAGATACCTTTCACGTAAACAACTTTACTGTTTTCAGATTACTTGGTGCGTTATGTTACCTCGCAAGTCGGGTAAGTACAACATTATGCAATATGTCATAATACAATTTATCCCATTAATCATTTCCTGACATATTTACAAATTATTTTTCAGAAGCGCATAGGGCGCTGGAGCTTCTGGAGGAATATCACGCTGAGTTGACCAAAACCACAGATCAAGAGCTGAAGAAGTACATTGAGAAGATCATATCTCACTTCAAAAACAACCTATTCAGAGCACTATGTGGTAAGCAAAGAGAAACCTCGTAAACATTAGTAACACAAGGTAATCAAGACAATTTTAAACAATTTCCAGATATACAAGAGCTTTATGATAACACTTTGATGAACGAGAGAGTTGGAGTTCTTCAGAAAGTCAGTGAAACCAGACGATTTGCAGAACGGTGGGAGAACAATCCACCGTTCGGAGGTATTGCCAAGACAAGTGTAAGTGCAATTACAAGTAATTATTATACAATCCGTTAAAGAGCCGCCCTATCTTGTGCACAGCTACTTTGAATCCATCGAACGGAGTGGAGACTACTACCAGATCGTACTCATACGAAGAAAAGACGAAAGAAATTGTAAGTGACAATTAAAATGCCTGAACTATCATTTAAAATATTTTATGCTTTTAATAACTAAACGAAATTTCAATGTTTGTAATTTGAATAAGCGACTTTGTTTAGAAGGACGGAAATGTCTTTACACATCAATACGCGTCCAAAACACTCGAAGACCCAACTGGAATAACCACACAGACTACGAGTGCAAACACATTGACTGACGAGAACGGAATTGAATGGGAGATCGAAGATATAGTGCTCGAGAAGAACCTAACTGGACTAGGCTTCTCCATAAGTGGCGGAGTGGACAAGTCTCCTTCACCTGACCACCACATTCGGGTCACAAACATTGCCTCAGGGGGTGCAGTAGAAAAAGATGGTCGAATCCGTGTCAATGATGTGATCCTGAAAGTAAACAATGTAAATTGTGAAAACGTGATCCACCAAGTTGCGGTCGCAGCTCTGAATAGTCCAGGAAGCATTGTTAGACTTGTAAGTTATTAATGTAGCCTAACTTTGTACAGTATTAAAGTACCGCTAATAAAACGATATTACAGTTGGTAAAAAGAATTAAAAATCCTGGTCTTTACCCTCCTCGACCGCCAATCCATCAAGGCTCTGGAATATTATCCTCGAGTACCTTACCTCGCAGCTCCGGATCATCTCTTCCTTATTCTTCTGGATTGGCTTACACACCGCCTGACATATTACGACTTGAAAGGACTCCAGGTGTGAGAAAGGTCGAGTTATTCAAAGTAAGCACTCATTTATTTACATTTGTCTTTTGTAAGCGAGCGTTTACTGGTCTCACAATTAATGTCATTCATACTTTTTTTCACATTTTTTTTCATTTTCAGGACTTTGGTGCTGACGGAATTCCGAGAGGCATCGGTGTTAGCATCGCTGGAGGAATTGGCAACGAGCACTACCAAGGAGATTCCAGTATCTACATTACCAACATCATCGAAAACACTCCGGCTGCTCGCGATGGTCAGCTTCAGCGTGGTGATAAGCTTCTAGCTGTTGATAACACCGTGTTACAAGACGTCACACATCAATTTGCAGTTGACACAATGAAAGCTACCGGCAACAAAGTCACTTTATACTATGCCAGACCAAACTTGGACTTGGAAGACAGCGTTTCACGATCCATTGGATCCATATCACACCTCAACATCAACCAACCACAAGAATTGACAACTGATCCTCGATGGGTTATATTGAAGAAAGGAGAAAGTGGCCTAGGGTTCAACATTGTAGGTGGAGAAGATGGAGTCCCACTATACGTATCCCATGTCATCCCAGGGGGTGTAGCCGACATCAGCAACAATGTCAGAAAAGGAGACGTCTTGCTTCAAGTTAATGACACCATCTTGGCAAATGCTACCCACGCCGCTGGTGCAGCTGCCCTTAAGAGTTGTCAGCCAAACTCAACAGTCAAACTACTTCTACAGTACCAGCCATTACAATATCAACAGTTCGAAGAGAAGGTCGAGCGACTAAGAAGCGATCTTATCCTTCAAAACCAACTTCAAGCAGCCAGCGCTGCGACTGTCGGTGTACCAATACAACCAGTTGCCAACTACTATGACGAACCTTTGTATGTCCGTGCTTTGTTTGATAACGACCCAAGTCGTGATCCTGGCGTGCCACCAAGAGCGTTGCCATTCAGTTATGGAGACATATTGAGGGTCTACAACAAAGACGACGATGACTGGTGGAAAGCCAGAAAAATCAGCGAAAACGGGGAAGGCCCAGAAGGTGTGATTCCCAGCAAAAAGAGAGTGGAGAAACGAGAGAAGCAGAGAAGAAAACAAGTAAGTCCCACTTCCTTAAATTTTAAAATTAGTTACAATGATGTACAACAACACAATTCAGGTGAACTTCAACCAAGGAATTCAAAGCCTTGGCAGGAACTCTTCGATGGGTGGAACACTAGAGAACAGAAGAGGCTCCAGAAGTCAGCTCTCCTTCTCCAGGAAGTTCCCATTCGTAAAATCAACAGACAAACTGAACGAACTTACGGACAATGAATACGCTGAAGAACCAATTTTCACTTATGAAGTCGTAACACAGCAACAAAGTAATTTTTAAGCCTAAACCATCGTTTACTACTTGGTTTATCTTACTATATTATAATCCATTATTTCAGTTAACTACGTGAGACCGCTGATTATATTGGGCGCTCTAAAAGATAAGATCAACGATGAGTTGGTCAGCAAATTCCCCAGCCGATTCGGATGCTGTATACCTCACACTTCAAGGCCCCCACGAGCTAACGAGATCAATGGACACGACTACTACTTTGTGTCCAAAGAAGAGATGGAGAGAGACATCAAGGAGAACTTGTTTATAGAAGCCGGCCAGTTCCAAGGAAATCTTTACGGAACTTCCATCGACGCTGTAAGACAAGTAGCCAACGAAGGCAAGCACTGTATTCTCGACGTCAGCGGCACCGCCATCAGAAGACTTCGCACTACTGCCCAAATCCAACCCATAGCTTTGTTCGTAAAGCCTTACAATCAACACCAGCTTCGGTAAGATAAAAAAATCTTTAGACTTTAAACCTGTTGCCTTAAACATAAAATATAACATGCTATTTCAGTGAATGGGATCCAAACTTGACTGAACAAGACGCTTATACTTACTTTGAACGATGCCAGAGACAAGAACAAAAGTTCGGAGATCTGTTTACAGGTAAAATAACTAAAAATTTAAAATATACCTTACGTGCATCATTACGGTAACCTAATAAATGGTCATTTCAGCCGTCGTAACTGGCCACACGTTCGACGATCTTCTGAACAAGATCCTTCGTGTTGTCCAAGACCAAAGTCGACCAGATGTGTGGGTACCTGACAGTCGACCCCTCTAAGCACCATATCCATGAATAGTTACATCGCTAGTTGCATTCTCTTCCACAGAGAATTACTGCCCCATCTACTGCCACATGATCAACAGCCATTTACGCATTTCATTCAAGAAAAACTTGCAAATCACTTCGCAACTTTTATTTTAACTTTGGAAATATTTATATTGGAGTAAATTATAAATTTAATGTTTATTTATCGGATCTTTGATAATTAAAGTTTTAACTTCATGTCGTTTGTTAAAACAAAAAACGACCAAATAAGATATAAAATTTTTAAATAAATTTCAATAATTAATATCTAAAAATTTAAATTTACCTTGTATTCTTGTTGATATTTGTTCCAAACTGTGTTCCAAATATAAACAACAATATTTTGTACAAACTTGTCATGTTATTCAAGCACACATCTTGCTTAAAACACTACGCCAATAGTGTTTTCGTGATGGGACCTAGAGATTATTGCGGATTTTTTTGAACAAATTTTTGAGCTTCCTTCGATTTCGTTTTTACTGCAAAATTATTTATTTTTCGTAGCATTTTTCGCAAAATCTTTTTGGAAAATAACAAATAACTATATAATAAATTATATATTTTAATTATATTGTTGTTTTTGTAGACTGATCGTCGAAGATGCCCGTTGACGGGCGAAATAATTTTCTCGATTCGATTAAATTTTACGAAGATGGAAACCCAGAAGTGAAATTACTGCTCGAAAACGAATGCAATGTGCTATACGAATGCAGGTAAGTGTTCGATTACATATTTTTGTTATTTGTTTTAGGATATGTCAGAAAGTATTTAAAACCATCATCTCGCTGGTATCTCATAAAAGGACAGTTTGTAAAGATTCTTGTAATGTAGAGGCGTTGACAGAGAAGAACGAGTTTTTGAAGAAATTACAGAATGAACTTAAGAAGTCAAAGGATGGAAATTTTGGTAAGATTTGTTTTGTTATATTTTAGGTATATCTTTTTTATCACTAACTTTATTTTTTACTTTTAGAGATTGCAAACTTTTGCCGACAAGGGAAGACAAATTTGTTGTCAATACTGGCAGAGAGACGAGAATATCTGGGTACAGGAACTTTTGGATATCCTTCAAAATCAGTTCCGTTGTCGACTTTCCAACATGGATATCAGTTGACAGAGAAACCAGGGACTACTGATAAGGTAGTGGTGGTACTTCCTCAGGATAGTTCTACGTCATACGGAGAAATGCGTCTACGAAAGCGACGTGTCGATGAAAGATATACGGAATTGTATCCAGAACAAGTAAGTTACCCATTTTTAATATCAGTTCGTCGTTTAGGTGGATTTGTTAACTAAAATACCGGACGAAATCATGCAATATGCTGATGTTAACACATTCTCGTGCAAACATCCAAAGTGCAAAGGAATGAGAGCATTTATTGACTTTGAAATACTCACTTACCATTTGTGTATATCTCACCAGCCAGAAGGAATGGAGATGGCACCTCTTTGCTATTTCTGCTCGAAAAAGTTTACAAGGTAGGTTTTATAATTTTTTTTGTATGTATAGCTTTTTTTATTCATAACTTTTTATTTGATATTTTAGTTTTATTCGACTGAAGAATCATTTGAAAACTTCCCACAGCCAAATTAGGATACGACATTGTAATAGCCGTGGACGCTTTCAACAGAGGACTAAAAAGGTATGATGCTGTTTTTTTCTGTTACTTGACATATAAATAGGTAACAATAGTATCTGACATATAAATAGGAAAAATAGTAAAATAGGTAACAATAGTATGATTTTTAACATATTTTACAAATTCAGAAGCCGGAGAGGTCGAGCTTAAGTCCCAACAACTTTGCGACATGTTTTGAAGATGAAATCAATGCTATTTTGGAATCTCAGGAATCTGCCACTTCAGAAACGTCAATCAATTCTTCTCCAGTCAAACAAAAGTTGCCAAGAAAGTTGTCACCGAAGAAGAAGATGGTGAAGACACCAGCCAAGAAGATAGAGTCGTTGGACGAACAGATCTCAGTTATTGTGGCAAATGCAGTGAACAGGTCACAAGAAGAAAGTATGGAGGAAGAGGAGATCGACAATCAGCTCAATATATCAGATCGGGTATGTTGATATAAGTACTTCTATTTTGCTTTTAGAAGAAGAAGGATAAGGCGAAACCCATACTCAAAAGGCAGATATCAGAAGAAAGTGAGGGAAGCAGTGACACCCCCATCACTTTGATAGCCGGAAGGGAACCACGGGCTCGACTGGTCAATAAGAAGTTTACTAACGATTATGTGTTACCTAAAAAGTTCAAGCCAGTCAATATGGATGAGGATGTTGAGTTTAGGAACAGCCAAGAGGCCATGGAAAGGGAATCTGTAAGTTTAGTTTTGTTTAAAGTGTTAATAAGAGTATTTATTATTAGTATAGTTTATATTATTTATATTGCGTTTCGGAAGTAAGCTGCTCTTTAAGATGAACTACTACATTTTATTTCTTTTATTTCAGTCTGTTCCAAAACGCAAAATGAAGATAAAGAAGCCCGAAAGAGCTCAGTCGAATCCAGTTAACGATCGGCCAGAGCTGACAATTCTAACAACGATGAAAGAAGAACCGGTGTCTGATCCGGCTAGTCCAATACCAACGACCGACTTTGTTTTACCGACTATGACAGAAGTGACAGTCAAAGTGTCACCTTCTAAACATCACAAGCCTGAAGTTGAGTTTGGAAGGAACGACCCATTCACAGGAAAGCCGAGGTCGAATCTGGGCTCTGCCAACAACTCACCTTTGAAGACCTTCTTCCCATCTGCTCTGATCGGAGCTCATAAGGAAACGGAGACATTGAACACTCCTAACAAATCGACTGGTAAGTTGTTAATTATCTTTTACTCTTAAGTCGGAAGTTGTTATGATAAATGATCAATGTGAAGATGTGTTTCATTATCATTGACAAGAATAGACAATTTTTGGTGATTTATCGATGATAAGCTTAAAAATGTGTTATAGGTGCTTCAGCGAGTCAAGAAAGCAGAGGCGAAGCAGCATCTAGGAGAAAACAGAACTATGCAGCTTTGAACAAGGATAAGGAACCGGCTGACGATGTTAAAGTGAGTTCAATGTGATTTAATTTATAACATCTTCTATAACAATCGAGATGTGTTATACTCCAACGGCACAGACAATTTTAAAGTGTTACAAGTATGCCCAATTTTGAATGTAAATAGTTTGGCTATTATAAAACATGATACATATTATTTCAGTTGATACAAGTTTCTGGAGAGAAGCCTTGTCGTCCTGACGATCTGTTGAGTCTTCCAGTAATGTTGTCACAAACGCAGAGGAAGATGTTCTTCGAGCCTTTGAAACCTTTGTTTAGCGAAAAAGAAGCTAAACTGGGACGTGATGGTCTACATCAATGTGCTGAGTGTGGTCAGACGTGTAGGAATCTGACGGTATGTTTAATACTTAAAATAACTTGTTTTATATTTGTAGACTCATTAATTTAATGACGGATAAAAATGTAAAAGAAATGATCATGTTAAGGGTTTTTACTAAATTCAATATACTTTTAATGTTTAGGAGGGTCAGAAGCACATGATTGGTCACGTCCGTGCCATTAGATTGAAGTGTTCCCTGTGTGACGTGGGGGCTTTCTTCTGTGCTGACATCCGAAAACATTTAATGTACCGTTACTGTGAGAATATTCATTTAGCTCCGAAAGAAATGATCGACTCTGGTACTCCGTGTATGAGTCCTCAGACGGTAAGGCGATTTTTTAAACTCTAAGATTTCGATGCCACGATTTTAATAATGTCACCTTTCAGGCTGATAAGTTAATTAAGATCGCTGATCCCAATAATCCGGGACGAGCGGTATACACGTCAGGAAAGGTAAGTGCCATAACGTTATTTTAAAAAAATAGTGCATAAAAATTCGCTTTTTTAATCATTATGTCTGGCATGTAACTTGTTAATAACCCAACTTTAGATCATCACAAGTGAATCCCCGAACCCTTACTATCCCGACCCTAAAATCGAGAACATTCTTTTGGGAAGCGTGAGGCCGTTGATGAAGAGCTTGTCCAACAAGAAGATCTCCATCATCAGGAAGATCAACCCCCACAAGCCTTTAAACGATCAGAACCCTTCCACTTCCAGTCCTAGTCATGTCCCTGAAATGGGTCCCAAAATAGAGCTGAGACCAGTTCTAACAAGGCCGACGGTACAAACGAAGTCTGCAGACCAGAAGACAGACGAGGAGTTCAATCCTGCTAGCGAGATACCCATGACTATACGATTGGGAAGGAATACACCAGCTACTTCTAGCTCGTAGTCCAGGTATTTGTTGTCTGCTGGGGCTGATTGTTGTTTTGGGTATACCGTACTCTTGAAAGTGTATCTGAGATTATTTTCTACTGTGAGGTCGTACATCGGCCATCAGATTGTTTATATTGACATTGATTGTTCAGATCACCCAAATTTGTAAATTTTCTATCGCATTACCTTATAACTTTTGTATTTTATCACCTAAACTGTTATTTTTGGCTAGATTCGGCTTAGTGAGTAAACTTGTGACTTTTATTACCAATTATTCGAATTTACAGTGGGCGGAACTCGGGCAGAGATATTTGGTCTTGAGGGGGGAGACAGGTTTGGATGCAGCGGCTTTCGGAAGTCAGAGGATTCTCCAGTTTCTCCATGGCTGGGCCACAGTACGGGTAACGGTAGGGACGGCAGAACGATTCTTTCGGCTAAAGTTGGGAAAATTTTATGATTTTCGGCAAGGCTATTTTTAAAAAAAGCTAATTTTTGATCAAAAAGTAGATAGAATTTGTGGGTAAACTGTTGCTAAACAATTGAAGACTTACCAGTTTGTACCACCGGATCAGCTTTTTGGGTTTGGATCCATCTGGACAGACGTGCCTCACCAAACGACAACAGTTCTCGTTTTGTTCGTCGTGACCTAAAACTGATGTAAGACAATGTCAATATTCACTTACATTGTCGTTGGGGAACAGATACTGAGGCTGTTTTTCGTTCGAATCCAATCACAAATTGATCTTCTTTCCGCTGAAGATTTACATTGTTAAAGGTTGAGAAAAACAAAAAAATTGCAAATCATATGCATGCTCCGAGGTTGAAGGCAATTTAGTAAAAAATATACAAAAAGTAATAAAATATTACTTGTCTGCACTTACTGAGAACGGGCTTTCCTCTTGACATTCAGTTAACACACATCGCTGAGTTTCGTACAAGGCGGGGCAGGTATGTTCTATTATTTCTCCAGATTTTGGGTCTTTTTCAGGCAATGGAGCTTGTAGCACATCTCGGTTTCTGACTCTTAAGGCCAGTTTACAGTCACCGTGACATGACCCCCATGGCCTCCATTTACTGACCACACATACTGAAATGACATATTATGGTGGCATTGTGCATATCACGCACTTGAAGACATTATCTCGTGCATTCATGGTAAACCTTATTACAATTGAAACGTACTGTAAGTATGAACTTATTGTAAAATGTAATAACTTTACGTCGACATGACTTTACCATTACAAAACAAAGTAAACAAATGCAACAAATGACCTTACATGAAGCAGAAGTGTACTCGACGACCGCTGCAAGTACCAGCAACCTGAACAACATTCCAATCAGGCAACTGACATACTGCTTTGAAAGATGTCAGAAATTTCACAAATTCCTCGGACATCTGAATCCGCCTTTGCGCGAAGATACGAAGAAGCGCGCCCGAATGAATCGCCTTGCAACCACCCAGCTGAGAACCGGTATTCGACAACAACAATCATCATGTCCGTTTGATTGATTAACCTTATAACGAACACATCCATCCATCAACGTGCGGTCGAACAACAATCTGCGGTCAAGTTGAGCACAACATGTTTGCTTATGTCCAGAGTTCCCAAATTTAGAAATCCTAGCTCCGGCTCCAGCTCCGGCTCCGACCATTTTCAAATTTTAGCTCCGGAGCCGAAATTTTCGCAAGCTCCGGCTCTGAGGGCACAAAATCAATAAAAATCGTATTTCTATATAAAAAAACGCAAAAACAACCAAAAATAAGCTTTATCTTTTCTAAATTTAATACAACAACAATTTTTAACTATTAAAACAATTTTTAACTCTTAAAAAAGTATATGTAACTTATTCAGAGTATGGGGAATTAAAAGACTTTAACATTTTTTGTCTGATTAAGGCATGCTGAGAGTTGCAGAGCTTTGAGGCGGTTACAGCTTGAAGGCGGCTAAAGAATTGCTCTACATTTGCCGAAGCCGCGGATACTGTTAATGCTGCCAAAGTATTTGCATTTACCATCAATTACATTTGCTTGCAGATCGCTTTTGTCAAACGATTTTGAAACATCTAACTTCCGGCGCTTTTTTGCTTCCATTTGAAAAAAACACAAAAATTTGTCCAAAAAACGATTTTATCGCAATGCCAACCTTTTGAATTGGCCGTGGACAGTTTTCTTTTCGATACCTTTTTACACTGCTCGATAATAAAAATTAAAATGTGGAGCCATCCTAGAAAAACTCGGCTCCAGCTCCGGCTCCGACCATTTTCAAAAATGAGCTCCGGCTCCGGAGCCCGTGGGAACTCTGCTTATGTCATACCCACAACACGATTGCCTAGCGAGCCGTGGTTCCGCGGTTGCAATTCGGAATGTTTAGGGTTAGAAGAAAGCCGAAAGACATGTGACATTGAAGGTTTATGAACAATATGGACAACAAACATGGCCAGGAGGACGATGAAGAGATTCAGAATGATGAGACCAGTCAGCAATGGCTGATGCGACAGCTTCGGAAACATCTAGAACATGTGCCAGATCAGGTACTCAGAGAGTTTGTTCATCAACAAGTACGTCTTTTTAACAGAGAAGGAGATGAACAGTTTAGTAAAGCAATTATCGTTTTTATTTCATAAAAATGCCTTTTTTTATCAAACAATTGCCAAATCTAAACATCATTCTTGTATTATACCTTGTCAAAGAAACAACTTTTGCCGTTACAAGTCACTAAAACAACAGCATTTTATGCCATCCTTGAGTGAGCCATTAAAACTCCCAGCTGATCGTATTTTACGATTCTATTTTATTGTTTTTTGTTAATTAATTTCCGTAGCGGACTTCACGCTCCTCAAGTATGACGTTGATGGGTTGTGACATATCAGCGGCGATCTCTTTCAGGACATAACACCCCTCCGAAACTTTATGACCGGCACTAGACAACGTCGCTGTCTCTTCATTCAAATCGAGGAGATAGTAACCACGGCTGTAGACCATAAGTTCTTCGACCAGAACCCCTTAACGGAGGTGGAGAAGGATGAGAAGCCGATCGAAGAGCAACTGTCACAACTCGAGGTGGATCAACACATAGAACAAGAGCTGACTGACATGCAGACCAGAAAGAAATCTGTCTTATCAACAAACAAGAGAAGTAAACTTAAATGTTGGTTTAAAGCAGTAACCTTATATCACAATACAGTAAGCTTTCAGAAATGAAGCGATTCAACAGCAAGAAATCAAAGAAGATCCAGGAGAAAGAAACACAGCTTAAACCCTTGAAAGTACCAGAAAAACCTGTCCCGGCCCCGAATCCGACCATAGAAGCACCACCAGTGCCAGTCCAGTCAGATGGACCAGAGTTCCTCAAAGCTCACACTTCCTATGTTCTCAAATGGTACGACGAGGAAAATGTACCAGAGAGTAAATTCGTGTTTATGGCTACCAGAGACGAGATTTTAAGTGGTACCAAAAGCGAGTTTGACAAAATGTTTGTGACGGGTTACTGTAAAGACTTGTTCAAGTACGGTAAAGCCATAGAGATCGGTAGGCTAGAATAAAACTTATTTTCAGAGTAACTTAACCTAAACGTATGTAAAAATATACTTTTAGGCAAACTCTTACTGAAAAACATAACATTTGAGCACAAGATGAACCTAGTAATGCAACTGGAAACCAATCAGACCAAAATGGAAAAGTGGCAAGACCCTGAAGGCAGATTCGAGAACTTCATTTTAGAATCTCTGGTCAACGCTTTCCAGTCCTCGCTACAGAGAATGAACACAGAATCCATGTTAGACCCATCTGAACTTGACGTTGAATCCATAGAAACCTTGCTCAAGTCACGGGTCAAACTATTCGCATTGGCTCCGGTAAACTACCCAATAAAGGTCAAGTTGTAGTAGGAATGCTGTAGAAACATAGCCTCAATGATATATGTTTCCCCTTGTTTCATAAATGTGACATAAATCACCTAAAGCTAACAAAAAACCTTCCCTTCCAGTCAAAAGAAGGCCTGACCCAACTCAAGTTCGAGCTCTCACTGCTCGAGATGAAGTACATCAGCAACGAGATGTTCGAGGAAAGTGTGGTCGGCAGAATCGACCGGTCTTCCTCCCTTCTCTCCATGTTGTTCATGTTATACAGAGACAATTCGCGAGAATGGATCCAGAAGACCCTGTTCCATTGCATCGAACTGACAGCACGTACCATCGCCACCAACATTCATCAACGTGTCTGGAACCTGGTTCACGAAGACAACCCTCAATGTGACAGAAAGATCAGCAACGTTTCAGACGAAACTCATGTCAACATCATTTACAACATCCAACCTCTTCTAGTCAAACTGCTAAACTTGGGATTCACGGTACTTAATGAAGGTAGTGATGAATATATCTGTCTTCAGAAGATTGAACAATGTATCAAGATCGTGAATTATATACAGGAAGAACTGGAGGTAAAATGCAACAAAAAGTAATAATAAATTACTTTAGGTATTCAAAGACATCTATGTAGACCTAAAGAACCCAGTTCGAGACTTGACTTTCGACAGAACAGCCTTGGACAAGGTTCAACAGATTGTCACGGCTTTGTGGCATTCGTTTGAAGAAGTAAGCTTCAACGTCTTTCAGCAGTAAAATATGTTTATTTTAGAGTTACTTTGAATCCTCACTAGAAAGCGGTAACTACGACTCCATGAAGAACGTGTGCCTCACGATGGTTCAGCTGATTTCAGAAATGAAGGAGATTATGCCTAAAGTCGACTCTTTTTGCCAAAATAAATTTAACTAAACATATTTTATACAATAGATGCAAACCTTTAGAACAAATTAAAATGAAAAATTGTCTTTGCGACGAATTGTCGACAAAAGAGAATGTAATTATAGTAAGCAGCTGGTCCCACAACGAAAACAAGTAGTGTTTGGCGTTGTGCAAAAAGCTGAAATAAAAACAAAAAATAAAATGTTAGCCGAAAAATAATTGGATGATAAAGGATGGACCTGCAAGATACACCTTCCAACTTCAAGGAGTTGATGGGCTTTGATGTAGCTAATGAATATGTTCATGAAGACCAGGAATACTCTGGTGGAGTGCCTAACATTCAAGTGGGTTTTTATATCTCGTTGTAACTTTATGTAAGGTTTATAAGGATGCTAGTACACTGTGTTTTATGAATTATGTTGTTTCAGAAGCTTGGCAAGAACAACAACACGCTACCATTATGGGGAAATATGACGACGATGAACATGAACACGTTGTTGTTGGAAAACATTGTTCAAAGCGCGTATTATAAGAATGTTCTGACGGAGCTCACAACTTTTCAGCAGCTTGTTGAACAGATTTTGCACAAGGTAAATTGATTTAAGTTTTTCTATAGTTTTTTTTGTATTTTAGGTAACACATTTAGAGCCCTGGGAGCGTGGAACCAGAAAGACCTTTGGAATGGGTGGAATGTGTGGTGGAGTCCGAGGAGTTGGTGCTGGAGGTGTGATATCGACAGTGTTTTGCGTCTTGTACAAGTTGTTTGCTATCAAGTTGACCAGGAAGCAGCTCGTATCAATGATTAACAGTACTCAATCTGTGATGTTGAGAGGCGTTGGATTCTTGTACATACGATACACACAGCCGCCAACTGATTTCTGGGCGTGGTTTGAACCTTATTTGGTAAGTTTTTTAGGACAAATCGCGATTACACAGAATTTCTAGTATTTTAAGCCTTTATGGAGTATATTATATTTTTTGTTACAGGATGATGACGAAGAATTAGACCCAAAAGCAGGAGGAGGAGATTACCAAACAATTGGCGATGTTGTGAAGACTTTCCTAACTAGACTTGAATGGTACGGGACATTGTTTCCTCGTATTCCAGTCCCAATTCAAGTAAGTTTTGGTTTTTATATTTCTAGAGACTTTAGATATATAAAATGTATTTTATATAAACATTGATTGTTGTTATATTTGTTTTGACTTTAGAAAGACATAGACGCCAAGCTTCATCCAGGAAGGACAGTGTACCGTGAACCAAGAACAGAATCTTCTTCACGGAGGAGAGATGTTACTGACAGGCCTATCAAAAAGACCCGATGTGGACATCACCTAAGACATCATCATTGTAGGAAACATAAGAAAAGGTGTCCTACAAAGGCGAAGAAAGAGTCTCAATGAAGTGTACATTAATAAAGTATTGATGATATTATGTTAGACGTGGCTGATTTGTTGTTTACAATTTGATATCTTGAGTCATTTAAAGTATTATTGTTATACATGTAATTAGACGTATTTAGAGTTTACTATTATAAGTTTCAGCGTAATATAATGGCGACAAACGGAGATTGGTGTTTGATCGAGTCAGATCCAGGAGTTTTCACAGAATTGATCAGAAACTTTGGAGTGAGCGGTGTTCAGGTGGAAGAGTTGTACACTTTGGAGTTGGAACATCTCAGAGACTTGGCGTAAGTTATATCACTCTTTCATCATTAATTACAAGCATTCTGTGTAAATTTTTGTTTCTTTATTCATTTGCAATTGAGAATATGAATTTGATTGTTTTAGCCCAATTCACGGTCTTATATTTTTGTTTAAATACCACGTTGGAGAAGAACCAACAGGAGAAGTAGTACCAAACGCACCAGGAGTCTACTTTGCTCAACAAGTCATCAACAATGCTTGTGCCACACAAGCCATCCTCAATCTGCTACTGAATGTAAAGGGTGGAGCCGTTAAATGGGGGAAGATATTAGAAGATTTCTACAGTTTTTCGAACGAAATGGACCCAGCTGTAAGTTGTGGTGAATATTTAGGCTATAATAATTATAAAAGGTATTTTATTACAGTTTTTAAACTTATACTCACTTTGTCATATCGACTTTTAGACCCGAGGGCTGTGTTTGTCGAACAGTGAAGAGATACGAAAGCACCACAACGCTTTCAGTCGACCGGCTTTGGTCGAGATCGAGGGGCCTCAGAAGGAGAAGGAAGAGGCTTACCACTTTGTCACATACGTACCTGTAAATGGTCATGTCTACGAGCTGGACGGACTCAAAGAAGGCCCAATTGACATTGGACCAATCCCCGATGGAAAGGACTGGCTGGATGTTGTTCACGGAACATTGAATGCCAGAATAGAACGGTAAGTTCTTTTTTTTTGTAACTAATTTATATTTTACAGACACACTCATTCTGAGATCACATTCAACTTGATGGCCGTAGTGGCAGACCGAAAAGAGAAGTACGAACGGGAATTGGCCGCGGTAGAATCTGTAAGTTACTATAATATCAATCTCTGTATAACGTCAATTTTCTTGATCCATCACTGTTTTATAAATGTTATAGCATGTAGGTAATGTTATCTTTATAGATGAACGCCAGCGAAGACGAGAAGGCCTCTCACCGTTGTCGGCTCCAGATGCTGATGCAGGAAGAACAAGACAAGTTCACCGCTTACAAAGACGAGAACATCAGACGGCGACACAACTACACGCCCTTCATTGTGGAGCTTCTGAAGGCGCTGGCCAAGGAAAACAAACTGAATCCGCTTCTGGAGAAGGCCGTCAAGGAATCAGCTGATCGCCAGAAGGCAGCTCAATGAAGATAACTTATTTTACTCTGTGAATAACAATAACTTTCAAATAAAGTAATTTGGTGTTGGCTCAGGGCTTTTGAGATTCATGTATATGCATCACGGTACAGTAAATACTGCATAGTAGTACAAACACAAAGATTAAAGTTTTTGGAGTTGAAAAAGCATTTTTAGAAGCAAATTTGAATAAAGTTTGAGAATGAGTTTCATCTTTGGCACTCGTTCAGTTGTTACCTTTGTGGATTTGTCATTTCTTTCATTCGAAAATCGACCGGTCGGTTTGTCGATTCGTCCGAAAACGGCTGTTCGTACAGCTGGAGTATTCTTGTAGACGGGAACTAAGAACCAACTGCAGCATCGTGCATTCGGAGGTAGCTCAAGATGTCAAACGAGAATCACAAGAAGAAGAAGACACAGGATGAGTAAGTTACCTAAAGTAACACGTGGTTTTCGTGAATAAATGACATATTGTTGTTTGGTGATTAAAATATGTTTATATGATTGAAGTTTACATTTATAAGAATGTCACTTAAGTAAAAAGAATCCATTTACTACGTCCAAGAAGAAGAAGGCTGCCAGATCAAAGGAGATCGCTTCGAAACAACAAAGCGTCAACCAGACTCCTGGTTCAGATACGCCCGAGAAAGACCTCGCTGAAGGAGAACTTGTGTTACAGTAAGATTATTTGCTTTTTTTTGCAGTTTTAAAGGTTTGGGAGGTGTTATTAATATTTGAATACAAAAAAAGCTACTTTGGGCATAAAAATACTGTTTGTAGTCCGAAAGACCCACAAGTGAACCCACTTCAACAGCCTGTCCTCAAAGATCTGGTCAATCACATTATGAAGAACGGTATCCCCAAGCTTCAGGCAGAGTACGCGACCTTGGCCAAGTACAAGCCACCCAACATGACGAGGGAAGTTCAGAATGCAAACAAGAAGTTGTGTCGCTACAAAGACGTATCGTGCTGGGATCAGACACGGATCAAGCTCGTCTTCCCTCTCAACTCTCAGAACGACTTCATCCACGCCAACTACGTGAACCACCCCCTCTTCAAGAACAAGTTCATTTGCACTCAAGGACCCATGGAGCACACCGTGCTCGACTTCTGGAGACTAGTATGGCAGGAGAGTGTCACGGTTATCATTATGCTATGTCAATGTTTTGAGCTCAAGAAGCCCAAGTGTGCACAGGTGAGATATGTTCTGGAGTTTTAGTATCTTTTACTTGTTCCGCCTTACCATAAACCTGACGTTACAGTACTGGCCTACCGTAGTACACACTCCAAAGCAAGTAGGACCCTTCTCGATAACAGCAGATGACATCAAAACGGACGATCCCAACGTCACGGTGACCGACCTGAAGCTGGAGTTTGGAGGTGACGTGAGAAGAGTGGAACATTATCATTGGGTCACGTGGCCAGACAAGACTGTTCCCAAGAATGCCTCGATAGCCTTCAGACTGCTGGTCAACCCTCGAGATTACACTGCCAATCCGAGTGTTATCCACTGCTCAGCTGGCGTTGGGAGGACTGGGACCTTGCTCATGCTCGAGGCCATGTTTCAGTAGGGTTTAGTATGAGAATCAACATGATTCACATTTTTGTGTTTGACTTGATTATGTATAATATAAAAAGGTACTATCATTGACGCTTTAGACATATTCAAAACTTTCGACCGGTCGACGTGCCTGAGCTTCTGAAGCAATTGAGAGCACAGCGAAGCCAGCTGATCCAGACTGAAGATCAGTACGTGTTCATTCACTATGCCATGGTCCAGTACGCTTTTATGACAAGGACGGTTACGTTGAATGAATGTCAGAGTAAGTTACTTTAAAGACTTGCTTATGTTGATGGTTAACTACTACATAATATTACTTTAGAGTTCTTTGCTGCCTACAGCAAGTACCTGAAAGAGTTCGCTGAGGAAACAAAGGCCAAACAGACGGCCAAGAAGAAGAAGAAGAAGCCGGTGAAGGCAACGAGAAGGAAGGAACACAAGGAAGACAAGAAGGAAGAGAAGAAGGAACTCGACACCTACTTCAGCCTCCACAACTACGAGGACGACTCCTCCAGCAGCGACTCCAAGAAGTAAAATAAACTTATATTCTCTGGGATACTGTAATGTTTGTTAGAATACTGTAGCATGGTTATCCAGTGGTATATCTTTATGGCATAACAAAACATTATAACTGATACGATCAAAAAATACAGATATGTTGTTGATGGTGGATATTTTACAGTTGTGGTAGGGATGTTACAGTAACCCTTGTAGTGATTTTTCGGATAGTATCGTACTTTTTGCACAGCTAATGTCATACTGTAATGTCTAAAATATGAAAATTGTACTAATGATATTACTGTATTCCATCTTGTGCTCAAGGTACGGTAAGTAGTCACAGTACGGTACTATCAGTAGTGAGGTCGTGATCGAGAGTCTTGGTCGTCTCTCCATTTACCGTTGGCCGGGTGAGGGAATGTATGTACATTTCTGGCGTTGTAGAATACGATGTCACCGTCAGTACGAAGCGAATTACGGAATGATGCTCGTATTGCACGTAAAGCATAGCACGCTACTATACCCGAACATATTAGTACGGTAACCAGGAACACTCCCACCATTATCCACCTGAAAGCGTCTATGAGAATATATGTCTGACTTCTGTTTATAAACGTTTTAGTTCGTTGATACTTCTTAGATACTATAGTTAACATAATTTATATTATAACTGTTTGAATACCATAATATCCCTTTTATGATTGAAAACATTACTAATCCTAAAATCAAAGTTTTAATGAATATCTTACATGAAAAACCGCATATCAAACGGTAAACAGACATAGGTGAGGTCGGGGCTGCCATTACATTTGTCCACGTATACACAGTCGTACTTCCCACATCCTTGGACACCTGACAGTTAGATTTCCGGTCAATTTTAAGTAAAATATAAAGGTAGAATAACAGTTAAAACAAAAAAAACCAAATTTCAAAGCCCAAATTTGAAGTTTTTCTGTATATTTGACATTCACTTCAATGCCTTTTCAAACGAGTATGGTTAACAACGTTTTAAATAAAAGTAAAAGATAACAAAGTTTGTTAGAATATAAATATTTTTGTTAAACACTCTTTTTCAGTTGTAACGTTTTACATATTAACCATGACGCCATTAAAAAACGTGGATTTAAAGCCTAAGAACGTTGGTGTAACCGTTCAAATTTCAAGAAAACTTTCAAAAACTCAAATAATTCTTATATTAACCCATATTTTGAAAGCAAAACCTAATATTATACATAATTAGATAGCAAAACCAACAAATTAGGCTTATAATTAGGTCATAAGGTAACGAAAGCAGGCTTACATGTCTCGAGAGTCTCGTAGCAGGTCAGCTTGTCGCCGTAGACCGCGTTCCCCATCTCTAGAATGGAAGGAAAGAACGTTAGTCACGCCGTTCTCTTCGTTCCCAATCAATCGACAAACCGAGAAAGAGTTTAATTCGAACAATTAAAAGGTTATATTTACTATCTGATTGTTTTGGTGCCAGCTGTGGGACAGTTGTCATCTAATTGATGCAACTCCGCTCTTCGTCCGGGAACTGCAATTAACTCTGTCATTCGTGAGGTTATGAGTTATATTGGGCCAACAAACTGTTGATGTCACGGAACGTCATCCGATGACATCTCTTGACAGTAGATGACATTCCACGACTGTCAATGACACTTTGTGACATTAGTTTGGAAACAGGAAGTGACAGATTGGGTTTCACGGTATTGTTTTTATGTTACTGTCACTCATTACTCTAACACTTTAATTAGTTTACTTTGAACAAACTTTTCGAATTACCTTGATTAAAGTAATTCAAGTTTCCAGAAGAAAGCAAAGTAATCTGCTTTAGCTATAGTAAACTGTATATTCTTAAATACAGTATCTTTACAATCATATCAGCTCGCTTACCTTGAACTCCATGTTGATGGTGCCAGCTTCGAACCACTTGTCCACCTTTTCTGTTCTGGTCACGTACTGAGATGGAATACCCATGTCTACCTTACGTTGACAAGGCTGAAAACAAAGTGTTACGTACCGTAAAGATAACAATTTGATCAAATTGTATATTACCATAGAAGAAGAGTTTCTTTTAAGTATTACACATCATGATGCTGTCTATTATAATAAGCTTGACCGTAGTGGCGTATATCTTCTGATACTACAAAACACATACCACAGCACCATCATCACAATCGTGGTAGACCTTGAAGTGAACGTTCATACCAAACATGCTTCCAACACCTCCTTGAAGTTCAAATTTGCCGTTGGCATCAGTCTTTGCAGCTGCTAGCTGATCGTCCGTACCTATAAGATTACGGTAGTTGCAATGTATTTTACATTATGACCTTCATAATTTCTCATAGTAAACTTATACTATCTTCAAGCTAACCCTTTCTTGTGTATATCCACAACTATAGTATGATATAGAGCATAAACACAGCAACCCTCGCAAAAGAAATACAGTAACCTCACAAGCTACTTACCGAGTTTGTTCTTATTCCACAACTTGACTTGAGTGTCCTTCAAAGGCACTTTACCGCACAGTAATGTTCCCTTTATACCGACAGATTGTTGTCTGAAGGCTTGTGCTACTGTAACAACCACCAACAGTAACAGAACGATCTTCATCTTGATATAAAAAGTGTCTAATGTTCATCAGATTCAGACGTATTTATAATATATTATGTTGATCTGCTGCGTTTGTATGTTTGATTATTGTAGTAAATAAACAATCCTGAAATTCGATCTTTTTGGCCAAAAAGTAAAACAACTGAAAAAGTATTGTAACATTGTGTATATTATATTATCGTAAGTTATATAGCTATAAAACTATATTATGATATGTTTTAAGCTTAAAACATAACGTTTTGACAGGAAAAAGCAGTCTTCAGAACAATTTTTTTCCAAACAAAAATTGTAAATTGTTTTTTTTGGACACGTTTGATCGTATAAAATGTTCAGACTTGGTACCTTTTGTCTTTTGCTTCTCCTGAAATTTCATACCGTTTTTTGTCGAGTTTTTGACCGTTCAAAGCAAAAGATTAGTCTTTTTTGCAGTTTTTTTTATTTTTTAAGTATAAATTACCTAAATTATACGTTGTTTACATTTTTCTGATATATTATATATTTTTATATAATTATTGCACTATTATGGCTTGTTAATCAAATCTTTTGTTAATCAACTGTTTCAGGACAAGCGCTGTTATATCAGGATTCTTTATCTCTTCAATTTCTGTGCCAGAAACTTTGGATCGACGAGAAGAACAAAAGCATACAGCTGGTCAGTAAATCGGAGAGATATGCAGATATTTATTAGCTCAGCTAAAAACCGCTGTAGAAAAACAACATAACATCAGATTTGTCTTCGACCAAAGATCTAGAAGAAGTTTGTTTTGGCATCATGAAGATGGTTGAATTGTATTAAAGACAACTTCAACATCGACAACTATCAGAAGGTGAAATCAAAGTTATCTCTACATCAAAGTAAGCTCAACTAAACGCTTTTTAAAGGGTGTTAATTTGAATTTTAAATTAGGTACCAACTAAAATCTTTAAGCATCTATCAAAATATATCTCAAGTTCATTTTATCAAACTGTTTATTGTAATAACAAGGTCTACAACTGACTAACAGCATTACATACAATAGTAAAATACCTGTGTTTATATTTACAAGTGTTCAATTAATACCATCGTATCTTTAAGCAAACAGATCTTCTGAGTGCAAGGACAACACAAACATTGGCCAGACGTCCTTCTAGGCCAGGCCAAAGAGCGACGGCGAGAGATCAGGCGGAGAGAAGAGGGCACAGTAAGGGTTACATGACTATATTAGTTTAGGTATGTAGAGTTAAAGTATACGATAGTTGAATGTAGATACTATAGTTAGATATAAGATATTATAGTTAATTGGCTAAGTATAGGTGACAAAATAATACAGAGATGTAATGGCAGTAAACTGTGATAGTCATATCTACATGACGTGGTAGTGACTGTCGTATCTTATGGTACGATGGTAACGAAGACAAAAAAATAATTTCTTTGAGTATGGTATTTGGTCCTCAGTATGTAGTATACCACGATGGTGTCTAATCATGGTATCTTGTCTACCACTCGTCGAAGAGGTCGAGGTCTCGTTGTTTAGCTGGAGCTCGAGTTTCTTCTTCAGCGTAGGTATCGAAGTTACCAGTATCTCCCGCGTGGTATACTGTAGGTTGGAGTGGTGGCTGAAATAGGTTTGATTAGCGTTAGTCATCGTATCTTTGAGTGGATGACACAAGACGTGTCATAATATTACTAAACAAACAAAGTAGATTCAGAATAATACTGTAATATACCTTCATGGCCACGTCTAGCATCTTGTCCCATTCTACTGTCTCGAACCAGGCATGTTGTTTGATTTCGTATGTTCCGTTGTATCCCAATCGATCGGTCATTGTCACAGCCAGCAGTCGGGTTACAATGTCTCTGAAAGTAAGCTTATAGTAGAGGGTTCAGTAAGTTACTAGAAAGGAGTGATACAGTAACTTTTATAAGTAAAACGTATTCAGTGCGAAGTTAGAGTAAGTACTGTATTATTCAACTAACTTTGCATTCACGCTGAAAGTCTTTTTGGGGAATTCCGGGACGCCTTCTTGCTCCACGATCCTCATCTGAACATCGTCAGCATCGTCGCCTGGATATGGTGTGTATCCTGCCATCAATTCGAAGATCAACACTCCCAAGGCCCAGTAATCTACACAACGATTGTGACCTGACCGGTTGGCCAATTCTGGGGCCAAGTATTCAGCTGTTCCACATAATGTGTACGACCTGCAACAATTGATTTTTATCAGTCGTTACATGTTTATGAGTATATGTTGTTTTGGAATGCTACTATATTGATGTAAGTTATTGGTATAACGACATAGTATCATAATGGTGGGTAATACTATCATAGGGACATGTGTTATCTTATAACAGGGCTATTATGATGACCAAAGTACTAGTAAAATGGTCATGACGACATGACCACATATCATCATATATCTCGAAGATATACTTTAGATGCCACTCATGTCATTATTTGTCACAAAGTGTACTATTTTTTAAATTGTACTAATCCGAGTTAAATTTTGTTTTGCTTTTCTCTACAACAATATAAGACAACTGTCCGGCTGTCAGCTGTCCCTAATCAGGCAGTTGGGGGAGGGCGGATGACGTTGTCTTCTCACCTCCGCATTAATCAATCTCTACTGTATTTTGGCTAATCGCTTCCGGTCCCGAAATAAAAAATAATCAATTTTAGTGATAAGAATGGCCAAAAACAAGTTGAGGGCAGGTGAACTCAAGGTAACATTCGAAATGGCATTCTTTCGATAAAAGAACTCAAGGTAACATCACTCAGCTTGTTGTGAAAGGACAATGTTTACAGTTAATGAGGAAATGACATCCCAAACTGACTGATTATGACAAAGCGACATGCTAAGATGTTTAGGTATTAAACCTTGGTTATCTTAAAGTACAGCTAGTGTTTGATACTTACTTATTGTGGATCTCTTTGGCGAAACCAAAGTCTGTCAGCTTGACGTGACCTTCTTGTGTCATCATCAGGTTCTCTGGCTTCAAGTCACGGTACGCCTACAAGAAGTTTTTGTGAAATGGAGTTATGTCATGAAGAAGATGATATAGAAACTTAATGAGTTTGTGTTAACTTACAATGTTGAGACCGTGAAGATACTCTAGTGCCAGAATGACTTCAGCTGCGTAGAACTTGACCATGGAGCTGGAGAAGACTTTGGTCGCTCTCAGATAGGCAAACAGCTCTCCGCCAGCTAAAAACTCCATAATCATGTACAAGTTCCTGGTATCTTTGGCTGTGTCGTACCTAAAATAAGGCGGTATATAGTGTTAAATGGCTTTTACTATGATACTGACACTGTCATTTGAATAACAATATTATAGAAAGAAGGTACAGCATGAAATATATGCTTACAGTTTGACTACGAATGGATGATCTAGCTTTGTCAAGATACGTTTCTCGTTGTGAACATGTTGAACTTGGCGTCTGTCGATGATCGATGGTATATACAACGCTTTCAAGGCGTAGTAATGGCCAGTCACATTGTGGCGAGTCAAGGAAACCCGGCCAAATGTCCCAGTGCCTGGAAAACGATTTAAATCAGCATGTCACGTTACTCTCGGTGTTTTATGTTTTGAGAGAGAAAGACAACAAAACCCTAAGGCCCAAGGCTGTTAAACTACAAACATTATCTATAACATGAAAAGATACAATAATATCATTACATGACTATTGTATCTTATCGAAACTATAGTAAACGTACCAATGGTACAAACCGGCCTCAAGTAGTACTTCAGGGGGGCCAAAAGGTCGGGAGTCTCGAGAGTCTGCATCTTCTCCACAAGCTCGTCAGCCTCGGACTGAACCGTTTCGATTTCAGTTTCCCCCGCTTTCTCGCTGAACTTGAACTTGATTTTTTCGTCTATCGTGATGGTCACCTGAACGTCAAGGTCTTCGTTGTCACTGCCCGACCCTCTGCCCTCGTCCTCTTCATCGTCGTTCTGTTCACGGTCGCCGAAGAATTCGTCTAACGTGCCGTTCGAGTTGACGAATCTCATGGAGTTGGTGTCCATCGAAGAGATGCCAGTGGTGCTACTGGACTTGAGGGAGATGCTACAACTCGAGGTCGTGAAGTTGCCTTCATTCTCATCGTCGGTCAAAGAAGAATCGGCTTCGAAAATGAGGGACGTCATCTGGATTCGATTAGTTTATGGTAAAATATCAGTTAAAACTAGATTTAGAGTAATTTCAAGCTTATTGAAATTGTAGTAGAAATAGGATTCTGAATCTCAATTAAATTAATGTTTTGAATATTGAACTAATAGTTCTAAAAGGTTAACAGTTTAGCCTCGAAACAATAGAAGTCCAAGCAGATTAAAAGCCGAGAACGATCAGAGCCGAGCTTTATACTCTCGGCCACAACAATCTCGAAAAAACAAAAAGAACCATTTGTCTGGGCCTTTTATCTGCAGGGAGGGAGGAGAGGGCAGGGCAAAACACCTGAGGCGAAAGAACAAGGCCTACTGTAACATGTTTGCTTAATCCGAGCTTTTAATTCGATTGACTTTTGTAATTACAAGGGTAAGTGGTTGTTTATCAGGTGATCTTCGAGAGCTGTTTATATTAACCATGGTCTTTATAATGTTTTGTATTTCAAAATACAAAAAATACAGTATAATAGACTGTATTTTTATGAAAAAATATAGAAATATGTATGGAAAATGTAAAATAATAGTTTTTGTTCATTTACTGGTCAAAAAGTTTATAGAAATGCGTTTGTTTTTACTATTTTGGTGTTTCTGTCATTCTTTCACTTACTTTTTTATTAGAACAATCGATTTGTTACCTATTTTGCTAATTTTTCCCTTAATTATTACCTAAAATTCCATTTTATTTAAAATTTAATTAATGTAAGTTAGGTGTTACGTTGTAAAGACGTGAATTAGTATATTGTGATAAAGCAACAAACGAAACATGGTTTAATACCTAATTTCGAATCTGTCTTTTGAAATGCTTTTCCTTATCAGATAAAGACAATGTAAAATTAGCCATCTAGCTCGCTTTTTCTTTTTATTTTTATTCAGATATTATACATATAAGTGCATAAACTTCAAGTTGGGAAAAGTAAAATTTTAAAAGGAAAGGCACAAAAATGGCTTTAAATTTGAATTTTATTCAAATTATTATATTTAAATTTAAGTTTATTGGTTTTGAAAAATATTGAAAATAAAAGTGAAACCAAGTACTTGGCCAAGTTAAAACTTTTATTTTTTGTGATTTTTTGAACTTTTCGAACTTTAAAATTTCAAAGAAATGTTATCAAAGACACATGTTACAACTAATTGTCACTTGGCCATTGTCTCGAGTACTTTGGGATCTTTGACATGGCCAACTGTTCCGTTCCATGGCCAGAGCCGAACGTTTCCGGCGTTATCAGGGGGTGATTGATAAGGGAATTACTGTATACCCATAAAAGGACGCCATAAGGGAACTTAAGCGAAAACAGACAGCCCCTCTCCCAGGTCGTTAACTCCTCTATCAGTGCGTCTTGTGTTCGCTCTTGTTATGAAAACCTTTTTTCTCTCCGTCTTTTGGATTCCCATCCTCACGCTTCAGAATCCGGACGATCCCACCTTCTTTCCCTGTTCAGATGGCCGCTTCTGGCAGTGTATCGCCCGGAGGACGGATCGTATGTCCGTGGATTTGGGCTCGGATCTACAATCATATGACCGGAATACGACCGGGCTCAGTAATAGGGAAAAGTACCTGAGGCTACCCATCAACTTCTACGCGGTCTACTTAAATAAGGTAATGGCTGTGATGTGTTTTGATATTTTTAGCGGTTTTATGGTAAAGAGTTATATTTAGGCTGACATGTGTGTTTTGCTAATGTTTCTGGTTTTATTTCTTGTTCCAAACACTTTCAAGTCAAAATTTAAACTAAAAATAGCCAAGACTGGTCTAAAAATAAATAGAAAAGGCAATTCTTTATACTTTCTGACCTATGTTTCTAAAAAAATTTTAAATTTAGCTTAAGATCACGCTAACGTATACGTATCTCGTGACCTTGTCGCTGTATGTTGTTGTTATTATGACCTTAAAGCAGTCAAAAAACATTTTCCAAAAGTTATTCTTCAAATTTATGAAAAAATAGCTTTTTATGGTAATAATATTAAGGTAATAAAAGGTCAAAAAGTTGCTCTAAAAATACAATAATATCACTTTTTCATAATGTAAAATGTGATATAGAGCCTATTTTTATAGTAAAAGAGAACTTATGTAAACAAATATATTGTAGTAGGTTGTAGCGACTTGTGTCTTTGCAGGTGAATTCATTAGACGGCTCGTTGTTCGTCTCAGCTCGAGTTAAGATTGAAGTTCGTCCAGTGGCGCTGCTTAATGCGACTGGACTAGTGCTTCAATTCACCCCACACAGTAACAACAAGGCTACGATCAGCTACGAGGCCGTGCTACGGAAACGGAAGTATATGAACCCCAACTACACGGTGGGTATTTGAATATTCAAATTTTTATTATTAAATTTTGATTTAAAATAATTTTAAATTAAATTTTATCTAGTTTCTAAAACGACCTCCAGGTCAAGAAGTTTGCAGAACCACTTAGCCTGCTCCACATTCCTTTTCTTTTTCTACTTATTTATTGACCGGGTGGAAGCGCTTACCAATATAAATCATGCTTTTCAGGTGGACTTTGCGTTCAACGTGGAGAAGGTATTGGAGTACTCTACCAATTACACGCTAAGAGTAGGTGTCGGCAGTTGTCGCCATTACTCATCTGATGTCATTTCTATTTTCAGTTCGCTTTGTTACCTCTGGCATCTCGGGTTTGGGCACAAACAACCTTGGAGGTCCGCGATTACTGTAAGCTCATTTCGAATTTTAAATTTTGTAAACTATTAAAGGTTCATTTATAGTCAATCTGATAGGCTTTCACGACTAACATAATATTACCACACCTACCGTGTATCTATTACCGTGTTTTAGCCATCTCCGACCAAAATTGTGACCAAGAATCAGAAGCCCGCCAACGAGAAGCGTCACGATGGACTACTACGATTCAGGAAATAATTATCTTTCCACACTCGAAGGCTGCTAACATCACCTTCTTCGGAGCTCCCCCGGGTTACTGTATCGACTCTTACAAGGTCCTGTTGGCTTTGGAAGGGCTGACACCTACTGAAACCCACATTGTTTCGGCTGCAAGTTACTTAATGTTGTTTAATAATGTTATGCTTTATGAAAAGGTTGTCTCTATAATATATCACAATTACAGGACTCAATGACAAGATATAACGATGTTATGATCGGCAATGTCACTATGTCAATGATGACACCAGGACAGAATTATAAGGCTATAGTGAGTTAAATTTACAGTAAGATTGATTGTACTACCCAAAATACGCTTTTGAATGTCAAAAAATAATGCCACAAAGCCTTATATTACTATTATGAATAAGCTAGTTTAATATCATCATGGACAATATAAGATAGTATTGCGGGGTTGTGTTGAGACGATCAGGTGACATCTCGAATGACAAACACTTTTTGTGACATTTGAATGACATATGGGATGTCCGTGATACGAAAAAAAAACAAAAATGACACATGGGCTAGTGTCCTCTATGTTATGTTAGGATAACATATTAGAAAAGGTACTAATTGACTCTACTATAATACGACACAAAGCAATATAAACATATTGACCTTTTAAATGGCATGTATTATAATATACTAAGTAAATGACCCCAATGTGTCATATGATCTATGCTTCAGCCCTGGTCCCTTGCTCTTTCAGTAATCAAATTAGCCATTTCAGATAATTCCTTTCAACTCCGACCACAGTAAGTGTGTCTGTAAGAACGCCGTCAACTGTGCCTGTGTCACTGTAGACAGTGAAATGTTCGTATTTCCCTCCTTTTCGGCGAAAGTGACAGACACAAAACCCAATCACATCATGAACATACGAATAGTAGACGACCTAACATACCACCACACAGAGACCCACAGTATGTTGTTGATAATCATGGTACTGGGGACATCGCTGGGCATCGTCAGCATCCTACTCGCCTTCATGGTATGGCAAGGGAAGTGGGACAAGAGGGGGCTGTTCTTGGTCATGAAGCCGGCTGCCATATCAGAGAACGGCATACCTATAGACGACGGCCAAGACCGGCCACTCCTCCACAGACATCTTACTGTACTTATTTTGAATGCCGAGTACGGTAGACTACCGTATACCAACATGTTGGCGGACTACCTAACTCAACACGATGTAAAAGTCAACTGTGTCTTCCGAGATACGAAGGCCATCGAACATAACATACAGATGTGGTGTCTAAGGGCAGTGCAATCGGCCGATAAGGTGAGGTGATTACCGTCTTTATCATTACCGTAATACTTGCAGATTATCTTCTTTCACAGCGATCGCATGGCTCAGTTACTGTGGAACAAGCCCACATCACATGATATGTCCAGTAACGTGTTCCGGACGCTCTTGTCCATGTTGGAGTTCAACGATAAGAGAATGGTATGTCTGTCTCATGTTAATATATCTATCAGTATCTTATTAGTACGTTACGGTGTGGTAAAGATGCTGTGTTTTAAGTAACGTCTTCTTAAACTGGCCCTCGCTTATATTGTGTTACAGGTACATGTCAAGTGGGATAACTCTCGAACCATGTTCAGTCATACCGAGGTAATCTACCGTATACCTCGAGATACTAACCTTCTGATCAAATCCATCACGGAAACCAAGCCAAACAAAGTTATCGTAGATAACTTGAAGGTAGGCTTTAAATTACTTTTGATTATCAACAGTGCACAACCAGTACAGTACTTATTATAATTTATTTATTTTAGGCGAAATACCGTGAAATAGAAGGTAAAAGACAACAAACCCCTGAGGACATGAATCATAAAATGAGCAAAGATATACTAGAAGATACTGTGGTTAACATGGTAGAAGATACCGAAGATACTGTAGATGGCCTTACAGAATTAAACGCTACAAAACATACCGTTCACAATGCTGTGAATACGGTAATACCACAAGAAAACACAAGAACATGCGCTACAGAAGATGACGGTACCTACAGTATGTCAACATCGAATGACGATACGATATACATAGTGGAAGAAGAATCTCCAAAGAAGCCAACAGACGGCTACAACAGTGACTCTGGAGTCATGGTGTAACACCACTTCAGCCATATACAACAACATACTATGGTAGTAGACTGTCTAACATCTTATAGCGTCAACGTACCAAATTGACATTGATATACCAAGTCGTATCGTAAACTAAAGACACACCAAGTGTATGTCATCATCATTCCGGCTGCGTACTCGAGCCTGGTGCTGGGCCAGTTCGAGACACAGCTCGCGACGTAGACACGATGGATCTACAGTCGACCAGCCTCGAATCGATCTCCGCTATCAATTGCGCAATCTCTGTGGTCTCATGCTGAAAGTACAGTAGTCGTAACGAACGGGCAGTTACAGTAATATCACCTGTTAATAAATATAATCACTTACCTTACCTTGTTAAACAACATAGGTTAGATTAAATTACAGTACATGTTACAGTACAATTCAATCAAGTACAGTATTATTAGACTTACAGTAAGCGCATTCCTTCTCATATACATGTATGGTACCACTAGTCCCCTTGGAGCCCCGCGAGGTGTCTTTCCTATCTCAAAGAAGGTCCATCGTCTCTGACTGGCGTACTGTTCCACGATACTGGCAGAGTTGGGCGACATTCTCGGCTCAATGTAAGGTCCCGAGATTGGGGCCGATTTGATCGAAGCCATAGTGGTACCGGTACCAGCTGACACCGTCGTATGTCTACGGTCGTTCCTGCTCGGTAGGTATCGTTTGGCATAAGAAGAGCTGGAACTCGACCTCAGGCTGACGGAAGAGCTGTTCTCGCTTATGGCCACCTTCACTCTTCTGGCCGACGACCCGTTCGAGGACAACGGAGAGCTCCTGTTGATGGGGGAACTTCTGTTCGGAGAGCTTCTGTTGGCCGGAGTATGGTACCCATTCTGGGACCCTGCTACACTCGGGCCGAGCGAACCACTGGTACCGGGCGAGGTCTCGTTCCAACTCATTTCATCAATCTCACTCACGTAGTTGAGGTTGTGGAGCACCCACGGCTCTGTTTGAGTTTCTTTGTGAGCCTACAATAACTTATAGATTCGTGTACAATTTGTTTTATCTGTATTGTTACCTTAATACTAAACGTATAGCTTGGAAGGACTATCTACATACTTAAAATATGTCTTTGCAGTTATTTTGGCGTAAAAAACAGTTTCTAAGGTATTTTTGAAACCTCAACTATCAGAAAACCAGAATCACCTGTGTCAACCGATTCCTAAACTCATGAATCAAGACTTCTCGACGTCGCTTGGCAAAAGGAAAGATCTTCCACCAATTAAATTCGGAAAAGGACTTTCGTGGAACTGCACTCTTCATACCTAAAATAATGAATAAGACTAAAAAAATAATATCAAATGAAATTAAAAAAGAAAACATGATAAAACAACTTATTTCTTAATAACTTATCAATAAAACTGTAAATACTTGACAAAACCCACCACTTTTGGCATCCTTCTCGATCTGCTCTTGTTTCTGGCGATTCTGATTCCTCCGTCGCTTCCACACCTTCCACAAGTCTACTAATGTCAGCTTGGGTGCAATGTCAGCCCCACCCAAACCAGCTTCTTGAGCACCAATCTCTTCCATCATGGCTATAAGCAGCTCTTCAAACAACTCCTCCAACTTGAGTTGGATCACATTCACACACATTGACACTAACGACAGACCGATAATGATGAAGCCGAACATCAGAAACATGTCCTCTGAGTTTGTCGGAGTCACGTCTCCGTAGCCGATCGTGGTCAAGGAACAGAAGAAGAAGTAGAAGCTCTTGAAGTAGTCCCAGTCGTCCTCGAACCTCAAGAAGATGGCGGCACATAAGAACATCCAGCCAAAAGCTACTCCCACAGCCAGCAGAACTGGCATTCCATTCTCGTATTTCATGTTTCCCTTCAGTTTCTCGGCGTCTTTAACACAACTCAAGCCTTCCATAAACCTACAACAATATTTAAATTTAAACTCATGTGACCAACAAAATATGTCACTATATTAACCGGCAAGATGAAATCGTTAAAATACAGTATTTACACTTCCACTAAAAATATCAAGACATACCAAACAGCATTGTTCCAAAGATACTCAAGTCCTCTCAAACAGAACCTTCCCAGCTTGTGAAGAATCATCAGCACCAGAGGTATACCTATTGCAGCATATACCATGGCTGCCAGCTTCCCCAGCCGACTTTTGGGGGAAATATTGCCATAGCCAATAGTTGAATATGTTGTAACTAAACAAAAGGAGGTTACATTATCTTTTGTTCAAGTTAATATGACTTTTCATTTTACTTTTCAACCAAAAATCAATGTCAAATCAATAAAAAAGGTTACCTGCTAAAAACATGGAGTTCCAGAAGGTCCACGTTGGAGTTAGGATGTGATCCAGCCCCGTGAACTTGTTGAACTCCTTCAAACTCTTCTTCAACTTGGCCTCGGCTTCTTCTGGAGTCACAAAGTCCACTCCAATCTCCCAACATCTGTTCGACAACTAAAACAATATTACATCTTCAATTTTATCACATCTTCAAAAATTTTTAAGTTTTAATACTCGAGTTCGAGTATACTCATTTTTTTATTTTTGAAAACAAAGTTTCGGAAAAAACTGATGTGAAAATCAATATTTTAGAAAGTGGTGTTCCGTCTACCTGTCCAGTATAGTTTTTCAATGCCAAAATCCGGCCGAAATTAGAGTGAAAGTGAGGCTTCCAGAGTCTTTCAGGGTTGTGTGGATGTAGTAGTGAAGCTTTGTAACTTTCTTGATCATTTAGGTAATAAACTTGAAGGACGTACCAATAAACTGCCTAAAAATTGATTGCTTTTATTATTTTTGAATTCAAAAACAATTTTTTCTTACTTTGAGGTCTAAACTTGTTACTTTCTAAAGCTATATTACTTTTACAGCTTAAAACTTAGCTGTTTCAACCTTTTAACACGTTGACTATCAGAAGAAAAGTGATGATTGTTACCTTGTTGAGTCTGTTGAGGGCAACATGTTTGTACTGTCGTACTTCTCGAAGGTATAACTCGAGAGTCTGGTTCTTCTGAAGAAAATACCGCATTCTACTCTGTATTCTGTTGATCTCGGACATTATTATCTGCTCTTCTTGCTCTATGTATTGCTTTTTCCTGGCTAAAATCTGCTGTTCTTCTGGGGACTCGATCGTATAGAAGATGAATCCGCCGAGGAACGAGTAAATAACTAACACAACTATGGGTAACAAGTAGTGGAGACGGGATTTCTCGTAGAATACCTAAAGATATTAATAAGTTTAGTATAATTCGGCAGTAAACTAAGTAAAGATAACATTATATTGTGTTACCTGTAACCTTCGAATCCAGGTGACAGGTTCGTCATCTGCTGGGAGTCTGTAGAATACTTTGGCATAGGGGAAGAAGGTAGGGTCGAAGTGGTTCTGAATAAAAGGACTATGACTTTAGCCGCCTATGTTTAATTAGATTACAAAAATACAATAAACATTATTGATATTGTACTACAATATCACACCACGTGTACCTACCCCAGCACGGTCCAATGATCCAGCCGAGATGACAGATGGATGCCGAGTGTGACTTTGGGTGCCAAACATTGGAATCGATTAAAAAATGGCTCGAGGCGAGAAAAAAGAATTTAAATCCTGAGGGCCAATTGCCTCAGTAATCCAATTATATCCATAACAATCTCCGCCGTTACTCAGTAAGGCCGAAACATAATTCGGGTTCCAGGGAGGACAAGTTACTACACTATTTACTACTCTAACAACAAATAACAAGCTGCACTCTGACAACCAAATAGACAACAATTTTAACAAATAATGACGATAACAATGACAAGTAACAACATAAAACAATATAAAACGATATCAAAACTAAAATATACAATAACTAACGCTAAAACCTGTTCAAGAATCAGCTTTCAAGTCCTTGAACTTCTCCTGGAGCTGTAGAAGATAAGCTACACTTTTCTCATCGGCTGTAAAGTTGTGTCGGTCGATCAAGTGTAATATACGGTGAGCTAGAATACAAAACTGTCGCTTCCTCTCCATCCCAATGTCGACATTACTTGCGGCCCTCTTACTCTCCACTGTTGACCTGATCTTTTCAGCAATGCCTCTAGCGTTGGCTATGATTTCTGATGGCAGACTGCTGATTTCGGCTAGTTCAAGGCCTAAAACAATATACTACAAAGCCAGGTATTAAATAGTGACTTTACATCAAAGATAAGTTTTTGATTAGAACATGATGAATATTAAATATTTTATGTGTGTTAAAGTATACATACCATACAAAGGCCCTTTGTAAGGGCCAACGTGAAGAACGTGAGAAGGCTTCAAGAACTCCTTGCCGTCCTCGTCTGTGCCTGTTTCTGATGAAAAGTGAAAGCTAAATATATTGTTCAATAAAATTTGGTTTGTACGCTAATATATTTAACTTTTAATGTAGATGACTTACTTTCTCAAACACGTAAACTTTGTTTCCAGCAAACACAAATCGAGGTAATGAGTGGCGAACAGGACCACACTCTTCTTCTTGATCAGCTCTTCTCCAATGGCAAAACAGATACTAATTCCTTCTTCCACCGCCGTACCTATAATAATATTCATTACATTATCTAATTCTTAATGTAATCTTACGCTTTTATAATTGATTCCAATGTAAAGTAAACTACATATACATCAACTTACTTCGGGCCAGTTCATCGACAACAACCAGAGAGTTCTCGTCTGCGTGATTCAAAATTGATGACATTTCGGACATCTAGAACATCGATATTAACATACTGACATGTCAATGAAAAGAAACGGCAAAAGAATACAATATGGCAACTGTTACTTTAATATTACACAACATCAAAACTTACCTCAACCCCGAAACTGGAGAGATTGTCACTAAGGTCGTCGTTGTGACCAATCCTACAGTAGATACTCTTTCGAACCATAAACAAAGCTGCCCGTGCTGGCACGAAACATCCGGCTTGTGCCAGAATCTGGAGGAGACAAATCTGCTTCAAGTAGGTACTCTTTCCCGTCTAAAATATTAAGTTAAACCTCATAATTACACTAAACTTTGTGGATAATATACAAAGAATAAACACTTCCACAGAACTCTTACCATGTTCGGTCCTGTAATGAGTACGAAGCGAGTGTCGGTGGAAACAAAGGTATCATTGGGTATGAAATCTGTTTTGTCATTGTCCAAAATAGCATAACGACCATCTTTGACTGCCATCTGGGTACCGAAACGAGGACGACCTACAATAACATAAAAAGCGTAAAACAAGAACAAAAAAGAGCTTATAGTCACATTGACTAAAACATCATAATATTGCTAATGAAACTCAAAATGTTTACTTACATGCCACAGAAATGCTGGAAGAATAAGTGGCAAAACTACATAGACAATCCAGAAGCGACAGAAACTCGACACAGCTGTACAAAGCTGGCAGGAGGTCCTTTACCCCTGCCAAACACTGATTCACCACCATCTCTGACTTCTGCAGAATCTCACTCTCCAACTGAACCAGACGATCTATAACAATATCAATCAATAGCATTTGATAAAGGAATCTTACATAGTAAATAGCAACTTTTACCTAAAAACTACTATTAGCGCCATAAACGTACCATTGTACTTTATCATGTTATGCGTAGTAAAAGTGACATTCTGTCTGTTTGACACTACTTGAAGACATTCTGGCGGCAACGTGTTCACGATCTTTTTCTTGATATTGTAGTGATACCCTTTACCGTAAGTGTACGATAAAGAAGCCCCGATGCCCTGGAAGCCCTCTTGAGACACCAACTCTACAAAAAACCTACTGTAATATACTCTTTTTTATCAGATTTAATATTTAATACAACGTACCATTTACATGTACCAGCAGTTCGTTGTACACTTTCCTAGCTAACGCCAGCTGAACGTGTTGATCATCCCTGACAGCGTACAAAACAGCATCCTTGGCCCCGAGAGATCCTTTGACATTGTTTGAAAGGACTTCGTTGTCTATCTTCTCGTCGATTAACTGCAGAATCTCCTTCAACCGTGGGTCCATGATCTTCTAAAACAACATGCTTTCAACACAACGCCAGATGTAGATATTCATAATTTAAAAAAGGTGTTACAAAGATATGTAATTAGACATACGAAAGCGTTCTTGAGTATCAACCCGGACCTCATGTTCTGCACGATACTCTGCATCGGCTTCAGAGTATCCAGAAGGTTCCGTAATGACAAGATCTGAATGATCTTCTGTCTCATCAACCTCTTGTTGTCATTTTCTCCCGAAGTACTCTTATCAGCGTGAACACAGAGAGTTATTATCTGCTGAAGGTCTTGCACCGTCCTCAACAACCTTCTACACCTTTCCAAAACCTAAAACAACATTAATAATATACAACTAGCAATTTAAATGTCATTTTGAAACTTTCAATACTAATACTTATACCAATAATAATATTATAACTATAATCTTACATTATTGTTACCTAAAATAACAAATCTACCCAAATATCAACAATTTTAAGCCCAAGCCTTCGAAAGACTTACTGTCGGTTCCAGAATCAGCTCCTCAACAACATCCAAACGTTCAGAAATTTCCATAACATCAACTGAAGGCTGTAGCAAGAAACTACTCAATGTCCGAGCACCTCCATTAGTGACACAACAATTGACCCGATCAAACAAACATCTCACCTCTCCCTTCTTTGGGTTAGACTTTCGGCGATGAAACAGGTCCAAGTTGTCCCAACTGCACACATCTATAACAAACAAGTAGTACTAGGTTTCGGCAGATAGCAAAATCAAGTTATGGTATATCTTAAAATTTGCATACCACAAAAAACCTTTAAAATACTGTAAACTGTTTTTTAGAAATTTTTAGCTTCGTGTTACAATTATATTAAAACACTTACCGATCAAGCAAGAATCTTCTACTGTCTCGTATCTGAATTTCAAAGATTTTGTGAGAAATGACACCTTCTGAATCATCTCGACGTATCTCAACAAGGAAAACACACATGCCATCGCAAGACTTCTAAACAATACATTGAAATAGGTAACAACTCACACAAAAAGTTACAATTTAAAACCTACTTCTTGTAGACTTTATTGTCCAGGTTCGAAGCTTCTTCCACAATATACCTCTTGACCAGCTCGATCCCTTTTTCCTCGTCATAATACCTCCTACTGACCAACTGGATCTCAGCTTCTGGAAACAGATCCGTAACGACATCGTACAAAACTCGTGCTACTCCAAACTTATCGTGGGTGTAATCTTGAAGTATAACTTCCAACGGATCCAGTAATCCCAAAGTTACTTTAAGAAGACTGTAAGCTGAGGTGTCCACAAACTGAAAGAGAGACACTTCCATGCTTCTGAGGTCAATGGCTGCCATTCCCACCGTGCCACGATCAGATCCACGGCCTTCTAACAACGCCACGATGTTGAAGGATACGGACGTGCTAGTAGTGATGTTGGCTCGTTTGGCTCCTCCATTTGCTATGTTATACTTCTGTTTTCCTCTTTCCATCGGCGGAATATTCCTTCCGAAATCTGTTTTTCAAAATAATGTTCAAAAATAATATTTCACAAATTTATTTTTTAGCAGACAGCGCCCTATGTTTTGAAATTCGCAAAATAAAAAATATTCGACAACTGAAGTTAGTTATTATATATTGTGACGATCTTATTTATTCATATTTATTTGTACAATTGATAGTTTATTTTGCCAAATGGAGTTACTGCATCAAAGTAGTAATATGACTCATAGAACCTAGTTCAATATGGGGAGATTTGAGATGGCGAACAGAAATGAAGCTCAACCGATGTTTTAGGGGATTCACGGCCAACTCCTGTAAGTGTTTTCAAATTTGGTTTTAATTAGTCTTTTTATGACTAGGTTTCATAAAGTTTCATGAGATGTGTGCTTGTTTAGAACGACAAAGACCTCTCATTCTTTCCCAAATAGACTTTATGTATTTATATTGAGCATTATTAGGTAGTGATATGATATGTTACTAAGCGGTTTGTCGTTTTGTGATCGTTGTATCGCAGATTGTTTGAATGTACGATGAAAGAAGATCGTCGATTTTGTATCCCTGAAATACGATATCGTTTTAGGTGTTTTAGATTCTATGTTGCGTATTTAGGTATCTTAAAGCAAGATAGGTCTTTTTACAGCAGATGACATATTTTACTTCTACGAAGTTACAGACCAATATAGACTTTTATATTTTCAGCTGAACCTACCAAAGTTGTCTCGACAAGCAATCGACCTCCTTTGATCATGTTACCCGTTGTCATATGAAAGTAAGTGTTCCCCGCGGTCCAATTCACAATTCCATTGTAAGGATACTGTACTATAATACATTTGGTTTCGGGGTTGAAAACGCTGACGCCTGTTTTGTTGATGGATAGGTTGATTTTGGCTGGGATACTTGGATCTGAGGTTTGTTTTACCTGAATTTATGATTTTAGGTATTATTATAGTTGGTTTTCAAGTTAAAAGGGACGTTAATACTCATTTTATGTTTATATGATAGTGAAGAGGGTGTAGAACGTGTTAAAGTTCTTAATTTATCAAACTTACTTCAAAGAAGGCAGATCCAAAGGTTGGAAGTTTATATAAGACCTTGAGGAAGGCCACCTTGGCGTCATCGTGTGACATTTTTGGTAGTTTGAGACATTCCTTGGATATGGCCTGAAAAAATTGAGTTAACTATGTCATTATCAACCTTAACATAGTATCTGGTTAATTATTTTAAAACTTTTCACGGCTAATTAGGACAGATCATACCTTTTTCCATTCACTTGAGCTGTGTTTCTTCACCACATCTCTGGGTAATATTTCGTTGAGGACTGTAGGTATATGTTTCAGAGGTATTTCTGAATCCTCGTTAGTTTTGGCCCTCAGGATGAGCGCAGCAAGGCGAGTAATGTCTTCTTCTGGGACATCGTAGTAACCCCTGAGGTACTTTGGTAATTCCTGTAATTATAACTATGGTTTCTACGGTTTTCTAACTCGTTTTTTACAACAACTTCAACATGTTTTCTTGATTTTGTTTAGTGGTATTATCATTGTTAACTTACTTGAGGGAAATGTAGCACCAGATCTCCATTAACATCTTCTCCCGGATTCACGTGAGTCCATATCTTCTTCATCATGAGCAACTTGTACGTTAATGTTCTCGGCTCTGTCGGCTTCATAAGTTCTCCCAACATTCTTAGATAGTCGAAGATGTAGTCTTTCTCTGGCAGACTCATGACCTTCTCGTTGATCTTGACAAAGACAGCACAGCCTTTGCTCTTCATGTTCTTGGCCTTTGCTATCTTCTCGCATATGTGATGACATTGGTCGGTGCTCTCGATCTGGATGATCTCCCCAGACCCGTCGGGCAGATGGAACTTGTGGAAGATCTCGGTTCTGTTGGCTAGGACAGAATCCACTTCCACGTAGTGGGGAGGACATTTCCTAGGCTGGTACACGCTAGAATGGAAAAGAGTTAGATATTGAATGTAAGTAATATTATACTCTATAAGATATGCTAGTTCTACCTTGTGATCTTGCTCAATCTGAGAAGGCATTCCCTGCTTTTGGCCGTCTGTTTCGACCGAAACACTTGGTCGATTTCTTTGTTTAATTCTTTCGAAGGCGAGAACAAACCCAAGGCTAGCCACATCAACTTCCATCCGTGTTGCTCGCTAGCTGGGTTCGGGTTATCAGTTATCTGTTTTACGATCTGACAGTAGAGTTCGTCACGCAGAATCTCCTGTAAATTGATTGATATTATGGTAAGGAAAGCATTCTTATAAACCTTTACTACTCTTCCGTCTTTATATAAATGTTATGGTTAAATATTGTAGAACTTTAAGATTACTGTTACAATAAGTGCGTAATGACCGTTGACTAACAGATCAGCCTTACATTTTTGACAGGTCCGGTAAAGATGGCATCCACCAGACTATGAATTGACTGGCTCCAAGGTAGATCTCCCATGAACCTCATCACATCCAGATACATCTTGATGGCCATCTTCCTGATCTCATCTGAAACCCGCGACGTCTTGAGAAGGGGTTCGTTGATAGGTATGCCATTGTACTTGACTAACACATCAGATGTCGACACAAAGTGCGTAGTAGCAAAGTCATGTAGCGTGTGACTCTTGACTACATGGACTAGTTTGAGGGAACAGTTGTCGAACAAGATGACTGTCTGTTCCTTGTTAATGTCATCCGTAGGCTTGCTTCTGAACTGGTTCTGTTGTTTGTAGTGCTGGACTAGTTTCTGGCTTGGTACTCGGAGCGTGGCTAGGATCCTCATTTTGTTCAATGGCACAATGCCCTTCTCGTTTACTTTGGTGTTGACACATTCGACCAGCACAGCGTTCTTTCGCTGTTCCGGGTTCTCCATGTAGAGAACGTCGCCCATTTCACACGAAAGGAACTTTCGGTTTTCTGAAGTCATTTTTTCATGTTTTATAATGAAATTCAGTGTAACTATGTTATTCACAATATTGTGGTAGGCATGTTTTGTCTTTTTACCTATAGATTCAAGTGCCACCATGTACTTTGATCGTTTCTTCATTCCGTTAATGAAGAATATGATCAGCTCCTTGATGTTGACGGCATTCTTGGTCTGGAACTTGAACTCGTCGTCATCTACTGTTTGAATATTGATGACATTTGAATTGAGATGTCTAAATCGACGTGTTATGTCATGTTTAAACCGATATCATTATTGTAAGCAGCTTAAAAGGAACTTACTGATTGACTACGATGTTCTCGATTTCATCGTATGTGATTTCACATTTGACTTCGTTCTTGTAGTCGACAACGTTCACGACCTCAGAGTTTATTGCTATTACCACCATCTCGTCAGGTATACCTAGACTGTTGATCTTCTGAGCTTTGAACAACCTCGAGAAAGCAGAGGCCCACTTTATTCTGGCAAAATCGATGATCTGAGATTTGACATCGTTGGATGTGAAGTTTGATAACATGTAGGCCTGAGAGGATTGAACATGGTTAATATATAAGGTTACATCGATTCATTACGATATTTTTTCTATTTTGCTTTATCAGAGCTTTAAAAAGAATTATCCCTATTACCTACCTTTCTGTACGTGTTCATGATCTTCTGAATCCAGGGTTCTGTATGGAATTGTTCCGACTTTGTAGTAGAGATTGGCAAAATGTTAGACAAGACACTCTCCAGCTTGTTGACATCGATCTCGTCTCCATTGTTGATAACATAGTACTGCTGTGTAGCCAGAAGCACGATCTCATTCTCGTTGGAACATTGATACTCACCGTACCGAAGCCCTCTGACTATCTGTTCGTAGATAAGGTCAGAAGCGACAGTGTCTACATTCTGATGCCATGGGCTGAAGATTTCCTTGCGGTAGAACAGTCGCCATGGTATGTTATCGTACTGATGCCCCTTCTTGATGCCTTCTCGCTCGCACACCGTGATAGCGTCGAAGATGAAGTCGGAGCTGGCTCCCAACGATGAAGCCGTTTCATTCAAGGACAGATAGAGTGAGAAGCCGAACTTGTCTTTCAACCCCAACATGGTCATGATCTGAGAACATAATTCTTGAGCCGTCGTGTAGCTGTCCACGATGAATTGGTGGGTGGAGCCATCGCAGAAGGTGATTGGTAGGAGAATCTGCTTGTAGCTTCTGATGGAGCTGAGTTCACACGATGATATCGGTTGTAGACGTGTGCCTTTACTGTAGCATTTGGCAATATGATTGTGTATAGTTGGGTATGCTGGTGACATTGAAGCGAATTGTGATATAAAGTCGTTCAAGTACGGTAACAGGGATTCTGAAGGTTGAAATGACGAGGACACTAACGCCAGTAGCTGCCAGTACTTTGAAGAGGATGGAGTGTTGTTTCCGTTGATCTGTTTTATGATTTGACAATAGATTTCGTCTCTGAAAAGGTGGTGTAAGTATAAGTAATTGGTACAAAGAATTTTTGTGATCAAGCGCTCTTACCGTAACTCTGGGCGTAAGATACCGTGTGAAATGATGACTTGAATCCTTTCGTTATTGTTGAATTTCCTGTCAAAGTAGTTAGGGTATCCTTCGTTACAGTAATCATCATTCATTATAAGCTCTGTAGAGTTGAGTACTTGGTATGTTATGTCTATGATGTTTTGTTGGCCCTGCAATTTTGTATTGTTTATGTTAACTGGTGTATTCAAAAGTTTAAGATCCTAATAAAGTTACAGTAACGGCTTACTTTGTTACTTTCAACGGCAGATTCAGGCAAGTCTTCTGCGTACCTCAGAATCTGTTTCCACAGTACGTGTGAACAAACGTTGTCTATAGTTGTCATATGTTGTAGTAGTGGGTAGCGTAGGTCTTCTTTTAAGAATTTTGAATCTGCTTTCAAGAAGTTGGCTACAGCAAACTTTTCGAAACTGAAATTAGTCTCATCGTGGCATCGTGAAGGCACCGTTGACTTCACGATGGGATCTTCTGGAATTTTCTCCGGCCCTCTGTTCTGAGGCTGCAGCTTCAGAGTTTGGAATCTTTGTCTAGCCAGGTACCCTCTACATAACGCCTGAACAGTATTTGATCTTGTAATATCACTTACTTGTAACCTCGTGGTACACTCGGTCAGTAGGGTGAATCTGAAGACAAGTTGGTGGGAGCGTAGTATAGACTGCAGACGCACGATACCGTTCAGAATCTGAAATTAAATGTATTGAATTTTGGTTGTGTTTCAAAGATCCTGTACTCTTATATTGCTTACCTTGTGATAATTGCTTCGCTGCACGAATCCTCTCCAGTGCTTCTGAATCGTCACGGCTGCCAGTTTCTGGGCTTTGTAGCGTCGACGCTGAATCCAGCCCTTCAAGTGCTTTTGAATCGACGCTACGTAGAAGGTGAGCATCTTGTGACGTTCCTGAATAGTTTACATCTATATGGTAGAAAATTCTTTTACTTCAGTTAATGATTTATACATTACATTGGTCAGATGTTTGTTTAGATTGCTGCCAACTTACATTCTCCATGTAGGTATAGTCATTCTGCTTCATGAATACTTTGGTTCTGCCCAATTGAAAGTCGGCTTCTTCACCAAGGATAACTGTCAGAATCCGAGAAGTTGCTTCAATACAGTTTTCTCGTCTTGAAGGGCCTTAAATATTGATATAATTACTTGTAATATTATGCCCTTTTGTGTCGTTTCATGTGACGACTTACGTATTCCTGGTAAAAGTCCACGAAAAGTGTCGACGAACTTGTTGTACGGTAATCTGACAGGATACCCAGCGTTTCTCGTTACTACCAGATCTAACATTCCGGTATATCGAAGTTGTCTTAGCACGTACGATCGGTTGAACATCTAAAATGTTGTGTCAGTATTAACATTATTACCTAAATACCTACGTCTTTCTGTTGCCCTGCATTTGGTTTGATGCATCGTACGAAGTATGGCGTGGTATTGTCAAGATGTAGCATCAGAGAGTCTAGCGACCTGAAAGTTACATTAATGTGGCATTTCTACTAATATTCACTATTAAGCTTAACTTTACTTCAACAATAACGTTTTACTGACCTTTTGAATGTAGTTGTGACAGTTTGCTTCGCAGTCGTAGTAGTGTCGAACTCTTTCATGATGTTACTGAGTAAAGTGCACGAACTGGATGCCAATAAGCTCTTGATGTCAGGGCTGAGGGTATCTTTGTTTTTGTCAATGAATCCATGGGTATTGTAGAAGACAGTGGCTGCGTAGTGTTTTACAGCGAAGCACCTACTGAGATCCGACTTTGGCTGAACGTAGAGTTCAGAAGCAGCGTGGGTATGGTGCATCTTCAGTAGCAAGGAGTGGTCGGTGCCCTAAAATGTATTTTATATAGGTTATTCTATTATCGTGTTTGTAAATACACATGCTTTACTAGATATATTTACTTATCTTACCTGTGGAAAGATAGTTTCTTCGTTTATCAACGACATGAGTGACAAAGGTCCATTGGCCAGTAGGTCGAGGACAGCTACGTTATCGTCGAATGTTTGAGGACTCCAGGCAATCTTCTGAGCTTCGTACTCCAACCTCTCCAGCTTGAACATGTGTCTCACATACAGCTGTTCCAACACCTCGTTGGCATAGTTGATACAGAACTGCTCGAATCTGTTCTGCTTCAGATTCTCGAAGCCGAAGATGTTTAAGATATCCAGCTTCTTGAATGTTTTAGCATCTGAAGCCGGCTGTAACACAACATTGATTTGTTTTAGAAGGAATTGGAATATATAGGCATAGAGATTCTTGATAAGACTGTCTCGGCTGTCAATGGCTTGCTGGGCGGTCAAATTCCTGGTTACTGTCTCACTTCGTATCGTCATTGATGTAGCTGTAAGAACTTTGGAGAGCTCGGCTTCGTCTACCTACAATTTAAAATAATGTACGTCTGCGTTTTATTGCGTTCTGTGTAATGCCAAACGTTATAATAGTATTCGTATCCTAGAGCATCTTATTTTATTAAACAGAAGTGACAACGTTTTTCCATGAAAGACAACTTACATTAAGTAGCTCCGAGACTACAGTAACTTGTTCAGGGTCGGCCAACTCTGTAGTTTCTACATTTCGTGTTACTTTGGCTGAAACGCTCATAGTTTATTTACCAAAACGACAAACTTACTTTGGTAATCCAGGTTGCCTAGGTTGAGGATAGCCGAGAGTAATTGGAATATCTGATGCACAACTGCTGCCTCAAACCCCAGCTTCTTGAAGCAGTTGATGATGACATTGTATTCTGCCTCTTGCTTCTCCATCTCTGCTGTGTTACCCTAGAGAGTAATATAAAGTTACAGTACCCTTACTTGGCTCAGCAGGAAGTAGTCATCAGTCCTGGTCAAGTGTAATGTCTTCTTGGCATCTGGACTCATTCCGTTTAACATGAAGTAGAAGATGTGGAAGTTGGTGTCTTCAGTGGAATGGCTGATCACTCTTGACTTCTCGAGGAGATACTGTGTTATCTCTGCCCCTTCTATGGCTCCGTACTCGTTGAAGTAGAGCTGGATGAACTTGGCGAATCTGGATGAGTTTTCGTTGTTCAAGGTTTTGGCATTTCCGAAGGCTAAAAGTTACAATTTCATGTTAACATAGTCATCAAAATATGCTTTATAACATTGCCTATTACCTTCAATCAACGGGTTCGACATCAGAATCTGCTCCTCGACCTGGGAGTTGTTGTTGACCATCAAGTACTTGATGATATGCTTGCAACTCTCTGTCTTCCCAGCTCCCGACTCTCCGCTGATCACAATCGACTGGTCGCAACGGGTTGCGAATAGATTCTTATGAGCTGCTTCTGCAATTGCGTAGATGTGGGGTTCTAACTCTCCGATTCGCCGGTTACGGTAACATTTCATGAAGGAGGGGTTGTAGATGTCCAGGTTCTTGTAAGGATTCAGAGATATGAGACAGTCTCCACAGTACGTGTATATCAGATCTTGTTTGAAGCGGACTAGAAGGTTTCTTAGGATCCCGGCTTCATGAATGTCTTCTAGCTCTGTCAGATCTTCAACTCCTAGAATCGACTTTGGATGCATCAGTCGAATCAAGACATCTGGGGTCAAGAACAAGCGCTGAAATGTTGTAAGAATAATTTAAAATAGTGTTATAAGACACATAAGTTAAAGTAATGACTAGTTTCAAAGTTATAAAAAGTAATAGCATTATTTGGTTGTAGTACACTTACTCTGTCTTCATCGTCGATTACTTGAATTCCTTTGGCGTTTGTAACGTCGATGACTTCAGCTCCAATTGGAGTTGAAACTGTGGCATCTGAAGGGCTCGGGATCCACACGAAGTCCCCCTGAATGGTGTAGTAAAATTCCTTTTTTGAAATTTTAAATTTAGAGTTTAAATCTCAATTGTCGTCATTGTAAACAGTTTGCTACCCTATTTTAAGTTGTTTGCTTACTCTGAGCTTAAAGATATTTTTGGTTTATAATATTAGTACTAATATTTTAACAATTTTTATGGAGTCACATTACTGCATTATACATTTTTTTATTTTATTTAGTATTTTGAGAATTTAAAAATTTTACCCACCAATTATATTTTAAATATTGTACTTTCCTGCTCTCTGTAAGCTTTTAGAATGATTTTAAGATAAAACTTTCATCTATCGCAACCTTAAGTTAAGGTACTGTATCTAGAAGTCAAACTCAAATTTTAAATCAACTATTAAAGTATCGTACTAAAAACACAGATCGAGTATCGTACTTACTTCGGTGAGCAGAACCATGATCGAACAGTAATTACGTGGAAGAAACAAAAACTTTGCGCCCGCAGGTCATATCTGCCTATTAGCTAGCGACTGGCGGTTTCGGGTGCCAAGGTCGTTCCCGATTTATCCGAATCTTATGAACGAACGACTTTGGTGATAGTGGTATGTGTGATCGGGCTGATGCGTTCATGAATTATTCAGAGGGGTGGTTTTATTGTTTCATGCGAGTCACGTCTCCCCCCCCCCTCTTCAGATTTCTAATCAGGCCGTGTGTGCCCGGAGGGAGTCGGCGCTAATTACACGTCCAACAATAAGACTCTGTTTTCGGCCCAATCCCGTTCCACTAATTCTCGGGCAGATTCTTTCTTCTGCCAGATTCCAATTTTGGGGGAGTCTCCCGAGGGCGTGGGGCGGCCAATCCCGGCTTGTTTTCGGCTAGACCTTTATGCCATTCTTTGCTGCCCTTCGGCTTCTGACTCCAGCTCCTGATTGAAAGGAAACAAAAGTTTTAATTAATATCCAAGCGGCCTCGTCTCTTCATTAGGCCGTTCCATGCCGCTCACCTCACGCGATCCCCTCTCATCGCAAATGAATGTGGCCACACGAAATCCCCGGCCCTTCTCCTAATCAGGCCTTCATCAACACACAAATACATATCTGAGGATGTCATTTTATGGTCATGCTCGGCCAACAACTCGTAAAGCTGAATAGGTCTCGGAAAGTGCGGTTCTGCACAATTGCACATCTATAATTAACTCCGCGCTCTACTGTAATATTGCACTTTCGGAAGGTGTTCTCGGAATGACTCAAGACATGACAGTTGACAATCTTAGATACAAAAGGGCATAAACTAAATGTTTTATAGTAAAAACAAAACAATGATAAACAATATTCTAAGGACCCTTTTAAAGTCCCCAAAAGGTACCTAAAAAAGTGATAAAACATTTATTTATAAGCAAGAACATCAGAGCACCGAGAACATTATGATACTTTCATCTCTTCCGAAGTGATATCTGCAGGACCCGAAGACTGGTCGTCTTCAGCTGAATCTTCAGCGAACGAAAACAAGTTGGTGGTGAGGTCGAGGCTCAGTCCAAACCGTGACAGCACGTCCATCGGCGATTCTTCTTTGTCTTCTGGTTTGGCTGCAAAACAAGGGGATTGGTAACGAATATATTAATATTGTAACGATAATGTGAAGGATAAGGTTTTGGTCAATTTTAGGTTTTGGAATTTAAAAATTGGGGGTTTTTGGACAGATAATACCGCTAGACTACTAAAACAACAGGAAAACCAACCTATTATAAGATTTAATAAAAAAAAGGTTTTAAAAATTGAAAATTTTTCTGAATTAATTAGATTTTTAAAGCCATGTATGTGGCTAACACTGTAAAAACGATAACAACGTATTATAGTTTCAAAATTTAAAAATATATTGAATTCTTTTTCTTACCGTGACACGAACTCAGCGTAGACAGCAACTCTGAAGACGTAGAAGGTGATGTTGTCCTGAACATTTCCTGAGGGTGATGGGTCTCGGTGTGCCTTCGTCTGTCCACCTTCCTCTGGAACGTCCGTCCACAGACTTCACACGCGAACGGCTTGTAGCCGGTGTGCTTGCGGGTGTGGGTGATCAGATTGGAGGACTGGGAGAAGGCCTTGCCACAGACGGCACACTTGTGAGGCTTCTCTCCTGGAATATGTTATTCATTATAATCAGGGCAATCGCGTGCTTGTTGCGACCTGCACAATGATTGATGAGTTCAATGAAGCCTGACATGTCGCGCGAATCTTTAATCTAACTGTCATGCCCTCCGGGCCTTTCGGATTTGAAGCCGCGGCCAATGCTTGGGCCCGAGATTTAATTTGGCCCAAAAGTTTGGCCACAAATTGAAATACGATGAACTCGGGTCTGCGATTACGTCTGAGGGCTGCTACACAGATTTCACTGTATTTCTCAATAAAGTAGATTTCTTACATATAAGCTTAGGCTTAATAAACACGAAGAATACCTGTTTATAAGAGAAAGCAAATCCTTTGTATTCTACTATATTCACTCTATACCTATGCGAAAAGGTATAGTCAAACTAATAGCTACTTATTACTAAACGATGCCCTTACCTGTGTGTATGTAGGTATGCTTCTTCATGTCGCTCTTCTGATGAAACCGTTTCCCACAATACTCGCATGGATAAGGTCGGGTGTCACTGTGTATTAAAAGGTGCGTCGACAGAGTGGAGGACCTTTTGAAGTTTTTGCCACATTGTTTACACTCGAATTGCCGCTCCAGATTCTTGGCCTGGAATTAAAATGAATTTGCGATGACAAAAGAATTAAACATGCAGAGTTACATGGTCAAACGAGGAAATGGCCTAAAGTAAAAGTACACGACATTACTTTAGGCCAGAAAACAGTTTTTATAACTTGGCATTTTAGTATTTGTCATAAAGTACGTCTTTTTTATTTACAAAAATAGTTTAAAATTTATTTAAAATTAATTTCATGATTAAAAAACTTAATATTAAATTAGTCATAACAACATAAACTCACAGTAGCTGCCTTCAAACTCTTCATTTTGGAAGGACTTTTCAAATTATTCAAATTTTTGTTCTCATTCCCAACAGCACTAGCATTGTTCATAAAAGTGGCAAAGAACTGCTCCAGCTGGACCGAGTTCCAGAAGGCCGGCCCCATTAGGACCGGATTCATAAAACTGTAGGGACTGAGCCGCTGCATGGCCGCGAGCAAGGGCAAATGTGCTGAAATCAAAACCAATGAAAGTCGGCCGCCCTGAGGCCTTATTGGCCGTAGTTTGTTCGGCGGAATCTCGCCTCCAAATCTCTGTTTTCACACTTGGCGGCCGAATGTACAGTAGGCCGGCCGTTTAGTTTGATGACTTAACCAAACGCAATGACGTGTGAAATGGACATTTAAATTTTCATAAAATGCAATTTCGTTGTCCTACTAAAGCGAATCAAAAACCCAGTGAAGAGATTCTCGGATTTCATAAATGCGTGAATGGCCGAAACATAATGCTTTAGGCACCTGGCCAAAGTCAAGCTTTCCCACCGAAGCCAAACAATCTCTTCTTTCGAACCGAATCCCGTCTTACTTACCGGGACTCGAGAACAGCGGGGTAGCCGTCTTGTTGCCACATTCGTTAATGACATGGGATTCGGTCTTTGGCGACTGCACGTCCTCCTTCACCTCGTCCTTCAACAGATTCTGAATACTGTAGCTGGGAGACATGGAAATCAGATAAGGGTAAGCAATGCTCAAAGTCCAAGACTCGAAAATCCCGGACGTAACGGCATTTGGAGCCGAGATGTGTCCTTAGGCCCCGCCCCTTTTCACCAATCCCGGCCACGCGGATTGGCCAGGGCAAGAGCGTTGGCCCCGCCCACCTGTGCCTCCAGGGCATCATAGCTAAGCTTTCATCCTGTTTCTGCGGATTGCACGGCCCGAAAAACCTATTAACACCAGGATTAGACAGGACGACATGATGCGCAAATTAAACCAAACAAAAGTTTCAGGGATTAAGGGACCACGGGCCAATTTGGGCCGCGGTAGCCCAAATATTATGTACGAAACGCGTTGGGGCGGAAATTGGATTGGATCGGGGAGTTATCAGAGGTGTGATGCTAGATCTCCCGGGAATTGTGGATTAAATTGGAGGAAGATTGACTCCACAAATATAACGCCAGTCGGCTTCCAATTATAATATGCAAATCGGTTTTCGTACCGTACTCCCATTTTGAAAAGCGTCTCGGAATGTGTCGAGAGTGCGCACCGCGGGGGGTCACATGAAAAATTGAGTACGCCGTTTTCAAAAATTGAAATGGACGACCAGCTAATATGACACCTTATTGGCCCCGATCGGAGGCCAACAATTAACTCTGTCGCGACTTTTGATTCCGTCTTATGAATGAACTTGCTCCTCTTTGTTGTCATAACATGATTGCCGCCAAACCGCAATTAAATCGACAGGTCGTAACCCTTAATTCGAGAATAAAATTAGTTTATTTTACGGTATGTTACATGACGCAGACGAATCAATCCAAATCCATTTGTTCGTCATTCGGCTCTTCCTTCTTGGCACTGGATTCAGTGTTCTCCTCGTTGGAAGCGGCTTCGTTGATGGCACGGTCTGCTTCTGCTTTGGCCTCAGGATTCAGAGAATTGGTTAACTGTTTGCCAAAAGAAACAATATCTAAAAAATAAATTATTAACTTTAAAATTCTATCCTCATATTAATATTCTCTAAAATTGAAATACAGTACACAAAAATTAAAGATTTGAAACTCTCAAATTAAAATAACGAAAATTATGTACCTCCAGTATCAGCAGCCTTGACTGCATTCTCAGGTAGCCCAAACTGACTCAGAGCTCCACCAAGTTGTCCACTCTGTAGAGCTGAGCCAAACCATTGGGCAGACTGCTGGAATTGGGGAGAAGTCAACGACTTCTCAAGTTCCTTTTCAGGGGCTTCAGAAGTTGTTGGAACGTGAGGGAGAAGATCGGCCGAGTTCTTAGCTACAACTTCCTTCACGTTCTGGTTATTCAAAACTCGAGTCAAGTCCACTGGAGTTCTTTTGCTCGAGCCGGGAAGGTTAGAAAACAAGTTGTTCAAGGTGGCAGCATCAAACTTTTCTCCCGTCTCACCAGACCGTTCAGTAGATCCTTCTTTGCGTCCTTTTGGCGTTTCAAAGGCTGGAGCAGTAGCTGCAGCAGCTGGAGATCCACCACGAGTTTGCAACGGCAATTGAGGCAACATATCAGCAGCATTACCTCCATTCATCAACGAGAACAACTGCATAATCTGATTTTGATCCATGTTTCCCAGGGCCCCCATATCGTCTCCGCCCATGGCTGAAGTCAAAGCAGAAAGAGCGTGAGAGTTACGTTCGGAACTTCCACCTCTGCCAGAAGCTCTGTTCGATGGAGGGTTGTTCAACAAGTCATTTACCTTAAAACCAATATTTTAATAAATTGTTCACAAACTTTTAACTGCTTATTAAGAAACAAGTAAATTTTAACACACTTTTTTTTTAATTTTAATCATTTCACTTTTAAAAATATTTCCAAAGATTACATACCTTTTTGCAGATCTTGTCATCTCTGTCAGTGTTACTATCTTGTAGCCAAAACAATTTGTGATCTTCACAACTCTTAAACTTCAACATGTACATTCTTCCGTCAGTGCATTCCTTGATCTTGATAAACTCAGTGTCTCCAGGGAAGATGATAAGATCCTAGAATATAATCATTACTAAAAACACAATAACTCTAATTTATAGTTATTATATAAGCAGCATAAAATAGAAACAAAAGTCAATTAAGAATTACGAGGTCAGTAGTGTTCTTTTCGCGGTTCTTCCAACAGAAGTGAACGAGCTGATCAGGCGATTGCTTGATAAATACCAATCCCTTAGTCTTGTCCGCGGTTATCTTCCTCATTTCAGGCGTAGAACCTGCTTCCATAATGGTACGACCGGCCTAAACACATTATAAATATTATTAACTAAAATTACTTTAAACTCCAGTAGATTTCCAGATGTAGATCCATGGCTGGCTCTGGTGTTAGCAAACAAAACACTCATTCTCTCTGAAACATTAATATTTTAATAAAATTGCTGAAAAATATTAACATACTAACGCGTTCGTTGTTTCATAAACTGCAAATTAAGAAAATGAAAAACAAAATTAATTGATTGGAAGACATTTAAATGTTTACCACAAACTTTTTCTCTTTTTGAAAAAGAAAATAGTATAAATATGAAAATAAGAATAAAATTAAAAAAACTTTATTTTATAATATTTACTAACAATTGATACAAATGCTGTACATTATTGTCTTGTATAAAAAAGATTTTCAGTTTCTCATCAAAAATAACGGAAAGCCAAGAATTCCTGGGTCCCGCAACGAATTCAGCGTTCGCAATACACAATTTCCAAATACAAAAAAAAGACAAAAATAGGATATTCAGTGATATAACCGGCCCCCTTGCTGTACAAGAATTTATTTACAAGTAAATACAACAGTGTATATTATACACATATTCAACAAGAAACTGAACAATAACAATGGGTAAACAGTAGATTTATATAAACATATGGAAATAGCAAGATTACTTTAAAGTTGCGACGAAAAACACCGTACATGATTATGGATAATGTATAAAACAACCGGTCGAAGTTAGACACGTAAGATAAAATATAATATATTGTGGGTATTTGGTTTACAGTATAATATATTCGGTTATAATACAAGATATGGGGTAGAATGCTCTCACTGGATTTTGTATTTCTTTCTCATGTTTTCGAGTAAGAGCTTTCCTCTGACGAATCTTCTCCACAAAGTGATCATCTTGTCTTCTGCCTTCTGGATCTTCTTCTGCTGCTTCATCTGATTCCATTCGCTCCACGCTGCTCTGATCGCCTTCTCATGCTGCTTCATGATAACACAGCCTTCCACCCTTAAGCAAGGTTAACAATGAATTACTCATATAACAATCAGAAAAGTATGAGAAGATGAAAATATGTTGAGTTATAATAGATATTAACTTACAATGGATGGTTTCGTCCTCCACTGAACTCCCAGCCTGTCACTGCTGGAGCAGCATCTACCCCGAGCTGTCGGGCAATGTTAGATACTCCAGATAGCTTGATATGAACACATTCTTGGGGAACCATGCTCTTTTGATACATGTACACATTACCGTACTCGTTTCTCGGGATTCTTCCCTAAAATATTTAAATTTTAACAAAGATATAATTACTCGCAGTAGACATGGAATATACCTACAACCTTAATTGTTGTTTTATAAGAATCCATTTGAACGGCACAGTAAAGTAAACTACTAAAGCCTTACATTGATAACCTTTGGCGGAACATAGGGCTCAGTCTGCCAATACCCATACGTATCCAGGTACAGTTGCACTCTCTCATCTGCCGGAATACTTAACTTAGGTCTGGCTTTGACAACTTTGTAAGGCTTCTCTCCTTCCTGAAAGTAAAAATTAAATCTCTGTTTCTACAATATCTATAAAATCTTCATATGACAAACATATATTACTCAAGCTGACATACCTTGATCTGTCGCGCCAAACGAATCCAATTGAGTTCACCTTGTAGAACATGAACGGCTTCTCGTGGATACACGTTGTGACCTCTGACTTCTCCGACCGGCTTCGTGTCTGCCGGATAAACGGCCTCGAACTTGAGGAAGTCCTTCTCTAACGCATACCTACAACAATATCGTGTATCTGTCTAAGCATAACAGAGACATCAACTGATAAGAGAAAGACCTTACAGTGGATGGTTTTTGAACTCAGCAACAACTGTGGGCATTGGTAACGCAAGCAATTCCCTTTTGATTCGTTGATCTTCTTCTAGATCACGAGGACTGTCAGGAACTTTCTACAATGTAATGCAACATATACCTTGTATTTTTAAGATATAACATACTATGATATACATAAAAAATGTCCTTTCAACTTACAAAATGATCCAGGACATCTAAAATGACCTCAGGCAGATGTCTTTCCTTCCTGAAAACCAACTTCAAGAACTCGCTACAGTAAATTGAAGACATGTCTTTCATTTTCATACCTAAAATGAGCTTTTATTAAAATTAAGTAGGTTTCAAAAGCTATCGGTGGGAGAAACGTACGTTGGTCAATAGTGAAGACATAATGACATTTGGATTTCCAGGTACTTTCAAGCTCAGTGACCTTTCCAATCTCCATACTCTCCAGATTGATACCTAAAATTCGGATTTAACTCTATAAGAAGTAAAACGCACCAAACTTTATGACAACTATGAGATGTAAATGTAGTAAACTTACACACAAACTTCTTCTCAGTGTCACACCAGTACTCTACAAAGTAAAATGGTCCTAAATAGGACGACTTTCCTTTCTTAGAAACCCTCAAAGGTGGCACCAAAGTGACATCAAACGCAATTCCAATTCTAATATCCAATTTGGAGCGAATCAAGAACGACGCTACCATCTGCAATACAACATGTATGTAAATATAAAGATCAACACGTAATATAAAGTAGTAATGTGCAAAACATCAAACAATGTAGTACAAAACAATGAAATACTTCTAATCACACCTTACCATGCATAAGTCGAGATTACTGTGGTATTTCTTGTCTACGTACATCCACTGATATTTGATTTTAGGTAACAATATCTTGATGGCGTCGTCCAACAGAGTCAATTCTTCTTTGAACTCCTTCAAAGTGTCATCATTTAAACCTCCAAAAACAACTTTTTCCTCCAGAGCAGTCGACCAATCTGGCTTCCAGTTGGGGTCTCTGACTGCTTCCATCAAAGTCTTCATTTGATAGTTGAGATGAGCTGCCATCCCGAAGACAACCATCTAAAAACATGGTTTTAATCAAAGAGCGTACAGTAAAATAAAAAAAGAACACATTACATATAATACAGTGTTTACCCAATATAATACCGTTTAAAACTATCTAGTGCATAGTCATACCTTCGAGACCTCGTCCTTCCTATCGCGCAGAATCTTCTCGATCTCGGCCCTCAACATCTTCTCCTCCTTTCTCTCCAGGTCTTCCTTCTTCAACGTGACCTGCACCACCTTCTCTGGCTTCTTCTCTTCTTCGATAGCGTGCCAATGCTCTTCTTCTGAATCCTCATCTGTGCCACTGTCATCCATAACATCATCAGCCGTAGTTTTAGAAGTTCCGGGCTTCTGTTGCAATACTTCAGTCCACAGCATCGGAGCTTCGAGTTCAGGAAGATCTGGCTCTATATCTGCATGTTCTTCTCTCATTTCAATCTAAAAAATATAGTATCAAATAAAAAGATAAAATAGCTTTAGTTCAAAGCAGAAAAAAGGTATAATATAGCTATTCAAACACTTAAATTAGCTTTTAAACAATGATAAATCACATACATCTACATTAATTTCCTTTGGCTTGTTTTCCTCTCTATCTTCTGCCGCCTTCCTTCTAGACCTTTTAGAAGACTGTGGCATTGATACTTGAAAATTCGTAGACCTTCTGCCCTAAAATCAAAATTAGATAACATATTCACAACATACCTTTGTTTCTTTTTCCGTTTTGACAGTATTTTGTTTAATTGACGCTGTTTTTGCATTCTTTTTGTTGTCCTTTTCATCATTCGAAGAAAAATCAGGATCTTCAGAATCACTCAAACTTTCGTCCGAAGATTCTGACATATCCTCATAGTCATCATCTTTCTCATCTTCACTTTCCTTCTACAATCAGACTAACACTATAAAAGATTAAAGACTGGAAGGCACTGACATGTAATACAATACAAAAACACTGCAGAAATAAGCTCAAAACTAATTTAAATCTTGCACCATACCTCACTTTCAACTTTTTTCGGTTTTTCCTTTAAGACTTGCTTGTTTTTGTTCTTCTTAGCCTTGGGTCCACTTTGTTTTACAGTTTTTACCGGCGGAGGTCGCTTCAGAGATCCCTTAAGGCGAGCAGATCTCCTCGGAGCATAATTCTCCATCTCTTCGTCAGACATCTAACAATTTAGTCAAAGAATTATATTTATTCACAAATAACTGTCGAATCAAACGACATCAGACCATTTTAAACAAAATAGTTTCAGCCTTTATTGCGACTCATATATAACAAAATAAAAAATTTACAATTCAAGCGATATAATGTCGAGTAAACCAATTGCGGTCCCTCAAAGGCCTTTTCATAGCCAATTCTTCGTTCTCGTTCATCTTGTACTTCCTGTAGGTAACCATCTTGAACCTTAACCTCATCTGCTGTTTAGGTAAAGGAGTACATCGGTAGACAGAATCTATCCCATCTCTTGAGTTGATATTAACGGCAAACACATCCTTCATCCCCCAGTGGAACAGTCGACCATCGTCATCACTGGGTATTAATTTGGGAATGTAAATCTCTGAATTGCTGGCAGGAGAATTCTTTAAAATGTTAAAATCCCAATCAAAGTTTGAAGATAACTGTCGTGCTTCTGTCATTTTCTCGTTCAAGACTTGAATTGGCGTCGCAGAATATCCACATACACTTCTACACGGATCTATGTTACGGTTATATTGTTGCACATCCTTCCTATACTCAACCATGTCTTGGTAACGCTCCTTTTCCTTCTTTAATGCCTAAAGTAGCAAAAATAAAACATGAAATGAAATATATTAAACACTATGTAACAGAAAGTGCACCTAAAATCATAAATTGACAAAAAAATAGTAATTACCTGTAATTCCATCCTCGCTTTTGCCTTATAGTTCAACGTCGATGTCTTGAACTTGGCACAAACCTCCTTCAATTCATCATGTTGTTTTAGTTCTTTGTCTCTCAGTTTCTTTACCTCCTTCCTTAAATATAAAAGCTCGTCCCATGCAGACTTTCCGTCTATTTTCGGACGTTTCCTCTCTAAAAAACAAAATAAATACCCATAAATTTTACGAAAAACAAGAAGAATTACCTATTTCGTTATGAGCCTCATTAGTCCCTCGCTTTGACATTACAACATACAAACAGATAAAGTTCAGTTAGCAGGCTTCTAAGGTTTTCATGAAATATTTCATAAAAACAAAATTTTGTTTTTCGGACATTCCTCTTTCAAAAAATAATAAAATTCCAAAATATGCGAAACCATTTTATACGAGGGCGCAGCGCGCACTCATAAGTGTAATATTTTATGAAAAATCGAGCTGACCGCTTATGCGGACCAACTTGTAAGATCAGCTTCAAAATCTACATAAGGTTTTTTTAAGTAATGAAAAATACTTTATTATCAAATCCGTATCACATATTGTTCAAGTTGGAGTGAATGGCCATCCTTTTTCACGGCCAAGGTCGATTAAACTGACATAATCGTGGCCCTGGGGCGAAAAAAGAGGCTTGAGATCTAAATACATAATTTAAATGCGATTATATTTACTTCTTTGAGGTTGAGATTTGGTTTGCTTTTGGGGAAGCGGCCTACGATGCTTTGGGACAGGTATTTGCGACTTCTTTTTACTTCTGGTTATGTCTGAAAGTAATCATGGGAAATCATAAGATTGTCTGTTCTAGTTTTATCGAAAAGATTTGAGAAAAAACTTTAAATTCACAAAACGACGTTCCCAACTAAACTACTATAATATCGGAAGCAAATTCTGGCAGGAACAACTACAAAAACAACAAGAAAGTGTGAAAAACACAATGGCAAAGACCAGTGTGATACTTCACAACCACGACGATACGACCGCCTACCAGGAGCACTGCCTCCGACACGAGATAGGGAAGCTAGCGATATTACTATAGGTCGTGGCCGCGATGTGTAAGAATGGGCCGTGTAAATGGGAGCCCACGTCTTATCAAAGAGAGGCAAACTCCTTACCATTGGAGGGACGTGGCTGGGAACAGGTGAAGTTGGAGGTCGAGGATTGGAGTTGGAGTCTGTTATCACACTTAGAGGAGCCCTCACGTCTTTGACGGTTTCGTAGTCATTCTGGATGGTACTGTAGTAATGCTCACGGCTCGGAGGATTCTGTTGTAACCTGAAATCATATTCTGACTTTACAAATTCTTTTTGAGCATACTATAAAAACTTTTAACATTTTCTGCATATTAATTAAAAACTAAATTAAAGAAATGATAAGGCTATTGTCTCATTGTCACATACCCTTCCTCCCGCGCTCGTATCCTTTCTCTGATAGCTCCAAGGGTTTCCCTCACCGTCAGGTACTTGTACGAAGGATTCCTGCTTTCTGTTGATGTTATACTACCTTCATATTGATACACAGGCTCAAACAATGGTTCGACTGTATGAGTTTGAACTGACGCTGTATGTTCCATTGGTTGTGGCACCGAAGCCGAAGTTGAAGGTACTGGAGCTCGGATCTCAGTGGATAAGACCTCAGGTCTTCGAGGGTTGTTCTCTGACATCTTCCTGTTAATGGAGTTTCTGTTGATCTTGGCATACAAACTCTCCACATTCCTAACAGCTCGTGAAGTAGATGGCTGGGTGAGGTCGTCTTGTACCCGTGCATACCCCACACTGGTATCATCTGCCTTCTTCCCTTCGATATCACTTACAATAGAACTGTAAGGATCTTCACTACCTCCAGAATAGATCTGGGAAGCACTCGCGTAGACAGCTTCTTCGGAAGCTCTGGTTCTGTTGAACGTAGGATATTCATATCTTCGTGGTCGTTCATGTACTCTTGAATATGCTACATCTGAATCCGCCACATCTACAGACTCGTACGTTGGGATGGGATCGTCGATGTTGGGGATGTTTTCAGGATTGAAATGCTGAGGTTTCTGAGGGAGAGGAGGATTCGTGTTTGGAGGTGGCTTTCGTTTCAAACCCAAGAATAATTTCTTCCTAGGTTTTGACTGTAAGATATTATAAAAATTATAAATTCTTTTCAAGCTTTATACACTGTTTTTTAAATAACTTATATACCCTTTAAAAACAAGTTAAAATGTTATCTAAAAGCTCAAACATGAAATTTAAAACAAACTGACAGCGACATTATTGTTCGAAGTTTGTGACGAAGGTCGTCCGTTGACTGTGGTCTGTTCCGCCGATGAATAACAGCTGTCACTAAACCAAAAAGACATTAATAACACATCTACAACATACCTTTTACCACTTTTCCCAAAACACATGCACTTGGGGAACCAAAGCATGGCCACGATTTATTATAGTAGCATGCTGCGTCTTTTGATCGCTCCGCTCGACTGCAATTTGAGATACAAGAAGATGTATTCTCGCATTTATTTAACACGCCCGACTTGCGCCCAATATACTGCAGACTGCGGAATGAGTGCGCGAAAAAGCGGTTTGATTGACCGACTTTTGGATTGTTTCAATGAAAATTGTAAGATAAGTCGAAGTTCGGAAGAAAACTAAGCTTGATACAAAAAATTAGCGAAATTCGAGTTTAAAAGGTCAGATTAAAATAAATAAAAAGATTGAAACTTCAGTCGGAAAACCTTTGGCCAAACCTTATGTGCTTTTTTGAGCTACAAAATGAGCATGACAACTTTTTATGAAAGAGAACTTGGAAAAAATGTAATGGTATTGGCATGAACATAAAGAGGCTGGACATAGTTATCACAGCAGGGATTACTCTGTAAACGGCGTAAAACACGGAAATAATTGGCTGAAATCGTTGTCAAGAACTTTTTTTTCTTCTGAATTCTGAATGCGTGCGCCCTAAACATAATTTCTCGAAATATGTAGTCATTCAGATGCAGAATTGTCGCAAAATGTATCAAAAATGTTGCAGTTTGAATTGCTTCAAAATGGCACATTTGAATGACATAACTTAACACCACGTTGATCTTAACATAACTTTGATTGTAACATTGATGGTTAGGATTTGAAAACACAAATTACAAACACGGAAGAATCGCGATGATGTAGATTACGTGACGGCGTTGGTTCAGTGTGACTCTGACGACATCGTGACGTAGCAGGCGGACTAGCAGATCCGGCGGCTGATAAGCCTAAGGAATCGCCTGACTGAGTTCTTTTGAGGGATTTCATCTCAAGTTATGGAGCACTGGGAGAACCTCTCCTTGTCCCAGCTGTACCAGGACTACACGCAGAACCTGGTCTGGAGTCTGTTCTTGACGTCTACTGCCATACACGCCATCGTGCTGATCGCTAGTCCAGTGTGAGTGGTTTGGGGTTGAAAGTGCAGGTATTTAGCTATAAGTAACGTTTGTTCTACTTTTTTAAAGAGTGTTTCAACAAGTAACCGTAGTTTTACAAGTTTTTTAGATTTAAAAATAGGCAATATCTGAAAATGGAGTACTGTAAAACCTTCAAAAACTAAAATACTGTAAAATTTCACAAGTTTAATGTTTCTAATCATACAAACTTTAGCCAAGCTGTTTACAAATGGAACAGGCGTAACAGTAGTGATGGTGACACAGCATTACCGTATATTTGCGGAGTAGTTGGGTATGTTAAGTTAACTACTGTAACTTTATACCCAAAATCACATTCTTATACTTTTATGTCACTTTGAAGTAAATTAGTTTACAGAATCAAACTGTTTGTATCATAACAATATTTCAGCTCAGCGTTATGGTTACGGTACTCGATGTACATTGGAGAAGTCAAACTGATATTACTACAAACATACGCAGTAGCCATGCAACTCGGCTTTGTTGGTCTTCTGATCTACTACAGGACAAAGAAGGTAACATACCACGTAGTCGGTGATTTTTGAGTTTAGACGAGGCTAATGAGGTCAGTGATGGTGATAAGCTCAGTCATGTTACTTCTGTTTATGTATGCTTCTTCGATGGCACACGAAGATGGCAAGCAGATGATCGGAATCTGTGCTTCTGGAGCTCAAATCGCTGGATCTCTGGTTTGTCCGTATCTTGTAGTAGGTATCTTGCAGTAATTTTGGTTTATATTACGGTCGATAATTAAATAGAAAGGTAATAAATTGACAAAGTATGTCATTTCTACAGACTTTTTGACCAAGAATTGGTAAAATTACATAAACGTTTGGATTGAAAATTAGTTTCTTTAAACTACGGTATCTTTCAGTACCGTGCCGTAAAGACCAAAGTGATTGACTTTGTACCATTTGCACCAGTCGCTTTCACGTGGGTGATGGAGCTCCACGCCATTGTTTACAGTATCGGCATTAACGACTTTTATTTACTGGTAAGTCAAAGTATTTACTGTCTGTTTAACTCTGGTCGTTAGCATGTTGTTGTTTATGACACGTACTTGCATCTGTTATTACATTACAGTACATTAACATAAGATACAATTGAGCTGTGAGTAACTAGGGGTGGTATGTTACTGTATGCAAGAAGTACTGTCAATAAATGTCATTTGGGGCATTTGGGAGGGGTAAGGGGACAAAAATATAATAATAAGTGTACTTTACCCATTAAAATGGTATTCAAGTAGAGTTTGTTCATTCAGTACTGATCGCTGACTAGTTTATAATAGGTAGGTAACATTTCTTTAAAAGATGACTAACTGCATGTTATCTAGATTTCACATGTTTATACACCATGACTAAAGCCTCATGTTATTAACAGCATGATGTATATGAGAATGCTATTCTTAAGTGATTTCAGCTAGCGAACGGAGTGTTCTGCTGCATGGATGGCTCCCTTCTGGCAATGTTCTTCATTTATCCGACCGAACGAAAGAAATCTCACAAAACCTCGAAATTAATGGATTTATAAATAAACATAGACAACATAGGAAGGTGGGGTCGACATTGTTCAGAGAAACTGGCTAGCTGCTCGCTTTCCAAATGCGGTCGAAAAGTATCTGAAACAGTCATGCATTTTAGAGTTCTTCAATCCTCCATATTTTAAGTCCAAAAAAGTTTTGAGGATACTGTAACGGGAAAGAACTTGGTTTGAAATTCCGAGGTAAATAAGTTTAAAATTTTAAAAGTTTTTAAATTATATTTTATCTTGATATAGGTAATAGTCGGTTAATTGTATAAAAAAATGATATTTTGTGTTTGGTTAACCGGCTTGCTAATGTTACTGTACTTTTTGCTATTCTGTAGCCAACTTACCGTGGGTCGTCGAACTCCATGTCTGACCGCTTGTCATTGGCGAACACATTGTAGCGTCTAAATTACAGTATTTAAATTACATACATGAAGTTTAAAAAAAGCTTTTACTACTGTAAGTTTAAACTCTATTGGAAGATCTAAAAAACACAAAGTTGTAAAGCAAATTAAAAAAAATCGTGACAGATTGGATTATGAGGTATTGCTAAGAACAAGCTACAAACATTAATTTGTAAAGTGTCAATTGACGAAAAGGTATATTACCTACCTGAATCTGTAGAAGTTGTGTGGGCTCATCTCAGCTCTCCAATCTCTGTTGTACTCGTACCCAACTCCATTCGGTCTACAAGCACTTAAATCTACAGTAACCCGCGACTTACGATTCGGGTTTGGCCAGCAAAAAGGGCACCAGAAGGCCGACGAAGAAGAGGACCAGACTACGCATCATGGCGAAAACAGAATCGTATAATTGAATGAGCTCCTCAAACTTTATATCTCGCAACTTGACTCCGCCCCCGGCCCAGATGAACAATATCCCCAGATTCCCAGCCAATCTCGGGCGTCTGATGACTTTGAGTGCTACGAAATCGAGTTGTCAAAGTTTCGTTCCATTAATTCCTGAGTACATTGGCGTGCATTCCCTGTATAAATCGTAGCCGGCCCCGCCCTGCGAATATATCACCTGGGGTTGTGTTGTAGTTGCATTGTCAATAAATTATTCATTAGATTTACAACAAGGTGGAGCACCTTAAATAGGTGGTTGTAATTACGAAAACTAGGTAGAGGTAGCTATTATTAAGAAAACCTGATTATTTTGACTAGAAATGACATTGTTAGCCAAAAATTGCACTAAAAAACCTAATAACAATAATTTCTGTCTTGGAAAGACAAAAAGAATATGTCTGGAAGACGTCAGTAACAATAAGAAAGTCTAAAAAGTCAACAAACTGCCCAACTATCATCTTAAAAACGTCAAAAAGTCAACTGGAGGTATGGGGAATTGAACCCCAGCCCTCTCGCATGCTAAGCGAGCGCTCTACCCCTGAGCTATACCCCCACGCTCTCTTCCTCTTTGTTTTTCTTTTATCCGCTTCTTTCGCCGAACGGGGAATAAAGTTTATTGTTCTTGATCACACGCCTGCTTTACAATCCATCCTTCGCGTCTTTCATAATTAATTTTATTCGCATATTAATGATATTTTAGATAATAAAGTAACTTACGGTATCCGTCCCTCTCGTGTGGAAATGTAAAATCTCCCGGAAATGGGCCCTTTCGGGTCAAATGGACTATGTGTAATGGAACATTTAAGTATACCTGGCCATAACAAGTATGAGAGTAGCCTTCGTGCTGAGGTGTGCTGTATTAGTCCTCCTATTTGTGACATATCTAGTATCTAGTATAAGTTGTTACTCGTGCACTTTTAACTTCAATGACGTATACGACAGTGAAGATGGATGGTGTGCGAACGACACACTGCTCGAGAAGCATAAGAACGAAGTCATCAGGCCTTGCGCGCCGTGGGAAAAAGAATGTATTGTAAGTTTAGGTAATATCCATAAATAATAGCTTCTCAAAGCAGTAGTCATAGTTTGACAATGGTCAAAGTAATGCCATAATAGATATAATATTATTGGTACACAATTACTTTGTCAATACAACACGCCTACCACTTTTGTGATTTATAAAGAACGCCTACTAACTACGTGACTTAAACAAAAATAACAATAATCTGACGACCTACCCCTTTCAGACTACAGTAACCACAACCCTGAACTCATTTACTTCTATCACTCGAGGTTGTGCAGCACAATGTCCGGAATTATGTGATTCTGATGGTTATGGCCAACATCAAGTAACTTGTGCCAAGTGCTGCAATAAGAGCAATTGCAACAATGATACAGGAGTAACGTACTATCTGGACGTCATGTACAAACAGTACACGTACTGGACGAAAGCTCTGCCCGACGAGATCAAGTTTAATCGAGAAAACAAAATAAATTTCCCATATTAACTAAAAATAGAATTGGATATCATAGTAATAGCATGGTAGCCTGTCACAACTATAGTATCTTCTTGGCATATTCGTACACAGTATAGGTGATGACAGCGGTGGGAAGTTGTTTCACTGTAGCCATCACCATGCCCTTGTAGAAGCCTTTAATGCCTTCTAGCTTGAAAGTCGACTGGCAACAGTGTATTAACCCGCGGTAGTTTGTGTTGTGATCCTAAAGATAATATCTTTCATCACAACTTTACTGTAGTTTGCCTTTTCATCTCACAATATTAAAAAAAAACATTTGACTTTTAAAACTAAACAACTTGCCTGAAGTCTAGTGCGCACTACTTGGTAAGGGAATGTGAGTACGGTTGATAGTACTTTAGAAATAGAAGAGAACAAAAGGTACCATTCGGGGCCCTATAAGTTGATTCTGATTAGAATATAAACAAGAAACTCACCAATTGAGTGTCATTAGGTATGTTTAAGTACTGTGTTCGTTGATCCTTCAAAAAGTTGTAAATCGCGAACTGAATAGAACCATTGACGGTACCAATTAACCCTGGTACAAATCCCTAAAATAAAACACTTATTAGTTTTTTAATATAAGAGTAACTAAAAAATAAAGAGTCAATTTAAAAAAATTGGACGACTTTTTCACCGGCTTTTATTAATATCAACTTCTGACAAGTTTCACTTACCTTATAATAGCCGGCTATTCCTTCAGTTTTCCATATTTTCAAAAAACAATCACCAAACCCATTATAACGCTTGATTTGGTATTCATATTGAAGGCATAATCTCGTCTTCACGACCCATAAGGGATTTGTGAATGCCATAACAATAGCTCCAGACACGCAGCCTAGTCCCAGGTTTACTATAAATCTGGGGTCTTGTTTACTCATTCCGCTGTAGTCGTGTAGCTGGTGGTATCTACAATATAACTGTAAGACACAAAGGACAATATCAAATAATAGTACAGTATATTAAAGGGCTTCATTACTTTGTTTACAATATTAAGTGACGTTATTTAAACTTACATGTGAAAGTACAGCCCCCACGACAACGGGGAAGCTATAATACTCGGAGTAAGACCTTGATATAGTCCTCTGATACCCTCGGCACGTACAATAAGTTTAGCTGCATGCCAATAGTTACGGTATCGAGGCCGAGTGCTGCTCCCTTCATCAGCTAAAAAAACCTCATTAAAGCATTATTAACCACAATACCTGAATATCTGATCCGTAGAAAATCCAATGGATGACAGACCAAAGTGCTAGTAATACCACCCGCAAGACCACCAATCAAGTGCCCGTAATCTGAAGTCATAGGTCCTGCAACGAAAAACATTATGTGGCATAGCGTTAAAATAAATAAAATCAAATGTAAAAACGATTACAACTTTGGAACTATAAGTAATTGAGACTGTAAAGACACCACTAAGTATGTCGGAAATCAACAGAGCCAAAGTTAAGGAGTTGATCACCAAACGAGACGAAATCGACAAGGAACTGGGGAGTCTGAACCACGTTCTTAAGTCGGTAAGTGGTTTGTTACCCAAAAGTGCCAGTTTTAGTTCGATGTGGACATGGAAACCCCGTTGGTTGATGCTGAAGGATTTCCGAAGAATGATTTGGACATTCCGGCTATTAGACTGACCAGAAAGAGCATTATTGGTAAGAAAATACAAGTAGTTGTTTGTTACAAAACACAGCCTTATTTAACATAGGTCGCAAAATAATAAATTGTTATCCTTTAGCGTTAACAAATGACAGAAAGGCGCTAACTGATGAAATTGAGAAGGCTTTGGGTGAATTACATCAGGCAGACCACTCGAAAACCCCTGCTTCTGCCCAACCTGTGGTTAGAAGACCTACAAACAAGGCCTTTCTAGAGGTCGAGAATGTGGTTTATGGTTCTCCTGCTTATCAAGCTGTAAGTATGAGTTATCTAGTTAATTATTATTGGTTTAGGGGCTGGCAGAAGGCGACAAAGTCATTCAGTTCGATGCCATCCACGCCCTCAACTTTGAAGGACTAAAACAGATAAGTGAAGTTGTAACCTCTTTGGTTGCTGTAAGTTACACAAACGAATTTTTACACTTCTGATAAAGACGATACTAAATTAAAGGATAATGGGATAACTAAAACATGTTACAGAAAGAGCTGCACATAACCGTGCTAAGAAAAATCAAGGTGCACAGACTCGTAGCTCATCCAGGACCATGGGAAGGCGTCGGAATCTTTGGAGCCAGATTGCAAGTATACAAAGAAGATTAAAACAAGATGTTGAAACGATCTGATAACGGGTAAAATTTTATTTAAATAAATAGTATAATATTTAATGAGGGTTCCTGAACTCTCTGTCTTTGCTCCCGGCAAAGGCTAATCTTAGGACAAACGATTCGTAGTTGGGAGATTCTACAGTCATATGGTTGCATACCATCAAAGCTTCCGTAGCTTGTTCGGGGGTTTCAAAAGTGACCAATCCAGATGAAAAACGATCGGACCTGGTGTTGAATATGAGTCCACTCAGAGGTTGTGGACAAGGTTTACTTTTGAATACCTAAAAAGTTAAAATGTTATTACTTAAAAATCTTGCCTTTGATACTTAAATATATGTATAAATTATTTTGTTACCTAAAAATTGAAAAATACATAGTTGTTTACTTACATTAACGATAAAGGCATCGGTAACGTCCATGGGGGCGCAGAAGAAGTGTAGTTGATTTGTTGGATACACAATGCGGTTACGGGAAGCTAAGGCAGGGATCGAGAATCTTTGAAGCCTGCTTTGAGAGTAATCCATAAATGAAGGCAGACCGTCTCCTAATTGAAAAGGTTCCCCAGCGAGATCTCTGAGGACGTTCTGTTTAGATGGTCGTATAGACAATGTTGTGTTGAACACACCTGCCCCTTGTAAGAATTTGAGGACGTTGGAAGCTTCTTGTGGATTACCCATCTGCACCATGCATGTATCTTGTTTTGAATGCATGAATTTGACCTAAAATAATGTTGTTCGTATAGTAAAATAAGGTCCTTGATTATGATTTTATCTTATCTAACGCTAAACATTACTGCATGTAAAATTGACTCAAAAGATTGACTTAAGACTCTCTTACCTTTACCACATTCCCATAACAACAAAGGAGGTTGAATATGCGGTCACAATCGAACTGTTCGTGGTTGATTCCATAAACCATAAGCACGGCTGTCTCCGTACCGTGCCTTTTTTCCGACCCAAACTCTTCATTCGCTTGAAAACGACTTTGTCGTGTACGATCTGCGTATTCAAATGTAGAATTGCGACTTTCTCTTCCAGAATCGCTGAACTTCCCTCCCATATCCTTTAGCGCTTGTTGTTGAGCTTGAGCCAAGGAATGGTCTCCTTAAGGAAATGTTGTAATTTAATCAAATTATACCGCACTTTTTTCAAAACAAACTTACTATACGCTGCCTGGTCAACAACAACTGTCGGAGACGTGGGTACCGTTTCTGTTGGTCGATAACTTGGATCCGGGCCGGCAGCTGCAAAAATATATTTTAGTACAGAATATTACATGATTCATTATAACACGTTTACAACCTTTTTATAACAACAAATCACCTAAAACACTTACGATCTATGGTGTAGTCCCATTGCTCGAAGTCTTGCCGAGCGATGTTCAAAAAGTCTGTCTAAATTTAAACATAATACAAAGGAATAGAATCTTACTCTTGCAAATTCGGCTTTTATCAAATTACAATCTTTGTAGATTTCTGCACCATTAAGACCATGCTTTGCTGCTTTACACATTTCCACTGTATTAAACTGTACCAAAGCATGGAGACTACTTCTTCGCACAATTGAGATCTTTTCGACGGTTCCAAACTGATTTGCTATCTAAAGTAAAAATAACATGAGTTTTTTACATTATCTGCATGTTGAGGTACAAGGCTAAGATTAGTAGTATCCGTTAAAAAGCACACCAACCTTGAAGATGACTCGCACATTTATAGGAAACTTAATGTTTGATATAGTCAAACATAATATGCTATTGGGTTTCTCTGATTCTATCCCTGTCCTTTGAATAATTTGAGAAGTTGAGTAGTTAAACAATGCCGGAGCCCCAGCGACATCAATTGGGGATGTTTGTGACATCGACACACATCTTCTGGCGTCATCCAGATTTTCGAATTCAACCTAAACGTTACGAATATCACATCGTTACACGTACCAAAGCCATCCCTTTATTTGGCATACAAGTTGTGTAGGCAATTGGACCAATCGGAGACAAAGAATCTACCAAATCTGCTTCGGTAGCTAAAGGTCCGAGGTTTCTGACATGTACGACAACTGATGGACTCGGATGTGTTGGATCTTCATCTCTACGATACCTTTTCGATTCCATATTGACTATGTAATACTGATTGACCAATTGTATACAATGTGTGTTACAAAGTTCGAAAATCGGGTAAAAATAAAAAAAAGCTCCAAAAAATATTTATTTTTTCCTTGAAACAGAATGCCAAAGCGCAATAAGCTAAAGCAAAAAAAGTGCGAGATCCACAAGTTCAAAAACGAGTTCGGATATTCATTCTATGAAGCCATTATGTCCCAAGGACCATGAATGGTGTTCTTCATCGGCTGCAGGAACATTAACATCATTGGAAATACCAGTAACAAGAACGTATGAGATATGAGTAACATGTGTAAGTATGATTCGGACAGTTTCGACACACTGTAACACGCTATACTGAAACAAATAAGTTCGTAGAAAAAAGGAAAAGCAAAGCTGATGTTGTTAATCTTGTTCCTGATCTGTGGCCAATAAACGAAAAAACAAATGGCAGTGGTTAGAAGCCAGAAAGCATCGAAGTTGTCACCCATCCGTGACACCAAAAACACAGCTCCAGAAATACCCAGATTCAGTGACAAAACATGACTGACTCTAAAAGTAGTTCATATTAACTACACATCTACAAAACAACAAAAAGACATTAAGAGACTTACAAAGGGCCTTTAAGACCATAATCTTGGAATACCATGCTCAAGACAAACGCAATCCAAGAAACTGCGTAGATGGTGTCCGTACAAATAGAAGTGGTTAAGGTTCGTATCATAGGCGTAAACCCGTAGCCAAACAAAGCAAAAGTCAACATTGACTTGAGCTTCCCTTCAACGTCAAACTCTTCTGTCACAAAGAATATAGTAACCTGGTTGATCAACAAGAAGCTAGACACCATCAATACCAGGTAAGGGACTCCGATCTGCTTGTCTTCAATGAACTGCAGCAAAGCAAAGTATATTATGACCATGTCCAATTGTGATGTGAAGACACATGCTCCTCGAAGGGCTTCTAAAAAGCTGTACTGCACGATTTTGGCTGACCATTACATCGATTCTAGCAACTTACCATTTCTTGTAAACACAATACGTTCAGAATCGTCTGCTCCGCTAACATCGTACAACATTTTAATTCATTGTCTTAATGGCGATTATAAGTTTACAGAAATCATGAAGATACGGTAGCTATTAACTATACAAAGTAATAGTGCAAAACAGAGAAAAATTATTTATTGCTGTACACGTTTAGAAGATACCAAACTTTTAAACTGATTCATAACCGCATCCTCCTTTTCTTTTCGCTGTTCTGAAGTGAATCCACTAAGAAGACGTTTCTCTTCTGCCGTCAATATCTGAAAACAAAAATTTGCCATAAACAAAATTACACTAGAAATGTCACTGAAAATAGCATTTAAAACTTACTTGATTTTCTTTCCTTAATCGCGTAGCTTCCATACTCTTATGTCGAGTTCCGCTCATCACATATCCGACTTGCTCAAACGTTGCTATTTCATCAGATGACAATCCAATCTCACCTCTTCTGGGTATACGTTTACCTTGTGCTGCATAAGCGGCCATAGCTGCTGCTTCTCCTCTGGGCATGTTCTTCCGGTCACTAAAAATCAAAATATAAGTAATAACTTATTACAAACAGAGAAATTAGATTACTGTAGATTGAAATTACTTCACTTTTAAATCATCTGAAAAGAGCTATAGACTATAGTACAAACTTGTTGTTTTACTTACTTCGCATCCAATTCAAAATACTTGACTTCATTCTTCTTAAGTAAATGTTCTGGAATTTGAGGTCCAATTTCTTCAATACGTTGTTGTTGTTCTACTTCCTCTCTGATCTCTTTTGTTAATTCCACCCACTCTTCATCTTTTGTGTCTTGTTCATTACCTGAAGAACTTTCTGACGATTCCGACTTCTTCTTTTTGTGTTTTTTGCTTGATTTGCTCTTCTTTTCCTTCTTTCTCTTTTTCTTCTTCTTCCTTTTTTCTTCTACTTCTGATTCTGCTGATGAACTCCTTTCTCTTTTGCGCTTTTTGTGCTTCTTTTCCTGTTTTACTTTGACTTTTTCAGCCTTCTTATCTTCTGATTCTTTCTTTCTTCGAATCTCGTCAAACCTAAACATTAAAGTTAAAAATTTATAATGACTTACTCTTCGTATATCTGTTGTAGCTCATCACGAGTTGGCGACAGTCCCCATACTCGTCGTACTCCGTCTGCTGCTATGTTAGCTCGTTTTTCACGACGTCTAAAGCAATTGTATTAACATTACGCTTTCTTACCTTTCCCAATATTTATCTTCCTCTCTCTTGTCGCTAGGTTTAGTATATGGACTAGGACTGCGACTTCTGTACCTGCCCATTAGAAAGACTACAAAAATTTTTGAAATATTTTTGAAGAAATATTTTCCATATTTATTTTCAGCAGGCAGCGCCCTATGTTTTCAGATTCGCAAAATAAAAAATATTTGACAAGTGGAAGTTAGTTTTTGTGATAATCTTATTTATTCATATTTATTTGTACAAATTGATAGTTTATTTTGTAAAATGGAGTTATTGCATCAAAGTAGTAACCTGACTCAAAGAACACAGTTTAATATGGGGAGACTTGAGATGGCAGCGAACGAAAGTGAAGCCCAGCCAATGTTTCAGGAGATCCATGGCCAACTCCAGTAAGTATTGTAAAATTTAATATTTATTTTTTTTTGTTTAATATAGCTAAAATTTATTATTGTAGGCAGCTACATGATATGTGTGCTCGTTTAGAACGACAAGTTAGTAAAGAACCGCCAGAAAGGAGGAGACAGTTGAAGATCAAAGTAGATCAGCTTAAGTATGACAACCGAGCGTTAGAATCTTCTTTTAATGCTATTCAGATGAGGTTAGCAAACAAATGGAGGCATGCGCATGAAAGGAACGAACTGTTAACTCAAAGGTATGTCATTAACGTTATTTAAGTGTTTAGACCAAGACTAAGACATAGAATTGTGTAAGACCTTTATTAATGTCTACATCTTTAGGTTTCGGCCCAATGAAACAGCTTTGAACTTTGAAGATCAGGAATTGCTACTGAACGATAGAATGCAAGGAGCTCATCGTGGTGTGGATGACTTGATTAGTAATGCCGAAGGTGTTCTGGCTTCTCTCAAAAATCAGCATTTTAATTTAAAACGTGTGAGAGGTGCAGTGCATTCTATTGGACAAACTTTGGGCCTTTCTAACACGACACTTGGACTGATTGAACGAAGAGTGTCAGAAGACATGACTATATTTATCATCGGATGTATATGTGTGTTGGTCTTCATGTACGCGTTCTATTCCTACTGGATGGGTTGATTATTAGATAAGTATAGATTTATTTAATTGATGTGTTTGAATAAAAATTGTGATAAAGTTTTGAAATGTGAGAAGAATATGCAGTCATTTGAATAATTTTATTCATTTTTACTCCTCAATAATGGTTAGGTCGTCAACTGGAAAAGAAGTTGTCATAAAGGTCGATTGGAACAATTTGGACTCGTTGACAACTAATATTGAAGATGCTGTACGAGTAACAAAAGCAGATCCACAGACGTTTTGTATAAATTTGGAATGTAATCCCAAGAACACGATTATCTGCTTCAAGTCCTTACCTAAACAACTTATCTCGCCTGCGTACAGAGATGCTATGATTGAAGCAAGTATATCGCTTTGGTATTATAAAACATATTTAAATTCTCTGTGTAATTACTTTTGTGTATAAAACAATATTTTACTTTCAGTGTGCGTTGGACACTGTTCAGCCTGGTCGTGCTTCTCCTTGTCATGTTCAATATCTCCCGTTTAGACTGAAGAAAAGGCACCAAATGAAGATAATTCAACAAAGCAGCTTTTAAAATTGCTCTATTGTAAATCTATTATATATCGTAATGTGACTGTAAAATAAATATTTTTTCGTACAAGTTGTCGTTTACTAGTTTTTAAAGTGTGGGCGCGATTTGCAAAATGTAATATTATTTATTTTTATTTTTTAACGAATTCTCTATGAGGGAGTTTTATGATTGAATATTAGTCATAACGTAACGTTATAATATATAAACAACTATGGGTACGCTATCTACAGATTCTACGAAAGATGGGAATACCAATAGCAGTGAGACAGGATCTACATCTTATCATACATGTATGTTAAACACAAGATCAAAAAAGTAACTTTTTAAAATGAAATATAACGTATCTTTATATCTTGGAAATAAATTTGTTTTTACCTTTTAGATCCTGAAATGACTGCTGAACAAGAGTTTTTCCTTTATGAGTTAGAAACAACAGATTCTGGGTCTATTGGTTTGGTTCTGCGTGCAATATACGATTCTGGAGATGTGCACAAGTTTTCCAGAGCCTTGTCTCGACGGATAGCTCACTATGACAAAAACATTCTCAAAGTGTGTACCTATCATTATCAAGGCTTTCTGGATTCAGTGGGTGATCTGTCATCGTTGGGCGAAAAGAGTAGTATCATTAAAGTAAGTTAAAACGACAGTGTGAATGTTATTAACTTAGAACACAGCGCAAGAAATAAGCGAGGTTGTGAAAACAGATGGAGCAGAGTTGAATAAGATCAGTACCGAGATCGCGCGGTACCGAAAGCTACAGAAGAACGTGAATATTGCTGTAGATCAGATCTCGATGTGCCTTCCTGTGTTGGATAGCTACATAAAACTGAAACAGCTGATGGAGCAGAAAAAGTAAGCTTTAATTATGATTGCATGTTCTTATGTTAAGAACTACCATAACTTACATAAATTTAGGTATTTGCCGGCTTTAAAGGTATTGGAAGAGCTTGAGCATAATTACATTCCACATGTCAACAAATACCGCTTCACTCAATCGTTGTCAAAGTCTGTGCTTCCGATTAGACAACAAATCCGAGACAATTCGTATTCTGAGCTTAAAGACTTTCTCGAAAGCGTTCAAAAAGTTTGTGGAAGAATAGGAGAAGATGCCAGTAAAAAGGTAACACTATTTTAGATAAGATATTATGTGTTACTGTTACTTTTTAATATTTGAAAATTTATAATTTTTTGTACTCTTACACTCCTTCAGACAACAGCCCAGGAGAATATCTTTAATCTGAACAAACGAGATGACGTCACCAAGAAGACGGAACTCAGCGGCTACACTGTAGAATCAGACGGCTCTGTAGCGAAAAAGAAGTCAGAAGTGACAAAAGCTCCTTCCAATAGCGACGATGAAGATGAGTACAACGCCCAAGACAGGATTGACTATGGGCCGATCCACAGTTGTTGCCAAGTGTTTAACGTGCTCGGAGAGAAGGAAGTTTTCGAGAAGTACTACAGAGAACAACGGCGGGAACAGATCGAAGTTTGTGCCGCTGGCGTTAAAGGGGTAGGTTCTCATTGCAACTAGTTGCTGTAATTTATGAGAATTACTTTTAAGGCCTTATGCAGGATTAATATTAGGCTTTGTGTAGCAGATATTAATGCGTATCATCTTTAGACACCAAATTTGACGACATACGTGAAGTACTTGAATGAAGTCATGGGATTCTTCATTGTGGAAGATACGATCATGAAATACGAACCATCTTTGGTCACTGAGGCCCACAAAGACCATCTTTGGGAAATTGCTTTACAGAAAGTTACGTCTGTGATGGACGCTCACTTTGTAAGTTTATTTCTATTTATCATGAAGTAGTTATAGAATAAAGACATTTAACGCCTTATACATGGTTTATCTTCTTTTAGGGTAACTGTTTTGACGTGTCGACAATGTTGAAGATGAAGAAGGTTATCTTGATGTTTATTGTCACAATGAGACATTACGATTACAAAGTGGAAGCCGTTTATAACCTGCTTCAGACATTCAGGTAGTTGTTATGTCAAGTGTTTATATAGGCTAATATAGTATGCTACTCGTTAAAAATGAAGTTTTTGGTTTACTTCGTTTTAGGGACCAATACAACGAAATATTTATGAAAGAGTACTGTAAGGAGTTTGAATTGGCGTTTGAAAAGGATAACTTTACTCCAATAAAGGTTCACGATGAAGCAGAGCTAAAGGCTGTCTTGGACAACTTCCCGCTCTACAAAAGAGGTCAAGAAAATGTAAGATACGTTAACCGTTTATAAATTTATAATATTAATAATTAGTCAGACTTTGATAATTTTAAAATAATACTTTAGGAAGCCTTTCCACGAGTTTTACCATTCTCTGCCTTCGTACCTACTGTATATCAACAGTCCAAGCAATACCTCAAGGGCTGTTTGGGCTTTATGGAAAATTTGGGTTTGCGACAGAATGAAGTGGAAGATACGATAAGAAACTCTGCCAACATGCTGTTGGAACGATGGGCCTTCTCGTTGAAGACGTTTGTGAAAATGCACAAAAGGAATCTTATCCAAGTAAGGCTAACTTAATCTTTTTCATATTAATATTGGAAACCTGGGGTGATAAGTGTTCACGTTACTTTTTTAGCTTGTTCAAATAACTATCAACATGGGATACCTCGAGAAGTCGTGTGAAAATTTGGAGAGGTATATTACAAAAATCAGCAATAAGGGCGAGACCTCGACTTCGTCCAGCCATCTGGAGCCATTGAAAAGTCAGGTATTCAACGATGCCCGATCTGAAGTGGAACAGTTGATAGAAGAGTCTCTAAAAGATAGCGTAAACCAATTCTTTGGATTAGGTACGTGTCTACTGTGTTTTAATACCTTTTTCAGCGGGATATGACTGGGAGCTGGCACAGTCGAATGGAGTGGCTAGTGATTACATTACAGACATGATTAACTTCTTATCGACTACGTTCAAGTCATTCACAAACCTTCCTGTCGTTCTTGCTCGGCATGTGTGCTTGCAGGTAATTGAAACTCAAAATACTCAAAACCATTTCTTTTAACTCCAAAACAATAATATAAAACTCTTGTAGACATGCAAGTTCGTGGCCGATCGTCTGTACTCCATGTTATTGTCACCAGACTTTAAATATATCAGTAAGGGAGCACTCGACCAGATTAACCTCGATTTAATGCAATGCGAGTTATTTGCATCAAGTCGACCAGTCGATGGATTTGATGACGCTACCCTTCCAATGACATTCGCTCACATACGACAACTACTGGATCTTGTCATGAACGAAGACTGGTCGACGTACCTAGCTGAACGAGGCCAACGAAACAGTAAATACGTCAGAGTTACTAGTCAGAATGCAGCCACGTTGTTAGAAAAGTAAGACATTCTTTTTTAAATCCAATATAATATATTTGTCTTTAGCTCACTAATTTTAAACTTTTAAGGGTCGTAGAGTTCGAAAAGAAAAGCAGTGGCTTCTTTGGAATGGGCAGGGCACAAGACCGCAGGAAACTGTACGATACTATACTACGACAGCTTCGCAACAACGCATAATCTGTGATTTGACAAGATCTTAAGTATTTTGTGATTTTTATTTATAACAAGTAAATTTGTAACAACTACACCTACAACAACATCGTTGACTAGTCCAACAACCTTCCAACTCCAAGTCTGTCCCTGTTTGCGTATTTCTCATTGTGTGTTTGGGATTCGGTCTGATTTTTCATGGTCTCAACTTGGTCCTTGAGGTTGATCAAATTCTTGGGATCTACGAATACTTGGTGCTCAATAACTGTTCCTTTCTTCTAAAATACGTCATTTTAATACAGCTTGTGTTATGGCTTTTATGTAAAACAATTTGCTATTAGGTTGTCCGGAAAGTTCTGCAATATTTGAGTAGGTAAACTTTGAAAAATCAGGAAAAATTTATTTCTTGACGGAAAGAAAAAATTCTTTTTTTGTTTGTTACCTAAATTATTCAAAAAGGTAAGTTACATAACTTAATTTAATTTTTTTGTATTGTTTTAGGCATTAGAAAAAATGGAGAAATCTCGCCTGCGCGTGATTATATGGAATGAATTCAAACGCGGAAATACTGCGGCAGAAACCTTCAGAATCATAAACGAAAATGAGGGTAAGAATGTTGTGAGTTATTCTACGGTGACCAGAAGGTTCGCAAAGTTTCGTGTGGACGATGAGAAGCTTGAAGACAAACCACGTGCAGGAAGACCCAGCAAACTTGACAAAGATGCCCTGAGGCGCAAGATTGAAGATGACCCACATATTGCAATGCGGGAGTTAGAAGAGTTACTAAACTGTGGAAAAAGTACCATTGGTGATCATTTGAAGGCAATGGGTCAAAAAGTTGGACAAATGGGTGCCTCACAATTTGACTGATCTGCAAAAAGCCAAAAGACGATGTGCTTCCGAAAAGCTTCTGCAACGCTGCAAAAACGAAGAATTCTTGGATCGAATTGTAACTATTGACGAGAAGTGGATCTCGTCTAACAATACTAGAAGATCTACAAGTTGGTGTAAGCGTGGAGAAGCTCCTAAGCACGTTCCGAAGCCAGAATTGCACGAAAAGAAGCTTATGGTGACTGTCTGGTGGTGTAGCTCTGGAGTGATCCAGTACGATTTCATGAAACCTGGCCAAAGTATTACGGCCGACACCTACTGTGCCCAGATTGACAAACTGCGACACAATCTTCCAACAATGCTCAGAAGGAGGGGTCCGATCATTCTGCAGGATAACGCACGGCGCCATGCTGCAAAGAAGACCGTGGCAAAATTCAGGGAACTGGGATACGAAGTCTTGGAGCACCCTCCTTATTCTCCAGACTTGGCTCCAACGGACTTTCACCTTTTTAAACACTTGTCTTCGTTTCTTAATGGAAGAATCTTCAAAACTCCAGACGATGCCAAGAATGCCTTCAAGAACTTCATCAACTCCAGAAACCCGGAATTCTACAATCGTGGAATAAAAAAGCTTGTAAATCGTTGGCAAGGCTGTATTGATTCAGACGGTAATTATTTTGATTGATTGTAGTTGTTAATTATATTGTTATTATTGTTAGTTCAAAAGTGAATAAATATTGCAGAACTTTCCGGACAACCTAATAAAATATAAAAAGAAATAAAGGCTCTTACAAAGAAAACTGTAGCAAACTTCAAATCAGGCTCTTTGAATAGTGCTCGTCGGTATCGGAAGGTAGCTTTGTTGTCATAGGTAATTCTACCCATTACATTCTAAAGAATTCAAAAAAATTATAAAAAACTACTTAAGTATAGAAAGTATGAGCAAAATCCTTAAAACCAAAGCAGGTACTCTATAATTAGAAGTAAAACAGAAAATCACTTACCCTTGTCTTGACTTCTCGCACAGGAAGATTATATATCTTCTCCAGATACTGTTTAACGTCGTATTTTGTCATTTTCGGATCAACTTCAAATTCGGCTGCATTTTCCGGTAATTTGAAGTGACCTACAGTTGGAGTTTCATTAAACCTCATCCAGAAATCAGGCAGAAAACATCTGGATTGAGGATTTCCAGGTTGCCATAGTCTAGCCACACGAGAGGACATAATTTACAAACAAAAAAGTTAAAGAGAATAATGTTTCGACGAAAAAATAATTTTGCGAGGAAAATAATCCGACTTTCGTATAAAAGCTGAAAGCAGGCTGCACATGACTCGGCCTGAAACGAGGAATTTTCGGCGCGAAAATAAAAAAAAATATTATCCCAGCCAATTTGTCTGGTAGATCTGTAGAAAATTTCTTTATAAAACTTTTCGGGAAATGAAATATTAATGTTCTATTAAGTTGAAGCTGTTAACATTTTAAAATTTTAGTTTTGAAGCATCTAAAGGTCCTTGTGGTTTTTGAGTATCTTATCTTTTCAATTGAAGCTATATTCCACTTTTTTGACTCGCCAGCACTGATAAATCGTCTTGTTTCGCTAAGCTTTATTCTTTCTTACTTAAACGTCGGTTTTTAGATTGAATCAGCAGCTCAAGGTGAAAGGAATCGCATTAACTTTAATTAGCTGGTCAAGATGGAGTAAGTTTTATTCAAAATTTTTAGGTATAATATATGGTATTGTGAGTTTTAATGTTTTCTAAATAAAATTTCAGTTTTTTTGCACCTTATGATTTGACCAAGGACATTAATGATTCTTTCTACGAACAACTCCAAAGTAAGAAATGGCTGGAGAGGAAGGAACCGATGGATAAACTGATTGGCATCATTGACAAGAATCCCAAGTTACAGCCAAATGACAGCGAGTATCACAGGCTTGTCGATGAAATTGTTAAGGTAAAATTACTTTTTTTGTTCTTTCTTTAGGCGTCTTTGAAAAAAACGGTGCAAAAACTAAAGATCAGCTTTAGATATTGTCCAAGGATAACAATATTAATGTCACAGCTTCGGCAGCTCAGTTTTTGACAAGGTTGGCACGTGGATTGGGGAAGAACTTTGAAGTGCATGCTGGGTCTGTGGTTAATGCATGTTTAATTAGGATGAAAGAAGTGAAGCCAGTGGTCAAAGAACCTTGCAGTGAATGCCTTGATGCGTGCTACGAGATCACGGTAAGCTAGAGATTTTATTGTTGTATTTATGAGTGTATACAATCTTTGTTTGAATATTATGTTAGATTTGGCGTTTTTAAAGATGCGGTTACATATAGCATTTTTAGACATTTGGAAACGTAGTGGAACCTATCAAAGATGCATTAGTCAGTAAAGCTCCAGGCACGAAGTTGGCTTCTTGCGACTTCTTCAAAAGATGTATGTTGAAGATCGACCTACAGACAGCGAAGAAGTCGGCAGCAGCTACAAAAGAAGCGGTGGATCACTTGTGTAAGATGGCTTTGGGGTCAGACGCGATGTGTCGAGATGCTGCCATGCAGGCTCTGGCCGCTTTTATGAGAGCGGTAGGACAACAAGCTTCTTTGCCATTATTGTCATCAGTACAAGGAGACAAGCTAAAAATGGCGAAGGTGGAAGAGTATTACGAGCAATTTGTTCAAGAGTACCCTCCAGTTAGTGCTGCAGCAGCTAAAGCTTCTGAGAAGGAAGCGGCCAAACCAGGAGGAAAGCCAAAGGTAAGATTTTTATGTTTAAAGGATTTTGACGCTTTTCTGCTACTTTTGAAAACTTTGGTTTTAACATTTTACGAAAGTTAAAAAAATATATTTATTACAGGCTAAGCCAATAGAAGTAGTAGAAGAACCTATTTCTGAAAGCAACTCGCGAAGCTCTGATGCTACAATGTAAGTTTGGTTCTTACAAGCATTTAATGTTAACTTTTCTTGATTAATAGTTGTTTTACAGGTTTCTTACGCCTTATGATTTGACCAAAGACATCAGCGATTCTTTTTACGAGGAGCTTCAAAGTAAGAAATGGTTGGAGAGAAAAGAACCCATGGATAAACTGATTGGCATTATTGACAAGAATCCTAAGTTACAGCCGAATGACAGCGAATATCACAGGCTTATCGATGAGATTGTTAAGGTAGGGCTTGCTTAAATAATGTTAATTGAGTGTCTTAATGTGATGCATCTTATTTTACGGTTTAGATTTTGTCCAAGGATAACAACATTAATGTCACAGCTTCGGCAGCTCAGCTGTTGACTCGGCTGGCTCGTGGACTGGGGAAGAATTTTGAAGTTCACGCAGGTACTGTGGTCAATGCCTGTTTGATCCGGATGAAAGAAGTAAAGCCGGTAGTTAAAGAACCGTGCAGTGAATGTCTTGATGCTTGCTATGAAACTACTGTAAGTCGGGGGTGGTTTTTGTGTAAAAACAATTTAATTGCGTCGTTTTAGACTTTTGGTAACGTTGTTGAACCCGTCAAAGATGCTCTAGTAAGCAAAGCTCCGGGTACTAAAGTAGCTGCCTGTGACTTTTTCAAACGGTGCATGCTGAAGATCGACCTACAGACAGCCAAGAAGTCAGCTGCAGCTACAAAAGAGGCGGTGGATCACTTGTGTAAGATGGCTTTGGGCTCTGATGCGATGTGTCGAGATGCTGCGATGCAGGCTTTGGCCGCTTTTATGAGAGCTGTTGGTCAACAAGCTTCTTTGCCATTATTGTCGTCAATACAAGGCGATAAGCTAAAAATGGCAAAGGTGGAAGAATATTACGAGCAATTTGTTCAGGAGTATCCTACAGTTACTTCGGCAGCCGCAGCGCCAGCAGCTAAGGCACCAGAGAAGAAGGTAGTAAGACCCGGACAAAAGCCACCAAAGGCGGCGGTATGTTCTCTCTATATTACTAAAGACATTGTTTACGGACACTATTGTAATAACTGATATTTGGTTCCAACTTTATAAATTCATATTGTTTAGAAAACAGTGGAAGCAGAGCCTATACCTGAAAGCCGCACACGAACTCCAACCCCGGAAGCTTCTCGGTAAGTGGAATGATTTTGTTTACAAACTACGTTATGCGTTAGGTTTATTTGCATGAAAGTAACTAACATTCTTGTAGTGAGGTGGAGGAGAGTTACCGACCCGAGCCTGCTTTTGTCGAAACTCCTATGGTGCGTCAGTCTCGGATGGCAGTTTGCCAAAAGTCTGAAGAACTGACGGATTATCTGAACAAATGCGCCGGAGTTCCGTTGGAATCCTTTTTAAATTTGAGCTACAAGCCAAGTTCAAGCACTCTAACGATTAAAGAGGTAAGTGATTTTTATGTTAAAGCTTATTTCTTATCACAGAGTAATACTTTGAGTAGGTATCACATTGTATTACCTCTAAATTTATGTTTTCAGCGTCTGGATAACGTTCAATTAGAGAAAGACAAGTCGGATCCAAAATTTGTATTACTGGATGCCCTGAAGGCATTGAATTCTACAGACCTAATCGTTGCCAATGGTGGTGTAGTAGACTTGTTTGGATTGGCTCAAGATGCCATAGATGCCCGTTTGCTGACCCCTAAGACTGAAGGTATTATTGATGCCCTTGGACTTAGACTAAGCGAATGTGCCGAACTCCTGGACTCTGATCCTTCTCCAACACAAGAGAAGAACGTTGAGGACTTCTTGAAGAACGCCTCCAACTTGTTGTTGAGGTTCATTCCTCAGAAGGATATCGCCGGCAACATTGACTTTGAGTTGTGCAACAAGTTGCTGAAGCCGTTGTTCGAGTTGTGGTTCTCGGAGAATGTCAAGTCCGATGGAAAGTCTTCGATCAAGCACGTCGTCTTTCAAATTGCCGAATCCATATCTCCGAATGTGACATTGGTGTGGTTGGCTCGAGAGTTGTTGCCGATTGTGAAAGAAGCAGTGGAAGTAGAGAAGGAAACAAAAGAAACCGACTACAAACAAACAAAGCCCGGAAATCAGATGGCTCTCATGCTCACTACTGCTAATAAGGTAATCTTTGGATAATTTAAGAACGCATCTAAAGTTAATCACCAATTTGTTTGTTCCTGATAATAACAAATTTAATTTTAGGCAGTGGAAGTAGTCCGAGGAAGTAACGTTCCAAAGAAAATGGACCTTACCCTCATCTTCAAGTCCTTGGCTCCATTGGTCGAATTCATCGTGGACAAGTCGTTGGTGTCCCCACAATCTCCGATCAAGAACTCGATTGTGGGAATGGTCCAGAGACTTGTTCAGCCCTTGATGGAAAAGGCCATAGCAGCGGCTGTCCAATTGTCCATGGACTTCCCGACCTTTTCAAATTATGTCATCAAATGTGTCAATGCCTTTTTCAATCGAAGAGTGGAGGAATTCGCAAAGAAGGGCGAGCAACAGTATGTCCTCAAACTGGTGTGGCTTTCTTTAGAAAAGTTCAAGAAGGGTGACACGTACGAGCAGGTCAGTAGTTTACTGTAGTAGTAATAGTGTGAATTTCTATCGATATTCTGTAAAAGTATGTTCTGTATTTTGTACGTCAACAAAACATGTGTTTTGTGCAACTATATAGTTCACTTGGTTGTAAATTTTTACGTTTTTTAGGCGTTGGATTCGTTGTATCTTGTGTACAAATTAATGGACCACGACGATTCCTTCAAGAAAACGTACAAGGCAGACTGGGACGAATGTATGAAACACTCTATATTCGACACTGTCGCTACAGACATGATACAGAAGTACGAACTTGCTCTCAAGGCCCACCAAGAGTTCGACATCCACGAGTACGTCTTTGACACGTACACCGAAGACTCGACCAAGGAGTTGTATCAGAGAGTCAAGGCTCTTTGCGAAAAGTTACGAAGCTCCCCCAGTATCTTTACTGACAATGGGTTAACAACGGGATCATCGAATGGCGGAGATACGGTTAAATCGAACTTCCTCAAGGTAATTTTTATATTGAATTTCAATTGCTTACCTATTTATTTGAAAAAGACAACTTTTAAAACACCTAGGTTACCTGTAAAGCGTACTTTTAGGACATGAGACGATACTCGTCGTTGAACAAGACGGTGACCGACGATAACAACGAGAATACACTAATCTTGTTCAAGGATGGGGCAAAGGCTACTCCACGAAGAGAAGACCAGAACATGGAGCATCTACAAGCTGATTTCACCAAGACGATTACAAAGAAACGACGTGATGATGCGAACAATCCCACAGTGCAACTCCAGAGACAAACCCTCGATTTTGTCACCAAAAACAACTAAACTGTCCAACTACTAATGTGCCAAACTACGTGTAAATTACAGATGCTAACTTAACTCGTTTTTATTATTATACATCGATTTAAAATTTTATAATAAAACATTAACATTCAACATGAGGTTGTTAACGACAAAACCGGCTGTCATAATCAAATATCTTTTGAAAATTAAGTCAACAACTTATTATTAGCCTAATAAAATGACATAGAATCCTTTTTACTTATTGCACTTTTAGCACCAACAATAACAATATAAAACTAGATATTCGAGTACGCTCCGCTCTGTATCTTATCGTACATTAACCTATCCAGGGCTTTGTAAGTTCCGGCGGAGTAGTCGTAGTAGAACAAGGGGTCGTTGCCGCACTTTTCTGGGTCGAATCCGTCCTTCTGGAGGTTTGTTTTCTTCAACTTGAAAGTTCCTGTAGTCTCAACTTCTTTGCAAATCCTTAGAAATACTGGAATCGCGTAGGCAGCGAGATTCTCCTTCAGACGGCTGGCTGCTTCCTCGATGAACTTCTGCATAAACAGTAAAGTTAACGGATATTAGAAAAAGTAATTTTCCTAATTCAGTGGATATCACATTAAAGCTAAACAACTCACTTCAACATCGACATTGGCATTGAGGGTAGTCCCGATCATACCAGCACGGCCTTCACGACCTTGAACTTCAACTCCGAACACGGTAGCATTCTGAATTTGCATGATTGGCTGGAGAACACCTTCCACTTCCATCGTACTCACGTTTTCGCCTCTCCATCGATAGGTGTCACCACGACGGTCCTAAATCATGATTCTTTAATTACAACAAAAACCCTTTGAATTTTGAACTTTTTAAACATTTTGGGTCAAAACAAAATATAAAGTCAGAAAAAAGCTCAAACACCAGAAAACATCAACAATGTCTAGTCAACAAACAACTTACCTTGAAGTAGAGATAACCGTATTTGTCCCAGTACAAGATGTCACCACTGGAGAAGACGGCGTCACCCTTCTTCGTGACGTCCCTTATGACTTTCTTATCAGTGTCTTCCTTGTTGACATAGCCTTCGAACCTGAGCAAGGGGTCGTTCTTCTTGATCATGCCCACCATTTCGCCAGTATCACCGGGCCTGCACGATACACAAAGACCATTCTCATCTCGAATCAGCTCTCCGGTCTCTGGATCCACCTTCACCAGCCTGACTGGGTACAGTGCCGTCAAGAAGGGGTATATGGGAAAGAACCCACACGACCCCATGTGGTTGTTGATGTTGACGATGTTGGAGTTGCCTTCAGTGCTTCCGTACAATTCTCCGATCTTCTTGATTCCAAAACGGGAAACGAACTCCTTCCAGATCTCAGGGCGAAGACCGTTTCCGTACATCAATCTGATGTTATGTTGTCGTTCCACGGTGGCCTTTGGCTGAGCTAGTAGGTATCTGCATATCTCGCCGATGTACTGACTAGCTGTACACTTGTGTTCTTTCGCGTCGATCCAAAAGTTTCGGGCTGAGAACTTCTTCCTGATAACAGCAGTTGCTCCTGAAACAGTCGATAAACAAAAAGTTTCACTTCTTATCAGACGATCAAATTACATTTCAAAAAATAAAGATACAGTACACAATGTGTCAAGACGTGCAAGAATAAAGTAGTCATTCAATGTTATCTTTGTAAAACATACCTAGAACCAGAACCTGACCGATGCCCAAGATACCAGCTGCTGAGTGATACATCGGCATGGTGATGTAGATTCTGTCGTCAGGTCTTACCCCAAATGACTTTCCACTACCCATAGCTATGAAAAAGTACCGGAAGTGCTTGATAATGGCAGGTTTCGGGTTACCAGTAGTCCCACTTGTGTAAATGTAACACAGTACACCTGCAAAACAGTTAATTAACAATTTATACCTAAAATCCAACAAAAGACATTCTGATTATAAATAATATTGTAGTACCAAAGTAAGATCTTACTTTGGAAGTTCAAATCCGTATTAGCCTCTGGCTCTTTCGAGTTTTTAAGGAGATCTTGCAGTGACTTTGAGTTGCCATTCTTTTCTGGCTTGTTGATAGTATAAATGACCAAGTCTTTAGGTAACAATCCCTTGTCGATGGTACTCAACAAAGCTGAAACAGCAATCTAAACAAGGAATAGTTGACTTACTAGGGAGAAGAGAGTTGGATGTTACCACAATGTTAGTGTTGGCAACTTTGATTGAGTGAGCTAATGGTTCAGCCTTCAAGTTGGAGTTGATCCAGGCTGTCACTACTCCAATCTTGCTCAAGCCAAGCCAAATAGCAAAAAAGTCGGCTGAATTCTCCAGGAATAAAGCAACATTGTTTTCCGATGACAACTTCTGAATAAGTCTACTTTATCTTAACTATGAAGACTCTTTATGCTATAATAATATCAAGAAAATTGTTATTAACAAACAAAACGCGTTATTTTAAAAAATAATATTTTACTGCGTTTTAAAACTTGCTTTCTTACCTGGTAAGCATTGGCGTACTTGTTAGACAACTCATTCAACTCTTTGAAAGTGAATGTTCGACCACTTTCGACTTCAACTACACATTCTTTATTCGGATGTTCGTCTACTTTATCCAGAAAGTAATAATGCAGAGGTTTATTCCTCTTGAATCCCTGATACATTGTCCATTTTACACGAAAGAGAAGGCCCAGGCCCCTGAAAGTGATATTATCATCATTATAATCAGAATTTTTAGAGCCACAAACCACAATTTTAAACTGACTATCATCCAAAAACGTGATAAATCAGATTTGTCTCAAAAAATAATAACTCTTTAACAGTTCTAAAACACTTTTACATTACAACACTTACTTGAGATCCCTTGGCAATGTTTTCAAACCCCGTTTTCCGATATCTGAAGAGAAGTAACGAAACAAAAGACAGATTACTGTAATGCTAAACCAGTTGCCGTACTGAAAGAATATGACACAAAGGACCAGGATGATGGCGAGATCCACCAGTTGACTAGATACACCCATTTTCCGTTCACATCCACTGAAACAGCAAGTATAATATAATATGTGGGTCAGGGAAACAAGCAAAGCGAGTACAATCAAAGGTCAACTTGACAACCACAAAACAAGAGATGACTGAGATAAAGCTCTTATAAGGCAGTCATACGAACCCACCAATTGATAAGCACCGCTGTTTTCACGCATTTCCAACGGGCGCTATATCAGAATGGACATTGACCTGCAACGAAAGGAGAGGAATTCAATTAAATTATATGCGTCGCAAAACATGTCTTTACTGTACTGATAACGGGGAGACGCTACACCTGCTGTAAAGCCTTATTTCTATTTTTTGTTTTTTCGACTTTCAAATCCGAAAATCACGGCGCAATCAATAGTTGCAACGCGTCCATTTTTTGATACTCACAGAAACCCATAATTATCTTAAAAATTTGTCTCAAAAATGCTTTGAAACTCTGTTTACACCAACATCCATCGTTCTAAATCTATCGTGAACTAATTCAAAAACGGGGCAACATAAATAACTGATGGGCAATCACCGAGCCCCGAATAAAGCCAATCAATTCGAGTTTAGTTTATTTCACAACAACAATTACTGAGCACACTGATAAAGTGTTTTGAGCCGAAGCGAAAGCTTCAAGAATTGAACAACACTTTCAAATTGAACAAAACTTTCACCGGATTAGAAAAGACGAAAGACTGTGGCTAAGGAGGAGTGCGCGGATCAAAGATCGTACGCCTTCTGGTGATCGGGGTCGGCATTGCTCAGAAAACTCGTTCGTAAAAGAGCAGATACGCCTCACAAGAACGGACTTGCTGAGCTGAAGCAACTGTCACATTCGAGTCACTACAATAGAACCATCGAGATGTCGAATCCAGTAGTTTTATCGTTTCCTCGGCTTCGAACTCGGATGGAGTCAAGATCGGAGTTTCCGTAAGTTCCTTCTTCAAGTTTAGGTATGAAACCAAGTCTCCCAGTCTCGCAGCATCGCTGAAGTTCTCCTTGGCTTGCAGGAAAAAGTTTTTCAAGAACGGCAACTCTTTCCGAGCCCTGACATAGGCAATATAATGGCCACTAGACAAGTTTCCACTATGACAAACCACGCCATACAGTGAATAAAGGATCCGCTTCTGGTCGGGAATCACTCTCTGAACCACAATGAAATTGTTTCCAATTAATATTGCTGACTCACCTCCTTCGACTTTACGCAGTATGGAGCCAAGTTGAGTACCATTGGGAATTCGATATGACCTCCAATTTTGGACGAGGTAGTTCTGTTGAAAGTGTGTGTCTAAAATTATATTATTAGTATGATTTCTTTCTTTAGCTGCAGTTCAAAAAATCTGAAAAGGCACAATTAGGTACCTGAACAAAATCGTGTTACTAAATGTCACTTTAATGTCATCTAAAAGTCTCTTACCTGTTCAAATCGTTTCAAATGCAACGTTAGTATTGGCGGCGGACTGAATATTAGGTACCTTTTGTCTGATATTACGGTTTTCCTCTTGCCCTTATTAACCTGAAAGTACAATTACAATGTAACTTACAAAAATGTAAAACCTCAATTTCAAATTCACAAGTCCAACAAAGAATTAGTGTAAACACATCAAAATACCTTCTTATTGAAGTTTGCGCAGCAGTTCTCGCACTCGTAGGCATCAGCTTCAGAAAGAACGTCCACATCAAAGTACCGTTTCAACGCCAGTAACACTCCAGTACAATGATCGTTGCCGTTCTCCTCCAGCAGCACCGTGAGACAGTCGTTAGTCGAATCATCAAGACGGAGCTGTTCCAACCCGTTGCAGTTCTCTTCTGAAACTACTAAAGCAAATAATGTGGCGCTTACTCTCGTCGTTCAACACCTCGTTTCCATTCTCGTTCTCCTCATCTGAATCATTGTTTTGCTCTTCGTCCTCGGCCTTTGAACAACACTCCGCAGAATCTTCTTCAGCCGCCTCTTCGGATTGTAACTTCTTGCTCTCTCGGACCTACACGATATTATACCACTAGACCAGTGTAACCCACCTTTCTCTTTGCCTTTTGTTCCTTCTTCTTCTGATGTTTGCTCAACTTGGATTTGTCTTTCTTTTGGTTGCAATCGTCGCGGAAGATCGGCAGCGACAGATCCAAGAACATCTCGAATATGCTACTGACATGCTTGCATTCAGAGCATTTGATCGTCTGGAGAAGAGTGCCTCCAAATACAGAATCCAACAAAGGTACTCCAGCAAACTTCAAAACAGCTGAAAATGTAAAACCATTTAGATAGCTACTGAATTTTGATAAAAATCTACAAAAAGACTACATTGTAACGACAAGATAATCATTAGATAAACTTTTTGACTAACATAATATTACGTTAAAATACGTAAAGTTAAAATCATACAATGGTAAACCCTAATGAACAATAAAACCCTACCTTTTTTGTACAAATTCAAATCATTCGTTATAAAAGGATGCTTCTCGTAGTACTCGTCAATGCCTTGCTTGAACCGTTCAATCTCCTCGCTTCTCAAGCCATCTAGCAGGTATCTCAGAAGTTCGTGAGAATCTTGTTGATGCCAGCCTCGGAATCTTGGAACTCTAAAACAAAATAAATAAATATTTATGGTAGCTTACTTTCTTGAAACCTCATTGAACACGATCAAAGGATTTGGCGACCTTCCACATCTGAATTCAGCCAGAAAATTAGAAAACGCGTTAATAAAAGGCGTTGGAATTTCAGGTAACGGAATCGTGACTGCTTTTACATCCACTTTGACTTCATGAATGCTTACAACACAGTTCTTTGGCACCACAAGCTTGTTTATCTGTTGAACTTCTTCTATATAATATTCCAAGGTCTGAGTTTGAAGAATACATTGCGTGACCGAGTTGAAAAAACAAGTATTTCCCAAATTCGGTAATCCCTAAACAACAAAATTAGTAATAAATAAAATTGATTACCTTTGGGGACTTCATTGCGCTGAAATCAGAAGATATCTTCTCCTTCGACTTGGATCGGGTTGCTTTATGGACATTATTTTTTGACTTTTTGCCCATTTTAGTAAATAAAATAAAATTAACAAGATAGACAAAAGATAATTGTATTTTATAACAACAAAAAACTGCAAAAGTAATGCAACTTTGTAGCAACAGTAACAATACAAGTATTTTTTCTGGTTTTGTAAAATCTTCCTTTAACATTTACGTCCCAGCACGGAAACATATTCTTGCCAAATCGTGGCATTTTGCATTAGCCCTTTTTGCTTTTATTATATTTTTCTTTATTGAATTTGGTGCTGTAAATACTTGAAACCTTTTGTTTCAGTATGTCTAAACTGTGCCTAAGTAAGTTCTGTTTTTATTGGGTATTTGTATTAAAAATTTTTTTTTGTTTTGAAAAATCATTTTGATTTACACATGGAATTTATGGCAAATAAAAATTTTGTTTTTCTATAATTGGTATCTCTTATAACGTATTTTTTCAGAAAAGACATCAAAAAGATCAACATGTAAGAAACGATACAAGATCGAGAAGAAAGTGAGGGAACACAACAAGAAGATGAAGAAGTTGGCCAAGAAAAGTGAGTTTTAAACGTGAAGAAGTTTATGTTTTAGACGGCGGAGGAGTTCACAAGAAGAAGGAGAAGATGATATCAGTTCCAAACTCATGTCCTTTCAAGGAAGAGATTCTTCAGGAGGCAGAGAGGAAACGTGAACAAATGAGAGAAGAGAAGTTGGAGAAACGGAAGTTGGCCAAGATGAATCAGCAGAAGAATAAGAACAAAACAAAGAATACTAAACCCACATCTAAGTAAATAATAATCCATGTAAATTGTGTTGTTTATTGTTGATAAATTTGTTGTTTTAAACTGATGTGTGTCATATTTACAAGTTTACTAACTTTTAGTACTTTTTTGCATGAATTTCATGATTTTATAGGTTCTGTTAGATTATACATAAATAAGTCATAGTTCGCACGTTTATTAATGTACTATTATAACATTATAGGAATTTGAGGTATAATAACATATATTTTCAATCATTATGTACAGGACAATACATTTTAAGAGGTATTTTGAAGTGTAACAATTATCCAATGATTCCCGGGATTGGCTTTGTTCGGTCGGGCTGAGCCAAGGTGTAGTTGATCTCTTCGTCTATAACTTGACATCCGTTGTGAAAGCTGATGGATCCGCGAATCCCTTGAATGGAGTCTGTTTTCATGTGTCTTCGATCTCGTTTGTTTCCAAAGCGTAGATCGTCACGGACTTCGTAAAACAAAGGCTCGGCTCTGATTATGTGCTGTTGAGAATCTGAAATGAAAACTAATTTATAATCTGAACAGGGGTAGTAGCATACTATAGGGGATGTGAAGCAGTATAACGAAAGGAGAGTGTGTATTATTGTTTGATTATGCATTCTAAGGTCTTTGTTACACAACATACCTTGATCAAACTTCCGCACGTCCGTTTCGACATCGGCTTTCGGGATGAGATGCTTGTTGGAGCCTCTGAATGCGCCGATGATGAAAGATCGTTGAGAGTTCTGCGAATCCATACTATTGGCCCTTGACTGCATGTCACTTTCGAACGAATGGACACTTTCCTCCATGGAGTTGTCCACTTGTCTACTGTGCGACCTAGAGTCGAATCTAGCAGATTGAGGTCCTTTCCTGGAGGCATTCGATCGTTGTGTAGATTGGGAAGAGATGGACAAGTGTCTCGAAGATGGTACGGGAGAGGTTTTGGAGTAGGTGTCGTCTTGAGACTGTATTCTTTTCCTCCTTTTGGTCTTCTTTTTCCTGGGCTTAGGCTTTGGTGCCATGGCCAGCCACTTGGCCATCTCGTTCTCCATCCGCTTGAGGTCTTCGTTGGTGAGACACTTCAAGGATAGCCTTCTGATGAGACGGGTCGGCCTTTTCTCGGGTAGAAAGTCTCTGATGTTGTCCAAAGACCGTGACAACGTGCCTGTGAGGAATCTGAAGACGTCGAATTCATTCTTCTGAGCTTTACGAAACTCCAGAGGTCGTTGTGCCACCTTGGGACCGTCGTTGAAGTTGATGTCAGATACTTTGCGTTTACTTTTACTGGGTGTTTTCTTGTTTGTTATCGAGGAATAGCAACTGTCGAAGCTGCCTGTCAACGAATTGTGCATGTTTTCTGAGCTTTCATCACATTTTTTATGGTTCTCGAAGGTCGGGATGGGGTGGTACGTTCGCCGATGACTACGGTCGTCAGTGGTATGAGCATTGGAAGATAAGGTAGACAGATCACAACTAAGGTTTGATATACACGAGTCTAGAGCACTGGTACTACTGGTGCTTGGTCTGACTATGGAGCTGGTTTTGGAGCTGATGGAAGAGTTCATGGTGTCGAAGAAGGTGGTCATTTCGTGCGCCTCGCCGTCTGGAAGAATTGAAAGGTTAGAATAACAAAAACAAGGTCGTTTACAGTACTTTTACGATGCAAGTGTTAGCCAATAAATAAATCCCACCTTTCTGGTATTTTGTTTTGTCCTTCTTGGTTTGATGTTCCTCTGCCCTTAGGGTGCCACCGCTCTCCTCGGTCCCGTTCTCGCCCGATATAATGGACGCACGGTTCTCGACCCACTCGGTAACAGGGTTCATTCCGCTCTCGAACAGCAAGCCGTTGTTATCCTTGCCCTTTCCGAACTTTTTGCGGAACGATCCGAACAAGCTGTAAAGGGATGAATAATCAATAAGGAATGTTGTTGATGAAGACAGTATACTACATTGTTTATGTAAGATGATGTGTTGCAAGAAGATTAATCTTTTGTCCCAAAACAGGCAATGTGACCAAAGTACTCAAACGTTTAAATAACAAGTTCTACCATGTTTTTGAAGGAAACTTACTCTCGAAACCGATAATCCGATTTCTTGGTTTTGCGTTGTTTATTCCTCATTTCATCATCGAGTTGATCACGCGGCAGACTAGCTGATTGTGATGTGGACGCTCTCTCGCTGTGATGTACACCGTTTTCCGGTGGAATAACTGACTCATAAAAGCTGAAACAAACTGATTAGCGCCACAAACAACTAGCAGTATCAAAACAAAGGTTATGATGTGGAAAACCTTGTTCTGTGACCTTTTTCGGTATTAAAATCGTTAAACTTTTGTTCTGAAGACTCGTATACAAGAGCATTGATTTGATGTCGCCCTTTATCTTCGAGCTTGTGGTTCGGAGATAAAAGGTAACATGGTCCAATAGGACCAAGTAAAATGTCAGAAAAGGTGTGATCATTGGTTTTAAACATCAACGATTAGCTAACACAAAAACATACGATTTCTTGGGATTGATGAGTCCGATCAGCTTGGATTCGCGCTGGATCAGCTCCTCCAACGCCAGCTTGATCTCTTCGGCATCTCGCTCGGATCCGGCTTCGACCACCACTTCCTTGGCCTTCTCTCCGTTCATTTCGCGGATACAGAAGATAAAGTGCTTGTTGCGATTGCCGTAGTAGGTTATGTTATTCCTCTGAAATGGCTTTATGAAATACGGGTTGTGAAATGGGTGGTATTAAGTATGTAGAACATGTAAACACGTAAATGAATGTAAACATGTGGCGTGCAAGAGTAGATATTCTAACGGAAAATTGCTTAAAGCATTTAAAGATGTACTTAATCCGACCTAATGGCTTAATCAGGAGTGTGCAAAGTAATCCTTCAAACATAATAACAAGATCTTAACTTCAAATTTGCTGGTCGAAAAGTTTATGGAATGTTAATATGTGCGTGAATTGTGGGATTTGTACTTATGTATTTTCTAATCTTTCACACCTTTTTTGTGCCTGTACTTACTGAAATTAAGTAGTACTGCGGCCTGTTCACGTACTGCACGTTCCAGTCGACAAAGTCGTAGATGTCCATGGGTTCTTCGTTCAGATGCACGAAGGCTACCGAGTTGCGGTAGAGGCATACCCGTTTTCGGCCGGCGAGCTCGGGCTCCTTGTCGGTGATGTTGTTGCTGTTACTGTAATGGGCGATACTGTATTTGGAGCTGGCGAGCACCTTCATGTCCCATGTGTATTCTGTAACGTGTTTGTTTGTTCAGTAATTTGCAAACTTTCATAACAAAAACAGGCGATGAAATACAATTACTAATTAGTCCAAAACACCGGGGGCGTTCCGTGTCTTTATGGCCGTTATCAACACTTATTAAATAGAAAATAACCATAGTAACGGTAATTACATTTAAGTTGAGCCTACAACAAACATACAATTACGAAATGTTCCCCCTTTAAGAGCAAAAAACAAGAATGACAGTCAAAACAAGCACGATACTGCCACTAACAAGCACCGAGCTATTAACAACAACATCGTACTACATTTCAACGTACTATAATTTCATTCACAAGCACAACACGGCCATAAAGACACAGAAAAGAAACGTCATCAATACAAAGCCATTAAATGTCATCGAACAATACCTGGAAAGTGGTCTCTGGGCATCGACTTCTCGGGATTAAATGACCGGCAAGTGTAGACGCTGTTGAAGATGATGGCATACCACAGTAAAGTGGCATTCCGGTCGGCCGCCCTCAAGTAGACGGTCTGATCTGGAGTCACCAACACGATGCAAGCCGGTAGCTTGGGGTGTTCCTTGATGGTGAGGCTGTATACGTTGAGAAGGTCGATCATCTGCTTCATCCATTCTGTCTTGGACAGCTTGAACCCCTTCTTGCTGGGCCCGTGGATCTCCAGCGTTCTGATTGAGCAAACGACGAACTGAGGTTTTTTGAAACTTTTCTGAAAATGTCATCATTGAAAATGTCGTAAAAACCAACTTTTAATGTCATCATGTTGTTTTTGTAATATTTAGTTTAAAGTGTTTAAAATTACATTCAACTGTGTCTTAAACTGTGGTTATCTAATATCGCTCCCGAGCTCTCGAATGGCGCGACATTTGCATACGCGCCATTAATAATCCTGTATTGGCGCTTAATTCAAGACAATCGTTTCGACGCCAACCTGGTTATCAGCCACTTGTAAACGAATCTTACACTTGCTTCTAATCACATCAAACAATCATATCACTATCAAAAACAACATGACATAAACACTTACTATCAAATAATCGCTGTCTCATATTAACTAAGTTAAAATTACTGTTGAATATTGACTTAAACTATAAGAAAATGCATTTTACCACCAAAAAAATCAAAAATGACACCAAATCATAACGTAAACGCATATTATTACTCAAAAATGGCATATTATTGCGGAATAATCAGATTTTTACAACAAAAACAAGGAAAACTTACAGTATCTTTGGCTACATTGATCTGGCCCTGATAACACTTGTTGGCACACTGAATGGAGGCCGCTTGTAGCGCGGCTCTAAACTCTTCTGAATCTTCGTTCAGTTCGGGTGGAATCATTTTCACAACCCATCCACGGTGCTGCTTCTAAAAACAAACCAAAATATTATTATAAAAGTTAAAATTCGACGAAAAAAACAAGCAGAATTAGGTGGGAAGGGCGCGGCACGACCTAGAAGGAAGAAGAAGAACGGTACAGTGACATGGTATGATGATGAGGGGGGTCGCAACAACAACAGAAAAGAGAAGACGGAAACGAGCCACAATGAGCGAGCTGGTTACGGAGGGGAAGGCAGAGGAAAACAGTCAGACTCTGCCAAAACAACTCCAGACACCGTGGGGCAGACGCCCGAACAAAAGAATAACAAGTGCGAGAGAGCGCGGCGAACCGAGAGAACGGTCACACCGCCAACCTCCATAGAGCCGGGCGGTTTTTTGTTTTCCAGTGCAGATGCACTCTCCGCGAGATGTTCACTCTGAGCAGTAAAACTATGTAATACGGGGGGAGGAGCCGTGTCAGCGCCGTCTTTCGGCCCCTGCCCACCCTCCCACCAGGCCCTTGTCTATAGTTGTTTACGCAAAACGACCAAAACAGCGGCCAGCACTCGTCGATCTGCACTCTGAAGCCGTCTTGCACTCCCGCCGAAAAGCGTCTCCTCGCTGGGCACGCTCTCTCGCCGTCTGACTGGCGTCACACAAATCTCCGCGTTCCGCCACCTATCTCCACTTTGTTTTTCATTAAAGTCCGCAGGCAGTTGCCTGTTTCCATTACTCCTTGTTCCACCTTCGTGTTTGTTTCCCGCGCCTTCTGAATCTGCGAAAACATAATGGCATAAGTCCTCGAGCCGCATGCCGTCTCCACCATCTACTACTTTTGTTTTTAAGGACTTTGGGGGACGAAAACAACACACACAGATTACGGTATCAAATGAAACACAAGGTCCAACATTGTTTATATCATTCGGGGGATGTTTTCGAAATGGGAAAACAAATGTATTATTCAAGAGTCAAGTAGAAGGTGCGTATTTGCATCGGCGACAGTGAAATCACCGCGTCACTGGTGGACTGGAGCACGGTCAGGCCGGAGAGGTCCGTCTCCTGGAGGCTGGCTACACGGAATTTGAATAATTTCTGAAATTGGTGTTGACTACAGGGAGGAAAGTACTTGTGGACTCTAAGATAGACTGTTGTTTATGGTCTGTTTATGTGTTTTGTAAACAGATTTGTCTGCGATCGGGGTCAAAAAGTACATGGCACGGCTTTTATGAGTAGGGCCATTACTTTTTTGATTAATTTATGGCCAAGTCTATACCAATTGTATACGTATGCAAATTCTGTGCACTTTTAATACTATACAAGACCTACTATATGAATGTAAGGTTAATACCCAAAGGAGTGACTAAACACCGACGACCTACTCATAGTACTACAAACTTGCACTTACCGAGAGATTAACCGTAACCGGCTGGGACAGGATGACATCTTCGGTCCCCTGGTAGATGTGCTCGAGGCGCAGTAAGATACGATTGTTGGGTAGGGCTTTCAGCGTAATTACTTGTAACTGAGTAGGAAGCTCGGCCGACAACAAAGAGAACTGAAACATAACAAGTTACGTATGCACAACACGTAAGGAGTGACAGCAGAATAAAATGTCACAGTCGGTCAGAAAATACGTGGAATAGGCTTATAAAGTGGTCGTACCTCTGTTACCGTATTCTTCTTGTAGTCGTCCACTGATTGGATCGGCGAAAAGGCTATCAGTGGTCGATGATATACATCTTGGGCCTTTGGTCGATAAGCGGACTTGTCAGTTTGAGTTAACAGTACCTTGTGCACTCCTTTTACTATCAGTCCTCGACCATCTTGACCTGGTTCGTCTAGTGCTTCATCCACGCCCCACCCATCGTCATCGAAGGCGCGACGGTGTAGCTAATATATAATATATATATATAATTTGCATAAAATACGTGAGTAATTTAAATATATATTATTGTACTTGCTGCCATACAATCATAAACATCTATTATCACATTTTGGTCGATAATTACAGAAAAAAACCAGAAATTGTATCAAAAACGTTTCTCTGTAATTTCTGACCAGACAACTATAATATTCGACTTCCGTAAAAGGCCAGCATAATATGTCATTATGTTTGTGGCAAATACCGAGTAAATACTTTGATATGTAAACAACGTCATTACCGACAGGTGCTTTCCCTTACCATAACCTCGACTTGGCCGTCCGCCAAAGACGTGGCTCCATGAGATCTGTCAGTGAGCACTGAGAGCTGGGATTGGCCGTCCTGAATCAGTATCTGGCTAGTGATAGGGTAGTAGTTGCCACTGATGGGTTCGGTTACATTGCGAGCAAATGTGGGGGATTGGTTTACTCTGTAAGAAAGTTCAAACTGTTATACTGTAGTTTTAAACATATATTGTTAAAAGCTCTAAGCGCCTTGTACAATATGCATGTGGTATAGGTATATCATCATAACAATGTATATATTTTTCGTATACTACAGTATCCTCCTTACGTCCTCTGCATCAGCTGCCGGCCGTTGGTATCCGTGTAGAAGATGTTTTTGTTGCCGAGCCCACTTACTGTATACCGTGTGATTACTTCCTTCGCAATTGGACTTCTAAACACGTGATTAGATAACAACATACATTTAAGACAATGTATAGTAACATCAATGTAGCTACGTACAATTCCTCTTTTGGTAAGGGTCCAACTGTGTATTCGAATTCGGCAAAGCTGTCACCCTTTCTCAACCTTATCACCTGACTAATCCACGGCGACACTACCTGCCGTACCTCTTGAACCAGTTCACCCTGTAACGGTAAGAGAAGTTACTGTAAGTAGTTGTTAAATGAATGTATTATAAAAGTACATAAAGCTCCAAAATTACCGAAACATAGAGTTTAATTTCACCTTATTTAAAACACGTTTTTTGTAAGTCCCGATAATCTGAAATAAAAAAGTGTCGCATCAGATCCCTGCCGAGAAAAACACGGAATACTGTAGTTGCGCACAAAAGATGCAAATTTTTGAAGCACTTCCTGATACGCTAGAATGTAGATGTAAATAACAAAAAAGCATTATTAAACACGCTTAACAGTTTGGTGAAGAAAGTGTGTCTCTACGACTGCTCATTACTGAGATATGAAAACACGACTGGTATTACCGTACGCCTTCATACTGTAACTTTTTTTAAAAATTTTTTATTTTTGTGTAACTTACGCGTATAGGCTGTTCAAATATTTAAATTTCAAAAATTTTGAAGACATTGATTTTTTTTGTGTCGACTGGGGATTTGAAAACGCTCGAGTCTTACAAAAAACGTATTTTAAGATAAGATAATCATGCTTAAGCCACGTGTAATACCCCCCCCCCCTTCCCACCCATACCCACTTTAAAGTACTCGATCTGAATCGGCTGAGGAAGGTCGATAGGACAAGTACCATTAGGCCTAAAGATGTAGGCTCCAGTCCTAGCTTCGGTACCATTTTGTCCCATTCCATTGTAATAGAAGAACTGCTGAGTAAACTGTTCAGTCTTGTTAGTTCGAATATCAGTCCAGGACTGAACTAGTCCGTTTTGAGCAAAGTCCAGTCTGATGAACTCATTCTCGATACTTACAGTCTCGTTTGGACTACGGTACTTTGTTTTGACCAAGTTCTTCCGCGACAGGTAGTTGCGTCTGAAGATATTATTGTAGTTTGACGCTAGCTACATTCATGGTGAGTATCATACTACACTTGTCTACTAGGTCATACTACATTAACAATGCTAGTTCCTATTTCTCGCAAATGACGCATTTTGTTTTGAAGTGTTAACATTACCCAATTTGATGACTTTAAATAACTCTACCCTTACATCTTCATAATTATTTAGAATAAAGTGCTTAACTTTGTCACTAAACCGTCATTATTCACTTACTTGCTCTTCAGCTTTGTGATAAAATACGTTTTGTACCCCAAAGCTGGTACTGAGACTGGGAATGTAATCTGGAATGGTGCTGTTTGGTTTGACAGTAACTGCTCTGCCAATCGGAAGCTCTTTGTGATCTGAAAGCAAGGGTGTTATAAGTTGGTGGTGTGGATTCATGTTATTTTTATAAATTCAATATGAAACTCTAAAAGATGACCCACTTCTGAATGAATATCATTCAAGTTGTTGTCCTGAACCAGAGCTGATCTAGAGTAATATGGTATCTCAACCACTTCTTCAATTGGCTTCGAGTTTGAGTTGAAGAAGGTTACTGCTACAGTTTCTGAGCTAAAAATAAAAAAACCATTTAAATATTTTTAAATAAAGACACACAACTGTAAATTAGGAAAAAATTTGTTATCTTACTTGACAACGTCACAAACAGTTTCGTTGAGCAGAGGACAGAAGTGTATCTTGACGTCATGGTGAATATGAGACAAAGTTCTAAACGCCAGGTCTGTCAACTCCTAAAATAATTTTAATTTAGTGAACAAAATAAAATTTTTAAAACTCACTTCTACCGTATCCATCGCTATCAGTAATCTCTTCTCGTAATCTACAGTAACCGCTTCCTTTGAAGTTCCTCTAAAAGTCAAAAAATAAAATTATATATAACTTTTCTGTATCTTATAGCATAACTTAAATCAGTAGATTTTTATTAAAATCCTGAGGGAAAATGATAAATAAAAGCCTACGTGACAGCATCATGATGTTGCACAAGTCCCATAGCACGTTCAATCGTATCTTCATCACGGTAATGGTCAGCAGAAATCAACGAAGCAGCTACTCGCAACATGCGAGTCAACTAAACAAGCGTAATATTATTTTAGGTAACAAAAATGAAATAATTTGCTGAATTGTTATAACAATAGCAGTATACCAACATAAAACTAACTAAATAATATGTGAAGGAATCGTCTACATTATACCAAAACATCTGTTACCTGTAAGAAGTTCGACACCTTTCTAATCAGACCCTTCAATGCCGGTTTACTAGTGTAATATCCAGTCCAATATTGGTGTTCAGAGCTGGCATACGGAAAGAAATCGTCATTTTTAGTTGGCACTTGGAAGTACAATCGCTTCAAAGACCTCATATAGCACGATGGAATAGAGTACCGTACTGTGACGTTGTGAGACGCCGAGTCCTTGTTGATCTCCTTGAACAACAGATCCATCTGGGAGAAGTACATGTTAGCGTTCGAGTACTGGAAGTCCCCACCCATCAACAACAACAAGTGGTTGTGCCGTAGCACCGAAGACCTCTTCTGCACCATCTCCACGAAACTAGCAGCCATCTGAGGTAGGTTGTAGCCATCTAGAGAAGGATCTTCCACTACAGGATCATCAGCACACAGCTGATCGAAGCAGAAGTTCTCGGGAGAGGCGTAGGAGTTGGTGTAGAATCCACCAGTAAAAATATTAGTTCCTGAAGTTGCAGAATATACATTTTAATTTACAATGTAAGTTTAGACATTTAGTAACATTTTTGATTAGCTCAACATACTTATCTTAATATTCCTCCAATCAACAATAACGAACAATACTTTCAATTATTGTTACTACTTACTTTGGTCATCAGATCCAGCCCACACGAACTCCATGCTCTTGTTTTGATGTCGTTCCTCCAGCTCGTTAAAGTGCATTCTACCAAGAAACAGAGCTTCGTACCCCATCTAAACACCTACTGTAACATAAACCGAACATTACCTGAGCCAATAAGTTAGCATGCTCTTTACTGTGCCCAAATGGGTCTATCTGCCATGCCACTTTGGGTTTTCCGCATTCTCCGAAGGTTTCGTTCAGATACTGTAAGCCTAACGTATATTGGTCTATAAGGTCAATGTAATGAGAAGCTGCCTCGTCTGGCTGAACCCATCCTCCGCCGATTATTTCAATTTGGCCTGAAATTGAAGTCTTACCTCGTTTTACGGCAAAAATCTGTTTCGCAAAGAATTTTAATTTGAAAGACAGAATTTTGTTTCTGGACGAAATGTCACAATCAATAAGAACGAAATGTCAAATTTGATAAATCTTGGAATATCAATTTCGCTAATTATAAGTGCCAGAAACTTTAAAAAATTTAATGTTTCTTACCATCAGCAACCAACTTTTTGAACTTTTCGATGAGTTTGACATCACTTCCATGTTGATGTATCCATCTCATCAAGAAGCCGACTTCGGCGAACACAAATCGACGATCCTTGTCCTTGCTGAGCTCATCGATCACAGAATCGTATATGAATTGAACTCCGACATTAACTAGTCTTTTCTTGGCTAAATTAGCTTATTTAAGTTATATTGTAGTAGACATACCTCCAGTGTAATAGTCATCTACTGTCTTGATCCAGCCCATATCATCATGCGTGTGAGGAATCTAAACATTAATTTATTTTGTTTATCCTAATTTTGATCGAAAAGTGGATAGAAAAGGAAGACTTTTGAACTAAAATTCTACAAACTTTATGACCGAGGTAATGCTTTTACTTACAATATGCACATTGATGTCATTTTCACTGTCAAACGAAGGGCAATTCTGAAATGAAAAACATATTATTATTCTTGACACCTAAGTAGTATTACAGTAATTTACTGGTTAGAGTAATATAGATTTATCTGTAAGCTTATTACATTACAGTAACCGTAAACATGAAACTTACATCCCAGGAACAAGAGTAGCCGCTTCCGATGCATGCAAATACGAGAACAAAGAATATCTTATCCATCCGTTCGTTTGCAGAGCCGGCTGGCAATAAACTGGGCAGAAGTGATCACCAGATCGAATGTCAACTGATCTCTATTTATGTATCATATCATAAACATTAGTCGGTTAATGAGACGAATTAAAGGTCACAACGTGCGTGATTTCCAACTAAACCCTCAGGCATTTCCGGCATTATAAAGATACGGTAACGTAACACAAGCTTTATGTTATGTTACGATATCTCTTATGATCTTTTTGTGAAACAATACATTACTTTACTCAAGCCTTGCCGTATATATTATAGTATACTTAATACAGTACACAATTTGCATTAGAAAGGCGTTACAGTACCCAGACCAATAATATATTAACTTTATACTAACTATAAGATAACATAATATCAAAAGAATAAATTAAAGTTCAGATTTAGCTTGATGATGAAGGTTGAGCCCTAAGGCACCCGTGTTGTGAGATTCGTTGGACGAGATTACTGTAGAGTTCTCAGTGTCGCTTAAGTAACCAGCTTCATGTAGATATTTATCTGGATGTACGACTAGTGGGTATACGGTAAAAGCCTTCAGATCCCTGACTGGGAAGTGGTTCTTCCACTCTTGGTTTGGATGATTGTCATACATGATAGGAAGGTATTCATCTAGTGCTATCATCTTCTCCAAAGGCTTCGAATCCAGAAGCTTCTGGGCTCCAGATCGTGACAAAGCGTAGCCTAAGGTCCAGTAGGAGTAGGTCACCGTGGACAGGTATCTGTGGCCTGGAAGGAAAATAATCAAAGTTATAAGTTGACAAAACTAATATCAATACTAATATAATTCACTTAAAACACTTTTTATACTACCGTAATCTACAGTAATATTACCCTTACCCGGAACGTAGTACTCCTGGTTCTTGGCGTCGTTCTTCTTCCTGCCTAGATAGACAAAGTCCCATTCTGTCTGTCTCTTGATGATGTCCTCCATGAACTCTCTCAATATTGTAGTAGCGTTCTCCGAGAACTTGATGTCGTCCTCGAATACGATCACTCTCTCGTAGCCATTATCTACAATATCCTTCCATATACGGTAATGACTCAAGAAGCAGCCGATCTCCCCCTTCTTCAACGGCCGTTTGTGGAAGGGGTCGAGGTATCCTGGCAGAATAGTGACATGTTTCATCGTACCTTCATCCAGACTCATACCATCTACTGCTTCGAATACATCGTGCTCGATTCCCAACATGGCCAAGCTCTTCTGAATCCGCTTCTTTCTCTCGGGACGGCGCTTCAGGTTGATGACATAGATCTTGTCGAACCCATAAGTGTGTTCTACTGGCTGCCAGGGTGGTATGACATTGGAGTATACCACCTGGTTGTTGTTGATCCACATTTGGTAGTTGAATGAAGCCAACTGCAACATATAAACGTAATAAAGCAAACAAGAACAATATAAAGAAATAAAAAATATAAACATGTAGTTATAAAGATATGACACCTAGTAATTAGGTTAACCTTACCTTCTGTAACAACTGTATCCTAGTCATCCTTGAGTCGATGATATAACCATAGAAGACACTGTTGTCCAAGAATATGGGTATGTCCATATTGTACGCTGAATAGGCAAACACTTCTACTGGAGACTTGGCTTCTATATTATCGCGAACGTTTTGCTCGTCGAATGTAAGATACGACGCATCTTTATGTTTCAAGTTTATCAGGAGAGGCGAGTTTGCGTAGTATACCTAGAACATATAATCTTGTCTTTTTACTCATAACAAGTTATATCTGAAGCTTAAACAATTTCCAAAAATTTTGCTTAATAAAGTAGTTACAACACTTCCACTTACCCTCAGCATCTCCAACTTCTCCCCACTGAGATGAACGATGTCAACAAGTCCTTTGCCATTTGAGTGTAGAGAGAACGGATCCTTTACCAAACCTGATACCACAACTTGTTTCAATGCCATTAAATCTCTGACTGAGTTCTCGGCCAAGAAAATGTCACTAGTTGTCAGCAGCAGATAACTACACTTCAATCTTCTACCGAACTTCAATGACTGTTCTAGGTAATTGGCATCTTTAGTTTCTACCGTGAGATACGAATACAATGACTTGTACTCTGACATCCACCTACAATAATATAGACGTACCTCTTTCATAATGAGTTTTTAGCATTTACAGCGTTAAAAGTACATCAAATATTTTACAGTAATCTCAATATAGCCTTACTACACTTACTCATTGATCGTATCTTTGACGTCTGTCAATATCAGAACCTTGGTTCGATCTTTCGGATATTTCAAATTCTCAAGCCATCCCAACGAATATGATAAAATTTCCTCGAAATTGACATTGTAAGCTATGCAAAGCTCAGGATACAGATGCCGGTAATCGCCTTCATCTGGAGTAGAGCCGAAGAAACAGTAGCCAACATTAACAATAAGCAACAACAATGTAATAGATCTCATTTTAAACACATTCGAACAGATTCGAGGCCAAAAAACAGCGGTCACTGCCCATTCCAATGTTTAAAACAGAGGTCAGGAGAAGGTTGAACGTCTGGAAGACGAATGAACAAAGGAAACGGAGAGAACGGGACCAGATGACCAAGATGAATAATATCGCCGTTGCAAATTATAATATCATGCGTGAGATAAATAAACACAATGCATTTATCCGCAAGATCATGCCTTTACAAGCAGTACAACAATAACTTACGTTTTGTAAAATTATTTTAATCGCGCTAAATAAATCAATGATTGAACGAAATGTCACGAACAAATTGATCGTGAAAACAATTATTTTTTCTTTTTTATCAGTCATAAAAGATTGATTAGATGGCTAGTAAATAATAACAATATATGTCTACTGAAAATCTATCTTGTTCAGTGGAAAATTGGAAAAGGTATTTTGTTGTGGGTTATCTGGATATTGTTTTAGATTGAAACAGCTTGTGGATGCCTGTAATAATTCAAAGAGAAGATGTGAGGACGTAAAAGAGTTAATACAGGAGCTGATGAAGGAGCTACCTTCTACCAGCGACTTGGTATGTCTTTGTTTTTAATTTTTTTGTTTAGATTATGTTTTTGAAGCAAAAGATGTCGATTTAGGTGTCACAAGTTAAAAACAAAGAAGTTTTGTTGGAAATCCGGAAAAAGGAGCTCGAAGATATTAGAAAATACAGGCGGACGATCTTGCTGTTACATACTAGGAGTGAAAATAAAGACGAAGAAATTCGTAGGTTTATTTAGTATATTTTTATATTATTTTAGTGTCTAACGTTATCTTTTTTGGTAATGTGGTAGTATATACTTAAGAGATCTCTTGACTTGCAAGTATCGGACAGTAAATAAACTTGTTTCATGTTTTAAGAACTTTTATATTATATTATCTTTTTATTTAAATTGTTATTTATTATCTTTCTATTAATTTTTTTCATTTGAGACTTAATTTTTAGGTAACAAATTTGATGTTTTGTCTAAAGATTTGGATGAAACGGGATTTGACATTGTGAGGAATAAAGAGGAGATTGACATTGCAACGTAGGTTAATTTAATTTTATTTATTCTGTTTTTAGTGGAACGTTAACGAAGTTAAAGAACGAGTTGCTATACAGAAGAAGGTTTATGTTAGAAGATCTGTATCTAATATACTTTGTGGATGATTGTTACATGAGGTACTTTAAGAAAAGATGTCATTGTATTAAATATGATCTCATTTATGGTTTACACTTGCCTTCTGCTCCTGATAAACATGGTGAGTTATAAAAGATGTTATACTACAATATATTATACTTGTCTACTGTATTTGACCTTAAATTAATACCAAAGTTGTGTCTTTAGAGCATTCTGATAACGAAATTTGTGCCGCTGTTTCCCATCTCGTCAATCTGCTGATCTGCTTATCGAAGATCTGTGATTACTCATTCAAGTACCCGATCGTGTTCAAGGGATCTAACTCAATGATTGTGAAACGATCTAATGGAGAATACTTTGACTTCCATTTTTTGATAGTCAAAAACAGAACTAAATTAGTCGAAGCTCTTAGGTTTTTGTCCGAAAATGTGGTTCAGTTCAGGGCAGACTGTGGTTTAAGGACGACGGAATCAGAAAGGATAATACCTAATCTGAGAGAGCTGTTGTTATCTTGTATTGGACGATATTGGTGAGTGTTTTAGCGTCGTTTTTAGATGGACTTGTGTCTGTTGCTTTAAAAATGTTATAATGATGTTTTTATTATTTTTGTTACCTAAACAGGAAGGTGTTGCTCCATTTTTAGTGACTTCATACAATATAAAATGACACTCGAAACTTTAACGTAGACTTTATTCAGCGCATCTTTTGACTACATTCGGCCAAGCCAAGATTTTCGATCTGTTGCTGCTTTGATACCGGTAAACCCGAATCTTTCCATGGTGAAGATAGTAAAAACTCCTCCTAGTCAGCATCGTACAGCAACATCAATATTGGATGTTGTCACCGCCAGTCCTTCAACTTTCATAGCTACAAAAGCAAAGTAATTTAGTATATTTATTATTTGATAACGGGTCCTTTTCATAATACTAATAAAGATTTCTACCAAACATGTGGTCTCAAGTTACTATGTTGTAATCAAGAAAAATACTGAAGTTTTACTTATTTTAGAAATGCAGCTTTAATATTTTTAATATCTATGTTGCCTTAAACAATAGGATGAACAATAGTTTTAACGTTATTATCACGGTGCTAGCCATTATATTGTAACATTAAGAAAGATGAGTGAGAAATGAGCGATGCCAGTGGATCTCAGCCGGTCGATCACGATGAAGTGGTCGTGGAGCCTCGCTTCAAGTACGAGCGGATTCTGAAGCATGTGCATCAGTATCTGGAGGCGACGTCTGCTTCTTGTGTAGCCGTTCACGAGAAGTTCATCGTGATCGGCTTCAGTGATGGGTTCTTGAGAATCTTCGACCATTTGGGATATGAACATTTCGAGGCTAAGGAGAAGACTCACAAACACTCTGTCAGTCAAGTAGCCATCGACACTCAAGGCAGCCATGTCATTAGTTGTGCCAACGACTCCACGGTCTGCATCCGGGGTATTGGCTCTTCTGAAACCAACGAATTTCTGAAGCTTGTTCCATCAGCCAAAAGTGTTGCTTTAAGTGAAGACTTCTCGAAGCGAGGGTCTGGACAGAGGTTTGTGGCAGGCACTCAGATGTTGACATTGTACGAAAAGGGATTTCTCAAGAAATACAAAAGTTTGGTGAGTTTTGGAAGATGTTCAATGGTAAATATTGTGTTAAAAACGTGTTAATGATTAAACAGATATTATTATTTGATAGTATGATATTGTTTCAGACCTTATTCCAAGGGCTGGACAGAGATGGAGTGATATCTTGTTGTTCATGGAAAGGCGACTTCATTGCCTTCACTAATGATACGGGTACGAGGATATACGACTGGTGAGTACTGTAGTAACTGATGGATACACTGTAGTAATTGATTTAAACATTGGTTAGCAAAAAAGTCATTTTATTAGGTTTTGAGTAGATATACTTACATAATATTGGCAAAGGTATATTTGTGTTTACAGTAACATGCAGCGTGTGATCTCTCTGATACAACCGGCTCACTTCCAAGAGGCCTTCTTCTCTTCTCGTTTCGCACCTAGACATTGCTGGATTGATACCTATTCTCTGATCATTGCTTGGGGAAGTACGATCACTATATGTAAAGTCACCTCTCAGTCAAGTGTAAGTTTTTTTAATACTGTCACTTAATGTTTGTATAATAATGTTTTTAAGGTGAATTCGGTTAAGAAAATTGATATAGTACAAGATGTTATTCTAGGAAAAGACCGGTGTTTTGTTGAGGAGAGCGCAGATGCAGTATCTCTGGTCGATTCCAGACTTTTACATTTCTGGAGTCAGCTACACCACTAACGAGTCTTCTGAAGCCTCGGAACAGAATTGGGAAGAGATCGTGGTGTTTGGACTGTCAATTGACACTGCCGAAGAGGGTGACGATGATATGATCGACGATTCTGTGGTATGTTGGCTGTACTTTAGTTATTCATACCTTATTTTACTGTTCATTTAAAAGTATATTGTTTTACATCTTTTAATTTCTGATTTTAGTCAGTGATATCAGATGTTTCCAATATGACAGCTCTGGCTACACTGGCTTATAAGAAGACGAACGCCCAGTTGCTGCTTCTGAAGCCGGTGGACATGAACCACTACACTGTGATAGCAGAAGACACTCTGGACATGAGGAGGTCTGACCTGAGATGTCTGAACAAGTTTTCGTTGGTAGCACTACCTTCTGATGCCACTTACTTCCTGATGGGGTCAAAGGAGTTGATTGAGGTAGGTTTCAAAGGTTAAGGTTAACTTGATATTGTTATTGTCAGAAGCTAATAAGGGATGTTGATGTTTATAAAAGAAGTACTATGTTTTAATTATATTGTTGTAGGCTAGACCTTGTTCCATCGATGACAGAGTACGGTGGTTTATGGATAACGAGCTGTTCGAAGATGCTCTGGAGTGTTCTCTGAAGAATAAAGAGGCTTTACAAGATATATCAGTGGTCGATATTGGCAGGAAACTGGTCGGTTCTCTGATTGAACAAGGAAAGTTCACAGCGGCAGCCGAAGTGTTACCTCAGGTTAGTGCAGTGCTGTTTGTTAAATTTAAAAGTTGGCATATTTATATATATTTACTTACATAGGGGAGAGGGGGTTATCTTAAAACATTCAAACCGTGTTAACATCGTATATACTTTGTTACTGATAATTGTCGAAGTTTAGGTATGTGATCGGGACAAGATGGAGTGGGAATACTACGTGAACGAGTTCGAGAAGTACGGTGAGATTCTGAAGCTGGTAACTTACATTCCATTGGGGCATCCCCAGTTAGAACCTGAATGCTACGAGGCGGTACTAACTGCTGCTCTATATTCTCGTACCAATTTGTTCCGGAGACTGGTCATCGAATGGAATCCCGACATTTACCGTGCCGCTTCAATCATCGACAAAGCCTTAAGGAGGATGAATACTGACAGTGGCACGGCCTCGTCTGAGGCAGTCACTAACAACAACGATCTGGTCAACATCTATCAAGCCTTGGCCCATCTCTTCGCTTACGTCCGCAACTTTGACCGAGCCTTGGTGATCTATCTGCTTCTGAAGGACAAGACAATCTTCAGGGTCATCGACAAATACCATCTCTTCCCCATGGTAAAGGACAGGATAGTGGAGTTGATGGATATCAATGCTGACTTGGCAATCAGGTTACTCTTGGACAATGAAGACTCGATTCCAGTAAAGCAGGTGGTCACACAGCTCAGTAAACACCCGAAACTGCAGGTATGAGTTTGATTGTGAAATGGTTATGCTACCGTATCTTACTTAACATTGTTGTTCAAAAGTTGACGTCATGTATAATAATTAAGAGTATTGTAAATCTGAAAAACTTTTAGATGGCGTACCTGAACCGGCTGTACTCTCGAGGGGAAGGTCAGGAGTATCTGGATCTCATGGTGAGATTGTTCGCTGAATATGACAGATCAAAGTTGCTGCCATTCCTTCGAGAAGCTGACAACTACAAGCTGGACCTGGCCTTGAACATCTGTAGGCGCAAGAACTTTGTGAACGAGGCTGTCTATTTGCTAGGGAGGAGTGGCAACCGGCTGGAGGCATTGGATCTTATAATGAAACACAACAAAGAGATCGACACAGCCATTACCTTCTGCTCGGAACACGAGGATGACATCGAGCTGTGGGATCGGTTAATCGACCTGTCGATAACAAACCCAGCTCACTTGACCAAATTGCTATCGACAGCCGGTATCTATGTGGATCCATTGACCATCATCAATAAGGTATGACTACATGTGGTTATAAGTTACGTATTATAATATAAGGATATTTGTCTAAATTTATTCTACCAGTGAGTAGAATTATTGTACTTTAGGTGCCATTGAATATTGAAATACCTGGTCTGAGGGATCATTTGATTAAGATCCTGAAGGACTATGAGCTGAAGGTCACGCTTCTCAGGGATTCGTCTAAAATAACATCAGAAGACGTCTTCAACGCCTTTAAAAAGAAAGTACAACAGAACATCAGCTGTATACGAGTGTCATCGGACAAGCGGTGTGATAGCTGCAGGTAAATGGTATACTGTACTTTTATTGTTATGTGTGTATATAGACATCTATTTAAATGTAACTTTCAGTGAGTTAATTTGTCCGATCAGTAGTCACGACGATCTCCTGATTCTACGCTGCCATCACATCGTACACGAGAAGTGCATCTCTTCGGAGTACCATTGCCCTGCCTGCGGCTCCAGCAGTACCATGCCTTCCACGACGACGGCTCCATTGAAGAAAAAGAAGCCGGCTTCATACAATCCATTCGGGGACTTTTAGTAACATATCATTTCGTACCTAACTTAATACATTGTATATTGACGTTACTTTCGTATCTGTAAATGTAGATTGCCTTCAGTAACATAATTTATAAATATTGTAATGAATATCGCTTTAAAGTGCTGTAAAGATCAGGAAAGTTCGTATATCTAGGTACATCTTGTATAAAAGGTTATATCAAGGTATAACCAGTAATATTTTGTTTGTACCTCTAAAGTCAAGTATAATATAACATTATATTTGCGTTTGCGGAGAGAAATGTGTCATATCATTCCGCTCTTATCGCAAAACCCCTCCGGCTATTTGCTTATTTGGTATGCAAAAGGTGGAGGTCCGCACTGTTGCGGACACTTACAACGCTTTCACCCTTAATAGTACTGGTACCACTGGTTACTTCTATGACCGAGAGGCTAGGAATATTGCTGTTGTTGATTTGAACACTGGAGGAAGAACCAAACTTAAATGGTATGTCAAGTATAACAATATAATGAACGTTTTATTAAAAGGAATGTTAGTTTTTGTAAAAGTGTCATAAAATACTATTACAAAGTAACATAAACACTCATGTCATTACAATGTAATTCAACGTTAATAACACAACTATAGAAGACTAAAACAATATAAAGCAAGATAAATTTAGGTCGGGAAACTACTTTACCAAGACACGATGGGTTTGTTACCATCTGTCGTACTGTAATGTAGGCGAAGACACCCTGATTGTAATATTGTGGTACAATTTGAAGAAAGAAAAGTTTTGTTTGTCTTCGCATCTGATCAAGGATAATATAGTTGGAGTCGAGAGAATACGACATTACTTTCCTGCCGATATAAAACATGACTCAGGGTATTGGATACAACACGATAGTAATGTGAACGTATGTTTGTTTATAGTTGAAGATACAACTTTGTTACCTTTAAAGCTTTATAAATTTTGTTTTTTTGGCATTTCGTCTCAAAATAAACAAAATATTGTTTTTAAAACTTGTAATTTAGGTAATATTTTATGCGCGGAATGAGGATCCCAACATGTTTTGGCACTTTACGTACGATACGACGGAGAGTAAAGTAAACGAGCTGGTTCGAGACTCACTCCCGACCCATTCGAGAGCTTGGGAACTGCCCACGCTCACTCAGAAGGTAAACAACTACTACAACAATATTCATGAGACTTTACTGCTTTCATTTCTATTTACTTTTTGACCGATCAAGCTAAACTTATTTAAATATTCATTCATAGCTACTATAATATAATACTGTAAATACTTCAGGGTTTACTGTTCGTATCTCACGAGAGAAATGCCAACTTCTGTCTGTATAACACTGACAAAAAGCATTGGACCAAAGGGCCAGTGGCACCAGACAAAGTGGTTGGTAGAGGACCAGCTTCAACCGGTACTTGGGGACAATTGCACCATTCCAGGGGTACTGTAGTTTGTGTTCAGAGAGTGAAGCACAATGATTACATCAGCGAGGTATGGCTACTGGACGTCGCGGTGGCTGGGTGGAGACTGTAGGTGTCCTTTGGATTAAATTATACTTATGAAGCTTTGTACAGTAATATGTTACATTACAGTATCTCCTCCTCCAAAGTCTTACCGTCAGACAGTTACAACCTCGCTCTTCGTATCTTGGATGATACCCATGTCTATTACCATCTAGAGTCCGAGAATCTGGGACCGTGTATGTATCAGATTCAGAATGCGGTGCCACGATACGAAAGGAAACTGTCATCGATTGCAGAAGAGAGCGACGACATCGTATGTTCGGTATGTCTGGACACATACGAAGAGCCGAGACTGCTAGATTGTGGCCATTCTTTTTGCTTCAAATGCCTCGAGGGGTTACTGCCTCAGGGTCTGTTTTTACTGTATGGTATATGATGATCTGACATTGTTACTGTATGGTATTTAACGCTGTTAGATGTATATGTTTTGTTAGTAATTATCGTATTTTAGGGATAGAAAACGGAGTAAAATGTCCAATATGTCGTATCATAACTCCGAATACAGTAACCAACTTGAGAATCAACTATGGATTGAGAGGTGATGTAACCATTTTACTGTGATTTACTTATGACATACGACTCTTTTATATTTAAGGTGTTGTAGCTGCTTACTAGAGAATTTAAAATACTAAAGATGGGATACGAACATGTTAACACATTTGCATATTCAGAAGCAGTGCAAGTGCTCGCCAAAGTAAGGAAGTGCAAAGAGAATGGGCTCGTTTGTGACATCTGTGACTCGCCGACATCAGAGAACAACATGTTCGTATGTTTGGAGTGTAACCACAAGTGTTGCCATGTATGTGTGCTGTTTAACCATCAGCAACATCGGAAGATAGAACTAAGGTAATAGACTGTCTTCCATGTCTTGTACTATTTTTGTAATTTATATAATGTTACTGTATATGACTTATGTTTAGGCACTTGATGTAGGTTTAATTTATATAACTCTTAAAACCTTCAGAAGGCTTCTTCGTAACCAAACAGAAGTCAAAAAGATCCGTGATGCTTTTACTGTGGCGTTGTTGCAAGTTAAAGAAGATACGATAAGTAAAATCACTCAAACCTTGTCTACAGAGTTATGCACGGTAAGTTGGCTCTACCATAATATAATATAAGTAGCCTTTGATTGAAACGTGTGAAGCTGACTTTGAAGCCTGGATACAGAAGAAAGAAGACATCGAGAGTGTAAAAGCAGAAAGTGGAGAGCGGATTCAGAAGATACGATGTGTAATGAAAGAGATTAGTCACAGAATCACTGAAGAGTTGATAAGATTGGATTTATAAGACTATACCTAATGTTATTGTTTAAGTTATTAAATTTAAAATTTATTGTACAGGTTGTATAATATTTTTCCGCGGCACAGATGTTATGTAATTTTAAGGCTTTACATGATAAGAAGTGTGACAAAAGTATGGAAATTGGTATTTCTTTCTGTTCTATCTATCTTTGTAACCAAAATAGTGTTGGAATGACAACCTTAGCTTGTTGAAGTTGATTTCGAACACAAACTTGTTATTTAAATTTATTCAAATTTGGTAAATCGTGGCATCCGGAGTGGTACGAAGCACGCAATTCAGCATGACATAGTCGTATGTTGAAAAGTTGTCTAACATATAAGGGACATTTATTTTTAATTGTAAAATCAATAGCGTTATGCCAATTTTAGTTTAAATGAGTATCTTCTTTTCCCAATTTGATACTTTTTAAAATGACATAACCATACAACATTCTCAACATAACGTGGTCATATGCTTTTACTTACGGTCATAACAGTCTCAGCCCTACTCTGTAACGCCGCCGTATGTGTTGATTAGTTTCATTAATTTAAATTCGGCCACTTTCCGGAATCTTTCAAAGTTTTTCCTTCGGGGCAGCCGGCTGTCACCTAAAAAACATTTGGGGCCGTAACGGCGTCGTTACACGGCCTCATTGCGCGAAACGAATCCAGTTTCGGGGATGAGAGCCGAGTTAATGGGACAGCACTTAGGTACTCGAGAGCACGTCCTCGAGGCTGAATGATAAATGCCGCTGATTGGGCCTTTCACACTCTCGACGCCGCTCTTCCCCTCAGGCGTCCTTTCTCCGTTTTAAGTTATTTCAGGCCGGACTTGACTAGATTGGTCTTGAGGGTAAGGGCACCCACCTATATTAAACTCGATATTTTAGTTTTATGGCTATTTAATTAAATTTTGGTTTTAAAAGTTAATTTTTGTAACTTTTATGACAAAATTTATATTATGTATGACAATGTTTTGAAATAGACACTTTTTGTAATCAGATGAGTTTGTTCTACATAACAAGGTTTGTCCTCAAGTTTTATTTTGAAATTCAAATGACTCAAGCTTTATTTGGATTTGTGAAAAGTTTGACATTTTGAAAAAGTAGATTGACTGTATGTATAGGTTCACATAGCTTCCAGAGCCTGATTTTTAGCTGTGAGGTCAATCGGCTTTTATGTTCGCTTATAATGTTTTTTTAATTTTAACTTTTTTAAAAATATTTATTTTTCAATAACAACCCTTTTTACCGTGTAATAACAGAAATTGTGTGCCAGGTTTGAGAAGAAAAGTACGATTATTGTTAGTCTACTGCAGTAGCTTCTTTCACTTTCTATCATCTGCTACAGTAGCCAAAATTTCTTAAAAATGCCTTTCATTTAGAAATCTTTGTTCTATTAATAAGACGTTCTGATAACAACAGCTAGATCTCTGGATATAGTCAGTCTAACCTATGTTAAATTTGGTTTTAGCTATCCTATTTCACATTATCTTTGGTTAGAGTTAGTCTAGTTCCTGTTAACATTGGCTCTAGCTAGTCTAATCTATATTAGTTTTGGTTACAGCCAGCCTAATCAAGTTTACTCGTAGTTACAGCTAGTCTAGTCTATGTTAACATTGGTTACACCTAGTCTAGTCTTTGTTAACTTTGTTTCCGCTTAGTTTAGGTATGTTAACCTAGGTTCCAGCTAGTCTATTCAATGTTAACCTTGGCCGTGTGTCCAACAAGTTGTGCCTAAACGCTTTAGCGGCCCTTTAACGAGAATTCCCGCGACCTTTCGCCAAATATTATTTCTGCAAATTGAGTTATTATTCAAGTCCTTCCTCTCCCTCCGCTAATCATCGGCCGGGGACCGGCGACGCCCCTCGGGCACACTTCTCGGCATGTCATCATGATGTATTTGTGGTTGATTTCTGCCCTCGTCTACTGCGTCACATCGATTGGGGCCAGCTCTTCCTTCGGTGCTCAGCCAGTACGATGCTACGACTGTCGGGCGGACGATGCGACGTGCAATGTGGGCGAGTGTCAAGGTGTGATATGTGTCAAGATGGAGACTAGCAACATGGATAATGGTGGGTATGGGTGGGTATGAGTGGGTATAGATGGGTATGGGTGGGTGTGAGGTGACTGAGGGTTGGCAAGGCAAGGTGGTTAATGCAGGTAATAAAAGGTCTAAAAGTATATATTACTGTTGACTTTTAGATTTTGACCTTTAAAGTATTTTTATTAAAAACATTTTACAAAAGATAAGTTACTTTCGTCTGCAGCCTGCGGTGACGTTTTATACGATGGAATTAATTTTAATTATTTTATTTAAATATTTTTAAAAACAATTTATAACTAGTTAGAACAAATAATAGTTGAGCAACAATCAAATCTAATGCCAATAAATATACAACAATAATATATGTAAAGATCTATACATAACATAACAACAACCACATATTACACTACCCATTTCAGACAGGAAAACGGTGCACAAGACGTGCTCCGACGAGTACGAGACGACCCAATGTAAACAGAGTGGCTTCGGCAGTAAACTGATCACCAGGTGCACTTGCGAAGGCAACTTCTGCAACGGCGACGACCATCTGAACGCCGCAGGGTTACAGCCGGCTGCCTCGTCGACGTCCTCAGTCTTTCCGATTACCGTACTCGTCTTAACGATATGCAGGTTACTGTAACTAGTGGATACAATTTGACTCTTCCTCTGGGAGCTGAAAGCATTAGATGGTCCAAAAGTTTGTAGAATTCTCTATATTTAACTATGTATGTGTATATATCTATGTGTATTACTGTAGTCACATTACTGTAGTATTACATGTAGATGTACTGCAGTAATGTAATGTTTTTGTTACTGTTATACCTTGGTCAATTATATAGTAAAGTGATATACAATAAACGTGATAATAAGTAAGAACATACGATAACTTCGAGGTTCAGGTCTCCCAGTTCGAACCATCTATCTACATCACCTGACCTCGTGACGTACTTCGAAGGTACGAAGAAGAAGAAGGTCCTCTGACATGGCAGCTGTCTGTCACAATCATGGGCAACATTTACTTTGGCGTCCATACCAAACACACTGTTAATGGTACCCTTCACTTCAAAGGTACCATTCTCGGTCGATTTTACTGTGTCTAAGGTGTCGTACATGCCTTAAACATACTATATTATAGTAGATATACATCTTTACATAAAAAATATGTTATAACGGCCTAATGATATGTAAAAATGCAAAGTAATTACACTGAATGTAAGCTAAAGTTCTAGTTTTTGCTATAACTAGCTACCACAGTAATACTATAGTGCTATATCGAACCAATACCGACCTATCTTGTTCTTGTTGACCAGACTGACACTTGCATTCGGGAACGGGTCTTTACCGCAGTAAAATCGACCGGTAATCCCGACAGTCTGCTCTTTCTGGGAAGATACGAACATAACGGAAAGCGAGAGTAGTAATACCAACATTTACAAGATAACCTTACTGAGCGACGGGCGAGGGAACAGTAATTGTTTACTTTACTCTCTAACTTCGACAAAAGATATTTTACAACAATACTTTACTATGGGGTCATGTTGGTATCTACTGTACTCTATTGTTGATGTAATATTTAGCTACATATATTGTAGTAGGTAACAAAGGTGTTGTATTGTCGAGAAGTTCTTAATTTTACATTATGATAGTGTTATATATTGTAAAGCAACTGTAATACAGTAAAAAGTTGTAGTACGTTGAGTATTTCAGTAGATTTAATGCCATACTTTGATCTGAGTGATATACTATCAAATTATCCTTACTATGTCAATCACTTTGTTGTTCCCATACTACGGTTGCGTCATGTTGGTGATAGAGAAACTGTGAATAATGTTGATAAACATTCCCAATCAATACTCTGATAACAGTTTTGATTGCAAATGGAAGCTGAAGAACCGTTTGTAGCTCCGAGCGAAGAGAAAAGGCTGTCCAAGGTAATATATCGTGCTATAGTATTATATTAAGTTAGATATTAATATTAAAAAGATATTATTTTAATGATACAAAGATGTAACTATGTTATTGTAGTATATTTCTGTTACTTACCAAGCTTTTCGCCATTTATTGTGTATATGACAATCGTTTTTAATGTCTTCAGACCCTTATATCAGTACTAGTAGTACTCGGAGTGTCAGTATCATGGACCTCGGCTTCTCAATTCACAAAACTGGCATTGCACGATGAATTCAAAGCTCCATACTTCATCGTGTGGTTCAACACCAACCTCATGATGTTATGTTACCCCTTCTACCTTGTCGTATCTTGCCGAAAGTCATGGAAGACCATCAGACAGGAGACGTTTGACTGTGACAGGACATTGCTGTAAGTAAGTTGCTATACCATAATATTTGTTTTTACAGTTAGATAACATACGATTTAATATATATATACTAACAATGTACTATACATTATCGTATTTTAAGTATTTATAAAGCAATTATACGCTTTATATGATATAATCAAATGTTACAGTGAATGGTTGTGGGTTACAGTAACCCTACTGACCTTGTGGACGATGGCCAACGTTCTCTTCAGCGTTTCTCTGGGCCGCATCTCAGCCTCGGCTTCAACTTCCCTTATCAGTTGTAATGTATTCGTGGTATTTCTACTCAGTAAATGTTTTTTAGACGAAAGGTATACTGTAACAAAAGTAAGTTGACATAATTTCCTTGGTTTTTTGGTGTTTCTCATACTTGAGCCTAAGTAATATAATAAACTTTTACCTTATTTAAAGATACTTTGCAGAGTATATCGACAGTGTTGGGGGTGATAGGAGTGATAGTAATATGTTGTGATAAGGAGTTTGCTGGCGATGTTGTTGGCGTCGTATCTGTGATGCTGGCTGCCTTCTCTTCTGCTATGTACAAGGTAATTAATTGTTTACATTGGAGTAACTTTGTCGTATTTCTTATTAACTTCTAATGACTTATGTCTCTTTACAGTAATTACAGTACCTTGTTGTAGGTAGTGTTTAAGAAGATAGTAGGACAAGCCGGACTTGGCCAAGTGTCATTACTAATGTCATTGTTAGGAGCCCTCAACTTGCTCCTCAATGTAATTCCAATTACTTTACTGTGGTATGTCGACGTAGAAGTAATAACACTCCATAACATACCATGGTTTTATCTGATAGGAAGTGCTGTTCTCAGTCTGAGTAAGTCTGTTATGTTTAATATTGTGATAACAAGATGTTTTATGTAATAAGATACTGTTTTTTAGCCTACAACTTCGTAGTAAACTTATCTATCGCTTTAATTACTCCGTTGTTCGTATCTATTGGAGCTCTGCTTGGTATACCATTGAACATGAGTAAGTTATTGACTTATTAAATCGCTAAACCCTTAAGCAATCTTATGATAACCACTTTAGGCTTAAAATCTAGAGTTTGCTTTATTTTTAATTGTGCAGCTGAATTTAAATTGTGCAGCCTGCGAAAGCCTGGTTCAAGCTGCGCCCACCATTTTATTTTTTACTTTCAGTTGTGGATATCCTGATGAACAATATGGTAGTCAGTCCTACCTTTCTCGTGGGTTCTATTTTGATTACCGTATCTGTGGCTATTAATCTCAACTACCGTAAGAAATAAGTCATCATGTTATGCTAATTCAATGTTACAATTATTGTTAGTATTACTGTAAAAATAAATAAATCTAAAGGTATATAGAAAGACATATTATAGTACAAATATGAGCAGTAATTACAGTAAACATTAGCATTAACCTCTGTTCCACATGATGCGTTAACATAACATATTTACTGTACAAATAACCATCGTAAGATGTTAACAAATATAACCATGAACATACTGTAATTACTTAAAAACTACCGTATCCTGATGTTCTCCAGAAGTCGGATTCTGATTGAAATGCTCGTCGAACTCTCTGTTGTGGGCTTGGATAAGGTTGTCCGTCCTGACCTTCACGAACACCAGACCTCCAGTAAATATAGCCCCCAAAGTGCAAAATACAGTAATCAGAACCCCTAACACGACCACCAACGTATTCAACTGCTGAGCTACCACCAGTTGATACACGTCCATGTTAGAGATGACATCAGCTGAGAGAACCTGACCGTCCTTGTCGTACAACTGTAGCTCATCGTATGTTACCTGCTCTTGTATTATCAGTGATATCTCTTCGGCCGACATGTCAGTCACCTCACTCAGCTCTCCAGGAAAAGGTAGGGTTATGGTGAAGTTGAAAAGACAACCTAAAATAATACAAAATTTTATGTAAATATAGTAAGTTATGCAATGACTTACTGTACAGAAAGTTACTACTTTTTCTTTCAAACTTTTACAAAAACTGCAGTATAAATGATATCTTAATGTCAATAACAATTTAAGAACTAAAGATAAAGAATAAACAAAGGATACCATAGGTAACTAGGTAACATACCAATCAACAAGACAGCGTTCTTGAACCTAAACTGAGATATCTTCATGTTTGTGGCCATAGTCTGGACCCAGTTTCCGGCCAAGACATCTGAATTCTTGGGAGCTATCTCCTTCAATGTCTTTTCGATCCGTAAAGAAAGTCTTCGCGCATTTCCGTCGTTGTTCGTGGCTGCAAAGTAAGTTTAAGCTTCATATTATACTTAATATCTTGCTTATAAAACTGATCCCAATAGGCATTGCAATGCTGACACTAAGACACAAGACCAGCAGTCATATTAACCATGAACAAGTTACTAGTTGTGTTGCATATTTTCAAAAAAAAGTATTACTTAGTCCAAAAAGCACAGTAATATACCTAAAATACCAAAAAACAAACCTCTTTGAACCACAGATACTGTAACATTGTCCACAACGTTATTAGAAGTTACAAAACCCCCTGGTTGGTAGACTGCCTTTACGACGGCCTGGACTACATAGCTGTTGGCAGTTTGATTCGCATTCAAGGCTGGTCTTAATGTAGCCTCGAAGATACCATCCTCGTCACACGCAGTAACATTCACAAATCTGGTATCTTGCACTGCGATTACTGTAGCCAAACTGCTTACAACCAGAGTAGCTTGTTCCAGCGTACAAGTTTTGTTTGAAGACTAGAATTATATTGTAGTAGTTAAAATGCTAGTATAAAAGTAAGATGTTTCAAAAATATTACATTATGAGGTTTTAAAATTGTTGAAGTTAGTCAACATACCATAGAAAACTGTAGTAAAAGTTCATTGTAGTATGGGTAACTGTAAGGTGTTGGGGCTGACACTTTGAATACCCTATATAAACTCAAAAATTATTTTTAAAACATAATACGTTGTAAATCATACATATATTACGCTAACATACCCAACATAACCATTAGCACTACAATTACATTGTAGTAGATACCCATAGTCAGCTGTGTTAATTGCGTATTCAGAAGAAGTACAGTAATCTCCATTCCAAGAATCCGTGAATAAGAGACACTAAATAGTATATTTTACCTTACAGTAAGTAAACATGTATGATATGTTTGAACATATGACTCATGTAATGTTATACTATAGACTTTACCTTATAGTAGATAGCGGAAGAGTAGTCAGTCAAGGGAATGTTGACTGTATACTTGATGAAGCTGTCTAGAGCAACTTCAGCTCCATTAATCGGATCCATGAACAAGATACGATGAATGTCAGAGACCAGGTCGTCCAATGACATGGTAATTGAGCCTGGATTGGCAAAGGCTAGTCTCATGAACTCGTTGTCGTTAAAGATACTACTCTTGATCTGCCCCGACCCCAAACAGATCTCTGAGCAACTGACATTCCCATTGGAACACTTCCATTCAGAATATTGCTGCTTGAAGTTGACGTTGAATGAGATCTTAACGTAATCAGTATGTACAACAACATATATACATAGAAGTATAAGTAAAGATAAAAACATTTAAAGCTCCTCCCTCAAATGCCAAAATCACCTGCCTTGTAACAACCTCTGAGCTTCCCTTCCCATCCACACCACAGTAACTTACCGTATCCCCATCAGTGCCAGCCAGGTTGTAACTACTGTTGAGAAAGGTCTCGTAACTTGGCAGTAAAGCCTGTAGCTGTATGTCAGTATATTTGCCTCCAGAAGCCGACATAATGTTATTCGAGTCCGTCTGAACACAGAAAGCACCCAGAAGGTCGTCCACGTTGCCGAGATACAAGGTCTCGCTCTGCTGGTTCTTGCTTATCAGAAGATCGTACGCTCTCAGAAGCTCGTCAGCCTAGAATTCGTACTATAATATTACCTTATTTTACTATATTTTAATCTAAACATACTAAATGTTACTTTACATAAGATATATACTGAGATACCAACCCACCATGTCTTCAGAGATCCTGGAGCCACTTCCAAATGCCATAGCTGACATCAGGTCGGCACTTCTCTTTGATCTTTTCGTCTCGAACCCCAACATATTCTTCACCTTATATGATAAAGACGACATTCTAGCTACAGTACGTTCAGATGCTCGTAACATAACGTTGTTTAGGTACTGTAGCCCTTCCATTAGCTCCAGAAGATCACTAAAACAATATAATTTCAAGAAAGGTAACTTTTATCATCGTATACCACATAACTTAATCCCTTTATGTCTAAACATACGATCTTTAACTCACCTAGAAGAAGATACCTGTCGAATGACTCGAGAAGCCAACGTGTCGAATATCTCCACGTTCTGTACAGTATCAGTGCAGTTCTCTAGACTGACTGCCATCAGCTTGTCGAAGGCACTGAAAGGTGCTCCAGCCTGTAGATCTCCTTCCATCATCTTCATCATGTTATCGTACGCCACCTCCAGATTCCTTGAAGGCAGCACGGTGAACTGAGAAGTCTCGTCTCGGATACAGTAACCGTCAAAGTCACATAACTCTACCAGACCTTGGTATGCTACTCTGTTGTTGCATTCAGAAGCTTCTTCTGAGGCCGATTCCGAAGGTTCTGATGTCTTCTCAAAAGATTCTGTAGACAATGTTGTAGTAGAAACGCCTTCAGAAGACGTACCATTCGTAAGATGCATGGTAGAAGGAAGATACGTTGAATACTGAGTAAACGCTGAGAATCTGTTCCATCGTTCTGAAGTCTTGTTACCGTACATTACAGTACGAATCCCAAACCTGATGTAAAAATTAAAAAAGTGAATCAAACTGTTGGCTAACTCTACAGTAACTGCCGTTTCCAATGCGTAGATTTCACCTTCAGGCAAGATACGAACTTGAAGGTCTTGAGGAACATACGTTGGTGACAAGACACGATCTGCCCACCCAATACCTGCTGAGTTCATAGCCAGAAGACGAATCACATAAGACTTAGAACACGATAGATTCAGAAGCTGACTGAAATTACAGTATACATTAACAATAAAACGTGTTAACCTATAGCAAGTACCTAATACAGACTTTGAAAAAAAAAGTATTCTTGACTTACTGTGACTGTGATGGTAACGTAAACGACAGTAAGGTGTACTGTTTAGCCGTAATGTCATCAAACGACCGTTTTCTGTAAGGAAAGTTGTCTCCAAGCTCAATCGATTTGTTACCTAAATCGATATAATCATGCTCAAACCTTTTTATATACAATATTAAACAACATTTTAGGTATGAGTCAACAATTTAAATTTAGATACAACTTACTTTCAAGCTCGTATAAGTGCCATTCCGTCTCCAGATGTCCACCAAACGATCGTACATAGGCTTGTGTTCGTATCGAATCCATAAAGTTGACATGAACCTGAGTAAACGGTAATAGTTTTACAGTAGGAGCGTCCCTAGGTTGTACTGTAACTACCGTAGAAACACTAGAATTCAGCTTATCATCCCTTATGTAGTCTACGAACATCAACTTCTGACCAGGAACAAGATACGATGCGTCTACGGAAACGTACGACTTGTTAAGTACCGTACTGTCGTCCAACTGACATTCTTTATCGTTCTTCACATCCACACATTGCCACGAATGTTGCAGTACTGAGCTACGGTAGTTCGGGTTGTAGGAATCTGAAGCATCCAAGAAGAGAACGTCACCTTGAGATACGGAACGTTGGTAACTGTCTGTCACAGCTACTAGGGGCTCTACTATGTACTGAAAGTGGTACAACAGTAATACAAGAAAAATTACAGTAAAAAATACATATTGTAAACTGTAAAAAGAGAATTAAAAGTTTAGTAACTTCCTTATATATATTCTACTTTATATCAAAAAATCACACACAAAAAAAATAAAAGTTACAGTAATTTTTAAAATAAATACTTACAGTAATCTCAGCAGAAGCCGTTCCATTCATCACATTACCATCGTATGTTGCTGTTACAATCAACGTTACTTTAACGACTTGACCACTCCTGTAGGTACCACCTTTTATAGTAAGAGATTGCGTAGACGCTTCTAACTTAGAATCAGTGTACCATTTGTACTAAAAGCAATATTCGAATAATTCGTGTCACAAGTAGAACTTACTATGACACATTTACAATATATTATAAAACCGTTATCAATATCGTTCAAACCACGTCATGACTCTTACCTTAACACTATCGAAGAACTCATCGTGACTAATGTTCACAGTGATCCCAGGATACAGAACAATCCGACTTCTGGCCAGTGGATTCCGTGGTATGCCATGTATCGTAACATATAGAGAAGATGTCTCGAGTAACGTACTAAAGTCTACTAGTACTGGATGTTGGTACTTCATCGTAGCATCGTACAATTCAGATGACCGTACCACGTAAATACTGTGTTTTCCTGTTGTATTAAAGTTGCTAAAGTTGCATGCGCAGTAATTATCCTGTATGGTTGCTGGTACATTGGTACTTCCATCTACAATAACATGTTAATCATACCATTAGGGACTTTTACACCAAAAACAACATCTTTACATCTTCTAACACATAGGCTATTGTAAATTGGTGCTATTATTTATCATAGATATGTTATTGCGCTCAGTAATGTAAAAAAGTTGGCATCACTAACCAGTCAGCCGAAAGATGGTTACCCTTCATCGCGCACCTTTTTTATCTTATCTTAGGGCGAGTTAAACTGTTTTCTCGACAAACGACTGGGTTAGAGAAAGAACGAGGCGAAAAAGAAAAGAGACTTTCGGCTTCTCTTTCTTTCTCTGACCGTCTCCCCGATTAGCGCGCCCTCACTCACCGACGGAACAAAAGGCGGAAGAATTGGGAAAAATGTTTTTTGGGAGAAAATCGAGGGAAATCAGAATCTGAAAGCGTTGTTTATTGGCAATGTCGCGACATGTGTGTCGCTTTGTTTTCTTGAGGTAGATTAAATAATCTTTATAGTATAATATAATATAAAATGTCATTTGAAGAATGACTTACCTTGAGGATGGGATGGGTAATATTCAGCTGTTCTGGCAGATTTCGGGTAACTAATTGTTTGAAACTGGTGATGTAGACTTGAGTAATCACATCCTGGTCACAGTAAAGCGTGGCGTTACTGTTGTGGTCGAAAGTGTAACATCCTTGAAGGTTGGTGAAGTTATTCTGGGCGATTTCCATGGGAATCGTCGTATTCTCGGTCTCGATGTGACAAGTCTTGTAAGATGTGATAGAAGTGGTGTTCCTTACCTTAAAAGTAATTTAATCAGTTTAAAACCAGATATAGGCATAAAAGTTGATCTAGACACAATATTTTGGGACTTACATATTATAGCAGATATAGTATGTTTAGGTATATTACTGTGGTATTATTAAAAGTAATGCTTACTGTAACATTGAAGCACTGTTTATCTCTGTCTATGACTAATAAAGTTGTGTCACTATCGCTTTCTGTTCCGAATTCTCTTCTGAACAGTGTCATCTTCTTGATGACACATACTACAACATCACTATCTTCTTTCGTATCTTCTGTAACAAGTTCGTCATCTTCATCTTCTGTTATTGTATATAAAATATACTCATCAGAGGGCATTTCACCGTCTTGTAACGTCAGAATACTGTTTTGTTTCAGTATTATTACCTAAAAAAGTTGTTTTAGATGTACATAAAACACTTACATTTGCAGTAATATTGGCCGTTTCGAGGTTACGGTAGCCGTTTTGTGACAGTAAACTTGAGAATATGTTATCATTTTGAGCAGAATTGAAGTTTATTTTATTATTGTCAAGATACCATGTCCTATCAGTTGATGGTAATCGTATTATCTAAACGTTATATTGTTATTCACATTGTTCTCAATCGATAATATGACATATTAAGTATGTTCTAATATACATTTTACATGTTTACATTTATAACGTACCACTATATTATAATTTGAGTCGTCTGTTACATCTCGTAGTAAGTCTTCGTATGTTATACATGTTGTGTTCGTAAGCCTACGGTAGAAAGACGATCTTGTAGTTATTTCTGAAATTACTTTTACTATCACAACGCCTACTCTTACCATTGTTGATATAACAAGCAAGTGCAGATGAGCAAAACAGAAAGATAGCACAGTAAACGAACATCTCGTTTGTTATGTTGTGTGTATTACACTTACTTTAAGGAACGGTAGTCAAGGAGACTGGGAAGGTAGAGTAACATACCATAACGTAGCCATGAATATTGTATGGTTTCCACGTTTTTGCGCGTTCTTTGGTTTTATTTACTATGGTTAAATACGATGTCTTTAACTATGACAATGTTAATAATTGTACAGTGTTTTACTGTATGGTTAACTCTACTATTTTTCATGTTATTTTCTCTTATCAACTAGATTTAGAATGCTCCTCAAACTTGTTGTATACCTACTGATATCAACATGTACATCCCAGTTGTTACCACGCTTCGAGGTGAGCGACCAGGAGCTGAAGGCGGTCGTAAATAAGATGAGAGAAGTCGATGAGAATAAGGCCAGGGGCAATCAGATACGACTCAACTACCAAGGACATACGGGATCAGCTGATGTGTCTGATCGAGCTGATAAAAAGTGAGTATTTGTCATTGTAATATACAATTTTAACAAAGATGCTTTCTGAAATCAACAATTATCTTCACCTTATCAACATCAATATAATTTCAGATTATTTGAGCAAATCGACTCGTCGTTACTCAGAAAACCAACATACGAAGCTCTTATTGATCTGTTGGACAACTACAACATGGACACGGGTGTAGCTGAACGAGAATCTACTCAGGTACTGTAACATTACATAGTAAATAGCTTTTACAGGCGAATGCAGAAATCGACAACTTCTTGGACTTGATATTGGCTACTCCAGTCTGGAGCACCTTGGGGCCGTTTCTGAAAAGCAAAGGTAAGACAATTGATTTCGGATATTATTTAACTTCATTTCACGGTTACTGTATGTTCATTACGTCAACAATCTACAAGTATACCTTCTTTTAGGCCACCCGTTTGCCATAGACAAAGCCACGATGAGAAAGTGGCTGAAGCAGCTCTGGTTCGACAATTACTCTAGAGCCAGAGGGCAACCTGACACGTCTGGCTTCGAGCACGTCTTCGTAGGCGAGGCCAAGAACGGTGAGATCTCGGGAATGCACAACTGGATCAGGTTCTACACTTTGGAAAGAAACGCTTCGGCCGGCTTCGACTATCGTGGATTCCTGGTGAAGCGAGGGGTACTGTAACCATTTTTAGATTTTTTTGAGTTTGGTCAGAAAGTGCATAGAACTGTCTGACCAACCTTATCAATAGCTGTATTAGTAAACGTTGGTGATTTCAGAATGTAATGGCAGCTGTCAAGTTCCATTGGAACAAGTTGGTTAAGCGGGCTGGTTCTCTTCTCATTGGTACTAGTCCAGAGTTTGACTTTGGATTGTATACTCTGTGTTTCTTAAGCAGAAGATCTAGCAGGACTTGTGACGTAAGTTAAGTTTTCAACTTAGCATAACAAGTGAGTATCCAAATAACTATGTTAATATTTGCAGGTAGAGCTAGATGGATGTCCCATGAGTGTAACCAGCTACGATATAGTGCAGAATCGCAAAGTATTCATCGGCTCCATCTTCCCGAGCGCTGGGCGGATGACAGATCAATGTAGGCAACGGAATCGAGCATAGCTTTGGAATTTGTAAATATTTTATTGTGATTTGCATTTATTTTTATATTCTTGGTGCAAAATACTGCCATTTCAAGTTCTTTAAGTAAACTTTTTTGAAAATCTTTATTTTATCAATAACTTTACCTTTTTTACCCAAAAAATGTCAAAGATAGAACTGTTCTAACACAATTTGGAAAAACCTTAAATTTGTGATATTACTCTGTCAGAAGTCGGTCGGTTTCTGACGTTTTTGATGGTATTAACTAAAGCTGATCTCGAGAAAATCCCCCTGAGTGCCGGGGGTATTCTAAATGGATGGAAACTAGTGAAGAAGGTGGGGGGAGGGTGGCTGTGGAGTGGTTTGGCAGGTTCAGAACACCAAAACGGAAGTCTTTGGGGCTCTTAAGGTACCCTTTGTCATTTTTGTTGTCATAAACGTATCATTTGCTTCTTGTGGCATTATTTGAAGTTTTTCTGTTTTGACATTACTTGTAGTGTCATAAAATATAAATTTATGAAGCCTATTGTTGTTTAAACTCGAATTTGAAGGTAGAACCATATGGAATGCTGAAAGAAGACGAACTTCTGAAGATGGAGGTGTTCGTGCTGAAGAAGTTGTCCAATGGGAAACATGTATGCAAATTATTGGCTACAGGGAAGGGACCCTCTTTTTATTATGTCATCATGACACTCATTGGTCCTTCTTTAAGTGCTCTTCGCAAAATCATGCCAGACCAGGTAAGACAGACTTTAAAAATTTCAAAATTTGAAAAGCAATAACAATTTGAAAATTCTACAAAAAATGTAAAATTTATTAATCAGATGACGTAACTTTAAAAAAAATTCTTTGCCATTTAAAATTTGTTTCAGAAGTTTGACCTGCCCACCACCATCATTCTGTCGCTGGAAACCTTAAATGGCATAAAAGAAATCCACGACGCCGGCTTCGTTCATCGTGACATAAAACCTTCAAACTTTGCTACGGGAATCAAGAACAAGCGTCATATCTACATTATCGACTTTGGACTAGCTCGCCAAATAATTGTAAGTACAACACAATACGGTTCTACAAATTTTCTCTGGGGGAGGGGGGAGGCCGAAAAAAATTTTTTTCGTTTACAGGTACAGCTACCTGTGGACCGATTTTTTTGTTTTTTTTTGCGTACAGGTACCTCCTACCTGTGGAATTTTTTTCGGATCGGCTCCGGGAGAGGGGTACCCCCACCTCTCCCCCAAACGAAGTAAGCATTTAGGACAAAGTAAAGTAATATAACGTCGAACTGAACACAAAAATATGATTTTAATTCCAGATGACCGAAAATGGGAAAACGAAACTCCGGGAGCCACGAAAGAACGTTCCCTTCAAAGGCACGGTACGCTACTGTTCTTTGAACGTTCACAGGAAGGAGGAATGTGGGAGGCACGACGACCTGTGGTCATGGCTGTACATGTTGATCGAGATGTTGAACGGATCCCTACCGTGGAAGAGCATGGAGCGGACTCCAGCTGAGCGCTGCAAAGAGACTTCAGAGAAAATGTTGACCACCATGATCCCCAAAGAATTCTGGACATTCTTCAAGTATCTGAAGCGGCTAAACTACAACAAAGTCCCGGGTAAGTAAGACGATGTAATTAAAAGCATAGTCTAACCATTTTGTCTTATAGTTAATACTTTACCATGCTTTTAGATTACAGTCTATTCAAGAGCACGCTACAAGAAACGGCCAAGAAGAAAGGCCTTAGTCTGGAGAAGCACCTCTTGCCTTCGGAAGTGAAAGGAAAGATAGCTCAGTTATTGACACCAGAAACCCAAATGTAAGTGTAACACATTGTAAAACATCAAACCTACAAAGGAAAGCAGCATTCTTCATTATTCTAATCTAAAAGATAACAAATTTGATGATAAATAACCGTTTTCACTTTCAGACAGATCAAGCAGAAGACGGCAGACGAGGTGCGACAACAAGACCAGCCCACCCAGTCCGAAGCCGCCGCCAACCGCACCCAGTACGGCGTGGTGGACATCAAGGAGAACGAGTACGACGAGAACGACAGCGAGCTGCCGTCCCGAGTGTCCGGAAAGTCGGAAACCGACGATACCATGGGTGGTTTGAACGATATAAAATAAATAAAATGAGAAGCGCCTAAGGGCTCAGCGGGTTTTTCGAAAGTGAGGCCGTGAAGCGCAACGAGGGCGCGCCATTCCCTTCTCGATCTTCCTCTCAGCGCAGATCATAGCGATCCCCTCCCTGACTTTCAACTTATTCTCGAATTATAATAGTTTCGCTTATGATCCCAAAACCGCCTGACTGGACTGTTTGGGGTCTCGCCCTCCTGCTACTTAATTCTGCCATAGCGTCGCCGGTGAAACGCCAAGGTAAGTGTAGTAATCGACAGTTATGGTTTTCAACCCAGAATGTTTTGTTGTTGTTACCTTATTCAAAAGTAGGTCGAATTAAAAAAAATTGAAAAATAATAAGTTTTAGTACATAAATGGTACAGTAACAAAAAATACTTTAAAAATTAAATTTTAAAAGTATTCGAAGTTAATTTTTAAATAACAAAAAAATATAAAATAATCACTTCGGTTATCAATAAGCACACAAAAAATAATATCTTAATCCTCGAATCAGTCTAACTAAAAAAATATTTTTGTTTAATTTTTTTAATCAAAATTGCCAAAAATTGACCAAACCAATTTTAAACCCATTAACACCACTTTTCCTTACAGTAACCCTAGACGACCTTATCCACACCGCCCTCAGTTTCGTCAAGCCCATATTCGACACGTCACGTCCGCTACAAGAAAGCCCAGGTGTTGTGAAGAAGGTAAACCCAAGTTATCATATCTGATTTGGTGTTTAGAATGCGTACCAAGGACGCGAAGTGGCGGTACTAGGGGCCCCAACCCTCCTTCAATCATCTGATTCCCCGATTTGTAGGGGCAACTCTCAAATATGCAAATTCATCTCATGTACAGCCCATAACTTCAAATACGACGAGAGTTTCGCTAACTTGAATCTAGCTGCTCAGCTGGTACAAGATCCGAAAATGAGAAAAGTCATCAGCCAGTAAGTTGATACCTAAAGAATACTTTGCGTGAAGAAGCCAAGCTTAAAAAATCATTCTTTTCGCATTTTTATAATTAAAAACGATTCTAACTATTATAAATCACCAAAGTTATTACCTTAATGTAAAATTTATAACTGATTCAGAAACCCAGAAGCAGTGACTTCTGTGTGCCGAGAACAAGGACTCTCTCATGAACAATGCAGAATCTTCTCCAAAGGCTTCCAATTAATCGACCGCTTCATGAACACCATCGAAAAGCCGGTCGAAGAGCCCACGACGGAAGAGCCACTGGAACCTATGCTAGAGCCTATTAACGACAGTCCTGAACCATACCCATCGCCGCCCAGTCTACCAGCCGGCTCACACACATGGTCGACTAGAGTCAAGAGTATCGACACTAGGTCTATGCCTATAGGACGAGATCCTCCAGCTAACAGGACGATGATGAAGAGCACGATACACAAAACTCCGTCATTAGGTGCAATGACAGTAGCTCCCAGGAAAGGTAACAGAGCACCACACGCCCGGAACCCTAGGCCGACCAAGTACTCAACTGCACAGACTACAAGGAGACCTGTGATAGCACGGCCTCCAAAGCCGCAGATAGAAGAAGAGTATGAAGAGTACGAAGACGACGACCTTCTACAGAAGAGTAGGCCCCGGAGGCCGCGACAAGCAGATTACTACGACGAACTGTCGCAAGATACGACCAGTTCGTCGATGTCATCTACACAGGCTCCAACCCAAAAACTAAATTGCATACAATATCTCAGAGACTTAACTTAATAAACCAAATCAGGTAAATACTTTCGAAGATTATGTCAAGTTAAGTAAGACCTCCTGAAGGTTGTTTACAACCTTCCAAACGCTACGTCAATATGGGTCTTCTACAGAGTCAATCCATTCGAGTTTAAACTGACGATGACTAGGTCAAGGTAGGTCAAGACCACCGATGACTAAACAAAGACATCAGGTCAAGGTGACGGTGTTTCGGCAGATTCTCGCTTCACCTCCAGGTTCGCCAAATAAAAAGTAGAGGACCGGTTTTCGGGGATTGGAGTCGATCACAGCCAGCTCCTTCTTTCCGCGCTCTCACCTCAGATCCCTCTCCCACCTTAGATCCTTAAGGAAATTTGAAGATTGGAGTGGATGATTCTCCCACTAATTCCTACCTAATGTTGATCTCGAAGCTGCTTCTCTTATCTACGGGTCTTCTATTTGTTTCCGCCGTGCCAAACCTATCGTCAACTCCCGAAGAACAACTGTCTCAGAAGCCGTCCTTGAATGATGCGAGACCGAATGAAGGTTGGTTGAGTAACTAGTAGGCATTTCTTAATAATATAATCGTTCAATTTGCTAGAGTAACTTATCATAATGCCTATCAAAGTCATTTTCTTAAATTTCGAAAATCAAAAAGAACTCAAAACCCTAATTTAATCAAATAACCGTAACCCTTTCTTGAAGCGCTATCATTTATCAGCAGATTTATGCAGAATGGCGGCATAATGAATATGGTAAGTAAAATGCTCAACTTGGCCGACCAAAAACAGCAGGCAGATCAGGTGAAGAAGGAGATGGAAGAACCCCCTCAATCAGCTTTCTCCATCGACTCATCTCCGAGTCAAATTGGTGAGTCATTTCCTTAGGCGATTCACTTTTTTTCAGACGACTCCAAACAATGGAAGTCTGTCTTGTTGGGCCCTCGAGGGCTTCTGACCGAAATATTCAATCAAGTCAAAGACAAAATGCAAAACCAGTACAATGAAGATATGCACAAGATCAACACCAAGGTACAACAAGAACAACAACAAGACATGTCACCAGGTATGTCTCAGAAAGAAAAATATAATGTCAATTAATACAGTAAACCAAAAGAAGAATATTAAAATCAGTCAAAATATAAGAATCTTAAGTCAAGATGAAAATTTCAGAACAACTAAACTTTGCCAAAGTGTTTGAGACCTTTATGCAGAAGGCAGGTAAAGGAAACTTTGACGAACCCCTGCCAGAACTACCGTTTATCGGAATATGTAACCGCCTGAACTGTGGGGACATCTACAAAGCTGTCGATGAGTTCCGCAAAAGTGACTTTTTCTCCAATTTCCAGGTAACCTTTTGTGTAATTTTACTGATTTTTAGGTTAAAATCAGTAAAACTTACAATGGCAGGTACAAAACTAAACTACCTTTCATTTTCAGACCGCCATGAGTCTCATCCACGACCCTAAAGGCTGGGACATCATTGGAAAAGTCCTTGAAAATCCAGAACTGATCGAAGACTTCACGAAGCACAAAGTTGACACTACAGATATCAAAACCGACGAACTCAGTGGCTTTGGAACTGACTTTTCCCCGTCAATCGATGGAACGGCAGAACACGTCGGGAAAGAATTGCCTCAAATCTCTTCGAACCTCGACTACTATTCAGCGGTAAGCGCACAACTCTAACAAAACTGAAATTTAGGTAGAAAAAGTGAAACCAGAAGACGAAGACTACGTTGATGTTGAGGAAAAACACAAATCAGAGACAAAGAGTATGGCCAATGGTGCTCAAAAAACAGAATTCGCTTCGAAAATGTTCAAGGAAGAGCCTTTGCCTATGATCTCAGAAAACATCGACGAATACGAAGTTCATGTAGACAAGGAAGAGACCATTAAGCTTGACAAGGAAGAGACCGTAGTGAACAAAAACATGAAAGTAGATAAAGAAGATACCATAGGGTTAGAAGAGAAAATTTCAAACGAAAATCTGATTCCAAACACGATACAAACTACGACTACACAAACGTCTACTACTGTGAAACTACAGCAAACGACGCCGAAGCCGCCAGCTCCACCAGTCGAGCCGGTAAAGATGGTGCCCAGCAGAAACTTTAGGAGGAACGACGATTACTATGCAATGTATTACGATGCGTAATACCAATATTTATGTGTATATAAATTGTTTTGAAAACGTTGGTTTAATTTAAGGTGAAAAATTAATATATTTATATTTGCGTAGGTTCATTGTATTGCTACTATTGACAAAACTAAGTTATCAAACCACAACCTTCAACTTTTTGAAATTTTGTCTCACTCAAAATAACTTACATTAACAGTAATTATGCTAAACTCAACGTGATATACTGATATCCGACAACGTTATGCTGAGCCTTGTTCTAAATACATATAAGGGACGAGCTAAATACATCGGATGGTTTGGTCGAAAATAAATCAGCGATTCCCTGGCTGAGCAGGTATCAGCCAAAGAATTGCATTTTTTGGCTGAATCTTGAAATATCAGACAAGGAATCGCATATTTTTGCTGAAATGTCAGCCAAAAAATCATGATTTTTGGTTGATATATCAGCCAAAAATTTTTGCTGTTGATATCAGACAGAAAATTTAGATTTTTGGCTGAAAAATCAGCCAAAAAATTCTAGTCTTTGGCTGATACGTGTTCAGCCAAGGAATGGCTGATTTATTTTCGATTAGGCCATCCGATGTATTTAGCTCGTCCCTTATATGTACCTTTCGAAAGGCCCATTCTTCGCAAAAACTTTTACTTGCTACGGAATGTCACGTGTTGTATCGGGCGTTGCGAAGTGTCACAAAAATATTTTCTTCAATTTTATTTGCTTCATTTTTCTTTGATCGTCTTCTTCCTTCGTTATAAGCGTGCGTTTCAAACTTCAGCTTTGTTTTTGACTGTTTTATTTTTTACATTGCAAGCTTTGTCATGCCAGGATATCGGTTTATTTTTAATTTAAGACGTTTTTTCCAGCGGTTCGTCGTGGCGCGGGCAGCAAAAAGATTGAAACTCGGTGAGCCGAGTCATCCGGCCCCAACTATGAATGCCAAATTGAAGTCTGGTCAACGTGAAAAAGTAGGTTGGTGCTTAACAATGTTATTCTTGACTTTAGTTGCGCACTTTTATTCAAATTGCAAACTGTGATGAACCCGTTGCTCTGAAATGCTTGAACAATTCTGACTGGAACGTAGAAAGAGGCCTCGACATATTTTACCAAACTCCATCTTTGCAGGAGAGTTCGTCGGGTAGCGATGTTCGAAAATTAGATGCCATGTTTTATCAATATGCCAATGGTAAGGTTTCCTGGTATAATGTATAACCTGATACTTTTCATTACTAAAATCTCACTTTTAATTTTGAATACTAATCATTCTTGGTTCAGATAAGGAAGACTTAAAACAAGCGGGTGTAGAAAACAAAATCGGGCCTAATGGCATGCTCAGGCTGCTCAATGACCTTAATATTGATCCCTCAGCGTTGGAAGCCTTAGTGTTAGCATGGAAGATGAATGCTGAAACACAATGTGAATTTTCTTTAGAAGAATTTAAGAAAGGATGCCAGCAGATGAGGTATGTTTAGGTTTATTTGCATATGTCTTCCGTTTCTTATTTTTTGTTCATATCTTTTTCTGTTTCAGAGTTGATTCATTAGAAAAACTACGAAATCAAGCTGCTACATGGAGAAACGAGCTCAAAGATACACAAAAGTTCAAACAGCTCTACCAGTTTGCCTTCAACTATGCCAAGAGCGCCGCCACCAGATTCCTGGAGATTGACACGGCGATCGCTTATTGGAATCTGATCTTCGAAAACCGAGATGCTCGAGTCCCTGTCTGGATTCAGTTTCTACAGGAGAAAGAGACCAAAGGCGTTTCTAGAGACACATGGAATCTCTTCTTTGACTTCCTGATCCAGACCATGGACAATTACGAGAACTACGACGCGGAAGGAGCATGGCCAGTAATGATTGACGAGTTCGTAGAATATGCTAAATCAAAGAAGAATTAATACGGTTTTCATTAATGTCTATTCCAAATTATGTTCATAGTTGCTGTATCACAAACTTGCGATAAACTCCTACTGATTACTATTCGTTGTAATGTTTTATAAGTTCATAAACCTTTCACAACGTTATATCGTTATTTTATTACTTTTAAACTCGTTATTAGCAAAATATAATATTAAGTAAAATGACTATAAACAAACTAAAAATTTTAAGTAATTTGTAATTTAATGTACTGTCCAATTTTGACGTACTATACGCTTTCAATGTGGTCCCAAAGCGAAATCTTACCGGCCTGAAACGAAACGCCAAACTAAATAATTTTGCCAGTTGGCAACGTATGTTTGAGTCCAAAACGAGTCGTTGTAGTAGAATAATGTCCCGTTTACTTCTTTTGTTGGGTGTATTCCTCACCATTGTATCAGCTCAATTACCTAAACTTACAGTTCAAGATGCTACGCTTGTTGACGGATTAGGAGCTTCACAAAAGTAAGATTTTTTAATAGTAAAGCGAAGCTTCAAATTTAAAATACGGCTTAATTGTTTTCTTTATCTATATCAAAATTCTTTATTTTTACATTCTTTATTTACCGCTTTAGTTTGGTGTCGGGTCAGAAATTAGGCAAAGTAGTTGACCTTGACTCTTCCCACGATTTGAAGTTGACCTTCAAAGTGCTGGCCAGCAACAAGCCAGTCAGTGTCCACCAATCCTTTGTTATTTTTGTTAATGATAAGACGGGTAAACAAGTTGCTTATGTGTTGGAACAAGATGCGAAGACAGAAACTTACACCTTCGACTTGGTAAGTTCTCTAATTTTAATGTTATCTCGACATTTAGCAAATGAAGACTCATGGAAAGGAATTTGGAGGAGAAGCCGGTACTTACTCTGCTCATCTGCTTCTTGGTGATGTAAAATACGAAGGATTCGATTGGGTGTTTGCCCAATTCAACGTCAAAGTCGAAGCTGTGTCAGTTGAAGTGATCCCTCCTTCTCAACAAGTTCACTACCAACCGAAGAAGGAAATCAAACACTTGTTCCGTGAGCCTGAAGCCCGTCCTCCAGCCTTCTTTGCTCACATCTTCGCTTTGGTCTGTGCTGCTCCACTCCTAATTCTGTTGGTGTCTGTAAGTTTCTTTGCCATTGCCATGTGATTCGTGACCAGCTAACTGTAAATTTCGTTTCCCTTTCTAATATATAATAAAAGTTTTAAACTTTTAATTTGTAGTGGCTGGCGATTGGAATCAACTTCGGGCGTCTTCCGTTCTCCATCTGGGTTCTTGGATTCCATGGCGGAGTCATCTCCATCTTCACCTTGTACTTATACTTCTGGATTCAGCTCAACATGTTCGACACGTTGTACTACTTAGCCCCTATCTCTGTGGTCACCTTTATCAGCGGACACAGACTCTTCCGTTCATTGGCCTCCCAAAAGTAACTAGTTAGCGACCTTGTTGTTATTTATTTATCTAATAATTATTAAATATTAATAATTAAACACCGGCAGTGGATGACCCTCCGTGTTGAAAACGTACTCGTTCAAAGGGAACGCCGTTTGGTCGTCGGAAAATAGAAGATATAAATATTTAAGGCTCTCGGAAAGAAAGAACGACTCCATCATGTCTCTGAAACATACAATAGTTATTATAAGTTACTTTCTCAATATCTTTAGACTAAAATAGAAAAAAGTACTTTCTCGTAGATGTCAAGACGCAATTTCTGGGAAAAGTAATAGCGTACGTAAAAGTATATATTTGGGTACAGTCACTAATTAAGACACTCACCTATATGTTACCGGAATTTTTTTGCAGTTATTGACTGAAGAATACCCATTTTCTACCCGTGCATATTTCTCTATCGCTAAAAAGGCTTCCCAGCCCCACTCCTGATACATTTTGTCACCAGTGATACGATACATGTAGAACCAGGCTTCGAAGGCTTCTGGTCGCAACAAAGAATGTGCATCTAACGGCTAAAACATTTGTTAAGAGTAACTGAAGATGACTGGGAAAGGGAAATCTCGGGGAATGCGTTTTCGGGGAGGAAGTTTCGGGGAATAGTATTTTCGGGGAATGTAAGTTCGGGGAATATGTTTTCGGGGAATAATATTTTCGGGGAGTGGACTTTTCGGGGAAAAATTTTTAAAAAATTTATTTTTATGTAAAGTCCTAAAAAGTTGTGAATGACTAAAAACAATTTGATTATATTAACTATATCATTAATACATAATGTATAAGTAATATTTAAACCAAATAATTTAGTTCAATTGGTGGAAGACTAAATCACATATTCCTTATTACCTTGACTGAATCACATACTGACCGAATCACATGTGTCTTTAATTATCGTGAACGTTGACATCGTACCGTGAACGTTCCTATGACACTTTTTTGTATAGGTTTAATGTAAGGTCACATGATAAATAGAGTACCGTGAAGGTTATCGTACCGTGACGTGAACGTTCTAATTTTTATGTTTTCGAAGTACGATGATAACGATACTTACATTTACTCTATGATATTTTTACAAAACCATTACAAAAACAGTAACATTATAACGTTCACGGCGCAGTACAATAACGTTCACGGTATTCTATTAATACTTATCATGTGACCTTAAATTAAAAGTATACAAAGAAGTGTCATAGGAACGTTCACGGTACGATGTCAACGGTCACGATAATTAAAGGCACATGTGATTCGGTCAGTCTGTGATTCAGTCTGGGTAAAAAGAAATATGTGATTTAGTCAGGTGGTGATTCAGTCTTCCACCAATTATACGTCATTCACAACTTTTTAGGACTTTACATAAAAATAAATTTTTTAAAAATTTTTCCCCGAAAATATTATTTCCCGAAAACATATTCCCCGAAATTACATTCCCCGAAAATACCATTCCCCGAAACTTCCTCCCCTAAAATGTACTCCCCGAAAACGCATTCCCCGAGATTTCACTAACCCAAGATGACTGTACCTTTATTATTATGTCATCCTTGTTTGTGCCAGGCAGCTGGTTGAAATACACAATTTCTGGAGCTAAGCCCGTTGGCGTTTTATACATTTCGTAACATGTACGTGACAAGTTCTTGGCCATATCCATGTGCCACTCGGGAAGACCGTTCTGAGCACCCAGTGCCAACGTTCCTGCTAGGAAACATACCAAATGGTCCTAAAAATGAAATAAATCATATTTCGGCAAAGGTGTGGTAAACTGTATAATCCAGGTTACAATAACATAGAAAGCTTACCATTTTGGGAGAGTAAGAGTTGCCAGACAAAAGTTCGCCCACAAACCAGAACTGTTTTGGTTCTGAAGCGCGCCACAAATGCTTCTTCATGGCGTCTATAGATTCCACGTAGTCCTTCTTCAACCAGTCGACCGCCTTCCCAGTTTGTAGCCACTGTTTCAACAAGTATTCGTAGTAACTGTCAGCTCTCGCGCCTAATGTTATAGTGGTACTGTCTCTGAAGGTACCAGTTGATGGATTCAGAAACATTCCGCATAACCCATCGTGTTTCTTACAACCAATATTGTGGATGTGTTCTGACACCTTGAAGGCCTTTTCCTAAAAAATTAGCAGTTACTGTGCGATACTTTACTATAATGTCATTCGATATCAAAAGACCGAACCTCGTATGTTGTATTTCCTGTTAATCTACTCAGATCTCTGAATTCCAGTTGTATTGAGGTTACTTCTGACAACGAACTTTCGCCACCCCATGCTGGTTGCTTCGCTTTCCTAAAAGAATAAGTACAACGTTAAATTATGAGCATACCTGGTCTTTAAATTGACGTCACTATATGGAATATCCGTGTTCTCTAATGCTCCCATTAATCGGATTCCAATGTCTTCTGCCTTCGTCTTAAACACCTCTTCTTTGGTAATGTGGTATGTCGTCAACAATCCTCCTAATATTCGAATTGTAGTTTCGAACAAGTTAACATAGTTGTCTTTTTCAAATGTTAACTTGTTTATCACCCAATCCTTCGCCTCTCCAAATTCTAAAATTGGCATCATAAGTCAAATAATTATAGATACTATAACCTATTCATATACATACTAATGTTTCTAAAAATGAAGCAAAAAATCATTTTACCTACCTTGATCTAAATTCATCATCAACATAGTGTCTAGCGAGTCTACTATTGTCAATCCACATTGCATCCATTCTGAGTAGCCTTTAGATATAGGCTTCAAATGGTCGTAGCCCCAAGCATACTTCTTGTAACCCTGCCATGCATGTTGAAAAGCTGCCCTTACTGCTTGCTGCCTTTGGTTGGGTTCAGGGAAGGTGATTACACCACCTTTATTACTGATTTGAGGTTGTTTGTTTTGTTCATCAACAGTCTTGTATCGCTTTGTAGTAAAGACCTATAAGACAAGTTAGCGTGTATAAAAAAATTTTTTTTACAAGTTTCGAGCAAAGTTTTTCATGATTTAAATTAAAAATGAGTGTTTACATACCTGTTTTTGATAAACATCCTCAACTTGTCCTGATAACGAGTAAACTTGTGCGTAAAAACAAAAAATCAACAAAAACACAGCTAGACCTATAACTACGGTACGCTGAAAACGATGTAACCCTCTCCATTTGCGGACGAGAGTCGTCACACAACTAGTTGGCTTAGGCCTCTGAACAAACAGTGGTAGAACTTCATCTTTCTGAAGTGGTAACCATTGTGGCATTGCTATTATTGCATCTTAAAATTCAATATTTCAACTTCAACCATATTGGTCTTACACCCTAATGTATTGCAAGAACAATCACAAATAAAAACAGATGCAAACTGGTACGTAAGGTACAATTATCATTAAATTACAACTTTATTAAAGCATTGAAAAAAATTTAAAGCCATGGAACGTTTTTGAGATTACAAATATCGGATAAGATCATTCGAAGTAAGATGGCACCGATACTAAAGATAACACCTCAAGGAGATTTGTCGTAGAAGCACACATAAATGGCGTGGATAATACCCGGAATAACAGCCAGCATGGTGAAGAAAATGTTGATGCACAGATGGATGGTGCAACCGCGTGAAATCAACACCGCCAACGGCTAAAAATAGAAATAAGTTTATTATCTAACACAAAATGATCAAAAACTAATATTTCTTATCTAAATATTACCTAAACATAAAAAGTAACCAAGTAGCTTACCGGGAACAAGATACACAAAATGAAGATGATACAACGGCACATTCTTTCACGCGATGACTAAATCATCAATATTAACAACAATAAAACAACATCAACTGCAAATTATAATAACACAAAAGCAATAATCATGGTAGCAACCAAGAACTGCAATACGAAATCAAAAATCTGAATAATTTATTAAACATTTAAATATTTCCTGGCATAGAAGATCGCTTTCTGTTCAAAGGCACTGCTCTTGATAAGGCTGTCAGGAATGTAAAACGGATTCATACTATACTTTATATACACTTCATACATCTCCTGAAAGAACTGCCGTATGTTCTCCTCATTCTTATTCGTATGTAATATCATAAACCTCATCCTGCTGGCAGTCAAAAAGGCTGACACAAACCATTCATTGAACTTGTCTACTACCTGAAAACAAACGTATAAGATTATCATACTTTGACTAATATCTGCATTAACATAGTGCAAACCATATTGTAGTAGACAAAAATTAACTCATGTAGGTATAAAGTTTTTTGTCATTTCTCTTAAAAGAAAACGTAAAATGGCAAAAAACTGTTTATAACTATAAAATAATAAGTCATAATGCGAAGCATACCTTCAAGTACATGTTGGAGGAATGCAGAGCCTGTTCGTCAACAATGTCCAACGCTGCATGAGCTATAAACTGATGCAAATGCCTCACATCGTTTTCCTTTTTCTTCTTCTGTGTGGTTACAGGGAACTCGATCTCGAATACGGGTTGATCATCCCTGCCCACTATCACGAAGTAATACTCCTTGGACATTGTTTTTTACATCCCTATAAAAACACGTTTTGTTTTTCGTCTGGCACTCTTTCCTCTCGCTGTGCCGTTTCAAGTGAGAATCTCGTGGCTCGGAAAACGAAAAAAGTCCGAAAAAACGAAAATACATTTATAAGTTCAAACAACACAAATAGTATACACAATGCAAAGAGAAAATTTTCAAGACTTAACGTATCACGATGATAACATAGTGGACTTAGTGATCTGGGCGTTTCTTAGCATCGTTTTCAATCAAAACTAAATTTTCAATTAAATTCATTAAAAAGTTATCATCTACTTTTATAATCTTAGCTTACAAGATTTTTAATGTACAAACTAATTTTTCATCTTCATCTTTATTACAAACTTCTAAAATGCCACAAAAAAGTAGTTGAATCTATAATTAAAACTAAACTAAAGCTTTTTTTACCTTGAGAATGATTCTTATGGTACGCTCTAGTTAATGGGACACTTCCTCCAAACACAAAGTTCAGAGTTTTCACGTAGAATTTTAGAACATCGGAAATCTCCATTAGAAAAGAAATTCGGGATCGAAATGAAAAAGGATTTCGGATCGGAAGAGAATTTAAAACTTCTGTGACCCATTGAAAATACTTCAATCGAGGTTTCAATATGCCCATCATGAATTAAAATACCTAACAGCATTAGACATGTAGAAATTCACGACAGATAAATGTTAGTCCAGAAAAGCATGAGTTATGATATTAGAGAAACGTTAATGTTAACAAAGACTATGAAAAAAATACTCAGTTCATTCAAACCCTCAATTATAACATAATTTAAAAAATAAATAGCAAACCCGATAAAAATTAATATTGTCTGTCGAATTTGCAAAATTATTTTAGAAAATCATAGAAATTCCAAATAAACAATAACCAACATTGCTAAACTCATAAGTCCCATCACGAAAACTAATTGTTGGCTTTTCGTTATATACACTTGTTAGAAAAAAATTAATTTACCGAAAAATTAATGTAACAATGTCTGGGTTGGAAGATTGCGATGTAGAGACTTACAATAATCTGTTTAACTCTTTGGACGATGAACTGGACTTTTTCACAAACGACGGCTTTCAGGTATGTTATCGATCTTTGTTGATTTATTGACAATTTAGAATAACGTGGATTTGGATCCGTCGGAGATCGACATTTTGAATGGTTGCAATTGGGGTTATAAATGTACTCCTGAATCTAGCGATTCTGGAAATTATTCACCCGGTAGCTCAAATGACGATATAACAAGATACGATGGAGAAAATGCATTTGTTCTGCCTGCTGAAAGTACTGGAACATTTTCACCTTCGTCTTATTCAGGGCTGCAGGTAAGGAACTTTGATTTCTTTAATTTGATGCTTTCTTCTTGTTTTTAGTTATAGTTTTTCAGTTTCAGTTTTGTGTTTAATATATACTTTTTAGGCATTTTCTGAAAAAAGTTACAATTCTCAGCTGGAAGTTCTACCACAAAATCCTTGTACGTCGTTTCAGTTGCATACATCAAATTGTCAGGTGCCAACGACTCCTGTTCCTGTTCAAACTATTATGTTAGCTACTCCAGTTACTTTAGTGCCAGCGAATAGACTTGTAGTTGCTTCTCCTGCGGGAAATAAGGCTAATTATAGTAATTTATCTGGTTGGGGTGCTGTGAACAATAATTTGATAAACTGTGGTGTCAATAAAAACGTCGATGACGTAAGTTTTTTTAAATTTTTTTTAAATTTAGAATATTGTTGTCAAAGGTTTTTATAAATTTGTTGAACTGGGTCATGAGTTTCAATTTTAGAATGGTTTTATAAAAAAGATTGAAGACAAACGGCTTCGGAATCGTGCAGCCGCTCAGGCATCTCGCCAAAGAAAAAGGATGGAGATGGATACTATGAAGCAACAACTACAAGATTATGAAGACGAATGTAATCGTCTGAAACAAGAGAACAAAGTGCTGAAGGAGCGTGTGAATCAGCTTGAGAATATAATCAACAATCCATTGAGGAGAACATCAGATGTACCTCACAAAAAGGCAAAAAGAGTCGCCGGAGCTTGTTTAGCTGTCTGTGCTTTGTTGTTCACCATTAACAATGGCTATATGGAAAAGTAAGTTGGTTTAGTAAACTTTTTTTTATATTTAGTTTATTATAATTGTAGTCGATGAGATGGCAATACAGTATTTTTATTTTAGACCGACGATTTCTACTGAATTACAACTAGCCCCTCCATCTGACCTGATTTACTTAAAAGAACATCATGGTAGATCATTACCTCGGGTTTCTTTTTATAATGTAAGCTTCTAATTGTTAATTTTAAATGCTTATTTATATCAGTTTAACTTATAACGTTGGTTGTTTAGAATGTGACCCGATTTGACAATCAGACCTTGTGCAACTTTGGCCTTTTAAATACGACTGAGAAGATTAGGTAATAATTATTTTATTTATTTACGGCTTTTGTTCTTATCTAGTTTTTTGTAAAATCTGTTTTATGTATAATGGGTTATCATGTTGCAGATTGAACAAGGACATTAATGGATGGGTAAAACGTCACGAGCAACTTAATTTTGTGGAACTGAGAAAAGGTGTGGAGCCTGTGTTGATTTACAATAGTCCGAAATCATTAATATTTAAAAATGCGACAAAACAAAACACAGACGATATCGTCAAGAAGAGAGTGTATTCTTCGAAGAAGGTAGTAAAGAAAGCTGAGACTAACGATGGATTTTTGTAAGTTTTAAATGTATTTTTAAATTTGGAGTTCATTAATGAATGTATTTTTACAGTAGTCAGTAACAATGTTTTTGTTTTAGACCTTCTGTCCTAAATGTGTCGCATGGTGCTGACCGTGATAGAGACGCTCTGATGGACAAACTGACGCGTCTCATCAAACGAGAAGACGACGTTTTGTACTTGGTTATGATGAAGGTAAGCGTTTATGTTGTCATAGGTTATAGATTTATTTTTTGTTTATGATAAATTTTAAATTCTAGGATTACTTTTTGTTACCTAATCTGAGTGGCAATGCTACCCAAAATCCAAAACTGTCAATCGTCATACCAGCTCTGTCGCAACAAGAAAAAGGCCTTGAGTTGAAGATGATGAAGATCGATACTGAAGTAACTGGCACTGGACTGTTTTACCTTTCAAAGGATGTAGCTTCAGTTTTGAGACAATCGGAGATACCTTAATGCTTTATTTATAGATTGTAATGCAGTCATATTATTCTAATATCTTGTAAAGTTTTTGTAATGTCTAAAATGGCTTTAATGTGAACCAATGTATCTAGTCGGTATATAATAATATGATCTGGGAGTGTATTTTATGAAATAAATTATTTACTTTTTTATCATTATGTGTTAAACTGATGGTTATTACCATTTTTATTGTGTTTAGTGTTTGAATTAATAATTACAAATGCTTTTAGTTTTAAATGTCATCGTAGTTGGTTGTAACATGAGCAAGTACATTGAACGGTATGTGTTTTATGCTAAAGCTAACTGTTTTGTAAGCTTTTCCAGCTTTACTGTAACTTTTTGTTAGAAGTAGTAGTTGAAAATAATTTTACTGATAATTTGTAACATTTGGTGGATAATATACATTTTTAGGATCACACATATAGAGAATCTGTTGCTGATACAGAACCTTGTCATAGACACGAATGCTCTTCGAGAAGCCTGTTCTTTCGGAATTCCTGATCTGTTACGGCCGTTGTGCTGGAGGTTATTCTTGGGATACCTGCCAAAAGAACGACAGGAATGGCACGCTGGTTTGAAGAAGCAAAGAGAAGACTACGTTTCCTTGGTCGGGAATCTGATAGAGGCTCACATTGAGTGTTCTGAAGAAGGTCCGGTCGATCACGTAAGTGTTTTGAACATTTTCAGTTATAAAAAAAGGTTAAAATTTTACTTCATATGTTGTTACGGTACACACTGTTTTTCTTTATTTTTATTTCCTAAATTTTTGTTTTAGCCATTGTCCGATGGAGAACACAGTCAATGGGCCAAGTTCTTTGCTGACAACGACGTCTTGATTCAGATCGACAAAGATGTGCGACGATTACGACCAGAAATAGACTTTTTTCAAAGAACAACAAACTATCCAATGAAGTAAGTCATTTTAAAGGCGTATTTTAAGTATTAATCTGAACCTACATTATTTTAATGTTCAATTTAAATTATTGTGATGCTTTAGAGAGGCTCAGAAGTTGTCGAAGCGACTAAACACACTCGACAACGATGATGAACCTGTTAGGATAGTTGATGGAGAATATCATTGGCAAGTCGTTGAAAGAATATTGTTTGTGTACTCCAAAGTCAATCCTGGCATCAAATACGTCCAGGTAATACGAATCCCTTTATTAAAACAGTTTCAAAGAATTTTTGCCTGAAAGGCTTTGTTTGACAAAATTTTACTTCAGGGCATGAACGAGATCATCGGACCTTTGTACTACGTGTTCGCTTCAGACCCAGACAAGGAATGGGCCGAGTGTGCCGAAGCCGACACTTTCTACTGCTTCCAGCTTCTGATGTCGGAAATCAAGGACAACTTCATCAAGTCGTTGGATAGCAGTTCCTGTGGCATCGAATGGACTTTGGCCCATTTCTCTCAACTGTTTCAAAGTGTGGATCCAGAACTTTATGATCATATTGTACTTAAACTGGACGTGAAACCTCAATTTTACGCATTTAGATGGTTATCTCTGCTCCTGTCACAAGAATATTCTCTACCAGACCTAATCAACATTTGGGACAGCGTATTCTCAGCCCATAACAGGGTGGAGGAGACGGAGTATATCTGTGTGGCCATGTTGTGTCAGTTCAGAACTGAACTTCTGAACGGCGATTTTAGCCAAGTTGTGAAGTTCTTACAAGTAAGTAGTGATATTGTATCTTTGGTTTAAAAGTTTATGGAAAACTGAAAAAATACGGTTTTAATGAAATCTGTTTCAGAATTACCCAGTGATCGACACGAACCAGTTGATTAACTTGTCTTGGGAGATCAAGAACAAGCAGAAGAGTAACAACAACAACAATGGCCATAAAAGCACAGGAAAGTTCTGGAACAAAGAACGATTCTCGGCCATCGTCAGTGGGGCAAAGGAACGCATCTCCAACTACGCCAATGTAAAAAGATCGACCAACCGAAGTGACGGATCCATAAAATACCGTCATTCCCCGTCAGAGTAACCATCATTACACGTACAAGCAATTTTGACAATTACGAGCATTAGAGTGTGTAATTCATAATCTTCTGTTGATATTGTAACATTGTCAGTATCATCTTCAAGTTCTTATAGCAGTTGTGTCTAATGGTGCTTCCCCATGCCTTATCTTATGTATATCAGCCTCACTTACTCTTATATTGTATCACTCAACCGTTAGCCCACTAACCGGCAAGATATTCATGATGTTGGTGTTTATACCATTTCAAATTTGTACATATTTTAATGAAACTATAACACTTCTTATGCCATCTTTATATGGTCGTTTACGGGTCGAAGTAAATTTGTATTACCGTTTCTTGTTGCCTGTGTTTTTGCGTTGTACAAAGTAGATGTGGCCGTTCTCGGTTCGGCCGTTCTTCAGTTTGAGATGGCTGGCAGGACAGGTCTGAAAGTTTATGTTAAAGTACATGACAAAGGAGATTAATAATATCATATACAACAATATGTTCAAAGCTATGTTTTGACCTTACCGAGCTTTTCTTGGTGAAGTCGTGTCTGTTGGTAGTGTCACTTTCCATCTTTATACCGTGAGGGCGAGCTGCTTCCATGCTTTGGGTTCGTCGTCGTTCTACCGTTACTTTTTTAGGAGTGAACTCTCTTTTGTGAGTGGTCGTCTCCACAAATGGTACCTTCTCTGGTTCGTAATAATAATCTGAATAGGCATATTCATCGTAATACTGTGGCATAACAACATGACCAGTGTAGTCAGCTTTGTTCGTAGTTTCTTCTTCAAACGGAGGTGGAGTTGAACGTTCTTCCATTGACGGTGGTCTACTGCAATGTCGAAATTAAGTTTCAAAAAAGTAAAAAATTTCAAAGACAAAACAGATGATATATGATAACCTCACACTTCTTTGTTCGAGATCTTCCACCTGAAGTGATCACGGTGTGTGGTGGTGTCTAAAAACGGAGGAACGGTCCTATGTGGGTAATGATATGTATAGTAGTTGTTGTAATCATACGTGTCCAAGTAATTGTACGACGGTGTATACAGTGATACAGGGCTTACTGAGTGAAGTGAAGAATCAAAACTGTCAAGCTGCCCGTAATCTAAAGATTATTAAACAATTAAAAAATTTTAAAAAAATTGAAGAAAACTTTTTTTTATAACTCTTACCAAAATAGTCTAGCTCCATCAACTATTCAAACGCCAAGCACTTTCGTACTGAACGAAAACTATATACATCACCTTGGAGACTCACCAAAAAGTCGAATTGGTTTTAAAGTAACGAATTTTACGCTATTTCAGTACTTTGTTATAACGTCAAACTTTATAAGAAACTACTAACACAATAATATATGATTACAGTATGTTTGAACAAAGATTAAAAAATTTTATAACATCTAAGTGTAAGATAATATAAATCTTGAATAATTTTTTACTTTTGTTTATGCTATAACTTTTTCGAACTTAAATAAATTTCACTTGTTGTCAACATTCACCAAATTGGGACATAATTTCATCTATTGGAGCCGAGCCGATCGAAACGTCCAAACGACTTTTCACCCTCATATGGGTCCCGCCACGAAAAATATTTAAAATAAATTTTTTGGGTGCGGAAAATCGTCGAAAAATAAGTTTACTGCACGTTTTTCCACAATGCTGGGGTTAAAACTGTTGAGGTCACGACTTCCAATCAGATGTCTGAAGTATTATTCATCAGCAGCTGAAGCAGCAGCCGGAATTTCACTAAATCAAGGAGCTTCCTCCTCTTTGCCCAGTGATGAACGCATTATCTCTCCAAAAGTGTCCTCATTAGTCGACCAGATTGCTAACCTCACCGTCCTTGAAGTATCCGACCTTAACTATGCTTTAAAGAAGAAGTTGAACATTGCAGATCAGCCTATTTTTGCAGCTCCAGTTGCGGCTTCATCAGTTGCCGGTATGTTTTGTGTTTTTGTTTGCTTTTTAGGATCTTTCACTTTTCGCCTAACATAATTGATCGTTTAGGCAACGCGCCAGTCGAAGAAGAGGAAAGTCAACCAGCTCAGAAGTCTGTTTTTGCTGTAAAACTGGTTAAATTCGACGACTCGAAGAAGATCGCTTTGATTAAGGAAATCCGAAACGCCATTGAAGGGCTCAACTTGGTACAGGCGAAGAAGTTCGTCGAGACGGCACCAGTCGAAGTGAAGGGAGATCTGGGCAAGAACGAGGCCGAAGCACTTAAAACAGCGTTGGAGAAAGTCGGAGCTTCTTGTGAAATTGTTTAATCTTGTAGTTGATGTTAGGTTTGTTTTGTTTTCAGTCTATTAAATGTTGTTCGTTTGAGTCGACGGTCGATTTGTATGAGTTAAAAACTCTGGAATACTTTGAAGACATTCTTTTGCGTCCAATTCGTTTAGTTAGGTTGTCAGAATGGCTCGTGGACATCAGAAAATCCAATCCCAACAGAAGAACCAGAAGAAGATGGAAGTAAGTAGATTTTAATGCAACTCTAGCAAGTTGTAAGTTCTGTAAATTGTTACTTTTGTCACAATGTGTGCCCTTATATTAATTTATAGTTTCATTTTACTTTTTGGTGGTGTTTACCTATAATATTTAGTTTTCTGCGAGTTATACCTTGTTAAATATCTCATTGTTGTATTTTCAGGCTGCTCGCAAGGGTGGTGTTGACCAAAAAGCAGCTGCCCAGAAGGCCTTGAAGCACAAGTGCACTGTTTGCATGGCCGAGATGCCCGATCCAAAGACTTACAAGCAACACTTCATGTCAAGACACCCCAAAGCTTCTATTCCATCCGAACTTGTTGACGTTGAAGCGTGACCTCATCTTTGTCTCAAACGTTTTTTATTTGTTATTGGCTCAAAAGCCGGATGGGTTTGTCAATTAAATTTAATTCCATTTTGTGTGATTGTCATTTTGAAAACTGGGCGGATGTCTAAAAGCGGGTGGGTTTTGTAGTAGGTTTGCAAATACATGCTTTTGATTTGTAAATAGTTGTTAGAATATATTTTAAGTACAAATTCACATCATTACGTTTGAAAAATCTTGTTTTTCACTTCGGTTACTGTACTTTTGGCCATATTATGTCACTTCAGACATGGTACGAAATGGACAGCGGAAGAATTGAAGTCATTGGATGAACAAGATGATAATAGTGTCAATTCTGTCAGAGAGCTTCCGGATCGAGATACAAATGCTGACAGATATTTAGCCACCTTGAGTATCCTGCTGAGCTGTGCGCTTGTCAATCTATTAGCAAATGGGACTGGGGCTATTGGGACACTTGGTAGGCCTTTAATGGTCCCAGTGAGTTGTTTTATGTTTGAATGGTACAGGATTTATGGGAGTTTGACCCTTACTAGAACGCTTCGAGCTGTTCTCAACATGGCCAGTGTGTTGAAAACTTACCAGTAAGTTGTTTTGGAACTAACATTAACTCATGGCACTACATTTTTTGATCTAATCTCTCTCTAAATTACATTTATACGACAATTTCAGAGAGTTCGACCCGACGTATTCAAAGTTATATTCAGCCGATTTCTGTTGTCAATTACCCCAACTGAACACTGATCTGCCTCGAACAGCAGACGAAAAATCGTAAGTTAGCTTTGCTCCTTTTTTTCGTTTTTTAATCCATACAGTTGTGTCATGTATTAGGTTGTCCGGAAAGCTCTGCAATATTTATTCACTTTTGAACTAACAATAATAACAATATAATTAACAACTACAATCAATCAAAGTAATTACCGTCTGAATCAATACAGTCTTGCCAACGATTTACAAGCTTTTTTATTCCACGATTGTAGAATTCCGGGTTTCTGGAGTTGATGAAGTTCTTGAAGGCATTCTTGGCATCGTCCGGAGTTTTGAAGATTCTTCCATTAAGAAACGAAGACAAGTGTTTAAAAAGGTGAAAGTCCGTTGGAGCCAAGTCTGGAGAATAAGGAGGGTGCTCCAAGACTTCGTATCCCAGTTCCCTGAATTTTGCCACGGTCTTCTTTGCAGCATGGGGCCGTGCGTTATCCTGCAAAATGATCGGACCCCTCCTTCTGACCATTGTTGGAAGATTGTGTCGCAGTTTGTCAATCTGGGCACAGTAGGTGTCGGCCGTAATACTTTGGCCAGGTTTCATGAAATCGTACTGGATCACTCCAGAGCTACACCACCAGACAGTCACCATAAGCTTCTTTTCGTGCAATTCTGGCTTCGGAACGGGCTTAGGAGCTTCTCCACGCTTACACCAACTTGTAGATCTTCTAGTATTGTTAAACGAGATCCACTTCTCGTCAATAGTTACAATTCGATCCAAGAATTCTCCGTTTTTGCAGCGTTGCAGAAGCTTTTCGGAAGCACACCGTCTCTTGGCTTTTTCCAGATCAGTCAAATTGTGAGGCACCCATTTGTCCAACTTTTTGACCATACCCATTGCCTTCAAATGATCATCAATGGTACTTTTTCCACAGTTTAGTAACTCTTCTAACTCCCGGATTGTAATATGTGGGTCATCTTCAATCTTGCGCCTCAGGGCATCTTTGTCAAGTTTGCTGGGTCTTCCTGCACGTGGTTTGTCTTCAAGCTTCTCATCGTCCACACGAAACTTTGCGAACCATCTGGTCACCGTAGAATAACTCACAACATTCTTACCCTCATTTTCGTTTATGATTCTGAAGGTTTCTGCCGCAGTATTTCCGCGTTTGAATTCATTCCATATAATCACGCGCAGGCGAGATTTCTCCATTTTTTTCTAATACCTAAAACAATACAAAAAAATGAAATTAAGTTATGTAACTTACCTTTTTGAATAATTTAGGTAATAAACAAACAAACAAAAAAAGAATTTTTTCTTTCCGTCAAGAAATAAATTTTTCCTGATTTTTCAAAGTTTACCTACTCTAATATTGCAGAACTTTCCGGACAACCTAATACAACGACTCCAAGCAACACCACTAATTCTTAGTGTGATTTCAGTGATAAGGAGAAGAGCCCGCCAAAGGAATCCAACTCGGAAACCCGTTCCAAATCATAAGACACTAATTTATGTCATCAATAAAAATTTCAAAACTATAAATTCAACGATACTTTACATTTGGTCGTCTCTGCCACGACTCTTAAACAACTTGTTGGAATGAATGTTCTTGGACATTAACTGTTTCTGCATAATTCGTCTGATGAACTTCATGTCTCGCGCTCTTTGTACCGCGGCCGATCCTAAAGTCAGGTTTATAAAATTTGACGGAAATTTATAAAATTTGGCTAACCGCATAAAAATTAAAGTGTAAAAAAACTACTTTAAGTTTAAGCTTACCTGTAGCTCCAGTCCATCCCAACGACTTCTGTTCGACCTTTGACTTCATGGCCAACCTTGCATTCATCAGTCGTTCTTGATCTTCAGCACTTCTGAACCTTTGTTTGAAGTATCTTAACAAGGATCGGTGGCCCAGTTTAGCACCAGAAGGTAACACTAGAGTATATCCCAGATCTATAGCAACGTCGTCGTCATCCGCGTTCTCGTCCACCAAAAGTTCACTAAAAAGAAAAATCAAAATATAATTACTAACTTACCTATGGTCATAGAAGTCTATATACTCTACTAGATCGTTTTCAAGTGAAAAAGAATTGTGCACTTTGTCCTTCATGTGAAGTTGTACTGCGTGTAAATCAGCGAATCGTTTTGAACACTTCATACAGTATAATCCACTGCCTACTTTAAGACCTAAGTACTTTATAAGACCAGGGAAGTCGGTACAATATTGCGAATCTGGGACGAAGAACCCGTGAGCTTCATACATGTGATCCAAGCTGTTTTCAATCTTACTAGATTCTTTGCAGCAGAACAAACACTTGTTTATGGGTATCGCCTAAATTTGTTTTATTTTGAAGGTTTTTGTCCCTTGAATTAAAAAAAACTATAATTTACAAGTACGCTATGTGATGTCAACTTACTTGACTTTCATCCAACTCCATGTCTTCGTCAGACGCCGTCTCCCATCCACTTGAGCTTCCAGAATCGTCTTCTTCATTACCTCCATCAACAAATTGTCTAGTAGAAGCAGCACCAACTTCTTCTTTATTGAGTTTTTCTGTCTTGATATTCTCCTCGACGTCTTCTTCTTCAACATAGTTTTCGGCATTTGTCTTGTGTTTCTTTGAATTCAGGTGATTATCATACGAATTCTTCGATTGGAAAAGTTTCTTGCATTGTTTGCAATAAACCTTCTCATTTTCCTCCTTCTGATTGTCTACAGTCTAAACAACAAATTATATTATAGTAAACTAACCTACTTTTTTAAAGTCCTTAACTTTGCTTTCGAACTGCGTCTCCGTTATGGAAGGAAGACCAACAACGTTCCTCTTAGCGTTGTAACGATGCCATTCACTGATATAATGTTCTTTCTGTAGTTCAGAATTTGGAAACACCAACCGACAAGTTACACACGTAAAACCTTGCTTGGCACTACTCATATTGAAACCTATACATTAATATTAGTTTTTTTATTTTTTTAAAGTTTTTTAAAAATAAATAGTAACGCAAAATAGAAACGTGATAAAGAAAACACTTCATTTCCGTAATGTTTTATAACAATTGAATTTATTCAACAAAAAAAAATAACGTATTTACGAGACGAGAGCAGAAGCAGTGGCGGATTCGTATTTCCAGGTTGGGGGAAGTTGTCTCTTGGTTCTGTAGTAACGGCCCAAACGGTGGATACGGGACTCTACCAAAATGAGACGGTATTTGGAGTCAACGTCCTTGCGGCAACGCTCTAAATGTTTGCGGATGTTGACAGCCTTCTTGATCAAGTGGTACAAATCCTCTGGGATTTCTGGGGCCATACCCTGCAAAAATAGAATGAAGCTAACATAAAAAAGTAAACCTTTGTTAATATTACTCAAGAAAAATTAGCTAAAAACAATTGGAAAAGTAAAAAAGCCAATTTTAAAGTCGAATACCGCTAATCCAGCAACAAATATCCTTAACGTAAAACAGCAAAAAATAAAAAAAACATACCTTCTTCTTCAGAATTCTGACAATCTTGTTTCCGGATACACGGCGTACTTGAGCTACACCATGAGAATCCCTGAGGATCACACCAATTTGAGATGGACGAAGACCTTTACGAGCCAAACGTTCGATGTGCTCTTCAACATCGGTAGAGTTGAGCTTCAACCATCCGGGAACAGAGCGACGGTATGGCAAAGTTGATCGGGAAATACCCTTTCCGGGATTGTGCATACGACCCATTCTGAAATGAGTTTATTGGAAAACCTGAAAAATAACAAAATTAAAAAAAAACCAAAAATTAGATAATGTATAGCTGAACGTCTCATAAAACGGCATTAGAAGTCAAATTTAAAACTGTAAAACATTAAAACATTTAATAACTTTGCGAAAAAATATTTTTTCTTTATTTTTACATTTGATGGGCGTTTACCGTATCTGAAACGAAACGCCAGTGTTTTTCGTGGCGGGACTCGAAAATAAAAGAGAAAATTACTGAAAAAATGTTTTTTTTTGTAAATTTGTATAAAAAAGTGGCAAAAATGGGCCAGTTGTTGCAAATAATTCTAAGATTCAAGAATGCATCTCGTTTATGTTTTATTTATATAGTTAATAAGTTAGTGATACTGTAGTTCCTGTCCACAAACACAAGAACGACTGTATATCGAATAGTTGTTCTGCTGCTGAAGTTTTGACTAGAGTAACAAACTGATGCCATGTGCTAGGATCTACGCATTTATCACCAGCTAACACTTTAGGCGTGTCCAAGATGGGATAGCCAGAAATCAGGCAAATTGGGTATATCTGACCGTTCGAGTCAACAGAACTGGCCTCATAACACCCTCTGGAGTCTGTTTTTAAAACTTTGTCAGTTTTTCTGTCTACTGACATTCCCAGGACCCACTCGTTGATCTCTTCAAATTCGTCTTCCTAAATTAAATTGTATTTTACATACTGTTAAGTGGTAAATGTAGTACATTACATTGTGAAATGTATCAGTCTTTCAACTTACATTGACATAAGGTTGCTGGGGTAATGTGTAATGTACCGGCACGTCTGTACCTTCAAAAACGTCGTTGTTGACTTCGCTGGGGTCGTTGGATTCAACTGCGTTGGTGATGTCGATAAACTGATTAAAGAAGGTGAATGCCATGTTTTCATAGTCTTTGGCGTTCTAAATTTGCAAAAGTATAAGTACGTATTACTTTTGTGTTACCTTGCAGGCCATCCCCGCTTCATAGAATAGTTTGTCTGGTTGTACTAAGTCAATATATCGCAACATTGACACTTTGAGCTTGATCACGATCTTTTCCACCTCAGTAGTAACGTTTTCCAAAGTTTCTAGAGCCAAACATAAGCAGTAGTAATGTAGGAAGTTTAGGTAACGGGTGAATACCTGAAAGTGTTATTTTTAGGTATTATGAATGGGTTTCTTTGTTTTTAATAAACAGATTTCAAGAAGTCGTTTATGAGTAACATACTTCTTCGATTCGATCATCAACTTCAGCTTTATTTTGTTTAATGTTTGCTGTCAGCTTGAGTATCATGTTTCTGAGATGACTCAGGTCTTCGTAGCTAATGCTTCGTTGATTAACCATAAGGTCGAGCAGCATCTTATAGGTATTGAATGTGTTCAGGGGCGTTCCGTACTGTTCGAATATTTTGATGCTCTCATTGTACCTTTCATCTTTAATCAGTTCACTGACGTACATTGTAACGTATTTTTCCAGCAGCGCGGCATGCTAAAGATAAGACATTATTCAAATTGCATGATTATAACTACATAGATAATAAGAGAAGTAGATAAATATGCATACCTTCTGTTGTGCTGCTGTGGACAAAGCTTTGTCCCAGTTTCCTTGACTCACGTAGACGTTGATAGCGCTTAAGACGTCTACATCCACAAGTTCTCCAACTCTGCCGTGATTCATCAAGAATTGTTTGTAGCCTTGGTCGACTTCCGATGTCATCTCAGGTACAAGTTCTTCGGCAATCTGTATATGTCAGGATTTATACTCACCGTGAAACTTGTTGCGGTTTTTAAAAATAATTAAAAAGTGGAATATAAAGGTGACAAAACGTACCTTCTGTGCCTTGGACCATTCGTCAGCCAGCATCAGCGACTGAACGGCTTCCTTATTCATGTCTATGGAGAGGTAAACCTCACTTGCAGCTACATGTTCATTCATTTCCGACAATCTTTCTGCGATCACCGTACCCGTCTCGATCTTCTTGTCAGACTCGTAGAACTTGGCCACAATCTCTCCGGCCTTCTGGAGACTTTGTACTATTAGTTGAAGATCGTTTGTCAATGGCACGTTGACTTTCATGTAGCTGTCTACAGCCTTCTCATACTCTCCGTCTAGCTCGAAATCTTTGGCTCTGACGAGGAACGATTGAGCTCCACGTTCTCCAGCTCTTAACTGCACGTTCTCATACTCCTTCTCTAGTTCTGCTTGGTACTCTGGTACATATTCCTTGGCGATTCTGATAGCATCCTCCCACATCTCCATTTCTCTGTAGTACTTGAGTATTATGTCGGCACGGTTAGCTCGTAGGAGGTAACTTTCCGCATTTGACGTGTCTTTTTCTTCTATAGCAACACGAGCATGGTTGATGTATACTTCATCTGTCATTTCTGGGACGTACTGTCTGAAAATATATTTTTGGAACCAAGAGAAGAATTGTTCGTTAGAATTAAATACAAGGAGTATAAGCTTATAGTTAGTTGTTTGTCTACCTTGCTATTCGTTCAGCTTCTTTCCATTCGTGGTTGTGAATGTACATGAGGACAGCTTCCTTTGTCTTTCCAGATTGCAAGTAGAATGTCTCCGCTCGTTTGAAGTCTCCAGCGTCTTCCAAGTGTTCAGCGTGCTTTAGTTGTACATCTTGTAGACGATTTTGTGCTCCCAAACGGCAGATTTCAAATACGAAGTCGAAATCACTGTAAATATAATTAATAAGCTCTTACGAAATGATATCAAAAGATGACTTACCCTTTGTCAACTCCTATGTCAATAGCATCGTCTAGCACTCCGTGACGTTGTAGTAGTTTAACTGCCGCTTCTCCACCTAGACTTTTGGACCACAAGTAAGAGACCTTCAAAGTTGAGTTAAGTTTTGTTATCATAAGTCTAATTATGTTGTCATACATATTCTGTGATTATAGTGATATGTCTTTATATCAGTTGATCTCGAACTTACCTGTTTTCTGGCAGCATCCCCACCGTAACTCTGTGCTACACGGTAGGCATCTGCCCACTTTCCGTTGTCTCTGTACATGGCTACAGCCAGCTTCCACTCGTCAGCTGAGAGATAGTACTCCTCAGCATTCTTGAGCTCTCCACTGTCGACAAATTGCTGAGCCAATGTCACCTTGATGTCGTTCACTTTATCGTAGTGGAACTTCTCGACCAACTTCATCATGTCTTCCAGTTTGTTCAGTCGTTTGTACATGGCTATGGCATTGTTCGGCTCTCCCACAGCTACGTACAACTCTTCAGCTGTACCATATTGACCTTGTTCTTCGAGTTCTTGTGCCTTTTCGAAGTACAACTCTTGTGTCTTTTCCACTCCGAGGATGTCCAAGGCCAACTTGTAGGCTTCTGACCATTTGCCAGCTTTGTTGTACATCTCTACTGCTTCTCTCATCATGTCTGCGTCTATGTAACATCGTTCGGCCCTCTTAAATTTAAAGTTATGTTATTTATAGTTTAAAAGAATGAAGTGAAATACACTGCGGTAAATAGTTCAATGTCTACTAGGATCATCCTAATAAATTAATGAATGGTGATTAACTAATTAGATGTGTTAACTTACATCATATTCTCCATTGGCTTCGAAGTGTCGTGCCAATTTCTCGTAGAATTCTCTGCTCTCCTCTTTTGATAAAGTCGCTACCACCTCGATGGCTTTGGCCCATTCCTTTCCTCTGATAGCAGCATCGACTGCTTTACTGTTGACCCCGCTCTCTGTTATACAGTAATGTTACAGTAACTGCTAACTTACCTAAGTAATGGCTGATGGCAGAGCTGTAGTCTCCAGTGTTACACAACCAATCACCCCACTTCTCTTCGAGCTCGGTCACTTTTTCAGGGAATCTGGAGCGTGCCACCTGCAAGATTCGGGAGTTAAAACTGTAATGTAACTATGTAAAAGACGTATCCAGGGCACGTACGTTAACTGCATTGTTGTACTTGTGGTCCATCTCGTAATTCTCCAATGCCTTATCGTACTGTCCGTTCAGTTCGTACACTTCTCCTGCTCTACCGTATATCTTGTTCTTGTGTAGAGACTCAGCTAATTTGTTACATAAGACATTGTCTTCAGCTAGTGCAGGGTTTTCGGCTAGCAGTGTGGCAGCCATGACCGGTCGATTTGATTGCAGAAACAGGTCGACTGCTTCTACGAGTTTCCCTTCTTCTGCCTTGATCTCGGCCGCTCGCTCTGATTGGCCAGTCTCGTGGAGGTACCGTTGGTACTTCATCTTCAGGGATTCTTGGTCTGGGTAATTCTGAAAAGCTCTAATGAAGTTCAACTTGATCATTTGTTTTAAACTTTTTAATGCTGTAAGTAGTATGAGAGAGTACTGTATGGTAACACTTATTTGACTTACTGTAGCTTTGGCCAAGTCTAGGGCTGCCGACCATCGGTGGAGCTTCTGGTACATTTCTAGGGCTTCATCCGTGGCATTCTGTAATATTTACACTGTAACATACATAGCTTTAATTAAATTTAAAAAGGCACCTTTTACTACTTGTATACTCACATTGGACAGATATATATGTTCGCATTCCCTTATGTCTCGTCGTAATAGTGCCATTCTTGCTTTGACCTTGTAACTGTCCTTGTTTTCGGTCATCATGTTCATCGTGTCTTCAATGAATCTGAAAATACTTTTTTAAAAGGAACAATTACGGATTACTGTATTACTGTCTACAGTATATACTATGAATGAATATTACAGTACATATTTTATGAATTATACCTGACTTTGGCGATGTTGTTTAGTCCAGCATAACATCGTTGAGCGATGAGAAGGTTCCCTTCTTCCAACGCTACGGCAGCCATCTGACGCCACATAGACGATACGTCTACACGATCTCTCTCACTGTTCTCCAGGAATTCCAACGCTCGGTTCAGATCTCGGTTCTCGATGGCTGTGGCGAACTCGATCAAGGTGTTGTCTAGTTCGTACGCTACTTTGGCATTGTTTTCCTACAATAACTTATCATAAAAACATTTATTGATAAAAATACATAACTTTGGATCAGGTTGTAGGTATTTACAAAAGATCAGCTTGTAGATTTACTGATTATAATGAAAAATAAGCTTACAATAACAATAACCTCGGTCCTCTCCTTATCTCTCAATACGTCATCAATGTCACCAAGAATTGGAATCTGTACTATCTGTTCCACATTGTCTGTGTTGTACCAGACACAAAGCTGATCTGTGCATTGTGCTACTACAACATCGCTTTCGGGTACCCACTGCACATACGAACAAAAGTTGGCCATCGTAAACGTCTGTTCTGACTCGATGTCATGGAGTAGTACTGTAGATCGTATGTCACGGAACAGTAGCTTTTCTCCAGAGTCATTCAGTTCTAGCCAGTCGATAGCTGACCCATGGTTGATTTGTGTTACGATCTGGCTGTTTTCGAGGTTGAGTACGTTGATGGTGTGTATGTCTAGCATGTACGCTACTCTCCGGTACTGTACCCTCGTCTTCCGTGACTTGTCACCTATTCTGACACTGATGAGATGAGGTGATATCCTCTCCGTCCTCACCCAGCCGATGATCTCGTTCTTACCGTACTCCACGATGCTGATTTCTCCAGCGTTCACGATCATGCAGACGTTCTCGTTGTCGACGTAGAACTTCTCGTTGCCTCCAGAATTCCAGACGATCTCGGAGAAGAGCTCTGTGTTGATGTCTGCCAGGATGATCGTACTCGGAGTGTAGGCGATGATGTAGCGGTTGGATCTACCCACGATTCTGATGTCGTTGATGTTGAGGCCCTTCAGAGATCTGATGGCACACTGACGGTCAGATTCTACATCTTTGACGACCACTTGGGAGGGGGACACGTATGTTGTGACATATCTGTTCTTGAGGAAGGTACGCCTCAGACAACAGTCGATTGTGAAAGCTCCACCCAGCATCGTGCCCTGAAAAAGTAATAATATTTTTTTACTTATTATCACTAAGTAAATTTATATATTATCAATTCATGATATAATGATTATGACATACACAAACGATTGACGATCCATCAGGCCGCCAAGCTAAAGCTGATACAGAATACATATTCTGCACGATGAGAACAGATCCTTCGTCCCACGCTCCTCGCTTTGGATTCCATGACATCAAACGTACTCTGAATTCACTTTACATATTAACATAAACAAATATTATGCGAAAGGTGTCAGACTCAAATGCGATAACTTGTCGCAAAAGATAGCTAAAATAGTGTCACATACTTGTTGAAAGATCCGAAAGCGGCGTTCAGACCAGATGGATCGAGTACAGCTGTCGTGAACTCTTTCTCCTCATTGTGCTTGTTGTAGTCGTATTGTTGTTGGATTCTACCTTGGTCAGTGTACGATACAATCCTACGATCACTGCCAGCGGCAAGAATTCCAAAATTTGAACGTAGAAGACAGTACGGTGCTGTTGTGTGCACGACTATTTTGGTCTGAAAGTAGTGTAAACCTTGGTATTTCTATTTACTTTATGACCGATAATTTTATTTACAACAATATATTGACTTATAAAGTTCAATATTAACGTAAAAGCAACTGTTAAGCATACCTGAACCTTGCTCTCGAAAGAGTACAGTATGATGGACCCGTCCTGATGGCCAGATACAAATGACTTTTTGTTCGGACTAAACAAATGTAATTACAGTGTAAACACTTACTGCACGCCCAGAGAGACAGTGAAGAGGTCAGTCTTGTACAAAGTGGAGCACTTGTTCGACCCGACCGAAGCGTTCCTGATTCTGCCATTGGCTAGGCCAACTATCAGCTTGTTTTCGTCTGGCCAGGCCAGGACATTGGCCGCTGAACTTTGCACAAACTTGTTGCATATTACCTTCTTTTCCTCCCTACAAATTCAAGAATTGGGGTCAAAAAGTGTTGAGAATTGGTTTTTGTGAAGCTTTGGTCATTATTTTCTTTTTCCTTTAGTTTTGGGCCAAGGTTATCTTATACGAATGTGAACAGCACAGGATATTTTTTCCTCCAAACAATGAATATAATATTGTTACCTAAATTAAAATATTTTCTATATCAACCTACCATGTTTCTCCTAATCTGTAAACAAACACAATGTTATCGGTTTGCGCCACGGCCAATTTCGTGGAATCTGGAGAAAAGCAGATACTCTGGATCTTGTAGCTTTGTTTTCCATACTAAAATAACATAATTATTCGAATTCAAATGCAGTCGGACATTATCTATGAAAACAAACTCTATGAAAACGCAGTGCACGGTGCAACACGATATTTTACAAAGATTGTAAGTTAAAAAAGTATTATAGTGAAAAAAGTAATGTCAACTTGCTTGTGACTCAATAGGCTTTGTGTTGATCTTGTCTTGTTTGGTGTTTTTGTCATCAAAGAGGTGGATAACTCTTTCGGCCGTCGCTATGGCCAACTTTCTGTCATTCGGAGCGAACGATATCGATGGAATTCGAGATATTGACGTCTGAATAGGTATTAAAAAAAGTAAAGGAAGAGAATACTTATTACCCTTTGCAACATAATTTAACTACTTTTCAGGATTCTTTATAACCCTTGTTTTATAATTTTAATTTCTAGAACTTTTTTAAAACAAAAAAATATTTTAAAAACTCAAAAAATGGATCATTTTAAAAATAATCTGCACGTTATCTTACCTCAGGTTCGATTAAATTGCTCAAGAATTTAAGATTCATGGTTTAAACAATTACTGAACGGCCTTATATGACACTAGTCTTATTATACTAAACAGGTGGGAAAGTGGTATCCAAGCAACGAGAAATGAATGTTTTATTGTAAGCTCATGAACATAGTCAATATAGGAAAGACAATCACCAAATTGAGTGGTGGCCAAAGTCCCGCGTGAACTTTCTGCCCTGAGGGGTATCTGGAGCAGCTCGTACTGTGGGTTCGGGTCTGACATTGTGGTGGATGAGATCTGACACTTGGTCGGTGGATCTCTGAAATAATGTCATATTAGCTATCTTGAAACGTTTTTTGATGCAAAATGGTTCAAAAAGTAATGGTAATTAACAAAAATGAGAAAACAGCATAAATAAATAACGAAAATTAAACAATACTAACACTTCTAAAACCTTTCCGACCAAAATAAAATAAACTTACATGACTTAAGGGAGTTGGAGAAGCCCTAGAACTAGTGGTACTACTCGAGTATTGTTGTTGTGACTGGTCGACGGAAGTGAGGCCATCGAAGAAGGATTCGTACACAAGGAAATGTATCGCCTGAGGTACCGGAATACTTAAATTGTAGTGCGATTCGAGTAAAGTTTTAAGATCTTGGCTCGGCTCATCAAAGGCACATTCGTGTATCGTGGTCTGTTCCTTCTATACATACGTAATCACTTGTCAACATATATATTTGCATGACACAGATGGTATAATACGCAAAAACGTCAAGCTATTATAGCAAATAACAAAACTTAACAATAAGATTTTACTAGCGGTCAAAAAGTAAATAGAAAGCAAGATAATTTTCCCAGTTGATTCTGCCTAAAGAGCACATTGACTTACTTCCAATATAAAATCAATTAATTCTATCGCCTTGTCTTGGTTGTTGTCCACGAAGAAGTAATCCATGACACACAACGGATGCTCAACGTAAGGTAACTCTTTGCTGTCACGAAGATACAACTTCTTCCTCGCTGTCTTTACAAACCCGTGTACTAGTATTGCTCTAAAGTAAATCAAGTGTAAAGTTGTCATAATATTATATATTACAATTGCTCATAAACTATAAATGCAAATAATGTTCAAACTCAGCTTTAGTAATGCAGCTATAAAAGATTGTTTTCGATGTGAAAGATTGATATCATTTATGCCAAGATTTTTAAAAAAATTTACATAATTTTACACACTGTAACAAACCTTACCCATCCTTTTCTTCCCAACTGATGTACACCGTTAGACTGTCATCGTTGGAGTCGACACACTTTGTCATTGTAGTGATAGGCTTTCTCAGGTTCTTATTCTAAACCATTAATACTGTTAATGATACTGAATAAGGTAACGTTTTTTAAATTGCAAAATAAAACATTTTTTAAACTTCGAAAACTTTTTTAAATTTTAACTTTAGAATAATACTGTGAAATAGCCTTACTTTTGAAGCCGCAATGCCCAACTGGTTAATCAGCTGTTCGAAGCCGGGATTCTTCCTCGGTAGAACCCATTTGAACAAAGTCCTATCGAACACATGGATTGGACTGTCCTTGAGGGTTAGCCTGAGCTCGGGATTGACCTGCATCGACGATTAGTTGGGAAACATAAATAAATGCCCAGAAAAGGCGAGGGGGTCAAGCAGAATGGCAAAAACCGCAGTCTCTTTCCAATAATTTCTTTTCCAAAAAGGGGAGGGGGACTAAAAGAAGCCGGCTTTTTCCCAAAATGAAATTGTTCCGGTTTTCAGCGATTAGGACTCATAATTGATTATGAAAATACTCTTAATTGGTTGCAGTGGTGGAATGCGCGGAAGGGGTTTGTGTTACAACATTATTTATATTATTCATGGGTATAACCCTCTATATTTCGTAAAAAAGTTGGAAAGAGCACACGGACCTAAAAGTAGGCTTTTCAACACAATTTTACAAACTTTACCTTACGCAAAGTTAAACGTTTAGTATTTTTGGTTGAGCAAACTCTGCGATATCGTTTACTTTGAGTAAACAATGTGTAAACACCATTTTTCCAACTTTTTCCTTGTTATAAAATAAATTTTTGAAACGAATTAAAACACTACCGTTGAGCTATTCATAATTTATCTTTTTATCAACGACCTATTAAACAAATATAGTATATCACTGAGTGAAAGCGTTAGATTTGGCTTTAATCAGAGCCGCTCCACGATGTTCTTGAACTGCCTTCTGTACATTATCGAACCACTCTCCAATATCACATTGTTTACGGAGCTCCGCAAAGGTTCTGGTTCCAGCGAAAGATGTAATCGCACCGTACAACGACTAAAAAGGCCAAAATATACAAACGAAAATAATGTAAAATAAGTCACTATGTCGCAAGAATAAAAAGAAAAACTTACCAAATCAGCCAGGTTAGGTTCGTTTCCTCCCAGAAACACTCGATCTTTGCCTTTAGCTTCCAAAAACTGATTACACGCCTCTAGAATTGATTGTCTCTCGTCCACAATATTATGCCTAAAACAATATTTTTAGATAAATGCTACAAATACACTATGAAATCAAAGTTACAACATGAAAAAACTAGTATTGTACATATAATGTACCTTTTGACCAATATCACTAACAAATTACAGTAGCCTTACTTACCGTTTCTTGAGTTTCTTCGAGATCATGAACATTGCAGCTGCTCCCATGTACACGGCCAAGTACCGTTCCCAAGAAGGGAAGTTGTGTTCCCAATCTCCAACCTTGTCAAAGTACCTGAACGTCTCCAACGACTCTTCCCATGTCCTGTAGACATTAGGACTGATCATGTGAATGAAGTGGTCGTCTACCCAATCTCTCCACTCTCTTTCCTCTCTGACCGCTTGGACTTCTGTGGATGTGAGACGCTTCTCCTCGTTCATAATATAATGTCTGTTAGGGAAGATCTTCTCGGTCTTGTGTAGCTTCTGGTTGTAGCCTTCATGTTCGGGGTAGAACTGTAGAATTTCTGACAATTGTCTAGTTGGAATCGACAAAAAACTGATCAGGACAGAAATGATTTGAGAAGAATCGACCAAAGTTTCGCATTTAGAACTGGTCATGACAGGTACCTAAAATAACATCATTACATACAGTTTCGCATGGATTTGACGCCCTACCTTTTTGTAATTCTTCAAGAACTTGAGCTGAGAACGAGTAACTGGGTTTACTTCAACAACTTCGTATGAGAAGGCGTAGTAATCCAATACAGCACGGACCTTACTACAGTAGGGACACGTTTGGTACTGATACAATCTTAGATCCAAGCCCAATTTGTCGTTTGGTGAGTTAATCTAAAACTAATGTTATTTTAACAACGTTGTCCCATCTTCTTCAAACTTTAGAAGACGTTCTGTCAAATTCTCAAGCTTTTAGACAAAAGATAATGACCAACCTTTCTAGCCAGATGCATTCCATCAGCACCTTTAACATACTTGGTAGCATTACTATTAATAAGTTCGGGATCTTTCAGAAATACAGCTGTGCTACTGAAAGCAGCTCCTCCACACACTCCGGCGCCTATTATCTTCTTTATAGGCGACACAGTCTTCCACATTCTTAAGCAATATATTATTCAAATACTTTACAACATACTCCAATATGGATACTGCAATACGAAATAAATAAAAGGATGGCTACCTTGAACCAAACATTCAAAGAATTGTGAAAAAAAATATTTATTAAAACACAACGAAGACTTTACACAACAACAATAAGGTACAAACGTTTGCAAATTAATAAGACATTCAAAGCGGTGCAGGATGACGGTGCAGATTACAGTCCGATGTAAATATTACCATACTCAAATCCTTCAAATACATTGAGAATAGACAACATAAAGTAATACAGTTAACATCGAACTATTAAATACTGACACAAGTTGAATTACAGTGTCGAAGACCATATAAGAAAGTATTTACAATTAAATGGTGTTGAGTGCGAAAATGTCTAATTAGAGAATTAAGAGGGTCCCTTACAAACAGAAACCAACAGGGACCCTCGAAAATAAAACGATGCAAATCTAGTAAAGGACGGGGGGCTGGCTTTGCTGCACAAACTCGTTGCCAGGTACGAAGTCCATGGGCTGAGCGAACGGACTGACTCCGTTTTGTTTTTGGAAGTACTTCTCAAGTTTGGCTGAAATTCAAATCTTAGTTTAAAAAAGAAAGATCGAGACTTTTTAATTTAAAAATCAAACTTACTAATAATGTGTTTTCCGTAACTGTACTTCCTCAACGTTGGAATATGAGGCTTGATAGCCAACATGATCTTCTTCCTGTTCGAACTGTCAGCAACGTCCAGCATCTTCTGGACAACGTAGTTCGCAAACTGATCTTTCATCATGTCCAACAGAGGGGTCGGTACGCTACCACTAAAATACAACAATATAAGAGATTAATCTAATCAACATATAAAAAAACAGTTAGAAAACAAACTAAAAGTAAGGGCAAACTCACTCTCCGCAAACCTCAGTAATCAGTGCAGTTTTGTGGTTGTTGTTACCACAAATCAAACATTTTTCGATAACATTTGACGAGAACTTGTGTTTGGCAAACTTGAGAACATCTCCTTTAATCTGACTAACAATTCGGTCCCGATCTGCATCAGCCCCGTGCTCAATAATGTGTTGGACAACGTAGTTCCCGTACTGATCGATGATCAGTTCATTGATGTTCCGATGAAGTTGTTCGAGAACTGGTCGTTTCTGTTCTTCCGTACAATGTTCAAGTACACGTTGAATCACACGACAACCGTATGGATGAGTTGACAAACTTTTAATCTGAAATATTATTACCTCACTATAAGTTGATTTTAGTCTGTACAACACGTTATGACAACTAACATAAAATCCTAATCTCAATAATAAAAATCTTACCGTTCCTTGTCCTGAGTTTACAAAAGCATCGATTATAAACTGAAGCTTAGCTGGCTCCACTTTCTCAATTACTTTTTGAACAACGTGGTTGCCATTCTGATCTTTGACGCATTTCAAAACCTACAATAAAAAACTTAATAACTTATTACTCAACTCTTTAACTAATTCATTTCCTATACCAAATTTCCAATCTCAACGACAATTTAAAACCTAAACTCAAAACATATAACAAGAACTCACTTGTCCTTCCATTTCCTTCAGCAAAGCCAGTTGATGATCAGACTCTATCGACTCCAAAGCCTTCTGAATCACTCTACATCCATACATCTGAAGCGCAAGCTGCATAACGTTGCCTCTGATCGCTTCCGTCAGCTGACTCTTCTGTTCTTGTGTTCCGTGTTCAAAGAACTTCTGGATAACATAGTTACCGAACACATCTGTCATCAGTATGCTAGCGTTGGCTATAACTTCATCAAAGATGATCTGTTTCTCCCGAAGACTAGCCCTTTCTAACTTCTGCTGAATAAATCTAGATCCATGTTGATCTCGAGCGAACTCCACAACATGAGAACCGAGATCACTTAACTGAAGGTGCGGAAGTCTGCTGTTTCGGAACTCTTCCAGCATCTGAGAATGTGTTATAGGTTTATCCGCCTCAGCTACTACGTGAACATTCTGAGGACGATTGATATTCGTAGTAGGAAGATTTCCGTTTCGCCGCTGTGAAGCGACTTGAGCGTTGTTGGCATACGGTATCGGCTGTCCCGATCCCGGCGGGCCATTAAACACTTGCCTTGATTGAGGTGGAGCCATGTGAGGGTAGACAACATTCGGAGGCCCATGAACATTAGCATTGTTTATTGTACTATTCGGATACATACCATTATCTAAAATATATTTAAATTTAATGTTAGTTTTGAAACATTAATAGTTATATTTTAAGTAACACTTCACAAAACCACATTTAAAGACGAAGCCAAACTTACATATAACGTGATTAGGTGATGATCCCATCGAGACCGGCGGTGAAGCCGCGTTAGCTGTCACCATATAATACCCATTCTGGGCTACCTGAGCAGGAAACTGTCTTGGCTGTGAAGTAGTAAAGGAATCCCGTCGTGTAGGCGCATTTGCACCAATATTCATTTGGGACATTGCATTTGAAATGCCTTGAATGCCTCTTGGAGGCGCTGGCTGATAGCCAATCGGGTAGATATTAGGTGGCATTGGTGGAGAAGATGAGAAGATTTGAGAAGTTGGTGGAGTTCCTCGAGGAAGACCTAAAACCATTTAATAATAATTTTTAATATTACTCCGTTAACAAAAAAAAATAAAATCGGCTTACCTCCATTCTGAGATGGATAAACAGCACTCCAAGAACCGTAGCCATAATTTGAAGGGGGAGTACCAAAAGGAGCACCATTCCCAGCAATGTACTGAACAGGATTCTGGCCTGGATACACCAATGGAAACTAAAACATTTTATTTAAAAAAAACCTGCAAACCACGCAAAAATAAAATTATAGAGACACAATAAATTCTCAAAATAATAAAAACATACTTGACTGAACTCTGGAGTCGCCCCGGCAATTGGCTGTACTTCAGCTCCAGTAAACGGAATAGGAACTGGTCCAGACGGTTGCACTCTTTCGGCCAAAGCCCCATCTTCAACAGGAGATCCCTCTACAGGCGTGGCTTGATCACTTAAAACCGAAGTTAATAATATATAATAAAAAAACGTTTGGAAACTAAAAAATTAAAATTAGCAAAGTGAAAATCGTCAAAATACCTTTAAGAATGACCTTTAAAATATAATTTCATTATCAACCCCGCTCACCTAGAATTGTCGTTGTTATTCACCTTGACAGGCTTCGTTGTCGTCTTCTCTGCCGGTTTGTGTCCTCGAAACTAAAAATTAAACAATAATAATTTGAATACAAACTTACAAACTTCATATCTCTGTTGTTGATACTTCCCGGTGAAGAGCTAAGCACATTCTCGACCATTTGATGGTAAACTACCGACTGCTCTCCTACCGACCGAGGAGACATTAGATGAGATCCCTGAGGACCGGCACCTTGCACCATGATTGGATTACTGACCGCATGTTCTGAACAAAACAGTTAAAACAATATAACATACAATAAGATAAACCTAGACATACACTTTCAAATGTAAGACTTACCAGATCGAGCGCCATTCCAATTGTTCCAATGTTGTTCGGCCATCTTTTAACAAAACAAGCACACTATTTACAAAAATGTACAAATAATTATACACAAATGTACAAGGTTCGGCGTCTAACACACCTGAAACAAAAAAAATTAAAGTCCCGACGGAAACGCTACAAGAAAAGTTTTACATTATATTATTCTTCAGCTGTGTGCAAACAAAAAAACCTAAATCGAGGCCCGAAAAAAATTAGCGAACAGCTGAAACGTTATGCCAAAACTAAAATCAATATTTCTGTGGGAGAAAGAGCTCACAGGTCGAGGAGCGACAAAACGCTCGCTTGATCGACGATTGATTCAGAGAATAAGTTATGTCTGCGATTGTTTCAATTCACCTGTTTCTGATAAGAACAAAAACGTGCATGACAACGTTGTTATTAACAATTCGTTAACAAGATAGCGTTTCCGATTCAAAGCAAAATCAAATGTTTAACTAATGTTTGAAGTTATTTTCGATTCTATAGGTTATAGTACATTTGTGAATGCTACAAATGAGTCTATGTTACACGTATATTTATAACTATTATAGTACAAAGTAGTTGAAACAATTAAGAAGATCAATTTTGGTGGTTTCTCGTCGATTGGCCAAACTAATCGCTCGCTGTTTGCCGTCGAGAGTCTGGGACATAAAAATGGCTGCTTTCCGGTACAGCTCGGCTTCTATGATCGTGAATCCTTTTCGGGAAACAGATTTAACTGCTTTCATCACGTTGAAAATGACATCAATTTCTGAAAAAGATTTCAACTTATTTTCTGTGTAAATACTTTGCCATGGCATACAAAATCACCTTCAAAAACTATAATTAGTGATTGATTTTGAAAGTTGAATTCACTTACTTTCATCTTGAGTGATCTCCTGAGTCCGGGCTTTGTGAATATAAAGCTCCAGCCATGTCGCGTAATATAGAAACTTCTCAATACACACAACATCTTCATCCTCGTACTGATTCTCAAGCGGCTTCAACAAAGCTTCTGCCTTCTGAAAGTCGTTTCTGCAGATCTGAAAGACGTTGATACAAATTGCTGCCATTATTTAGTAAAAATGATAAAATTTTTGGTTTATAATGTCCTGCATTTAATTTACAAACTTGTACATGAATTTTAAAACATATGATTATTTTATGCTTAATTGTGCATACCCAAAACTTACATAAGCGTACGCCATCCTTCTTTTGGCAGCGGCTTCAAAAAATGTTAAATTCAACTTTGAAGCAGAACCAGCAGCTCGTTCCAGATGGGCTAGGCCATCTTCAAAATTGCCATTGACTATTTTCAGGTTGCCAAGAGCAATCCTCGTCCGTATTTTAAGGTGAGGATCTGAACTCTTATGGATCAGACTTAGCATCTTGGTCAGCTCTGTTTCATCGTGATTGTAGAACGCACAATTCAAAAGACATTTTCTAAACAAGATCAGCAATGGCAAAAAGACAATAAACAATTATTATGTTGCACTATCATTACAGCGCACAATATTACAACACTTACCTAAAAGTGTACTCTGGTTTAGAATACTCGTACAACAAGCTTAGGCGTTCCTCACAATTGTCAAACTCTCCTTTGAAAAACTCCATATCAAACAGAATACACTGTTCAGCCAGTTGCCTGTGAATAGCCAGCTAAAAGTTAACCAAATGTACATAAAATAAATAACATCAAAACTAACACAGAAACAAGGTTAATCACAAAAACTTACCATGGGATTTGATTCACTAGGAAAACTGAGTTTCATCCTTTCCAAAATCTGAATCGCTTGTTTGAAATTCCCTTCATAAGCATACGCATAGGCCGCGTTCACACCCATTATAAGCTAGAATTACAACAGTAATTAAAACCGCAGTTAGGTAATAATACTAATGACAAAATGCTCTTTATAGACTTCTCTTACTTCTCCTTCAGTTACTCGTTCTGATGCATGCTCGTCTCTCGTAAACCTTAGTTTTTCCTCCAAAGCTGTACATCCACTTGATAACCTAAGAGTCGATTGAATTGCCATGGCCCCATCTTCAATATCATTACTGTAAACTCTCCATTGACTTGCAATCTCATTCTCCAAACAAACGTTCAAATACTTAGACACCCTTAAAAACTGCAGGTGAGATCAACAAAAACACTATAATACAAAACTTTAAAGATCATACCTAAAATAAAAAATAACGTCTAAAAACTATCCTAAAACTTTTAAAATAAACATAATAAAAACTTTCAACCCTTACTTTTCCGAATCCTCACATCGTCGAGCAGAATGTAAAGCATTGATAAAGACTAAACCAATCCGAAAATGTTGAGCGATCGCTTTGAACCTAGGTGATTTATGAGCAAATCCAGCAGCTATAAATGTCTTGAAGGCTTCCTCTAATCCCATCGTTGGCAAATGCATCTGATCAGAGTGAAACCTTGTTAAGAATCTTTTGTTAAGTTCATCCACTGAAAACAGATTTATTTTGAGGGTTGCAAACAAACTTAAAACTACGACAAATTAGGTACGAAAAGCTTACAATAATGTATACTGTCGTTGTTCCGTTTGAAAGCCGTGTTCATCGATGACTGCATGGCATTCAGGTTGTAGGCTCTCTCCTCCAACATACAAAATCGGTATTCAGAAACATCATGGTTATCGTGGGCATTCGCCGAAGCCTGTGTCAGCAAAGCTGATCCAGCAAGACTAAAATCAAATAAAAATTTAAGTAAAATACACTTACTAGCTGCCAAAGAACCTGTGCAACGTCGCTACCAACACCAATCCATGTTTTAACGTGCTATAACGTCGTTCATACCTCCTTTCTGACTTTTTGGGTAAACAATTTTCGTAATAATCAAAAAATGAAGCTACACTGTTCAAAGCTTCTTCAAAACAACCAATTCGAATAAAGTTATATGCTTCAAGAAGATACTAAAAAAGAAAGGAAAAATTTAGAGTAAAGCATTGACTTACAACAAGACTGTCTTTGGAGTGATCAACCTTTGCTTTTTCAATTAATTTCTGGATCTCCTCAAATGACTTTAATTCATTCGGTCGACTCTTTATACATCTTATTTGTTGATAGACTTCTTCCAAAGAAACCATTTTGATGAAAAAATGAGAGAAAATTCCGAAAAATAATTTATTTTTGGCGCCAATTTATAACGGGTTGCAAATTTTTTAAACGAAATGTCAAATCAATTGAAAGTCGCAGCCGGTTGTCAGAAAAATGTTGTACTATTAATTGTGCTGTTCAGAATATTTTTTCAAAGTTCTTAAAAATAAACTTCTAATAATAAACGCTTTTCAAAAAATCAATGGAAATCGGGTTGTTTTAATAACATTTTTAGAGAATTTCTTTAATTTTATTATACCACAATAGAGTACATAAATTATTTATCATTTGAAATTATAGTTACAAAAATAAATATCACATATTTTATTCTAGCTCATCAAACTGCTGTTCCTTCTCGATGTAGCTTTTGACCCATGCCAAGTTGGAATGCTCCGCTTTCAATTGTGTCAAACTTCGGTTTAAGATCTGAAAAGAAAGACATAATACATCGCATTGCTGTATTTTACAATTACGCAAATAAATTTACTGCAGTTTACATTAACAAAATGTTCTCCACTAAAATACCCTCACTTCACTATTGAAGACACTTACATCGTCACTCTTATGTTGTAAACTGTTAATCAAAAACTGGTTGATTAAAACTCCAGGTGCTGAAGAATCTTTCTCTTCTGCCAATTGAATGCAGTTTTCGGCTTCTGGAATCTCCTTCTTCATTATTCTAACAGCAGATTGGGATATCAAGAGATCGGAAGTAGCACCAAACTTGTCGATCATCTCTTGGTAGATGTAAAACGCGTCTTGAAGTTTTTCCTTTCCCTAAATATTCAAATAAAGCATCTCATATTTAAACAATATTCTGCCCTTTATTAGATAATAAGATACATTAATTTTAAAACTGTAAACCAATCCTTACATTGCAGATGTACAGCCAAGCCAAAGTCAACTGCGTTAAAGTGGCATCTTCATCAATTTCCTGCATCTGCTTCATTCCTCTCCTAAACTCGTAAAAGATAAACTACAATTAAAAACTTACAAAGCAAGGTCAAATCTGTTAACAGCCAGAAGACATTGGACAGATAAAGCACGAGCTTCCAGAAGATCAGATCGCTTCAAAATTTGATAGGCTTCTTCAAACTTCTAGAACAGTAAAAATAGAACGCATGTTAAAATATATTGCAATAGTTACATTATAAATAAAAAATAATACATACACCAGCGATTATCAAGATCGATCCCAAGATAACCAAGGCCAAATCGTCCACCGTATTTTCGGCTAGTTCCTCAGCTTGACCCACAACTCGATCACTAAAACAATTTAAAGAATGAAATAGTAAACATTATCAACATTTTAATCAATATTACTAAAAACACAATCTATGTCTGCTGATTTTACTAAATATTTAAAACTTACGTATTAAACTGTGATTTGAACAAAGCCAGAAACCTGACAGCCTTGAGAACATCATCCTTAACATCAGCTGAGATCTCGGACAAGACAACAGAACTCTTGCCTAAAGCTACATAAGATCTGAAGAGAAAGGCATCCTTCTCCAATCGTTCCTTGTCTGTTTTCACATTTGCATTCTAAAAAAGCATCACAAAAACTACTGCACTAGCTAATGTTACACTTACCTGAGCTTCTTTAGCACATTGTTGATAAGCTCCAATGTAGTAGTAGTTACGAGCTGCATACAAACTGTCAGCCATCTCTATGAGGTCTAGTTCGAGGTAATCCAGTTATCCAGCAAAAAATCTAAAAAAAATAAATCCACGTACATTTTCTATGCCAATGACGTTTTCGTTGTGAGACCTATACGAGCAGTTAACGTTTTGGGTTACAGTAATCGAACAAGATTAATCAGAAAAATTGGTTTAATTTTAAATAAATTTCTAACTTCAAGATAACTGATTGATGAAAAAAAATGCTTTTGATAAATTTTAGGTCTTAAACTCTCTTGTAATTAGAAAATGTACAATAAAAATTTTTGTAAGATGTGTTATAGATATAATACAAATGTAAGTTGTTATAGGTGTTATAGAAAATAAAATGTTTTGTTTTAGTTTGTCTTTGTCGATTACGTCTTTTTGAAGAAGCACATTACCCATGTTTATCACAAAACGTTGCCAAACGTGACTTTTCTTTTTATCAGTTGGCGACAGATTACTCGTAACATGCCAATTGATCTTCCAAAGATTAGCATGAAGATTGAGTGATTATGAAAGCAAACCGCGTAACAGCTGCCACAATAAAACGGCAGTGATAAAAGTTTTATGTCATTTATCATAACTCGGGATTAGTCACAGAAGCCAATATTGTTTATTATGGTCTACGTTGTGTGGCAGCAAGATTAATGTGAAGAATTGATGCTCTGTCTGGAATTTGTAGAGCATGCAAAGGGCCAAGTTGGCCGATTAAAAGTTGCCTACACTTAATGTATTCACAAAACCCGACCAACCGAACACATCAGAAGTCAGTTTGCGGTCGAGGCCGTGATTGCCGGGCCCTAAATGGCTGTACGTATTAATTAATAAAACAAAAAACTTGATATCGGCCGGGGGGTAACAACTGACTTGTCAAAGACTTGATCAAAAAGCCAGGGATATGCCGTGAGTCGTTTCGGACGAGTTTAGAGGCTTTTGGGAGATCGGGTTTAGCAATCACATCATACTATATAGTTTGTTCGATTAAAACGGCGGTTGTTTGCGGACCGATTATAAGCCCCGTTCCTAGCGCTTTCTGATTTTAAGTCGACCGCCAATTAGCGTGACGAGTCTCTGAGTGAAGAATCTGTCAATTCTCGGGAAGCGCTTGTTCGTGTCAATATGTTCATGTCCAAAGAAAGGTGAAGGACAATGTTTATTCGGCTCTGTCTGCTCACAACATTGGCGGGCCTAGCCCGTGGCTTTCACGTTGTGCTACACGACGGGTCGCCCATCATCGGTGAGCAGGTGACTAGCCAGAATCAGAAGCTGGTCACCCAGTTTCTGGGGATTCCGTTCGGCGAGCCACCGGTCGGCAACCTCAGGTTCCGCAAACCACGAGCAAAGTCACCATGGCGTACACCGTTCAACGCGACGACGCCCCCGAAGGCGTGTATTCAAGTAAGTTGTTGGTCTGTGTGGTATCATCTCTAACTAAGGCTTTACCTTTTCAATCTTTTGATGACTCTTGAATAATATCTTGATTGAAAAAAATAATTTTTTACATAGCGTTTTACATTATGACGTGCATTAATGTACGTGTTGCAGAGCACAGACACTTACTTCGGCAACTTCTACGGGGCTACCATGTGGAACACAAACGTACCACAGTCAGAAGATTGTTTATATCTGAATATTTACGTACCGGGTGAAATAAACAAAAGCAAGAAGTTGGCTGTCATGGTGTGGGTGTACGGTGGAGGCTTCTGGTCAGGTTGTTCAACGTTAGATGTCTATGATGGCAAAATACTGGCTAGGTAAGTACTATAATAAAATATGTATGTTTTGCGATTTTAACATATAATAAAATGCATACTCTTTTACATAGTTTTTCTAGTCAGCTGTATATATATGTTATCAGTAAATATTCTTATTTTTAGCGAAGAAAATGTGATAATAGTTACCATGAACTACCGTGTCTCGTTGTTTGGCTTTCTGTACCTGGGGCGAGAAGAAGTCCCAGGCAACATGGGCTTATGGGACCAGCTACTTGCTCTCAAGTGGGTCTACACTAACATCGACCAGTTCGGTGGTGATCCAGACTGTATCACACTGTTTGGAGAAAGTGCTGGAGCGGCTTCTGTATCCATGCACATGCTGAGCCAGAAGTCGACGCCTTACTTCAACAGAGCTATCATCCAGAGTGGCAGTGCTACAGCACCGTGGGCCATCGAGAATCGGCAAGTAGCACTACACAGAGCCGTGGTACTGTATGAGTACATGAAATGTGGCAACATGTCGCACGAGCCAGACAAGTGGAATATGGACTTGGTATTGGAATGTTTGTTGGCAGCGACGCCTGAGAAGCTACGGTAACGTTAATTGCTTGACTTTTGAGATTTTGATTGCTTTAGGGATTCTGAATGGGCTCCAGTCATGGAATTTGCCGACTTTCCATGGGTTCCAGTCATCGACGGTGACTTCATGGTGGAAAGTGCTACAACATCTTTGAAGTCAGGTCATTTCAAGAAGACGCAACTATTGGCTGGTTCTAACCTAGACGAAGCCATCTACTTTATAGTGTATCAACTGGCAGTAAGATATTTATTTTTTTCAAATTTATTGAAAAAGTGAGCGAAGTTTGACTTTTTAGTAACTGATATATTATATTATAGTTTTAAAAAACTTTACGGAGATTTTGTGATGATGCAACCTTGCATTTGCTTTAATATTATCCATTACTTTTCAGGACGTGTTCCCTCCATCAGAGTTCTTTACTAAAAAAGACTTTATCAAGACCAGAGATGTGTGGCTTCGTAGTATCTCCAACTTGTTACCCAGACAGACGTTGAAGTCATCACTAGCTCTACAAAGTATTATCCACGAGTATGAACCTTCTGATCCTCTGCCAGTCGAACCCCAGCAATGGATGGACAGCTTGGACAAGATGCTGGGCGACCTCCAGTTCACGTGCAATGTCAACGAGATGGCATTGGCGCACACCTTGCATGGTGGAGATACCTACTACTACTACTTCACTCATCGTGCCACTCAACAGACGTGGCCTGGATGGATGGGAGTGCTACACGGCTACGAGATCAACTTTGTGTTCGGAGAGCCGTTCAACACGGACAAGTTCAAGTACACCAAGGAGGAGCAGGAGCTCTCTCGTCGTTTTATGAGATACTGGGCCAACTTTGCTCGGACGGGGTAAGACAAACGGCCATAATCAGTTGATTGGCCATACCAAAGTAATTGGCCATAAAACGGAGTTTGTCTTAAGGCAGTGTAACATTTGTGTTAGACCAATCTAAACTGACGTTTTATAAGATTTTTGTTTATATGAGTTAACCAATGTAACGTTAGTCTCAAGGTATAACAACATTTGTGTCTGCCATTATATGTTTAAACAAAGGTTTTAGGGCAATAAAACGTTTGTGGCCCCATTACTAACGAAAACAAGTTTTAGGGATCCCAATAAAAATCCGGACGGGACCTACACGTTAGACACATGGCCTCCTTACGATGAGAAAACTATGACCTACATGAATCTTACTGTAGAGTCCCAATACAATGCTGGCGCCAGACGGACGGGCAGTGGGCCTAGGCGACGACAATGCATGTTCTGGAAGACGTTGATCCCTAATGTGCTGTCAGCGTCAGGTAACGTCTTTCGGCTGTTACTTTTGAGATTACTGTACTTACCGCAGCCATAATGTAAATAATAATCCAAAACAACGGCTATATTGTTGCAGCTGACGTAGGCGAGTCATTTGTACGATGGAAACAGCAGATGGATCGCTGGGAGAACGACTACATCAACGACTGGCAGTTCCACTTCGAGCAGTACAAAAAGTACCAGAGCTACCGGCAACTTGACACTGACCAGTGTGTCTAGACACTCCATATCATCACTTCGGGTTTACCTTAATGAGCTTCATGTTTATAGCAACATTAGTCTGCCGACCTTGTAATTACCATTCAAAACGTTTACCTCATGTCTCTCCGGCACCTTCTAATTGCACTTGGATCTGCTTCTGGTGGATTCACAGGATCGGATACTGTAACTTCCACTGTAACAGATGGTTTACTTTTCAATTGTTAATTAAATTATAATAAATACTTAAAAAGTAACGAAATATTTACTGAAAGACCGAATTGAATGACTTTTAAAAAAAAATAAATAAATTTATTACTGAAAAGTTAATTTACAAATTTTGGAAATTAAAGAATTTAGATTAATTTTATGATGAAACTTATATTTTGAGAGCGAGAAGTAGTTATCGTCATGCTACATGTAAGGTTAGTCTACTATTTTTTCGTTGACGTATAAATTGGTAACGGAAAAACAGCGCAGACTTCATATTTTCGGACGCAGCTAGCTGCCTTTTCTTCGTTTTACTTTTACTAAAAATGGTCCAAACGTGTAAATTATGTAAAATTAGTCTAATAGCCTAGTCTTGAAATAACATTTTTTTAATACTGCAAGTTTAGGTAATAATGGGACAAACTGATACTTGGGGAGAACATCCTGGAGTTTTCTCGGACGACGAGAAGAAGAAGTAGGTGAACTACAATTAAAGTAACCTTTACAAAGCAGTTTTTCTAGTTGTAGTGTCTGTTAATCCTTTTTATGCAACTCTACATTTCACCTTTAAATATTTTAGGCTTCCTGTCGATGGAAAAAGGAATATTTTGATAACATCAGCTTTACCCTATGTTAACAACGTTCCTCATCTGGGCAATATTATTGGATGTGTTCTTAGCGGTGATGTTTTCTCAAGGTAATTTACTTTAAAATGTTTATTTTTGTTTTAGATATTGTCGTTTGCGAGCCTATCAAGTGCTTCACATATCTGGAACTGACGAATATGGTACAGCTACTGAAATGAAGGCGCTTCAGGAGAAGACAACGCCCGCTGAGATTTGTGAGAAGTTCCACAAACTTCACAAACAGATCTATGAATGGTTTAACATTGATTTCGACAATTTTGGGCGTACAACTACTGAGAATCAAACTGAGTAAGTTTGCAGTAGCTTCACTTTGGCACATGTAATAAAAAGCTGTTTTTTAAAACTGTGTGTCAAGACATTCATTGTTCTTGCTCTAAACTTTCCTATTAATATTTCTGTTTAAAATAAATATTTTAATAGTAACATTAATATTAATGGTTTCAGAATTTGCCAAAAGTTCTTCCTCCAACTTCATGAAAATGGCTTTACCTCGACTTCTTCGTTGGAACAGTTACATTGCTCCTCATGCAACAAGTTTCTGGCCGACCGTTATGTATTTGGCACTTGTCCACACTGCAATTACAATGATGCCCGAGGCGATCAATGTGACAAATGTGCAAAATTGTTGGACGCAGTGAATCTGATAGATCCAAAGTGTCATATTTGTGGAAGCACTCCTCAGAAGAAGACCTCTGAGCATATATTCTTGAATTTGGATGCTTTGTCGGTAAGGTTTCTTTTAATTTTGTTGACTGACTACAGTTGATAGTAATTTATATTGTCTGTTTAGAATTTTTCATTTTTTTAATTATAAAACATTTTAAAAATTTAGAGCGAAGTTGAAAATTTCTTGGATGAAAAAACTAAAGACTCAGAGTGCAAATGGTCTACAAATGCCATTTCAATTTGTAGAAGTTGGATAAAACAAGGTCTGGAGAAGAGATGTATCACCAGAGACATCAAGTGGGGTACCCCTGTACCTCTACCTGGTTTTGATGGAAAAGTAAGTTTTAACTTGAATTTTTTTGAAAAGTTATGGTTTCATAAAATCGGCAATAACTGTTGAACACTTAGTAATCATCATTTACCGTCTAGGTATTCTACGTATGGTTCGATGCTCCAATTGGATACTTGTCGATCACTAAAACTCTTTTGGGTAGCGATTGGGAGAAGTGGTGGAAGAACAAGAACGTCGAGCTGTATCAGTTTGTTGGCAAAGACAATGTAGCTTTCCACGGAATCATGTTTCCAGCTACACAGATTGGCACAAAGGACAGTTACACGATGGTGAAGAACCTGTGTGCTACAGAATACTTGAACTACGAAGACCAAAAGTTCAGCAAGAGCAGAGGAACTGGAGTTTTTGGAGATCAAGCAAGTGGTACTGGCATTCCAGCTGATGTCTGGCGGTTCTACCTTATCTACATGAGGCCGGAGAATCAGGACACAGCTTTTATTTGGGACGATTTTGCTTTGAAAGTGAGTTTGACAGTCTTATTCGAATTTCATGGCAATTTTGTAACGTTTTTTATTAGAACTTTTCAAACAGTCCTAGGTTAAATTATGCATAATATATTTAATTAGTTAACTTTGACGTTCTAGGTGAACTCTGAGTTGTTGGCCAACCTTGGCAACTTTGTTTTGAGAGCTCTGAGTTTCCTGAGCAACAACTTTAATGGTTTGGTTCCTAAAATCACGTTAAACGATGAAGACAAGGAGTTGATCAATGACGTGAATGTGCTTCTTACCCAGTTCATCGAGCAGATGGAGAATGTCAAGATGAGAGATGCTCTCCAAACAGTTCTGGCCATCTCGAGAAAAGGTAACCAATATATGCAAACCCAACAACCTTGGGTTTTGGTCAAGAAGGACGAAACAAAAGAACGAGGAGCTTCTGTGATTGGATTGGCTGCCAATCTCTCCTGCTTGCTATCAGTAGTGTTGTTCCCCTTCATGCCAGCCACTTCTCAAGCCCTCAGGGAACAGTGCGGGATCTCGGAGAAGTTGTTGTTACCTACATCCTTCTGTCAGTTTTTGAAAGAAGGACACAAAATTGGAAAGGTGGGCTTATTCTATTTTTCTTTGTCACTTGAATCTTATCACAATCGGGAATTTTGATTCCCATAGCGAAAACAATCACTGGGTAGATCGAAATGCCAAGTGGGAGGAAAATAATATTTTATGTGATTTTTCAATGAACTTTTGAATTTATGAGATTCTCTATAAGAGCTGTAAGTTACAAGTCTTTCAATAACCAAGAAAATTGTTTTAGCCGGTGGCGTTGTTTACCAAGTTGGAACCAGCTAAAATGGCGTCTTTGAAAGCTGAATTTGGTGGAATTCAAGAGAACGGAGTTCCAGCACAAGCTCAGACACAAAAGAAAGGTTTGTTTTTTTTCAGTTGTGGAGTTTTCACGTTTGAGAAGAATAAGTTAAGTGAAAAAATGATATTTTTAGAAGTTAAGAAACCAAAGAAGGAGAAGACTACCGTTTCTCAAGCTAAGTCAGCGTTTCCTCAATTGCTGAAGAACCAAAATGACATCTTTAAGTTGCTGTCCGAATCGAGAAAGAAGTTCGAACAGTACAGTAAGTATTATTGTTACTTTGTTTTTCGATTTAGGTGACATTTTTTAATAATGAATCTTTTAGAAGGTCAATTTGCCAAATCTCAGTTGGAAAGTTTGAGGAATCAGTTTGCTGAATTGAATAAAGATTTTGGAAAAGTTTCTGCGGACCTTTTGAAGTTTGAAAAAGAAGCTGGAGGTAAGGAATTAAAATTTTCAAAAAATTTTTTTTATTATATTAGCGTAAAGTTTGATTTTCAGTGCCGATCGTGACAGTCGAGTTGCCACAAGAAACGCCATCTTCTTCTCAAACGGAACAGCCAAAAGAAGTTGTTGAAAAAGAAAACAAGAAGCCGAAAGCCAAAGAAAACCCACTTAAAGAAAAGAAAGGAGGAAGTAAGTATGATATTGCTGTTTTTGCGTTTTTAGGGATTTTAGTACTTTTTAAAAGTTTTTGTAAAGAGGTTTAGGTTATGGTTAATTAAATTTTTTATTGCTTTAGATGCGAAAGCTGCGCCGGTTGCTGACGGAGTTGACATCGGCAGGTTGGATCTTCGAGTAGGCCTGATTCGCGAGGCCAAAAAGCATCCTGACGCCGAAGCTTTGTACGTTGAAACGATTGACTTGGGCGAAGACAAACCCCGGACTGTTATTTCTGGTCTTGTGAAGCATGTTCCCTTAGATCAGGTACCATTTTTTTGTTTTTACATGGTTGTTTTAACTATTGAATATATATTTTTAAACTCCATTGTTGTTGTTGTAGATGCAAAACAGATTAGTGGTGTGTCTGTGCAATTTGAAACCAGTTAAGATGAGAGGAATCGAATCGCAGGCTATGGTAATGTGTGCTTCATCTCCCGAAAAGGTAGAAATCATGGAAGTCCCAGAAGGTGCTCAACCTGGAGATTTTGTAACTTGTGAACCCTTTAAACATCGTCCTGACGGCGTTTTGAATCCTAAGAAGAAGATTTGGGAAGGAGTTTCAGTCGATTTGAAGGTCAGTCTAGATGGCAAAGCCATCTACAAGGACAAGGAACTGACAGTGGCGGGCAAGGGACCTATGACTGCTCCAACTCTTCGTGATGTTTTTGTTAAGTAGATGTTAGTTTAATTTGTTTTTGTTGAATAAACCGGTAAAGGCTAATTGTGTCTCGTATTTTTAAGGTTGGTTTCCAATTTTTATCATAATTGTAAACGTGAATTTCTACATTTTTCGTTTCCGAAGCTTTTTTTTCTGTTAAGGGTATGAATATTAAAGATACATTTTTAAAAAAATTTAGTTTGTAAAGATAATGGCCAAGAAGAAGAGAGTGAGCAAGAAGTCGGCTGCCATGGAGGAGCGGGTGGCTCAGTTACAGTCCAATCCTGTCTTCCACGAGATGCCAAAGACCGAAAAGAAGGTTAAACTGGATCCGCGGTTCAGTAAGATGTTTACGGATGAAAGATTTGCTTCAACTAGTGCTAAAATCGACAGAAGAGGGCGAAAAGTAGAGGAGAAGCTACAAGAAGAGCTGAAAAATGTCTACGATGTGGAACAGTCTTCTGAGTGAGTTCTCAATAAATTACATTATTATTTTATACAAAAGTAAGTTATCAAAATGAAAGTTTATGGTTCCAGTGAGGAGCCAGAAAAAACTGCTGCACCTCAGCCACGCATCGACTTGGCCAGAGGCGAAGGAATGGTAGAGTCGTCTTCAGATGACGATGAGTCTTCTGAAGAGGAGGAAGAAGAAGTAGAGGACGTATGGGGTGAATTGGATTCAGGAGTCCGTCAAGTTGAGTGGACTAGCAACCGGCTGTCAGTATGTAACCTGGACTGGGACAAGATCAAAGCCGAGGATATATTCATGGCTTTGGAGTCGTTCAAGCCGGCTACTGGCGTCATTCAGTCTGTCGCGATATATCTGTCTGACTTTGGATCTGAGAGATTAAAGGAGGAAGATAAGTCTGGACCGCAGTTAAAGGTCAAGAAAGACGAGGATGTTGATCAAGATAACCTGTAAGTCTGTCATGTATGCTTAGTGTTACAAAAGGTTTGTAACAGCTGAATGTTGTTGTAAGCTTTAAACAAAGTACAATTCTTTATTACAGGCCATCCGAAGTCATCAGGGCTTACCAGTTGGACAGATTTAAGTACTACTACGCTGTTGTTGTGTGTGATAATGACGCAACGGCCAATACAATATATGAAAGTTGTGATGGAATTGAATTTGAAAGTAGTGGAGTCAAGTTCGATTTGCGTTTCATACCAGAGGACATGGAATTTGATGTGAGTTTTGTTTATGGTATTTGCAGGGACGTCGTTTGGGGGAGGGGGGGGTACCCCCTCCCCGAATTCCACAGTTAGTTTACCTGTACGCAAAAAAAACGAAAAAAAAATTTTTTGGAAAATCGCTCCACATTATAAGTAGCTTACCTGTAGACGAAAAAAATTTTTTCGGCCTCCTTCTCCCCGAGAGAAAATCTGTAGCGACGTCCCTGGGTATTTGAAAAGTGATTTTAAATTGTAAAGCTTTTTGAATTAAATTTAATGAGTTTGTTTTTTCAGGATGACAGGATACGAGAACAGATAACTTCAGAGGAATTTAATGCGAAGAAATATAAGCCTAAATATAATGTTCAGTCGGCTGCCGTTAAGCGTTCTAACGTCAAAATGGAGTGGGACAATAACGACTATGATAGACAAGTTATGATACAAAAGGCATTCGATCCAGATGTAGATCTCGACGAGTGTTCGTAGGTTTGCTTATGGTTTATTGTCTTAATTGCACTTATTTATACCCTTGAATTATTTTAAAGACTTCATTTTTAGAGCTCTGATTGCTTCCGGTTCAGATGACGATGAAGATCCAGAATTCCAGTTGGGAACACAAGCTCTATTAAGTGCTGCTGGCATTCAAAGGAAACCACAAGAGAATAAGACTAATTCTAAAACAAAGCAAGAAACACAAGAGAACAGTGAAGATGAACAAGAAGAAAAGCTAGTGGATAAGAAGGATAACAAAGACAAGGGATTAACACCGTTCCAAGAGTATCTACAACGAAGAAAACAGAAGCGGAAAGAACGGAAGACGTTGATCAAGGAGAAGAAACAGTCCCAGAAGCGTGAATTACAATCAGAAGCCGAACCAAAGGCTTCAGAATCCAAGAAGAAGAAGATGAAGCTCTCTGAGACGGCGTCGAAGCTGGGCGTGAACACTGATGACTCAAGATTCACGGCTCTGTTTACAAACAGCGACTTTGCTATCGACAAAACACACTCCCAATTCAAGGGGGGTGTTTTGGCTGATAAGCAAGTAGAGGAGAAGAAAAAAAGAAAAACCAGAAAGTAAATAACCGAGGTGGTCTTTCCTTTGATATGTTGTTGATTTAACTTGTTATTGTTTTGTTGAATAAAGTTGACGTTGATCTTGATGTAACTTTTTGTGTTTCCTACTGGAATCGGTTCAAATTCCCGGAATTGTCTTTGAAATCTCCGCGTTTCGTAAACCAAAAAAGCCTCGCGTCTCGCCTCAGGGATAAAGGGAAGAGCGATTTGTCGGAGGTGGTTGCACGTGTTTCGGCCGTTTCCATACCGATGTGGCATCACATAAGGATGTCGTATCTGTCATATTTTGTGATGCTTCTGGCCTTTCTGCTCTCCTTCTTGGGTAAGTTTATTTGAATAGTGTCTGATATGTAACGTTGTCTTTGATTGTAGCTTTGTTCAATGTTATGATGGATAAACAGACCGGAGTAACGTCCGACGAGACAAGAGAGTAAGTTAGAATAATATTTCTTTAAAAACTACAGTTTATATTGCAATTATGACCAAATTGTGGTGTTTTAGAGAGATGGAAGCCTTCAGAAACGAAGTATCGGAGCTCAGAAATCATGTAAATCGACTGAAACACAGTATCAGGACTAGTCAGGTCATTGAAAAGTAAGAAACTCGTAGAATACAAGGACTGTTTAAGGCCAGCTAATTCATTTACAAAGGTAAAACCTCGAAACGAAGAAACCAGAAAGAGGATTCTGGTGACTGGAGGTACCGGATTCGTAGGATCTCATCTTGTGGACAAGCTCATGATGGACGGTCATGAAGTTATTGCTCTGGACAACTATTTTACCGGTCGGAGAAGGAACGTTGAGCACTGGATCGGTCACCCGAACTTCGATCTCGTACATCACGATGTCGTGAATCCATATTTTACTGAAGGTAGGCACCTGTATTTTGTCAATACAATTGAAAGCTGGGTTTTTATTCTGTACCATGAGGACATATAGGTATTAAAATATAAAATATGGTTTCATTTAGTTAAACAACTAATATCAACTAATTTTTCAATTTTAGTGGACCAGATATATCATTTGGCATCGCCAGCATCTCCGCCACACTATATGTACAATCCAGTCAAGACCATCAAAACTAATACTGTAGGCACCATCAACATGCTTGGATTGGCAAGGTAATGTGACAATCTTGATTCTAATGTCTATTTAGACGAGTGAAAGCTAGAATGTTGTTGGCGTCGACTTCTGAAGTGTACGGTGATCCAGAAGTGCATCCACAACCAGAAACCTACTGGGGCCATGTGAATCCAATCGGGCCTCGTTCTTGTTACGATGAAGGCAAGCGTGTAGCTGAGAGTCTGATGGTCGCTTATCAAAAACAGGTAATGAGTACGCTGTTGTTAAAGGTGTATGAGTAGTCTTCAACAGTAATACAGTAACACACGCAGGTATTGTAATGTAACTGACAGTTTCTAATGTTTGTAAGAATAAAAAATATCCTTAACTGCTATAAAATATGGTGTTTAGGAAAACGTGACGATCCGCATTGCACGTATCTTCAATACATTTGGACCCCGTATGCATATGAATGATGGTCGAGTAGTGAGCAACTTCATCATTCAAGCTCTGCAAGGGAAACCCATCTCCATCTATGGAGCAGGCAACCAGACCAGAAGCTTCCAGTACGTATCTGACCTTGTGGATGGGTTGATCGCTTTAATGAACAGTAACACATCGCTGCCAGTAAACATAGGAAACCCGGAAGAACATACGATATACAACTTTGCACAAATCATTCAAGAGTTAGTGGGAAGTGGCAGTACAGTCGAGAACAAAGAGAAGGCGACAGACGATCCACAACAAAGGAAACCTGACATCAGAAGGGCAGCTGAGCTACTCAACTGGCAGCCAAAGGCAAGTTTATTGGTTACTGATTATAAGGAAAAATGTTCAAGCTGTTTAAAATAACCTCAATTTTTAAGTCGTAACTTATAAAAGTATTTCAGTGTCACAAAAAAAATTTTAAAAAAAACTTTTCTTGAAAGCCTCTTTGTAGTTATAAGTCACTATATTAACGACCACATTTCAGGTGTCCATGAGAGATGGGCTCAAGAAGACGATCGACTACTTCAGGGAAGAGCTGGAGCAGGAACGAGAAAAGGGCAAAAACCGAACAGTTTAAACACATCACGGGTTCACATACTTTCAAGCACTACTCAGACGGTTATGTTGTAATAAAGGCTAATGAAACTTGTCCAGATTAAAAGTTCCCTCCGAGATTTATTTATTGGGTGTTTGCGAAAGTTTCTGGCCAATTTTTGTTTTTACCAAAATTTAAAATTTAAAAATCCATGATCTTCCAAGGTCTTGAAGTCTAATTAATATGTTAGAATGGTCACACTAAAGCTCTACAGTCAAATGAGTACAGGTTCGTCGGAGGTCTTCTTCGATCAGCTTCAGAAGGTGGGGTTTCTTCAACGCTGATGGTCTACCATATCGAACTTTTCGGACATGTCAAAGTCACCGTTTTTGAACTTGTGGAACCAAACTTTTACTGTGTCGTAGGAGACTACTGAAGGCCCTATAGCACTGCATATTTCATTCGTCGCTCATGTTGCGTTGCCGTGCTCGCGAAATTTGAGAAGCAACATTGTCCGACCATGGTCATGTTTTACCTTGATTTCTTATACCACCGTAAACAACAGAAAGCTTTAACATGCAATAGTTTTTAGTCCTTGGACATCTCTTTATATAGGTTATCAACAGATAGTTCTAGAACTGTCCAGAATTTTTTTAAAAATTTTTGAAAAATCGGCTAGAAACTTTTGCAAACACCTAATATTTGTGTCTATTAAAAGCCAGGCGAGCCCATTCCGTTCGCAGCGAGAGAGCTTAATATTACTATTGATTTTGGAGAGAAAAACAAAACGTTTTTTGCGTCTCGTTTCACTAAAATCTTTTCCATACCAGAATGCCGATACAGTGATGGCCAAGACTGCTATGATGAACGATTGGGATGAGTCGGTTTGTAAGAAGGAGGACTTGCCGACCGCCATTGTGATCAAAAACGTGCCGCCCGCGTTGTTCGACAGCCCTGAAATGAAGGACAACTTCTCGGACATGTTCACCCAGATCGATAGTAATGTCCGGATAGACTACTTGAAGGGGTTCCGACGAGTACGACTTTCCTTTACTAGGCCAGAGCATGCGACGGCCGCCAAACTTCTAGTAGAACATCACGAATTCGCAGGAGTTCAGATGAAGCCGTTCTTCATCCAGGTATGTTTATGTCTCAGGTCTTTAGAGTAAAAATGGCACACGTACATTTGTTTCGTATCTTATAAAAGACAACTTTTAGCTAAAATGATATTCATTTACACAAACCTAAGCTTTTTATGTACCAAATGCGATTTCCAGAACATAACGATGACGCGAAGAGCGTACCAAGACGAAGAAGGTCATCTAACGTTACCTCCCCTAGAGAAACAATTCCTCATATCTCCCCCTTCGTCACCCCCAGTTGGTAAGTCATTAATTTAATGTAAATTTCCACTTTAGGGTTAACGGCTCAGTACTCACAAGTTATATTTATCTTCACTTTAGGGTGGGTACAATCGACGGAAATGGCTCCAGTCATCTGTGACTTCGATTTGATGGCCAAATTGGCCGCTTACACAGTAGAAGAAGATTACGAGGTACACGGCGGAGACCCCAGCCATCCCACCATAGTGGTAACCCCAGTCAAGATGGGCATGGACGAGGAGAAACCGCTGAGATGTCCTCCCACGCCCCTGCCCCACACTCCCCGCCCTCCAGTGGAGTGACGCTTTAATCACAATATTGCTTTATTTGTATATTACCCATGACTATTAAATATTGTCAACTCAGACCAAGACTTTTATACATTTTCAGACCTGATGTTACCTAAAAGTTAGATATACTGGCTATTGTCCGTTAGAACTGAACTAACATGAAATATGATCAAGAATACATATAGGAAAGGATGGCAGAGAAAGATTTAATTCTACCAGCAGTTAAAGGTTGCTACACGTTGTCCATCTGACTCTTGAGTGGTTTCCTTTGGTATAACCACTTCTGATATAAAGCGTCCATCTTATTCTTGTTTTTAGAATAGATATTGAGGTATATAGCTATCAAGACTAGTGCTGCTGACCACAAGTAGTTCAGCGTGAAAGGTTTGGTAAAGAATATAAACGACAATACGATCGTCACTGCTTTCCGCATAGTTGTTACTGTAACTGCTATTAAAGCTCCGTATGTTCTGACTAAAGTTAATACGACATTAATGCCAAAGTATCCCAATATACTGAATATAATGGCGTTTCCGTACATTGCTGGGTTCTAAACAAAGCACTTTCAAGTTATAAAGTAAAAGAAGTGTCGTTAATATATTAATATAACATTTAAAAAACAAAATTGAAACCGTTTTAAAATGTTTGAAATATAAATTGTCATTAAACTTACTTCGGCAAAGTATACAAACGCACTAAAGAACTCTGTGCTCAAGACAGTGCCTATAAGAATGTACACCGACCCAATTGTGTACGAATAAAGTACGACTTCGCAGTTTGCTGCCTGATGTGCCTTAATCGCTTTTTCTTGTACATTTCCAATTATAGCATCTGCCACTAATGCTAAAGATATCATAACGTAGCCTCGAGGGTCGAAGTTAGGCGACACACTGTTATCAGCCAAGGTGAAGAAGATCAAACCTAAACTCATCAATCCGGCCGCTGACACATCATATACACCAAACTTTTTGCCTTGAATTAATATACCTAAAAATAAATTTTAAGTAGGCATTCTTTACATAAGAAAAGTAAATTAATAAACCATAAACTAAATTTTTTAGGTAATATTACCAAACTGAAGTTATTCTTACCTCCAATCAACACTGGAATTAGCTTGCAACATTTGAATATCACTTGTGTAGGATAATTTAAGTATCCTACTGATGCATTTGACAACCCCATCGTGGCAACAGTATAAAATGCTATTTGGAAGTACGTTTTCATAGGAATTCTGAAATAAAAATAATTTTACATCAATCTTGAAGTAGAGAACATTTTCATTAAAACTAGGTAAGAAATATGAAATAAGGTTAAACCAAAATTAAAAATTTAAGAAGTACCTAAAACAAACTTACTTCCTAATCCCGTCCGTTGTCATTTTCGCTTCAGCGCTAGCAAATACTGAGTATACACAAAACTGGATCAATGTAAGGTACCACCCAAACGGTTTCATACCTTCTACTCGGAAGATAAACTCTTGCATGTATCCATAGCCACAATAACATACGAACACGGCCAAACATAACAACAAGAACTGAACTGTTGAGTTCCTAAACCAAGAATATTAAAGTTTCAGCTGTTTGAAAAAACTGCCAAACCTTAAAACATAAAATAAACCTACAAATGTGAAATGTCGAACCCGAAAAGGTAGATCTTCTGTGCTTTCTGCTCCTTCTCAAGATCCTTGACATTTTGCGGAAGCATATTACTCACTATATTATAATAGAATTAAAAAAACAGTTCGCCTCCATCCAATGCCACGTTTCCTCGTCTCGACGTGGAGATCTATCTATGTATAACAACATGCGTTCGGTTTTTATGAAAAAATCGGAGAATTACAGAATTTGGGACATCCTGACCCATTTTATAAAAAGACAATTTGTTTTTAGAAAAACACTGAAATTTTGACTAATTTTGTAGACAAACTAATGACGCATTTTATAGAAAATACAATTTTTTTGTCAATGGCACTTGACCGACTTCACTTGACCTTTTTTAATAAATTTGAAAAATGAATAAATTTTGGATAAGAAATAAAATGAAAGTGAATCAAATTTACAGAAAAATAATTGAAATGGCTATGAATTCATTACCATTTCATTACATCAGACAGAGTCGGTTGTTAACATGAGGTTGTTGTTGTATAGTTTATTACCTTGCATCGTATGTGCTTGTAGACACTCGATAGAAGACTTGGATCTGAAGCTAACGGTTTATGAAATCGAATTACTCGTTGTAAATGGTACGTTAACTTAGAGATCTTAATTATAAATTATAAGGTTTATTATTTTGTAGGAAGTATTTACCTTAAGGTCGAAAATTGCGCAGGAAATTGCTTTAGATGGTTTCTAAATTTAAATTTATTGCATAATATCTATATGAACCGTAAAGTTATTTTTAGCGGTTGTAACGCTTTTCTTAGTGTTTATTGTCCCAAGAGTTATGGCTCAGCGACATTTGCTGAAGCACTTGATTACAGAGCGAAAAAAACGACAGGACAGTATGGTTAAGCTTCAGAAGTACATAAGATTCCAGGTAAAATGTACACGGTGAAGAAATGCCTATATTAATATACGGTATTATTAAACAGCTTTTTATTTTGTAAATATCAAGAAAACTATGCGGTGATGTCATTTTTGATTTTGCAGTATATTAAGATTTCTTGTTGTAATGTTTTATTTGAACTCTTGTCTTGCCTGTGTAATGTTTCTCATGTTTAATATTTGACTTTCAGCCAACCGTGCCATTAAGCCATCTCCGTCGTTACTTTGAAGATCGCGACGCCGCTAAGAACGTTGAGCCTGTCATCAACTACTTGCCTTAAGGCTACATCACTTTGAACAATAAATATTGATCTCGGAATAAAGTTAACATAAGTTTCGACAGTTGAGGTGTGCTAGTTTTGTGAAGTTTACTTTGTGGTACATTTAATACGAATTTGGAAGATTATTCTAACATTCGTAAGGCCAAAACAGCAGGGTCATATTAGTGTTTTGTAAATATATTATTTAAAAAGATAAAAAATAGATAAAAGTTTAATTTGTGATGACTAAACGTGTCTCCTGCCAATATTTAATTTTTCAGTAAAAGTTCGGAAAAGATTGACAAGATTTGATAAGTGATGTCCTCTCGGAGAAATAAATAAAAGTCTCTTTTTTGAAATGTTTTGAAATGATAAGAAGGCCCAGTAATCACACGATATTTTTCAGTGTCAGTCAGTTCGATCTTGATAACGAGACTGCTTAAAACAGGTCGACTGGTCATTGCCGATTAGTCTTGTCATGCTGTTGCTTTTGTTTTTGGCGGTGGGCTTAGTCCACGGGTTTGGGTCTTCTGAATCCTCGGAAAGTGCTGAATCTGACTTTGTTCTGGACAAAGCGAGCTTCAGAATTCAGGATTATGTAAAGGATACATTGCCTAAGGCGGCTCAGTTCTTGAAAGGTCAAAAGTTGGTTGACTACGTGAACAGACGACAAAACTTGTGGAAGGTAAAAGCTTTATTTCATCAAACTTATAATCCGAAAGTGTATTCATCAAAGTTTATCATTGTACCTCCTGAAAACATACAAGACTTCTTATTCCTAACAGTAGTTGACATTTTAAAAGAGTTACAACATTTTGGTATTGCTGACTTACGTCAAGTTTTATATTTAGGCAAAACTGCACCCAAAGCTGGAAAGCTACGATGAAGGAGTACGATACGGTCTGATGGGAGTAAACCACGTCAAGAACTCAGTGAAGGCTAAGAAGAATCTGGCAGAATCTCGTTTCATGGACATGGAGATCCCTAAACAGTTCGATGCTCGTACCAATTGGCCCAACTGTCCCTCGATCCGTGCCATCAGAGACCAGTCTTCATGTGGAAGTTGCTGGGCCTTTGGAGCTGTAGAAGCCATCTCTGACAGAATCTGCATCGCTTCCAACGGTCAACTGAAGCCTTTGATCTCGGCCGCGGATCTGCTCAGTTGTTGTAAGGAATGTGGCTATGGGTAAGTTGGTAAATTTTAAAAACTTGTTTATTAATTTTTATGCCGCTAAACGGCTATAAACTGCAGTTTACGATACTTTAATGAAGTAGTTATAAAACATGATTTCAGTGTCATATTAAATACTTTTAACATTTCCTTATTAGTATTTTACGTCAGATTACCTGTATATCTTCAGATGCAACGGCGGAGAACCCTACCAAGCTTGGGAATTCTGGGTCAGTGACGGTCTGGTTACTGGATCTGACTACGATACTCATGTTGGATGTCGTACTTACCCATTCCCGCCTTGTGAACATCACAGTAACCATACCGAACGCCCTCAATGTAAAAAGGAACTGTATCCAACTCCAAAGTGCATCAAGCATTGCGATGACAACAGAAAGTCGTATGCTGAGGACAAGTACTACGGTATGTAATATTTTAAAGTACTTTAAGTAATACGATATAATAATAACAAGTTGTAATTTAGTAAAATAAGTTTGCCTCTCAGAAACAGAACCATTGATAATGTTATGCTTTCAGGAGAGAAAGCCTATGCCGTTGATTCGAATGTAGAAGCTATCCAGAAGGAACTGATGGCTCACGGTCCTCTAGAAGTGTCTTTCGAAGTCTACACAGACTTCTTGACCTACGCTGGTGGAGTCTACGTACATCAAGGAGGTCATCTTGGTGGAGGTCACGCTGTCAGACTCGTAGGATGGGGAGAAGAGAACGGAATCCCTTACTGGACGATCGCCAACTCGTGGAACACCGACTGTAAGTTTTACATGTGTACCACAGTTAGATTACGAATTTAACATGCAGTATTATGATACTAAAGTAGACCTTCAATATATAAGTATAACTGAGTAGTACCATGTCTGGGACTACTATAACAATATATAAATTTTAGGGGGAGAAGGTGGTTTCTTCAGAATCCTCCGTGGAGCCGACGAATGTGGAATTGAGAGTGGCGTGGTTGGTGGAACTGCCAAACTCAACCGAAACAGAACCAAAATGACCAAGAACTACGACATTTACTAATCAATCGTACATAATATTCTAATAAATATGACCTTGTACTTGTTACAGCTTGGTGTTCAGGGACTTTATTTGCACTTCCAGATCAGTCGAACGTTCGCTTAGGGCCTGAAAGTTACATTACGTGGTAACACAGTAATCATGTCTTGTTACATATTTCAGTCAAAAATTTCTCAAATCCCCAAAAAGTAGTGTTTCTACATTATTTTGACCAAATTATTAAAAATATAATATAATTTTCAAAAAAAGTTAATTCAAAATCGACTTACCGTGATTTGAGCAGTCAGAGTGTTAACTTGAGCGTTCAAGTGGTTACATTGAACTCCAACCCTGTCCAACTCAACTTCAGCTTTCTTTACCTCATTGAACACTTCAATCATCTTCTTAGAGGCTTCTGACTTTACAGCTGAAACAAATTATTTTATTATGTTACAAAAGTGTAATTAGGTAACAAAATATACTATAACACACGGTGGTAATAATAATTTACAATATATCGCCCTTACCAAAGTTTTGCTTAACTTCAGCAGTCAATTGTTGAATCAGATCATCAAACGACTCAGTTGATGCAGTACTCGTTCCAGAAACCTCGCTCATTTTACTCGACCCTGTAGAAGCGGCCGAAGATTCTGAAGTCTCGCTTTCAGAAGGACTGAAAGACACTCCCGTGGACACAGAAGTCTTACTAGCGGACTCAGCAGTACTCACACTTGTAGAACTCTTTGTCGGAATCTGGATCTTGCTGTCGGCTACAGAGTAGACTCTGACACAGTGAAGATTCTCCAGATTCTGAGCTCTTTCGGCCTCCCAAACTCTTCGACGATCTTTCTCATCGTCCTTGGCTTCCATCGCTTGAACAAGGAACTTCTGCCGAGGATTGTACTTGTTTGTGTTAGTCAACTCAACTGAAACGATGACTGCTTCTCCAGAAGTCAAAAATCCGCACGCTGGATTGACAACGTATCTGGTCGGAGCATTGCTTCGCAGTCTCCAGGCGACTCTCTTCTGCGTGATGTTACTGAAAACATAAAAAAACTGTAAATATACATTTTATTCACAATAATAAACTTTCTGACTGCTGTAACTTCCTCAGACCCCCCTTACCTAATGTGAATGTTAGCTTTACTCGAGAGTGCTTCGGTCAATCGAAACTTCAGATGAATTGGCTCAACAGATAGCAATTTCACAGGCTGAGGCGATTCCGACTTTGGTTGTTCATTATCAGAAGTTTGGTTTAAAAATGGAGGCACTGGTGCTAAAATAACGTTACCTATACAATGAAAGAGAACTTACGTTGCGAAGATGACATTTCAAACCAACCACCAACTGTATGTATGGTACGTTTAAAAACTTCTTGTCAATTTGAATTTTGAAAAACATTTTTATAGTTGTTTACTGTAATTTGCATAGAATTACAACTTTTTGTTATGAGAAAGACTTGACACGCTTCACCGAATTTAAGTCAAGTCTGACACTATATTTTCTGTTTCCTATTTTTTCAATTATAAGATCGAAAAATGTTTTCGTTGTCTTGGTAGTAAATTTGTTTTGATCTCAACTATGGTTTTCTCGGATCTGTTAAAAAGGCCTTTAAGCAAAGTTATTTTAGCGGCTGTTTCGGCATCTGGCGGATGTGCACTTCTTCTTTACCTTTTAAGGCAAGTTTCAAGTTTATTTTCTTTAACAACTTTTTTTAATAGAATATCTTAGTGAATCAATAAACTAACTTTTCTATTTATGTAGTTTGTTATTCAGACTTGAAAATATGCTTTATTATTAAAAGGGTATATTATTGTTGTATCGTTTTAGAAAACGGTATGGAATTACAGATAGGAAAGCTTCGATTGCTAGTTCAATACATCAAGACACATGTAAGTTTAAGGGTTGCTTATTTTATTTAATTTTTAGTGGTTTCCCGGATTTCTGATGTATTACACCGACTAGAACTGTTGTTAAAGGAGTTGGAAAGTTATAGATTTGATGGGGAAACTGAAAGAGACAAGTACGACTTCACGGCGTCCATCGTCAACAGGATACGAGGTGTTCTAGAAGACTGGGAGAAGTTTGAACGCAATGACTTTGCTTTACCTGCAACAGATGAGATTGGTAAGAGTTTAAAAATATCACCTTGTCATAGATTTTTATTTTGTGTTTTTCGTTGCTAAGCAAGATGATGATGTGTTTTTTGGTATTCTTGCTTGTTGCCCCTGTTGTTTACTTACTGTTGTTTTAGCTCGCTCAATATGGAATTCAAGTGAACCAGTTGTCGCAAAGCCTGGTACCCTTTCAGTATTGTCAGATGATTCATTCTTATCAGCCATTGACGATTTTGTAAGTGGAATATATTTGAATAATAGAAATTCAAGCTTTCAAAATAAATGATCATTTTATTTACCTTTTTCTTTTTAGTCACCGACGTCTGGGGAGAATCTGTCATTAAGTGTGGATTTTGAGAACATGAAAATGTACAGAGAAGGCCTAGAAGCTGTAGAACGAGGAGAAGTGGCATACCGCAAGTCCAGGGCAGAGATCTGTGGGTGTGAAAGTGATGTTGACTTTGCGGCCAAGGTGTGGTGCTTAAGGCAAGCCTTTGATAGGTTGTTCGAAGATGTTAAAACAAGGTCTTGGTTGATAAAAGTTGGACGAACATTGATTGCCGACATACTACGACACTTCAAGAAGGACCCCAAGGAGTTTTATATTGCTTTCGACAGAATGGTGGAGTACCTTCAGAAGCCAGAGAATTATGAACAAGTCTGTTTCGAATTGAAACAGCGAAGGGTAAGCTCAAGTTATGTTTGAAATTTGATTAACTATGTAGGCATTCATTCGATGTTGTTTTAGGTGGAGTGTCTGAACATCTGGGATGTTTTGTTTGACTTCATTCTCCTGGATTCTTTTGACGATCTTAAGAAGCCGCCGTCTGGTACCGCTGCTTTGGTCAAGAATTCCTTTCTCAGTCAGTCGATGAGGGAATCCACCTTGAACAACTTGATTTGGTCTTTGATAAAAATGAAACGCTCTAGACTTCAAAATCAAGATGGATTTGTCTCCAGGTTCTACGACATTTCCCAGATCGTGTCCCCTCCTTTAATTATGGGTCTTTTGGGCGGTGCTTCGAGGGAATTCGAAGAGTTGTGTACAGACTTCAAGGAGAGTGTATTCATCTTGATCGGATCTCTGTTCAACTCCCAGCAGGTCCGCTTCAACACATTGGATGAGTTGAGTGAAGACGTGAACAAGGTCCTCTTCAATCGGCTAGAGACCATCCAGATTAGGATTAGTAATGAGTTGCTTCCGGTGTAATAAAATAATTGATATTGTCATTGGTTTTGTGTTACGAGGTTTGAATACCTTCAATATCACTTATTTTTTTTCCAAATTACTGGTTTTATGAAAGTATTTTTTAAAGCGTGACATTCTTCATTAAACTTGTCATCTTTTGGTATGATTTTCAGATGACCGACATAAAATCGAAACTTGAATCTCTACACAATCTGCTGGTCAAGAACGCTGACTACATACCTTTACAACGATGGGGTTTCGATCAGAATGCCTTGGACATAGTAAAATCACATAAACATTCGATTGTCAACGAGAAATTGACATTCAGTAAGTAATCGTATTTTAAAAACTTGGTTTCACATGTTATACCTTGTTACTACTGTAATTTTAGAACAAAAGCAGCAACTGAGTAAGAAACAGAAACAGCAAATGGCCAGAGGAGTTGGAGCTGTCCCTCAGAAGGTTTCAGAAGTCTGCAAACTTCTGAGCAACATTTCTGTAGCTCCAAAGAAGCTAAACGCTAAGAACAACAACAAGACTCCAGAAGTAAACGAGGAAAATAAAACAGAATCACAACTAGATCCGTAAGTTTAAAAAAGTTTTACTTTAATATTAATGTTGTCTTTTTTGGCACCTAAATTTCTTTAAAATTGAGTTAATATACAAAATTACAGTGCCATCGCAGCAATCTTGCGGAAAAAAGGTGTCAAGCGTCGTAATATTACCTCGATATCAACAGCGAGTGAAGTACCGGCAAAGAAGAACGGCAAGGAGAACAAAGTGGTGCCAAAGAAGGAGAAGAAAGTTTTGACAGATAAGGAACGACAAGAACTGAAGGAGAAAAGGTAAGTTTACAATGTTGGTTTAAGTAGCAGTTTTCTTTACTGCAATTAATGTCAAGTTACGGCATATGAAATTCAAAACCACTTAGTTTGTGTAATTTGTAGAAAACAAAGCCGTGCCATCAAAAAGAATACCCAGAAGCCAGAGAAGACGCTAGCTAAACAAGAGAAAGTTGAAAATGGCGTGAAGACAGAAGAATCCAAGGAAAATGTGAGAAAACAATCTGGAGATGAAATCAGTTTTAACAAACTCGACTTTGTGATCAAGGACGAGAAGAAGCTGACCAAGAAGGAGAAGATGAACAAACTGTCTGGTCGAGATTACAAAGGACTACAAGCCAAACTAGAAAAGAGAAAGGAGTTTGTCAAGAAGTTGAAGCAGAAAGATCCCAAAAAGGCAGAGGCATTCGAGAAAGACGTCAAGTGGGATACTGTAATTGGCAGGGCTGAAGGCAAGAAAGTCAAGGATGATCCTCAAATGTTGATGAGAGCTCAGAAGAGAAAGGAGAAGTTGAAGGAAAAGAGAAAGGGAAAGTGGGACGAACGGGTGAAGAAGGTTCAGGAAGATCAACAGAAGCGACAGGACAAGAGGAACACCAACATCGCCAAGAGAAGGGATACCAAGGTCCAGAAGAAGCTGGAGCGGGCTAGAAAAAAGGGTCGACTGGTTTAGGCCAGTAGATTTGAATACTCTGTTACGTTATTGTTATTTGTTGACTTTATTGTTATGAATAAATTAACAACCTTAACTATAACATCCAATTTATTTTTTGAGATTGGGGAAAGCGTCCTTTTTGCTGAGAACAACAGTTTGGTGATTGTACGATATGTAACCCTTGATCTTTTTCTGAAATTACTTTACTCATAATTTACTACGCGAATTTTCTGTTCTTTGATTCAAGTAGTTCGACCCAATCTTAAGGCTAATTTTTTAAACTTGCTTACCTGCATGATAAGATTCGCCACAACACAAGATATCTCGTCGTTGTCCATTTTGTATTCTAACCCATCCAAAACAGATCTAATGGCATCCAACTTCAACTGATGAGTATCCAAGATAATCGATCTAAAGATATTATGAAATTAGGTAACAAACTTACATAGTCCTGACCAAATTGAGGAATGTGATAAGCTTCAACTTCTCTAACATCAAGAATATTCCAGAATCAATGAAGAAGTTCTCCTGAGACCTGAGCGCTGTTTCAAACAACTTCAGATTACCGTCACTGTAAATTCGAAAAGCATTATCTATGTAATTATGTTATATTTACGTAACGTGTTTAATCACGTTAATAAATATTTAACGTACCGAACAGCTACTACAATATCCCTAAAACACGAAAGACCATAAGTTTCCAATAATTCTTGTGTTGGCGTAACTCCCAAAAACATTTTGACTGGGATTAGGTATAACAAGATCAACTTCTTATTCGATGCACATTGTTGAGGACAGTTTGCGAAGGCATACGACAATGATTCCTCGGCTGAAGTGTAAGAATAACATTCCTTAAGTTAAAAACACATAAGTTATAATTTAACTTACCTAACTCCAAGTTGTTGTCAAAGATAGCCTTCCGTCCTACATAGTAATTGTAAGTTACCTTGTCAAGTTTCGAGAATAAACTATACAATTTACTATCTTTTGATACGTCAATGGCACGAATCAAAGGTTTTAACAGTGATAACCGATTAATCTAAAAAATAACCATTGGTAAATAAAAAGAAACTAGTCTTAAGTCAGTATGACCGTACATTAAACGTCCATAAAATAACTTACTCTGTAGTAAATTCTGAACAACTGATTCGTCAAGTTTAATATCGCTACCTTCTTTGAGATTTCGACGGCATTACGCCTAAAATAAAAAAAAAACTTTTAAAAACCTATGTAATTTAAAAATCAAAGATAAATATAAAGATACTTTAAATACCATAAAACGTACCCATCAGCTACACAAATACGATAACATTCCATGATAGGATTAGCTGCTTCTTCGTAGAACGACTTCTCGTCTTCATCAATAACTTCCCGAGCTTTGTCAGCCTAAATAAATAAAAAAAAACATCAAGCTACTTACCATTGAAGCCACAACCCTCAGGTCTTTACATAGTACGAATAAGATTGGCACAAACCAGTTGACATCCTTCTCCTCTGATAAGATTTCTTTTTGAAAGTATTGTAAAAGCTAAAATAGTTCAAAATGTGAAATAACAAATTCATAAAACGCTAATGAAATGGTAAAAAAATTTTTTTCAAATCTTTAAGTATTTGCTTATAGTAATTTAGGTAATAAAATATTAACTTACTGCTTTTTGAGCATTAAAAGCATCGTGATATTCGTTTCTACCCAAAAAATACAATACTTTTAGATGCAAAGCAACCAAATCGTCAAAAACTTCGTCATCTATCCTCCTTTCATCAAATTCTTCATCTATATTCAACACCTAAACACCTTTGATACCTAATCGGGAAACTTACCTGAAGAGCAACATTGTTAACATGAGGTCCTTCACAAGATAGTAGATCAGCAGCCTCTTCACTCGACGCCCAGTCTCGAGCTAGTAACAAGTCTATGACTTGACCGTAATATTCGTTGAAGATCCTCGCAGCCATTAAAGTAAAATAATATTATTTATTTTCGGAAAAAACTTGGCGCGCTTCTAGAAAATGTGTCATAACAATATAATTTTTTATTATTTAAATGAGAGAAAAAAGATTTGAAAAATGATTTTAGGTTTTTAAAATAAAAAAATGGTAAAGTATCAGTTAACTTTAGTTTGTTTTTGTAAATTTTGGTTGTCATAATGACGCTATTTTTCGTCCTTGTTTCGACTTCTGATGATGAATGATGGCTTTGAACACAATGCCAATGCATTAAAACATGAATTAGTAATTACATCACATAAAACTAAAGGATTCGGAATTTTGGTTTTAATTCATAAAACTTTCTTCAAATATAGACACCATTACTTGATACCAGTATCAAGAATTGACACCGGCGTAGATATGAGCAACGAACCGGGCCCAATTTTCAAGCCCGGCCCGCGGGCCGGGCCTAACTTTTAGGCCCGGCCCGTTTTTGATTTTGGTCAGGCCCGGCCCGGCCCGATCAGAAAATTTCTAGGCCCGGCCCGGCCCGTTTTAAAAAATTTTAGAAATTTTAAAACTTAATAACTAAATGGAAAATTGGCTTTAAATTGTTTTTTTTAGACCATTTATGGATCATAGAACCCAATAAAATCAAAACACATCAACGGGGATTGAAATAAAAAATTTAAAAAAATTTTTTAAATTTTTTTTCGGGCCCGGGCCCAATTTTCAAGCCCGGCCCGTTTTAGATTTTGCTCAGGCCCGGCCCGTTGCTCATGTCTACACCGGCGGGAATTACTAATTAAAATCGTTGATTGAAAAAACTCTTTAGGTGTTATTCTGCTAGCTTAGTGTAAATATGACTTTATTTTTTAAACTTAAGTAACTTCTTTACAGTTATAATTTTTCGGCGCTAGGACAAATGCGGTTTTTGGACATTTGCGGATCTTCGATTTTTGGACACTTGCGGATTTTGGACATTTGCGGATTTTTTAAAGGGGTTTTTTTATTTTTTATTTAATTTATTTGTAGTATGGTACTAAATGGTACTAAAGTTTAAATTGGCACTGTCTTAATATTTCTTAATGTTAAATAGTACTAAATTTTTAATCGGTACTGTTTTTATATTTTTGGTACTAAATAGTACTAAAAGCCCAAAAAGGTACTGTTATGTTAAAACCGTACCAATTCAAACTTTAGTACAATTTAGTACCATAATACAACTAAATTAACTAAAAAATAAAAAAAAACCTTTAAAAAATCCGCAAATGTCCAAAATCCGCAAGTGTCCAAAAACCGAAGATCCGCAAATGTCCAAAAACCGCATTTGTCCTAGCGCCAATTTTTCAGTATTATATTTTGAGTGTAATATTGCGACTGCTCGATTTCTGTAATGCTAATACTTTTCAAGATACAATGTGTGAACCTGATGAAACAATTTCAAAACAATTAGCAATGTCACATACTCAAGGACTGAACGTCCATGACACAGAAGTAGCAGGTCAAGGCGAAGGTATCAGAGATGATAGTGTTTTGATAGGGTTTCTGGTTTTCGTGTTGATTTCTTCCTCCTCCTCCTCCTCGCTGCTTCTCGAGCACCAAATCCAGTTTCAATAAGGTCGTGGCGGGTTGAAGCCAGCCGCAATTCTTCGACTGGTCAGGCGCGCCGCGATCGGAATCCCTCCCTCTGCGTTTCTTACGTTTCTCTGTCGTTTAGGAGCGTCTTCTTTCCCTCAGGCGACGACGGCGCCAACTCCCGGGAGGTCCTTGTTCTACCTCTGATTCACATCCTCACACTCACGGCCATTCACACCGTTCTAGGCCAACTTCTGGCGTTCTCTTGTGTAGCAGGATTCTGATTTGGCGTCAGAATCTTGATAATTTTGTTTAGAATAGCTGTTTTCTTAAGTTTCCTGTTACTATTTAATATTATACCACCTAATCTATTAAAACCCTCATCATGAAGTTGTTTGTCGTCGTATTACTATGTGTGAGTAACATCCAAGCAGCTCCACCGCCCGCGGCCGTCGCCGAAACGGCTGATCTGGCCGTGAACATGAAGAAGTTCCAAGAAGGTAAGATACAACGCGGTGTTTGTAAATTACATTTTTAAGTCTACAGCCTGGCTACACAGTTGATGAATCTCGGAGGGAACATCTTGAACAATGCTAATGGAGGAACCGGTTCCTCTTCGGCGCCATCTTCTTCAAGGCTTTCTAGCATCTCCAGCGATTACTCATCTTCTTCGGGTAACGGGATTCTGGGCGAGGTGGTCAGGCCGCAGTTCAGAGGTAGGTGCACATGTTTATGGTGATCGTAATTTTATTTTTTATTTATTTACAGTACACTTTAAACGTGTACTTTTGTCTATTTTTTATTGTAGCTTTGTTGACATAGTTTTTGAAGGTCGTAGCATATTTACTTTGTGATTTCAGGCGTTTCCAACTACGAACCATCAGCTGAGAGATCCAACTTTGGATCAGGAGGCCTTTCCGAATATGGAGGAGGTCTTCTGGGGGCCGGAAGCAAGTCTCAGCCACGGTCCATTATGGATACACTATTGGGCAGTTTCTTGGGTAAGATTCCAGCGCTAAATTGATAGCTTAAAGTTAAACTCATCGCAGAAAAACACTAATAGTTGACAGGAAACATAAACTTTGGCTCCGATTAGTAAAAACGTTTCTTACAGGATCATCCTTAGGATCCGGCTCTGGATCGTCTTCCTCATCTGGAGCCGCCTCCATCTTCCAGCCGTCGTACGAAGAGTACGGTGAGTCTAACTCCAAGTTCGGTGGCCCTAAGGGATCTAACATCGAAGCCATTGTGGACGCCCTATCCAGGGGTGGGGCCAAGCGAGCCACGCCCGAGCCAGACGCTGGACTAAACGCCGGATCTCTGATTAGCCAGTTCTTCGGTGGCGGTCGATAAACCTAGGACATTGTTTTCCCGATTCGGGGCCATACATCTACATATTTATATTGTGTGTACATAAACTCGTCTCATTCGATGACAATTTGATGCCCTTAATTAGCCAAACTCGCGCTTGTTTTGGCACTTTTGTTTTGCCATTTGGAAAGTTTATTGACTTAAATATGTTTGTTATCTTAGCTTTTGTGGTCATCTATTTATAGTATATGGTATCTTAGTAGTTATCAGCCATAGAGATATTGCGAAACATAATAATACAGTAGCCAAACTATTACTTAAAACACCTAATATTTTAAACCAGAAGTCAGTAAAACCACCAATGCATGCCAATACGACTGAAGGATAAACTGCTTCTGACCAAAGAATTAAAGTCTACGTATCTTGTTTTCTGCGCATATAATCTTTCATTAAACATTCATAACACAATACACTCAAAGACTTTTACAAGTAATAAGACCGTACACGACCCTGAAACTAGATGCCATTGATAAGTTTTTCAAATTTGTACAGTATCCATTTTACTGTTCACAGTATCCATGTCTATATATTTATGCGATAAGCCGGCCTCATTTGTATGCCAATGTCAATGTGATGCTGTTAATTGGCCGAAAGCCGAAACCCTTATTTGTCCTGGGGCCTTTGTTTAGCTGTCTTTATTTGAAGGTTTTATTGGGTTGAATATGGCATCTTGGCCAGATATGTACCATTCTTACGGTAACTATGTAGTTCATCCAGGAGACTCGTTAAGTAATCCCTTGAGTAAGTTTTAATCAAGATATGTATTCAGTAGTGGTAGTATTTGAATATAGTTGGTCAAGAATTCCTAAGAAATCACTTGTCTTCTGTCTATTAATGTTTTAGTCAATGAATCCACCGAGAATCAGAATCTGTTGACTGGTCACGCTCGTAGTGTAGCACAGGAACGGCGCAGACAAGAGAACGAGCAGTTCAAACGATTGTCGATGTTACTACCAGTGGCCAGAGCTATCAGTGAGAAGCATCTTGACAAAGCTACAGTAGTCCGACTGGCTGGTACTTATATAAAACTGCACCACGCTGTAAATCCAATAAAGCTGAGGCCAATGAAACCTCTGATAGAGGTCAATCTGATTGATGTAGGTGCAGTAATATAACATTAATATATACTGTAGTTGGATACTTCTATTTCTTAATAAAATAAGACATAACCAACGTATGTTACACTTATTTTAGATTCTGGACGGCTTTGTCTTCTGTCTCGACTACGGTGGTGACATTTTATATGTTAGTGAAACGGTCAGTCTACACCTGGGGTTGTCGCAGGTAGATCTGTGCGGTAACTCGATATACTCGTATGTTCATCCAGAAGATGCGTCCATCTTGAAAAGGCAGCTGATCCGTTCCCAGAACTCCGAACTGGACTGGTTCCTCAACATAAGAATCAAGTCCACGCTGACAAAGCGGCGCAGCAAAGAAAGCCCCAAATGCGCCTCTGGATACAAGGTATGTTGTGCATCATGACAACGGTAAATTGACATATATTTACTGCTACAATACATCTAATAGTTTTACGTTAACCCTTCTCATACAGATAATATCATCATTTAGGTAATCTCAATAGAAGTCTACCGTCGTCTAGATTCATCGTTCCTCGCCTTCGGGCAGCCACACTCAGTAAAGATATCTAATGGCATCAAACTATGTCAACATACTGTAGTTGTCAACCTAGATGACTACTTCAGGTTACGGTACTGTGAGAATTGGTAAGTACTGTAAGATTCACATACAAACATATACCATACGCATCCTCACCTCAATAACATCAGTTAAAAATTAAAGTATATGTAACTATTGACGTATCTTAATACCGTAACAATTCATAAGTGCATCGCTTTACAGGGACGGTATACTGAAGATAACACATGGCTCCAGTTTCTACGACCTTATCCATCCTTCAGACGTTTACATAGTGGCAGAAATGCACAGGCAATGTAAGGAATGGCAATATAGTATAACAATGATACTTTAGTGAGCAATATAGGATCGTACCGTACTCCCATAATGCGAATCGTTAACTATGGTAACACTTTCAACGCAGAGGTATGTTACTTACAATCAAAATAAGGTTTTAAGATATCAGCAATCAAGTACGACAGCAACATGAGGGACGACGATACCAACTTCAGAATCACCATGATTATCAACATCATCAACTGTGAATAAGATATAGTCAGCATTGAACCCTTACAACATATTACACAATAGATCGACTTCAAACATTACAAATTAAGGTAAAATATACTGATAGGTATGTAATATAATGTCATTATTAGTACAGATTCATTCAGAAGAGTTCACAGTGGAATTAAAGTTTATGCACATGATAATTATGTTATAACATGAGAATAAATATGTACGTCATTTAGATATTAAGTTACTTTACTTTCGTGCCTTCTTTCCTGAGTCTTTGGTCGATCCTTTGCCTTCCAGTCGATTCTTTTCTTCTGTCAGCTGAGCTATCTGCTGCTCCAACTTTGTCAGTTCATCTTGGTACTCTCGCTCGACCTCTTCTCGACGCATTTTTAACTAAAAGTTACGGTAAGTTATTTTATTACTGTAGTTTAAACACAAAACGTCAAAAAATGAATTATAAAGTAATATAAGCAGGTATAACTAAAACATCAAGTTAATGAACTTACTAATCCACTTCGACGGCCAATCTCGGCTTCTTTCTCTCGAACTCGCCTCTCGAAGTCGCGCATAAAGGTTTCTTCCGACTTTTCCAATTCTCGTTCAAACTCTTTGTTCCGCTAAAACAATGTCAATCACAACATGTACACAGTTAATACTACCAAGATTACCAAATAAAACAAACAGCTTCAAAAGAATGCCATCACATACCAGTTCACACGCCTTCTCCATGTTGGGTCCAGTGTCTCCGTCTCTGATCTTCAGCTCACGAAGTCGTTCACGACGGTAGGCTTCGTACAACACGTACTGAGTTCGTTCTCTCAGAGAATCCACATTTATTCTCAAGACGGCTTCTCGAAGATACACAAAGTCACAGTGTTCTTTGTTCTCCACTAAAAGCAGTAAAATACAATATATTAACTACATTATTGAAAAGAGCAAAATTAATATAATATACACAGACAATCACATTTTTAAGCTCAAACAAGAACTAAATTGCTTCTTACCTTCGACAATCCCCCACGGATACCGTCGGGCTCTGACCACACTACCGTCTTCCTTTGTTACAGTATCCACACTTCCGACCACGGCGAACGGTATAAAAGAGTTCATCTTGCGATTCTGTTCGGCTACAGCTTCGTCGTCGGTTGGAAACTGATAGATCTCAATGTTGTGAGACTTCAACTCTGACAGGATCTTGGCCTTGAACCTGGCCAATTCTTCTTTACTGGTCGTGTCGGACTTGGCAATCACCGGAATGACGTTCACTCTTTTGCTCAACTCCTTCATGGTAACAATGTCCAAGGCTTTCAAACTAAAAAAGAAATATATTAACAAAATAGAGCTATCACAAGTATTTATAGTTATCTAAAAACATAAAGTTATTGTTAAAAGTTCAAATGATAAAAGTTCAAAAATAAGTTAAAATGCATAACCATACCCATGCCCAGTAGGAGAAATGAAGTATAGACAAGCATGGATCCTTTTGTCGTCGAAAGCAGACAGATTCCTTTTCACCATCAACTCGTCTCTCAATCTGGCTTCGAACTGATCATTGATGAAGTCTACAATCACTTTGGCACTCTTGTTTTTGTCCAACTGATCTCCGAAGCCGGCTGTCTCCACTACTCGCAGCTTCACGTTAACTTCGCCCTCCGTGATTTCTAAAATTTAAGTATTAAACAATAAATAATCTTAATATTTATTTCACCAACATAAAAACATATTCTATCAACTTACCACATTCTTTGGTCTTCAACTCTACTGTGTTCAGTTCGTTATCACAAGGATTGAACTCGTTCAAAGTGATCCCGAACAAAGACTCGATCAGTGTTGTCTTGCCTGTGCCTGTTTCTCCAACACATAACAAGTTGAATTGGAATCTAAAGTCAAATATAAGGTTAACGTTGTACTTCTTACTCAAATAAATTACAATTTTACAGCCAAAACTACACCCAAAAGCCTAGTATTCTCAAAGATACACTCTAGTAACGCGTTTCCCACATAAACAACATACGTACCCTTTGCTCTGACATCTCCTAACTACTTGATAAGGCAGAGAAGCGAAGCCCACGAGTCCGTTCAGCTTGACCTTCGGATACCTTCCGGTCTTCTCAATCACCTGAGAATTCTCCTTCTCCTCTTCCTTCGGCTGACTCACGGGTTTGGCGGGGAGAACGGGCTTGGCCGACGGGGTAACTGTAGGCGTCACAAAGGATTTGGCCTGAGGCGTTGGTGTGCCATTACCCACAATGAAGTCGTTGTTCAGACGTTTCGGTGTATAATATGAGTGGTTTGAGCCGGGAACAGGCGGGGGAGGGTTAGATGGGGCGTGTTGGGCGTGCTAAACAATTTTTATATTGTAGTTGCTCAAGCTTTGTTCAAAAAATGTATCAAAAATATGAAATGTTACCTTTTTTACAAAACTCAGTATATATTTTAATACCAAAACCAGCCAATTTTTGTCAAAAACCAAAACTTTTTCTCAAAAAACCCCCAAAATAGTACAGTAAACCTACAATCATACTTCTGGGTGTTCGTGAAAGTTCAGAATTAGCGGATTGTTGATGCTCAGAGACAGAATTACCTAAAACGGGAGCAGTTAAGGAAGAGTGAGACAAGGTTAAACGTTCCTTCAAACGCTTCGAATCGAGCGCGAAAAAGCGAATATACAAAATAAACGGCGTTCCAGATATTATCCATCCCAAAAACAATAAAACTCGAATTACCGGATGAGAAAGTGGTGCCTGAGTGGTTAGATTGGCTCGAAGACGGCTTTTGATGGTACGCAGTGGTACTGTTCTTGGGAGTACGTGGTATTGGAGGTAAGTTTTCGTTGTTTGAGGGTGAGGTGTTAGTTGAGGTGCTGGGTTGGCGACTCACGAGCTCCTGAAATACTGCTTCTAAATCTAATAATGTAAAAAACCGTTTGCCAATATAAAAATTATTCAATCACCTATATAAACATGAAAATTTAATTCAAAAACGCTTTTCTCGCTACAATATACGCGCATCAACTATCACAAGTATTTTTATATTAACCTTTTGACTCAACTAATGTTACTTTCCCAAACAGCCATATCAATCGTAAAAGCAAAGATCTCAATCTAAAAATATTTCTAGATGTTTTTACCTACTATAATATAACCAAATCACCTAACACAATATAATTAAATAACCGGAACAATACAAATTCCTCGCAGGAATCAAATCTACCCAAATAATGGCCAAAACCGCCGCGATCCCTCGGCCAAGCAGCACAACGGCGCCCAAATTATATTTTACGGCAATATAAAGCACTTTCTGGACACAACGCGCAAAAAGAAATGGCAGACGCTCCTCACATCGACCTTCTTCTTATGAGTCACAAAGCTTCAGTCCAGATAATTTAAAGGTACATTTCACGAGTTCTCAATTCACAGCGAATCCCTCAATTTTGGGATCAACTCCGCCGATCTCCCATGGAGAATATCGTTTGTTCAGAATTCGTTTAAAATGGTGGCATTTCGAATATGCTTTCAATTCCGAGGCTTTTCACATATTCCTCCATTATCCTCCTCACACACATCTATAGCTAATGTCCTCCTTCCGAATTCAGTTTTGTTCAAAACTTTGGATATTCTTCAAGGTTTTGAAGGAATCTAATCGTTTCAGACCTCAATCACCCTTTGAAACCCCCCCCCCAAACTCAAAATAATACTAGCCAACACAATATTATATTTGGCACACTTAAAGAAGGATTATCTTCAAAACCTTATCGCCTCAAAATCAAAACTGACCACATTGTTCTTGCTGACCGTGCTGTTGGAGTTGGTCCGGCGTCTCAGGATGTTCCAGGTGGACTTCTTCTTCTTCTCCGTGCCTTCATTCACGCTCACAATCGATCCGAAGCGTCGGCCACGCATGATTGTCTCGATTTTGTCCAAATTGTAGAATGATTTCCTTTTTTGGCCAAAATTCGTCGAAAAATTGAAAATCAAGTTTAAATTTCGCGCCAAAAACACTCGCGCCGAAACTGAATTAGTCGGCTTTTGGCATAAAATTTGGAAAAATTAATAAAAATAGGTTTTTGGATAAAGAATGGTTATTGTGCTAGTTAATAAATGAGAATGACGGGTCAAAAAATGTCTAGGATTTATATTATTGAGGCAGCTAGTTGCAAGCTTATATCGTCTTTTGAGTCTCTTTACTTTTTGACCAAGGCTGTGAGCTTATAAAATTTTAGTTGAACAAAAATACTTGAAATAACTTATATAAGTCAACAACAATACCTATAATAGCCAATGTAAATTAACAACAATACCGAGTAAAATGACCTCTGTCGGAATTCTTACTGTAATATATTTCTGCTTTCACAAAACAGATGAATAATACGCGAAATTTGGATAGAAAAGTGAAAGAGATACTCGAAGGGGAGTAACATATTGTTGTAGATTTAGGAATTTCAATCGTACGATCCTATATGACATCTGACGCTGCAGGATGTATTGCTCTAATAAGGTTAACAGAATTTCTAAAGATGTTGTTTTAGTTTTGGTAGTTCATTTGTATTATTTCGTTTATAATGCCTTTTGTGATGGTTAGTGTTCTGATAAGGTAAAATGTATATGTAGATGCCTATGGTGCTTTCTTTTCTGTGAGTTATATGCCATTTCTGATCAAGTTTTCAATAACCAGGAAACTCTAAAATAAAGGTCAAAATTGAAAGAAAAACATATTCTATGTACTTTTGGACCGCACTATAGGCAATTATAAACTGTTCGCAGTGTAATATTATTGCGAGCCAGTGACTGTAGCTGTTTTTGGTCGTCATCAAAGCGCTTAGCCACTTTGTTTTGAGACCGCAAGAATGCACATTATCCATCCTTCGATCGGTTTTTGTCGAATGGCACCTGGTTACTGCACTCTCCACCTGAGCGCGAGGAGGGCGACGCTCATCGATTCTGCTGACTTGACCCTCCCGCGCAGCCCCTTACTCTTGGCCCCCTCCTCTCTCGGCCCAAGAAATGGCCGGAAACGCGCTCTGACACATTCGAAACTTGCTTTTTTTAATTTAAATAAATTCAGAGATTCTAATGTGTCGTTTGCAGGCGTGTCTCCAGGGAATCACTTCCATATGTCTTTGCGTCCATTCCCTTGGTTAATCCCTTGTTTTGGTATATTATTATAGTCTTTATAAGGGGTTTTTTGGGCGGCCAACGTCTGTTTTATGGCGGTAAATAATGTGTTCAGAGGGGGAGTAATATTTTGGAGGTTTTAATGTAATTTGTTGGATATGGCATGATTATTTGTATGTAAACGAGTTTATTTTCAGTTTTTGTATCCTTAAGACATTATTCATGGGCAAGGTGTCTTTTTCGAATTCGAAGAGAGAAAAGTTTGGTCAGTGACAGCTATTATGCAAATTAGGCGCTAAAAAGCTTCTTTTCTTCGCAGCAAATATATTTAAAGATATACGTTAATCCTTCGGATGGCTACTTTTTACTTTAAAACAGTGGAGGGGGGGGGGGGTGTATCCTTAAAATGAAGGGAGATCTAACCTTAAACTGTCAAATCTATTTTTAGAAAGGTTTTGTTATTAAAGTTGTAGTTTATAGTGAACATACTGTGTTACTGGCTACATAGTATTTGAATACATGAAGCATAGTATATTAAGGATGGTAGCCTTGTGAATTAATTATTTGGTCACTCGAATGTCTTAAACCAATTATGAGGATTAGTGCTCGTGCTGAGTAAAGTGGGCATGGCACTTCCGACTGCAAAACGCTTTTCCCTTTCGGGAGGGGTAAATTGGCCGAAGATTTTGTTGGGGATGGTAAATGAAGGAACTTATTCGTGGGAGGGGTAAACTTAGGCATTTGTTTGGGCAGGGTAACATAGTCAATTTTTTTATGGGCAGTAAATTGTAAAAAGTAATTATTGGGGAAGGTAAGTCCAAGTACTTAGTTTTAAGGTAAATCGACCAAACGCGAATTTCAAGGGTAAATCGACCGAATGCACGGATTTGCGCTTGCAGGACCTTATCCTTCCCCAAGGCGTTCTTAAATTAGCATTTAAGGGCTAACTCTGAGGACAGTCGTTTAAATTGGTCTCTGCAAAACTTTAAAGGACCTCTTGGCTATTTATTTAAAATTTTATTTGAAAAACCATTTTTATCAAATTTTAAACAATTTCTCCTTAGGGCTAACTCCAAAACTTGCTTTCTGCCATTCTTTTTCTGCATTAAGCCTTATTTGGTCTTTTATCAGTTCCGACAAATCTTCCCTAAGGTCATTTTCTCAAATCAGGAACGGCCGAAACCGGTTTGGCTGATTGGGACTGTTCCCTCGGGAATAGCCTAAGGCCGTTTCGCCCCTTTCTCGACCTTGGCGCGTCGCGATCGTCTTAAACCATGTTCTTCCATTTTATTACAGGAATTTGTTGTTGTTAGGGATTTATAGTGTGTTTGACAGCTTTAAACACTTTAATTTTAAGTTTCTTTATCAGTTTGTTACCTAGAAGTATAAGTTTAGAGTTAATATTCCAATTACTTTGTTTTACATGACTATTGTCCAGTTGATACGTGAAACTATCTTTAGCTTACTAAGAGTTAACTTATTGTTGTAGGAATGCACTAAATGAATGCCTTCGCCCTTTTCCTGGTCCTAGTCCATTGGGCGTTGGCTAGCCATCAGCCTGACCCAGGTATCTTCCAGTTTACTCAGTCCACATACAATTTGAGTATCAGCGAGAAATGGGAGCTCAACAGTCCAGCCTGGACCTCGAATCCAGTGCGAGTGGGGGTGTACCTGCCCTCAGGGTATGACAATGTAAAGTTCAAAGCAGTCCAAGGAGATGGCAGTGCATTGTTCAAATTGACAGCCAAAAAGATTGGCGACTTCGCCTTCTTGGTTGTCTCATTGAAGGACAGGGAGATTGTGAACAGAGAGCTACAGGTATGCTTTGCATGTCTAATTATAGGAATGTAAATGTATTGTTTAGTTTACTGATAATTGCATAAAATACTGTGTTACGGCAAAAACTTCAAAATATGATAACTAATACCTTTTTTAGGACGAGTACGAGTTAGTGATAAAGGCTAGTGCGCGGAAGAAGAGAGAAGGCAACTTCGAAGCTCAATGTATCGTCAACGTTCGTGTAGTCGACGACAACGACATTCTACCGTTCTTTAGGGATCCTGAATACAAGGTAGATGTGGATAACAAGGTAAGCTTAACGTACTATAAGTTACTGTTTTGTATGACAAACATAATATAAATTATGTTTTAAACTATATGAGAGTTACACTAAATTAACATTTCAGCTTTCTGTCAACTCAAAACTAGTCCAGCTACGTGCTGTAGACGCGGATTCAGGACTGAACGGTGAACTTCTGTATTCTTTCAAGTCGTCTTCAGAATTCTTCTACATTGAACCACGAACTGGCTGGATACGATCGTACAAAACCCTAGTACCAGGCACATATACCTTAACATGCTCAGTAGAAGACCGTGCTTCAAGGTTGCTTCAGAAGAAACGTCCTCCGGGCTTCAATTCTCAGGTTACGGTAACCATCAACGTCAGAGATACACCGTCGTTTCCTCCGATTCTGAGCGACAAGACCTTCCTCTTGAAGTACTACACGAAAGGCCTTCAGAAGGCCGCCTTACTGGAGTTGTCAGAATCCGATGCTCAGTTGGATCTCAGCACTGACGTATTGGACAAAGGCAACACTGTGCTGGAGCGGGTATCGGCCAAGCAGTATCTTCTGTACGTTGCCAATGTAGCCAAGAAGGCTCCAGAATCGGTATCGTTGATTCTGAAGGACAACAAGAACAAGGTCTACACGGCCGAGAACATCACGTTGACGATGGATTCTGAATCCAGGAAAGTGTGGTTCCATGGAGCTACAGAAGAGGAAACACCCAGAGTAAAGGTTACTGTATACGACGACATGGTGGAGAATACTGTAGTTCACAGGTTCGAAGCCAACACATCGTATGTTGAGGATGCCAACGGTGTAAAGTAAGTGTCTTATCTGTTACCGTATATTATTTTTAGAGGAACAATTCCTGATTTTGTAACAGTACCCTGTTGTTGTTTGTATAGCAAGCCATTGTTAATTTTTGTAATTATATTGGTTTCAGATACCGTATCCATGGCAAAGAGAGCAGTAAAGTACCGTTCTTCGTGGAGAAGAATACCGGGATTCTGAGAGTGAAAGGGCCCTTAGGGCCTCTGTCTTCTCCACAGATATTCGAATTCTCAATTGTGGCCAAGTTGGACAACATGGACGACAGAACTGAGAAGGCTTTCATCGACGTCTTTGTTACAGTAACCCCTCGGAATTTGAAATGTCCAAAAGTCACAAACATACCAAAGAACTACAGAGTAAATCTGAAGGATACCAAGGTTGGGCAGGTCATTTTTACTCCGAAGTCGGACATTGATAATGTCATCTACAAGTTACAGTATGCAAAGGACGAGTACTGTAGGATTGAGAATGGAAATGTAAATTTTTATAAAATATTTCTGATGACAGTGTGCTACATTGCTATAAAATACTAGAATATTATGTTACAGTAGCATGTTAGAATACACTTTTTAATTTAGGTTCTAAGAGTACATTACATTACAGTAGGGTTAAAATCTCAATTTTAGGTGATCTTAAGCAAGAGTACCTCGAAACCCTTCCAAGTGTCACTCATGGCTATAAATAAGGCCGATTACATATTACTGTACACTACAGTAACCCTGGTTGCCACTTTTAATGCTACAGAGAGAGTAACTCTGACTGGTAATGTAACTGACACTTGTTTGTTACCTAATTTGCATAAGCCGACTTTTGGAAATACAGTAAACTTGAGAACGACGGACACTGTAGCTGTTGGAACGGTAAGTAAAAGTTTCATAATGGAAATTAACTTAAAAGTTATGTTACTACTGTAACTGAGTCTAACTTACTGTAACATTTCAGAAAGTCGGGAAAATAACAGCTAAAGACAAGGACTACGGTATCAACGGGATAGTACGGTACCTGACTCCAGACCCCTACTTCAACATTGACTTTGAAAGCGGAGAAATTACAGTAATCCGACCGATTCAGCACCTCACCTCCGATGTCTACAGTATGACTGTGGAAGCTACTGACATGGCCTACAGTAACCGGAAGACCGAAATGACTACGGTAGATATCCAGATACAACACAGTAACCTCCACTCTCCAGTGTTTGAGAAGGCTAATTACTACGTCAGAATCAAGGAAGAGCAGATTCCTGACGGTGAGCTTCTCCGTCTGAAGGCTGTGGACGAGGATTCTGGAGCCAACGGTCGAGTCGAATACCGTATAGCTGTCGAAACTGAACTGGCATCAGTAGACCCTGACACTGGAGCGTTCAGAATAGAACGAGCTTTGGACAGAGAGCTACAGCCATCGTACACTTTCCAGATTCTGGCCATCGACCGAGGATTGCCACCACAGTACTCCATGTGCAATGTTACAGTAATCCTGGAAGATGTGAACGACAACGCTCCGAGTTGCTTGAAGACCGAGCACGATGTCAGAATCTACGAAGACATTCCGAGTGGCGTCATGATGATGTGTGTAGCGGCTACAGATAGTGACCATGGATTGAACGGTAAACTGAAGTACGGTACCACCGACAGCAGGTTTACTGTAGACTCGGAGTCAGGCTGTATATTTACCATGTCTGAATCCTACGAAGAACACGCCGAATACCGTTTTAATGTTACAGTAACCGACCACGGAGACCCCCAAAAGTCTACGGAATGCCCTGTGCGGGTTACTGTAGATGACGTGAATCAGAATCTATTGCCGCCAATCTTCTCTGAAGCCGTTTATGAAGCGGTGATCGACGAGAATACGGTAGGAAGAACCAAAGTGGCTACGGTAAAAGCTACGGACCCAGAACAATATTCTGTAGCCTACCGTATCGCTGGAGGAGATGGTATCGGGCTGTTTACTGTAGATAGGTATTCTGGAGGTGTGTACGCAGAGGAAGCGTTGGATGCAGAAGACAAAGAATACTACTGGCTAGCCGTAGAAGCTCGCGATGTAGCCAAAGTACCTTTGAGTACAGTAACCTTTGTCATCGTGAAGGTCGTGGATGTGAATGACCACGTTCCGCTCTTCAGTCAGCCGGTTTACTACGGTAAGATCGCCGAGAATTCAGAAGCCAACAAAGTGGTCGTCAAGCTGAACGCTACAGACGGAGACCGTACCCAGAGCACGGTGAAGTACAGTATCGAGCGAGGGAACGTCCAGTCCAACTTCCTTCTGGATGAGAACACTGGCTTCTTGGTGACAGGACGACGTCACCTCGACCGTGAGACCCAACCAGTTCACGAGCTCTACGTCAAGGCTTGTGACTCAGCACCGTCCCCACGATGCAGCACCGTGCTCGTGCTGATCACTGTGCTCGACGAGAACGACAACGCTCCAAAGTTTAAGCAAACTGCCGTCGTTCTCAAGATTCCGGCCAACAAAACAGGATTCTTGACCAGAATCTTCGCCGACGATGCAGATGAAGATGGCCCCAACTCCATCGTGAGCTACAGCTTCGAACACAACACTGACTCCAGATTCTCCATCGACGAGTACGGTAGATTCTCGACTTCTGAACCTCTGAAGGCCGGTTCTGAATTCAAGTTTACCGTAGCAGCTACAGACAGTGGGGAGAAAAGACTCAGAAGCGACACTTCTGTCACGCTGAATACAGTAGCACCGTCTTCGACTTCCAACAGCACCAATAACCGACCGGTCTTCAGAAGTCCCGAGAAGTGGCGTCATCTCTACGCTTCTGACCGAGATACTGTAGGAACCGTACTCGGGAGGGTAGAAGTTGAGGATGCAGATGACGATCCTCTGTGGTACGATATCACCAATACCTTCTGGAACCCCAACGGCACCTTTACCTTCTACGGAAACAATGGAGAGCTTCTGCTGGCACGGAGGGTGAATCTGATCGATCTGAATCTGAAGACGATCGAACTCGAGATCGTGGTGTCAGATGGCTGGGTCGAGATCTACGAGAAGCTCTACATTCACATTACTCGCTCTCTTCACAACCGACCGGTCTTTGACCAATTAGTCGCTCAAGTGGATGTTCCCGACGACTTCTCTGTAGGCTACGTGCTACATCAGCTGAACGCCAGAGTCAACTCTTCTCACAGTAGCGTCAGTCACGGTGACAACGTCGTCTATAACGTCCACATGATCGACGATGCTCTCAGCTACGACTGTGTCAAGGTAGACTCGGCTACAGGAGCCTTGATTCTGGAGAAGACGTTGCCTCGAGCGATGGGGCGAGAGTTTACGGTAGTTGTAACTGCCAAAGCTAATGGTGGTCTTGAGAACATGGCCATGGTGAACTTCAGAAGGCTGCCTGTCAACCTACACACTCCCAGATGTGTAGATGACACAATTACCTACTACGTAGATGACAGTAATGTAATCGGCCAAGTCTTGGCATATGACCTTGATATTGGAGTAGATGGTGAAATCGGGTATCAGATTGAGGGTGGCAAGTACAACATCGACAACAAGAGTGGCCTTATCACAACAGAAGATATTGTAAAACAAAATGGTACCATTCTAGTGAAAGTGGCCGACAAAAGCAAAAGTAACGCCAGATCTACAATATGCACGGTAAATGTCATCAGAAAGGAGACGTATGACATCTTGACCTTTAAACAGTAAGTGTTTTAACATAATAAATCGTTTTGGAGTTGTCAATATCAATATCGACCTCAAAGTTTAATTATAAAATACTTTCAGAAGTTACAGTAACCTTGTGGTAGATACAAACACCTACCAGAAGGTACCATCTCGGATTCTGGAAGCTGACAGTAACCAACTGACCACTTTCGGCTCCAGTAATTGTAAATTCATCGACATTGGATTCGGGAATGGGGTACTACAACAAGCGTCGTATCTTGGCCCTATAGACATCGACCGGTCTTACTGTACAATTTTTGGCCAAGCTTCTGACCAATCAATCTACAGTAATCTCTCGGTTACTGTCAAGGCCTCGAAAGATGATCGATCGGAACAAGTTGATGCCTATGGCTATATACGAACTGATGCTGTATCTGGATCGTATGTCTACAGAGATGTAAACATGACAGAGAAGCTGAAACTGCCATCAGAGAGTAGAACAAAGATAATATCGCCTCAGGAGAGATACTTTGGGGTAGATAACAAAGGGTTCGTATATGCAAAGGATATCAAAGGGATCGAAGCGGTAAGAGATTACTGTACTTTTAGTAACTGTACTTTCAGAATGATTACTGGTCGTTTTTGGTCGGAATTCAAAAGTATTCTGAGCTGTCGGTTACGTTGGTCAACGTCCATATACATCTTGTGGCCACTAACAAGAGAGCACCAGTCTTCAAAGAACACGACACCTTTTACCTTACTATTCCAGCATATAAAAGTAAGTCACGTTATAATAGATTTTTATAATAGATTTGTATATTTAATATTGTTGCATGTTGTAGTATCTTGAAGACCGTGCCATTTTAAAAACTTGACAACTTGTTATTTAGATACACAGATTGGTACCGTACAAGCATCCGATCCAGACGGCGACATCGTGAAATACGCAGTAAGAACTACGAAGGGATTGGGCTCGTTTGTCACGGTAGACAGAGATTCTGGAGAAATCGTTCTGAAGAACGACGTCAAGTCTGGAGTGATTGGAAGTGAAGAATCTCTCGAAATCATTGCTTCTGATGGTATTCACACGACCACTTCCAAAGTCAGAATCCTCATCAACGGAGATCATCAAACATTAAAGTGCAGGTCAGAATACACCGTAAAGGCTTCTGAAAACTACACTTCAGTCCAGCCGAAGCTCCTGACTTGGCTAGACTGGCCGATGAATGCAGAATCTGGAGAAAACTTCAGATTCAGACTTTTGAACGACGCTTCCGACAACTTCAAGATTGACGATAAGGTTGGGATTCTGTATCTGAATGGAAAGAATCCACTCGACCGTGAACAAAATTCTGAGTTCGATCTCACGGTAAAGATAGTATCACTGGAGAAGAGCGAACGCTACTGTCAGACCGTGATCCACATTACAGTAGACGACGTCAACGACTGTATCCCTGAATTCCAACATCTACCGTACGAAATCTGGCTATCAGAAGATGTTAAGGAAGGCGAAAGGCTTCTCACAGTAAAGGCCAAAGACGACGATGTGGGATTGTACGGTAATGTACGATACTCGCTGGATTCAGATGCTCAACACTTCCTGGAGATCAACAAAATCGACGGTAAAATCAAACTCAAGGAGAAGCTGACTTCTGGAGAAGCTGGCGTTGGTACCGTGCATCGCTTCCATGTCATCGCTCAAGATCAAGGTAGGTTTACTACTATAATATAAGTTATTTAATTGTTTCTTTACATAATTTAAGATTATATTGTACTGATATGTTTACAGGAAATCCTCCATTGGAATCTAAAGCTGAAGTTAACTTACACATAACTGACAGGAACCAGCCCATCTTCTCTCACACACGGTATACTACACGGATCTCAGAAGCTTCAGCCCCTGGAACGACCATCTTCAACGTGCATGCTAAGAGTAACACGAACGGCACGTTGGCGTACGTTATCGTAGCCGGAGATCCCCTGAAACAGTTCAACATCGACTTCTTCTCAGGTAAATCTTCATGGTGATATACATAACTGCTGTTATCGTATATTTTAATATTAAGATCTTGCCCATAACTTGTGATCATTTCAGGAAGAATCACGGTCAACTCAGAGCTGGACCGAGAAGCCGTTCCCGAGTATATCCTGGAGATCAAAGCGGTCGATTTGAGTCGAAAAGGAATCAACGCCACCGCCTACGTCAAGGTGAGTGTGGACGACGTGAACGACACTCCACCTCGCTTCCTCCAACCAATCTACGAGTTCGAGATCCTCGAGAATTCCCCAGAAGGCACTTTGTTAGGTCAAGTGAACGCTACAGATGCTGACACCACTCCTCCCAGCAACGTCATCAAGTACGGCATCGTGGAAGGGGACAAAGATGTCATCTCTATTGACAGCACGTCCGGCTTGATCTACTTGGTCGGGAGCCTCGACTTCGAGAACAAATCTGAATTTGAATGGATCGTCAAGGCTTCAGATTCAGATGACTTCAGTTCCCAAGGCTTGATCAGACTCACCGTGCGGGACGAGAACGACAATGCTCCAACGTTCCTCGACGTGAATCCTTATCAAGTGACGTTGACTTCAGACGAATCGAACGATCAGTTCATTCACTGGTTCAAGGTCACTGACAAGGACACGGTGTTGTCTCCACCTTTCAAGAATCACGAATTCAGAATCTTTGCAGGCGACGAAACTTTGTTTACAGTAACCAGAGACGGTGCTCTGAGAAGAATCCGACCTTTCGATGCTACAGAATTAGACTCGCTTCAGAATGGAAAGAATCTGACTTACAAAATCAACGTTACAGTATCCGATGGTCTGTTTGTAACGCCTTTAGATAATGTAGTGACTTTCGTACCGTCTAACAAACAATTGGATAGCCTGGCGTTTGATACAGTAGCCCCTACAGTAACCATCAACCAGAACATGGTGATACTCAACAAGACAGTAGTTACCACTCTCAAGGCTAACGGAGGCCACGAACCTATAACGTACTCTGCTTTGGTATCTTCGCCGTTCCTGACCGTGAATCCAGACAACGGGAATCTGTATCTCTCAAACAGAATCCCCAACGTCAGAGAAGACATCCAGATTCCGTTCTTGGCGAGAGATACCTACAATAATATAGCTGTCCAGAAATTGACAGTTCATGTAGAAGCAAACAACGAGAATACTCCAATGTTTGTCGCTCCAAAGGATGGCTACAGTATGTTCGTGTCTTCAGCTTCGATGGACGGTGATCGGATCGGCAAGATTCTGGCTGTAGACGACGATGAAAACGATATTCTGGAGTACTCCTTTACTAAAGGTGTAAAGTCATTGACTTTAGACCCAAAGAACGGCTACATCATGGTGAAGAAGGCTACATCGTTGAGTGATGTAGATGTTAAAGTAAGTGTGAGTGACAGAAACAACCCTCCCCACACCTCCTCGGTCAACTTCAACATCAAGGTCGTTGATGGGCCAGTGCCACAGTTCTCCAGATTCCACTACTTCTTCTCGATGTCAGAAGACGCCAAACAAGGTAGGTTAACATGAATAACAGTCAGTTATCTAGGTATACTACACTTATCAGCTTTTAAATAACTTCAAAACTACATTTACAACTAAATAGAGCTCTAACGAAGTTGATAACCACGAAAATACAATATTAACTTACGTTTTAAATAATTTTTGTTGTTATAGGCAAACTGATCGGCCAGCTGATGGTCAGCCAAGGTGAAGACGTCAAGTATGACATTCCCAAGTTGATAAACAGCCAGGTCGTGCCATTTGTAGTGGAAGAAACCAGTGGAAAGATCACGTTGAAAGAGGAAATCGACAGAGAAAACAAGAAGAAGTTCGACTTTGTAGTCAGAGTGAGGGATCAGAACCAGAGGACCGCCTTCAGCTACGTCACCATCAACGTCATCGACGTCAACGACAACGCCCCCGTCTTCCAGAACAAAGAACATCAGTAAGTCCACATTTCTAAAAACAAAATTCTAATTTCTTTAATTTTTGAATTTCTCCCAAAGTAGGGCGTTAATCGTTGCGGGACCCAACTAAACATCAGATGTTTTAGGTTATCGTTGAGAGAAGATGTAAAAGTGGACCAAATCGTGTATATATTCACAGCAAATGACAAAGACTCTGGTGAGAACGCAAAAGTATCTTACGAACTCAACGACAACAGCTACTTCAAGATCGACAGAGACAATGGATATCTGAAGGTGAAGAAAGCATTGGACAGAGAGACAGCAGACAAACACAGTCTGGAGATCACGGCCAAAGATGAAGGAGGCCTGTCTTCAACGTTCTCATTTACCATCAACGTGCTTGACGTGAATGACAACGTCCCCCAGTTCGATCAGCTCATGTACAAGATCACGAGCCCGATCAAGGGTCTGAAGGTCGGTCAGAAGATAATTGACTTCAAGTTGAGTGACGGTGATTCGAGTGAGGTTCAAAATGTCACTGTATCTTTGTACACCGATAAGATGAACGGTCTGCTTGAGGTAGAGGGATATAAAGTAATATTAACCAAGATACCAACTGAAGCCGTTGCCTTGAAGGGAAAGATTACTGCGTTTGACGGGGTTTACAGTAGTGATGCTGGGATTGAAGTAAGTGTATAAAAATTTATATTCTTTTTGTCGCATCAAGCCTTTTACACATAATACAAAGGTAATGTGACCGTAATACTGATATTTTAGGTAACATTTGTGGGAGAGCCAGAGAAGGATGTTTGTGATGAGAATGAAGAAAAGATCATCATCAAGCAAGTCAGTAGGGACACGGTAGTGAAAGAATTCGACCGTAAAGCGATAACAAATCACCTTCTGGACGCTGAGAAGTTGTCGTTCCAGATCGTGAACAACACCAAGCTAGTGGTCAGCAGTTCTGTTGTGCCTGGCAATGTAAGTTTACTTTCTTAAGTGTTATGTAATCCCTTTTTAAGATTATTACATTACTTCACTATAGCTATCTATAACAATATATGTTTCAGTACTCTCTGCGAATCCGCTCCAAACTTCGTGGAATCAACCAGACTCCTTTGATTTGTCTTAAAACGTTACTAGTGACGGTCGAGAACAGTAACAAGATGACTCCTCAGTTTTCGCTACAGGAATTCATCGTGCATTACCCAGAGAATCAGAAGTCGTCAGATGACAAGATGGACTTGGTACTCAAGTTAGACGCCAAAGACAACGATTACGGTAGTTATGGTGACATAAACTACAGTATTGTGGCTAATGATAGTACTCCAGACACTCTGAAGTACTTTTACCTTGTTGGTGCTACTGGTGCACTTATGGCAAGGGCTTCATTTGATAGAGAACGGCACAGCAACTTCACGGTCAAGGTAGAGGTTGAGGATGGCGGCGGACTCAAGGATTACGGTAATTTTATCTTGCTTTAAGATATGGATTTTTAGTTTTTTTTAATAATTAAGTTTTTGTTGTGGGATCTGATTTTATTTATTTTCTTTTCAGCGACTGTAAAAGTGGTGATTGATGACACAAACGACAACGAACCCCAGTTCGAACAGCCAGTGTATCACTTGAAGATTCTGGAGAATGAAGCCGTCGACTACGAGATTCTGAAGCTGATAGCTCACGATGCCGACAACAACACCAAACTGACCTTCTACTTGACTGACAGCAATGCCTCAAGGTACATCTCGTTGGACAAGGATTCTGGAGTATTGAAATTGGCCAAGTCTTTGGACTACGAAGAGATTCAGCGGCTGAAGTTTGATGTCATTGTGTCTGACGGTGAATTGAACTCGACAACGTTGGTGGACGTTGAAGTACTCGATGTGAACGATAACAGTCCGAGGTTCGAGAAGAGCATCTACGAAGTTAAACTGAAGGAAGATCTGAAGCCGGGTGCTACGGTAGTTACGGTGAAAGCTACGGATTCGGATTCTCTTCATTTTGGAAAGATCTCTTACAGTATCTCTGGAGACGATGCCAGAATGTTTACGGTGAATGACAATGGAGTCATTAAGACTACAGGATCTTTGGATTTCGAGAATCAGAAGATTTATCGTCTAAACGTGAAGGCTGTAGATGGTGGCACTCCAGCTTTGAGCGACGACTGTCTGGTTACTGTAGTTGTAGAGGATGTTAACGATAACCCTCCAGTGTTTGACGTCTGTAACCTTACGGCCGTGATTCAAGAAGGAATTGAGGCGGGACAGGCGCTGTTGAGAGTCACGGTAACTGATAACGATAGCGAGAAGTTTGGAGGACCGTTCAGGTTGGAGATCCAAGGTGACGGTGCTTCTGCCTTCACCTTTGATCCGCTTCTGAATCTAATAACAACTAGACAGCTAACGTACTCCAAGCAAAACGTTTACAATCTTACCGTGACAGCATACGATGCTGGAGGACTGTCTTCATCGTGCCCACTGATAGTTCACGTCAAGCAACAAAGTCGGCATCCGCCTTCTGTAGTCCCGTTGACCGTGATGATCAACACGTTGATGGGGGAGTTCAACGTGAGAACTTTGGGTACGGTACGAGCTTCAGACAAAGACCCAGCTGACATGTTACGGTACGCTATCGTTCAGAAGGATTCTGGGAAGAGGACTTCTCAACTCACGATCGACTCGGCTTCTGGAGAGCTGGCTACACAAGCCAGCCTTCTGCCTGGTCTTCATCGTTTCAACGTTTCTGTAACCGACGGCAAGTATACTGTATACTCGCCGGTTACTGTAGACATCTCTAACATTGACCAAGAAGCTCTTGAGAACTCTGTCAGCATCAGAATGGGCGGAGTGACGACAGAAGAGTACGTCAACAACTTCATGAACAGAGTGCACGACGTGCTGGTTAAGGTGCTGGGGGTGAAGATGACCAACGTTAGGGTGTTGTCAGTCCAAGATGTCATCAAACATTCGAAGCGGAAACGGAAGGCTGAAGCTGTCACCGTGACCCCAACTTCAAGTCAGATGGAGGTCGAGGTTCTGCTGACAGTGCTGAGGGAATCTGGAGGTTACTATCGACCGGTCTACATAAAACAGAAGATCACAGAAGGCATCGCCAGGATCACGGCAGAGGCTGGACTTGAGGTAGGTTTACTTTTTTATAATAATATTACTCTTGCAAATGACCTAAAAGTAGATTTAGCTAATATTTGTGATTTTAGGTAACATCACTGACCTCAGAGATCTGTCGCCGTGACACTTGTTCCAAAGGAGAATGTCGCGATCGTATCTGGCTAGACAATGTTGAAACGACAACCTACGATAACATTCGTACCGGCAACACCTACATGTTTCCTCGCTTCCAACGTACCTTTGAGTGCATCTGTAGACAAGGCTACAGTGGGCGTCACTGTGACGTCGCCGTGAATCAGTGTAGCCAAGAAGACGTCTGTAGCAAGAGTGAGATGTGTGTGCCAATGGAAGACGAGCCAAGTGGACTAGAATGTATATGCCCTCCAGGCACAAAGGGAGAAAGGTGCAGAGAGAACACTTGTCCCAACGCGGCCGAGTGTTCTCAGAAGGTGGCACTGAGTATGCTGGGCAATGGCTACTTCCAGATGTACTTGGGACAATCGATCGAACAGAGGATGGACATCTCCATTGAGTTCAAGACGGCTAGCAGGGGTGCTGTGATACTGCACGGTGCTGGACTGGTCGACTATCACGTACTCAGAGTGGCCGACGGTGTTCTGGAGTACGAATGGGACTGTGGCAGTGGTGCTGGCAGAGTACGAATCGATCAGATCAAGGTGGATGACGGTCACTGGCATACTGTAAGAGTGGTACGAAGGCGACGACAAGTACAGATGGTACTGGACGATAAGCACCATGGCTCAGAAGCTTCGAAGGGAATGAGTGACGTGCTCAACTTGTACTCAGACGCCATGGTACTCACGTTTGGAGCAAATGTGACCAATCGTACTCCGAAGAACACGTTTGATTCAGTATTAACGTTGAAAGTACTGGAGAGTGCTTCAGAAGTGAACCAAAGGGTGGAAGGTGGACTAGTTGGCTGCATTGGGAGAGTTGGACTAGACGGCTTTGATCTTCCCAAGAATCCACAAGGACTGAGGATGTACAATACTCGAGTTGGATGTGATGCTCAAACGATGGGACCGTGCTTGAACGCACCGTGCTTGAATCAAGGACAGTGTATTCCGAAGAAGGAGGACAATTCTTACAGGTATGCACAGTACTATATTATACTCTAGATGGTACCCTCTGTTTACATTGAATACTATAATTCTACTTTATTATTTTGAATGTTTTCAGCTGTATCTGTCCTCAACGTTACACTGGTGCCAAGTGTGAGATCGACCTGAATGCTTGTGCCAGTAGTCCCTGCCCTAAGGGCATAAAGTGTCACAACTTGTACAACGACTTCCACTGTTCTTGCCCTCCGGGTTTTACTGGTAAAACGTGCCAAATGCACGGTGATTGGGACCCTTGTGTCACGAAGCCGTGTGGTCCTTTTGGTACATGTAACCGAGAGAAGTCTACCTTTACCTGTTCATGTTCAGATGGCTATGGTGGTAGCTTCTGTTCGGAGAGAGTGCCTCGGCTGTTACCTGACAGTCTACTGCCTGGCTCTCCTCAGTTCTATATTCTTGTTGTAGCAGTACTACTGGCACTACTACTGGCGCTGATCATCGTGGTGGTGTGTAGAAGGCAGAACAACAACATGAACAAGAAGCCGGATTCTGACAGATTACCGTTGGAAGACGCTTCTGATCCTCTGATAGCTACTCCGGTGGCACCTCCAGTCTACCGTAACCCTACTACCCAATTTGGCACTAATCCACCTCCTCGACCGCCAAGACAAAAGCATTTTAACTCTAACCTGCCGACTGTGGAAGTAAGTTTTAATTTGAAGATATGAGGTCATATTTTATGTTTTAAATTAAGCAATGTAGATGTTATATTGTTTGATCTTCTAACATTTTGTTCAGGTGAAGCCGATGCCATCGATAAACCGGACTGACACTCCTCCACAGCCTCCGAAGCATCGGAATCTGTACGATACGGCCGCTGACCTCGAGTTGAAGCCTCAACCTCCACCTCATCGAACTCTGCCAAAACAAGATCAAGGAAGCAATGACACTGATGGGGGTAGCGACTATCTGACTATGAAACCGGTCAAACGGTCGTCATCTTCTGCTGACAAGAACGACACAATAAAGCTTTATGACAACCCCGACGACCTCCCTGAGACCTCACCTGCTCAGGATTCAGACCTACACTACACTAAATCATGACATATATATTAACATATGACATTATATGTTGATATACGACATTTATGTCACTAACAATCCAAATTTCTTAGCATTTCTCGTAATTTTTATAATTTTACTGACATTTATTACCTTTTATACGACTTTTTTATATATTTTATAACTAATTACTAGTTGGCTATCTTACTATACTTTAACTTTTAATTACAGTCTTAACACATTATAGTCTCCAAGACAGTTTTATCAGCTGATATTGTACATCCTGCCATTTCTTTGTATTCTCTTCCTCACAAGACACGGGTATGTCATCTTTTAAATATTTATGTCACAAAATCTCTTACAACAATATGGGTCTAATAAACAATAATTACATTATCATGGCTTACATTATCCGTTGTTTCACTTACACCATTGTAACTGACAATTCGTATCAGCTACATAACACTATGTGTATCGTTACATTAACTTTACACGATCTTCGCATACTATCGTAAGATCTTGTACATGATACGCTTATCGTCTACATGATCTTCTGTTGGCTCTTCTTGCCGCCATTCCACCGCTTCATCACAGATCGTACGATCTCCATTGGCAGTGGGAATACGATGGTCTTGTTGTTGTCCACAGCGATGTGGGACATGGTTTGCAGGAACCTGAGGTGGAACGAGGTCTTGTTCTCTCGAATCACATCAGCTGCATCCACTAGAGCTCTGCTGGCGTTCTTCTCTCCGTCGGCCGCGATTACTCGGGCTCTGGCGTCACGAGCGGCCTCGGCTTCGGCCGCCATACTCCTCATTAGCTGGTGAGGTAGCCTGATGTCCTTGATCTCGACTCTCTGCACCTTTACTCCTAAAGTCATATTAGAATGTAGGTACGGAGAACTTACCCCAGGGGTCTGTGCCATCGTCCAGCACTTTTTCGGTTATCTGAAACAATGTCAGGATAAGAAAATAATGTATAATAAAGGCTACAACAACATAAGATAGAAGAACAAAAAGTAAAACAATATCAAATAAAGTATTCTTTACTTTCCCCAAACCTTGACTTACACTAGCAATGTTGTCCCTTTCCATCAGGATCTCTGACAGTGTTTTAGTACCTAACACATTCCTCAAGGTGGTCTGTGCCAGTAACTTCGTGGAGAACTGGGCGTCGTTGACATTCGTGACTGATATGATGGGATTAGATATTCTGAAGTAGATGACGGCTTCTACTGACACCGTCACCGTGTCTCTACTCAAGATTTCTTGGGGAGGAACGTCGAATGACAAGACACGAAGGTCTACCTGCAATTGTGGTATTACATCAAAAGTAGTATAGGTTTAACATTAGGTAACAACAAAAGTAAAGTTTTGTACCTAAAATTACTGTATTTTAAATTTGTAAAAGTGGTCTGAACTTTTATTATTTGTCAGAAAAGTCATTACTTGTTTGACTTTCGATGAGAATTGTAGTGAACATACCATTTTGATAGTGTCGATGCAGGGGATGACAAAGAAGATACCCGGCCCTTTGGTACCCGACCGTAACAACCGTCCCATTCGGAATACGACTGCTCTTTCGTATTCTCTGTAAATTTACTTAATTATAATCAAAAAGATGTCTTTACCTATTCTTTCATATGTAATACAATGTTTACCTTAATAAGTATACTGACACTTCATGTTCTAATACCTATTGAAGGTACTATCAGTGTATATAGTAATTCAAGTCAAGTTTTATATGACTCTTTCTACTCCCAGCATTACTCTTTACATATTACTACTCCAGAAATACCGCAAATTGAGTTAGGTAAATCGAATTACTTACTTTGCTACTTTTATACAGAACGGTACACAGAACGGGAACGTTAAGATAAGTGTGAGGATGGAGAGAGCGAACAGGCATGTTGTTATCACCGGGGTAGGGCGTTTCTGAAGAATAAGGGGTGTACTTAAAAATAAAATAATTTTACCAATTAATAAGCATATAACAATATATCGTACTCTTACTCTATGGTAGTTACCATAAAACCACTTCTTAAATACAAATACACCCAACCTTAACCTACCTTATCGTCATCCAACAGATGTCGCGTTCGTATCAGCCAACTCTGACTCCGAGCTCGTATTGGTATCTTCTCGAGAGTATCCTGAAACATAACATTAGAGACAAGATACCACAGTAAAGTGCTATTAAGTGCAAGATAGTTACCCTGTAAAACATTATGTTTAGTGAGTTTGGTAGGAGAAGTACTACTTAGCACGAGAAAACTCTCAAAATGGTTTTTGTCACTGCTGGAAACATCATGGTGAATGTGGCCAGACAAAGACATCAATTATATTATCTATCCCTGCTTTCGTACCTATTTTGCAGACCTCTGGCTAAACAGCGTGGTATTTAACCATTTTCTCTGTTGCTCTAAACTTTAAATGTAATTTAAAGCCTAAATCTCATAGTTTATATTATTTTAGGCTCTTTTACAAGCATTTCACTAGAGTTTCGCCAAAAGCATAACAAATTATGCACAGAACAGTAACTTTACATAGCAACTCCTTTGCAGAGTAACTTTTGCCAACTCTTACACCTCACAGTAACATAACTCAACATATACCTGTAGCTCCTCGTCGTTAAACTCGTGGAAGGGACGATAGACTGAAGACATGACAACCGTAATTGTTATTAAGTAGTCGAATAAAGGACAAAAGGGTCGAGACTCTCGAGGGCCAGGTCCAATTGCCTGGAAACCTCGCGAATTAATTTTTGGAAAAAACTTTTAAACCGCGATCAAGCGGAATGTGCCGGAAGCGAGTGCCTGAGGGGATCAACAACAAGGCCCAGTAAACAATTACATTCAGTAATAAATAAATACTCCGAGGTCATTTGCACGCCTTATTATCCCCGTATCGTCACTTCTCAGACAGCATACACAACATGGTCGTATCTTGTTAGAATTCCTGCACAACAACACGGCCAAACAACATCTTCTTGCAAATGTTATGAATACTCAACCGTGTTTTGATACCTAATATTACTCTTAAACCCAAACCCATAGCTGTTTTTAATTAAAGAAATAGGAGAAGATGAGCATTTTCATGTTATACATGTTAAATTTGCTCAAGACTAAATAAAATAATCGAAAAAATGTGAAATTTGCACATATAAAGATAATTACCTAAATAATAGAACTTTTTGGCCTAAAAGTAAACTAAATTAGAGTAAGTAAAATTTTTTTTATGCAAAACGAAAAGTTTTTACGATTATCATAACGTAAAACAGCTCTGCTGAAGTGTTACAAGTTTAAACGTTTTAAATTTGTTACGAAAAAGTTTACCCTTTTTAGCAATTCTTTTCAAAATTTATATTTTTGCACAAAAAATCATCGAAAAGACTATGCCAAAACGTCGAAAATTAAAATTTAAATCTCATTTTTCGTTTGAAATAAAATCCATAAAAAATTGTCTGATTTCCAATCTTAAGTTACCTATACAAAACTAACGCTACTTCTCTGATAAATCTAAAATTACGTTGTCTAGTATAATACCAAGCTCAAAACAAAACAGTACCCGGCGATGAGGCGGCGCTTCTCCTTCGAAGAGTTTACTTTCGTACGGAGTCGGTGGAGCCAAGAAGTGGGGGTCTCTAGAAGGCAGGTTCAGCTGGGACCGCGGAGGTGGAGTGCCTGGGCGATCGTTGAAGCCGGACCATGTTGAACTCTGAGGAACGCCGCCTTCATCAAAGCTGGCTTCTGTCGACGTGAAAGACTGTAGATTCACGTTCCTCTTCATCAACCGTTCTCGTCGTTTCGCTGCCGTGACACTCACCGTGCGTCGCAACGGGTCGGAGTTTCTGGATCGGGACAGGGTTGTAGCCGACCTTTGAAGCCGAGATCCGTCCATTCTGGATCTGTCGTACTCGAATTATGACACTCGAAATGACATGCCCTTGACAACCGCGTCCCCCCTCCACAACTTGTTTGAAACAACCGGTAATGAGGCCGGAGGGCTTTTTCGAATGAAAATAATTTGACCGCAAATAAAGCGATTGAATAAAGGCCAAAAAACAATGCCTGAGGCGATCTGCAATCACGGCGGGTCAGAGCGGAAGTGATGGATCGACCGGGGGAAAGGGACTCGCCTCCGGAACTTAATTATGTATTATCATGGATGTCAACAGTTCCATTAAACCATGTGGTCTTGGCATAAGATTTAAGTAACTTTTCGGAGAAAACAATCATAGACCAAACTTAACGACCATGCGTTACCTTATTTAAGCTTTTAATCTTTTCAGACAAGAAATAAAATAGTGTAATGTCAAGAAAAATGAATTGTAATGTTACTCACCAGCTTCCTCCGCCTTCCCATCAGAGATGTCCTTTCGGTTAATGTGTCCGCCGAAAATGGAATCATGATCGGCGGTGTGGACATACTCTCGGAAGCTACTAGCATCGACATTTTGCTGAAAACCACAGGAAAATAACGTTTGAAAATTAGAATCAAACTTGAAAATCTAATGTCAAGATTGAAAGGATGATAACGCAAAAAGCTGACACAAAAGTTTAAACACGAAATTTGACAATTTAAAAATGTATTATATATATATTTGTGATATCTCCACACTGGAAAGAGAATGAATAATTGTATTCGAAATGAAGTCCATTAAAGCGTCAGGCCTCACGAGGTTGCGCAATTACCGTTACTCAGTAAAACACATTTACATTTTGAGAAAAGGCCTTTTGAAGTGTCATAAATTAAAAACGTTTGAAATCATAAAACATTCGTCATGTATTAATATAAAATATAATATAAAACCTCCGTATTACACATAACACGACCAGAAGAACACCATGAAACGGGATATAACCAACCACAAAGCTTGTGTTAAAAACAAATGATAAGGGATGAGAGAGATGTCACCATTCAAAAACACGAGTACTTTTGAGCTGTTTGTCACCGATACAGAATATCTTTCGGGAGAGAACAGAGGGAACCGCCTCGGGCAACGTGGGAAAAGTTTTAGGTACTATAATAAGTGAGGCAAGTGCAAACAAGATTATGTGCTCGGAAGTCGGCCGAGATCCGCGGTGAAGCCACAGCTGGCGGGGTAATGGAGCCGGTACCACTCGAACCTCAAAAGCGGCCGGTACCACTCGAGTTTGGAAGTGACCAGCCAGCCGGCTAGCCCGCGGAATCGGGGCTAATTGGCTAAACGGTTTGAGCACTCGAGTTTCGCGGATTCTGAAGACGATCCCCGAGGCCGGCCGCTTCCTTTTTAAAAACAATTCCGGCCGCACATTGTAGTCGGAGCCGCCGAAGATAAATGACAAAAACGACCTCCAAATCCAGGCCAGCACTTTTTTGGCCCTTTCCCCCGCTCCTCCAGGGAATCGAGTTTTAAAACTGGAAATAAATATACATATTCACAATTAGAACACGTCTTTAATCGACACTTGTATAAACAAATAAATAGCCTTGAGAGATTTGAGAAGTTGGAACTCAATCCTGACCAGTGGTTTCGTTCAAATGGGCCAGCTGAAATTTGAAATTCTAGATATCTTCAAGCTGATATAATTAAATCTGTCACAAAACGTTCATATCATTTAAATATAACCTACTATAATAAAACCTTGACCAAAAAACTCAAAAAATATAAAAACTTAAATATTTTTTGAATCTAAATGTCTAAATATACCCCTTTTTGTGTAACATTATATCCCCTTAATATCAGAACTTACAATCTTCTTAACCCGTGCCAGACAATCGTCAGCTTGTCGAGACTTGCTGATGGTCTCACAATTGTCCTGTTCGAATGGAGCTACAATCCTCACCGTGTCCATCACAACAATATCATTATTGGCCCACTCGACTGAAGTCAAACTAAAACAATGCATTTTAAATGCCAAAACTAATCAAATGGTAAATTGCGGTCACACAACAAAATGTTTTATAAATATTTGTTGAATCCATTAATTTTATCGTGTTTTTGCTTTTTATCTAAAGTAACTATAACTCATTAATAAGCAGACCTTTATTTAACTATTTTACTTCACTTAAAAGCTTTTTTGGTATTTTAGTCAACAAATAAACAGAATATATTGGAGGAAACATCTTCTTGAAGAAACAGAAAGCTTAAGTATTTCTTGACCAAAACTATCCTAAAACATCCCAAACCATACCAAAAACTAAACTCACATCTGCTTTAACTTCATGAAGGTCTTGACCGCCTTCTGACTCGCCTGATCACTACAATAATACTTTTTCTGCTCCAAAGCCTTTGCCAGCCGGCTTTCTGCTTCTTGCATCAATTCTTCGTCAGTCCCCTTGAGCTCTGGCACTTCTCCGGCTCCGCTTAAACCACAAACCTTTCAATTAATAGATATTACTCCACTTACTTGATCCACAAACTCGTAGTTGATCAATAACTTCTCGTAGAACTGGCCTTTGTCTTCCATCAGAACGAACCAATCTACAGCACTATCGTAGAGAACAGTCTGGCCAGTAAATGTAGAGCCATCTTTCATGGTAACTTCCACTCGCGCACCTTTGGGCAACGTGCTCTTGCCAAACTTTATTGTAGTCCTGCTTGCTTCATCCGACAATCTGGCCATTTTGGTATAACCTCAGTTCTGAATTACATAAAAGTAACATATTTAAACGTCATGAACTTCAAACAACAAAAAGGCACAAAGAAAGTACAATATAAAACAACTACTCGAGATTCTACTCCAAGTTGACACAATTTTGGTTATTTTATAAATACAGAACGCCAACGACGTTTTCGTGGCGGGACTTAAGCTTTACATCAAAGCATTTTTTGAAAAAATAAAAAAATGTTAATGTTTTATACACGTTCGGTCCGTTTGGAACTCAGAACAGCGGCGACTCACTATGCCAATCAACTATTTGCGCTTGTTTGTTTTCGTGTCGGGACTTAACTAAAAGTGATTTATAGCGCTTGCTTTTGCAAATAGTTTCTGCCTTTTAGTCACCAAAAGCGTTTTATTATTGCTAGTTTGGTCAAAAAATACGTAGAATTTTTAATTTTATGTTTTTTCGTCTTATTTGAGTAGTCTATTTTGTTTTTGAGCAAACTAGCACAAAGTAAATGAAAGCAAAACATTTAAGCCCGCTCTTTTCAGCTCTACCCTACCATTGACCTTTTCAGCCCTACCCAAGTCTAACCCTACCTTTTTCAGCCTGATCCTATCCCTGTCCTTTTTAGCCCTACTCAAGTCTACCCCCCCCCCACCTTTTTTATCCCTACTCAAGCCTACCCCTGCCCTTTTAAGCGATACTCTGGCCTATCCTACCATACCATAACGTTTCACACCATACCATACCCTGTCATACTATAATCCACCCTACTCTGCCATACCTTATCTTATCATACCATACTATTTCATACCATAATATACTCTATCTCACCATATTATACCCTGTTATACCATTTCCTACCATACCATAACATTTCACACCATAATATACTCTATCCTACTAGAATCTACCTTATCTTACCATGTCATACCGTTTCACACCATACCATACCCTATCATACAATTCCCTACCATACCATAACATTTCATACCATAACATTTCATACCATAATATACTCTATCCGACCATACCATACTATTTTATAACATAACATACCATACCCTATCCTAATATAATACACCATACCATCTTCTATTCTACCAACAACAATATACCATACGTGCCCCTATTCTATCTTATACAACACTGTCGTATACGTTCAATGGGTAAGCTAGGATAAGTCAGTAAGGGAAGGTAAATGGTATGATATGATAAAATAGGGTATGGTGGTATATCATAGAAGGGTAGGGTCGGGTAGGGCTGAAAAGCTAAAACAGTTGTATCAGTTTTATTAAATTTGAAAGTTTTGGCCCTAACTTGGCCATAATCGACATTTTATTTCGCAAATTTTTACAATTTAAAAAATAATTAAAATTTAAGCTTTAAGCCTTAAGCAGTAGTTAACTTGATTATAATTGACTCTTTTTCATTACATCGCACTATTAAAAAAAATTTAGTTTTACTTGAATTGCAAATTTTTGGTTTTTCAATGAGTACTTGTGAACCAAATGTCGTATGATCTTAATTTTTTCACAGTTTACGTAAAAACACATTATCTTTAATCAGTATAGAACGAATTTTGATATCTTTCTTTTAAACCGAGTTACAGTAGTTTTACCGTAATTTCAGTGCAAGTTTCTTGGTTTTTCAGTGAGAACTTTTGAACCAAATGTCGTATGATCTTAATGTTTTCACAGATTACACACAATCACATTACCTTTAATTCGTGTAGAACGATTTTGAATATCTTCTTTTTAAACTGAGTTACAGTAGTTTTACCGTAATTTCAGTGCAAGTTTCTTGGTTTTTCAGTGAGAACTTTTGAACCAAATGTCGTATGATCTTAATTTTTCTACAGATTACACACAATTACATTACCTTCAATTCGTGTAGGACGATTTTGAATATCTTTATTTTAAACCGAGTTACAGTAGTTTTACCGTAATTTCAGTGCAAGTTTCTTGGTTTTTCAGTGAGAACTTTTGAACCAAATGTCGTATGATCTTAATTTTTCTACAGATTACACACAATTACATTACCTTCAATTCGTGTAGGACGATTTTGAATATCTTTATTTTAAACCGAGTTACAGTAGTTTTACCGTAATTTCAGTGCAAATTTTTGGTTTTTCAGTGAGAACTTGCGAAGTTTTTTATGAATTTGGCTTATTTTTTTTATCAGGGGTCTTCATAGTGTCTTCTTTAAATTGTGTAAAAGAATAATTAATTACTATTGTAGTTTTTAAGTTACACTGCTTACGTATGATATTGTAACGTAAAAAACGCGCAGATTTCATAATTTGGGCGCAGGTCGACCCGCCATTCTGAGTTCCTTTTTTGTTAAAAGTGGACCGAACGTGTTATAGAAAATTTTAGGTTTTCTAAAAAATTTGTCAAATTTGGTCAAGTTATTTTATCATTCTATCTAAGATGGAAGAAGATATGGCATTGAAGAAAGCTATGCACAAAGTTCAAACTTATAAACTTTGCGATGTTGAGGTTACACATATGAGTAAGTTTTTTATAATTTAGATATAGGTTTTAACTAGTTTTTGATTAACATTTAATTTATTGACTGGCTATTTTATTGTTATAATTGTTAATTAACTTTTAGTGTTCAACTACTTAACTAAATCATGGTCGAATGTCGTTAAAACAGTTTTACTTCCTGGAATCATCGAACGCGTTGGAGAAATTCCGGAGGAAAAGAAGGCTCAATTGGAGAGGAAATTGTTGGAAAGATTAATTCAGCATGGCAAGATCTTTCACATATTGTACAAATATGAGGTTTGTTGTTGTTCTATATATTGACAACGTTTAGGAGCTGATAGAGCTATATTTTAAAAGATGTTGAAGTTTTTTAACCTTAAGTTTAATATAGATTATTAAAGCTAAGTCTTCATCTTCACCTACTTTTATTTCAAGCTATTTAAACGTTCGTTTTGTATAGTTCATTCTCAAAAGGCGTGTCGTTTGATTAACTATAACATAAGTGTTTAGAACTCCATCGATCGTGTTCTCAAGGTTCCTAAAGAGCTGGTTTGTCCTGGTGATGAAGAAAATCAGAAGCTCAACGAAGAGAATGCTCCAGATGAGCAAGAAGTGTTGTCTGACATCAGAGACTTGATGATGGAAATTGTACAGGTAAGTCTTGTTTCGTTTATATATTATATTAGTATTGTGTTACAGATTGGAAATTCGGTTAAATTAATGGTTTTAATTTCAGTTGAGGAAGCAAAAAGATGTGCTTCAGAAGTTGAAGATGTCTAAACACTCGTCGGAATCTGTTGAATCTGAAGTCGATGTAGTAATGTAACTATGTATATGTTTGGCTGTATAAACTTAACTATTTTTGTAATAACTCTTTTTTTAACCTTTATTATTCAAATTCAAATTTAACGTTTTAGTCTATTACATTATCATGACACTTGTCAACCGACCCCTAAAACAAATTTTTGTTATCAAATTAGTAAAGGTTTATTGCCAACAACAATGTAAAACTTAACAGTAGTATCTAATCGTATCTACAGGTCAGTGGAATGTTACGCTCCGAAGAATCTACGCTTCTTCGGCTGTTTAGCCAGATTCTCCTTCTGTCTCCGTAGCCGTTCTCTTTCGTATCGTTCCAGCTCACGGTCTTCGATAGTCAGGTCATTTGGCTTCCTCCAGTGGGTTAGGTTGCTAAAAAAATATAATTTATAATTGTTATAGTCATTAGCTAAAAGCCAACTGAAATGCCATTTCAAAGAGTACATTACCTGAAAGTATGAGGTTTGACAAACTTTGAATTCAGCTCCAGTTCTTCAGCATTAGTACAATGTGGCTGTGGCAGCGGAGGGAACATGTAGTCTACCGTGTCTTTCACCATGTTGATGTACGAGGAGTGGTACCCCGTCTCTAGTGCCGTTTTGATAAGTCCTGTAGGGTTGATGATGATGATCCTATGCTTGGGTATATCCACAGCTCGATATGATTGTATGTCAGTGTCGCGGTTCCCGAATCCAGCGAAGAAGGGATCTTCTACAGGAAACAGAGACTTGACGTCAGTGAGGCAGGCGATCTTGAACTCTTGAGGATTCCGTTCGATGACTTCTTTTTTGAACGCCATGAACAGTGACGTGCAGGATATTAGTACTGGACCAGCCGGTAACGTTTTACTGCCTTGTATCACACTTTGTAGGTATGCTTTGGTCTGACTAGACTGGCCGATGGCCCTTGAGCTCAAATAAATTATTTTGTACCTGAAAAGACAGATTATCAGAATACAGTACATTTAATGTGTACCCATTAAAAAGTAATGGTACTCTGTGAGATAAACAACTTACAAGCAGTGTTTTGCCCGGACCGGTCCGGAGCGTTTTTCACCGGTCCGGACCGGTCCAAACCCAAAATTTTTGGGTCCGGTCCGGTCCGCAAAAATTTCTGTTTCGGTCCGTCCGGTCCGGACCGGACCCGTCCGCGGACCGGACCGGCAAAACACTGCTTACAAGGAAAGTACCCTACCTGCTCCGCTCAGAATCAGCTCAAAATTTTAATATGAATTCTTTGTACCACCAATAGTACCCATAAAAAATTTTAGCTCGCGCTTTTGAGTTTCAAATTTAAGTTATTTGGGTTTCCCGCCAATTTGGCAACTTTGGCATTGTGTTTCAAGCACTTTTTTCGACTTTCCAGCCAATCTACACTTACAAATTTAAAAATGTAGGTTCATTTAAAGGTTTTCTATTAGTATATCAAAGAAAAATTATTAAAAGTCAAAAAATGACAAAGTTACAAGCTTGAAACACAATGCCAAGTTGGCGGGAAATTCAAGATGTCATTTTTTAATCTTGATTTTCTCGGGATTTCCTGGAAAGCGCGATTTAATTTAGTACTTTGCTGAACATCTTATATTTACATGTTCTTTCTATATAAAAAGTTTGAAGTCAATCAGAGCGGGGCAGGTCGGGCACTTTCCTTGTTAGATATCAATGGTAAGTCTTATGTCACACTATGGTAAATATGTTAAGTCTCACCCGTTGTCTCTTATTGCACTGTAAAGCTCAGTAACCCCAGTATGAGCCCATTGACCGCCAATAGCCGGGATGATATGGCCAAGAACATCAGACCTTGTAATGGTGCCATCAATGTCACTAATCACAATCTTATCAGTCCATTTGTACAGGTAAATGTGACAGTTGGAGGCGGTCGTTCCTTGTAACCTGGTCGTTATGCTGAACTTGGCATCATTCTGACCATATTTTAGTCCCAGCTGTCGCAACTTGTCACTAGAGATACGAAACGACCGGAGGACAGGGTCTGGTTCGTACAGTTCATCTTCGCTGCCGGCACTGTAAGTGTGTTACGTTATATATGGTACTGAAAGGTACCCCATATAACCCTACATATGTCTACTGTCGTAATACTGTACACATTTGCATCTTAGCCATCTTTAAATATTCTGTTTTCCGTGAAAGTACAGTATACTGTAACTTACGATGAGAACCCACTAGTACTGGTTGATTCTGCCAAACTCGGACACCGCTTCAAGCTGACGTCAGTGTTCTCATCCATTCCCGAGAGTAGCTTCTGTTCCAGTTTGAACGTCTTCCGAACGGCCGAAGCAACGTGATCGTCTTCTTGTTTCAACTGGTCGTGGTACTAAACAAAATCATTTCGATACTTACTAAGAAGGACCTCAAGAGTACGGTCAAAGAGTTCACAGAACATTAAAAGTTGATAAAGCCAAGACTTCACCTTTTTTATATAACTTCCAAAAGTCACTTACAATGTGATTAATATGGGATCTGCTGTCGTGAAAGTAGGCCAGTCCATTCTCTCCCAGTTTCATCCTAATATCTACATCCTTGTCGTTTATCCTTATGTCAACGTACTGTAAAAAGTATGCAAATATATTGTGAAGAAGACTAGGTTATGACATACCAAAAAGACAATAATAATATTATACTACACTTACCTTTTCACTGCTGTTGAAGACGCCGATCTTGCCAAAACGAACGTAGAAAGGAGAACACTTCAAGGTATTGTCAGGCTGTTCAATCACAATAACGTCAATGGCGCCTACAACGTTATTACCAAGGTAAAATATTGCTATTTAAATAATAAGATGCCATATACTAATATACTCCGCAACTCTAAGTACAATTGCACTTAAATCAGTACATAAAGTACAAAAAGATACCGTACATACCTGACAACACGGCAGGATTCATGCTGTTGTAGACGTACTTGATGTTGCTGAACCATCTCTGCATGTAATCCATTTCAGTCGGGTGAACGGCCGCTCTCTCCTCGGCCCATTTGAAACATTCGAAACGTGATTATTCTTTTGCCTCGGATCGCCCCACGTGGGGTAACCCACCCAATCAGTCCAGACGGCGACACCACGTGACTCTAGACAAAGGTGCAAGAGTCCTCTCGTCGTATTACATTCCAAATGTCACGTTGTACGAACGAGGAAGCAATCATGGGTGTTGACCAATAAAACAAACTAAAAACGACTTATAATCTGTATGGTGATATACTTATGAAATGACAACAATTATTTTCAAAAAGCCAAGTTAATATCTACTGTATTATAAATCTAAACAGGAATATACATGGCTTTTATATTTTGTACATCATATGGCTGCAAATAGACCACAATCATCTTAAAATAAGCTGGAAAACTTGAAATAATATAACCCTGTTGGTAAACAATAATATTTTTGTTACAAGCACTTGACATCTATATTAACCATGGTTTGTGATAAATAAACTTGTTGCGTAACGTTTTTCGCAAAAATTCATCGATAACCAGTTCGGCATCACGTGGCTACGCGACCGAATCCATGAACGGCAAAAGATTAGAGAATGTGAACTGATGGGAATTGATAGTTGACATCGGTTTAGGTTTATTTTGTTTATCGTAAATAATTGGTTTTAAACGTTTGATTTTAAAAGTAATATTCTTATTAAAAGTAAACTTTTACTGTTTAGATTACTAAAATACCAATTTAATTTATGCAACATCAATTAATCTATTTTTCGCCGCATAACGTTACTTGATCCCGCAATATTTGACCAAAAAACCAATGATAAGATTGTTTTCTTTCGCAGCTGTTTGTTCAAATTTTCAAAACAGTCTTACACTTTTGAAAAGTGCTTTGAAAGTTGTTTTTGTCCACTGATAACAACAACCATGACCTGTAAGACTTAACCCGCATTTGTTCTTGTTTTGCTCGTTTTCTGTCCGGAGGCGCGTTTTTCTCCATTTTGAACTTTATTTATTAGAAGATACGTATTTCCGAGTGGTCCGCTGTTATCGGTTTATGGGACTGATTGGTTGCCGGACAACTTATATGAGCATCAGGTTATTCACGGCCCAACAAGCAGCAGTCGCCCTCAGGCCCTTCTACTTTCTCGTCCATCCAGATCGCTACGCTCATTCTCCAGAAGTCCAGAAGAAGAACGAAAAAAGCTTGCAAGTGAGTTCAAAATGTCTTTAATTTCCAGAAAACCGCTTTTGAGACAGAATTCATCCACGAAACCTGTCATTATGTAAAAAACATTTTTGTCCAGAAAATTTGTCATTGTGACTATTTTCTTATAATTTTTGCTTTTGATTTACAGATTTTTGAGGAAAAGTGAAATCAAAAAGTCTTTCACTAAATTAGAGACAAAAAGTGTTTTTTGTTAGAAGACTTTTTGAAGACTATGTAGGTTAAGGTTGACGGTAAATTATTTTATGTTCTTTTAGGTATTCAACGGGTATCTCAACGAACTCTTTCCTCAGCCAAGGTCCCAGCGTCCAGTACAAGTTCGTTTTTCTATTTTTAGGGACGATAAACTAAAGGATGTGACTTTAGATCTGTCAGGAGACGATCCCGTCTCGATTGTAAAGTAAGTTTTTGATCTTCATTGTTTTATTTTTAGGCACTTCTTTCTTGATACTTTAAACAAGTATTATCGTACTATTCTTGTTGATGCTTGTAATGTTTAGAAATGCGTTGGAAAGATGTAATTTGAGCACTGAAAACCTACCAAAGGTACCAACAATACCTAGGTCTTATACTTCTCCGTTTACCACAGAAGATTTGTTGAATAACCTACATCAACGAGAGTTGAAAAGGAAGAAGAGACATCAGAAGTCACTATTACAATACATTATTATGAAAAGAAACGAAGCAAATGCAAAAGGAGTAAACTATCAGAAGACCAAAGAGTTCATCAACGATGAGATTCTGTATGTTCAGCAGAAGACTGGAGCTAAAGAGGTAAGGAGTCCTGTATATTTGGTGGATAATTGTTTGACAACTGAAAGAATGCGTATTTCTATAAATTATATTGAATTAATAACATTCTGTGTTTTATGTCATTAAGTTACTTGTACTGCAGAGTTTACTATGATTATATTTGTTTTGCTTTAGATAGTCTGGTCGATGAATTGGGATCAAACATACATGAGAAGATGTCTTATCAATGTATTACACATGCTGAAGCACACGGAAAACCGCGAACGGGTAATTTTGGCACTTAACAATCACACCTTAATGTAGGTTTGTCATTTTTCTGTGATGGTATCTTGTCTTAATAGTATATTTTGTTACTATAATCATTATCATTTTTTAAACTTTAATAATGGTTCCAGTTTTGGACGTGGATCTTTCGTATGTTGTGACGGATCCATTCAATTTGGAGCGGATGATGTTCCAGAAACCTGGCTCAACGTATGCAGAGAATCTACAGTAAGACGCTTCGAAGTCGCGAACTTGATCAGATTACTGAACCGCATCAAAGAACTGTTAGGTGGAGCTGAGATCGTCCACGATCCCAGAGGCAATCTTCTCCAAACTACTCATCAACTACAGTCATTGATAGTAAGGATATCATCCAGACCTAAGAGCGAGATGGCAGAGCTACAGCAACTTGCACGAGACCTTCAGATAGAAGTCTGTAACTCGTACAGTGAAATCAACTTGCGACCAGATGGCCGACTTCAAGTTCCATCTATTGTTGACGGTAAGCTACTGCTAGACTACATCAAGGAGAACAAGGAAGAGTCTCTGAGACGACGAAAAGGCTTCAGAAATGTACAGGTAAGACTTATATTAAGGTATGTAATTCTGTTTTAGAACGAGATTGATAACGCCGTCCGTCGATGCATAATGTCACTACAGTTGAGTGATTTGTCATACGATCCGGGTATACCAGAACAACGTCTATTACATGCCATAGAGCAAATAGCAAGTCTGGAAGATAAAGAACAACTCGAAGGCCTTCACTTACACATATCACACAGTCCCAATGTTTTTGTTATGCCAAATGGGGCCATATCAGTGCCTTTGCCTTGAGTAATAAACTTGTATATATTGTTATATTTTTTAATAGTTCAACGACTTTAATATATTTTCGACTTATAGTATTAAACCTTATACAAAAAATTCAACAATTTCAAAAACGATTTAATTAACTTTTTTTTTGAGCTGAAGTCAAAGGTATTCTCATTTACTTCGATTGTTGCTCTACTCGAACGACGTTTTGATGCCAACAAAACGTAAATAGATAGACCTACCTTTAATTTGTTATTGACTCCTTTTTTATAGACCTAGACATGAGAAACGGGCCGGGCTTCGGGCCCGTTTTTTGAATATTTTTTTTCCCGCGCTTTTTTTCGACCGGTCGAATTGGTCTGAAACTTTTTCTACCCCCATGTTTTGAACGGTCATGACTACAGTAAATAATCTTAAAATTTTGATATCTCTTATCGTTTTTGAGATATGGACTTGGCGGGAAAAAAATATTCAAAAAACGGGCCCGAAGCCCGGCCCGTTTCTCATGTCTATATAGACCTACGGTAAGGTGTGCAATACCACAAAACTGGGTAATCTGGGTCAAGTGTTGGTTTTCGGGTCATGTTTTTCACGGTTTATTTTATTTTTCGAAAATGGCTTGTGAAATTTTTTGAAGCTAAAATCTATAAATAATATAGTAAAAGATGCCAATCGAAGACGTCGAAGGGGACGAAGAACGACGTGCTAAGGACGGCTACGACTTGGCAAGGATACGACTGAACAGATTGCTTGCCAACCCGGTATGTTGTTTTAGCCTTTTATATGATGAATTTAGGATAAAGCTGTTGTGATACCTGAACGAAAAGAAGCCACAAAGCCCAAGCCTCCCCCAGATTTTGTACGAAATGTCGTGGGATCCTCAGCTGCTGCTGGAAGTGCCGAGTTTCACATTTACAGAAACAATCGGCGAAAAGAAATGAACAGATTAAACTATCTTGAGCAAGAATATCAGGAGAAGAAGAAGGATGAGGAGTTTGAGGAGTTAGTTCGAGAGAGACGTCAAGCGGAAGAGGAGAGGACTGAGAAGAACAGGAAGAAGCGACAGAAGCGGAAACAGAGGATACAGGAGCTCAGGAAACAGAAGAAGAAAAAGGTATGCACTCTGAATTTTATCTTTTGCAACTATAAAACTTTTGTTTCTATAACCTAATCAGTTTGAGTAATGTATTTTCCTTTTAGGTTTCGAATTTAACTTAAAATTATCTTTCAGAGGGACTCAGATGCGAGTGATTCGGATGAAGACTCTGATTCAGACATCCCATTGGCTGACAATAAAGATGTTAGCAACGAAACTGATTAATTCTTCTTTATTTATTAAATATGAACTATCACAGAGATCGTTTACTCGGAAGGTTGGTCGGCGCCTACCGCGTTTGTAATGAGCAAGAAGATGACGGCTGGCACAATGTACATCCACTAAAACAACATCGGTCAGTGAATGTTTTTATCGTTTGTTAAGGTAATTAATTGTTTTTAACGTGTATTTATATAAAGGTTGAAATTATTTTGATTATATCTCTTAAGTACTTACGTATTTGGCCAAGAAAGACCTGTTATCCTGAGCAGCACCATGTTGTCTAGCGGCCTTTTCTTCTGCCATTCGTTTTACATAAGTTGCAACATCAGGGCTAAAACGATGCTGTTGAGTTTTCAAATATTATTTTATTTATAGAATACTTAAAAAATTTCGTCCCCCCTATATTCTACCTATATTGGTGTTTCAAACTAATACCCAAAGTAGTAAAACTTACGCTGGTAGACCGCTGACTGAGGTAACCAACACTTTTCCTTCGATCACTGATGGCAGCTGGCCTTTGAACTCTTCTTGAGCACATTCAGTCTTCCCAACAGAGTGAAGACTGCTGGGGAATACTGTCAATGATAAGACTTTGTTCCTCAACCCGTCTATAGTAACGTGGAATTCGTGCTGGAGGTTTGCTTTCAGCATTAGGCAGACTGTGTTCGAAGACCAAACAGAATCTGCTTTGATCTTGTAGGCGGCTTCCAGGTTGTTCAGAAGCGTGTCTTCGATTCTGGATACTGGGAATCTGGATCTGAAGAATCCTGTGTAATTCCCTTCGTGGTCCTTCTCGACTGTGATTGTGCCAAACTCATTGAAAGATCTCCCTAAATTTCCTATACTTTATCAATAAGGGAAAGCATACCTGCAACCTGAAGATCTAATGGCACATTCCAGGCAAGTGCGGTCAGAGGCAGTAGGAACAACAAAAACATCTAAAAATATTAGAAAATGACGTTACCTGTATTCCACGACTAACGAATTCGCATTCACGAAGTATGCAACAAAAACTGATCAGGTAACTTTTAGATGCAAACTACTGTAACAAAATCCAATTTAACAATAAATACTTTACTAGATAATAACCGGTATAATCGACGAAATGCCAAAAGTGAAAATTAAGAAAAATGCCAAAGTGACTAGGGTTTAATTGCCATCGGTGTCCGTGGTGTTAGTGATGTAGGCTTCTTGGATGATAAGCCTCCCTTTTATTCGTTTTTCCTGGAATCTCGCCACATCTTTGCGAGTTATAATACCACGTAACTGAAATTAGATGTTGAGTACCTAATTACGTAAAAGGTTTTCTTTGACAGAATGTAGCTATTCATAACTGTAGTTCCATGCCCCGAAATAAAAAAAACCTTACTCTGTTATCATCGTTCACCACAAAGATGTGTCTTAAGCCGAGACCTCTAAATAACTTGTAGATAGAGCCCAGAGATGCATTTACAGGTACTCGATGGGGAGATTGATGGATGAATGGTCGGAAACTCATCCAAGCTCGTTCGTCTTCCCCTGATATGTTTAGTTCGTGTAATGGGGTTTCAGAACTAAATTAGATATTATAAATTAAACTTGCTAGTTAATAAAAAGATAATAGTAAATATCAAAAATTGATTAAAATCTAATTAAATATATAAAACATGATGATTTTACCTAGAGCACTCCTTGTTAAAGTCAGACAAGCAGATGGGCTCGGCCCCAGGCACTGGATGTCTTCCTTCTACGTCGATCGTGAAGTGTCTCTTCTTTAACAGAGCAAATAGCTGTGATCGTAGTATCAGTCCCATCAATCTACCGTAATCCGGGAACTGTGCTTCTGTAACTCCGGCTTCAATCTTGTCTACAACTGGGAACGCGTGATGTTTGGTTGACTTGAGGATGTCCAGAATATGACCCACTCTTTCTTTCGGTTGTAGTGCCACCACATCTTTCCTCATGATGTTCTGGGTCAAGATGTTGCGCCCTAACTTAGGAGGATGCCACCCAAGAAGCGGGATTTCCAGCTGCTCGATGTTACTGTCGTAGATACCCTGAAATGGCCCATGGTCATAAAAAATGAAATATCAAAATTTACTTATTTTTATCTGAAAAGTTTAACGACAGCACCTCATTAAAGTAATCTCCGACAAACTTGGCCGCCCACAGAGTGATCATGATGGGCATGACAAAGGTGATATCCTTGGTAGCCTCCATGATGATAGCGGTCAAACTGATGGTCATCCTAACCACTCCACCCAACTGAGCTGCTGCTCCAGCCAACGCATACTTTCCTGGATCAATACCTGCCATAGTGGGGAACACACTTTCCACTCCCAAACCAATCAACCGACCCCATGCTGCCCCAGTCAGTAGTAATGGGATGAACACACCTCCAGGCAGCGCCAAACCATAGACCCAGCAAGTCATGAAGAAGTACTGTACTGCAAACACCAACAATGTCATTGGGCGAAGGGCATCTGAAGGAAATTATGGTGACAAGGGAGAGGCAAATAGGGGGTATCGGACCTAGAACTGAGACCTATATCATTTGAAAGAGCGTGAAAAGTTATGTAGAAATCAAAATTTTTAGCGGCCCAAAGTCATATACTAAAAAGTTACAGTAATTCAATGTTTATGACTTTCCAAGATTCCAAAGGGTCCCCCCCCTGTGGATTTTTTTGGAAAAAATTTAAAAAATTTTTTTTCTGTGCTTTGTTCTGAAACTTTAAAATAATCTTTTTAATGGTTGTTAATGTTCTTTTTAATAAAAAGAACTGTTACTTTATTAAAATTAAAGCGTTAAGAAACGTTTAAACTTTAACACTGTATAGTAAAACGAATATATTTTGACTGCCTAATTTTGCCATTAAATAAAATAAAAATTAAAAAAATCTTTAAAAACGCTTATTAGTCTTTTTTTTGCCAAAATAAAAAAATTACAACATTTTTGCAAACCTGCAGGCATTAAAATAAAGCGATAGCAAAAGTGTGACCGCAGTGGGATTTGAACTCTCAGCCTTTGGAATACAAGGCTAGACTTCGACCCACTGGGCCACCAGAACACACAGAGCTCTTCTCTCGTTTTCGGCGCTTTCTTCCAGAGTGTTCTCTAATAAGAAATTTCATAGGAAAAACTTTATATTACTGTAACTTTTCAGTATATGACTTTGGGCCGCTAAAAATTTTGATTTCTACATAACTTTTCATGTTCTTTCACATAATATAGGTCTCAGTCCTAGGTGCGATACCCCCCTATTTGCCTTTCCCTTGTGAGTAAAAGTGACAATACAAAAAATACTTAAATAACCTGCTACTGTAGTTTATCCTGCTTTCATCAATCACAATTATAAGTTCGAATTAACTTACTGAATGGACTGTGAAACAAACTCTTGACACTTTCTTCTGGATTCTGGAAGAACAGATTGGCTACAGCACTGTATTTCCCTCGAGGGCACCATAGTTTTGTGACGTCAGTTAGACCAGGATTCACTCCAATTGGCTGACAATCATCCACCAACAACAAGGTAATGAAACCAACAAAAGCTGAAGCCGCAGCCACCAATAGGCATTCGAAAAACTTCTGGTATGGGTTTCGGATATAACTAAACAAATGTTATGATGACACAGTGCATAAAAGTAACGAGTACTAATTTTTTACCCATATACCGAATGTGAAAACGAAACAACTTACTTCTTTCTAAACAGTGTTAGTTTACAATTCAAACAGTTGAACAAAGCTCCAGACAGTCCTCCCAAAGCCCCAATCGCGGCAAAGAATGGTACTTCCCATACATTGTACGACTTGTTCTGAACAATAATCCATTATAAAATTAAGAAGAATCAACGGATAAACAACAGGTAACTAGAACATTACCTCAAAAACTCCAAAATTTGCCAATCCGCTCCATGAAAGATAACCAGGTAAGCCATAGAAGAAACTCAAGAAACAATTTAAAGTGAACGTAGAAACCAAAGCGGTGAATACCTAAAAAAGAAGATATAAAATAAAACTCTGATCAGCCAAAACATAAAACGATGTGAAAACAAAAAATATTACCATTCTCCAAGTCATAGACTGGTTCCAGAAGCTGGCTCCTTCCTCTAAACTGAACAAAACTCCTCCAATTGGAGCTGCAAAAGCAGCCGACACCCCAGCGGCCGCTCCAGCTGAGACAAAGTCTCGCTTTTCTCTGTCATTTCGAAAACTTCGAAAGATATCAAACTCCCGACCAAATATTGTAAACCTAATTTGAGGTATCAAAGCAGCGGCTGCTGCTCCAGAGTGAATCATAGGACCTTCCTGAAGTTATGCAATTAATTAATAAGACTTTAAACATTAAATATGATTAAAAACTAAATTACAATAAATAATATATTAATAGATTACCTTCCCAACAGCCAGCCCACCAGCCACAGAACATGCAACTCCAACAACTTTTGCAAGCAAGGTCTTAACCGTCACAACTCCAGGAATCTGCACGCCATTTAAGAAGCACTTTATCAATGGAATACCAGATCCAGCAGCACAACCAGATACTGTTACAACCATCAACGACGCTAAAGCTACAAGAATACAATTGTACGAAGCCCATGCAGTAAGCACTAGCCACATACACCCTCCATTTCCAATACCACCACTTTCACATATGTCAACCACTAAAATGTGTAATCTTGAAGTATAATAAGTTTAAAATTTGTTTGTATACAATATAAAAATGAATCATACTATCAGGAGCATGACGTAGAGAAAACTTGTAATAACCTACGGCCATTGATAATAATGTGATATTTAAGTTTAGAACTATAATAAACGGCAATATCAACCACAACTCCAATCAATCCAATCGCAATTCCAATAAGCAAACATGCAAGCCATCTGTTTCTAGAAGTTAACCTCAGGTTCCTCTAAAACAGAATCAATAAATGTAAACAACTCACATCATGATCTTTGCTGGCTTCTTCATTCCTATACAACTCATTGTCCACAACCTCGTAGTCCAGACTCTCGTAGACGTCACTCAAAGTGTGGACAGAAGTCTCGGGCATCTCATTTCTTCGAATTTGTTGCTGAATCCTAAGTCTTTTTTCTCGTTCTCGTCTTCGTTGATGATTCTGCATAGAAGAAATTGAAGACACTCGTTCAAGACCACTCGCAGGATCTTCGTTAGGATCTAGACTGGACATGGAAGGTATCCTGCTGAAGCTGACCTGTCTTCTGACCATAGAATTAGGGTCGATGGGTGGCAGAAGACGTCGTTCGTCATCTCGACGTCCTCGATGCATCTAAAGCAATATACAAGCAAATTCTGGAAATTATTTGATAATTTTGAAGCATGTGAGTACAATTTTTCGTTTTTGCTCGAGAATTTATTTTACATTGTTAATATATTTTAGTCCCGCCACGAAAGTGTTGTGCGCAATGGCGTCGTTCGAAAAAGTGTTTTCTTGTTTTTCTTCGCCGAAAATATCTAGCTAGGAAAAGATTTCTAGGTAACACCTAGTTGTCTTAGTCGTGAAAATGGTAAGGACTAAACAAACGGCGACTTCCAGATTTGGTGGCAGAGTGAACACACCGTCCGTGACTTCTTCTAGTTATTTTCATGGTAAGTTTAGCATTTTATTGCCTGAATATAGCTTTAGACGGATCAAACGCATACTCAAGCGGAATATCATCTCAGAGTCAATCTTTAATCAATAATTTGAGGAGTGGCAGAGATCATGGGTTGGTTGAATATTCCAGTCAATTTTAGTAAGTTTTTTGTTTTAGCAGTTTACAAGGATTTGTTACCTAAATTTTTCATTAACTAAGTGTGAGCTGATAATTGAGAACAAGATGTCTTATTTCTTAATCTGTTGTACCTAAAATAATTTTTTAAAGTATTCCATCGCAAAACACAGCAGGCACTTTCGAGAAATCTTCGAATCCCAACTTGTTCACTTCACAGGGAAGTACAACATCGGGTGTATTGACACAGAGCCAAAGTAATCGATTAGAGGTGGTACGACGACCAAAGCCTTCAGCCATCAAGACAATGAAAAGAGCAAGAATAGAATCGTCTATCAAGAAGAGAAGGTACAGACCTGGAACACGAGCTTTGATGGAGATCCGGAAACTTCAGAGAACGTGTCACTTGTTGATGAAAAGAGCACCGTTCTTCAGGGTGGTGAAGGATATAGTGAGGTCGTGTTCAAAGGGAATTGACTACAAGATTCAATCTGAAGCAATCAATTGTTTGCAGGAGGTGAGTACTAAATTTATATGCGAAGCTTTGTATAATACCAAAACAAATTTAAATTTTGCACTTTTTGGTTACATTATAGAGAGGTATTGATGTTCATGTACTACTATATTTTTTTCAGGCTTCCGAAGCTTTTCTCATCACAATCTTCGAAGCATCCAACATGTGTGCCATTCACGGTAAAAGAGTAACGTTAATGCCAGCCGATCTTCTTCTTGTGCAGAACGTTTTGTCACTCTTTAACGTACAGCTTGGTGGTAACAGATAATATCATTATTAAGGATCTTGTAGTTCTATTTTGCAATCTTAACCTTTCCAAGTTCTTGTTCAGTGGTAATGATGTGGGTGTACATAAATATAGTAAAGTCATGGTACCTGAAGGTATTTTGTGTTCGAGCGTGGCCGTTTTGTTACTCTAACCTTAATCAATAAATATTAAGCATGATGTTTGTGTGATACCTACATGTTTTATTATCCTTTCGTACTTTATATTTCGTGTTTTTTAAAAGAATCGACGCTAACTTTTCGCTGATATGAGTTATTTTAAACATTTTAAGAGTAATGCGGTTCCATTTTAGGCAATAGTTCAAGTCCACCATTTTAAAAAAGAATTTATTTAGAATTTTATTTTTTATCCGGTAGCCATCAGAAGACGGGCGATACCTTGACCAAGTATTGTTTTCATATATAATGTTTGCTTTACTGAGGAATTAGTTACTATGATAGGGTAAGGCACAGTTAAATAGAAAAGGTCTTTTAAGAACGAAATATGTCAGGTGAGACCTCTTTGAGCGATAAGTGATTCAAAACATGTTGCGGATCAATGTTAATGTCACATTGTACTTAAAATATGGAAGAATAATGATTCAGAGAATAACTGATAGTACGTTTGTTGCTTAGAAGGGAAGGACATTACCCATTGATCCACAGAATAGGAGACGTAAATAGTCGTTGATTAATTACAGTATGAACAAATGGTAGACCGCGATGTGAACAATACTAGTGCAATACCTCACCGGAGGTTGTGTTCGGGGGGTTTATTTCTTGGTGGAGGATTGGCGGGTCAGCCTCATGTTGTTCAAGTTGAGGAGGGCCATGTCCAGTTTGCCCAGCGCTTCCTGTCTTTGTGCTCTGACCACATTTGCATACCCGATAATGTCTCCGACGCTCCTGAAACCGGCTGGCAGCGAGGTAAACGAGTCCAATTGCTCGTTCTCATCGTCCACATCCCAGCAGACCGAGTGGTTGTGGCTAGCAGCGGCTAAACAGTCAAAGGCGCCGCAAGAACATTCCGAACCGTATTTTAGTCTCAAAGGGCTGGGCGTGGCAGTTGACGGTGAGGGGTTGGCTGAAAAGGATAAGCATGAGTTAAGTTTATAGATTTAAATTAAAAAAGTCAGTTTAAATATGGATGATGTTCGAATATAGACAAAACATGTGTAATAAGCAAAAAGTCTGGCGAATACGGCAGAATCAAAGGAAACTCACCGTAAAGGTTGTAAATCAGAGGCATTTTGTTGGCGTAGGAGACGTTTTCTTTGTTCACCTCGTTGTGGGACTTGTTCATGGCCAAGCTGATGGGATTGCTTTTGGGCGTTTCGGTCTTTTTGATCTGTGGCCTCACTCTGATCACCGGCTTCTGTTTGGCTTCGACGGGGCGTGCTGTGGAGGTGGTGGAGTTGGTGTATTCGAAACAATCTACCGGTTCGCGACGGATGCTTCCGGCGATGTCGATGGGCTTGGAAACGGCACGACTGACCATGACTGAGAGTTCTTGACCGAGCATCAAACTGAAACAGTGATGATTCACATGGATAATATGGTTTATATATTTGGAAGCGCGTTTTAAAACGGAAAATTGTATTCAGGAGTTTGTAATAGGCAGGATAACGACAAAAAATATTCAGAATATGAAACTGGCAGTCAGAATCACAAAAATAAACCGCAAAATCATATTCAGAATAACAAACCGCGTTCGAAAGCACCAAAATCGTATTCAGCAGCCAAAAAATCGCATTCGAATTGATAACGTCGCAAAAAATGAAATTCAGACGGATTAAACGACAATAAGGGGGGAGTGACCCCAGTCATCTGGCCAAATACACCTGTTTGGAAAGGGGATCGCCCCAAAACGGGAGCTAAGGGAGGGGCGGGGGAACGGGAGGGCGAGGCCTCTTTAGCCAGACTGAATTGTTTTAGAGAGCCTGATACGGTTTACAAACAATAATCCCCACAGAAGGTTGAGCTACGTTGCAAAACAGGGTTCTGCTGAAACCAGAAATAATATTTATATTGATATTGTTGAACAGATTGCTAGTGAAATTACAAAACACGTTATTAAGTTGCAATAAGACCACAATACGTATGAGTGTTACCAAATTTGAAAGCACGCATTCCCCCGAAATCTGCAAACTGCTTTACTGAAATTGGTGATGTCATAAAACCGCGCTGATAAGCTGATAAGCAGTCCTTATTAGCAAGGCCTAATGGTCGCAACTATCGACGACTGATCTGAAGGTGAACAAAGAGACTGCTGCCGGAATGACAGTTTTTTTCAAGTGCGATCGAATTCGGTCACAGGGACCAGACGGACGGGGAGAATCGGAAAACGACATTCTGAAACAAAGACAAAAACTAATCGGTGCATATTCGACTGCACTTTTGGGAAAGGAGGGCGAGTTTAATGTAATCGGGCTCCGTCTAGCTTTCACTGTGCGCCGATTTTTACAATCCCAGTAAACTCAGATCTGGGCAGATAACGAACTGCTCGAAGTAACAAGGGTCTTTAAGACGTTGTGGTCTATAAATAACTATGTACTACTACTTTATAGATCTATGATTATATAACTGTAATGACCTTAACTATCAGTTTAGTCAAAAGTAAACACGAGAATCAAAAAGATACAAAGATCGAGCATAGAAGGCGATTTCGTGAACTTTCTGACGAAAAGACACTTCCAGCTCTTCCCAGAACTTAAATTTTGATAAAGTGACATGAAAAGGTAATCGATAACGGTGATACGTTAACAACATGAACCCAGTAGTTCGGGAAGAATCGGCACAAAGTTCCTTAAAGATATCCAAACGATTAACACACTTGCAAAGAAGCGGCCATGAGTTGACTTTGAAAAGTCTAGAACGGGTGCACTTGCATTGAATATGCCTATCAAAAATCGGGCAGGGTCTCGGCGCCCAGCCCTTTCTGATCCTTCTCGTCTCGCTAATCAATCGCCCTTCTACCTGCGACTTCCTTCCAGTCTTTTTTTGATAAATCGAGGGTTTGATTGGGGAAGTTCATAATCAGAGGCGAGTTGCCATTTGGGGACGAAAGGAACCGTAAAAGGGGCAGGGGGCGGGGTGTCTGGGGAATGGACACCCAAAAAGGCCCCTGTCGAACACCGCCGCCCTGCCTGATAAATGGCAACATTTGCAATAAAAGAGCATTTAAGCGAGCTCGTGGCTGTCTGGCCGCCTCCCGCGTGACCTAACCTGATAAGCGGCTGATTGATTGTCCGGCTTTGTTCGCACTGTTCCCTCCTATCACTTGAAACAGCTGTCTGGTCCCAGGGAACCGCGCCCCAGCCGTTCCGAAACGTATTTCCCTTCGGCTGGCAGCGGGCCAGGCAATTAAAGTGCATTCCAAAAAAAGTCTAGACGTTTCAAATATAAATTCCCTCGAGACAAAAAGAAAAAAAGCGATTAAGTGAAGGAGGGAAACCGTTTGCAACAGTCACAGCACCCGTGCCGAGTAAAGGACAGTTGGGGGACTTATCATAGTATAACAAGGGTGTTATCAACAGTTGGTCAAAAAGTGCGTAGAAAGGTTTTCGATCGAAAAAATACAAGGAACAGTTTTTAGAAGGATTCTATGCACTTTTTGACCAGGCTAGTTAAGAATAAGAAAACTGATTTCAAACTTCAAAAAAGCAATTTCAAAAAGAAAAAGTTCATTTTGAAAAAACAACTTTTCAAAAAGGACCTCCTCCCAAAATGACAATTTCGATTTGAAAAAGGACACTTTCGTTTTTAAAGGGGACAACCTGAAGCGACGCCTGCCAAAGTTTTTCTTGTGATACTTATCTCCGCGACAAGATGCCATCACGGCGCGCAGACGAAAAAGGCTCGACCAGACGGACCCAAAACAAACAAATCATATTAATATAGGTGTGCCAAAGACAATAATGGCTTCGTAACGCTTCAAACGGGTCGCTTGTCGGTCGATCTGAAGGTCGGCTAATTTATGGCCATGAATCGTTTCGAGGGTCTATTTGTAAAGCTGTCGTAACAACTAGATTCGTATCTGGGAAGTGCAATACCTTACCTCGACTTGCACTATCAAGAGCGGTTTGTACAACTGTGGCGAATGTAACCTCAGCTCATCACAGAATACGTTAAGTTATCTGTTGAAACTGCTAGAATATGTTAATGGGCTTATCACTATAAAACTGATCACGCTCATTGTATGAACAACTATACGAGTCAGCCAACTACATTACAATACGTACCAAAGTAAGCCCAACAATGTTTATGAAACCCTCTTTCCGACCATATAAAAAGTTTATTAACATAAGCCACATTTAAAAGAATGCTGGCCCAACCCCCGCCGCCATTGTAATATAAGACTGTAATATTACATTGCACCATAAAACCTTCAAGACGGTCATTCCAGGTTTAAATCGAGGCCTTCTATCAGAAAGTGATTTAGGAGGACGGCCGAACGGACGTTCAAAACTTGGTTTTTCTTTAAAGTGCATTCCCCTTGAGAACAGGTGAGAGCCCCCCTTTTTGCAGACGGGGGTCGGGTCTGTTTTTTATTTCGTCGTTTTTATAAAAAGAGGGGAGAAAAACCAAGGGCAGGGTGAACGGCGGCCGAGAGTGCACTGCCCGACTGATAGGCAAAAAACTTTCAGACAGACGACCTTCCAATCTGACAAAGGCCATTGGAAGACAGAAAGAAACATTCCATCAGCTGTCTTTTCGAAATTGCAATGCGCATTAAAAAAGAGAACCCCAGACAAATAAAAAGCCGATCGGGAACAACCAAAGAACTTTTGGCAGGGGTGGATGGATGGAGAAACTCAAACAAGAACTGTCTGTCAATTACAGTCGTCATCAACTCAAACAACTGCACTGCCAATGACTTAAGAAAAACTGTAAAGAAACTATCGAAGAAGCTACATGTTAGTCATAGTTGTTTTATTAGAAAATTACAGTATCGCTTCTGTAAACATAATGTATTATAGTTAACACAACTCTTGACAAAAGCCTTAAAACAGTTGACCAGGTGTTTCTCGAATGTGACCGGACACTGGGTGGTCTTTGGTCCTAGCAAAGTAACCGGCCTGTCTGTAGAATGTTATAATATGGTAACCACTTTTTACCTTAAAATGCTCTTTTTTGTATTTAAGGCTATGCAATGTTTTAAATATTGTGGTTTATGGTTGAGAAGCTTTTGCAAAACGCTCAGTAAGATATGTTATACTTGAAATTTATGTCTTTATAGCTCTAACTTGATCTAGCACGAGTTATTCTTTATAGTTTTTACATTACTACCTTTAATTATGCCAACATATCAAGTAAACTTCAAAGTTAACAGCCGTCCCAGCCACAAACAAAAGCAACATTACTCCAAGGTTTTTTACCATAATTTTAAATTAAAAATGAACTTTTGCCCTTTCATTAATTGAAAATCAGTTTTTATTTTTGGTTCCCAATTTTGGCCAACTTGAGATGCAACATTAATATGCGCCGTGTTTTCCCAAGACACTTGACCACGAAACCGCTTACATTACAATTAAATTGTCACTCATACCACTTATCCGTTTACTTTCAAACGTTTTCCATTCAATGAGATACGATCACAATAAGTATACGATCAAAGACAAGGAAATGCTGTCGGCAGCGACACAAAACGAGCGATAAAAGACTTGTCACTCATTTATGTTACATCATAGACATCTATGTTCCTAAAGTTACAAACTGTAAAAATTATAATATACCTAAAATACAGACCCAAAGTGTAGTATTATATTATCTATACCTAATATTACAAACCCAAATTTAAAGCTGTCCTAAATTATGACAAAGGAAGGGTCGGACTAGGACAAGCCTAGTCCAAGCCCGGAGATTCGTTAGACTGGATTAGTTGGACGTTTGATTCGCCACGTACTCCACTCTCCAATCGCTTCTCAGGATCCTGGGAAATGATGGAAGACGACTTCTTGGTCCATTTAATTAAAGAATGAACCGCGAATCCAATCAGGAGAGGGCCTGGAGTGAAACATGCCACTATCACAGGTAACAACGAGCTGATGTCCGCATCTGGCTCGGAGAAGGAAAACTGTAAACGATAATATTATATTAATATACGATAATGTAAATATGAGTACGGTTTACGTCCTCATTAGAACGTTACCACAACTAACAATAACAAAAATAGATTACCTTGAGCAACATTATGGCGATACCTGTGTTTTGAACCCCAGTCTCGATGGCTATAGCTGTCACGTCTTCAGGTTTTTGCCTCAAGAAAATAGCCGTAAAACACCCAAACATAAACCCACACCACGGTAACAGTAAGCCTCTGAAATACAATGATACAAAATATAAACCACGCTTAAAAATTCAAAACTTTCCATTATAAACTTACGATAACAAAGCAGGCCAACTCATCAATTCGAACATGTACAAGTTGGAAAACGTTCCAAATACTACCACAAATACCAGTACGAATATTAAAAAAGGACGAAGTACCTAAAAACAGAAATTTCATCTTTAAAAATTAGCTAAAACAACATTAATTTTTAAAAAACCAGTGAAATAAAAAAATTTACAAGCTTTGCAACTACTTACCTTTCGAGCATTAGCAGCCCAATTTGGCTTTTTCTTTGCTATTAGTACACCTAACAAAAGTGGTACTATTAAAGCAACTAGTCCCATGAAAATTTTTGTATAAGGCACCTTCATTACCACGCCTTCTGAATATCCTTTCAAGAACTTGTAACCAAGAAGATTCATCCACAAAGGCATCATAACTTAAATAAAACATTGTACCACACATTTAAAGTAAAAAACATGACATAATAATATAACTGCTATCTCTAACAGTATAATGAAAAATAACTTACTGAGAGAAGTTACCATACTCAAAAATGTCATAGTAACTGACAAATGAGCATTACCATCCAGCAGCAATGTCCAGAAGTTGCTAGCTCCGCCAGCTGGAGCACATCCACAAACAAAGAGTCCCAATGCAAAAGAATTAAGCCCTCGGGGCACTAAGATTAGGTTGGCAATAGTAAATGATATCTAAAATGAATTATCGCTAAAAATGAAAAATTCAAAAAAAATAACTCGAAAGAAGTCAACAATAACAATTTATTGTTGTACTTACCAAAGGCATCAACACAAACTGAGTGAAAAAGCCGATAGCTGGAGCGATGGGCTTCCTCAACGTCTCGTAGACAACATTCATATCCAACTCACATCCCATCAGAACGTTGGCAATTGTTATCAGAATGATCAGAGTGACAACGAACACTTTTGTAAATTGTTGTTTGTCTGGATTTCTGATTACCCACACGTCCATCTTGTCATTTTGTGAAATCTGCATAAACTTGTGCTCCTTCTCGAGAGTATCATCAATTGGTTCTACTACAACTTGAAGAGCCGACTTGCCCAACATTTTCCCATACAGATTAGCCTGAGTCTAGAATGACATAATTAATCAAATGTCCACTTTGAACAAAGTCAATAAACATTAGAATAAAAACGAAGGGTTTAAACAAAGGTTAATCCATACCTGGTAAGTTATGACATCGCCATTGTCATGCCCTTCGCTGAACTCAAAGTCTGTTATGTAATTGTCGACGTCGAAGAACTCTGAATGTAGAGGTCTTAAACAATAAACAAAAAGGTATCAAACTCACAGTAAATCAAACCGCAGCCTCGTGTAGTTGTATGGGTACAAATTTCTGTTCATGTTGATGTTGATATGCACGGTTTTGTTGTGATCTTCCACCAGATCGTGTACCATGGACGGCTCGTAACTAATACTAACATAACTTTGGACGGAAGATGCCGTAGAGGTCACGAAGTGGATCAATACCCGAAGTACCAACAACACGGGACACGAATTACTCAATGTCCCCATGTCGAACACCTAAAACAACATCAACTTTACTCTGATCATATTTTCGAGAGTTCGCGAACAAAGAAACCCGTAATAATTGAGAAAAGAGACAAGAGGCTGTTATAATAAACTAGACTCCGCGCATAAATAATTCAGAATCGCGTGAAGTCGATGTAGATTCGATTTATAACAAATCGACGGTTAAAAGCGTGATAATCTCAGTAATAAACCATATTTTAGTCGCGTGTAAGACGCGACTTTAAATTCTAAAGCACAAAACATGATTAAAGGCCCTTTTCAAAGCATTAAAGTGATGAAGACGGCTTCCGCCCTGACAGTTAATGAACAGAAATGTGGAGGAACCGAAGCTACACCGAATGGGAACGTCAAAGTCACAAAACAGGGAAATGGCACGTTCAGCACAAAAATACGCTAACCAGATTATGAAGCAAATATGACGGCGGCGTTCTCACGTATAACAAAAATCCATGCGGCTTTCTCAATTTCTTTCCTTGGAGGCTTTCATGAAAAACTTGACGTGAAAAAAAAATAAAAATGTTCTTAGACTTTATTGCCCTGCAGCGAAAACAATTCGTGCTAAAAGTGTGGCGTTCAGCAACAAATATTTATTTTCGCAAAAAATCTAAAATTTTGGTATAATTTGTCTCTTTCAGGAAATATTTCACCTATTTCTAGTAACAATTATTGTAAAACTACTCGGAATTTTTGTAAACACTTCTGTGTCATGTTAGTTAATCAAGAATGATTCACATAGCCATTCCAACCTTTCAGACATTCACTGAAAGATATGACTCCCACAAGAAATACCACGTAAGGAAACGTAGTCTAGTTTATAGTGTTTAGGTATATGATTTGCACATAAATGGGGCTTACCATGCTAGTGTACGATACAGCACGTTGTATGCTCTGCACGAGAAGCTTCTGGAGACTTTCGGGATGAGATTGGACACAGCCGAGTTTCCGCCAAAGAGAATATGGAGGAATTTGGATACAGAAGGGGCCATAAAGAGGAAGGACGGACTGGTGAAGTATTTCAAATCAGGTACATGACGCTGTCTAGTCTAACATTGCGTTTAGTATTGCAGAACCAAGACATTGCACGGCACCCGATCTTTGAGAAAACTTTCTTGGAGTTCCAAGTGGTAAGATATTGGAAAATTCTTAAAATACGGTTTTATGCCTAATTGAATGTGTAATTTTTAAAAATATTGTAGAATATTATAAATAAAAAGTAAAAATGAAAAGAAGAATAAGATAAAAGTCTGGTTTTACAGAGCTCGTTTATGCCAGCTGTCAGTGGAGTAAAGTTGGAGATATTTCTACCTGATGGAAGAGCTATCCATATTGATTGTCGTTCGGATGACAGCACCGACATCGTTTTAAGGGTATGATAAAATATAAAACTAAAACTGTGGAACTTAAAATTTGTTGAAACACTTTGCAAAAGGGTTTTTCTAACAGGAAAGTTCTGTGTTTGACAGATTACTGTAGTGAGACTAACACTAGAAACATAAACAGTACGTTAGTAAAGCTTACATAAATATTGTTTTAGAAAATTGGAAGCTTCCTTAACGTGTCGCTCTCGTTTATCCACTGTTTTGGATTGTTTTTGGTTCGCCCGAGATTAAAAAAGGAGGGACGGACAATAGAACAAGGATTCGACCACATCTGTATGGTTGTTTTAGGCTTGTATAGTCTGTAAACAACAATATGCAATTACAACATAATGAGCTAAAACACTAATACTAGCTTTATTTCACTTAAATTGAAAATCATAATATTTTTAGGTATAAGATGGCTGAAAAACTTTGAATCGCCGTTTATATCCCACCAACTGTCAAACAGAGACCTTGATGACAATACACTTCACTATGAGTTAGGTATCCGTAGAGCTGTTTGGGACCCGTGCTTGGAAGAGCCCTTACTAGACGACCAAGGGTCTCTGGACTTGTTGTATACTCAAGCGAAGAATGACATCGAAAGGGGCCTTATCAGAGTGAATCCAAATGTTGAAGCCAAGTTAAAAAATTTGGAAGAACAAGGTTTGCTTCGACAGGTAATTTCTGATTTCTTTGCTTTTTATCATTACTGCTTATTGTTGTTAGTGGATGCAAAAATTGCTTCTAAAATATATGTTTATGTTTAGTACATCCACTTATGTCATCAACAGCTTGATTACGGATACGAATATGTGCCATCTACTAATATGGACTTTCCCAAGAAGAACAGTAACTGTGTGGTCAAAGTGGGGCGACATCAACTAGTTATTGAGTACGAAGACAATGTAAGGAGAGCTTTTCATAAAGCTCTGTTTTCCAGTTAATATTGTATCCAAAATGACAATTATAATATACTACTACATTGCAAGTCCAATTATTTATCTTTTAATGTGATATGCATTTTTAGGATAACCTGTGCCAACATGTGATCAGGTCTACCAGAATCCGAGTCTGGAAAGTGAGTCAGAACGACGAAACGAAGGAGATGACTTTTCAAGTGGAGTATCTGGCTGACAGAGAGACATTCCAAGAAATCACTATGTTCACAAGCAAGTCTGTCCTTTTGGCATTGTTTCTACAATCTGTAGCCAACGAGATTCTGAAGGAAAGCAACGGAAGACTGGTAAGACGTTTCTACGTATGTTGAGAACGCAGACATTAAAGTAAAAGATAGAAATCTGAGATTATTGTTTTATAGCAAGTTAGTTGTCCTTACTTGTAATTCTAGGTATAAAAGTAGGTAAAGTCAAGCATAACGAAACACTTTTAGACTCCGGTATTTACTTTTGATGATGAAGTTCCAACAAGAGTCATAGAGGCTTTAAACAACATCGAGACAAGACAGAGTAGTTATGCCACGATGGAAGAGGACATGTGTAGTGTAAATTCTGTGAAGAACGCTGATCAGATCAGTAGTCTGTTTAAAGTCATATCAGTAAGTTGTTTTTCTCTTATTCATGGTTAATGTAATTATGGAAGAACATAGAAACTTGAAAAAACGGCGCGGTGCAATATAAAAAAGTTAAGTTTTTGAACCGAAAATGACTTCAAAACATTAAAATCGACAGTACTACTTTATTGAAACTCACAATTTAAATCCCTGTCCCAACTTCCGAATTTCAGCGACAGATGCCTTTTGAAAACGAAAGCTTTGAGCACATAACAAACGCAGACCTGTGACATAATTCATTCATAATTTATAACAGTTAACAACACGCATAATAACATCTCTACTGTGATAATACACTCGCATTGAAATTGAAATAAAGCTGTCAAATGCCAGTTGAGTTGATATTGACAAGGTGATCAATATAACCCACCGGAGGTCTTCGGACCACAAACTTGACTGGCTTCCTCCGGTAATACTTGTACATGAGTTCCATGTAATCCGAGTCTCGTCTGAAGGTATACATTCCTTGTTGACCTATTGTCATATTTACTTACTGAACTGTGGATTCCGCCTTAAACAATTGGCTGGGGGTTTGGGAGGATAATCTCGAGCTGATATTGCGTCTGAATGAAGTTCCTCTTCTCAATGACAACAGCCTTCTGATACGGCTTCTGGCCGTCACGATGTCCGCGTTGTGGGCCATGAATCTGAAGTTTTAATGTTAAGGTTGGCAAAATTAATTAGTTTATGAAGCTGTTGAAGAACTGATAGTTTATCAAATTACCAGAGGTACATACTCTAGAATAAGTAAGTTAATACAGGCCGAAAAGATGGCCAATCCGAACAATATAAAGAAGAGGGTGAACAGAACGTAGAACAGGTCCTGATCCAATCGCTCATTGCTCTGTGCAGCCACTTGATCCCCTAATCCGATTGTGCTTACTAAACAGTTATATTACTCTGTAATTCTGGTTTTCTCAAAATTTGTTCAAAAAGTACACAGGAACGTCCACTAAAAAGTTTTTTAAAATGTTGTTTCTATGTATTTTTCGACCAGTCACACGGTGTTATCCCAGATAATCGAGACAAATTGAATAACCTTACACGTTATTACACAGTAGTAAAACGAGTCGAATATCGACCAGTTCTCCTTCTTATGAAAGACCAACGTGCCTACCAGAATGGTGACCGTGCCAAAAGTTGAGGACGTGACGAGTAGGTGTCTCGGCTTTATTTCCCGCAGTACAACTAAACCTTGACTGGCCAGCATAGTCCTCGTCTTGATCAAACACTGACGAACGAATGTGTTGATACGTTCACCAATCGATTGGAACATTATCAGTCCAAGGGGAATCCCGGCCAATGCAAACACCATGTAAAACACTTTCCCAGGAATTGTGGCCGGAGTTGAATGACCATATCCTACAACAATAAATTGAAATAAAAGTTATCTCTGGTTTCAAGGATAGTTGTTTCTTATTGTGACGTACCTACTGTAGTTATTACAACCGTGCAAAAGTAAAAAGCTCCAGCAAATTCCCATTGATGTCCAGCCGAGAATGGTATCGATTTTATGACCGAGTCTTCTAACAATTCAAAATCACTAAAACGGATTCTGAATTCACAATAAACAAATGAATTTACTTTATGTAAACGATAAATATTAAGCCATCTTCACCTACGTCTGCGAAAAGTTGTATTTGCTTTGAAGACGTTTCCGGTCGATCGAGATACGATTCCGAAGCTCGTCGTCAGCATCGTGCTCAAAGAAGCCAAAGCCTAGTCCACCGAATACTAGATAACAAAATGTGGTAAATCCTAAGCGAAGAGCCCGTCTACTCTTGGCATCCAACCATAACATTATAACACTAAAGGACGTTTCTCCAAGAACGGCCTCAAATTCTACGACGGAGCTCTTTTTTCAGTCTAATTGGTCTTTTGGCAGCGGAAGCCATTTCCTTTATCCTTCTCATTTTTGTTTACTATCCTCAAGATATCTATCTGTTTATGAGTACTGAACAAACTGACCATCTTTAGTTTGTACGTAACCCATCATCGATAAAAAACTGTTGTTCAAAGAATTTTTATATCAAAGTAAAATGGTTTTTCTGGGTTATTGCACATTTCGGACGATTCAGCAAAAGTTGGGTTTTAACAGTATTGAGTGTTTTTGTTGAAAGATTTCTTTTTCACCAATCCCATTTACAAAAATTGAATAATAACATTTATTACCTTAAATAGTGATAAAAACATTGTTAAAATCCTGAAGAATCAAACTCTGCTAGCATCCTCAACTGCTCTTCGTCGGTCAAGGCGCTGCTGTTGGCTGAAGCGAGTTTTATCGGATTCTGAGGAAGGTGAAAAGCGGGTTCTGGGGCCGGATTTGTGTTTTGCATGGGCCGAGAAGTGTCGCGAAATGCCTTAACAAAGTCGAGAGGTTCGACAGGTCTGTGAGGAGGAGACGGACTACGAGAAGATCGAGCTCTTCCATCCATTTCTCGCACTTCACGGAAGTCGTTGAAGGCTTCGGTCCATTGTCGCTGCTTCTTTGCTGATGGCTCGCCATTACCGTTTTCGTACTCACTCTGGTCATTATTTGTTTTCTCTTCAGAGTCAGAATCATCAGATTCTGCAGGTGCTTGTTCAAATTGACCGTACTTGGCCTCGAACTGGATTGGATCGCTCTTTGGCTGTCCTTTGAACAAGTTTATGCTGTGACGATGGATTAAGTGTTGAGTGAAGATCCAGGGATCTTTGAATTCTGCATTGCACGTGAAGCAACTCATGGTCTTTGGACACACTTCTGAAATAAAATGTGGTTAATACAAGTATCTACAAAGAAATCGTACATTTTTTAGCAGTAAATCAATAATTTATAAATAAAACACACCTTTTTCAAAGTAGAGGCAGTTTGGTTGTCTGCGATGTCTAATGTAGTCCACAATGTCGGTAAAAGTGCTTCTGCAAGAACCGCAAATAAGAGTATCTTTCTGTTGATGATCATGGAATTGAAGTGTCTTTAAGCTGGGAGAAATGTCTTCGGCAAAGGACCTGTTGCGTCCGTTGACTACATCTGGACGCACTTTTACACCTCCAAAGAAAAAGTCGGTCTTTGGACGTTTGACCTGCCTGAAACATAAGCTTCATTAAACGTTTAGACTGTATTTATCAAGAAGTCTTATAATATTAATATTGAAGTTCTTTTAAGAATTTGTTATACATACCCAGAATTCAAAACGCTTCCCTTCACAGCGGCTACGGACACTGCTCGGACATCAAGTTTGGAGCCATTTAGAGTGTAGGATTCTAGAGCCTGTACGGCGAGAGCTGCTTCTTCTGGAGCCGAATATTGGACAAACGAGAATCCTTTGAACAAAGAAACCGCCCTCAGGCGACCAAAAGGTCTACATGTATCGATGATTTCGTCCCTTGTGGTAGACGTGCTGACGTTACCAATGAAAATACGACTTCTGAAAAATTTGAAATCATTATAAAAAATTATTATATCAAATAACTTAAGCGAAATTGACATACGCTAAAGCAGTAGGGTCTTTGGAACTCGTGTCCGTACTGATCTTACTGTTCCTGTGCTTTGAACTTGATCTTGGTGGACTCTCGACTCTACTGGAGGTTGCTGGCTCCGGATAAGCCATGGGCATACCGTAACCATTAGCAGCTTGGTATCCACCGGGAACATTGTAATATGCCGATTGGGGCACCGTGGCGTTAAAGCCGTAACCGTACGCTATATTTAAAAAATGAAAGACTTTCCTATTCCAAAATTAAACAAATTTCTTTCCAAAAACTAATAACAACTTGAGTATACAAAATACTCGTTTATAAAAACAAAAGTTTTATTTCTCGCAACTTACCGTTCTGGTTAAACATTTTAAGACTTTATGACCTGAAAAAGATAATTATAACTACACGTTAAAAACCAAAAAAGAATAGGGTTGGGTACTTTATTAGACACTGCTTTCCTGGCCGTTAATATGAGCGGATCATAACTGGTTTACAAAGCAATATTAATATTAAAATTGCTTTAGAGGTAATAAAGTGTTTTGAATTTAAGAAATATAAACAATTAAGAACATTTCTGACATCAAGCGATGTAAATTATTTACACGCGAACATCTTAAAATATCTCAACTCTACAAGGTTGGCCATACAACCGTTGGCAACGACCAGTCAGAACAGTTCTACCCAACCCTAACAAATAAAAAAATCTCGAATCAAGATAAAGTATTGAAAAAACAATCAAATACTTAGCAAAGCCAAATCAAATATTCTTGAAATTTATCAAAATACAATAAAAACAGATATGGGGCAATCCCCCAAAAGAACTCGTATTTTAAACAAAGCCGAAGTCGCGGGTCTGGATGGCTACCAATAACTTAGCACGCAGGATTTTCTTAGATGAATAGAATGGTAAATACAACCGAGAGATACATGTATTTGCAGTAGGCAGATGATGATCGTCGTGAGGACGAATCATGACTGTCGGGAGTGGAGTGAAGGCTTCCTCGGCCGATGGAAGTGACGGTGAGCCTGTCCAGAAGAACAAAAGGTCCTGAAAACAAAATTTCAAATTTACAATCGAATAATAATTAACCGATACAATAAATATACTAAATATCCACAAATAATGTAGACATACTTGTTTCTCTTCGTCACTGAACTTTGAGATCACGCTGTAGAACCAGCGTTTTATTTTGTTGACAGACTCTGGTTTCGAAGAACTTTCATCCATGAAGGTGGTGAAGCTTTCCAGCAGTTTAATAGAGATTTGCTCAGACCCGCATAGGATCAGTCGAACGTCTTCTGCTGTCAGCCCTTGTAACGCCGTTGGAGGGATAACGTCAAACACACCTTGTTTTATCGAGTCCAAACAGGCAATATGCTCGCCCAAAAGTCGCTTTTCCACGAACAAATAGATGTACTCCAAAACATTGTCTTTGGTCACACTTTGACTCTCTCCATTAGGCAACAACTCGATTACTCCACCTCCCTAAAAACATAAAATATCAAATTGGGGAACGACTTACTTCTTCTGGTGGCAGGTCAACAACAAACGTCAGTCCCAAACTCTCGTAGAAAGCGTCATCGTGCGGTCGGTTTTCGGCTTCGTTGTAGGCAATGGAACGAAGCGAATCAAACATAACGGGATCGAAGAAAGCGAGATCGTACCATGTGATTGGACGGCCCAATATGTACTTCATAACATGCCTACACAACTTCAGGGGGAAGATCTCGAGTTGTAACAGACAAAGGCCTATCATTCTGAAATCAATAAGTGAAATGATATTCAAAAGAAAGAACAAAACTACAGTAATATAACTCACCTTCCCACATTTCGGAACGCATTCAAACGAGTGTGAGAGTTGTTGCCAGGTATTGGAGTTAGCAGCTCTGATGAAATTTTCATGAACAAGGGCAATGATTCCAGTCTCTGGGCATCAGCGGTACTCTTCTCGTTGCCATCAACTCCGTCGGCTTTGGCAAAGTATTCGGTCAGCGTTAAGACAAGATGAGTAAGTAATTCATCGTTAGCAATAAGTGTCAGTTGTTCTACCAAAGGTAAGCCGTTCACAATCAACCCAGCAATCCGTTTTGAATAGTCAGCATTAATGCTCAGAATCCTTTCGTAGAACCTTTCACCGAGAAGCATTGAGTTGGTTTCTGACTGTCGTTGACTTCGCGATGATCCGCTCCCCAAGTTTCCAGCTGACGATGAGTGAATTGGAGCCTCGGCTATGTTGATTCCACTTGATGGTGGCGGTTCTGACACACGAGCTGGTGACTCGACGTTCATACCACGAGGATTGTATGGCGCGGTATCCAAGTTGAACAAGAACTTTTGGCTAAAACAAAGCCCACATTAATGCATAAGTTACAACATAACGAACACAAAAAAGTAAATAATAAAAAATGAACTCACTAATCTGAATAACTTCTTTTTGATCCGGCAGAGCCACCCATAGGAGGTAATTGTGAGGCAGCACGTTGTTGTGCTCGGGTTCGTACACCACGGTCTGAAGAACTTAGTCCAGCTGCAGCAGCAAGACCACCTGATGAATGACCTAGTCCAGCCCCGTTTTTACGCTTAGCTGTGTACTCCAATTGGCCTGGAGCCTTCAAAGTACAAAATCCAGTATAAGAAGTTTTGATAGACGGAGTCGAGCCAAGGTTGCTGCTAGAGGTTCCGCTTTCCATAACCCCTTCTCCTTCTTTAGGTAAGTAGTCCATCTCAACCAGAGCATCGGCTAGGGCTGAGTAGAATGATCTCACAACTCCAGATCCTTCTCCAGGTTCTTCTCTGAATGTCGCTTTAACTCTGCCGACACCCAAAACCGGCTTCGTTGGTTCTTGACCGTTGGATGGAAGACGACGATTGTACTGATGATTCAGATGAGTGAAGACATCAGAAATCAGCGCATGCTTTTCACGAGTCATGTTCTACAAATATTCAGTTAAAAAGAATATTTCCTTACCATAAAGCTCAAGTCTTTCGATGATGATAACGACGCTCGGTACTTGTCAATTCTGGCCTTGAATTGTGAGTGCTTCATCGTAAAACCTCCCAATTCGTTCAGAAGCAAAGAATTAAATGAATCTTGTCCACTGTATTCAACAATGTCCTCTTTAAAAGCCTAAAACAATATTAATAAGTAAACAAAATTTAACGAACCTTAGCCAAATATATCATGGCATTTCCCCATCTTCCTAGGGTCTTCTGTAGCTGCATTCTGGCTGGATTCATTTTCAATGATAGAATCTCTTCGTACAATTCCTTCTCAGGGTCCTTCTCATTCGTTTCCTCGTCTACTTGCATGGGTTCTTCTTTTGCATCGTCTATTGGATGAACAAGAGGTGGTGCTGCCAAACTTTGATATGTTGGATTTTCTAAGCCGTGTTCACGGGCAATACGCTAAAAACGCGATTTTAAATATACTTTGTCATGAAAACACTATAAACTTATTATAACGGCCACAAATAATTAAAAATTTACCAAATGTTCATCAACAGTCCTCTCAGGCACAGGGATCAAGAACATGTCAGCTTTGTCACTTTCTGGCTTTAGAAGTGAAGACCTTACAGCCAAAGGAACACATTCTCCAACAGGATACTTGAAGGCATTGTGAGGATCGGCCGTTGTCAATGATGGATAACTAATGGATTCAGATCTTTTGTAGAACTTGCGTAGACCCCGAGCACGTTCCATTGTGCTTGGCTGTAGCTCCTAAACCCAGAATATAATTCCAATATTCAAAACTTACGTCTTCGATCTCCGACAAGTTGTCGTGAAAGAGTTCGGATATGTTAACGTGATAAAGGTATCCTTCTGCAATCAACGAAACGTGGCGGAACGGCGTAGATTCAATGACAGGCATTTCATCTCCGTTTTCAGAAGAATGTGATCTCATCAAGGCCATGAAGTAGTTGTAGAAGTCTCGTTTGTTAGAGACGGGAGAAGAAACGGCTTCTTTCTTCTTCTCCTTCTTGCTTGATTTGCTGGATGATGAGTCGAAGGAGATATCGGCGTATGCCGGGCTCTTCAATAAAGCGTTGCCAAACCTGAGCATGGCTTCAATTCTGTCCATTATCTTTTGGAACCAAGTCCAAGTCAATTCCAAACGATCATTCACCAAATCCTGAAAATAAGAAAAAATAATTTTTCATAATTATTTTAATTCAGCTATGTTAAGTGTCAACCAACCTTTAACTGTGAGAACAAAACGTCCGAATTCAAATCTAGAAAACCATTGATTCCACTAAACGACTGTTTCTGATATTGTTTGTACTCCAGCAACCTCAGCATCAGCTCGTCAATTACTTTTACCACCAATGCAAAGCAAGCAGACAGTTGGAGTTTAGTTTGATAGATGTCAACATCAGAAGTTGTCGCTGCAGGCGACTTTTTGGGAGCTGCTCTTGGAGTAGCCAAAGTAGATGACTCGGTAGCGTTGTTGTTGTCTGTGTTCGTTGCTGTACGGTCGTGAGTGGCTGCACTTGATGTATCAGGTACTGTAGTCGATGGGGTGGCACTGCTGTCAACATTCTGCTGCCGAACTCTTCTGACGGCCCAACCAACAGATGGAGCTAAAATAAGTTTTTAAGTAATAAAAAAGATATTTGATCGAAATTCTATTAATTTTCAAATACCTACATTGTGTTGTGAACAATTGTCGTCCTGTAAGTCTTCTAGAAGAAGAATCCGCGTTGTAGATAGGCCTGAACGATACTAAAGCACCGTTGTCAGAAGGTTCCGTCGCGGTAGACTGAGAATCAGGCTGAGCATTAGACACGGCATTACTTGATTGGCTCTAAAATTAAAAAAATAAAATTTTTCAAAAAATGGAAGTCGCACTTTGGCATTAAATATTCTTACTTCAACAACCGGTTCAACATTGACTTCCTCGTCATGACTCCCCTCAGCAATGATATCCATCGACTCCGCTGCTCGTTGAGCTCCAGCAGCGTTCCCTTCACTGTTAGCTGTCTCGTTTCTTCCTCTTCGAGCTGCTCGTCGTGCTGCTTTCCGTCGTTCTCTCCGGATGGCAGCGTTAGCTTGATTCACTTCTCCAGCGCTAGACCCATCAATGTCAACAACTTCGTCGTACGGTTCTTGGAAGATGGAGTGTTCTCCTTCACTGCTGTAGTCATAATGGTCCTCGTCCGAATATTCTTCACCACTCTCGTCCACAATTTCGTCTTCCATTCGGTAGAATTCGGCATCTTCTCCTTCTACAAATCTTTCTTCCTCCTCCTCTTCATCTTCTCCTTCCTCTTCATCCATAGATGGATCATCTTCTGGTCGTTGTTCGTCATCGTTCATTTCATCGACTTCTCGTCTAGCATTAGAAATCTCAGCAACTTCTTCATCTTCTCCATCAAAGTCATCTTCGTCTTCGTTTTCATCATCGTCGTCACTGTTGTTTGAAGAGCTGTAACCGTCATGAACATTGAAAGAGTAATCCAAAGCTTGTGCGCCAACTGTTTCTCTCATCACGTTGTCAACTGTTCTTCTGGCAGTTTCCACAGCAGCAGCAGAATAGTTGTTGTTCGGTCCGGGGTTGTCGTCGCTGTCCGAGTCATCGGAGTCAGAATTGTCACTCCCTCGGGCATCCCGATGCATTGATATACGACGGATTCTTTTCCGTTTCGGACTTGAGGTGACACCAGTGAGCAGACTTGTAAGGTCAGTTTCGCTGTTAAGGTAACGCTCGATCATGTCTAATACATCATTTGGACCAACACTCTTGTGAATAGGTATGGTTTGTCTGGCTACTCCCAATCGTACTGGCGCGATCAAAGCATCGGCAACATTGACCAACTCGGTGATAGAATGAGAAAGTAAAACCTAAAACAATATTTAAATCAAACAATCTAACCCTACCTGGAACACACGATGACATTTCAAAACAAATCCGTTGATCGCCTTCTTCTTAGACTCTTTTGCTCCTCCATTTGACGAAAATGGAAGAGAAGTTCGAACCAACGATAACACTCCAGATACTGTAATGGCACGGTAATTGGGCATCAAACTCTTGGAAACAGCTGATGTTGAAGATGGTAAAGATGTAGCAATATTGAGTTTCGGGTCAGAAGACCCTCTCTTCCTCAACTCCACCATGGACCCCAATGTAGCTGCAATCACATTCAAACTTGAACCAGTAGCCATCGGAGATGAAATGCACAAGAAGACAAACAATCGTACCACAGAACGAGTGAATCTGGCAATGATTCTGTTCACTTCTGGATCTCTTCCACTTTTTTTGTTGGCTTGAGAAATCAACGTGTTCAGCAGCGTGTCCAAATGCTAAAATAAATAAACATAAAAAATATGAAACAAGTAACACATATCACAACATGACAACAATCAACTTACACTTTCAGGACATCTGGCAATCAATGTGAAGACAAATCTGTCCAAGTGATTAACACCATCTTGTTCGTTCAGTTGGAACAGGTCCTCGCTTATTGGTGTTTCTCCAGTTCTGTACTTGATTCCGACTTGCAAAACACTTTTTACCGACTCCCACTTTGTCAGCAGAAGATTCAAAGCAACTCCACTGAACTTGGGTGGATCTAGATCATGTTCCGGTATATTTTCGTTAGTGTTTTGAGTAGCTGCACGAAGTTTTGCACGTCTTGGAAAGTTTTCCTGTTCCACTGTTTGTCGACCGAGAGCTCGAGCCAAGAACAAGGTCAGATGTTCTCCTTTGGAACTCAACAAGTTAATGAGATTTGTCTCCTTCAAAAGCAACTTCAACAACTCCTCTCTTTGATCGACGTTTCCTGACACCAAAGCCTTGCATCCACACTTTTCCCAACAATCACAGTAAGCTGTAGGCGACGTACGCTTCAACCTAAAATATATTGAAATATTACATAAAGTTTATAATGACAGTAAATTTCAATGAGACAACTATAAAACAGTTTCTACTTACTTGCAGTCGTGATCCCTGTGGCATGTGTAGGCACATTCTGTACAGCAACAAAGTGATCCCACCAAATCGCATGTCTTACACTCAAAAATGTCCTGGTTGATGTGTTCTTCTCCCGTCCATGTAAACGAACAAGTGTCATTGTAGCAAAGAATGAACAGTGGAGAATCTACTCCCGTGTTATTCATGCAAATTTTAGTCAGAGAGTCAGTTTCATGCAACTTCAGGTCTCTGACCTTGTGCCACAAGATAACAGCAGCAGAATAAGCTCTCAAATGGACAGCTGAGTAGAACGGAGTGTGACCATGGATGTCCTTCTGTTTCATGAGTTCATCAAAGTAAGATGCCATTATTGGAGACGAAACCAACTCTCCCAAGATCATAATGGCATTCTTTTGTCGTTGTCTTGCACTGACTGGTCGATCAGCACTCCTTTCTGATATCTCCATAGCTTGTTCACTGCTCTTGGACTTTAAAACACCCTTCGCAGAATCAGAAGCTGCCCCAATCATGTCTTTCCATCTCTGATCAAACTTTTGTCCATGAGCTTCGGCTTCAGTAGTATCCAACTTTTCGGCCGATTTCTTCGAACTTGGAGCGTTTTCGATGAGAACAATGTGTCCGTTTTCGAATCTGATCTGTTTGAAGTCATCTGCCTGATCCTTGTTGTTAGTCGAGAACGCGTTCATGATGGCCGTGTGGAATATATTTCTGTTACCGTTAGTGTGAGCGTTCAGAAGTTGGTACTTCCTTTCGTCTTCACTGGCTTCTTCCAACTCCTTCAGAATTCGCTTTACAGAGTTCAAGCTACAGTATTGAATATTCTGAATGAGTGAATCGATCTTTGGTTCGGTAGTTCTAGTTTCTGGGGAAATGAGAAGAGCGTAAAGTGCCATTTTCTGAACGGTCTTTGGCGCATCGTTGTTCTTGGCCAATGCTTCATTACACAGCTGATGAGACGTGATTATAGTGTTTGTGACTTCACCGTTATTTAGATATCTAATTCCGACTCCCACGTGTTTAGCTGCACCAAACGCCAAGTAAACTGGATCTTTAATGCCATTCGTCGAGTCTGGAATAACAGGCAACAAACTTCCATTTGCATCACACAATACCAATGCGTTCTCCTGAAAATAAAAAACTCATAATACAATATCTTTATAATTTTAGTTTTACATAAATTTAATACCTAAAAAACCACTTACGTCTCCGTGGTTGTCTAGCCAAGCTTTGGCCGTTTTGTCGCGCGCCTGATTCAAAACATTAATGTCGATAGGCATGTATTGTGAGCAAATATCAGTGGCATACCCATTTGTCTGTACCAAAGCAGCTTCTCCATCAGTCTTTTCAACTAGTAAACGGAAACCTAAATTTCGAACAATAAATTTAAAATGTACAACTTACAATTGTTGTCAACTGCAGACGAAATGACCTTCCTAACATTCTTTGGCAACTTTACTTCGACCAACTTCTTCTGAAAAGTCTGTGGAGACCTAGACAGACGCAAAGATGGCACCAAAACAAGTTCGTCTTTTCTCATCAAACGAAGGTGCGATCTCAAAAGTTCTACTTCGTTCGCAACTCCGTTATTTTCCTTTTCCGATTGCTCAATAGCTGACTTGTAAACTATTCCAGCGTAACTTCCATCCACCTTGAAATGTCATTACGTTTTAAAAATCCAAAACATTGTATACGAAATAATTCAAACACCAAGTTAACTTAAAAACATTTGAAAAACTTACAATTTTGACAATAGCAGTGTCACAAACTGGCTCCTCATAGATGAAAGTAACATCCTTCAGATTCCACGCGGTCTCTCTGTACTGTGCTGTCACCTGAGCACCGCCCCCGGTTTCACTCAGATTGTCATCTGAAGGAGCGGCTCTTTTGCGAACAGTTACTAAAAGGGCCATACTACGTATTCCCGAAATAAAAAGGCCCCAATAAAAGCATTACAATACGACCCTTTAAACCAAAAACTAATATGGTAAAAAACTTACGGTTCACGTTCGTATTTTCTGATTCTGGAACGTTCTTAACATAGATTTCGTATTGATCTGGAGTCATTACTCGAAACCTGCACGTTTCATTCATCGTCCACGCTGCTTCCATCAACACACCTACCTAAATTCACATAAACGTCATTTAAATTTTTTTATCAACTAACTTATCAAGCAATGCCTTTTTTAAACAAATCTTACCATGATAACACCATTGACAAAGCTCACTCCCACTGAACTAGCTGCGTAAATCGGAATCGCCCTAGTCCTCACTTCTGATCCTACTGTAATTTCCTTCGGTTTCGTCAACGGCTCTTCTCGGGTTTTTCTTTTTGCATTTTCAAACATCAAGACCCGGTCGGTAAACGGATGGATTCCCCACCAGTACAACTTGTTTGCAGTCTGAATAGCAGCGTATAATGAGCAAACCATCAGCTTCTCCACAACAACTTTTTCCGGCAATTCGATTGGAGCTGTGTTAAAGCCATCAGAAACATGAGGTCCACAATAATCATCCATAAAAGTACCGACACGTCTGTTGTTGGTGAGGTATGCAATTCTCCAAGAAGATGCAGCAAAGTTAACAATTCGTTCATTACCTAAAACCATAATAATCAAGGATACTATACTTACTGTTCAAAATCTTGAAATTAATCTCGTGTGGTTCGTTAACCGGTAGTCGATCTTTCCATCGCCACTGATACAGCTTTCCATTGTCACCAAGAGCAAATAAACCCGTGTAAGAAGAGCCGATCTGCAAGAACTTCGTGACGCCAGCTGGAAAGTCGTCCCCGTTAACATCGTGCCAGTAATACAACTCATCAGCAAACTTGAAATTCTGCTGAGTCAATTCCGAGCCTTGTTGAGCTTCTCCTTTCCGTTCTTTAGCCTTTGCTTCGTCTCTTCTCCGCGAATCCCTTAGCATATACTCGTATTCAGCTCCACTGTATAAACCTTCTCCATCTATCACTGCAGCAGCTCCATCTCCGCGTAATCCAGCATCGAGCAAAGACAGAAGCTCTTCGTGTAAATATGAATCATTCTGATCGTCCATTTCATCTGCAACATTTAAATGTAACACTTCAAATAAAAACCCCATTTAATTTAAAAAGTTTTTTAAAATAGTTACCTTCATCGTCATCACGACTCAACAAGTTATTAACGGCTTCATTTACATTCAAATTCGTCCTCTGTAGCTCCCTGACAATCAATTCGCGACTCTTTCCTTGTAAAACGACTTGAGCTTGTGCAATAAGTTCTTCTGGAATAGAAGAAGCAGGTAACATTGCTCTAGACCTATCAACAATCACGCCAGTTCTGTTTAAGATGGCTCCCGGTCTGCGGGCGGCAATCATCATTCGACGAAGTTTAGCATTTCGACTGGCTGAAGCCGAGCTTCCAAAACCAATTCCACTACTACCAGAGCCAGATATTGCTGTAGAAGAGCTACCTGTGGCAGCTGAAGCAGCACTGACTGAACTTCCTGGATCGGTCGCACCTTGATTGTTAAACGACGTAGATTCTGCTGACTCATTGGACACAGGGTTTGACGTGATGTCAAAATCCAATCGAGCGATTCTGTGGTTCTGAAAAATACCTTGTAAACCTATTTTAATATTAACGTATACATTGAAATATATTAAGTTTCAGAACATAACCCAGTATAACAGAAATATTCCTCGTGATTCCTACCTTGAACAAAAATCCAATACTGCTTGGCCCAACAATCATTTCGACAATTTCGTTAGCAGGTATCGAAGCAATAGCTGATGTTGGGGCTGCCCCATACTTGTTACGTGAATTTGCAGAATCAATTAACCTAAAACAAATAAAAACTAAAACAATACCCTTACCGTTCAATAAAAGCATTATCGTCTACTTTTGATGGAAACGCTCTGCCAAAAAGAAACAACTGCTTGTGATCACTCATCCAAATTACCTAGAAATAATAATATATAAATATACTGTTCCAAAAACAAAAGATATATTATGTCGAACCGTACAAAAATAGGTATAGAAAATCAATTGAAACGGCAAAAAATCGTTTTCCGTCAGGGACAAAGCCCTTTCTATAAACAAACACCAAAGCCTAGATAAATTGACAAAATAATATGTCTTGAATAATGTTTTCAATCAGGTACGATAACTACACTGCAAAATATCTTCTCGACTTTTGTCTAAACATAAAACTACCAAAGAATTTAGTTGGCCGAAGTTTGCCAAAAAAACAAGCAATCTTGTTTTCGTTATAAGATTTACTTGTGTTAATTTTGTAAATAAAGTCTTTTCGAACAAAAAACTTGATATAGAATTAATAAGATAACTGATTTCAATACTTCCTATATATTTCTTTGGGACACAAGGTTTCACAAATTCCACCAAACATGCAGATTTTGTCGTGCTTTTCGTTACAGAACCTACGATTCTTGTAACGCCAATAATTATTTGGCATTCTGTCAATTAGAAAAAGATAAAATAATTGTGAAAATGTTTTTCATAGTTTTCTGTAGAAGTATATCCATAAAATAACAAAGCTAATTCCCACACAAATTGGATTTAAAGTTTTAACACCTAATAGCCATGGATAACGCTGTACCGGCGCTGCCAGTTCCTGACTCTGCCAGTTCTCAAGGCGGATTGCTTGAGACTTACACAAAGAACCCATACTTCAATGCTGGACTTGGGCTGGCTGGACTTGGAATGGCCGCTCAGTTAGGAAAACGTTTTTTAATTATAGGTAGTTTATTTTGGCAAAAATTTTATTTTATGCTTTGCATTTGTTTATTATGTTCATAATCTTCAGTTTTTAGGTAATCTTTTGTTCAGAAGGCGCTTTGTGACTTCTTTGACCCTAAACAACGAAGATGCGTAAGTTCTACTATTTTTCGTACTTTATTTTTAGGTCATATCCATGGGTATTGGACTTTATCAACAAGTATAGCAAACATAAAGCCCGTTCAATCTCGGCCTCGTCGGTTATCAGCCAAACTGAAAGTGGAAAAGTGTCATCCTCGTTTTACTTGTTGCCAGGTTATGGAACACATTACTTCAGCTACGACTACAGATTCATTCAAGTGGAGAGGTCGAGAGAAAAGCATCAGATTCAGAAGAACGGAGTGAGAACAGCATTGGAAACTGTCACATTGACGACATTTGGTAGTCCTCTGATCTGGAAAGATTTTTTGCATAAAGCTACTGTCGAAGCATTGGAAAAGGTAAGGGAGTTTGTTTCAAAATGTTTTTGTTGATCAATATTTAAAAGTAATACCTATTAAACTAAAAAGTTGTTTGTTTCCATCTAACTTTGATCACTTTTAGGAAGAAACGGGTACTGTTGTCTACAACGCCATAGGACCAGAATGGCATCGAATGGGAAATCCGAGGAGGAAACGGCCGATAGAATCAGTAATATTGGCTGAAGGAATCGTTGACAACATTATAAAAGACATCGAAGAGTTCATCGACAGTTCAGAATGGTAATTTTTCAAAAATATGTCAAATTATAACGTATTTGGTTAAATTATTATAGATATGGATAAAAACATCAAATTTAATATAAAATGTGATTCCAGGTACATTTCACGAGGTATTCCTTATCGACGGGGTTATTTGTTCTATGGACCCCCAGGCACAGGCAAAAGCAGTCTAATATCATCTTTGGCTGGTCATTTCGGATATTCAATATGCATCTTATCTTTGAGTGAGAGGACCTTAGATGACGATCGTTTGTCGTATCTTTTGAATAACACACCACCCAATTGTTTTATCCTATTGGAAGATGTTGATGCCGCTTTTGTGAGTCGGGATGCCTTTGAAAACTCTCAGCATAAAGCATATGAAGGTATGACTAGAGTAACGTTCTCTGGTCTTCTGAATGCGATTGATGGCGTAGCTAGCAGTGATGAAAGGATATTGTTCATGACAACCAACTACAGAGAAAGACTGGATGACGCGTTGGTGAGGCCAGGAAGGATAGATGTGCAATATAAACTTGATAACTGCACGAAGGATGTTGTTAGAGCAGTAAGTACTACATTTTTAAGTATTAGAATGCTAACTATAATAAGATTCTTAGTGTATTGCTACTTTCATTTAAATTTTCAGTTCTTCATTCGGTTTTACGAAAATGCTGATGACAGTATATGTGATAGATTTACCAACAAAGTTTTGTCATCTGGTAAATCTGTTTCACCAGCATGGCTACAAGGATACCTTCTGATTCACAAAGATAACCCTGAACTGGCTGTCAAAAATATTGAGGATGCCTTAAGTTTTCTAAAGTAATCTCAAGATACGAAACGCCAAGTACAAGTAGGTATTGAATTGTTTATGCGTTAATTGTTGAACAATAAAATTAAAATTTTAAGGCAATATATTCATGATCCATGTGTTAGTGTTTTCTTACCGGTGTTATTATTAGAGGTTGGGAGAGATGCACAAAATATTAATTTACTCTATTTTCCTGGCTTCGACGACATTCGATCGACGTTGAGGTGGCAAGATAAGAGGTAGCAAAAATATGATGGACAAGGCCAATATGTGATAAGAGAAGTTAAGCTGCCTGAAATGTACTTGAGGAAAACTGTCAATCGACTTACTTGTAAAGGTACAGAGCTGGATACAAGTGTAGGGTGACGAAGGGGAATGTAGTGTAGGCCATCGAGGTTTTGGTTACTAAAAACGTGATAACGTCGTAAGTACGGCTCCAGAATAATGTTTGTTGGAATCTGTATCGCAGACAACGTCGGGCCTGAAAGCGTGTACATAACACTAATGCAGACAAGAACACATTATCAGCATTATACATTCGCCTAGGGATAAAAGAAGCTAACTCAAACTTACAGTTCTGGCGGCCAAAGTCATAAGTGCTCCAGTCAAGAAGGTCATGTAGTACCCTAAGAAGAAACCGTGCCACATTGCGGACAACATGTACGTTGCTACAGTACCATATTTCTTGGGTACTCTTTCGTAGGCTACCCTCCGTAGCCAATACATTGTAGTTATGTTCCAATTGTCAAGGCTTTCTTTGAAATTAAAGGCCAGCTAAAAGCATTAAAGTTAAGCCTGTAAGAATAAATGGGAGCTTCACAAATGATATTCTCTTAACGCCAAATGATATTTTTAATAAATATCAATACCTCGAATTTCATGATGTGCACGTTACTGATCAAGTCCCATTTGGGTCGGTGGTCTTCATCGTAACCATTGAATCCGAATCCACTCAGATTCGCGATTCCATCAGCGACCGTCCAAGCATAGTAATATTGTACGCGCTTCAGGAAGATGACGAACCAGTACAACATCCACCATCTATACGCCGGCATTAACAGCTTGTCTGGTTGAACGATGATTTCTGGCTTGTAGTCATTTTGGAAGATGGCCACGATGATCATCAAGACGAGAGATGTCAGTAATTTTGGTAGAGCACCTTGCCACACATTGATCTTCTAAATTCAGCTATTATACCAAAACACGATGACTTACCCTCCTTTCTTCTTCTGACATTTCTTTACCATCAACGAAGTCGATGTAATCAGCGTAGAAGCACAAGGGGCCTGTGAGAATGGTTTGGAAGTGAAACAGATAACTCATGTATTCCAATACCGATGGCATCTCACTAAACGACAATATTATAATATTACATTAAGGATAAGTTATTCTCCAAACAATTTATAAATAAACTGTTATATTACGACGAAGATTAATAAAATACCTACTTTAAGGCCTCTCTCTTCTGAATAGGAGTAAGTTCGTCGGTCTTCTTGACCTTTCCATCATGTAATGAGAACGCCATTGTAGTCACCTTCTGGGTTAGCACCATCATGGGACCAGTGATGTCTATTGAATAACTAGTTAGTACGTACCATCGGAACCAGTGAATAAATATTAAGTATCCCATAGAAAAACAAAACACCAATTTATGTACATATACAGATGGGGACCATCGCATAATCGAATACGATGCCGCGATTAAAGCTATGGGATGTTTTATGGCACTAAAACATGATTTATATTAATTTAGGTATAGGATTCAAAAGTTGAAGCCAAAAAGTGTCTTCATAATTGTAAGTTTAAATGTCTAAATTACAATCTTCATCAAAAATTAAGTAAACAAACTATTTGAAAGATTTCTTGTCACAAAACCCTCACTTTTTGAATAAAACTGAATAAAACTAAACAATTAGAACACTATTATATACTAAACAACTTACTTTCCATAACAGAAATAACAAAGTACCAAGCCTACAACTGTTGAGGACCATAATCGTATGTTCCGTGAGACTGTTTCTGGTCCAAGATAGTTTCTGTACAATATGGCCATTGGAATCGAGATTATTTGGCAGAAAACCAAATTTAGCTGAAACACGTTGTAATAATAACGTTATTACTACGTTGTAACAATAAACATGGCAAGATAACTGGCAAAAAAAGATTAAAAAACACTTGGCCATTAAAATATACGTTCATTTGTATATTGAGATATCAAAACACTTATTTTTGGGTACATTTTAGCACTTTCGCCCAAATTTTAAACAAATTAGTTTTTCTTCAAAGTTAATATTTGTAACTAGAGTAACGTAAGTAACCTTTAAAAACCTACTATATCCACCTCGACTCCAATCCCTTCGGCCACAGGCTCCAATATTCGAGAGCCATCGTAGAATGTGTGAACTCCAGGCATCTGTCGACTAATAACTAATGTAAGGTCGCCAATTCAATTAAGTTCAAACCTTTTCGAATTTCAAATAAAAAGGTTTTAAAGTTTAAGTGGCGCCACTAACTGTCGATCCGTAGCGACCACCCAGTCCAGGTAAAACAAACTTTGTTCGCCTCTGAAAAGTGCATCTAACAATAAAACTGCAAGATAATGTTATAATTGTCGCAATTCTTTTTGGAAAGATAAGATCAGCTGACGAAAACACATACGTTTATGTGGTTAGTGTAAAATATAAACATAAACCCCAAACGAGCTGATCGCCAAAATGTCTTTCCTCGAAAAAAGGGTTTCTTCCAAAAAAACACGTCAGCGCGATGCAAATAAATAGATTTGGAGAGCATTTTTGGTTTTTTATTTATCTGTTCTCGTGAGGTTTGGTGTTGGAGGGAGATGAGTAACAAAAGACTATGTTTTCAAAACATTAGAGATTATTTTTGACATTGGAATTTCGTTTTAATTAGCGATATAACAATAAAATACTGTTCACCATTGAAACTATCAAGAAGATCCGAGAGTTTAAAATCGAGGATCTTTTTTGGATTTACACAAGGTTAATACTGCACTGTAATGTATATAACTTATAGGATTTTTCAAAAATTTGAATATTTTACTCATAAAATGTTCCACCCCTCCAATAAAAAAACACCCGCCGCAATCATTTAAAAGTGGGACCATTGTCCTTGTGCACTTTCCTGTGACTGATAAAGTGTAAATGAACGGAATCAGAATAGTTGTAGTTGAAAGGAATTGTGATTTAAACCTTGGAACGAATTACAACCTTTTTTTCAGTTTCAAAGAGAACATGAGTCAATAGTTACAAAAACCGCGAGAAAAACGTCTTTGACAATAAACAAAGGTCTTGTAGAGTTCGTACAAAACGTTTATTTTGTATTGGAATTATACAAACATTATTAACAAACTCCAATGCAATCAAAGTTCGCAAAGTAAATTAACCCTTGACTCTGGAATTTGCACGTTCCGTTGAAATAGTTCCACTTACTTTTTGACCAAAACAATAAACAACTGGATAGTAAAGTTCGTTCAAAGTAGTGATTGATATTGTAACAAAGTAAATATTAAGAAAAAGTAATGAAATATTTATTTTGTTCTAAAAGTGCATGGTTTTCTTTGCCGCACCGTGCAGATTTCGATGAAAAGTGCACTTTCTTGACCAAAATCATTAACAAACTTGGATGTAATCTTTTATAGACGCAGCTTACTCTCATCTTATGTTTTAATTTCCAGATATTAATTCGAGTGCGTTCATGTTAATCTGTTTTCTGTCGGGTTTAATAACATTAAGGAATTTATTGGGGCTTAACAATAAATAACAATAATATTAACTAGGAGAATTTAAACAGCCGTGGGCTTTTTCCGAGTCTTAGTAGCTTCTCCGTCCGCTGATTTCTTAACTCGTATTTTCCGGACAACCTAAAGTAAGGTCGAGGCGTTAAATCGTTATCAAATATCATTGGATAACACTTGAAATCCAGGCTTTTAGATAACAGTTTGGAAATGACATTAAAAGAGATTTATCTGTTTACCTTTGTCTTCTCGGTCGCCGTGGGAGCGTTCTCATCCAATGGCGATATATCTTCATTTGGTGCCAATGGAGCTCTTTCGGGAGTCTGGTCACGACTTGTTCGTCCTGACTTTGACAAAGACCGTCGAACTCGGTCAACCAGCTTGGATCCCATGTTTTTGAAAGGATTCCGACCTCCACGTGTTAGCGTGCCGTAGTGGGAAGCCGGGTTTGTTGTAGAAGACTTGTTTATAACACTATTGGAAGGTAGATCTGACTCTATCTTACTCATACTCTCAGTGTTTCTGGTTAGTGCTGAGGGCTTGAGGAAGTTCTGAAACGAAAAGAATGCTTATTATTACGTGTAAAAGAGCCTATATTTTACAAAATATGCCATCATTCCCTAAAAAACGGTTTTAATATTATTCTCATGTAGCAAAACTTATAAATGTTTGCCTATCATCATGTACGTATTAGTTTTACTTACCGCCGAGGGCTTGTCCTCGCCCGTGTCAACCGATCTTGACTTCCGAATATTGAAAAAGCCTCTCTTGGTCTTGGGTCGGTCCAGGGTTTCGAACGCTTTGGCAATCGTCCTTACTGAAGGAGCCTTTCCCTTGGCCAACTCCTCCCTTCGTATCTTGTACAGTATGTTTGTACCGGCACTACCCATTCTACTGTGCGATGCCAGGGAATCGTTGTCGGCGTCCGTGTCGTCTGTTAAGGTACCCGTACTTTTTGTGACGATTGGTGCCGTGGCGTTGTCATATAACAAACTGCGCGATATTGTTTTGGGGACATAATGTAGTTTGCCTTCTCTATCGTACTCTACTTTGGTGTCTTTACTGAGCATAAATGTCGGGGGAGGATCGGGATAATTGACCATCTTCTTCACTGGGGATATCGACCGGTTGGTGTAGTCTTGGAAGCGACTGTCCCAAGTGGAAGTACTCTCGATACTCAGAGACCGCTGATTGGGTAGGAATATGGGATTGGTACTGTAGGTGCTGCCACAGATAGAGTTGACTGTCCTAGCAGATGACAACGCAGAATCCACTTCATAACTATTGAGATCGCTGGATGTGAATGCCGTGTGATTGTCGTCTTCTTTGATGGTGTTCAACTGGTTTATGATGTGGGAGATCTCGGTGTCTTCTGTCAAATTCCGGATGGTTTGAAGCTGAAAGCAATTTTTTAGTAACAGTGGTTGAATTTGTTAATATAGATGTGTACTGTGCATTAAGCACCATTACATTTTCAATTTATGCACTTACTCTGTCAACGACTGCCGTTATCTTGTACTTCCTTGTCAGTTTTTGAACTTCTGCTTGTTGAACTACTTGCATCAGTCGGTCTTGATCAGCCCTCAATATCTCTGTCGTATTAACTTGCATTTGTTTTGCCTGTAGGAGGTTCTTCTGGTCGATCTCCAGAATCTTTATTTGTTCGTCAAGCTGAAAAGTTATTGTTATGATACCATTCTTTGTGGTTTGGTTTATGAACTTATTAGAGTCTTACCTCGTTTGTCTTCTTCTCAAACTCGTACTCTTTGTTGGTCAGCATCGTGCCCATCTCCTTGATCTTTTTGTTCAACCGAGCTACTTCTTTCGTGTAGAACTTCTGATACTCTGCGTACTGTTTCTGAACGGCTTCGGCCGCATTCAGCGCATCTTCAGTTATTCGTACATCTTTACTGTCTGTATTTCCTTTATTAGATTCTAGATGCTTCTTCTGAATATCCCACAAGGCACAGTCAGCACGGTGAGCTTCTATCTTCAGTTTAAGTTCATGACTAATACGGTCTATCTCGGCCTTCAGGGTCTTGATCTTTTTCTCCTATAACATTGTGAGATGTTATTTTAGGTAACATTTATATTGTTTAACTTTAATTATTTTAATTTTTTATATTTTAACTTTTAATATCAAACATACGTTTTCGCTATTACTATTGGCAAGTAAGACATTCTTCCTCCGTTCTTCTTCACAACGCCGCTGTTCGTCCAGCAACTTTTGTTCTGTAACATTCATGCCTTCTCTGAACCTGTCACGTTCTCGTCTAATTTGAACCAGCTGTAAAATGGAGCAAAAATTAATATTTGAAAGGGTTCAAAATTATCTAATCTCTGTTACATGGATTTTTTTACGCTTTTTACTTATAATAAGGTAGTTTACGTATATATTTTAACGTAACTTACTTGGGTATGCAATGATTTATTCGTGTTCTCCATAATGTTCATTCGACTGGTAAACTTCTGCTGTAACGCATCCATCTCGAACGATCGTATCTTCTCGTTCTGCCGTAGCCTATGTTGTGAATCATTCCTTTCTCTTTCTACTACATCTTTCAGCCGTTGTAGCTCGCTGTCAACGGTTTCTTTTGCCAATTGTAGCTTGTTGAATCTCCCATCTAGTTCACTGTATTTTTGTTGTTGATCAGCCAGCTTTTCTTTTAGTTCAGGCACTCCTAATTCGTTTATTTTAGTGACTCTGTAGTTGATTGTTCTGATGACAGGTCGAGGACTGATTGACGGACCATCTTCTTCTTCCTCCTCCTCTTCGCTTTCTTCGCTGTTCTTTTTCTTCTTCAATGAGTTGATTTCGTTTTGGAGGTTCTGTTTCTGATCGTTCCATTCGTTTTCTTTTTGCTCAACATCCCTTCTTGTCGTTTCTGAAATAAATATTTCGTTAATTGTTGACTTTTTTAATTATTCCATAATTAGAACCCTAAATTTTAAAAAGTTTCAGAGATTGGACAATTTGTTGTTTAAAGAATGTGCAGGCTGCCTATGTTTGGGCGCAGCTGTTTTGGCATGTTTTACATTTTTGTCAAGGTTTTTCCTTACCGAGCTCATTTGTTGCTTCGTCGGCCTTTTTCTTTGCCGTAGCCATGTCTGACTTTATTTTCGATCTTTCTCTGTCGTACTTCTCTTTTTCTTTGTTATACATGTCTTCCATCTTCCTGTACTTGATCTCGAACTCTTTGAGGGCTTTTTGTTCTTTTTCATAATCCTAAAATTGCCGCTTTAGTATAAGATAAACATATCTTCTGAGCTTGAAGTTATGATACATTGTTATTTGTTATGCAGAACATGTTTTACCTGTATGATTTTTTGCTTCTGATGTATCTCATCTTCCAGTCGGTTCATTCGGGCAGTTTGCTCTTCGATGGTCTTTTGTTTCTCAATCAATGTGACCATCCGTGCATTGGCAACTTCTTCTTGTTCTTTCAGTCCACTCTTCAACTCTCCCAGCTCATTTTCCAAACGACGGATCTAAAAAGAACAAGTTGCTAATGTAAGATTTAAGAGGGGGGCTTGCTAGATGCGTATATCTCACCTCCGTTTTGTAATTATGAGTTTTATTCTCTATTTCCACGGTCCATCGGTTTTCTGTTTGCAAAACTTGTTTGGTCAGTTCTTTGTTCTTCTTCTTGTAGAATCCAACTTCTTCTCTCAACGTCTCCAAGCCTTTCTCTCTCTCGGCACAGAAACTGCACTCTTGAGGTTCTTTGGCTACACCGTCCTCATTGTGAGATTCAGAATCGTCGTTGACATCGGAGAGTTTGTGTGTTTTTAGGGCTTGGCGGATTACTTTGAGTTCAGCCATTACTCCGACCAGATCAGCAGCTATACTGGCACTGCTTTCTTTTGATAAGGAACGACGACGTTCCTCCTTCTGGGAGTTGTCGATTCTGTCGAGTTGCTTGCATATTCTGGTGGTCTGTGCTTCTACAGAGGCCAGCACAACACAGCAGTGTTCAATCTGAAATGTTATGTTATTGGTTAGTCGATTATGTTTCTATTCTCTTAGTTCTATCAGAGAAAAGTGAAAGGATTGATTGATATGATGATTAAAGTTTGTAATCTTACTTCATCTGCCGTAGCCATTGAGGGAGAGTCGAGGTCTTGTTTATTTGGGACTTTGAAGGTTTCTTTAGCTATCAGTTCACTAGTCTGTTTCTCTAACGTCTCTATTTGCTTTTTCAGTTGATCGACATAGCTTTCTTCGGCTCCAGATTCTTTTGCTGTCTTTTTGTGTAAGGCATTCGCTCTTTCTGTGGCCATGTTTAGTTGGTTTGTGAGCAGTTCAACTTTTGTAGCCATTGCTATTAGTTTTGAGTTGTCTGATTTAGCAATTAGCTGTTTGAACTCTGTCAACTCGGCCTCCAACTCTTTACGTTGTTGTCGTTCTTGACGAAGTTCTACGGACGTGGCTGAAAGTTAAACGTATAATGAACAACTTTTTGTTATCTACGGTGGTTTAGTGATATACTATTTTGAATTTAATTCTTGCGTTACCTTTGTCTCTCGACGAATTATCACCATTAATGGCTTGTCGTCGTAGCTGAATCTGAAGTTCACTGTTCTGTTTCTCAAGCTCTTGAATCTTCACAATCAGCCTCGTGATGTCTTTTTCGACCTCCGCGTTCAATTTTGCGGACCCCTAAACATTAACAGTACATAAAATATTATACTGTACTTACATTACTGGATACTATGTCTAGATCCTGAAGTCTTTTCACAGCATCGTTGTCAATGTCATTCAACCTGAAAGTAAAGGTTAGGTCGTATTTTTAAAAAGTTGGTTCATGATAGAATAAGAAGCCTCACATTAAGGGAAAAGAGTTATTACAGCGCTGCTCCCCTTTTAAGGTCAGGTCCAGTTTTTGAAGAAGGATGTCATCATGACTGTCACTAAAACAAGGTTTTTCAGAAATTTTAAAGTCAAAGTGTAAAAAGTGCTCGCTAACTGTTAATAAGAAGGCTGATTATTGTGCCTGAAGCTTTTATCGTGCTTCACATTGAAAAAGTGTTTTTGTGCAACTAAATGTAGCTTTTGAGTGCTTTGTGGACATAAAATACGTAGAATATGGACAAACCGTGGCGCGTGACAAATGATGACACTATTCTTGTGACCGTACCTTGAGCTTCTTGTAATAACAGGTTTCTTGCTCAACGAGCCTCTGCTGTTGGTGACCTCGTTGAGCTTGGCCAACTTCTGCATCAACTCTTCGTTTTCGTTCTCCAGCTCCTGCATCTGATTCCTGGTCCTCTTCAAGTCTTCTTCTGCAAACTTTAGCTGATCTCTCAGATCGCTTTCTCTTTCTATCAGAATCTGGAGGTCTTCCTTTGACATTTCTGACAGTAACTCGGTCGATAATCTTCTCTAAATTTATAATTAAAATACTTTTTTAAAACGTACTGCTGAATAGTCTGTTTTGTTTCTGTTATCCCTCCATTTGCTTTGGGTTTGTAGCTCTCTAGTCTTTTCCTTGTAGTAGAACACTTCATCTTCTAACTTGTACCTAAAACAGTGTTTTAAAGTTTTTAATGATATATGTGGCTTAAAATTTTGTGAATTGGCTTTATGTATATGTATTTCTTTATAATTTCATCAAAACGTGGTTATCGTACCTTTTTTCTTCGGCTGTTTCTAGCTCCTTGTGTAATCTAAAGCTGACTTCCTTTGCGATTCTCAGCTCTGACTCTAGTTCTCTAACTTTGACTGACTGACTGTGCACGGTAGAATCTGAAGTGATCGAGTTCTCGTCGCTTTCATTGCCGTCGTTGTCCCCAACGTTGCCAGACCTGCCTTGCTCTCTCATCTTCATCGTTAGCACTTCGTTTTCTGTTTTGTACTGTTCTTTCGCTCGTTCTGCCTTCTTAAGTTTGAATTGCAGAACACGGCAGTTTTTGGCATTCTGTTCGAGTTCTCGTTGAAGTTCACGGAACTCTTCGATCTCTTCTTCACGGTACTGATCTTGCATCTCTTCCACTTCTTGTTGGAGGTCCCGAACCTCGTTCTTGAGCTGCTCGTTCTCGACCATGAGTTCGTCGCACAAGTCTTCGGCGGACCGTAGCTTTGAATCCATTTCTTTGGTCTTGAGTCCCTCGTTGATTTCACGCAATTCACATTTCAGGCTGGTGTTCTCATCGCGGTAATCTTGAATGAGGCTCTCGGCTTCTGCCAGTCGTTCTTCCAGAATCTGGACGAGGGTTTCATCTTGATGTGAGTCGGTTTTGGGAGGGCGTTTGAGGGTCCATCTCTTCCGTTCTTCTTTCAATTTGCTCACTTGTTCTTGCAATCGTATGTTTTCGGATCGTAGCTGTCGAGAATCCTGCAATATCGTGGGCGTAAAGGCATATCCTTGACAACAATTGTTGTTATAATGGCTTTGTTAACTAATGGTTCGTTAGTTATCTACTAATGTCATGTTATCAAGTGCTACATGTCTTACAAAGTCCATTTCTGTAGGCGTAATGCATCTGTCGTCGTCGTTTTCGAATTCTAGAGATCCTGAAGCGGCAGTGACCATGGAGCGGTCGTCGACGATGGACGAGATGCTTTCCATCGACTTGGCATTAGGCAACAACTTGGACCGAGCTGATTTGAAAGACACGACGGATGAGGTTTCTGTTATGTTATCGGGAACTGAAATCAGATGGGTTAAGGTAGCTAAAGGATGCAGATTCTTGAAGATTCTTTTAAAGGATTCGTTTTTTCTCGGATTCAGATCCTTTTAGGATTTGTTAAACAAGATTGCGTTTGATGTCAAAATTGAATTTAAAGATCCTACTTTCATTGTCTGGTCCTTCGTCGGGGTTACGGTCTCTCCAGGAACGACGTCGTTCCGCTTTCTCTGCACTCAACGAGCTGGGGGGCGACACTGATGACACATTTTCTGGAGACGACATGGCAGGGCTACGTGGCGTTGGCGACACCGAGGCTGGGAGATCGTGCTTGATCCTCAGACGGAAACACTTGCGACACCGATCACGCAGATAGTTCTGCGGCTCGAATCCTGTGCATACGCCATCGGACATGACAATGCCTACTGAATACGCAGCGTTATGGCAAAAGACAAAGTGGGAAGACGAAGCAAAACGTCATGTTCAACAACAGAAACTTCGTTTCCTTCGCGTTAAAACTTACGGAGCGCCTTCAAGTTATAATGGGCTGATAACATAGCTATGGGGTTCCGAACCATCACCAAATATGGGATGTCCGGAAGTGGGGGGATAGAGATTGTGGTTGTTTTTGGGAGGCGCTTTATCGGCCTGGGGGCTTCTGATGTGAAAGACGCTACATCCGGCCTCACATTGTTTTACCTTGCGTTTAGAGTTGCCAAAAGTCCCTAATCGGCCGGAAATAATCGCAGGTAATAGTTGATGAATCGAAAAATATAAAGCGGCCGACGAAACCCCTCAGGCATTTTCGGGTACGACAAGCGTTTTGAGACTAGTTTTTTGGGGCAACTTGGTTTTTAATTTTGTTTGATTTTAAAGCTGCGGGGATTTATAAATCTACTGGGCCTTTGAGGCTACCAAGCTTATGAAGGTATTAAATTGTTGCAAATACTTGAAGTAAACTAATTTTTAGAATTTCTACAAAAATTGGGCGAGTAATTACTATGATGCGAATCCCCCAATGTTAGTATGCTACTGTTTTTGTGTTCTGCGAGATTATAAACAAATTAACTTTGCGAGAGGTCAATCTTCAATTTTGAGAAGTGCCAAGCCCTGAGGCATTTTCGTGGCCAAACTATTAGTCGCCAAATTTCCCGAGCCTCGGGACGTTTGTTCGAATAAAACGGCACAGCTCCCGGCCCATTCCCTCGGGGCATAAAGAATAAAAACGCGTCAAAATGACAGTCGAAAAAGGGCTTTGATCTAATTATTACATACGACCATGTTCTTGTCACTACATTCCCGAGGTAGTTTCTAATCTAACGAAGCTATTATAAGTGTTCCCAAAATAAAACAGTAGAGCGCAAACATAACATAATGATATTGGCTGGGATTTGGGTATTTGCTAGGTTTTGCTAATAGGAATGATACAAATTTGCATAAAAACATGTTGGAAATCACATTATACGTCCATAATGTTATCATAGACGTAAAAATTTTAAAAAGTAACAAAAGTTTAAAAAACATGTCAGTATGACAAGATAAAAGAACAAAAAGACCCAAAACAGACCACTTACCATTGCCAAACACAACATAACCATAAAACGATCGATTAGTTGCAGTGCAATATCAAGTATTAAAGACAAGACTGACAGTTCCTGAGCAAGAACATGATGAGATCATGTTACGGGCGTGTCCTTTTTAATCTCTGTTGTACACCATTAAAACAAAAAAGTTATTTGCTCAGATTTGAATTCGAAAAATAAGCTCGAGAGGGAGATCTCGGGAGGCTCGAGATCAGCTTGGCCGCGAAATCTCCAAGTCTTTAAGACTGCACTCTTCTTCACCTTTCACCTCAAAACATCCCCAATATACAAAGATAATATAACAATTGTTCGTATTGACAGGTGTTTGCAGACCAAACTTTAATTTGCATAATTTGGGTTGTAAAGTTAGTTTTTGTTCTTATATTTACTATGTATAATATTATACTTGCAGGATGGGACTTATAGTAATTTTTTTAATCTTGAATGTAAAGTTAAGAAATGATTTTTTACTTATTGGTCAAAGACATTTGGTTTAGTTTTTTAAAACAATCAATATTAAAAAGTTTTGTTTAGTTTCGAATACGTTTTAAAATTTTAAAATTACTTAAATTCTCTGATTAAACTTAAAATTTGTCGTAATTCTGATCATGGCAGTGAAGGCAGAACATGTGGCTTCGCTAACGACGGCATTGTATTCAGAAGATGTTATTTGTTTATTTTTGAAGAACAACAAAGTTACAGCTGGGTTCTCAATTTACATTGATGCTTCTAATATATAGTTGAGGCTATAAAACGAATAATATAATTGATTCTACTGAAATGAGCATCCTAGAAATAAAACAAAACTTGACCATAAAGTAATCATAAACACCATCACGTATCCATTTATATATCTATGATAATAAAAGTTTGACAATTAAGTAAAAAATTATAAATTAGTTTATTACCATTTTTTGGTAAAAAAACTGTTAAGTATTACAGCATCAAATTTTAAAATGAAAAGCATTGTTTTCTTTACCGAGTAATCAACTGGTCGATTGTGTTCAAAATGGCTAACTTCAGCAACGAAACGTTACCTGGTGAAGAGTACTTGAACACTACATGGTCATCAGACACAGATATACCTCTACAGTACTGTGTCTACTCGCAGAATGCTGTAAGTTTTTTGGCATTTAAATTGGATAGACAAATAACATTGGATTTAAAATTTTTACAAATATTTGTCAAATTCAAGTCTTGCTATCTATAATACAGCTTTATATAAAGTTTTGTTTTTGTTTAATTTTACAGTTTTTAATGCCATCCTTTTAGGTAATTCAAGCCATGGCATTCATTGTTGTATCAAATCTTATCGTACTGGTAATTATCGGGTACTTAATCTACGACGCAAGTTTCAGTACCACCATGATGGAAGTGCGGAACAGTATCAGCACGTGCAGTCACGCCTTAACAAGAACGTGCAGGTTCAGTACTGTAAGTTATGTAATTGGAAAGTTGTGTAAACATAATATTGCGTCAGAACGTGAATTATATTATATTTTTAACGAGTTTTTTAAAAGATTTTTAATAATGTTACAGTAAGTTACATTTTACAGTACCCCGTAGCAGTGATCATGGCCAAAGCCGAGGACATAGGCATGAAAAGGGAAGACGTCGTCAACGAGTACGTCAAAGATTCTTATCAGCGCCGTTCTTTCGTTTACAACGTGCTGGGAGAGACTCCGTTCACCCGAATGTTCCTTCAATCGTTCCCATCTCAGTTCATGAACAGTGGCTTCGAAGGCGAACTTCTGATTACCAAGAAAGATGCTTGAATCACTTTTGTTCCATTTAGCTACAGTAACATCACAGTAAACTATTGTGTATTATTTGGTTACTTTTATTACAGTAGTAAAAATGTTTTTGCGTTTATTACTGTCTGTAGTATCTGTTTGCCTTTAGTTTTAAATGTTTTTAAAATTATTCAAACTTTATTTAGCCGCTATTTTCTTGTAAAGTAATTGAGATTCTAACAAACTGGTGCTGGCGTCCGAACTCTTGTTGGTACTGTTTTTGAGTCGAACCCAATCAAAAGACAAGTAGTATATGACATAGATGAACGTAGTTATGCCTACCACCATGCTGATTCCAAACAGTATTATAAAGCACAAGATTCGAATGACTGAAAAAGTATTGCTATATCTACAATTACTTTAAACGTTTTTATGAACAGTAAAATGAGGCAACAATTCAGTAATTTTAGGTAACAAACGCCTTTAAGTATCACAATGTGAACTTACTTTTGTAATCATTTATGTCAAGGTTGTACTCCAAGTATATGGTCAGTAGCCATTGCTCTTCGTGCATTTTCTTGAAGATATTGGTAGCTGATCCCATAAAAACAAATATCAGCAGTGTCACCATGGCGAATACCATAACACAACCCTGTAACACATTGTAAAGATACCCTGAGAAAGAAAACTTTGGAAGAAAGTCATTTTACATCAATATCAAAATGTTTGTGTTATATAATATTTATATACGAAACCCATAAGTTTTATTTTAAAAAACTTTGCGCTTATTACGGTAAAACATACGCACCGACATAAACACCATAGGATACATAAAGTTGTGACTTTCCAACAAGATACCAAACAGATGAGCAAGTACAATGATCAATGCGATCGTACCTAATATAAACATGGGCGGTGTTGTAGCTATGTCAAAGTGGGATGTTGATACGAAGGTTACGGTGATGAGAGATACGAAGATGACTACATCTAACACCTTGGATATGTGCTGAAAAGGTAAAGTATTCCAAACTATGTTAAAATAGCATCCGGCAACATTAAAATGCCAATATCGTTGCCATCACTACTACCGAATCACTTACCACGGCATGAAAAAGGTTACAAAAGAATAGGTAATTACTCTGATCCAAACTGCCAGCGGTCATGTCAGCTCCCGACTGAGATCTTGGCCGAAGGATCACATATCCAAAGGCTAATGGGTCGCTCCTTGGTTAATGTTTCAAAGTTTTGTATGCATTTTAGTGCTCTACCTTTCTTTTTCTCATTTATTTTAAAAAAAGTAGTGATACAGTTGTAGTACTGCACATTAATTATGTATTGCTTGTCATTTTCTATTCACTTTTTGACCAATATAAAAACATTTATGGTCAATTATTATTGAAGACTTGGTACTACAATCCCCACAATTTATGTTGGGGTTATATTTCTTATTTTAAATTAAAAGACCCTCTGCCTTTTCTTCCAATTTCACAATTTCTCCATCATCTTCGTACTGTAATAAATCAAAATACAAATAAGCAAAACACTGATGGTTAGGCTTTTTGCGAATGACAAGTCATACGACAAATCATGCACTCTATAAATAAAAGAAAATACCATAAAAGTAAATCTTGCATAAAATTAGGTTTTATTTTTATGTCTGTGTTTTAAAAAAATCATGAAAATTAGAAATTAAATACAGTTTCACCTTGTTTTGAGCGATCTTATTACGTAGCAAATAAGAATGTCAATTTTTTGTTTAAATTTTCGTCAAAGATACATAGGTCGGTACTTTTTGAGCCAAGGTTTCGAAAAACGGGACTACCATATGTATTGTCATATACATCGGCCGAAAGAGCATTGAAAGTAGATTTAGAATAGAGTTTTACTTTGACTTGAGCTATATTAAGTTTTGCGTATGGACAAAGAATGGCATTTCCCATTGCAATTTTTCCGACATGCGCCCTGCCCCTGCCTCGAAAAAAGAAAGTTGTTAGCAATAATTGTTTTTTTTACGCCAAGACACCTGTGTTGGGCTACCGTGTATGAAAAAATTTCAAGAAAAAAAAGTTTCTATAAACGGAATTCTAACACAATCATGAGAATTTAATAGACAATCGATTAGTTTACAAAACTTGAGATTACTGGGGTTTTGAGCCGCCACGAAGAGTGACCAACTCTTCAGCACTAGTTGGGTGGAGGGCTACACACTCGTCGAACTGCTTCTTGGTGGCTCCCATCTTGACAGCGACACCAAATCCTTGGAGAATCTCATCTGCACCTTGACCAAGGATGTGGACACCGACCACCTTCTCTTCTGGACCAGCACAGATCAGCTTGAACAGAGCTGGCTCCTTGTGTTTGCAGACAGCGTAGTACATGGGGTTGAACTTGGAGCGGTAGATGGTGATGTTGTCCTTGCCATACCGGTCGATAGCTTCCTTCTCGGTTAATCCGGTGGTTCCGAGTGGTTTATGATTTCTTTATAGATAGCTTTTTTAACACATTAAGCTTAACTTTTGCTTCGCTATCAAAAAGCTTATTCAAAAATACTTGAGGATGACGATTTATTAGGATGAAGATATTAAAGTAACTTAACAACCCGAAAATAATTAATTGAATACAGGCCTCATTTCTCTGTTGTTTGTCCGCCGACCGACCGCCGAAGTCGCCCGAGCAGGCCGACCGAACGCTGTCGGAACGTCGGACGTGCTGTGAGAACCGACCTCCGATGACACTGACAGTTTGCGACGACCAGATGACATGCCGTGCAGTAAACGACCGAGCGGTTGTCGGATTCGCGAGTCCGATTGATTAAGAAACTGAAGAGTATATTAGATTGTCATACTGATTATATTGTTATAGGTGGTTGTATGAAGTATATTGAGTAACTAAGATTTTATTATCAATGGTTCATCGGTAAAACACTATATTCTGAACACAGTCTCCCTTAAATCCCGTATGTTAGGGATGTTCACCCCCAACGACAATGTTTACCGAAGAGTACTGTAGCTTACCCGCGAGGCCAGTCGCTGTTTCTTGTCCTGAGGCCATTTTGCTTTCTCCGGGGCCAAATGAATTTGTTCGAAGCTGCTTAATGGATTACTTAACGCGCTGTGTAAACTTACTTGAATCTTCTGAATCTCGCATCGCTTCCGCCATTATGGTTGGATGCCTCGAGCAGCTGCTTGAAGTCGGTGGTCTTGGCCGATCGACATAGTTTGCCTAAAATACGATAAGAGCAGGTTATATAGAGGATGAGGATATACCGAGGAGTGTTGGGCGTGGTCGGCTGGTTGTAACGATGAAGCGGGGAAACAAGCAAAGCTTAAAAGGTACGGTATCAGAGGTTATAAGGTAAAATGGCATAAATAATAATAAGCAAGAGTCCTGTTACAAGATAAAGTGGTAAACTGTAAATCATATAACCAAAATCTCAGATGATATAACGTAAAAAGCGATGGCAACATAAAGAAAACTAAATTAATATCGTACTTGGTAAAAGCGACCGAAGTGTTACTGGCTTCGAAGCCGGATTCTGAACCTTTGTATATGGTACCATTGGTCCAGTTGTAAATAGAGTAATCTTTGTCCGCCACCGAAGCTAAAAAGGGTAAAGCGAGGGTTACGGTAAGCAAGTGGGTTCTATTTCTTACTTGGACGACTCTCTGGCTTTTCTTGGAATTCTACCAGCTCTCCACCATCTCCTTCATACTGTAAAAACATTAAAATGCATTACTAATAATACCATACATAAAGTTTCAATTTAACCTTCTAATCACATTAAGCTTACTGTAACTTAAAGTACAATTAGTTACGAAAACTTACAGTTTCACTTTTAGTTTTAGAACTACCCCAAGAATCAAAGTTCTCCACTGGACTACTGTAACCAGACGTCACTGAAGCGCTCTTCTGTTTGTCGTACATCTTGAGTACCGTATCCAATCTCGGTCGATAAGCTTTTCGGTCGGAAGATACATGCAGCTTGTCAAACGACCTCTTCAGAGCCTCACCATCTGAACTTATACTTGAACTACAACAACTTTCTTTCTCGGAAGGCTCCGATGAGCATCCAGACGACTGCTCGACGTCGCTCTCTTCAGAATCCTGACTTTTCAGTCGATTTAGAAGCCTTTTCGACCGTTTTGAAGCTTTTGGTGCTAGTACTGGTGTTTGTGCGCCGGACGGAGCGAGAGAACCAGCTAACGATGCAAGTTGTAGTAGGTCGATAGAAGTGGAAGAAGCCAGTTGAGAAAGTTGCTGACGTTGCATAGCTGATAACAAAAGTTGCGTCAGATCAGCAGTCGAAAACTGTTGTTGTAGTTGAGGTAACACTTGTGGGACTGACGACAACTCCGATATTCTGTCTGTAAATGTTACAGTATAACAAAAAAAGGTTTATATAAGATTCACGAAGATTATCTTAAAGTTGTAAAAGATTACACTGTAGTAAAGAATAACGCACCTTTGATCATGTCAACTGCTATGATATTGATGATCATAAACCAACAAGGGGTCTTGGCCATCTCTTGGCCGTCTTTAACTAGTGCTATTCTAACACAACTTCTGCCAAGCAAGTGTTGTTTCTCGGATTCAGATTCCAGCTTCAATGACTTTACATACCTTTCGAACTTTTTTATGTCAAAAATCTAAAAAATATGTCATTAATCAGTAGAAAAAGTTAAAAAAAGACATAAAAGTTGCCTTTTGCAGTATAAACATTAAAAAATTTCTATTCTTTTGTAAGAAAATGAAACATAATGCCAATGTTAACAAAAATAAAAAAAATGAAGGTAAACTTACTTTTACTACGTTATTCTCTTTGCTATTGTAGTCATTCGAGCGACATGGCAACCTCCCGTGAGACTGAATCAAGCCTTCTGACATACAAACATTCCTTCCTACAGAATCTCTCACATTCTGCACGATGACTGGGGTAGATCCACCGGCCATCGCCTTCAGATTGCCATTGTCCATTTTGATTATGACCCCCTTAAATTTAAAAAATTAAAGGATAAGCTTTAAAAGTTAATGATAATGTTAGTAAAACATTACTAAAAGTGAGTTTAGATATTTTTTCACAAAATGTTTATTCAAATTTGGCACAAGTCTTAGCCAACATTTTTAACTTACATCGCCGATCTTTTCCCGGAACTCCTGAATCTGGTGATCAGCGTGTGTTGAAGCAAAATAATTGAAACCCAATGTTTTGCCATCGAACTCCTCATCTCCACCATCAACAATCAAAGTCGACTGCCTCAAATAAGCCTTGGCCAGCCGTCTGCCCTTCTCCATCAATATTATCTTACCCCAAATGTCATCATCCAATGACCCATCTTGTAAACGGACTAAGACTTCGTTTACATTGTCCTAAACACGCCATTAATCTATGCTACCAAAACTTAAATTATTGTCTACTTTTAAAATAATGAGTTAGATCAGTTACAATAAGCCTTCAACAATAAATAATGCATAAAGTATCAAAAACTTAGATTTATAAACTAAAAATTTAGTAGAGCAACTACTACAACAATATCAAGCTCGAAACAACCCCACTATAGCCAAATGACATACCAATATAAAGGTGTTGACATCCGTCCACACGTCCTCGCTAAAACTGTTCTTGGCCTTATTTAGCTGGTTGGCCCTCCGGCGTTGCATAAATCTGTACAAAATTAATAATAATGGACAAAGGAAATAGACATATGACCGTGCAGTGTCCACTCAACGCGCTGAATAGCGGCCAGTCTAACAAGAGTCCGCTCTCTATGTTCATGTCATCGAAACAGAACAAACGCCTCCCATGTTCACGTTATTTTGCAAACAATACGCGCGCAACAGCTTAATACCCAGTCTTGATTACGTCAAAAACATAAAAAACCTGGTCGATTACTCGGAAAGCGAGCCAGGTACTTCAGGTATAGGTTTGGTGGAAATAGACGATAACTGATTTGATAAGATTGAATTAATCATAAAGCTTTAACAAAGTTTGAGTGTTCTAATAAAAATATTTTGACACGATACAACTTTCACTAAAATGTTCCTACTAACCAATAATGAATTAAGCAATGTTCCAGGTCTCTTTTCCAATAATCATATAGTTATGTAAAAAATGCCATTTTATATTCGAATCTATCGCAAAATCAACAAATAATAGTACAAAGCAAAAGGAAATGCCTAGCCCATTAGTATAGCAGCAGTTTATGCTTAAAATTCTTCAAAAGAGCCCCAATCTTCAACCATCTTCTCTACTACAACATAAACACAATGCCTTTCACTCAGATTTTCGTTAAAAAGACAGGCTTACTTCAAATTACAACTAGCGTGTTACTGAGTAAACGTAGCAGTAAGTAGTATCAGTTACAGTATCATTTACAGGGTTTATTTCAAGCGGCGGAAGCGTTTGTTAAGTCAGTCCAACTTCCTGAGCAAAATGACCGCAACTTGAACAAACATTACTCGGTATTTGTTCTCATTGCGTAATAACATTCGGCCGAACAGTCATACCACAATAGATTTATGTGTGTCGCTTCATAAATTTTGCAAATTTCAAAAAAAGGGCTGAAAATTGTGCCCGGTTCGTTGCTCAAATCGAAACACAAGGCATTTTACTGTTGATTTTTAATAACTCGTCCATGCTTTTTTAAATTGTATTTTGTTCTCAGTTATCATAATGCTCAAATTAAAAAAACACTTTGTTTATAGGCCATAAAATAGAATACAAAATCACAAAAATCAGCCTCATTCAAACCCGAAATGTTTATAAATATTTTCCGTTTGGGACCTAATAACACGTATATTTGGCATAACGCAATAAGAAAAAAAATAGTGGAGATTTTGACGAAATTCTGTCTCCAGCATCTACACGACGATGGTTCTACAGAATCTGATCGCCAGAGTCAGCGATGGCCTTATTCTTGCCACATCAATTGAAGGAGCCGATGACGTATGTTCATTTGGCTGTGTATAACATGTTTTTAGCCAGATATGGTCAAATACACGACTCAAGCCAAGAAGTTGTTCAGGAAATTAAACACGCAGGGCACACCGAATCCTCAGATTGTTGAAAGTGGTCCGTATTTGTTCTAGTAAGTGTTATATTTGAGTATTTCATGTTTTAGTTATATTGTTAAAGGTCCGATCTGTGCCTTAGCTCTTTGTGAGCGGAACTTCCCTCGTCAATCAGCCTTCAGTTTCTTAGAAGACGTAGCAAACGAGTTCATTGGACAGTATGGTGCTCAGATTGATAGAATTACCCGACCTTATCATTTCTTGGAGTTTGGTAAGATTTTATATTATTTTAGATATACCTCGTTTTTAATTATAACTTATTAGAATAATTTTACCTTGATTTTAAGTGAGGATATTAAATACCACAGCCAGGTTAAACTCTATAATTCAAAGTTTTTTATAAGGTTTGCATGTTATATTGTTTTAGACTCATACATTCAACAGGCCAAGAGAAAATACGGAGATAGAAACAGATATGCGATGTCAGCAGTAAGTACAGAGCTACAAGATGTCACTCGAATTATGGTGTCTAATATTGAAGATGTTATTCATAGAGGAGAAGCTTTAAACAGTAAGTTTGTTTAATAATATTGTTGTAGATCTGTTGTTCTAATATCGCATATAATACTTTCGTGGGTAATATATAATAAGTAATAATATTTTTTCTAGTTTTGGAGACGAGAGCCTCTGATCTGTCTGACCTTTCTAAAAAGTACAGGGAAGATGCACGACAACTGAATCGTCGAAGTGCCATGATCAAGATATTTATGGGTATCGGAATTGCGGGAGCCATTTTCTTATTCCTTCGGTTCTTCATCTTTTGACTGTGATATGTTAATATGATATTTATAGTATTTATTTGATTATTGTAATAAAATACCGCTGATATGTTTGGAGTTGATACAATGATGCATATTATTCATAAAGATATTTTGATTTTTACTGATTTAACGAGTAATATGGGCTCTTTAGTCAGTTTCGTACTCACATGCAGTCAACTGTCACCAAAATAGTTAGGTAATTGTTACTTTATTACTAGTTTAGCCGAGAATGTTTTTTATACTTTATTATTACCTAATCGTGTATTATCTCCACAGAAAGTGTTTAAAACCTTTTATTTCTTTGATCTATGCACTTTTTGATTAGTGTTGTAGAATGGTCAGCGGGAAAACGGAGTGAAAAAGGGTTTTAAAAGGTTTTTGTTTAAAAGAACGACCTTGTAAAAATTTTTTCAGTTTTTTGTTAAATTTAAAAAGCAGAAAACATAAATTTTAAACCGATTTTAGATACGTTTTTTGTTCAAATAGTTATAAAAAGCAGGGTTTTTGGGTATAGAGTAGAGTTTACGATAATAAAAATTATGTAATTTTAACTAAACCATGTTCTGAAAGCGCATTCGATTCTTTTTGTTTGAAAACGGAATCAGATGGCGAGTTTCAACCTTGTGTTTTATGTTTTGCCCCATAATTTGATGGAATACAACTGCCTATCCTTAAGTTAAATAGCTAACACAACAAAATAGAAATGTTTTAAATCTTTTTATAATTTTTCGAAACATTTTTCGCTATATAAAGTTAGGTAAATGGCTGGAAACAATCATTCCGCCCTTCAAAACAAAGGAAAATTGGCAAAAACATGAACAAAGCGATCATGTACTTATTTCTAAAATTACATCATGCCCTATGATATCATTGGATCTGTTAACATTTGTCATCGTTTCGAGAGGGCGGGAGTTCGACAAAGTTTCGTTTGATCGCAAAAAGAACGATTATACTTTTTTTGAGTTCAAAGACATTTATTTGGGTTCTCAGGCGTTATTTTGGGTCTGTTTTTGACGTTTGGCCACGGGAGTGTTATTTTTGTTGGGAATGATTTGGTCTCACGCCGAATTACTCACATTTGTTCGTGTCATACTTCTCGTAGCATGATCTGTAGCACAGAGTTTTGTAGTAAATGTCTAAAAGCTGTTTTCTAGCAATTTAAAGTCATTTAAATGGTTTTCTAATTTATTAACACACTACGGGATAATGTGTTAAAGCGAATTTAAATTGAATTATTGTTGTTGTTTTAGTCGCAGCATGTCGATTGCCAAGGAGTTTGATTACCTTGTGGTTGGTGGAGGTTCTGGTGGAATCGCTTCGGCCAGAAGAGCTCGCGAGTTCAATGTTTCCGTAGGATTGGTCGAGTTCACTCGACTTGGAGGAACTTGTGTCAATGTTGGATGTGTGCCAAAGAAGGTCATGTACAATACCGCCGTTCACGCTGAATTCATCAGAGATCACGCTGATTATGGCTTTGATGTGACTGTTAACAAGTTCGAATGGAGGTCAGTTTATATATCATGTTGAGAACACAAGGTAGTATGAACAATATAGACGATATGTTGTTTTTTGTTGATTTGGTGTTAATTTTCCTTGTTTTAGCAAGATCAAGCAATCTCGTGATGCCTACATCCGACGACTCAACGGAATCTACGAAACCAACCTTAAGAACGTGAGTTATATTGCTTTTACACGTTATTTATTGAATTTCAATCATATTTTCTTTTATTTAGACGGGGGCTGAACTTTGTTACCTAATTTTTTTCAGTCCGGAGTCGAACTGATCCGTGGCCGTGCCAAACTCGCTGAAGACGGTACAGTCGAAGTTGATGGAGTAAAATACAAGGGAAAGCATACTCTGATCGCGGTTGGTGGCCATCCCAGAATCCCTCAGCTTCCTGGTGCCGAGTTGGGAACAGACAGCGATGGATTCTTTGAATTCGAGGACCTTCCAAAGTAAGTGCTGTTACCTTTTGTTAGTTTGTGTTTAGGAAGTCAGTCGTCGTTGGTGCTGGATACATCGCCGTCGAGATCGCTGGAGTATTGGCTGCTTTGGGATCTGATGCTCATCTCTTGATCCGCTACGATCACGTCCTCAGAACGTTCGATCAGTCTTTGAGTGAGACATTGACCGAAACCATCGAAAAGGGTCCATTGAAGCTTCATAAGAGAACGCAGGTAAGTTTTTTTTGTTACTTTTCTTTATCTATCTAATGCGTAAAGCTCCACTTTTTGGTTATTATGATATTCACACGATTATTTCAGGTGGAGAAGGTAGAGAAAGAAGCCGATGGTACGTTGACTGTCCACACTACTACTGGAAAGATTGATGGAGTTACTAAGCTGATCTGGGCCATCGGAAGAGATCCTTTGACCAAGGACTTGGGATTAGACAAGGCTGGTGTTAACGTTGATGAAGGAGGTCACATCAAGGTCGACGAATACCAGAACACTTCTCGTGCCAACATCTATTCCTTGGGAGATGTATGCGGCAAATTCTTGCTTACACCAGGTATACAATTGTTTTAGCTTGAGTTTATTCTAAAGGAAAATAAGTTTGTTTTAATGTGGAATGTCCAACTATCAGTCATTTTAAAATTAGTGCTTTTACAAATTTATGGTATTTAAAATTACTTTTCAGTTGCTATTGCTGCTGGTCGTCGTCTCGCTCATCGCTTGTTTAACGGTGAAACAGAAAACCGTTTGTCGTACGAGAACATTCCGACCGTCGTCTTCTCTCATCCACCACTCGGAACCACCGGATTAACCGAGAAGGAAGCTATCGACCGGTATGGCAAGGACAACATCACCATCTACCGCTCCAAGTTCAACCCCATGTACTACGCTGTCTGCAAACACAAGGAGCCAGCTCTGTTCAAGCTGATCTGTGCTGGTCCAGAAGAGAAGGTGGTCGGTGTCCACATCCTTGGTCAAGGTGCAGATGAGATTCTCCAAGGATTTGGTGTCGCTGTCAAGATGGGAGCCACCAAGAAGCAGTTCGACGAGTGTGTAGCCCTCCACCCAACTAGTGCTGAAGAGTTGGTCACTCTTCGTGGCGGCTCAAAACCCCAGTAATCTCAAGTTTTGTAAACTAATCGATTGTCTATTAAATTCTCATGATTGTGTTAGAATTCCGTTTATAGAAACTGAATAATTATAGTTTTATCTGTTAAAGATACCTGAAAATTAGGTAGCACCATCTTTAATGTAATCTTGTAACAAAAACAGTGAAAACGAGGTCAAGACGAAGAAGAACATTTGCATAAATGGACATAACAAAAGTGCAATCGCCTCTGATTACAAATTGATGATCAATTACAGGATTCGGAATGCCCTAGACGGGGGATTATGTCGTCGTAGCACTATAGGAACTGGGGATGGAAGATACTATAACTTGGTACTATTATAGTACGACGACCTGACCTTACTTTACATGAGGATTACAAAACAAAACCTGAGCTTTCGTCTACACAAACACAAGGAAAAGACCCTAATTTCGCAGAAAAATGCCCGCTCCGAGCACGGCCAGCCAGCTAAGGGCGGGGGATGGGCTCTCCCGGCTGGTGGTGGCCTCGTCGTCGTTGTGGCGGCGACGTCGCTTCTTCCGCTTTTTGGTACCCGTCACTGCTGGATCGTCGCGGTCGAGGGTCGAGAACATGGCCGACTTGCGATTCGCCGTCTCGCAGCGTTCTAATCGCTGGCGACAGTGTTCTGGATCGGCGAAGAAGTCGAACGACTTCTCGGCCCCATGAGCCGATAGTGCACTGGTGCCACTGGCCGATGTCTCCAGATCGCAGGGATGGACACACGAACAGGATGACACTCCATCACGGTTCATCACCTCCTCGTGACCTGACTGGCTTTGAGGAATGTCCAAATCTGAAGTCGAGGTTGGTTTAGTTTAGTACTGTTTGTATTATAATATAATATGTATGCCTATACCTAGATATTTATGTCAAATGTTGCAATTATTGCATTTTGATGACCATCGTCAGTAGAATATGATTTTCAAACTGTTGGTTTTCTTAAAAAAGTCCTTACCGCGACACAGAAATGCTGGATGGCCACCGAAGTCGACGACTCTGTTCGTGGCCAAGTGGGGACATGCCAGTTGGGCGTAGTAGCACCAGTTGATGCAAGGTGGATCTTTCCACACTTGTATCAATTGAACTAGCGCCCATTTGCGGTACCACCTCTGGAAACAATCAGTTTTATATTAACGTTGCTTAATTGAGGTGGTAACTGTTAATCACTAGTTTTTGTTAACTTGTTACCTAAGCTACTTTCAAAATGTGCGCTGCCTACTAACAAAAGGGTGATAAATACCAATTTTATGTTTTGTACTTTGTTGCCATTTCAAAGCTCATTTCTTAATTGGACAATTGTGCTGAGTATGGAGTTGGGATTGCCACTTAAGTATTCATAATCAAATAGACGAATCCCTATTATTGATTTTGTATTGTTTTGCTTCGAACCTGGCTCTCAACGTGCTGTTCTGTTCTGTGCAGTGCTTTTTTATTGTTTACAGGGATGTGCAAAAAATAACGTCAGGATGACAAAAACAAAGATTTCCCCCAACACTCAATCTTAAGAGCCCACAGACGGCACAAACACACAAAACTTTACTTATTTCGTGCTCTAAACTCTACTCGTACTATTTGTAAACATTACTTTGTCTGCCATGTGCTTAGTCTAGCATTGTCTTATCTATCATCAGAAGTGTTTTATATTGTCTCAACACATTATAATGTTAGTATACTTTGTTATTGTTAACAGTTACTCACCTTGCAATCGCTACATGTTCCGTTTGGAGAGAAGGGGCGTGTAGCCGAGTCCGAATCCACCGCCAGAAGGCAGTCGAAGCGCTTCAGGATCTTAGCGAACGCTTGGTAGGCCTGATCCACCAACTGAAGGCCCTTATCGATCCGATCAAAGCACTTGAGGCACTCGTCCGAGTTGATGGCACCCAGAAGACAGCTTCGGCCTTGAACCCCGTCCTTCAGATGCTCAGAGTGCGTGACCAGATCGTTGGCAGACTTGAGGAGCTTCCACTCCAAGCGCAGGAACTGGCCCAGCTGGATGTTATCATCCTCAATATCACAGTCTTTGGAGAAAAGTGAAATGTCGCGAAGATACTTGAGTCGCGCCCACAACCCGCGTTCGCAGAGGTCGCGAGGCGTGTGTCGCGTCCAAATATGGCACATGTTCGACTTCTGAAAAGGCATGATAATATGACAATTATTCGAAATGACAGGATATGCGGGTTTCACATACAGATTTGTATCAAAAATTGAATTTAAAACTGGTTTAGTTAGGGATTGATAGAAAAGCTAACTTGAATAGCTATCGTTACACAACAAAGTAGCACTACGCATTTTTAGAACAGATCTAATGCTGTTCTATTAAAACTGTGATTAAAGTACAAATAATGTGTTATAATGAGAGCACTTGAGAGTTGAGCTATCAAAATTTGATTGTAATAGAAGCCTTTTGTGGCATGAATAGAAGAAATTGTGCCGAAAGCAACAACATATGAAACGAAAAGCTGTAAAGTAAAATCTAAAACTCGGCTTTCATCTGAAGTTGGAAAATGAAAACATTTTAAACGAAAAATTGACAAATTTAAAAGTTTCTGGGTTTTTTGGCCAAATAATGATGGTCCGACACAAAAAAATGTAAAATACGACTAGAATTCTGCTTTTCATCAACTTTTTGATTAAAACGTTTCTGAAAATGCCACAAGACTGAAACTCTGATTTGTTTTGTCAGTATGATAACTATCCTGTTAGCTAAATAGATCCAAGATTTCTCAATTTTTTATCAGAAACTTCTATGAAATGACATAGGCTAAAGAACCTACATCGTCAAACTTGTTGTTCCTCGGCGACCGTAGCAACGGGTTGTCGGGGAAGGGTGTGATACCCCCGCTTTTGCCGGGGTCGAGGTCGCTTCGGGCGCCCGTATCTGACGATGCTACGGCCATGACGGCGGAGCACGAAGCGAAGGTGAGCAGTGACACGAGGTTGAAGGTGAAGATTAGATTCCGTATTGCCCAACGCGTAGACAAACGGCCGTGGCGTTGAAGAAGCTGGAAATTTAAATAAAATTAAGTCAGAAATAAGCCTAAAATACGGAGTTTAAATGTCATCTTTGTCTAGTCAAATTGAATTTAAATACGATGCCATAAATTATTAACGCCCATAATAAACCATGACATTTAATGGCTTTAGTACGATTTGTGTGGCGGGCTCGTTTCCGCTGACAATACATAAAACTTGGGACAACTACACCGACAACAATAAAAATATGTCAGAGATTAGGGACCGAGGTCGTAAAAGAGTAAACTTGTTAAGTTATGCTGGGATCCACTAGTTATGTCGCAGTTTTTTTCAATTTAAGAGTTAAGTTACTGCATTTGGCTAATACTAAAACTAGTACTACATGAGTAATAAAAGGGTACCATCTTGAGTACCAAAAGGGTACCATGCTTAAAACTTACAAATCTGTGAAAAACTGAAATCCTAAGGCATTGAGCAAAGTTGAGAAGATTGATCAAAAACAGGTAAAGGAAAGGCAGCAGGGCGTTTCGACAGTTCAGACTCATCTTGACCCGTTCAAGACAGACAGCCAGCACGGAGACCCTCTTCGTCTCCGTGGTGTTGTGCAACATGCAGTACGTCTCTGCACATTCACGGCACAACGACCCGTCGTCAAGACCGTTGTGGGGGCAGGAGGTCGCCGACGACAGACGACGATCTGCTTCTGAAGGCACGGTCTCTGTTGTCGTTTTGGTAGTTTTGTGTAGCGAACCGTCTATTCTGTGTAGCGTTCTGGTAGTTGTCTGTAGCACATAGGGAGACGAATATCCTGTGTGTAGCATATTTGTAGTGTGAAGACCGGTCGATTCGTCCTCCGTATTCAATTGTATTCGACCGTGCCTTGATGGCTTCGGATTCCGCCTTCTGTAGCCGTGTTGTGGGTTTCCGTCGCTTGCGACGCCAGTGCATTGCCGGGATCGAACGCATCGCGTCTTCTGGCTATGGCGCCCGTGGCCAAGCGGCTTGGCCGACGAGCTAGCGCTACTTAAGTTGATGTAGAGACCAGAATGTCGACTGCAGCCTGCAATCCCGACGTCTTCAGTTTGGGTGCGCAGACAGGGACCTCCTGAGGTCAGCCAGCCTGGTGCGATGTTGTCGGAGAAGGCGCCTCTGCCGGCGCCGTGCAATCTTGCACTGTGTTATGGGTGGGGGATTAAAGGGCCACGTTCTCCTGAAAACGTAAAAATAACATTCCAAAACAATCGGGTAACAGACAGACAAACTCGGGAGCTGGTCAGCTAGGGTCAAACACGATTAAAGTAAGTCAAGTGCAATTAAAGCAAACTCAATGTAACGTACTCCACTTGAAGCGAAAAAGTAAGATAAGGCTTGGAATACTAACTGAAGACCCGAAAGCAAACTTTGCAGTCCCAGCAGTACCACACACGCAGTATCGGAAAGGTAACGGCCATATACAGCTTATGAAAACGGCAGCCGACGGCCAATTTTCTGGCCATTACGCTAATGGGGTCGGTCGTAGCTTGGGCGGAAGATAAGGAAAAAGACTTCAGGTCTGTCCTGATTACTCGCCAGATGTTGTTGCATCAAAAGACCACCACGAACACCCCCAGGAAATCCCTTTTGTTGGTTCGAACCTATCTCTTGGCTCTTTAAACGACTTAATCAACCGAGCGAAAAACAATCCTCAGGATTCGATGGGGGGGGAGGGGGGAGGGGGGCCGGCGAGAGGGTGGTGGGCTGCAGGCCGGAAAAGGACAGATCTGAGAGAGAGTGCAGCTGATAGCTGATAGGGTGGGTCGCGCGGCCTCAGCCGTTGTGGCGTGTCCGCTTTTTGTTCGGCTAGATTTAAGTTTTTTGGACCGAAATTCACAAGTGGCGCTGTTTCTGCGAAAGCCAGTCAACCAAGCACCGGCTGTGTAGGTTTTGGCCAGAGGGACACGCGCAAAAAAGGGGCCGTATTAGGAGAGGGGAGAAGAGTCCGAAGCCCCCGGCCGTACTCGCAAAAAGAAGCTCGTACTGCGGCTTCTTCAGGAGGAACTGTGTTCCCGCTTTTAGGCTGTCTTCTGAAAAGAGGAAGACGCTCAGGGCCGCCATTTCCCCCCAGGACTTGGAACGCGGATCGTCATAGTGGGGCGAAAGAGAAGGGAGGGTCGGACGGAAAGGCGCCAGATTCTTTAAGAAGCCGCCGAAACATCCCGCTCCCAGGCTGGCGGTGCGGCTAGCCCCGACGGCGAAGCGGCCGAAACACCGCGGCCCGCAGACACGCAGACGGCCGGCGCGCAACACTTTTAGTTGATTTGCAGGCTCTGTTCTTCATCTCCTTCCCCCCAACAATCTACGCCGACTTTCCAATCTCAGCGTCGGCCGCTTTGTGTTCAAAGCCGGAATTTCAAAGAAACCAAATTGGCCTAACAACGAGAATGCACTGCTTTCCCCTTCGTTTCTTGGCCACAAAACTCGAGTAAACCTGACAGAGGGACCACAGCCTCAGGCGTTTTGCATTTTGGTTAATATGGTTTGCACTCTTCGGCCGTTATTAAAACAAATACATGATTCATTAGATCAATAGGTAGAGAGAGTATCAATATCTCGAGGTTTTGAAACAAAAGTTTAAAAAGATTACAAACACTTCCAATGAACAACGTAAAACCAAGAGCAACTACAACTTCAAGTCTTACACACCTCAATTCTGAAGCCGCTTCTGGTAAAACAAAGCCTCAGGCTTCCCGGAGGGCATTTAATTGAGACACAGTCGAGACAATTAAACATTCAAACACAAATATTGATTAAGCAAACACTCCAGATCAAGCAACGGTGTTGGGTTACCTCTCTCCGACTACAGTTTCGAACTGTTTGAAGCCGTTTCAAACCGTTCGAAGCCGCGGAATGGAGCTTGTCGGGATCAAGGTTAACAGTAATCTTATGAAGCTTCCACTTACAGTATTCCGCTACTTTATACTCACTCTCACACTACTGACCTTAGCCATCAGTTTGTCATGGTAAGTGGATACTGTAATTTAAAATCACTTTTGAAGTTTGAGATCTTATGTTACAGTATTTTTGGTTGTTTGATGTTGTAGTTTTTATAATGTAGTACTAGTAATGTTTATAAAGTAAGATGTTTTTAAGTTGTTTTTCCTTATCAGCTGCTAGTGTATTATCTAATCTTGTTTCTGGTGATGTAACTCACTAAAATACAAATGTTTTACTACAATAATACAGTCTTTACAATGTAAATACATAAAGTAATGTTTAGTTTCATATGTTTCAACGTGTCGGTTGTCCAAATGACCAACCTCAGTTCGTCGCCGTATTACAATGAAAGTCAACTTGACCCTTCGTATTACAGTAGTCTCGACATACCTCTACATGACCGTCGTTTCGATTTGAGTAATTTTGAAAGGGCATGGATATATGCAGGTATTTAAGCAGGTTTTCTTAATTTACATCTAATGCTTAAGCCTAAATAGAAAAGCAAAAAAATGCATTTATTCCGCAGTTGGCGCTTTTGTAGGGCGCTAGCTGGCGAATATGTTTTTTTATTTTTAAAATTGTGAACTCAATAAAGCAACATAAAGTAACAACAAGTTCGCAAAATTTTGCTATCTTATTTCAGCTCCATTCCTGGGTGCATGTGTCTTCGCAGTACCAGTAGCGTGGATGATGTCTGTAATTGGCACAAGGTATACTCAGATTTTAGTTGGCATTCTGAGTTCTGTTGTGACCGTAATCACACCGTGGACGTTGTCTGGACTGCCTGTTTGGCTGTTTGTCATTATTCGAACATTTCAAGTAAGTTCATACGGTATATGTGTGTAATATACTTCGTTAAAATTTGTTGGTTGTACTGTAAGAGTTAGTAATGTATTAAAAATTAATATAAGTTACATTTTTCATATTTGTTTTTATTATATATAAGTTCTGACTAGGTATATCAAGCTATTCAGTGTGATATGTAGTGAACTTTGATGTATTTGCTGTCTTTGTGTTCAGTAAAGTTAATTTAGGGGGCGGCCTTGGCCAACTTGTACCCAGTGATTGGAGTTGTTGTAGCCAGATGGAGTCCGGCATCTGAAAAGGGTTTCTTCTTGTCTACCTTGACTGGTTACCTCCAAATATCATGTATCATTGCTATGCCGTTGGCTGGTGCTTTGGTGCAGTATTGTAAGTTCGGAATGTAAACTGTAGTTATTGAGGTCAATGAAAGTTATTATTTAGTATATTACAACTTTTACAAGGTTATTCCTTCTAATGTTAGACCCTATGAATCGTATATTATTGTTGTTTTAGTGAACTGGCCAATCGTATTTTATGTCCACGGCGTGGTAGCCTTCTTAATGTATGTTTTGTGGTTCATCTTCTTTACTGATCACCCCAAAGATAACATGTTCTTATCAAAGACAGAGCTTGGTATCATTCAGCATAAAAAAGGAGTACCCACCCCTGTTCAAAGAGTAAGTATCTTATGTTATTGTGACAATATCTTACGTATACTAGTTATTCTGTCTTCATAAAAGGTTGCTCTACGAATGCCTTTACTGTTAAATAAACGTGTCTTACTGTAGCACCTTTAGGTCTCAATCTGGAGAATATTATCCACCCCGAGTGTGTTGGCCGTGTTTGTCGCTGTGTTTGGCAACTTTATGACCTTCAACTTTGCGAATACTTTCTTTCCATCGTATCTGAACAGTTTGTTTGGGTTCTCGTCGTTGGATGCTGCGCTAATTGTTACCTTGGTGCTATTACTACAGTTTATTGTCAAGATAGTCACTGGACTTATCACTGATAGACTTACTGGGACTAGCGATGAGGTTAAGGTATGTTTTACATTGTCATAAACCAATATTGGGATTACTTTTTAGATAAAATGGTGCAACTCGATCGCTTTTTGTGGTACCGCTTTGTTCCTTTCGGTAGCCTCAATAGTACCACCAAAATGGAATCACCCTGTAGCTATTGTAGCTATCTCTTTACCGTATGTTCTCCTTGGAGCAAATGGGGGAGGGTTTCCGAGAAGTGCCATGCTCATAAGTGGACAAGAAGCTCCAACTGTGATGGCACTGTTCCAAGTAGGTGATTTATGGTTTTATTCAGAACGTATGATTGTTAGAATTCTTTTTTTATGACAGTATTTCTGAGCAAAGAAGCTAATTCTAGCTATTGATGTTATATCTTTGTGTAATAACTTAAGCTGACTTAACTTTACATTCTTAAGTAAGAAGATAGCAAATAATGTTCTACAAATTCTCAGCCTTATAAACCATGACATTTTAGGTAGTATTATGCACCAGCTTCTTAATCAGCTCGTTGACTGTGCCCGTCATCGTTCCTGACTCGACGTTCGACGAGTGGAAGCACGTGTTCGTCCTGTACGTGGTGCTACTGCTGAGCACGAATGCCATTTTCGTTGCATTCGGAAGTGCAGCTCCAGCTACATTCGGCCAGAAGAAGAATCTCATTGTGCCATAAGCCGGCGTCTCTGCGGCCAGATTTGTGGGATACGGCCATAAGCATGAAAACCCCTTGGGCCGACTTTTGGCCACAAGAATATCCCGCTGTTATATTGTCCTCGAAAGTTTTTGACACCGTTTTTCTTGTTATTTTAAGCCGGATTATCGGCCTAATCGCGGCTAACGAGGCGTTCAATAAACGTATTACATCTGCACACCGGCTATTTTTGTAGCCGCACCGACGTCGCCGCCAATCGTACCTCATAACAACAACAATTGGGTTCAGGATCCCCTTAATTCAACAATTACTGTCATGCCCGGAGAGAGTGTGGGGCGCGGGAAGGCGAGTGAGGCTTGTCTTAACGCCTTCTCACAGCCCTGCGGCACTGTCCCCACGGCGTCCAGTTTTGAATGGCCAAAAGTCTGCCTTTCTTGTTGGGGCGAGGGCTGCTCGTCTTTCCCTTCCTTCAAGTCTTAGTTTTTCCCTCGCCGTAGTCTTGTCATAGGGCCGCGATTTTGCGGCCGCAAATGAGGAAAACGAGCCATTTCGATCATCGCCCCAGGCGCTTTTATAAGTCAGGTTTGGATGGGGGTCGCATTTGGTATTGGACTTCCTAAGCGGTTAGTGTGGGGCATATTAGTAATGGCAAATTATTTTAACAAGACAGCAACAGTTACTTGTTCCCCAAACTGTGACTTTTCGACCATTATTTTCGAAAAACTGCCGTCCATCTACTACAATATGGCTTTTGTGCCGTTTCTGTCCTAAAATATCCCTTTCGGCCTTGTTTGCACAGGAATCGAAATTTGCGCCCGCACTCCTGCCCTTCGGCAAACTTGAATATCCGGCCACTAATGTTCTCGTTAGGAACACGTTAGGCGCGGGAACAATGAAGCGAAAATGGCTTCTTTTCAAGTCGACAACATTCCACAGGGTCGGAGTGTTTCCGCCAGGCCTAAAAAAGCGGCCTAAGAGGAGGCCGAAGAGGACCGAGTAAAGTGCGTATGGGCGATTATTGAGTCAGCCGGAAAGAGGGGAGGCTGGATGCAAGGACATGACTGCCGTGTTCAAACGAGTATAGTACCTTTTAGACTTTACAGTCAAGGCATGGGAGTACCTGCATCATGGTTGTTAAGGTTCTGAGCTTAGCACGGGTATAGGGCCTTTTTGACTTACTGGTACTACTGATATTGTGCTTTGTTAACTGCAAGAAACCGTTTTATCAATTTGATTTTATCATCGTGCTGAAGACATGAAAAGGTGATGTCGAGCAGTGTAGTTGTCTTAACAGTATACGTCATCGTAACTTTTTTGCAAAATTTTGTGCACGTTGAGTATAAATCCTTGAAGTAGTACCATTCTTTTAATACAAAATTTTTAAATTTTGCCATTCTTTCGCGAATATCCTTATCACTGTAACCTGAAACAACCACTTTCAGCATGGAAATCAAACTTGTCCAGCACTAGTCCACCATTCAACAGTCCTACTCCAAGGTCGGGATGACCGGCAACGAGCGCAACGAGCCCCAATGGGTCGCTCCTTCATCGACTCAGGTACAAGCACAAGTGCGTGATATTTCTTCCTTGTTTACATTACTGAGTTACAGCTCTCTGTCAGCCACACACATTCGTTTATCACTGTATTTTGTTTCGTATAGTACGACTTTATTGCACTGGCAATTGTTTTTCGAGTATAGTTGAGTTGTAGTCAACATGTCACAGTTGAGCGTAACCAACGTCCATTTGGGTATATTGTAGTTGGGTAAATGTCCACTTCACGGACATGTACCCGACCAATGGTAAATATTTGACTTGTAAATATTGAGATACGAACATCTTGTGACAGTCGACTTGTAAACAACATGTTATAATTGAGTTCAGCCAATCTTCGTACTTCCTATTTACTATACTGTTTAGGATGTGCCACCAGACTACGAGACAATTGGTACTCTGTTCGGGTACGCCTTACTGGCACTGTCATGGCTGTTGATCGTGGTGACCTTCCCCTTTTCGATGTGCCTATGTCTCAAGGTAATCAAGGAATACGAAAGGGTAGTAATCTTCCGAATCGGTCGACTGGTCTTCGGTGGGGCTCGAGGGCCGGGTATGATCTTCGTCATCCCCTGTGTGGATACCTACAGAAAGATCGATCTCAGGTAAGCCAGTAGATTGTGTATAGTTTATATTAAGAGCTTTAACTTAAGTATATGATAGAGCATCGTGCACATATCATGTGTTTATGATTATACCTTTAGCTGTTTAACAATATAATTTTAAAGTTCCCATTCCTTGTATATTACACATAATCTGCATATTCCAACCAAATTTGTTGTTTTAGAGTGGTGTCATACGCTGTTCCGCCTCAGGAAATTCTGTCCAAAGATTCGGTAACTGTCAGCGTAGACGCCGTCGTTTATTTCCGTACCTCAGACCCCATTGCCTCTGTAAACAATGTGGACGACGCCATCTACTCCACCAAGCTCCTCGCCCAGACCACGCTGCGTAACGCCCTGGGTATGAAGACGTTGACGGAGATGTTGACGGAGAGAGAAGCCATCGCCCAACTCTGCGAGACCATCCTCGACGAAGGCACCGAGCACTGGGGAGTCAAGGTGGAACGAGTCGAAGTCAAGGATATCAGATTGCCACAACAACTCACTCGAGCCATGGCTGCCGAAGCCGAGGCCGCGCGTGAAGCCCGTGCCAAGGTAGTCGCGGCCGAAGGAGAACAAAAAGCCTCGAGGGCATTGAAAGAAGCTGCCGATGTTATTCAAGTACGTTCACAGCCTTCCCAAATAGAAAGCGGAAATTTGCCTTCACAATAACCAGATCCGCCTTTCAAATTTATCAAAAATGAGAAATTAGAATTCAAAACGGGAAAGAACCGTACAGAACAGACAATTTTATAGAAAGATGAGAATCCTAAAGTAACACATAAATTTTCAGGCCAACCCAGTAGCGCTTCAACTCCGTCATCTCCAAGCGTTGAACAGCATTGCGTAAGTTAATTTGAATAAAATTATGACAAATGGACTCATACAGACCATTTATGTCAATAAAAAGCATAAAAAATATTGATAAATAACTATTTTTACGCACTTTATACAAGCTATTTACGAAAATATTCCTACAAAAATGCACACAAGCTAATGTCCCAAATCCTCAGAAAATATGTTAGCATAGCCCCTATCACAATACATGTTAATATTGTTTATTCCCTCGGCCATATCATGCCAAATATAAATTAAAATACTTTACAGAGCTGAACACAACTCAACGATCGTATTCCCTGTGCCTGTGGAGATGTTTGGCGCCTTCATGAAGAAAGACGACTAGTAAACCGCTGCCAATGTTCACTAATATTATGTATACTCCGGTCGCCAAATGGTCTTTGACGTGCCAAAGCTCATTGTATCCTACTTTAGACAATAACTACTTTCAATACTGTTTTCGTAGCACCATTTCTGTGATTTTAAATTAAAATAAAACGAAAAATTTATGTGATATTGATTGTTTTGTACACGCAAAGACGTTAAATTTGGGTATTTTTGAGCTAAAACCTGTATCTGGAGCTTTTTCACATCCGAAGTTAAAATTAAAAGCCTATATATTGTTTTTAAATAACAATAAATCGCACTTTCTCGTATTTATAGTAAAAATACGTTGTAATTGTACCTTTGTTCTGGATTAAAAGCTATAGTTTAGAGCCGCTTTTCTTATGCCAAGTTTTATAAAAACTTGTGGGAAAAAGCCGCGAGGACATAACAATAAACATACGTAGAGATTTTACGAGCCAAGAGTTTTCGGCTTCGGAATATTAAAGTTTTTATGAAACACATGAACCTTGTTATCTTATCTATGCGACGGAACACAACATTCACAATATGCATTCTATATTATTACCAGCTGAAATATAAAAATAACAGCCTAAACGCAACGCAAAGTTATCAATTTCACAATTTACAAGTTTTGTTGTTTCGAAAAGTTTATTAGCGCTAAAGACAAGGAACACTTGGCCAAGAAACTAGGTCCCGCACGGACTAATTGCTTTAGAAAGATTTTATTTCACTTTGGCATGTAAAACATTTTTAATATCTTGTTGCATGGTTAATTAACTCCTGTAGGTGACAGTTAATATTTTTCTTTAAGATGGTCAGCCAGACATGTTCACCATGTCTCAGGGATGGGATCCTGTCTAAGGCTTGGTTTATTTACCTAAACTTGGGCATGGTGTTCTTGTCGTTCACGCTTCTGGTTTATAATTTGCCTAGTAAGGACATTCACCATCGTTATGTATACAATGAATCGTTACTTGTGCGGCCTCAACGTTTACCAAGCGGAGATATCAAATACAACATTGTGGTAGTGACAGATTTGGATCATTTGAGTAAAAACGGCAATCACTGGCACTCGTATTTGAAGAGAGGATTCTTGGTAATGGATGAGACAGCCACTAAAGCATCAGTTCATTGGAGTCGACCTGATGTTGTCCTCAAATCAGATATGGCAGCGAAAGGCCGAGCTATGGAGTTATCAGATCTGGTGGTGTTTGATGGTCAATTGTTGAGTGTGGACGATAGGACTGGCTTGATCTACAAGATTATGGGAGATCAGATTGTGCCATGGGTATTTCTGAACGATGGACCAGGAAATACGACCAAGGCTTTCAAAGCAGAGTGGATGACAGTAAAAGACGACTACCTTTATATTGGTGGTCTGGGGAAGGAGTGGACGACAGCTTCAGGAGAGTACGTAAATGACTATCCGATGTGGGTGAAGAGAGTTTCTTTTAATGGAGAAGTGGTGCATCTGAATTGGACTCACAATTACAAGATGATCAGGAAGAGTTTGGGCATCGGCTTCCCTGCCTATCTTATCCATGAGAGCTGTCAGTGGTCGAAGGTTCATCAGAAATGGTTTTTCTTGCCTAGGTAGTGTTGTGTTCGTATGTTATTGTATTTTCTGTTTAGGAGAGTCTCAGAAGAACCGTATGACGAGAACAAAGACGAATTCAAAGGCTCTAACATTGTACTAATGGCTTCAGAGAACTTTGCTAATGTCAAGAAGCTGGAAATTGGTGATCGAGGAGACGGAACTCGAGGCTTCAGTGCATTCCAGTTTGTTCCCAACACCAACGACGATGTTATTGTGGCGCTGAAGTCAGAAGAAAGAGAAGGTCGATCTGTTGCTTCGTACATTTCCGTATTCCGCATTTCCGATCGCACACTTCTGATGACCGAAAGTCGCCTCGAGGGCGCGTATAAATTCGAGGGGCTTGAGTTTGCTTGATTCATTTATATTATTTGGAAGTTTCGGGTCTTTTATCATGCATACCACTTTGGATTCCTGTCTTATTTATTGTAATTTGTTTCTTATTACCATAATTCACACCTATAAATAGTCTAGTATAATATATTCCATTATAATTATTACGGTTGTGACTTTTCATATGAAACTTGGTTGCTAATTTAACTAATTTGGTTCACTTTAATGTTGCGGGCATGGTTTATATTGGTCATAATGTCGTGGCCGGTATATTTTACTATATTGTTTTCTACTTTTATTTACAAATAAATTTCAGATGGACCATTCTCATCATGGTCATCATCAACCCGATTCTACGACAGCAGCTCCCGTAATGGACCATGCACATCATGGTCATCATCAACACGACTCTGCGACCGCAGCTCCATTAATGGACCATTCACAACATATGCACCATGAACATACCATGAAGATGTACTTCCATTTTGGGTTTGAAGAAGTTATTTTGTTTGACTTCTGGAGAACAGATTCTTTTGTTGGTAAGTAGTTTTATTTCTACTGTTGTCTTTGACATTATTATGCAAAAGTGGTATTAATATTGATGCTTCTATTAATAAAATTAGACTAAAATAATTTAATCTCACTTTTGTGTATTTTCTTTTTAGGTATTCTATTCTCATCTCTCATCATATTTATTATGGCTGCGTTATACGAAGGCTTGAAATGGGTACGTGTATATCTCCAAACATATGCGAGCAGTAAACAGAAGTGTCATCATATCGAGTTGAAAGAGAATAACGCTACAACAGAAGACGCCTTAATCTCCAAGAATAATGACAACACGGCGACCTTGAAGTCTGACGATGTCTACAAAAGCACGGTAACTCGAGAAGCTAGACCGAAAGTGAGGTGAGTCGCATTATTGCAATTTTAGGTAACAATTATCGTTTTATATATTTAAAAAATTTTTTTTTACTTTTTGTCCCACTATTAACGTTTTCAGAGGTCTCGACCGTTTCCTGAAGCACATCGATGTCCACAATCCTTCGCCGTTCTCATCGTTTCGTCTTCTACAAACATTTCTCTACTGTCTTCAACTGACCGTCGCTTATTGGCTTATGTTGATTGCCATGACCTACAACGTCTACTTGACTGCTATGGTCGTGATTGGAGCTGGATTCGGCCACTGGCTGTTTGCTCTAATCCAGATTCAACCGTCGCTGGCGGAGAAACAAGATGCCTTTGCATCAGATGCATGCCATTGAATTCGCACCTTATTTATACATTAGCATAGGTTGTACAAACTTCCCAAAGGACTGAGCTTTTATGTTGTTATATCAAAGAAAGCAAATCAAATAAACCGAGAGATCTCATATTCATATTTATTTGTTTAGAAAAAGGAGATCATAGTTCCCGCTAATATGCGAAAGTTGTAGACTATATAAACTTTGGTACAAAATGTTTTGGTTACAAAATGACTGTTCTAACATCTGCTGCTCTAGTTACTGACCTGGGGAGGGGTGTACGTGAGAGGGTGAGCCGGCTTGGTACCCTTCAGACCTCAAGAACTCGTGGATGTCGGCCCAAGAATGCCCCATGGCTTCGTCACTGTCGTCGCCGGGATCTAAAACTCGAAATAACAATAAAGGGAAGCGACTCTTACTTGTAAACACATTCAGAAGCTCATCGTTACCATCCAGATCTCCGGCACTTTCAGAAGGAGGATCGTCCACCGACGGGAATTGTGATAACATGTCGTTAAGTTCGTGGTTATCGAAAAGGAGCTCGTTGGCCACCGACGACAACGACACATCTCCGTCCACAACTAAAATTAGATTGTAAGTAGGAATAGAAATATTTGTAAATTTTAGATATAACTAACCTGATATTTTATAGATCTAAAAAGCGAAAGAACTTACCATCTGTCACATTAAAGTCATCCATGGTCAGCGAGTTGATCAGCTGGTGATCAGTGCTGGAGTCGTGATCAGGCTCGGCCATCCTTATTGGTTCATCGTGATTGTTGTTGTGGTGCATTCCTCGGTTCTGATGACCATTCATTTTGGGTATGTCGTGTAGGCTTCCCACACCGTTCCCATTACAGATGCCGTTGCTTGTGACAGAATCCGGCGGATGTTTGGCTGCAAAGTAATGTTCTTCACACCTCCCATTGAAAAGTAAGGCATGCAACTTCAGAACCGGCTTCCCACAACAAGGGGAACAACAGAAGACGAATGCAGTCTGTTCGACGCTGTAGCCAATGTGGTCTACACATAGCAACGATCGGGGCACTGATATGTTGTCACACTTGATCTTGGTGGTCTGATCTGTGTAGCCGCATCTGCTTCTGGAGCTCTTCGTGTCATTGTACCTTTTCTTGGTCGTTACTCTGGTCTTGAATGCTGCTCCAACTTGATCTGGATACGACCGTGCCGCCGCTATCACGTTGACAGACAGCCTCGCATTCCACTGTAACTTTTCAGATTCACGTTTTAGTCGTTTCTTCAGAAGATACAACTCCAGACGACATTGACGGTAATCCTTGGGATTCAAGTTCATCGTGTTGTACTGGTCTATACTTGATTCATCAGAGCTGCTTTCACTGTCAGATGGTTCAAACCCTGAAGTTGCATTAAAATTACGTAAACTTCAAAACAAAATTTAAATTTCTATGATAAACAATATTAAAAACTGTCAAACATAAAATTCTAGTTTCGAATGTATGTTGTTTTCAAAAATGATCAAACAAAAATGAATTTGATTAGATAATTTAAGTACCCAACTCACCCAAAGGAAAGAGATCCGCGTTGTCAAAGTCCATGCCTTCTATTTGATTGCACATTGTGTCTATAAGCCCTATGGAACGGAACGATCCCTTTATCCTGATGTTCCTGCACTTGTGTGCCAATTGAATCTCCCTCTTCTGTGGTTTGGTACTCTTTTCCGCCGTCGTATCGTTAAGGTAGTCTCGTTTCAGCTTCTCTATCTCGTCCATATCTTCTCCTACATCTAATATCGCCGAATCGTAGTAAACCGGGGCTACTTTACAGTTCATGAGTTTAACCGGACACTTTCTCGATTGCACGTTTCGTACTCTTGGTACTGGTACTCCATTCTCGGGCATGAACTTGTTCAGTACAACATTATGTTCGTACGCTCTTCGTATCTCACTGTACGGCAGAGGATGACCATGAGAGTCCACCTCCATTATACGTTGATCCGATACGAATCCACGAGAAGTTTGAGGGTACTGATCAACATGGTATCCATTATCGACTGGTCGAATGACAGGTCTGTTTGGGATAAAGTTGATAGGTTCCACGGGTTTAGATTGTTCTAGCGAATCGAAAGACGAGTTCAGGACATCGTCTAAAAATTACATTAACTAAGAAGTCAACGTTTCAATTTTAAGCAAAAAAATAATTTAGGTAACAAAAATTTAGAACTAAAAAAGCAAGAACAAATTAAAAAACTTGTGATAACCTACCTTGCAGACTCGGCGAAGTTACATTAGATCCGATCGAATTCTGGCTGTCCGGAACGACAACCGGCTCCGGCTTTTTTCGTCGTTTGGCTTCTTTCTCACCACGTTTGATCAAATGCGTACTACAGTATATACTGTTCAGGTCCTTTTTGATGGCATTTGTACATTGAACTAAACAATATTTTTATACTTAAAATAACTAAATTTTACACAAGAAGTTTTGTGTATTACCTAAAACAAACTTAATGTTTAAAATAAAGAAGTTTTGTGTTTTAAATATAATTAAACTCATGAAAGTATTAAAACTCGCATCCTCTTCAAGGTTTAAATTCTGTAAAGCATCAAAACCTTACTTTTGTTTCTAATTATGAATTCGCATCTTTTGTATGGAGCTTCGAGATCATTCAAAATATGCCTGATACAGTACCGATATGACAATATAGCCCGTTGTTTACACTAAAAATATAAATAACTAAGTAATAATGCCTACCTGAGGTTTTCCTTCTTCTTCGAATTCGCACACAATCGACCGCTTCTGGGACTTCTTCTTTGATGTTGGCGGAGGTTGCATAACTTCTAAAAATTAAATATTAAAACTACAAATTACAATTACCTGGCTTCTCTTCCACCACTGGAAGCTCCAATTCTGGCGAGACATTCGGTCGCGACAGGCAATTGGATTCATCGGAAACCGGCGAATTCGAAAATGAATTACTCGGCTTCGAATCCGTTGGCATAACTAAAACAATATGATTATTAAAACACGCATTAATTTTTAAAAAATCTTCTTTCTTCCCAGAATATACACTAATTAGTCTTGCCAATAAATTTATTAGAAAAAAGTGGCACAAAACAAAGTTCTCACCCAAATTATCCATGTAGATTGGGGTTTCAGCCAGCATCGAAATTCTTTTCACTTTCAGACCATGTAGAAGTTTTAAAAGAACATTAATTTAAGCTCTAAACAATAGAATAGCAACTATCACACTGTATCTTACACTTTATTCAAAAAATACCAAAAACCGACTTGGAAAACAGAGAAAAACAAAAGCGCGTTAACACAATAACACTTGACCCGTTTACAGAGGAAGTCTTGGCTCGTGCCGCAAATGTTTTTCATTTATGCATCGACGAGCAATTGCAGTATATGGGAAAGTGCTTCTTAATTTGAATACATCAAAAATAATGGAATTTAATCCACGAAGTTTAGGACATCTTTCGATTGACTGTATGTTTAGTGTTGAAGTGTTTTTTAGTATAACATATGTTTATTCATAAAAGATTGTTATCTAAAATTTATATTCTTTTGAACGGTTCTTTGTTTGTTTAAAGTAGTTTGTATTTATTGTTTGATTTTAGTGATAATTTTAAAAATTGGACTTGAACCAAGCTCTGAGTTATGATTAATATTCCAGAAATGATTTCGTGCTGTAAATCCATCAGAAGGATTAGATTTACGTTGTTATAGTAACGTCACAACATTCAAGCAGCAATTAGTCGTTTTACAATACATCTTTAGCAATGGCGTTTACAAATGAACTTAGACAACTTAATTGTGACGAGGAGAAGGCCTTTCTGATGGTTATTGAAGGTAAGTAGAAGATAAGGATTAGTGTTTTTAAAAATTGTGCGGTAAGCTAAAAAGGCATACTTTGGTGTCGATATACATTAAAAATACAAAATTAAGTACAAAGATTAATGATAATAGTTTGTGGACTTCTCTTTTCATGAGCTTTTTGTAGAACGTTACGATGAAATTATACGGCTGATTGATGATGGCAGAGTAAGAGTTAACTGTTTGGATAAGAGTGGAATGAACTTGTTAGATCAGGGTTCACACAAAGGAGATGTCAATTTTGTTCAGAAGCTCATCGATCGTGGAGCGAACGTTGACAACCGTGCACAGAACGATGGATTCACTTGTTTGATGTTTGCCGCTTTACGGGGTAGGCTAATTCTTAATTTAATTACATTAATATTTAAAAACAGGTATACTTAAACTTATATTAACTTTAGGAAACCCAGATTTGTGTGATCTGTTACTAACACATGGTGCACGTGCTCATGCTGTGACCAAAATGAACAAGACTGCCACCGAAATGGCAGCTCTAGTGAATAATCACGAATGTGTATCTATAATAAACAGTTACATAAGTCGAGACGACGTCAACTCTATTCTACATCCTCAAGGAAAAGAGAGCAGAGAAGTCTTTCCAGATGAATTGGTCGATTTCATCCATTTATTGACCAGACGTCATCTTATTCATCCTATCTTGATCTCTATTGAGTTGTACAACAGACCTGACTGCATACAGTACCTGAAGAAGATTATATACGTGGTTGACATGTTATTCGAGAGACAGTTACGTTCAAAAGAGCCTAATGAGGTAAGGAATAACACTGACAATTTTGTATCTAATATGTAACGGTCATGCGTTTAGCTAGTTTTAATATACAAATACGTTTTTGAATATTAAAAGTGAAACAATATTACTCTAGCTTCTATCAAAAGCTATTTTATAGGTACTGTCTATGAAGCTGTGGTTTGTCTTGGGAGGACTTCGGAAACTAGATGAATTTATAAAGTCGAGGTCATTGGAATCAGATCTCCAAAAGGTATTGAAAGGCTACATTAGAGCCTTGTCAGCGTGGAAGACTGTAGATGGTGTGATAAGAAGATGTTTTGTGGAACGGGTATTGTTCTCCACATCTCTGGGTTTTCCTTACAAGCATTCCTTAATCTTCAAGGCCATGGGAAGGTCTTTGAAAGAAGTTTCTCCTGGTAGATTCCCAAACGTATTCACCGTGATTTGCAGCGTGCTATTTGGTCAACGGTTCGTTGTCACTTCTGGGTTTTGCAGTTTGTGTGGGAAGCCGAAATCTGATTTTGGGTGTTCCAAGTGTAAGGTTAGTTGTGTAGTATTGATTCAGTAAAATTTGTAACAATATAATATATAAAAACAATACAAAGACAATATTATAGGTAATTTATTGTTCTTCAAACTGCCAAAAACTAGATTGGAAAACGCATAAAACAGTCTGCGACCAACTCCAATCTAACCTTGAGTTGAATGCCTACAAACGACCCACAGAACACGGTGTTCAATATATATCTGGAGATGACGTAAAGTCGTCGCAGTAAAGTAATCATAGGCCGAGAGAAAGGTAACTGGCTTCTTGATTCATATCGAGACCGTCGTCGCTCGAATCTTCCGGATTCAGATGCCGGTTTCGTTTTCCTTGAATGGCATCGTGCACGACTTGTTCTTGCTGATTGTCTCTGAAACATTAAATTGCTGTGCACATCTACGGTACTACGATTATCATATGTGGCTTAAATAGTAAATTAAATACAATGATGACTTACTCGGAAGAAGAGTTATTCAAGGTGAATATCGGTCGTTTCAAGTTGGGAGCGTCTAGTCCTTCTGCCAGTCTCAATCCCTTATGTTTTGGTAATGGCTGAAATTAAATTTTGAAAATGATATCATGAAAATGCAAAGAACTTACCACTTCCGTGACCGGATCTACAATGCCTAGTCCGTTAGAGCCACTAATAGAATTGGCTGCTATACAAGTTGTCACAACGATTGTAACCAACAGGTAGACTAGTCCAGAGATTAAGACGATGAACCATCGGTCCATGGAGTTTTGTAGAACATTGATACATCCATCTGAGTGTATCAGCTCTTGGTATGTCAGGTCTTTATTCTTGGTTTTGGCATACTCGAGAGCTCGCGTAAGAGAATGGTAGTTGTTACATAAGGAGCCTTGTGTCTTTGAAGGGTTGTAGTTGGTACAACAGCTTTTGGGTACTAGGCATTGAGAATCCTTGGTCTTGCAGTTGCTTTCGTACTCCTTGTTATTTGTTATTTCAAACTTTTTGATATCAAACTGAAACGTTTTACTTCAAAGGAAACGGTAAAGGTTGTCTTAAACTAAGTTTGACCCATTATAGTTTAAATTGTACTGTATAGTATGGTCTTACTTACAGAGTCGGTCCAGTTCATGAGAACAGGCTTCTGCCAATCCAGGGCGTTCTTCTGGAATCCACAACATTCCAATTCGTACTGTATTATGTCGTATGCGTTTACCTCGTTAGCATCGATACCATGTAAAGCGATATGTCCGATTAAGGTATTTGAAATAGAGCTGCGGAACTGTAGGACAACAACTGAAAGGATGCCTTATGGAGATACAACATTATAAAGTACACATAGACTTTTGTCAACGGTAATTAAAACTTACTGGTCATGTACTATTTGGTATGGTCAAAAATTGTACCAAACTAACGGGAGAAGGTCGATATATTATAAATTGACACAATTTTAAGACATGTCGAACTTACGGATAACGGTAAAGAAGAGCATGGACATCGAGTTTAATAGTCTGGACGTTCCAAATAAAATTGAAAAGTTTCGAGTATTACCTCCAGCCGTAACGTAGAGCAACATAAAGTGTACCAGTATCGTTATTACCATCAGGAATATTATGAATTTGGCCGAGAATTTGAGTACCATCATGAGTACGGTAGGTTCCAGAACAAAACCTTTCTTGAATAACAAGTCCATTACATCCTTAATAGGTTGAAGATGGAAGTACCATGTCATACAGGTCTGGTATAGTACTGTAAGCATACTGAAAATGAAAAAAATATTTTAAATATAATATCACGGAAGATCTTGCTATGACAATGTCAGTGATTATTCTAATAAAGAACATATTTGGATTAAACATAAACAAGAGGTTGATAACTTACGCGATAGTATGAGTGAAGTACAAGATGGCCAATACCAACAGGGAGTAGAAGGTCGACTCCGCTCTGGCAGGAGCTAGTTTCTCCAGGTAACGGATATCATGGAGTATTTGGCGTTTGACGGTGTTCAAAATGAACTTGGATAGTTTGCCTTCTACATCTGTCAACTTGGTCTTGAGCTGTTTGGCTTCCGCCTCTGAAACGACTTCTTTTGGTTTATCGACCATTCCGTACCAAAGTAACAATAATTTTGAAAAAATGATTTTAAAATGAAATTGAATATTTTTTGCATTTTTATGATTAAAACTGTCATCCTTCTGTAGTCTAATTACCTATTTTTGTGATTGTAAAGCAGTTAAATTGTTTTCAACGCAATTGTATGTTCCTTAACTAAATAGAGAGTTACCATGTTTGTACAAGGCACAAGCAAATTGGCAGTCAGTGTCTTAATCCGGTCACTGGTGGTGGTCTCATTCCCTTAAAAGCTTCTAAATATTCGAACAAGGCACCAGAATAAGAGACCTCGTCGTATCTTTGATCTAATTCGTCGTATCCTTTACATCTTCTACAGTAACATAGTAAGATGAGTTCGGCGCCTAATTTGAAGCCTGGCCGCTTCAGAGCCGCGCACGCTAGTTTTCGGCTTCGGATGCTACAAGAACAACACGCTCCCATCGCGGAACCGGTAGGTTCGAAACGTCATTTCAGTTCCATACCTTTATATTTTAATCACAACTTACAGTCAGCTTTGCACTGTAGTGCACATTTCGTATGTAAAGTGGCAACTTGCACAATGTTGTATAGTTAATGTAATCCTTGTAACGTCACGGTATGTTGTGTGCATGTAATGGGCAAGGTTTTCCTCTTTTTGTGGCCATATAATCCTCAGTCGCTAATCCCGAAATCTGTGGTCGAGATTGGCTTTGGCCCTATTACAATTTGGGAAAGCGCTCCTCGGCACATTGACCATCGTTCTTGTCGTATATTGGCTCTCGGTATGAAGGACAAGGACAAGAAGTTGCGCAAGTTCCAGTTCCACCATGCCCCCAAGTCCGACCCGACCTCACCCGCCGCCGGCACCTCCAAGGAACCGCCACCAGCCCTGGACTTGAGCAAGGTGCTCAGTACGAGTAGGTACGTAATTTGTTTTTGTGGCAATTATGGGGAAGACCTGCGAGATCCACGATCTGGGTGAAGACTTAACCCAATATAAATATATGTTTTTTCACATAATTGCCAAGACAGGCAGGATTAGATACTTGTAAACGGAAGTCTTTGTGCCAAACCGTATTGTACATGTTGTATTTAAGCAAGAAGAAGAAAGGGACCCCTCCGCACACTCCTACTAAGCTCGGCTTCGACTCCGACTCCATCTTCAAGCCGCGCGTCAACCGAACTGCAAGTACCGGCAGCTACAAGCAGAAAAAGTACAGTACGCCGCTTATGGAGGACACCAACCTCCATAGTCCAGTCAATGCGGGCGCTGGCACTCCGGTGGCACCATGCGCTAGTCCAACGTCTGGTACTCCGGCTGGTCCACTTACTCCGAAAGCATCAAGGGGATCGTTGCGCGAAGCCGGCACTTCATCGTCAGCAGCTCCATTCGAGAAGCCCAAGAGCAAGTTCAAGATGGCTCACGAGAGTTTCAGGATACGAATGTTCCAAGAACAATATGGCTTCGAACCTGTAATTTGATGTTGCTTTTGCTTGTTTACTGAGTATTATTTAAACTTTCGTGGTGATCTTCTGGTTTACTATAATATTCTACTTTTTATATGTTGGTTTTGGTAATTTCAATGTTTTAGTTTGTGTTCTACGTGCCATATGATAGTATTTTTTGAATCATTCACTGAAGTATGTCCTTTCTCACAATTTTCAGTAAACGATTAGTATACTTGTGATTGTAAACTATTGTTCTATTAATATACCTGTTGTTGTTGTCCTGCTGATATATTTTCTTTTTGAGTGACAAGTCTCTTGACGTTGTTGTACTTTGGTTAATCAAAAATGATTGTAGGTGTTCATGACAAAAAAAGAGGACAGCGGACAGTAAATTCAGCGAATTTAAGGGAGGAGATCTGAACAAGTACACAGCCCGATCGTACACGATAAAGAATGGCATCGAGGTGTTTGGAGGTAGGTTTAAAACTTTGCTTAGACCTATTAGCTGCTGTTAATGGTTGTTTATGTATATATTAGGCATTAAAAAGTGAGGACGAATAGCTAGTTGCTACAATATAAGTCTGCGAGCTGATGATTATCGATAAAAGTTTACTAGGTTTACATATATTATGACCTTGCACTTTTATGACATAAACGTCCAACTTTGTCCTCTTACGACTTCAAGTGTCTGAATTCTTCCGTAGCCCTAATATCCGAAACCGACGGTTTAAGCCCGTTCCTCAAATCGCATTTGCAAAACCGGATGCTTAAAACGTTTGCCTGAGGGGACAAACTACAGAGATTCGATTTGGAGGGCCTGAGGACATTAAGTTTGGGACTTGATTTTTGCGGCACACATGCTTCCCTGACCGCAATCTGACACCACCCGACCAGAGCGGGATCATCCTATGTCAGACTAGCCGCGCAACCCGCCCATGCCGATTCAGGAGCCGGCTATCAGGGTCGAGAAGTTCCGCCACTACCCCACCAAGTACTACAATGTGTACCAGGAGTACAACGAAGGTAATACTTAATGTTTAACCCGGTTTGATCCATTTCATGACTAATGTCATAATGTTTCAAAATGAATTGAATAGTTATGCCAATGCATTATGACATTGCAATGTTTGTCCACGTAGTAGAAACATTTCTTGATTGCCACGATTTATTGTTTCCGTTATTGTTTTTGGCAAACATAGGCTTGTTTTCAAGGTCAGAGGATTCCGTCATGCCAAATTAGGCCTTTGGAATCGGCCGAATTAGGTATTCAGCTGCAGAGTTGTGTTGTTTTCTCGGTGGAAACTGGCTATTGTAAACAATCTTTTCTCCAATTCACCAAACCTTTTCTCCAGTACATAAACCCTTTAGGGTATTTCCAAAATACAGTTTTAATTGGCTTTGTTATAAGTACGGAAGTCATCGTATGTCAACGTACTTGGCCCCGCCAAAGTACAGACAGACTAACAAGGATGGTTGTAATTGAGGCGGAATGTAACATATTAAGCATCTCCAGGCGACTCATCCTGTTTTCGTGTTCAATTCTATTTTTCCGGTTCTTTGCCACTTTTGTTAAATGGAGGTTGTTATCCACAGTTATTTATTATGTATGGGTATGATTTACGGGACTCGTGTATCATTCGTGTTATATGACTAACGAGCTGCTAATAAAGCCCTGTTTCGAGCCGTCTTTTGAGTGGTTGGGGAAACAAAACGACAGCCGGCTGGGATCACTAATCAGTTGGCCATTCATTTGAAGTTTCGTCTCAAAAAGGGAACTTTGTCTACCTGAGGTCGTATTGTACTTGTACGACGATCTTCTACTGAAAGCTACAAAAAATAGAAATTCTACGTATCAAACTTCTAATTCTTCTTGCTGCGCAGCTTTTGATATTACGGTAGCTGAATCTACAAATACTGATTCTACTTCTAATATTCAACTTACTCTCGTACTACAAAAAGCTTGAAGAATTAAAAGTTCCGCCAGAGCAGGCCGTCTTCTTTTAATTTAAATTAAGGCTGGCTAAACAACTTCTCGCCTCTTCATTGCGTATAATTACCAGAGGCCCGAAGCGAGATAACCGATTAAGAAGCAACATGTGAAGGCCTGTCATCACCTCATGGAGCCGCGCATACCCGACCGGATACTCGTCTCGACGCCCGATGGCCTGATTACGACCGAGCCCAACTCCGACGAAGAAAGTCAGCCAGGTGCGCAGTCGACCGAACAAGTAGCATGTTGGATGGAAGAACAGGCGGCCCTTGTTTCTGCGGCCACCTCAACGTCGAGTATCCGTCCCCCCTATTCAAGTATTCAGCAATCTGCTCCGACCTTCGACGAGAAACGAGAGTCTTTCCATCTTCTGGATTCGAACATGGGGCTGGCTGTGACGAACCGTCGCAAATCCACCTTCGTCAGCCTCGACAGCCACACCCCGATGATGTCGCGGAAACGGTCGATGCGGTCCTGTATGAGTGAGCTGGAAGCATTGGCCGCCCAACGACGACGTCAGGTCCCCACCATCCCCAAACACACACGGTCGGCACGGATCGACTTGATGGCAGGTGAGATTGCAGTACGGCCGGATGCTTTTGATACTTTGGGGGAAATATAGGTTTTCATCAAAATGGAGAATTTCTTATAGAACTAGTAGTTCACTGACTTTTCTAAACGTTAGTAGATTAGCTTTCGGCTCGCAACTTGATAATAATTATTTTTAGCTCAAAAATGTTTATCAGCCAAAATGAATCTCATTTCGGGACAGAAGCTATTGTGTTTGTTGCTTTTTTAAGGCTCAAACTCTCAAGAAACTATAAAAGATTTGGTAACAGTTACGAATGCAAAAACCGCCATTTGTCTATCTTTTTTTAATTTTTTGTAGCACTTTCCTAATCGACCACAGACCTCGAGCCTACACCCCCTCGCTCGTCTCAGTTGACCTTCGTGTCCATAAACTTAAGAAAGATGACTTTCCTTAAAAACGCATGCATATCCAATCGTCTGGCACTTTATTCATAGAGTCCTTCACATCAGTCCATCCGTAGGCTAGATGAGCGCTAGGAATTCGGTTGTTTCGTTGATCTCACATGGGGTGGAAGACCTGCCTCAGGTCGAGACAAAGCTTGTCGAAGACGAAGGAATCATGACCTTACCGTCCTCCAGCTCCAAAGACGATGATGGGTTATCGGATTCGAGTGATGAGGTAGAGCAGATGGCTCTGAAGACTCTCGAGCATTTTCCCGAGACCGTGAGTTAGGTGTTCGTCTAATAACGTTTTCATGAGTTTAGCAACCCGGCAACTCCAAAGTCTGTCCCCCAGGCAACTTGCAGCCCGACTTTCTGGTAGCGAACTCGGAAAAGGGCGAAACGAAAGAGAGCCAAAAGGAAAACGGTATTAGTTTGAGGGAAAAGGAATGGGGAGAAAAAGAAGAGAGCGGACGGCTGTGCAGCTTTGTCCGAGTGGTTAAGGAGTCAGACTCGAAATCTGATGGGCTTTGCCCGCGCAGGTTCGAATCCTGCAGGCTGCGAACACCTTTTTGGCGTTTTTTAATTTTATTTTTTTCAGCTAACATACAGAACGAGTTCGGAATATGTGGATGGATATTGACCGGTCTTTCTTTTATACTTATTTTCTTCACATTACCTATTTCCCTGTGTATGTGCATAAAAGTAGTACAAGAATACGAAAGAGCTGTTATATTTCGACTCGGTCGCTTAATGCCCGGAGGCGCAAAAGGACCAGGTTTGTTATTTTGTCATAAAAGCTTGATTATAAAAATATTATTAAAAAAATATTAAATTTTACTTTGCAGGTATCTTTTTTATTGTCCCATGTATCGACACATATCGCAAAGTTGACTTAAGAGTTTTGTCATTTGAAGTGCCACCTCAAGAAGTGAGTTTAAACTTTCTAAGAAAATTTGTTACATATAATAGTTACCTATAAACTGTGACATAAAATAATCTTGTTGCAGATTTTATCAAAAGACTCGGTGACCGTAGCAGTAGACGCCGTCGTATACTTTCGTATCTCTAATGCTACAATATCAGTAACCAACGTGGAGGATGCCAGTCGCTCTACGAAACTGCTAGCCCAGACCACCTTGAGGAACATTTTAGGAACCAAGACCCTAGCCGAGATGTTATCAGATCGCGAAGCCATATCACTACAGATCCAGGCCACTCTAGATGACGCTACAGAACCGTGGGGAGTCAAGGTAGAGAGAGTTGAAGTCAAGGACATCAGGCTGCCAGTCCAGCTACAACGGGCTATGGCGGCAGAAGCCGAGGCCGCTCGAGAAGCGCGTGCCAAGGTTATTGTAGCCGAAGGAGAACAGAAGGCTTCGAAGGCGTTGAAAGAAGCTGCAGAAGTGATCGCTGAATCACCGTCAGCGCTGCAGCTTCGGTACCTTCAGACGCTAAACTCAATAAGGTAGGCTGGGGATTATCTCGATAAGGTAGGTCAGGTTGAGTAGATACGTTAAGAAAACTAACAGATTGTACGTATATTGCTTTTTGTGCTATGTTTGTTTGAAGTTACACATCTGTTTCAGTGCGGAGAAAAACTCGACCATTATCTTCCCCCTCCCGATCGATTTGCTCAGCTCCTTCCTCCATCGACCGGTCCCAAAGGCGTAGGTTCTCTGGTTGATTTGCTTTATCGTATTGTAGTTGCCATTTGAGAATGTAGTTGATGATGTTGTGTAGACTTTTTTACACGATCTACCAGTTATAATGCTTACCTGCTTCGTTCTAGTGATGGTAAAGCGGCTTGATTGTGCTGGACGGTCCCTTGCCTGCGGCGTTGTTCAAACCAATTAATGTATTCGAATAAATGTTTTAAAATTTGCATTATTGTTTTGTTTTGAAGGCCCGAGACGCCGCCAAGTGCCCGCCGCATTCGGTCGTGCTGTGTGTATAAGTATCCGGAATGGGTCCAGAACATGGCCAGCAGCTCGTCAGTGCGCGAACAAAAGAGGTCAGACTGAGGGTGGGTCAGGTTTAAAGTGTCAACCATTTGTTTGCGTTTTTTAAAGTACGACCAACTCGTAACAACTACGACCGGAGGAGTGTTTTATCTGATGGGCAGTTCCCCATAGTATTATATTGTCATGCAGCGTCTCGATAGCACTATCGGAAACTCTTTTTATCATAGTAGAATAGAGAACTGCTGTTTTAATATGAGTTTTTTGTAAAATAGGTTCAATTTAACTTATATTTAACTTATAGTAAACCTACATAGATAAATGCTACCTTTTGCAAGTTTCAGAACAGTAAAACTTCAAATTTGAAAAACAAAGAGTTGGATTGTCAATAGAAAATTAATCTTTTTAGCGAAATAAAGTGTGCCATTAATCAGAATGCCCTTGAAACTTTAAGGATATAAACTACTTTTTATGTTCTGAAAAAATTATTTTTTGTAAAAAATCAAAAAAATTTTTTAAATGATACCTAGGTATACCTAGATTATTCAAAAGTAATTTAGAAACCTTACTTTCAAACTTTTTTAAAAAAAATGAAAACTTAGTTATTAGACAGAAGAATAACTATCGCCTCTACCACAATATAGCACCAAATTAGTACTAGTCTGCTGATAACGGTCGTGTATGATATCCGCTGTCCTGTGTCTGAAGGTAATTTGAGTAGATTTATCTTTTATCCGTCCCAAGACGAACAAAAGTCTAAATGTATAAGCATTCCAAAAGTACTCGGCCCTGCGGGCATTCCGTTTTTAACAGTTGTTTTGTTGCGAGAGATGAATGAAGTGATAACGGCCTGATAAGCCTCCCATTAAATGTTTTTATTCTAATATCCGTGACATATTTTCATTCGAACTATGACGGATTTTGTCATCGCGAGCCGGGCCGAGTGACAGCTTCCTCTCGGCCTGATCAGAGGTTTTTATATCCCCTGAGGCGCTTATCACTTCAGGCATCTGATGCCGCAGCCGTGCCCCAAAATGGCCTGTATTCGCAAGAATTCGGTCCAGATCCCCATTTCCAAAGACGAACTCGACTGGTCGGTATTTTGAACTTTGTATTTTGTAGTTGTGGGTTCTGTAAGTTGTTATAGATGGTGTTGTTTCAGCATGAAGGATTCGTCGTACCAACAATCAACTTCTGGAGCCGACGAATCCCATCCGAGTAAGTGAGTTGTTAACGAGCGATGACATTACTTTCCAACCTCAAGGTATATGATAGGGTTAGTCAGATACTTCAAAACCTTTAATAATCTGTTTTCATAGAACAGTTGTCACTACAAGATTTACGACATTTGCAAGCTATTTTTGAAGAACTTTGAGTTCAATACTGGTACTAGTTGTTAGAAGGGTTTTAATGATTAATATATGCCTAAAACATCTGATTTGAATAGTCATAAATTTTAAACTATTGAGCTGTACCAGAAAACCATTCTTTACTAACAAGTCTTAATAACAATAATAATTTTACGTTAGCTTAATATAACTTTAGGTTCAGCCAACTGCCGTATACCTCGAAATGACCCTAAGTCAACATTGCTTAAAACCGCGTTAGCCAACAGAATCCAGCCACGGATTCCCGACTCCGCCAATTGCTTATCAGACAGAAACAAAGTCAGGGACAAAGTAAGTCTATTAGAACACTCCAAACAATACTATACACAAAAAAAAGAATCGTATGTTGCGATTAGAACCTAAAACAATATGATAATGCAATTTTAGGGCAACCTTTAGCCTAGATTTTATGCTCTCCTGTAAAGTACACCACCTTTTCTATAAAAACTTACAGTAATCTTTTCTAGAATCGCTTCATTCCTCAACGAGAAGACCGCCTCCCTCCGCCTTCCAGTTCATCATATCAAACGCCACGGGTACCTAGAACAACGTCAGAGAATGCGATTCCAATGTCTTCCATACTGGAACGTCGAGAATCTTCTCAAAGCGATAGCAGTCGCGGATCAAACGTTCCAAAAAGTGTTACGTTCAATGATAAGGTATGGCTGAAGTTACTTTTTCGTTATATTATTGTAGGTTCTAGCTGGCTTTTTCTTTGAAAACTCTGATATCATACACTAAAGGGCCACCAATACTCTTGAAAACTCAGTTGTGCACCATTTCTTAATACCTAAAAACAATAACTTCAGGTTGAGATCAACGAGATCGAGCGCAAAGATCACTACAACGGCTTCGACTCCTCCAACCCAAACTTCCAGCTGATCAAGGATACCTTGTTCAAGAACGGGTGGAAGATCCAGATGGAGAACAACAACGAGATCCTCAATCCCATGCAGAATCTTCTCCAGCCTATTCGAGAAGATCTCCGAAGCTCTCCGTCGCTGAACCTGGACCTTGTTTACGACGAGACCAGAGAGCGACCAGACTGGATGAGCGACGAGGAATGGATAATGTTACAGTCGATGTACGTCCCCAGCCGTGAGACTTCGAAGGACCCTTCTCCTCCTGTTGCATTCCGAAACCCAGATTCCGACGATTATCCTCAGAACTCGGTCGACGACGCAGAAGTGGCTCCTAGTCCACCTCCCTTACCTGACCCATCTGCCTTCATCTCCGTGGCTTCTGATTCTTCCAATGTTTTGTATCCTTCTCAGCAAATTCCAAGCTTAAGTTCAAATCCTAGGAATACAAACCTACCTTCACCTTCCAATCCTCGAAGCAATGCCACAACATTGAGTAGACAGAGTTCTCTTGACAAACGTGAAGTTCAGGCGAAACCTCCAGCCAATCAAACGTTGAATCTGGATGTAAACGAAGGATCCTCGACTAAATTTAAACCTGAAAGTGGAACGTAAGTTGATTTGAAGCAGTTCTTACCTAATATTTGTTTAAAACTTCCATCGTTGACCAAAAATGTCTTTCCTTCCGAAATTTGTACAAAAAATTGTTTTCGATACATTTTGTGACATTTCGTTGAAAACTCAAAGAAACGAAGTGTCACAAATAACTGTATTTTTCAATAAAAATAAAAATATTTTCATATTTTAGGCCGATTTCTCCATCAAAACAAGTTCTGAACAATGGTTCTTCTCAAAACCAGACCGAAAGCACGACCTCCAGGCCCGTACCTCCAACCAGAAGGTCATTGTCACCTTTAAAACCTCAACCAGCGTATCCGAATTCGTCCTTTATCAAGCCGCCTTCTCCGTCAAAGATCTTGCCTTCAGCACCTCAACTATCGCCTGCAGCGTCCCAGATATCGCCTTTGTCGTCCAAGATTTCATCTCCAACACGAGATTTGTGTAACACAATATCCTCTTCAGAACGGCCTGTCTTGTATTCATCTCCTGAAAGGCCCGCATTTCTACCATCAGATAGGCCTACGACACCTTCGGCTACAGATCGACCGTCTCCTTCAAAAACGTTTGCTTCTCGAGCCTTTTCTCCAGCCAACAAGTCCTACAACACCTCACGATCTTCTCCATCATCGCCTGTGAAGGAGACGAATCACGGTCCCTTCAGCCGGCTGCTGCCCGGATCTCTGGACAGACTTGACGATGAGCTTCTGAATACCCAAAGAATGTTTCTCAACGACTACAGTAACCCCAGTTTGAATTCTTCTAATACCAATGGTCATTCGTATCTGAGGGATTCGAACGATTACCATCTACAAGGGCCTTCATCGTCGTTCGAGTACAATAATGGGCAGTCACGGTATCTATCAGTCGGTTCCTCGAATCCGTCAATCGATCATTCATATCAGTCGATCAATAGGAATACCTATGCCTCCAACACTTATGCTTCGATCAACCCCTCAGGCAGTGTTTTTGCTCAAAACGTGCCGTCCCTGCCGTCTTCACCGACTCCACTAAGACGTCAGAATTCAGCGTTTTCTAAAGGAGCTTCTCAGAACACATTAACGTCAAGAGGACAATCCTCTCAAGGGTTATCGTTGTCCAAGGTACCTTCTTCTTCAGCTCAAAACTTGGCTAAAGCAAACTTGTCGAAGCCTGCTTTAGCTGAGGATTCACTTGCATCTCTTAAGAATATTCTAAATTTACCGACCGGTCAACCAACTCTAACTTCTCCGAACACTTCTCAACTTCGACGACCATCTAATTTGCCTTCTGGGCCCAAATCCAACGTTTCTCTTGGACAAAACGTGCCTTTAGGGTCAAGTGTACCACCTAATGCGTCTTTATCTTCAGGATTAAAGTCGAATTTACCCCCAGGGCCTGGATCTCCACGGAAGTTGGTAAAAGGCGATGTTAAGCGTCTGAAGTCGCCGATGGATCTGGCTACATCTTTCTACGATAACGTAGACGCCGAACAACAAATCTACCTACAACAACAGTTTGTGAACAAGTTCGGTCGAAGGAAAGCTCCGATTGCATCTCCTGAAGAAGCCAACCGACTGGCACGAAAGAATTCCATGGATTCGAACTTGTCGACCGACTCGAGGGAATCCGTGGTCTCGGCTACGTCGATGAAGACGGAAGCCAGGATTCGGAGGTTTTTTAATTATTAAGTCACATGTTGACTATGTATGTGGTCTGACATCAGTGATAATATATGTTATATAAAGGTTGTTTTTGTAATAAATTGAATGTTATTTATGTTGATGTAGCTAAAGGTTAATTTCTCTTGATAACAAGCAGAATGTCGCGGACAATAGCAGCCTCCAAGGGGAAAGGTTGCTGCAAAGTTTTGATTAATTCAACTGTTCTAATCACACGTGCTGTGGAAGTAAATACTCCGTTATCAGCTCTTATCAGTAGCCTTATAAATCAGCTTATTTCATCACTATCTTCTGTACATACGATGCGCTGGCTTCTGATTCTATTTTTGTTTGTTGTGGCATGTCACGGTAAAGATCTTCGCACGATAGAAGGAGATGACTTCCGTACGGTAAACGTAGAAGCTCATAGTAATGTCAACGATGGAGACATTGTGACAGGTGACCATGGTTATATTAATGAGGACGATTTGTTGTGTAGTAGTTGCAAGTATTTTGTTCATGAGCTGGAGAAGATGTTTGATAAGGACCTGATGAAAGAATGTATAGTACCGTTGGTATCGTATCTTTGTGAGACGTTCAAGATCCAGAGTCATACGGTATGCAAAGGGATCGTATCCCAGTTCAAAGACGAGTTCCTGTATGTTGTGAAGCAACTGACCACAAAGCCTGCGCATCTTTGTGGGTTACTGTTACCGGATTGTGATAAGGAAGATAATCCACTCTACAGTAACTGGACGATACCTATTCCTGGGGGGAAACCTCCGAAGAGAAGGGAACATCCACCAGAGGTCAGTAGTACAATATAGAGTGGCACAAGCTGAGTAATGCAATGGATTTAGGGCTTTATTATCACAACTTGTCAATGTAAATTATAAAAACGTATATTGTTGTATACGTTTTTATAGTTACCGTGGTTATTACTTTCAGAACAGTAATGGTCCTACGTTGAAAGTGTTACACATAACTGACATTCACGTCGACCTTGACTACGCCGTCGGAACAGAATCGGACTGTGGAGAACCTCAATGTTGTAGATGGCCCAAACAACGTGTCGATGTATGTTTGACTACTGTAACATCTTATCCACGTGTACTAAAGTTACCTTAAATCTTTTAACTATTAGATACAAAGAAGTTACCCTTTAAATTTAAAATATTCATTCTTCAGAAGATTAAGAAGCCGGCTGGCTACTGGGGCAGTGTTGGCAACTGTGACATACCACTGTGGACGGTGGAAGACATGTTGCGCAGTGCTTCTACACAACATGGCCCAGTAAGTGATGTTATCAATGACGGGTTACTGAAAGTTTTTTGTAAGAACTATCGGCATACATAATATGGCTTCTGATTGTAGATTGATTACATTGTGGTAACTGGAGATCTGGAGAGTCACGCTGATTGGGACTACAGTAAGGAAGAGCACCTAGATACTGTAAAGTCGTTGTTCTCACTGTTCAACAAGTACTTTCCTTACACTCCATTGTACTTTGCTCTTGGCAATCATGAAGGATACCCAGTAGATAAGTAGGTTTACTTCAGCTTCAAAGCCTTTTTATGTGTCATTTTAAAGATGTATATAGTTTAATATTACGGTAATATAATCAAGATATAATCATATTGTTTTAGTGTAGCCCCACATTCAGCTCCAGAAAAGTTCCAGATGACGTGGTTGTACGAGGCTATGTTGGATCAGTTTGGCAGATGGCTGTCACAAGCTGAGAAGGAAACCTTTTTGTAGTAAGTTACAGTATATCACTTAAAACATATTCATAAGTTTATTAATAGTATTTTAATTGTTAATTTAAATATTTTACAGTAATGCATGTTTCTCAACTTTGGTAGCTCCGAATCTGAGAGTAATATCCTTGAACACGATCCTTGGAGACAAAATGAACTTGTGAGTTTACTGACATAGTATATTTTCAGTTTGTACTGTATCTTCAGAAGTCAATCGTACTTTGTACGACATATAAAAACGTATCGTAACCCTAAGGTTTTAGACTTCAATTACTGTACTTTAGCTTTTTGTACCTAAACCAAACAGACCCAGACGGTGCCATGTCCTGGTTCGCCAACGAGTTGGCCAAGGCCGAGAAGAACAAGGAAAAAGTCCAGGTCCTGGCCCACTTACCCTCAGGCAGTGGAGAAACCTTTGAACAATGGGCCATCAACTACTACAACCTCATCAACAGATACGAAGATACGATTGTGGCTCAGTTCGTGGGGCACACCCACACCAATGTGTTGTGGATGACATTCAAGGACATGGAGAGTGCTCAGTCTCGTCCTACTTCTGTCATGTACAGTGGACCCAGTGTTACCAGTTATACCGACTCTTACCCGGCCTACAGGATATACACGGTGGATGGTAATCGACCGAATAGTACTTATGTAAGGACTTTTAGTTTAGGCTTCTGATGTTACAATCACTATTGAACTTTAAAACTTTAAGTACAAGAATATTTATGGCCATATTGCAAAAATATCGTAGTAATACCTTTAAACTGAGCTTTTTAATTCTCATTTAAAGTTTTGACAAGATACGATTTCAGAAAATAATAGACTATGCCGACTATTACCTCGACCTGGAAGAAGCCAATGAGAAGTACGCTTACAAAGATACCGCGCCTTGGAAACCCTTATATACATCAGTAAAGAAGGAGTACAACTTGAATTCTCTGGAGCCAGAAGACTGGAAAGGCCTGATAGATCGACTGGCCGAAGACAAAGAGCTGATGAGGAAGTTTGAAAAGTAAGTACAATATAAAAAGTCCTGTAATGTGGGGAGATTAAAACTTGTCCACGGAAGGCAAAAGAAGGAGAAGGAATATGACAACAAAAAGAATGGGGACGGCCAGATCGTCCGATTCCTTCTCCTTTAGTCAAATTAACCGTTCGGGGGAAGGCTACCCCTTTTCTTAAGTGACCTTAAATATTTGATATTATTTAGTTTTTAGTATAAGATTGTTAACCTTTAATTTTTCTTGTTTTCGTCTTCGTGATTATTGTATATTTTAATTTTATAAGGCTTATTAACCCGAGTTTGAGGCTTCGCACCAATAAGTTGTTGGAAGACGCTTTTTGGGTTAATTGTGACAAGCGGCTGAACCACCGCTTTGATAGAGAAGTTTGGATATCCCCAATTTAGAGGATACAACTTAAAAGATTTTGAAAGTCATTAGATATGGGGCAAGGAATCTTCCTTTTTGAATTTTTGTTTTAGCGCAGTTTTTGGCATTGTGTTTAACTTTGTTTAAAAACATTAAACCGTAAGCTACAGTGATTTAAAATTCCATACACAGTACAAGAACACCATACTAACACCAGTATATGTAATTTCAGGAACGTGTATCGCCGCGACAACGGACCGTGCGAAGCCGAATGTACGCGAAAACGAATCTGTCAGATGGTGAGCGGCCATCACTCACCCCAGCTATGTCAAAGTGTTGGGAAAGGTTTCGAGAATAGATCATTTCCCCCTCCGGCCATCTCAGGGCCCGCTCTCGGGAAGATGATCAAGCAATGTCCTATATGAAACACATTTCAAGTCAAGTCGAGCACGAAACTGACCGGAAGTCGGCTGCCAGAGTCTCGTACTATTGTTATGACTTGTGTATATACGTAGTCACATGTTTCTAGAGTTCAGAACTCTCTTTCTTGATGTTGTAATTGGGTTATTTTTTAATTGTTTTGTAAATTTATTGTTATTACATATAGTGGTATTGATATATGTTATATTGTTATAGCTTGCTGTTCAGAAGATTTGTATAGTTATTGCATGCTTTTACGTAAAAAGGCTAATAAAACAAATTATTATATTACCATTATGACCATAGGCAGCATAAAATAGCTAGGCTATTATTTAGGCTTGGCCAATTTGTCTCTACTTCTTCGTACCAAAACTGACAAAACTAAACGTATTTTAGGTTTCCTATTATTCTTATTTTTATGACCTCATAAAGTATTTTATAATTTTTTGAAATTTGTAGATATTTTGTAACATTGCTTACTGTTGCCCTTACCTCTACGTAACGATCCCCTTGAACTGGAATGTCATATGTCATAGCCTCCTCCACCGTTTATCCGTCATCCTGACACTTTTGTTTGTTACTTTAATATATAAAAGAGAACATTACTTCTTTATGACTTTTGTTGAAGTTGCCTCAGGGCTCAACTTTAAACTCGAAAGTTACTTTTGGTGTGTAAAACAGCTGGGTACTTGATGATATACCACATATATCATCGTGTATTAGGTCTATATTGCCTTCGAACACGTGTAGTACTGCTTGATCGATGTCACAAATCAATAACCAATTAGACGGTAGTCAGCCAGTCTTATATTGTTTTAGTAATTGCTGGTGAACGTGCTTCCTTTTCTTATCACGATACATCTCGGAACGTTTCATTCTCGACAGTTGTTCGGCCAACTGTTTGATCGGGAGTGGGATCTGCACATTTGCACAAATCTTTTGTTTCCAGACCTAATACCTCCATCATGATTGCGCAGCACATTGCCAATCTGATGGGCAACGTCAAACAAGGGGTACGGTCCGTGCTGCCGGTCATCATCTTGCTGGTCTTCACCATCGTCGGAGCCTTCATGTTCCTGTCGGTGGAAGGACCAAACGAGAAGTACCAGTTGGAGCAGCTGAAGATGGAGCGCGAGAAGTTGTTGGAGGTAAGTATATTACACGTCGTCATTTCCAACATCCTTTATATTTTTGAACAACATCATTTCAGGACACGGCCTTCAGACTAAACACTATCAAGAACATGAACCCCATTCAAGCCTACAACCACACCATCGACACCCTGGTTACCTACAGGAACAAGCTCGGTGTAGGCGAGGTGCACTTAAACGACACCAAGTGGAACATCTGGGGCTCCATCTACTACGCCATGACCATCTACACCACCATTGGGTACGGTAACATCACTCCAGCCACCACCACTGGCAGAGTGTTAACCATCATCTACGCTTTCATCGGAATCCCACTCGCTTTGATCTCGCTTATCGCCTTGGGTTCCTTCTTCGCCAAGGTCTGCATGTTCTTGTGGAACTTCATCATCAGAACGTTCGGTTGCTTCTCAAAGGATCTCGAGAAAAAGGTAAGCCCAATCTTTACCTTGTTTGTTGGCTTGTCGTATAAACCTTTAATTATTATTAATATATGTTATCAAGAAATGCACAATTTTCAAATTATCTCACGTAAGAGATAACTATCCTGCTATTATGAAAGTAACTCAATATAAACATAAACTTACAGATGAAGACGCTCGGCCCAGACGAGACTAAGTCTGAATCGGAAGAAGAAAACCAAGAAGAGCTCCTGAACTTCCCCGTGACCTTCCTCATATTCCTGACCATCTTGTGGATCTTCCTCTGTGCCTACATCTTCTTGTTGTGGGAAGATACCTGGGACTACGGCACTTCCCTCTACTTTGTCCTCATCTCTTTCACCACCATCGGCTTCGGTGATGTTATCGTGTCCAAGTCCAAATACATCATCCCTGTGGGATGTCTCATCTTGATCGGATTGGCATTGGTATCCACCGTTCTCACCATTATTCAGAAGCAAATCGAGGCCGTGGCCACAAACATGAAGGATTCTATTGACAAAGAATACCTGGCGGCGTTAGAACAAGTGTCTGAACAGTTGGACGCTGAAGACGAAGCTATTAGCAACGGTGGCGACGTTGAGAAGGGCGACAAGAAGGGCAAAAAGAAGAGTAAGTTACAATAATATGGGATTTAATACCTAAAATATTTGTTAAAAACATAAATAACAAAAAAAGAAAACACAAGATAACATAACATTCAAATGGAATGCAATCTCTTTGATTCTAGAGAACAAGAAGAAGGACAGATCCCTGGACGAGGTAGTGAAGCGTATGCCTTTGAAGAACCGCTTCCTCTACCATGTCATGGGCGACTCCAACAGAAAACAGCTCGCTCAGCACGCCAAACAACGTTCCAGGATCACCGTGACGTCAGTCCAGACCGATCCCTGGCTGATGGAAGGCCAAAGCTCGAATGTAGAGAACCTGAACTACTAAAACACATCACCGCGTCTTTTGTTACAGTAGCTTTCTTGTTACAGTGTTTTCTTTTCGATTTGAATCAATAAAATTGTAAAAACTTATGTTTGGCCAACTCGAAACTAAAAATTTGCAAAATTTAAAATTCGAAAAATTTCAAAAATCAAAATTTTAAAAAATTTCGATTATTTGGATAACAAACCGGTCGGAAGGCAAGGATGTTGCCGATTCTAGGCATTCTATTACTGTCCCAGCTATGTTATGGTCATGATGCGGTTACCTCCAGTCCTCGGCTAGCCTGTAACTCCACTTATCTGTGTTCAGAAGCGGACCGTCAGCTATGGCTTCAGAAGCGCGACCAAGCCAAAAGAATTCGAAGACTTATCGAGATCAGCAAGATTGGTGCATATGTTTTGAAGTAGGTTTTTCACTGTTTTTTGGAACGATTTGCCACAAAAAAGGAAAACATTTTTTTGTCGATTCTAATATTGATTTCTGTCAATGACGGTTTATATGTATTCATCAATTCTTGTGAATAAAGGCGTAATTTGCACGGATTTACAATACTTTTGACAAAAAATATAAGCTATTTTTATTGTTTGAATATTTAGAGAGAATCTGAATGTCTTGGAAGCCAGAAACCAGCTTTGTGCCGACATAAACACAGGCGGCTTCTTGTTCAACAACGAATCGGACCATTGGCCGATGGCTTGTCTGTCTGTTGGCAACTCTCACAACTCGACTTGTTCTCCAGCTCCACCAATGGACGAGGTGTTCAACTACATGAAGGCTTCACAATGGAGGGATCTGTTACGGGTAAGTCTACTACAATATAATTCTAGGTATTTCCGGTTTTGTGCAATATGCTTGGTTGAATACAATCATATTGTACAACAAAAACAAAACAATGCTTTTTATGGCAGTAAACGTAATTTTGTAAAAGATCTTTTTAATATTGTGGATTCTAGAATGCTAGACAGGAAATGGGATGTTCGGCTTCTGAAGTTGTGGCTGTTCAAGAAGTAAGTTATTATTAATGTCAATTTTACTTTGTAGCTTTAGGAATGTGTTCTTATTTTTGTTCATAATATAGTAAAATTAATTTATGTTATGAAAGGTTTAAATTTAGGTAACAATTTATTTTTGAAAATTATATTTTGTTTAAATTTCTCGGTTTTCTACTTCTTTTTAGCTGTTTTTACCTTTAAAAAGTCGAAATAAGTAGTTTTCTAATAACCTTTTCATATTATATTATAATTGACAATACATCCCATGTTATTATTGCGTTACACTCTCTTAATGAACCAATTTAGGTGTCGGAACTGTACGTTTGTCGGGAGCGATGCACTCACTCGGGAATCGGCTACTTCCAGTCGCTGTTGATCATGCTGGGCGTCTTCATGACTCTGATCACACTCAACATGAACTGAATAAACGCTCTTCCCCTTAATTGCGCGCGGATTCAGGAAGACCGTTCGAAACTCTCGACTCACCTCTCTCTCGACCTTATTACAACTTTCTTCTTCGCTCCGCTTTCACTTAATCCGGATGTTGTTCCACTTTAGTCGTCGTATCTGATAATCGCCACTTGCTGTCGAACATGCTGTGCAGAGTGATCAGCCAGCTGTTTGACTCCAACTGGTCCTTCAGGTTCCTCTTACTGGTCCAGTTCTTCTTCGCCAGCTTCTCCTTGATCTGTTTGGTGTGTTTGGGGTTGTTGTTGTCGTTGTGGCGATGTTACACGCTACATACGAGGCTGATGTTGCTCTCGTTCTTGGCTGCCTTTTTGTTTGCTGATATTGGTAAGGGGGTGTAGTGCAATGTAATTTTAAATTATTGTAGAAATTGTAATCGTTACATGTATAAGTTATTTAAAAATTGATTAAACGCCTTTAGGCGTGTTATTAACGAGTGTATATCAACTACAAGTCCTTCTCTTCCGACCTCTAGATTCTCGTTGCTACTGGTTTAGCTACACTTATAAAGACTGTCATGGTATGTATATTACAGTAAAACGCTTACGGTATTGTAGTACTTTCAGTTTGTTCAAAAAGTAAATATCCTTTCTGAGATAATGCAAATGGTTTTGTTGAAATAGGTTTTTAAACAATTTCAGTCCTTTAATATCAAGGTTCTACAAACTTTTTGACCTAATTGTACAATATAATCTGGATACGATTATAGAATTAGTATTGCTGTACCTTGACATTATTAACTTATTTTAAAGACTATATTTGCAATTCAGCCCTCCGATTGCTATTCAACATCTCGGCCGTAGCCATATTCACATCGTCCACCGTGTTCACGCTGAAGTCACTTCTGATTTGGGGTTTAAAACTAAAGAAAAATAGCAAAAAATATCTGACATTGGCCTTGATATGTATACATTGGGTAGTAGCTACAGTAATCGGCTTAGATGTCAATGGATTCTTCGACAAGTCAGTCCAGCCAAAGGTGCACCAGCCTCACTGCTCGGCTCTGGTACCTACTCCAACTCAGTTCAGGTCGCTCTTCTTTCCTCTCATGACATTACACATCTTCACCCTGTTCGTGTACACCTTCTTCGTTGTGTATATCAACCGCAAAAAGGTGGGTTGTGTTTTACATTATATCTAAATTACTTTACTAGTAATTTCTAAAGTTGATGTTATTACATAATTTACTTTAGTAGGTAAAGTAATCTTATTGTAGGATTTTAAAAAAGTTAAAGATAGCCTATACTTAAGATAAACTCTGTTTTTGTAGATTCTGAAGCGACTAGAGAAAGTAAACAAAGTACTATACGAGAATGTGACATACTCAGAAGTTACATTTCCGTTGGTATGTGTTACTGTAACTTTGTATGTCACGAGTATCGTACTCGATGACAGTTTCTTACGTATCATCTTGTCATTGTTTGGTCAAGACTACAGTAATTCTTCAAACTTTTCTCAGATTTTATGGTATGAAACGCAGGTATGTTATCTTCTTATATTATACTACACATTCCTGTTTATCATGGTATACAGTAAATTTGATAGCAGAAGATTGTACTAAATTACAATCAAGGATAGGAAGATGGTTTTATATTGTGAGTATCTCACAATAATATAAAAAAATGTATTTTTACATTATTTTAGACGGCAGTAATCCCCCTGGCAAGTCTTCTTGTGTTTGGAATCTTAATCAAGAAGATATGGCCACAGAACGATGTAGAATACCATCAGGAGACTCTAGCTCGAACGATTGATGGAGGCTACGACCAGCCTTCAGATGCCCTCAGTTTTCACAGCCTTGAAGGCACGTTGAAGTGTAACAAGGACGTGCGACAACAATGTGCTGACATATGTGCCAAGATACCACAACACACGTCACCGTCCATCTCAACGTTCTTGTCTTCTGATTCCTCCGTGGTTTCTCAGAAGACCGTGTCTTCGCCAAATGTATTACGGAAGGAACATACGATGATAAGAGAGGGTAGTCAAGAGGCTTGATCTATAACATCCATGTATATACTATAATATAATAATGTAAAATAGCGTGTAGGACTTCTAATAAAATGGGTATTAACTATTATTGTTGTTACCTTTATATTAACACTTACTTACATAGTCTTAGTATTACTGTGACATTACCTAAGCTACCATTTTAACGATACTGTAAAAAGTAGTATATGTGTTGTTATGTTCGTATGTTATGTGTGTCGTATTCCTACTGAGGCATAAAGCGTGATTGCAACTCGTTTAAAGCGACATAAACATGGTCTAAACAGATTACTTATGCCCATCTACACTTACATATCATTACATCCGAAGCTACATATGTCTTGTGATGTAGATTTTTACATCGTATACTATTATGTTCTTTCAAAGTTACATTTTACTTTATTATAATTGTTTCAGCTTTTTATACTTAGCAAAGTAAGAACGCAGTACCTTAATGGTTATAACCCTAACATACGACAAGACTTCTTGTGTCTTCGTAACAAGATATATGTTCTTACATACACTTACATTTTGCTTAGTTCAAACAGTTTTGCCCTTATTATACCAAATACCTTTACCATACCAACTCAAAATACCTATATACATATTACTCTACCTAATTATGCCCTTACCTATTACTATAACGCACCAAGTACAATGTAATAGCCGGTCATGTACATTACAACGTGTTCGTTAGCAACGTGTCCAACATACGAGTGCCCTACGGTAAGGAAAGAGAAGTGTTATGCGATTGAAACGCTCAGAAACACCTGTCCTTGGCCCTCCTAATTAGGCTTGGCCAAGCTTTGGGGACAGAACGAGCCGGCTTCCTGTCATTCGCGCGATCTCTCTTTTTAATAAAAGAAATGTCAGTCGGCCCTGAGGGCACTGTGACGGGTTTAATTCGTTGAAACGACAGGCGACTTCCATATAGGTTTTATATACCATGCCGTCATGTGCTCATCGTACAAGTGGCTATGGCATAACACATCCTTCTGTGGTATTGGAGGGTTTGAACGTCTTCTGACAGGGTTACTGTAATTTGAAAGTGATAAAAGTGGTTTAAAACTGTAAAATCTTATCATTTTTTATTTTTAGTAGTAATTTCGTCTATCTTTGTACCACTCAATAGGCTTTAAAATGTTTCTAATAACTATATTATACTTATAATCTAAAATATGCTCACAAACACATGTCGAAAGTCAAGTTTTATATCAATATATTACAGTAATCTATACTTAAGTAACTGTACCGTATTTCCCTATATACTACCTTTTTTACTATTACTAAACCGTACTATTTACATACATATTATTCATAACTTTTCGATAAAATTTTTAAAACTATTAGTCAAAAAGTAAAATACGGCAATTCCCCCACTCCTACCGTAACCCCGTGCCTCGGTTAAAACCTCATTTTCGTGAAATTTGATGAGTGCCAAATATATTGTCGATCTAACGTGCTCTGCATACGAAAGGATGTCCCAAAAGGTCGACACCCTGCGGGCCTTTCTAATGAGAAACACCCAAACCAAACAATGCCATCCCCAATTATTGAGTCCATCCGCATTCCAGTACCGTTTCCGGAGGCAGCCGGCTTTTCTTACTCAATTATAAAATACGTTTCGTTCATCACGTTGACACCTGTACTTTACCGTGAAGAACGCTAGCATCTGTACTTTGAGACCGTTGGCATCTGTCGGTATTCGTTTTGAAGTTCTCATTATAACAATATAAGTCTATAATAGTTAAATTGAAAAGTCTTGTCGTTTATTTAATAAAGTTTCCAACTCGAACAACGACAAAACTTTTTGACCCCCTAACGTGTAAATGAAAGACTTTGTCTTAAACCTTAATATACTGCCTATCTAACTATTATTGACTCCTTTAACATATCGTTACCATGCCTTGAAACCTATCGATACCATTTCTTGATTACCTCACTCGAACCCTTGATATACGTGAAGATAGTTTAGCGTCTGACCTAGTTGGTGTCCCTCATCTGTTTACCTCGAGATCGCTTGTCGTTTGTTGTAATCAAATGATGAGGAGGCGGCACGGCGGGGCACAGATCGTCCTTGTTCAGACGCGGCAACTGCACTAATTCGCCTCCAGATTCCTTTCTCGCTATCGTGCGTCGGATCTCCGTTCCGGTCGCTTCCATCAGAAGCCTCGGGAAGGAGGGAATGACCCGCTTATTGTCGTGCCATCAAAGGACTGATTGCATCAGGTATCTATCTGATCGCAGCTTTGATCCCCGATTTACCGCCCTCGCCTCGGGGACCTTCCGATCTCATTAACACCCGGCTGTCAATTCGAGAGTGAGGGCGATCCGGGGTACTGTAACATTGCGAAGATTGTAGTATATTTCAGTTTGATGGTTTTTACATTCGTATATATGTCTGAAGGTAAAGGTGTTCTGAGATCAATAGTTTGACTAATATCTACCTTTTCGATCTCAAGACAGCCGGCTGTCAATTCGAGAGTGATAGTAATGTAATTTTATATTCGTGTACAATCTTTTTTATTAAAACAAGACAGTATGTACCTAAAAATTTAATTACTCAGTTATAACAAATGTAACATTGTACTATAATGCTCTCTAAACCTAATTGACATTGTCTACCGGCTAAAATAACAGCCAGACTAAAATTATGTAAAAGCTAGCCAACCCAAGCACCAGCCTTTGTTACAGTAATTAAGTCAAGTGTTTGTCATGACCGGGTTACCTTGTTTTGTAATCGGATCCTTGTTGTAACCAGTTCCATAATTACATTCCCGTGAAACCAAGTGGCCTCAATCATCTCTCGATCCCCACACTTTACTCTATGTCACTATCGCCTGTCTCTCGGAATATCACCATCGTATGTCTTTATATCATTTTTACAAACTCGATTAAACCTATTGGCAATACTTCTTTTATGTTTTAACCCATCTTGACACCTAAAAACTATTTTAAAAGCAATAAACTAGACAAACCCGTGTTGACATACTTAATATAACATTATCGTGATCGATCGTATCTTGTTTTACAATTACTATAACAATACTACTGTGAAATAAACTTTAAAAGCTAAAACAAAACTTTTCAGAAATGACCAACCACAGTTTGTTGTTCTCCAGCTCTCCGTCGATGGTCATTCCCGATCACAAAGACCATAACATCAACAACAACATAGGTCTGAGTGAAGATGCCTACATTCAGCATCTGATAGCAGCTGTAGAGAAACGACCAGTGCTCTACAATGTGCATCTACTCGATTACAAGAACAAAAACAAGAAGGGCGAGGCGTTCAAGGAGGTTCAGAACGTGATGAGATCAGCCGGATGCTCTGAGAATCAAGGTAGGACATCCTGAAACACAAACTATATTGTACTCAATTACAATGATATGAAAGAGAAAGTTAAATAAAACTAGTAAAAGTAATGTGTTGCAGTGCAAGGTACCTACAAGAAGTGGATATCATTGAAGCGAAAGTTCCGAGTCGAATACTTCAAACCGAAGAGCGAAGACTCCAGGGAAGCATCGTGTTCCTTCCCCTACTTCGAATCCCTCAAGTTCCTCATTCCTTATTGTGAAGTCTACAAAATGTAACTCATCTTAAAATTAATTTTTCTCAGAAATTTCCAAGATTTTTTATTCCGAACACAACAAACATCGAAAAATTTTGTTTTAGGTGTAAAACCGCGAACAAACGAAAGGCAGAAGAATATACAGGTATGAACATTGAAGAAGACGAAAGCGATGACGATAGATACGCTCCACAAGAAGACGAGCCTTACAGGTAAACATCAGTGGAATATTATTATTCAGTGGAATATTAAATTTAAATACACTTTCATAACCGAACAAATGAGATGCTCTAAGTTAACAAAAGTACAGTTTTAAAATTTCAGTGCCCCATCAGCCCTAGACATGCTAATTGGTCAGAAAAGAATGAAGTTCGACACCTCATCCTTCATGTTCAAGAACAATTTCCTTGAACAACCAGAATCCCCTCCACGATCTCCAACCCAGTCCCGAGCTTCTCCCCAACTCAAGAAGTCCAACGTCTCGGCTTCCAACACCTCCACGTCCAGTAGCAGCTCCAAAGACGTCCTCAACTCCTTGTTTCCTTCACCCCAGGAAGACCTGAACTCAGCGATGGCGGCAGCTGCGGCCGCCTACCTCCAACAGCCGGCTGACGACTCCCCCAACGCTCTCTTCGGCCGCTTGGTAGCCAACGAACTCGACAAACTACCTCCACCCATACACAACATCATCAGGGCCCAAGTGTTGTTGTTGTTGGCACAAGTGTCCCAACAAAACCAGAATAATGTCCCAAACGCGCCTGACCGTATGTTTTCGTGTCTAACACCATGAGACTACTGCAAGTTGCCTGAAACTAAACAATACAAACCATAATCTTAAAATATATTGTCTTATAAGGCCATAACACTCAAATTCTAGATTTCCCAAAAGTTCTCGGACACTTTTTCAAATTTCAAAAACAAGATGTCAGTCCGATAACTTTTTGAGAACAAAACAAAATTCATCTTGTCTTTTACCCTAAGGCCATGTAAATTAGAGTGCTCCAAAAAGCTGGGACACTGTTCGTTGTAAACAATAACTAAAAACAGCCAAACCTTCTTCGATAACAATATATAGATAACAATATCCTACGTAACACCACTTTAAACCCAATACTTTGTGTATCGACATGTCATTTACCTTAACTATGTTCAAGATCTCCGTTTTCACCATTCTTTCCTCGGTATTTCACCAAATCCACCAAGAATTCCTGATTTTTTATTTCTTCATCGGTGCAGCCTGCAAACCTCGGGCGCAGTTTGTATTATGTTCTTTTATGTTCATTGAGTAACACTTATCACTTCTTAAAGTTAAAATTAAATAAAATAATGTTAATACGTCTCTAAAGACTGCTCTTGTGTATTTTTTTTGTTTTACGTATTGTAAAGAATGCCAGATTTTAAGTAAAATGTAAATTTTGAATTTTAAAATAAAGTTTGAACAATTTGACGAAGACCGGTCGATTATGCCACCAAAGAAAGCAAAAGCTGTGAATAAGAAGCCGGCTGTCAGTAAACCTAAGACTAGTAAGGCTAAGACTAAGAGTACCAAACGATCTAAACCAAAGTAAGTCTTGGTACCACAATTAGTACTATTGGAGCCTTTATACTATTGGTACTTGCATCATTTTTCACAATATTAATATACCACAGCTTTTAGCCGGTCTTCGAAAAAGGTAAAAGCCAAGAAATCGACCAGTAAAAAGAGTAAAAAGCAAAAGAAAGAAAAGAAGGAAAAGAGAGAGAGAAAAGAAGAGACGTCAGAGAAAAAGAAGTCGTCTGGAGCACAGGAATCGCCCGGAGTGGAATCGACCGCTCCAGATAAGGAAACCAAGAAGTCTGATTCCGTATGTGAGACTACACCGTCTACAGAATCCGTGAAAACAGAAAAAGTGGAGGATCAGAAGTCAGGGATTCAACCGGTCGAAGAAGAGCAGATTCAAAAGGGTGAGGATGAACAGATCCAGAAGATTGAGGGTGAACAAGTTCTGAAGAAGGACGATGGTCAGATTCAGAATGACGTCGAGGAGCAGCTTCAGAAGAACGACGACGAAAAAAGTTTTGGAGATTACTCTGACCTTTTGGTAGGTCTTCAAAGTTAAATTGTCATTTTTCAACTGTCAGTACGTCTGAAAACAACTAAAAGTGATCTTGTGAACCAAATTAACACTCTCAATTTCAGTCTAGTCCATTTGGTGCTCTTTTCGTACCTCCAGTGACCAACTGAATCAACACCCGGCTGTCCATTAGCACGTATCTACCTTTATATACCAAAACGCATCTTTTTTTGGTAATATGAATACAGTTTGACCACGATACCACAACTTATATTTTAGTATTAAAATGTCCATAACTTAACTAACATACGATTATGAATTATCATGCACACATACGATTGTGTCTTCCACGTATATACGATTGAGGACTAACATACGACACTGATATTGCAGCGATTTATTAAGCGAAAGCAAAGCGGATCATCGAATTCTGATTAGTTTTCGTTCGTTTGGTGGCTCCGGCTCACACACGGAAAGGAATCGAAGCCGGCTTCAGATGGAACAGTCGGATTCGGACTCGGTGTAGACGTTCGACTCCACGGATCCGACACGATGAAGGTGTTGGGGCTGGAAGTAGTCCTTGTCCAGATCCTTGTTCAAGGCCTTCTGGCCCTGGTTGAAGGCCGGCTTCAGAATCTCGGGCTTCACGATTTCTGGCTCCACGATGACTGGAGCCGGCTGGACGGTGACTTGCTCGATGAATCTGTCCATGAGTTCTTGGTCAGCGGTCTTCACCGGCATTTGGCTGGATTCAGATGCCTGTTTGAAGATGGTGGGCTTGCAGCACGGTTGGGGTCTCTCTGAAAATGGTGTCATGGTTAAGGTCAGCTTTTCGAATTCTGTAAAACGTTTGTCAAAAGATATTTACTAGAGACTTACTTGCAACCAAAGAAGCGTCGAGACGGTGACGGTGAAGGTTGTGCTCCAAGCGGCGTTCGAAGACTTTAGTCAATGGGAAGACCATCTTGTTGTGGATGTGAAGGTTGTTGAAGTTGCTGAAGTTGTGAATGTTGTTGAAGGTGGAGTAGTTGTGAAGCGACTCCTTTAGACCAGATATGCAAATTTTGTGACTTTCTCGGTGTGGAGCCGACTGAACAGTAGATTTACTCTCTCATTCGGTTAAAACAGAAAAAACGATGTGCGTGTGGGCAATCAAAGCGATTAGAGGAACGAGTACGATGCACTTCAGAACGACTAGTACTAGCCGTTCTCGTCGAGGTTACAGGAAATCAACCGACGCAGTAATCGAAGGTTAGCCAACCTCGTAGAGTTAATGGACCGTTTCAATTCGACGGTCCCTGAGGGCAAATGGAAGAGGAACGCTGTGTTGTATTAGTAGTAGTGGTTAAGTCAGTAGACTCTGAAAGTGGAATTCTGGACCCAGCCTTTATACCCTGTCCTCCGACGGAATTTGCATAAATTTAGAGTGAAATCACGAGAACTGAGACTGACACGGCCGCGGTAAATATTATTTCCCCACCAAACTAAACCAACATACTTGTAATGCACCTGAACCTAAGCGTTTAATCGGCTACGGTTGACGTTGACAGTTTTGAAATCTACTGGAAGTCACGATGTGACATTAGATATGAAACAATCACTTCACTGATCAAATAGTAATCAACAAAGCTTACACAGTAACATTGTACACTGATAAACAATGGTTTTAACGGCGACAAAATTATTTTAAAAAACCGTAAACATGTTTAAAGTAACATACGAACATCTTACACTAGTTTAAAACTATTTATATACGGCAGTAGTGTTCGAGCAAGAGATCAATCGCCTTTTATAGATCGGGAGTTTGCTGAAGAGTGTGACGTTATAAAGGTGAAGAGATATGAAACCCCCTCCTCTCACGTAAAGATATTTTTATATTTCGTGCAAGAAATTAATTACAAAGTAGTGTGCATCAATAACAAGAGAATAATTAACGGCGTCGAAAACTGTAAAGACATTGTAAAGTATCTTTGCTAAACGAAACGAATGTTGATAAGGAGAGATCAGAATACGGTCGGCTACTAAACAAACATTTACCCTACTACAAGGACAACATTTACTGTTGTGTTCTAAAATAACATAAAATGTACTCAAGTTTAGACGCTCGACTTTTTATAAACTTATATGGTGTGTATCTTTTGCTTGAGTTTATACTCCGATTTTCTGAAAATTTATAAGAAAATTTGACACCAAATAGCATAATGCCATGAAACAATTTCGACCGGCATTAAAATACAACGTAGTAAATATATTTTAAATAAATAAAACTAAAATATATATAAAAAAGAAAGCATAAACAATTCGAAATACAAAACCAAAAATATTACCCAAACCCTCATTACAAAACATGTCATAGCTACAATAAAAATAGCAAAAATAACCTTCTTACGAAGGCCTCACCCGGCAGACTCAATTTTTAACTCGTCCTTATTTTTTGGAGAATCTTTTAGAAACATTTGTTGCGGACTCAACGTCGCAGCAGGGCTGGAGCCCCGGCGCCGGATTCCGTCTTTTAGGAGACCTAGGCTCTCAAAGTGCCTGCCGGTAAACTGCGGTCTGACCTCCGTTTTATACAGCGTCTCAGAGGTTCACTTGCTTTTCGGTTGGGTTCGTCGTGCGACAAAGAAAGAGAGAAACTACTCTTTTTGAAACGAAACGCTACTATTGATTTAAAAAACGAAATGATGGAAGAAATAAAAATAAAATAGGATTTTATGGAAAAATGTTGTGCTGTATAGACATGAGAAACGGGCCGGGCCTGAATGTTAGGCCCGGCCTGATCGAAATTTTGCTCAAGGCCGGCCCGGCTCGATGGTAGGCCCGGCCCGGGCCTAAATTTTTTTTTACGTGGAAACGGGCCGGGCCCGGCTTGTTTTTCAGGCCCGGCCCGATCGGAATTTTGCTCAAGGCCGGCCCGTTTCTCATGTCTAGTGCTGTATCATCGACTGATAAACTTTTGCAGCTTTATATAGTTAGGATAATAATTTTACGTTAACCTTTTACTCTATCGTGCTTTTTCTTATTTTTTCATTTGGAACTATAAAACATTAATTTATTTTTAGGGTTCTCCGAGATGTCTGACGTCGAAGATCAGCTTCAGGACTTGAACCTGAAAGGTATGTTATAATAGTTTACGTTGATTGCATTTTTAGATAAGAAGCTAACTAGGAAGGAGTTGAAGAAGCTTCAAAAACAAAAGGAATATGAAAATGAGTTGAAGGCAATGGGATCAAAGGCTTTCGAGAAGGAGGTGGCTTCTGGTGAGGAATTTGCTGGTAAGTAGTTCATCATAATGCTTTATTTTACATTATTTTTTAGAAGGTGGGGGTATTGGAGCTGGTGTTGAGCTAGGAGATCAGTTCACAGTCTCTCAGCAAGACAAAACTGATGCCCAGAACGCATTGTTGGAGAATGCAGTTGATATTAAGGTGGAGAAGTTTGATATTGCTGCTAGTGGACGGCAGCTATTTTCAAATGCCGAACTGACAATAGCTTTTGGTAGAAGATACGGTCTTGTTGGTCCTAATGGAATGGGTAAAACAACATTGCTAAAACACATTGCTTCAAGAAAGCTGAACATTCCTCCAAACATTGATATTTTGTATTGTGAACAAGGTAAGAAGAGTTTATATTTCTTTTATCATATTTTTTGAATTTTAATTGCAATTAAAGTTATATTGCCTTTAGAAATTGCTGTGGACGAAACTTCTGCTATCGAGACGGTGATAAAGTCAGATAAAGTGAGACTGAAGTTGCTAGAAGAGGAAGAAGACTTGACCAAGAAGTTAGAAAACGGTGAAGAAGTTAACGAAAGGCTACAAGAAGTGCACGATGAACTGAGGAATATTGGTGCTTACTCAGTAGAAGCAAAAGCTCGTCGCATCTTGGCTGGTTTAGGTTTTAGCAAGGAAATGCAGGAAAAACGGGTCTGTGACTTTTCTGGAGGATGGAGAATGAGAATCTCGTTGGCGAGAGCTTTGTTCTTGGAGCCGACTTTGTTGTTACTTGATGAACCTACCAACCACTTGGATCTGAATGCTGTTATTTGGCTTGACAAGTAGGTTGGATTTTCTATTGTGGCAGTAAATTATTTATAAACTGATATTGTTTCATAAATTTGATTATTTTAGTTATCTGCAAAACTGGAAAAAGACTTTGCTCGTAGTATCTCACGACCAGTCGTTCTTGGATAATATTTGTACTGACATTGTTCACTTGGATGACCAAAAGTTGTACTACTACAAGGGAAACTATAGTAAGTATATTAATTCTTGTTTATTTAAACTTTGATGCATGTTACTATAATGTCGTCTTTTAGCTAAATTCAAGGCCATGTACGAACAGAAGCTGCGAGAACACAACAAAGCTTTTGATCAACAACAGAAGCAACTTACTGCTTTGAAAAAGGGTGGGAAGAGTGGGAAACAAGCTGTAGAAGAAGTGAAAGGGAAGATGAAGAACAAGCAGGGCAAAAAAGGAAAGAAAGGGCAACATGACGATGATGGTAAGACTGTTTTATGTAGATTTTACTTTTTTCAGACGATGAATTAACTCCCGATTTGCTTAAAAAGGCAAAGGAGTACAGTGTCAAGTTTGTCTTTCCACCAACAACTCCATTACAGCCACCTTTGTTGGGGTTATACAGTAAGTCAACGTTTTTAATAGTAATTTCAATAATTTATAAATGCTTTGACATTTTGATTTAAGACGCTTATTTATATAATCTTTCAGATGTCACCTTTGGTTTCGGCGATTCAGTTTTGTTTAAAAACGTCGACTTCAGTGTGGACATGACCTCTCGTATAACCATTGTGGGTCCAAACGGAGTGGGAAAATCTACTTTGATGAAATTGTTATATGGTAGACTACAACCGGTAAGTCACACAACTAAATTACAATAATTTTGTCTTCAGAACGAAGGAGAATGTCGACGACACCGACAGTTAAAAGTAGGATGGTTCGATCAGCATTCCAATGAAGCTTTAAATGGAGAAGCGTCTCCTATTGAGTACTTGTCATCTAAATTCCAAATTGACTATCAAGTAAGGATACTACTTTTTTTATTTATTGGTAGTCATTTTATAAATATATTTTAGGTCATTTTTATTCTAAAATATATATATTTACTACTTCTTTTTAAGGAAGCTAGGAAAAACCTTGGCCGGTGTGGACTGGCTGGACATGCCCATACTGTCAAGATCAAGGACTTGTCCGGAGGACAGAAGTCTCGAGTTGCGTTAGCTGAGCTGGCTTTAGGAGAACCAGATATACTGTTACTTGATGAACCCACAAACAACCTCGATATTGAGAGTATCCAAGCTTTGGCCGAAGCCATTGAAGAGTACGATGGAGGCGTTTGTATGGTTACTCACGACGAACGGCTAATCAGGGCGACGGATTGTCGTCTGTTTATTGTAGAAAATCAAGATATTGCTGAAATTGACGGTGACTTCGACGACTACAGGAAAGAAGTCTTGGACCAGATCGAAAAACAAGTCCAAGAAGTCGAGAAGCCTTAATCGGGTCATGTTATTATTGTTTAATTGTTGGGATTTTTATAAATATTATTTTTATGGAGGGCGGCTATTTTTATTGGATGTTCGTGTCATCACTTATTATATAACAAGTATTATTATACGTGTTGTTTGGCTTTTCTTACATGTTATTATATAACTTTTATCGTTTATAGTTAGTCCACAGAATGCCGTTATCTACAAAACGAAGCAAGGTAAGTTTTTGTTTCTTATAGACTTGTTTAATAATTGGTTTCATTAATTGTTGAAGTTATAGAATGTCAAACAGACTGGTCTCAAGATGTCTAAAAAGAAGGCAGTTCAGTTCAAAAAATCTGCCAAACCAGCCAAAAAGAATGTTGACGTGGAAATGGTGGAAGACTACATTCAAGAAATGGAAATTGTAAGCATAAATTATTTTATAGTTCTCCTCAGTAATTATCATGCTTTTCTATAATGTAATTCAATGTTTTTACAATTTACAAAATGGTCCGAAATAATCTTTGTCTTTAGGACATTCCAAAGACCACAAAGCCTAAAACAGACAAAACCACCAAGAAGAGGGTGATGAGACAAGAACGGAAAGACAAAATGAGGAGTTTCTTGAAGAAGAAGATTCAGAAGACAAAAGCCACCAATCCGGACAATATGGAAGCCGCGGCATCAGAAGCATCTGAAGAAGTACCAGAAAAGACAAAACCGAAAGTAAACGAAAACCGGCTAAAGAAGGCTGACCTGCCGATTGTGTTGAATGCCAAAGACAAGAAACGACTGGCAGCCATACAGAAAGAATCCAAGTCTACGGGCATGGTGTCGGCCAGAAGAATATCCAAGAAGAAGGCAAAGAAGATATTCCAGGCCCAGAATCGAGCAGCCAGAGAGAAGGAGCGTCTCGAGAAGGGAATGGAGCTCTAATTCACTTGTTACTTTGTTGTTTTTGTTATTGTTGTGTAAAGTTTGATGATGACTTGAAAGTCTTTGACTATCTGTTTTTGTTCGGCAGATGTACTGTATTGAATACGGATAAAGTTATTGTTGAGGTTTAATTTTGGGATATTATTTGTAGGAGAAATGCAAGCTTGTGCTAAAATAGCATCATTGTTTTCCGTCGTGTATGTTACTGTACCGTCAAAGGAAGTCGGAAAATCCATTGCAAGGTAATAACGTATATACTTAAGTGCATCGAAATTTGGGTCAAAAAGCTGCTTAATTTTGAATTTCAATTAAAACGCTTAAACGTAAAACCACTTCTTAATTTAGAGAAATAATTAACTCCAAACTGGCGGCCTGTGTCAATATAATTCCACAATTGACTTCAATGTAAGTTTGTATGTTAGGATTACTGTTGAGTTTAGATACGAGTGGGATGGCGTTGTCCAAGAAGATGATGAATCCATGTTAATAATCAAAACAAAGACTGGGGCTATCAAAGACCTCAAAGAGTTGGTACTGAAACATCACCCATATGACGTGCCTGAGATCATAACTCTTCCAGTATGTTTAATAATGAAAGACCTAGTGGTTTATATGATGACATGTATAGTAGCAATTGTTACATTAACTTTTTGTTAAAATACTGTGCTTGTATTGTATACGTATTACTTTTAAATGTTCAGTAATGCAATAATTTATTTCTGTACAATTTAGATCGAACAAGGCCACGAACCGTATCTCGAGTGGATCAACAAGCAAGTAGCCCAAAATAAATAGAAATCAGTTGTTTAGTGATAAACATGAACATGTACAAGGGATTCATTGAGGGTATTTGCTATGAGATTGTTGATAGCCGGAGTCATGATACGCCTGATATTGTTGTTGGTTCGAGTCATTGGCCAGGCGGGGATCTTGTAGGGCATCGTTGTGTCCCATCTGGTTTTGGTATGAAACAGGATATCCTTGAGGCTGTAGCTGATGAGGTGGAGCGGACGAAGCTTGTTGGACAGCTTGGTCGTACTGTGCTAGAACATCTCGGATCGCCACATCAACCTTGGCCAACATGTTGTGTTGTTTGTCAATCTGAGCAAGCTTCTGATTAACCAATGGTATCTGGGCCATGCTCATTTGTTCAAAGTAGGCCAGTTCTGGGTCGTCTGGTACTATTCCAGTTGGGTCGCATTGCTTCAGAAGGTCAAGACACTTCTTCAGAACATCCTCGTTAATCTTGGCTTCTTCCGACACGACTTGCGATTGAGCTGGTGCAATTTCTTCACATTTCTCTCTCAAGTCGGCTGTCACAAAACTGGCTGGAAAGAGACCGGCCTTGTTGCCAGTTATAAGCTGACCTCTCCACCAGTTCGAATCACTAAATGATATTAAACAATGAATACCTAATTATTGGTAGTTAGACAAAAGAAAACCTAATTTATATGACATAGCTTACCTTTCATCGTAGACATTAATGAGATCACCAACTTTAAACGACAGCTCGTTGTCTTCGGCCGCTTCAAAGTCATACATCGCCTTGACTTGTCTGATGACAACATTTCTAAACAGAGAACGTAATGTTAATACTATAACTCACTTGGCCACTGGCTTGATGTCGTTAAATGAAGGTACTGAAAAACTGCTCTTCTTTTCTGACTCCGTAAGTGACAATGCAATAGCTAAAGGAAAATTAATTAAAGAGGAATAATAAATAACACATCACATAACAACATGAAAAGTTGTCACATTGAAATTGTTTTGTACTAAAAATTAAAGAATTGGCAAAAATGGCACTAACCTTTAGCAATATCAGCTTCCTCTTGCTCAGTCGACACGACGTTGGGGTCATTGCTGTACATGATTTTAGTGTTCTTAGTCGGCTCGCTGGATTCGAAGCTGTATCCTTCTCCTCGGAGATCACGATAAAGGCTCTCTATTAGCGAGAGTGATGCGTCCTTCTTGCATTCGTTCTCCACCCATTTCTTGATCATGTGGCGGGTCTTCTCTCCAATCAATCGATTACTCTGTAAACATTAACATAACTCTTTGTGAAATGACTCATTTTACCTTTTACCACATTTTGGTTTCAATTTTCAATATATCTTTTTTTATTATAGACTTTTTATCTAAACCTATTTAAACAATGCTATTAACTTACACTTGTCGCTCTGTAACTCAATTCGTTGATAAAATCGTTGGAAGAAACTTCTCGTCTGAAGAATTGACCAGCATTGTTCCAGACGCAGTCCAACAAAGACAATGCCAGTAGCACCACGTGGGGATCACGATGGTTGAGTCGCTTCTTAATTGCGTATAGAGCTTGTTTAGCGCCTTTCTGACCTTGTGAAGCGACTCTGTCAGAAACATCCATCATCAGGGCCCAGTTCTCATTAGTCAGAGTCTCGGCCGTAACCTTTTCTACACTTTCATCGTACGGAGACGTGTTGTCGCCAAAGATTCCCATTTCTAAAGTCAGACAAAAAATAACCGGAAAATAAAATCAGAATAAGAAAAAAATGAAAAATATAAAACACAATGCCAAGAGAAACACTTGTCGCGTTATATTTATTGGATTCACAGTTAGCTGACAAAAATAGATACAGAAAGTGAGGTTTATGATTATTGTTCGAATTCGAAAGTTAAGCCTGTCCCCGCCATCTTCTCCTCGTAGACTTCATCGAAGAATTCGCTTTGAGCAAAGGTGAAGTAGTTCTTCCAGTCTCCGACTTGACCCTTTCTCATGAACTTGACCACGGTTTGGTCCAACAACATGCGACTATTCCTGTTGGCCATAGGGTTCTTTTTCATTGAATCGAAAGTACAATGATCGTACACCTTCTGCATCATCTCTGGGGACAGCTTCATATTGACAAAGCTGGCGATCTGATCGATTGATCCTTTGAGGTCCCTTTTCATGTCTTCGTACTTGCAGAACAACACTCTGTCCGGCAACTTTTGGGAGAAGTTCCAGTAGCCAATAACATGTTCGAACCATGAACCACAGTAAACTAAAACATCAAGTGTAACAACTTTTTAACACAAGAATCTTTAGGTTTAAATAAAAAGAACAACAAAAAACATTATTCTGTAAGAGTTTAACACACACAGATACAAGGTTAATTTTTTCAACTTACTGCTTCCACTCATATACATGGCAAAGAACTCGTTCCATTGTAGATTCTTCTGTAGCCCGAGGAATCTGGCCATTCGGTGGAAGTGGTAGAAGCTCACAGCGTTGTCCTTAGGGTTGCGAGCGACGTAGACTATCTTGCACTTTCCATTCAGAACTGATTTAGGTAACATTTCCAATGGCAGATGTGTGAAGGCCACTCGTCTGGTTCGGTTCTTGCACTTCTCAGCCTCGCTTCTGTGGTACTCGTAGAACATCTTGACCCACCAGTAACTATGCTCCAACTCCAACCATGGGACACGTTCATCTTGCCGGACCTTCTTTAACGCTTCGGTATCCCCACCATAATGCAATGCTGATATGATTTCTGTCATCCATGTTGTTCCTAAAACACAGTAAAAACAAACGTAACAAATGATACCTGATTTTGGATACGTAGCAATCAACACATCATTTTCGGTGAATTCTTCTTTACGCAAGTCGATAACACGCTTTGGAGACATGATAAGTCCAGGCCAGACATAGTCAGCGATAAGATGGGCATGGGGAACATGGAAGAAGTATTTATCTTGCAAATCACTTATATTTTTCAAAGGTTCAAGACTCATTTTATTAGAGGAAAAAGTTATAAAATATTTTTTCGGCCAATTTATCCGATTTCAAACTAATTCCTACAGGCGAAAATTGTCATCGCTGGCGGCAAACGCCGAAAAATGTAGAAAACATGAATTTTGAAATATTTTTATAAAATAGGTTGCTGTTACCACATTAAACAAGTTACCTAGCAAATGTAATGGATATTTTCTTCAAAATTTATATCAACACAATAAATTATACGAGTTTTCAACCGGAAATAAAACTCTTCAACGGCAAAACAACCACTGCACTCCATATTATTACAATCCCACTATTCCAACAACTAACTCAAAGTAAGACAACAAAAAATTTATTTCAATAACAAAACAATTATATAACCACTGTTCACTTTCTCTTGCGGTATTGGTTTCTGCGAGCTTCCTTGGGTTTGGGTGGAAGGATGACTCCGTCGAACTAAAAATAACAAAAAATATTATTTTCATATCCAAAACAACAAACTGTTAAAAACAGTTTCGTGTTTTTACACATTGGAACTCCTGTATAACAAACTGCTGTACAACGTAAAATATTAAAATCCTCGAGAAATTCGTTATACGGGAGTTCCACAATATTGTTGAATATTATTAAAGTTTCTTTTTACATTTACAAGATTTGTCATAAAAATGAAGATGTAGCTCGTATTGTGTCGTAAAATTACCTTTTGTTGGAACCATTTGATCGATTCTTCTCTGTGTACACGGTGAGAGTTTCCAACGGTTCCCTTGGCGCGTCTGCGCTTGGCAACACGTCTTCCAGCACGGTCAAGCACGACGTAGAAGTCCATACCATAAATACCAATGCTTGGGTCGTATTTCAATCCCAAATCGATGTGTTCTTGAATACCGAATCCGAAGCTACCGGTGTTGGAGAAATTCTCACGGTACAATTCGTATTCCTTTACCTAAAAACAGAAATATAAGTTCACAAAGTACGTCTCTTCGCGTTGAAACATGAAGTGTGCACGGTATTACGTCAAAAAATTACTCCCAATGAAAAAAATCTAAACGTTATAAAGCATCTAGCCCATTTAATCAAAAGTTCCTATAGAAAACTATTTTTACACAAAAATTATCCTTGCTAATTTTGAAAAGTAGTAAAAAATCAACTTGCCTTAAGACCACGGTCGATGATCTCCTCAGCCTTTGGGCCACGAACGGTGCAGTGGACAGCGATCTTTTCATTACGACGGATACCGAAAGATCTCACGGTGTATCTGGCCTTTGAGAAGACTGGAGTTTGACCGGTCAGTTGTTCCAATACCTAAACCCAGAAGTAAATCAAACAAAAACAAACAAAATACCTTAGCGGCACGGGTAAGCCTGTCACCAGATTCTCCAACACAGATGTTAAGACAGAGCTTCTGGATCTTGAGCTCGCGCATAGGGTTGGCGAGCTTCTTCTCCTTAGTCTCGGCTTTCTTGTCGTCAGCCATTTTCCCTGCAAATTTAACCCTTAAAAATAAAATTTATACATCTATAATAACATCACGTTATACAATAAACACGAAAATAAGTTCTGTACGGCAAGTTATACTTTTTAAAACATTTTTTGTACCAAAATAAGAAAAAATATTTTAAAGAGAAATAACCTCTTCTATTTTTCATACCGTAAGTCTAGCGTTCTTCGTTTTCGTTGCGGGACCTAAATAATACCTCCGTGTTAAAATTCTTAGCAAAAATTTTTCGCGATGCTCTTTAAAAATTTTTTTTTATAAAAAATTTCTGGACTTATTTGTATAAAACTGTAAGTATTTATTTAGTTGGTAAAGTATCTTTGAAATTTTTTACACATTGCAATTATTAAACATTAGATGAGTTACACTATGACTATGTGTGTAAAAGTTGCCTAGTTTCAATAATAATTCTTGTTACCTTTTTTACGATTTGTTAATCAAATACCACTTTTTTAGCAATAAAATTTATTCAAAGCATTTACATTTTATATATCTTATACATATCACACTAGGCTAAAAAATTGGAATAACTCTGTTAGTAAGTGAATTAGTTGGCCGATACAGCAGGTTTCTCTTTTTCAACGTCGAGTTGTTTGCCAAGATATTCCCAGTTATGTACCATTAGCTTTTGCACGGCCAACAGTGCGTGGTATCTTACATTTGGGTCTTCGGCGCTCAACAACTTCATTACAGCTTGCTTTCCGTGGTTTTGTTCGATCACACTAAAACGAGTATCAGTTTAGAAGTTTCGGAAGGTAGAGATTGCATAAAAATTCAATAATTTATGTTTTTAAATTACTTTAACTTACTTTTTTCCTCGGGGGTAGTGCCTAACGTATTCTCCAACGTCATGAGCTGCAACACAGAGAACTAGGGCGTCTTTACTCTTTTCCAGAATACTGATTAGTTGCCTAAAAATAATAGTGGCATTAATACATTTAAAAATTGTGGAATGTTTAAAATTGTAATATAACTTACTTGATCAATTCAAAATTCTTTTCGTTGAATCTCTGGGCGTTTTCTCTCCAAAATTTCTCTGATTTGTGAACTGGACTCCACTGAAGTCTTCCTGACCTCAACTCGGTGCAATATTCATCGAAAGAACTCAAGTCTTGCACGCTCATGTGAAGACGTTCCATCAAGAATTCAATGTCTTCTTGAAGGTCTGGGTCGTCGAACTTTTTAGCATCCATCAGTTCCAAAGTCTTCAGTGTTTTACATTGTACCATTTGTAAAGCGGACTCTCTAACTAATTCACGGTCGTCGATCTTCTCCAGAAGGTTCCTGAATGTAGCCAGAATGATTCTGATTACTTTCTCTTTAGAGCATTCTGACAGTATATCTCCTAAAACTTGGATGATACCGCTGCTTTGAATATGGTTGGCAATTTCTGGGTTGAATGTCAAGCACCAGACACAGAAAACTAGTTGATACTGTAGCTGGAAGTTCGTCTTTCCACTTAAAGCTGACATTATGTACGATACACCATCAGTCTTCACAAACTCCTCTCTGTATTCATCGATTCTTAACAACATCTGGAGGCATCGAACACTGGTGTTGATGTATTCGTTACTCTAAAGAAAGAATTAACCTATGTGTATTTAACTTACTTGATTACGAACTCCTTCCTTCAAGATGCTAAAGTAATATGACAACTCTTTGCCTTCCATTCGTTCTTCACCAAAGCATGCGAACTTGGCAAATACACTGGCCGTCTTAAAGTTCATGAATTAGTGTTTTTAAGTAACAAATTCCAAAATGTACGCGAAAGGCAGTCTTATGAAAACGTAATAACAATCATTAATTTACCTGGTTAGCGATGAAGCTGTCTTGGCGAGTTAGAAGACTCTGGAACCAGGACCAGATTGTTCTCTTCTGCTTCTTGGCATAAGAATGGAAGATATCGACTCTGGTACGATCTTCTTGGAGTAGGTCGTCAAGCATAGTCAAGACGTATCTAATCAGCTGATCTTTGGCCACGTCCGTGATCAAAGTAATAAAGCACTTCGCCGACGTATTTGGGTCCCTGGCCAAAAGGTCATCTCGCTCTTGTTTGGTCTTGCAGTTTTCGTAAGCAGTAATAAAGTTGTAATCATCTTGGGGAATCAGCTGGCTTCTCAAATAACTGCTCCAGTTGGGTTTGTTGGATGCGCTTCTGACTTCAGCCGCCTCAATTTGCAGCTTACTGGTAGCATTGATCATGTCCACCTGCGCAATTGAGTGGGAAACATCTGGCGCCCCTTCTTGAGCCATCTAAAACAAGAAAGATAACTTTGAAATGAATAAAAATTACTTAAAATACGAATTACTATTTACAAAGTGGTAAAATAAACATTTTGTTCGCTGTTATTGTAAAATTTCAATATTTTTCGGTTTTTTCGTCGAACAAAAATCAAAAATTCGTTGAAACGTTTTCGCTTCGAGACCAAATTAAATATTTTATTTTTCAGAAATTCTCGCAAGAAATTATAAAATTCAAGAAAAAGTAAAAATATATTATTAATAACATAGAAAACGTACGTTTTATATCATTTACCTGTTTTGAAATTCTTATTAAATGTTTATTTTAGCTTTAAATCTTTTTTTTCAATATTCGTGCAAAAATAATGATGGAAGTTGATAATGTTTCTGTTCCATTTCAGATGTCCAAAGCAGCCAAAGTATTTTTTAACCGGAATCCACGAAATCTGGAGTTTCTTCAATTAAAACGCAAGGACACTGGATATGGATTGGAAAAGAACAATGAGAAAAGAAGTTTCATTTACAAGTGAGTATTATTGTTATTAATCCCCGGATGTTTAGATTAGAGAAACCAATTAGCAATTTGTAACAATTTGTATTGTTGGCTTAATACAGTATTTGGTGTTTCAATCCGTTTTAACTGAATTAAACCAGTTAATCATGTATAAGTGCATATGAATGGTGTTTTGGAGTGTCTAAACCACTAAAATATGCAAGTAAATATGTTAAAACGAATTTTATGACACCATGTATAATAGGCATGTTATTCTTGTTATTTATAAATAATACATCATGACTGTTTTGACAGAGCCGTTCTCACTTCATCATCCCAGCAAACGTCAGGAGCACTGATCCACAATGAAAACGGTGTTGTGTTAAGTGTTTCCACCAAAGATGCGGGCATTTCGAACCAGTTGTACAGTAATGTAGACACGGCGGCCGCTTACAACATTGGCCGCGCTTTGGCCAAGAAACTAACGGATTCGGGGATTAAAAGTTGCATAATGGGCGTGGAACCTGAGGAACTGGAGCGAAGTTCAAGGGTGAGCAGTGCTGTGCCGTAATTAGTTTTCTTGTTATTTACAGAAAAAGGCGTTTTTCTCGGCTCTAGAAACCGCGGGTATATCGCTGCAAGAGCCTGATACCATCCCACACTCGGTGCTGAATGACCCCGCATTCACGTGGCAGCCTTTCATTGTCCAACATAATCGTCAGGACAAGCTCGACGAGCTGTTCGACTCACAATAGATTGTTATATAGAATTTAAAATTTGTTGTTTCCATAAACTGTTCTCCGTATCTCTATTTTCGGGTTTTACTACCGCGTCCTGCAATTCCTGTCTGGAGCATGTTGCCATGATTTCAGGTTGTTATGATATTGGTTATACCTGTTACGATTTTGGGGTGGGAGTTTGTGTTAAGTTTTGTTCCACGAGTCGGGCAAATAGAAAATTTTACGAGAATGAGTGATAGTGATTATAGTTTAAAACGATATCTCTTTTGGTATTCGAGTTTAAACTTCTAATAGTTTAGATAGTGCAAGTACCCTTACTTTAAGACATATGAGAGCTGCTTAACGTTAAGATCTGGATGTCGAAATGGCATTAACAGTTTAATGACATTAAAACTGAACACTGATTAGTTTAGCGTACCTAGTTTAAAACCCCTTGTGGATGTTACCTAAATGGTATGTTCAGCTTTCGTGCAATGACCTTTTGCACCGAATTAAACTCAGTCTTATCCGTGGCGCTAAATGGCGGGCGATATGTTTGTTAAATCGTGACGTAAAGTGGGCGTTCCCTTCTACCGTTCCATTTTCTTGGCCTCGGCGGTGACGACTTTTGTGATTACTTTCCCAAAGGTAATGTAAACCTTCGTGTACAGGAATATGCACCCCGCCCATCCGAGTACTTATTAAGACGCGTCCCCGTTTCAGTTTCAAACAGTTGTTATAATGGGAATGTCGCGAATCTCAGTGTATTGTCTGGTGTTGTCGCTGAACGTGCTACTCTTAACGGCGTTACCTACAAACGCCCGAACCCCGCTCATCTCGTCCTTCAACTTCCAGCCAGCGAACGGTTTGTTCAGTGGCTACCGTCGCAGTTCTGAATTCCTACAGAAGCGCGACATCGACGACATTTACCAGATGGACCCATACGAGCTGGGAATAAAGTTTGGGAGAAGAAAATGAGACCTAATAACTCTTATATTTATGTACTTGGCTACTCTTAATAAAGGCACAACTATTTGTAATGTTTACTTTGAATTATAGTTAATGTTTGAATAAAAAATTAAATTGAAATGTCAAATATAGGTTTTACGTGGAAATCTCTAGTTTACTTTTTAAACACAAAGTATTTCTACTTTTGTAGTTTTTTATATACCTAATTTACTTTTAAAATACTGCAAATTACATCATTGTAGTTTACTCTGTCGCGTTGTTTTGCCTTCTCTTGAAGTATGCGATGACGCATAGGATGATTGGGATGGCAGGCACGGCTACTACAAACACAGTTGATGCAATGGCCACCAATGTTCTGAAAGTAAACTGTTACAGTAAGTAGAATCTAGGATTTGTTTTCAGTCTATCTTTGAGAAAAATCTGTGACATTATATTATATCTTTGTAGGATTTGAACTTTTACAGTAAGGTTTTGAACTTAAATTAAGGATAACCTGAGTAACCTGCCATTATTTACGTTAACTGCGTAATTGTCTAGGATTTGTTCGTAAAGTTATTTTAATTACTACTTACAGTGGAATTTTAAAACAAATGAGAGGAATATAAATGTGCTGTGCTTAACTGTACCTTGTATTTGTCAAGGCAAGCCAATGTAACTTGTAATCCTAAAAAGTTGTAAAAAAATTGAAACAATTTTAACCAAAATCGCTTTTAAGTACTTTTTGACCAAATTAAACCAGTTTCTATTAGGTTGTTAAAATAATTCTGTGCCCCTAACCCCGAAAATTGGCATTAAGATGGGCACAGAATTACTTGAACTTAATGTTAAGATCCTTACTTTGACAACTCTTACTCTTACTACCCTATAAAGTTCTCACTAATTTTTTATTTAAATCTGTAATAACTTACTGTAACGAGGTGAGGGGTTTGTGCTGATACTCGAGCTGAAGAAAATCCCTCCAAACCTGTTCATCCATTATTCATCAAAACAGACAGATTGACCCTCCGGTACTGCAAACAAGTTAATCCTCACTTCCGGGAACAATTTAAAATAAATTTTCTAATCCGCTAAACGTTTATTTTTTGTTTTTCGTATAACAACTTATCCCAATTGTCAAGGAAGCCAATTTATATTAAGCATAACGGAATAAATTAGTTCAGAAAGTCCAACAAGTTGTCAGTTTGGGGTTTGCTTTGACTTGTCATGTTATTCATGCTCGGAGGGTTGGACATGCTCTTGAATTGGCTACCGGGGATGTTCATCATCGGCTGATTGGTTGTGGACATTCCCAATGGGACGTTATTACCGACCATCGATGGGTTAGTACCAGACATGTTCATCATGGGGTTAGTTCTGTTGCCGGTTAGACTGTTAATGTTGGAAGATAGAAGGTCTGCGAAGGGATCTGCCTTCGAGTTGTTGCCATTAAAGGCTGTCATATTATTCATTCTATTGACAGGATTCGAAGTGCTTGGTGGAGGTGGCATGAAGCTGTTCTGGTATGCGTTATTCGACGCTGGTGGGGCTGGGAACGAAGACATATTAGCTGAGGGTCCTGATGAGAATGGTGTACTGCTTGTCGATGAAAATGAGGATTTGGTTGATTTGAAAGGATCAAAGTCATCCAGACCATCAAAGACATTACTCTTCTGTTTATTCATGCCCATCGGCTCTGTGATGTTGCCAGCCGGCTGTACAGTAGACGTTGACATCTTGCCACTGAACAGATCCATGTGAACATCCGGTTTTGTGGTTTGATGATTAGACATTGGCGAAGGAGATGGATTAGGACGGCTGACAGTGCTATTGGGTTTAGGGAAGGTTGAGGCGAGATCATCCAGTTTAATCGAATCCGTCTTGTTGAAGATGTCATTGAAGTCCCCGATGTTCCTGTAAATAAGCGGATAAGTATAATAAAACATGAAAATAAGGCTACAATACCCTACGTTCGAGGCTTGATTGTAAAAGTTTCAGAAAATACGCAAAGTTGAAAAGATCGTATATGAACATACGTTTCGTCAAAGTTACGTCCGACCATAAAACTTTAAGCTATGATATATTGTAAAGTCGTATGTCAAAAAAGATTTTTAATCATCATGTTGTGCACGTATTACGACATGAAGAAAATAGTTTTGTAAGCATAAACAATACTAAAAAAGGCCAAAACCGGACGTAGTTACAGAAAAACTCGGACTTTTACATTTACTAATTAACGAAACTTTGAAAATGTGAAATATGACATTATTAAAACGTTTGAGATTGCGTGTTATCTTACAAAAACAGCTACTGTAATGCAATCGAAAACAAGAACAAAACAATTTGAACAGAAATCACTATAAATCCACCGTAATAAACTAAACATTATTGTAGCTTACACTACAATGTTCTAATAAACTAACATACCGTTGTTCCTCCTGTCCAGCACTTAACTGCTCAAGCCGAGTTCGTTGTTCTCCTTCCACCTTTTTCAACATAACCTTGGTCAGTGCTACGTACTGTTCGAACTGACTCAAGTTCAAAGTGTTCTCGACCATGGTGGATATAAGGAATGGCAGAACACTCTTGGCACACAATTCTTTTGTCACTCCAAACTTTTCACTTTCAAATGTCAACTTGTAGATGCCTAGTACTGCCATCAGTACGCCAGGCTCTTTGCTGTTGATCTTGGGAAGAGCTGGCAGGATCTGGTCGTTCACCATCCAAGGTTCCAAGGTCGGGAGCAGTTTGGACAAACATATCAAGGTCTGTACCCGAATCTGTAACGAACCGCGATCAAGTGGTTAGGCGTGCTCAAACATTTAATAAATTACTCTAATTACAGAATCGAACGTAATCACAATGTTTTTGGCCTCTCTGTTCCTTGTGTTTGGAGTTTGCTATTCAGGTGGGTCATTGTTAATGTCAAGGTGTTTTGCTTAATTTGCATAACAATATTTTGCTTTGTCATGTCATTACTTTTGCATTTCCGTGAGATTTCATTTACTGTGTCATGAACGTTTACAGAAATTGTCATGTCATTTACAATTGTAGCTCTCAAATGTTTGAAAAAGATGTAATATATACCTATTTTTACACACAGCTATTACACATTAATGTTCACATGAACCCATTACCTCAACCGCCCAATTTAGCTGTTTTAAAATGCTTTAAGCTGCAGAAAGTGGCGACACACGTGTGTTGTTAGTATTTTGATCGTAAAATTGTTTTTGAAATCTTTGGTATCTTACTTCCGAGTATCACCACAGTAGGGACTGTAAACTACTGACTACAGTAGATATCATAAAAGAAATTAAAACGGCGTTTATAACAAAATTCACTAGATATAAGTGACGCCGATTGTGGTCGATTTGTTGTAAAAGTGGCTTTAAAGACTTTAAATTTCGAACAGTTTAGCTAAAAGTAAAGTCGTATTAGTATTGTTTACTCACTTCGAATTAGCTAATTAATTGTAATTTAGATTCGGGTTTTTACGGCGGTAAAGGGCCAATAATAGGCCAAACGCCGTGCTGTTTTGATAGGATTACCGAGCGAGTGTGCACCAAAATAAAACTCAAGAACAAAGCCAATTTCCTCGACAAATGCCTCAATAATCCGGATTTCGCGCTCATTCAATGTTGTAGAACATGGTAATTTCGCAAAATTAATTTTTAATTAATTTCGAACTAATTTTAAACTAATTTTGAAACCAAATCTCAAACAAACAACATTATTCTGTCGAAAAGTTAACCCTTTAGGTATAAAATAATTTCATAGATCTGTACATAAAGCTTAATTTAAGTTTCGACAACAGCCAAAGCTCGGGATACTTCTTGGACTACAGTACCAATGTTGACAATGCCCTGATGTCTTCGGAAAAGTTTTGTCTGGACAGAAGACCCGACCAGTGGTGTGAATCATTCGTCAAAAGGTATTAACATATCAGTGTTCGTATTTGTGGTATGTAATGATACAACGTTCACGTCACAATGTACTTAACCTTTGTGCTTCTCCACCATGCTTAACATTATTCTTACCTCTACCACTCTAATATTATTTTTTATATCAACGTAGTTAATGTTAAATACTATGGGCAGTTATTAACGTACACACAACTGTTCGCTATTAAAACGATATTAAAGCTGACCTCTTAAATCCCCGCCGCATTTAGATTGGGATTTTGGAGTAATCCACAGTATAAACGCTACCATTGTGGCAATGTGCCCTTTGCCTTTAGGGTTTGCAGAAAATCCTGTGGATACTGTAGCCTGAGTCACGACCGCCAGACTATGGCCAGATACGATCATGATGTGGCCTCAGACCCCCTCAAATGTCACAACCCCGGTCATGGGCTGGCTTACAAAAGGGTTGACATTAAAATGAGTAAGTACACCTATTTTGCAAACTTTCTTATAATTAGAATTGGTGTTGCCTTAGGCAACCAGCTATTAACTTTGGCACTTTTAGAATATACTATGGTAAAGAGCAACAGTGTACTATGGTAGCAGAGTAAAAAAACGTTATCCTAGAATTATTTTTTTAACTAAACTACATAATATTTTGATGCAAAACTAAGCATAACATCCTTTTTCAGTATTCAAAAGATTGACCAGTCGCTTCGAAAAATATTTTCAATTTGAAAGTTAACTAAATCAAAGAAACTCACCGCCAAAACGCTGCCTTCCAATATCAACTTCAGCAGTTTAGGTAACAAATTGGCTCTCATCGCATCTCGATCGACCAGTTTTCCTATCGTTGGTACAATTGACAAACACAATTCCTAAACAATATTAATTAAATTTGAATAAAATAGGTAATAAATATAGTAAACATGTTTTCGTAAACAATATAGTCAACAAATGCAATTCCATACCTGAATTCGTGGATTGTCATTAGATAATGAGTTATATATCATAGGCAACACATGTTTCTTGACCTCGGCTTCTGGTGTCTTTTGCAAAAGTAATGGCATTTGTTGTAGAAGTAGTAATACAATCTGGAAAGAACTTTATAAACACTTCTATCATTAGATCGCTTAGAACTTGGCAACCGTTAAAATATATATAAGATAACGTAAATCCTATCTAAAACATGATCAAACAAAAGTAAATTTAAGGCGATAATCAACAATGTCTTACTTGATATGGTCGTTGCATTTGAAACACCGGAATAAGACAAGGTAATATGGTATCAGCAAACTCTTTATCACTAACTTGTTGACTAATATAAAACACACTCGGTAAGATAAAGGGTACCAATTCAACAGTACCAAATTGTTCTGAAAGACATGGGAGAACTTTTTGGACAAGCGGTCTTTTTGAAAAACTGATAAGCACATTAGGAAGGCCTTTGAAGAATGTCATCTTCTGAGCGTTATCCATCTGCATCAACGACTCTAGGTAGTTTAAGGTCTTCAAAGACGCGTGTTCGAACAATCGGGACTAAAACAATATTGTCACTAAATTTAATTCTTCGGTTTTAGTATTAAATGTAATGAGCACTTAACAAAGTTACCTTTGAAAGTTGAAAAGTGTCTGGTCGAAGTTGTTGGTTTATATTGAGACAACTTTTCAAATCATCTTTGTAGACTTCTGGAACGTTCGATAGCCAATAAGGAGTTCCACTGAGCTAAAATAGAAAAAATAAACTTTTTACAAAAAAAGCACCGTTTATGGCTTTTAAAAACCTTAAAAACAATAAGATTTTATACCTAAATTATCAAAAAAAGCAATAATTCTTATACTTACCTTGTCAATGTCCTTCTTGTAAGTGTCCATATTCCCTCGTGATTTAATAACGCTTTTATTCTTGTTAAATACTGTCGCCGCTAACAATCCAAATGAAAAAATATCAGCACTTTGATCAAATTTCATACCATTCACAGTCTCAGGTGAAGCAAAGTCTAGATTCGGTAGAAAAGCTGAATTCAGGCTTCTGTTCCACTCGAAAGGCTCACATACAACTTTACCCTGCCCGTCTGATACACCGTTTATACAGAAATCAAACCCGGCCAACTTCCAAGCACCTTTAGCGTTAATTATGACAGAGTTAGGACATAAATTACGATGAAGTATCTTTGCGTCGTTATGAAGAAATGTCAAGGCTTCTGAGAGCTAAAACCAAATCACTTATCACATTTGAAAAAAGTAACGTTTAATAACATGAATGTTCAGTTCAAGCTATATTTGAAAAATATCATCTAGACCTTAACGTAAAACTTGACAATATTGTGCTATAAAACTTTACCTGAAACAACCCGTGTTCTACTTCAATATTCTCAAAAATAAAATTCTCTAAGTGATCTGGCCTTTCATTTAAATTCTCGGTATCCCCACACAAGTTAGACAGAGAAGAGAATATAGGTTCGGTGCAGAAAGCAATGTTATCTCGACTTTCTTCTAAAACCCTTTCTACAACTAGAAGCCGAGGATGTCGTAGTCTTGTTAGTTGACTCACACCTTTCTTCAACAACTCGGCAAACGCTTCTTTGTCTAGTTTTGGCCATTTATCTACAGTTTTCTTCTCAAATAACCAGATTGCGACTGCCTAAACACAAAATAACATCAATAAAACAATGTGGTCCTACTGAGAAAGACACCACAATACAAACATACCTGTTTTGTGCTATTCTTTGTGCCAGCGAATATTTTCCAGCATAACCCAGGCCCGGCGGTCGCAATCTGGCCTTGAACATCATATTCTCGAAATATTGGATTTCCAGGCAAAGCTTGTGTTACCTGAGCTGCCACTGAACTAACAGTCGACTTAAACTTATTTAAATAATCCATATACAATATAAAAACAATAAATTACACTTTAAAAAACAATAAATAGAAGTTTGCGAGTAAAATCTAACAAATATACGTTTTTGTTTGCAACGGAATGCCACAATGTTTTCCCAATGCCAAAGAGCGCGGAACAAAACAGAGAAAACGAAATTTTGTCGAATTTTGCAAAAATTTTTAGGGAATAGATTTTTTTGGGGGAAATTTTGATCGGAAAAAAATTTAGGCATCTTTGAAAGTTTAATACTTTATGATTATATTGTTGTAATCATTTCGTAAGTTTTTTATTTGAAATATCGTGATTTTACCGCGACGCATTTCGAATATAATATCCAATAACTATAGATAATATATTCGAATATAATATTCAATAACTATAAATAATATATTTAAATCTCCAATCAAAAGACAGTCACTTTATTTTTCAGCACTAGAAACACTTTGTGGTTTGTTAAAGTCGAGTTTTTTGATCATGATGTAGGCATCTGGATAGATGGAGCAGCTTTTGTAAAAGTTTTTCACTTTTTTGAACTTTTCGAATCCCATTTTGCGGTAGAACCTGATGGCTTTCTCGTTGGTCGTCATGACATGAAGGTAAAGGACGTCTGGAGGTTTCTCGGACTTGCTCATTTGATACATAATTTGTGCCATCATGAATGAAGCTAGTCCGCGACGTTGATGTGAAGGTTGGATGGCGATGGTGGAGATATAAGCGCACTGAAAAGGTAAGTGTATCAAAGTAGGATATGTTGAAAGTAAGTGCAAAGTATTACCTTATAGTTGCTGAGCTTGGCAACCTCCGCGTCTTCTGGAGTGTACCGTAAGCCGTACAAAGGAGAGTGGTAGTTCTTGATGATAAAGACAAAGCCGTTCAGTCCAATTGGGCCGAAAATGCTCAAGTGATCATGCTCTCCTTGGGTAATGCATTCACAAAAGTATCCTAATGGGTAATTTATCGGAAATACTATATCGCTCAGTCTGTAAATAGCTTTTTATTATTTATCTTACTATTACCAAAAGCTTCTTGCTCGTTCAATTAAAAATTTCAAATTATTAAAATTAGGAGAAAGGTATTTAAAACAGAATGGCGACAAAAACAAGTACAATATAACAAAAAATGATACGTTGATAATGTTAATTATAAACATATAATTGTTTAAAAAGCAGGTTATGTCAAAAAGTATTACGCTTTCACGGCCTCTACATCCTGAATTACCAATGGACGCAAAACTACCGGGAAATCGACCGTAGTCATGGAGTTTGTTATACAAAAATGGCAGAAATTTTATTTTACGAAAGAAATTACGGTTTTGTGAAATTTCAATTTGTGCGACACTCCACAGAATTATCAAAATCACAACTGTTCGTGTTATATATCACTCTTTTCCGTAAATTTGGGATACAATTTTTTATTTTTGTCAAGAGTGCTGCGCGACACAGGTGGTCCAACCATCTAGTCATTTCTACTTTATGATGTATGCTATTTTTATTCTAGCTTATTTATTGATTTAGATATATATTATTAACACTTCGTACATCATGGCAACATATAACCTTTGGTTTATATTTTTGTTTTACATAATTGTGCTACTGTCTTTAAGTTTTTTGTCATTAATTGAAAGACTTAACACTCCAGATTGTACCAAACAGCAACGCCTATAATTAATATAACTTTCTGTAAATTTAAAATATGTACAGAAATATCAAGGTAAATGTTATATATTTACAAAAAGTACTGTAATCTCATTATTACAGTAGCGAGATCTATTTTCCGATATCATCGATCACTGAGGCCACGGTTTTGCCATTTAGAGCACCATTTAGAAAGACTTTCTCCATGAGTTTGGGTACAGAAGCGGTTCGAAGCGGCGGTAGAAGCAGTAGCAGCTTCCCAAATCTGGGAGAAGTGCCTTCCTTGTTACAACTATGTTGTTGTAGCATGGCTTGAGCTTGGTCTTGGAGTCGTTCAACTTGAGCGTTGTTTCGGAGACCTCTGATTTCTGTAATTTTTATTGTAAACTTTAGGTACGGTGTTTTCAGTAAAGTGTAATATTGTCAGAGCTTATTACAAGGGGGTTTCTTATGTTTTGTTTGCTTACCTGGTTTGAATAGTACCAATGCTTTCAGACAAGCAAGTTCAGCTTGATCTGGTGATCTTGTTTTAAACAGTTCAAAGAGAGTGACTAGCGGTTTTATCAAACTGGACTGGGCCGTTCCTTCGAACAAAGGACACTTGTCCATCTCCATTGACCATTGGAAGGCACTCAAAAGAAACAGTTCAGGCCACGCGTTCTCCAATAAGGTATTCTGAAAGAGTACTTATGGTTACTGGTCAAAACACTTTTTGATTTCAAACTTTGTTATATCATGGTATAAATAAGTATGCTAGGGTAATTCGCTATCTCCTCAAACAGCCTCTTCTTTACCTGATCTTGCAATTGGAGTTGCGCGAAGCTGGGCAGTGCTTTGGCCCATTTGATGGCCATAAACAGTAACCTCGAGGATACTTCGGGATTGGTGTTTGCACTGAGCTCTTTCAATTCTGAATCCAGCGAACTCTTGCAACTTTTCGAATTCAAGTCGAAGTTGACATTGTTCAGGTCGACCGTGGTCGATAACACACTCGGGCACTCTTGTAGGAAGTTGGAGTTGTAGAAGTCCGCTTCCACCGGATTCTGGATTGTGGCCGTGTTTCTGGGTTGTCGTTCGTTTTGTACAGCTGGAACAGACACAACTGAGGATGCATGGGTTGGTTACCGTGCACTTACCGTCCTTGTTCATCCCTTTGGCCAGACACTTCTTCAGACGGCATGCCTGACATTGGTTCCGATGGGCTTTATCTACTACACATTGGCCAGTCCCGGCTTGACAACGGTAGATCAGACGTCGTCGGACACTTCTTTTGAAGAATCCAGAACACCCGTTACAGGCTAGAATACCGTAATGCTTGCCACTAGAGACGTCGCCACAGACGGCGCACGATAACTGGGCTCCAGAAGCATTGACTGGAGTGGGGGAACGGGAGCGGGGTGAGCTGGCGTTGAAAGAGTTCACGGAGATTGTGGTGCCGTCATTTACACTACTAAATAGTAATGTCATTCCAAGGAAATGTGATTATTTACAAACTTTTGTTGCGACTTTGCTATTGTATACGTATTTCTAACGTTTACTGTCAAATAAATTACTATAGTAGTAGTCTTTTTACGATTAATAAACGTAAACGGTACTTACCATCCGCTCTTCTGATTGTAGGCATTTACTGCAGCTGACATGGCGGCTATGTTTTGCATGTACGATGCTGAAAATACTTTGTAAAGAAAGAACTACAATCATAAGTTTACTGTAAGATAAAGTTATTTGCATTACACAAAACTAGTTACCTTGGTTGAAGAAAGGCATGGATCCGCCGAAAAGTTGAGAATAGTTGGGCGGGGGTATCCTCAAGTTGCTGTTCATGAAAGGCGACGAACTGAACATGGCACTAATGGCGGCCGAGATCTGAGGATCAGACCCGTCTTCTGGAGACGACGACCGTCGATCGCCTCCAGATTCTCGACTTGGAGACACGGAGTCGATGTGGGGGGATTCTGAAGACTGCTCCGTGAAGCCCATGTTGACTGGACTGGCTGGCGTCGTCTTCTCTGAAGGAAATTAAAAAGTAATCTTTCGAATTTTGGGATTAAGAGGTAATGATTCTGGTGCCGGAGGGGGTCTCCTCAGGCCTCAAACGTCTTCGGCTCAAGAAAGACCAATTAAGGGATTGCCGTGACGTCGAGGGTGAGTTCTTTTGATTTCTGTGGATTTACAGAGTAAAGGTAATCATGTTATGACTGCCACTGAATGTGTAATGTGTGTGGTAAGATTTTATTTACTGACGATGTAAAAATAGATGTCAACAATTTTAAGAATTAGTTTTAAAGACAGAATTAAAATTTACGATAGGTAAAATGAAGTAGACGAGGCTTACCGTCAGTGAGATGCTTGAGCGAGAAGTTGAGCGGCTTCTCCTGATCCTCCGCCATATACCGTAACCGTGGGGGATCTGGCTTCCGGAAGCGACGTAACCAACAAAAATTGAAAGCCAAGAGAAGCCGGCCGAAGACGGTCCGCCACTCCAAAAGGCTCTAAAATTCAAAAACTGAATCCACAAAAACAAGAAGCGCCTCAGGGATGGCTGGCTTGCCCTCAGGGGTGTTTGGTTCGTAGACACAAATTGGGGTATCCGTTCGGGCCTTCTCAAAGGCCAAAACACAAAAAACCTCCCCTTCTGAGTTGGCGTTTGCCGCGCCCTCATTGGCTCCGGAAGTGGCCCCGCCCTCTTTAGGGGGTGCTTTAACGAAAGCATGCCGCGATTTTTGACCGTAATCCCGGAAACTGTGGTAATGTGAAATGTCAACAATAGTCGGTGTGATCGTGACATTGACTACGAACTATTCTCTTATTGTTGTGTAAATAGTAAAGCTGGCATGCTATCTTACAATACTATTTGTGTATCACAAATGTTTAGTCAACAATGTATGAATTGTAGGATTTACTATAGTAAAAGTTATTTCAAAATAAGGTTTATTTTAAGGTTTTATGTTTTAAAGAGTAGAGTTTGGATTCTTTTTGTAATTACTTTGTAAGGAACTGAAATAAGCTAGTTATTCATACATTTAAGTCATCAAAAAGCTTACGCTAACTATTTTTTTAATTGAACTGTTACCTTCTTCTACATAAATACCTTACAATCAAAAGCCGTCTTAATCAGATTAATTTTTTTAGAAATTCTTTTAATATTGCCACTTTACAGTACTATAAAAACTTCTATCTCAATAATAAGTCACCCCCTCATTTGAAACCGATGCTGTTGTAATACCTATATAGAGCCTCGTAGAAGCTGTTGTACGTAACTTGTGACGCCACGAACGACTTCTGTTTATTAAAGCCATTTAATTTTTCATCTTGCTACACGCAATTCGAATGCGACATTTGCGACGTCAGGATTGTCGGTCTGAATCACGCACATTAATTACCTGACTTTTCGTTGTTTGACCTCGGGCAGTGTCGTGCAAAAAATGTCACATTTGATCGATTACGTGTGCTTGTTTGCGGATTCTTTGAAAGTTGCTGAGAAATTTGTAAAATTTTTTGCGAAAATTTGAAGCTGCGAAGTTTTTGAAATTTTGAGTGAATTTGGAGGTTCGATATGACTGTCTTATTGTAGTTATGTTAGATTTAAGCAATCTGAGCTTTTTTCTTCTTTAGTTTTATAATTTTGACTCATTCTGAAGATTCACAATTATTTTTTTTGTAAATTAATAGTGTGAATTACTATGTGATAAGTACTGAAAGAGGTCAGGAATTGTAATCAAATTTTGCCAGGATAACTTTTCAATGTAATTTTACGACCATGTAACCTAATAACTGCATTAAATGTCACAAAACGACTGCCGGAAGGAAGTGTACACAGGTGAGACGGGCATCGCCCGGATGGGCTGGTTCATCCGTCAGAATATCCCTTTCGGCCGTTTGTGTCGCAATAAAACGTTAATCAGATTTGTGGCCAGCGGCACCAAGAAAGGGCGGAATAACCTCTTCTCCTTTCAATTTGGCCCATGCTCAGATGGGTGCGCGGCCGAGTGCCGGTCTCTAAAAAGCCGGAGGGCTTTAACGAGGTTACCTCGCAGCATTCCGTCGAAAATTGAATCCCGCGAATCTTGTACGCCACTCACGAAGAAGGCTACGGTGGGTCAAACCAGCAAACTCGCCTCGGGGGACTAATTTGGGGTCGGAGAAGGGGATCGACTGGTTAATTACTAGCTATCAAAACTGAACTTACTGTGTGATTTTATTAGGCTTGTTAACATTGAGGCACTGATTATGATACAACACACTGTTTGGCCTGTCATTGTAATAAGAAATAGCATTGTATATGACTTAAATATTTATAATTTTTTTTCATATGTATCAAGTACAATATCTACCTACAGTAACGCCTTCTGAAGATCTTTTTACAGTACCAACCTAAGAAGCGGTAATTAACGATGACAAGTACACAGAATAATCACAAAAGTTGACAGAATCAATAATTGCTTCTCGATAACGACCGTGTTATGGCCTGTCGCTAAGACGGTAATGGTGTAAATGACATCCAAGAAAAACAAATTATGTTATTTTCGTCTGGACTTCTTGGCCTATCATCTCCCAATTTACATAATTACCGGGCAAATTGTCATACAGTAACTGAGCTTTACAACAGTTGTTGTTGGGTTGTGCAAAGTTATGGTGACATGCTCAAAAAGTAGTGTCACTCGTAAATATTGTGGTGTAGTAGCTTCACTTTACTTTATTTACTGAATCGATCAATAATCAGAAGCGTAAGATCATATCAAATTCAAACATAACAGCATCTCTTGATCTCTTCTGTGAAGGTAATCATCAAAAAGTAGTTTCATCCGGAAATATTGTGTTGTAGTAGCTTTGTATATTGTACAAAGTGTTTTTAAACGAGTCATATACCTATATATTACTAAAATGGCATCACAGGATGCCGATATACATAAAATATCTCCCTCTATACCTCAGTAATGCGTTTACGACTAATTCGAACAAAACATTTACACAATGACAGATGTGGTGATCACGCCTCGACCGGTCGTTGTAAAGTCATCGAGGTAACAAGTGCCGCGAAACTCAAATGCGCGGAAGATGGGATTCAATTACAGTCGGACAGTTGGCCACATTTTCATTAGTTTATGATCCAACGCTCTTAATCCCCGGCTAAGTGCCGCGCGATGCGAGCTAGTCCACTGGGAATGGCATGCCCTTTCCGCGACTGTTATGTCATCACAACGAGTTAATCCGATATTAAAGTACCATGCTATCCAAACTTGAAGGAAACAACAAATAATTTGAATAGACATTAAAATGCATAAAGTTTAAAGTTTTTTGAAAAGAAATTGATGATAGATTTGAAAATGTAAGAAAAAAGAAAAGTAAAAACTGTGAAGTAACATCAGAAAACACTTTCAACTAAAAACAATGGAAGTTGAAAAAGAATCTAATAAAATTAAAAACCATAAAAATTAAAAATCATAAAAATTAAAAAATTTCTTAGAAACTTAGAAATACAATTTTAAAAGTTGTTTTGCGAAAAGAATATATCATTTTGATCACCACTTAAAAATATAAAATTTTAGTATAATTACTCTTATAAACCGTCTTGCCCAAAAATAAAATCGTTTTTTGAGCTTCATAAGAATCTAATTTCAAAAAAACTTTTATTGGATATACTAAAAGTTTTATGGTAAGAGAACCAGAATGTTTGTTCTAAGCTGGATCTGCAATGAATCATACAAAAGGTCGGGTACCAAGCTTGATTTTCCCAATAAAAGTACAAAAAAGTCTTAGCCATTGGCTCCGATTTGCGAACTGAAGTTTGGAGTTTGCAATCAATGATAACATGGATTATACAAAACTGGATTGCCTCTTTGATGGTGTGTCTTGGTTATTGTTGAGAAGGTGAAAAGCAAATCACTATATTTGTTTATGCGGTGTCGCTTATAACATTGTCCCTCTGTAAACATTGAATTAACATAAAGTTCAATACAATGATGAAAAATTCACGTTGTGCACACTTACGTTATTTAAAATTAAAAAAGTAAAGTTGAAATTAAAAAGTGTATTTATAATGTTTTACTTTTATATATAACATTTTTTAGGTATTGCACAAATTTATGTAGAGAATGATTTTAGGTACCCCATGCCCTGGCATAGGGCAGGACACAGAACTTTGATCTATGGAAGGGCACGGCATGTTGAACCAGTAGATCCTTCAGGACATTAAGCATTTTTAAAAAATGAGCTACAAGTCAAAGGCAGAGCGTCAATTCCCTGCTTTCCTCACAAAATGTCCTGTAACGGCTTAAAACGCCCTGTGCTGTGTCCAAGCCTTATATGGTCGTACCTTCATTTGGCACCAAATTTACCTAATTTCAAAAATCTTTCCTTATTTACAAAAAGCATTACTCCAACTTCAATAAAAGAGTTACAAAAGCAGTTGGATTCACATGCAAATTGTGAAAGATGTTATTCAAAGATCGGAATGTATAAAGTACTATAACTTGTTTTACTCGACCCCTCATTAGCCATCGAAGACGTGTACTTCAACAAGATCATTAACATTTGGGCCGAGACAGGTGAAAGGGAAGCGCATCTCTCGTTAATTAGGAACAGCCGGCTATGTTACCCGAATTCAGGTGTACTAGTCGAATATCTTTATATATTAGTATAAGTTATATTTAAAACCTTTCAGTGCCACTTGTTATGTCAGTGAAAGAAATATACCTAAAAGATGTCCCCTTTCAACCACACTTCTATAGTGTATTCCTCAACTTGTGTGCCAAACTTTGCCTTAAAATTCTTAAATTGTAAAACCGAATGTGTAACGCAGTTTAACATACCAACAATACCAACATGATACTGTTTCCGTAATTACCGAATTGTAGAAATGTAACTTGTTTTTCGTATTTCTTTAAGTTTTCTCGACTACAATTCCGTTTCTTATACTCTCTTGATGTGGTAGCCACCTGACCATCCTTACCGTACCCGCGACGAGAGAGCGTGGTAAGAGAAGGATGGGCTCTTCACATTATTTGCCTCAGGGCCTTTCATTGCCACAGGCGAGTGTAGTTGTAATCTCGTTGCCAAACATTATTTGTCAGTAATTATTGTCGAAATTGAAAGTAATTGTTGTTTATATACAATTACATCGCGGTCTGCCAGTTGATGGTCGATAGCAACGATCTCGTATATACATACTTTACAGCAGGGTTTATAGTTGTACAGTTGTCGTCCACTTCCGCATAATTTGTTGTAGCTGGCAATGTAACGCTCGGAGTGGGTGTTGTATAAGTCAAAATGACATCTGTAGTATATCTAACTGTCATGACATTAGAGTAGGTATTAGACAAGTAATAAAGATCGTATAGTTACGAATTGTACCCCATGCTGACTCGATACCTATTTACGTTGTGTATATTATATTTACTGCTACCATATTGCTTATTTATTATCCCGAATCAAAGTCACGCATTTGTCTCAGGTTTGTTATTCGCCTGAGGGACCAATTGGCTAATTACAATTACTCTCGGTTCCAGTTATAATGAGTCGGTATTCAAAACATAAATATGCAAATGTGTGATTTCAGAAATGAATGGCCACGAGTTCAGCGAGTTCTGGCCTCCCAATCATGCGTCATCCCTCTTCTACCACAACAACAATAACAACAACCTCAACATGACGTTTGCCGAGAACCAGAACAATTTAATCAGACCCAGCGAAGAAGGTATGGTAATTTTTATTGTTTTTTGAGGTGGTTTTTAATGTAGGTGTTTCTAGTATTTCATTTTCATCATAATATTACTTTATAACATAGTTTGAAGCTTGAGTACATATTAAGCTATAAAATTGTAATTAAAATGCTATTACAACATTTCCAGAGCAGCGACCTTCAATGGAGAACGCTCAGAATCACGGCCAAGCGAACAACTCGTTTCTGCCCGAAAATATCTTCAATGGATGTCATAACGAACAACAGCAAGCTCAGTTCAACACCTTTCAGATGATGGGGATGGATGCTGCTTCATCCGCTGCCCAACTCCTAGCTGGTATTCAACATCACAACTTGAGCAACTTTCAGCATTCTGGTATGTTTTCAGTTTTAAGACAACTTAACATGACACATAACATTTAAAATTTTTTTAATTCGTGAGACTAGCGTTAACTTTTACTTCTTATATTACTGCTTTTTCACTTTGTGTTATCTTTTCCTATTACAATCCTTAACAAAAAGTTTACTTGATCACTTTAAAAAACCAAGAACATTGCTGTTATAGCCCTTCCGTCCTCATTCATGCACCTCAATCTCCACGCAGCTGCTGCAGCGTGTGCCAAAGAGTACAATACCACAGAAGCACAAGTCACACGACATTCGCCTGTAGCCATGTTCGACCTCGACCATCAGATAAACACTACAAGTAACAGGAACCAAGTGAACCAAGACCTGGACCGGCTGCTGAGCCAGTCCAGAGCCCACTCCAACAATTCTGACATGCCTGAACTGTCACATATGCCAATAAACGAAGAACAGTCATCTCAAAACGCCAATAACATGCAGCAGAACACACTACAACCGCCGTCCTCAGAAGCAGAGAACGTTATCAGTCCGATCTTTTCCTTGAATCCCTTCGAGTCTCAAGCACCGTTAGTGAACCAGATAGATATGATGTTAAACCACATGTCACAGCCACCTCAAGGTAACATACACGAGATAGATCATGGGTTTGGGGCGAAAGATATAACGAATGACAAGGAAATGCTACGGAATCACGAGAAGATGGCGTTCGACAGGAAGAAAGTGAAAGAAGAACATTTCCAGAGGGAGAAACTGTAAGTTCTTTCTATTACATGACTCTTCCTTTCCTACTACAACATTATATTCAATATAACTTCAGATCAGGCAAAGATTCTCGAAACAACAGCCCTCCAGTATGTCAAGTATGTTTGTCTGGACCGTCCAATGGACTACACTTTGGAGCTCCACGAACATGTGCAGCTTGTGCCGCCTTCTTCAGGCGGACAGTCAGCGATCAGAAGAAGTACATCTGCAAACGACCTCAACGATGTAATGTCAAGTTCTCTGAGAGTAAGTTACCCATCCTTCTGGTTAAAGCTTGTTTTAGCTGCTGGTTACAGGAAGATCTGTCGGAATTGTAGGATGAAACGATGTTTGGAGATCGGAATGTCGCCAGAAAGTGAGTTTATTTCAAATTAAAATAAGGTACCTATAATAATGTGATCTAATATTGAATAAGTTATTATTCCCATACTGATCTCTGCTTTATCTATCCGATATCCACTTCAGAAGTTCAACACAAGCGAAACCGAAGAGAATACATGTCATTCCGCACGAAAATGGAGCCGAAGCCGGCCAATGAAATGCTATCTCTCCCTCACAACTTCTCGCAGATGGAGCACAATGCCCATCTCGAGAGCGTCTCCAGCCTGCTCCCTCCCAATCCCTGGCCAACTATGAACCAAGTCGGCTTCTCCGGTCTATAACAATATAATGTAGATGATTTTTTGGACACGAACGGTTGAAAGACCTTGCAAATGTTTATGTCAAATCTTTTGTAAACTTCTACAAGTTTAATATTGGACTAAAGGTGCAGTATAGCAAAAGGCAAAAGCTGCAGTTTCAGATATTTATAGCGCGCAGCATTATAGAAAACCTTATGGCCAAAACTTAACTTTAACTGTGTTTATATTTTTTTGAAATAACTATCGCTGTTCTCAATGTTTCTAACCCCTTCTACTGTAACATTATTCACAAATATTTATTATTACTAAATAAAAGACACAAAGTGATAAAGTCAACGGGATAATTCATGTTTCTCCACCACAACCACAAAACACAGTTACTAAAAAACATGTTGTAGTTGTGGGGAGAGCATGTAAAGTGAAATCCAAAGTAATTCTTGTAAAATGACCGGTTTATGATAACAGACGAAAGCAGCGTTTGAAGAACAAGTGTAATATAATCAAAGAAAATATACTATCATGCAAAATATAACCGAAACAGGTGAAGAATAACTAAAAAAAGATGGTGAAAGGACTCGAAATTCTAAAAATATTTTACATTTGATAAGAGCACGAAGTGTCACATTCAGTTGTGACACTTCGTTCTTGAACAGGTTTTTGTTACATTTCGGCGATCGAAGTCTCCGAATCCTTGCGGACTGGAGCAGCACCCATAATGGAATTGTTGTGGAACAGTTTGTACCAGCTCTTGATGGGCTGTTGCATCAAGTTGAGGTCGTCTAGTCTGATGAGGACACATCCCATGTTGGCCTTTCTTTCCATTCGGCCGTAATCTCCTAACACTGTTACCTAAAACAATGTAAGTTAATATGGTTTTAAAACTTAAAGTTGAGTTTGAGTGCATGTTATTGTAGTTAAATATGAATTTTAAGTATAATGTTATCCAAAGTTAAATTACCTGAAGCATTTTATGCTTGAAGCTCTCGGCAAACGAGAGTTGTTGGTTAAATAGAGGAGCGGTTGTTTTCCTAGCCGGCTGTGTTTTTGCCTTTGCCACGCAATGTTTTCCTTGCATCAGGTACACTTTCACATACGGTGCTGTAATTTTAATTGTTAGTAATTTGGAAATCTTCAACTAGTCACACCAATTTAACGAAATTCTAATGAGCGTGAAGAAATACTGGATCCTTGATCATTATTCGGAAATACAACAAAGTAAGTTACCTGGATTGAGTTTAGATCCTGGTCGAATGACAAGGTTTTTGGCCCTTATCACATCCACAATCAGGCAGCCTCCGTTCATCCCCAAGCCAACTTCTATCTCGCCCAGAACTGGACTAGCCAGGACTTGTCGTCCAACAACCTGGCCTGGGCCGAGGTCCTCCATAAAGTGGCCTAACATTGCGTCTGGCATGATGGGTTGCCAACTAAAGTAAGGTTTTAGATGTTTAACATAGGGCAAAAGTTATCATTATGGTAAATCAAAACAAAAAAAATATTTTAATATTACGTGGAGGAGTTGTCCGTCATAACATGAATACTTACTTGTCAGAAGAGTCAGTGGAGTCTTTACTGGATTGTTTCGTGAAAGGAACGCCAACTACATCTCCGTTTGGATTGCCTAGCGAGTCAGGGATACCCACTTCTTCTGATCTCGCGAAGCCAGTTCGTTTGGCATCTGAAGAAATGGAATTTTGAAAGAGGACTAGGTTAACAACAACTTTATAGGATCAAAAATTACCATTAACAGCGTTTCTGCCAGGTATCAATCGTGTCATCAAGCTTTTCTTCCGTTCCTTCATAGCTAGCTGGATGTTAGACTGGGCCTGCATGGGAGGGCCTCCATTGCTTCTGACTCTGTCATCCACACCATTCATTTGATCTCCATTGTCTTCAACGTCATTCAATCCTCTCATGTCCATTCTCACTGTTCGGCCGTTCGCTCCTCTGGACTGATTGTAGCTGGCGTGGTTATCGTAGAAGTGATGCCTAGGTGAATATGATTGTATCTCTGGCTGGTCGTAGTTGTTCTGTTGTTCTCTGGACTGTTGTTCTTCTCGTTTCTTTTGCATACTTTGTGCTGAGTTGGCACTCAAAGTCTCGGACCCATCAGATCCGTAGCCTGCGGCACTCTGCTCCATGACCGTCTCACATTGTCGGTTCTTATATTGTTGTTCCGGGTTTTCTGGGTACTTTTGGTAATTCTGATGGCGAGGAATTGGTGGCTGTTCTTGCTGATCTGGCGGCAATTCAGAATCCATATGCTGAGGGTAGGGCCCTTCTTCGTGGATCGGCTGACTTCGGTACGGATTCCGAGCTTCGTAATCGTGAACTAAAATAATTCATTATAAAATTCAATTCTTCATAAAATTACAGTTGGCTTTATATTTAATATTGGTTTGAAAGTTTTACTCACCGTGCCTAAACCCAGTAGCAGATTTTGGTCGTCTGTTGTGATTCGGTGCCACCCGTGAGTATTGACCGTAGTCAGAAGCGTATCCATTGTTGAATTCAGGATAATCTCGTCGTTCCTTTCGTCTTCTACCGTCTATCTGGTCGTCGACAAAGTCACGAGGATGTCTATATTGAGCACCAGTCATCTGTTGATAGTCGTAGTCTCTGCGATGTCGTATATCGTCGTGGTTGGCTGAATGTGAGCGATAACGATCTTGTGGATAAGTTGATAATTTTGTTCGACGTAACCTCTGTAATGTGTCCGTTTAGCTAGTTTTTAACCATAAAAATGCAAAAAATCTTCTAATCATAATAAAGTAAATAAGCTACTTACCATTTTTATAGGATTCTCGTCGTCCATATCGAGCAAAGGATATGAGAAGTGTTGGTTGTCGAGTAGAATGTCATTAAGGTCAATAACTGTCTCTCCGAGGAAGTCGTGGCCATTATATTGGTCGTAATCCCATACTGTCAATTCCAAACATCTTCGTGATAACTCAGTAGATGTCAACGAGTAGTAGTAAAAGCACTCGTTCCACGATGGATTCAGGCTTTCGTATATTACTTTAGATTGTCGCCGACTTTCTTCGCTTCGGTCCGGGAGCAAAAACAGTTTGACGAAGGGATTCCGTGCTGTGCCTGAAGGACGAGGAGGGAGGTCGATAGCGTTGTACACCGTGACAACTAGTTCTTGTTCATGGTTCAGGTATAGTAACGACACTTCTATCTTGCCAAACAGCTGGCCAGAAGGAAGCGGTTTGTCGTAAGGAACCCGTGGAGGCAGGGGAACTTCTGCAGATGCTGAAATTCATTTTTATTAGTGGTACACTTAAAAACGATATAAATATGATAGATTCACTTACCAGGATCGTATTCTATAGGGTAAATAGGGTTGTGAGATAACATGGACTTTGAGTGAGGTATACGGTAATAGTCTGGAATGTGAGGATACGGAGATCCGGCTGAAATAAGGTTAAGTTAAGTATAATATCACAAGTTTTACACAGAACAATAAAATTTTATGTGACGCACAATAAAAGTCTACTCTAGTCATTTATGTAGGAGTGATATTGTGGGTGGTTTACTTTGGGTCACTTACTTGGAGGCCCGTAATCAGAGAAAGCGACTGGCGATGCGTGAGGAATTGTAGGCAAAACTTTACGACCGACGTTCAGGAAGTCGTCATTACCAGGGTAAATGGGTCGAGATACGATCAGTTCTATCTTGGGACAATGTTTGGAGTTGTTGATGATGTGATATACTCCATCGTGAGTCAGATTCTGTAAGGTTTCTCCATTCCATTCGAGCACTTCATCTCCTAAAATACGATTTTACTCCACGCAACTTACTACTATAATATATTCAAATATGCAAGTATACGTCTTCATATTAAACTCTTACCTGCTCGAAGTTGTCCTACATAATCGGCAACCGAGTTTGGTTTTACAGCGGTAATGAAAGCTCCCAACCGACCGGTCGAGGAATGTCGCCCTCCAATTACTTTCAGACCAAGATCTCCAGAGTCTTCTTCTGGTCGATGCAGTACGATATGACCGATCAGACGACGTTGATCTGCTGAAGGCTGCCATGATACCGGTTGTTGTAGGAAGTAACGTATCCGTGTAGCTAGCGAGTTCACTGCCTGGCTACTCATCGGAGCAGAGAATTGATTTAGTGCTGGGGTGGAAGTTGATTGCACTTCATACAACCCTAACCTTGACCCGGGAAGCGACGTACTGTTCAAACCTGACAGGCTTTGATTACTTTTCATGCCAAACCTACCATGAGGATGTTTGTTGAATCTGTTTTTGCCATATATGTACTTCAGAAGCTCTGAAATTAAGTCGGATTAGATAGAACAACGTTTGTCGTTTTTCTTTGTAATGTTTTTATTTACAGTAACGTAGTAGATACTGCATATAGTGGTGTCATGAATATTTACCTTTTTCCGAGAAGTCGGGCTCGATAACCGAATGCCTCCGGGCCGCTGAGGAGACGCCTTCGTCGTCTTCACTTGAAGACAATGAACGGATTTGTCTAGAATAGCTCTTATATTATTCAAGATAGCGTTAAGGTTACTCAAGATAATATTATTCAAAGCAGTTTTGAGGTTACTCAAGATGGTATTGCTTAAGACAATTTTAATTTTACTCAAGACGGTTGTAATGGCCTTCAAGAGGGTTTTCAATGTTACTCTAAACAGCACGGTTGCCAGAGCTACCGGAGCTAATTGATAAGACTGTTGATTACTGAAATGCAGCACCTGTTTCGTCCTCAACCCACTTTCCCACCGAATGTAAGAAACCAACCTTGACAGTTTATTTCGCCGGACTCGGGATCCGCCATGCAAAACGATGGGACCAACCGGTTTTTGCGGCCGCGTCTCCGTTCCCAAAGGTACTGGAGGGACTTGCGGAACGCTCGGAACGGTCGAATGCGACGAGTCTGAAATAGAAAAACGGTGTTCACATATTTATGTATGCGTATGAATACATCAGTGTGGGCAGTGATATAAAAACATAAAGTGTAATGACTTTGGCGACCGAAAGAGGTAAGTGTAATATTACGAGGCCCAAAGGCGGAGTATTTACTGAGGGGGAAGTTAATAATAACATCTGTAGCGCGTAATTGATATATTCAAAAAACAGCGGATTACGTAGTTTGATAACGTAAATAAACCCCTCTGTAATTGAAGCAGAAAATGGCTACTGGTAGGAGGGGTTTCAAGGATTCTGAGGGTGTAGTGTGGCAATTATATAAACAAGTTTGACTACTACATGGACCGGATTTTCTATTATTAAATATCTGAATTTGGATTGTTTTACAATCACCTAATCATAAAACATTAAAATATTGAATTCTAGACTCTTACCTATTCGTTCTTGGCGATGCTTCTTCTGCGGCCCCATCACATTGGGACTGTTAACTTTCTGATCCATCGGAATCCTGGAGGTGTCGCCGGAATCGCCACGGAAACGTGAAGCCGTCGGGTTGGACGAAGTGGGCCGATTCTCAACTGAAGGCCGACGCTGTTGAGAGGGGGGTTGCGTGCTGAAAGAGGATGGATGTTTAAGTGAGAAAGGGGAAGGGTAGTATCTTTCCTCCAGAATTCCTAAACGCTCTTCAAGTACTTCATGAATAAGATGAAATTAACGAGATAACAGTTAACTTCAATTTTAATTATCTTTTGTACTCGCATAATGCACCAGTTATTTATAGTACCACCAAAACAAAAGTGCGTTGCAAAATTCGAATTTATGACGAATTCCTTTGAAGTCACGGTTTTGTCATTCAAAATCATTTTTAGTTGGACTATTATGATAGTTTCTCAAAACAAACGTGATGAAGATGGGTACTCGAGTATTAAATTTTGGAAATACTTTTTGATTATTTAAGTACTTATGACATGCTTTTACCGACTTACAGTCTGTTTTGTTGCTGGGGACCCGTATTTTGTCGCGCAACTTGTTGCTGGCTCGGTGGCTGTTGCGCCGACGGCCGCCGGGTTGAGTTGTTAGAGACAGCCGGGGTGGGCGCAGCCTGCTGTCGCATCTGTGCGTTCGACGTGGACGGCTGACTGTGAACGGGCTGAGCCGGCTTGCTGACCACATTCGCGGGCCCCTGGTGAGCGTTTGGCACTGGACTGTGCTCTTTCTGTAATCCAAGTATTTATAACACGGTGGGTGTTCATGAGACGGAAAACGACCCTTTAGGCGCCCACTCAAACAACAACCCAAGAAGATGGCTCTTAAAACCAAATGAGATTAGACAAGATGCTCCACGAAGACTGCGAAACCGCCAGAAGGAGGCACGACGGCGAGAGTACGGCACGACCGGAATTCCGCTGTTTTTATTTTTTCTAATTTGATTCTGGAGCCGGAATTAGGATCACAAAAGAATTAGCGGATGACCAATGACCCATGACACAAGTTTTCTGAGGACAATTAGCAACAACTACAGTAAAAAGATTCAGTAAGATTGGGGTTACCTTCGTGTAAAAGAATATATTATGTTAGTAAGACTTACATCCATAGAAGGCTGGCTTTGCACGTGACCATTCCCTTCCAAAATGGCACCATTTGAGGGTGAGGTACCCCCGTTGATCGCCGGCTTCATACCACCAGTCGGGTCGTCGAAGCTTTGACCGTCTGATATGTCTGCGCCCTCCGCGCCGTCGCTGAAATTAAATAATTAAGCGAGCAAAACAAAACAATTATTCTTCACGTTTAGTGCCGCAATTTGGACGTTTAATTAACGGCCGAGGGCTGCTGATGCACTATCAAACCCCAATCTCATTAGGCTAAAATACGGTTTTGTAGGCAGTGTTGGCAACTTACTATTGCGGCATTTAAAACGTTTTAAATCTGGTAAAGTAAATAAAATGGTTATTTATAATATTAGGAAGCGGCTGCCAGTTAAAAAATGTTCTCTACAGATTATATAATGTAATACCACATAAAATTTAAAAACATTGCATTCGACTTACGGCTGATTTGATTGGAACCATTTCCCGGTCTTAGCGAGGATTTGCTGCCGTTTCTGGCACGTTGAGCACGCCCAAATACTCTATAACATTAATCATTTTACGAAAACAGTGGCTTAAAGTTTGACTGGAACAAATTTCGAAATTCACACTCAAAAACGCACGTTGTCTTAGCATCTACTTCTTTTTAATGATGTTGTACTTGTAATGAAGTATAAGGAATTAACTTTCCTTTCTGGTAAAGTTTATCGACTTACTTTGTTTTTACTGGTCGTTTTGCCTCCACATCGTGCACACGATCGTAGTTGACAGTAGAAGCATTTGTGGCCGATCCCGTCAGCAAACTTGGTCTTTTGACAGATTTGGCAGATGGCATCGCTTTGGGTACCTACAAGTTTCTGGGCGTTCTCTTTGCGCTCGTTGATCAGCCGTTCGATGTCTTCAAGCTCCTTGTCGGCTTTTCTGAAAGTCAAATTGTTTTACTGTAATATAAATTCAAAAAAATGTAATTATCAGAACTCTTCTAATACTACTCTGACCTTCCTTTGACAAGGATAATATTCCTCAAAAAGGTAATGGACCTACACGGCGATCTCCTGCTCCTTCTCCTCCTCGGCTCGTTGTCGTTGGAAGACCTCCTCGATGATGGCTCGCTCTTCGGCACTCAGATGAGTCAAATCCGGCATCATAGCTGCCGCATCCGGGATCATTCTTCTCCATTCAGATGGTTGTGTTGTGGCAGACTATGTTAATTACTAAACCCAAAACCCTAATTCAGTCGACCAAAACCCTGCAAAACACGACATTATTCATGCCACTCTGGCAGTGCTTATCGACCGCTGACAGTATTTATCACGCGCTGACATTATTTATAGAATCGCGGCGGAAATCTGTCAAAAGAATTATAGTAATGAGTAATATGTGTAATGTAACAACAGGAAATTTGGCCATAAAACGAGGGAATACGCTTTGTTTGGGCTACTAAATTACTGGAAATACAGTAATTTTGAATTTTAATAAAATTTAAAATAAAAAAAAAGTTAAATAACTAATATGAAATTTGTGTATCACAAATAAAGAAAAAATAGATAAAGCTAGCTGAAAAGCAAAAATATAGCAAAAAAACGTTAAAATACTATTTCGAAAATCAAAAAAAAATATTAATTTTCACAAAAATGAATAAAATTTGAATAATTTTAAAAATTCGAAAAATTTCAATTTTCAAGAAGCAAGCTTTCCATAAATCGGTCATTTACAATTTCTAGCATCACAGGGAACAGTCGGGCGGAATGTCGAAGAAAGACTGTACGCTGACGACGAATACGACCAGCGGCGAAGATGAGTCCAAGCATCGTGACCTGTCCACCGAGAAAACCACCTATGAAGACGAAAAGCTGCCCGACATCCACTTTGGCGACCCACTGACCAAGGATTTCCTCAAGCTCGGGTACTACCACGGACTTCTGCCCCGCGACGATGTCAACTCTCTGTTGACGTCATCTGGATCGTACTTGGTTCGACTGTCTCCAGAAGACGATGCCGGAAAGCCACAGATCGTTCTGTCGGTCAACACTGAGGGGCAGGTGGGTTGGGCTGGTCTGTAGAGGTTTTATATTGTAGTAACATCAGCATAAGCAATGGTTGATACCGTAGGTTCAGTTACTGTGTGATGTTAATAGTCTTACTGAGTAGTTTAAAGTTTCAACTTGTATGTTTTCAGACAGCCCACTTCGTCGTCCAACGGAGCGGACTGTCCTACTTCTTGGAGCCGAACAAAATGTTTGGCATCTTCGAGCAGCTGATCCTGCACTACGAGTCCCACAAGACCGAGTTCCTTGGTACGAAGTTGACAGTGGCAGTGGGTCGGCAGAAGTGGCAGACCCACCACAAGGACATTATACTGGAAAGGAAGGTGGGCAGTGGCAACTTCGGACTGGTGTTCTACGCCAAGCTCAAGACCAAAAAGGAGGAATCCAAGGTGGCAGTCAAGATATGCAAGGACCAGTTGACCAAAGTACTGATCAAGGAAATGATGGATGAGGTAGATGTATTATTATACAGGGACGTCGTTTGGGGGGGGTGGTTCGGGGTGACTCCCCCCCCCCAGAGCCGATCCGAAAAAAAATCGTACCTGTACGCGGAAAAACGAAAAAAAATTTTGAAAAATCGGTCCACAGGTAGCTACAAAAAAATTTTTCGACCTCCCTCCCCCCAGAGAAAAACCGTAGCGACGTCCCTGTTATTATATATGACAGTTTTATTACAAAAGGCTATTATTCATACGACTAAAATACGTTTTACAGACCATAGTAATGTAAAAATAACTTTAGGCCAGGATAATGAGAAGCCTGGACCATGTGAACGTAGTCAAGTTCCTGGGAGTCGCCGTTGATCATGCTCCTGTGATGATAATCATGAAGTACGTGGAAGGCGGTTCTCTCCAAGACTACCTCAGGAAGAACAGCGATCAGATCGGCCCAAATGAAAAGCTGGACATCATGGCATTGGGAGCAGCTCGTGGCCTAGCCTACGTTCACTCCCAAAATATTATACACAGGGATATCGCGGCCAGAAACCTACTCATTAGCATTGACAAGAACAAGGTAATTTTAAAAGAACATGACGTTTCAGACATTACAGTATAGTATAACACTTTGATGACTATTCGAGACTAAAATCACTAATTTAACCTAATAATGCCGTTTTAGGTGCTCCTGACGGACTTCGGGTTAAGCAGGGAAGGTGCTGAGTACAAGATCAGTGAGAACACCAAGATCCCCTTCAGGCATTTGTCCCCGGAGACCCTATCGACCTACAGGTACACCACAAAGACGGACGTCTACTCCTTTGGAGTGCTGGTGTGGGAGATCTTCACGGATGGGATGGAGCCGTACCCTGAGAAGAAAATGGCAGAGGTCAGGTTCATGGTAAGTTAATATAAATTTGGAAAGAAGCCTTCTGAATAAACCTCTGATCTATCTTGTTTTAGGTGGCAGAAAAAGGACATCGACTCGAATTCCCTCCCACAACTCCCAAAAGAATCACGGCCACGGTGAAGTCTCATTGCTGGGATGTAGACCCGGCCAAGCGAAAGACTATGGATCAGGTAACTAGACTTTGAATTAAACTCGAATAAAATTATAAGACAAGTTTTTCATATAAAGGTACAAGATGACTAATTTCAGATAATATCTCGCCTGGAAAGAGTATCGCGCTACTTGAGGAAGCTGGAGCAATCCCAAGGTACGATCGAAGCCGCCGGTTCTGATGGGGAAGCTCTCAGCGCCCACCCAGGATCCCTGCCCAGCCCCAAACCCAGGAAAAAGGGATCCAGCTCGGCGAAGAAGAAGTCCTCTAAGAACCTCTCCTCCTCGTCTAACTCAAAGTCTGGCAGCAACAAAAAGAAATAAACCTGAATAAAGGCTTGGAACTAGTATATTGGACTTGTGTTAGTTAGTATAATACGTATAATAATGAGTTTACGTTGAAAGATATCTTATTCCTTTGCAGTTTTTATAAAAATGGGTAAAGAATTTGGAAAAATCAATAATTTATGTGACATTCCGTCAAGTTTAGTATTATTGATGTCAAAAAGGTTAGGGGTGAGAAAGGGGCCGGGCCCAGTTTTTAGGCCCAACGATTAGGCCCGGCCCGTTTTCAATTTTCTCTCAGGCCGGCCCGGAGCGGTCAGAAAATTTCTAGGGCCGGCCGGTTTCAAAAATTTTAAAAATTTTAAAACTTAAAAAATAAACGGAACTTTAACGGGGATTAAAATTAAAAAATTTTTTTTCGGGCCCGGGCCCAATTTTCAAGCCCGGCCCGTTTCAATTTTAGCTCAAGGCTGGCCCGTTTCTCACCCCTAAAAAAGGTTCTAAAATATGTTGCTCTACTCATAACTTTAATTTATTGACCTAAATCACAAAAAAGCTCAATTTTACCGTTAAAGTCGTATTCACACAGCCTTAACTTACGAAAAGTAAAACCTTGTTTTAATTTGCAAAAAGAATGCCCTCCAGTACAACAATGACGGACAATTGCCTCAGGTTGTTTTTAAAAGTACATAATCCTAGAGTTTCAGAAGTCATGGAGCGGAAACAGCCAAGAGATTGTAATATATTCACCACCATCTAATTAGCCTAATAACGCTTTCCACTAACTTTTAAGGCTCAGAAAGAGATGAAAGGCAAAGTTTCTGCGACTTTAAATGATTTATAATAATAATTTGGGATATGAAAAGTATTAAATTCAGACAAAAATGATGTAAACTGGTGCAAAAGTTTATAAAATTGAAACCTATTTCAATATAAAGATCACTTCTACGTATATTATGATCGGAAATGTCAATTACTCAAAGACTAGTTAACTTAAATTACAGTGGAATAAAAAGTGGAGACTATTTATGACATTTGTGGCCAGATAATGGTTGTTAATCCCTTCCAAGTGGAAGGTTGACGTAGAAGAGATTAAAAACTAGATCCACATACAATTTGTCGTTAGAAAGTAATCACAAAACATTTCAAGGCCAAAAAGTTTACGGAGGAACTGTAAAGTTAAAAAAAATAATTAACCGGTCAATAATAAGATTTGCAAAAGGTACAAGCTTGCAAAATAGTTATTCTACAAACTTTTTGACCAAAAGTACTAATGTAAACCTATGTACAACAAATAAACCTCACTTTTTAGCACGATAAAAGAACATTTTCAACAAAATCCACTTTTACAAAACATTTCTACTAAATTAAGGCCCAAATTTGTATCGAAAAAGAGCCGACAACTGGGTTCGAAACCGACAGATTGTGGCCATTTCGGGAAAATTATTAATAACTCGAGGGGAAAGCCATAAATCCCGAGCAGAATATCTTGTCGATGACAGATATTGGGTAATGGCCTTAGGTCATCACGTCACGGGACCTCCGTGCTACGTGAAGCACGGAGACGCCGCTTGACGTTGTGAATTAAATTGCCTCCAGAAATACACTTTGAAACAAATCCTCCAAACTTTTTGCTCAAAAAACAATGTTTTCTTCGGCCTTAAATGGTTGCTTTTTACTGTAATTCGTTAAGTTCAAAAAGTTGTAAAACATTTAAAAGACCTGGAGGCTTTATTTTCATTTCGTTGAGGCCAAATTCAATCAAAACTTATTAAAATATTATCCTTATAAAAAAGAAGGTAATGTAGCCGAGATGTCAGTGTACATTACCCACAAACCTATCTCTCAAACAGTAAATATTTTGGTCGAAAGTGCAGCTAGTAGTCATTTAAAATACAAATAACTCCCCCGCCCTTATAAAATTAATTGTTAGAAGTAGCAAAATTCGATGCCTAAAGACCAAAAGTAATCAAAAAGCAAAAGAAGTTAATTTGCCGGTCAAAAGTAGTACATTTTCAACTTAAAATCACAAAAAAAGTAACAAAATAAGTAGCAAAGGGGTCAAAAAGTGTAAAACTACAACTCAAATACCAAAAAAGATAATATTGCCCTAGGTAATGACGAATTTAAAACAAAAATCTAATAAAACAATGCCAAAGTGCAAACACAAATCGAATCCGGATTCACAAAACCCATAAATTCAGAATTAGAATCGCAAAACAAAAGCTTCGGGATTGAAGCCAAAATAATTAGAAGCGAGCCTAGAACAATATCAGAGGTCATGGGCCACAAAGCGCGGCCAAAAGGGGCCGAAACATTAGTAATACGGTTAGACACGGCCCCAACTTGCAACGTTGATGTAGATACTTTACATTAGACTTGTTTCACTACCACAGTTATCGTAAACTGTCAAAATATGTCTACAATCTAATTGTATCTACAGTAATGTTTCTACGATATTGTATATCAAAGCTTATGAGACAATTGTACTATACAGTAATGTAACATAGCCAGATTAATATACTACGTATCTCGCAAAGCTGTAAATGTTACAAAAGTAAACAAACTGGCTATTTACACTTACAAAATACCACTTAATCCCTGCCCTTTAATTAAACACCCCTCCCAGCTATAATTGGAGATTACTAATTAAACTTTTATATTGTAATTGCAACTATAAAACGTTGCTAATGAATACCTAATTGTACATACATTACCTACAATTTAAAGTACAAAGCAGGCTCTAAAGTACAGGCCGAGTACAAACGTGAACAGGCCGAGTACAAAACGTGAACCGTGATAATTGAACGTTCATCGATGACAAACAAAACAAACCGTGTAATTACACAAACAACAACTATATTACTAATGAATGCACTATGATACTCCCGCTGAAAACAAAAGAGACAACCGGCTGTCACCAATCACCCTGAGGGCCTGGAATCAGGGAGACGCCCCAACAGTTGAAACGGTTTGCTGGGGGGTTTGGCGTCAAGGGATCGGTGCGCGGCTCCGGGAAAAGGTTTATGACAAAATGAGCGCCGAATTCCCACGCAACCGAAAGAGCGTGCGGAAAGAGGCCAAGGGTCCCCGGCCGCTCGCTTTCTCCCCGAATCCGTGCCCGAGGCCGAGTGCGACGCCGCTCTCTGGCTTCGCCTTCCGTGCCGCAAACAGCGAGACGGTCGGCTACAGAGTGCCGTTTCCGAACAGACCCCAAGAGTGTGTCCCAGCCGCCCGTGGGGCTCTAAACGCCCCTAAGCGGCTTCGCGAAGCCGTATCGATCCGAATTCCGAAGAGTCTCGCCCTCAGGCTTTCCAGCGGCCCAAAGCAAAGCGGATAACACAGTTCCCGGCTTCAGAATTCCTTCCGGTCCTCCAGAATCGCCTCTCTATTACCTTCCAAATGCCCGCTCAACAGTCGGATCGATTCCTTTCTTTAGTTTGTTTTTGGGTAACAAAAATACAGTAATCCCGTAATTGCATTAATACTAGAGAGCAATTATGCATCGATTAAAATTCATATAGCCATTTTCAGATAATACGTCAATTTACTTAACAATGATAACACAAAGATTTCAGATATTACTTTTCCAAATGTTACATTACCTATAAAAAGCTCAAACAATATTGTAAAAAAATGACATACACTAAAATTTGAATAAACTTTATTTACAAACAATCAGCAGGTCTGATACCAACTTCATAGTGTTATATACATACAATGTTACTGCAATCTCCACAATGAATTGTACATCACATAATGATAGTACAATTACCGACTGAATTATATCACCAAACGGCTCAGACATAACAGCGATTACCAAGGTAATTGAAGTTAACACGATCATTACCGACATAAAAACTAACTAAATTGACATCTATATTATAACTTTACACTGTTTCAGTGTTAACATATACTGCTATAACATGTTTTTCTACTTTCACAAACTTATATTTACATTATATTAAAATAAAACTAAAAAATGTTTAGTTTAGATATAAAATAAGTTTAATTTAGGTACAAAAAACTCACATTCAAAGCCACATATGCATATCTCACAAATCTACAATGTAACCGCCCATATTACAACCAAACTCCAAGTAAAGATACCAAAAAGTGATGGTAAACAGTATACGGTAAATGCTTGAGCTGCCCAGTATGTACATATAAGCAGTGTTATGTAAACTACCAAGTGTGCTGATGTTATCAACAGCAGCTAAAATATTACTGTAACATGACCAATACTACAGTATCTAGTTGTATTAGGAATACAGTCAGACCGACTAGGTGTGATAATACCATGATTATTCTAATTACTAATGCAATAACAGTATATATTTTACAACTATACCTTACTCTTTGTTGATATGTATCTGTTTTGTAATTCAAATAATCCGCCTTCAAGCTTTCCATATTGTTGTAGACTTTTAGTATTGGTCAGTTTATGAACACAAATAGCAATTAAACTAGCTGTAACTCAAAATACCTCATATTAGCCGAGTTATCACTTCGAAAACTGTTAAAGAAACGTATTTTAAAAACTCGTAAAGGCATAATTACTACCAAGACCAAAACAAACATCAGTTATAACTCTTATCAATTAAATTTAAAAAAAAGCTTTTATTTTTAACACATTTTTAAACTAAAAATATAAGTTACAAAACTAAAACCTTTGGTTTCTTGATCTCCAAACCCTATTCTAATATATGAAACTTTCCCGAATTTAGATTTGTCGCAATTATTCACGTAAAGGTGTCTCTCTCTTTTCAGGTAGACTCTCGAAGCATACACCAACATTATTCATCTTCCAACAATCTACATTTCAGTCTTCAAATGTATATTTGATTTTATTCGAAAATAGTCACCAAAGTGTATATTTTTGTGTTATACAATACCTACTATCATACTTTTCAAGATCCTAATATAAAACAAAAACACATTTGAAAAGTGCATTAAAACAAAAGATTTTGAGAACTTTTAAATTCCATGGAAACGTTTTTTTTTAATTTTTTCAAAATTTGGTTTGAATTTGCTACGCGATGAAATGTCACAATAATTAGCCGCAACAATCAATAGTTGACACTTCGTCGCAAATATAATTCCGAAAATTCTCTCGATTTTTTGTTCGGAACTTCACTTCGATCGAGAAAAGTGCCAAATAAAGAGAGTGAAGGACATTATTTTTATGTTTTTTTGGCTAAATTATCGTTGGTTTATTGTGAAATTAAAGTTTTTAGATCACAACATACTTATCAGATGTATTTTATATAAAACAGTACATTTTTGGTAATAAAACTTCATTTTTAACTGTACCTTGTTTATGAAATTGCTTTTGTTTCAAAATATAGCATAGAATACACTTGTTTATATTGTTATTATTGAATTTTACATTGATTAACAATATCGCGAAGTTTTGTTTAATATTGTTCTTTAAAATTATTATCTATTGCTTTAGTCGCATACGATGGGCTCATACATTCATATATTTGTTTTGGCCTTAACAGTGATCTCTTTGTTGGAAATAGCGTCAACTCAACACGAACATAGGACTCAACAACAGAATGAAGTAGAGGACGATGAGTTCGCTAAGTTTGATGTTAACGAGGAGATTGAGCCGGAAGAGAAGGAAGAACTGGAAATTAGAGATGGAAGTGCAGCTACTGGAGGTCAGACATACGCTCTGCCAATTGATATGCCTTCTGTTAACTTTGCTTTCTGGTAAGATTATATTATTATTGTTGTCCTTTAGGGTTTTACTTTCTTAATGTTCTTTAAAGCATTACTAATGGTTGCAATTGACATATAAACATGTGTTTTACATTTACAGTGTTTCTTGTGGATACCGAAATGCTTTTGAACAATACTCGACTATGTTGAAGGAGAAATATCCAGGAATTCAAATCGAAGGAGGTAACTACCCACCAAGCTATCCAAAGGCTTTGGGAGCTCAGGTAAAGTTTGTTTTTGATGAATTTGATAGGAAAAAACATTTATATATCAAAATGATGATCTTAAAGTTAATATTTATTTTAGTTTCAAAATTTTTTTAAACATTGTTTTGAATTGAAGTTGTTTAATCTAAATCATTTTCAGATTATTGGTTTGGGTAAAATTGTTGTGATTGTATGTATCATCCTTGGCAAAGATCCTTTCCCTGCTCTTGGCATGGCAACCCCGACTTTCTTCAACTGGATGTTGAGCAACAAGTTGTCTGCTTGCATGATGTTGTTTATCTTCTCTAACAGTATCGAGAACATGTTGATGTCGACTGGAGCTTTCGAGATCTATGTTGGTAATGAACTAATTTGGTCTAAGCTGGAAAGTGGCAGAGTTCCATCGCCGGCCGAACTTGTACAGAGCATCAACGGCTACTTGGAGGTTCACGGAGGAAAACCGATGGCCACCCAAGAATTTGGATATCAGGAACAATAAACTCAACTCAGCTACTTCAAGTAACGATTAACTCGTGTTTTAGTCTTATAATAAGATATTTTTTATTTTTAATGTATTGTTTTAATAATTCCATATTTGTTTTAGTAACTGCATTCTTATGTTACTTACACGTCTTTGTTGCTTGTCATACGAATACTGTGTCTACTCTACCACACTCTATTTATGGGTATCTCTAATGTATTCTCAAGTGTTTCAATTCAAATTTTGCATTTTTTGTTTCGTTAATGGTGCAATGGTTAGTTAATTGCCTAAAGTGCTAAAGTTTGTGTTGATTTACTTTTATTTAAGTAATAAATAAGTATTTGTAAAGTTACTATTGGTTTTTATGGCAATCCATTATATCTACTTTGGTAAACAACAGAAAGTGTATGTTTACAATAGTAATTTTTGTAAAGACCCGTTATATATGGGGTTATGTAGCTTGAAATATTACAGTGTCGCGGTCCTTATTTTTCTTATCATATCAATTTCAGATGATATCACTAAAAATATTACAGCAGTTAAGGATCTATTCCAATAGGAGGCATATAAGCTTTACCGTAACAGCCTTAAAGCCAAAACTGTTACCGTTTTCGTCTATACCACAAGATGACATTGGACATCCAATTCTACAACGGAAGGCCAGATGTGGTGAAACAACTGCGACAGACACTCTCGAGTTTGGAATCAAGTGTGCCAAAGTAGGTTTACATAAAAATACATTTGGTTCAGACATTACTCTAAAAAAGCAAGTTTAATAAACACTCAACAGCAGCAAGTATAATATATTCATCTTCAGATTTGTTCGTTAGGCAGTTCCTTAGCTGGCATGGTCATGGTACCAGTTCTGTCATCACAAATCGCCCAGAATGCTTCCGAAAAGCCTTCTGTAATGGCCTTTTTGGTGGTAGCCAACTGCTTTCTGGGTATCTTAACATTCACGCCTCTGCTGCTCCATTCCTTGACCAAGCGTTTTGTGTCTGATATCTACTATAACCCGAAGACAAGTACCTTTACTTCAGTACATTACAACTTTCTACTACAAAAGCGAGCTTTACAGTTCAAGGCATCAGATGTTGTTGTAGCAGAGAAAGCTGAAACTATGCAGACGCTGTGGATTCCATTGGCCACCAACTTTGTTGGGGATTACCCTATGATAATGCTGTTGGATGAAGTGCAGTACAGCGACAAGGAGGCCTTCAGATTGTTGACGGCCAATATTCCGCCTCCAGAAGATCCAAAACCAACTTGATCTCATGTATTGATGACAAACAATCTCACAAAAGGTTATTAGGCTTAAATTTAATATTTTTTGATATTAGACTCAAGGTTTTCTTAGGTTTAAATATTACTTTATTTTTGTTACTAGGCTCTGTTTGATTGTTGCTGAGGTCACAAATTGATTGTAAACAATTTGTTTTCGAAAACAAAACGATTTAAAGTCGAGCTTTGTTGTGCTTTAATTAATTTGTGGTTTCGTTAAGAGATTGTATTGTGGAATATTGTAGCCTAAACAATCTTTCGATGGGAACTTTCGAACCGTCCCAGCTATAATCCTCGTTGTTATACTAAAATATGTTGTTACTGGAATAAATTTACAAATCCCACTATCGGAATTCGTGGTTTTAATAGGTCTTCAGCCTCAAATGTTATATGAAACAGGGTTTTTATTCTCGAGACACAGCATGTCTAGCTCAAGAAGAGGACTCTCCTCTTTTTTAATGCTCTCTATCTGCTCTGGTCTCTCCTTTTTTCGTACCCTCTTACCGGTTTAGCTCTCTTCATTCTACGTACTCTCTTGTCGTCTGTCCATTCTCCTCGTTCAGCGTGTTCTCTCGTCACTTAAGCATTCTCTCGGATCGCTGCAGGACACATCACATTAAAGTCGGCGACCACTGCTCGGAGCTTCCGATCGGGTTCTTCGGGCCCTCCGAAGTCGTATCTGACTTTCTACCATGCTCAAAGTAAGTCGGTATCAAAAAGTAATACAAAGGGCGGAGAACTACATGATTTTCGCATAAATTGGCTTCTCTTGAAGCGACAATACTTTTCAATAGGGCTACTTAACTACAGTTTGGAGTACAAACTCATAGTTTACTGTTGGTTCTTGAAAGGACAAGAATCGATAGTAGATTTATGTTTTTCCGACGCATAACACAATAATTTTAATTATTTCGTTTCTTTGGAAAATCTTTTATTTTCGAGGAAAACTCTGTAAATTCTTGTTTTTGGGTGCAAAACTACATGTTTTGCTAGTTTTTGAAGTAAAATTGTTTGTGGTTTTGTCAAACCAATGTTTTTCAAATTTATTTTTATGTCGTTTTAGATGCCCTTGTTTGGTAAATCTCATAAATCTCCACCAGACATCATCAAGAACCTCAGAGATGCGTTGTTGGTGATTGAGAAAGGTGATAAGAAGTCAGATAAGGCAGTGGAAGAGGTTAATCGATACCTACAGGCAGTGAAGTTAATTATTTATGGCCAGGATAATCAAGAACCGCATACCGAACAGGTAATTTTTTGTTTTTGTTATTATTTTAGGTATCAGAACATGATAGTCGAAGCATGGGTCTGGGCATTAGAAGTTAGAAAGTTAAAATTTTTTAAAGAAAAGTTATATTTTAGGAGAACTTTACGTTAAAAACACCTTTTAGATTCATTGTTTGCTAAAATTATATAGTTTTTAAGCTTATTCATGGTGTTATAGGTGGCCCAACTTGCTCAGGAAACTTATAATGCAAACGTTTTACCTCTTTTAATCAAGAATTTGGCCAAGTTGGAGTTCGAGTCGAAGAAGGATGTTTCTTTGATATTCAACAACCTTTTACGTCGACAAATAGGTACCAGATCTCCAACTGTCGAGTATCTGTGTGCTAGGCCTGAGATATTGTTTACTTTGGTTAAAGGGTAAGTTATCTTTTTTTTGAATTTCAGGCATGAATTTTTCTTGGTAAACTTCTGGTTGACTGTCTAGATTATATAAAGTCCGTAGAGGTAGACTTCGTACTCAATAGTTCACAATTTGTGTAATTTGGGATGTTATATTTCTTATTTAAGGTTGTTTTTCTCAAACTTGCTTTATTATAAGTATTTTAGATACGAATGCCCAGATATTGCCCTAACGTGTGGAACGATGCTGAAAGAGTGCATTAGACACGAACATCTGGCTAAAGTTATTTTGTATTCTGAGCACCTGTACGACTTCTTCACCTATGTGGAGGTGCCTTCGTTTGACCTAGCATCAGATGCCTTCTCTACCTTTAAGGACATGATCACGAAGCACAAGACGTTATGTGCTGAGTTCTTGGAAAAGAACTACGACAGGTTCTTTGGATGCTACCAGAATCTGCTACATTCCGAGAACTACGTGGTTCGACGACAGAGTCTGAAGCTGTTGGGAGAGTTGTTATTGGACAGACACAACTTCAACGTCATGACGAGATACATCAGCAACCCCGACAACTTGAAGTTGATGATGAACATGTTGCGAGAGAAGAGTCGGAACATCCAGTTCGAAGCCTTCCATGTCTTTAAGGTAAACCTAGGTTAAGGTGTTCTGAGTGTTTGCTTATAAAGTAGTCGATTCACAGACGAACCTTTAATAGTACTTCTAATTCAGTCATAAAGTTTGCAGAACTGAATATTAACCATGGCGCATTTGAATTTTTACACAAGCTATAATTTTAGAACGTGCAGACTTTTAGGTAACAATTTCTCGTTTCAGGTGTTCGTCGCCAATCCCAACAAACCCCGTCCGATCGCCGAGATTTTATTGAGAAACCGAGAGCGACTGGTCGAGTTCCTGACCAACTTCCACACCGACCGAACCGAAGACGAGCAGTTCAACGACGAAAAGGCCTATCTGATAAAACAAATCCAGGAAATGAGAGCGTAATCTCCAGACTCAACTGTAGCAACGAATAACTTTCTGCGGGTCCATTTAAAGTATCACATTAACTATTACTGTAACAAATATTGAGTCGAGATAAATATTATATAGTGTACAGAAGATACGTTGACTATGGGCAACTTTTAAAGCATACTATTATATGTTTAACATAAAGTACAGTCAAAAGGATATGTCGTATCTTGTTATATAAAGAATTGTGTGCTTACTTGGTTACAATGATAGGTATTTCTGGACCAGCTTCATACAATATAATAGAAAATATCGTAAAAAATGAATTCAAACACTTCCTCAAAACCACTAAACAAATATTAAAAGTTTATAAATCCGTAAAATTCAATTAAATTGACCAAATAGCTACGAAACTATGTACAATATAATCCGTTAAGTGACATTACTCTTTGTGTTTCTCGTTGTTATCGTCGTCTTTGTCGTTGCCAAAGATATGATCCTTGAAGTAGCGCGGAAGGACGGTCGACTTGCTGGTCGAGCATTCCTGATCCATCTCCATTATGGATTGACGTCGTTCGTGTCTATAGAACCATAGTAACCCAACTAACATGGTCACGACCATGCATGTGACGACAACTGCTGTCAATATGATGGTGCAGGTCTGGAGTGTTACGAAAAGGTCTCCGGCTCTCTGAAACGCAGAAAAATGTCACAAAAATATTATTTCGAAATATATACAGTAAGACAATGTTTCTGTTTGAAAATTAGTTTTTAGGTAACAAATCTTGTGTTTTTATGGTCGGGAAAGAAGAAACAGAAAGAAATAAAAAATTATAAGTTTCGATAAATTCTAGGCGTATTTTACTATTCTGCAAGCAAAAACCCACCTTGGCGGCGATCTGAATATCCTCCATGCCGCAGGTTTTAAAACAAGTGCTTTGCCCACCGAAAAGCCCGGCCAAAGGTGATCCGGAGCTCATTCTCGAGTGTGCAGTGGTGTCGTTGACCATGGGTGAGGCTGCTTCTACATGAATGCCTGGGGCATCACCGTTGAACATGCTCCTGACCTTGTCCACAGTTCGCGACACATCCGAGAAGAGTTGTCCGAAGTTGACCTCCTTCTCCTCGTTCATATTATGCTCGTTCATGATCCTTGACCTCGCATACGACCGGTCCGAAAGCTGAAGGTCCAGAAACTTTGCTTTTCGCGACAAATTCTCGAAAAAGCGAAGAAAACCGCGCAATTAGCTTGTGAGTGATTTGAATCGAATGAGTCGAAAGGATGGGCAAACAACGGCCAAATTAATAGTTACAATACTCTCGTGACCCTCGAAATCGAATATATCTGGTCGTGATCTGGTATTAGTCATAGTTCGGCTATCTACTTTCATATTTCTATAAAAATAATGCTGTTTTGTCTAAGATAATATAGGGAAAAATGATTTCTCAAAAGTGATTATGATGTGGTCGAAAAGTAAAAGGAATTATACTATGTAAGCTTTAAAGAACTATAATATGACATAAGAATTAGTGTGATAATAGCTTCAAAGTTGTTTTATATAGGGAAAACACCTGTGTTTACAACTTTGTTTCGAAGAACTAGCTAACTGATGGAACGTATTCTGATGTTCAGCATTACATAACCTTGGTTTTTGCTGTATTTCTTGAAAACAGTAGTTATTATAAATAAATATTTCATTTACCTTTTGCGAAGGAATAAAAACAGTAAGATACGACCAAAACCTTACCACACGAATAGGTCAAATCTGCAAAACCTGAAGCAGTAAGTTAATTTATTGACAAAAATTTTTAAAATGTATTTTCTAAGCAGCTTGGGATATTACTCTGACAAAACGTGGTCTCACAGACCAGTAAAATGGTAAAGTCACGCAAGACATGATACTGTTTCCATACCTAGAGTATCGTATTACCTATCGGTTACGCGTTTCTTTTAGCACTAAATATATAATATACATATAACAGTATAACTTTTTAATTTTAATATTGTTAAGAAATCGTACAAAAACTAGCAATACTCAATAAATACTACCTTTCCAAGAGGCCAAATAATATAATTTACATAACTACAGGTTACTGTAAACTCAAGTTACACAACTTACAGTAAAACCCAATAAACTCACAGTAAACCAAATAGATTTACAGTCAATTTTTCAACTCGTTAACCCTGTAAAACAATGTAAAGACTACAATAATGCTTTAGTTAACCAGGTGTGTTCCATGGTAACCGTTCGTATCTTCCCGAGATGACCTTGTTTTTGAGTCGGGAGAGAGCGAAGATCTTCTCCTCACTTCAGTCCGCTCGAAGAAATCAAAACACAAACATCTACGTCTTCTAAATATTGTCATCGTATTGAGTAATTGCTCAACTTAAAACTTCTTTTTATGTACTCAAGGTAAATCAGCCGGTAGAAACATAGTATGCATAATGCTACTATACTACTATAACAAATGTCAACACCAACACAGACAAATAATTTATTTGACAGCACCCTTCTGATAAGACCTCGGATTCGACTGTTGTCGATAGTTGGCAGGTTGGTGGAACATGTTACGTCGTGTGGTAATGAACCGTCTTCTCAGTCTGGACTGGCCTCGCTGTCGATAGCTCGATTGTACTGGCTGATAGTACTGATAGACTGGACCGTATAGCGGAGGGGGTCGAAACACAGGAATACGGTAATGGACAGGAACGTAGCGAACGTTCCGTTCCGGGTATCGACTCAGAAGCGGGCCACCGTGATAGAAGAGGGCTTCTGGAGGAACGGGCTCGAATGGACTGAAATGGATATTATGAGTGACAAAAGAATAGGTAACATTATATGGCTTTGGACCTTTTATCAACCTTCTAAAAATCAATAATATTTAAAATTCAAAAGCCTTCATTAAACAACAGCTTGTGACACACTTACATTGGCCGTGGCGGTGGAGGCTTTGTCTGTCTGGTTGGGAACTGACCAGACATCTTCTTCCTAGCCGCCTGTGTAGTTGTAGCTACTGTAGTAGTCGTAGTTGTAGTTGTCGTAGCCTGTGTGGTCAATTCTGTAGTAGTTGTTGGAGTTGTAGTAACCACAATGAAGGTGGGTGGTTGTGTAACTACAGTATCCTCAACATTATTTAACTCCAGAAGATTCAAAGGTCGAGGTGGATATGTTGGTCTAGGTGTATATCTGACTAGAACAGCATCAGGCGGTCGTATTCTCGTGATTACTGGTCGATGAACGTGTACTGTAGGTTCGGGAGGTCTTGGCTGAGCTTCTTCTGGTGGGGCAAATGAATGTGAAGGTGGAGGGGGTGGTGGTGGGGGTCGTCGCACTGGGGGTGGTACCCATTCGATTGGAGGCTGACGAGGTGGAGGGTGTGGTAATGGTGTATGGAGTTGTGGAGAGGGTATGTGCGGTGGAGCGATATGGGAATGTGGAGTCCAATGTATTGCAGATGGTACCTTTGATGTTGTTTGGGTATAAGAAAGAGCCAAGGGGAGTGGTTCTGGCCCAGGGTTGGGTGGTTCGTCTGTGATCACTACGAGCACTGACGGTATTCTATAGTCATCGTTGTCATCTGAAACTTAGTTTGTTACCTACATCATTCTATTATTGTTTTGTGATTTTACTATGAAAAACCATTACTTGGATCAGGTGGTTCGACATCATTGGTATCTAAAGGATCTTTAGGTAGAACAACAGATGTGTATGTAGTTGTAGTAAGTAGATTGACGGGATCTGTCCGGTCGATAATCAGGTTTCCACCGCCTTGAAACTCTTCATCTGGGTCGATTGGGGGTAAGGGTGGGGTAGTAGGTGTAGTTGGAGGTGTGAAACGTAAAGAATCCGGCCTTACTTCTTTGGTGGTTCGCTCTTGAGCTTCTGGATTCCAGCTGGGTGCGGCACGAGCAATACTAAAGTATTAATATTATACATGTCATATATTTTATTACAAATTTTAATGTTTACAATTTGTAAACCTACCCCATGTCAAACTCGCTTCTGGCACCATTCGTCAGCGTAGAGCGTAGCAGAAGCATCAGTATTAGTCTCCGCATTTCATTTGGCCAGAAGGAACGGTAATACCGTAGTCTCTGATATTGCAATACAGTAATACTACAGATATAGTAAACACTACTAAAGCTAATTATAATAAAATAATACAAAATAGACTACTGTCGAAACAACAACAGTACAATACTAACAATGACAACTCTGTATGCCACAATTACTTACAGTAAATACAATTACAATATTGTAGTAATAATTTATGTTGGAGTAAAGGTTTGCGGTAAACGCGAGTAACTGGTCGCCGTCGAGTTCAAGCGGATCATTTAGACTAAAGACACTTGAATCTTTAAACATGCATAATTGCTCCGTGAACAACAACAATACGAAAACATATTAAACCAGTCGGGTAGACAATGAACTTGAGCCAAACTGAACGGAAAGTTGTTTCGACACTCGAATGGCACGTCAGAGTAACATCAGATGGAGTAAAATATTTTTTTAACTTTCACTGTCTTTACTCGTTGTTTGACTATCCTAGCCCTAGATCCTTTAGCACTTAATGACCTAGGTAATTAATTTTATGTCTGTAGTACCTTCAAGAATATTTTATACTGGTATAATTATGAAATGTTTACCAAAAAATCAAAATGTTCAGTACTTGGCCAAACAATAGAAAACAACTTTTATGAATTTAACAAAAATAAATGTCTTCATTGTTACAGGTTAATAAGTTATCCAAAGTATGGGCAAAAAGTAAGATGAGATTCACATATTGTTATCCATACGAGGCAGTAGTCTTCGATGTATCACGTCGTTCCGTTCGAACTGAACTGAGGTATTTAAGTCATCGAATCCGTCGATCACACTTAGCTTCTGCAGCATTCAAATGTTAATCACAATGACTGTTATTACTGTAATGTCATTTATAAACTCTAATTTATGAAAAAGTAACTAAAATTTTGAAGTACATACCTTTAACACGTCTAACAACTTCTCGGCACCGCTGCGATCGTCGTTTACCTGATTATCAGTTGTTTTCCCTGCTGACCTTAAAATACGTTGAGCAATTTGTTGAAGTTGGTCTTTTAATGGCAGTAACGTCGCTTGCATTACCTAAATTTGCTACCTTTGTATCAAAATTTAATGCTTATTTTTTATAGTGACCACTTTCTCCTGTTTAAAATTGTTTTGTATACCTCCAGTGTTTTGCCGGACCGGTCCGGTCCGCGGACGGGTCCGGTGCGGACGGACCAAAACAGAAATTTTTGCGGACCGGACCCAAAAACCTGCGGACCCGGACCGAAGAAAAAGCTCCGGACCGGTCCGGAAAAATTTTTTTTTTTATTTTAAGAAAACTGTTTTAAAAATAGCAAATAAAACATATTTTTTAGGAGTTTTTAAGCAAAAAAGAAAGCAGTTTTAGCGCTCCTTGCTTTTTTTTAAAAATTAAAAAAAATTTTTTTGCGGACTGGACCGGACCCAAAAATTTTGGGTTTGGACCGGTCCGGACCGGACCCAAAAATTTAAAGTTTGGACCGGACCCAAAAAATCGCTGGACCGGACCGGTGAAAAACGCTCCGGACCGGTCCGGGCAAAACACTGTATACCTCAATTAAGTTTTAGACTTACTTCATTACCAAGCTCCGCAATCGACGTCGCTGCCGCTGCAATCGTTGTTATTGAGTTATTCGAATTTCGTACGGCATCAGCCAACACCTTGACGATCCGTATACGAACATTCGTTGATGTGTATTGTCTAAAAAGCCACATAATTACAAAAAATACCAATACTTGTTTTGCTTTTCAAAAACAAAATAAAAATGTACAACATAACAAAAGCACTTTTAAAAAAATAAAATGTTGTCATAAGCCAGCAGCCAAATACAATAAACTTACTTATAAATAGTAGCCAACAACTTTGAACTGAAGTTTCTCAGAACCCAGTTGTTATTATCCTTCTCTGTAGGACACAATGTTTTACTGAGTATGCACGTTAGTATGGCAGGCAGAATCTCATGTAACTAAAACAAAATAAACTACAAAAAAACAACTCACAACGCCTTCTAGATTCACGGTTTTGTTGTTGGCCAGAGACTGAAGCACTCTCATGTGATAGATCAAGAAGGCCAGGTTCCTTAATGCTACATTACATCGTACACCTTCAGCTACAGCCAGAGAAAACCTTGGCAGTAGAAGTTGTATTCCACAATCTGTTTGAATGACACTTAAGGCTTCGTTCCGTTTGTTGTCATCAGTCCCCATCGCTGCTTCCATTACCTCTTTGAAGAAGACTTGTTGCTCCAGAGAGATGGGATGTGTAGATATTGTCTTAATCTGAACTTGAGTGATCTTCCTCACATTCTTTCCCAGCTGTTTTAGCAACAACGGACTCTCGTCCATTGAAGTTGAGGGAAGGTTTTGTACTGGCATCAGCTTTGGTTTTTCAGGTTGAGGGTTCTCAGGAATAGCTGGTTGTTCACCGTCAATGACTAGCCAGTGGGCTGAAAAGGTAAGATTGTAAAAATACGATATAAGTAATAAATGAATAAAAATAAAAAATTATTTCAAACTAACCATACCTTTTAACGATGGGGCTAAAGGTAATCTAGGCAAAGGCGCTTGAATAAAGCTCTGTAAGTCGATCTCGTGGTCCTCTTTGACAAACATGTCTCTGACAAGATTCCCAGCATATTTGAAGCTGGGCTGGCTCCCTGTTTCGTACCCAAATGGCGGCTAAAAAAGTGCATTTATCAGTAAAACAGTCATAACGAACATCATAAAACTTCCAATGTGGTAGGTATTTTTTGATCGCACTAAAACCCTTTAATAAAAAAAGAACCTTGCTTACCGTAATCCCCTTTAACCTGATAGCGCAATCCAAGTCCTCCGGTGTTAATTGTCTCCGCCGGCCCAGTCTTTGGAAACGTCCAGCTATTGTTAAAATCTCTCTGATGGCTTCATTTACCGTTATCGCCACTTTTACTGCATTCTGGCTGTGAAAGTCTTTGGCATTGATAGTATCGGCAACAACTTGAACAAAACTTCCGTCAACTCCTACCACGTTTGACCGGACCGCGCTCATATATCTGCAAAAGAAGTGTAAGATAATATGATACTATATAAATAAAGTAGGGTAATATTATCCATTGTAATAGTAATATTAAAAACATTATGTTTAAAATACGTTTAAGACGCCAACTTTAAGACCAAAGTAGTACTAGCAATATTAAAAAGTTTATTAAAACACGACATCAATAAATTAGATAATGATATTGTTCATTCTCTTCTGGACAGCTTGTCGCACAACTGCTTCACCTCCTTCTTCAACGCTGACACCAGAATCTCGCCATCTTCAGTCAAGTACTGGGAAATAGACTTTGTCACTTCAGCTGATCCAGATAGATTACCTTGATGAAAAGATACGGAGAGAGTGTACTTGTCGTCGTATCTGTGCATTTCACTGGCAAAACACCATGTTCTGTTGCCGGCCTTCTGCTTCTCAATTCCTTGGTAGAAAATGTTCTTCTCAATGTACATAATGTATATTTGCAGGATAGAAATCATGACAAAGTAAGCAATGGAACAAAAGGCACATACCTAAAAATGTTTGAAATTACGGTCGTCATACATATTCTTTTCTTCTAACACGTAAGCCCATAGATTTAAAACTCCTGTTAATTTACTCTACTTTAAACACTAACTGTTTCTTGTTTAAAAATGTGAACTAATGTCTAGATTGGTAGTTTTAATAGAAATACCACAGTTTATCAGCCAGATTAAACCTAAACTCATAAATACATTTAAAAATAACACTTACGTGAGCTGAAGCCGGATATGGATGCATGTAGTCGTACAAGAGGCCGATGCCAGCAAAGGCAACAGCGATGAAAGAGATCAGAAGCCTAATATCCATCAAAGTGTGCTTCTCCTTCCACACATATTGTTCCTTGATCACCTTCCTAATCGAATCGTCAACAGTATACTTCACAGTGTTGCCATCCCACTTGTTAATAATGGCAGAGACTTGATTCTAAACATACGTGTACATCAAAAACATAAAAACTTACATTTTTGTCTTCAGACATCTTTAAATACTATACCAACAAATTTTTTAATTATGTGTACCAAAAGATTATCTACAAGCTTCACAAAACTTGATCAAGCTTGTGATTTGTACAAATTATAATATTCGACGTTTTGATCGCCCAGTAAAAATAAAACGAGTTGTTCCATTCCAAAAGGATCGCAGGCTGCGGCCAAGTCCCTGCAAGCCGCAGACAATAGTATACGCAATAGAAGAAAGAGCCAACGCGAAAAGCTTTATTCTCTGTCTCTGATCGATTTCTGTGCGGTTCTGTCTTCGAAGACGAGTTGTTTCCGTAAGTCAATGGCTATATGCGTTTGGCAAACGCTCATGTTATTATTGTAACATCTCAGTATGAATTAATGTGATACTTTAGATGGTTGCTACTTATTTTTTTTATGATAAGATTTACTATATACGTCAATTTCATATTTTAGGTATCAATGCATGTTTTTTTTTAGCTTTCCTGAACTTTTGAATTGATTTCTTTAAGGTTGTTAGAATATGTTTTGTACGGGAGTTTTTAATGTTGGATGTGATGTTTTACCTCATCTGCCGGACGGTTGAGTCTCACCACGAAAACAATCCCCGTTAAATAAGTGGCCACCTCCTCCACCCGGCTCGTTCAACCATTTCTTCATTCGCGTTCTGGTCTTGGTTCATTGTTTTAAAACCTAGTTTTTCCCAAAAGTTTTCGGACGAAATGGCACATTTAAACGCGTCTTCGAACTTTTGGAACTTACTAGTATATCTACCTCTACTTTTAGGACAATAATGGCTGCTAATAAAGTTGAAATGTCATTGGGTGAGTTGTTTTTTTAATGATGCAATTACGAAATGTTTTAAAATTTTATAAAAACTTAAAAAATATATTGTTGTTGAGGTAAAACATACAGTTTTGTTTTCGAATTTAGCATTTTTAAGTCTAGATAATACGTATTTGAATCAGTTTTTGTATTTAATTACTTTTGTTGTAGATGACATTATCAAGAGCTCTAAGGCTAAGCCCGGCGTCAGCAACAAAAGGACCTTCAAAAAAAAAGGTACCAAGCCAGGACCAATCAAGAAGGTGAGTTTATGGTTTGAATTTAAAGTGAGAATTTAATGTTCGATCGTTTCAAAGTTTTACCGCATTAAACAAATTCGTATGTGTAATATTGGTTTGTTTTCAGAGAGGTTTTAAAGGACAGAAGGAGGAGGCCAGAGTGACACCTGCAACAAAGCAACTGGTTAACAAACTTGTTCAAGTGAGTATTTAATAAGCCTTATATGGATAATTTCTTGAAATTGTTGAAAAACGATTTTTTAATATTTATTTTTCATGATTTATAACTTTAGCAAGCTCTGGCTAAACGAGGAATCAGAAACTCTGGATCGCCGGTGAAGAAGCCTTTCAGAAAGGTGAACGCCAATTCCAGAGTAATCAAGAAGAGGACTGGACCACGAACCGAGACTGTTATTGTCAAGAAGATTCAGCGTCCAGTTCAGAAACCTCGTGTCATCAGAGAGGTGATTGTCCAAGAACAACCAAGAAGGGTGAACCGACCAGTCCGCAAGACCTTTGTTGAACAACGACCTCGTCAACGTGTTGTCTACGTCAACGAGCGACCAACTCAGCGCGGCCGATTTGTGAACAGAAGGAGAAGGTCGGGAGATTCATTCTACGAGTCCTCCAACTTCCTTCAACGAATCTAATTCTTCTACGGAACTTATTAATGATCTTTATTTCTCCAGCTATGATGTTCATAAAATTGTTTTTCAAATTAAATACGTGATAAATAACCTCGGTTATTTTATATGTTGAATAGGTATTTTCTAACTTTTATATTTCTGGCTGAATTCAAATGATAATATAGGGGGAATTTGTAGAAAAATGGATGATAGCTACGATGAGACACAGTGCTACTTTAGTCGTACATTGCAAGAATCTGAAGGTGGAAAACAAAAGTCGACTGGTTTAGCAGCTATCGAAACTCTTATGATGCGGTTGGGAAAGTCTAAAGGTGCGTGGTGTAGTAAATTGCATTTTATACTGTTAGTTATGCATGATAGGTGTAATTTACAAATCTGAAGTTTGGTTAAAGAAGTAGATTACTGTCAAATTTTATTATTTTTTTTTATTTCTACCGTTTTGGCTAGTAAGTGCTGATAAAACGTAACAATAAAATAAATTATGAAAAGACGGTCACGTATATTTGCTTTTAGCTACGACAGTTCGAGGTCTTACTGAGGATTTAGACAATGCAGTTAACGCCATGTTGGACACGGATTACAGTGCCGCTTCCATCCAAAGTGCTTCAGAGTTGTTCTTGAGGTTCATATCACTGATTAGCGTCGAGCAGTTAGACGATCCCAACTTTGAAAAGCTGATGCAGACTTACAAGGAGAGGGGCGCGTTGTTTATAAAGCGTATTTCCATGTCGCGTCGTATGATTGCCGAGTTCTCGGTTCGGTTCATTCAACATAACGTGGTGAGTAATTTAACTTAATTAGAGGTGTTTTAAATTTTATATAAGGACACAAATTGACTAATTATGTTTCTAGAAGGTTCTAGTACACTCATTCAGTCAAGTGGTACTTGGTGCTCTTTTGGCTGCGAAGAAATGTGGCAACGATTTTCAAGTTTTTGTGACAGAAAGTCAGCCAGATGCCTCAGGGAAGAAGATGATCGAGGAGTTGAAGAAGGCTGACATTGATGCTACACTAGTACTTGATAGTGCTACTGGCTATCTGATGGAGAGGATTGACTTGGTTTTACTGGGAGCGGAAGGTGTCATGGAGACTGGCGGCATTATTAATAAGGTAGCTTGTGGGCGTTATTATTCTTTTCATATAATTTACAGTTTCTATTTGTATCTGTAGTACTAAAATAGTGTTAACTTTGAGTTATGTTCTTTAATAGTAGTCATTTTTAGATTGGATCTCTTGGTATTTCAATCTGTGCTCATACCATGAACAAGCCAGTATATGTTTTGGCAGAAAGTATCAAGTTTGTGAAAGAGTACCCGTTGAATCAGAGTGATATCCCAAACAAGTTTAAGTACCGTGCCTCGACCTTGAAGAAACTTGAACTACTGAAGCACGAACATCCATTGACCGACTACACCCCTCCGGAGTACATTCACCTACTGGTGACTGATCTCGGTATCTTCACTCCAGCTGCTGTTGGAGACGAGCTGATTAAGCTTTATACCTAATGTGATTGTTCGACTTGTTATTGTTTGTATTTATAAATTTTTAAGTTTTTGAATATGGACGGTTCTTATTTGGATTTCCATGCGATACTTGAAGTTACACCAATTTCCTCAATTTTTATTGTTATTGTTGCTCAGTTTGATAACACTAAAAATACATTTTTTTCAGGGTCATTGCGTTAATATCGGGTGTATCGTTTTTGCCCGATATGGTAAGGATCTTTTATGTTGATTAAAAAGACATGTGTTGTTGATACGATCAATAACTATCTACTACATCATATACACTGTTTAGCTTTTAACTACAGGTGTATTAATTTTAGGAAGCTTACAACGAAGACTCAAACATGACTACAGAAAACTCAGTAACCGAGACGTCAGAAGACCTAAATGAAGATACGGAAGAAGAAAGTAATCAGAGTTTAATAGAGCCACGACAGCTGCGACATCGCCGTCATCGTGAAGAAAATTTAGAACACAAGAAGAGGAGGATCGACAAGCTTATTTCTGTAGGCTTTTATTTAAAAATTAGTTTTAAATTTATTTTTCAATATTAAAATTGAGTTTTGTAGCTGCACGGTGAAAGTACGTCAAATGATTCTCGCGAGGGTTCGTGTGAACAGTCTGTCTGTTCCTTGGATACACAATGTTGCGTCCAGTTGTCGCCGAATTGTTCAAACGTCAACCCTACAGAAGACAAGGTATCGGTGACACACTTTCACTTAACTAACAACGAACACTTATGTTATCATTGCTACGAAGAGATTGCCAGAGCTGGCCGGAAGTGTAACCAGAAGTACATTGAGTGGAAGAACATGTGGCTTACGGAGAGCAGATGTTCTCCATCATTGAGGCTGTTTACGATGGATTGTCTGCTACCGTACTGGTTACAGTGCTGTAAATGTGGAAAGTTCAGGAAGGTAAAAGATGACGTCACGGATTGGGAGGCCGAGAAGATTGCTGAATTTGATTGCTCCAAGGTTGAAACACTTCAAAATGAACGTGATCCGTGCAAAGCTAAAGAATCTGAGGTGAGTACAGGGTGTTTCACGAAATTCCGTTGTCAGAAATAATTTATATCTATGCAACTACGCATCCTGCAATTGTGATTTTTGGCACAGTTGCAGTCCAGACCTGTGCGTTTTTTTGTGCAAATTTTGGCATTTTAAAGTTGCACTTTAAGGTCGTTATGAATTTTCAAAAATCAGCATTTTCACCGAAATGATAGATATTTTTGGTTGGGAATTGGTTCTTTTGAAGTTTACATTTTGTTCAATTTGTTTGAAAAATTCGGGGTTTCAAATGATTGCAAAGGTTTGGCGGAGCCCTGGCGGACGGCTTAAAATATCGGCGGAGGTCATAACTTTCTTTAAACTAGTCATATAGACCTGGAACAAAAAACTAATATTGTTTAAATGTTTATTCAACTAACTATTAACTCTAATTTCAACACTATTTCTGTTACTTTCGATACATTTGCGTAACCTTGGAACAAAGCATAAGCCTACTAAGCCTAAGCTCATTAAGCCTAATCCTACTAAACCTAAGCTTAAGCCTAAGCCCAATTGTAAGTTCCAGTTTGAACCCTATCCTAAGTCTAAGCCTAAGTGTAGTATTATTTTTGGTGGTTAAACGTGATTTCAAGAGATCTGAATTATTTTTTGGCACTATAGTCCCTTCAGGAGTTAAAAAAACAAGGTTTACAACTATAATATTAGCTCTTAAAAACTTAATATTACACTTGTTTCAGAAAGTAAAAGCTGCTAGAGAACTTGAATGGATTCAATCGGCTAGTGCGGCCTCGTTTCTGCACAACTCTCCAGCGTTACAGTATCTCAGGGAAGAATATTACTGTGATGAAGTTGGTATGAGTCCTTCAAGAGTGAAAGACGCCAAGATTCCGAAGCCACAGGCTAAGTTCATGTTTCCGTTCAACATTCCAAACGCTGGATCTGTAGCCTTTTGTGTACGACCAGATGGGATGGAGTACGATGAATTGGAACGATTTCCAGAATTCTCAATCGAATGCATACCGTACCTGGCACTACGGAATTTGGTCGTATCTTTATGGGCTCTGAATCCTTTTGTAAGTTGATTTTGTATCACAACTGGTAGTTTATATGATTTAGTCAAGGAATTATTTGGTTTAGTTGTTATACTTCATACAATATCAGGTTAATAATCATTACTTTCAGGAACTTCTAACCTACGAAAAGTGTTTGAGTCATCTGGTATGCCGCGGTCTGTCTCGTGTATGGTACTCAGTACAACTGAAACAGATCTACAACTACTTGTGCATCAAGAACATGATCAACTACGGCGTGTTATCCTTCCCCGATCACAACATCATTTCAGAATATGTGACAAAGCAGCTAAAGGTCATTGTGGTTGGTGCTGGGATCAGTGGCTTGGCTACAGCAAGACAACTGACAAGGCACGGTGCTGATGTCACTGTACTTGAAGCTACTGAAAGGATTGGCGGAAGGATGTACGATGACTTCTCATTGGGTGTAGCGGTCGGATGTGGAGCCCAGCTCATTACTGGATTAACGAACAGTCCGATAGTACTATTGTGCGAACAGACTGGGTCTGGTTACAAGTGAGTTTTAGTTAAATGGTTATAGTGATGAATTAGGGTTAAAAAGCTTAGCTTTATGAAATTTCTTACCTTTGTTAAGATTTATATAAACTTATGACGTATTATTGAGTGTGTTTCAGGTCGTTGAGTGATGAATGCCCATTGGTGGATGCTGGATCAGGTAAAACCGTGAATTCAGCGGCTGACAGAATCGTCGACGAACATTTCAATTGTATATTGGACGCCATTGGAGAGTGGAGGAAGGTGACGAGCAAAGGAGACACTAGTCTTGCTGATCAGGTCGATAACTTCCACCAGAAGTTTCTCTCTGCTCTCCCTTTCGAATGGACTCCAGAATACGACCGTCTTCTTCAATGGCAGATCGGAAACGTTGAGTTCTCATGTGGAGCATCACTATCTAAAGTTTCGGCCAGAAACTGGGACCAAAACGAAGCCGTAGGCCAATTCGCCGGAGACCACGCCCTTCTGAAAAACGGCTCCAAGAAGTTTATTCACGAATTGGCTACAGGATTAGACGTACAATTGAATTACAAGGTTAAGAAGGTGGACTACAACAAGAACAAGGTCACGGTGACTTGTGAGAACGAGGAAGAGTTCAAAGCTGACAAGGTTGTGTTTTGCCTCCCTCTGGCTGTTTATCAGCAAAACTCGATAAAGTTCCAACCCGCATTGCCTCAGAAGAAGGTGGGCTGTTTGAAGAAGCTGGGTGCTGGTCTGATCGAGAAGGTGGCTGTCAGGTTTCCGACCAGATTCTGGAAGTGCTTGTTGAAGAAGGATGGTACGCTAGACTACTTTGGGAACGTTCCAAAAGGAAAGAAGTTCAGAGGTCTTTTCAACATGTTCTACGACTTCTCTTCGAAGGTAAGCTTTTGTAATAGTTGAAATGTTATCAGAAGTCTAAATGATCAAGGAAACCCATTTCTACTAAATTTTGATTTTATTTAGTAGCAGGATGATTTGTTACCATTTTAACGTTTTGAAGGATTTTCAATGTTGTTTACAAAATTTTCTTTAATTTTGTTGACCTTTAGGTTAAGAATGAGGAATACTACGTGCTGATGTCTTATGTGTGTGGAGAATCAGTAGACATTGTTAACAAGCACACGGAAGAAGAAGTGGTCGATATCTTCGTCGATGCTCTGAAGGCACTATTTCCAAATATTGTACGGTATTTTACTAATTTATAAGTGAAAAAATATTTTCTGAACCCTTTTATTTATCTTTGATTAATATTTTACATTTTCAGGACATTCCAAAGCCCTTAGGCCACGTTGTGACTCATTGGGGTCAAGACTCAAACATAGGAATGTCATACAGCTACGTGAAGGTGAACGGCAACGGAGAAGACTACGATGGCATGGCCGACCCCGTCGACAGGAAGATTTACTTTGCCGGAGAGTGTACCAACCGCTTCTTCCCCCAAACTATGACTGGTGCTTATGTCTCAGGGCTGAGAGAAGCGAGTAGAGTAGTGGAACATTGGATCTCAGATAACACCAGATCTCGCTAATTACTGTATTTATACTCATCGTCTTATTTTGTCAAACTTAGAAGTGTACTGTAACTAATCCTTTACTGTAGTAACTTACTGTTTCAAATAGTTGTTTGAATAGATTGTAAATATGACTTATTTTAGTGTTGGCTAATGTTTTTATTGTTCTTACTCTCAGGTCGAAGCATAATAAATGTAAATCAAATTGTTTTGGGTTTTTAATAAGAAAGTTGTTTGTGTCAACTATCTATGAAGTATGAATATCATTTTGCTAAACTTAAATTTTGAATCAATTATGATAATGGTGTTTTCATATTAAGCGCTAAAGTCGTAGTTACAGTATGTTCCGACTGAAGTGCAAGGTCCAAAAGTACCAGTGGGGCAAATTGGGGGCTCAGAGTGAAGTCTCTCGCTATGTTCAGGATACGGTAGACCCTGAGGCTCATTATGCCGAGCTATGGATGGGTGTTCATCCAAATGGTCCTAGTGCACTGGAAGACGGTACCAGTTTGGCTGATTATTTGAAATCGAACCCTAAGACGCTTGGAGATCACGAAAAGGGAGAACTCCAGTTTCTGTTCAAGGTTCTGTCAGTTGATACAGCTTTATCAGTGCAAAGTCATCCCACTAATGTAAGGGAAGGAATGTCAACAGACGTTTCTATTATATATTTTTAAAAGTTACTTTTTCTTCGTGATGTAGTGGTGTTTTTATGCAATATTCTTATAGGAACAAGCCCAGATATTGCACAAGAAAGACCCCAAGAACTACCCCGACCCTCGCCACAAACCCGAGATCTCGATTGCTTTGGACGACTTCGAGTTGTTGTGTGGATTCAGACAAAACGACGATCTTCTGGCACACATCAAGAACTACAACGAAGTGATTCAATTGTTTGACGAAGGCCTTCTAAGCGACTTTACTCATGAAGACAAGTCGAAACAGAAGGAGATCTTGAGACAGATATTCACAACAATATGGAAGAGTCCCAAGGAGAAGATAGCTCAAGTTGTCGGGGAGATCATCGAGAGAATAAAGAAACACCATCAGAAGACAGAGCTGGACCAGCTGTTGATCAGACTTGATGGACAATATCCTGGGGGAGACGTTGGTGTACTCGCTCCCATATTTTTGAATTATTTCACTTTGAAAGCTGGAGAATCCACCTTCTTAGGACCAAACGAACCACACGCTTACCTTTCTGGAAGTAAGTAATTGCTGAAAGCGTGCCCTAGCTAAGTCTTTTGTATTCTGCTTAGTAATTCACCTTATTGTCTGATATGTTTTTAATAGTATAATGATATAGATTGCATCGAGTGTATGGCATGCTCTGACAACACCATTCGAGCTGGACTAACTCCAAAGTTCAAAGATGTTGAGACATTGACCCAATCATTGACCTACAACATGACTTCTGCACCGTACTTCCACGCTAAAGAAGTGGCAGATGGTGTACTAGAGTATGCTCCACCTGTACCAGAATTTGCTGTTCAAAAACTCACGGTAAGAGTTTGTTTTTTGTTGTGCAACATCTCATCTTGTATCGTCATTTTATTTTGTTATTAGGGATTTCACAGTAATTGCAAATTATTGTAATTTTCTTCAGAAAATGTTACTTAATCTGTTAGTTAATTTTTGCAGAAAGCCGCTAAGAAACTGCCCAACACTAACAGCTCGTCCATCATAGTAGTAGTCAACGGTGAAATCACGTTGAAGTCGGGAGATACCACGATCACTTTGAAAGCAGGACAAGTCGGATTTGTTTCGGCTGGCCTCCAAGACGTTACAGTATCCTCGTCTGATACTGTAGAAGCATTCAGAGCTTTTACTCCAATTCCAAATTAATAACGGTCCGTACTTTCGTACCGCTTCAACTCGGGCGATCTTAGACTGTAATAGACTGGTCGAAAAATGCGTAGAATTGGTTTTTATACATTTTTTGTCAAAACTAATATAACCTTTCGGAAGTAGTCACTTTTCATGTGTAAAAGTAGTGTTTGCTTGTATTATATTATTGTAATAAATTAGTTTTTATATCACTTTGAAAACGTTTTTTATTTTAAAAATTAAATTCAATATTATACATGATGCAAAATCTGATGAAACTTATGCACAATTCTGACCTAATATATTAGCTAATATAGTAAACTCTTATATAAAGTGTGATTTGCCATAAATTTGAATAAATCTGGCATCAAAGACAGTAGCAAATACAAGGCGCGAGGGAGATCGTCAAGGCCATCTGAAAAGCGACGCGCACTTCTCACTCGCTCTTTCGGAAGACATCGCCACTTTCAGAGAGACGGCGACAGGTAAACCAGGGGAAGAAGGTTCCTCAAGTTCGGTCTCTGCCTCTGGCAATCTTAAAACAACATTGTTTCTTATTAGACTGGTTTCTAAAGATTTTTTATTTTGCTCGAACAAGCTCCGAATATTACCTAATCTGCTGACTATATTACCCACAAGAGCATCGATGGTAACTCGGATAAATTTCTGAAACTTTCCCTTATATTGTAGTAGTTGTGAAGTAAAATGATACCGCTTCGCCCGTTACAAATTGGAGCACTAGTCTTTGCAGTAATCGCTTTCTTTGTCACATTTGCTGCACTTTTAACTCCCGCATGGCAAGTTGTGTACGCCAGAGAGATCCAGCAATGGATTCAAAGTGGACTGTGGCTGAACTGCCAGACGAGGTAAAATTAATAATTACAAGATTAACTTATATTGTAAAACATAATAAACTTTGTTAATATTTGAGTTTTAGACCTTCTGGAATGTACACTTGTACGTACAGCTTCTCGGAACATGACTTCGACTTCTACACGAGTGCAGAGACTATCAACTTGAGGACACCTCCGTTCTACCGTAAGAATTTTAACATTTTGTATTTTGAAATAGTTTCTTTCATTTATAATTTGTTAGTTTGGTTCAGCTTAGTTTAAATTATACAATGTTATGTCTGATATGATATCTTCTCACGCAGCATGAATTATAAATGATATTACTTTTCAGCATGGCAAAGACACTTACTGGCAGTGTTCCTGATAGCCCAGTTGATCACGTTCTTCTCCTTCTCATCGTTCTTTTGCTCACTTAGTCAAAAAACTCGACGATTAAGTGCCATTTCCTTTGCTGTTCTGGTTTCCATTACGTGTAAGTTCGTGTACAACCTAAATTAAAAACTTTTAAATTTTGAAAATATTCTTAAAATTTTTTTGAAGTAATACCACGTTATATTAATATTTTCTTAGTTTTAATCCATGCTGGAGCTACGTTGGCGTTTGCCGTATTCACACAAATGGTAGAATACCGTTTTTACCACGTTAGTGTCAGTGGAATATACGAGGTAAGTGTTGCCTGTAACAATGTAAATACAAAACTTACAGTACTGTAAAGAAAATTGTAATTTAGAAACACTGGGGATACTCGTTTTACATTGAAATGTTTGCCATGGCGTCTTTGTTCATCTCCATGTGTCTGGCCATCGCGTATGTGATACAAGAGCGTATGAACAAGGATAGTAACAATGACTACCGCTTGGCTACGGCAAACACAGCCGACTTCTACGGCCTCGACCCCTACGAGACTAGACTAGCCATGAGAGATCTGCCAAGTGTGCCACGCTATCGATAAGTGCCATAAGCTTTAACTTATAAATTTAACAGTAATATTAAGTTACTACCACTTGAAAGTGACATAAAGTATCATACATTTCAGCACCGTGTTTTATACAATATAAGTTTGAAACATCAACAAGGATAACATGTTTGTAAATAAAGTTGTATTAACATTGATTAGTAGTACAATATACAAAGCCTTCAGTACAAGACTTATGATGGTATACCATCAAAACGAGACATCGAGGTTGTTCTGTTGTTCTAAAGTATCTTCGGTGATACCAACGGCGGCAAGTTCACGGCGAACACGATCAAGATATGTGGGGTCTGGGTATCCAAAACTAAAAATAATACTTTAATATCAAGAGCAAAACAAATAAAAAATAAAAAGAAGAAACAAAACAATTAATACACATTATTTACTCAAACCCTTACTTGGTTGGACCTCCTTGTCGACTCGTTTTATGATGGATACCGTTCCAAACAATAACGTTCCTTTGACCGGTCGTAACAGAATCTCCAACAGTAAAAACAAGCCTTCTCTCAAAGGCCAACTGCAGAAGATCTGCCACCTCATGACCGTCATCTGTGTTTGGTAGGTAACATGTCCGAGTCATACCGTGGTAAGGCACTCCAGGGCGAGGATGAGCATGCTATAATTACCACAGTAAATATACTGTTATATGTCAGTGTATGCTTTTCTATAACGCAATCAATATATATATACTTTAATATTAAGAAACCGTCATCTTACACTTTGAATTCCTGATGGAAAATAATATTTAATCCTGATGTAGCCTCTGACATCACTCATGCCCTCCAATCTTCCTCGACTGACAACTTCAATGTCCATTCGACCATCGCCCGGTTGATTTCCCTGAGTTAACATGTACCAAGTGTTACACGCTGGACATTGTGGTTTCGTAGAAAACCATTGCTAAAAAGTATAATAATATAAAACACGCAATATTTTGGTATATTATACATTAAAATCATGGTAATGAGTAAGACAACTTACAATAATACAATTCCTGTGAAAGTAATGTGGACATCTGTTCAACTTGACCACTCCATTAGCTCCTCCAACATTAATCGGATCTCCATCACACATATCCAACAGACAAATAGGACATCCTTCAATAATGTCGTCGTTCTGATGATTCTCCGTCATCTCGACCAGTCGTTTCTCTTTCATCTCGTCCAACTGTTCTTGTGTTTGGAATGTGTAAAACATAGAGAATGGCGATGCTAAATCAAGGTTCGGATCCACGTTCGGAAGAGATGCCACTGGATTAGAAGTAGAAGGGCTCTGGACACCAGAATCGTTCGCATCTTGATTTACAAGTTCTTCTACCGCCATCTGCACCAGTATATTTCTAATATGGTCAATTAAGTGATGAGCTCTGTCCACGATAACGACTTCCTATAAAAAATAATTAATATATAACAAAGTAAGCCTTGTCTATAGTATTGTGATATAATTTTAAAATATAAGTACGAAAACCTTACCGTTAAAGAGCCAAAGTCATGAATTCTTTCAAACGCTTTCCTCATGGCATCTGCACACTCATGGACACTCAACCTGAATCCTCCCGTACCCAAAGGTGGCATTACCAAACTGTGAGCTTGTAGAGAAATCGCCTTCAATAACACTTTGGAAAAGACTTTGTCCATCTTTGACTTAAAATGTCTTCTCAATGGTGCAAAAATAACATGCTGACAATACAATTGAGCAGGTGCTCGGACTGATAACACCGTAGGATCATTTACTGGTCCGTGATTTGAAGCCTCAGCATCCACCAGAGCCTAAAACAAGAAGTTGATCTTCAAGAAAGATAACAAGTAACTGTTTTTTAACCTTTCGACCACCATATGCTTATACGTTTCCACAAGCTTAACCTTAAAAATAGAAAAGAAACATAAAGCACTGCCCTTGAAAGAAGAGCCACAAGTGTTAAGTAAACTACGTCCAATTCCAGCATTCAGAGAAAAAGTAGAATCAGAAGCAACAACGTAGACTTCTTCCCGTCTCGTCAGCAAGTTATCTTGCTCAAATAATATGTTCAGTCCTCTGAACTGAACGCTTGGCAGCTGTGTCATGGATGGATGTTTGTAATTTTATTATCTAAAAATTAAAATATTATCAAATAACATTGAACATTTACAATGAAAACACGTAAAAATCAAAATTAACCGTATATAATAAGTATTAGTACGTATAAACCATTCTTTACAATAAAAACACGGGATAAACAGAAGAAATTAGAACATTTTCAGTATTTTGTCGCGAAAAATTCGAAAAAACAAAAAAATTGTTTATCGAAACAAAGCTATTCAAAAGTGACACTTCGCAACGTTGTAGATCGAAATTTACGGTTACGAAAATATATCGGAGCATTTTTGATCGAAAAATAAATGAATCTTGAAAGTAACTCTTCACGATGTATACTTTACTATAACGGAAACGTTTATTCGTTGTCAGTAAACCTAATCATCGAAGAATAGGTTTTATCAGTGAAATTGATGAAAGAGCGGGTTGTCAACAACTCTTTGTTTGCACATTAACAAAAAAGTAAACCTTGATTGTTTGTAACCACTCATTTTCGTCAGATCCTCATCCTGAGCTCCCTACTTCCGGTAACAGTAAAAACACGTTACTTGTAAAACTAATCCTGTCGAGGCGGCGACATAAATGAGATTTTATGAAATTAATTTCTCAAACCACTAGTAAATACCGTAAATAATCAGGATAATTTACTGTTTTATAAGATAATATCATAAAAGGTATTATCTTTCATTAAACCACAACCTCCTCACCGAATTTAGAAATTTACGACTCAAATACAAAAATAATTAAGGTACATCTATACTATACCGCTTATCAATGTTTAATCCAATATAAGACATTATTAGGCACAATATCTAAGTAAATTTATAGTATAACAGTAACAACCAACAAAAATAAAATGTAAATATCAAATAACAAGCTTATTGGAAAGAGAAGTTGGCTGGAGCACCAGCTTGATTAAAGTTGTACCCGCCTGAGGCATTCAGATGTCGCGAACGTATAGCTTCCTTTTCTTGATGGCATAGCTGGATCAGCTCTTTCAGTTGAACCTGCTTCTCTTCGGGAATCGCTACGAGTTGGTGGTAGAGGGCAGAATCCGTGGATTCAATGTCTGAAATCAGAAAAGTGAGGAACCAACTCATTATATTATTGTAACAACTTTACGACAACGCAACATAATGATGAAATATGTCGCATACAACATACCGTTCATAATATCGACGAACAAAGTGTGAACATTATAGACTTGATGTTCTCCATCAAACCGTGTCTCAAACTCTTCCAACTCCGTGACTTCTACAAACGAACAACGGTCTTCACTGCACTCTGAATCCGTGTCTGCTGCCATTTTCTTCTCCAATGACAACAAGTATTCACTGTCGTTCTCGGTGACATCGTCATCAGAATCTTGCAAATCAGGGTCGTGTCCTTCACCTTCTTCATCGGAATCGTCGTCGTCAGAATCATCATCATCTGCTTCTTTGATCAACTTCTTGCATTTCTCAATGTCTTCAAACAATTTGATGATGACTTCCATCAACTTCTGGGGTTGGGTTTGGACGATTGTCGGCCTGAGTGACGGATCCACTTTGAACAGCAACAATAAAGCATATACAAGAAGGGAACGGTCGTGGATACCATTGAACTTTGTAAAGTTGTTGAACACGTATTCGAAGAACCAATTGTAGTTATTGGCTTGGTAAGGCTCGTACTGGTTAATAAGTTGAATGAACATCTGTGTATTATAGTTGAAAGCTTCGATTAAAGTCTGAAAATAAAGAAATTAACTTCATGATAAATCTATTGCGAATAACACATATTGAAAATATGAATTAAGAAACTCACAACACAACATTGAGCATGAATCTCTTCGAATTCAGCCTGATCTGCCAGTAGTTTTTTCATGACTAGTGCAAACATCTGAGGGTAAAATTGGTCCAGGTGACCTCTGTAGTAACTGAACAAAATTTCCAGCATTTTGATGACGTAGACGTGGACATCTTCTCCACACTCGTCGTCGTTTAATACCCGCTCAATCAATAACAACATCCTTACCAGTCTCTCGGGCTTCGAAATGAAAGCAGCTGGATCCTTAGTCACAAATCTAGTCAGAGCCGGCATAGCATCTAAAACAAGATTTATAAAATTAAATAAAACATTAATCTTAAAAACCAATAATTAATCGAATATGATGTTTACCTGTAAAGAAAAGACTGTTATCTTGTTCAAAGGCATCCAGCAATTTCTCGTACACCTCCCACATCTTGGGTGAGACACCATACTGTAACAAACACTCAATCAACGATGTAGCCTCTTCAAAGAAGTCAGTTACACAGACATCCAGAATCTCCATCGCCAAAGCAGCTACCATAGGTTCGATCTTCTGAAGGGCTTCTTGGTTGTCTTGGATTAATTGGAGGATAGTCTCCAGTGTAGCCAACACTCCCATTACCGTCATACTTCCATCTAAGAGTCCGGCTCCATCCTCTTCCATTACCAAGTGATGGAATACTTGGATCTAAAATAAGAAAAACATTATATTCTCCTTCTGTAGCAGACAACCTTTGAAAGTAAAAGTACTTACCAATTCAAACACAACACCTTCTGCCACTGGTATAACATCGTCCGCATATGCTTCAATAAGACTTTCAATAACAGGTGGTAAGTCTTCCAGATTATGTTTTCCGAGTAACCTCAACACCTCCCTCAGCAAATCTCCAATCCTAGGCTTGATGAAAGCAGCTACATTCTCCGTTTGGTTGTTGACCAAAGCTTGAATGGCAACAGCAGCTTCGAATTTAACGGGCAATTCTTCGTTTTCATCTTTGATTCGTTGAGTTATAGTCTCAATGAGATCAGCCAAGAATATACGATCTTTGAATGGAGCTTCAGCAGCTTCCTTGATAACATTCAGAGCTCTCGCTCTGACAAAGGGAGTTTGATGGGTAATTCTAGGCTTTACGTGTTCTCTGATAAGTTTCTCAACCTCTTTCTTGTAGCGACGATCTTCACAAAGGGTTGGAGCTAGTGCCGTGATAACGTGCAGACTTCCATCAATTTCATTCGAACCAAGATCTGAAGTTTGAAGCTTGGTAATGACTTGAGTCAAAATAGGTATCAAGATCCCTTGTCGTTTAGCAGCAGCATTCAAAAACCGAATGGCTGCTGCCGCTGGGTTTCTGACTTCCTCAAAGCAATCTTGTTTCTCTCTAAGGTAAGCTTCCGGATCATCTTCCCACAGTTCTTGGTCAACTTCGGAAAATTGAAGCAAAGGAAACATAATATCGCAGAATATTACCTAAAATAACAAAAGTCGTAACAAAATCTAACAACCTCTTTTAAAGTAATATAAAACTTTGGAGAAATGACACTTACATCAAGGTGAGGCTTGACCAACTTCCAAATCGAACCGTGACTCAAAGCTTCAGCGATATGGCAGATACTCAAGTACATAACCCGACTAGAAACGTACTCCTTCTTAATATACCTCTCCAACACCTTTAAAACACTTGTCACAACAGGAGACAAGTAATTGGCAGTGTAATATTCGGCGAAAGTCTTGTAAGCAGCTTCTACATGTCCTTTGGATCCATATCGCTCAAAAACACGTTCGATAATCTTCAAAGCCCATTTCTTGCACTTCCACCAAATAGTTTCATCCCGTTCTTCGACATCAACTTGTTCTACTTCAGCTGGAATGTCTCGTTCCACTATTTTCACAAACAAAGCCAACCAGTGACCAAAGTCTTCAGCCGTTAAGACATCGGTACTCAAGGAAAACTAAAAAAGTTTGTTTCTTTAAAAATAAAATAAATATTACCTGAATTAAACAGAAGAAGATCTTCAACATAAGTTTCTGCAAAACATTGGCTTCTTGGCTTTGGTCATCGATAATATCAACAAATCGTTGATATAGAATAGGTAGAAACCTGTTCATGGCTACCAAAAATGGCTGTTTGTCAACTTGTCGCTTGTACTCATAAATCTTGGCTAATCTGTGAGTGACCAGAAGAGCGGCATACCAAGAAGCGCCATCATTTGATTGATAAAGTTGAGTTAGTTCATCTACAATACTTGGCCATACTTCTGGAAAGTCGTGTCGCAATATGAATTGCATGCAGATGCAAAGTTGAACCCTAAAAAAAAATATTACTTAATTACATTGACAGACTCCAAAGCCGTATAAAGCCAAACACAAGAATCCAACATATACCTAAAAACAAAAAAAAATATGGAAACCTACTTTAAAGCCTCTGGAGCCATAATAATTCTAGGTATTAAAACTTGACGAATAGCTACTTTATCTTGTTCAGCAATAGGCACCTTCTTTCCCACATCGTCAGAGTCCAAAACCCAATAATCACGAATGTGATTCTTAAGAAAGATGCCGGCAGCTTGTCTCACAGCCATGTCCAACGAGTCGTCGCTCAAAATATCAAGAGAAAACGTTGTGAACCCTATCATGGTGCTGCTCTAAAACAAAACACAATAATAAAAATACCAAAGTTCTCAATTATACTAACTTTACCATATAAAACCCTAAAACATACCTGTGTTAAAAATTTAGTAGCTTCCTTCTGGCCAGCCGGGTTTGTTGTAGCCTTATAGGCTTCAACCAGAAGTCCCCGATCCATTTTGCGCGACAGAAACCTAAAAACCAAGACGAAATGAAATCAAGACGAAAGCAACTTCAAACAAAACTGACAAAACGTAACAAAACTCGAGTCCTATTGTTGCAAGGTTAAGCTTGATAGCAACGGGCCTACGTTTCCAACGTAAGCTAGAGAGCAGATTATAATTTTTCTTTTCTTTTTTCTCGAGGATCCATGTTTTCGTGGTGTGACCTTGATTGGCATACCGCAGCAAGCGTCAACGTAAAAGGGAAAGTGTTCCTGGAGGATTGGTATATCCACAAACAACTTGTTTTGGGTATAACATCAAAAGTTAAATATTGTGTTCGACTGTTTTATGTTGTTTCTCATATTAAAATGAAAAGATTCAAGCAAATCCTGATCAAGAACGCTTTTCCAATAGCAAGTAAGCGAAGTATCACAAAATATACCAGCCGAAAAATTTTTGTTTCCGCTGGTTTTCGAAATATGTAATATACCTGGTGGAAAAGTATAACAATTTGTTCACCCCTATGATATTGTGTCAATTTGATATTTATACGTTCCAAAGTAGGTGTAAGGTTTATTTTATTAGAATACATGACACACCAGAGCAAAAGGGGTGTTGTTACTGCCAGTATCAGCTGTTTAATAGTCATGAAGAACTGGACGGTACTAAAAGTAACACAATATTACGTTAGACTTGTTTCTATACTTACGTTGTCTGCCTGCAAGTTCTCCAGCTTCAGTACGATGCAATCTAGGCGAGGAAGGTTTCTGAACGATGGCAAAGATACAGTAAGAACGTTGTTCTCGTACTTGAACTTTAACGCTGTGTTCTTGCCGAGCAATGTATTCTTGGTCTGTAGTAATCGAGGATTATTATAGGTGACATTACGGTAACATAGGTTAATCAACGTAATTAATATGATAATTCTTGGGAGATTGTATATGTGAGTACAGTTTAACCACACTTGAGGTTAATGTTTCAAATTAAAATACCTTACCTTATCAGTAGGTTTTGAAAGTTTGAACTCAACTTTATCTTCAAATTTGGTTACGAAGGCGTATACCGTAGTTGCTTCTTCAAGCTGGGGATTGTAGACACGGCTCTTGTCAAGTTCAACTCCAGTAGTTTTACTCGTATACCTGAAGTTGACAACGTTAATGTGACGTTACGCGCAGCTCCTACAACAGTCTTATGGAGTACACAGTAACCTACCAAATGTAATCCGATTCGTTTTGGTAAATCCATGGTTTTGACTCGTAGATGGCTTCACCGTTGGCGTTGGTGAACGACCCCAGATCTCTGAGACGTTCTTCAAAGAGAGGATCGATGATCCCGAGGGAGTTTGGGCCGATGTTAAGCAAGAAGTTTCCTCCCCAGGCCAGGATTCTGACGAAGTAGTTCAGGACTTCCTTCATTGACAGAACGTCTCCAGTCTAACAACATTGTCATCATTTAGTTTAGAAAAGTATAATATGTTACGCAGACAAGGTAATGGCAACTTACATTCATCCTTCTACGGTAGCCGAAGCTGTATCTGTCCAATGGCAGACAGCATTACCACTTCCGTTTCAATAACTTTCCTGGCATAAACTTGTCAGTGCCAGTGATGTAGCTACCGTGATGACCAGGAATACCGGCTCCCCATCGATCGTTTACAACAATCTTATCTTTCACAGGGCTAAATTAACCATAAGCGATGAGTGTTACCTAAAACAATACGAATACCTGTCGTTGAACAACCAAGCGATGAATTGAGTAGCCTTCCAGTAGGTGTCTGGTCGTTCCCAATCGCCGTCGCTCCACAGAAGGTCAGGTTCGTAGTTGTGAATCAGTTCCCTCATCTGAACTAGGGAGACCTGATCTGTGTACAAGGTAGTCTTGTTGTGTGGGTCTGAGATGTAAAGATGGTGGAACCAGTCCATCTGAGAAAAGTAGAGGCCGAAATGGATGCCAGCTTCAGTGATTCCTTCTTTGAATTCTTGAATTAGGTCACGATGAGCTCCAATGTCCACAGCGTTCCAGTTCAGCGAGGTCGTGGAAGGCCAGAGGGTGTAGCCATCGTGGTGTTTGGATGTTACGACGAAGTATCTGAAGGTTAACATTGATACAATTTTTGTACGTCGTATTATTCTAGCTTTGAATCATACGAAGTCAATAACGTACAGTATCTATTCTAAACTTACTTTGCTCCAGATGCCTTCACGATGTCGGCGGATCCTTTTCCAGTGAAATCAGCAGCAGAAAACTAAAAAGTGGTTTTGAATTTTCACTATCAATCTATTATATGTATGTTATAACTTATATTGAAAAGTAAAGAACCTATAATGATATCTTACTTTAGAGGCCAGATCACCGTAACTTTGGCCTGGGAAGTTTCTGTTGATAAAGTCCAGGACGTCTTTGTGTTTGTCAGCCCAGTAGCGGGAGATCCATTCTGTAGCATAGGCTGGCACTGAGTACATTCCCCAATGTACGAAGATACCAGGCTTTGACTTGTCGAACCATTCAGGACAAGGGCAAGAGTCCAGTGACTCCCAGTTTGGCTACAAGTAAAAAAGTAGCGGTCACCTACTTATTACATAGTAATATGGATGACTGATAACTTTCAGCTATTACTTACATCGTAACAAGCGACGTAGCCAACAACTGTGGCGATGACAAACAAGTACAACTGCATACTGTATGTTGTTGTACTTGACTGATATCATAGACTTTGTCTTTATATATCACTTGTTATAATGTCAAGGTATTTGTGTTCTTAAATCTCTGTGATTAGAGATACCAATGCAACATATGTTGTAAAATTACAATGACATTTGAAACAAATAGAAGTCTTAACATTGTTTGTGAACTCTTAATGCTATCATAATATAATGTAGTTTAATACCAACGCGTTCATTAAAGAATGCAAAACCATACTGTAAACAATATACATGTAAACAACCATATATAACATCTGAGTACACCTTCAACCAAATCAAAAAAGTTTAAAAAATAGAATTAACCTAAATGTCATTATCACTAACACCGACTCACTGACCGGTCGCTTTTTATGCCCGATCCAACTGACTCCAACACTAATGATGACATCCAAGACCTGGCCCTGACTGGACTAAAAGAAGCTGTGGCTGAGCGGGATCGCTGTCTAGATGGCAAGAACATGGTCGTACTGGAGTTGATGGCCAAGATAGGCGATTTAGAGAACCAGTTGAACAAGAAGGACCACTTGGTAAAGAAGTACAAGGAAGTGCACCGGAAATTGCATCTGACACCGATAAAGGGATCTGCTGAGAGTGAGCACGAGCAGGCGGATGAGGTAACAGTACTGATTTCAAAACTAAATTTAATCGCCTATGTTACAGTAAGAATATGTTAACATAGATCGAGAAATTGCGCTCAAAAGAATTTTTTAGGATGTGCCATGGTTACATACTGAACTCATGGATATCATCTTCTTCTACTGCGACTACCGTACCAGAATAGCTATTAGTATGACATCTACAGCTTTTTACCACCGCTACAAGGTTTGGAACGATGTCAAGCATCTGTACGTACGCAGAAGCGACTCCATCGAACAAGATCATTGTACGGTATGTTACAGTATACCAGCTTTTAGCTTTTTACTTTTTAATTTTTAAATGAATTTTGGTTTGAAAATTCAACTTTCAGCATCTTTCACTATTTACTGTCTATACATTACATGTTATTTAGATAATTCCTCACAGTTACCAAGCCATCACCAACTCCGCCCCTCCAGGTGTGATCAGGTTCTATCACTTCAAGAACATGAATACCTACTTTGATCGGATAACGACGTTGATATTGGAGAGTTCGCAAGAATCTGTTGTATCTCGTCTGAATCGTGTCAACCTCGCTACTCCGGACTCTGCTTTTCTGCAGAAATTCAGGAATCTGGAGATTGTCAAGTTTTGCGCTGTGAAGAAGAACATGGGGTGAGTAGAATGAAGATGGAACATGCAGTTCATGTATAATATATGATTTGTTTTAATAACTGATTTAGTTTGTACTATACCATCTCTGACATCTTGTCATTGCCCAAGATTCGTGTCATTCACATCCGAGAAGACAACCTCATCTTTGGAAACCTGGTACCAGTGGCTTCAGTTGAAGATATACGGCTGTCTTTAGAGTATCTTGACTACTCGGACTTTTGCAAATTGTGTTTGGCAGTACAACAAACCCTTAGGCACTTGTTGCTGTCCGTAAACCTCAACTTTCTGCCGTTGGTGGTACGACAAAGTCCAATGTCACAGTTTACGGTAAGTAAATGACATTATAAAACGAAGTTGTTTCAAATAAATGTTGATTACAATGCTTGCTTTAGGGCGACGAGTACTGGAGATGGATGTGTTCGATGCCCTTTTTGGAGACAGTTTCCTATCCCAAACCTCTGATGAGAGTAAGCTTAGGTTCTTGCTTGTCATAGTATTGCTTACACTTTTTTTGACATTACAAACTATTAAAAAGCTACTACACCAACTATAAATTCAAAAAAACTTACGCCAAACACTGTCATTTCAGATGACCACCTTATCCAACATAAGTCACTACTTCCCCAGCATGTTATCCATGAGCACGTTGACACTGGAGTCTCTAAACACGGTGGATATTCCTGTCATCTCTACCATGTTACCCGACCATTGTGAGTGCATCATCGTATCAGAGATGCTGAGAGTGGGCGACCGTTTGGTGAAGCTGAATTCCCTTCAGAACACCTTCAACGAAGCCTTCACCCCCGACCTCAGAGAGATTCTCTACCGTGATTGTCGTGCCGTGTGTAGAAAACTACGGCTTCAGCTCGGATTCTGGAGAGCCGCGATACCAGCTTCACTTGATATTGATGTAGGCAACGTTCGTGTTACGGCAGCCTTCTCCAAGACCACGGAACTGATTAACGGAGACGTTGCCAATGACCGTAGAGTCTTCTTCTGGAACAACCAGATATACAGTCGAACCGAGTTTCTGCGACATTTTGGCATTGACTATGGTTTGACCAAATAAAACTGATTTTGCTGGCTATTCGTATTTTAGTGTTTGATGTAAAATTTATCTTTAAGTGTCTTCCTTTCTTCTTAAATCTTCTCTAGTGCATAATAAATGAAAATTATATAATTCATGGTTTATATATTATTATAATAATTATTTAATTTTTTAGTTTTTTTAAAAAATTATAATTACGATTTTTAACATTGCAAGTCATAATTTTAAGTCTGGAAATTTTATTGTAATTATCCATAACTTAATATTTTAAATTATACGAAAAGTTCCTACCCGAAATGTCGATAACCCGAAAAGTAGCTACCCGAAATTACGATTGCCCGAAATATCCATCACCCGAAAAGTCCCCACCCGAAAAGTCCATTACCCGAAATGTCCTACCCGAAAACTCCTGCTCCCTCTCTAGTTACCATAATTTTACTTTCATATGCGTGATTTTAAACCTAAACTCGAGTTCGCGGTTTCACCAACACATTTTATGAAATATCAAAGACCAAAAAGGGTTTTATCTAAATAGATGTAGATGGGGGTTGGAAACCCTTATAAAATAGACGTGACACAGTAACCATTATAAATACTTTATTGTAAGGCTCTATTGTTTGTAAGTGCGACCTTCTTTTGAAAAACTGCCTTCCTTCGAATTGGTCTGCGTCTTGGAAATGGTTTCTCTGGATGGCTTCTCTCGACTGGCGTACCTCTTCTTGCTTGTTTTAGTACGACCTCGTTCCTTGGAGGTAGTCTTGTTGTTGGGTCTCTTGTTCTTCTTGTCAAGGCCTACCAACGCTTCTCTGCTCATCGATACTTGTTGTGACATTTTGCCACCTGCTTTACCCTTCTTGTGCTTGTTCTTACTGAAAAATCAACACTTGATACTTTCACTCAATGTTATTCTGATAAAAATTTGAGAACTATCAAATATATATTAATCCTTACCTAGTTGACTTTTTTCTCCCAGCGTCGATCTCCCGTAACACATCGTACATCAGAAGCCTTTGTTCACTTCGAGGATTGAAGATCTTCTTCATGACATCTTTCATAAAGGGTGGCGTCCACTCAGGAATTACCAGTCGATTTCCCTTCCTCATTACCTAAAGCAATGTTATTAGTATTTTCTTTATCTCCTAACACATTTACAGTATATTTAACTGATATAACAGTAGTTCGACAAGCCAAAGGTACCTCTTGTTTGACCTGGGCTCCCGTCCAGCCATTATATGGTTCGGCTCCGTTGTTAAATATCTCCCACAACAACACTCCAAATGCCCAAACATCGGCTGCAGCCGTGTACAATTGCGTAGCAAACACTTCTGGAGCCAACGCTTTTAGTGGAGCCTTTTCCGTGGGATCCAACTTAACTTGAGTAGCCAACCGAGAGAGACCAAAGTCGCTGATCTTGAGTATTTTGTTACCGTAGAGACAATTCCGGGCTGCTATGTCGCTAAAATACGTTCAAGAACAATATACACGTTAATTTATAATAAAATCGTTAATAATTTACACAACAACGTAAAAAATAAATCTTACCGATGCAAGATACGACTACGATGAATGTGATTCAAACCACAAGCTGCATCATACGACATAGAAACACGCTCATCGATAGTAATCTTAACACCGTTCGCTCTGAGATACGTGTCCAGACTTCCACCTGAACAAAACTCGATCAGAATCATGAGAGGCTCACTGTCGGCTGACACGCCGTAGCATCTGATGATGTTTTTGTGTCGTAGCATTCTCATCAGTCTGGCTTCCTTCATGATTTCTTCAATCTTCTCCTTTGTCATCATGGTCACTTTCATCTGAAAATTTTAACAAATAGTTTTTCCATCTACAGCACGGTACACAGGCCCCTCCCCCATTGTTTCACCCTACTATACCTACTTACCGTTTTGACAGCTACCTCAACTTCTTCATTAGGCTTTATTCTGAGTTTGCCGTGAAATACTTGACCAAACGCTCCTTGCCCGAGCACCTTTCCACAATTAACTTGTTCTGGATGGAACTCCCAGTCTTGTCTACAGACAGGCTTGTTCAACATGACTGGAGGACTGCCGAAAGGTAGCTTCTTCAGAAGGTAATGGTTGGCAAGGTTGATGACAGAGGGAAAGCCCACTTGCTCAGTCAAAAAGAACTGTCCGCCAACATTCCTGATCATAAAATGTTCCACATATCCATTGTTTCCCATCACTGATAAGCATGTTTGGCGTTGGCCCTGACTTGAAGTTGATGTACATCGTAGCAGAAAGTCGCCCGGTTCTTTCAACATAAGATTTATGTCCTCACGCGGTAGTAGTCTACAATTATATTCTTGAAAAAACCAGAACTATTCTATATTATATTGTAAATTAGAGTTTTTAATGTAGTATATTATACAATTGACAACAACCTATATTACCGTACCCATGATGATATTCGAGCTCGTTGATGCCAGTTTCTTTCAGAGAAATGTTTTTTACTTTTTCCTCCAGTTGAATTGGCTCGTTTCCACCATACGGATCAAAATCTTCATTAGGATCGAGCACGTTCCTGGTCGGTGCCGTCGTTCCACCATCGTCTACTACATTATGTTGTAGAGTTTCAGCTGGACCTTGTTGTTGCTGTGGAGCTTGAAAAATTATGTGACCTTTATCATCGACTGGATGCACGGTTTGCCTGAAAGAGTCGTCGATTGGGAGCAGTATTTCGTTGGGATTCTCATACGGATCGTAGCCATAATAAGCGCCCAGAGGCATTTGAATTGGGAATCGAGGCTGAACTGGCGGTCTACCTCTAAAATTAAAATCTTTAGTTGGTAGAATAAGATAAAACTGCTCGACTGTGTACAGAACATGTATATTTTGTTCATAAAATCATGACTTACATAAAGGTTAGATTGAAAAATTGGTTTTGATCAAAGTTCATGGTCACAAAAACCACTTACCACGGTTTGAAATGCAAAATAAGAAAAAAATTGCATCTCAATGTCTATTTCCATTACGATTTTCACCAGAAAAAAGTAATTTCTTAGCAGCAGTCTTTGTAATCTGGTCTACAGTTCAAATTTGCAACACTTTTTGATGAGAGAAACTCTTGACTCAACGGAAGACTTGGCACAAAACCTGAAATTTTTTGGACGGAATTTTGTTTGTAAAAGATCTCATTTATACCTTTATTTAGTTTTAATTAGTACTAGTATTTTCTATTTATTAGCCTAGATATTGTTATGTTTAACAGTCGACTGATAAAGACTGGAATAAAAACGGAAGAGAAGGAAAATGAAAAAGGTCTTGTGAATGTAAGTTTAATTGTTTAATTTCTAGTATGTTTAGGTAGATGATTTCAAACCTAGAACCTCAGTTTTGTGTACACCACCGAAAGCGTCTGTAAAACGGAGGATCAACTCTCCGAACTCGAAATGGGCCGAGATTCAGGCCAGGTTGAGATCGCCGAGTTTCAAGAAGAAGATCGAAGAAGAAACGGAGCAGATCATGAAGGTGGAAGTCAAGTACAACGCCAAAGACAGAGAAAGCAGATGTAAGATGCATGCCAAAGACGACTGTGCTTGTTGTCGACCTTACTACGATGCTTTGGGGCTTTCTGAAGAAGAAACCAAGAAGCGGATTCAGCAAGTTGGGAAGCATCGAGCTCTTCATCACTACGACAAGACTCCACCACGGTATTGGGATCTGGAAATGAGGGTGTTTAAGTCTCCGAAGAACAGTCCTAGTCGAACGGTCGTTAAGAAGCGGAGGAAATGATTGTTGCTTAATTTATTAGTCATCTACCTGTATATACTGATTGAAAAGTTATTTATCTGAGCATTAAATTATAGTTGGATACTTTTGAATTTGTTATTAATGTTGTTCACATTATATATATACTTGTACAAACTGGTTAATGTGTTGTTATACTTGAAATTAAATTTTGATCTGTCTAGCTATGGCCGCTTTACCGAACATAGAAAGAGATCTGGCGAATGCCTTGTCCAAGAGTGCTCAACTGGAGAAGGAACTCAATGCTCTTCATAAGCAAAGGACAATGTTGGAAACACAGCTGACCGAGAACAAGATGGTTGAAGAGGTACTGTAACATTCTTTTTGTTTTCTCTTTAGTTGGTGGCACACTAAGTATCTGTAAAACTCTATATAACTTTTGTTTGGCCACTTGAAATTTTTTAGACTAATGTGAAACGCTTGTTAGTTTATGAAACCCGCCGTGCTTTTTTTAAGAAAGATAAGAGATATGTTTGGAGGTGTGTTGATATTATGTTAACGACAGTTATAAATGTGTTTTCTAGGAATTGAAGTTGCTTAAAGAAGGAGAAACTGTTTACAAACTTGTTGGACCTACATTGTTGAAGCAGGATCAAGCTGAAGTCAAGCAAAACATCGATCATCGTCTAGATCACATCAAAAAAGCTATGTAAGTTGCTATTATGATTATTATTAGTGTTTTTGGAAAGAGTTCATAAAGTATGATAGATTTAACACATTGAAATTTTTGTTATTGTTTGTTGTTTTAGAGAAACAGTTGAAGACAGTGTCAAGAAGAGTTCGAAACAGATGGAGGAAGTCAGGAAGACCGTGGTGGAGTTGAAGACCAAACAAACCAAGGCCTAGAGACCCACTCAGTTGTTAAACTTGTTTTGTTGCTTGATGATTCTCAGTTTGTAAGTCTGCTTCTTAAACAATAAACTTTGCTACATAGAGGTATGTGTTTTGCTACTATAGGTACTTCGATGACTTGGCAGCATAATGCCTTAGTTATATTATTCATGCTAATACTTATTAGTACTTTAGTTAAATATTTATTACAGTATTTACATTAATATGTACATGACTACTACGCATTGCTTGCATCAGTTGACTGATGACATTTTTCGTATTGGTTTTTTAAATTCGCTTTCCGTGTATCCATGACTTAATAGGTATTTCTTGGCTGCTGCGAATCCTTTCTGGTCGACTCGGTTCCTGACTGGTACTGTTAGAGCTCTTTTGAAGTAGATCTGAGCTTCATCGATTGCACCAATTCTTCGTAAACAGTCCCCGATGTAGTACAAGTTGGAAGCAGAGATGTTTGCCTGCAAAAGTAATGGTTAAAAACAGATTTCCAGTGGAAAATTAAAAGATTAACAAGCAAAAATAATAGTGGTAATTAGAGCTTAAAGCTGCAAGAATTAAAAACATGGGGTTTCACAGTAACTTTGTCAGGTACTGCAGTAATAATAGTAAAAATAGTAATTATAAGTGTTAAAATGACAAAAAAAAAAAAAAAAAAGAAATGATTTCAGTAAATAAAGTAAAGTATACGTAACTTATCGAAATATTACCTTAATCTGTTCAGCCTTCAAGAAGTAGGTTAAGGCGTCTTGGTAGCATCTGATGGCATGGAACTGTAGTCCAATTGCTTGCCAGGCAAAGGGGTCGTTTGGGTTTGATTCGGCGACTTTGGCCAAGTGTTTCAAGGCTTCTTCGACCGATTTGGTACCGTACACTTTGGCCATGGTACTGTTAGTTTCTGAATGTAGCTGTTAGGAAGAATAAGTTACAGAATTACTGTTTATGCCAGTTTACAGTAAACCACTCTTTCAAATGAGTTTGGATGGAAATCCACGGCCCTTTATGTTACTGCCTTAGGGCGTGCCCGCGGCTCTTAAGCGGATTGTATTTGAATCCATTGCTATCAAATATTATTAATGTACTGTGACGTGGGTATGTTGATAGAAACAGCACTAATCTCATCTAGTACTGGACAATAAAAACTGCGCAAGAGATTAAACGGTAAGGCAGAACGCGTTTACAGCAAACATTCGGATCATCTGCACATACGAAGTACTACTCCATGGTGAGTGTAAACATGTGGCAGAACCAGATGTGTCACCTTGTTGACGTACGAAGTAGAGGATAAGCTTTGGGAGAAGTTAAACCTTACAACACTGACTTACGATAAGTATGATTACAAGGTTTAGGTACTATTTCGGATTATTCTCGATGTTCTAAACCTGTATTAAACTTAGTAAGGTATCAAACATCATGCTCGGGATTGTGTTATAGTAAAACTGTCTTATTGTAATAAGATCTAAGGTTATTACAAATATTACAAGTAGCTTAAGGCATTGTAATGTGTATACGTGATGCTTTTTTACTATATAGGTATGTTTTTTAGCTATTTTTATAGTAATTTACAAGCATTTTTTACCATTACATATACTTAAGTATGGTTTACCGAAAGATTGAGTAAAGTTGTTATGTCAATTGCTTATGGTCGTATATGCACTTTAGAGTTTGCAGAGAATTAAGTAATATGTGATTATTGTATGCAGATAAGACGGTTGTTGTTAATGTTATACCTTACTTATAAGTAATTAAATTTAAATCCGGAAGTCATTTTCTAATTAGATTCGGATAAGCTTATTCAATTACATTACTGTAAAGGATAATCAGCGCTTAACTGACAGACATTGTCGTACCTTATTTCATGACCTCTTAATGGGCATGTCTGGAAGTGTTACACTATATATATTGTTTTTGTAATGTCGTAGTATCGTGGATAATAGTTTTGTGGAATTACTTTTTAAGATATTATACATGTTACTTGTTGTGGATGAGTCTAACTTGTGTTCCTTTACTGTTTTAATGGTAAAGTTTGTTACGTTACTGTTCTGCCTAGACTTTTGTAATTAAACGTACAGTTTAGAATGCGTCATACGATGTTGTACACAAAATTATGTGGGTGGCACGAAAATACCCAAATAAGTAATGCAATAGTACAAGAAGTGAGGAAAGTGCACTGTGAGCCAATTAAAAGAGAACCTGGATGAGACACGAGTAAGAACAGTTTAATGTGAGAGCGTTGCCTTGACTACCTGACTACAATGTTTGGACAGTAAGCAGTAGAGTTATATTATGAAAGGACGTGCGACAACATTGGCTTCGGCTTAAAATTGGCGGTAAACAATTGTTACTACGATTGGATTACACTGCTTTACATACCTTATTCTTTAGCCGAACTGTAATTCTATTACTGCACAGTAACTACTCTTTAACTCAGTTATCGTAGTCTCTCGCATTATTAACATAATTACCGTATCCGATCGCTTTACTTTGGTTTATAGTACAAGTTCGTCACCGTGGTAGGTTTTAAGTTACAGACGGTTACATTTGGTTCGCGAAGGTCGAGCAACTCGTTCTTTCGTTTAAGATAACATTGATGAAACGTTTTGTTAAGATTACTTCAAGATACTATAGAACGGTCCAAGATTACCTTAACATACGTTTATTTAATCACCTTAGTACCTGTTTTAATGATATTTTATTTAAATTTAAAGTAATTTAAACACACTTGGTTTTACTTTATTATTTACCGCAGTTAATAATACAGTAAATGATAAAGTTGCCCAAAAGATGACATTTTTCACAATATACTTAAAATACAAAAGACAATAATAATATAATGATATTATGTATAATATATTGTTTTGCAAGTGACATTTTAAAATTTTGCTAAATAAGGATTAAAGGTTGGCAGTTTTAATATTTACGAGTTATAGAAATGTCACGGTGATTAAGTATTCACAGGTTTTGTGGACTCGTACTGTGTTCTACATTTACACACTTTGAGTTTAACCGTTTTGTCTGGGGTCAAGAAGTATAGAGAAACCTTAAGGTTTTATATGTAGTTGTAAAAGTTTTGTCGGTTTTTAACGCTAATATGAAAATACGCTGACGACAAAACTTTTTCGATTTTATTTTGGATGTTTCGTATTTTAAAGACAACTTGTGCTTCAAAATATAATATAATTATTTAAAAAGTTTAAAATAGTCAAAATAAATTTAAATAACTAAAATATTAAAATTTAAAGGCGACGCCAACAACTGAGGAAACTGCGTCGCCGTCGCCGCCTTTCAACCCAAATGGACGTCGCTACAAGTTGTGTTGTTGTCATGTCAAGACCTTCACAGTGACCTTCAGTATCGTCGAGATCTTTGTGATATGTTTCCTGTTGATAGCCGTGTTACCTGACATCAGTGCTCGACTCTGCAACATTGTACTCGACAGTGAGTTGGAGCAAGTCATAGACGACAACTACACAATCAGCTTTACTTTCGACAACATTACCATCAACAGTCTGTTGTAAGTATTATTGAATGTAGGGTGCAAGTATTGCTATATTGGTTGGTTTTAGTATTATAATATGCTAATATATACCAAGATGACATATATTAATATGACAATATTAAAAATTATATTCTGAGTTTGATATTGTTTGGGATATTACTTTCGTCAGTACGGTAATCTTATCAAGAATTACATTTGAAGTTTGAAGAAGTCGGTGTAACAATTGGAAGTTCTGATTGTATTTTAATCAGTTTTATCACCTTAAGGGCTACTGTAGCATGTGCAGTGTGTGAGGAAGATAGCGTGAATTTGAAATAATCAAAAATTGCTTTTTATATCTTAAATTGTCATAACTTTAAACTAAACTTGTAGTGACTTGGAAGGGTTCCAAGATGCTGGATGCAAGATCAATGGTTTTTGGTTTGCCTGGGCTCTGATACAGCTTCTTACAGTAAACTTGACCTTCTATGGATGTAAAAATGTACGGTGGAAGTTCCTAATACCTCATTTGTTTTTTAGGTAATATACTTTTGATCAGTACTTAATATGTCATAATATACATACCTCATAACCGTAAAACATCATAGTAAAAAATTTGTGCTATTACAGTAATTACCTAAAAACAACTACTGTATAATTAACTGTATAAGATACTATAGTAATGTTGATTGCAGGTTGATGTGCACATTACTCTTGCTCTTCTTGTTGACGTTGTTAATCTTCTCGGTCGTAACATACGATGACGAGACAGCTTACAACGTATTTCTAATCTTTTTGAATGTTATTGGACTACTCTTTGTTGGTCTGTTGGTTGTAAGTGCACATAATTAGTTACATTTAGTTAGAGTAAAATGTAAAGGATAGCATAGTTAATCCAATGTTTATTTAGTATATACGTTAAGGCGTGCGCTATAAATAGATATATTAACTATAGAAAAGCATGTTTATGTGTTTGACAGTCTTGTAAATTATATATATAACATATAACTGCGTATTTGCATATACATGTGTACTGACTATAGTAACTTCTCTAAGACATTACTTTGTAACTCCAAAGAATGCCATATTGAATAACAGTTAAGCCCTTTCAGTTCGTCCAGGTACGATGTGCAGAGATGTTGAAGAAGTCGGCGGACAGTGGTTACAGTGTAACCAGTACTAGTAACTTCGCTCCACCAACTATATCACTGTCAGATCGACGACAACCAGACAATGCCATAGTGAACCGAGAGGCCAAGATCGACAGTATACATCAACTGAACGTGATCAGCGAGGAAGAGAGTCCCACTCCTGATGAGGTACCATCACTAACACACAAGAAACTACCCCCGCTGCGACATACCTACAAGCCTTGACTACTGTGATTAAAAAAAAGGCTTTTTTAATTAAATAAATATTTGCTATAGGTGTTATAATTCGTTTTACCATATATAAAACAGTGATTAGTGTCCTCAATTAAAATTTGACTTTTTTTACAGTAACCTTAACGTAGTAACTTGTAAACAATTTCGACGTATTCCCAGAAGCCCCCCCCCCCCCCTTACTTGTGTCTAATTACAAAATGCAATTTGTTTTTTATGTAGAGAGTGATGCCTAGGTTCTCTTCCTTGTTCACCTATATTAACCTTCGCAACCCGACATGATTTTAAATTTAAAAGGGCTAATGAAGGTTACAGTACTCGCATCTTATCGAAAGGCTTATCAGTTAAAAATTTAAAATCACTAGCAAAGCTTAAAGACAATAATGTCGCCTAGTTCTCTTACCTCTAATTCTCACTTGCTTATATCCTTACTTTTAAGAAATAAAACAATTAATGGAGGGACAACGATGGGATAGCAAGGTTAATAAATTTTACTACAAAAGACAAAACAAACTATAGCACAGCCTCCATATCAAAAGGTCACTACAGTAATATGTCACTCTAATAAACAAACAATTAATAACGAAAACAACTTCAGAAGCTGCTGAACCTAGGTTAACATTCAGCTTACAAATTGTAACAAAACAAAGTTCAAACAGAAGTCATTTTGGAATTCAAAGATCACCTAAAGCAACTTTCTCCGATTACGTAACATATGTTTCGTCTACCTAAAATACGAGCGGACGCAAAAACATTCGCTACAACTTTGTTTACATTATCAGTAGAACATTATCAGTAAAGTACAACCGTTCATTTTGGAATATTTATATCTAACAAAGTAAAACGATAATTATGTCCGATAAGTTGTTTCCGGCTGAGTGACATGAACACAAATGCTTACAATTCCCGAAACGCCACGTGAGTAAGAAGGTAAGGAGAGACGGTGATGATCCACCTCGCATATGAAAAACAAAGGCACTTTGATTACCGAGTTACAGTAGCCGGTACCGTAACCCAAAAAGAGAAGATAGACCCTATCGAATGGCAGAGGAAAGGACAGAACCCTATGAACAGAAAAAGAAAACTACAGTAATCAAGTTGCAAATACAGTATGACAATATATAATATAAAGCATATCTATATTGAATTAGAAAGTAGTACTGTAACTATACCAAATTGAAATATAGTACAGTAACTCCATCCAATTATGGTACTGTAACAAAAAAGATTACCGTACGGAAACATATTACAACAAAATAGTAAATTATAGTACAACAAGGTAGGTACAAAAGATAGCATCGATATTACAGTAACCCCGACGTTACATTAGAAGTAACAGTCGGCTACCTAAGAGCTTCTGTAATATAGAAAGATAGAAAAACCTAAGATAGACTAGGAAATGATTGCTAATACCACGGCCAAAGAAGAGTATCATCCTCAGAAAGTGCTCGAACAGTTGACTGGAGCGATGGACTTGTACGCTCTCTCCAGAGGCTTCTGTTCAGGTATCCTCGAGATCAGGTTCTCCTCCACGATGCGTGGCAGACTGGCTGTGGACCTGTTGAGCTTCAAGTGAGACTTGACCAAGTCCTTGGAGCACTGACCGGCCAGAAGTGACAGTTCTCCTGCCAACACAGTAGAACAAATAACCATAGCCAAGCGTTGGGCGTTGGCTCCAGGCTTTGTTGGATGAGAACCAGCACAGTTCAACATCTAAAAAATTTAAATTAAGTATGTTGTAATAGCTTTAAAAATTATAAAATAATGTTATAATAGCTTGAAACACGACAAGACAAACAAAAATAAAGTATAATAAGATAATACTTACATTAAGAGCGCTTCTCTGAGCCTCCAGAATAGTACCACCACCAACAGTACCAACCTCCACGCACTTCATAGAGCACGAGACGTGTAGATCGCCTGCAGCAGTCTTCTTCAACAAGGTGATACACATGGAAGAGCTCACAACTTGAGCAGCATCTTGTCCTGTAGCCAAGAAGATGGCGGCGACAACGTTGGCAGCGTGAGCGTTCCACCCTCCAATCGTGATGCCAGATGAACTTCCGACCAAAAGCTTGGCTGTCCCTAGGCTGACCATTTCATCTACCCTAGTCTTCAGAACCTCCTCCACAGTCTTCGCACTGAGAACGGCATCAGCGTGAACGGTCTTCCCACGGCCTTTGATCCAATTAACAGCAGCCGCCTTCTTGTCAGCACATTGGTTGCCGGAGATGGAGATGTACTTGAAGTTGTGGATGGTGCGGTCGATCATATTCATGGCAGCTTCTGTCGCTTTGCTGATCATGTTCATGCCCATGGCATCTCCAGTTTGAGCGACAAATCGAAGGTGGACGTATCGTCCTTGAATGTCCACATTCAATTCGACAAGTCTGACAAATCGACTGGTCGATTGGAAGGCTTCTTTGATTTTCTGGAAATTGGATGTCTCCAGAACCCATTCCTTGAACTTGTGGGCTTGTTGTAATCTCTCAAACTCAATGACTGGAGCTCTGGTCATGCCATCCTTCTCTACAAAAGCGCTGACTCCTCCAACAGCCAAAGCAGTACAACCTCGGTTGGCACTGGCTAGCAAAGCTCCTTCTGTCGTGGCCATCGGAACATAAATCGACTCAGAGTTCATACGTAGAGGACCCACAACCCCGACAGGGATGGGCATGTATCCAATCACGTTTTCGCAACACGCGTTTATTACCTAAAATCACAAAAGTTGAGTGTTTTCACAAAAGTTTGATATAATTACATAAACAAAGTGTAAAGTTACAACCAAGTCATGTCAAAGTAATTACAAAATTTGGGTTTCAAAGATTATTTAGCAGTTAGATAAAGAACTCAAACTGATATGATAATTGTTTCAAAAATTAACCAAAAATCTATTGCAAGGTCTCACCTGATCGTAGTTATAATTCTCAAATGGCAACTTGTCCATGCTCAGCTTTCCAACACGTTCCACGTATTTTCTTCTCAGTTCCACAGCCTTGGATGGTGTTACCAACTTCTCAAGATTCCTATGTTTTTCTTTGCCGGCCATCAACTTTTGCAACACTTCGGAAGACTTATCATCTTCTTCAGTTGGAGCTACAGTTGGCTGAGGCTCTGGTTCAATGTCGGTTTGAGTTTCTGCATCAACAAAGTCTGGTTCGTCCAGTGAATCTCGAGAGTCTTCTGAACCTAAAGTTACGGTAAGTTAAAAGGTCATATCACAACTGCTAACAAAAGAAGAAGAAACAAACTGTTTAAACTAATTACAAAAAGAAACTTTTTGCGACAAAAACGAAGTTATAAGTGTTCAAGTAAAGCTGCGACAAAAAGCGATTTAAAACTTGACCAATATCAATATAGTACTAAAACAACCACTTACTGCAATCAATCGAGAAAGTGGTCATCTTGTTGCCAGTGTTCCAGAACTCGACCAGATCCATGAAATCCTTGGTCAGCTTGTGGCCGTCCTTGGCCACGATGCCGTGCTCGGCCAGCACGTCTTGCACCTTCACTCCCAGATCCAACAAAGTCATTTTAAAGTTAACTGAAAGTGTTTCAAATGATCCACCCGGTCAACACTTTTATACTAGATCACCCAAATAACAGCAAAAACATTCCGCCGAGCACACTATCTTCGCAGCGAAGGGGCGGTGCCTTAAAACACGGTCGGAACATTTGAGTGTAACGTTGTTCACGTGAGCAGTAACAACCTTATCTTATCTATTACTGTAATGTAATGTGTGAGAAAGGGCCATTCCGTTCATCTACTAATTCGGTGCGCGAATACTCAAAGTACGGTAAAGTTTTAAAATTCTGTTTTTTGCTCCGCCACGACCAAAGATCTACTACTGACCTACTACCCCCGGAATACCGTCTCCTTAACCTCTTTTACTGTCAACACCTAAAATTAAGAAGTTTTTCTAGAATTTGGTATGACTGAAAACGTATAATAACAAAAACTTAAGGATTTTAAACTAAACTTTGACCTAATTTGAAGAGTTACCCCAAAAGATAATATAAAGTAGATAAACAGCTTTCACACTATCAAACCTCTAAAACATAATTTAATTTTATATTCCCATGCTACTTAACTTCTATTTAACGTCAATAACATCGTTCCGACAGAATGTCGAAACCAAATGTTACCTAAATTTCTAAACAAAGCAGTTTCTCCTTACCTACCAATTACATTTCCGTACTAATCCATTCTCTCCAGCCCTTTCTTCACAACAAGTACTGAAAAAGTCAATAATACATACCTTTTTTTCTCTGGTCCATTGCTAATTGCAATCCACTATCATTAGATGTCATTGGTTTATTATTATTCTAAAAATAGACATATCTACACAAACAGTAACTTACTTGAGATACGGACTGATTAAGGAGATCCCTTTGCTCGACTAGCTGCTTAACTACAAAACGTTGAAAGTCTTTGGTGTCTGTAAAGCTGTCAATAATGTTGTCTATGCTATTATCTATGGCATTGCCCTCCGGCTCCATTTCTGGCCACAAAAACTAGGCCAAATAACCCTGAAAAACAAAAAATAAGTACGTGAGTTTGACAAAAGTTGAAGTTTTGAAAGAGATTTAAGAAATTTTCTAGATATTGACAGCCGTGGCATAAGGCCAAGGAATTACTTTCGTTTTGGGACCAAATTAAATATTCTGTGAAACAATTTTTTCCTGAAAAAATTAAGAAATCCGTGAAAGAAACAGTCTTACTGGATTGGAAAGTCAACATATTTCTACTTTCACTCCAAATTGTATTCATAATATTAGTTTTTAATGCCAAACTTACAAGCAGGTTTTCAACGGATCAACTTTGTAAAGGCTGGAACAGAAGTATTGGAATCACTCTCTGAAAAGAAGAATATCGATCTAGATGGGAATGAAGTCCGCTCGTTTTACGAAAGCGTAACTAGTTGTAGTACGACAAGTACGTAAGTTTTATCAGTTTATTTTATTTCAAGTTTAGAAAAATGACTCAAATATAGACAAACACATGGTCTTCAATGTCAAAGTTTATATTTTTAGAAGTCCCACACCAGAAAGCTGTTAAGTCAACACATAATGTGGGTATTAAGCAGACTGTGATAAGTAAATCTGCTGATAACAACGGATTATCGGTCAGCGACCGTGATGTTCGGTTATTTCTAAAGGCAGTTAATGACAATGACCTTATTAAAGCTCAAGAGTACTTGGACAAAGGAGTCGATGTGAACAGTAAAGATAGTTTTAATTGGACAGCTTTAATGATAGCAGCAGCAGAAGGGCATAAAGAGATGGTGAAGATGTTGATAGAGAACGGAGCTGATGACGAATATTCAAATGGAAAGTTTGATGCTGTAAAATTAGCCAGAGAAAAGGGACACAGAAAATTGGCCAATTGGATTATCGGTTTCAGGTATGTTCAAACGGAATACATAATACGGTAAAATAAGATATAAAGTTGATTACTCGCTTTAAACTTCAACTTCAAAATTTTAATTATTACCTAAAATATATAAAATACTAGAATTTATGTTATAGAATTGACATGTTATATATGAGACATAAATGACATCATGATCTTTAAGAAACACGTTATCATTAATTTGATTGCTCACCTGGTGTTATGGTCTGATTTCTTTTATTTTGAGGAAATTAAGAAAGTTTTGCAAAATTATTTTTTTGTTTTGGAAATGCGAAGCTATAAATAATTAATATTCTTTAAAAAAATATTTTTTAGGGATCATCTCGACGAGCCATGTTCATCCACTTCTAATCGAGAGTTATATTGTGAATTGTGTGGTCTAACTTATACTGACTCCAACCATGCCAATTCCATTGTTCATATTGTAAATTTGGAGCAAAAACCAGACAGAGTGTTTGCATATGACATTCCGATGAGTAACATTGGCTTCAGAATCCTCAAGAGGAAAGGGTGGACAGAAGAATCAGGACTAGGAAAGGATGGTGAAGGTCGGCAGTATCCTATTAGGACTATGTTGAAAAGAGATCGGAAAGGGTTGGGAGTGGAGAGACTGCCCATGAAGGTAACACACTTCGGGAAACATGATTTGGCGTCAGTTAAGACTGTGGAGAAGAAGAAGATGGGACACGCCAAGGAGATGAGGAAGAAGATGGAGGAGAAGAAGAAGAGGGAAGAAGCCATAAGGAGAATGCTCAATTCTGACTAAAATGAACTTATTTTGTGAATAAATATTAAGTATAAAGGTCATGTGTATTTACAGCCCGAATTAACCCTTATCAGTCCAGAGAGAACCTTATTTTAATGTTTAAAAACAAAACCGTTTGTTATGAGGTTACTTGTTGGTTTATTCTTAACTTTATTGAGTTTTAGTGCAAATTCTAAATATGATGTAAGTCAAATAACTTTGTCCAGTGTAATATTAAAATATGCTTTTATGAGTTGTTTTGAAACTAAATCTTTTTATATGGTTATGTATGAGATATATATGAGTAGTTTTTATGCAAACAAAATTTAAAAAGAAAATTGTAGCCGAACTGGGATTCGTTAGATTCTCGACCATTACCCTCATGGTACGATGCTGACAAGTTTGGTATCTTTGTACATTGGGGAGTGTTCTCAGTACCAGCTTATCACAGTGAATGGTTGTGGTCGTATTGGAAACAACAGGATCCAGATGTGGTCAAGTTTATGGAAAAAAACTTTCCAGGTCAAAGCTACGGTGATTTGGCATCAAAGGTACTGTAATTCGTATGTTGCTGTAGTATGTTTTAGTTCACCGCAGCTGACTTTGACGCCAAATCATTTGCTGACATTGTAAAGGCATCTGGGGCAAAGTAAGTTATTTACTTTACTGTTAAGATCTGGATGTGTAAAAGTAAAAGTTGTATATTAATTAAGGAAAGAAAAAACTACAGTATCTTTTATAATATAAGTTGTTTAGATATTTTGTTGTCACTAGCAAACACCACGAAGGCTACACGTTGTGGCCATCGTCAACGTCCTTCAGCTGGAATTCTGTTGATATAGGCCCTCACCGTGACTTGATTCAAGAATTCAGAGATGCCATTACTGAAGCCGGGATTCATTTCGGTCTTTATTTTTCTCAAATGGACTGGTTCCATCCTTTATATCTCAATGATAAGACTGATAAGACCAACAACTATCCAGGTAACGTGTCTCTGATTCAGATGACAGAGATCGTGAACAGGTATCACCCAGAAGTGTTGTGGAGTGACGGTGATTGGGAGATGAAGGATACCTACTGGAAGAGTCAGGAGTTTATCGCTTGGTTGTTCAATGAAAGGTACGGTAACGAGTATTGGGTACTGTAAAGAGAAGTGGATATTGTAAAATCAAAGATTGTGTAAAGAAGATGGAGTTTTTTAGGCGCTAGGACAAATGCGGTTTTTGGACACTTGCGGATTTTTTAAAGGGGTTTTTTTTATTTTTTATTTAATTTAGTTGTAGTATGGTACTAAATGGTACTAAAGTTTAAATTGGCACTGTCTTAATATTTCTTAATGTTAAATAGTACTAAATTTTGGGGCCAATGAAGAATCGTTACCCAGTGCATTATAGTTCCCAACGGTGCATAACCGTTCCCCCAATTATTTATTTTTATATTTTAACATCTTCAATTTAGAAATAAAATTCGAGCGGTGGTGCGTTGGGGAGAGATACATAGTAAAGGGTTAAGGAACAATAGTAAAGCGTTGGGGAATGGTAGTAAAGCGTTGGGGAATGGTAGTAAAGCGTTGGGGAATGATAGTAAAGCGTTGGGGAATGATAGTAAAGCGTTGGGGAATGATAGTAAAGCGTTGGGGAATGATAGTAAAGCGTTGGGGAATGGTAGTAAAGCGTTGGGGAATGATAGTAAAGCGTTGGGGAATGATAGTAAAGCGTTGGGGAATGATAGTAAAGCGTTGGGGAATGATAGTAAAGCGTTGGGGAATGGTAGTAAAGCGTTGGGGAATGATAGTAAAGCGTTGGGGAATGATAGTAAAGCGTTGGGGAATGATAGTAAAGCGTTGGGGAATGGTAGTAAAGCGTTGGGGAATGATAGTAAAGCGTTGGGGAATGATAGTAAAGCGTTGGGGAATGGTAGTAAAGCGTTGGGGAATGATAGTAAAGCGTTGGGGAATGATAGTAAAGCGTTGGGGAATGGTAGTAAAGCGTTGGGGAATGGTAGTAAAGCGTTGGGGAATGATAGTAAAGCGTTGGGGAATGGTAGTAAAGCGTTGGGGAATGATAGTAAAGCGTTGGGGAATGGTAGTAAAGCGTTGGGGAACGGTAGTAAAGCGTTGGGGAATGGTAGTAAAGCGTTGGGGAATGATAGTAAAGCGTTGGGGAACGATAGTAAAGCGTTGGGGAATGATAGTAAAGCGTTGGGGAATGGTAGTAAAGCGTTGGGGAACGATAGTAAAGCGTTGGGGAATGATAGTAAAGCGTTGGGGAATGGTAGTAAAGCGTTGGGGAATGATAGTAAAGCGTTGGGGAACGGTAGTAAAGCGTTTGCCAATAATAGTAAATTAGAATACGTAGTCAATTACCTCGAATACTGTGTTTTATGGCGTAAAGTCCGGTGGCCAAAACCAGGATCCTTGAGCCCATTGTACGCCATCTGTGTCGAGACCGAAAGGTTAGAGTTCGAAAAGTAGGTACCATGACGAGTAGAGCGGGTTCAGCAATCAGTACTTCCGTTTCGACATCTCCACTGAAACAACATATGATATATATAAACAACTAACTTACCATGTATTTATCGGCCAGTTCAGACTTTTTTTACAACTTCATAATCGACGAACATTGCTGGCACGAATAAGCCGGTGGGAGAAGAGAGTTGTCTATCATGATCTGAATAGCAGTGGTATATGCTTGCTTCTCTTGCACCGTGTTCCATTTTTCGACCATCCAAGACCGAATAGAAAGAAAGAATGAAAAGCTTTTCATAATGAAAATGAAAAAATATGTGAAGCAAAAATTTGCATAGTTTTATTTATTCTCACCGTGGGGAACGATTATGCCTTTATGAGTGGGGAACGATTCTTCGATTTTGTGGGAACGATTTTGCATGAGCGCCTAAATTTTTAATCGGTACTGTTTTTGTATTTTTGGTACTATATAGTACTAAAAGCCCAAAAAGGTACTGTTATGTTAAAACCGTACCAATTCAAACTTTAGTACAATTTAGTACCATAATACAACTAAATTAACTAAAAAATAAAAAAAACCCCTTTAAAAAATCCGCAAGTGTCCAAAAACCGCATTTGTCTTAGCGCCGTTTTTTAATATGAATCAAAGTGTAATGTTAATATAATTTCAGTCCTGTGAAGGATACGATAGTTGTGAACGATCGGTGGGGCTCAGACATTCCTGGTCATCACGGAAGCTACATCACTGGCACCGACAGATTCATGCCTGGTAAACTGCTGAAACGGAAGTGGGAGAGCTGTATGACATTGGACAAACAAAGTTGGGGATTCAGACGCAACATTAAAGTAAGTGGATGCAAATTGATATTGATAATACTGCTATTCAACATATAATACATAAAACGAATTATAGTATTTTTATACAGTCTTTCTCTAAAAAATATTTACCTTACAGAGTAGTGACGTACTAACAACGAAAGAAGTCCTCACGATAATGGCCAAAGTCTTGGCATGGGGAGGCAACTTGTTGTTGAACATAGGCCCAGATCATCTTGGCAACATCTCTCCCATCTTCGAGGAACGTTTGAGAGATATTGGCACGTTTGTCGAAGCCAACAAGGAAGCCATCTTTGATACGAAGCCGTGGATATTCCAGAATGAATCTGATACTATATGGTGGGTCTTGTTTTTATTGTTATATCAGTTAATATAACTTTAAGCTAGCTATATTAATTATAAATTTTTCTTATATGGCATGAGTTCTGGTTAATATGTTATTGTATGTTTGAGAATGTTGTTGATTACTTTGTGATAATGTTTAGGTACACAAGTAAAACAGATGATCTTCTGACTGGAAACGAGTACTTCAATCCTCAGATTGAAGGAATTACCACGGTTTATGCATTTTTATTAGAATTTGAAGATTCTGTAGCTCTACGACTCATAAAACCAACAGATAATGTAAGCCGTCGTATCTTGTATAGCTAAGTTATATTATTTATTATCGGTTAACAACGAAATTGAAATTTAGGCCAAATCTTACTTCTTATCAGTAAAGTATTTTTTGAAATTTAAGAATTCTATAAGGTTAATTATAATCTTATATGTTCTTGTAGATAAAGGTAACCCTGCTTGGTACTAGTACTACTTTGAAGACGACTGTTAAGGGTGGAGTGTTTACAGTAATCCTACCGTCTTTCAAAAAGTTTCCACACAAAGATGCCATTGTTTTGAAGATAGAAAACGCCAAATCTGATAAGGTAAGTAATAGCTTTACAATACAGTATCTTTTACAGTATCGACCTAATGTGTACAATCATCTCTAAAGAACCAGCTGCTACAAGTTAAAAATGGTTGTAGCAACTAAAACTAACTACTATAATTAAAATTGTCAATAAATTATAATAAATAATACAAGACATTATATATGTTAGATACGAATAAACTTATTTTGGTATACGTGCTTAATCACTAAAATCAGTTTTATATCTTTCAAGCCATGTCATTATCAACTCTCTCTCTGAATATCATTTTAGTACCTTGAGAGTGAGTGACATCAAGGTGACATTAGATCTGGCATCCGAGTTGCTTTTATAGTTTAAGTATAAGAGTTCAGTACTTGTTTTGGGGGGTAACATGATACCGGTAACGTGCTGTGAATGATCAGCTCTATCGATTATTCGGCCCAACAGCTGGTCAGTGGTATTTGTAAATTGGTTTTGAGGCCGCATTTGTTCCCTGACCTCCTCGAGACGCTATTCTGATCTCTCGCGAGCCAACTTAAGGTGTTCAAGCTAGGTTTAAACTGTTTTCAGGCCGTTTTTTGGACGACCAGCTGGCCGCTGAGGTGAGAGTGTTTAACCGTTCAGACTCTTATTATATTATATGTGACGCTCTCCAAACTCTCGACAGCCGGAAGAATAAAAGATAAGTGGACTAGCTGACTATTTCATCCCTCCGAGGCCATGGAACGCGGGCGCAGCACCGAGTTGAGGATATTCTCAGCAAAGTAAGGTCGATTGTACCAGATTTTACTTCGTTTATATTAGTTTAGTTATAACTTCACGTTTTTTAAAAACTGTAAATTTAGCTATCTATAGCTATATTAGTGTAAATTTATTGATTTTAATTTAAAATTTAAAAAAATTAAATTTCCTTTTGATAAAGATGACTCAACAACAAAGTTGCTTATTTCCTTATGTTTATCTTAACCCCAATTAGCTATAACCATTAATCTTTAGGAAAACAGATGAGAAGCCAAAGCTTAACGAAGACGAACCTGACCCAAAGTCAAAAGGAAGCGACCAAATGCCTGACAAAGAACAGAAGCCTGAGCCTAAGCCTAAAGTTCAACCCAAGCCTAGAAATCTGTCTCCGACCAAACTCTTGCAGCGATTACTTAAACCATTATCGCCTGAGAGGAAAGATGACAAAAGCCACAAGAGCGACAAACAAATCGACCAGAAAATGGTCGAGGAAGAGGGCAAGTAAGTGCACATATAATCATAATATAACAAAAGTGGGAATTGAATTTTAAAGATAAATGTAGGCCGCAGTCTGCAGTCTTCCGCGAATGAATTCCCCAAAAACACAACAATACAGTATTGTTATACTCTCCTCTCCAATATAAAAGTCGTATATCGCTTTACGGCCACTGTGAGTACGACATATTGTTTTGATTACGTTTTACGAGAGTTTTATGCCAACTTTAATCGTTTATTGTGGGGAATCCAATTGCTGACTTGGCTATACGATCTTGTTTTACATACAATTGCTACAAAAATAAACAAAAAGCGACAAGGTTGGCTTTAAATTATGATGTTTACGAGGGGAACGGCCGAACTTGTGTATAAGACCATGGTGAATATCAGGAAAATGGTCAGTTTTCTCCTTTTTTGGAAGAAACTGTAGTGAAAGCGCTTTAATTGTTGTTATAGCAATACAATTTTAAACTCAGTTTTAAAAGCTGGAGACACGGGTTTAAGGTTTTAAGAGTCATAAACATAATTATCGTAGATATTGTAGTAGCTATGTCTCAAAGCCCTTTTTTACTGTAACTTCTGACTTATTTAACTCATGTGTTTTGTCACTCTGATCAAGTCGCTTCACACCTCTGCAATTAATCTCGTCACTCTCGGCCTTATCGAATATCATTTCTTTGATTGTGGCCAGATGTTTTGTCGGTCATTCACAACATGATCCAACTCTTGCGGGGACATGATCTCGACCCTGTTCTCGAGACTGGTCGGGCTGGTGTTCTCGACGCTGCTCGCTCTGTTCTCCTTTTTAGTTATGTGAGTCAATTCGGTTAGTCAGCATCCATTCTGGCTACAATAACATCTTCTGTCTGTTTCTTAATATTGTTCTACATATGACTTTATGTTTATATAGTCTTGAATTTTTGATTAAAGTCATTTAAACATAAGCAACAGTGTTTTAAATTTTGTCTAAGTGAAGATCAAAGTATTTACTGCCTAGTGTCTATACTGTTAGTACTCTACCTCGCAATTTAAAACTTAAGGTTAATATTTCAGGGATTCTGAAGAAGCCATCAAGACAAAGAAGAAGGATTCAGAAGCCCACACTTCTCAAGATTTGGTCATCAAAAAAGGCGCGGTACAGTTAAAGGCTACAGTAACTGTCATGGATTACAATGGGTAAGTTGTCACACGTCGTATACTTTTAAACAATAGTGAAGTTTTAAAAAACTTACAGTTAGCATATTACGGAACATTTCTCAGACACAAAAGTCGAATACAAAGTATTTTTGCAATTCGTAAAAGTCATTCTCATACGTTGGATTCTAAGCATTTTAGGTATACTTGAATTCCGAACATTCTAAAGGTCATCTCTGAGATCTTTTGAAAAAAGTGACCTTACATGCAAAAAGTTTTGTCTTTTTATGCGAGCCGGTTTTTTTTAAAATTCTTTTGAAAAAGTTTCTGGAGGGTTGCTTCTGATGGTGTTGATACCAATAACAAGTACAATTCAAATTATTGTACTCATTTGTTTAAAAAAATACGTAGTATTGTATCTGTGTAGATAGTGACAACTAAGGGGAAAAGTAATTTTTTTACTTCGGACTTTAATTTTTATTTTTAAATTGGCAATACACGTCAAGGAATGTTTATGTTGATGCCAAAAGTAATCTTATTCAAATTCGCCTCATTCAAGTCAACAACCTTGTCGCGTTCGTATCGTTGCCATCGTATACATGTCGATCGTTATTCGAATTTCTTTTTCCGGTCATTGAAGCGCTTTTCGAATTCGAGAAGCCTCGCTGAGATTGATTATCCACTCCAAAATTAAACTCTTTTTGTATGAATTGACGGCACTTAGTCCTGCTGTTTGCGCTTCAGCTCGTTTCACTTATCAAAGGAGCGAAGTGGAACGATCGACATTAACATTCCCTCCCTTTGACTCGAGGCTTCTCTAATATACTGGCGATGGAGCGACGATCCATCATGGCCTCCAACTCGTCGCTGCACAGATACAGGAGTTTGCTGTACGGTTTGTGGTCCGAGGGGAATATAAGGTTATTGTAGTCACAAAATGCTTAGAATTCATAAACAGAATTTATAAAGAGCTAATTATATCGTATTTTGCTTTTAAAGTTTGTGATTTTCAATATTGTGGAGCTTATCATTTGTATGTCTTTTTGTTTCAAGATATAAGATGACTTATTAAGTAGTTCAAATAATTATGTGCCCCCTAAGGCCGAAAATTTTCTTTGAGAGGAGCACAGAATTATTTGAACAATATATTTAAAAGTTCAGAAGCTAAATTAATCGTTTTTTAATGATTCAAAAGATAAGATGCATCCAAGTCCCAGTAGGTGATCTATGCCTTTGTCAACAGATCGTGCCTCTAATTAGAATTTACAGGAATGTCGACCGCAGTCCGGCATTGAAGGCAAACGAGTTTCTGTTCAATCGACCGATCACCAAAACTCACGCGACATTCACATTGGATCGACCGCGAAAGCTCACAACTCAAAAGGTAATTCGATCTTGTTTACCATGGTATAATGTCTAGCTTGTTGTTTTTTGATGTTGCAGAGTTCAGGGTACGGTAATTTTAAAGTAAAAATTTTAATTTTAAAAAATTGAGCTTTTTAGAAATGTTGGTTTTTATTTTTGAATTATTATTTTTTTGCAAATTGGCATTGTGTTGCAATATTGTTTTTGGTTTTGAAGAGCAAGCATTTAGCAAAAAAACTAAAGAATGGATATAAACAAAGTCAAAAAGCGGGTTTAAAAGTTTAAAGTTGAAGAAAACTTTATAATAATTATTGGAATAACTTAGTTAATATTATTCTTTTCCAGCTAAAAAGCCCCGGCCTGGTGTTAGCCTCGCTGAGCTGCGACCGCCTGAACGAGCCGAGTGTTTCAGTGGAATCGTTCCGGTCAGGAGCTCCGACAGAGAACAAGGTCAGCGATGAAGACGAGGAGTATCGGACGCCCACTCCAACTCCGACTTCTGGACTCCCCAAGTTCCCGGCTCCAGAAGTGGCAGAGAGCAAGGAAGACGAAATGGTACAGTCCGTGAATGGCAAGACCAAGAAAATGGCCGAGAAGCTGAGTCGCTCCTTCTTCGATCTTACCATGGGATCGCAAGATCGACTGGCGAAGTGGAAGAGTAAACTGAAGGAATATGGAGGTCAGAAAGGGAAGGGGTAAGCGGTCATTTAATGTGGGAGCCCTTTAAGGTTTCAACGCGGTCTGAGGGGGTTCGAAGCTGTTTTTAATGGTCTGAATTCAATTTTAGGTAACAAAGTGTGTTAAAATGGCAAAATTTGAATAATGTTGTGTGTCAAAGTATATTTTATATTCTTCGAAGTCTCTAGGCAATTCCAAATTGGAGTAAACAGATTTAGCTATTCAAATTTCAATTTGCCCTTCGAAATCCTTTGTTTAAACTGATCGAAGCCGTTGAAAAACCCTCTGAACTTGATTTATGCGATCTCTGGGTCCGCCTTGATGTCTATCGCGCTTCCTCTACTTCTTATAATGGCCACTCGGGGAGGTTAAAGCAAACACTCGGACCTTTATTCTCTACAATAGATAGCTATGACCAAAAAGTGGTGGCGTCGGCTGTAAGTTGTTTTTGGTCTTTTAGGCTTGTAATCGAATCCGTCGAACGAAAGTGACATCTCTGATAGTGGGATATTGATACCTATGATAGTCGAAAGTATAATAACGTATACGTTTGTATGTTTGTCACTTTTTGCACACAAATCACGTCTTGCAAGGGTTCAGCGATCATGACATAGGTAGAGAGCGATGCAGAGGAGCAGGTTCAAGTTTGTTGATATCCGGCTATGGTATGAGGGTTGTACTGTTGTTCTCGTAGTATATTTTAGTGTTATAGTTCTTTTATATGCTTTTAGTAATGTTGTATTCTTTAAACGCTGTTTTTGTAATAATCTTGAATGAAACATCAAAAAGCATTTGATATCTAGTATAATATAGAAACACACACCCCTTTTTAATTGACGGTCTAAGGAAAGCAAGTTTTGATTAAAGGATACAAAACAAACTAAACACCATATGTCGTATCCACTTAATACCGTACATCTTCAGGAAAGGCCAGTCTATGGACAGCGATCTGAAGCACGAAGTAAATACTCTGCCCGTGGTGAATCGCCGTCATATATTATCGAGTTTGGCACCACCACGACCATTGCATTCTTCGCATTCTGCTCAGAACGCTCTCATCGCTGGTACTAGTAACACGTTGCCACATCTGCACAAGAGGTAAGGTTTAAAACGCTTTGGAATGATTTTGGAGAATGAAATGCCTCAAGGCATTTTAATTATTGTTTTTCTTCAGGTTTATATGTGAGATGGTGTGTTTAGGATTATTAGTAGTAGGCTTACTGGTTTTGAGCTACGATAGCTTTGTACTTTAGCTACTATTTATGGCTTTTTCTGTTTACTTTTCGACCAAGAACCAAGTCATTTTTGCTTTTAACTTTTTAGCACGTTTTAATAGCTTAATTAAGCCCTCCCTCCCCATTACCCCTCCCAGATTGTTTATTTTTGACCCTTCCTCAATCGACCAGCCGGCGTTAATTCCCTCGGCCGAGTTTTTGGCCATTAACGGCCTTTGGATCGGGTCGAGTCTTAAGAAGGCCGGGCCATCTGGGTCAGGAAAGAGCGGCGCGAGTGAGGAGGGACGATCACAAACACAAGAAGGAGAGGACAAAACTTGCGCGTCGATCTTTTGACACGCCATTAAGGCCACAGCTGTCGATTCTCGGATTGTTGTTAGGTAATTCGAGAGTTTGTATGCAGATTTCTGCGTGACCTCAAGTTCCCAATATAATACATCCGGGTCGGGGGGGATATTTCGATTTTTCGTTAGAGGGGTTTAGAGTAATATATAGAGGGTATGGTCGGGTTTGTAGGTATAAAAAGTTTTAAAGGTCACTCAGAAAGGTCGTGGATAATATAGAGGCTATTAGGCATGGTATTAAATAATAAAGTAATGTGTGTGAGGATATTTTTAATACTGAACCTTGGTAATGTATATTTGAACTTGGTAACTCTTCTCAGCCATCGTATTTTTGTAAATATACTTTTGTTATGGCTTTGTTTGTGTCAAACAAGTATAATATCGGAAAGGGCGGGGTATTATATTTGATGACATAAAATGGGGGTCGTAAAAGTTGAGAGAAGGTTAGGCTTACAATAGTCAAAAACGTTTAGCTAAAATTTATATTTAACTTTTTTGCAACTTTACTATAATCGGTGAGGTATAAGGTGACCTAAGATATGTAAAAAACTTTAGAATTTAAAATTTTATAAGTTCAGCTATCTTATTATGACACCTTTCAGCTTTTGCACTATAATATAACAAATATGCAAATATAATGTGTGATGACATTAGGCGGAGACGGCGGTCGTCTCTCCGCGACGTGTTTGTTTGATTAATTTTTGTAATAAAACGCATTTGTATCCTTCTGGAAGATGAAAGGAGATATCTTAAATATGATTCTGTTATCAGCCGACCTTTCTCTCAACTTTTACCTCTCAAGAGGGGGGGGGGCGACGGTGAGTAACCTCTTGACAGTGCCGTTTAGGTGTACTTTTCTTTAAGGGAAGGCTATTAATAGTCGAGTTGTTTTTATGGTTTTATTTCTAAGTTAAGGCCTTAGGCGATTGAATTAGGATCTGAAAGGTCTGCCTTTGGGTTTCTAAAGTCTGTTTTTTAAAAGTTTTAAAAAGTAAGGCTTAATTTAAAATTTTAGGTTAATCAGTAGGGTTAATAGTATCTGTGATTGAATTTTCTTTACTATTTTAGGTATTTCTACATACTTTTGGACCGAGTTTCATTTAAAAAAAATGTTTTTTTTTGAAAGAAGCTTAAGTATAATTTCTAAAACCTTTTAAAGACAATTTAAAACTACTTAAAAGTACTATAATTTTGCATTTTGTTTAAAAATACCAGACTCTGCTCAAACAGTTTGAAATTACTCATGCCTCTCTATATTAATATCAACACCACAAGCTGTAATATTATTTATGGAGCGGCGTTACAGCGACGCCCTTAGCGAGTAGGAGTGGGGCGGACATTCTCTTTGATTCTAATCTCCGAAGCAGGAAAAGTTTGTTTTGGACGTTAAGGTTGTTTACAACGGGCATCTGCATATTCTTAATCGAATGAATACAACCTACTTTGACATTACTCGCTTCCGTGACAGTCATGACATTCGGAGGCTTTGTTCCGTATATCCTTTGGGTTTCGTCTCTAACGTAGCTTTATGGAGTTTCTGGAGGGGGGGGGGTTGGAAACGATGTGGGAATGACGTGTAGACTATGATATGGCATTTGACTAGTTATTGTATGGGTTTTGGAGGATGTGAGGGGTGTTTGGAGCGATATATCACATTGTTTTACATTATGTAGTGTAAAAAATTGCGTTTCTTATGTTATTTACTGTATACGGTTGGAAAGTTTGTAGAAAAGTTTTACTTTTTAAGAAAATTGAGTATTAAAGTTAATGTAATGTAACTTTAAAACCATTTTACTGCTATAAAAGTTTTAAATTGAAGCTGTATCTTACACGACTAAAAGCAATCTGATTTTAGTGCCTCAGTACGCGAAGACGACATTCTGATGGAGCACCGTACTCTGAAGCCGGTGGGTCGACTGACTCCGGACCACATTCACGACCAACATATGCTTAGTCTACATGAACTAGTACAGTCCATTGAGGGATTCAACGACAGTGATAAGAAGCAGAGACGACCTTTGGGAATGTCAATGTCTGTCGCTAACGAAACCAGCCAACTTCTCCCACCACCAGCCAGAATCATGCCATGGTCGGGGGTCAAGCCTCAGGTAAGGGGTTCATATTTGTTGGCACTTTAGTAAAATAGATTTTGATTTAAATTTTATGAAGTAATGTGAATATACAGTGATAGTTCTGCATAACGAACGTCTCTATAACAAAATTTATCTATAATGAACAAAGTTAGAATTATTGAACCATTCGTTATACAGGAGTTCTACTGTCGTTCTTGACCTTATGTTAAGATTTTCCAATTAAAAAAATCTTTAAATTTGCGAATTTTAATCCTCTAATATCAAGAACTGGCACAAAACATTAAAAAAGTGCAAAAAACGCCTGAGGCAGGTTGTGACCGACACTTATGACATTGCCGTGTCTCGATTGGCCAGTCAGTGTCAGAAAGTAATAGGTCAGTCAGTTGTCGGGGCAAACCGCCTCAGGGCATTATCGTTAATTTCGGTGAAAAATGGACTGGCTAGAAAGTTTTTGTCGGGTAATTTGTCTTTTTCAATATTTAAGTTTGGCAGTTCAAAATATTCGAGTTCCCATTTTAAATATTTAAATTTCAGGACAATGGAATCGTGAGGCCCATCGCTTTTCGGCCGATCCAATCAAAGGTCTTGGCCGAGAATCGGAATTCGAACAGTCCAGATGTAAAGTCCAGCTTCAGTTTGCAGAATAAACAGAATCTGAAGTCAGTTTGGGGGGGGTTTAAAGGAATTAAGGGGGTTTACATTGTATATGTACTGCAGTATTATTGATGTTACAATGAGAATTACCTTTAATATACTATAATCATATGTTTTACATTATTATCTAAACTTGTTGTACTTCAGAGACCACTCTCGTAGCATCGGAAACCTCTCCTCTACGGCCATCCCAACACGACCTCAGCTGTACCAGCCATCTACAAGGTCAGTACTTTTATTTTTACTTTGCAAACATATTGACATGTTATTTTCTGCTTTTTCGAGTCTAAAATGCCTCTCGGAAGTGACAGGTAGATCTGTCATAAAGCGGGCAATAACATGGATCATATCATAAATCATGGTGTTGGCCATTGTTTCGGCCAACTGTCCTTTAAATGTCCATTTCAGCCAGCTGTTTGGTGGCAAGTCCATTGGATCGTTGCCGCAGGCATCCCACGACGAGAATGACTACGACACCGTGTCCGACTACATTGATCGCAAGCGTTCTAGTGAGTCGTATATTGATTTAGACACTTTGCCTATATTATAGTACTTTGATACTATTTGTCTTGTTTTTATATTGTGCTTGATTCTGTAGCTTGAATTACGAGTTTTCTAGGTATTAGTGGGGTCAAAAAATACGTAGAAGTAATCTTTATACTTCGCGTGGCGTCTTTTAAACCTTCTATGTAGTTTTTGACCGATTTGTATTCAAATAGTACTCATTGTTAATGTAACTCCGACTACTATTGTTACTGTACTAAGTACTACTTTATGAGACATTACTATAGCTAAAATTAAAAGCTGAATTACTACATTGTCCTTGATATGCGACGGGCCTTTTCCCCATTCCGAGGCCGCAAGAGAGAAGCCGGCTTTGTTGTGAAAGGTTGTTAATTAGCTTTGTTTCTTTTGATTAGAGACATTAACTAGGAGTCAGTGTACTTAATTTAATGTCAAGTATAATGTAAACACACTAAAGTCGAAAACAAGTCTTATTGTATACTATAATGAAAGCTATAATGTAATGAAAGTGTTATCAATACAGTACGTATAAAAGTTACAGTAACCTCACTTACAGACGAAGGCTCCAACTACAGCTCCATGTATCATACTAACCAGCACGCTCCACGGTCTCACAGTCACGCTGGTTGTCGTGCTCAGACCACATCGTTCTTCTGTAACCCTCAACATACCACGAGTTCAACCTCTTCGCATTTCACCGCCAGTTCTACATCATCGAGCTCTTCCACCAACTCTCCTGGACTAAAGAAGTCGGAGAGTCAGCCTCGAGCTGGAGTTCATGTCACACCATCGCCAAGTGATTCTGGGATTGTGGATTATGAGGTAGGATAACGATAGTAACTATGTAAATGTTGTAAAAGTATAGATGTAGGTCAAAAAGTATGTAGAAACGATTTTTTTCAGAAATTCAGATTCTGTTTTATTAATAATTTTAGTTACTTATACGTTCTATCCATAATACCTCCTTTACCATCAAACTTATATACGTTTAGACCTTGATCCGCGACAAAGAGAACGAGCTGACTTCAGTACGTCAAGCCATGGAGCAGAACGAAGAAGTCCTGATCAGAGTGTACCAGGACAAGGAACGGCGCTACAAAGACCAGATCGGCGACCTGAACCAGAAGCTCCATTTAGCACAGCAAAACGAGAAGATTCTGCGACAACAGCTACGACAGTCGGAAGAGCGACGTCAGCTTCTGCAGGATTCTGTGAAGCGTCTGAGCGACGACAAACAGTCGATGCAGAGGAGATGTGGCCAGATCGAGAGGGAACTGCAGCTTCTGAAGACACGGCTCGACGCGAGGGAGAGCTGCGACAACTGCGACAAGAAAACGAAACCAGTCCCAGCCCCACGCCTTCTCAAGGATTCGGAATTGAGGACGGAGGTGAAGGATCTGAAGGGTGAAGTGAGCACGTTGAAGGCACAGCTCAACCATCAGATGCAGTTCTTCACGGAGGACTGGAAACGGTGGGAGAACGACAGAAATGTAAGATAATATTTACTAATAGGTTAATATCTATCTTCTATTATATTATAGTACGTTATATATGACATTGTTGACTTTAGGGTAACAAAGCTACTCACTTTTCGTCGCGGAAGCCTCTGGTGAGCACGGATCGATTAATTTAAGTACTAGACGGTGATATTACTGTGCCATTTGACAGAAATAAAGACTATTTACGTTATGATGCTTGACGTTATCTTACTGTAATTATTAGCTTATTGTATGTTACCGTACCTTAAATATTATTTTATAAGTTAAATAATTGATTAAGAGTAATATTGTTTAAATATGGTCGAGTATCTCTTGGATTACTGTATTTTGCTCGCTCAAATACTGTAGGATAGAGTCGTGGTCTCCATTCGTGGGGATTACTGTAACATCATCACAATAGTAACCCCACCCATTGTCAATAACTGATCGTAGCATATCTTGGGTTAAGTCGCGCCTAAAGTTACAGTACACCTTAGATATGACTATAGTATATAACGTTACAGTATACTCTAGATAATAGTACATTTTTCTTGTGCAAAGCATAGTAACTAAGAGTTTTGTAGCGTAACTTTAGGTATCTTTTGTTGTCAATGGCTAGTACTGTAACTTTGACTTACCGTACAGCAGCGTTGACCTGGCTGTTTCCGAGATGTCTGGCTTTGAATAACATGATAGGATGGGGACTTTTGGTTACTGTATGTTGCTTTAGCATCGTGCATAGTTTCATAGATTTACTTAGTAAAGTGTCACGGTTGTCGAAAGGTTCAAATTGAGCCTAAATTACGGTAATATAGGGTTCAACACAATAATATAATTATCTACATCTTATACATTTAATCAAAAATGTCACAAAAGTACAGTAGGATACCTGAAGATACGATCGTATAGCTGTTTCGTTGAGTTTGTCGTTCTCCAACACCCACGAGTCGACCAGTATGACATTGAGGGCTGACCTGTGTTCATTGTAATGCAAGATATTAGCTTCGTAGGCCAAGATTCCACCAAGAGAATGTCCAAATAAGACATACGGTAACCCGGTTATTGTAGCATGCCGCGAAATCTAAATATTTGAAATTGAGAAGTGTTTTAAATAGTATAATGTTTTAAAACACGTATATTACTCTTGAATAACATGGTATTCAGATTAATATTATTCTTCGTATGTTCTCACCTGAGTGTGGTAATACCCAGCTAGCTCTGTCAACGTGCCCTCGTCGTTCTCATCGTACCCAATCGCATAGATATTACATTCCTTTGGCCACCAATTTACCATGGAGTAATACGGAAATACAGTACCCCCAATAGCATGAATACAGTATACTGCTTTTGTGGCATTATCAGCTTCTCGGATTACTGTAATTATGTTTTTAGTTTTTCGGTCGATTATTTCTACCATTCTCCTAAAGATGGCATGTTGTGATAGGGAAGATAGTGGTATGTTGACATTGAACTCGTCTTGTATATGTGATTGTAGTCGTATCAGCGACAAGGAATGACCGCCTAGAGCAAAGAAGTTGTCATTGGCATCAATGTAGTTATTGTAGTTGAGGAGTCTTTGCCAAATTAGTGACAGCCGGCTCTTAACTCCAGATGTCAAATTGTTAGAGGTTACTGTAGTTACATCGTTTCGAATCTTGTCTCTAACACGATGGGCGTCCACTTTACCATTATTGTTCAACGGTATCTTGTCTACTGTAACCGCTTTTGTCGGAATCTGATGTTCGGCCAAGTGTAAAGAAAGTTTTTGCCGATAGTTCGACCAGTCGTCGCCCTTCTCCGTGACAAGTACAACAACATCATCTACTACGTCTAACCAGAAGTTGTGCTCGAATACCTTGGCTACAGTGTTTCTGATCTCCAGAAGGTCGATTCTGATTCCTCTGATCTTCTTCACGGTGTCAGTCCTTCCCAGGTACATCAGACGCCGGTCTGGCATCTGATACACGATGTCGCCGCTCCTGAATCCTCGACACTTCGTGCCAAAGACATCTTCTTGGAATTCTGGAGTTGAATCCGTGTAGCCTCGAGCTACTTGACCTCCCAAAATCCACAATTCTCCTATCGATCCAAGATTCAGAATCCTTGGTGACGATGAGAAAGGAGTGGCGACGACGAATGGTGTTGTTGATGTACCTATAAGTATATTTAATTTATGAAGTTATATAGTGTATTTACCTATCGTATATTCTTTACTATGTTATATTAGTATATTATGTCTTACTCACCTATAATACGCCCATCTTCTACAGTATCCTCGTAGTGATTCACTACCGTCCATACTGTAGCTTCTGTAGGTCCATAAATCTGTGAGATGCGTCTGCCACTCTCTCTGAATACCGTGATCTTTCTCGTCAATGGTGTTTCTCCTCCCACTATCAACCAGTCGGTTGGTATACTTCGTATCTTGGTATCGCTTAGAGAGTTGAACATGGCTGACGTCATAAACAGATGACTGAAGCGATCTGTGGTATCTACAAACTCAGTTATAGTAGTCTTCTGTACCAAAGTACCACCAAAGCAAAGAGTACCAAATAGATTGAACATACTGACATCAAATGTGAAAGATACTGTAGACCCGATTACTGTATTTTCGTTGAGGTTAAAGTCTTTTTTGGCTTTTTGTAGGTACAGACTGAGCTGAGAGTGCTCTACTTGTACCGCTTTAGGGGTACCAGTTGTACCAGACGTAAAGAGAACGTAGGCGAGATGGTACGGTAATATACATGGCTGAGATACTGTATTTTTAGTGTCGATATACTTTAAGTTCTTGTACGATGGTAGTGTGTCATAGTAAGCAATGTCATTGTATGTTGTGGATATTGATGGTACTTTTAGGTTACAGTGCTTATCACTGATGACAAGCTTATTCTGTAAGATACGAAGCTTATTGTTCACTATGTCTGTAGGTTCATTGACATTAATAGGACAAAAGGCAGCTCCGCAGTACAGTACTGGCAGTATCCACTCAGGCATACTGTAATTGTCGAGATGCAGTACCACAACATCTTCTACAGTAATCCCTCTTCCTGTCAGCTTCAAGAACATGTCTTTGATGTAGCTACTGTGCCTTCGTATCTTGTCATACAACTCGTAATACGTGGTTACATTACCATCTGGTCGTCTGATAGCACTACTAGTACCGTCTTGTTCTAGTACCATAGATATAACATCTTGAAAGGGCTCTTCCTCCTCTACGATCTCTGTGTCTACAGTAATATTGTCGCTTAATTCTTTTGTAAAATCGTCGCAAAACAGCGAAATTACAGTATGATGGAGTACTGTAGGGTCCCATTCTACCGTAATCTCCATTTTCGTATCGTCCACTTCATCTACAGTAACCGAAAAAGGAAAGGTCTTGTTGTTGTTGACTTGGGTTACTGTAACATTGACACCTTCACCCAGGTCGATGGATGGGAACTCGAGAGAGTGACGGTAGTTGAAGAAGGTCTGAAACAAAGTCATGTTACAGTATAATGTAAATTACTACGACTTTACTACAATCTTTATTTAACTCACTATGGTACAGTAATTCTTACCTGAAAGACAGGATGTTCCCCGTGTCTGCCACTTCTGGCTACAGCCTTGTGATACGGTACCTCAGAGAAATACTCAGCTGTTCTTAACGACCGGTCGACTTCCTGAAGACAGGCTTCGAACGACTTCTCGACCTCGGCTACATCGACGGCGACGATCCAGTTGTTGAGGAAGTAGCCGATGACTTCAGAAGTCTGGTTACAGTCTCGGCCTGCGTTTGGTACTCCCACCACCAGTCTGGTACTGTACTCCGACTTGAATCTGTTCAAAGTCAGCAGGAACTTAGTCAGAATAAGCTTGAACAGGCTCGTAGCACACCGTGACGCCTTCTGCTTCAGACACCGTGTCGTTCCTTCGGTTACTGTAAGTACCTTTTTATAAATCGAATTACTGTCTGATACTGTATCGTCCTCATATCGATCGTTAGTACCATCCTTAGTATCACGTTCAATAACAGCACCATTTTGGTTACCGTAATCATTTTCCAAAGAAAATCCCCAAATTACAGTACCCTCGGAAGGCAGTTCCTCTAAGTAATTACAGTACTCAGCCTCCTTCTTCTTACTGTAGTGTTCTCTCTGATGTAGAGAATAGTCGATGTAGTCTACCGTGGTATCTCGTACATGTTCTCCTCTGTATATCCTCGAGAACTGATCAGCAAACAAAGATATGCTCCACCCGTCAGTTATGATATGTTGCATACATACCACCACAAACGTATCACCTACAATGAACTTCATCGCGGTTACTGTAAGATCAAAGTAATGGCCTTCTAGGTCCTTCAATACAGTATCCAAAGACTGGTCTGTCCTACTGTAACTTCTGTTGAAGGCTAACTCTGTGTATACCGTATCTTGTCGTATGTCATCATTTACTTCAGTAAACACCGTTCTTAACTGTTTCTGAACATCAAGTAACTTGAACAGAGTTAAATGTAACTTGTGCTCATCTACAGTATCCTCGAACTGAATGTAGAAGGTGATGTTGTAGTTACAGTAGTCCTTCTTGTACAAGTAGTACATCTGTTCTTGTGGGTAACTCAGTGGTCCGCTTAGTCTACCACTCTTGACTATACCTACAGTACCATTAGTACTGTGTCTCAATACTACTCTGTAAAAGTCAAGAAATACTGGATTGTCGTTAAGATGATCGTATGTTATATTACAGTAGAAAGCATACTGTACCTTCCAAACCAATTGAAGCCCGTTCAGAGAGTTTCCTCCGATTCTGTAAAAGTCGTCATCGTCGTCGACTTCAGTGTTCAGAATCTGTCTCCAGATGTCCTTCAGTAACTCTTTTCTGTCTTCTTCAGTAACCCCATGGCTGAATACAGTATCCTTGTCTCGGCTTCTAACATAATTTCTGATATCACTCGGACTCGCATTGGAATAGGCGTAGACGCCACTGGAGCCGCTCTTCATCATCGTGACCACCCACTCCGAAGCCTTCTCGATATCGACCGAGTTATCGACCAGCAGCTTGACATTGTTCATCAGCATGTTACTGTCTCTTAATGGTGGTAACTGAAGTGACAGTACTCTGTTGATTTTAGTGACACCACAGTTGTTAGCCAGACTGTCCAAGAAGTTGTTGGCCATCGTGTATTCAGAAGTGTACGGTAGACCAGTGACAGAACTTAACGAAGATATCAAGATCAAGTTGGCTACAGTAATACCGTACTTGTGGAACTCTTCCAGCAATGGCTTTACTGCCATCTTCGGCTTCATGACTTGCTCCTTACTGTAGTCGCTTCTGAATTTGTCTCCAGAAGGCTTGACGCCAGCCAAGAAGATACAGTAATCCACCGACTTGTAAATGTTGAAGAGGGATTTGACAGCTGATCGTATCTTGGCATGGTCAGTGAGGTCACAGTAGATGTAGTCGACAAGCTCCTTCTTGGTTCGGTTCATCAGAAGCACTTCTGGATTCACAAACTTGAGCTTAATATGCTTGTGTAACACATGACCCAGACTACCGTAACCCACAAAGAGTACTGTAGAGTTGGGTTTAGTGACAGTATTTATAGTTGTTATAGTAAAGTCAATGTAGGTTTGTTGATGTAACTGTCTATTGTAGTAGGTATACCGTGGTACTCCCTTACTTGTGATACGGTATGTTTTCAACAAAGTCGCAACAGCTACCGTATCTTGAAAAGAGGGTACTGTAACGTGATACATGATGATTGACACATCTTGATCAAGATATTCGTCGATCAGTCCTATCAGAAGATGGCCATATATATTGTCCCTTTCCGATATTACAACAATCTTCGGAGGATTACGGTGTTCTGACTGGATTACTGTAGCTATGATATTCTTTACTTCAGTAATAATTTCAATAGATCTTGACACAGCTTTGAAACATACGATGACATTACTGTCACATTCCTCAGTTTGTTCTTTTAAGTCTTTTCTTACAGTATCCTCAATATAAATTACTGTATTTTCTACCGTATTTTCACCGCTTACCGCTCGATAAACCGATTGGTAAACCGAGAATTCTGTTTCCTTTGCGTTTACCTTCCTTTTACTGATCGTATTTTTTTGAATTTCACATCTTCGATAGTCATACGGTAACCAAACATCGATACGGTCATTCCTACCGTATCGACAAAGTTTATTGAAGTCTACAGTAACCCCATGGCTCCATAACTCTGTCAAACATTTCCAAACACCGTCAGTATTACCTTGCTTTACAGCCTTGTAAGATGGTAATGTAGCCACGTGCACGATGTCTGGATTCAGAATATTCTTCAGAATCCCTTCAGGGCCTACTTCTACTACCATCGTCACATCTTTGAAACTATCGTGCAAAGTCTTCAAAGCTTTGTCTATTCTAACCGGACTAGCCAGGTGATCCAGCAGATACTGTATATCTCCGTCCTTTACTACTTTACCATCGTATGTTGATATTACCGGAAGTTTACAGTAACGTAACCTGTATTTACTCAGTAATCTGCCGAATGCCTTCATAATAGGTGTAACATACGATGAGTGGAACCCGTAGTTACCTCGAAGGACTGTGAATTCGTAACCATCGTCCTTCAACTTCTGAATCCTGGTATCGTCGCTGGCTACAAACGTCTTCAGATGCTCGCTGAGTACGGCACTCAACTCCAGACCTTCAATGTACATCTCAGAAGTCTTTATGGCCACGATCTTGGCCTTATTAGTCTGTCTTATCAGCTTCCCTCTTTCTCTCACCAACTCTCTTCCTTCGTCGTACTCTATAGCACCAGCTACAGCCAAAGCTGTGTACTCTCCCAGACTGTGTCCAATCAAAACTTCTGGAGCAGGTACACCATGATCAATCAACAATCTGAAGATACCGTGACACAAGGAGTATAATGTAACCGATGATACTTCTGGATCTGTAGAATCATGTTCAGTACCAGATAGAGGTGTTGTAGTACCATCAATAACAAAATCTTCAAAGTAATTCTGAAGCCACGGTACATCTACGACCTCGTTTTGTAGTATACCTGGATACTCTACGCCTTGGTGACACATGTAATAAGCTATCTTGTGATCGTATCTGGCCATCTTTACATCTCTTACAGTAATCTTTTGTAACTTTTCTATAATTTCTACAGTATTCCTTCCAAAAACACATGCACGATACTGTTTATGCTGTCGATGGTTAATAAGTGTATAAGATACACGTCGTATGTTAACAATATCATCCTTCATAGACTGAAGATACAATGCAACAGTTTTGGCGTTATCAGTACATCCTTCTACAGTATCACTGCTGATCGGGATGAAAAATGCCTTGGCTACTATATTTTTATTGGTTACGGGATCTTTTGTGTCTGAAGTACTGGCGTTTCCTGCTATCAGCCGGTTTTCTACAGTATCCTTGGTTACAGTACTATCTAGTGTAACATTTTGATTTCGTTTAGGCTTTGAAAGCAAAATAGTACCATTAGTACCACCAATGCCAAAAGAGTTAATCATAACACGAGCATCTTCTGTAGATATGGTAGTAGTTTCAAGTGGTACCTTAAAACAAGATTCTTTTACTTCATCGATGACATCGGCAGAAGGTACGTTGATCTGTCGTGGTATCTTGCCAGTTTCCAAAATCAGAAGACATTTTATAATCGACGCCATCGCGGAAGCAGCAAAGGTGTGACCTATGTTCGCTTTTACTGAGCCAATTAGTGTCTTTCTGTAGTCACTATCCCCGCCATTCTGGTTACGGTAGTCATGTCTATCATGGGAACTACTGTAACTATTGTTATTGCTACCGTAATATCTATCAAAAGCTTGTTTCATAGCTCGTACCTCAATAGCATCACCAATCTTCGTTCCAGTACCGTGACATTCTACATATCGTATTGGCGATATATCCTTGCCATCACATTTTACCGCCGTAACTTTGTGAATCGTCGTGTCTTTACAGTTACCATTCAAAACATTGTAGATACAGTCGGTTTGTCCCACCACACTTGGTGCCATGAAGTTACTCTTCGTTGCTCCTCCATCGTTGTTAATGTAGATGTCATTGATGTAGGCAATAATGTCATCTGTATCCTCCACCTTCTTCAACACTAAACTTCCGCAGTAACTTCCCTTTACCGTGCCAGTGGCGTGCCGAGAGAACGGTCGGCAAGCACATTCTGTGGCCAGAACGTTACCAAAGTCCTTTTGATGTCCGAAAATGTCCAGTAGATTTACTGCGGTAACAACAACCATATCTACATTGGTTTGAAGTAGAGATACAGCTTGATGTATGGCTGTTAATGTAGATGAACAAGCTGAATAGACACTGAACGATGGACCATCAAGGTGGAGCAGATGGGACACCCACAAGGCCAAGAAGTCTTTTTGATTGGCCAGATATAACTCTAGTAGAGAGCCCTTCTTCGGTTCTACTTTACGTTCTGTATTTGTACCGCGACGTACTTTACTTTCATCTTTACCATAGCTACTGCTGTTAGTATTGTTACAATGTATTGGAAGTCTATTAACCTTTTCATTATCAATTTTAGGTTCGCTACAAGTGATAACACCAATCTTCAGCTTTTTCCTTTGTTCAACACTGTAGCCGGCCTTCTCCATAGCAAGATACGAATGTTTTACTGCGTACTTTATAGTGTTATCCAAGATGTCAATATCATTCTGAGAGATCTCAAATTGAGAAAAGTCAAAGTCCAAAGTAGAAGGTAAATGACTCGAACAGTAGATGTAATCATCATCACTATCACTCTTCTTCGTACCGTAATGTTTTTCTGTAGCATTAATATTGTGTTCGGTAATATTGTCGCTGCGTTTACCGTAATCAAACACAGTTTCCCCCTTCAGAAGTTTGTCAAAGAATTCAAATTCATTTTCACACTTTGGTATTTCAGCAGAGAAAGATACGATGCCAATCTTGGTTGTCGTATCTTCAGTTTGTGAAGATGTACTTGCTGTAGTACTACATAGTGATGTCATCTTTACTTCAGTGCCATAATCCTTGTTCTGTAAACTGTTCTTTGTTATCTTCTGAGGTTTAAAACTCAAGACTTCATCATTACCATCTTCCTTTGATGATGTACAGCCTTGCCTTGATGTTATCTTGAGTTCAATCATAGTCACAATGTCATCAACATATACATTCTCAAACATCTCTACTGGCTCTACTGTAACATTAAATGTCTTCTGAATGCTTTGACGTAGCTGTTCTACTGTCAAAGAGTCGAATCCCATTGTCATTAGGCCTTTGATCATCGAAATGTTACCTAATCCACTGATTTCCTTCATTATCTCAACCAGAGTCTTCTGAATCGCTTCTCTGCTGTATCTTTCTTTTACATTATTGTTAACTTCACAACCTTCGTCCTTTAAATTGTTTACTTTACAATTCTTTCCGATAATCTTGTATTGCCCAGTAGCATACCGTAGTTGTCTGAAGGCCTCTTTAACTTCTTCTACCGTCAAGAATCCCCATCCGGAATCCTCAATCTGCCTTCTGATGGCCTTCTTTGTATCCTCGTACAACATCCCAGCTCCTTTTACTGGTCCTAAATTCAGGATGAGGTACTGTAACCCACTTTCTTCTACCATCTCCTCCATTAACGCATTAGCCATACTGTAATTTACTTGACCGTACGATCCGTAGAGTGCAGCTACTGATGACAGACATATAAACCTTCTAACGTTATGTTGTTTACACAACTTCAGTAGATTCTTAGTACCGTATACTTTCGGTTCGAAAGTGGTTTCAAAAAATTTTAAGCTACAGTTATTGACGGTGACGTTGTCTACTACACCAGCACAGTTGACTACACAGTCGACGGCTTCTCTCTCCATCTCTATGTCAAATACCAGTTTGATGTACTTGTAGTCAGACACGTCAGCTTCGTAGAAGGTTACTGTATCCGGGTACTCTTCTGTTCTTCTTCGCCCAACAATCACGGTACGATGAGGATTCAGAACAGAGAGTAATATCCTCCCGACCCCACCATGCCCTCCCACGATGAAACATTTGTTGATACCGTTCTTGTGCCTAACAGAAGTATTTTTGGTCACTGTATCTTCACCTCCCGCGTGTCTGATCGTATCTTTTTCAATTTTTCTGAATCCATATTCTGGCTTCAACGATTCTTCTGATCTTACTGTAACATGAATATCTGTAATTTCCTTTTCCAGTGTTTTCTGTAGAGTCAGTACCACAAACAAATACTCCTTTGGTACTACTATGACTACATCTTTGTGCCCCCTTACCTCTTTTACCAGCTTCATGATATGGTGACTGATAACTTCAGAAGGCGGATTCCATCGTATAACGTGTCTCTCAATGACATCTTTATCTGACTTTACGTACTTCTTTGTAATCTCTTCAATTTCCATAGTATCTTCACTCTCAAATGGCCATAACAACATTCTACTTTCTTCCAATGCAGAAACTTCCTTTACATTGGTGTCGGTTTGAAGTTTCTCGATTAATATAGAGTTTACTGTGCCAGTAAAACCAAAGTTGTTGATCATAGCTTTCTTCAGAGACTTCTGCACATTCTCTCTTGGTATGACAATATGTTTGTCCAATAACACGTTTGTCGCTCTTCCTTTTTCCATCATTTTGGGTACTTCTTCCTTCTCCATCATACTTACCACAGCCAGAAGACTAGCCAAGCCACTAGCACCTTCAGAATGACCAAGGTATCTCTTACTGGATGTCAATAACACAGTATCGTCGTATTTTCTCTTCCGTATATATTCATTTACTGCCTCCAATTCTGTCGTATCACCTAATACCGTTCCCGTACCGTGACATTCAATCAAATCAACCTTATCATCGCTACAGACTGAAGTCATAACTTCGACTTCTGTCTTCTTACACGGTGCGTAGAATCCATTACTTTGGCCGGCTACATGACACGATGATACATCCTTCACTTCGTACCTAGCTTTACTGACATGATTTGAAATCAGAATCATGCCAAAGCCTTCAGACCGTAAGTAGCCAGCCGCTTCTGGACTGAACACATCACAACGATGATGCTTACTCAGTACTCCAGCGTTCTTCAGTACTTCTGTAGTCTTGTCGTTAAGTATCAGGTTCACAGCTGCGACAAGAGCGTGACTACACCGTGCCAATCGTATGTTGTCTACTGCCAAAGATAGTGCTGTAGAAAACGATGCACACGCTGTGTCTACAGTAACAGAAGGCCCCTTCAGTCGATAATAATGTGACAGCCGGTTAGACAGAGCACTTTGGTTAGTACCACCCATTAAGTAGCCAGAGGGCTCAGCTTCTGAAAAGCATTTTTGAGCAAAATCAGAAGACGAGGCGGCAACAAAGACTCCAGTGTCTTCTGGAAACGACGGTAGATCAAGCTGCTCCAGAATCTTGTGTGCTGACAATAACAGTACTCTCTGAGAAGGATCCATATACTGTACTTCCCTGGCACTCAGACCAAACTTTTCGGGGGTAAACCTTCTGTAGTCATACTGTAACTTTAGCACATCTTGATGCAGTGATTGTTCAGTAAAGTCTTCGTATACGAAAGTGTAAGATTGTGAAGTAAATTTACCGTAGTAACCACAAATATAAACTCCTTTGAGTCGAGTCTTTGGACTTGGAAGTGGCCGAAAATTTATAGCGTCACTGTTGTTGGGTAGCCCATTTGAATGTGGTGCAGAAGTGGTGCCATTAAGTTCACTGACCGGATTCAAGGTACCGTAACTGACACTGTTGTGTATTCTCTCTGGATTCGACAGTTTTTTCATTAATTTCGACCGATTAAACACCTTATCATTGGCCTTCTTATCACTTTCGTCGTCAAAACTCGAGAATATTTTCAAGAAATTGAACTCTTTCGTCGCCTTTTCTGCATTCTTTGCCATTTCTTTTTTGACCTCTGAATCCTTTCTTTGTTTCTTTTCGCTCTCCTTCAGTCTTGTGCTCTCTTCCGTCTCTTTCTTTTTCTCAATCTCTCTCTTCTTATCATTGTTCTTTTTAAAGAATGGAGGAACAATCTGGATCTCACCCAATTCATCGTCGGTCGATAACGCATTTCTTCGTAGCGGTCGACGAATCGTGTTTCGTGACATACGAACGGCCTTGACGTCCCTGATTAGTACTGATAGTACTCCATTGGAGAAGGCGGCGATATTCCCTTCGACCATCTGAGGATCCTTCTTTATGATTTCACCGTGAAACGTCCATTCGTTCTTATCAGTGATTAGAGGTAACCTTGCGTATAACTCTCCGATCCTGACAGGTACATAACAACATGGGAACAGAGGATCAAACAGTCCACAGCTCAAGCTCTGTAGTGCCAAATCAATAGAGATCCACGGTTTCTTCGGAGCCGTGCATTTGGTTCGGATTCTGTTGCCAGTCATCAGCCTGATATCGGATATTAACCTCAAAGAAGGGCCGTAGTGGAAGCCGGCCTTACTCAGACTGTTGTAGAACACTTGCGGATTCAGACGCACGCCAGGATCGTCAGATGGAAACTCAGGATCCTCGAGAAAGGCCTTCGGCGCGATTAGACAACTGGCAAACAACTTGTTATCATTCTTGAGTTGGAGTCTCTGTCCATCGAGGTTTGTCACCAACTCAGCAATGTCATCGATGTAAAGTTTGGACAACAACCGGATGTCAGCCATCTTGAACTCGTTGAATTTGGCGTGTTCGATGAAGCATTTGATGAGAAAAGCAGCTGGAGCAGTCGGGAGATCGAACAGAATGTGATCTCTTATCACTTCGACGTCCTGTTCCGTCACTTCCACCGTTCTCTTGTGTAGCAGAAGCTTGGTCGGGTTAATCTGACGATCTTTTCCTTGTATCTCCTCACTCAGTCGTCGTTGGAAGCGCTCTTTTATCCGAACACTCAGATGTTTTGCCTTCAAGTCATCAAACAAGTCAGCGGGTCGACCGGTCGATAACTCGAAAGTCTTCTTATCAATATCAAAACCCTTCAGTTCCAGCTTAGCTTTGGCCAAGTCTAACGTTTTCTGGCCATTTACCGTGCTTCCGATGATCAGATAGTTCAGATTCTTCCTGTTTAGACTTTTTTGGACTAGCGAGCATAACAGGTGGCCTAGTCCAACCTCCAGGAATATAGTTTCTCCTTTGCTCAAAACGTAATCCAAGGATTCTCTGAATAATACAGTAGACTTGGCGTGGGTTTTAACGTATTTGGCATTAAATTCGGCCAAAGGCCTAGCTGTGACATTGCTGATTACTGTAATCTTGTTCTCCTTGACCTTGCGCCAGCTGAGAATGTTAATGGTCTTGAGATATTCGTCTCTTATCAGTTTGGAATGGAATGGATAATCAGCATTCAGTACTTTAGAGACCAACCCCAAACTTTCTGCCTCGGCCATGACTCTTTCAGTTGACTTAGTCGGCCCAGCTAACACGATCTGATTATCAGCATTATCAGCAGCGATGTCCAATTCCAGCTGTTCCAGTGATATCACTGATAGTATCTCTCGCTGAGCTGCTATCATTTGGCCCTTTCCTTTGGCCTTGAGTAAGCCTTTAGCTCGTTGGACAACTAACTTTGTCGCCTGTTTCAAGTCCAGGTAACCAGCTATAGCAATAGCTACCAGCTCGCCCAAACTGTGTCCAAGAAGATAAGTTGGCTGTAGATTACAGTGCATCCAGAACTTGGCTATCGAGTACGAAGCAGAGAAGATAATGGCCTGTTGTACTGGCAGATCCAGATTCTGAAGTTCACGATGAGTTATGAGCTTCTGAATAGACAGATTCAAAAGATCTTCAAAGTACTCAGAGCACGTCCTTAGCTGCCGTGCCAAGTACGATATCTCACTGAAAAGGTCCCAGTTGAGGTCGTGGTTCAATGGGAACGTTCCTGGGAAGAGAAACACCAGATTCGGAAGTTGTTTTTCTTCATTGTGAACTTGCTTCGTCGCTACAGAAGGTGCATTCTGTCTTTCCAAAAGCCTTGTTAGCTGAGAATCAAGCGACGGTGAAGAGAAAGAATCCTTTAGTCGTTTGTTTGACGCTGTAGAACTTTTTGTAGGTACCGTAACAGCTTCTGAATCTTTCTGTGTACTCTCGATAATGTAGACAGACAGCTTAGCGATATTATAATGTTCAAACAGATTCACAACGGTCACGGTCGACTTCAGTTTACTGTTGAGTTCACTCGCTAATGAATACATTCCAATCGAATCTAGACCTAGCTCCAGAAACCCATCGTTATCACTGATTCTACTTGTTTCTACTTTCAGCACTGTGCTCAGCGTACTTCTGATGACTTGTTTTACCAGATTATCGTATCCTTCGCTTGTGACAGTTGAGGTGGGTAGTGACTTTTGTAATAAAGAGTTTGTATCATCATCATTAATGTCGTTGACACTCAAACGTTTGAAAACTTCGTTATCACTTGTACCTTTCACTACTTCACCGAGCATTTCCTTGAGATCCGGTCGATTATCGACCATCTTCTTCCAGTTACTTTTGGCCACAATTATTTGACTATTTCCAGTCATTGACAGTATAACGTCTAGATACTGTAGCGCTTCTTCAGTGCCAAATCCGTAGAATCCTTTGCTTTCCAACATCTGGATCGTCTTCCTATTAGCAGCAAAGCCAGCTTCAGTCCAGTTCCCCCAATTAACTGATATTGTTCTACCCACTGAAGAAAATAATGTGGTGGGTGATGAACTTATATAATCGAGGTACGCGTTGGACACGGCATAGTTAGACTGTCCTGAATTGCCAAACACTGAACTGACAGATGAGTTTAGTACCAGTTTGTCAATATGAATACCTTTAAGTGCCTTCACCAAGTTGTTAATGCCATCACACTTGGCCATCAACGGTTTCTGGAAGAATTCAGAAGTCATTCGAGAGAAGAATACATCTGACGACACACCAGCCGAGTGAATGACACTGACAGTCTTTACTGACTTGGTATTCAAATACTTCCGAAGAGTTTGAACATCCTTGTAAACAGTCAAATCGACCGGTATATGTCGTATCTTTTTGTAGAACACTTCACTACATCCAGATATCGTATCTTCTGATTCCTCAAACATGGTCAACATATCAGGTTTGCTTCTGCTTACAATTATAACTTCTTCAACATCATGTTCATTAGCCAGATGTTTGGACATTTCCCAACCGATCCCTGATGATCCTCCTGTCACAATCCATGTTCCCGTTACAGTAGCCTTTGTGACGTCTCCATCATACCGTACCAACTTCTTATCAGTTGTATATTTAAGTTTTCCTGAACTTTCGGCAGCCAAACTTTTGATAAATGCCATTCCAGTTGGTGCCAGCCAGCCATCTGTATCTGCTACAGTGATCATTACTGTATATTTAATTGATAACAACACTTTACCAAGCTCCATGAATACAGAAGTTACCGTTTTTGAGTAGAATTCGGATTCTGAATTAAAAAAGATCAGAATGTTGTTAGGCTTCAAGTTGTTTAACTTCAGAAGTAGACCTTTAAAGGTTACCTTCGACCGTGTGTGAAGATACTTGTATGTCATCAATGGTGTTCTACCTTTTAGTGATATCCTCAGTGTAAAGTCAGGCTTCGAAAAAGTATTGGTAACTTGTAGCACATACAGTACGTCTTTGTTTAAAGTTGATAATTTATCTGTCGTTTTATCATCCTTCACAATATCTTTCTGACTACTCGTTACAGTATTAACTTCCGTTTCTTGACCTTCTACGGTACCATTTACCGTACCTTCATTGCTATAGTCCATAACAAAGAGATCCGGACTGTAGACGTTTCTAGATGACGAATATCCAGATTCTTGAGGTTTTGTGACAATGAACTCGACCAACTCATTTACAGTATTGTACTTGGCCAAATCACCCGAAGTTACAGTAATATCCATCAAACTGAGTTCGTTTACAAAGCCAATCATGGCCAAGGAATCCAGTCCAAGGTCAGTCAGCCTTTTGTTCGAATCCTTTTCAACGTCGAATTCAAGCAGTGTAGCCCTCTCCACACACGATACTATCCTTTGTTTGACGTCTGAAGCCACTAATGAAGACAGTTCCGTTCGTGTGTCTGGTGGAGATACGAAGCTATCATGAATAACATCAACTGGCATCGGTACTTCACTGTCATACTGTACTTTAATGAGGACTTCGTCTTTGTCATTTTTGAATTCGTTGTTACAGTACGCTGATACAGTATTGTGTTCCCTATTTATCACAATAAACGTCATTCCATTCTTGATTTTCAGGTTTTCATCAATAAATACAATGTCATTTACAGTATCCATGCAGTCACGATTGTACTTGACCCCAATGTATTCGTCGTGTCTTTCAAGAACGACACTGTTTCTCTCAGAAACGCTACCGTAAGCTGATAAAATAACTGTATTTTCAATTGATAATCTTACATCAAACCGGCCTTTGGCTACAGTAATCTCTGTTTTCATCCATACATCCTTGTCCATGACATGGTATAAATTTCTTGTTACTGTAGCTATTTCAAACCTCTCATAATCGCTCAGTATCTTCAGAACACAAATTAACATACCGTAATCAATTCTCCTACCAAACAGCTTACTATGCCTCAACTTACAGATGTAACCTTCGTATGTCTGAGTGTTAGTTACAGTATCTTCTACAGTAAGATTTCCTACTATAGGATCATCAAAAACATGTTCCTTTTTGCACTTCCAGTAAGATTTACTATCAAATTGATACGTTGGTATGCCTCGCAACGCGGAATACGACAAATTACTGTGATAAAACGCGTTCCAATTAACTGAATTGACATTATAGTAAGCTTGAGCCAGCAAATCCTGTAATGCATCGACACTATTTAGTTTGAATATTTTGTTTGATACTGTAATCTTGAGTGTATTTGGTTTTGAAAGCACATTTTGCAAGTGTGAATTTGCTCGTAACTCTTTGTCATTTAAATCTCCCGTCGAATAAACTTTGTCACAGATTCGTATTTTAGGTAGATTCAGTCCAAATTCGTTAAGCTTTTGAAGTAGAATTACAGTACTCTTGTAATTGTTCTTCTTGTAATAGACGTTCCTGCCACCCTTCAATCGTGAGTCATTAAGCCTACAATAAAGATCTTCTGATTCACCGTCAACTATTTCACAAGTTATGTCATCAAAGTTCATGTCGTATCTCGGTATTCTTTGTGGTTTACCATTTCGTACACAAATCACAGCACGATGTTCTGTGAAACACTGCCTATACAAAGAAAACGCTACTGAAGCAGTGGTGAAGTCACCGTAAGTCAGAATCTTTGTAAGCATCAAATCTAATGCTTTATCTGTCTTAGCTGATATCGGGATCAAGCCAATGCCATCAGCTGCTCTCGTCTTGCTCTTAAAAGTACTTTTTGACAAAATGGCACAAGCATTTGTTCCAGCTACACCAAACGAGGAGACTCCACATAGTGTTCCTTCAAGTACGACATCTTCTTTGGCTATCACAACATCATCATCAAGTTTTATCTGGCTGTTTACTTCTTCAAAGTCAGGCAACCCTGGTATTCTGTCATGTTTCAGTTGTAGAATCGCCTTCAGAATTCCGACTAATCCACTTGTAGCTTCAGTATGTCCCATCCATGCCTTGGCAGTACTCAAGTAAACCTTTGTTTTGATACGATTGCCATCTGAAGTCTTATTTGGTACAATATTTTTATCTCCTGAAGTAGTATCTTCCTTCTGAGTATCACAAAGCACTCTGTTCAAAGCATTCACTTCAATTGGGTCTCCTAATGCAGTACCAGTACCATGACATTCCCAGAACGACACCTTCCTCCCAGTGATAAGCTTCTTTATCAGCTGATAGTGAGCATTCCCATTAGGCGCGGTCAGTCCAGCTGATCGCCCATCATGATTCACATTTGTATCTTCTAGCAGTGCTTCGTATTCACAGTCTTCCTTTGCCATCTCGAGTACTATCACTACAATACCGTCAGATCTACCGTAGCCAGAGGCCTTCCGATCGAAAGAATGACAAATTCCATCAAAAGACAAAAGGTTACCGTTGGCTCTTTGTCCCATCGCTTCTTCTGACAAAATCAAGTTGACTCCTGCCACGATCGCCTTCTGAATTCGGCCTGAACCTAGATTCTGGAGAGCCATGTCCAAAGCTACAAGCGACGATGAGCACGCTGTATCTACAACAACTGACGGTCCTACAGAATCCAAGAAGTAGTTGATTCGGCCTGATAAGAAACTGATTGAACTTCCAAACATCCCCAATGCACTTTTGTCATCGGTCGTGCAGTATTCTGAGCCCATTGTTCCCACATAGATGCCAATAGAATCTTGTTGTTCATGCTTAGAAGGTTTCATCATCCCAGCTCTCTCAATAGCTTCGTACACACACATTAACAATATCCGTTGTTGAGGATCCATCGCTCTGGCTTCGATTTCAGAGATTCCAAACAACTTGGCATCAAACAGAGATATGTCTTCCTCCAGAAACCCTCCGCCTTCTAAAATACGACCGTACTTTCGTCCTCGTATCAGGTCATCTCTGTTCTGAATTCGATTTATCGGAATTCGACGACTAACAACTTCTTTCGATGTTAGCAATGTCCAAAAGTCTTCAATTGAACGTACATTCCCAGGCAGACGACATGCAGTAGATATTATACCTGCTTTGCCATTAACGTGCTTATTTTGATAACTGCTATCATTACTATTAAAAGAACGTGGTACTTCGACAGGCTGGTTATTAGGCATCGCTTCCTTTTGTTCATCTTTAAATATTCCCATCTCGTTTTTTGATTTTGTATCAGCGCTTCTGTTTTTACTTAAAATCGTGGTGAATACCATGTTCTTGCCAGACACAATCACCTTGTCGTCGCTAGTTAACTTAAAATCTCCTGAACATTCACCTATATTTACCTTAAACGTTCCCAACTTCGGCTGTTCATCGTGTTTGTCAATAAATATTCGTCCAAAAAATGAAGGTATCAATAGTTCGGATGCATCTTGTAAAGATGCTGTATCGTGTCGTTCATTATCGTATCTTTCATCGTAGTAAAGTAACGCAAATACCATGCTTTGCCAAAGTCCGTCCAAAGTCACATCCAACAAATTACTTTTAAACATAACTTCTCCGTATACATCTACGCCTTTCTTCACGACCTTCAACATGTACACCGATCTGAACCTACCACGATGTTCGTAGCCAATATTATTCATAAAATTGTAGAAATCTTCGTGTAAAAACGTCTCCATCTCATAACCAACAACATTAAACAAGGTAGAAACTACATTATTCGGTAGAATATCTTCATTTAATTTACGTTGATCAACAACATCATCTACTACACCTCTAGCCATTACCCTACCTTCGCATGTCACAAAAACATTACCATTTAAAGTTAAATCAACTGTTTGTTCCAAATGAATCATCGAGACCAAAGATAGCCTTCTGAGCGACAAAGGAATCTTGAGCTTGGCCATAGAACACGCCAGCGACGCAGCCGAGACGACAGGTTGGCCATGAATAACATGATCAAGAAGATATGGATCGTCCTTTGATTTGAAACAACGTTGAGATCTGAAACATAAGTATTATTATGTATTATATTATTTTCTGCGAACAGATATGTTATTTTTGACTGAAAAAAGAAAATTTTTGTAGAAAACTATAATAAAATTTATTTTACAGTTTTTTGTCTGTGGAAATCAACGAAGTGTCAAACATTTGTGACAATTCGTCAAAACAAAATAAATTTATTATTTTCTCAAATTCGAATTGGAAATTGAGTCGAAAAATGCAAATTGTTCATTCAAATCGATGTGAAATGTGAAAAAGAGATGTGAACGGAGTAAAATCAGTGTCACTTTCACTCTCGTAGCAGTTTCGACCGGTCGAAGCCTCTGGGATGGATCAGTCGATTAAGAAGAAGAAGAAGGGTTCTTACGTAAAGCTTGAATCTTCTCTCAAATCCTTCAAGAAGCGGAAGCCCAAGAAGAACCAAACGGCTGTCACAGCAGCGACTCCGCCGAAGAAAGATGCTGATCCATCGAACGCGTCTAACCGCAGCTACAGGCGACGGAGGAAGAGAGTAAGTTCTCAATGTTATTATCAGAATGAAGTTGATTTAATTGAAAATTAACTAATGTCTTCTTATTAAAATAAATGTTGTTGAAATGGCTAAAAGTATAAAAGATAATTATTCTAGATCGAAGTCACTACAGAATTCACTCAAGATGCCTTGACTGCATTTAAGAAGTTTGTTGCTGATGTAAGTGAGGTTTTTTGGAAATTAATTTATTTTAAATTTTTTATGATTTATAATATTGATGTTACAGTACTCGGCTCAAGGTATCAATGGGCTCAGAAGACAGTACGCGGATATCAAGCTGACACAGCCTAAAGACACGCGACAACAGGCGTTTGATGCCAATTTTGAAAAGTGTCGGTACAGAGGTAAGAGATGCTTTAAATGATCCAATATGTTTTAGATATACCATGCTGGGACAAGAATCGGATTGTGTTGAAGTGGCCTACGGGTATCACGGAGGACTTTATACACGCGAATCGAGTTAAATGCCAGAACTTGGACATTGATGTCATCTGTACCCAAGCACCGCGAGATAACACGATTGGCGACTTCTGGAGAATGGTTTGGCAGGAAAAGGTAGGACAATACTTTTTGGAAGACGGATACTAGCTTAGCCAAAGTTATTGTTGTTTTACATGAAGTTTCAACTTGAACATAACTTAATTTCATACTACCGAGATTTTTATGTTGTGCCAAGAGAACGAGGGAGGAAAGCCTAAGTGTAGCCACTATTACCCTACAGCTATCGGTCAAGAAATGGTTCATTTTGGTCTTACCATAATTTGTAAGAAGATCGAGACTGACCCAGACTTTGTGATAACAGAGCTGAGTATTTCTGGTAAGGCTTTTCTATAAAACTGGTATAATATGCATGTAACATCAGGAGAGCTCGAGAAATGTACTGAAATCTTACTCACGATATACTTGATTAAAACCTATGATTTTATACAATTTTCAGACTACGAAGGCAACAAGATGACAGTAATGCATCGTCAGTGGACGACTTGGCCAGACCGAGAAGTCCCCAAGAGTCCAATGAACCCGTTCAAGCTACTACAACATATCAGGAAGCCCACCTTCTCTCCTATCATTCATTGTAGCGCGGGCGTGGGTAGGACTGGCACTTTGATTGCTATCGAGATCATCTACCGTACCTTAAACAAGGGCAATGTTCCTGATGTGAAGGCGATCGTACTCGACGTTAGAAATCAGAGGAGTCACGCTGTTCAGACGGAAACTCAGTATCTTTACTTGGTCTACTCAATATTTCAGTTTTGTGCTTCTAAACACATCGTGCCGAGCGAAACGATCGCTGGTAAGTACCATACTCTCATTTGCGTATTCACTTTAGTAAGTTACCGCATAAAATGTGATTCTCACACTGTTTTTTCAGAGTACTGTTCCGAATACCATAAATTCGTAAAATTGGTCGCCCAGATGGAAGCTCAGCAACCAGGCGTAGCTGTAGTGTTACCAATCCCGGCTTTCGCTCCCACGCCCGTCCCGTCTACCCCAGCTCAAGGAACTCCATCCCCAGTCCAACCACCACCAGCTCAGAATGCTCTTACTCCTGTTCAAGGCACACCAGTCAGTCCATCACCAGCCGCGCCTTCTCCAATTGGCACCCCTCCTCCGCCCTCTCCCAACGCGGCATGCCCGACTACCCAGCCCGAGTCAGAAGCTCCAAACCAGGGAAACAACGAATTTTCCAGAGATAATTAAGAGTCACTGATTACCTTTAGATAAACTTGTCTAGACAGATTTGTATAAACATTGACGACCACAAATGTTAAAAGACATTTAGTTGCCTGTATTACCCATTCAATGTAGCCAAACCATAATATATCACACATAAAAACAACTACTTACCTTTTGACACTGGTCATCACCTTATTTAGTGTTATATCACCCGAGTGGAAGAAGAAAAGAAGGCGACTGTCGGATCACCCCCCCCCCAAAATACTGGCCAATTATGGAAAAAGCGCCCAATTTCGGAGAAACCCTCCGCCGGAAAGTCAAATTTCAATGGAAGAAAACAAAAACTTTACTCCAGCAGATCAACAATGATAATCAGAATGGATGGAACAAAATAAAAGGTATATCAACAAAGTCAGCACATTAGCTGCCGTTAACCTCGAGTTGTCGCAGCTCTTCCTCCAGTTCGGGCAGCTTGGCCAGCTTCTGTTTTTGGTTCACTTCCAGAGTGACGCCTTCAGTCTCTTTCTGCTGTAACTTTCGGATGTCGTCGATCTTCTTTTTTAGCTTTTGGAGCTGTTTCTCCTGCGGAGTAAGTTCGACACGATTGACTTGAGGTTTCTGTTGGGCCGGTCGAGAATTGGAATCTTGTGCTAAATAAGACATGAGTTAACAGCTCTTCTTACTTTTAAATTGTTATTTTAGGTACAAAGGATCGAAAAATCTATATGAATATAAGTAAAACTTACTTTTTCTTTGATGAGGGGGCACGTACTTGCCACCTTCAGTCACTACACCAGCCTTCTTCAATGTCGTGACTCCGTGTTCTGGGATGGTACTTCCGACGCGTCGATTCTCAATTTTTCGTCTTTCGGCGTCAGACAACTCCGTTACCTTGAACTTGTTGTATTCGTTTGAAGCTGGCTTGAAAGTTACCTAAAAAAATAAATTAGACCAGTTTTACAATCAAAGCAGCTTTTCTGTATCGTATATATGGTAACGAAAACACAAGTACATATATTGAAATAACAACATCAATTAAACATACTTGAGCCAACTCGATGTTCTTGTTCTCAGCATCAACACTCAAAAACTCGTGCTTCAACGGTCCGGTGTAGTGCCAGATTCTGAAGTTGTTGTCGACCCGAAGCCTTGGCGCTGTCGTAGCGGTCAAGAAGTGTTGGCCATCTGGAGCCCATTGGAAGAAGGTGGTGTTTGGTACTTGCATCTGCACCACCTCGGTCTTCTTCTCCACATCCCAAACTTCGATCTTTCCAGCCGCCAAGTTTCCGAATCCACAAACGGCCAAGAGATTCCCGAAAGGATTGAAGTATACCTCGTTCTTGTGGTTCTCCCCCAAGCACCAGGTCACCGTTGCCCGTAAGTTAAAAACACTTATCTAAAAATAACTTTTACCAACAATACTCACGTATTACTTTATAATATAACAAAAATAAAGGTAATAATGTGAAACAAAAATATATTACCTTTGAAGGCATATATCCAAAACAAGCAATGAAAGACATTCCGTTCGGAGCCCATTCCATCGAATGCAGAGGCCCCTCCTTGTTGAGATGCACTTGGAAACTTTCACCCATTTTAGTCAAAAGGTACACACAACTGATACCGTAGTAACTCTGGTTGGTTTTGTCGACTTCAACAGTTGTCGTGGCCAACACAGCACTTCCCTTGGAGTTCCAGTTGAAAGCACACTGATCACAGTTAAACGAAGTCTTCTGAGTGATCACTCTCAGGTCTTCGTACGGACTACGCAGCTGGATTATTCCTGGCTTACCCTAAAATTATGTTATTCAATAGGTAAAACTAACGAAACATTACTTCTCCTTGATTTATCGCTTACCCCAGTTGAAGGAATGAAACAGCACAGAGTGGGGTCCAGTCCAGGACTTAATTCAAAAATTTCTAATCCCTTGATTATACCTTTTCTCGTGAACCGATCTAAAACAATATTAGTAGTAGAAAATTAACCAAAAAATAAAATGTAACAGCTCTATTATTAAGGAAAAACTTTAAATTCTAAAAACCTGAGCAAAAAATAAAAAAGATTTCTAGAAAAACAAAATTGTTACCTAAAAACTTACCAAACTTGTTGTTTTCGTAAAAGTGTAGTTCAGATCCATTCTCTTTCAAGACACAAAACTTCTCATCTACCGAAAACTGAGGTTTCCAGTTGACTTGATATTTGCAGACCTTCACTGCCACTTCTTTCCCATCCCGCACATCGTAGAAGCGGAGATTTGGATCGGCTTCTCGCTTCGTCCCGTCTTCAGCGATTCTGGAGCCATAAATCGCGTACTGCTGGAAGGTTATCATCAGGTTTTCGTTGGGTGAGAACGAGATCTTCATCGTCCTAGCAAGACCTTCGATTCTGAACTTTTCTTTCTTCGCGGTAACATCGTAACAAACAGTTCTATAACAATTTGTTTGAAACTTAAAGAAAAGTTAATAACGTTAGTTTTATAACAATTTTTTAAAGAACTAAGCATAATAATGTCACTCACTGTTTGCTATCACAATAAGCAAAATATCGTCCACTTGGACTGAACTGAAAGCATCGGCAGACCGTGTCCTCCTTCGCAGAACTAAAATACGAAAATATTAAACCAAAATCATCCAATAATACAAAAATTTTTCAATAAAACAATTGAATCAACTGTCCTCCAAGTTATACCTAAATTTAAAAAAAAATCAAAAAACCTTACCATGCCAAAGCGAGAACTTCTTCGGGATTATCTATACCTCGTTGAATCTTCAGACCATTCGCGCCGCGATCTGAAACACAAACATATAAAAACATAGATCAACGATTAAAATCTAATGAAATAAACAGTACAGAAGACTTAAAGCTACGATAGAAAGAGTTTAATAAACCATAAATATAAAACATGAGGACACCTACATGCGACGACGAGTTTCTCTGCCATCTTGTGACTCTGTCTGTGTATGGCTTAAAACCCTGAAATAATAAAAACTTGAGTTATGCATACTAAAATAAATTAAGAACCAACAAGCGGCATAAAAACGCGTTATCGTACCCAAACTTGTCTTTTTTCGAGGGATATTTCTTTTTGCAAAGGAGTGGGCCTTTGACTGAGTTCGGGCGCGAGTCGGCTCCGTATAAAGTGGCTTTCCTTGAAAAGAATACTTCAGATCTCTTTTGCCGACGAATAGGTCGCCAAAGGAAAGTAGAAGTAGAGCCAAGAAAGATCTGGTAACCAAACAAACAGGTAATCGTATAAAATGTGTCATTAAGAAAATTGGGTAAGTAAATGTTATGATAGCCTTTATTCTTTAACTCAGAAAGTCCGTCCAAATTGTGGAAAAGGTAAATAATTGTAAACAAAAACAGACAATATTCCGAGGTTAAAGTATCAATAATTTATTTCGACATTTAAGAATTGGCTGCCTTATCAGAAGCGATACTGAGAGCTGTGGCTATCGTCGAACTGGGCGAATCTCCGAGATACAGCATCGACGTGCTCGAAGTCTGGTTGATGGTAACTGGGTGCTACGAAGTTCTGAAAACAGTAGGTTTAATAATGGCGTTTTTACATTGATTATATACTATTTATACGTAAATTTTCTTAAAATGGTCTTCTCTGCAAAATATTGATGTTTAAAAAAAAACATCTTCAGTATCATATGAAAATAAATTAGATTTTTGTGTAATATAACAACTTTATTGGCAAACTAACCTCTTCACTGCCATACCCACGGCCGAAGCTAGCACTCGTTGTAATGGCAGAAACGTAGAACGATGCGGCGTCGTCATCCGGGTCCAGCTGCTTCTTCTCCACGTTCGTGAGCTTCTTCTGAGCTGTTTCAGCAGAAGCTGGCGGTGGTTTGTAGGCGACACCGTATTTCTGGCTGACGAAGTTGTTGTCGTAAAAGTAGACGGATTCCAGGGCTTGACGATACTCTTCGGCCTTGGTGTCCGTGTTTGGGTACTCGTGGTACACACTGGCTTCCGAAAAGGTATCAGACTCTCCACCAACCGGTCCAGCGTCGTAGTATACGGAGGCTTCGGATCGATCCGCGTCCAACTCGGTTTGACCGTTCAGAAGATAGACGGAAGCCATGTCACCACAAACGACCGGTTTTATCGACCGACTTCTTGCAACTGATCCACCAATTTCTGTCATTTAGGAAAATAATTTATTTTTGATATAAATTAGAATAAAAAACAATTTGGCATCAAATAAATATGCAAATTCGGTGTTCTATATTGTCCTTTATGTTCTGTGCTTCCATCGAGTTACTCAGTGACCTTACACAGCACAGTGACATAAAGGACAATGTCTGGAGAACTGGATCTCCTGTTCGTATGCTCTATGTTTACATTGTGGACATAGCCAGAACTGGTAGTCATGTATAGGTCGACCAGATGCTATACAGATAGGGAACTTTACTCCGCAAGTTGGGTTCGTACATGAAGTGGCATAGTCCATTACCATGGTTCCACAGGTATGACATTCTGTTCGAGTTGGCTTCGTATCTTTTGGAGGGTATCTGGAAAGAAATTTATTTCGCTTTTCGATGTTAATTCGGGTCAAAAAAGTTCATGGAAGTTGTCTTCGAAATTAAAACGAACTTCAAGAATATCTTGAGCGACAACGCATTATATTGTTCGAGTTCGTCTTCCGGTATGTTATCCATGCTTTCGATCTTCATAAAGGCTTTGCTACAAACTGAGAATTGTTTGGCTTGGCAGCTAGCCAAAGCCAGTAACGTGTATATCTCCAAAGATGGTATAACTTCTTCGTACTCCGTTAGTACGAGTGCTGTCTTCATGGCTGCATCAAACTTGTGCTGATGAAGTTGTTGTTGGCATAACATGTAGAAGTGCATGGCTTCAGCACCTCTCCACGCAGTGTCTATCAGCCTCGAGTCTTCTATGGATAAGGTATGTTCTTCTTCAAGCAGACCCTTGATGGCAGCTGTTGACTAAAATTGAATTGCACAAACAATTAGCTTATCATATTATGATGTTTTATATAAATTAGCACGAGAACTCACGGTTTCTTGGCCATTTTTGGTGATTTTCGATTTGCTGTGTTCTCGATGTTGTTCTATCAGTAATCCGCCCATTACAAACAGCTTTTTTGCTCGTAATGGTGGACATTGTCGTCCCATCTGATCTTTCGCTATCTGAATATAATGTTTCTTATTTCATCATTCGCCTATATAAGATTTATTATTAGTCATTGAAGAAAGATATTTATTGTAACTTACATTGAATATGATTTTAGTGGCTTCCAGGGACATGGCAGCCTTTCGGTATAACTGAGCTGCAGCCAAAGTCTTTTCGATTGATCCAGTAAGTTCCTCAGCATAGTTATTGAGCAGATTGATCGCGTTTGACAGTTTGTACTTCTCGCTTAACTCTACCGCCTTGTCCCACTGGTTCAGTCTGATACAGGTGTCCAGGGCTTCGTTGATCATGTCTAACTGTAAAATATTATATTCATAATAGTCCGTTCTGTTTTTATGGCTAATGGCGTTACACTTTAAAGTTTTTTTGCAAAAATATAATCGTGTTTGATCGTGTTATTCATAACTTGATTATACTACAATCTTGTGGATCTTACTCTCAAGTAACATTCTACTGCTTGATTACACAACCCAGAATTCGTGAAGATATCAGCCAGATCCTTGAGTACTTCATGGCCATCAGGCAACTGCTGTGCCAGTGTTTCTAGCCGAGCATAGTCGTCCATCATAACATAACACTTGACCAGTTCTTTGAAATGCTGTCCACTTTCGTAATGTTTAGCCGCGCTTTGCCTAAAAATATTTTAAAATTTAACTCTCTAAGATTTTAAAAATACCATACAAATTTTAAAAAATGGTTACCACTTCTGTCTGTCCATGAAAAAGTCTCCTACATGTTTCCAAGCTCTTTGTAACATAATATCATCTCCAGGCCCAGTAGAAGTTTGTAAGATCTGCAGCACTCGGAACCAATCGTTCATCTTTGTCCTCATGTCTATGGCCAAGTCTCTGAATTTGTCGAATGTTACACTTGACTAGAAATATAAAATTTACCTTCTGTCATTTTCAAAACAAATATGTTCTGCGACGTCAAGATCTCCAAGGAACGTGCAGACTTCTGCCTTCTTTAACGCTTCCGACTGAAATTAAGGTATGAATTAACCTTTTAGGTAATTTTAAAGGTTTTGATTTAACTTTTATAACTTTAAAAAAATGCAATTACAAAACACTTACTTTTATATTCTTCAGCTTTTTCAAAAACTGTAGCCCTCCAAAGTCCTGTAGCTCAACAAAAGCGTGTTCGGCCGTCTTCAGATCAAGTTTGTTGAGAGCGAATGTAGCCAGTAGATTCCATAGTTTGGGATGAGAATGTCCTTCGATAAACTTGGTGGCCTCGGGTATCTTGTCCTGATCCAGAAGTTCTTTCGCTTGTCGCAGAGTCTTTGTTTCGATACTGACGATCGCCGACTTTGTAGGAGATTCTGGATCCCGCAACACTTCATCTAGTTGCGCACACTTTACCATAAGATCAGTAAAGTCGCATAAGTAGCCGGTGTTATTCACAGGGTCTTCCGTCTCCGTGCCGTGAATCACCAGCACTTTCTGCTTCTCCATACACACCAACGTGTCTTCTCGATTCTTGTCCCATATCACCCCCCAGACGTCTTTCCTCTCAAAGTTCGGAACTACAACAGCATTGTTGTCTTTGATGTCAAAGAACTTCAACAGATGGTGCTTGTTGATCAGTGCCAACCGAGTATTGGTACTGTTGAGGGCCATGGTCTCAGCTGAATAAGACAGTTGGTACTTTTGGACAAGTGTAACATCAGGAAGGTTGTAACGATGAACGGTGCCTGATTCTCTACCCTGAAGATGTAACAGTGTACACTAATGCGATTAAATACCATTCTTACCACTAATATCATGTCTTTTCCAGTACAAACACAACAGATCCCATCGAATACGGTTCGATTTCCCTTTTTGGCACTTCCGCTTTCCTGGTTCCGACTACTTTTGTAATCGTCAATGTGGTACACTTGCGGCTCGGCAGGCTTCTGTGGAGCACGGTGATCCACTGTCATTGTGCGAGGTACGTGGTAGTACCAAACTAAGAACTTGTCAGAAGATGCCATAACTACGATGCCTGGGGCTACAGAGATTGAGAACGGTTGAACGTTTGTTTGCGTAGAGTCTACTGGAGTGCCAATACTGTCACATACTTCTATCTTGTACTGGAAAGTTATATTGATCGGAAGTCAACCTATACACAATGGTTACTTAAGTATGACGTAGATGCTTGCTGTGTAGAAGATAATATAAATTGTAAAAACATACGATCCCTCCAACTTCGTTGACTTGACTGACTACCACACAGTAATCTCCACAAGCTAACAACTGCCATACGTCAGCCGTCTGTCTCTTAAACGTATCGTCCATCTTGGTCTCGTAGAACATTATCATTTCTTGACCAACATCTATGTTCTTGTATGTGTATACCAACGTTTTACCGCAGAACGCCCACTATAAAGTGCAGTATGAAAGTTAAGGATTTTTTTGCTTTGACCTTATAATAGAACAATGACAATATGAAAACCTTCTTAAATTATACAGTAACCAGTAATATATCTCACTTTGTACGCTGGCTTCACAATGGCCAAGTATATGAAAGCATCAATGGTAACGACCAGTCGGAGACCACTTCCTTCCCATGTTATTCCTGAAAGTTTACCGGCTGTCAGCTTCATTGTCTGTATTTTGACTCCAAATGGTGTCAGAAAGTGTACCAGATTCTTCTCTTCGTCCGATAGGTCTGTCTGGTACCCGGCTACAGCCAGAATAGAGCCATCTGGAGACCATGCACACTGAATGATTACTGTGTTTGGGAGACGACAGATGATAGGGCCTAAAAATTAACAATTCTCATATCGTCTGTAGTGCAGTACTATAATATAACATATACAAAATACATATTATTATTTAAAACGTACTAGTGTCCAATTCGCTGCGCATCATCTGAAGAATGCCATGCTGGTAAGCGACTACAAACCGAGGCTGGTCTGGTGCTATTTCCCCTCGAAACACGATTGGTTCAGGTGGTACCGCGTTGTGTCTTATTAGTCGCAACATCTCCTCGTTTGGCTGAAGAGGATCAGCTTTGCAGACTGGAGTAGGGACAAACCAGTCCATGAATATGATGACATCCTTCTTTAGGTCTTCTGAAGATAAGACACATTATTGCTTGAAAGGTATTATATAAAATGTCATCAAATCATAGCCCAGCAATAAAAAAGTTTTGCGTGTTGTTAATATTGTACTTACTTTCCAACGCTGTTCGTAACTCCACTGTTTCCACACACATCATGGTTACCTTGAAGGCAAAGTTACCGTTCATGTCGTACCCATGCACATCTCCATCGCTTAGTCCAACTAGCACTAACGCGTCTGATCCATGCCACTATAAATATATATTCAAATGTGACAATTAGTTGTCAATAAAGCTTCTTGCGAGTTTTAAACTCTAATTTAAAGTACTTGAAAATTGATAAGGCGGGTCAATTGATTAATCTAGACAATCACTGGATAATGACAATACTTACGCAAAGTTGGGCCAGATGACTAGTAAGATCTTTGCTCCAGATCCTGTTACCATCAACCGTGCCTATAATAATCTGTCCATCTTCATACGCAATCCCAATCCTCGTACCATCATGGCTCCATTTTACTGCGACGACACTGCTTTTCTGACGATTATTAACCATTTCCTGCAAAAGGCAATACCAATGTCAACAAACCAATATTGTAGCAAGTAACTATAATTTAAAGAGTATGCCTTTAAGATTGTTACCTCAAACCAGCCTTCTTCGTTCGGATGCATAATCCAAACCACAATAAGACCACCTTCGTCGCATGTCGCCAGCTTTTGGTACACTTCGTTCCAACTGGCGTAGATTACTCTGGCTCCAGATGAATGTCCTTCAAGGTGCATAAACTTCTTAAACGGATTCTTGATGCTCTTTTCTGGAATAAACCTTTACATTTTACTTATAACCTAATTTTTATTTAAAAATGTATTTTAAACTAATTTTACAGCACAAATAAAAATTTTAACGTATGATTATACTGTATTAATACTTTACATCATATTACAGTAAAAACAATACTTTGGCACATTACTTACCATTTTCTCCAGGTAGTTGTAGTACCTTAACCACACCTTCATCAGCCCCGACGGCTATGAAGCCTCGATTCTTCATCCATGCTACGCTACTCAGTTCTTTAGCCCCGCTAACCGCTACCTGTATTAATTTATTATAGCATACTGTATTTTGTTACCTTTTTGGTCAAGAAGATATACGTATGTTGCATTGTAAACAAATAGAATTACTTTGAAAAATAAGAGGTTTAGCAACGTTCTTTCTTGCGTCACTATGGTAACCGCAGTAAGATATATTGCCTTATGAAAGCTGAGTTCATTGTGTTTATTCGTGTATACAGTAATATGATATGTTAAAAGTAGCTTTGACAACGACCAGAGTAACATTAACTGTGTTGCACCCGTTTTGAATTGTTATAGATAATGAAATCAGTAAGATCGCTTGTCTACGTCGTCGATTCTGACCGTAGATCCGTCGCTTGAAGAGCCTGGAATAAAAAACATCTACTATGCTTTATAACCCTTTTAACTGTACAAACTACTCCAATCATAGTAACTTATATTAGGAATACCATCTATATTTTAGATAATACCTTTCTTGTTATTCGACAAAAACGAGCGGTCAAACACGGCATCATCGTCTTCAACCACAACCACCCTTGCCTTATAAGCTGGTGGATTTATCGTTACATGTTGATGTAGACTTCGGCTACTCATGTTGGGTATATTAACTCGTGGGATCGTTCGACCAGTCGATTCGAAAGACTCTGTCGACCGTTGTGGTGGAACTGGCACTCTTCTAGGAAACTGTGTTTGTTTATAAGGTGTGATTTGTGGTTGAGAGGTTAAAACCGGCATTGGCGGTGGTGGCGGGAACTCCTCTTCAGAATCCATGAAGGTCGAACCTGAAGATTGTTTTCTACTTTCATACCTTCACTTAGTTACACAATAACACCAGAAATCTGTTTTTAGAAAAAGTCACAATTATCTAACAAGTGTCATACAAAATCAAAAGGGAATACTATAGAACGTATCTAGTATTATATAATAAAAAGTCGTATAATTATAAACAATAACAACAAAATATAACTTACCTCTTCGATTAGAATTGTCTTGATGCTTCATTTCAGAGTCTTTGTACACTTTCAGGTAATGATTCTCCTCCGGCTGTCGGTCGTAACTCTGATAGAGCCATTGACCATCATTATCCATTGTATCTCCTCGTCGATCTTCATCAAACCATGAAGAATCTTTTCGTTTCGCAATTTCCAAATGTGAAGACCCCCTTCGACCAGTCGATAACGGTGCCTGATTGGAGATGGCTGACGCATGTTTGGAATTCTGAGGTTGATAATGATTGTTCTGGGTGTTGTTTTCATCAATACTGTAAGATTTGACAAGGTTTTGTTGATACCTTCTTTGGCTAGACACTTTGAAGTCTTTTGAACTGGGAGTTGTAAATGCCTGTAAAAAAGTTAATAATAAGTTAATTTTTCAACAATTTAAAAAAATTTTTAAAAAAGATTGAAAAAAATAAAAAATTGCCGGAAAAAAATTATTTTGTCTGCAAACTGCGCAAAGCTGGGCGCTGATGCACAAAAAAAAGCAAAAATAAACTCACATTTACAGAAACATTTTTGATAAACTCTACAGAAGCTGAATTCAGCTGTTTTACTGCTAAAAACGCGTCGATTAGGTATAAGAATGATATGATAACACTAACTATAGCTGCTTTCAGGAAATACGTTGATCCAGCACGTGTCTAAAATAAGTTAATTTAGTAGCTATTTATACAACCGTTATATCTCCATTGTTTTTTAGTTGTTTTATCTATAAAATCACAATGTTTTTAACCTAATTACACTAATTTACCTTGAAATACCCAAAGAACAAAACACATCCAAATCCAAAAGCGGCACAAGCTATAGTCAACGAGATAGCCATATCAGCTCGCAACCATGTTTTAGATCGTATCTGAGCCTTGTACTTCAGATACGGCACAGAATGAGTTAAAACTGCTTCGGGAATAGTAATTCTATTGACTACCAAGTAGACTCCATACAACGGCACTACCAAGATGGGCATTATGAGGATCCAGTAAGGGCCAATATAGTACAATAAGGTAACTAATAACAAAGAAGTGAGAAGTTGCCCAGTTTTGAGAGCTATCCGAATCCCCTTGAGGGAAGGCTTCTGGGTGGGGGACGTCATTGCGACTAAAACAAAAAACAGTTATACGCGATGGAAAGGTAGAATTGCCCTTTAACGACTGGTAATCAGCGACAATAGGGATTTTGGAGGTCGTCTTAATCAAATTAGAGTCACTAAAAGCGATGCCATCGCGGAGCCGGCTCGACAAACTTTTCGCTCATCATTGATATTGTTTTTGTTGATTAAAAGAGAAGGTAAATACATCGAAAGGGAACGTAAACGGCTTAAACAAAATCGTATTACAGTCTGGATTAAGGTGAAGAGAAGATTATGGGTTAATAAAGTAGCGTTTTACTGTATTGTTACTGTTTTGGTGGAACGGGAAGAGGAATAAGTGTTATAATAAGGTCTAAAGTTTGAAAATTGAAATTATAATTTTTAATAATAAGTTGTCAAAGAATATTTTTTACAAATCTACAGATATTGCAGCTTCGAATGACAAATCTAAAAGACTTGAAACAATGTAAAACTATAAAAAAGTCAGGGTCAAATTGAAAACAGTCTATAAATTAAGACAAAACAACTTAAATCAATATATAACAATCGAGCAAACAACTAGCTAATCACATCAACTTATGTCAACCATGCAAAGGGCTGCCGTCAGAGTCAAGAAGTTTGTTCCGTGACAGTCTGAACTAAAGGAGGGACCTTATTAAAACAACATTCGGTTCCTATTCAAGCCACTTATTTTATAAGTGAAGGTGAGAGAAAGGGAAAACAAAACCAGTTGGACTGTGATTTCCCGCACATTCGTCGTTCCGGACGGAACGGTGGAAACGCAGTAAAAGTTCAGCTGTTTTAGTGCCATTTTGAGTGAGGTTGTGGCGACGGTAACGGGCGATGATCCTTATCGCTTCTATTCGAGTTGTTCTTGTCATAATTTTGAAGGAGTCACATAAGTTTTGGCATTTTTTGGATATTATTCAAGGCATTTAAATGCTTTGAAGAAATTAAACTTACATTTAGTGTAAATTGGTTTTAAAATGTAGTAAAAACATGTTATACCTTAGATAATTTATTCATAAAAACAACAAGAGAAATCCAAAGTAATGTCATGAAGACACCCATAAAACGTAGCGATTGTTTTAACGATTTTTTCACTTTTGCTACCTAAAAACAGTCAAATAAATCCCGTTACAACCCAAAACTTTTGTATTCGAACCGGCTATAAAATCGCCATAATAGAAGACTGACCCCACTCGTCATTCCCGCACTCTCGAACATGTTTACCATGGAAGCGAGGTAAGTGCCATTGCTGAACCATGACCACGAATTGGATTAGACTGATCCCTCTTTCTGTAAGCAATCGCAAATTGACTTTTCTAATCCTGTTTCGATGGTGAGGGCTTCAGGCTACACAGGCGACTTGTGGATGGTACTTCATTGCGCAGCTTGGCAAATAATAAAATTTGTATTTAATTAATATTACTTTTAAAATTTGCATAAAGAACTTAAAAATGTACTATTATATAGTCAGTTTTCAGTTACAAAAAAATTTACATATAATACTTTGTTAAAATACAAATGATTGTTAAAATAAATGTTGTGAATCGTTTTTTCCGAAATGTTACAGTACTCTCAGCTGCAACATTACTCAATTGTTCAGGTGTGATGTTGTTTTAAGTAAGGCTTGAAGCCAGATATGCGTGTGACCTTAAGCAGATTAAGAGCTCACCTAGTATAATATCGAGTGAGAGTCAATTGAGTCAAGTATCACAACATCATCGAGACTCTTGTCGTTACAAACACCTGCAATGTTATACATCAGTTTAGATTGTGAAGAGTGGTTTCAGTTGCAATACTTGAAAATAAAGAAATTTTGATTATTTTATATTAATAAGCAAAACAAAATTTTTAAAAATTAAAAATTAGTTTTTTTATACAATGTTTTGTCACGTTTTCAATGATATAATACAGTAATGATAAGATATAAACTGTAAATCGAATAACATAGATTTTTGTTTTATGTGTTTTCTTTCTGTTCGGATTGTTACAGCGTTCGCCAACGCGGAACGTTGACATTTTAGCCAAAAACGTGCATATTTTCATAAATTGATCACCAAATTTAAAATTTTTGTTAAAAAAGGCATTTTAAACCGACAATGTGTTGACTCCAAATTAAAAATGTGTTTTTTTAAACGTTCAATCAAAGTTTTAAGTGTACTTTTAAAATTTAAATTTTTCAAATACTTTTTCATTAATATTAGCTTTTTGTATTAACAAGGAAAGTACCCTACCTGCCCCGCTCAGAACCAGCTCAAAATTTTTATATGAATTTTTTGTAACACCAATAGTACCCATAAAAAATTTTAGCTTGTGCTCTTGAGTTTTAAATTTAAATTATTTGGGTTTCCCGCCAATTTGGCAAGTTTGGCATTGTGTTTCAAGTACTTTTTTCGGCTTTCCAGACAAGATACGTTTACAAATTTAAAAATTTAAGTTCATTTAAAGGTTTTCTACTAGTAAATCAAAGAAAAATTATTAAAAGTCAAAAAATGACAAAGTTATAAGCTTGAAACACAATGCCAAGTTGGCGGGAAATTTAAAATTTCATTTTTTTATCTCGATTTTCCCGAGATTTTCTGGAAAGCGCAATTTAGTACTTTGCTGAAGATCTTATATTTACATTATCTTCCTTTATAAGAAGTTTGAAGTCAATCAGAGAGGAACAGGTCGGGCACCTTCGTTGTAAGTTGCTAGCTCTATTGCGAATACAACTTTCTCATTGCAAACTCCAAATCATGTCAATAATAATGTTGTTTTCCCTTTGTATATTACAGTTCCGTCAATGTTTTCACAAAGCGACAATTACTGGATTACACATCAAAGTCTCAACCCCAGCCCGATGACAGAATCCTCAGTTAAAGCGATTATGTCCCAGAAGACAAGGCCATGCCTCCTTCAAGTTTGCCGCATTAATTAGCGGACCGTTTATTGCGACGACTCCTCCGGTAATTTATCACACCAACACGCTACCACAAAGCCGACGGATCGTATGAGAAGGTCGAGTAACTTTGTTTCTCTGATTTACTGTACTATACTTTATTCTGTAGTTATTACTGTTAGTGTTATATTCTTTTTACTTTATCTTTGTTTTACTGTGTTTCCATGCAGCTTTGTAATGTATATTCATGATTTTGTGTAACTTATATCTGTAGTTACGTCACCGTGTAATTACTGAACTGTCCATCCTGTCACCCAAACAAAATCAGATAACAATTACATGTAATGGATTTCCGGTCAATCCACAATGTCAGCTTTGTATATCTTGATTCAGACATACGAAGCAATTAAATACGAAATGACAATAAGGTATTGTATTAAGACTTCCGTTATAGCGTCAAATTCAAAATGGCCAAGCAATTGGCCCCAAATTACATCCGGCTTTTTGTCCTTTAAATCGACCGGTAGAAAGAGAAAAAATGTTAAGGCTATAGTAAGAAAGAGGAACAACAGAATTTCAAAGTAAGGTAAAGTTACTGTAAGATGTATATATAGTAAGATAAGTCTGTTTAGCTTAAAGTATACTATAATAAGTTAAAATCTTAAAACTACATTAACATAAAATTATATTATCATTGGTTTATATGATAATAATAGCTTCGAAGATGGCATCTTATCGTATAATAATATAAATCAATCTCGAGAGCGGATAAATCAAAACATTGCGGTTACCGAGATAATGTCAAAGTAAGTCGAGACATATCCCACCTTTTCAAGGCCTTTCAAATCAATCCTTAATTATATGTTATAATAACTATGACAGTATAATTTACATAGTTTACTTTCAAGTAGCTCATCCTTTAAAATGTTTACTTTGAATTTAACTTTGAGTTAATTTGTAAAGCAACATAACATAAATAACATTTTTTTGATAAACTGTTACTGTGTAGTAATATATTATTGAAGCTAAAAAAACAACTAGTAGAAGAAACAAAAAATAGTGTTAAAGTAAAAAAAAATTAAAATTAAGGGTATAAAGAGCTGCTTAAACAGTCCAGAAAAAACAAAACTCTCAAAAATTTTACCATTAAAATTGAATTTTAAAATTTAAAATATTAAAAGTAAGACGAAGGTTACTGTACGAAACATGTCGGAATGTTGACGACGTGTGAGAATGACTGGAGGCGTCGATCGGAGCATATGGGCTAGTGTCCAGCAGAGCCAATCAGAGACATTGCGGTACTCCAATGGGGGCGGGGGCCGTTAAAGGGAAGGGGAGGGACGGCGCGGCTGAGTGACTTCAGACGGCCACAGTGGGGCGCCGGCTGGATTCAGAGGCGCCTGTGATTGCGGGAGAAGACTTTTTGCTACCAATTTCAGCTAATGACAACGTGGATCACGGGTCCCTTGCTGGGGGGTCCCTCGCTGGGGCACCTGTGTCCCTATGGGGTACAACTCCTGCCGTGCCGTGTTCTCGCGATCCCCCCGCCCTTTGACGTTCCTTTTCTTTTAGCCCATGCTCAATTACAACAACCCTGGCGTGCCGGCCGAACCCGTTGCCTTCTCTTACCCTACTAATTACGACTGGAAACCGGTTGTCCCGACCACGTCAAACGACTATGTTGGAGATCACTACATGCAGTATAACATGCCCTACCCCCACATCCGACAGTTCTATCCCGGCTTCGAAACAGGGCAAGAGAATCAGCAACATAACCCCTTCATCGATACTAGTGTAGCTACCAACTACGAAGTTCAGAACACATGTTATCAACGAGTAAATCGAGAAAAGGTACCCCCAAAGGATACGGGCCCTAAAATTTGCATGTGGAGAACGGTATGTTTAGTCAGTCAGTTAAAGCCCATATTAGGACATTTAGCATTTTTAATGTTTTAACTATAAACCTAGGTCTACAACTTAATGGTTTATATCCTAAAATAATAACAAAAAAATTTTTTTGTAAAAGCTTAATAATTTAACTGGAAACCTAAATCATTTTTATACAAAAACACCATAGAATCATTTTAGTCGGCCGGAATTTGTGGTCAAAGAAGCACAGACTTGAAGATGTTTGTGGAGCACATCAACGAGCACGCTAACGCTACGGACGGCTCACGGCACGTTTGTCTGTGGAAGAACTGTTCACGAGAGCTAAAGGAGTTCAAAGCCAAGTACAAGTTGGTGAATCACATCCGAGTTCACACTGGAGAAAGACCATTCGTGTGCACTCATTGTAGCAAGTACTTTGCCAGAAGCGAGAATCTCAAAATCCACGAGCGGACTCATACAGGTTGGCGGCTTATTATTGATGTTCTTATAGTACGTATGGTCGAAAACACTCTACCTACTTTCTGACCGTTCTTTACACAATAACTATAGTTTTCATGATACCCATTTATGCTTGAAAGTAAAACCAGTTACAGTAGTTTTGTTATGTCGCCAAACAGTTCAGGCTTCCCAGGGTCTATTTCAAAGAGCGGTGAAGCGATTTATATAAACTTTAACTGACAGCTCCGTGATCTGACCTCACCTGCTTTTGTTCCTAATCCTGAATATATATAAACCAAAACTTCTTTGAATTAATTTACGATCAAGCATTATGCTAATTTTTCGCGATGGAATCCCGAGATTCAAGTGGCTTTAGAAAGGCCGTAGTAAAACAATAAATTGAGCATTAGGTTTAGATTACTGTAATTCTTTAGTTAAAAACTAAACAGAGAAAAAGACCATGTGCTTGCACAAATCGATTAAACCTTTTTTACACTAAAATCAAGTCATGTTTACAAAGTAATTAAGCCTTTTCGTGTTTTAAATCCTCTACTTCCAATTTTATTGCATAATTTGAAATGTGAGAGAATCTGTTACTCTGCTAAAACAATTGAAAGCAACAGTTTTTGTCGCCAAAATTGCTAGTTTTCGATTAAGCAAATGCCATTTATCCACAACTGCCAATTAAAGCCGAGAAAAGTCAGGTTAACGACATTAATTCCGATACAAAAGCGTCGGAAGCGAGATGAGGTGAGCTGTGTTATGTAACTGTAACATAGCCGCTGAGGTAATTCGTTATGGACACTGTTATAGACAGTCTATTGCTGGATATTTTTAAATACATCACTGTTCAATCTCACAACATCTAACTAATTTTGTCATTTTTTTCGTTTCAATTTTCAAATTTTTAAAATGTTTTAAATTTTTTAAAATTTAAATTTTGAGCAACTAATTAATAAAAGCTACCGTACCTAGCTGAAATGCCACTTTTATTAAAACAAAATGAACTCATTCATCACGATGCGGTATCTTTACCATCTCTTAACGACAGATGTGATTTCACACGAATTTCATGAAAGACATCTGGAAATAAACACATTATAATGACACATTTCAGGAGAGAAACCTTTCGAATGCGACCAATGCAAGAAGAAGTTCGCCAACAGCAGCGACCGCAAGAAACATATGCATGTACATTCCAAGAACAGGCCCTACTTTTGTTCACAGTGTAAGAAGAAGTACACACATCCATCGAGTTTGAGGAAACATCACAAGGTAGGATAAGGTCATAAAGTCTATTGAAGCACCCAAAGTAAAGTAACATTATTGCATAGACTACACATACTTTGAACCGTATAATCAGAAAACTTAACTTTTGATAGATATACTACTTTTACATGCTTTAACTTAATCTATACTGCTCATTATATTTGAGTAAAGTAACCTTATTACCACGTTTTTACAGCAAACCCACCCTGATGTACCACTCCAACCACTCACACACTACAAAGGCGAAAGCGATGCCTCCTCGGATTCTGGAAACGCTTCAGCTATGACTCCGACGCTACACGACCCAATGTTCCTGTGTAAGCAGGAGGACCTAGTAGTACCCAACTTCGTGCAGCTCAACCCTCCCATGCCCTTTCCTCAGGATACCATGATATCTTATATACCACACCAATTCAACTCCGCTTACTATCAGTAACGGTAAGCACGGTCGTTGACTTGTGATAGTTACAGTAGGTGGACTAACCTATATTTTCGAAAATTACAGTATTTTGTAGACTTATACTAATTACTGTAGTTTAATGTATTATAGTATATCTTTCATATATTTTGTTTAAATTACTTTAATATTGCATAAAGTTGAAGAAAAAAGAAGTTCATTAAAAGGGCTAATTAAAGAAAAGGCTTTTAAAATGACAATCTTTTCGCATCAACCACCCTTAATTGTTAAGATAAGTATAAAGTTAGAAATAGTATTTATATATCAATATGTCACTAACCAAAGATGGCACATATAAGTTTAGTTCGTTAACCTGCATCTAGATGTTTACCTTGTAATTTGCATATATATATGTACGTGTATTGATGAATAAACTTTGAAACGGAAGCACAATAGCATCCACTCTAATTGCACCTCCACAAACATTACGCAACAGTTATTGGTGGCAAAATTGATGGCCTTTCGTATGTCCCACTGGGTCTTAAATACAAAAGGAATGTTTCCAAACTTTTATTGGGCTTAAATTGCTCTCCTAATTACAGTAATCCTATTACAGCTTACAGAAATCCTATTATATTATCTATATATACAGTAATTTTATTATAAGTATGTTAACTGTTATTTACAGTAATCTTCTCATTTTCTAACGTATTATAGTAGTCTTAGATACAAAACTGTGTAGCTTTCTCAACCCAGAATTCCCAAATCTGTCAAAATGATTCGGTCATCTGAAGCCGCCTCCAGCCGTGAGACACTTTGAGGTTGTTACTCCTTCTTTGATCTCTTAATTTCACTTCGATCGCATTACAAAAACTCGTAAAAATGCCGCATTTTTTGCTATGTAACTCTGTTTTAATTTAATCTCAAAGATACCATAAAACCAAAAGTAACTTTACTGACAGTACCTCTTATATTGCATTATCCTTTAAATTTCCTCTTTAATTTAACAATTGCCGAAAAGCGTCGCACTTTATAAACAGTCTCACACAACCAGTAGAGTTTCATTCACAGCCAATGTTTAACATTCCTCAAGATTACCGTATGTTGACAACAGCAACTTTCCAACACATTGCTGTTTCTAGCGGCATTTCCTTAGAATTCTTTAGTCAAGATCACTCTCGAGTATCCGAGGCCACAGAAAGACAAACATGAAGCATTTAGTGCCGAAAAGCCAAAGATACGCAACATCAGGCCAATTACACGGGATTAGACAAGAAAACATGTTTAATTAAGCATGTCCTTGATTCCATAAACACAAGAACATCGCCGAGGTCATTCTCTGCACAGTTTTTATGAAACATAATCAAGAAACTACAAAAAGAGTTATCTAAACAAGCAATATAGCCTAAAACAAAAAAAATATCAAATTGCGAAAGAAAAATGCCCATTTTTCGAAACATATAGATAAGTAAAAAAAAGTTTTGTAAAGATAAAAGTCCTAGAATAAAAAATTGCAATATAAACGTTTTTTATTTTTTTTTCTTCACGACTTTTATTCAGCAACACTTGACTGAAAGGAAGACTTGACCAAAAGTGGTCGATCAAGGAAAATAATCTTGGGACAGAATTTTGTCCGAGTCTTCAGAGAAATTAAGGTTTATAAACTATATCAGTTTACATCTAATTATGTGTTGTTATGTGTAATTGGAAGTCCTTAAACTGTTTTTCAACTTAAATTAGGTATTTTTACTTTAAATATCAATTTAAATAAAGGTGTACTTTTAAGTGCTGTCACAACTGTGATTATTACTTCGAAGCTGCTGACTATCCTTTTTAATTAAAATGCTCATCAGAGCACAAATCTGGTGAAAGTTTTAGAAAATGAATTTGTGGAGCCCTCTGACCCGGACCAGAAACCGGTTCATCCTCCCAGCGGCTTCCGAATGACATAAGCCGAGACCGGACATTCCATATCGGCGCTGATAAAAGCGACAATCCCTTCTCATTATAAGACCGAACCGGGTTTCGAGAAGGCGAAGTTTCAGGATGATTCCGTTGTTCGCCATCTTTTTGATCGGCGCAGCTTCCGCGTCTTACTGTGGACAGTCGGGTGTCCCATTCAGTTTTGAGGTAATTATCTTAATTGAAAAAATATGACATATTATGTTAATATAGGTTTCAATTTTTATTAATATTATTTTAAAGTTTAAGAGAATAAGATTAAAATTTTTTATTTATTAATTAGAAGTATAAGTCTAAAGTAGAAAATAAAGAAGATACATGATACTTATCTTACTGTCATAACTTTCAGGTTTTGTCAAACGGTCAACCAGTTTTGGGCTGTGCTCGTCCAATTTGCTTTGGATGGGGAGCCAATGGAAAACGGTCAGCTGATGCGGCCCAATTCTACCAAATCGGAAGCAACATGGACGGCTTCTTGAGGTCATCAGACCGAGCTGGACCAGCTGTCAAGAACGCTTCTATCTTCCAACCGCAATTTTCGGTATGTTAAATTGATCAATTTTTATTTTATCTTGTATTTTTTATTGAATATGTACCGCTTTTGGATACATCATTTTGGTTTGTAAGTAATAATATTTTTAGATATGTGATAGAAACTTCATGGCCGACCGTTGTATGGGCCAAAACGAATGGGTCGGTGGAATCTTCCCTCAGGGCCACATTGACTCGAACGAACCGTAAGTCGCTCAAATCGTATAAAATCAGCAGTATCTCCAATTCCATAAATTTAAATTCATAACCAAATGTTTAGAATGAAAGTGATGTGCTGTACCTATGAAAAGCTTCGTACTTCTCAAGATCGTGGAATCCTGAAGCTGCGTCCAGGACAAGCTGTTCAAGGTGGAGAGATCAGAAACGAAGAAGGACGTCAACAAGGATTCGAGTATGTTTCTAGTGTCGAGAGAATGTTTGACGAGCACGGTGTTGTGTATACTTTGCGAATGAGAAGTTTTGGTTGTGTACCAGAACCAAACGGACCTGCTTCAGTGGAAGATGGAGCCGCTAAGTATCTTGTAGACAACATTAACGCTATCGACCATCCAACCACCAAGGCTCCACCTTCACGGTCATCTACTCCGGCTCCTGAACTGCCAAACCTTTTGGGACTTCCAACTTTAGGACCACTTCCAGGATTAGGTCAAGGTGGAGTTCAAAACCCAGCTGGTAACGCTTTTGGTCCAATTCCACCTGTACAAGGGTTAGGCGATCCTTCAAACCGGGTGCCAGCTGACAACGAAAGTCCCACCTTTGATGAGAGGACCTTCCAGTTACCAGAAGAAATGCCAGCAGAAGACCCAGTTGCCATTCAACAGTTCTCAGCTCGTGCTGGAGCCTCAAACCCACGCCCAGTACCAATTGCTCAACCTTACGAAGAGGATGAAGCACCTATCGAGCAAAACTTTGCTCGTGCTCACAGTGCTCCAATTGTACCAGTTGAACAAGTCGTTTCTCTGCCATCTCGTCCTCAACCTCAATATCTCCGACCTCAACCAACTCCTACCCAACCTCAGATTCAACTCCAGCTGCCCCAGAATCCATTCGGAGTTATGGGACTCGGAAACCCATTTGGTCAACCAGCAGCCCCAGCACCAACCAGAGCCCGTGCTCACGGTGTCAGAACTTATGGTCCTGGAGCCGACACTTCTCACGGACAGCCGGCTAGACGTTGGGGACCTCAAATCGTTGAGCAACAATACCAACAACAACAACTCCAACAGATGTTCAACCCCTTCGGATGGATGGTTGAGACTACACCAACTCCACCAGCAGCTCGCGAGCTTCCCAATATCAGAATCCCAACAGTTGAAGAGGTGGAGAACGCGGTAAGGATTATTTTATTACTTTACTTACTCTAGTAGTACTTTGGGCTGAAAACAAATTGAAAAGACAAAAGAGAGCCCATCTGTCAATTAGAAACAATATTTTGACCAAAAGTGATCTATGATCGTTTCAAAGCGAAAACAATCTTTTAAAAAAATCTATTTATTGTACCCTTCAACTTACGCTAATCAATATACTTTAGATCCCCAAAGAAGGAAAACAAATAATCTCAGACGTCGCCCGGACATTCCTAGCCGCCCTCCACTAATAAGACTTGTTACCTAAAACAATACGTGTACATTAATATTAATAATAAAGCGAACTGACCATTAAAGCTTGTTGTGTAAACAAAACAAACAACTTCTTACTCACGCTCGTCGCGTCCCCGAAATCGATTTCAAAACAGAAAACAAGTTTTCCGTCTTTCTTCTTATCTAACTCTCAGGTATCGTGACGTTCGGATGTCGCTCCAGAAGATTGCTGGCGGGTCAGGAATCGAGGACGGAATGTCTGTCCAAATCGATGAAACCGTCTACATCTTTGAAACTAAATGTAAGAGAAATTTGGCGTTTGCCGCTTGTAACCCATAGTTTTGATGGGTAAACATGATAACTTTAGTCGAAAAAGTTTGATTTAAGGCGCTAGGACAAATGCGGTTTTTGGACATTTGCGGATTTTTTAAAGGTTTTTTTTTATTTTTTAGTTAATTTATTTGTATTATGGTACTAAATTGTACTAAATTTTGAATTGGTACGGTTTTAACATAACAGTACCTTTTTGGGCTTTTAGTACTATTTAGTACCAAAAATATAAAAACAGTACCGATTAAAAATTTAGTACTATTTAACATTAAGAAATATTAAGACAGTGCCAATTTAAACTTTAGTACCATTTAGTACCATACTACAACTAAATTAACTAAAAAATAAAAAAACCCCTTTAAAAAATCCGCAAGTGTCCAAAAACCGAAGATCCGCAAATGTCCAAAAACCGCATTTGTCCTAGCGCCTGATTTAATCTTCTTGCGTTAATTTCATATATTATTACACTTTTTTTTTGTTATTTTTCACCATTCCAAACCTCTCGTAATCTTAATGTTTTGAATAATTTTTGACTAACCACAGTATTTTAGATGAAGACCAAACAGAATATCACAATGGCCATAGAATAATCGCAAACGGCTCCCGGTGCCAATCTTTCAATACCTACAAAAAGGAATGGAGCACGATTTCAGAAGTTCCTGCCATTCTAGAAGAATCCCAGCGTGGAAAACTGGATGAGCTTTTGTTTCTACATTCCGGAACCTTGTTCCTGTTACTCTTCAATCGCTTCGAAGGATTATCCTTGCATTCGCTTTGGCGCTTCGAAACCCAAAACTCAAGGTTCACCAAGCATTCCGACATTAACCACCAGATTGTAGCACCAGGGGATGAGAACACGTATGGCAGCCATCTCAAACTGGTCGAGGGGAACCAATTCAACATTCCTGCACCTTACTTTATCGTCAAGTTGACAAACCTCGAGTATGAGTTTGTCGTCTTTCATCTAGAGATTGCTATTGGACACACTGTCAGTGAGATTCTGAAGAGGGTGAAGTCATTGCAACCAGTTATCAATGCTATGGATCCTCACCCAGTATCAGCCCTCTACTATCAGAATAACATCTACATTACTGTCGCTGAACGAGGCTGTGGGTTAAAGTGGAAGACAGATCAGATAATAAAATTCGACATCAATGAAAAAACGCTACAACCTATTGACGTAAGCTTAATTACTTTCTAATTATTACAGCTTAGGTAAAAAGATAAGGAGTTGATATAAATAATTTCATAAATATTCAAACCATAAACTTTCCGTGCTTACTATAATGTCAAAATAAATTTTGAAAATATTGCCTGAACTTGACATTGTAGGTATCGACAGAGCTGTTCGTACTGGCATTACCTCGTTTCGACTTCTACTACCCCATCTCGAACCAGTGGCTCCACTTCGGATCGACCACCAAGAACGAGAATGGGAATAATACTATATTCGTACTCAAAGATATAACTCGATCTCCACATTGGATCAAGTACGAGTTGCCCTTGGATGACGTCAACTTCACAGACCATTTTCTCACAACTGACACATCTAATGTTGTTACTGTACTCAGGAAAGACGCCGTTTATCAATTCGACATTAATTACTTGCAGTAACAGGTTAGTACGTTGAATTTTGTATCGTATATAATACATAAATTAATAAATTTGACTTTTCAGTAAAAAAAAGTTTGATATTTCTCTTGGTCTGGTATATATTTATTGTCCATTAAATGTATAATTGTCAATAACTGAGGATCAGAACATAAAACGACTCCCTGGTTTTGCCCTTGAATTGATTGACTACTATCACGCGTGCGCTTTGATGAAGAGAAATCTATTAAATTTGCATAAGTAATTCACCTTTATTTAAGAGAACAGAGACTGCGCTAGGGAGGAGGAGTGGAGGGATGTGGCCGTCACACCCCCCCCAGAGCCGAAAAAAATCCGTAGCGACGCACCTGTAAGAGGTCCCTAAATTAGTTGGCTTTGTTTCAGCTTCATCAACGCATTATACGTAATGCCAAGCAAGCGTTTATAAAAAATATGCATAGTTTTATTGTTTGAATCTGACTAAGGCTATTCGCGTCACATGGATAAGTGGTTGACAAAACTTCCAAAAAAAGTAAGTTATTACCTTTTAGTTTAAACTATGTTTACATATAGCTATGGAAAGACATCTTCGATCATATTGAAGGCATCGAAAGCTTGGCCGCTATAGCATCGAGTCATAGAAGCTTTTACAAATGGATCAACAGAGACTTCAGACGGCTGTGTTATCGAGAGGGAATCTACAGGTTCCAAGGCGAATCCTGGGCTAACGCCTTCAGTTTGTATGTTTTTGTAATTCTTTGAGAAAAGATTATTTTAACACACATATTTTAAGTCACAAGTAGAGGCCAATTAACGTTAGACTAGTTTAAATTAACAATAAATGTAAATATATGTTTTAGAACGACTTACCGCGCATTTGATTTGAATGGCTTGAGCGTAAGCACTTGTCCTAATACTGGAAAGGTTGTGTTTTACTTACATTCACAACATGCCATTATTTCTCACATCGACTTTTCAAACTTTCAGTACGAACTAATTGATTTTAAACAACATTTTGAAGAGTCCATGAAAAGGATCCTTATTGCAAACAAAGGAACACGTCTGATTATCAATTGTAAGACAAAGGAAACCGAACAAATCGCGTACTTGTATGACATCTCCTCTAAACAAGTACTCAGAAAGTTTGAAACAACAAACTTTTATTACGGACTTTACCTCCAAGTAAATGACAATAACACAATATACGATCCATTTACGAATAGAGAATTTGAAATACCTTCAGGCATGCGGTTTGCTGGAGGTAAATCTGTTGGTATAACTAAAGATAGATACGGTGAACATCGCTATATACCTTTATTCGCACGTTTACAAGAAGAATTATACATCAAAGAAATGAAGACTGACCAAGTTTTTAAGTTGGGGAATGTTAACAAGTACTTTATGTACTGTATTCTAGAGGAATCCGGCCTTATTTATATCTACAGTAAGTTATTGTAGGCAACAAAACGAAGTCAGGAACTTGTGGGGCAGGGACTTTCGGGGTGAGAACTTTTGGGGCGGGTAATTTTTGGCGAAATTATTATAAAAAAACTTCAAATTTTCACTATATAAATTCAGGGTATTTTTTATAGGTAAAAATTCGTATTTAGTTTATACGAAATGACTATTTAGTCATAGAATGAAAACATGTAAGTTTACAAATATACTCAAATAAAAAAATAGTTTTTAAAGTGTTACTTTTTTTAATTATTTTTATTCTTACGTACTAGATTTCAAATCATACCCGACACCATCTTTTGTCAATTCTAAAATATAACGCCACCGTTTTTTAAATCAGACTTACGGAAAGAAAAAATTCTCTTTTATCCTAATACTTTTATAAAAAAATTATCAAACAACAAAATGTAAGTTTTTCCATCGTGTAGCTGTAGCAATATATTTTTTTTCCTGCCGTAAGTCGTAATTGAACAATAAAAGTGTTATATTTTAAAATTGTTAAAAAACGTTGCGTTGCTGGGTATGGTTCCCTCTTTTTGAGATTACATAAGTATAAGAATAACAAAACATAAAAAATAAAAAGTAACACTTCCGTAAAACTATTTGTTTATTTGAGTATATTTACATATAAACTGACATTTTTTTAAATAGTCATTTTGTTAAAAATATAAATTTTAACTTATAAAAAATACCCTGAAGGGAGATGATGGAATTACTATATGTTTTTTAAACTTCCCCAAAATTGCCCGCCCCAAAGGTTCCTTGTCCCAAAAATTCCGGAGCCGATAGCTCCTTGCCCCAAAGGTTCTCGCCCCGAAAGTTTCTGCCCCAAAAGTTCAGTAATCAGGGGTTTGAAAGGGAAGATCAAAAAATGTGTTTGCTACTAAATTTATTCAGAAAATCATTTCTAGACTATTCTTGTGGAGGGAATGGCTACAACAAAATTCAATTATACGATATAAAAACCCAAGAAAAAGTGTATGAACGGTGGTACAATCCATATAAGGATGATTGGATCATCTTTTCAAATCATGCTATATATAACAGCGAAACTGGCGAAGTGTGTTTGTTTAAATAATGGTTAAAGTTTTTTAATTTTTAATTTAATTTGCTTTTGTTCGTCCAGTTTGGCCAATTTTTGTTTTTGTCTGTTAAAAGCACAATTTCAACTTTTTCAGTATGTAATTTACGACCCAAAGAAGAAACAATTTTACTCGAGGTTCATCAATTGTCACCACCCAAACTCGAAACAGTATATACCTCAAAAAAAAGTGTGTAGCTTTACATCTTTGGGTAGAGCAGATGGGCGTAGACGTTTCGATTGGTGTAACGCTCACGAAGAAAAGTCTACATTCTTTTTCGACTATAACAAAGGTAAGGAGACAATTGCCGTAAAATAATTCAAAAATATGAAAAGGTAGTGTGAAATAGATTTGACAAAATAAATTTAGGCCTATTTATGAATGTGGTTTTTTAGGCAATCTGAAGTTGATGCCAATTTGTGTAGATGAAACAGCATTTGTTGCTGAGATTTGCAATCAATGCGAAACCTTTTTGATCGAACGTCAGGAAGCGGGATTGGATAGTGCTACTTTGGCTGATGAATTTAAACAGTTTTTTATGTCCCAATTACAATTACTGGTAACTCGTCCAGCGATTCCAGAAGTGAAACGATTTATTGCTGATGGTTGTCCTCTGATGCCTATTAAAAAGTTAACTTCTTCTTTGTGCTCTTATTGAATCGTTTTTAAGACAAATAAAGCTCGCTTTAAGAGGATGTATGTAATAACAACGTCATGCTATTTTACTAAAATAAACTTTACACAGCAATTCCATCTTAGTACGCCCTTTATTGTAAACGCAATGCACCATTACTTACCTTCTTTTGAGTTTTCTTTACTCTTTTACAATTACTACAGTAAGAGCAATGAAAGTCAACTTTATTAATTTATGTATACGATACAAAATTCAACGTACTAACCTGTTACTGCAAGTAATTAATGTCGAATTGATAAACGGCGTCTTTCCTGAGTACAGTAACAACATTAGATGTGTCAGTTGTGAGAAAATGGTCTGTGAAGTTGACGTCATCCAAGGGCAACTCGTACTTGATCCAATGTGGAGATCGAGTTATATCTTTGAGTACGAATATAGTATTATTCCCATTCTCGTTCTTGGTGGTCGATCCGAAGTGGAGCCACTGGTTCGAGATGGGGTAGTAGAAGTCGAAACGAGGTAATGCCAGTACGAACAGCTCTGTCGATACCTACAATGTCAAGTTCAGGCAATATTTTCAAAATTTATTTTGACATTATAGTAAGCACGGAAAGTTTATGGTTTGAATATTTATGAAATTATTTATATCAACTCCTTATCTTTTTACCTAAGCTGTAATAATTAGAAAGTAATTAAGCTTACGTCAATAGGTTGTAGCGTTTTTTCATTGATGTCGAATTTTATTATCTGATCTGTCTTCCACTTTAACCCACAGCCTCGTTCAGCGACAGTAATGTAGATGTTATTCTGATAGTAGAGGGCTGATACTGGGTGAGGATCCATAGCATTGATAACTGGTTGCAATGACTTCACCCTCTTCAGAATCTCACTGACAGTGTGTCCAATAGCAATCTCTAGATGAAAGACGACAAACTCATACTCGAGGTTTGTCAACTTGACGATAAAGTAAGGTGCAGGAATGTTGAATTGGTTCCCCTCGACCAGTTTGAGATGGCTGCCATACGTGTTCTCATCCCCTGGTGCTACAATCTGGTGGTTAATGTCGGAATGCTTGGTGAACCTTGAGTTTTGGGTTTCGAAGCGCCAAAGCGAATGCAAGGATAATCCTTCGAAGCGATTGAAGAGTAACAGGAACAAGGTTCCGGAATGTAGAAACAAAAGCTCATCCAGTTTTCCAGGTAAATGCTAAAATATGTAACTCTACTGCTTACTTACAATATCAACTTAATAATTAAAAAACCGCCGAATCCTGGCTTCAGTCTTCATCGACGTAGCCGAGATTCCAGATTCTCTCGAGTCCGTCGACAAGTTCGAATCCATGGAATTCTTTCGTGCCAGCCGGTTGGCTTCTTCAGGAGATGCAATCGGAGCTTTCCTTCGACCGAACTTGTTCACAAACTGTTGTTGTAGTTAGATTTGTTGTTCGGCGCCTACACTATCGTAGAAAGATGTAGCCAGAGCCATCGGCAACTTCAGACGCTTAACATCGCCTTTCACCAACTTCCGTGGGCCCTGGGGGTAAATTAGACTTTAATCCTGAAGTTAAAGGCGCATTAGGAGGTACACTTGACCCGAAAGGCACGTTTTGTCCAAGAGAAACGTGGGATTTGGGCCCAGAAGGCAAATTAGATGGTCGTCGTAGTTGAGAAGTATTCGGAGAAGTTGGGGTTGGTTGACGGTAAATTTAAAATATTTTTAAGAGATGCAAGTGAATTCTCATCTGAAGCAGGCCTCGACAAGTATGTTTTAGCCAAGTTTTGACTTGAAGAAGAAGGAGAAGGTAGCTTGGACAACGATAACCCTTGACGGGATTGTCCTCTTGACGTTAATGTGTTCTGAGAAGCTCCTTTAGAAAACGCTGAATTCTGACGTCTTAGTGGAGTCGGTGAAGGCGGCAGGGACGGCACGTTTTGAGCAGAAACACTGCCTGAGGGATTGATCGATGAGTAAGTGTTGGAGTTATAAAGATCTCATACAAAATTACGTTTACTTCCATAAAAAACATTTCTTGTTTTTTTTGTACAATATGAATGTGTTCAACCAAGCATATTGCACAAAACCAGAAATACCTAGAATTATATTGTAGTAGACTTACCCGTAACAGATCCCTCCATTGTGAAGCCTTCATGTAGTTGAACACCTCGTCCATTGGTTGAGCTGGAGAACAAGTAGAGTTGTGAGAGTTGCCAACAGACAGACAAGCCATCGGCCAATGGTCGAACTCGGTATTGAACAAGAAGCCGCCTGTGTTTGTGTCGGCACAAAGCTGGTTTCTGGCTTCCAAGACATTCAGATTCTCTCTAAATATTGAAAGAATAAAAATAGTTTATACTTTTAATTAAAAGTATTGTAAATCCGTGCAAATTACGCCTTTATTCATAAGAATTCATGGATACATATAAACCGCATCATGACCATAACATTGCTGGGACATTAACAGAATGCCTAGAATCGGCAACATCCTTTCCTTCCGACCGGTTTGTTATCCAAATAATCGAAATTTTTGAATATTTAGACCTAATACACGATGATATATTGTGGTATATCATCAAGTACCGAGCTGTTTTACACTCCAAAAGTAACTTTCGAGTTTAAAGTTGAGCCCTGAGGTAAAGTCATAAAGAAGTAATGTTCTCTTTTATATATTAAAGTAACAAATAAAAGTGTCAGGATGACGGATAAACTGTGGAGGAGGCTATGACATATGACATTCCAGTTCAAGAGGATCTTTATGTAGAGGTAAGGGCAACAGTAAGCAATGTTACAAAATATCTACAATCAAAAAACTATAAATTAACCTACATCAACATAAATAACATTCAATTTACTACAAAAACAATCTTTCTATATCACTGATATAATACTACATACATATTTAACATGTAACTACAGCTCTACCATCATACCGCTCTTACTTTAACTGAAACACTACTAATAAAGCAATAATACTCCAAACATTTACTACTTAAAGACTAATTATAGCTAGTCAAACTTTAACAATAATACAATCAATGAGATTATTCCTTGTGCTTCTTCAACATCGTCCGCGCCTCTAACTGCGATTTCCTCTCCGCCAGATTCTTCGGTTCCACGCAGACAGCCTTCTCCAAAACCTTCAACATAGCGCCCTTCAAATCCAATGCCAAGTACGTCTTCCCGAGAAAGAGCATGTTCTCAATCCACTCGGATGGATTCATAGCAGCAGCTTGTTCGAACATGGAACGAGCTTTACCCAATGTAGAAAATGAATCAACCGAGTAAAGTGATTTAGCCAGTGATCGCTGCTCATCGTCCAAAGAGTATAGAGTTAAATAATACCGGCCTTTCATATGAGCTACCATCGCATTGTCAGGTTCAATAGTAGCGGCTTTGACCAAATACTCCAAGAACTGATGGCCCATCTGGATCTTCTCTCGGTTGCCGAGTTTTCCACGATCCGCTAAAGCTCCACTGACGATGGCGGTCCATAATATGCAGTTAAAGTCCTTCGGGTTTAACTTGTGCCCGGCTGAACAATGCTGAAGTGCCTCAGATAATAGCCGTTCTTCATCACATTCGTTCTCAAATGACTTCATGTAGAGGCCGCGGCCAATTCGCCACAAAACAATCAACGTTTTCGGAGTCACCATCGCTATACATCTAAAAACAATAAAATTTAGGTAACAAAATACATAAATTTTAGAATTTACACTTTAAAAAGTTCAAAGTTCTAAACTTTCTAAACGATAATAAAACGTTTTCGTTTGGATGCCAAAAATAATAAAAATTTTCCTCGAGAAAACCTAAAAACCAATAAAAAAGTTTTAAAAACAGACCTAACTTCATCAGCTTTTCGTAAACCTGTTCGTATTTGTGCTGCTTATCGAACATACAGTCCATTTGTTCAAACTCCTCCTGTCCAATTCCTTGATTCTGGATTGCAGCTGGTTGCTCTGCCAGTTTCACATTCTTGGCCATCTTGTTACTCCTGAAACAGTTCAGTTATAACTAAATTCAAACACGAAAAAGAATTTCCGATACAAATTACAATAAAAAGAACGCTAAAAGTACAAAAAATGACTGAAATTATGTAAAATCCCAAAAGAAGCTTATTTTTACGTAAAAAGACCCTTATCTTGAAAAAATTCATGAACAACATGAAGTTGAACCCCGAAAAAAGTCGCAGAACCTTGGCCACGATCTCGAAATTGACCTCAAATCAAAACAGTGATTGCTTCCGGCATATCGCTGCGCGCCACCCTGCCCCAATAAAAAATAAATTTTATTTTTTGGCATTTCGTTGCGCCGCGATTGATTTTTTAGAATAAAAAATACCGAAATTGTGAAAGTATTTTTATGAAACAAGTTTAAAATAGTATACAACAACTAAAAAATTATTATACAGTCAAATTAGGTAAATTAACGCGTTTGACCGTGTAATAATACAACAACATCAGATTCAAAACACTAACCTACCGTCAAAAGTAAAAGTGAATTTTTGAACGTTGTTAATAGCTACATAACTGATGTCGTTTGAGTTCAATGGCAAAAATGCACCAACAAATGAGATTTGAGAACCTACAACAACATCTTAAGTAAAATGCTCCCTTTAAGATTGTTTTTAAAAGAACAACTCTAGCCAAAACTATATCAACCTAAACCGACCGGATTGTAAAAGTGAAGTTGAGGTCGCTGAGGATTGGGTAGGAGGTGATGATGATTTAGACCGAGACTTGCCGCGCTTCTGTTTCTTGGACTAAAAGAATGTTTGTAAAACTAGAAACTATAGATTTCGAAGCAAAGACAGGCATACCTCCAAACCTGCAAAGCTTACCTTCTTCTTCTTTTTCTTCGACTTCTGGCTGGAAGGTGACGATGCTTCCACATTGGGTTCATCTGGCTGCAATCCAGTAGGTAATGAGAACTTAAGCGGTTCAATGGAAGCACTTGGTCCTTCTGAAGCGTCTTCTTTCTCTTTGGATTCAGATAGTACGTCGTTCTTGGAATTGGTGTCCTCGTCAGAATCATTCGAATCCGATTCCAGCCAACGAAGCCGACCTTCATTTGCTTTGCGTTTAATACAACCTTCTTGGAACTTCTAAAACATTGCAAACTTAAAGTAATAAGAAATAACACCAAATAAACTACTCTACATTTATGCACAAAACAATTTTTGAAATATTTAAACTAATATAAATAAAAGTCATAATTTAAGAAAGAAAAAGGTTGGAAATAGGTATAAGGAATGCAACTTTATAAGATATTACAGACCATAACTGATGATTTGTAATTGCTCGAGGTCGATGGTTCCGACTTTTTGGGTGTTTGTCCTTTGGCAGACCTGAAACGATCAAGAAGTTAATTATAGGAAAAAAACCATCTTTCACAAAAAATATAAATCATATGACATTTATATATTATCCACAATTTTTATTGAACTTGGCGCAAAAGGAATAAATTAACCTAAAAAGCTAAACTTATGAAAACCTTGTGCTGTACTTACTTCTCTTTTCAACAAAATAATCGTCATCTTTGTCGCCCTCGTCAGCTTTATCATCCCCAACATCCTCCTCCTCATTCTTCAGCCTCGATCTTAGTCTTCTTTTTTGATGGTGCTTTCAGCGTTTATTGTTACTAAAACTACAAAATGAACAAGAGTTTAATAATTTTAAATCGTCGAACAACTTAATAATCAACATTGCTTAAATGGGAATTAACATAGCTAAAGAAGAGCTGATTCAGCTCTACCAAAAGTAATGTTAAAAACAGGAAACAAACAAAGATAAAAACTTACCATCAACATGATCGTGACGACCGGTAATGATTGGTTTGACCCATCCAGTGATCAATCTTGGCACGTTTTTGCTTGGGGAGGGGGTTTCTTTTCTTCTCAATGCCGGTTTCTTAATCAATTCTGAAATCACGTACTGACAAGGAAGGTACGCGACCTGCGACGCTCAGAGTTCGGTCAAACTTTTTTTATTGAAAGGTCACGTAAATGTAAGATGTTATGCAAAATTCTAAGTTGCGGTTTGCGGCCAGTCTTGAGAAAATCGAAATCGAAAAATCGCGTTTTGAATTTCCCGCCAAATTGGCATTGTGTTTCAAGCTTATAACTTTGCCATTTTTTGACTTTTAATATTTTTTCTTTAATATGCTAGTAAAAAACCTTTAAATGAACCTACATTTTTAAATTTGTAAGTTCAGCTTGGCTGGAAAGTCGAAAAAAGTGCTTGAAACACAATGCCAAATTGGTTTAAATATTTAAAATTTAAAACTCAAAAGCGCAAGCTAAAATTTTTCATAGATACTATTGGTACTACAAAGAATCCGTATAAAAATTTTGAGCTGATTCTGAGAGTTGTAGGTTGGGTACTTTCCCTGTGAGCTATACACAGTGTTTATAACATTGGGCGTTCTAACGAAGAAATGGGTGTACTAAATATCTTTCGAAAAAAGTAGACAATAATCATGAAAGTAAAAAACAGCTAGTTAATACTCCACAACTTGTGAACATCTTGAAAAGAAAGGTCTCCGAGACTTGTTTCCATCGACCGGTAACACAAAATTTTCCAAAATGAAAAAAAAAACATAACCGCGCTAGGTACCAACAAAAATATTCAAACTTGGATGTGTTTAATAGGTAGGGAGAGTGGCTTAAATAGAGTAACGCCAAAATTTTTTTAAAACTTAAAAATCAATACACTGTTTTTAAAATGTCTCATAACGAAAACAACTGAACGCTATAAATTACGTGACATTGTGTTTTAGTTCATTAAATTTTAACTGACGGGAGTGAGAGAAAAAATATAAAATTTTTTAAAAACGCGCGCGTTTTTGGTCCCACAACGAAGAGACGGAAGGGAGGAAGTACGGTGGCTGAACAAATTCTCTTTTTATTTTTCGGAATATTTTTTGCAAGATTTCTCAAATTTAGCGTGCATTTTATCGATTTTGATTAACTTTTTCTGTTATTATATTAATTTAGTTAATTTATAGCGAAAATGCAGATTTTCGTGAAAACCCTCACAGGTAAAACTATTACCTTGGAAGTTGAACCAAGCGACACCATCGACAACGTCAAGAACAAGATTCAAGACAAAGAAGGAATTCCCCCAGATCAGCAACGTCTTATCTTCGCCGGTAAGGGTTATTTATTGACTTTCTTAATATTTAGGTATTATTCTAATGGTGTTTAATTCGTTGATCACTGCTAGCAAGTAGATTAGCTTAAAAAGTAAAAGGATACAATTTTTCTTCTAAACTCTTATTTTTGGCGTTGGTACTTTTTTGTAAGGTAAATGACAGTTTCTAAATTAATATACATGATAATTTTATTGAAATTGTACTGTTTAAACCTGATTTCTTTAGGAAAGCAGCTTGAGGATGGCCGCACACTTTCCGACTACAACATCCAGAAGGAATCTACCCTTCACTTGGTTCTCCGTCTTCGTGGTGGTATCATCGAACCATCATTGAGAATGTTGGCCCAGAAGTACAACTGCGACAAGCAGATCTGCCGCAAGTGCTACGCCCGTCTCCCACCCCGTGCCACTAACTGCAGAAAGCAGAAGTGCGGACACTCCAGTGAACTTCGCCCAAAGAAGAAACTGAAGTAAACTCTTTGTTATCTTATCCTTTTTGGAGTATATTTTTTGTTGATTAAATTTACTTTTTTTGACTTTGTGATTGATTATGTGTGTTTGGGAGGTCATGTTGGGTATCGGTAATATACTTTTTAATTTTGTAGCGATTTATGCGTTTTTTTATTACTAGTTTATAATTTATTGTTAATGAAGCTTTGTTTAAAATTTGTGTGAATTTAGAACACGAACTGTAGTGAATTTTAAGAATTTTTTACAAAATTGTTATGTACAAGCTTTAACCGCTTTTTTAGTTATTTTACCTACAAATAGTAAAGCGGATTGTCTGCCTAGTTTTTAAATATTGCAAAAAAAGTGTTTTAAATTAGTAGCAGTAAATTATCAATGTACTTTTAACGTGAACTTGCGGCCAGGAAGAGTTTTAGGCGGATTATTGCAGAATTAACTGTCACACACGCTTCTTGTGGTGAAAAAAGCCGTTTGGCGTAATTTTGCACGAAACATAGAGCGAAGGCGCGCTTTTTGTTTTCTCCTTTATATTATGGACGAAGATAGTAAAATAAAGAATGACCTAGTAGGAAATTTAACTGGATTGTTTTTTAAGGCCGCGGAGAATATCAGTAACAAGATGTCAGGAAAGGCAAGTTAAGTTCGTTAAATATGAATTGTTGTTTAGGGGGATGCGGTTGAAGTTGACAAAGAAGAAAGTGATGTCGACGATGAAGAAGACATCTTTGAGGTTGATTATTTGATGGGAACGAAAATGATTAAAGGTGTCAGACATTTTCATGTGAGTCTGCTTTTTGATTTTTATAAATATTTTTCTTAAAAGATCAGATTTTTAACGGTATTATTAGCAGTTGCTTGGCAACCACCGTTGCAAGTGCTATAAGATGATTTATATTTTCTTTTTAGGTTCGATGGAAAGGTTATGATGAAAATCATGATTCTTGGGAGCCCGAAGAAAACCTGGAGGGTTCCATGGAGATTGTAAATAAGTTTATGGAAGAATACAATGCTAAAAAGAAATCTAAGGGTAAAGCTGCGAAAGCACCAGCAAAGAAGAAGGCTAAGATCGAAAAGGCTGAAGAAGATGAGGAGGAGGATGTTGAGGATGATAAAGCTGACGAAGACGACAAAGATGACGATTATTCTGTTGAAAAGAGAAAGTAAGTACTACCCATGGTTTTGTAGACATTTAGCCTTTTGGATTAATTTATTTTTTGCACCAAATTTAATATAAATTGACAATAATATGTAAATATCCATTTTTGATTTATATTTTTGTGGGATATGATTTTTTACTGTAAATCACTTACTTCTTGATAATTTTAGGTCTGCCAAAGGACAAACATCTAAAACGTCGGAACCATCGACCTCGAGCAACTACAAGTCATCAGTTCTGGTCTGTAATATCTTATAACATTTCATTTTTTATACCTATTTCCAACCTTTTTCTTTCTTTAATTATGACTGTTATATTAGTTTAAATATTTCAAAAATTGTTTTGTGCATAAATGTAGAGTAGTTTATTTGGTGTTATTTCTTATTACTTTAAGTTTGCAATGTTTTAGAAGTTCCAAGAAGGTTGTATTAAACGCAAAGCAAATGAAGGTCGGCTTCGTTGGCTGGAATCGGATTCGAATGATTCTGACGAGGACACCAATTCCAAGAACGACGTACTATCTGAATCCAAAGAGAAAGAAGACGCTTCAGAAGGACCAAGTGCTTCCATTGAACCGCTTAAGTTCTCATTACCTACTGGATTGCAGCCAGATGAACCCAATGTGGAAGCATCGTCACCTTCCAGCCAGAAGTCGAAGAAAAAGAAGAAGAAGGTAAGCTTTGCAGGTTTGGAGGTATGCCTGTCTTTGCTTCGAAATCTATAGTTTCTAGTTTTACAAACATTCTTTTAGTCCAAGAAACAGAAGCGCGGCAAGTCTCGGTCTAAATCATCATCACCTCCTACCCAATCCTCAGCGACCTCAAATTCACTTTTACAATCCGGTCGGTTTAGGTTGATATAGTTTTGGCTAGAGTTGTTCTTTTAAAAACAATCTTAAAGGGAGCATTTTACTTAAGATGTTGTTGTAGGTTCTCAAATCTCATTTGTTGGTGCATTTTTGCCATTGAACTCAAACGACATCAGTTATGTAGCTACTAACAACGTCCACCAATTCACTTATACCTTTGACGGTAGGTTAATGTTTTGAATATGATGCTGTTCTATAAGGTGCTTAATGTTATTTTTTAAAGGTATTGGCTGTCTAAATGTACCTTGTAAATGATAACATTTATTTTACGGTTTTCAGAAGCATTTCAAGCAAATTCTCGTGGCTTCTGCGAGTTTCTGGCCTCGAAAATCGAGTTCGGTCCTCAAGGTCAGCTGAAGGTGAAGCTGCCTCGGATGAACGGTGTATAGAATGTTGACATATTTTAACCCATCTACTCGATTGTTGTATTACATTGTTAAATTTGCAAACTCATTTCAAGGTTCCAAGTTAAATTAATAAACGTTTTATCACTGCATTTTACAATATCAGATTAATTGATGGACTGAAATAAAGGTTGCTTCGAGTTTCTTCGAAGGAATGAACAGCGTCTGGGTGTCGCTGATAAGTGCAATGTTAGAAAAAAGAAAATGTCTGTGCTCTCTCCGTTCCGCGCACACTTTCCGTCCATTTTTAGATCAAGGAAAAAGAAAAATTGACTGTAACCCATTCATTCAAAAGTCAGAAAACGGCCCGTTCGCCCTAAAAGACTGCGACCGACTTCTGCTGGTTCGGTTTCTAATGTTTAATAAGTCGAGACGGACTCTCGACTTGGCCCCAGGCTTGAGACAGTGCCAAATTCAGAATCTCAGAAATTTGCGACTGTTTTCAGGCCTTTGGTCGAGGGCGACAGTTGAAGCTAGGTTAATGTAGGATACTTATACAAACGTGAAACCACTTTGTCATGCTTAATATCTTTATGGTACTATCAGGGCGTGGACGCCATTGTTTCAGGCTCTTACTGGCCTACCTCTATATTGAATGAATTTCCCTAGATTAGTTTTTCAAGTTCCTCTTGGGTTTGCACGTTTCTACAGTATACTTGATATGGGTAGCAGAGAAGGTAAGTTTAACTTAACTGAGTCGTTTGAATTTGGAGATTAAAATAAGGTAAGTTTTTATACATTTCTTATCACTTTATATTATAACAAATTTAGTTTAAAGTTATTATCTATGTTGTTATTTGTATTATAGAAAGGTAAATTAAGATTTACGTAGGAAAACATCTGTATCTTACGGTAGGCACCGTATTTACCATACTTTTTTTACACTTTTGACTAATTAAATATATTGTAAAGCTAATGTAATTGTAAAAAGTATACTGTGACTTGACCACTTGTCCTAACGATGACAACTTTATCTATGACGCCCTAAAGACCATGAGTATTTATAGATCGTATCTGAACATGTTGTTTATGTTTCCAAAGTAGTCTTTGCACTGTATAAACAACCTACAGTAAGAACACCTGTCAGTAATAGAATAATATTGTTTTGTGATGTTTCCATTAAAGTAATATCCAAAAATAAACCCTGGTTTACTGCAACTTTCTGTATACGATACAAAGCTACAATATTAATCAAGAGATTCAGAAGAAGCGACTAAGCCGATTACTTCTGCAGTGTTCGTTATTACAGTCGTCTGGGTAGTGTAATATGTTTAAAACAACTTCAAAGTAAATATATTATTATATAATAAACGTAATTACATCGCCTGCTTATATTATTCTAAATTAAAATTGTCATCAAATTATATATAGCAGTATATACAGAAAGTGATTTTAGAAATTTATATTGTTATTTTGAGTACAGTACAACAACAGCCAAGAGCAAGGGTTCACTATGACATTTTACTTTACAGAGTAACCAACTGAAAATCCAATTGTGTCGCAATGCTAAGTAACGTGTGGGTCTAATGGTGTATTTGCCAAAGTAATACCTATTTGAAAACCGTTTTAAAATAAAGTTAAAACAGATCAAAACATATGCAGAATTTGTTGATTTAACTTATAGTCTACATTTAAAACCTTTTACAGTACCTATGTTAAGAAGACATAAGTCATAAAACGAAACAACCAATTACAGTAATGCCGACAGTAAAGTAATAGCAAACGTATTGTGACATTCTTGTCGTTCCTACTTGGGCGGTCTTTGCCCTGCGGTCATTCCGTGCTCTCGCTGTTTTCGAAAAAAACATTTCCAAGAGTTTTTTGTGTTTGTTTTTTCGAACGTGCTAGGTCGTGCCATTCGCTCACAGAAAAACATTCTAATCAAATTGCTCAGCCGACGTGCTCCGCCAACGTTCTGAGCCGATTGTGCACGTTAGAGCACGTTACAGTACTTTGGACTTTGTTTCAAGTCGTTTTGCCATTTTATTTTTACATTTTTACGTTTTTATCTTTCTAACGTTCTTCTGCACTCACATCGTTCCCGTTCATTCCTTGCCATATTCAGGTAATATCGAAGAAAGAATTCATTGTCTAAATTTGTTTATTTAAATCCAAACACAACAACATTTCTGGCCGCACGGTGCATCGTTCCGTCCCCTTCTCTGGCACTCTCCTTTTGGGCCGCGCACTCTTCCCGAGAACGATCACGCGTTTTTTGCGACAAAAATGAAACAAGGCTGTCGCTTTTTGTTTTTTGTGTCTCGACTTCTGAAGCGACAATCTAGGTGCAGTTCTTTTTCAAATGGCACACGTTTTTGCATTAAATTCTCACTTTGAGTTTGCACCGTGCTATACAGCTCAGTGAAGAAGTATCATAACATTTTTTGATAAGATTTATGATAATATTTTAGATTTTGGAAGGAAATAAACATTAAAAAAATTCTGTCAATCGCGATTGTAATAAAGGTCTTGTCGCGCTTAAGCAAAAGCGAACTCTGACATTTGTCGCAAAACAAGAAGACAAATGTCGCAATGTTTGTGGTTTGGGTGCGCGACAAGGTCAGAAACAAAAAGAGACATTTTTTGGCCGCCAAACGGAGAGCGAGAGGGTACAGAGGTCAGTCCAGGCCGTTTCTCTCTCACCCTCCCCCCCCCCTTTGCCATTTTTTGCGACGAGGCCGTCCCGGGGAGAACAGCCGCCCCTCTCGTTCGTCGTTCCCTCACCCCAAAGTTTGCATTTTGTTTTTTGTTTCTTCTTCCAATGTTTTTTAACTTTCTGTTTTTGCGTTCAGAGAAAGTGCAGGGTTTAGTTGGTGCACCGTGCACAGGAAATGTTTTGCACTTTATTATTTATTTTTAAAATTAAAAATGTTTTTGATTTTACTTTAGAAAGTAAACCTTGAACTTGCTCCGTGCAATCTTTCCATGCTTTGCTTTACCTGGTGCAGCCAAATAACTGCACGATGCATTCAGATAACTGCACGGTGCAAAGAAACCTTTTCATCTGCACCGTGCAGTCACCTTCTCGAGCCTGTTTTTGCACTGTGCAAGTCGAATCGCGTGTGATGTCGCCGAAAACACATTTCTGTCGCAATGACCATTTTTTGACCAGCTGCCGTTTCGAAGCGACATCCCATCGCTGTTCCCTCGCTGGCAATTGTCGCGCTTTGTCCAGTTTCAGCGCCACTTTTGTTTTTTCGAATTGACCTTGAGAGAACGTTCGCTGCACCGTGCGCTTTCCTTAACTGTTTCCCAATGTTGCACGGTGCGTGTCGCTGCGAGCTGTTGCGACGCGACATATTCCTGGTTCATGTGATCGGTTTTTGTCGCGGCTGCACGGTGCACATCCTTTTGGTTATGTTATTCTGCACAGTGCAAAACTTGCGATAGATTTGTGTTGCACAGTGCAAAATTGCGATGGGTTTTAGCTGCATTGTGCAATTGAGTTTATTCAAGGATTGCACGGTGCAGTCTTTCTTCTCGCTCCGATTTATTCGAAAGAAAAATTATATTTTTGACCAAATCAATAGTTGAAACCCGCTATTTTTGGGTTATTAGAAAAAGTGTTATAGTAGAGACGTCCACATTCAAATTAAAGTCATTTTCTTTTGCGCTTTACAATTTTATGTCGTTCTTATGAACAGTGCAAAGCCTTCGAACTGGGTTTGGAAGGTGCAGTTGCTTTTTACTCGGAACAAAGGCCAAAAAATGGAAATTATTGTTCGCGATTTCACTCGGGATTAAATGTATGCCCTCAGGGTTTTTCTTCACTTTTTCATGTTTTTTTTCAGCCTAAGCCTACGGGCGAAGCCTAGCCGTGCACTGATCACAGAGAGAGAAACGAAAGAACGCGCGTGGATAAGGAGAGGTAGGTGATCATACTATAATATAACATTCGTTCGACGTTTACTGAGGGGTTTTTAAACTAAATATTTGACGTTTCCTGAGGCTTTTTGAAATTTAAATTTTTTTAAATGTCATTTTTGATAGTTGTCACAAGTCTTTTTCAACTTTTTTAATTTTAAAATTGTTTTTATCTTTTAAGATAAACTTTGTCGCATACGCACATACCGCAATTAATTAAGCCCTCTTTTTGTCGCGATATGCAAATTTTAATTCCTCCGGCGGTCGGCGATGGAATGTCGCAAAAACAGACGGTGCCATCCTGTCGCAGTGACCTCACGGCGGCGGGGTCATCGCGTATGCAAATTTTCGTTTAATGGGACGTTTAATAAACACCTCAAATAGGAATGGCACAAAGGTAAATATCATTTCAAATGGCACTCTACTCCGGACTTTTATTCAAATTTGATAATATTCAAATTTAAAAAAGCTGTACGACATTTCAGCCCTAAGGCGGTTTTAAAATTTTAAATTTAAAAAAAATAATTTTGTCCAATTCCCTGCACTTTTTGACCAAAACCGCGATTGTAGGCCAGTTAATAAAGTGTCCTAAATTCAAAACGACCGCCCATAAAAGAGAAATTTGCATGAAAACGGTCGAATTACCATAAACCGTGCTTAATTGTATGTTAGACACATCACATGGTATCTGCACATTACTTTACTTTCTTTATTACTCTATTACTTTACAATTTACTGTAAGGTGGTGTATCAAGTTGTGAAAAGGATTTATTTTATATTGTTTTCTGAATTAAAGTATACAATACTGTAAAAAAGTCTGTAAAAGTTTTCATGGAGATTAATGTAACTTTTTTGAGCAAAAATATTAGGTTGAAATGAAAAGAATGGCGCGGTAAAATACATTTTGCTTGTACTTTTTACAGCGCCATAACTTTGCTCAAAGTCAAGTTTACAATTCGAAATTAAGTCTATCAGAATCTACATAAGGTTGGCTACAAACCGATAAGCTTACTCAATTTATGGGCCTAAAAGTGGCACTTCTGAGGCCGAGTAAGGAGTCTGCCTATACACTGTAAACAACCCTTGTTATGTTTGTTTATTGTGTTTTCTTGTTTTTTATACGATCATCAAAGTACAGTAAACATTTTTATACTTTTTTTACGTAAATCCTCTTCGTAGTACCATGTCACCTCCAAAAGTGCACTGTAAACAAAGTTTTTGTTGTTTTTGCGACGTCAAAAACAGCCGGGTCCTGGAGATAGGGCCGGCGACGGGAGGGGGGGGCGAGCGACGTTCATTATTAGACCCTGGTCGAAAAAAAAGAGAGAAATACGAAAAGCGACGAACACTGACCACTGGCTGGCACCGGATCGACCGGTCACTCGTCGCGTTCCCGCAAGAGTTTCAGTTGTTTGCCTGACCTCGTTTCTGTTTTTAACACGCGCCCCGCCCTGCCCCCCTGCCCTTTTTTATGCAAAATCAAAAACAATTTTGGTCGTATTTTTACGAAAACATTCGGCGCGGTCACTTTGTTTATCTGTTTGGGTGTTCTTTCCTTCAAATTGTTGTAAGTTTAGAGTTAGGTTTCAAATTTTAATATTGTTTTAGCTGCGTCTTCTGCAAAGTTCTAGGCCATTTGTACGTAATATACTAACTAGCTAGTTACTAGTTGTACCATAATAACCAATATTTCATTTAAAAACTTTTTTCTGAAGCTTCAACTCACCTAAACTAGCAGATAATGCAAATATCTAAATTTAGGAGTCGTGTCCTAGGACAAGATAGGCTGAAACTATGTAATTACAACTTATAATGATAGTCTTTACAAGTTTTTAATAAGTTCTATTTTAAGCGACACATTAGGTAACTCGTTGGACATGTATTAATGCAGTAAAGTAGTGTTACTTGACGTTATTGTAGTTAAATGCTAGATAGTTAGTTTTCTGTTATTGTAGTTGTAATCTTTTGTTATCACTTGACTTTCTTTCTACTGTATCTTTTGCGACACATTTACATGTTACAATGTAAATTGTCATTCTACTACAATTTCTCGTTTTAAGAAGATATTTTGTGCCTTTTACTGGTTTAAGCTTTACTATGGTAGAGATTGAGTGGTAGTTATTTGATGGTGGTTATTGGGGCCTCAAAAGATAACTTAGTTCCTTTAATATGTATGCTTTAACATATCGGCCAAAAAGTAAATAGAAAATCAATAAGATGGCCAATAAAAGATATGCCACAACGTGTTAACCATACTATTGAAGTGCTTTTTACTTTTTGACCAATATAATTATCATTAAATCGAATCCTTCTACCCTTTTTTACCCCCCTCCCCCTTTACCACCCCCAAAAGTGTGTTTTTGTTGTTTTATGACAGGAGCTACCGTAATTGTTTTTGGGTTGTCGTATGTGCATTCGATTGTTTACCGCGTTCGCTTTTGGGGTCAGAAAAACGAGTGACCAGCTGCTGGGAGGGGGGGAATCGCCGCAGGGCCTTCTCGAGAAATGACCTCGACTCGGAGCGAGAGAGTGACCAGTCGGTTCCGAACGCTTTTTCGCCCCCAAAAACAAAAGTGCACTCTCGGGCGCCGCATCGAGAGTACGGTTGTTTTTGCACTGTCCGCTTCGGTGCCAGGCCACCATGTTCGCTCATCCCTAAGGCCGAATGCAAATGCACAAAAACAAAAAATGGGGTACGGTATTGGGTGTGGGCTATAGGGGTTTTGTAGGCGGGGAGGGGGGGGAGTTGTACTTTTGGAACGGAGTGGTACTTTTACTTTTATGCAAGGTAGTACTAGGATACTTTTCTCAAATTTAGTATAGTTATGGTATATTAAATTGCTGCATAATATACTTACTTGTATATGTTCTACTTTGTACTCTGTCTGTGGTTACTTTTTACACTTTTAACCTTGCCAGTCTCCACCTAACACAATATGTGTTTCCTAGCTCATTCTGCTGACTAGCCTCGATCTGAACATTCGCTCCAATTACTTCGAAAACACTTTGAAACAACATGTTTACACCTGAGCCCTGAGGCTTTCCAACTGTTTTTTGTTTCTCTTTTTGTGTTGCGACATTAAGAAACAAGGTCTGAATGCACCTTAGCCATTTTTTACGTGGAACGACGCAAAAAGAGTGCAGGGGTCGGGTCGGGAGACGTCGAACGAGCTGTTTTTCCAATGTTTCTTTCCCCAACTCATGTGATATAAACAACGTCATGTTTCAGAGATGCACAGACTCCGCGAGAGACTGTAACATACCACCGTAACACCCTATACAACCTTACTCTACCTCCAGGGGTTGCTGCCAAGCCCCCACCCTTAAGGCCGCGGCCTTAATGCTCCAGTTGAACCACAATCACATCAACTCCACTACCTCAACGAGGCCTCCACCTCTTCTCCTTATCCACGCGCCAGCACTCCTCTTCTGAAGCCATGAATCAGAACACGGAGTCGAGCAGTCTGGTCCCTTCCTGGGGCCACGACCAACTCTCTCAAATGGCACTACGTGGTGCATTACAAGTAGGTCCACAAAGGTTATTTAAAATGAATCTTAAAATGAATATTCATATAATAAAAGTGATTATGCAAATTTTAAAATTATAAATTTTGTGAATTTTAGAATATTTAATAATAAAACAACATTTTTTACATTTAAAACAGACGTTAATGCTACTACAATTACGTTCAAAAATCCTAAAAGATAACTTTAGACACCATCATCAGTTGCACTGGCACCGAACCCGTTCTCTGCTGCGACGCCGGCATTCACAACATCCCAACTCTACCAACAGATGTGTTTCCTCCAGAGCCAAGGCTCAGAAACGTCGCCCAGCTTCGACTCCACCAACAACAACATGCCCAAGATGGATATAAATGCCAACAGAACCGACTCCACCTCGACGCACAGCGACACGAAGCACGACGGCCAGTTGGGCCAGAACGAGACGGCCCAACTGTTGCTTCGCTTCTCGCAGAACCTGAGCCGACCGCCAACAGCCTCACCTGCGACAAGCTCACCGTGCTCGACTCCATCGTCGCCGAGTAAAAGTCAGAAGCGGACCTTCTTCAGAGCTCCAGGACTAGAAGCACCAACTCCAGCTGAAGCGGCCGAAAGTGGAGTGCTTGTCTGTCAAGTCTGCTCCTTCAGTTGCACCTCCAGGTTCCACTACAACTCACACATGAACACCCATGGTTGTCACCGTTGTCAGGTTCCATCGTGCAACTACACATCGCGGACAGAAGGCCGACTCAAGAAGCATATGATGGACTCTCACACGGCAGAACAACGTGAAAGTGTGGGCTACAAGGCCAAGGAGCGTGAATCCAACAACAACGGCGACCGTCTATCCAACGCCCTCGAACAGATGAAGCAGATGGCTGAGGTTGACGGTGTAGCCACAACTTCTCCAGATGCAGCTTCGCAACGTCGCCCCACCGTCAAACCGAAGAAGTACAACTGTAAGCACTGCAATCACATCTCGACCAGCAAGGAAGAACGTTACATGCATTCCAAACTCCACATTCCCATCGAGAAGCAGCTGACGTGCCCTCAATGTGACTTCGTGACCGAGTACAAGCACCACATGACCTACCACATGAAGAACCACGACGGCTCCAAACCGTTCAAGTGCTCCAAGTGTGAGTATACCTGTGTGAACAAGTCGATGCTCAACTCCCACATGAAGTCTCACGTGCCATTGTACCACTACAAGTGCAAGAACTGTACCTACCAGACCAAATACTGTCACAGTTTGAAGATGCATCTGGAGAAGTACGGTCACGAACGAGCTCCAGGAGAGATCGGTACGGAAGAAGACGAAGCCGTGATGCTGGAGGACATAGACGAAGCCATGGAGACAGAATCCATGAAGAACTACGATCCGCCCTCGTCTGAGCCCCTCCACGACTCCACCCCCAAGGATCTCAGCTACAGCTTCACCTCCAAGCCTGACAACACGATCCACACGCCTCAGCCCATCAGGTCCAACATGATTATGCAGCCGATGATCAGTCAGCCTCAGCCCAACCTCAACCTCCAGCAGCTACTGCTTCAGTCGCCCGAGAAGATCCAGGAGCTGGTTCGAGCAGTCACCGCCTCCAACATGCTACACAGTCACAAGTGCAACCACTGCGACTTCACAACCCTCAACGTACAGGAACTGGTCCAGCACAACGTACAGCATATGGTCTACAACCAGAAGCAGTACACTGACATCTTGACATTGATGGTACAGCAGCGACAACAGCAACAACAACAACAGTCGCTGATGCAGACAGAGATGCTACGCAATCCTGTAGAGTTGAAGCAAGACATGTTGACGGTGAAGAACGAGCTGTCTGACCTCCAAGTCGCCGCTCCAGCCGAACCAATGGAGTCAGCCGAGTGTCGCGAAGACCAGTACGAGCGACATACCAGCACGAACAAGTCCGCCTCCCCAGCACGAGAGTCTTACGATGCGAATCAGACCGAGATCGTCACGTCCCCACTCCACGAGGCTACATCGCCAAGTGCCGAGAGTTCAGCGTCGCCTTCAGATTCCCATAAGTCGCTAGACAACGTGAGCAGTCGAGGGTCGCCCAACTCATCGACCACTCACTCGTCCAACAAGAAAGGCTCCAAGGTGGACAAGATCTCCCAACGGCTTCAGAGGAAGACGACGCCAGACTTCGAAGACAGAATCTCGCCCAACGACACGGATCGCAACTCACCGTACAGCCAGGTACTCGGTCTTACCATGGTTAATACTTTGTTTCAGGAACCCAACCCCTACATGTCGGATGAGGAGAAGTCGCGGTTCTCTGTCATTCTGAGTCAGCTCAACACCACGAATGGACCTTCCGTAAGTGTAGTTACAATGTAAAAGCTAGTATATAGTATGGTCTACTTTATGATTACTATATACTATAAAAAACTACTGTAGTACCAAATTTACTATGTTAACGTTTCAGCAATGGCCCCACACCTGTAACCACTGTATGGTGGCGTTCCAGGACCGTGCCCTCTTCCAGATCCACCTCGGCTACCACGGCTACGAATCGCCGTTCAAATGCAATCGCTGCGGGCACGACGCCAACTCGTCGCTGGAGTTCAACCTCCATCTGTATCAGGCCAAGCATTAACTCGGTTTTCCACCACCACCATCTATCTTTCAATGCCGGACATCCAGTGGAATCGACGTTACAGTAGCCAGTGACAACACCTACTTTATATTATACATGTTACTGTTACTGTGTCATTTTGGGAGTATGCCGCGTTTTAGGGACTTTACTGTATAACGTTTGAGTCTTACTGTAATTTAAAGTTTGTTTTTTCATTATTTTGTATACTGTAGTTCTTGGTATATTATTATACGGTGGAGTTTGTTATACTTGTGGTACTATGCTTTACCATACCATTCGTGTAATTCTACCGTACTATAAATACAGAAAACTGCGGTAAATTACTGAAACGCGACATTTTTCTACAAATCGTCACAGTACAGTAACCCCGTTATTCATTTTTTGTAATTTTTGTTACAGTAAGCGTCTGCCCATAGTCCTATTTATATAACGCCGTAGCCGCAGACCTTACACTTGCTTGATCATGGTAATCTTTGTCTAGTTAATGATTTGTTACAGTACCTACCTCTATCTTCTTATCGTGTCTCAACCCTTCCGAATACGTGGTAATCAACGGTCAACGAACTCAACATTACACTTGAGCTCAGGGAGTTTTATCGCAGGCGAAAGCCGATGAACCACAGTTATAGCTGTAGCACCGTCCTTTTTGTAAATATTTATTCGTGCTCAACCTCGTCTTGTTACCGGTCGGAAAGTGCGTGGAACTGGAACTTAAAGTGTACTACTTGAAACGAGTGCAAGGTGAATATAATGGTAGTTACGTAGTTACTACTTTCTTAATCAGATGTTGTTTCCTCTTTCCATGCACTTTTCGACCACCATACCGACCTCAGTCGATGGTCTTGGCGGGCCCAAGAGTTTTATCGCAGGTGAAGACTGGGGTCGTCGTATCTTGAGCTCTCTTCTCGTATCTCCAATACTCAATGTCATTTTCCATGAAAAATTCCAATAAACAAATATTTGAGTTTGGACTTTGTTGTACCTTAAAAGGTCGGGAAAAGCTGTTTTGATTTTAATTTTGCTTTTGGATATTATTATAGTATTATGACGGATATTATTCATGGCTTATTTAGAGAATTTTTAAACTATTTTCAGCTACTTTGAGGCAAAAACTGAAAGATGCGGTAAGATTCTATCTTACTGAGATAAACGTTCAAATATTTTCAAAAAAAGTATATTTTGGGCTTTTGAACAGAAAAAACACTCCAAAGGCCATAAAAGTAATGTCAGAGTTCACATGACTGAGATTCAAGACATCCGAGGTCAGAATAAGAAAGATATACCAATAAAACAAAAATACGTTTTGTGATACAAAATAGATGCCTAAAATACTAATGTACGGTCTATTGTTCATGAGTATACTAAAAATTGTAATTTTATTCAAAATTGCCAGCTTTTTCATTTCCAAATTTAAACCGACGTTGAAGTCACACTCTTTTCTGTTTTTTAAATCCAAAAATATTTTAAATAAATATTTGAGTAGTTGTTTACACAAGTAATAAAGCCAGAAAATAGACCAAAAGAATCACAAAGCCTCATTTGAAAACTTTTTCCTCAACAATATTACAGTTGAAGATAACAACAACCATGAAGTCCAACAGTACGATGCTTGGTACTACAATATGTAGAGGAACAGCTCGTTAGGGTGGGAAAGGCCTTCAGAAGGGATTAAAGGCGCGGATTCCAAATATGGAGAAGTCGGCCTCAGAAAGGGCCAGACTTTGCCCTGAGGGAGTTTGCGCCCTTTTAAGCGGGGGGAGGCTCTCTTTCATGGATCCATTTTCCTTTCGCTTTTCTTTGTTCCGACCACAAAGCCTTCATTATCTCTGGACATGCTCACTCAAATTGGCACTGTACTCCCAAGTTTGGTCCTGTTTTCCGTTATTTTAGTCCATTTACTGAGTAACTGTACTATAATCTAATGTCAATGTTTGTAATAACATATCTTATTCCAAATAGCGTTTTCTTAAAGAAATATTGATAGATATTGTCTTACTATTGTGTTTTGTCTCGTTTTATCGTAAAATAGTAGTGGTACTAGTTTGGAAATGACAATAATAATGTCATGTCATAATTCATACTGGATACTATCATAGACAGTAGTAATCGTTACTTTTTATTGGTTTTTTGGTCATTCTTTATGAGTTACGTCACTGAAAATAGTGCATTCAAGCTGATATTATATTAATTTAGTCTGTTTTACTTTATGTAGATATAAGGTTTTACCTTGCCATCCATTCCTAATCAAAATAAGCTGCTTCACCTTGCAATTAATGTTACCTTACTTATTTACTGAATCACGTTATTTTACTGGCTTATTTACTCATGTTATCTTACTTTACCTTCATAAACAAGCAAAATTTAAGCTCACTTCAACCCGAGCTTACCAGATATGTTGATGGTCGTATGTTTGCTTTCCCACGTTTTTCCTGCTACGTTTTTGCCAAAAAATATTTTTACAAATCTTTCCGGATTTGGGCAAAGATTCTAAAATGTTTCCAAAGCTATATAAAACTTTTAGAAACTGCCGTATTTTACCTTATGCTGTGGCTATAAATGAAAGGATGTGTTTACTGAGCTAGAATGAAGTATATCATCTCAACCTTTCGTGTATAATGTTTTGATAGAGTTATGACTAGAAGTATAAAACTTTGTTTTTTGCTAAGACAAAGGCTAGCCAAATGACTAACCTACTTTGAAAACCCAAAAAAAAAACATTTTTTTTAATTTTTAAAACCTCTACTTAGAATTTTAAAAACCTCCACTTCACGAAACATACAACACACCCTGTTTGTAATCCTTATTATAACTGTACACTTCCTCTCACCCTTCATAGACATCTACACTTGGTAGTGTGTTCTAAACTGTCACTCTTCCGCCCCCTAACCCCTCCTTACTCCCGAGGTGACTTTCGGGAGTAAAAAAACAGATTTGACACTCTCTTAATTCTTAATTGTTTGTGGTTGGCATAGTAACATGAACTATTGGAGAGAGCGAGAGTTTATAATGTTTGTTTGTTCGAGGTACTCTCTGAATAGTAAGTAAGAGAGGGGGAAAGGGACCTCAATTTACTCAGCTTTTGGCTCCGCGCATTTCCATTTTTAATAATTTTTCACGTCAAAATATTGTTGTAGCTGCGTGTGTCTATTGTATTCTCCATTTTAATGGCTGTTTTTAAAAATTATTCAGAGTTTTGCGCGACTTTAAATTGTTTTTTGAATTAAATTACATTGAGTTATATTGTTTTTGCGAAAAAGTATTGTAAATGGTTGAATATTTTTAGTTATGTAGTTCAAAAAGTTTATATTTTGATCAAGAAGTCCATAAAACAACTTTCTCTGGCCATTACGTACCTTAACCTGCAGTATTTCTCTCTAATCTATCACGAATAGCTACAAACTGATCCAAAAATACTTAAAATCGGTTCAAAGTCTCATAAAATAACACAAAAATCGCGTAAAAATCTCACCATATTCATCACCTTTAGTAGTATAACACTGTAACTTTCAGAGTCCGTTCTTCTGGACATGGTAATCGACTGGTTATGCGCCATCAGCCCGTCATAAGCGAGCTTTTTGGTCAGCAGAGAAACGTGTTAAGGTCCCAGATAGCCAGCCGGTTAGCCCGTTCGATGGCCGCCATGGTAAGTCAATCAAACTGGGCCATAAACCTTCTAAATGATGGCCATAACAATAAAAGTACACGAAAACAAACCTTTTTTGGGATTTTGTTAAGTGTAATATATTGAGTTAGGTACAATTTTTATGTAATTTTAGACTTTTATAATGTTACTGTTATTATAAAAGTATATAAAAACATAAAATATAGTAAAATATTACCTTTTTTACAAATAGACCACCAAATATTCACGTTACCATCAAGTTCTTTCAGGTAAATCACCGTGAGACGGCTGACCTTCTCCTAGTGTCGATCGACGGTCGAAAACTTCCTGCCCATTTGTGTATTCTCCGTCAACGTGCTCCAGTTTTCTTCCAGCGCTACGTTGAACCCACGTTGAATGCCAATCCACGAGCAGCGACCCCTCAACTGCCACTAGAGGTTGCTGTAGGTGATGTAGACTCTACAGGATTGTCCTTCTTCATCAAGTCGATATACACTGAAGAGGAGTTGGTGTCGCTGCCAAATGAACTCAAGTACGAGAAGACTCCGCGATGCACAGGCATGTCATTCTAAATATAGATAATGTTTTATCGATTTACCATGGTTAATATCAGAAAAACGAAAAGATAAGTGCTAATCCGGTCAAAAAGTAAATAGAAAAACATAAAAGCAAGGTTAACAAGGTTTTAGAAATACTTTTTGACCAAGTTAGTGCCGTTTCTAATATAATTTTTTGTTACCTAAAATAACATCGAAAAGCTTTTTCAGTTCATATTCAGATTGTAAATAATATCAAATATTGTAATAAACATACCAGACCATCCCTTCTCCACTGACCGTGCCACTTTTAGAAAACGAGCCCCCAGAAGCCGAGATTCTGGTGTACCGTGACGGGCTACGTGACGACATCTCCGAGAGAATCTCGAACAAGACCTCCGACTCTCTGAGTCCCTCTCGAGTACGTTAAACTTGCACATTCTGTAGTTCTGAGATTAGGTAGCGTCCCAAAGTCAGTTGTCCGACATGACCAACCAAGAGGTCCCACCAGAGATGTCAGCCTCTTACCCATCCCCGAGCGACTACAAGCACTCTGGCAACGATCTTCTGGGCTCGAGTGGGAACCTCGGACAGGCGACTTTGATGACGTCTTTCAAGGAACTAGCTTCACAGCAGTCCCTCAACAATCCAGACTCTCCCATGTGCACTTCTGGGTATTCAGACAAGGAAGACGACGGTCGACGCAGAAGCAGAAGTGTGGCTAGCGATGTTCAGGGTGGGTAGCTGATTGTGTTGAATTCATTTTACTTCAACAACAGATCGAAACAGATTTTTGTCGGACTAAAAAGATATTTTATACTCAAAACAGTTTTGGTGACATGTTATACGATGGATGGTGTCCTCATGATTTCGAAAATATTTTTTTCAATTTCAGGTCAATCCTGTAAATTCATTAGACTAGATGACAGCGGAGTGTCGAGTCGTTCCAATTCTGACAGATCCGAGACAAAGAAGGCCATCTTCCCCATGTTCATAGGAATGGGTACCTATGACAATATGGACGATCCCATGAGTCAGAGTGCTCCGTCGGCCGAATCCTTTGGATCTACGATTAGAGGACGAGCTATGATGGCCAGAAGACTGTCAGTCAGCTCTTTAACTTCACTTACCTCCATTGATTTGACTCCAACGCACGAAAGTGAGTATAACTATATTAACATAGACAATATCACATTGATTTAGTTGTGCCGATATTACTATAGATATGGCAATATGAAAGTAGAACTGATCTTTTTAGACCTTCCTCTCTTTATTGACAACGAACCAGCCAGCCGACTGGGCAAAGACCTCCTTCTGATGTATAAAAGTGGTACCGACACGGATGTTACCATCAAGACTAGTACAGGGCTTCTGAAGGCTCATCGTTGTATTTTATGGAGCACTTGTATCGAATTCAAGAAGATGTTGGGAAGTTCTGCTCAGATTGATCTGAGCAAGTATACGATGGCTACAGTAGACTACCTGCTACAGTTTCTGTACGGTGGACTGACTTGTGTAGCTGAGGCTGTAGACATCTGGGAGTTGTTGAGGTTGGCAGATGAACTGAGATTAGATCAACTACTGCAAGTTGCGATGTTACACTTGAAGGCTCACAGATGTCATTTCTTCCACAGAGTAAGTGAGATGATATGATCAAAGTAGGATAACATAAGTACCCTCTGTAACTTTATATAAAATCATATGTCTCTTGATCAAACCATACCACTTTTCAGCCTTGTGCATCTTGTGTATCGGCCGTGTTCGACGCCCTCCCCCAGTTCCACAACCTACCCATCCTTCGGCCGTTGTACGAAGAAGCGATGGCATGGCAGTGTAAGCACTTTGCTCGTATCTGGAAGGGTCGTATCTTCCTGCACCTGTCAGAATACTGGCAGAAGGAATCATTCGAGGCCTTGATCAACTCCGTGAACGATGAATCTGTCATCGACGTGCTTCTGGGCTGTGAGAAGCTTCAGATCGCGTTACCTCGGATCAAAGCTCAACACTCCAGTATCTACGTGCAGAAGCTGGTCAATGATACTATCGAGTACTGTACCGACTTCCTAATCTCCAGTCTGGACTTGGTGGTACAGTCCAAGGTGTTTGTTCACCAAGGAAAAGGATTAGCACTGAACCTGTCGTTACTGGAAGATATTCTGCCATCTCTGATACACTCCCTCAACGCAGATACCGCCATCAGAACGTTTGTCAGTCTGAAGCAGCTTCTGACTGACATTGCTGAAGGACGGATTCAGACGTCCAGTACGTGTAGCTTGAACCAGGTGGAGGATATCAATCCAGTATGTTGTTTTACCTTTAATTAACTGTTTTTATAATATGAATACACGATGTCAAGTATCTATCAAAGCTTTATTTTCAGAGGTTTTTGTCGCTATGTCGCCGATTACTAGAGTTATGCGACAAACATCTACTCCATTTCACTGCTTCTGTAGTCAAAAGTACAGCTTGGGATCTTCTGGAGAAAGAGGACCAAGACAGGATTCAAGAAAGTAAGCAGAACTCAGAATCGTGTCAAAAACTTCACTTTCACAAGTTATATTCAAAGCATGATTTTATGAAGATTACTGTACTTTCAGCGGGAATTTTCGTGGAAATGTGCCTTCCAAAAGCTCCGCCACCACGATTATCAAGCTTCAACAGGGTAAGTTACTGTAAATTCTTTTAATTTAGACAAATTTATTTGTTCCACAGTAGAATAAGTCGTTACCATGCCATTTTCAGTCATACAAACGATCCTCCAGCGTCGGTTTCGGCAACCCCATGTCATCGAAGCTAGACCCTCCATTCTACGGAACTTACGAACGCACACGATCACTAGAACGAGCACGACCTGCCTCAACGTTCACTCAACTTGTAGAAGCCGACGAACCTTTGGAAGCGATTCTGGAGAGGGAGAAGAGCCAGAACCAGATACCTCTAGAACAACATCGACGAGCCAACAGCCTCAGGGAACACTCGTCCAGTCGAATGAGTGTCAAGTCTAACGCCAGCACGGTGAAGCACCGTTCTCCACAGCCTTCTGAAGTCGATCTGACGAAGAAAGAGGAGAAAAAGGAACCGCCCAAGCTGAAATTTCCCAAATCCACCCACGCCCACAAGGTCCCGTCCCCAGAATCCCCAACCAAACGCATCTCCAAAACACGGCATCCACCTCCTGTGAAGCGCACCGTGCCCTCACAATCAGCTACCGTGAACGTGGAACGTCAGAATACTCAAACCATAATGACGGCCGAGCAGAACAAAGAAAAAGGTATCGATACAAGCACGATGGAGATCAAACCATCGACTTCAGAAGACAAAAACACTGTCGACAATGCTCCGACGAGTGTAGCGACTTCAGATGCCGTCAAAAACAAGCCTCGTTCTGTTGTTAAGCCTATGCCCAAGCCTACTACCTTTTCTGCTGTTCAAAACAAACCAACTACAACACGACGGGTAAGTTATGTCATTGCTGTATCAAATACTATGGTTAAAGACTCCTCTTTCGTAAGAAAAATTTTAAAAAAAGTCCAATAAGTTTAAAAATTGTCTAAAGTTTTATCAAAAAGTGATAAAAGTATCGAAAAAGTTTGGTGTCATCCGCAGGATTCGAACCTGCGCCCTCCGAAGAGGACTGCGACCTGAACGCAGCGCCTTAGACCACTCGGCCAGAATGACACGGCTTCTCCCTTCTTGTCTTTGTTTGTGGATGAAGGTCTTTTACCAAACCAAAAATAGTTTTGACACAAAAAGTTGTGAGAAATACTGATATTAGCTTGATGTTGTACAAAATTCGACTGAAATTCTCTTTTTTCCATTGAAGACGTCACTAATTGATTTAAAATAATTATATTGTTTTAGAGTGTAACCAGCGCTACCGCCGCCTACGCCGCCAAAGTAGTGGATCGAAAAAGCGCTTTACCCCGCCAGCTTCCCCCGCCCAACGCTGCCATGCTGACCCGCTCTCGTGCCAATCCAGGACTGTCGATAGATGGCAAAGTGAAAAGGAAAGACGTGGAGAACGACTCCAGAATCCCCAGAAGTCCGAAGGTCGGGCGACGATAGAGATAGAAACACATAAGTGAACATAAATAAATGTAAAAAAATATTTGGATTCTTTTTAAATGAAAAATAACTAAAATTTTAAATTTGTAAAAATTAAAAATAAAAATTTGAAAATAATTTTGAAAAAAACCATTTTGATTACTTTTACCGTGCACGGTGGCGATGAGTCAGTCGCGAAGCACTGACGACGAAGACAGCGAGGATACTGTAACAACCGCTTATTTGCCTACCGAGGGTAAGATCTACTGTCTTATGACTTCATTAAAAGATTTTAAGACTGATGTTGATCAACAGTCTTAAAAATATTTTAAAATTTCAGTAGAAAGTACCCAGCTGAGTGGCATCTCGGTTCTTACCTACAGCTTGACCTCGGTACCTGATGAGCCTTTCAACCATGCTGAACGACAGCTGGAGCGGCTTTTGAATCAGCGGAATATCATCATGAACGAGTACCATGAAATCAGAATGAACGAGGGACCGGTTTTGACTTTATTTGGAGTTCGTATCACGACTGGCCTTGTAGGTTTTTAATTTTAAATTTTTGGTAACAATAGGAAGTGAGGGCGCAGTTAGAACGTCTTTTTTATACAAAACTTTTGCTTTGAAGCCGTGGCCAAAGGCTAGTTGGAACACGTCTTTTAGATGCTGTTGGCCCTGTTTGAGTATGTTTTGTCGTATTTTAAATATTAAACTACCTTTTCTGCCACTTTAGGACCTTCTGAAGAGCTACTCTGTCTTGTACTGGTTCTTCATGTGTACTCGGATCATCATGCGCTTCGACCTGTACCTGTTTATGGCTCTGTTTGGTACAGTTAGTACCTTCTTTAGCAGTTTTAGTCTAGCCTCGGACTATACTTACTTTCTGGTACCGATGGTACTGGCATTATTCTTGGAAGTACTCATCGCCGTCAAACAGTTGTACGTCATCTTGGTCTTGCTCCCCGGTCTGTAAGTTGTTTTACTGTACTTTTATAGTGGCCTATGATTAGTAATGTAACTCTTCTTTATAGTGTGGCTTCCTTTATTGATAACTTATGTCAATATTTATTATAAATAACTTAATAAATGGTCAAAAGTGAATAGAACTACAGATGAGAGTGTTAGCCATGTTTACTTCTACTTAATAACTTAACATTACCTGAACTACTATAATTTATGATTTCCAGATCTCTGACTAGCTACGAAAGTTACTCTCACCTCTTCGGCACATTACTATCACTAGACTTGATTAACAATGACGTAAGGTAAGAAACCTACAATATCGTTCGAAACTAAATGGAATTATTAAGTGACTAAAGTAATATTTTGTTCAAAAAGCTTATACAAAAGCAAAAAACTTAACATAGTTTATATAAAAGCCATCTACAGACCTACAAGTTACAAAGTAATTATTAATATAACATAATATTGATAGATTACAATGCAATAGAGACTAAAGTGTTATGTTACAGAGTCATCCTTTACGTGACATTGAAGCTGTGCATCGTATTATCAGCGTTGTTACACTTCATGACCATGTTCCACGTGTTACGATGCAAATCAGCCCGGCTGACTGAACTATTGAATGAGATGAGGGTGGTAGATCGTGAGGTTCATGCCATGACACGTCTCTTGGACAACATGAGGCTACAACAACATCTGTAGTTACATCTCTCGGATGCCGGAGTGATGACAGTACATCAACACATTCCAATTGAATAAACATGTCACATCTTCTTTGGTTATCTTTCCCAGCTGACTGCCTGAGGGGTCACACATACGAAGGCAGCGGCTACCCACCTGGAAAAATAATAAGGATTAGTCTAAGGTTTAGGAAAATAATTTGATGTAGTTGGTAGGATAATATAAAATTTTTTTAATTGAAACAAAATATGCAATCTTGGTTTTCAACTTTTGAATGTGTCGTATTTTAGTTAAAAATAACAAACATAAGTTTTAAAAGCAATATATTGACTGTAAAATAGCTAAAAACTTTTTCACTACATATATTACCCAAGAATAATTCTAAAAAATATTTAAACCAAGCAAAAAAGCTTGCTGTCACCCGCAGGATTCGAACCTGCGCCCTCCGAAGAGGACTGCGACCTGAACGCAGCGCCTTAGACCACTCGGCCAGAATGACACGGTTTCTCTCTTCTTGTTTTTATTTATCAATGAATGTTTTCCGTTAATATAAAGTCGTGTATTACACAAAAAGCAACGTAAAAAGCAAAAAAAATATTTTTTGTTCTATTTTTTATTTTTTCTTCGAAAAACAGTCGAAAACTTTATCTTACCATGAGTTGAGGAGCGTTCAGTTCCAGATCCTTGCAACATTCCGTGTTGTTTCTGTTCTGAGAAGCGCAGTACAAGATGCTGGACATGTGCTTGAAGGAGCAGGTCGAGTTAGCCATTTGGGTCAATAATTCCTTAGCTTTGTTCTGGTCGGTTTCATATTTGCACATAAACTGACATTCAGAAGGCACGTACAACTCACAGCACGAGCTGAAGAGTTTGTTGGCGACAGCTTTGGAAGTACACGGCTGGTAGTTCATTTCGGCTGTTCCGCATTTTACCTGAAGATAAGGATATTATAGTATATATTTGGTATATATTGTGATTGACAATTAAAATCAAAGGAATTCTTAGTTTCTGTGTAGTCCCCGAATGAGTAACATACACAAATTGCAACAAAAATGCAGAAGCAATTAAAATCTAGACCAATTGTTGCAAAATATTACTTTGTACCAAAATATTCACTAATCTTTTGTCAAAATCATCATATAAACCTCACTTCTTCGACTTTCTGTGGAGCTCTCCTGAGGTCCTTGACGGCATTGTCAGCGCTTCTGTTGAACACCAAACTCTTTCTTTGTGGACAGTTTTCCACGATGGGTTTGTAGCAGTGAGGTTGAGGACATCTGTTGCTCCAAACTTCTTCGCAACACTTATCTTTCGGCACGATGCCACATTCACTGTCCTCGGCTTTGACCAGTGCCATTGCAATTACTCCCAAGATTAGGTATAACATTATTGTAGGTAAGATAGAAGTATATATTGTAATGCAAAGTAGACGCTCGTAGAATCTAAGAATTGAGAATCCTTCTCAAAGTAGCCTTCTACCCAAAGGAGGCTCCCACTCTCCAGAATCCTTTCACTTGTTGTAGCCGCGCGAGAAGGGCAAAAGTAAGCGAAGTGAAAGATTTTAAAACAAATCCGGATTCGAATACCTACTTAAGGTAGTTGCGGTGCGGCGCCAAGATCCGCTTGTTCAACATGACCTCGAAAGGAGAAAGCGAACTTACTATGTTTATCGCAACACGTACGCATCATACGACCATGTTGCAGCAAACCCGCCGCAGGCAATTAATAACAATCCAAAGATGGGGTTTGACTTTTGAAAATGACATTGTTTAGACAAGGCCTAGAAGAAAGTGAACAGTATTAAAAAGTACCTACCAATAGCATTTGGTTTGTGCTGACTCGATTATAACAAAAAATATGTTCTAAATGTGCACCAAAGCGAACCAAAAAGGTTTTCTTTCGTACGTTTTGGTTTTAGAAAGTATAAGAAAGTCATAAAATGTTTACTATTGATGTCGAAGCAGAGAGTCTATCTCCCGTCAAACAGGTAAGTAATATCCTAGAAGTGAATACTGTAAAGCTTACACAAGATTTGTGACGATCATTACCTATGATATAGTCAAAAAAGCACCAGTAATAACGCTAAAAATACAAATTTAACTTTAGTAACAGCTTCATACTATTAAAAGACTCGCGTTTTAGCCATCGATTAACAATTACCATTTGATATCGCTGGAAACAGCTGATAAGAATATATTATGTAAAAGTTCGAAGAAAGACCTAATCGAAATCTTAAGTTCCTTGAAGAAGTTCGAGGCCAAAGTGACAGACAAGTTAATACAGAGATTCAGAAGGCTGACTAAAGTAAGTTACAAACCTATTTATATATATATTATTTATTTTATATAAAAACCTTTAACACTACACAATAACAACTTCAATTTACATTTCAGGACACAGTAAAAGTAAGTGTCATATGTCTTACTGTATTTTCCCTCTACTGTCAAGCCATTCGGCTAGCCGACCATTTGATTACAATAGAGCCAAACCAGACTAGCCAGAATATATTACTCTATCTGATCAGAAGGTTCTACGACTTTTTCTGGAAGAATACCTACATGTTGGGTCCGAAGAATGACTTTATCTTTGATAAAACAGCCTGTCATCTGAGGATACCCAAACATAACATTACAGTATCCCTCTCTTGCCAAGCTCTTCACTTTAATCGACTGTTTGTGTGTAGACAACGTCACATGGCAGAGATGTCAATGATCAAACAGAAGCAACTACGGAAGGAGGCGCTTCAGAAAGACAAAGAAGTCACGTACGATCAGCTACCGTGGGATCCTGTAGACATGAAGGCAGTTCAAGATGATGTAAGTTCAAAACATATAAAATTCTTAGTAAATATATAGTAAAGCAACTATATCATGACACTTTAGATGTTATTTACTCATACAATGTAAACGACATAATGTTATTTTATTTTAGTTCCTACGGTCTGAACTTCTAGACCTTGACGACGCATGTATTATCATTCAGTGTGCTGAACGAAGTAAGATCATTTCACAGTAAAACACAATGTAAATGTACTATTTAGTGTATCAAGCTCATGCTCGTGGTATCTACATGGTAGAAGTGAGGAAGAAAGCCATGGATCTACACAACAAAGATGTTGAAGTCGATCCGGAAGTGGCAGCGCGAAAGATTCAAGCTGTAAAAAACTTTAAAATTTGTAAAAACATTGACAGTACGATATGTAACGTCTATATTAAACCAAAGTGTTTTACTTTCCGATCAAGGTACTATTCTTTGTTATCAAAGTTAATGATAACATTTTCAGCGTACTCGTGGCTTCCTAGCTCGCAAAAGCACCAAACTTCTTCGAGAATCCGAAAATACCGTACTCGGCATCAGTCCAATATCACTGATCAAACAGAGAAGCAACTTCAACCACGGCCTTTCCTCTTACCCTCCGGCATCCCCTTTGTTTTCTTGCGTAGACTCAACTTCAGGACAACCTCTTGCCACTTTTGAGTTCACCTTCAAGGCGCCAAAGTCTATTCAACACGTAATCGACCAGTTGCACAACTCCATCTTCGCTTCTGATCCCTTGGAGAATATCCTGGAGAACAACGGGCATCAGAAGCTGGGCTACGGTAGATTCAATTCTCAAACCGAAAGCTTGTTCTCTAAACTTCTGAACCTCGGTGTGGTACTACTGGGACCAGAACCTTGTGCTCAGTTCGATGAGTTGATTAGTTATACGGTAGAAGTTACCGAGGGGAAGGAGCAACTTTACTGGGATTTACGAAGCTACCTCTACATGGTGGCCATTATACCTAATGGTGAGACACAACTCTTTCAAAATTGTAAATTTAAAATGTTTTTGAAAGACAAAAAAAAGATAATAATTTTGAAATTATGTCTTAAAGTTCTTAAACAGGTTATTTATGTTAAGACCATTTAAATAATATATACATTTAGTACTGTCAACATGGCAAGACAATGTATTCAAAAAGAGAAACATATTGTTGGTTGGATCAAAACAATCTGGCCGTCACGCTTGGGCCAGAGCTATGGCACAGAAGTGTGGAGCAGTCCATATTATCATAAATGGAAAGTCGTTGCCCAGAAGGAAACGGTCAAAAATTATAGAGAAAATACAACAGGTAAGACCGATTTACTTAGTATTACAACTTTTTAACCAAATTAAAAAAAGAGTTAGGCACTTTAATATGTATTATATATGATTATAAGAAGTAACTTTACAGTTTTGTATTCTGGACAAAAATGTTTTCGTCATCTTTGACACCATGGACATTTACAACGAGAAATACATCAAAAAGTCATCACATATCAAAGTAAACTATTTTATAGTAACGTCGCATAACAATAAAGGTTTACAGAGCTTTGATCAGTGACATCTTAATAATGATGAGTTTTTTTAGAAATTTCTATTCAATTTGCTCGAAACCTGGACAACAGAGCTTGAGAACAACATTCAGATAATTGGAATATCCGTAAAAGCAAATTTGGAAGAGAAAGTAATGGACCTGTTCCCAATCACAGTAACGATCGGCGTCCCCAAACCTTCGGAAAAAATAGGTAACAAATACAACCAATGTTAATATAAGTTGTACTAATGTCAATGTAATTTTTTTTAGCATTTAAAAAATTTTAAATTTTCAGAAGTAATTGCTGAACGCTTGAGCAAACGACATGAGAATTCCAAATCTGAATTTATGCCCTCGAGGCTTATCGAATTGAATAAATCGACCAAAAATCTGAACATTGGAATGACCATGGAGAAGATCGACAAGAAACAGCAACGAAGAAATGCTTCATCTCATTACTAACTATACTATTGTTTGTAAACGACTAATAATCAAAATTTTAATGGCATTAATAACACTGAGAACACGTTTGGGTCCCACCACGAAAAATTGCAAAGAAGACAAAGTCTTTCACCGCGCTAAATTTTGCGAAAATACTTCAATCGCTACAAGTTGTCAGTTGTTGGTCGCAATAAAGTGATTTTTGTGTAAGATGTTGTATTTTGTCATTACTTTACTTTGATTTGCATATTTTGTATTTTATGTTGTTATAGTACTTGTTTCCTCGTTTATATCACTTACCGTTACTCTAAAACATATTATTTTAATAGGTTTTGATGATCATGGAAGACGATACAGAGCCAGAAAAGAAACCGAAAGCTAGTGTCGTCGACTGGGACAGTTACTATGAGACTGAAGATGAAACAGACGAACATCTGGAGGACGGTGGATTCAACAAGTATGTCATGCCATTATATTCTTAATCTTAAGGTAAAGGTTATTAATATTAACGGACTTTCCTAGAAATTATCATATCTATCATTTACCTAAAATAGTGTCATTTTGATTAACTATTACATTTCCAGTAGCAATAGCAACAGAAGGCGATGTCCATTTTGCCGTCGCAGAATCTACAGTAAACACAAGGGAAGGTACCGTAACTTGACATGTTCAACGTTCCGCCGGATATCGATTGCGCAAAATCATGGTATCGACGAGAATTACCTTCTGAGCTATCCAGACAGGTCATGGATATGTAAGAGACATTGGAAAGACTACGACAGGGATCCTAAGGGACCAATCCACATCCATCCGATGGTACCACGACAGAAATATGTCACATGCGAAGGCGAAGAATTTTTTGAGAGTAAAGAAGACTTGTAAGTCACTTTTGTACATTCAGTTTACTAAAAATAAGTATATTTCATTGTCGTCGAACAAGTAATGATTGTAAATGTTTTCAGTTCAAGAAGAGTTTACAATGAAGTAATGAAAGAACTGAATTATCGTTATACCCTCAGATACAACCAAAGAGAAGGCAAGTATTATATGAAGTATTACTCTTTCAAGTACCTAGAAGACTCACTTTACAATCTTTAGGTAGATCATTGTCATCAGAGCCACGAAACTCGTCTTTGGATCCACGACCACATTCATCTAATGATCGCCCTGATACACCATCTAAACTGCATGAAATTAGAAAAGACGGTAGCAGTCCTTCTGAACCCACACATCCAGACATCAAGCAAGAACCAGAAACCCCATCTTCCAGTCCCATTAGTGCCACGAGAATTCTGGACAACATGATCAAGAAGAAGCCGAACAAAACTAGAAAAATCAAGGCATCAGAAGTCGCGAAACATTTAAAGAAGTCTAAAGAAAAAGAGCTTGCTCTAAGGCCGTCCGAAGTGAAACCCATAGTGCACACATACCCAGCTCTAATGCACAATCGGTACGATGCACTAACGATGAAACAATGCGATGGAGAAGATATAAACAGTTACTACCACAGAGTTATGAACACAACGAAAAGAATTTCGTTGGAAACGATGAATATTGACATTCTGAACAGCCTCATTTTTGTGGCAGGATTGGCAGACGAAGAAATGAGGAGAAAGACCTTGTTCCAGTTGCTGATAACTACTGACGATGCTCCAAAAGCTGCAGACTTGGCTCTGTTTTGTGAAAGAGGACAACGTTCGGAGAAGGATGACAGTGTAAAGGGTATAACTGAAGAAACATCAAAAATTATCCATCAAAGAAGTGGTGAGGATGAAGATCGGCCAAAAGGAAGACTGGATGAGACAGATAAGAAAGAAGATCACGATATGCCATTTTTATTCTCTGAAGTGTTCATCACTTCATCAAAAGCTTCCTCCTCGTCTCCAAATTCGATGCCAAAATTAGCGTTACCTCAAACGCAAACATTAAATAAATCTACCTTACCATCAGGAACTTCACAGCAGAATCCTCGAGAAGTGGTTCTTCCAACTTTAAGAAAACCTTCGATTATAACATCTGTGTACAAGCCATGGTCGTCTTCATCCAATGGTAACGTCGATAAGCCTAAATCAATAAATACTCTTCCATTGCAACGAAAAAGACAACTAAATTATTCTAATGTGGCCATGGATCCGAATGTGAAAAAGATTAAGGTGTTCAACATCACTCCGAACAAGGTCAAGAACCAGGACAAGGTGATTAAGCTGGTCAAATTGATAATGCCGAACAAGAAGCAGGCGTTGTCAACATGACCTTTTATTGTACAAATCTTGTAAACGGGTATTTTGTAGATCTGCATGCATAATTTATAATAATAAAAAATGTTTTGTATATTGGCCTTCTGTTGTTTTCGCTGTAGGATACGAGAAATAAAATAATTTTTTCTTCGAAAAATTCTTTTTCTTTTTTCAAAATAATTTCAATAAAATTTTTAAAATTCAACAGTAATCTGCAAACCGTCGATGGACGAACCTGATTTCGACAATGAAATGGATCCGAGTAATGTCAGTTTTAAAGCGTTTGATTGTTGGTATAATGAATGTTTGACTTATGCAATAGATACTGAAAGTTTTCTTTGGATGATGTTTTAGTTGCTTAGTAAAAGTAGATAACATAAACGTTGCTTTCCGACTTCAAAATTACGAAACTTTGAATGGTTTTAGTAGTGTATTTTAGATATCGCTCAACTTCTTCACGGACACCGGCTACAACCCAATCTCCATAAACACAGAACAAGAAGAATCTAGTAATTCGACTCCGATTGCTTCAGTTGTGCCTTCAGAACCCAGCCTTGCTAGCCCATTTCCAGAAGATGAACGAAGGGTGAATAAGAAAGGCCTGTTCACAGGCTATGTCACCGGAAAGTCGATGGAAGTGGCTAAACGCAAGAACTTGATAGACAAGATCGAGAGGGCCAGGGAGAATGGGATCCTCAACACCTGCATTCCACAACTGGCTGAGCTGAGCATGACTCAGTTCAGTATGTTTCTTCGGAGAATCTTTAAAAGTGAACCAGGGTTGACAGACTTTGTCAGCGACGAAGTCCTCAAAAGTTTGTTTGAAGATTTTGAATCCGGGGCCGGCTCTGTGATGGAGGATAACGCCGAGAATTCAGAGGAAGAGCTTACGAACGGGGAAGTGTTTTATGAAGCTGGAGAAGAGACGGAATCCGAAATGGAACGATCTTCTGACGAAGAAAACAACGAAAGTAATCAGCATGAGTTACCTATAAGGTAAGTGGGTTTAAGAATAATTTTTTTGGGAGTTAACCGAATAAGTAGAAGGTAAAAACTATAAGCGAGGAAATTTTTTATTTTGTATTATCTATAAATTTTAGCGATTCAATGCAACCAGCGTTTTATCGCACTCGTCGAGGTATTATCCAAGCAGATAGATGTATAGCTCTTCAGATGAGGAAGTTAATGGAAAGACGAGACAAATTTAAGGTAGTTTAAAGGCTTAATTTTTTGTGTATTTGTTATGCTGTTTTGTGTTTTTGTTACCTAAAATGTTTTTTCCAGGCCAATTTGGGTAAGATGGAATCGTTTTTGTTTGAGGAACCAAAGACCTCAGGAGATAGTGAAGAAGACTCACAAACATGCTTGAGATGTCGGCCTTTAATCAAACGTGCACATCGGAGGATAGTAAAACATTCATTTCCATCGTACGTCTTAATTTCTATGTTTATATAAAGTAAAAGGATTTTTTTATGAAAAACATTTAAAGAATAACTATAAGTCAAGTCGATAACAATATTAAATTTAGGAATCGAAAAGAAACGAGTGGCACTGCTAAACTTACAGATGATCTCGAAAAACAATGTTCATATGAGTATAATGACGTCAGGATACGAAACATATCTACTTTACAAAGTAAGGTTACTTTTTATTTGCTTTTTATGTTTAGGGTTGAATAATGATGCTGTGATCGAAGATTACCTGCACAACATGGGCAACCTACCTTTGTATATTCCTGTGAAGTCGTAAGTTGTAGTTAATTGTTAAATTAATGTTTTTAGGTTGTTTTATATTGAAATTGTTTATTTGAATTTCTCTCACACATAAAATATGTTTTGTCTTAGATATTTAAGGGTCACTTCTGTTTTATTTTCAGCCATGCAGCCTATAATAACACAGGAGATAGAGAGAAGGAGTACTACGGGTTCGTGGAGTGTATCAAGGATGAATTACCTAACTTTCCTGAAGTGTTACAAAGTTTACAAGCAGCGGGAAAGAAACGGAAGGCTGTTGATCATATTGAAGTAGAAAATGAGGCTGAACCTAAAGGTACTGGTCTTCTTTTGAGGGTTAAGATGTCGAAAAGGTTGCTTCAAGAAGACTTTTGACATTTCGTCAACATTGTGACACTTCGCAATAAATAAAATTTATTTTCTAAAATTTTTTGTTGATTATAAAAGTTGTTATAAGTCAACTAAATGTTGTAAAATAAATTTATTGTACAGTAATTTTTAAAAATTATATATTTGTTTTATTACTGGCTAGTTAGTAGCTATTAAGTACAATTATGACATCTGCATTGACTAAGTTTGTACCAAAAGCACCACCTTTGAATTTTGAGATTCTGAAGGAAGTTCAAAGATTTATCGACCAGTCGAAAAGCATTGTTTTTATTACTGGTGCTGGAATTTCTACAGAATCAGGTAAATAACATTCGTAAGCTGAATGTACTAAATTGGTCGTAATAACGTGTTATTTTCAAAAGATACTAAATATAATATTAATTGTAATATTTAAAATCTGTTTTAATATCTTATAATTGATAATTACTTCATTTTAGGTATACCAGATTACCGGTCGGAAGGCGTGGGAGTTTATGCTCGGTCTAAACATCGTCCTATACAGTATCAAGAGCTGATGACTAACGAGTACTGGAGGAGAAGATACTGGAGCAGGAATTATGTGGCTTGGAATGGGTTTAATCAGGCTAAACCCAATATTACACATCAAAGTATGGCTGATTGGGAACAGAGTTGCAGGTAATTAATATAATAGATACTGGATAACATCTCACTGGATAACTAATATAGTTTGAGGCACTAAATGAAATGATTGTCATGTTGCGTTGTGTTGTTTTAGATTCAACTGGTTGATAACTCAAAATGTAGATGCCTTACATACGATGGCTGGGTCAGAGAGGATTACTGAGTTACATGGATGTGCGAAAAAAGTGATTTGCACTGAATGTAAAACAATTTATTCAAGGTGAGTCTTTCTTTCCTTCTTTCTTTCATTTTAATTCGATTTGTTTTTCTATATTACTATAAACGATAATATAACATGAACTGTAAGATACGTTAATTGTGAGTATAGAGCAGAAATTCAAGACTTGATAATCAAGCTGAATCCTGATTGGAATGTGGAAGAGGTTGGGGAAATGCGGCCAGATGGTGATGTGGAGATACCTGACAGTGCTTTGAGTAACTTTCGTATACCTTATTGTTTACATTGTGGAGAACGTAGCATTCTGAAGACGAACGTCGTCTTCTTTGGAGAGAACGTTCCTTTGAAAGAAGTGGACTTGTGCTATGAAAAGGTTGGTTACTTTGTTATCATACTCAAAGGCTATTAGAAGGTAAAAATATTAGCTTTAGTATTGCACGAATATAACACAGTGCACTAGTTATGGCAATCTATTGTAGGTGGATAACTGTGACTTGATGGTGGTATTAGGCTCTTCCTTGTCAGTAATGTCGTCGTATCGGTTTGTTCATCATGCATCGTTAAAACAGCTACCTATAGTCATAATCAATATTGGCCCTACGAGGGCTGACAACTTGGCTACGATAAAGTTGCCGGCCAAGGCTTTTGAAGTAGTTACAAAACTCGGTGTATAACGTTGGATAATATTGCGTGTACAAATCTATGTAGGTGTATAAAAGTTAATACAGGTATATTTAACATAACTCTTGGATTTTTTTGTGGAGAACGGTAGATATAGGGATTCTTTATTTTTAAATTTTAGGTTTTAAAGCAAAAAGCTTTTATATAGATTTTATTCGAAATAATACAATAAATTAGTTATTAAAACGATTACAATAAAGCCCGATTTACGTCGCAGTTGGGCATCGTGACGCGTAAACTGTCTATTGTTATCTGAAATTGAGGAAAGTTACAATTACTCAAGCTTTATTTTTACATTGTAAAGCTAAAAAAAAAGAATAAACTCGACAACTTACTTGAGCAACCAGTCTCCACGCATCTGACCCGCATTTCTCGAGAACGAACGGGCGACAACACCTCAGGTAGTCGTCCATGATCTGGCACAGCTTGTGGAAGTACTTGTCCAGGTTGTGCTTCTTTACTTGAACTGCATCGTCCATCGCTTTCCCTGCGGCATTCCTACACAAGTTGTACTCTTTCTGACTCTCGACTTCAGCGAAACAGGCAGCGTGCTTTTCAAACAGGTCGTGACCTGCTCCACACATGTAGCCGTACGATGCTTCGACCGCTTCTATCGAGATGGAATGGCAACGTGTCGTTTCTGTACAGTCCTGAACGGGTTTTAAATTTTTTTATGACTTTAGGCTATTTGGTATCTTTGTATGAATGTAAAATGATTGTTTTAAATTTACTTTGAAATGTGATGACTACAACTAAAAGCTTACTTTAAAGTCAGTGTAAAGTTTGCAGAGTTTTTCAAACACTTCTCCACCTTTGAGCGAGAACGGCGTGGTATCTTCTTGATCAGAGTTCTTTTGTATCGAGTTAGCATAGTCAATGATTGGCTGAAAACATACGTCCAAATTGCTTTAGGCCAAATGTTTTCATACCCAAATAACGATAGGATTAAAAGGTATACTAATTATACTTTTAATAAAACTCTTCAAATAAAGGTTAGTTTAAACACATAGAATTACCTGTAAGCAGTTGTTTATCTTGGCTTCGTTGCTAGCCGAACACTTGTTGTTGAAGGCTGATTCGAAGGTCAACTCGTCGGAGACGGTGGAGATGAACAACAAAAACAAGTACAAGAACATTCTCATCTCTTCACGTACCCTTAGGCCATTATTCTTGGCTCAGAATACAAATTGAAGAAGAGTGTGTGAAATACAAATAAGTGTAGTAAGAGTACGAAATGTAAATGAAGCTTAATGTAAACTTAGGGGGTCAGAGTGTAGAGTTGTAGCCGGTCGACAAGCCCTAAAACGGCGTTTGAGGCGGCGAAAGGAGGCGTCGACGGCGTTATGAATTTGATTATGTTGTGGGGCCGGGGGACGCTCTTCTTTGTGGATCTGGCTTCGAATAAGATTACCTCGCGTCGTTTTCCGGCCCTCAGGTCAGTAGGGAGAGCGAAGCGACAAGCGGGCACGCAAAGGAACAGCGAGAATCACGGGCTACTCTAATATCGGCTCGGCTCCTGCAAATGGCATCTTCATAACATATTTCTCACAATATATGATATTACTCTCGAGGGTTTCTGTCGAGATTATTTCCTTCCCCGCCTCAGGGTGAAAGGCTGTTTATGGAGAGTGGAGGGGGTGGGGCACGGTAACGGAGTTGTTAAGAGTACAGTGTTTTACAGTGTAAATAAAGTACTAATGAAAACGATCTTAAAGTACTACAAATAGTTGAAAATGATGTCAATTCGAGGAAACATTGTTCGTAGTAAGTTTTTTGCATACTAGCTGAACTATACTGCTAATACGTTCTTTTTTGCATTGTAACAAGCTACTAGTTTTTCAGAATTTTTAAAGATCTTTCAACAAAAGAAACCGCACGTTTAACGCCCTTAAATCAATTTACAAGACCACCGTAACTCACAACTCACAGAATAAAATGAGGCTAAATGAAAAGATAACATACTCCAGTCGGAACCATGCCTTTGTGAATCCAATTATGTTGTACCTTCTTTCTTTACAAAGATTTTCATCGCTTGCACTCTTCCGGAAACCCCGACCCTGAGGGCATTTTGCTCGTTCCCGGTCTGAATACATAATTGTTTTTCTTGAAAAGATGATTCTGAAGGCCCGCGGATAATGGCTTCCGAATTAATGGTCTTGGTTTGTAGTATGACAGATTGAGTTGAGATGAGGATGGATAGGGCGGGTTAGGCGGAAGGTAAGTAGCTTTGGGGGGTGCAACGCTTTCCTCGGAAAAAGGATGATATTAGGTTTTTCAAATATTTTATGAATTTTAATTTACGCAAAATTGCTCTTGTGGCATCTTTTCCTGTACCTTATCCTTGTTTTCCTACAAGTTATACATCAAAGTCTGATGTGAAAAGCAAACAAAATATATTTTGGGCTCTAATCAGTTTCCTTATCTTTGTCTGATTGTTTTTCGTAATCAGAAGTCGCCCCTAAATTGTTAATTAACGGTTACTTCTGAGTTTTTTCATTGTAGAAAGTGAATTCTGATTCTGGGAGGTTTGCTACAGCAATTGTATTTCGTGTGTGATTTGTAGTTGTTTGTTTCTTATTGCCACTTTGCTTTAAAGGCTGTAGACACGAGGTATTTTTGTCATTTTATATATGGGGGTTTGTTCTTTTTGAAGGTTTTGGTCTGAAAATATAGAGAATTGCTTTTAAAGTTAAACTTTATATTCTTGTTGCTGCTATTAACTTTTTGATGTTGACTTCATTGTAATATCATTATTTAAATGTTGTTCTTTCACGTTTCTTAACAGTTTCCCAATTCAAAAATGACTCAGCCAATTTCAAACATAAAAACAAACGAATAATTATGTAACGGAGTGTAAACTCACTATAATCAAGTCGTATCAGCCGTCTTTCTCTCTTTCCGTCGCCTTTCCCCGCGAACTTTGTGTCTGTGAGGTCGGAGCGATCACTGTGTGACGGTGAAGTGAGCGGTCGTATCTGTGTATGTTCTCCATTTTCTCATGACTGAAACGGCCCAACGGCCGCGAGTTTCGGACCTTTTTTTATAAACCTCAAACAAATCTTGATTTGCACGTGACATCGTGTATCGCTTTCCTTGTCAGTTTTAAGGTCTGCGCCTAGCAGAAACCATAAAATATATTAAGGTAGGGCGAGCAGAAATACAAGGTAATTTTCGTTTCCCGAGATATTTGCATTTCCGACATTGTTATATTATGTTATGTTCACTCCGAAAGTGTCCTTTCTCTTTTTCCCTTTCTTTTTCGCGATTTCAAACTTTTTTGACGGGGAATAATTAAAGTTTTGTCAGTTTTGACAATATCCTTTTTCGAATTGGCAATACCATGTTTGAGGCGAGCTATATTCAACCATATCTTTCAAGTTTTGTCATTTTCCGCACGTTTTGGAGGAGTAATTCATTAGACTTTGTTCGTAACAAGCCGGCTTTCTAAAAGTGTCAGGTCTGGGCCCTTGTTTTGTTGTGACATTTGTCTTGTTTATGGACTCATAACCCTATTAAAGTGAAAAAAAAACAGTTGGACACTCTTTTTGGCCATCTTTTGTCCCATGACTCTTTATGCGATCACATGCCCTCTCCTCTAAATGGTCTAAACTTGTCACTATCTGGTTTTGAAACGGACCGTGCCCCTCCTCCAAAGGTTGTGATTTGTAAAATTGAAAGACAACATTTTAAACCCGGGAATCAGGTGATATGATAACGCCTTTTTCTTATTTCCTCAGTCGTTGCACTGCATTCTGGACATTGAACTCGTGAGGAAGGCGCTTAATTTGCATAATTCGGATTACGTCGTACTGACCTTTTTGCTATAGTAAAGGGCGTTGGGTACGAGGACAAAGAACGAAGCTGATAGAGCGTCTTCTTGTTATAGATGGCGGTGTAAAGGAAGATTTGATCTTTACAACTCGGTTTAATTAATCGACAACTTGCTGTTTTCTTGCAATTTCAAACCTTCTCGTGGTTTCTACATTTAAATTCGTTTAATTTACAGTAGTTTAAACTGTAATTGTTAACTGTTTTCTTAAATTGCAACTATTCTCTTATATTGTGATCGCTTTCAGTAGGGAATGGGCCTGACTTGGTCGAACACAGCTGATGGACGTCCGAGCACGGCGCTGCCAATTGTGGGGTCAGGCGGGTACGATGTCGGGTGTGCTGATATTATGATAGCAGCTGAAAGTGAGGACGATGTTGGTATGTTCGGCAGAGTATTCTATCCAGCATCAAAGAGAATTAACGTGGTATGTTATCTTAGTTTTGTATTATTAATTTGTGAATATTGTAACTAAAACTGAATTGATATCCAATAATTTTAGCACGATGAAGGTGTAGAATACCCAGTATGGAGACCTAGAAGAGAGTATCTGGACGGTCTGGCTGATTACCGTGCCATGAATCCTCGCAAGATCCACTTCTTCTTTGATTGGGTCATAGGAGAGCGGCGTGTCCCAGCCGGCTGGCACGAACCGCTGTTCACTTACACTTTGGAAAGAGAACGTGATCACGCCGTCTCCATCCACGGGTCCAAGTCTTCGGGTCAACTGTCATCCGCGTCAACCGAGGATCTGGAGAGCAGAATCCATCCGTCAAAGTCAGATGCCAACCTTGTCAATGACTGTGATCCCAAGTATCCGGTGCTCATCTTCTCTCACGGTATCAGCGGCAACAGACTATGTTACAGTACGTACTGTTCGTCATTGGCGTCGTACGGGTTCGTGGTTGTCGCTGTAGAACACAGGTGAGTTGTGTTTGGATTTAAACAGTGTTGTCGTATGAGTTGGGATTTGGAATGCGTATTTTACATAGTTTGGCATTTTTATGTTGCTCTTGGGCCTATTTAAATGTTTTTTATCTTCAGAGACCGTTCCTCTTCATGGACGTACTACTTAGAGACCGACCCAGTATCTGGAGTTATCATTGAGAAACCCGTGACGATAATGCAATATCCAGATGGCGAAAGTGACTTCAGAGCTAGAAACAAACAGGTAAGTATTATATTAATGTAGACAAGATGTTTTTCCTATGTCATTGAAAAAGTTAAAAATATGTACGAAACTGACTTTTTTGCGAAATATTGGTTTTTTAAGCTCAAAACCTGTAATTATAATTAGTTTTGTATTAATTTTGTTAATGTTGTTTAAAGAAAGTAAAATTTTATGTTTTAGTTGCACAAGCGAGTGGCGGAGTGCGTAAGAGCATTAAATGTGATGGAGGAGCTTAACCTGGGCACGTGTGGTCCAGCTGATAAGAAGCCCAAGGGAAGTAAGATTATTTACGGACAAGGATTCGACTGGTCGCAGTTCAAGGTACGTTATACAGCTTTTCGAATACTTCTTTATAAAAATTACTATTATTTTAAAAGTATAATTATTTTAAATCTTTTTCATGTCATAAGTAACACAAAGAGTTGACATGTTGTGTTGCTTTTGTAAAAAACATCATATAATATGTTATTGTAATGTAGCCTAATGATGTTATTGTAGAACCGTCTCCTGATCGATCACGCCGCCGTAATTGGCCACAGTTTTGGTGGAGCCGCGGCCTTGGCTGCCGCGGCCTTCTCCACCGACTTCCAGGCTTCGGTATGTTGGGATGGCTGGCTATACCCACTGGAGCACGACCTGTACCCACGAATCACCCAGAAGACGCTTCTGATCAACGCCCAGAAGTGGCAGTGGGCGGAGAACGTGAAGCGAATGATGCGATTGCCTGAGGCAGCTGAGAAGATACTATTCACACTTAAGTAAGTACATTTAAATATTTTTGAAAGTGATTAAGCTAGGCTTGTTCTGTTTATGTGATAATGACTCGACTGTAAAATGTCTGGTTATGTCACTAAAACACAAGAAAATAGGTATGAAAACGTAAATACCTGAACGCGATAGCATTTACAGAACTAACACGACACTAATATCTTGACATGCACATTTCCAGAAAATTAAATTTATTAATAGGTATGGAAGTGGCTGTGAATATTAAAAACCTCCACACTAAATGTAAAAATAAATGTCAGAATAAATATATAAGTCTATGACATGCTCAACATACTTAAAGGTCATAACTATAATAATATTACCTTGCAGAGACATCGTACACCAATCCTTCAGTGACTTCTCGTACCTCATGCCTGGATACGTCGGCCGAAAGTTCGCGTTACAAGGCGACCTTGACCCTACCCATACCGGTGAAGCCATCATGGAGATTACCGTAACTTATCTCAGGAAATGCTTCGAGAACATTCCAGCATTAGAGCACTTAAGAGAAGTCACCAAGAGGTATGCTGACTTCGTAATCGAGGGTACCGATATTACACTAGACGAAGACGGGAAGGAGCACAAGGTAGACGACATTGTGCCTCCGGAACTGGACTCTGCCACCAATTAAGCGTTGTTAATAATACAGTATACTATTATGGCATTACATCCTCCAACCTTGTAGTCTGTTACTCATAATTAATCAAATATATCAAGAAATGCGTCATCGTGACCCATTTTCTCCCCCACACATCTCACTTGACATTACAGTGCCTTTCCGTACACAAACATGATCATGTTTTTCTTGCCTCTTCTAACGATTACTTACCCAACATACGAGTTGACCTATTATGGCTTTGTACATCTAGTCCAATAAACTGGCTGAAATGCACCTTGTTATTATGTATTTCGCCACCATTTAGAGACTGACATAGCATGTCATGAGGTTACCGAGACAACCAACGTGCCGTGCCTGTAACGCCTGCGGTTTCTTTGTATCAGCGGCCATTGAGGTTTGGGGTGGAAGCGGCGATTACCCGGATTAACTTGAGCCCGCGACCGTATGCAGGGACGGTCCTACTGTATAAGCATATGGGCGGGTGTGTCAGTTGTATGCGAGTGATTCTGGAAGCCGAACCCGATGTTAAGATAAACGGTAAGTACATTTGCTTTGTGAATTGCATAAGTAATGTAGCATAAGTGATAAGGAGTCAAATGTGTTGGACTAAGTCTTTTATTAGCTATTAAGTATAAGTTAATATGGAGCTTGTCTATATTTCAGTGTTATAAAAATAACGTTTATTACTTTAGTGATCGAACCAACAACAATTATACAGCCAGACAACGTAACTACCCCAGTAACACCTACTGCACCTTCAGCTCCACACCTAACGGTACCAGCTACACACGGGACGCGACTAAAAGCACCCAAGGACACAGAAGCTTGTTAATGACATGTTCACAAGATAACCACGACGGACCTCTTGTAATTACGACTTGTATTGCTTCCTTTTCATATCAGTCTCGTGAGTAATATAACATATTCAGAAGCACGTCTACTGTGTCTTATCATTTATTTTAGGTGTTTATTATACAAAGGTTAGTTATAGTACTAGTCTGTCTCTGAATAATGCTAAGCTTGGTTTTGTTGATGCAACAAAGGTCTTCTCTCTTCCTTGGCCAATCTATGATATCTTTTCTTCCATGTTCTCCTTGACATGAACAATAAAATCATTACCGCGCCAAGCAGAATCGTCACCACAATCAACAAACCTTTAAGAAATGTAGTAAAATAAACTAGTACTAATTTAAAGTTGCACTAACAATAAAACTAGTTTAAAAGCGATGCCTTACTCGAAATGATTCCATATAATACTGTTTGATCATCGCCAATCGTAATATCTTGTCCCAGACAAATAGAGGTAAACTTGAGAGTGTCCATAGGTTGTCCCAGTCTCTTGAACTCACTGTATATACAAGGTTCAGGACACCCAGTGATGTTCAAGTGGACCCTGGATCCATTTAGTTTGTTGTGCAAAAAAGCCTTAAAATCAGAATTAAAAACCTCAATCACCTACTCTGATGATCTTCTGCTTGCCTTCCTTTGACAAATCAAACGCCAAGTAACTTGAAACCGGCTGCAATTCTTGGTTGATGATCGAAATGTTGAGGTAGATACCCAGTGTCATTATATTAGTGTCGTGCCCAGAATACACAATGAACTTGTGTTTTGTACTGTTGTTCAAAATGGCATCGAATTGAGAGATGAGCTGGTTGAAGTGCCAACCTCCAGTAGAATCTTTCATCGACGTCACAAATCTTCTGTGAAATTCGTTTCGCTTCTTCTCCCAATACGAGACCAGCGATTCATCAGCCCAGTCAGGCAATGGAACCAGTTCCGGAATGTCATTTCGAGTTATAATAGCATCGGTCACTTTCTGTAGAACATCTAAATCAGTAATGTTGATCCCCGTCAAGTTCTGTAGCTCCTCGATCATTGGTCTGATTGAATCCAAAAACTTTAGATTTTCAGTACTATTCACCAGAGTTTTTTTGAAGTCCGGACAGTAATCCAGTGCTCCAAAAGATACCTAAAATTAGAGAGTAAAAACAGATATAATACCTAAAACAATAAATCTGACTAAAACATGAATACCTGGTCAAGAATGGGTTGAGTATGTACTGGAATCGGTTGCCACAACAACTTGTCATTCCATACTTGACTGGTCTTTGGTGGAAACAGTCCGGCCAACAAAAGTTGAGCACTTGTGATTGTTCTGTTATCATTTCCAGCGAATACTCGCAACTCTGACGGTCGGTAGACATTACCTAATAGACCTCCATAATACTGCCTCAAGTTGAGTCCCAGTTGGTACTCCTGATTGATTCCCTTTTCAGTCAGCTCTCCTGGTTCGTAAGTTTTGTCTTCTTTCACATCTCCTTCGGTCGGAAAGTGAACAAAAGTGGTAGGAAATCGTTGGCCATGACGGTTAAACTGTTAACACGATTTGTAAATAGGTAACAGATGAATACTTACAATTTGAGAAGCTATCAACTCCGAGTTGACAACTGAAAAGCATAAGCACAACAGAATTAGCGACACCATCAGTACTGACCAAACTATTATTCAGGTTGATAAGCAAGACAGTGATGAAACGCGATAACAAAGATAAAAACACTGTTTGTGCTAAACCAGCAACCTTCTAAAAACAAAATACTCAAGTTTTAACAACATTAGATGCAATAACAGCATCAAAATTTATTGTTTCTCTATAATATTATTTAACCGGCCAAAACGGTGAATATTTTTATCAAAATTCAGACTTTATTTAAAAAACATTAAAAACAATGGAAATATACCATAGGCCACCAAAAATGATATTTAAATGAGAATATTCTTGTTACTCTTTGAAAATATTTTGTAAATTTCATAAAATACAGTAGACGGTTTCATCAGGATTCGTTGTCAGCACGAAAACAAGCAACGTATATTAGCGAAAAATTTTCGTGGCGTTTCGTCTAATTACAGAAAAATTTAACGCGCGCGTTACAGAGGAACTTGTAGATGAATGGGCCTTCACAACAGCTGTTAAAAGTTCTAAGCAGGAATCGACGTGAGGATGTTGTCCAGAAGGCTATCGACGTGATTCGAAAAGAGTTTGAGGTAGGGGACGCTGAAGTAACTTATAAATGGTAAAGATTTACAGTTTCGTGAGTGATCGTGTACCTTCCCAGTTCACGGACGAACAATGGAAAAAGTGAGTTATTTAGGTAAAAGCTGAGTAGTCAAATTGACCTTTGTATCATTAACTTATCTATTTATAGGTTATACTATTTATGAATCTGTTTTAGTATGTTGTTTATGAAGGCTCCTGCTCAGCGAGTAGACTACTGGCATTTCCTAGCATTAAACGAGCGACGTGCAGAGAATGATAAGCAAAAACGTGAAAGGAGGAAGGAGGTCGTGCGACAATCCAGGGATGATGAGGTAATTTACACTAGGACGTCTTCCTTGGTTTAAGGATGTTTGAACTGTATGAATTAAATAAGAATTTTTTTTAGAGACAGAAGTTCGAAAGTGGTTTAATGGGGTATGGGTCGGCGATGTACCAGTTATATTATAATCGATTTGGCGACGAAAGTAAGTTTTTTTATATTTTGGTATTTTGTGTTTAGCTGAGAAGTACGACAACATTAAGGTTACATGATTGTTTAAATTTACATTAATTTTTTATATTTGATGAGGTTGACTAAAATTTTTACTGCTTTTTTTTGTTTTAAAGGTTATTTATTGTTAGTTTAGCAATAATTTAATGTCTTTGCTTACAGACCTTGAAGATCCTGGCGTACACAGATTGGCGGCGGTTGAAAGACTGAAAGATGTACCTAAAGTTGCATTAGATCTACAATTTCTGAGGACAGAAGAACAGAAGCAGTTTAATAAGATGAAAGAACAAGTCAGAGATTTACATTCTGTAAGTTAACTTTTATTCTTACAGGCAATAGACAGTGTGTATTTTTTTATGAATAATGTATTTCAGTATCAACGAATCCAATCAAAGTATCCACTACCTTTTGAGCTGATTAACTTTGACCAACGAATTGCAAGAACTAAGACGTTTGTTGAGTAAGATTTTTGTTTTATCTTTTAGTTTTAGGCATCTTTTTGAAGACACTAAGTTAATAAAATGACATAATTTGACATTATTTTTGTTGCAGTAGTTTTGGATACATGAATCGTAACATACCAGCTGCATTCTTGCCAGCAGTAGCTGCACACAATCCCTACAAAGGCAGAAGAAATGTTGTGTACATCAGTCGACATGCTAGGCACGTTCTGGACGGTCCTCTAAAACATGATACCTACATTGTGCCAGTTTCATTTGACAATCACAAAGTTTGTTTTAGTGCCGCTTTAAGGGATAATATAAGACCAGTTGCTTTACCTATTCAGAAGTATATCAAGTAAGTGGATTTACTTTTTTAGTGTTTCGAATTTGTTTTTTATTCAGTTTTCTCTTATTATGATAATTTTAATATTGTTTTCATTACTTTTAGGTGGTCGGGCCCTATCACTTACCCCTTGGTTAACGTGTTCAAGACTCTGGAGATTGTGGCCAGAACTGGCGGTGACTGGGAGTTGGCTATCAGGTCTTCGTACTCTAGAAGGTACATGATGTCGCAAGAGGAAAGAGATGACTTTAAAAAGAATAATACTCATGTTGGCGTTGCTTATGACAGACAGGTCGAGAGGCAGCAGATAATGGAGATGATAGAACAAGGTGTTAAAGAGCGGGTGACGTTGTGAAGACCTCCGTTTTAATTTAGGACGTTTACATTGTTGTTAAAGTTGTTTGTTATTAAAGTTTTAACGATATTCTGGGTATTGGAAGATGGACTTGGTTTGATACCATTTGATGCTTGTTTTACATTGTTGTTGCTTTGATAAGTGAGATGATTTATCATGCATATTATACGTTTGTTTAGGTACAAGATGACCGTGACTGATCATTCGAAGAGGCGTGTTTCCTATTACTATGACCGTAAGTTTTATTATCTTTATGTCTTCTACTTTTAATATTATGGTTAAAGTCTTAAATTTAATTGGATGTTCTAATGTTTTATACGTTTCAGCTAACATTGGTAACTATTACTATGGTCAAGGTCACGTCATGAAGCCCCATCGTATTCGTATGTGTCATCACCTTCTCTTGAACTACGGTCTATATAGACACTTGGAGGTGTACAGACCATTCCCAGCGAGCTTCGAGGAGATGACAAGGTTTCACACCACTGATTACATGCAGTTCTTGCAGTCGGCTAACCCTGATAATCTTCGAGCATTCAGCAAGCAGATGTTGAAGTGTGAGTGTCACTTTAGGTTGATTACATTTTAATTTTAGTTAACGTCGGAGAAGATTGTCCAGTGTTTGATGGACTATACGAGTTCTGTCAGTTGTCCAGCGGTGGATCTTTGGGTAGGTTAAAGAATGCCTACAAATTATGTATGATATACTTTGCAAAAGTTTATTATTATAAAAGGATGTCTCTAAATATATAATTTTGCAGCTGCTGCTGTAAAATTGAACAAGCAGAAGGCCGATATTGTGATCAACTGGATGGGCGGTCTTCATCACGCCAAAAAAGCCGAAGCTTCTGGATTCTGCTATACCAATGACATCGTACTGGGTATCCTTGAACTTCTAAAGTATCACCAAAGAGTACTGTACGTAGACATTGATGTGCATCACGGTGACGGTGTCGAAGAAGCCTTCTACACCACCGACCGTGTGATGACTGTATCGTTCCACAAGTACGGAGACTTCTTCCCCGGAACTGGAGATATCCATGACATCGGGGCTGGAAAGGGAAGGAACTACTCTGTGAATGTGCCGTTGAGAGATGGGATCAGCGACAACAGCTACCAGAGCATCTTCAAGCCGGTCATGACCAAGGTAATGGAGACCTTCAACCCAAATGCTGTGGTCTTGCAATGCGGGGCTGACTCCTTAAATGGCGACAGATTGGGGCCGTTCAATTTGACATTGAGAGGTCACGGGGAATGTGTCAAGTTCTTCAGAGATTACAACGTTCCCCTGATGTTGTTGGGAGGTGGAGGATACACTCCACGGAACGTTGCCAGATGTTGGACCTACGAAACTTCGTTAGCTGTTGATATGCCTATTAACGATGGTAAGATAGTTTTAAATTTTTAAGGGTTCCTTAAAAACTGATATTTTTTAATAGGGTAATAGAAAAAAAGTTTAAAGGTGTTTTTTGCAAGAAAAGACATTTAAAATGTTTTAGAGTTACCGTACAATGACTACTTTGAATACTTTGGCCCCAATTACCGGCTACACATCGAGCCTTCTCAAGCTACCGATGAGAACGATCAAGCTTATCTTCTAAAGATCCAAGAAGCTGTGGTCGAGAATCTCAGAAAGCTTCAAGGCCCCTCCAGTGTCCAAATGCACGGTAAGCATCAATACTAGCATGTGACAGATCAAAGAACTGTTTTTTCCACTCGAACTGTCATTAATAATATATTTTATTTTTAATGCACAAATATTTGACGATGTTATTTAGCTGTCGACAAGGACATAATGGAGGTGGACGACACGAAGTTGATCGATGGAGCCAATCCAGATGAAAGATTGCCCGACGCCGTGGTGGACAAGATGGTGGAAGACACGGGAGAGCTGTACGATGGAGAGAAGGAAGGTGGGGACGAGAGAAACGAACAGTCCTACAAGCGGCCTCACGAGGAAGGAGACTCTCCTACCCCCAAAAAAGCTAAGGAAGACGACCAACCGGCTGAGCCAGCTACTCCAGAAAGCTAAGCTATTCACAACATTGTCTTTGTGTCTCTCCTTCTGATTGTGTGTATTTAAAGGTAAAATAACATTAATAACCAAATGGTTTTAAGATCCAACGGTATGGTATAATACTGTCAGTTTGTTGGTTTTTTAGTTTCCTTGTCAAAGCTACTTTACATTATAATACAAAGCGTCAGTTTATATGATACACAGAATCAGAAGGGACTCGCTGAGGTATGAAAACTCTTGACCACCCTTTGAGTTGTTCTACTCGATCTCCACATTTATTTATTCGTCTTTTAATCCTTATAATCCCCCCTCCCCCTATACTCACATAATTTCATACGTTTTCATGAATCGATCGATGGTCACGTCAGTCGAGTCTACAGTAACCCTTATCTCTTAACTATGTGTAGTTATATTAAATGTAAAATAAATGAAAGTTACTGTAACTATTCTTTTGTTAAACTTTACAACTATAATGAGGTCTCTCAATCCATTTGACACTTTTTGAATAATGAAATGATTTCTCATCATTTTATCTTATTTTGGTATTTTAGGCTTTTTAAGAGCGACAACAGTGATTTCTAATATGTCACATTGTGTTGGAAACGTGACTGGAATTCTGAAGCCAAATCAGAAGCCCCAAGGGATAAAACTTTTCTGTTAGGAATGTCGTTCCAAATTTCATATTCTTTTATGAAAGTTGACAACGTTCTCAAACATGGCTACAACATGAGTTAAAAAACTAATTTTCCCTTTAGAAATGACTGAACATACTACGGAAGGACGTCCCCATTCTACTACAACATGCACTCAGTGATATAATACATTGCCTCTATCCCCCTCCTCATTAAACGGCAAACATCCGTCTGGCTTCCTACTATTTATTCCGCTTTCTTTTGCACGATGGCCTTCAGATGCTACGGGATTCCAGTGAAACCCAATTAGAATCGCCTGAGGGTGTAAGATTGGGAGGACAAGAAGGAATGTCATCTGAGCGCCGAAAAGGCTTGAGAACCGTGTAGTACACTGCTTCGGCCGCCCTTTTTCGGCCCTTCGCGGACCTCGCTTTAAACAAACCCTTATGGAAGGGGGGGGAGTTATGTCCTTAAGAAGCGGCTATGTTTGTCCCATAAATTACACGCGGTTAATAACTCTTATTGCCGGTCGTACAAGTTGTTATTGGACCTGTTTTAGGGTTGGCAGTAGTTTTAAGGAATTTGTGGTTGTATGAATAACCATTTTATTAGTATGACAATTCGTTTTTGAAGTTTTTGGCTGGAGTGCCATCAAAAGATTTTATTTTTGATTGATACTGGTCCTTACCTTTTATATAGCACAATCAAAACTGTTTTTACGTTATTTTTGGACTGTAATCGCTTAAAACTATTAAAAGAAGCAACTAATTAACGTTTCCCCCGAACTTTTCCCTTAAAAACCGTTCAAAAACCGGCGACAAAAGGTGGTAAGTTAAGGTAGTAAATCAACAAAACTGTCATTTCGAATCAGACCTTATTATCGGGTCGGATTTGGTTTAATCGGAGCCTTAAACAGGTAACCGAGCCTTTCGCTTCAATGGAGCGGCGAACAAAGCAGCGACCTTGGGCTTGTTCAATGCAAACTCTCATGCCACAGGGCGTCTTATTATGCATTCATAGTAAACCTTTGATATTACTACTGCGACAGGTTCGATTGTTACTTTTTTACGATTTTATAAATTGCGACTTTAAAGCTTTTAAGTTAAAACTGTTGCGATAATATGTTTAGCTTATGCAAATTTTGAGTCAATCATTGTCTGGTCGAAAAGTTTGTAGAATTATGTTTTAATCACAACAGACAAGGCAGTACCTAATAGTGACACAATTAAAATAAATTTTCTCTCCATCCGACGACTTATGACCGTTAATTTTTGACCTCACGCTTAAGATACGACCTTGTCGCAAATTGGGTATTTGTCGCGAATTAGGCCGCCAGGGTTGTTTGTGTCCATCTTGTTTGTGTCATGAAGGAAGGTGTGAGGCGGTGGCAGATTTGACCGGATGAAAGCACGTTAATCCGGCCCAATGTCCTGAGGCAAGAGAGGGAAAAGAAATCGGCGCTCTTCTTTTCGCTCGCCTCCGGGCTTCAATTTCTGTTTGCAAAAGTCTTGATTTATGGCCAGAAAAGGTCCCGGAGATTAGCGACACCCAACTCCTTCGGGATGCTGTTTATTCGCTATTTGGATTCAGATGCCCTGCACCATGTTTTAATGGCTTTGAATTCCGGAACGGCTACAGGCTACGTAAAGAATTCTTAGTAGAAACTTGGGCGTGGTGGATTTCAAGCCATTTAATATTTTTATTTTAAAAATTCTCGGTTTTTTTAATAGTGGGGTATTGAAAGACAAATTCAAAGCTATTTAGCAAATTCTGAAGCCGTGTACGATGAGTTGATATCTTTTGTTATTGAAAATACATAATATGACACTTTCTTCGTGTTTTTCCACTCAAATATTACCTACATAAGCTAATCTCTGTTTTTAGCCAAGTACTACCGGTTATGTGATCCCATAATACCATTTTGTGTACCATGGTAAGTAATATTTAATATTTGTAGATGGTAGCTACGTATAATAATAAATTATGTTAATCACCTTATAATAAAATAATCAGTTATATTAATCACCATCAAAGTGCATATTCTTTCCAATTTTTTAATTGAAAATTTAACGTTTACAACTATAATATATTTTCTAAACATAATAAAGTATTTTCAGAAATTGACATGTCGAGAGGTAGTCTTTCTACTCGTTTTCGTAGTAGTAGTAGTGCTGGGAGCCAAACCTCACACACATCCCATGCAGGAACATGTAAGTTGTTTATCATTATCACTGTCTTGATATTTTTTGCCACAATTACTGTCTATTTTTCCAACTTTTCTTATTATGACATTTTTCGTTCCAGGACCCAAACGCAGAATTCATCTGTAAAGGTCGCTTAGGAGAAGTGGCAGCCTGTCTTTGCAATGACAGTGCTGAAGAGATTGCTTGTGTGAATGCTCAGTTTGTGGACGTTCACGTCTTCGAACAGATCAACACACCGTACCCGGGGATCAAGAAGGTCACCTTCCACGGTAACAACTTCCAAGACCTTCCAGATGCTCCACTCTTCGGACCGTACATCCACGATGACTTGAGAGTGCTCAACATCTCTGCCAACTACATCGTCAACTTGAACTCGAATGCGTTGAAAGGAGCTCCGAACATCAGAGTCCTTGACTTGAGTAACAACGAGATCGTACTCAAGAAGAACGACGTCGGCTTCTTGTCGCATACTCCAAAGTTGACTCATGTAGGTTCTTTCTTTATCAGCTGATTTTAGTGATACGGAACTGGTTTTGATACAGTAATTGCTACTGCTGATAGTATTGCGTTGATAACATTTTAATTTCAGTTACACCTTCGTCGTGCCTTCACGGCTTCTGTTAACAGAACGATTCAGTTCAGCTTGATGATGCAGATGTTCGAACAAGCAAACCTCAAGAATCTGAAGGTAGGTATCTTATACTTTTTTACAGTTTTAGAAACCATATTGACAATTCATCAAATCTTTATAATATACATACATTACAATAGTACTGTAATACATCTTTTTAGTACATCGACTTGAGCTACAACTACCTGACCTCAGTACCGTACAACTTGCCCTGCCCATTCCCATCGTTGGCCGTTCTCGACTTCAGACAGAATCTGCTCAAGAGTCTCCAGATGAATGTTTCGTGTCTGTCGAGCCTGGCCAACCTCGACTTGTCGCGTAATCATTTCCGGTTTTTGGACCAAAACTTTACTCGCAAGTTTGCCAATTACATGCCACCCCAGTCGATTACTCTGCGGAATTACTTTGACTGTGGCTGTAATACCGAGTATCTGGTCTGGTTACGGTCTACTAATACGGTGGGTTTCTTACTGTAATGGGTAGAGGCTTTACAGTAAATATTAAGAAATACTTTAATTACTGTAGTAAAATGATGCAGTATTTAATACCGTGCCTCCAATAATTACTGTGAATCTTTAGGTACGAGAAAAGAATATACTGACGTGCCACCGTGCTTCGCCGAGCAGCTTCAACGGAGCCAAGCTGGTCGAGGTGCAGACCAACCTCCTGACCTGTCCCAATGGGGACTACGAGATGAACCTCGCCTCTCAGCTCAACTCACTGGTCGGCCTGATCGCGGTCGTCTACTTGTTGTTAATCTGAGGTACCGCCTAGTTGCCGCTTCAAACGGGTCCCCAGCGCGACCTGGGCTTCACTATTACATTGTGATTATCTGTAGTATATTCTTCTGCCTGCTTGTATCATACTTGGATATATATAAATTCTAATCGTTTTTTGAGTTTTAAAGATAAATTAAATTTTTACAAATTGAGTTTCTTATCACTTTTAAGGTATTGTGAAGTTTAAACCATACCTAATCTGTAGTTAAGGACCACAAAAAAAGTTAATCTATTTAAAAAAAGCAACTAATGATGCTCTGATTTACAATGGAGAGTTTTGTTTGTTATACAAGGGCCTCGACCGTTGATAAAAACCCACTGATAAGCCTTAATGGCACGCTTTCTGTTTGGCGATCAATCAATGTCGCTAGATGTTTGTGGAGATTACTGTACGGGCTAAATTAAGATCTCTATAGGTAATTTGACCACAAAACCTGTTATAAGTTTGAACTTTAATTGACATTTTAAGCCGAGTTTTAGTAATATTTAGGTAACTAAAAGCTGTCATGATAATATATCATTACTTATCAATTCAAAAACCTTTTTTAAATTTTTACTTAAATGCCAAAGCCTTCTTAAGTGTCTTTCGCTGTACTTTCAGTCCAGTTCACATCCCCCACCGGAACCGAGTGTTTGTCCAAGATATTTGCATATCTTGACCTCCGTGTAGAACAATAGAGTAATGGGCATCCGATTGGACTGGGAAAGCGGCGGAATTTGATTTGGATTGGAGTTGGAGTTAGTGACAGCCAGCGAAATCTTATCCTTGTCATCTCTCGTCTTCTCATTGAACAACTTGTCTTATAACAACATTGCCTCGAGTTTTTGGTTCCGGAAGAAGTCTGACATATTACACTTCCGACCACTTGTTACTTTAATTCATTGAGATTCATTACGTCGGTTCTGTGTCCCTTGGGGTACTGTAGTTTGAGGGTGTTTTGAACATGTTTACTGTAGTAATTGTTATGAGTTTAACCTTTGTTTTATCAACTTTTTTAATTTTGAAACTGGCACTTTTATAGTTTTCTTTGTTCTTTTATACTTTACTGACTATGTTGTACGTTAATGTATGTTTCTTTCAAGCAATGTTTACTTTTCTCGAGTACTATATGCTATTACAAGTAGTATGTGTCCACTCCCACACTCTTAGATATCTTGCGCAACATAGCCGGCACCCTTTTTAATATAGGACTACTTTACTTTCCGCTAATTTGCATGTTCGTATCTTGCGCAACGAGATTATCCGCCCTATAGCGGTTTGGGACCGGCACTTTATTAGCAGCGGGATCAGCTGCCTGATTTATGCAAATTTTTATCCTAATTTATGTGGCCATTAAAGTTAAAAGGGCAGTGCTTACTTTATTTTTGTTAACATATGTAAGCTCAATGTAACTTTACTCCGGCAGTCTACTTCAACATTAGTTAACATAAGAGCTCCTTCCCAAATGACTAGAACTTTACCCCGCCCTTCCCCAAAACGCCATTAATTTGGACATTACTGTAGCGAGAAAGGCCATTACTTTTCCATGTTTCATAATTTTATGACTTTTGGCAAAAGTACGGAGTAAGTCCACTAAGCAGTAATGTTTATGCTAATTAAGAGGCTGAGATTCTCCCACCGGGCCCATGTTAAGGTGAGAGTTACACTTACACCTGAAGGCCAAATGGTGGGAATCTTGGCCAGAACTACCTCATTCTGGCCATGTGTCAGCGATCAGAGTACTCGCGCTGTACGAACTGCTTTAATGGTTGAAGTAAAGTTGCTTTTTGATGATTTATAAGAATTTGAGTTCCAAATGGCATTTATTTTGATTTTGGGACTAAACTATTGATAAATAGATTTCTCTGCATCAGTCGTTTCATTATCATTTAACTTTTGATCGTCGCGCAACTCTTTCTTCCCAAAACTCTTAACAGCCGATTAAAATTTCCAAAAATTTCACAAAATGAATGCGAAATTGGCCCAATAAGCCTAGTTAAGGTCTCTGCCAAGCACTTTCAAACTCAAAGCAAACCCCGATCGCTCATTAGGCAAGTAGTAAAATACACAGCGGCACCTCAAATCCGTCGTATATAATGGTCGGTAATGGAGACAATCGCCTTCCATTCACGTGTGAAATCGGGACTCTCGATTTACCGCCTTCCATTGTTCTAACTGACGTGATATTATAATGGGCGGGAGGGTTGGGGCTAATACTGTCATGTTTGGCACAAATAAGGCCATCAGTCACACGTAGGCATCCAGTGGCATAATAACATCGGGTTCAGGATCGTGCTATTGTTGGGTTGGTGTTAATATAATAATTAGTCAGTAAGTCCTATTGTTAAAATATAAACGGTATATTGTCATCAGCAGTAATGGTTTTATAATGGCATTGCCATCCTTAACATTATTTTTCAAATTTTTTTATTTTACTTCAAATTATTGGCATTTTCACATATGTTTAACATGATATTCAGACGCAAAGCACGTTTTTTATATCATTACTTTGTCATCCCTCTACCTTACCACACCAATCACAACATACGATTGTATACAGCCTGACATGCACGTCAAAACACCCCCGTTAGATGACAAAGCCAATTTTTATTCGATTAGAGTATTAAGTTATGTCAATTAGGTCGTCGTCGTATGTTATTGGGTTTGCTTTTTGCAATTTACATACTTCTTTAAGTATTTATGACTCTTTGTATGGTATAGTAATGTGGGCATAGCATTTCTTTTTGTACTCAACAGTTATGACTAATTGTACGTAGTATATGGAAAATGTAATTCGTGCTAACTAGTATTGTACTGTGTGGTTGTAGGAGGAAGGTAATCTCAAAGTTTGGCAAAACGTCATTTTTTATTTTTTTTGTAAGTTTTGACATTCTAAGTCTTTTTGTCATTTCCTTTTGTATCTGTTGTTACTTTTTAAACTTTATTTCAAACTTTTGAAACTGTTTTGTATTTTACATCTTGTCATATTGAAAACAGATACAAAAACAATTCTCAATTTTACTTATATTATGTTTACATTTTCATAGCAAAACAACTATGCATAACAATATGTATGCCCTTATAGAAAAGAGTACCTCAGCTATTGACTGCGAATAAATTTGAATATTACTCGATATTCATTTGCCCACATCCACTTATCCGTCTAAAGCACCCCTAATAGGATTGCCATTGTAACGTGCACCCCTCTATTATGGAGATCAGACCGGATAAAGCCCCGGCTTTCAAAGTTTAACTTGGCCGCCGTGGAAAGTGCCGCAAATCAGATTTCCGTCTTCTGAAAACACTTCGAGGTCAACTTTCGCGACCTCGTATTTGCTCTAACGCAGGTAGTCGAGTGTTTTATTCAAATAAGGCCATCTCCCCCCGGCTAATTGTGGCCTTTACGAGACGTCGGCAACAATTGCATTTTTGATGAGTTTCGGCTTCTCCCCATCTCCCGATCCCCGAGGCCACTTAAAGATGAATATAACTTCTTTTTTGTGGCCAAGCATGGTTAAAGGGTTTAATAACCCTCGGGTGTTCACGAAAACAATGAACCCACCGGCTGCCAAGGATAAGCGCCGGTCATCATTGTATAGCCCTCCCGAGACGTCAAAACAATATATTATGCTATTACAGTGTATTGTGCTAGACTTATCTAATACCATAGGTTGTGTTATTATAAAATCATGAATCGCTATACTTTGCCATGTTATGACTTTATGTACTCTATTAGTCGATGACCATCGATATATTTCATGTTGATATAGTTTACAGTTCTCAAGTTACGATCCTATTAAGATATACTTTTTTAAGTACTATAGTTAACATTTTAGTAGGCGTAAGATATCTTTCCCTTCGTGACATTTCTATTTAAAACTGTGTTTTCAAATTCCGTGGAATTATACATAAAATCACCTGTTGCGAGTTTTCTTAAGAATTAAGAAAAGAACTCCCCTTTAGGTAATTTACTTTCCTACCCTTTACATACACAACGTGATAACTGAGGTTTGCCAAACTATCTCCAGAAGTCGACTATTGTAATTTGAGTCTTGTAAAAGGACGGTCGGAATGAATCAAACCCTCCCCCCTCCCCTCTCCGTCTTCCATCTCTCCTTTCCGGTACTAACAGCCGGCCTTTGTTCTGATCTTGGGGGGCCAGGTAAAACACCTGCCCGTATACGGAAAACTTGGGCCTGGCCAATTTTATTGTCTTTTCACGCATCAGCGCGCTCCAGAATCCGCGGGATTAGCGAGGCGGACCCAATTAGTGGCGTCAAACAATGTACTTTCGTTGCAGCACAATGTTCAGCCGGCTGGTTATTATCACCGTGTTGGTGGGTTTCATCGACGGCTCCATCATGAGTCGAGAAGGCGACCGTCGAAGGCCTGTAGCCGCAAGTATCGGACAGAAACCAAATCCAGGTATGTCAATTTCTCATCATATTTTGCAAAATTTCGATGTTTAATGTAATATAATAATATTTTATTTCATATTTTACATATAATTTAATAGTGTAAAGTCTTGTTTACTTGTCGATAATATAAAATACGGTTGTTTTTGTATACAAAACCATAATTTGGGAAAAACCAAATTATATTCTGTACTATTCGAATTCTTGGAGCCAAACTTCATTGAATCGACACGGAATGAATCACGATTCAGACGAGAACATGTCTTTCAATGTATAAAAACAAATGTAATCTCCGGCTGAGTTCCGCGTTCAATAGTTAAAAGTTACAGCCAATCGAATCTCGATTTCCTGTAGCACTACACGGAACACTTTTTGTGAGGAACATGGCTAACATAACATAGTTTATGTTGCTAAATAGACCGAAGTTAATCTTTTTAAAGAACATTGTCACAAATGTAACCATTTGAACACAGAAGAACGCTAAAAATATATTAAACAAGCTATATTAACCATAGTTAACACCCTATCATTTCAGAACAACTGGCCTTCTTCTCTCACACAGTATGTGCCCAGAAGTGTATGTTAAACTGTCAGCCAATCATGGCCGAGAACCAAAACACCTTCTACTTGTGCCCTAAGATCAAACCCCCCGAGGTGTCGTTGTCCGACCGTTTCATGGCCAAAGCTTCGTGGCCTTGGATTCTGTTTCTGGGACTGATCGGAACGATGATCTTACTGTGCATGTTATGTTCTTGTTACTCATGTTGTTGTAAAGGGAAACATCACTCGGAACACAGTTCGCGAGAGCCGTTGGCCGACAATCGAACGTAAGTGAAAGGCTGTGAATCGTACGTTATCATTAGAATATTAAGATGATACGACTAATGGCATAGTCAAGATTATACTTTCTCTTTTGTAAATTGATATCAATATATAATAGTTTTTTAAGCCTTGAGCTAATAAATGGTCATTTCAGAAACCTAAGAGACGAGATCGTGGCCGAGAACGTTATCCAAGGCTTTCCGTACTCACATCGTGGCCAACGGATCTCCGGCTCCAAATACGTGGTGGACGTGTAGAATCAGGGAATTACTGAGTAACAGAAGATACGCCATTACTCTCACATTTCAATAGATCACCATCGAACTACGGGTTTTTTCTAGGTATTTTTTGTATGTTTTGATGTACTTATACCCTTTTAAATGACGATAAATATCTTTTCATCAAAACAATCGAGAGTACTATAGCTCATTATGTTATGTTATAGTTCAATTAGTTCGGGCTTATATTTAATGACGTTCTTAAACTGAGTACGTCAAGTGTATTCTTTGCTATTTAGGTCAAAAAAGTGTATAATAAGTGTTGCTGCAAACAATTCTATGAACTTTCTGACCGGAACAGTACCAACATTATCTGTAATTTGTTGTTATTTTACCTTTTTTAATTTGCTTCAAAATTTATGTAAATATGTGTATAATAAAGTTTACTATCACCACGTGCTGTTTAGCTGCTACAGTAAACATGCCATATCTACACTTTACACTTGTCGGGAATGAATAAAACATGAGTCCTTACTAAATTAAATGAGAACTTCCACTTTGGACGCGATTACTTCTGATTGTCGTACCACAAACGCGTGCTCTGCTCCCGTATCATCGATGATAACACGATCAGCTCCGATGATTTTGGACATTTCGTGAGCGTATATCAATGGTACCCATGGGTCGGTAGTACCGTAGTAGAGATGCACGTTCCCCTTGGAAAGCTCAGCTTCCAACTTTGGATTCAGCTCGTTTATGTTAGTCAATTCATCGTCAGCCATGTAGCCGACGTTGGTAATGACGGAACTGTCCAGCAGTTCGGCCGCAGCTTGCACCACTTCCTCTGGTGCTCCACGAACCCAAGGTCGCACCAGAAAGCGGCTTACTTCGATTGGAAACCATTTAAAGATCCAAGTAGCAAAGCGCACTAGTTTTGGATGACCCGATACAAACTACAACAATATCTCTGATATCTTCAGAATCGTGTTTGTTTAGAGTGATATCCAATTCTTGGTACTTTTCAAATCTCAATTAAAATTTTGATACTTACGCTAATCAATCTCCCCATTTTGTGTCCTGCTGGGGTGCTAGCCATGTCGACCAATGTTGGGAACAGTCCAATCAAGTTCACTTTATATCCATCTCGTTCTAGTCGACCCTTCAACCTAAAATAATCTTGCTTTTAAAACTGGCACAGCAGATAAAAAGCTTAATCAAGATTTTTTAATAAAAGACGACTATTTTAATCAAAACTGACTTACACTGTACCAATATAAGCTCCAATTGAGTGTCCTATTACTGTAACCTTCTTTCCGCTCAGTTGTTCAGCAATTATTTGACCAAAGAAATCATAAGAATGGTCCACTTGTTGGCTCAGCTTGTACCGTTCTAAAATTAACTCATTTTACAACAAAGACCTTATTTAAATTGTGCATTCTCTCAAATTACCTTTTTCTTGAACTGGATCAAGCCTTTTTAAACCCGCAGGCAAAGGAATGTGATTCAAATGTGCAATAGTGAAGATCCGAGATATTTTGTCAGATTTGACCAAAAGATACTCACAGAACCGAGTATAAAACAGGTCATTTCCGGGATTACCTGTAAATTAAATTAATAAAATTTGTAATAGATTTCGCTCTAAAACGCTTCATAATAACGCCAAAAAGATTACCTGGTATAACAAACAGCACCTCTCCTTTAGGATTATCTAATGTCTCGGTAACAGAATATCTTGTCCAACGGCCTCCGATCTTTGCCCATTCACAAATAGTTCTGCTCATCCTAAAACAACTTGACGGTCTCAAAGTGTTATGAAAAGGCTGTTTGTAAAAAACTGTCAACGTAAGCACAAATAAGTTTCCTCTCGCAATAAACCACGAACAATATGTTTTAAAACTTCTTATTACCTAAACTATATTATACTTAAAGTTGTCAGCAAACAATATTCATAGCAAAATATTTTAAAACATAAACTGATTAACCCCCAATGCTTATCAATAAACAAAACAAGTCAATTACAGTAAATTTATATGATAAATACACACTTAGAATATATTAGGTAAATTGTGCAAAGTTTATCAACAATATAAATAAGTTATTTAAAGGAAGTTGTGTCTATCATAGAGGCCAAAGACTGTACAATGTTATCAGCGAGCATGTTGTTCACGGTGTCGCCCAAATGTCTCTTCGGATCTCTCTTTCCAACATTCTTGATAGCCAATTGTTCTTCTGTCATCTTGTCTTCATCTTCCAAAGCCTGAAATTAATAATAATGTTTCATTTACCATAGTAACGGCAATTATATTTGTAGCTAAAACATGTTTTTAATTCAAAAACGTTTCAAAACAACTTAAATACGAACTATTTTTAGAATAGGTTTTAAGTTATCAAAAACAAACAAAACGAATGTGAAACCAATAAACCTACCTTTTTGTACAATTTGGCAAGCTTCAACATCTCCTCAACAGACTTCTCGTTGTTCTTGCAGTGGTGATCAAAGTTGGTTAAAGCCAAGGAGTCGTTCCAGCTTTGTTTGTTCAAGTTCAACAACATCTTCTGTTCCAGCTGATGGGTTCTGTAAGCTATTGGAATCGAATAGTAATGTCTGTTCAACCCATGGATCAAAGCTTGAATTGAAGGCTTCTGAAGATGTCCAATGTTAGAAGTTGTCTGTCTAGGTTCCTGGTTCAAAGCAATTGTTTGAGGATTTATTGTTCTGAAGGCATCGATCACGACTTTTCCTTTGACTGACTGAATCGGATCTACTACAACAGCAACTGCTCTGTCGGAAAGAGCTTCAAAACTCTGTTGAGTATTGATATCAACGCCAGACAACCAGCAACCAAAACCAGGGTGAGAGTGATACCATCCGACAACCATTTCAGGTCTTCCGGTCTGCTTCAGCATGTCCAACATGTTAGCTTGAAACACTGGGTCTACAGCTTCAACAGACACACCCTACAAAAACATAAATTACTTTTAAAAGTTCAACAACTCCTTACAATACTAGTTTTTCGATAACTTAACCTAAATTAATACCTAAAAAGGTTTATAAACTTCATTTTTCCTTTATAAGACTGACAAAAACCAAGCCAATTCTATCTAAAGTTCAATTAATATACAAAGAAACTCACGGTTCCACTTTGAGGCATAGCAAAGACATCGATAACATTGACAGTGTACTCATCGACAAACTCTCCCAACATCAAACCCATAACTTCCATCGGAACACCAGCTCTGCCGTGTTTCAACATCTTCAGAAGTGCCAAAGATGAAATGTAGACGGTCTCTGAGGTATCCACCTGGTTGGAGTCAGAAGGGGTAGCTCCACCACTCATCAGGTTTCCACCAAGACCTCCCAGACGAACAAATCGCTCCATTTCTGATCAAAACCTAAAGAATACTTCGTTAATAATCTAGCAAACAATAGTTTAAATATTAAAAAACGTCAATAATATAAGAAGCAATGTTATAACAATAAAACAAAACATTTTTCTTTTTTTCATTACAAAAATTAAAGCCAAGCAAGTCAAACTTTATATTTTTCAGAAAATTATTTTTGCTTACAAAGATTTAGCACTTGTTTGTTTTCGTGGCAGGGCCTAAGCCGCATGGCAATGCTTAATTTTGTATGTGAAAAACCGTGTAAAATAAAATTGTATGCAAAAAATAATAAAAATGAACTCAAAAATTGAAAAAGTGAAAAATTTATTGATTCTATTAGTTGTTTCATTCAAACTCAATCTGGTCGATAAACGATGGGCGATTTCATAGTTGAGGAAACTCTTTGTCGCAAAGATTTGAAAGTTTCTGGAAACAATGCCATCGTCATTACTGGCATTATAGTCGTGGTTTTGTCTACATTACTTGCGTTTGTCAACTCACTTGTCTTCCACTTTGTAAAGAAAAGTGTAAGTGTTTCTTTTGGTCGAATATGATACTTTTTGGTCAGAACCTTGAGTATTATTTTTGCAATTCTTAATGTGTATATTATGTTGCAACAGTAAAACTATACATAACATTATGTTTCAGTTATTATTGCCAATTGTATCCTTTTAGCTAACCGAACATTCGGAAAATCTCGTGGAGCAAACCCACAATATCATGGATGCCGTCATGGTATGTATGTTGCCGAGGTCGCTGATGGCAAAGTTGAGAGGCGAGAAAAGTAGTAAGCCTGGAAGCGTAAGCAAGGAAAGTGTTGCTACCTGATACTTGTGTTTATTATTAAAGGTTTTGTGTAGAGGATATGGCATTTGTGTGTACGTTGATTGATAACTGGTTAATTGACCTCATATATTTGGAGATTTCAAATTATGAGTTAGTTTTCTAAGTATGTAAAATATGGTACTTGTAGGCTATATATATTAGGTTTACTTAAATAAATATGTACATGTCATCGTATGGGAGGTATCCTGTCTTTGGGAGGTTTTGTCTGTAGAAGGTAGGGACCGGAATGTGCTGGCAGTGGTGAGCCGGGATGGGGGAGGGAGTCGAATCCTGAAAAGATTAAAAGTATTAAGTGTTTTTACAAAGTATTATAATTTAGTTAATACGTAGGATTTTCTTAACATGTTAATTAATCGGTTTTATTATTTGGTTCTACTCTTATAATAAGTTGCAGTTACCTGGCACAGGGGAATTGATGAGTTTTCTCTCGAGGACAGGACTTCTTGACCTTACAGTACTTATACACTCGTCCAAATGAGAGGTCAGGAGGTCACATACTGCCAGCGAGTCTGACAGCATCTTCTCGTACACTTCTGGCTGGAATAAACAATCTTTCCTTTGGCGGTGTTCGGCTTTCTTCTCCGAGTTTCGTATCACAGCATGTTTGGGGGTGGATCTGAAATATGTATTAATGAAAATCTATTTTTTATGAATTATTAGATACTCAGTTTAAGATGTTTTGCTAAACTGTCACTACATTTTGTATGTAACGCTCACCGTGCCACAACTGGTTGATTGTCGCCAATAGCCATTAAGGCTTCAGTTAGGTATTCGGGGTCGAGTTCGTTGATACAATCGGCCGAGAAGGCCTTCCCCTTGGCCAGACTTTCTTTCTTCTTCTTCTTGGCCTTCTCTTTGGGTACCAATGTCTGGGACTGTGAAGTCTTCATCCCATCTATCAAGTCTATGTTGTTCTTCTTATTCTTCTGCTTACTTCTTGGCCCTGGAGGCGGTTTGTCTTTTTTGTCGAAATCTGCCAAATTAGTGGTTGATTGAGGAACGACAGGCGTCGCTGACTGTCGTTTCCGTCGATGAAAAACGGAAAACAGCGACGAATGATGCGATTTGCTTGGTTGAAGCCCAGTCGACGTCATCTGAAGGCGTAAGGAAATATTAATCAGGTGATATGTAGATTACTGTTTGTCAAGCGGTAAAATAAAGTAGAAAGTACTTAGACTCAATTACTATTATAATTATTCTAAACTGTAGCAACTAATATACGATATGATATTGGCAGAAATATGACTTGGATGACATAATTAATGCGACTTTAACAGCAGAATGTCATAGTCAACATGAGTCTAATGTGAAACGACATTATTCATGTTTGGGAATGGATTACTTTGATTGAAAATGCATTGGCCACGCGACGGAAGAAACAGACCACGCCTTACTGATTCAGAACTCAGTGTTTGTGTGTCATTCATGCTTATTTGTAGGTCCACTTTAAACCTAACCTTGCTTTACAAATGGCTAGCTTTTATAAATGTACAGTTATAGTAAGAGTTGGGTTTGTCATACTAGTTTAGGCTAAAAGTTAATTGAAATTTTGAGAAATAAGTTGGTTAAAGCACAAGGCGAGAGTTAAAGTCGCATTTTTTTCAGGTTTAAAAATATTCAAATCGAAAAAAATTCTTTTTTGTAATGAATCGAGGATTGAAAATTAAGAAAAATCAGAATCCGGAGAAATTAATTAAAGAAGTCAGGGATCGTAGCCTTGAGATGTAAATGAAGTCATTGGGACATTTGCAAATTGAATCATAACTATTGTAACGTGATTGAAGACAGAGTTAGTCATCATATTATGTTTAAAAAAACAGTATAGTAAGCGCCAGAAAACCTGTAAATTACTATTCATTAACTATAGTAATAAATTACAGAGTTATAAAGAGCAAATTGAGTTATAACTGTGAACAAGATTAAATTAACGGAATCTTATCAATGATTTTAAATAACTTTACAGTATCACTAATTTAAAACTAGATTTAACGCTTAAGAACTAAGTAATAAACACTCGGAACATGTTCTGTCATATGAAAACATCTTGAGAAACGAAATCTGAGACTCTGCGATGACAGTTATGACAACGAAAAGGTAAAAACATAAAAAGAGTCATAAAATACAGAACGAGGAAAGACAATGAATAGGTGTAAGACTGTTTATTGTCTTTTTGCCATAAGTGTTGTTCCTATTTATTGACTTTTCTTCTATATTATCATAGTATTTAGTGTTTTTATACCAATTCATTACTCTTACACACCAAGAAATAAGATAATATGACATTATCTTACAAATGTTAGCCATACACCAGTTTTTAAAATTTACTGCAACTTAAACCCTTCTTAAACCATTATAACCCAAAACAAAGACGAATATGCAAATTTGGAGCGAAAGCCATTTGAGATTACTGAAAGTGTGAGATTACAGAACATGTTCGGATTAACTGCTTGACTGACAATCGACAGATGTGCAATCAACCTCGTTTTACGAGCCTCGGAACGGCGGCACGGTACTGTTCAAGGTCAGTTTTCAAATGGCATACATAAATATTGTTGTACATCACTGTCGGCGTTATAAAATGACTTGTTTTGGTGGTAACGGGTGAAGAATATGACGTTTTTGGTCAAAAAATAAACAAAAAATGTAAAATATAAAGATTCAGAGGCAAGTACTTAACTTGACAATCATAAACCGAGAAATAGCGCTTATACTAATATCTGTATACTAATATATACACATAATATTTATTGGATGATATTATTGTTTGTTCGGCTCAGGAATAAAAAATCTTGGAATTAAAGCAAACACATGGTAAGGCCATCTATTTATTTAAGGTGGATGTGCTCGCAAAACCCCAAAAAACAACTACTAAAGACAACTCGTTATATACCTTAATGTCATCAAAGGTTAACTTTTCCTATTTAAAGGTGCTATAACAAAGTAATAGTAAAATGTGTGTTAAAACACAAAGAATACAGATAACAGGCCAATAAAAGTATAATAAAAAGTAATAGAACAGCTACGTATTACGATGCATAAAGTATCATGTCCACAAAGTTTAAAACTCGTAAAAACAGAATGTTTGAGTAAAGTGACCGCAATAGATATACGAACATATTCAGTGCAAAAAAAAGTTAAGCCGCGTCATTTTTATGACATTTATACTAATTTTCAATACTAGTGTTTAGCATAATGTATAAAAAATTAACAAAAAGTTAAAATTACAGTATTCATATACAAATCCCACTTCCTCCCCCCCCTTCCCACAACAGACAATAAAAAACAAACAGCTTAAGCCGACAACAGTGTTAAGCGGCTGAACAGTTGCAAATAATAGCAAAGCCCCCGAAGCGTTTATAGCCACGGCACAGTAAGTAATGTTTCGGAAAGCCGGCTGAGCCTCCGACAACATAAAATATTCGGTTTTACGACCAGCCTAGTCCAAACAACGTTTTTGGCACAAGACAATAGAGGTGCGAGGAAATTCGATCCCATATTCTTCAGAAGGCCTCCGCGACCGGTTCCGATGCCCTTGAGATCGCGATTCTCAGATTTTTATTTATCCCCTTTAATTACCGTACTTCCGGCTTTGGACTGAATCTTACTTAAGAAATGGGTCTTTGAATGGAAGTGGGTCGCAAAGGCAGAGTTACAACTTGAAAAAGTACAGTAGTCTTACGAAAGCATCAATATATAAACAAAGCTTCACAAACTTTAAAGAATACTATATGATAACTAAAAGAAGTGAAAAAACTAAACAATAAGAGCTTCGAAAACATATCAACAATATATAGTAATGGAAACGTAACATAATGTCAAACAACACATTTCGAGTGTATATTCGTACCAAAAATCACCACAACTATATATAATTTGGAATCAAACTGACATTTGTCTAAGCAAACAACATGAAGGGCTCATATAACTTTTAAATGTCATAAAGCCCCTCCATTCATATGGGATCAAGCCCAAGCCATGATGGATGAAGCCAGTAATTAGCGACTCAAGTGTTTATCAACAAACGTGTGACTTCTGTAGTGTTATGCCCTGAAGGCACAGACAGTTGTCTTTTCGAAGTCGCAAAAGGGCTCTAATTGTTGGTCTTGACTTGTTAAACCAAAACACAGCTGGACGAGAATGACCGCCTCCGACCTCAAATCCGAAAAAGTTTTGGGCCGAATATCCGGAAAATTAGCGGCCGCCCGGCTTCCACGCCGCTTCAGTCGATTACTTTTATTTGATTTTAGAATGCCCCAACTATTTTGACCAATCTTAATTAATTTCACCTAATTTCTCGATTTAAGCAAAGCGCGGCCACCAAAAACAAACAAAACCGCTTTTTAATCCCGAGATTAAACCGTGTTCAGTGCTGCAATTAGACAATGCTCTTTGTCCCATCACGAAACAGTTGCGTGAGGGGCCTGATTGATATCAGAGACTCATAAAAAAGGTGTAAACTTGGCGGTCCGAAAGAGTTATGAACGATATATGATACTAATAGATCAAACATAGAATAGTACCAACACAAGACTCTGTGATTGAAACGTAATTAGAATACATCTAAACCTCAACCAGTAACTCCAACTCAGCCGTAGTCCTATAGTTATTAAAACTCAATCAGTAACACTAAGCCATAGTTCTATAGTCACTTAATACCAATTTCAAAAACTATGATTTATCTTGCGATGACTATAACAAGAACACTTCCTCAAATTGGCCCACATCAAGAGTCTCGATAAACAGACAAACAAACAAGCACGACGTTGTAATCACATCTTCTGGTTATGAGAGACGAATGGATTCAGAAGGCGTCGTTTTCCCCGGAGGCGCGTCCAAATCCAGCAGATCTCATCTCGTTCTGTCAAACGCGCCTCCAAAACACAAAAAGCCGTGAAATTGGTGAGGCGAAAGCGTTTGCGCAAATAAAGGGCTATACGATTCACAATGACGTTACATGAACGCGATGACCTTTTACATTGTAAACGGAAGCTGTACGACATTTTATGGAGCTGAATGTTGTAAAGGATCGCTCGCTGCATCTTCAAACCCACCTTAGTCTTGTAGAATAAAACAACTAGCTTTGGCCACGATAATGATGACAATTTCGTTATAAAAAACATCTTTTCCCAAATTTGCCGCATTTTAATTTTGTTTGTTTAAACCCTCCAACCTAGTACAATATAGTGACCAAAGTGAGTATTTGTATTCGTATGAGTACAATATAAATTGATATTCATTATTAGTATTATAAGTCTTCCTCCGCCGCCTTCTGGGCCGCCAGCACTGACGGGAGGTGAGTCTTCAGTGTGTTCGGACTGTCCAATGGTAAACTCTGCTCCAGAATCGTGTCTCTGACTCGGAAGATAGACATTCTCTGTGGAGTCTTGGCAGTCTGCTTCAGTAGCTGGTCTTTGTTAGGAATCGGAGAGAATGAAGCCGACGTCAGATCAGTAGAGGTCCTTCTAGCCGGAGTATTACCTGAGCGTGTCTCTCTCACAATCTGATGATGCACAAACTTCTCGACATCGTTCTTCGCTGCTTCGACGTACTTCTCCAACTGGTCACAGTTTTCTTGGATATATTCATTCTGGAAATACAATATAAGTTAAAGAAATACTAAAATTCATATTGTAAGATCTCCACATAAATCTTTGGTGTTATCCTTAATAGATAGTAAATTAAGATTAAAAGCTTTACCTCTTTCTCTGCCAGTGTAAACACTTCTTCCGACCCTTCTTCTACTTGAACTGAAGCGTCATCTGTAGCCGACACAACAAGGTTTGACTGTTTTATAGCGTCCAAACATGCAGTTTCTACTTTGTTATCTAGTTCACAAACCTTTTCAGTACATTGTAGTTGTGCCTTCTCTAATCGTTGCACTAATGCCCTATTAGTTGTCTCCGAAACCTAAAATTCAGAATATTATATCATTATACAAACAAACAAATAACTTTTTTCCCTTGCTACCCTTTTTCTACATACCATCAATAACTTACTGTCTTCATCTCTACAACATCTTCCTTCATCTTCTTCAAGGGTGCTACGTTATCTCTGACAATCGTTGCGGCTTCGTTTAGCTGATCCAAAGGTTTCTTCAAGTTGCAAATGATGTCATCGTAAGATCTTTTCCTGCTCTTGTTCTGTTCCACCAACTTGTTAGCCATATCCAACACATTCTCTAACATCTTTTCAGTTTCTTTAGTGCTTTCTTCGTTAGCCTTTGTCAATTCAGCAACCTATAAATCAAAAAACAATTATTCATCTTTTACTAGTAATTACCTTTTCATCCGCCTTTGCTTTGTACACTTCAAACAAGGTAAAGAACTGATCCAACTTCTTCAAAACACAGTCGATTTCATCTGATTTCGTTTCCATATGCTTAGACAGATCATCCTAAAACAGTAGATAGTAAGTTAACGCACTCAATTAATGATAATAACAATATAAAACATAATAACTTACAAAGAATGACTGCATCAAATCAACACTCTTCTTAGTTTCATCTTCCACGCCTTTGTTGTGTTCCGATTTTAGTGATTTTACTGTAGTTGCCAAAGATTTCAAGTCGTTGATGACATTCTTTGTATTGTCGTTGTTACTATGCAAAGCCTTTTTGATTCCATCTCGCAAACCATATACTGAAAATAAGAATTACCTCAAAATGTTACCTAATTTAAAACTAAACACTTAACTTGATAATAAACCAGTAAAATACCATTTAAACCTTACACTTTGTTTCCAGTTCAGATACCGTAGTCCTGCTTCGTACTCTTACTGGCTCCAAAACGTCGGCCTTGGTTTTGTTAGCTTTGCTAATGAAATCGGCCGAGAACTCGCCCATTTTATGATCATTGGTTTGGTTGATCTCTCGGAATTGATCAATCTTGTTCTGGGCATTAGTCAACTCTTCATAGTATACCAATGCTGTCTCATGATGCTAAAGCAAACATAACAATAATAAAAAAACGACTGCCACATAAATAACTCGCGCTTATTAAATTTGTTACCTAAATTGTTGTAAAATCTACAAAAGTACCTTTTTCTCTCGACTCCGAAGCTTATCAGCAACATTTTCGAAGATCTTAAGCGCATCCACAGCTGAACTGTAATTGTTAGACATGTCACTCAGTTCTTTCTTCAACTTTTCGTTTTCTCGTACACGACGTTCGTACCGTGCTGTTCTCGCCTTCAAATCTTGATAAGCCTTTTCGTATTGATGATCCATGTACAACAAGTCTTCGGTCATCTAAAATAACAAAATAAGTGCTAAAGAATCGTAGAATAATACCTAAAACCCTACTTCATAAAAAAATATGAACTTACATTCGATAATTGTGTCAGTTTTTCGGCCAATTCGGCCTCAAGGATCTCCAGCTTTTCTCGGCTTTCAGCGTTTTCCACTTGCATTTGTCTGAAACCCAACTTTTATTAAAACGACACAAAGAAACCGCCAAGGTAGAAATTGAAATCCCAAAACTTACTCGTAGTTCTCTTTATCAACATAAAATCCTTGCCCACATCGAGCAGAAGCCAGATCTCTTTGTAACCTCGCAATTTCTTCATCGTATGCCAATAGAATCCGTTTTCTAGACACACATTTGTTAGCTTCAGGATTGTTTCGAATGTTCTTAGCCCTCTGACCGTATTCCAAAGTTGAGACACTTTCTTCCAAATTGGTGGAAGCCGGACTCAGAGTCGCAATGATTGTTGTGATGGTCTTCCCTCCCAGAGAATCCTGTAGAATTCTTGTCAACTTAGATTCTCTGTAAGGAATGTGACCAGCGTTCGAAGTCAAAGCGTTGATAACTCTTCCCAACGCCAACAATGAAGTGTTGATGTTACCAGCTTCTCTAGCACGTTGATCAATAGCTCCCGAACGCCCAACGTTCTCCGACCCTGCCAAATCGACCAAATGAATCTTACCGACTCTCAAAAGTTCTTCGTCGTCAATTGTTTGACGAGTAGTGACAGTTAGGGTAAATACAGAATGAGAACGACTAAAATATGGCACATTACCGAAGAAATAAATTCGTAAAATAAAGAAATTTAAATGTTAAACAAATTTTATAACAAAAATAACTAATCATAAATATCCTCAACGTACCTGGAGGAGATGTTCATCAAAGTAGCAGCCGTCTTCCTTTTCTCAGCTCCTTTTTTCAAAATTTCATAAACTTCTGTCCGGCTTCTAACTGGAATATCCTCCATCCCAGAAATCACAGTACCCTAAAATGTAATTTATTAGTATACAAAACTATCTATGAAGCTTCGTGTTTTCCCTTAAAAACATACCTAAATCAAAAAAAAATAAAAAACTTACACTATCCTTGCTTTCATAGACTCTGAGTGGTTGATTGTTAATACTCAATAGATCATATAACTGTTCGTTGTAGAGCTCAACATACGATGCCCTTACACTGTAATCTTCAGGTTTTTCGGTTTCCAAAGTTGTGAAAATGTGATGAAGAGCACGAGGAATGATACCAGCTTTGGGATCCTCTTCCCATGAGTATTCGTTAGTCTCGTCGTGATGTCCTTCCATAGTAAACGTCTTACCAGAGCCAGTCTGTCCATAACTACAACATAATATGCATATAACGTAAAATAAGATAAAACTTACGCAAACACAGTGCAGTTGTAGCCATTAAGAACTTGTGCGATCAATGGAGCTACAACATCTTTGTACATAGTAATCTGAGTAGTATCTTCATCATAAACTCTATCAAATGGCCCGAATGGTCGCATATTCAACTTGTCTCGCAGGTACACCATCTTGCTGTCTCGGTCAATAGATGTGATGCTTCTGCCTTTCTCCATGATCTCTTTGCCATTGAGAGGTCTTAAAGTTCACAATAGTTACCGTAATATTATAAATGCTAATTCTCTTTTTATTTTGCAGTTAAACACATTTTCATTCGAAATTGTTGCCTAAATTCTCAAAACTTGAAAAGGACACTAAAAGTAAAATAATTTTAAAGTTAACACTTACCGTACTCGAACCACAACTTGTACATTTCGCTTCCTTTGAGTTTGCTTGGACATCTTGGAGTAAACAGACCAATACAAAACTGGAACAAGAGTAAGATTAAAAAGAAGATGAAGAAACGCCAAAAATTATTTTCTGAAAATTGTTTTTCGAAAAGCTTTTTCGGATTCTCGTATCGCGCATTTTTTTCGCAGTCGAAGGAAGTTCTGGCGTTCTGTTGCAAGCGAAACGTTTTTCGGAAAAATTAGAAAAGATTTTCTTGTTTTTGTCTGCTTTTGGTTCCGCGAATAATTCAGCGAGTATAATTTTACTTTCAGCGCAATATTTATGGGTTTAGAGTGAAAAATATTGAAGTTTTTGATGTGAATAGCGATGTTCTTTAAATTATGTGGTTCATAGATATGAAAAACTAATTTTATATTCGGTTTGTTTGCAGAATGGCCGAAAGAAAGCCTACAGACGTCCCAGATTCCATTTTATATAATGAGACAGCTATCAGAAACAATTTCCAAGTCTTAGAGTATTCAAGGACTTGTCATGCAGCTCTGGCTGGCATTGCTGCTGGTATATTGGGGTTGACGAGTTTGTGGGGATTTGGATTCTACTTTTTGATGGTATTATTACAAGTAAGTTTTATTTTGTTTTCTGAATCTATTTTTAGGCTGGAATTTGGGAAATGAAATCGAACTTTGAGTGGAACAAGTACTTCTTCAGCAGATCTCTTATTGTAAACTACTCGTTTGTTGGCGGTCTATTCACTTATGTCTTGTTATGGGTATTTATCTACGGAATTGTGCATGTTTACTGATAATAAAATTAATAAATAATAATTTTTTAATTAGAGGCTTTGTAAACTGGTTTGAACCACTATTATATTACGTTAAAATATTAAAGAGATCTGATTGCATCAAGTTTTAGCTTTTATGACCGAGGAACTTCAGAAGACAATAGATGAACAGCGAAGTCAACTTGAGAATTACGAAAAGAAATTGAAAGGTAAATCGAAATATGATTTGAGCCTATACCTATTTTGCTTTGAAAATGTTTTGTATTGTTTCTAAAATAGCTGTTTAGATGTTGTGATCGCTTATAAATCTCTACAAACCGAGAAAGACGCTTTACATGCTGCTTTGGTTGCTCTCGGAGAAAAGTCAGAAAACAATTCTGAAGTTGAAGAAAGTCCTCAAAATGAGCCAGTTAATGAAGTCGACAGTCTTAAGCAGGCTATCACAACATTGACGAAAGAGAGCAAGAAGAAGGAATTGGTGTTCCAAGCTGACAAAAAGCTGTTGTTGTCTAAAAATGAAAAGCTACAGACGATGGTCGATAGTTTACAAGTCAATAATAGTAAACCTAAAGATATGGTAAGTCGTATGATAATCTTTCGAGTTATTTTACGAGTTTTGTCGGAAGTAAATATTCAAAAGGAATATTTTTAGCAGAAGTACATGGAAAAGATACGACGGCTAGAGGAAGACAAGGAAAAATTATTGGCGGATCATGGAGCCATGTTAAACAATATGCAAAAGAGATACGCTGAAGAAGTGACAAAAGTGAAAAAGTGCGAACAGACGGTAAGATCTTCTAACTTTATTTTACTTTAACTTAGATATCAAATTTATACAAACAAATTCACGAGAAAGATCAACAACTTCAAGCTAACTCGACTATTGTAACACAGTTTGAAAAAGTACAAGACGAGATGTTAAGGTGGAAGAAGCAGGCTGAAAGCACACCAAGAGAAAGCATTTTAATCCATCAGTTAGAAGAATTAAAGGTAGGTATACGTTTATAATAGTTGTAGCATTTTATCTGCTTTACGATAAATTATTCTCTATGACACTTTATGTACATTTTTTACATCGTAAACTTATAGAAAACACACAAGGAAGAGCTAGAATTGGAGAGAAACAGAAGGTCAGCATCTAAAACTGTAGATGAAAACAAAGAAGGTAGGATAACAGAACTAGAACAACGGGTAGAAGACCTAACTAACAAAACAGTCACGTTGGAGCATGACAAGTTCACGTTGAAAGAGCAGTTGGAATATCTTGAGAAAAGTAATACAGTTACAGTAAGCTCTGAAGTACTACCTCAAAAGAACCTAAAACTTGCATTTATAAAGATGTTCGAGAAATTAAAGGCTACAGATGGGTTTGATGTTTACAGTAAGTTTTATAAAGTTTGTTATTTGCATAGTAAATATCATGTTTAGTTGTTTTAAATAGTGTTACAATGTAATTATTTCAGATGTCCTTTCTATTGAAAGACCTTCTGTGCTGCCATCTGTCTCTGAAGTTCACGGAAACCATATAGAATCAACAGCAAGTTGTGACAAGTGTCACGAGTCTAACAAGGAGCTACAGTACTTCAAAAGTGTGATCACTCATCTTCAGACACAGGTCAAGATGCTGGAGGAAAGTCAAGAACAGTCGAGGAAATCACATGAAGATGTAGGTTTAACATTATGTAAATGCTAGTCTTGGAGATATTATTACGATTATTTGATAAATTTGACGTATTATGTTTGTGGCGTGTTTAAAGTTGTAATTTTAGGTAGCCAAGTCACTTCGAAACAGAATTATTGAGTTGGAGCATAATCAAGAGAAGACATATTCAGAGTTAACTAGCGAGACCAAAAGAAAGGTGACTGAGTTGGAGCAGGAGCTACAGAAGCAGAGGGAACGAATGGTTATGGTGATTGAGGAGAAGAACAGAGAAATCGAAATCGTCAAGTAAGTTGATGATTACTTGTTGTTAAAGAGATATTCCTACTTAATAATTGGTTTATATACTAATGAAATATAACAGAACACACTGAAAATATTTGATATATTGATACTTTCAGACATACGATAGAGCAGATGAGGAAGACGCATATCAGTCATGATCCTATAGATCCATCTCCAGATCTGTTTAACAGTTCTGTGGATAACATGAACAGTGTGCTGAACAGTTCGTTTGACGAAGATGCATTCTCTTCACACCCGAGGAAAAAGTCTAGTACTCAGTTTGGCGACTTCAGAAATGTTTACTACGAAGAACAGATTCAAAAGCTAGAATCTGAGATAAACGAGTTGCGGTAGGTATTAAACTAATGCAGGCAATAATGGTCTTTTAAAGATGAAACTTCGTAACCGCCCAAACTTTTTAAAGTTATAACTTTTTTCGACACAGTAAAAAATATAGTCCTAATAGTTTTTTAAGATTTAATTTTTTCTGTTATCAATTTATTCAAGTGCGTGGCTAGCATTTTTTAATTATGTGAAAACTTTTATTTTCAGAAACGTCCTCCGACTTTCCGAGCTTAAAATTGGGGATATGGAGCAAGCAAGTCTGACAAAAGACATGCAATATCTCCAAATTATTGAAGCACTGAAGGAAGAAGTAAGAGTATTGGAAGGTAAGTGAATACTTCAAAATTTTCGTTTAATTAATTATTTTGGAATCTGATATTGAATTTGCAGGAAAACTGAACCTCCAAAAAACAGATACCAACATGGAATACCTTCGCAACATCTTCGTTCAGTTCATGAACTCAAACAGTAGTACGGGTAGGAAGTGTGTGCTTCGAGCCATGGCATTGGTGCTGAAACTAACCCCAACCGAGATGAAAAAACTGGAGAAACTAAGTATTTAGTTCTTATCACATTACTAATACGTACTGGTGCTGTTGCAAGGTTGATTCTACGTTTTATGTCATAAATATAAGATTTTAAAAATTTTCCTAAAGATTAGAACCATTCTTGCAGCAGACAATAAATGAAAAATACTCACATTATTTCTCGTGATTTTATTAAAACGACATTATCCTTTGATTTCTTTTGCCATTTACAACATAATCATTTTTGACGGTTAGGGTGTGCTACCTTCTTTACTGTATCGTCTTTTAAAACTAGTTACTGTATCTAGATTGTAATTATTGAGTTTAAAACCTTTATGTTGTATATTAGTCTGTCATACGAATTGAAATTGTGCTATGTGATTGTAAACTGTCTGTACAGTGGTAAAATAAACACGGTGAAATTTTTAAAAACGTTAAGAGTCAAACATAATTTTTCAGTTTTATCCAGCAGACCAAAAGTAAATATTTTATCCTTTTTCACCTTACTGACATTAATAATCTCTGAAAATCATTCGCCTTTATTGTTCAGTAACAAAACCTCGCGTGTTTTTATGAAGCGCTGTTACAGCGTATAAAGTTTTCTAGATTATTCTGCAGCATTGGAGAAGCACGGACGCAGTTCGGAGCCGGAAAAATCGAGAAAAGACTAGAAAAATACAGAAATAATAAAAAGATAAACATGAGTTTAACTTCATTTCGTTTTCATAACATTGTTGTGAGTATACACTGATCTAAATGAGTGCCTTCTGTTCATTTTCTTTCAACCAACAACCTTTACATTTTCAACCAACGTACAACATGGATGATTCGGTCGCTACTTCATTTTCGCCCCGCCGGACAACGTTGAAACGTCAAATGGTAAGGTTTTTCTGATAAATTTAAACTTTTTCTTTGTTTTTCAAAAACATCTGAACGTTTTGATTGTTTTTTGTGATAGGTTTTAAAGTTTGGCTTTTAGTCTGATGAAGACACGATGTTTAACGCCTCCAGTCCGAAGAAACCTCATTACGAAGAAGGTATCAGCACGGACTTTGACGGAATCAGAATCTACGAGAATTCCAGCGGCTCCAACTCTCCACAGACGCCTATTATTGTCGAAGAAGTAGATGGATTTGAGGAGTAAGTTGTTATTATTGTCTTGCTTTTAGATTATGTACTCACAGCTATATTCGCAATCCGTTTACAATCAAAACAGCTTTCGAGTTATGTTTTGTGATAAAGTTTTAGTTTTCAGATTGTCGGATGATGCGTCAACGTCTTACCAATACGATAATTCTACCGAACAGCCGGTTGTCGAAGAGCCAGCGGAAGAAGAGTATTTTTTATTGACGGATGAGCTCAAAGATTACATATCACGTCTAAAAAAGCATCCAATTATACCTCGTAACTTGAAAACGGGTAAAGAGTTGATTCCGTACAATATGAACGACATGAACAACAGAATCCATGAGGTGGAAGAGCAAGAAGATGCTGAGTTCGAAGAACTAGCTCCCAACGATCTCAATGAACCAGTCGATCCGGGAAGTTTAGATGAGGATGCCATGGAGATCGATTAAATATTATATTAGTTATGCCTAGTTGTATTTATTTTTGTACATATTAAATGTTAACGTTACTATCACTGATTGATTTGTGACTCGTTCAGAAGTATAAAAAATCATAATTTTCTCACATATTATAATTAGCTAGTGAATTCCATTTAAGTAACACATAGTATGATTACAGTTCCCGGTACTCTTGACATTACTCTCATATAGAAACCGAATTTATTTCGTACTGTACAGACTACAATATGACCCGTATTGAGGAAAATAACTTTATTCTTTCATGTTGAATCCACTCAGCTCTCTGTACGTCTTCTGCATCAAATTTCGACATTCTTCGGTTAAAGTGTTCACATCCTTGCCTTCAGGGTAAATCTTGGGCATGATTTTAATGTGAACTTTTCCGCTACCCAACCAAATCTTCTTATCGTAATCATAAAAAGGTTTATATGACGAAAAAACACATGGAATGATTGGAACCTGGAAATAAAAGGGTAAACAACCACTTCACGTGTCCAGAAGTGATAACGTTTTATAAATAAGGTTGCGTAGCTTAGGAATTCAGAGATCACAACAATAATACTTTTGCCACTTACATTAACTCCATGAGCAATAATGAAAGCTCCTTTCTTAAATGGCAGCAGCTCTTCCTTGTTGTTCCTCGTCCCTTCTGGGTAGATGAATATTTTCTTTTTGTATTCTTTGATTTCTTTCCGAGAAGTATCTATCGTCTGATGGGCCTTATCTTTGCTGAACCTGTCGACAAAGATGGCACCAGACAGCCAAGCGCAAAAGTTGAAAAATGGAACGTACTTCAAGCTGTTCTTCAACATAACCACACAGTTCTCCGGCCAAATATGTGTCATCGCTTAAATAAATAATTGAAATTTGACTTTATTTATAAGGAATGTTATGTAAAATACAATTAATTAACGTTAACACAACGCTATCAATAAAAAACTTACTGAACACGTCAATAGCTGCCTGATGGTTGGCTATGAGAACATAGGGTTCTTCCGATTCCAATAACTCTTCATTCTCTATCTCGTACTCTATATTCATCCATGTTCCTAACTTGTGGAACACTCCAAAGATAATTCTAAACGCAAAACAGCTTTAAAAACATATTACCTTACTTACGCATGATTTTTGGCGGTTCTTCCATTAAACAGACACATCCAAAACGAGATGAAACATGTTGCAAGAATTGTGAAACCATATAAAACGCTTTTTACATAAAACCGGAAAACATGAGAAATTTGTAAGAGTGTAAAGATAATCACTAGCGCCGTTGCCAGCCACAGAAGACACGCCATGAAACTTATTTAATATAAGTTTACTCAAATGTCTGAAAAAAAAAAGAATTAAAACATCTCTGACGATTTAAAATCAGGCGATTCAATTGTATGTGCGAAGAAAAGTACTTTTACCAACCATGAATCATATTTTACGCAAAAAACCTTCTATGAGAAAGCTGGCCATAAATAATATAGCATAAAAGGAACTAAAACCAAGTGAAAATAAAGAAACTAATCCTGTAAACAAAGTTTGAAGCAAAAAAGAAATGCGTGTGATAAAAATGAAGACGTCAACCGGCAGACTACAGTCGTATCACGTGATCTCCTCACATTTTTTGCCAAAAATTGTCAATTAATAAAAAAAGGAGGACTTGACTCATTATTTTCTTTGAGTCAGTTCTCACCCTATTAAGCCTTGGCCGAAATTTTTAAATTTAAAAATGTAAAAATTTTTATTTTGAAAATTTTTAAGTTGACAAAATTGATTGTAGGTATTTTTGTTATAGTTAACAACTTATTAATGAACAAAATTAAAAAGGTTATAGCAAATCACACCATCTTACAAGAATATGCTATAGTAGACACAAACTTAATATACATAAACGTTTCGGGTTAATATAAAACAGCCGCCACTATTTAATTCACACGGTGATAAACAGACTGACGAATTAACACAAAAACAAATTATTCGATTAAATTAACCACGATCACATTACTAAAGTTCGTTGAGCAAAATGTGTAAAATTGATAAAAGAAGGTAAATGATGTTACTTTGTATAGTGCAATGTGCAAAGGACGTGAGATGAAATTGGCTCTTCAGATACTCGCAATAACTTGCGTAGTCTTTGTTGCAATTGAAGCTGTGTTTTGTAGCTCTTTGTCATAAACAATATAATAACTAAACAAGGCAATTATCAACATTAATATACACACCATTTTTGACAAAAAAGTATATTTTATGTGACAGTGTAAAATGTTTTTACTTTATATCTTCACAGTAATATCACTGCGACTAAAACACAGTGCCATTATAAACTTGTACCGTGCACTGGTTATGGTTCTGTTAATCAGGTGTGAAGTTGTTTGTTAAGGTGTGTGTCGTATAATGGAATGTTTGAACAGTTTTCAAATCCGGTCTTCATGCAGAAACTTTGAACAAAGATAAGGTAGCGATTAGGTTTCTCCGCGAACTTGAAGCCGGGGCTCTATTTTCGAATCGGAGCTCTTTTTTGCATCGTGGATAGAGGAAGCTGGGGACGGGGGAGGGGTTAACGGTCACTCGGGAGGTCGGGAATTAAGCTTTGTTCGGGAAATGCAGTTATTCGCACTTTAGGGCCTATAGCAATCATTTAGGCGATTGTCACCGTGATAGCACCATCGCACTCATACCATTATTGTACACGTTGTATGATGGTGTATATTTTACGTTGTAAAGTATAGCGATGATTACTTGTGGTTTGCATGTTTGGTATTACTTTATGCTTACAGATTGGTTAAGATATAGTATAAAGATTAGTAGGAAGATATTAAATGATTTTTAATGTATCTTGCCACATATACTTTACAAGATTTAACACGTAATGTAAACGATACAGAATACACGTAGTAATGCTTACGTTATAAGAATACAAAAAAGTTACATTATTTTAATAGCTTCTTGACAAGTAACTTGAAATGTTTCCTATCTTACCGTGAAAACGTTGGGTTATGTATGTATGTACTGTGAGGATAGATCCTGTTGGTTCAAAACAAATATCTTCGCTACGCTGTAACGTAGCGTCGCGCTTCCTGAAGTTTTGTACGCGTTTAATGTAAATTAATGTTTTAACGGCTACATATGTTTTTATGATATTTAACCTTAATTTATATCGTTAAACGACATTATTTATATATATTTTGATGACTTAAAAAAAACTCGCATGATATACGTGAACTCTTACGATATTGTTTTTCTAAAATTTTATTTTGATTTTTCAATTTTTGAAAAGTTTACCAACTCCAGATATCAAACAGAGTCAGCGCCAATGTGGCGCTCTTTTTGGCCTTATAGTGCCATAATCACCATGACATTTCTCTCGACTGTACATTCTTCTACTTTATATCACTACAATCGTCATTTAGCAAATTCAGCGAGGTTTCTGAATCGATTTCACTTGAACACACCGCCACTTGAAGTACCACCTTTGATAGGCATGGAAATGGCAGAGAAGACAGACGAAGATTGCTCTGTCTTCCCAAATCAAACCCTTTTCGAACCTCACTTCTACAGCTGCGACAGTAATGGTAAGAAAAGTTTTATTTGTGATACAGTAGACCGCACTTAATGTTACATAAAACATTGAGTTAAAAAACTAAAATAAGTTTAGTTTTACCGTGATACATTAGGTTTGTTACCGCGGTAAATAACCCACGGTTTTTTTGCGGTTTGTCCAAACAAAAATAGCCGGATTAAATTGTTCTTGAATTTGTTTGAGAAGCGTGTGCACGAGCTTCAGATTATTAATTAAACACACGTTAATCACCGTCATCGCACTTCACAGTGTTTGTTTGAGAAGACGGTGTTCATACCAGTGACTAACTCCTTGTCGATTGGTTATGACACAAGTACTTTTATTTTATGACACAAAATATTTTAAAATAGTATCTAGTTTAAAACAGGGTTTGTGATAGAAAATATGTGATTCAGTAAAAAAAGCTTTTTAAAAATCTTATTTTGCCACCATTAGTAACATTGGCCCAATTTGAAATTTTTATAACTGTAAAGGTATTGTAACATTTAAAAAATTTCGATATTTTTTAACTATTTGGCAGAATTTTACCAATGTTTTTATTTAAAAGAATTTAAAATACACAGTACTCTTAATATCGTATATACCATATAAACAGTAAGTTGCTTTCAGACAAGTCATCCCAAATCTTTAAATTGCACGATCTGGCCCTTTCAAATCAAACCGGTGATTATGTTTATCCTCTGGACTTCACTCAGCCGCTTAGGGTCTTTTTTGATTTGACCAGCTCAGCCAATCGACGGTAAGTTTAACAGCGTACCATAACTAATAAAATAACATAAAAATAATAGAAATTCGTTATAAATTAGAATAAAATAGAATTGCATAAATTTTGTTTCAAAACAGTCGTACCTTTACTTATCTATCTTGCAGGTTTGATAACATCAGAGCTGAAGTGACATTGTTCCGCCGAAGCGTAGGATGGTTGGGCTGTGGATGGTTTTACATTCCAACGTTGGGAATGTTAGATAACTATGACATTTGTGGAGAAGACAACCTAAGTTGCCCCATATACTCAGGTCGACAGGTCGTTGAGGTTGTTTTAAGGCCCAATGTTTTGTTTTTGGCGCTTATGAAACTAATACACAGTGATCGGGTAAGTCAAGTTTTGTCCAAAGTAAAACAAGCACTAAAAGTATATTCTTTATACACGTTTGAAAAAAACTGAAAGACAGGATTATGTACTAAAAGCGTTTCCAGGTCCCATACCAAATAATCATCAGGTTAATCAACAATCGCAGTTCGTCCGAGGAGTTGTTATGTGCCGCCTTCCAAGCTCGACTAAACTTCTGAACCAAGAATCTCAAAATGTTAACGCATTATATTATAGTAATTGATGTTTTTGTTGTTACTAAACTATTACAAGTACTGGTGATACGATAATATTTGTAATATTTAAAATATTACAATTTAAAAAAAATAAAACTGATTTTTACTGTCAATTAACATGGCGCAGAAAAATTATTGTAATTTAAATACTACATCTACCCGACCCTCTACCCTTACCCACCGTCAACCCTAAACTAAAGTCTACAACCCAAAAAGATCTTATCCAAAGAAGCCCGAATTCCAGAAGCTTGCATGCAAATTTTAAAGTTTAAAATTTTAGACGTACAAGGAAAGTGCCCGAACTGCCCCGTTCTGATTGACTTCAAACTTTTTATAAAGAAAGATCATGTAAATATAAGATCTTCAGCAAAGTACTGAATCGCGCTTTCAAGTAAATCTCGAGAAAATCGAGATTAAAAAATGCCATTTTGAATTTTCCGCCAAATTGTGTTTCAAGCTTGTAACTTTGTCAGGTTTTGACTTTTAATAATTTTTCTTTGATATACTAGTAGAAAACCTTTAAATAAACCTACATTTTTAAATTTGTAAGCGTATCTTGTCTGGAAAGCCAAAAAAAGTGCTTGAAACACAATGCCAAATTGGCGGGGTACCCAAATAATTTAAAATTAAACCTCAAGAGCGCGAGCTAAAATTTTTTATGGGTACTATTGGTGGTACAAAGAATTCATATAAAAAATTTTGAGCTGATTCTGAGCGGGGCAGGTAGGGTACTTTCCTTGGTAGATGTGTATTACTGCGCCCTGTCTTCGCAACCTGCAAGAAATGGCGGGCTGATTTTCGCAAAAAAATTCAAGTAAATATTTTTATTTTAGTGCAAAAAAATGAGGTAGTTGTCAATAATATACGTTTTTAAAATTAAAATTTATTTTAATCTACAATTTATTTAAAAGTTAGTTTATTTTTTATATTTATTTTGGCCTAAAAATAAAACCTTTGTTTTGCTGAACGTTAGCGAAAGAACGTGAAATTTTATGCATTATCTTTGAAAAATAAATAAAGGTTTCTCAATTTGATGTGACTAACAACATGATTGCTTCTATGAAGCGTTTAGCTGCGGAAATGACGGGTAATAAGCCTCGTATATTAATGGACTTATCTGATTGTCCTAATGACGTTTTGTTTGAGATATTCTTGAGATCTAGCTATCTTACTGTTGTTAGGTCTTCTCTGGTAAGTTTTTGTTGTTTTAGGTGTAATATTGAACAGTTTTTTTCTTGGAATTAGACGTTTTAAGCGATATTTATACGTTTTGTTTTGATTCACATAAGTAAGTCCCCTTTCATGTTTTTTTTTTAATTTTAGGTATGCCGACAATGGAATTCCATAATCTACAATCACCGGTTTTGGTTTCAAACGTTGAAGAAGGATAAGAGTCTACGTCATATTACTCTTGAACAGCTGAGCCAAATTGAGATTCATTACTTACAACGTACAATAGCAATGAAGGCGTTTGAGAGAAACTTGATTAACGACAACTTCTTTATTGAAGAACCGAAGTTTGACATCAGGTGGTCAGATTGTCATTCGAACAGAAGAAGGTATGAATTGAGAAAAATTCAGTCTATAAGTATTTTTTATTGTTTTTACACTTTATGTTAGTATTTGCTTTATTAATATTCTTACAACGTTAATATAGGTAACATTTTAAATATAGAGCGCGAGAATGGAAGGTTGAATCACCACCAAAATTCCTGGAACCTCAGCGTCAAGGTGCTCTAGCGTTGGATCAATGTGACCTACCTTTCGAAAGTTGTATGGTCAGTTCGTATAGTGAATGTGTACGTTGGATTAGCGTGAATTTGTGTGAGTATGGGTTGACTGTTGAGTTTCTGAACAAATATAAGCCGACCATTGTCATCACTGAGTATTACACAAACCGAGCTGATTGTGGCTGTACTTACAACATTGAGACTTTGCTCCGGGACTCTGAGTAAGTTAGTTTATATAATTAAAGTTTTATAACGTAAGAAATGTGTTGTCTTTGTTTAAACTTATTTATATGTTTTTTACATGTTCTTTGAAATATATTTTATGTTTTAGCAAGCCTGATCTTATGTCCGACCCAGACAATCGACGCATCGTAGCGTTTGAAGATACTATTGACCAATGGCAAGGTAGGTGGTTGTTTTAATTTTAAATCTTGTGATTTTAGATCAATTTTGGAGAAAGGCCGAGATTGTCTATGACAATTATCCTGATGGTGCCCACATTGTTGACATTGTTACTAGAGGTAAAGACCGGCAGTTTTGGGCGGGAAATTACGGTTCAAAAGTGGCTGGTACTTCCATCATTGTCAAGTTTGATTTTAACAAGAATTCGAACATGAATTGAAGTGTTTCATACTATGTATTATTATATGTGTTTAATTGTATATTTATATAAATAAAATTTTATTGATTATGTTGGTGTTAGGATTGAAGGATAACATGTTTTAAACATATTTTATTTACTATTGCAATAATAGCTGTTGGTAACTTATTTTTCTTTGAAAATGATGTGTAATATAGCTTGTTTAGATGAGTCTAACGTTGTTAAGTGACAGATACGAGAGTGAATATCCAAGTTTGGTTAGGGAGGTTCTTGATCATGGTAAGCGAATGTATTTTTAATATTATTGTGTGTTTAGCATCTTCTGACACTCCGATAGTGGCATGTTTGTGTGAAGGAGGGTACTGTGGACTGCTCTGTCACAAAGTTCTTTTTGTTTGGAATTTTGATACTGTTGTAAGTTTTTACATTTTAAAAAAGTTTTTTTTGGTTTATACTGTGTTTTTGTGAATAATTTTTACTATTTATAACGTTATTTTTAGGTTGATGAACTACCTCATGCTTTCCGGCTGTCTTTACCGTCTACTGGCCTGCAATATAAAGCTAAAAATGTTTGTTTCTACAAGCAAAGTGGCAAGAAGATGCCTTCTATATTAGCTGTAAGCCCTGAGGGATGTATTAGACATTGGTCAGAGATTGGAAAGCCACACAAAGACTTTAATGTTGATCTACAAAATGAAGTTGCTCATTCTATTGTCTTATTTGAAGCTAAAAGTAAGTTTATTAAGGTAATCTGAATTGTAATATTTCCAGTTTATTTAAAGCTTTAAACTAAAAATACCTAATCTTATTCAGATCATGTTCATCGTTTTATCTTCTCTACAACAACATCAACCTTCTTCTTGGTGGAAGTGTTTCACGATGGCAGAAAAGCCGAGCATGTTGTAGTACGCCCTTTGGAGATGAACACTCATGTTGGTATTGGAAAGAGAATGAGCTTGATGTTGTTTGGCAACCCTTCTATGGACAGAGAAACGTATGTATTGTTTTATGCAGTCCAGAGTTTTTGAATATGTATGTAATTGATAAGTGTTATATGTATATGAACATGTGTTGGACGTATAATTTATGTTGTTTTAGAGTTGTAAAAGTAGTATCTTTGAGTGGACGTTGTGACCTCAACAATGCTGATCTTATGGTTGTCTTTCACAGAGTTATCAGATTTTACTCTGTAGCTCAATCTACTCATTTATTTGCGATCGAAACTCATGAATTGATCTCAAGGGCGTTTGAGAAACAGGTAAAGACGAACTTTTAAGTTTTTGTATAATTTTTTTGAAAGTTTTTTTGGAGCTCAAAGTTTGTATCAGTTATTAATGTTTAAATTTGTATCGTTACATAATTTTTAGGGTTTAAACAGTGAAAATGTTAAGCACCACTTACTAGACACGGTACCTTATGAAGGAGGATTTCTGGTTTTGGTTGCGATTAACAATGTCACTTATGATTGTCTGGATTTCTACTTAGGTATGTTTTTCTTTAGTTGATGTATTTACGGTTGAAAATAACGTATAATTAAGGTATTTTTAGGTTACATTACTAGTGAAACCAAGCGGACGAAAGAGTTTGTGGCACTTAACAAACTGAATATCCCAAACCGATACAGTATTCAGGTATGTTTGGGGAAAATTTTGCTTATGACAAAGACATGTTATAAGACTTATATGATATGTAAAATGATTGGATCTTGCAATGCTACTACTTATTGTTTATTGTATCTTCATAATAAAATTGTATTTAAGCGCAATATTACTGTACTTTTAGATTCCACTTCACTCAGTAGCACTGCCGACTGTTCGTCTCCACACTCCAGAATCTTCAGAATGTGTCATTGTCTTTAATAGGTTCATTTCGGTAGTTAAGGATCCAAAAGAAGAAGATGCTGAGAATGTGGTAACCGAGGGAATTGATGAAAGAATTGTGGGGTCGGAGACTATGGACAATCTTTGTCATATCGTACTGAAAGATTCTGGAGTTTGTGCTTTGAGGAAATTGCCACGGTAGGCTTTTTATCATAGCTGATTTAGTGTAATTTGAAATTTCAATTTCTAGTGATAACAACAGTCCTTAATGCAGATTGTTTCAGAAATTTTGACTTGATGTTCTACAGACGTGCCAAGAAGAGTATGGATGTGATTTTCGAAGACTTTATGGGTACAGACTTTACTCAACTACGACAATCTTTTGTCGCTTTTGCTTCGAAAGATTTGTACGAAGCTGAACAACTATTTTGTAAGCTGAGAGAACTTGAAGATGGTGCTTTTGGGTCTTTGGTCCTCAAGTTCGCTCTAAAATTCATTGACCACGAACCCATCAACGATCCCAAATGGAAAGGAGAAAGTGGAGCTTACCAATACGAACAGAACTCGGCCGTTGTCATTATGTCACAATTGAATATGAAGTTGTCCTTCTTCAACATGTTGTTCCTGTTTCTGAAATACTTTAGAGCAATTGACAGGGTAGGTTGATACATAGGTATTGAACCGAATCTACATGTTTTACTTGTATTGCATGTTTTTGTGTAATATTAACAAAGACTTTCAGATGGACGTGAAAACATCAGAGATGAAGAAAAGAACGGCCAAGACGGAGTTTGTGGAGCTTGGGGAAAAGCTACGGTCGATGATCGTTCTTTTTGATTTCCTGACGACTTCTGAAGTCTACGTGGTTGATGGTACTGTTCAGCAGTTGGCCAAGGTCTTCAAAACCCAATTCGACCATCCCAGCAACCGAAATCTAAATGCGTATGATCATTTCTTCAAAGAAGTATCACACTTCGAAGACTTCATCTCCGAGCTCGTGAAGTTTGAGATCGAAGAGTTGGATCAGTGTCTGGAGGATTATTTGACCAGAGCAAGAGTCATCACCGAAGTTGGGACAGCTTTAGACAAGATATGTCAAGTTGTCAACGATTGCCGCGCTTTGGACAGTTCGCTGGATAACAAGTTGGCTGCCAACTGGCTAAACGATCCTAAAGTTCTCAAGTACATCGAAAAACATGTAAGTTTAATAGTAATGTAGAGTAGTTGAAGTTATGTTAAATTTTTTTTTCTAACATGTGGTCTTTTTAGATCAAGTTCGCAATTGGATTGCTGGGCAAAGAAAACTCCCAGTTGGCTGAAGTAAACTTGAAAATTCTGTTGGAGCAGATGAAGGTATTGATCAGAGTGTTGTACAGCGGTCTGGAGAAGAACAAGAAGCTTCAATGTACCGTCATATCACAGCTGTATGACAAAGGACAGCAGAAGGAGGCCTTGGCGTTGGCTGAAGAATTCCAAGTAACTTTTTTACTTAATTTCAATCTTTAACAACGACTATTTTTCACGCGTAAAGATTAATCTGAGTTTAGGACTTCAATCTGATCATCAAACATTCTCACACAGCATTGGGAGACGATGAAAGAAAGGGGTACATTAACTTCATGAAGGAGAAGTTTGAAGGAAAAGACTTTGATTTGGTACTGTATGATTACTACAGAAGGAATGGTAAGTGATAACATGACGGTATGGGACATAATTTGTCAAAACTTGAAGAACGATTATAAACAAAGTACTGTTTCAGGTATGGTAGAATACCTGTTGGAGGAGAAAGGAGAACGTCTGGAGACTTTCCTACGCTCTCATCAGAACATCAACTGGATCAGGAACATCGAGAAGAAACAGTATCAGAAGGCGAGGAAGTTCTTGAAGAATATGATGTTAGAGACAGAAGTCGCACCACAAAAGGCGGCAAGTTGACAATTTAAAATATTAATTGGCCGAAAAGAAACGTCTCAAACTTTTAAGTAATGACCATGCACTTGAAGACAATTAATAAGTGAAAATATATTTAACCTATTTTTAGACAATCGCCGCACTGGGGAAGCTGTGTGCTCTATGTGAAGATGAAGAAAACTCAAAAGAACTGGCCGAGTTTACCGATGTCATTAAACTGGTGGAACTTCAGGAAGCCATCGATCCTACTTTATTACAGGTACGCGGCATTGTTCACTTTTTTGTCTTTATTAGACCCGAAACTTTTTCGTTAATATGACTTTACATTGTAACTAACATGTATATCAAATCTCAATCCAACTATTAAAATGGTTTCAGAGAATTAACCCAAAGAACAAAACGATGACGACCCAACAGATTATCGATGCGTATCTACAAGAAGAAGGCTGCCGAGGCTACATAAAGGCGTTGATCATGGTAGCATCCCTGCAGACATCAGCCTTATCTCCCATTGGTACGAAGCAAGCAGAGTTCTACGTCAACAGAATCTACAAACACGTACTGGAAGCAGACGACTGGCAAAAGTACTCTGTGGATCCACCACAATTCGAGATCAAAGCACAGTGTTCTAGTTTGGCCATCGTTCTGGAGAGTGTATTCGAATTGAGTAGGTATTAAGAAAGTAGCACAAGTTGATCAAAAGTTTTTTACATTAATTTTGTCAAGAATATTTTTTGTTTCTCTTTCAGACATACCAAAGAACGACAAGAAGATCCTGTTACCAAGCTTGGACACCCTCGACTCGGTTGTCAGCCTCGACAAACACAGAAGTCAGCTTCTGAAGAGCTTTTTGGCAAACGAGCTATCTAACGTAGCATTCTGTTTGGAAAAAGGAAACGAAATGGAAACATGATCTCCTCCTTGATATTAATGACATGATTTAACACATCTCACAACATTGTTTTAAATTATACACCGTTCTTAACTATATTGATATAAATTTGTTATATCTTGTTATTGGTATGAAAGTAAGATTTATCATATTGTGAAACAAAGTTTTCTCTAATTGTTTAAAAATCGGAAAACTTCACATAAATTTACATAAAATTTTCAAGAAATTTGATTCCACAGATAAAAAGAGCAGTTGGAGGAATACCTTCATTTTACTTGCAAACAGAACATCCGGCAGACGGTTCACCATGAAGAGCCACGAGAGAAGCGACAAGCTCGAGAATCAAGTCTTCTATCACGGCATTCGGAACAGGGAAGATGTCATGTAAGTGTTCCACACTATGCTTGTGTGATAACCGAAGTTACTAATATGACATAACCTGTACTCTAAGATTCTAACACATTCAGATCTGAACTTGAGCATAAAGGCGACTTTGCCGTCCGTGCCAGTATGGACAATGGCTTCCCGAAGCTCGTCCTCAACGTTCGTGGTAGCCGTGGCCCTTGGAATCTGCTTCTTGAAGTTGTAGAAGATAAATATTGTCTACGAATAGAACGGAAGAAAGATTCCTTTCCCACTTTCGAAAACGTGGTTAAGCTAATTGAGTACTACAAGTCCCACGGTCTTCCACATGGCCCCAAACTTCGCCGTGGCGTACCTAGACCGGACTGGTTGTTGCGACATCAAGCCTTGAAGTACGATGAGAAGGCAGATCTGCTCGGATCCGGAAACTTTTGCTCTGTTTACCGTGGAACATTGACAAGAGTCGGTGTTTGTAAACAGGTATGTCAACCAATGAAATGATACACCATGATCATGCTTACATAGAGCAAAGTTGCTCCATAACACAGCACAACCTTCAACATATTCATTTACAGGTAGCCATCAAGGTGTGTCATCCAGCAGATGAAAAGAAGCGTCAAGAAACCCACGAAGCTATGCAGTCCATGCTGTACGAAGCCAAAATCATGTCAAAGTACTTCCACGAAAACGTCATCGAGTTTATGGGCATCGCATGTGACCATCCACCAATTAGAATCGTCCTCGAGTTCTGTCCAGGAGGTTCGTTAGAAGATCACCTCAAGAAAGACACCGAAATTCCCAATATTGAACTGGTCTTGTATGCGTTTGAAGTAGGTTTAAATAATTTAAATTATGGGCACGTATCAGTAGATTTAGAACAAGCTTCTCAAGTTAATTTGGTTCCTTCAGGCAGCTCGAGGAATGCGATACCTCCAGTCTCAGCGATGTATCCACCGTGACTTGGCAGCTCGAAATTGTCTCATCTCAGCCCAAGGAATCATCAAAATCGCTGACTTTGGATTGTCAAAAGTAGCAGAAGACTTCGTGCAACAAGAAACGGCACTGAAGCAGATTCCACTTAGGTGGATGGCTCCAGAAACAATCAAGAAACCACCGGTATACCTGGTTAACAGCGATGTCTGGTCTTTTGGAGCTCTGATCTACGAATTGTTCACGTACGTCATTCTTTCCGTAACCATTTTTGAATACAAATACTAAATTAACAGTATTAAATCATACAAGATTAATAAGCGTAAAAATTCAGTCACGGAGTAGCACCGTACGCTGACGAGAAAGACTTCAAAGTAATTGCCAAGAACATCAGAATGGCCAACATGCCAGACTTCCCACCCCATACTCCACAGCCGATTCAGACACTTGTCAAAGAAGAAATATGGTAAGCAAGATACATATATGTGATAACACAAGAAGGGATAGCTAATAGCGCTAAACTAGCTACTTTCATGTGATGATATGTACGTTTTTAGGGTAAAAGAACCAGAAAAACGAATCCTCTTCAATGAGATCGTAGTGTTCTTGTACAACTATATAGAACAGCACATGGACGAGTTTGGAGACATCAAAACAATGGCCGTCAATAAGATCAAAGGAGTCAAAAGGACGTCGATAATGATGGTAAGGTGATCTTGACTGCAATCAACTAGCAAATTTAAAAAGATCATACACTGCTTTGAGATTTTGTCTTATAAGACGCTTTTTATAAAACATAAGAACGAGATCAGACTATGTTCATGTTGTACTACAAGTAGTGAAATTTCAGGGCGACAAATCGAAATTGTTGAAAGAAGATGGACGACAACGTGATACTCAACAGAAAAGCAAAATGCGACAAGCTCGATCATCATTAGAAGATCGAGGCGGTACCAAAACTAGAACTCGTCGAGGAGTGACTTCCAAAAGCGACTACAACCGTCCTCGTCGATCTTCAATCAAGAAAATTATCAAGAACAACTCGACGGACAAGGAAAAGGAACCTCAATCAGCATCAGCTTGCAGCAAAGACTGTTCCACCGATTCCAAACCAGAGCCTCCCTCAACATCTCGGAAGAAGACCAGCAAAGAAGAAGATGAACAGCCAAATGAAGATGAAGCCGACAATGCTGAGGCGTAGCAAGGTGAAGAAAAGCAACTCGACCGAATAAATGTTTTGACATCTGTTAGCATACTTTTTGATATATTGTTTCGTTTTTTAAAACTCGAGAATTATATTTCAAAATCAAAAATTGTAGCAAAACAAAAATCTGTCGGCAGTGTATTCTGTGACGTTTCGTTTATTTGATATCGGAAAACAATTCCGGATTTTGATTTGCTAGAAATTTTCCGCATTTTAATATGAGAATGTTTGGAAAGATAATAACAGAAGACAAAATTCAGTCTTCTTTTACGGTTTTGATTAGTTGTAGCCGAAAAGAATGTTGTTTGTGTTTTTTTACTTTTTTTAAATGAAACACTTCTTTTTCCTTGAGCAAACAATGTTTTTAATATGGTTCTTTAACGAGTCCAAACTGATATGAATTTTGTGGAATTCCAGTCTTATCACCAGTTGAGGATTATAAGTTAAAGATGGTTGTTTTATGATAATCTTGCGATTTTATTATTTTGCGCGTGATTGGAATCTGTTCGGCGCTCGATTTTTGTGCCGTCGCACGATTTCTTCTTTCGCTGTCTTACCTTCAATTAGAGGGTTTGGATTTGTACAATTAGACTGTTTTGGATATGAAGCAGCTTTTGCGTGTTTTGGAGGTGATTTAAAAGATATTAGAAGTTTAACTATTCGGAGAAAATGTTCAGGGTGTCAATAACATTGACCGTCTCAAATTTTTCAACCTTTTTAAGTATAGGACCATACTTAAAAAGGTTGAAAAAATTTGAGACTTCATTATCACCAAATAAAGTGGGGGGTTTTTCAAAGTGAAAAGCACAACAAAGCATAGTTAATGCCACATTTTGAATAATAATATTGCTAATGTTATACGGCCGATAATTTGAATGACACTCACACCTTCTGTATGTTTTTGGACGTGATTCATGTTTTTGAATAGAATGAAGATGCTTTTACAATATCATTAACTCTTGCTAATACTATTTTAGATGGATGTGCCTTCTTCCTCGCATGTGACACATGATAATGGAGTAATGGCAGCTCCGATAAGTTATCCGCAGCAACCGTTCGAAGCCAATGTGCCACAACAACGAGTGCTACGCCATCAAGTAAGATCTTTTTTCGTTTTTGTGATCTTTAGAAAGCCGGCGAAAGGAGGACGTAGAGAATTTCTAGTTCAATTTATTGTTTTACGATATCCATAATATTAACTTTGCAATTGTTTTAATATAATTTTATCGTAATTTAAGGTGCAAGGACCGTATAATTCTTCTGACATGTACAATTCTAACGGACGGATGGTGCAAAATAGTCTGTCTCAGAGGTTGATGCAGAGGAAACACACTAAAAAGCTGCCAAAGAATGGGAAGTGTTACAAACAGTCGAGGAACGGGTCTTCAGCTAAAGTCTTGGAGTTAAGGAAGGCACTAGATTTGTCAAAGTATATAAAACAAGTAGAAACATTGATAATGCAGCCTATAAAGTAAGTTCGTTGAATATTTTGTAACTATATATATTCTTCATATATTTTATGATTTTATAATATCGTATGTTTGTTATTTGCAAGGTACTTTTTGAATTCATTTTATTATAGTGGTTTGTTTTAGAATTCCTAGTACTGTAAGTTTTGGAATGAATAAGCGAAGGAAATTGCCATCAAAGCCAAAACAAGATTTGTTGTCAGTAAAAGTAAGCTTTGTCTTTTAGATTGTTTTACATATTTTTTGTAATTAACGATTTTTTTTATAAGTTCTTGCAGTATTTATAACAAATTTCATTTATGACAACAAAAATGTATTTTCAGGACGTTTGGCGGGACCCAGAACAACGTCGGTCGGAGATGCGTGAGTTTTTCAACACAAAATCATTGGATTCGGATCGAGAATATCTGCTGAACGTTCTGTTGGACGAATCTGACGACGAATCAGATTCCGAACAGATAACGGACGAAGACTTTGCTTTTATGTTGGAACACAGGCGGGAAGCGAAGAAACTGATGAAAGCGTACCATCAGGACTTTCTGAATGCTCAATATCAATATTACAGTAGTGGGATGTTGAGTGAAGTGGATAAACATGGGGAAGTCAAGAAGAAGATCACTGATCTTTATGAAGACATGATCTACGATTGATTTAATAAACTTAACTTATTGCTTTTCTTGTTTCAAGTTGAAGCTGTTTTCTGACAGATTATTACCTATAACACGTATTTTGTTTCACAATTGTACTGTATGCATTGTTTTGAACGTACTCTTGAATTATACGAGTTATAGTTTTCTAATGTTGACCTTGATGTTTTATTAACTTTAGGTGTTATCCGAACCATCGTACTTTAGCTTATTGTGGGTGTTTATAGCCCACTGTAAAATAAGTTATGGTACGACAGTCTGGCCAGGTAATACCGAGGCAGACGACCAGAGACAAGCGACAGAATGGGGAGACAGAGCGACATATTCACTTGGCCAAAGACCTTCTAGACTCGAATACTCCGATTAACGTCGAAAACTTACTCGTAAGTACCCTTGATCTTTTATAGTCTTCTGTTTTTAGGACGCATTTGTGGCCATATATCATGATTGTAACTTGCCAATACTCAAAAAGTTGAGGAACGTGGACCAGTTCTTACAGAAGTGTAAGTTAATAGATATGTTATCGTATTGACTGGTATTAATATAATTGTATTATTTTTTACATTTGTTTGGCTTCGTCAATAAGTAAGTTGCAAGTTATTGAATGATTTTTCAAACCAAAAAATAGCAGCGTGAACTTATTGACTAAAGCAATAGTTTGCCGTTGTTAATATAGTACTGTTTTGTGTCGATGTTGTTTAGTCCGTTTTGTTGTTTAGATGAAAGTGTCGTGAGTAGTATTACCAACCGGCGGATGAAGGATACGGATTTTGAGATGTTGAAGGTACTGGGTAGAGGAGCTTATGGTGAAGTGCAGCTGGTCAGAAACAAGAAGGACAAACAAGTTTATGCAATGAAACGGTTGGAGAAAAGCGAAATGGTGTGTAATATGCTGTTTTTAGTTATTGAGGTTCTAATATGTTTTAGATATATTGCGTTTTAATAAGTTTTGACACTTTGGTATACGGTATACTGTAACATGTTGTGGTATAGTTTGTACCATGATTAGTATATTGTTTGTGCAAAATTTTTAGTTTTGTAAGATTTATCTGTAAAATTCTTTCAGATTCGACGATATGATTCTGCCTTCTTCTGGGAGGAACGTGACATCATGGCTCACGCCAAATCAGAGTGGATAGTTCAACTTCACTATGCCTTCCAAGATGCCCGCTTCTTGTACATGGTGATGGAGTTTATGCCCGGAGGTGATTTGGTGAACTTGATCTCGAAGTACGATATAACAGAAGAGTGGGCCAAGTTTTATCTGGCTGAATTGGTGTTAGCGTTGGATGCTATACATTCATTTGGGTATATTCACAGAGATGTAAAGCCAGACAACATGTTACTGTCGCGAGCAGGGCATGTTAAGTTGGCTGATTTTGGAACGTGTGTCAAGTTGAATGACGTAAGTGAAAGTTTTCGAAATAGTTTTTACTATATCTTAAACTGACATCTTTCTAATATGTACGTTTAAGGATGGTAAAATCATTTGTGCGACAGCAGCCGGAACGCCCGACTATATCAGTCCAGAGGTCTTGAATTCTCAGTGTTCGGAAACCGTGTACGGTAAGGAAGTCGATTACTGGTCGGTTGGGATCATTCTTTATGAAATGTTGGCTGGAGAAGCTCCCTTCTACGCCGATTCCTTGATGAGAACGTATCAGAGGATTCAGAACTACGAAACAGAGTTGTCATATCCAGATGACATTAGCCCATCTATTAGTGACACAACCAAGGACATTATTCGCAAGTTCTTGTCTGGGGCTGACGTGAGGTTGGGAAGGAATGGAGCAGAAGAGGTCAAGGCTCATCCGTTCTTCCAAAATCCTCAATGGACCTTTGACAACATTAATAATGGTAAGTTTTTGCAGAAATGACATTGGCATCATACGGTTATGTATTGAATAGAATTATTTTTTAACTTTTACTTTAGCCAAACCTCCATTCGTTCCAACACTAGAAGGTGATGAAGATACCTCCAACTTTGAGGACGTATCACCTCGAGAACAAACTCAAGCAGACAATTTCCAACTTCCAAAGGCTTTCAACGGCAACCAGCTCCCCTTTATTGGCTTTACATATTCCAACGATCTGAGTCCGGCTTTGGCCATTCAGCAGATGATCATGAACAGCGAATCTGATTGTAAAGAGAACGGAGTTCCAGACGGAAAAGATACTGTAGGAACCGAAAAACAGAAAGACATTGAGAAGAAGCTGAAACAGGCAGAAGTCCGGATTCAAGAGCAACAGAAAGATCTCGATGAGAAGACAAACGAATGGGCGGCCAAAATGCGAGATTGGGTATGATAATATTTATCATTGTAACTTGTTACTGTGCGTTTATGTTCTTTTACTATAATATTGTTGCTTCAGAGTCAAACTCAAAGTCGACAGGAAAAGGAGAAGCGAGAACAAACTACAAAGTTGGCTAAGACCGAGACTAAGTTGGCAGAGTTACAGAGGAAGCTCGACGAGGTTACAGGGGAACTACGCACAGAGCGACAAGATGGGGTAAGCTTTATGATAGTAATTGTAGCAGACTAGTGTTTCTGTTATTTTTATAAATGGATTATTCGTTTTTAAACAAATGCTGTTTTTATGAATTGGTAGTACATGGTAATATGGGAATCTTCAAATTTGTTTTTGTTCAGGTATCAGCAAGAGACCACTATGAGGAAGAAAGGAAATCTTTGGAGCTACTGATGAAGCAGAAGGACGCTCAGCTCGGAGAGTTGAAGAAGAAATTGGACGAACAGATCAATTTGTTGACAGCTGAACGACAGGAACAGGTAAGTTAGAATTGATGACTTTAGTTGTTGTCTTATACCACAACATCCTTCAAACAATTATTAGAAAAACAAACGTGATCTTACAGTATGTCTACGCAAATACTTAAAAATACTGATAGGTCATCTCTAAATTTCTAGGCAGAAACATTACGACGAGAACAGATTGGATCTCAAAATGGTCTAGAAGCCAAGATTTCGAAGCTAGCCGAACAATTGGAACTCCAACGACAAGCGGAAGAACGAAGCCGATCCGAAGTGTGGGCTCTAAGAGAAGAAAAGCAAGGTCTGGAGAACAACATGCAAGCTCTGGTTAGGGAGAAGAACAGATTAGAAGGACGGTTGAGCACGTTGAAAGAAGAATACAACAGCGAGCAACAGGTCTGCAACATGTACAAGGCTGAACTCGACCAGGCCAAGACAGAGATCTCCGACAAAATCAGGCAGTTGTCCAATATCAACAGCAATTTGTGGGTTTTTTAAACTATTATATGCTTTTAAATTCGGAGATGTAGACACTTCAAATTATATTGTACTTTACGTTATATTTTAGGTCTTCAATCCAAGTTATCCAAGAAAAGTTCCACAACGAACACATTGCCAGGAAAATAGCTGAACAATCTTTGGACGAATCAGAGAAAGAAAAGTACATGTTACAACAAGAGTTGAACCAATGTGTGTCTCGGCATGGAAAGGAGATCGAAGCAAAGGGCTCTAAGATTAAAGAGGTACTGTTTGAATATATGTTATGTTGGTCTTCCTTTTTTGTTTTTTTCTTGATTTCAATGTTGAATATTTTTAAAAATCATTATTTTTTTAAGAATAAAAAAATGAAATTTCAGTACGAACAACGAGAACAAGAGCTGCAAGACCACATCAAGAAGCTAATGGACGAGAACAACCGCCTTAAACATTCCCAACGTTCCGTGTCCGGCCCTATCCATCATCATTCCGAACGTTCCACCGACACCTTGTCTAACAATTCTGGATCTCAAGCATCGTTGGCGAGTCGCGACTTACTTGAGAATATGTCACGAGAAGAATTGATTGCCAAGTGTCGAAGAGAAGTACAAATGAAGGAAAATGTTATATCCAAGCTCTACTCAGTCGGCCAAATGAAGGGAATCGCCGAAGGACCACAGACATCGTCGTCCAAGGCAAGGAAACAGAAGATCGAGATCAAGAGGTTGGAGGAGATCATGGAGCAGAAGCATCGGGACGAGATCGCCAACTACAAGAAAACGATACAAGAGATCAGCAACCACAATCACTACTTGAACGAGCAGTTGTACGAGGAACAGTCCAAGAAGGAACAGTTGCAGCTGCAGCTCAACGAACGGAATGTAAGAAAGTTACTCAAAACTTGAGAACAACTTTGCTATCCTTTTAATCAATTTTGTGAAACAACTGTTGTAGAATGTTAAGTTATACGTTATTTTTCAGGCGGCCCTTGGCAACGATGGAAATGGCCGTCGCGTCCTCCAGTCCCTTCGGAACATATTCGACTAGGTCACTGTACGCGAGAGGTCGATAAGAGGAAGATCTTGCAGTTATCTCACTTGATTATCACTTGGATATTGTATTTGGATTCGGATCATTGCATTTATTTATTATTGGTAGTTACTTCTTATCACGCATACTGTAATTCTAGCTTTTTGGTTGTTTTTGTTGGGGGCGTGTTCTTAGCCATGTAAAGATGATTGAATTGTAATAAATCTAATTTATAACCTCGAGGGTTACATTTTAAGGATAAGGGAGGTACTTGACCTTTATTTGCCTTCATTTTGATATTAAGTAACGTCAAGTAAACACATAAAAATCAGAAGGTGAAACTAAAGATTTTACATAACTTATTCAAACTCAATGGTAAATGCTTTCGGAAAAACTAAATCAATATCATTTTTTCAGCATTAGCTTCACAAAATTTATTTCAACTTTTTGAACATAGACTTCTTATTGTTCTCCTTCTGCTTTTTCTTCTGAGGTTTTGTTTTCTCTTTAGTCTTCTGGGCACTAGTATTATCCTTCTTGTCTTTATGACCTTTGGTCTTCTTTTGTTTTGCGGCTTTTGCTTGTTGGAACTTCTTTCGATAGCTAAATCATTTAACGATAAGCGTTAATTATCCCTTCTAAACACTTACTGCTTGGCTGAGTCTATCAACAAAATAATGTCATGCACTTTACAGCGATTATCAGGATTCATGGTGAAGGCCTTGGCCACAACTTCCTTAATGAATGGAGGGGCCCACTCTGGTAGTGTCAGTTGACTGCCGTCTTTCGATACCTAAAACGTTAAAAGGAAAAGGTGGTACATCACAAGGATTTGTGACAATGTTATACTATGTAAATGAGTATGAAAGTAAAGTCCGGAATATTACTTTGGCCCTGATTTGAGCACCGGTCCAATTCGGATACGGTTCGGAGCCATTACTGAAGATCTCGAAAAGGAGCACTCCGTAGGCCCAGACATCAGCGGCCGTGGTGAACAGTTGTGTGGTAAACACTTCTGGAGCCAAGTATCTGAACGAAGCCTTCTCATGCGGCTCCAGCTTTACGTACGTAGCCAGGCGAGACAGTCCAAAGTCACTGATCTTGAGGGTTTTGTTTCCGTACAGACAATTTCTTGCTGCAATGTCGCTAAAAACATTTCTTTAGGTTCATATTATGTATATGTATGTATGCTAACTACGACTACATTCTCGAATTTAAATATTATAATAGCCTTTTTCATCAAAACATAATATATTGCATAACCTCTTACCGATGTAAAATAGTATGACGATGAATGTGGTGGAGTCCACAAGCAGCATCATATGCCATCGAAACTCTGTCATCAATGGTAATGTTGATGTTACGAGCCTTCAGATAAGCATGTAGACTACCACCTGGAACATATTCAATCACAAGCATCAATGGCTCGGTATCTGCACATACACCGTAGCATCTGACGATGTTCTTGTGACGAAGCATCCGCATCAGTCTGGCTTCCTTCATCGTCTCTTCGATCTTCTCCTTGGTCATCAATGTCACTTTCATCTAAAGTTAATGGTTATTGAGAGATGCTCTCAAAAATCTTGCTGAAGAAGATTTCCATCCTATAATCCCAGCAACTCATGTCCCAATCAGATGTCACTTACCGTTTTGACAGCGACTTCAAGCTCATTTTCATTCGGTCGTACCCTCAGTTTACCATGGTATACTTGACCAAACGCTCCTGCTCCAAGTACCTTACCACAAGTAATTTTCTCAGGATGGAACTCCCAGTCTTGCCTACAGACGGGCTTGTTCAAGGTAACCGGAGGACTGCCAAAAGGTATCTTCTTCAACAGGTAATGGTTGGCGAGGGTGATGACATTGGGGAAGCCCATCTGATCGGTCAAATAGAACTGTCCATTTACGTTCTTGATCATGAAATGTTCTACAAATCCATTGCCACCCATCACTGACAGACAAGTCTGACGTTGTCCTTGGTTTGTAGCTGTAGTGCATCGTAGAAGAAAGTCGCCAGGGTCTTTCAACATACGATTTATGTCTTCGCGTGGCAGCAATCTAAAAATTTTAAATATGTAAAGTATGTGGCATTATCTGCATATTTCTTTCTGATACGTCTAAAGACCTAGTATAAGTTTTACCTTCTACTAAACAAAATATTATCTTACCCATGATGATACTCGTGTTCGTTGATGCCAGTTTCTTTGAGCGAGATGTGTTTTACATGTTCCTCCAATTGAATCGGCTCGTTTTTCCCATAAGGATCAAGATCATCAGTAGGCTCGAATGCATTTTTGGGCGCTATTCCACCTTCCTCAACAACCACAGTCATCTGGGTCTCTAATGGTGGGGGTGGTGGTGGCTGTGGAGCTTGGCCAGCTGGTCGGAAAATGATGTGACCTTTATCATCAACTGGATGCACAGTTTGTCTGAACGAGTCGTCGATTGGTAACAGTGCTTCAATCGGATTCTCAAAGGGATCGTATCCAAAATGAGCTCCAGGCGGTGGTTGGATTGGGACTCGAGGTCTGAGGGCTGGTCTGCCTCTGAAATGTAAAAAAATAAGATCTTTGAAAAATAAGTTTTATTTTTATAAGATTTTGCATAAAACGGAACGTACCCGAAGTTCAGATTGGAAAATGCTTGTTGCCCAAAGTCCATGGCCAAAACGACCAGTTATCACAGTTCGAAATGGAAAATAAGATTCATGGATATCCAATTTGTGGAATTTCGACATTTTAAAATATTTTCTGTTATTTCTACAAGATTTCGACAATATTTTGTGCGGAATATTTTTTGAACGTTCGTTCGTATAAGTTGTCTTTCGCTTTATAAGCACTTCGGGCGCAGTTTGACAATAAAAGAAATTTTGGAAAATAAAATTTACAAAAAACTATTTTAAAATATTTTGTAATTGTTAAACATATATTGTACAAGTTATGGGTAAGGACGACAAACAGAGAAGAAAAGGCAATGCTCAGGTATATTTTTACTATATGATAAACGTTACTATAATAGGTATTGTCTTCATCTCGAAGTTTTTAAATCTTTGTGTTTTCAGGGTGCGAGTAGTTCACGTGCTGCTGAATTACTGCAAAAAAGTGGGATCAACGTTAATTTTCTGGGATTCAACGCTGCTGATGCGGCTTTGAATCCTGGTGATCTTGATGAACAAGATGATTACGTCGATCTGGATGCCAAAGTCAGAGTAATCTTTCGAAAATTTGGTAAAAGAGAAGCTAATACAAGAGAAAAGGCTCTAAAAGGACTGGCTGAGGTTATTGTAGAAGATGAGGACACTTACACTTCTTTCAAACCATTTGTTGCTGTCTACAGCAAGTTGGCCTTTGTAAGTTATTATCTTTTTGTTCTTATAACTTTAGGCTTGTTATTCTAAAAACGTAAGCTTCAGGATCCTTCAACGGCAGTCAGGATTGCGGTCAATAATTGCTTGGAGAAGTACATCAAGACGTTCAAATCAAAGATTGCTTCAGATGTTGTTACGGTACGTCTTTGATTAAAACGTTTTGATTTTAGGTATTCAGTAAGAATTATAAGATATGATTGTGGCTAATATGAAAAATACATTTTTTATCGTTTTCATTACAAATTTGCTATTTTTTTAACTTATTAAACTTGTAATAAAGATAAAAAAATATTTTTAGGTATTACCTCTTGTGTTATTGTCCACCTTTGATCACATTACCGCGGTTAAAAGAAGTGCTGCCGACATTCTTGAAACCTGTTTTGATGACGAGAAAAGGGAAAAGATATACCAACAGTTTCCTAGTAAAACCATCGACATTTGTTTGGAGATAATTAAAAGACGACACAATCTACTCGGACCTCAGAAGTAAGTAATTTGAAAAGTTTTTGGTTCTTTGTGAAAATTTGGCATTGAAGTGCACTATTTTTGATCATTGAAAAGTTCATAATTTATATTTTAAGGTTTGAAGACTTGGAGAATTATTCTCAGCGATGTGATCGACTGATTACTCAATCTCTGGGAGCGGTCGATAGTTTTATTGAAAAATACGACAAAAAGAAGGAGATATTCAAGGTGTTGGTGGGGGAGTTTGACAAGTTAAGTGGAATGGGACCTCAGGTACACTTTGATTATTAATTTTTTTGTTATTTTAGGTAATACTTATTTGCTTTACATACATTTTTAAAGCTTAATTCAAGTGATTAACATTATTTTAGCTTCAAAGCCGATTGATGAAAGTGTTTTTGGTATATATGAAGCTAGAGTCATTGGAAGATGTTCTAAAAACTTCAGTTTGTGGTAAGATAGTCAAGTTGATGGACTCTCCACATGAAAGTGTATCTCAACATGCCTTCTCTTGCTATCTGTATATGGCCAATGCTGTCGGAAGCGGTCAGAAGGGCAACTTTTCTCTGAAGGACTTCGTTTGTGTACCAGTTTTGAGGATGGTCGCTCGAAAGGCTAGGTATGGCACTTTTTATGCACGGGTTTTGTGTTTTGGAGGTTGTTTTGAATATTTGTTGTTAAAGGTTAGCCTGTTTGATTTTAGCCATTACAAAAGTCTGGAGCACTGTTTGTTACCTCTGGTAATAATTGTCATCAAAAACGCAGAAGACCAGCCTGAACTCAAAGCATGGATTAAGAGTTTACTTAACAGTTTCTTTGAAGGGTACGGTAACTTTAATTTTTATTTAGTTTTTCTTTAATACTCCTGTTACTGTTTTATCTTGCTGTAACATACCTTATACTAATTTAGGTAATATTTTAGTGAAATGCCATCAAACGTCTTCTTAAGTTGGGCCAAAGCGTTATCTGATGTCATCGAGATGCTGAATTTGAAGTATTTGGAGAAAGAGTACGATGAAGAGGTTTCTGAATGGGTCGAGAATTCTGTAGTCAGATTTCTTCAGATATATCTGACAAAAGAAGAAGATGACATCAAGGAGAACGACAACGATCTGGATGATGTTGCTCTAAAGTTGGTGCTGAGACAGTGTTCAGAGATTGGAGAAAAGAAGGTGGAAGACGTGGTTAACATGTTACTAGAGCAACTGTTCTACAATCTACCGAAGAGCCAAGATTTCATTTTGAAAATTTGGGAGAAACGAGACGATGAAAAGCTAAAAACGATCAACTTCTGGCTGCAGAAACAGATCCTGGAAGGCGACGCAAAGTCTACACAACTTTTTACAAAGTTTCTGGAAGATGGATGTTATAAAAGCATGAAGGACCTTGACTATGACAAGTTGGTGGAGGGTGTTATGGATACGATTTGTGAGAGAAAAGAGATCACTGAGGTGCTGTTCAAGACATTCGTGTGGTTGGTAAAGGAAAACAAGGTGGAGGCGCAAGAACTGTTTGAGGTGGTTGATGTGAGTTGTCAAAAGTTTGTACAAAGTAATGTTGTTTGGTATAATTTTACTTGTTATTTTATGGATTTAAAACTTAATGTTTTATCTTGAAAGCTCAAAAGAAATTACAAAATGGTTGTTTAGGTAATTAAACTAATATTTTTAATAGTTAAAAGTAATATACTTATATTTTAGGTATCAAAACTAAAGCACACTGTCAAGCTGATGTTGTTATGCTTCGATGAGCAAGAATATCTGTTCTCTGACGTGGATCGAGAACGGATTGTCACAGGAGTACTAATAGGACTAGTTCAAAATGCGACTCTTTTGAGTATTGAGAAAATGCCTGAGGCGTTACATTTTTGGATTTCGCATACTTTATCTGATAACATGTACAAGGTGCTTGGTACAGTTTGTCACAAGTACAATGTCGCTTTGCTGGCTAAGGTCATTATTGTCATCAGCAAAGTAGACGTAAGTTTCTACAGTACATTTTTGGTGGTTTACTGTTACAGTTTTTTAAAGATTTAAGGATTATATCGCTGCACTTTAGGGTATTTCATTTGAATTTCTGGATGATTTGAGTCAAGTTTTAATCGATCACATTGTTGATGACAGTTTTACCGAGTATCCAGACGAAAATGACAAACTAGACCTGGACTGGTTCTTAAGTCAACATCAAAAGGATTCGGCCAAACTCCAGAAGGTTTTCGAATATGAAACGGTCGATTTCAAGGATATCGTGCCATTTTACAGTGAAGTCGCACATGGTTTCGATGGGATTAAGAGTATATTGAACATGTTTGAATCTACAAGTGATGAGTTGTTGGCTATGAGCAAGGATTTGGATTCGTGTGTAAGTTTAGCTTTAAGTAATTTAAAAAAAAATTTTTTTAATTGTGGATATTATAATTCTAATAATAAAGGATTTAGTTAAAGCATAATATGCCGTTTTATAATGTGGCTACATTAACTATGATTTTTTAACTTCTTGTTTAAGGTAGCTTTTCACATCTTGGCCAAAGAACCATTAGCTCATTGCTACGCTTTAAGTTTTGACAGAGTACCGGATTCTGAATCTGACGACAAATTAAATGACGAATATTTGAAGAAAGGTTTACTGTATATGAGCTTGAAGCCAGATTCTATCACAAGTAAAATGCTCTTACATTCCATATTACTTTACTCGGCTAATTATGCCCAAATGGACTATGTTTATTGTGATTCATTCAGAAGTGTGCTTCTGAAGCATATGAACATGTTTGAGAAGGTCTTTGAGGTATGTTTTGACTGATTTTTTAAAAATTTTATTTTATTTGCGGGTATCATATTCTTGTATTTTACATTGGCCGTAATATGTATGAAATAATAGTTTTGAGTTTTACTATCTTTAGAGCTTGACCGACGATCAAAGGAACAATGTAATCAAGGCGGCTGTAGACGTCTACTTTGGCAAAACAATGTCATTTACATTTATCTATGGACTCAGAAGGCTACTGCCAAAATGGTCTAATCTATACCGACAAATCGAAGAATCAAAGTTTAGTTTACAACACAAAATGGCAATAAAGGCTGGTATTAATGTTGACTTTGTCTTGTATGATGCTGAGTTGATCGAGAAGCACGAACACCTACCATTCATCGTATCTTTGGAACGAAAAACATATAAACTGAGAGAAAGTAGCGGAAATGAAGACGTGGCTGTGATTTCGTTGGCAGAAATCAAAGAGAAAGTCGACCAAAATGACATTGATTGGTTGTTTACTGCTACGGGGTAAGTCTTACCTTAAAATTACAGGGTTTTGCATGCTAAGTTGTTATTATATAATGATTGAGATGTTTCCAAATAATGTAAACCTTATTTAATGCAGCTGTTTTGAATTGCTACTTTAGGCATAAAATTGTTTCAGAGACATTGAGAAAGACTTGTTGTCATGTTCAGTCCTCCGTCTGTCTATTCAACTGGCTGGTCGACTTCCAGAACTACCTCAAGAACTTCGTGACTTTGTTTTATGTGGTCTTATCACCTCGATGCAAGACTTTACAGCTAAAGAGTCGAGGGCACCGTTGTTGGAGGTACTGGCGACTTTGGCATTGGAATTCTTCACAAGTTACGATCGAAAGTTAAGCGACAAACTGAGTGAATTGAAGAGTTTGCCAGACATTTCTGAAGATTTGCTGGCAAACAAGATGATCGTTCAAGGTCAGATTCAGGAGTGGAGAGAGTTCTTTGGGTCTTCGGCTTCAAACTATGCATTTGCTTGGTTCTGTTGGTTGACTGTTGGAGGAAAGGAACGATCTGATGGTAAGTATTGGATGGGTGTAGTAAGTATTTAAAATGTTTTATTTTTTGAAGGTTTTGATGAGTATATAGGTTCATTTTATTAGTATTGGTCATGCTTTGTTAAATAAATCTTTTTTTAGCTTGGAAATGTCCATCTTTCTTGCGAGTCCAATTGTGTAAAACCATTCGAAACACATTCTTGGACTTGAATATGCAAGAACTTGTTTCTAATCCATCTTCTCTCTGTGCCACTTACATGAAAGACAAGGATACTGTAACAAAAGACGAGATCTTTGATTCTTTTGTCACTGTTTTGTCGAGTTCTCTGCCAGAATTACAGTTAACGGCCGTCTTCTTGCTACAAAAGTAAGTTTACTAATCCTTTACAAGTCATTGTATGGTTATGTAAACTTTAATTGCATATTTGTCATACCTTATCTTGTGCTATGGGTTTTGTAATGTAACCAAAACATTATTTTTAGTCTTATCTTGACGCACTTTACAACCAAAGATGAGATTGACGAACAATTGTCAAAGATGTTGCTGACTTCAGAATCCACGTCTTCAGAAAACGAAGAAGCTACCGACACTCAGAGAAACACTGTAGAGTATAAATTGTCAAAGTTCTTTGACGATCTGTCTTCTATAGTGGTGGAATCAGATGACCAAGATTCTATTGACTACGCTTTTGTAGTCTGGGATCTTCTGATTCGCACTGTCAAGCTACTGGACAGTCAACAATCAGCTGAGTTCTGTGCTCAGTTGTCACAGGAAAGGATTGGGCATATGTTTGGGAGTGTGATACAGTATCTACCACTGGGTATGAACAAAGATGATTGTGTTACGGTAATTAACAGGAGACCTGACGATGTTCTCAGCTTCTGGAAGACGCCGTTCACGGTAGACAAGAGTAGGATGGTGAAGAAGAGCAACTACGCCTTGTGGTTGTACTACAGGTCATTGGAAACGTTACCTGCTCTGGTTAGAGATTGGGTCAGTCTGTTGAAGAACGACAAACTCAAAAAGTAAGGTTTTGGCTAGAATAGTTTAGAATACAGGGTGTGGTGATATTCGGAATAGTATGGAAGTATGACTATATTGTAAAACTTAGATTACCTTTATTTTTTGTTTTTCAGGTTTACGGCTATATCTTTGTCACCTATTTTGATCGAAGAAGAGTTCAAGAAAGTTGGAAATGTAAAAAAAAAGACTGGATTCTCTGTGAGGTCAAGAACGGCTACAAAGGAGATTGTGGCCAGGTATCAGGTCGAAGAGTTGACGTTGGAAACGATAATCAAACTGCCTGATGACTACCCGCTGTCTCAAGTCACTATCGTCCACGACAAGAGGAACATTATATCAAAGGGAATGACCCACAAACTGCACCTCAACTTGTTCAGTTACGTTAATACAAGGGTAAGTAATGCAGTCTTGTATTTGTATTTTTTGTATATTATGTTTGTATTTATTTGATTGTATGATATAATTTAATTTTTATATGTATATTGAGGTATATAAGGTAGTTTGAAGGAGTATTGTTTTTAGAACGGTGCTATTTGCGACGCTGTGCTTCAGTGGAAGAAGAACGTTGAGAAGCAGCTAGAAGGCGTGGAAGACTGTGCTATTTGTATGATGACCGTATCTAGCAGAAACTACCGTATGCCTGACCTTAAATGTCGACAATGTACAAAAAAGTTCCATTCTGACTGCATGGTAAGCTTAATTTTAAAATTGTTAAGTATATTACAGTGATATGTTTTGTAATATACGATTTTAAAATAGATTCGCTGTTTTGATTTTTTATGTTATTTTTACATTAAAAGTTGTAATTAACACCTATTTCAGTTGAAATGGATCCAAACGAGTACTGCCCCAACTTGTCCCTTATGCCGAAACGAGTTTTATTAGATATTTATATTATTTTATTGTGTAACCGTTATTGTTATCTTTTATAAATCGGTGATATTTTGTGATTTGGGAAGATTTATTTACAACGTTTGATCGAGAAGTACATTTTATGTTATAGCTGTAATATCTTTTACCTTTTTCTATGTTTAGATGTCACACAGATCTCACAACTCACGAAGATACGACGATGACAAAAGGTAAATTCTTAATTGTTTTTAGTCGACGTTTGCATTATAAAGTTGTGTAGCATAATATCAGTAAAATTTATTTTTTTTTCAGTAAACGAAGCGAAAGGAAAGGTGACAAGATAAGAGAGAAGATGGAGAAGGCCTTGGAATCTCGGACGGCTACGGCAAAAGCAGAATGGGCCAAAGAGAAGGAAATGGCACAGAAGAGCAGCAATTGCAAGGTTAAGCTAAAACTATGTCTACATGTGACATGTGCTTATAGTTTCTAGTAGTATTTGTTCTAATTCTACATTTTTTTAGCCTACGAACTAACCTTTGAAGAACAAATGGAGCGACAGCGACAAATCGACCAGATTGGGGAAGCTGGATTCCAACCGGCTATGTTTGTTAGTGGGCAAGGGTATCAGAAGACTCATAAAGAGGTGAATACTAGGTTCTTTTAACTATAATATGGATGTTTTATACTAATTTTAATATTATAGAAAAGCTATTAAACTTAAATTGTCTTAGACATCAGAAGATGCTGCCCAGAAACACCACGATGGAGCCATGTTTGGTCCCATGTGGAAGAGCAAAGAAATCACAAAGAAACTCGACCAGTCGATCAAAACAAAACCGAAGTCATCGAAAGCCAATGACAATATGGACCTGGATGTGATACCTCTACCACCTCAATCATCCGAATTCAAGATGTTTCCGCTGGCAGAAACGTGGCTGAATCTACCGGTCGATTCACGAGAAGAAGCTTGGCGAAAAAGCTTTCACGAGCAACGACGACAACTTTTCGAGGAACAGATCTAACTTAATGTTGTTTTACTGTTTAAACTTGTACATAAAGCATCGTATTTATATTACTTTAGTTTTTTAAAAATGAAAGTTAAATTTTACTGTCATTTAGATATGAACCTTGAATGTAAAAAAAATTAGTTTTAGGTATGAGTTCCAAGTTCTCTTCTGTGCTCTGGACCATCTTCATCGTAGGCAGTCTTCTTTGGTTCACATCGCAAACTCATTTACATATTTATGGTAATGTTTATATAATGTATTACAATAACATCCGAAGTAATGCCGATAATTGGAGAACAAAATATTTATTGACTCAGTAAGTAAATTACAATTAAACTATACAATTAGGTTATCATAGTATATTGTAGTATTCTGTAGCTGTAAGTGTCTGTATTAAGGTTACCTACCTATATTGTCTATTTACGCTTACTCAAAGATCTTAAGCTAGCTACACTTCTATATTATGTTAAACTGTCTTGAGCTCTACTTACTTTATATACTTATTCAAATGCTAAAAAGTAGTCTTGTCTATAGCTAACTGTAACTACAGTATCACTTACTAATGTTATCTATCTTCGCTTACTTACTGAACTATACGATATTATGTTGGTCTACCTTTAATATCTGTAGTTACTAACTCATGCGCCTATGCCAATTCAAAAAAGTAGTATTATCAATAACTGTAGCTTACTATGACCTTGTTATCTAATGTTATCTGCCTATTTACGTTTACTTACTGAATTACATCATACTAGAGGCGTATCTTACTTATGTTGAGCTATTCTGTGCATAACTTATAAGCTAGAATTTATTGAGCTAGCTATAACTATGTTATGTTAAACTATCTTATGTATCTAACTACACACTTTGAATCGCCTTTTCTAACTCAAAATTAGCCTTATCACTAACTAAAGCTTACTGTACCTTATTATTCTACCTAACATATTCTACCTTTTCTGACTAAAGTTACTAACTAAAGTTATCTATTTACCTACCTACGCTTACTTACTGAACTATATTATACTACTTGATATCTCATTTGGAAATATTCTAACTATAAGTAGTAATAGTAAACTATTAAACTAAAACTTATTTGTGTAAGCTAGCTATAAATACACTATGTTGGACTATCCTAGGTATACTCACTTACTTGTCTATTCTAACTCAAAAAGTAGCCTTATAAATAACTAAATCTTACTGTAACTTATTGTTCTACCTAACATATTCTACCTTTTCTCACTAACACTAGTAGTGTTACTTACTAACTTGACTTTAATACTGTAGAACTAATATCTTAATCACTTACGTATCATTTACTGTCTTATATTTTTACTTTACCTAGCGTTACTACATGTAGATAATAGCTACCTACTGTTTTGTATGCTTATGCTATTACTATTCACTTAGCTTATTACCTTTTACTACCTACGTCTAATCTTTATTACCTATGTATAACCTTAGGATTCCTATCTTATACTACATTAATATTAGGTTTTACTAACTCTAGTCTTACATATAGGTCATATTACTTTCTCTAAGTTACCTACTATTTAAAAAACTAATCTTACAAAAGTTCCCTATGTTCTCCTTTATGATTTTGTACATCAGTTGCTTCGCAACCGACTGAAGTTGCCCTTTTATACAAAAAGTATTTAAAATTGCCAAAAAATGTCGAAAACGTATTTTAGTCAAAAATAATGTCATTTTAGTCCAAAAACGGTACGAAAAAAGTTTAAAAACGTACCAAACATCCGAAAAGTCATCGAAAAAGTGCTCCGAAAAGGTAAAACTTTAACTGTCACCTAACCCCGAGGGCGGCCGAACAGAATCCCTATCAAATTTTGGGTCCGGACAGTCGGTTGGTGGGACGGCGATGACAGTGGACTGCCCGGGTTCTCCGGCGATGGGAGGGACGGTGTTGAGAAGCCGACCGTGCCGAGAGACTAGCGGCCTTCTCACTCAACCTTACAGTAACCCAAAGGCGTCGCCTTGGGCAATCTTAGCTGAGAAGACCGGGACCACCCCTAACCGGTCCAGGAATCACTTACCCAGCTACGGTAACCACCCCCAAACCTGTTTGAAGTTTTTGTAATGGCCTAAACTTATTGAACGAAAATGGTTACTGTATGGATTAACTAAACTTGCTTCTATCTTTTATGCTTACCATAGTACTTTTAAAATGTATTCTTATCATAGTGGTCTTACTTTCCTTCACTATACTTAACTTTAACTAAACTTGCCTAATTTTAAGTATCTTTAAATCTCTTATGTAAATATTTATCTTTAATCAACTGTACTAACGCTTACTAAACAGTACTATTGTTACCTAACTATGATATAATAGTATTATATATTAAAGTTACCATATAAAAACCAGAGTTGAATACTGTACTACTTCTAGCTAAAGTACTAGTTCTTTTTGACTACTTAACTGCTATACTGTCTCTGTAACCTAACTACAGTAACCAAATGTTTTTTCTCTATTCTGATTATAACTTTTCTTAATATAAGTTTTTCACAAGTGTCTGTTGGGGCTTATAAAAAATTTAAAATAATTTAAATAATAAAAATATTGAATAAAAATTGTACAAAAGTCGAAAACACAAGTGATAACGCGACCTACCTAGTTACATACTTATGATAACTATAATATATATGATAGCAAATAAAATTGAATTTAAACTGGCAGTGAATTAAAATTCTACATTGGCCTAGGTTTCAAACGGAAGAATCTATTTCTACTACGTTCTAATGTATCTCATACTATATTTCTACTCTGAACGCTACTATTTACATTACATTTTTTATGATAACTCAAGTCATTTTACTATAGATATGTCTATTTCTAACCCATCAGCTACTTTCAGTTAACTTTTTAAAACAATCTCACGATTCCTTGTCCTAATCTGAATTACTTGACTTAACCCACTTAACTTTAAAGGCTATGTTTAACTATGTCATATCAAAAAAGTATTGTCTCCTAAGCTCTTTACTGTTAACTAAGTTGTTACTTAAATATGTCTTACTACAGATATGGCTATTCCTAAGCAATCTGCTATTTTTGACTAAAATTTTAAAATAATCGTGCTGTTCTTTGTCCTAATCTTCTAAACCTACTATTTGCTTTATTGACTATGTTCAACTATGTCACATCAAAAAAGTATAGTTTTCTAAGCTTTATACTGTTAACTATTATAACTTGTTACTAAAACTTTACCTATGTCTTATTTATACCTTTTTCATATTCGATTCAATAAAAGTCTTTATGTTATGTTATAAATAATATAGACAAATCCAAGATTATAAACCTACATTAGTATAATCAGTAACATTCATATGGCCCTACGCTTATATATTACATTTATGTTCTTTATATCACTTAACCACATTATTATTTACATTACATCAACTTAAGATCAACTACCACGGTAAATGTTGTCAAAAAAGTATTTATTTATCTTGCGGAACCTTGGTATTTTACATTGTAAAAGTATTTATTTGACTATTTATTGTAAAGTTATTGTAGTATGTTATTGCTATAGGGGGCCGCGTTACGGTAACCAAAAGTGTTGCGAAATCTGAAGGGATTTGATTAGAATTACATGGGGGACTACTGTAACATACCTTGATAAGTTTTTGGCAAACCCCTCTGAAAGAGATTACTACGGTATGTTGAGTTACTATCGTATGTTCTATGGTTTGTTGCTATTGTTGAGTTAACTATCGTATGTTGTTGTACTACTATTGTCCTATAAGAGCTAAAGTGAGATTAGAGTTAGTTACTTGGTACCGTACCTTCTGCTTCCTCTTGTTCTATCGTCACCCTCATCGTATGTTGTTTCCCTCGTCTTTTCATCGTATTTCACCCAGTTTATATACTCAATTGTATCGTTTATAGACCCAAGTGTACCATTTCTATGCCCAATTGTACCATTTTTATGTTCAAGTGTACCATTTTGTACCCCAAAGACTTGTGAAAAACCATTTTTGTACCAAAAAACTCTTCGAAAAGCACCATTTTTGTAAAATACGATAACCAAAAGCACCATTTTGTTGTGTGTAAAGGTACCACATAAGGGACGTTGTACTACACTCTTCTTCTCTACATCTATCATCTACACCATCTTACATCATCCTATATCATCTTAGACCTTCTAGACCTTCCTCAGACCTTCTACATCTTGTTATACCACCTGGGACCACTCTGTACCATTCTTTTCTCCCAAATCTATTCCAAACCTTGTTCTTCATTCCAAACCTTCCCCAAACTTCTATACCTCTTCTTCTTTTAAGGATTACGGTAGATTCTACTCCATAAAAAGCCCCGTTTTTTGTACCAAAAGCACCAAAAACCTTGTTTTAACCATTGACAGAGACTAACTGGACCATTATAAACAACTTGTACCATTACCATTAAAATATCTAGCTGTACCTCTTGGACTAATAAAACCATTGATAATAACCGGGACTAATAGGACCATTAAGGTACCAATTTGCTGACTGTACCACTCTACCATTACCTAGCTGAAAAGACATATTACTCTCAAACATTACCCTTTACTATCCATCGCACCCTGAGATTACTGTAACATAAACCAAATAGTAGGACCAATAATTAGAATACTGTAGAAACCCAGTAGGAATACGGTAGACTTCTGAATCCCCTTTTGAGTAGAAAATCCTCCTATTTTACTTCGTATTTTACATGTTTGACCCAATGTAATTACTTCGTATTTCCAAAATTACTTCGTATGTTTAGACCTCGTATGTTTTGAATATGCTAACGTATTACCCTGCTTGATTACGGTAGAAATGATTTGTAAATTTTAGGTAGAAATTATTTAGAAATTGTTCAAAAGATTACTGTAGAACTGTGTGAATATACTGTAAACATGCTTTAGTTATCTGAGCTTACTTTTAGAGCCTTGCGGATACTGTAAACCGTCTTACTGTACTTTAGCCTGCGTATTGCTTAAACTTTTGAGCCTTCATGGTAGTTACGGTAGGGACAGTAG